CTTGTGACGATAACGCCCGAGCTAGCGATTGATGAGGGTCAATCTCAACTTGCCGCTAGCAAGCAAGTTGCAGAGAGAGCCATGACCCCCGAGCAGCCATCGACGTTGGCTCCCAAGACACATTCGGATGAACTACCCAAGGATGGAGGGGCCAAAGGACACCTTGGCACGGCCACCGGTGCAGAGGATGTACAGCAGGGAGATGTTTTGCAGGAGGCTCCGTTGTCAGCTGCCGCTCTCGAGCCCAGTGCGACGGAGGATGCTTTTGCCCCGAATACAGCATCAAGCGACGACCAGAACTTCGACACCGAGCTTGAGAGTGGATTCCCCGTTCCCTTGAAGAAATCAAAGAAGAAGCGCAGGGGTACACTCCAAGGGGCGAGCGAGTTTCCACCCGAGTTTTCAACTTCGGGTGAGGATGTCGAAGAGCCCGAGGCATCATCTTTCCTTCCCACCGTGTCTCCTTACCCCTCCTCCGCCGAAGCCGCCGCAAGCGACAGCAGGGAATTGGATGACGACTTCCCTCCGTCATTTGTCAAGCGGCACAAGGACAAGAAGCGCAAGGGTAGGGCCCAGGACAACTTCAAGCCCCTCACTGAAGGAGCCCTTGCGGCTCTGAAGATGGCGGACCCGGACGACGTGCTCGAACCCACAAAATTGTCAACGATATTGGAGAACCTCAGCGAAGAGGCCTCAACGGTAGGGGCGAGAGCGAGCAGGCCGCAAATTGAGCCGGTTTTGGAACCACTCCCCGAGCATCCTACGGCGGACCAAGAGGGTGAGGTGGACAAGGCAAAGGAGGAACCTACCCTGGCCGGAGATGACTCAACTCGCGACGCGGCATTTGGGGTTTCCGTCACCGACGATTCCCCGGCTGCGAACCAGGACGCCAGAAGTCTGGACGCGCAGGAGCCTACTGCACAGGAGCAGGAGTCCGTTACGGAGGGCCCCGTTGTGCAAGAACCTGCCGAGCCCGCAGCCGAAATCGCTGCTCCAAGTGCCACAGGAGAAGAGGAGTATCTCGCGAGTTTCGCACCAGCAAAGAAGTCCAAGAAGGGCAAGAAAGGCAAAGCTGTCAAGGTTTCAGAACCGGAAACCCCTTTCGACGCTCCGATCAGTGCACCCGAGGCGCCACAAAGTGGAGATTCGGAAGAGACAACGACGACGACACGCGAGGCTGAGCCGATTAGCATTCCAACTGAACCCACTGCCAACGAGCCGGAGCAACTGCAACAGGAAGCCGAGGCCGAAGACCTTTGGGGCACAGCAGCCAAGAAGTTAAAGAAGAGCAAGAAGCGGAAGGGAAAGACGGCCGAATGGGAATCCCCAACCGAAACTCCCGCGACGCCTTCGGCAGAGACCAGTGAGCCGGCCGTCGAGGATCAAGATGAGACTTCTCGTGCAACTAAATCCGTCAAGCTGGGCGATGAACTGGCTGCAGCAACTGAGCCTCAGCAAGAGACCAGTCAGGATGAATGGGGAACGATGCCTTCTCTAGGACGCAAGAAAGACAAGAAACGGAAGGGCACCAAATTTTCCGAGCCAGAACCGCCGTCAGTGGCTGTGGCATCCGCGGCTGAGGAAGAACCTCTTACTCGCGGGGTTGAGGACGCGACCAGCCTCGACACTCCCGCGCCCGTCAGCCCAGTGGCCGAGGTAGAACCTTCTGTCGGGGAGGTTGAAGGTCCTGACGCCCTTCCGACGTCCGAGCCTGCCGACATTTTGGTTGAGCCAGACTTGGCAGTCGAACCGGAGCAACAGGAAGAGGCTCAGGCCGAAAACCTCTGGTCAATGCCCACTAAGAAACCCAAGAAGAAGCAGAAAGGCAAAAGGCAGGCCGAAGTTGACATGTCTTCTGGTGCTACTACGCCCGCGGTCCTGCCGGAAATTTCCCCCGAAGCAGCAACCGAGACAGCTCTACTACCAGAAAGCACTGACGCCGGAGCCAGTCGGAGCGCAGATGCAGAGGCAATCGCAGACGAGCCCGCCCAGCAAGAGGTACAGCCTGAGGACTCCTGGGGTATATCAACCAAGAAGCCAAAGAAGAGCAAGAAGAAGGGCAAGACACTTTCTTGGCAGCCGGAACCTGACGTCGTCACCCCGACGGAGGAGGAGGAGGCAAAGTCCGTGGAAGCTGCCCCAACCGAAGATGCCGGTCTGACTGAATCTACGGAACCAAGGGAGGTTGACATGTCAGGAGACGCCGGGACGATTCCCACGGAAGCTGACAACATTGCGACCCAAGACGAGAACCGAGACGCCGGGATCGTTGACACAACCCCAGAAAGCATTGTGATCCCAGACGAGCCTCCAAAACTTACCGCCAAGCAGCTGAAGAAGGGCAAGAAGAAGAAGGGCAAGCAGATGGACTGGAGTCTGGAACCTGATACCGTTACGCCTCAGACCCCAGAGGAAAGGGACGCCCCTGTCCCTTCGGACAAGGGTATTCCCGCGGCGGCGGAACCCGAGGAACCCGCCGCGATGGACCGAGACAGCGACCCGTCGACGAGCTCAACTCCATGGGCCGAAGACCTCCCCGCGTCCAAGCCTAAGAAGGGCAAGAAAGGCAAAAAGGATCGTAACGCAGCCAGGGTTCTCCAAAGTGAACCCGAAATCTCTCCGGATACTGCGGACGAAGTCAACGAATCCAGGGAGATTGATGCCAACGATCAACAGCTCGAAACTGAACCGGGTGTCGGAAAGGTCGAGGTCCATCCAGCCTGGTCAAGTTCCCTCCGACAGTCCCCTGTTCTACCGGCTGTCGGTCTTGGCCTCATCGCGGATCCCCCGACCCTCTATCCGCATGATGAGCCGTCGCCAAAGCTGCTGACAGCCCTTGCGAGCCCACCTCTCGAGGACATGATTCCGAGTGCATCCCTGGACGCTTCATCAGAATGGCCAGCAGATGACGATCGGGGTGTTTCTATCGTCGAGAAAGGTCCTGGAAACACCCCCCGACTGACACTCGAGGAACGAGACGAATATCAAGGAGTGAACATTGCTCCCAACGCGAAACCAGAACCTTCGTCTCGTGACTTTGCGGCTGCCTTCCTGGAGAAGGGCCAGGAGGGGATCCACGACATCAAGGAGCACCCCGAGGACTTTGTCGCGCTGCCTGCGACAGAAGTGCCTGCCGCTTCCCAGGAGGAGAAGATTCCTGATGACAAGCCCATCTCCGCAGCCCGAGAGATAGCAGCCTCGTGGTTGGAGCATGAATCATCATCGGTCAAGGCTCCCGGGGATGATGCCGGCCTTGCAAGCAAAGAAACAGTGTCCCGCGACGTGTCGCTGGTGGGCAAAGACTCTCCGCCGTCGCCGAAGAAGGGCAAGGGTAAGAAGGGCCGGAACGAGAAGGACGACTCGGTGGATATAAAGGGTGCTGCAGCGGCCGGTGCTGCGGTTGGTGGGGTGGCACTCCTGGCTCAGAAGTTTGGAGGTGCTAAGAAGAAGAAGGGAGGGAAGAAGAAGATACTTGACAAGAGAACGGCCCGGGAAGACGACATGTTTGACGACCCGTCTCTATGGGAGGGGGCGGACAGGAAGCCTATAGAGGGCTCGAGGATGGATATGAACGCGGACAACTTCTGGGACGTCCCACAGCCAGCCGAGGAGCAGCCGGAATCAAGTGGCAGCGTGGGCGAGGACGCGTTTATGGCGGATGCGGCCGAGGATGCGTTTATGGCAGATGCGACCGAGGAACGCGCGCCCCAAGAGACAACGAAGCCGACGACGACTCGAGAAGGTAGAGAAAGTCCAACGGTGGGATGGGCAGATTCCGAGCCGTCGAATAGGGCAACCGGCAGAGATATCCGACAAAAGGACTCAACATCGCCTCCGCCAGTCGAGAGAGCCTTTTCATTCCCCGAAGATATTGCGCATGAAGATTTCTCACCAACGGGCGCAGGGGCTAAATTGGACCGTGGAATGGACCTCGAGAACAGTTACGACCATTACGACCAGTACGACCATCACTCGGCCCCTCGCGCTGCGCCGCGCGTGTCGAGCATCAACGACCTCAGGCATGGATTGCCCTCTGTGCAAGAGGAACCATCAGAGGGCTCGGAACCCGAAGAGCATCGAACTAGACAGAAAGGACCGATGCGTATGGCGACAACCCCGGACACCAACCGGGACAGCGGCTTCGTGGCAGACTCCCCCAGGCTTCATCAGCGCAGCCGCCAGCAAGACGAAGAGACCCATCGCGACAGCGGTGTCCACCTGCGAGATTGGCCCGAGACGACGCCGACCGTCAAGGGAGCCCGCGTCTTCGAGACGCAACACGGCGGACGAGCGCTCTCGCCAAATCTACGGGACGAGAGGCACAGGTTCGACACTCCGAAGTCTGGGGACAGGGACAGAGACAGAGACAAGACCAGAGACAAGGCAAGCACGATGTCCCCGTTCGGCGACAAGGTCAAATATCGGGCTCCGAAGCTACACGAGCCCTCGCCGCCACCAAGGACTCCGGAGCCACAAAAGGTTGGTGCCGGGAAGCGCCCAAGGCAACACGATCTGGGATACGAACATGCACCGCCGACTACCCCGGGTTCTGGATTTGCCAGACTTGCTGCCAGTCCCGGGCAAAGAAGTGTGTCGGATGGCGGCCCACAACACCTGCGAGAATCGCCCAAACCCTTGGAAATGGGCCCTCGGCGGGTTTCCTCCAATACGGCCATCACGCGATTGCGCACGCCAGAGCATCTCAATTTGCGGCCTGACAGTCCAGGCAGCATGCGATCCTGGTCAGGCACCCCTCCATTGCGTCGGGTGGATAAGCGAGTTAGTGGCGACCTGAGGTCCGTGTCTCTCAGCCAACGCAGCCAGTCCGAGCTGGCCTCCGATTCGGCAGCCAAGGACCAGGGTCATGAAAAAGATGGCGGTGGTGGTGGTGTAGCCGCAGCGCTCGGCTTGGCCGCAGCTGCCTCAACAGCTCTCGCCATCGCCGGCTCCAGAGCTTCCCAAAACACCACTCCTGTCGCCAACGAAGGCCGTGTCCGCGCCAAGGACATGACCGACGTCTACGTGAGTCTCCCAATTCCACTAAAACTCTCTCTCCATCACGTGTTTCAATTACTAACTTGTTTCGCCTTACAGGATGGCATCGGCGAGGGCCGCATTGGCTCCCCGCGCTCACCGACTCGACCTCACAGCATGCGCCGACGCCAGAGCATGCAGGTGCTCGAGCTCGAATCCAAGGTAGACCAGCTGTTAGCAGAGAACCGCATGCTCAGCGATGCACGCAATCAATTCGAACAATCATCGAGCCATCGCGCAGTCAGCCTCGTCGCAGAACGCGATGCCGAAATCGACTCCCTCAAACAATCTCTTACCTACCTGCAACAAGAAGTCGACCGCCTGACCGAAGTCAATGAAGGCCTCAGCAGCGCGAATGCCCAAATAGCCGTGACACACACTGAGCGCTACCGCCAGCTCGAGACGCAACACGCCGACGCAGCGCGAGACCTCGAACAACTGCGCGTCGCCCACCACCACCACAGCAGGACGCTGGAAGACAAGGATGCCGAGATCGCAGACCTGCGCGCCCAGCTCGAAGCCACCAAGGAGCAGATCCGGGAGATGCAGCAGCAGATCCTGTCCGCCAATCCTGCCGGCGACTGCGAGTTCCTCAACATCCAGGACGTCGATCACTTCGACCACAGGTGCCAGCAGCTGTGCTCCCACGTGCAGCAGTGGGTGCTCCGGTTCAGCAAGTTCAGCGACATGCGCGCGTGCCGCCTCACGTCGGAGATCAACGACGAGAAGATCATCGACCGGCTCGACAACGCGGTGCTGGACGGCTCCGACGTCGACAAGTACCTCCGCGACCGGGTGCGGAGGCGCGACATCTTCATGAGCATGACGACGACCATGATCTGGGAGTTCGTCTTCACGCGGTACCTCTTCGGCATGGACCGCGAGCAGCGCCAGAAGCTCAAGTCGCTCGAGAAGGTGCTCCTCGAGGTGGGGCCGCCGCAGGCGGTGCGGCAGTGGCGCGCCATCACGCTCACGCTCCTGGCGCGCCGGCCGGCGTTCAGGCAGCAGCGCGACCAGGACACCGAGGCGGTCGTGCAGGCCGTCTTCCAGACGCTGTCGGTCATCCTGCCGCCGCCGAGCAATATGGAGGACCAGATCCAGAACCAGCTCCGGCGCGTCATGCGCGAGGCCGTCGACCTGTCGATCGAGATGCGCACCCAGCGCGCAGAGTACATGATGCTCCCGCCACTGCAGCCCGAGTACGACGACGCGGGCGACCTGGTCGAGACGGTCGCGTTCAACGCGCAACTCATGAACGAACGGTCCGGCGGCGGCCCCGACGGCGACACCACCACCACCACCACTAACGAGGAGTGGGAGGCCGCCGGGTCGACGGTGCGCGTCGTCCTGTTCCCGCTGGTCGTCAGGAAGGGCGACGACGCCGGCGTAGGCGACGACGAGGTCGTCGTCTGCCCGGCCCAGGTCCTCGTCGCCAGGCCCGCCACCCCGGGGAAGAGGGCCGCGACGGTTCGCATGGTCACGCCTAGCAGCGACGCGGGGGGCGCGAGCCTCGGCGTCGGGGGGGGCGGGGCGAGTCCGAGCCCGGTTGGGTTGGGGAGACATGCGGGCTCGAGTAGTGTTAGTATGCAGGATGGGCCGTTCTTTTGAGTTCGGTTCGCGGAGGGAGGGGGGGAGATGGAATGGATGCCGTCAAAAGAATAATCGGGTGGAGGAAAGGAAGTTTTCTGGGTTGCATGGCATGATCAGGGAGTTTAGGGGATTGTGTTGATTTATAATGTCGACTTCTATTTGTTGAGATATGTTTCTTGTCCTGTTTCTCGTGCTTCCCTTCTTCTGGGTTGCTTCTCGGTTTTTTCTTCTCTTTTCTTCCTGAACCTGTTCCTCTACTCCTGTATACCTGGGCTCGGGTTCTGGCTAGACAGGTCATATAATTGGTAACGAACGAATAATGAATATCCTTGTCTATTACACCGTTTTTTTAGCATCTTCGATGTGTGTTAGTACGTGCCTTTGGTTCTTGAATCTCACTTTATCCAACCCGGAATGTATGCCCGTACCATGGTAGCTTGGGCAGAGGGCACTATTGTGTCTACCTCCGCTCTCGGCCTAGGCGTGGACTTCAGGAGCGTCCTGCGAGTAGCCATGTTCGGGCCTTTGGATGCTGTGGAATCATCACGGCCGGCAAAGTTTTATAGAAACAGAAACTGGAGTACGGCTTCGGCGTGGGCTACTGCCCATACAGATGAGATGACAAATATTATTTCAATCTAGCTATCTCTATTCGTATGGAGAAATCCACCCATGCAAGCCCATTTCTCGCCCGCTTTGCCCAAGAAACACCGTTTCTCAATATGCTTTATGCGTGCTCAGCCCCCACTGGGACGAGTCTGCCTCCCCCGAAAGTAATGCCGTGTGCGTGAAACAATGCATACATACATGACATCTTAAGCAGCCGCGAAGGTCGAGTTCAGGGTGCCGAACTTGATGTTGGAGTAGATGACCGAGGCGTCGGGGTGGGCGGCCTCGACGGTCTCCGGGTCGCCGGCCGCGGGGTCGCAGCGGCCGCGGAGGACGCCGGGCTCGGACGAGTCGGCCTCGGGGGGGAAGCTGCTGTCGAGCCAGTTCATGGACACGGCGTGGTCGTCCCACACGCTGAGGACGAGGACCATCTTCTGGAGCGCCTTGCCCATGGCCGCCATGCCGCCGAGGGTGCCGTAGTAGTTGTTGTCGCCAAAGGCGGCCTTCTGCTGCTCGCAGAAGCTGTCGTCGATGTAGTTGACGGGGTCGATGCTGTCGATCTGGACTGTTGAAGGGGGAGGCGGAGTTAGTTTTTAGAGCATGGGCACGTGCGCGGCACCCGCGCGGAGTTCGCCATGAAGACGGTGGGGGGGGGGACTGGACTTACCGGCCGAGTTGGGGATGACATTGCCATCCTGAACGTAGATGCGGTTGATCTGCTTGAGGTTGCCGGTATCAGTGCCGTCGTCGGTGATGAACTGAGTGACGATGGTGAACGGCTTCGTGGTGTCGACGGTCTTGCTCGTGCCGTAGAACTCCTGGTTGCCCATGCGGAAGCTGTTGATGTCGCAGCCGTCTGTTCGGGGCGTCAGTCTCAAGCAGATCAAACTAGGAGCAGACAAAACAGGGAAGGAGTAGAGGACGGTTCACATACCCTTGTCGCACATGCCCGAGTAACGGTCGTCGCCGTTACCACAGTCGGCACCCTCACACCGGACCTGGCCGGCTTGTTTGCAAACATGAGGAGTATAGGCCGTGGAATCAAGGTTCCCCTCAAAGATATCCATCTCTGAACAACAAGATCCATAAGAGCCGGAGCCGGAGTTCTGGTCGTTGTCAGAGCCGTTCCAGCCCTCGACATTGGCCTTTGAGGGGGGGCGCGTTGGTCAGCGAGGGGGGTCCAAGGCACACCGGGGTTGGGGAATGTCGCATACCTCTCCGTTGATGAACTTAATATCAACTGGGCACTGGCTGTCGCAGTAGCCGGTGCCGTATTTGGCACCAGCCTGGTTGGTCTCGTACTTGGACATGCCGCCATCCTCGTCCATATCGGAGAAGTAGACAGCGCCGTTGAGGCCGCAGGGCAGATTGCTGACGTCGACATCGAAGGTGAACTCCTTGTTCAACAGGTTGAACATCCTGTACTTGTCCTCGCTGGCCATGAGGTAGACACGGGAGCCGACGTTGGCGCCATTGTCGTTCTTGGTCACGAACTTCAGCTGCAGGGAACCCTCGGAAGGAGTGGAGATGCCGTATGTCGCCTCGTAATCGGCGCCATCGATGGCACAGTTGGTGGCGCACGTCTTGCCGTCAGGGCAAGTTGTCGCGTTCCACTCGTTGCCGTCGTAGCAGTTGGTGTACCCATCGACAACATGGGTCCAACGCCAGTTTGACTGTGGTCGGTGTCAGAAGGCTAGAACAGCCGAATCCAGGGGCTTGGGTGATGCTCACGTCCAGGACAACCGTGGTCTGCTCCGTGGTGCAACCACTGTCCGTGCAGACCTGAATGGGCAAGTCAGGGTGCTTCTCTTCGGTCACATCTCCGGCCTGCTGGCCGAGCACAAGGCTGGCGAAAGAGAGTGCGGCAACTGCTCGATACATTGTGAGATCTGGAGATGGGAACAGGTGCTTCCTAGAACAGAGGAGTGTTTGTTGAGAGGGATGCTGTGAGAGTGATCAGAACAGAGGCGCAACTCTGTGTCCCTCTTTATACTCGCATGCCTGCCCTCGGCGACGAAGGCTCTCTCCCACGAACTTCGCGCAATATGGCACGGAGCCCATTGGAATCCCCAATGGGTGACGATCGAAAAGGCGATCGCCCGAGATTACGGAACACTTGGCCGCACCGTCCGTATTCAGAGAAGCCGCCGTTCAGGGACTGCGCCCCTACCGCCATAGGCACGGCATGACAGGCTCGAGCAGTGGCGTGGTCACTTGCCAGAGTTTCTCTACCGCCTCTACGCCCAGGAAATGCGCCCATCCCGTGATGCGAGGCTCCGCGAGAGAAGCGCCGAGGACATGGTTGAAGGTAGCCTCACATGCTGATCCGTCCCCACAAATGTCAGATATAGAGTCCTGAGGGATTAAAACCATAAGATCTGCAATTACTAGCCCGCCCATTGGTAAAGCGAATCCGGGAAGCATTGCGGTTCGAATTGGTTTGCAATATAGGCAAATTGCTTCCCTCGGAGTGCTCCCGAGAGGGCCCAGAAAGACGTCTAAATGATGCACATTACCACCCAAAAGGACGGACTCCAGGGCCGAGGTCATCAACTACACCATGGGTTTGTCATCTCGTATGGACGCTTTGGGTAGCCCGAGGCTAAATTATTTCTTGAGAACGCGGTCCAGGACTCTGGTTCTCATCTCAAATGTCCAGCGCCGGTAGGTTCGAACGGGAGGCCTGCTGTATTCCCGGGAGTAAATCTATCATGCCCTGGATCTGAGCATTTACCTAGACTGGGAACAACAAAGTTGGCTAGATGTGTGCATGCGAGAGGCTCAATCCCAAAGGGTGTAGCCGGTGCCAGTATGGAATCAGCAGCAATAGCTGTAGCTTGCCGTCCTTGGCAATCTATCGCTGATGTGGGAAGAAAAAGCTTAAACCCTCCCTCGTAATATCGTACCTATCTATATGAAAGAACTCTGGCAAACTGGTGGTCAAAGCTGGAGGAAGTTGGTAATCGATGAATTTGGTCAGGGTAAGTTTCGTAAATTCGTATAAATCTTACTAGATTTTTAGTGGCACCTTTTTTCCACCAAGCAAGCAGTTTCATCTTAATTACGCAGATTCATACATTCCCAACCGCACATCCAAGAGCAAGGGGGCAAAAACACACATAATGGATCCCCCCCACATCACCGCCTGGGCCGCCAAGTCGCTCGCGGGCGAGCCCGTCTCCGTAGTCCGGGTCCGGAATCTCCAGGCGGTCATCTCGGCGGGCCACGACGCCTGGGGCCGGTCGGGCAAGGCGCAGCCCCTGCTGGTGTCGGCGGAGCTGTCATTTCGGCGGCCGTTCGCCCGGGCCTCGGCCGAGGACCGCGTCGCCGCTGACACGGTCCACTACGGCACCCTGAGCAAGGCCATCCTGCGGGGCCTCGAGCCCTTCGGCGGGCCTGCGCCGGAGAAGCCCCTGGCCAGTCTGAGGGCTGTCCTGGATGGCGTGTGGCACTGCTTGACGGGGCAGGATGTCCAGGGTGAGAGTCGGGGGAAGGGCGGAGAAGGAGAGGACGCGAAGGCCTTTCTGGACCTCTCGATGCTGCGGTTTATGTCCCTCACGCTCACGCTCCCGAAGGCGTCGCTGCTCGGCCAGGGTGTGAGTCTGACCGCCAGCTCAGTGTTCGGTTTGCAGGGAGCCGTCCCATTTGTGGAGGGATATGCGACAACTCTACGGCTGCATGGCCTCCGCGTGCCGACGCTGGTTGGAGTCAACTCGAACGAGAGGAATGCCAAGCAAGTCGTCGTGGCCGACATCGAGCTGGATAAAGTTTGCCCGTACGGCGACGTCTACACGGCCATTGAAGATTTGGCCGTCAAGGTGGGCTTTATTATCTCAGGCCAGGAAACATTCTCTAATCGGGCCTTTAGACGATGGAGGAGTCGTCTTTTGAGACGCTGGAAGCACTGGGTTCGCGGCTGGCCAGCAAGATACTGGGCAGCTTCCGACCTTTAACGCAGAACGATCATTTTGAGGCGCCGCTTGATTGGCAAGTCAGGATTAGCCTGGAGAAACCCACGGCAGTTCCTTTTGCAGATTGTCCGGCCGTTGAGATTGTGGTACGCGAAAACGACTGAGGCATCAATCAACTCTAGATTGAGGCCATTGGATTTTTGGAAGACATTCGGCCCGCTCTACTGCTGCTTGTATTGAACTCTAGTCTATTGTTTATGAGGATTCATGGATCTGTGACAGAGGCCTGCGACATTGGTCTAGCACGGCGGCGGTAGCGGCGGCACCGTCTGTCTACGTTGAGTATCTTAGATGGGGGTAAAGGGCGAGTTCGCAGTAGGTCAGCTTGCTGCTCTCGTGCTTTCTGACATTGGAATGTCCCCATTCGTAATCTCCTTTACGAACCCAGTGTCGGGGTTAGATTCAGGGTAGAAAAGCATTACATGGAAATGCTCGATGGCGCGGACGGATTGGAGAGACGCCCAATTCTTGAACCAGATTACCTGCTCCAAGTCAGCAATCACCACCTCGGGTGCATAAGTTAACGTCTGAACTAACCCGGTCCCGTGGCATCCTCGAACAGAATGTCTTCTGAACGTAGGCATCGATCTCGGCCCTCGCCGCTGCCGTCAAGTCTCCGGTCTCGGGGTTCTCCTTCAGCGCAAACTTGGTCCAGACGACCAGGTGGACGATCCTCTTATCGATGCCGTAGGGCCAGTCATTGCACAAGATCTTCAGGTCATCGTCGAACTCAAATGGCTTTCCCCTGGCCACAATCGGCACTTCCCATTGCAGCCTCTGCCTGAGTATGAAGTTCGGGATGCTTCCGTACTCCTGCTTGAGCTTCCAGATGTATGCCAGATAGCGGCGGAGCTCGGAGGGAACTCGCTGAAACAAGTCGAGCCGGTTTCCGGCCACCGTCCTTTGCACTTCAGGCCAAGTCTGAACGTGATATTGCTCATCGGGAGTGCTAATGATACCACGGTCCTTGTCCGTGATGGAGACGAGAAAATCCGGACATTCGTCCGTTCTCTCGGCCTCAGGGACGTTGACATGCCAGTAAGGCATCGATTCCGCCTTGCTACCCATCGCGCCCAAAGTTGCGAGGCTGGCTGGGCGACTGACAATTGTCTCTCCCCTCGCCACTGGAAGAATGGTATTTGCTCCGTTGAGGGGTTTCACGGAGTGTCCGATCCCTCCCGGCCCGACAGTCCGCACTACGAACAAAGGATGGGTCGCGGCAGGATGCAGTCAGGCAGTGTGTAGAATCTCGATAGGGACCGAGATAGGATAAACTACGGGAAATACTACATACAATACGAGAGAGGAATGGGATAATTAGGCAGGGGTTCGGATAGCTACTGCATAGTGCATAGATAGGCATAAGCGCCACCCAGAAGCGCCCAGCCTGATGGGTCATTTTCAGCTCAGATGCATCAGTTTCAGGGGTAATTCCTAACGGCTTGGTGGGTGAACCTCGCTGAGACTCAGAGAGAGTCGGCCAGCCACATTGACTAGTCTGCACAAATCCAGGCTGCAAGACGGTTGACAGGTAATATTAGGTAGGTAGGTAGTTGGGTATCCCTGCAACGCCCAGTTTGAAGGCCCTATTTCCTGTGGTTTAATCCGTGTGCCAACTCCATCGGCCACGATCCAGACCATTTGTCGTGATGCGAGATGAGTTATTTACAGCCCCCTCTATATTAGTGCCCAGACGAGAGAGCAAAAAAGTCCCTCTCCTTCCATTTTTATTAGCGCTCTACCCTTCAGCGTTGGGAAATAACGGGGAAAATCGAAAGGAAGCTGCAAGCCACAGGAATAACCAGTGTGGCGATAACTGAGTTTTCACTTCGGCAGAACAGCTGCTGCTGGTGTACCGCAGTACGGAAAAATAAGGGAGTCAATGTCGTTGGCAGGTTCCATATGAGCCAAGCTGTTCGTTACTTGTTGCACACTTCTTACGTTGTAGGCCTCTTGGCCGACAGTTTCCACAGGCAAGGCAGAGTGTTGAGATTCGCGATCAGGAAAGCGATGAATATTAGGTGGGGCCAAAAGGTAACGGCCAAGAGCTTACACCAAGGAATAGTAACTTGGTTAAGCTGCCCCCCCCCTGTTCTTGTGACGCCACGCTGCTCAAGCTGACGCTCCAATTGCTCCACTTGAGCAGTCTTGCCTTCCAGATTCCCTACCCCTGTTCCTCAAAGGTACCCTGGGGGGACTAGTAACTTGGGCAATTAACATGGAATTGCCATTCCAGAGCTCTCATCATAAACAACCGTCAAGCAATGATAAAAGCATTTCAGTTCTTCCACTTTCCTCTTCCATCCAACTTTCGTGACCTCGTCATCCTCGGCCCACTCCTCGCTTTTTGGCTCGTCTCACAGCAAGCTTGTGAGAAATCTCTGTTCCACAGTGTGTGAGTACTCAGGACTTGCTGATCCAAGTCGAAGTTCCGTTGCCCCTCATTGCCATAACCAGAACTAGAGCCCAAGGAATCCTGAGCTTCCAGACCCTTCACTCGAGAAGCCCTGCATTACGTCAATCCGGCTAATAGACCTCCCATAGTAAAAATACGATCAATATCTTCCCAGATCCCCTTCGAGCTCGAACTTCCCCACCTTTGTCATCATCGACAACGTGCTTTCCAACCTCCGTCATACCTGCAACCCCTAACTACCGTCTCCACGACTCGAAAAGCATATCGGAGCCCCGACTCTGAGATACAAGACGCTGGGACGACAGAAGAGACATCATGGCATCAGCAGTGAAGAGTGTCCTGCCGACACACCTGAAGCCGAACAACGGCGATTCCGACGAGGTCTTCGCGAAGAAACACCATGGCAAGACACGGTCTCACATGGTAAGTTATTAGGACCACCATCCACAATCACCTCTTGCCGCCCTCCCCATACATTCACCTCCGCCTCTAGCAGAACCCAGCCCTTGTGGGGTGTGTGAGCACGTATACATATGTATGCAACGAGCCAATTGGTCGCTTATTCCTGCCTCGGCTGGCGCCTGCTGTGTGTGTGCCGTGTAACAAAGGGTCTAGTGATCCGGAGCTGCTGGCTGTCACAGCCTCCCTTTGCACCCCCGCATACAGGAAGGTTGTAGCTGGTGCGCTGGCATGACATCGTCTTCTCTCCTCAGCTTGTGCTGCTTGTTCTGTTTGCTGCCTTCTGTCTTCCGTTCGGTAGATGTTGTCTTCCAGCATTTTCCTGAAGGCTAGAGGTTTCTCGGCCATCTTTAAATACGGCTGCGAGGATCAAATGCCTGTCTGTCTCCTAAATGGGCCTCTCACCCAAGGTCCCCTTTTCAACGCTCCCCTTGCAAGGAGCACCGAGTACGGAAAAAATGATGGCGTCGAGGACGAGTTCGCAAGTGCCATCATCGCAAACGGTTCTTTTGCCGTCTCGGTTCCTCATAGCACCTATCTGACTGACCTGCTACTTTCTAGGCTTTCGAGAACACCTCGACCAACATTGCTGCGGCCCAGATGCGCAATAACCTCACCAATCTCGCCGAGACAGTCAAGGATGCGGACCAGAAGAAGGCGAGTCGCGGATGAGCAAGATGGGTTTGGAGAGGGAACTAACGCTTAGTCGTCGCAGCTGTTCGAGACTGAGATGGACAATTTCTTCGCACTCTTTCGGCGATATCTGAATAATAAGGCCAAGGGAAACGAAGTGTATGTGCCCCGGAGGCGCTTGCGAGTAATCCGAGGACAACCTGGTTCTAACCGTGTGATGACAGGAATTGGGATCGCATTGCCCCCCCAGCTCAAGGCCAGGTAGTTGACTATGAGGACCTGGCAAACTCGGAATCTGTGGGCTTCCTCAACAAGCTCGCCGTGCTCAAGCTCAACGGTGGCTTGGGTACCTCTATGGGCTGTGTCGGTCCCAAGTCAGTTATCGAAGTCCGTGATGGCATGTCTTTCTTGGACCTCTCAGTCCGCCAGGTTGAGTTCCTCAACCGGACATACGGATCCAACGTTCCCATCGTCCTTATGAACTCATTCAACACGGACGATGATACCGCTGCCATCATCAAGAAGTACGAGGGCCATAACGTGGACATCCTCACCTTCAACCAATCCAGATACCCCAGAATATTCAAGGACTCGCTCCTCCCCGTTCCCAAGTCCTTCGACTCGGACCTGAAGGACTGGTACCCTCCCGGCCACGGCGACGTTTTCGAGTCTCTCTACAACTCGGGCACCCTCGACAAGCTGATTGAGCGCGGCATCGAGGTCGTGTTCCTCTCCAACGCCGACAATCTCGGCGCCGTGGTTGATCTGCGCATCCTCCAGCACATGGTCGAGACCGGCTCCGAGTACATCATGGAGCTCACCAACAAGACTAAGGCTGACGTCAAGGGCGGTACCATTATCGACTACGAGGGCAGCGTCCGACTGCTTGAAATCGCACAGGTTCCCAAGGAGCACGTCAACGAGTTCAAGTCTATCAAGAAGTTCAAGTACTTCAACACCAACAATATCTGGCTGAACCTCAAGGCTGTCAAGCGCGTGGTGGAGAACGACGAGCTTGAGATGGAGATCATCCCCAACGGCAAGACCATACCTGGCGACAAGAAGGGCGAGAGCGACATCTCCATCATCCAGCTCGAGACCGCCGTCGGTGCCGCCATCCGCCATTTCAAGAACGCACACGGCGTCAACGTGCCGCGCCGCCGTTTCTTGCCCGTCAAGACCTGCTCCGATTTGATGCTCGTCAAGTCGGACCTCTACACGCTCAAGCACGGCCAGCTGCAAATGAGCTCCAGCCGCTTCGGCGACGCCCCGCTCATCAAGCTGGGAACCGACTTCAAGAAGGTCTCCGACTTCCAGAAGCGGATCCCGAGCATCCCCAAGATCATCGAGTTGGACCACCTCACCATCACCGGTGCCGTCAACCTCGGCCGTGGTGTCACGCTCAAAGGGACCGTCATCATCGTCGCCACCGAAGGCCAAACCATCGATATCCCGCCAGGCTCCATCCTTGAGAACGTCGTCGTCCAGGGAAGCTTGCGTCTACTAGAGCACTAGACGACAACTCCCTATTTTCTTTTTTTTTGGTCTTGTTGCTGGGCATCAGGTCTCCCGGGCTGCGAACGCGTCCTTCTTTAAGGCGCCTGGCCTGCAGAGACGACGAAGACTCATGTCTGTTTATCCTTCTGTTTAAGTTTAATCTGATTGTAGGAGGTTAGCAGAGTGGATGAGGTCGGTTGCTAGGTGATGGGTATTGCCCGCTAGCTAGAAGCCTCATCATAGGTGCATTAATCAGGTGTGCGCGGCCATAGACATGCGCGGAATAGGAATTATTGAACATGGAGTTGATCTCGCTGGCGAACATGCCCTCCGATGATGAAGCTGCTATCCCCTGCCAGCTCATGGCTTGGTAGATCGTTGTCGCAAAGACGCGAAAGACGAACAAACACAGATACACACAAGACACACATCCCTACGAGGAAGGCGATGTATCGAATGCGGTTTGGGCTTGACTGCGAAGGTATTCAACCATGTGACCTCGTTGGAATTATTCATGTAGGTTGTGTTAGCTACCTAGACAGCAAAACCCTACAACGCCTCCCCGCCTGCTTTACCCCTTTATCTCAATCGAAATAGCCAAACTAGAGCGACCAGCCATGGTTGGTCCCCGTAGAAAGAAAAAAAAAAGCCCTGTCAGCTCAGGACGCCAGTCCAACGCCCCTCCCATGATCCCCAAACACATGACACAAACAACCCGGGGCCACCTCCATTTCACTTCCCCCTCTTCTTCATATTCTCCGTGCAGACCGGACAGAACCACTTGCCGTTGGGCTCGCTCTTGAGACCCACGCAGCTCCAGTGGAACCACTCGTAGGGGCAGGCGTCGTTGTCGCAGGCAACCATGTCGCCGAAGCTGACGTTCTGGCAGATGCAGTACTTCTTATCGTCGCCCGCCTCATCGTCGTCGACGTCCATGGCATCCTCGTCGTCGCCCGCCCCAGGTCCCCCTACCCTCACGCCCTTAGCGCTGCCCTCCCGATCCCGCTGGCTACTTCCCTGCGCCTGGCTGCCCGCCCGGCCGCCGCCGCCGCCGCCGCCTGGACCTTCCCTCTCGCGGCTACCTTCCTTGTTGTTGTTGTTGTTGTTGTTGTTGTTGTTGTTGTTGGCGCCCTTGTCCGGCCCGCTGGGGCCCGGCCGCGCCGCAGGGGTGCCCCTCCCGCCCGTCGGCACGTCCGAGTCGTCGTCGCTGATGCTCTCGGCGCCCGAGAGCTCGCTCTCGGCCGTCGACGACGGGCTGTTCTTGGAGCCCACCCGCTTCACGCGGGACAGGCCCGATTTGTTGGCGCCCGCGGCGCCGCCGCCCGCCGCTGGTGTCCCTTTCTTGCGGCCGGCCGTGCTCGAGGGGGTGCCGGACTTGCGGCCGACGCCGGCGCCGGTTCCCTTGGTCGTGGCTCTCGGCCCGGCGCTGCCCGCCCGCTGGACCCCGGCCGCGGTGTGCGACTTCGGGGTCCCCGGTCCCAGAGAGGAGTGCCGCGCCAGTCCGCTGGACAGCGCCGGGGCGTTGCCGAGGCCGACGCTGGAGCGGGGGCCCCTCTTAGGGGCACCGCTCCCTGGGCCGGCCGAACTCTCCCTTGCCTGGCGGTTCAGGATTATACTCGCGGCGGGCGTCGCGGGCGCGGATGCCGAGCCCTGCTGGTGAGATATTGTACTTCTAATCTGAGGGTTGGAGGCTCGGATTGAGGATTGGGAGGCGTTGTTGAGGATAGGGTTGAGGGCGGTCGTGCCCGAGGCCAAACTGGCGGACGGGTTTACGGACCGTATCGACGGGGCGGAATGGTTGGCGGCGCTCGGCCGGAGGAGAGAGGGGATCTCGTCGGGATCGGTAAAGCCGGGCTCATTCCGGTCGTAGAGAGCCTTGATCTGGATGTCGAGGTTGCGGATGTGCTTGTCCACTATGAGTTGCAGCCTCTGTGTCAGCGCGATCTTGTCGTTCGCGAGCTGGTCGGCGCGGGAGAAGTTCTCGCGAATGGTCTGGCGGTAGCCTTCCTCGCGCGGGTTAGGCTCGTGGCTGCCGTTCGCCTTGATCCACTTTTGTATGCGCGCGTCCCTCTCCTCAATCAACTTGATGCACTCATTGTACTGACGGTCCTTGTCAGCGATCTCCTCTTGGACGAAGCGGATCTCCTCGGGCAGGTTCTGCACCCGGTTGATCCACTCGTCAAGAACCAGCGCCGGGTCGAGGACCTCGGGTGGCGGCATCCTCCTGACGAAGTCGATGGATAGATCGTCTCTAGGCATGGTTGTTAACAAAGACGTGCCGAGCCGCGAATGGCATGTATCGCGATAGGCAGACAGAAACACCCCTAGTATTGGCGGGTACTATTTCCGGTGTCTAAAATATATTGGTCCCTAAACCGCCGGGCCTTAACCGACGCCTGCCTCCTGCTAAACGCAGAACGATTTGAAAAAAAAAAAAAAAAAAAAAAAAAAAAAAAGGTGTAGCACAGGAGGGGCCGGCTTGATAATGAACGCGAAAACGATGTGAATATGATGATGTGCCTCGGGATTCGGACAAAGTGTCTGATAGCTGGGGACACTGATAAATTCGAGTGGCTCACCTCACGGATTTGATGCCGCCGAAGAGAGAATCCAACAAGAGCAATCACCAGGAACTTGCAGGCGCAGAGGTAGGATCAATGCTCTTAGTCCGGCAAAACCCGAGACTTCCTCGAGTTCAACGGGGGGGCTTGTGGGGAGGGGAACGAGATGATGGCATCTCGCCGACTTGGTGTTGAAAAGTGGGAGGAAAAGTTCAGCCTCCCATTAAACTCACCAATTAGACCTATTTGGCCCTTGCCTGCCATCAAGCCGCTAGACTGCATCTAGTATCGTCCCTCGGCCCAGCCCTGTCTCGAAGTGGCACACCCAAAAGCAACTAAGCTATAAGAAGCTTAGTCTCGTGCCTCCATGCTCAGCAGATCCGTGCAGGGTTCTCATTGCCACAGCAGTTGGTGATTGCTCATTCGTCCAAAGTCAATCCCGAATTACTTGGTGTGCATCTTCAACTTTCTGCCTTTCCCTCTCATCTGAACGGAATCCGAGTCGCGTTATGTGAAGGCTCCTTCGTCTTCTTCCTGCAGATTACCCGACACTAGTCTCGGTCCTTCCAGGCTCTCCAACTGGGGGTCTCCATACCATACGATGTCCATGGACTCGTTCAGATACAAGCCACCAAAGCCGAACTACCTCCCGCACAATGTGGATGTCGATGAGCCCATCGTGGAGGACTTCTATAAGCCTCTGGGAAGCGTTACCGACCTTGAAAATGCCACTTACTTTAACAAGATCAAGCGCGCGGCCCAGACCTACAACATCACCAGGCCCAAGGGCTACAATGTCTCGTTTCACACCAACCCCGAGATGGAGAAGCATCACTTCGGCCAGACACACCCTATGAAGCCCTGGCGCCTGACGTTGACCAAGAGCCTTGTCACGTCGTACGGAATGTCCTTCGCTATGGACAACTACGTCGCCAGGGCTGCGACGTATGAGGAGTTAAATATGTTCCACTCCAATGATTACCTCGACTATTTGGGGACTGCTCCAGCCGAAGATACACCGCGAGATGTCGACACCGACAAGGAGGTTAAGTACAACCTGGGAGGTAGCGATTGCCCGCTGTTTTATGGCCTTTATGATTACTGCTCGATGTCTGCCGGCGGCTCCCTTGACGCGGCCCGGAAGATCTGCGCGAAGCAATCCGACATCGCCGTCTCATGGGGTGGAGGTCTGCATCACGCCAAGAGATCCGAGGCGTCAGGATTCTGCTATATCAACGATATCGTTCTCGCCATCCTGCAGCTCCTACGGTGCTTTCCACGGGTCCTCTACATCGACATCGATGTCCACCACGGTGATGGTGTCGAGGAGGCCTTCTTCTCTACCGACCGAGTCATGACCGTCTCCTTCCACAAGTACCAGCCCGAAGTTTTCTTCCCCGGGACCGGCGGGCTTGAAGACAACGGGCCCAAGAGCGAGCACAACCCCGGCGCCCACCACGCCATCAATGTGCCGCTAAACGACGGTATCACCGACGAGCAGTACGAGTGGCTGTTCCAGAGCATCATCGGGCAGGTGAACGAGCGGTTCCGGCCGAGCGCCATCGCACTGCAATGCGGCGCCGACTCGCTGGCGGGCGACCGTCTTGGTCGGTTCAACCTGCAGGTCCAAGGCCACGCGGCGTGCGTGAATTTCTGCAAGAAGCTCGGCATCCCCATGATTATCTTCGGCGGCGGCGGCTACACGCCGCGCAACGTGGCCCGGGCCTGGGCCTTCGAGACGGCCATCGCCATCGACTGCCAGGACAAGATCGACCCCGTCATCCCGATGCACACGCCCTGGCGCGACCACTTCCACCACGAAACGCTGTTTCCGACGCTGGAGCAGATCCTGGGCGAGCCGAGAGCGAATAAGAACACCCAGAAGCGCCTGCAGGACATGGTCCAGCACGTCACCGAGCAGCTGCGCTTTGTCAACTTTGCACCGAGTGTCCAGTACAAGACCATCCCGCCAGATCTTGGCGGGATCAGGGACGATGTCGAGGCCAGGTTGAAAGAGGAAAGCGAGGAGAAGAACGACAGGCTGAGGAGGACGAGAGAGGAAGGCGTCGGGATTGCGATGGAGTTATAGGCACCACTCACTCAGGTCCATGCTGCAGAACCTAAGGGAAGGGAGGGATGAGGTCTGGAAGGGATATGTTCCGTGTCAGGGCGTCTATCGGGGTCATCAGGTCTGATACCAATTGCCAGTTAGTGAGGGTATTGCGCGATGGCCGGCTCTTGGAGTTTGGTTGGGCTGTTGGGACTCATGGCAATCCTTGTGTTGCATTTTCCTTTAATTTCTTTGGCATTACGTCATTACGTCTTAACAAATACGCGCCGGTTGGTGGTGATGGATTGGATGGAGATATCGTGCGAAGAAGAGGTACCTAGCCTTGCTAGCTAAAAATGGGACATGACGTTTAAGTTGTGCTCTCACATATAAGGTACATACATGCATATCTAATGTAGGGCCACACTATGACTTCCATGCCTGTGGTCGTGTGGATTGCATTGCAGACTACATCGATTACGTCTCCTCTTTTTCTCTTTCTCTCGATGCTGTTGGTGCCATCAACCTCGACTGAGGCAGCTGACGGGTAGTCCCATTTCCTTCCGTCCCAAGGAGGTGTGGCGGGCCCGCTCAGGTGGTGGTTGCACCAAATCTCTCTCCTGTCAATTCTCTGCCCCCTTCTTTCCCATTTCATTCGCCGAATCATGATAAATGTCGCCCCCTATCCATCCCATTGATTCGAAGCCTAGGTACCTACTCATGATCCAGTCTGCACTATTAACATTACGCTACCTACCTAGGTGGTAGTAGATGCCGGACGGGTGGCCTCACTGCTGCGGCCTCCTGCGGCCCTCTTCGGCAGCCATTTCTGTGGGTCGCATAGAACTTTTAGTGAGGTACCTATCGTCCAGCTTTTGGGCCTACGTCTACGTGTAAGGTGATCCGACTCTTGGTCCAAAAATAACCTAACCACCCATACCAACTGTCAAAGCTCAAGCTTGCCCCACGATCCAAGCATCCAGGCAGCCAGGATGTGCGGTCGAGGGCCAAGGGGTGGGGCTGATTTTACTGAGGTGTTCCTTGCTCCATCAAATGGTGGAAACGCGAAAGTGGTTGATTTCCTTTTCCCCTATCGAAGACCCTGCGCATTCGTCGGCGCGTGGCTCTTTGCAGAACCTGTTCGGTCCATTGGGCGCTTGGAGAGCACAGCCTGGCCGCTTTCGTGCCATCTGCTGCTCCCAGACCCCTAAGCGCCCAGAGATCGAGGCCAATCACAGCCGCTTCCTGCACGCCGCTATGCACGTCTGGGCGGGAAAGCAAGGCCCCATGTGGCGCCTGCTAAGGTTCCTTTTCTGCTGCTCGTGCCAGACGGGGCACTTCTCTCGTCTTTGGAGCTGCAAGGCCAGCCTCGCTTGGGCGCATATCTCGCTGCTGCTCTCGACCTGACTTCCTTCCCTACCTCGAATGGTATACTTTCCATCGTCTCCCAGTGTTTCATCTTGCGGTACCGCCTTCGATCTTTGACTGTCCAACTGCCTTTCTCTCTTCCCCTAGTATCTTTCCCCCTCATCCTGTGGGCTGAAATCGAGATCGAGTTCCCCGCGGCCCGTTGTGCGACCCCAGGCAAATATCCTTTGGGACCTCCGAAACCCCATCGCAAGTGACAAGTACCTCTTCAGATAGTCATCGCCAACGAGAGGCTCCTATAAATAACTTATCTGCTGTGCGTCATCCCGCGTGCGTCTGCTGACGGGCTGTCGATCGGGTGCCCTTCCCTCGGACAAGATGGCGACAAGGTCTCGAGACGTCCCGGACGAGGAGCTCTTCATGAGCAGGCCCGTCGAAGATTGCGACAGTCCAACTGTCGAGCCCCTGAGGATATTCAAGCCTCAAAGTCCAAAACTTGCCGACCGTTTCAAGTACCCCGCCCCGCCGACCTTCTCGTCGCCCGCGTCCTCTTCCAAGCCTACTACATTCCCACTTCCGCCCGGAGCATCAAGCTCTGCGGCCCCGCTGCCGTACCCAGACGACGAGGACCACCGGATAACCCAGCCATCCAAGTCGAGCAGACCTCCATACGCGGACGACGGCCGCAAGTCTTCCGGTTCCGGCCGGACTTACACCCCGCCCGCTATTCCTGGAGGGTCGCAGCCGCAAAGCTATAATGATACCTCTCCTCGACTGAGCATGAGTCCCATCGAGAAGAAGGGCACTGGCCTGGCAGAGAGACGTGGCACGGCGCCAATGCCCCTGCAAAGCCCCACGAGCCCCACCGACGATAAGGATGAGCTGTTCGCGAAGCCGTTGGCGCAACCCAAGCCCGCAGTTTCCGCAGCGAAGATCTCGACGGCATATCAGAACAAGCCTTACTACCCACCACCCGGTGGTACATCATCAGGCTCCAGTAGTCTCCTGCTGCCGGGCGAGAGCGCAGCCGGCGTAAACCGGTTCTCCTCCACTGCATCCACCTCGACAACACGTGCTAGCCGTGGATCACCTCCTCCCCCAGAGACTCCCATTGAACCCGGTAGCTTGCCAGGGGAAGGCATCGAGGCACGGTATGCGGCCGCCGGCATCTCGGGCACAGCGACGCTGAACAGCTTCCAGGCTCAGAGTGCCGCTGCTCAGTCTCGCCTGGCGCAGTACGGTGGCCAACCTCGGCCAGCCCAGCCCGCCCGGCCTTGGACCCCTACCGAGACCCCGGACCAGCAGCCTCATGGCCCGCCCACTGTCTACCAAGGATCGGAACCCGTCAGCAGCCTACCGCTCCAGCAGCCAACCTTGAACCTCGCACCGCCCAACTCCAGCTCGGGCACCACCGCTCCTCCCGGGTCAAGCCTCCAGGTGAGCGTCCTGGAGCAGGACTTCCAGCGGATGCAAGCATCTACTCCTCCGCCTGCCTATACCAGTGTCAACCCCAGTGCCAATTCTCACCCGTATCCCAACGAAAAGCAACGACCGGCCCAGGCCAGTTCAAGCTCCGCTCCGGCCCCGCAAGCTACCCCTGCTACGGCCGCCGCAGCATCTGCGTCCAACACGGCGACCGCTACATCTGCTGCATCTGCCACGTCTGCTGCGGCAGCAGCAGCAACAAAGACTGATCCTGCGGCAGCCGGCCTTGCGTCCCCTGCGCTGCAGCACCCTGGGCACCCGGCGTTTGCAAACGACCCCAGACCAGAGTCTCTTCAGAACGGCCAGGCTGGGCTTTATCACACTCCATCCGCCGCCCAGGCAGCCGCCGGGCTAGCATCGCCCCCTCCGCTCCCCGAGGGCTGGATCGCCCATCTCGATCAGAATTCTGGGCAGTATTACTACATCCATCTCGCCAGCCAAGCTACTCAGTGGGAGTTCCCCAAGGGACCAAACCCGATCCACCACGAGACGGCACCTCTCTCGCCGACCGCGTCCACGTACGGCAACCCTCTCGGGTCGCCTTTCCTGGGCGGGAAAGCTTCACTCGCCTCCCCCGGTCTCTACCCCCCGCAAACACCTGGCTATGCGGAGAGTATAATGAGCGTGGCCGCATCGGCAACCCCCACCGCTGCTGGCTTCTCCGGGCCTCCACCGAGTGCGGGTGTGGACATGTACAAGGTAACTCCCACGAACGGCGTCTACTTCGGTCCGTACCTTCGGTATGCCAACATGGACCTGGAGAGAGGCGTATGGACAGGGAGCATCTTGATCATTACAGATGCCCCGCAGCCCCCTACAATTCACATCCACCTGAGTGTAGATCTCTCGCCCAACCCGAGGCAGCTTGTCCCGCGCTCCATCTTCACCCACCAGCGTTGGGGCTTCTACAAGTATGATCTGGAGCTCCAGATGGGCGAGGGCGGCACGGAACGATGGACGTATGCCGTCACCTCTCACCTGGGCTGCACGCGGTACGAATTCGTGGTCGCCGGCCGACATGAGACTGGCTGGCGCATGATTGCCCATTCCGGAAACGATTTTGCCCCTTCCACCAGCCAGGGCGACAGGGCGAAGCTCGGCGGGGTGGGTTATATGTGGAAGGACGTGCTGCAGAAGAACGTTGAGTGCGGAGGCTTCCACGTCCAGCTCGGCCTCGGAGACCAGATCTATGGCGATCGCCTGTGGAAGGAGGTGCCGATTCTCAAGCAGTGGCTCTCCATGCCCGGGCGGGAGAACCGGAAGAACGTCCAGTGGACGGCGAGGCACGAAGAAGACGTTTCTCACGCCTACTTCCACTACTACACAAGCCATTTCGACCAGCCGTTCCTGAGAGAGGCTTTTGCCCAGATCCCCCACATCTTGCAGATTGATGACCATGACATGTAAGTTCCGATCTCCTGAGATCCTTCTGGCAAGGGGTTTGAAGGGAGAAAAAATACTAACAATACCTGCTAGCTTCGATGGGTTTGGATCTTATCCTGATTACATGCAGTCTTCGGCGGTGTTCAGGAACATAGGACGGGTTGCCATCGAGATGTACCTCCTCTTCCAGCACCATACGACGGTGGAGATACTGCGCAACGTCAGTTCGGACCAGGACCTCTTCACCATCACCGGCGCGGGCTGGCACTTTGTCAAGTACCTCGGCCCCGCCGTCGTCGTCGTGGGGCCCGACTGCCGGTCCGAGAGGACGCAGAACCGGGTCATGGCCGGTCCGACCTACCAGGGCATCTTCCCCAAGGTGGCCCTGCTGCCGCCCAGCGTCCAACACTGCATCTGGATGCTCTCGGTGCCCGCCGTCTACCCCCGACTGGAGGCGGTGGAGACCCTGGCCAACACGTTCGCAACGGGCAAGAAGGCGGTCAACACGACTTACAACCTGCTCGGCAAGGTGACGAGTTCGGTGGCCGGTGTGGTTGGAGGCAAGGAGGTTGTCGCCCAGGGATTCAGCCACGTCAAGAAGGCCGTTGGCAAGTCGGGGCTCATGGGCAACGTCCTTAACCAGTTTGGCGATTTCGACATCGCCGAGGAGTTGAAGGATCTTTGGACTCACGAATCCAAGGACTTGGAGCGGACATATCTGATCCGGACCCTCCAGGGCATTGCCCACCAGAAGGGAATCCGGATGACGTTCCTTTCGGGCGGTAAGTCCTCCCATCACTCCCCTCCCCCCCATCTCTCAACTGGAACCGCTTACTCACAGGTACCGCTTCAGACGTCAACTGCTCGGGCGCCGGCCTTGTCCACGACCCGTCGCACCCGAGCGACCACAAGACCATGTACCAAATCATCACGAGCCCGATCGTGGCCCAGCCGGCGAGCAACTACATGCTCAAGATGCTGCACAACAACAAGCTCCTGTACGTGCCGCAGAACGGCAGCAAGTCGACGCACGAGGTGTCCGACACCAAGGAGGACATGATGGAGATCTTCCACACCGACGCCTCGGGCACCCCCCGCGATCTCAAGAAGCTCATGGGCCGCCGCAACTACGTCGCCATCGTCGCCTACGACCCGGAGGCCATCGCCGGCGGCGCCGGCGCCGGCGGCACCCAGTACGCCGGGAGCGTCTCGAGCGGCAGCAGCGGCCTCAACAAGCTCAGCCTCGCCGTCGACTTTGTCGTTCAGGGGGACGGCGCCTTCACTGCGCCGACAAAGTACGGGCCCGTCATCGTGCCGCACCTCGAGTTTGGGCATTAGATTAGGCCTGCCTCCCTCGGAACCGATCTGTATGTATGTATGTGGCCTTGCTTTATCGCGGGTCAAGAGGGACCGGAGGGGAAGGGGGGGGGAGAGGGGAAAGGGGATGGGCGGGGCGACTTGATCTGGCTTCCGTGATGACCCGGTATGTATGTGACGACATGTTGTTTATCTACTTTAGCAGCTCGCGCGGGTTGGGAGTTGGCTTCATACAGACAGAGCAATCGGTTTATCTGTATATCTTGTCCGGTTTCCCCCCCCCTTCTTCAAATGTGGCACGCGGCTGTTGCGTAGCGATTTCCAGAGGTCATATTTAGCGTTTAGAGAATGAAAAGAAGGGAGAAATGGCCCCGGTCTACTTTCTATTCCCTCATCCCCAGATGCATCTGAGGTTCCCATCTTTTCTCTTTTCTCTTCTTTTTGGTTCCTGCCCTTTCTATTTTATTCTGGGCAGCTGTTGTTGACCCGAACATGCCCAGCGTATACCCGTCTGCCCCCTGCCTAGCTCCATCCGACTACAGATTGAAGAGTTCCTTCATCTTCACGGCGGTTTCTTCGGGGTTAGCCACGGAGTGGCCAATTGTGCGCGGGTCGACGTAGATCTCGTAGTCGTTGCCGCCCTCAAAGGTCTTGTCGCCGAAGAAGTGGATCTCGGTGTACTGGATGCCGCCGGGCCTCTTGGCGTCGTTCTCGAGGTGCTGGAGGCAGTACGTCTTGTCCCAGCCGGTGGGGAAGATGTCGAAGGAGATCTGGCCGCCGATGGAGAACCTATCATGCCGGTATCAGCCACTATCGCAACAAAGCCGGATCCCAGTTTCGCCTGGGGCCAAGGAGAGGAGAGGAAAAGGGAGCAGATTCACAAGACTCACGTCAAGCCCAAATGGCCGAATCGCTCCCTGAGCTTCTCCACAAACGCCTTTCGCACGCCGTGTATCTTGTCATAGGCCTCATACTCGTTCCTCTCCTGGTTGCTGGCGTTACGGCCGATGGGGGACACGTTGATCATGCCATTGCGGAACTCGATAAAGGTGCCCCGCTTGATGGGGATGTCGAGGTCGGCGATGTAGTGCAGGATGAAGGAGGCGAGCTCCTTGTACTGCTCCTCGCCGATCCACTTGATGAAGCTGTTGGCCGCGAGCGGGGCGCCGTTCTTGAATGCCGTCAGGCCGTTCTCCGAGAAGCAGAAGTCGAAGAGCGTCGTCACCGCCACATCGGGCGTGCCCAGCTGCTCCTGCTGCTTGCGCAGGTCGCTGCCCCCTACGAAGCCGATGGCGCACTTTTGGCGCAGCCGGGCGAGGAGGTTGAGCATCTCGGGTGAGACGGACTGTGGGGGACCGTCGTTAGCTAAGTTGGTCGGTCTTGAATTCTTTGGCCGGTCCCCCGACCCCCTTTGCACACGGTACGGGGGTTTAAACGGACAGCATTATAGATAGGGGAGAGCGGCCGGCCGAGATCACTAGAAATCCCAGTGACAACGAGCTACCCCATTTTGGTGTATCCTAAATGGTTTTATTGATAATTGAACTTCTACGTACCAGCCTGGCCGGTGTGAGTGTGCCATCTACATCGAAGAGGCAGATGGTATTCTTAAGTGGGCGGTCTGCGAGAGGGGGGTATGCGAGAGCCATGACGGATGTATTCAGAGAGCCTGGACCGCAATTGGAGAGAGCGAAGGAAGGGAAAGACCGGCAAGGTGGGAAAGAGGAGAAAGTAGGCGGCCAAAGACTTCACAACCAGGTTGCAAGTCGCTGCTGAGGAAGTTTCGGTGAAGGTTTGTTCAAGCTCTTGTGTTATCTACGGCCGCCCCCCGATAGGGACACCGCCTCTAAACCCATTTCCATATTCATGCAGCCAAATTCTACTCAACCAGCATGCACCACATTGCCCTGATTGGTTGGAGAGTGGAGGGGTTTCCATGGTGGGGCATGTGCGGGAACCGGAATAGGTAGGTACGCAGGTACACAACGTGCACGGGCAATTACAGGGGTCTTAACCAGGATTTGGAAGGCGATGTGCACAACTTCATGATCGAAGGTCCATGGAGGTTAAGAGCTTCACTATTGTTAATATGTCGGAGTCGACTGCTTGAAATTGCATCAAACGGTCCTCAAACTCCTAAGAATGCAGCGTTTTTCAACAAGGGGACATGATCCCGCAGCATTTCATGATCATTACTGACAAACTTGAGGAAGAGTGGCTCAAACTATCAGCTGGTACTCTCACTGCCCTCCTGAAAGTACGTGCCTTCGCCAATGGATATCTCCTTAGCTAAATCCCTCCCAATCCTCGGCCCAGACTAGACTCGCTCACATCTTGGACTAGTAGCGACGCGAGGATTCGTTGCGCTCTCCGGAGTTGCCACGCAACTCATCGTCATTGGTCTTGAACTCATTCCTGTTCGAGCCATATTCGTTGCTCTCGCCAGAATTGCCGCGGAATCCCCCAGCCTGGGTCGAGTGCTCGCTTCTCATGGGGCGAGTTTCGTCCCGTGCCCCAGAGTCTTGGCGGCCATAACCCGTGTTGCCCGAGGAGCTCTCCGTGCTGCGCGAGAAGCTCTCCGTGTTGCCCGAGAAGCTATCGGATCCGGGCTTGTTGCCGGAATAGTTCTCCGATGGCCGCTGTGTCTGTCCCATGGGTCTGCTCTCCTCGACATCCCGCCTCTCTCTACCCGATGATCTAGTCTCGTTATCCGAACGGCGGTCGTTGTCGGACCGGCGGTCGTTATCGGATCGGCGCTCGCTATCGAAAGCGTTGTCGCGGCCGGAGGTCTGGTTATCGCGACCGAAGCTCTGGTTATCGCGGCCGGAGGTCTGATTATCGCGACCGGAGCTCAGGGTATCGCGACCGGAGCTCAGGGTATCGCGACCGGAGTTCTCGTTGTCACGGCCGGAGCCTTGCTCATCGCCTGGCTTGCCGCTTTTGAAGAGGCCCTGGGCGACGGCCTTGCCGATGCTGGTTGCATCCTTGGGTCCGTCGGTGGTTGAGTAGGCCGAATGGGCCTGCTTGGCCACTTCGCCGATCTCCGAGTAGTCGAGCTTTTCACCCTTCTTTTCTTTCTCTTGAAAGTCGGAGAACACTTTCTTGGCTGACGAGCCAACGTCGGCCCACTTGGCGTCAGAGGACCCGGCACCGTCATCCTTTTTGGAGTCCTCGCCGCCGAATTGCTTGACGGCGTTCTGGGCCAAGGAACCGAAGCCGCCGAGATTCATTTTGACTGGATTTGGGGGTATGGGACAAGCTCGAAGAAGTAGGAGGAGTTGGGAGTAGGAGTAATGTCCTGGATGCTTTGCTTTATTCCGGAGGAGGTAGATGATGCAGCTTGGGACAGCTCTTCTTAAGTCTGGACATGTCTATCTGGGCGTGAGACTGGCTCTTCTTATACCCCTCATCCTCGGTCACAGTCACAAGCCAGCCGGTCCTTTTCTGGATGGCCTCCGCGGGTCCAGCTCATGGAGAGGGGCTGTGAAGTGCATCGCACCAACGGCACCAACGGCACCACTGATGACGAGGAAGGAGCTATCGTCTACTGCGTAGTGCTGCGTAGTACGCAAAAAGCAACGACCATCAGGGTCGAGGAGAGCCTGCCATTGGACAGGTTTCAAAACGACCTGGGGGCATCCTCACTGGCGCGCTGGCGGATGCAGTAGATTAGATCGCCAATCTGCAGCTAAATACGGAGAAGCCGGCCTGAACCCTGCGTCGACTCAGCTGTTCGGGGATCTTCTCAGCTGGGATTGGCACATTCTAATCTCGTCGCACCACGGCACGAAGGCGTTCGTCAGATGCCATTGCAAATCGGCTTCGGCGGTATTCGAGTGTGAAGTCTTGCATTGGGGCTAATACGCATTTGCGTACAAACTGTAGATACTACGTAATTTCACCAAGGCTCTACCCCTGGGCTTAGCTCTGCCTACGGGGGTTGTGGGGTTTTGTAGGAAGCTCGCTAGGTACCTACTACGTAGTAGGTAGAGATCGCTGCTCGATATCGTTTCCCCACTCCAGCCAGCCCCACCTTTGGGGACCCAACCCGACGGTGGAATCTGTTGAGCATCTTCCTTGGGTAAAGTTGAAGAGCTCTGGACGGATGGTGGTAAAAAAAATATAGCCTATAGGTAACCATGAGCTAGGGAGCACCTTTGGCCACTTAGCAAGACCAATTCTTATAACTACCTATCAAGGAGATGGATAGATGTTCCCGTCGCTGAGTCTGGCGGCACATAGTATAGCCGATCTTTGGCCGTTCCACCATTGTCGGGCAATGTGGGAGGCACATCACGGGGCACTTTCACCGCCCTGCTGATAGCGTACATAACGTCACTTCCATATAAGTCACCTAAGGTGAGTTTCTGGGTCCATGTGGCCATGAGGATCAAAAGCAAAAAGCAATTAAGAGTAAATACCTTTTAGCAGCTAATATTGCCCTTGCCTTACGGAAGTAGAAATCGCCTCGGCCTGGAGCTAAATCTGGCGGTTTCTGATGTACGATGGAGTGATAAGGTACCTAACCTTCCAACACTGAAACCATAACTGTAATGGAACCTTGGAATTCAACCACAGAGGCTGGAGGATCACTCTACTTAGTGCATAGTACCTAGGTACCTCACCTATTGAGTGACGCGCAGCCAATCTTCACGACGAACAAATGGAAGGTGTGGGTCACGCCCACCCCCCAACCGCCCACCGCCAACTCCCCCCACGAGTACGGAGTAGAGTTCGAGTTGGCACTGAACAAAGACCACAAAGCCTCAACAACCGCCGACTTGCATCCATCAAGAACAGGAACGGTCTGGCGGTCGAGTGTCGTGCTCCGACCTTTTCGCCTGTTTCAACTTCTCCATCAACGTTAAGGGATCCTTCTTACCGTCGTTATCCCCGCCCCTCTTATCGCGTGATCGACCAACAGGGAGGCAGTATAGCGGGACTGATAAGCAAAGGACACCCTTTGGCACACCGATCTCGGCGAGTCGCCATCAACCATTTCGCGCCCTGCTCAAGCCAGCATCCTTTCTTGCCCTCGTGGCCTTGAAAACCCGCATTGTTCTCTATTATGGCTTCTTCCCAATCCCAGGGCCACCGCGGCGATGATTGCGGCAGTCCTGCACGGCAGCACCAGAACGGAGCATCTGAGATCACCGCATCCCAGCGCCGGAATGATGGTCAGTTGCTGACGCCGAGCGGAGCCTTTCTCCCTCAGCCCGCGCTTACAATGTCAGAATCATGGGTTGAAATAGCATCCCAGCCGTCTTCCTCGTCCTTGTCCTCGATCGGAGACGAGGTCGTCACGACCGGCTTACGTGTCGGAAACAACCCCTACCCACCAAGGCGAAGGCGGCTACAACAAATGCAACGGATCCCGGCTTCCAGGATTGCCAACCAGGTTGCCCCCCAAGCCGGCACGAGCAGCCAGGATGAGTACGATGAGACGGAAAGCGAGGAAGACCGCGTTATGACGAGCTCGAACGAGCACATCCAGCCAGCCGCAAGTCTCCAACGCCAACAAACCGCATTTCGACCAAGTGCCGATCTGGATAGCGATGTGGATGATGAAGACGACGACGACGATGATGAGAATGCGACAGCTCTCGGCCGCCCGTCGAACTCGCCAAATTTCCAGCCGCAACCGAATGCCTTCTCACATCCCCCCTCCCACCATGGGTACCGCCATGCAGCGAGCTCGTCCACCCGACAGCATCCGCCCTTCTCTCACCCATCCATGTCTCAGCGCTCCCAGCCCCGCGCTCACCGCAACTTCATGTCACCATCCTACCAAGCCGACAACGACGCCGCTCTCCGCGCGTCGCTCACAACCCTCCTATCCTGCGCCGCTGCCGCGCGAGGTCTCCCTAAGCGGGACTCGGAGCTCGCCGGGCCATCGGGAACCGGCGGTATCGGGGCCGGCGTCATGCCCAGCTCCCAGCCGATGGGCCTCCACTTCGTCCCGGAATCCGAACTCATGGCAGAGGGCCCACCCGCCGCCGCCTCGCCGATCCCCCCACACCTCCGCCAGCCGCCGCGCACAACGGGATCCAACAGCAGCAGCAGCGGCGCCCCCAGCGCGCGATCATCCAACTCCTCAAAGGACAGGGGCGCAGGCGCAGGCGCCGCGGCCGCCGGCGAGAAGAGCAAACGCCCGTCCACGCCGCAGACCCGGCCCGCCCGCGCCGCCAAGAAGAAGCGCACCGGAGCGGACGGGGGCGGCGGCGGCGGCGGCGACGCCATGACGGCGACGACGTTTATCAGCCCGACGGTGCTGACCTGGGTCGTCAGTGCCGGGGTCCTCGTGCTCGTCTCGGTCGTCGGCTTCGGCGCCGGCTACGTCATCGGGCGCGAGGTGGGCCGCCAGGAGGGCGGGGCCGCAGCGTTCGGCGGTGCGGGTGGTGGTGGTGGCTCCGCGAACCTGTCGTCGTCGTCGTGCGGGAGGGAGCTGGCCAAGTCGTCGTCCTCCGGCGGCGGGACGCTTAGGCGGTTCAGGTGGGGTGCCGTGGCTAAGAGCGTGACGACCTAGTCGGGATGCCCTGGGTCTCTGCTGGTTTCTTGGCGTGGTGGCGGGGAGGGAGGAAGGGGTGGTAAATTGTTCGCCAGGAGATACCCCTTTGAATTCGTCCCGTTAATTACAAGGAGAAAAAAACAAGAACTGGGGTGAGTTAACGGAGCAGAGGTAAATAACGATGGCCGTCCGTCGGCTGTGGAACGGCATCATTAACGGCATCGGATTTGCATGAACGAAAACGATGACAAGACAGACCTATTATACCAAGCCAGTGGGAGCGATAATGTCGCAGGGTCGGGCCGTGGCATATATGGAGTACTGGGAAACCAGTTACATGAGCTTGCTTCTTGCAGTGGGTTAATCGGTTGGCCTCTTGGCCTTTGATATCTGGGAAGAATGGGCTTTTAATCATCTGGATGGGGGCGTTCGTTTTCATACTTGATTATTTTGGTGCCGAGTTTTAGGCCAAGCAAAAAGGCCAGATATATGGAACAATATCGAGTCCAAAGTCAGAACATAACAGCATGTTCAAAATACTACTGCCATGGTGACGTGGAAGTGAAAGTTTGGGGAGGCTGCCTGTTGCCTCTCGCATGCAGCATCGACGCCATTCATTCTGTTGGACCTTCACTAATTCCATGTACATACAATACACCCTATGACCGCCCGCAGCCCGGTAGAGAAAATCCCCAAGAATATGGCGTAAAGACCACACATCACCAGCAGCCACCTATTATTCATCAGGGAGGCGGGCCATCCTTCTCTGTCGAGTCGGCCACCTCTCACCGCGCACCTCAATTCGCCACATCCTGCCTCCCTACTCCCACACCCAGACCTCACTTACAAGGCCGACAGGTCCAGCGGCACGCTGCTCCCCCTTCCCGCCCGGTACCGCCTCGCGCCGCCAACGAAATCCCTCGGCTTGGGGAACTTGTCCTCGCTGACGAACTTCCACCGCGGGTCCTGCACCACGAACCTTTCCCGCCCGCCGCCACCGCCTCCGAGACTCCCCATGTTTGGCGGGTTCGACGCGTTTCTCGTCGGGCTGGGGCTCTTGGAGCCGGCGCCGTTGTGCATCAGCGTGAAGTTGCTGGGGTCGAGGAGGGAGGAGCGGAGCATCGAGGGGGTGTGCGACCTGGCCGAGCTGGCCGAGGTCGAGTGGGAGAGCGAGGGCGCTGGCGGCGCTGGCGCGGCATGCGGTGGGCTGGGCGCCGATGAGCGGGGTGGGTGACCCGGCGGCGGGGGAGGTGGTGGGGGGGGGGCGGAAGTTGGCGACGGGGCGCCCGCTGCAGCCCGAATAGCGGCTTGCAGCGCTATGCTTGGGGAGAGGCCGTTGGGTGCTGACGATGTTGGGGGCGGGGGCGGGGGCGGAGGCGGCAGCTGTGAGCGGCCGGGAGGGGGAGGAAGGCGTGGGGCTGCCGCGGGCGGGGGAGGCGGTGGTGCCGGCGGAAGCGATGGGGCGGATGATGATGGAGGGGGCGGCGGAGGCGGAGCTGGTGCTCCTGGCAGAGGCGGCGGTGCGGACGGGGCAGCTGTGCTGGATGGTTTGCGGGCGCCTGGAGGGGGTGGCGGCTTCTTGCCAACTGGAGGTGGTGGGCCCTTGGACGATGCCATCATGGAAACGGACGACATCGGCCGCGCCACATCTCTGTTCGCCGTCTTTCTTAAGTTCGCAATGGATGGATGAAATGATGTCGAGCTCGCCGCCCCTGGGAGGGATGGGCGACCGGGTATTGCAGGCGCTGTTCCTCCCGGCGGTCTAGGGGCCGACATCGAAGGTGGGTTTGGCGATGTCCTGGAAGATGGTTCTGGGTCTGAGAGGTACGAGGCATCTCGGCTTGCTGCACACACACATATGTCAGAATCCGTTACAGGGGTAACCGATACGTATCCGTAGGCTCACCTCCAGTGTCAACGCCCCCTCCAGTCTTCCGCAACTTAGGTATACCTCCAGCAAACAAACCTCCAAGCTGGGGCGCACCATCCACAGCCGGGGCCGCCTGTTGCCTCTCGCTGTGGTCGCTATTACTCCTCGCTCTGTTCCCGGGAACTGGTGGCGCGAGGCTGCCACCTGCTTTGGGTATGCCTGGAATCGGTGGTGCGCCTCCCAAAGGAGAGTGACCGGGACCGCTAGAGGTCGTTCCAACAATTGGCGCAGATCGATCGTTCGTGACTGCCTTCCTGAGGGGCCTCCCTTTCGAGATATCTGACAAAAGTGCTCCCTGGAGGTTCCGTTAGCGTCACCTGCCAATGTTCATGGCCCCTGAGATTCCGTACCCTGCCAACCCCTGCTGCGGGTGGTCGTGTGGGGAGACCCCCAGCTCCTGGAGGTCCTCCGGGCGGAGGAGGTGGCGGAGGAGGCCCACCGCGGCCGGGCATCGGCGGCGGCGGCGGCGGTGGGGGAGGCGGCATGTCTTGAGTGCTTAAGATGCTACTAGGAGGATTGTTGAATGCGATGGAGTTTCGATCCTTGGCATGTAAATCTGAAAGTTAACGAGAAAAGGATATCTATGATATCTCGAAACTCCGGTAAGCAGTTCTAGGGACTTGGGCCTCCGTCGGCTATAGCCTCATAACGACGGGAGTGGTCGCGCATGGGAGATGTTATAGCGAGTGGAAAGAGGTGACAAGAAGGAAGCCGCGTGTCGTCAGTGTGGCTTGGGCGTCATTAATCTTTGCCTACCTAAGCAGCCACATGATTCGTCCCACTACCAGGAGACATCCGTTGAGCCACAGAGGTGGGTGGGTACACCCTGGACACAGCTTCCAACGCGCGAAGCTCGCCTTTCTGCGAAGAAGTTTTGGTGTCGATCTCAAAACTCAACCGCACCAACGTCTAATCATATTTATCTCGTCGCCCTTTTCCTTCCTTTTCCATTTCTTCGTCTCTTTTCAATTGACCTGGTGCCGACCCAGCGCACCGGCTCTTTCGCCCAATCCCGGGCCTCCTATCCGACCCGGCGCAAAGCCGGCCCGTTCGGTCGCAATGATGCGTCGTGCACTCCCCCCAAGCCCAAGAGCTCAGCTATGTCAGATATGCGAGACTATCTATGCCCGGAACGGACTCATGGGCAGGCGCTTCTTTCTAACAGCGGAAGCTGGAAGACATAGGGCCAAGTCAACGAAACAGAGCCCGTCCAGGACGATCACAGCCGGAGTGCACTCGACATCAAGGACACTACGGCGAGTGAAGCAAGCACAGCCTGTGGAGAACCCCGAAAGGGCTACAGATATCAATACTTCTCAGCCATCGCAGCAGCAGCAAAATCATCGAGAGTTTGCGGACCTGGCCAGTATTGCCACTGCAGTGGATCGGGTCACCAAGGCTTTTTTGGGACAACAAGGCATCCCCTCCGAGAAGACTACTCTTGGGGCTTTGCGGGCGTGTGCACAGAACGATGTTAAGCTTCTTTTGGATGCAGCCACGGAGCCCGAAGCCGGCATTAATAGGGAAGGCCAATCGGAGACTGCCGCTTCCCATTTGCTCGATCTGGATAGCAACGGGAGGAGGACGGGAGGAAAAGTCGCGACAGTGAAACAGCAGAGTTCAGCTCTCCGTTTACAGGACGTGGTTGATAAGATGTCCGAGGCAGCATATACTATTATCACGCACCCACCTGTCGTTATCACACCTCGGATCCTTGCAGAATATGTCAGTGTCCAGGCTCAGCTTAGCAAGCCCGAGACGCTGTCTCATATTCTCGCATTGTACGCGTCCAAACCCCTGCCCAGGGAGGTTTCTGGCAGCGTCGAATATGTCGAGCGGAATCCCAGCAAGGCGGACAATGCAGTTGACGCCGATGTCGCGGAGAAGGCCTTGGATGCTGCAATCGAGGCCAAGAACCTGGACGCCGCGGTTGGCATCATCGAGAACAGCTATGGCGCCAAGGCATTTGTGCGATCGAAGCTTATCAAGAAGGCCCTGGTGCCGGCGTCAGTCCTTGCGGCGGCCCCTGTTCTCACATATGCTGCTGCATCCCGCCTATCTTATCTGCAAGATTCCATGGACCACGGCACCGCAACGGGGGTAGCCTTTGCGGGTCTCCTGGCCTATGTCGGCTTCACGGCCACCATTGGTCTGGTCGCCGCCACAACGGCAAACGACCAGATGAAACGCGTGACCTGGGCGGCAGGAACGCCCTTGAGGCGGAGGTGGATCCGGGAAGACGAGCGAGCCGCATTTGACAAGGTGGCGTGCTCGTTCGGCTTCTCGGAGCACCAGCGTTTTGGCGAGGAGGAGGGGGCCGAGTTCCAAGCGCTCCGGCAGTATACTTTGAGGAAGGGGATGATCCTAGATGCAGTCGAGCTTATGGAGGGGATGAACTAGCTGCGGGAGGCTATTGGCACACCGGCCAGTGGGACGTAAACAGCCAAGATGTAAGCAAAAAGCAATCACGAAAATTCTCTTGTCCGGACCCCGGGCACTTTCTTGGCTGAACTACGTGACCGTGGCGTCCCACCGGGCCCGGTGCCCTGCGGCTGCGGCTGCCAAGATAAATCGAACAAAATACGTGTCAGTCTATAACGCGGAATCCTCACAGGATCGACACCAAGACCTTATCAGATCCATTCCGTGCGACAATGGGCCTGCCAGTGTCCTTCGCATGAGAGGCTGACTGCCGTGGCGGAGCCATCTCCCTCCTGTTCTTATCTCTTGCTAGATCCTGCTTGGTCCGGATTGCTTTGGTGTTCGATACCTGGCACGGCATGCGCACTCTCCTCGAGTCGCACGCACGATCGCGGCCAGAGCGGTGTGTCCTGCTATGGATGGGTGTCCACCATGTTCGGCCGCTATCCCATACATGCCCTTATCAAAGGGCCCGACCCATTGTAGCTACCCCTTCCTGGCCATGAACTGCCGTGACATTCCTAGGAAATCAGTCCAAACAGTTCTCCCTTCCACACAGACGCTCTTCTCTACATCGTCGCCATTGCAACAGCAAACCCCTACTACCGCCCGAGCGTCCTCCTAGGACCATGGCAGGCCACTTCAGCGACGGCGACATCGCGCGGTGTGAATATTACGCCCGGTTTGCGGCCCATCTCGGACGGACTAGCTTCGACGTCATCTACTGGCTACTCTTCCTGCTGGTCATAATCATGTTGTTTGCCGCCTCATGGCGGTACGGCCGGTGAGTTCGACCGCATCACCCCCTCCCCCCCTTTTCCAAATCCTTTTCGGCGCTCTCCCATCCCCGTTCCGGATGAACCGTAACCGCTGCAAATTCAACTCACACAGCGCCCCAAAGGTCCGTGGAGTCAGTATCCCAGTCCCCAGCGGGGTCGGCCGACGCAGCCCGCGAGATGAAGCGGTGCATGCTGGCGTGCGGGCTGTACGCCGGCGTGTCGGTGGCGGCGGTGGTGACCGAGGTGTTCGCGCTGCTGGCGCTGCAGTTCTGCGACGGCGAGGACCTGATGCCGCTGTACTGGGCGGCCTGGACGGCCCTGCAGGTCGGCGCCCTCATCGCCATCCTCGGCATCCTGCTCGCCGCCTCCCACACTGTCCGCGGCGGGGAGCACCCGTGAGTTTGACATCTACCTGGGGTTTAAAGCCCCTGCGCCTGGCGGACGAGGTGTGCGGTGCTGACAATCTCATCGACAGCCCCTGGGCGCTGGCCCTGGGAACGCCGGTGCTAGTCGTCGCGGGCCTCGGCCACGTCGTGCAGGCCGCTATGCTGAAGCGTATCAGGGGGGCCAGGCGCTGGAGCCCGTGTGGGCGAGGGGCCAGGTCCGAGGACAACCTGGCCATGAGTAGGGAGTACGGCTAACCCCCAGGGTGCCCCCCCTAACTCTATTTAGGGCTACACTTTCCCGCCCATGCTAACCGCGCAACAACTTCACCTAGGGACACGATCCGAGTCGAGGGGAGCGTGACAGGCGAGGCCGCTGGCGGATACGACGCCCACCTGGTCGGATACACCGCCGACGGCGGCCCCATAATCGAGTTCGGTAACGACGGCGGCGTCCCGGTCCGGGTGGACCAGTCCGGCGGGGATGGCGGCGGTGGAGGAGGCCCGGACGGCGGCGGGAGGGTTGTGGTTGCGTTCTCTAAGGGCATGGCTACGGTTGTCCGGGGCGGCCAGGGGCATCAGGAGAAGGGGCCGGGGGAGAGGGCTGCGAGACCGGGGTCGACAACGCGGCCGCTTGAGGGTTGAAGGGCCTCTTCCTACAGGCTATCTCATTCTCTCGCATTGTACTGCACGAATATTTCCGTTTCCTTGGGGGGTGGGGGGAGTCGCCCATGCACCATTGAGCCAAGCCATATTTGGCAGAACGAGTTAGCAAGGAAGCAGGAAAAGGAATGGGAGCTCCGAGGCTGAACATACGGCAAACTCGCACTTGGGAGGTCGTCACTCATCGCGTTGTTCTCCCATTGGTCTAAATTACTCAAAACATATAAGATGGACTGACCATACAGAGCGAAGTGTATACACCACGAAAATGGACAATTTCTCGACAAACGGAGGTGCATCTTGGGACAATCTCAGCAGAAACAGATGGAGAGCATCATTGTGCAGCAGCCAACTTCAATGTTCGTCCATACGCTACTTTGGGTGGTGTTCCGGGGTGCCAGAAACAGCAGGTCGGTGCTAGCCAAAAGATCAAGACTGTCACCCTATATTGGTGTGGTGCTTCGAATTCCGGGATCCTGATTTTGATGCAGAATGGAGCTCCCGAATGCCACAGAAATCCTGTCTTTTGAGCATGTGTTCTTTCTGGACGCTGGCATCCACCACCATGGATCGTTCCAACTCTCATAGACGGGTGTGGTCACTCAGTGTCTACGTGCCCGTGGTTGGCTGCTCTGGTCGCAGAAGAACAGTTATCCATGTCTCGCTACGCAACAGTCCCCCGGTTTCTTTTCTCCCGCCTCTAGGTAGTACACGTTGCTTTTTGATTACAGGCCGAGATCTGTCTCCATCCCGACTTGGCCGTGTAGCTCGCCGAGACGTCCTTGGCCCCTCGACCAAACATGCATAAGGATAAGCCCATTGGCTTTCACATCATGCCCTTCCGGCTCGTCCAATCTGCAGGATCTCACCCGTCAATGGCTCGTCACTGCGCAGCACCGGCCAGGAATTCCCGCCTGCCTTGACCAGGTTCAGCTCGAGCTTCGTGCCCAGGATCTTGAAGGATGACTTGTCGGTGTCGATGGGCCCAAACAGCGGCACCGTTGTCTTGTAGCGCTTCGGCGTCGGTGCGTCCGTTGTCGGCAGGTCCAGGTCCAACTGCTGTTCCTGGAACGACACCTTGGCCGTATCCTTGTCGATCTTCTTCAGGAAGAACGAGACGATTACCGACGAAGGAGTCTGGTAGAAGTCGTGTCTGCGGCAACCCGAGTCCTGTTAGCAAAAGATACTAGCCCTCAACCCTGGCTCGTTTACGAGGCCCAGCCCAGCCCGCCATCTGCGCCGGGCAAGAGAACTTGGCTGCGAAACCACAAATGCGAAAGAAATCAACGGTGCCTCCCAGCACGCGGGGCAGGTGACGTACCTAACCGTCTCCAAGAGCTCCTCGCCCCCCGACCCAATGGCGTTCCCGGAGGCGTCCTTCTTGCCGCTTCCGACAAACAAGTGCCGGGGCTTCGTCTTGCACCCCTCGATTTTCATAAACTGGTCAAACTCCAGGACCTTCCTCTTGCAGCAGCTGTAGCCCTTGCTGCCCTCGTGGAATATGGGAGCCCCGGGGTGGTGTGTGCACTCCTCCCTGTCCCTGTTCTGGCCCTTGGAGTAGCGCGCGCCGCAGCCCCTCCGCCGACAGGCCTGCCCGTCCGCTATCTCGAGACTGGGGTCGTCATCCTCAGACTCTGGCGGCGGAGGTGGAGGCGTCGCCGCAGTCTGCGCAACAGTTATGGGGGCCCGGGGAGGTGGTGCTGGAAAAGATGCGTTGGAGAGGAGTGTCGGATCGGCGGTCTCTTTCTTCTCGATCTTGGGTGGTAGGTCGGTCGTGCTGTGCTTGCCCTCGGTGCAGGGCGGTAGCTCCATGAACTCCTCGAAGGTGAGAACCCGAGGCTTGCAGCATTTCCACCCTGGATTTCAGGCAAGAAAAGAAAAGACGAGGTCAGCTGCCCAGTCCACAATAAACATGCGAGGCCTGCCAGCTTTGTATGAACCTACCTTTCTGCCCCTCGTGGAATATTGGCGGTCCCGGATGGTATTTGCAAACCTCGTCCGGGTCGCTGAAGGTTTTGCCGCAGCCTTGATGAACGCACTTCTGGGCCATGGCTGAGGTCGGTAGGTAGGTAGGTAGGTGTGAGGTCAGGAATTTCAGGAAGGCTCCCAAGCCAAAGCTTTTGGAGAATCAAGAATTGGAAATGGCAGCTTGCTTTCCTTTCGAGGAGCTTCGAAGTACATGGAAAGCTTTGGTATATGACAGGGGTTGTGGAGGTGGGGGTGGGGAAGGTTGCATTCCGCCGTGCTCACTGATTTGTCGACCAGCCACTATGATCCCAGAGATTCAGCAGGGGCGACACTGCATCGACAAATCGGCTGATGCTAGGCTGAAGAGGCTCTGGGCCGCCCATTCAAAACTCACCCACCATCTTGCTACACATCGTCTCTACCCAATCCCGAGATTCCTGACCCAACATCCAAGATGCGGATTACAAGTCGACTCCTTCAATCCTGCCGGATCACCTTGTTTACACGGGAAAACTGTGGCCTCTGCACACAGGCAAAGTCTGTCCTCTCCCAGGTCCAGCAATCGCGCCCGTTCGAGTTCAGGGAGGTTGACATCGTCAAGCCGGAGGCCAAGGGGTGGAAGGACCTATATGACTTCGATGTCCCGGTGGTGAGTCTTCATCTTTCTGCAACCGGCGAGGGAACGGGACATCTGAACGCATTGGGCAGATCCATATCAGCAAAGCCAGTGGACCGGGTGAAGATCCAAAAAAGGCCACCCAAGCAGTCAAGCTTATGCACCGCTTCAGTCCCGAAGAGGTAGAGGCTAGGATGGATATCGTGGACGCTCCCTGATGGCCTTCTTGTGAGCTCCTTTTAAACTTGGTGAGGAATGGACTGCATATTCTATCTATACCCCTGAGAAGGAGTCATCCCTCCTCACTCATGCTGGAATTATACCCTGAACCCGCTGCTTCGGAATTATACCCTCAACCGCAGTGCTAGAATTATACCCCCGAACCCGGAAGCCCTCCTACGGACCTCCCCAGATTCCTGTGCTGGCACTCCGTCAGTACGACCCGACCCTTTCCGGCAATCTTTCGCCCTTGGCTATCGCCAGCGTGTCCGCCATGACGGCTGACAGGGAGGTGATGTCCGTTGCCACGGTGATCATATGGAACCCCATGTCAGAGTAGTGCTTTGCCTGTTCGCCACTCGTACAATAGATCCCGCACCTCGTTCCGGCCCTCTTAGTCGCTCCGAGGATACGGGCAATTGCGTCGTCCAGCTCGGGATCCATCCTCCCGTTGATGACGGGCTTGCCGATGTTGTTACCCAAGTCAAAGGGGCCGATGAAGAGGACGTCAACCAAGGGCGCGATCTCGTCCACCGCGTCCAAGGCTTCCTGCGTCTCGATTTGAACCATCGTTAGCAAGCTGGCGTTCGCTTGCTGCAGGTACTCTGTCATGGTCGGGAGTGGGTCGAAGGCCTGCATGGCAAATGGTGACCCAAATCCTCGACGCCCTTCTGGAGGGAACTTTGCTGAAGCGACGAAGTCCTTCACTTCATCCACCGTCCGTATGAGCGGAGCCAATACCTGGGAACAAGTCAGCATTATCATTCCTCAGACCACAGCTTGCTTGGCTGCCTTACTCCATGAGCACCACAGTCTAGGGCACCTGAGATGCTGTTAGTGAATTGCCCAACTCGGTGTCGAGAATCTCTGGGGAGGCCTCACGTTTCACCATCCAAGGCTGAAGGTCTGGTATCCGGACGATTGGCGAAACGCCAAGGGCCGCAATTGCCGGGACTGCTTCGTGCATTGCCGCATCTGCCCCGGCGGTTAGCTAGATGGTCTCCCTGTCGAAAAGATCTAGGTGCTAATTATACCGTCCATGACCCCGTGTTCGCAGTCAACCAAGACCCAGTCCGCTCCAGCCCTCGCCAATGCCCTCGAGATGTTGGCCCCCGGTAGCATCTGCCAAAAGCCCATTGCTGGGCGCTCGTCTTGCGTAAAGACTCGCCTCAGCCGGTTCGCCTGGAGCATCTTGGATTCCGCGCCCATGTTCGAGAACAATTTGCGATTGTGTTTGGGTGTGCAGGTGGCAAGCATGGGAGGTGAGAGATGCCGACAAGACAGACCACGACTCCACCCACGAATGGAGAGCGAGCGGAGTGACAGAGGCATTGATGTCATGGGGCCCATTGCACTTGCCTTCCCGGTGATCCACTGTAGCGAGTTCTAGCGTCAACCCTGGGATGGCGGGAAGGGGAAAAGGAGTCTTCAAATACCTACCTGCCTAGGTAGGTAATCAAGCCGTGTGGCAGTGTCAATGGAAATTGTTCGGCGGTCGACGACCAACTTACCCAGACAGGCGCTGTAAGTGAGCGCAATCTTCGACTGTCTCGACTGCCCTGATGCCGGTGTTGACTCGTCGAGTGAACAACCCACCCCTCCCCGCTTTGGCTGGCTCGCCGAAGACTGCGGGGTAGCTCCTATGCCAAAGCGAACCTCCCTATTGGCGATCCCGTCCCACTCGACATGGGAGGACAGCAATTGCCGGATACTATCCGTATGTTGTTTGCCAATGTTTGGAAGGCCTCGAGTGCGTTGCTCTCTCCATCACTGTGGATACCTGTTTGGTTCGCGAATAGGCGCCCGAATAGAGATGCACCTAGAAACCGGCTTCATATCCCAGTAACACAGGCCACAAGGAGCAAACCTACATGCGGACTTTGCATCGTTTGGAAGGCCTCGCGTGAAGTCTCCGGTGCCGGCACACCGGGGTGCGGTGAGGTGGCCGGTTGGAGTCGAAATCCACACCCGGAGGATCTACCGAACCGGCCTGCTGCCGAAAAGGTACGGAACACGCTACAGTGCTTTCGGATTGGATGCTATGTCCGGCTGGTACTCCCTCAAACTGCTTCACTCTTCACAGATTGCGATTATATGACAGCACTTATGACACTGAAACTTATTATCTCGATGTCCACCTTCAGCGCACTTATTCCCCTTCTCGCCGTGCTATATGAGCCAAACGTGATGTTGAGGTCTTCTCGTCAAGTGCTAGGTTAAGCTGCGCCAACGACAACAGTCAGTAATTTGACGGCAGGAGGAAACAACTCTACAAACTGCCTAGACGGACCATATTTATATATATTTTACCTTAACAGGTAGGTGCCTGTTATTCTCATGCCCTCTCTTCAGTAACCCAGCCCTGATATAAGAATATGTAATTTGTAGGTTACGTGAGCGTCAGAAGGCCCCGTTTATTGCATGAATGCCCCTCATCTAACGTGGCCCAAGCTTGGGTGCACTGTACGCATTGTGAAGTAGCTTCAAGCTCCAACAATTTTCACCCAACTCGATGTACTGGAAGCCTTTCGCTAGGTGTTATATTCGACAGCTCGGGTTGGCTTTTTCTTCTGCCCTTTTCTAAGCCTGGAACTTGCTCAAGCCGTACTGCCTGGGCTAAAATACCCCAGCCTTTGACTGTGGCAACAAATCAAGATGTCGTTCCTCAATCCCTACCTGCAGAGTAAGTCGCCCCCAGCCCTCACCCGGGGTGACCGCCCCAGGCCATGGCAAGCTTACAAGCCCGGGACAAAAAGGCCTAACGGATCGATAGAGAAAATCTGTGTCATAACCGCAGATGGCAGAACCCTGGTGGGGACCCTCTTGTCTTGCGACCAGACGACCAACCTGGTATGGCACACTCCACCCCTCCTCTCCTCTCCGTGCTCGGGGAATGTTTTGGCGATAGAATGCTGATGGCTGTGACTGTGATGGGGGAGTAGGTAATGCAAACGACAGTCGAGCGAGTGATTCGTGATCCGGACGACGCAGAACCATCTACCGTGGTGCCTCTTGGCCTGTACATTGTCCGCGGCGACAATGTCTGCACCGTAGGGCTGGTCGATGAAGCGCTGGACAACAGCATTAACTGGACCAAGGTGAAGGGCGCCACTATTGGGGGGATTAAACACTCTTGAGGTGGCACACGGGAGGAAGGAGAGGAAGCCAAGGCAGAAGACAGTGGGAGGCATGTGTGTGAGTGCCTATACTTGCAAGCTCCTGGCCGAGGATGTTGAGGTCCTTGGGGCATCTCTGCTATTTGATGCCATTCGGGACGATAAAAAGGGTATTTGAGGTCGTTACGATATCACGACTACATTGGCACTGGCACTAAAATTGGCATATGAAAGGAAAGGGTATGCCATTTCTACTACCTCAGCGCTCTCTATACCTGTTAGTTCTTCGCTGACACACTCCAAGAGAGTACATGGTGGAGCCGGCTCAGTATTGGCGAGCAATGGCAATTTGAGATACCCCCCTAAATAACCTATCGAGCTTTATTCAAACAACCTTCTCATCAACTCGGTAGCGAAGAGCTCTGTTCCCGGAGACTCGACGATCCTGTTGATCCTATTCCCCTTCCTGGTACTAAGCCAACCCAACGTGTCGCCTGGGACCTCGTCGAAGGTCAGTGCCTCCATGGGATCATCAGGGTGGGTCTTGACGGCCGGATTCTGCCTCTCGCCAGGCTTTGCCCGGATGCGGCGGTCTACGACGTGCACTCCCCGGGTCCATTGCCCGACAGTCTCAACTCTGATGTCCTCGAGTTTTGGGACCGGCTTCCAGCCCGGCTGATCCCGCGTTAACAGGTACCAGATGCAGAGAGGATCGTGCAGTGAGAGGGCCGCTTCACTCCCATCGCCAAGGATGGAGTCGATCTTGTCGAAGGTTCTCAAGATGAATGTCTCGGTCCACTCAGCCAGGGGGCTACCGGCTGATTTGAACTTCTCGATCTGCTCAGTGAAAGAGACTCTTCGGATCTCATGGGGTGTTGTGATGTCGAGGGGGAATAGTGTCAGTTTCAACTGCCGGGGAAGGACTGCCGGATATGGGGGAAGGCCGGCCACGTTGTTTGGAGCGGGTGGCATCGTCGACGCTGGCGTCGGGGACGTCAGGGCAAAGACCCTGGCCGCCGCCACGGAGTCGGCATAACAGTTGAACTCGGCGCCGGGCGTGATATTGCCATTCACCTCTATAGCCCCACCCATGACTACCACTTCCTTTACCCGAAGGAAAGTCTCGGGATCCTCAGCCGCGGCAAGAGCAAGGTTGGTCAGGGGCCCAATGGCAACGATGGTTATCGTGTCCTCGGGCTCTTCCTTCAGAATACGAAGTATCTCCTTGTGGGCAACAGTCCTTGACGGAGTAAAGTAAGAAGAATACGCTGGCGGCTCAGAGGTCTGAGCTGGACCGCTCGTACTGTCTAGAAAGAGCGACCGCCATGTATCTGCAGGAGTTAAGTGCGGGTGCTGAAGCGGTTAGGGTCAAGGTTTATTTATAGTCCTGAGAGAGAATGTAAAACTCACAGCGTCATGAACACCGTGGAGGCCGTCCGCGCCATCTATGCTGGGTTAGCCGGGATGAGTATTTATAGGGCCGATGGTATTACCTACGGAAGTGGTCCGCCATCAGGAGAGTATCCTCCAGGGGATGCTCGGCGCCAATAGCGACAATAGGCTTGAAGGCCTGTAAGGTCCCATAGCCGCCTGTCTTGCCTACGGACTCCCGCCACTTCATCTCTTTCCCGAGTACGTGGAAGATAGCCACTACATTGCGCAAGCAGCTGTATAGAGTTGCTGTTGTTAGAGATATATGTGAGTGTGAGTAGGGAGCAGGAGAGGCTTGCCTTTGGAGTTCGACGTTGCCATATGTCACTGATATCAAGGCGATCTCCAACTCATCAGGCGAAGCACTGAGAGCAAGGAGCATGGCAAGGACATCATCAACTCCTATTGAGTACCTATCATCAGTGGCTATTTCCTACTAGCCCACCAGGGAGAGTCGACAGGGGGAGGCCAAACCTGGATCGGTATCGATGATGATACGGTTCTTTGGCGCCATGGTGGATAGCGGGGGCATTCAGGCACGGAATAATGGCAGGATAGGCCAAGTCGGATAAATGGAGTCACGACGCGGAGAGGTTGCTGGCTGTTGCTTTCGACCAGGTCTTACGCTGCTAATTGGAACTTGGAAGTCGGCGATGCGGGCGGAACGGTCTGGTGGTATCCGTGCCGGACCGTTTGCAGTCGTAGGTACGGAGGATTCCCTGCCTTACTGTGTAATGTGCGCCATGTCGACCTACCTAGTTAGTACTTCACTACTCTGGTTCGGCCCCAGTTTCGGTGCCGACTCCGGCGAGCACTCAACCCGCACGCCTCGGGGTCTTGGCAGTGGCTCCTGGCAGGTGTAGGCCGTTAAAACTTACGTACCTCTACCCCGGGAACCCTCAAGACTACCTAGGTAGGTACAGTACCTTACCTACAGCTCTGAATTGGCGACGTAAACTCCACATATAGACGCCTTGGAACAACGTTTGAGAAACACGCTTGTTAAATCCCGACTGTCTCAGAAGCCTCTGGGACTAAAAGTCATTTCACAGTGCTTCTGGACTGTATACATAATCTCCCCTTCGGTGAATAAGGCTTGGGAATTTGACGCGCTAATAGATAGGAGAGACCACATGTCACAAACGGAGGTACAAGACATCTGGAATGCAGTCTGGTGTCTCTCTGTGATACGCCTAGTTGCTATTGAAGAAGAATTTTGGCTTGCTTCGTCACCCACCGTGTCAGTCAGATCGGTTACTTAGAGTTCGTCACGCCTTCACTTGGTTGTTGAACACAAGAACAGGGGCGTGCTAGGTGAAGCAGAGAGGCTTTGGGGCAGGTAGGTACCTTCCCAAACTTTAAATGAGTACCTGCTAGTGTAGGGAGGTACCTGCCGAGGCGAAGCAACGCGGCATCTTTGGCCCGAAATGGGAAACCACTGGCCAGTGGATCCATGAAGCCAGCATTGGATGCACAAGACGAACTGCTGAAGCCACCTGTTTATTTCGCGTTGCTGAAACCTTGAGGGTGGCATCACACACAACATTCGGCAGCCTTCTCTCTCTCATCAATTTGTTTCTCTCCCCAAGCCCGCTACACCTCTGCCTTCCAAATCCGTCTAACTCTCCTCGTATTCCCTATTCCTTGTCGCTTGGGGTGGGTATCCAAGCCATCCCTATTTCATCTCCAACTCAGGCCAGACTTGCCACATCCAGAGAGTCTACAAAATCTCGAGCAACAGAAACCTTGATCTTCATCCCCCAAAAATCTCCCCACTTTAGCAGCTCTCCGTCCCTTGCCAATCGGGTCCAGACGTCAATTCATATTCCTTTCTCCCTCCACCTTGAAGCACCACAGAGTACAGCTCTGCTTCTTCTTCAGCGCAGATCAGCGCAGAATCTCGACCTTCTCACCTCAGCATTCGCATCCCAGCAGCCATAATGGGTGCCTCCCTCTCTACACTCGGAGGATGGACCCTCGTCCTCTGTATCGCCGGCTACTATGCCTTCAGATACATTGAGGATGGAAGAGCGCGCGAAGCCGCCCGGGCCGCCTCCCACAGGCAAAGACTGGAGGACAGACAGAATCTCCAGAGTCGCAAGGAGAACAAGGACAAGGCAAAGCGGCAACGCGGAGGCTCATACACCAAGGACATTGAAGATTCGGACAAGGCGACAAAGGCCAAGCCACGAACCTCGAAGCCCTCGGTCCCCACCAACCAGGTTGTCGACTACAGCTCCGACGATGGCGCTGACAATCGGGAATTCGCTCGACAGCTCGCAAGCATCAAGCAGGGCACCAGCTTCACAGGCCCCAAGAAGGGCGACGAGAAGCGACAGAAATCGGTGAAGCAGTCGCAGGCCCAAGAGCGGGAGGACAAGGTCTCCGCCCCTTCCTCTACGGCCGGAGCAGATGCCGATGATGATCAATCGCCAATTGCCTCCCCCGAAGCACGCCCAATTGATGCCGGTGGTGTCTCCGATATGCTTGACCAGCCATCTAACAACGGCCCTTCGGTCCTCAGGCTGACCGACACGGACAAGACCAAGAAGAAGGAGAAGAACGCCAAGGCTCCCGAGAAGACGGAGACGAAGAAGCAGCGCCAAAACCGCCAGAAGGCCGAGGCTGCAAAGCTGGCCCGCGAGGAAGCCGAACAAGACCGAAAAGTCAAGCTTGAGGCCCAACGGAGACTCGCACGGGTGTCCGAAGGCCGGGCCGCAAAGGACGGCTCCAGCTCCGCTGCCTCCTATAATGGGCCGTCTGCATGGACCAACAATGGTCAGAACGGGACTTCCAACGGCGGCAACTCCAACGGCGGTTTCATGCCTGTCCAACCCCTCGATACCTTCAACACGGCGCAGCCCGCGAATGCCTCGAAGGCGCCAGCTCCGTCAGCTGGCAAGGCTGATAGCTGGATATCATCCCTCCCTTCAGAGGAGGACCAGTTGGAACTGCTCCGAGACGAGGAGGAAGCTTGGAACACTGTGAAGGCCAAGAAGGCCTCTAAGACGAAGAGGAAAGAGACTACCGGCGACGACGTGAAAGCCAACGAAGCTATTTCGAAAGCTGAGCCGGTCGCACCAGTCGCCTCGCAACCTGTTGTCACCAAGGCACAGAGTGCTGGCGTAAATGGAAGGCCCTCCAAGACCTTCACCCAGCAGTCGTCCTTTGCCGCACTAAGCTCAAACGATGAGCAAGAGGTGGAAGAGGAATGGGACGTCTAAGGATGTTCCTCCAGCTGTCGAGTGGCTGGGCATGGGCATGGATATGGGATGGGAGGCCTTTTATATTTTATTTTCGACCCTACTAACCAACCTACCTAGCTAGACATCCGTTGGGCGTTGGCCCATTGTTTCCCTTCTTGCGCCCCTCATCAGACATACTCGACGGTCCATCGGACGTTATCGTCGCAGCGGATTTCCTGCTTTTTCTTTTTGATCGGTTGGGCAAGGAGTTGACGACGCATGTACCATACCATGGGAAAAGCCAGATGGTATTCAGGCTTCCAGTCTTTTTCTATGTCGATAAAAATATGGGATCTGGCAGACGAAGTACCCACCCCGCAAAATGGCTGAAGCTGAGCCTATCTTTAGTAAAGAAGAGCCGCCGCAATGTATGTTATCCCCAGCAAGCTAGAAAATAAAACCCCCAAAAAAAAAAAAAAAAAGACAGCTGTACTGTTTCTCTGCGTTGGTGATTGATGCTTGGCATGTACATGCCTACACCAATTATAGGAGGGTATGTGCGCATCCGCTAGAAGTCGGTCTGTTGGCCCCAACGTGCATATCTGTTAGTATATCTGTTAGTCATGCATGTGCGTAATATCACCCCACCCCATCCCTTGGGTACCTACATTCCCACGAGTCTGGATTCCGAGGTGATTCATGGAAGACACTGCAGGCATTGGCAGGACAAGCCGATCTTCAGAATGCCAAGGAGAAAACAAGTTGGCTTGGTCAACGTCAGCTCCCCCTTTTGGTAAGCCGTTTTATTGTTGTTTGGTACCAAAACGCCCATTTGAGCCCGTGCGGGGATTTACGGGGGCCCACGCTGAGCACGACGGTACTTCCGTAAGGTGAATCCGGGGTTACTTCAAAATGATCCTCCTTACCTTATCCCTCATCTGGGTCAAGTCCATCCCTCGGGTTCGCTGGATGCCACGGTTTTGTTTCTTATTACCCTCCCTAAGCCCCCGCCATCGCCCTTCATTCAGCTCTCTTCAGCCCGTCTCTTCTTCATTTAGCCATTGTATACTGACCTCCACCTTCCCGCCAAGTCATGGCCGGTCGTCGTTAACCACGTCTTCCACATTCTCCCCCACATTCATTCCTACTTCGTACTACAGTAGCCCCTTTCTTTGGAATAATCTCGAACCAAGCCCACCCACCGAACCCCCGCCGCGATAACCATATCAGCACATATCCTTGGACTTAACGTTTCCGCGCAGCCGGTATGCCTTCCGGCGAATAACTACAGCAACGAATAACTTGGACTATTAACCCCTTTCCTGGCTACATTTTGACCCTGTGAGAGCCGCCATCGCCGACACTTGGATCCCGGCATATCCCATGTCCCGCTCTCACGCCACCGTAATACCCAAGATCTGAAGGCCGGCCCTGTGCCGCAAAACCACGCGTTTTGTTACCGAATGATCCTTCTTCGATAACCGTCTACCCTGCAACCCGGCGAAGGGCATTGGGGAGGTGAATACGCGAGAAGAGGTTCATAAACGATCCTGGCCTCACGTTGTCAAGATGTCGTTCTCCGTCGCCGTTCAATCCGCCGTTTTCTACTACCTGGCGTGCACCCCATGTGCTAAAGTTCGGCATCGCCACAAAGCCCGACAGCAGGCCAAAAAAGAGCGTGAAGAAAAGTCGCAAATCGAAACACGGCAGCCGGGGCTGTACCAACATCCCTCACCGTTCAACACAAATCCGTACTGGGACGAGGAGATCATGATGGGACCGAGCCTGCCAAAGAAGGGGAGGGGAGGTGACGTGGCAAGCAAGAACACCAGCCAAAGAGGATTGACGAGTGCCGGCCAGGATAGCGGCATAACTACGAGGAGTAGTCTAGCCACCAGCCACGGAGGGCCACCTGCAGACACCATCACTGCGGACACCACTGCGGACACCACCCTGGATGCGATACCAAATGCGATACCAAGCTCAGCAATCATACACGGGCTGGGAAGCGCCCCCACGGTAGTACCCGAAGAAGATGCCGATGCCGCGAGCACAGCACTGAGCAAAACGGCGTCTGTCTCAACAGGCGACGATTGGAACCGCAAACGGTACCAGCGCGAGGACGAGGAGCTGTGGGGGCACGAGTTATCTAGGACAGGTCACAAGCTCATGGATGCCATCAAGCAGGCCGGCACATCTGCGGGTCGCTTTGTGGAGGCCAAGTTGGGCAAGGAAAAGCCTGTGACGGATACAGACCGATATAACTTCTACTACCCGCCAAAGAACCCTCCGGTCAACGACTATCACCCACCAGTCGTGAGCAGCAAACCCTCGCACATAGACGGCCACCGCTGGATGTTGCAACCACCACCGCCGGCGAAGGTTATGGAGGGGAAGGTGCCCGTCAGTAGGAGTGCTAGCACGGCGAGCATGGTGAGCAAGAGAACCATGGCCTCGGGCGACGGTGCGCTTGCCCGGTTGGTCGGGGAGCGGGCTGTCGAGGCTAAGATGCGCATGGGCGAGACTCCAGCCGAGACTAGGGATCGCTCTAGCTCGTCGGCAAGCAGGCCGCACACCCGGAGGTCGGTGGCCACGCCCAGGCCGAAGAGCCAGCGCACTATGAGGAGCCGCAGCCTCAGTCTATCTGCCGAGTCGGACGAGGACCCAGAGAAAGCCGAACAGAAGCATAAATCAAGAACACGACGACCAGTCGCGGCACCTACCTTCGAGTCGGACGACGAGGGGGAGAGGATATCGAAGGGCCGAAAATCATCGGGCAACTCTATGCCTGCGACCCACGCGGCTCAACGACCGCGACTTTCGACGATTCTGAACTCCGACACAACCGAACAGTCTGAAGTGGCCCTGCGAAACGATGAGGGCCATGCCGAGCCAGCGGTCCAAGAAGTTACGAATGCAAGCCCAGGCGAACCGTCCGGCCTGACTCAAGAACAGCTCTCTGCGGATAGGAGCCTTGCATCACGGGCCTGAACCCGAGCCTGCAGGCTTTGCGGCGATTCGACTCAACGGCGCGTGTGCTCTACCGGTGATATTTCTTTCCTGGCCTCGGCCCCTGCTGTACTCACATCGCATTTGGTATACGGGATGGCATTCATATCTTTGGCTTGGTCTGCTTGGGTTTTCGGAAGGCGTCTGGCTGCATCGCATGGGTAAAACAGGGAAAATTAAAATGGGACAAGGGAATGACCTTGCAAACACGGCGTTGATTTTGGGAATTGCATTACCATACACTTCTGTACCTCCCTATGGAGTCGAAAACGGCCCTCCTACCTACCATGCCATACATATATAGCATTCGAGGGGCTAAACTGAGTTCCTGTGTCGTTGAAGAGAACCGTCCAAATCCTCGATGCCTCTGAATATTTCCCGCAAAAGTGTGTCTTGCCGTTTTTGGGTGCCGTAGTCCTTGATGCACCACCGTTCCAGCCCTTCGTATCGTGCCTTTTCTAACCATAACGCCAAAACAAGAGCCCAGTCAGAATGCCAAGAGAACGGTACCTCCCCCCAGGGTTTAGAGATGCATCCCGCCCTCATCATCATCATTGTCCATCCCGAGCTCCCTCATCCGCTGCTCCAGCCGCCTCCTCAGCTCCTCGTCCGTCAGCGAACCGCCCCCGCCTCGTGTGCGACCCTGCTGCCCCATCGGCCCGTCGAGGTGCACCTCACCGTTCCGGATCGTGCCTGTCTGAAAAGTCCCGTCCGCCCATGCCGAGTGTCTCTCCTCCTCCGCCCCGTCCGCTCCGTCCGCCGCTGACGCCGCCGCCGCAGCAGCAGAAAGAGAAGGAACCGAGTCAGCCTCCACGCCACTGTGCCCGTTGACGAGCGCGCCATCGGCAACAGTGGCCGCAGCCGCAGCCGCAGAGGAGGCGGCAGCAGCGGCGGCGGCGGCAGCGGCAGCCTCGGCGTCGGCCTCCTCCTTGGACTGGAACTCTGTCCAGCCGAGGCCGCGGGCCTCGACCTCGGCGCGCACAAGGCCGATGCGCTCCTGCATGCGGGCGATGACCGCCTCGTTCTCGCGGATCGCGTCGGCGCAGTCCGGGTCGGGTTCGCCGGGAGGGGAGGAGGCGGCGCCCTCGGCGGTGCCCTCGGCGAAGGGCCGGAGCTGCTCGTTGGAGTAGTCGAGGTGGGCTATGCTGTTGCGCAGCTCGAGGACCTTGAGGTGGAGGGTGGTGAGGGAGAGGTCCTTTATCGCCTCGGCGAAGCGGGCGGGGGTGATGGGGAGGGCGTCGAAGGACATGGTGGTTGCTCAGTTGAGGTTCTCTTGTGTGGTTTCTTTCAAGGTGAGGATATGGGCTTAGTTGGTTTTGGGCCGTGGGGTTGGATTGAAAGGCTTCTGAGAGGTGCCCGTGAAGGCTGAATGCCGTCGCTTAAAGCTACGATTGTTGGAGTCAGGGTCTGGCTCCAGGTTGAGATGATGTACGTAGACAGCACGGAAGCTTAGAGTTTAGTGTGGGATGACGCGGGGCACTTTCCCGCTGTGGGGCAGGGACTTAATTGCTGCTGTGGCTGCATAAAGTGCACCTAACCTGGCGTGCGTGAAATTTTTGGCTTGTGACCCTTCCCAAGATCAGGCTACCTACTATTTCTCGACAGCCTCATGCGACAAGCGACGGATTGAGGGCTGAGGGCTGAAGGCTCGCGACACGACGCGGCCTTGGCGCCTTATATATTGCAGCAATGACTACATCACTCAATGCCGCCGCCTTCCGGTCGAGACTCCAGCTCGCCATCGAGAGAGTCTCGAGGTCACCGGCAAGGTCGACCGGGCTCTCATGTGCTCGGTGTTACTCAACAAATCAGCCGCGCCCTGTACCACGGCTGTCTAGAGATCCCTTCGCCCGGACACCACTGGCAGCAAGTAGGCGCCTCCATTTCCCAAATCCGCAGATCCGCATTGGCGTGCGAACAATATTCTCGGGCTCAGTCATCAGGGACTATGTCGACCTACCCCCGAATTACCGAGACGACATTGGCCTCCCCTTCAGGGGGAAAGACCTTGAGCAGCACGAGGTCCTCGCTGCCTTTGGCCCAGGTATACGTCCTGCCGCCGCGAACAAGTTGCTACGTATCCTCCATGGCCGCAGAGTCGCCGGCACTCTCGACGACCCGGCTGTCAAGGTAAATACGGTGCAGTTCGCCGAGGAGCTGCAGAATGCCGCCCTTGCGTACCTTCGACAACGCGTTCCTGTCAACGAGATTGCCAACGCCGGACTGAGAGCAGAGGACGAGCTGCGGACGTTGGAAGGCTCGGAAGAGATGGAAGTCGAAGAGGGCGACAAGGCTAAGACGCCAGGATATTCGAGCCGTTTCAACATCTACAAGAAGGAAGAGGTGGACGAGACCCAACCGCAAGATCCTGTCTACGGACGAGGCGTGCTGGATAAAATACGAGCAAGGAATGAGGCCTTGTGGAAGGAAGAGCTCAAGCGGAGGGAAGAGGAGAAGAAGAAGCAGGAGGAGGAGCAGGCGAGGCTGAACCCGGGAGGCTTGCAAACCACCGATCTAAACCAGCCTCGGCAGGTCAGCGTGCGGATGCAGCAATGGATGGAGGCGGCGACTTCGGACCTAAAAGAGCCTCCAAAGATGCGGGCCTGGGAAAGGCTCCTGCCGTCGACCATCGTCGTGGCGCTCCTCGTGGGCGGTCTCGTCGCCTACGCCGAGTTCTATCGCCCGCCGCAACGCAAGGCAAGGCTCTGGCCCGACGTCCCCCCCGCTGCCGCCACGGTCCTTGCACTGATTGGGCTCAACGTGGCCGGCTTCATGCTTTGGAAGTTCCCGCCCCTCTGGGGCATGATGAACAGGTACTTTATGGTCGTGGCAGCGACTCCGAAGCCGCTCAGCATCATCGGCGCCATGTTTTCCCACCAGAAAGCCAGCCATCTGTTCACCAACATGCTCTTCCTCTGGTTCTTCGGGGTCAGGTTACATGATGAGGTGGGCCGGGGCAACTTCCTGGCGGCGTATTTCGCGTCGGGTTCTGTTGGGTTCCTGGCCACACTTTACTCACTTGTGCTGAGGAACCAGCTGCATCTGACGACCCTGGGGGCGTCTGGCGCCATATACGGCGTCGCGGCAGCGTACTTCTGGATGCATAGGTTCGACGGATTCAAGATCCTTGGCCTGCCTCCCGACCCGTCGACCGGTGTCCAGGGCTTGGGCTTCATCGGCTTGATGCTGGCTGTGAACATCTCGGCCATGTTCTCCAAGAACCATATGTTGGACATCGCGTCCCATATTTCTGGTATTGGGGTGGGCATCGCCGCCGGCCACCTGCTCGAGAAGAAGATGAACGAGAAGAAGCAGCGGTTGAGAGAGGAAAGGCAGACCAATCTGGGAATAGTGGACAAGCTCATGGAGAAGAAATAGTTGTCTCGATCAAACCCCATATAGGTATAGGTTTTGTATTGTATTGTACATTAATCCACTGTATAGACCTGTATTCAAATGCGGGAACGCAAACCATCTCTACTGCGTAGTGTTGTCTGCTCGAGTCCCTTCCTACGGCTGATAGATAGGTTACAGGCGAATCCATATACGCGAGGCATGCATTTGATGGCATATCTGTTGCTGGCGTATTGGCGCGGATGGTTGAGATCTCATGTACGCGAGGCTGCAGCGGTTGGCCAGTCGATGCTGTGTGAAATGTCTCCATTGTGGAAGGGGACGCAAGGTATTCATCTCTGTGGACATATTGCGGGATGGCCTAGCGCCTGTAAGCTCTTGGTGATATCTAATTAGTGCGAGCCCTCAAGTGCCAATTAAAGTTGGGCGTGGCACGATCCTTTAGCAATAGCGACGACTAGCCAAATGCTCCTGCTCTAACAGTTAAATGCCCCTGAGTACCTGAATGCCCCTGCCCGAATACCTAATTGCTCCTGCCAGAATAGCTAAATGACCCTGCCCGCGGAGACAATCCAAGTTTTTAAGGGGCCAGCAATATACTTTTTAAGGCATGGCTTCCGATCGTCGTGCTACGTCATGTGGGATTATGTACTACTATGTATCAACTGTCTTCGGAAACCCGGCAAGATACTGGTAGGTACTTCCCCCTAGGCTAACATGTGAGCTTGATTTCAAGGGTCTTGGCGGCGTACCTCCTGTCCTACCCAGAGCAGCGGTCTGATCGTCCGATCTTGTTGACACGCCTGCCCTGCAGCCCAGGATCGAGTTATTATTACTTTTCCCCAGCTTTATCCACCGTCTTTTTCGCCTTCTGTTCCTTGTCTGCGTTTGGCCGTCCTCCACGCGTATAGTTGGCTGCGCCCAGGAGTATGAGTGACGCACACTGCCATTTTCAAGGATTGACACGGCACACGGCACACATTGGGCCTTGAATACTAATATCCAGGGGATTCACACATTCTCGAGGCGGGCGAACCTCCCTGAACAGCTCCACAACCGCCAGCCATGTCTTCTCGCCGTGATCCAGACGACGACCTCTTCGATGACGAAGATCACGGAGACTCTAGTGGTAGCAATCCCTACGCGTCAGCCACGCGCTGGCGGCACCAGGAATCCTCGGCCTATGCCCGCCACGCGGCGCGACAGCACGGCCCGGCCGTCGCGCGAGAGCCCGAGGCGCGCGGCCGCGTCAACGACCTGACCGACTTCCTCAACTCGTCGCGCATCTCGCCCGACGACGCCGGGCACCTCGACAGGCCGCCCGGCACGCCGCGGTTCAAGCCCGTCTTCGCCGGGGCCGCCGAGGCGCGCGAGGCGACCAGCGGCTCGCGGCCCGTCACGGCGGCGGCCAATTCCCCCGAGCGCACGCCGACTGATGGGAAGGATATCGCCGTCGGGCCGCTGCTGAATTACAGGCGCATGGAGGGCACAACGTGGGTCGGGAGCGTGCTGGTGGTGACCAGGGGAGGCGGGAAGACGCAGGCCTTTGTGCCGACTCTGGTTCTGAGTCGTGCTGGGCAACGGGATGAAGGCGCGGGCGCGGGCACGGGCGCGGGCGGCACTAAGGTTGGGGGTGTTTGCCTCTATTCAGATCCCCGAAATACCTTTTGGAGATTCGATTTGTCCGTCCCGCTCGAGCAGGCCGAGACCAGGTGGGAGTACACGCTGCCAGACTTGCGCTTCGCCAGCAAGACGAAGCCCCAGCGGAGCGCCTTCTACGTCCCCGCCATTACAGAGTCGTTCAGGATCATGTTCCACTCTTGCAATGGGTTCAGCGTTGGAACCGACGAGAAGGCCTGGAGCGGAGCCGCACTCTGGAACGACGTCCTCAGGCGCCACGAAGAAGCGCCGTTCCACGTCATGTATGTTTCCGGGCGCCAAGATGAGCGGTAGAATCTGACAAGCTAACTCGCACAGGATCGGGGGTGGTGACCAGATATATAATGACGGGATCAGAGTCGCCGGTCCTCTCAGAGAATGGACGGATATCGCTAATCCGAAAAAAAGAAAGGACTACCCCTTTCCGGAGAGTCTGCGCCAAGCTTGTGATGACTACTACCTCAAGAACTACATTCGCTGGTTTGTCACCCGGCCTGCCGTCTAGCGATTCTATCACTGACTTTGACGCTTTTCCAAGGTATGGACTCGAGCCATTCGCTTCTGCGAATGGTCAGATTCCCCAGTTGAACATCTGGGATGATCACGATGCAAGTTGCCATGGAATCCTGAGCGGTGGTCCCCTGCTAACACGGATTTTCAGATCATTGACGGCTTTGGATCATATGTGAACGAGTTCATGAAGTGCGATGTAAGAGATGAGAACGCCCACTCTCGGCCCGGCCCCCTTTTCTGACGGTACCTGCAGGTGTTTAGAGGCATCGGTGGCACTGCGCACAAGTATTATATGCTGTTTCAGCACCACCTCCCTCCCCCGCCGTCGACGTACACCACGGGTGAGTGATACATCCTCTTGGAGAATGCGAGCCACACTCACAGTTGCAAGACCATGTCCTGGAATCGCCGTCGGAAACCGGCCAAGGGATTGACCCCGTCCAATTGGCCGAAGCCTATGTCCATCCACAGATGACCGAGCCAAACTACATCGTCGGTTCGAAGCCAGGGGTAAGACGAGCCCCAGCCTGGCCATGCTGGTCCATAAGCTTACTTGTACTCTACTACCTAGCCTTACGTTGCCGAACATTCGCACAATATGTTTGCGAGACTGGGAGCAAGAATAGCATTTTTAGGGATTGATGCTCGAACCGAGGTATGACGCCCCACGGGTATCGCATCAAAGTGTTCTGTCCCCGCCTCGTCTGACTCCAGTCTCGCAGCGCACCCGGCACCAGGTCAACTATCCCGAGACGTATGATCAGATATTCGACCGCTTACGGCTGGAGCTGGGCTCCGCAGCCCAATCTGGCAATCCATACAAGCATCTCATCCTCTTGCTCGGCATCCCAATTGCATATCCTGCAAGTCTCAGTCCGATGAGGCACCCCATAGCCGTTTGTTTACTGACTGGTTACAGCGCTTGACCTGGCTCGAGAACGTCTTCGCAAGCCCCGTAATGGGTCCAATTAAGTTCATGAACCGGAGATTTGGGGTCGGTGGTGGCTTCTTCAACCACTTTGACGGCAGCGTTGACCTCCTCGATGATCTGGACGATCACTATACTGCGAGAACTCACAAGAAGGAGAGGAACCTGTTGGTCGAGAGGCTGCAGGGCATCTGTGCTGAGTTCTCGATTCGCATCACGATATTAGGCGGCGATGTCCATCTGGCCGCGCTCGGGAGGTTCTATTCAAAGCCACGTCTGAACATCCAAAGCGAGAACGATCACCGGTATATGGTGAACGTTGTATCCTCGGCCATCGTGAACAAGCCTCCTCCAAGCGCAGTCGCAAATCTCCTCGCCCGGAGAAACAAGATCCACCACCTTGGCCACGACACCGACGAGACCCTGCTCAAAATGTTCGACAAGGATCCGGGGACGAGCACCAAGACTGCCAACCACAATCAGGTCACCATGCCCAGCCGCAACTTTGCCGTGATCACGGAGAACTCGCCCAATAATGCCGCCAGGCTGGGGCCGGAGACGGAGCCGTCGAACACCCTTGCGCCACCCCCGTTGGACAACCGGGCCAACGGCGACGCATCCAGCGTACGCCCTCCCGGCTCAAGCGCCGGCCTGAGCTTCCGAAGCAAGTGCTCGGGAGCATTCCCTGGCAAGGACGGGCACTCCCCACTCCACGCCGGCGAGGCCGGTGCGGGGACCAAGCACAAGGCCGCGTCGCCCACGGAGCACGGCAAGGGCAGCGACGGGGGCCTGGACATCTGCATCCGCGTCGAGATTGACCAGCACGACCGCGAGGGCCGGACAGAGCCGTACGGCCTGACAGTTCCGGCACTGACGTACGTGCCGCCAGCCCTGCCGCCCCCCGGGAGCGCGCATTCGCGTTTCAGTCGCCGTCTGGAGAGCCGGGCCACCTCGGTCACTGATGGCGCACCGTAGAGCGGAACATCATCATGCCGGGCGGCGGGAGTGGGAGGTTCTCTCTACACTGGCTGCAGGCGGGGACTGTGCTGGGAGGGAGTCAGTGTTGAGTGTCGTGTTATGGATTTATTTGGGCTGAAGATGAATGGAGCCATCGAAAGAAGGCAACCTGGTGCATGTTACCCTAAGCTATCTACGACTTAATAGAGAGCTGAAAAGTGAATGGGCGGATTTCGAACTACCGCTCCGATCTAGGTACCTGCCTCCATTTTTCTTCTTTCCCAAGAACTTCCCTGCCCACTGCAGATATCCAGACACCAGCGATCGTAAGTCTCTCCGATATTCGGCTGCTCGATGCTGCGCACCGACATGCGGCAGGCATCTCCTAGTATGTACTTGCTGATCTTGCCCTTGACGTCATTGGCCAATGCAGGTGGCTCCTTATCTCCCCCCACCGCCCCTCACCTCTAAAGCCGCGACAAAGCGAACATCTGGACTCTCCCTTGTGTCGGAGGCGACCGTCGACAAGGGGACCAAGCCCGAGGACGCAAAGAGTGTCACTTGACGCGGGCTCGATTACCTATAAGTTGAGCAGGTATCTTCTTGCTTCCTTCATCAAATGGCTTCCCGGAGAGTTGGCAGCTTGTTGATCAACGCTGGTATAAGTCGAGCTCAGTCCAATATCAGACCGAGACTACTGTCACCCTCAACACTATCACGCAAGACCGGATCGCAAATCAAGATGTCTACCATTGCTGCGTTTAAGGTGCCCAAGATTCTCAATGAGCCGAATGTACGTCTACCCTTCCCGCTCGATGTTTTGTCGTTCGCTTCGGATGGAGGCGCTGACGGCGACATTTAGCACCACTATGCCAAGGGCTCAGCCCAACGGGAGGGTCTGACGGCCGCAATTGAAGCATTGCAGAGGAAGGGTCCATTGGAGGTCCCCCTTGTAATCGCAGGCAAGGAGGTAAGTCGATCACTCGTCTACAGCTCGGCTACGAGCCTAGAGAAGAAACAGAGGAAACCCAGAGAGATTCTAACCTGCAATGCCGACAGGTCAAGACCTCGTCAACTGGAACCCAAGTCAACCCGGCCGATCACAATACCACCATTGCACGGTACTCGCGAGCAAGCCCAGAGGACGTGAAGAAAGCCATTGAAGCCGCCCTGGACGCCAAGGCAGAATGGGAATCTCTCCCCTTTGCAGATCGGGCCGCCGTCTTCCTCAAGGCGGCCGATCTGATCAGCACCAAATACCGGTACGACTTGATGGCGGCCACGATGCTGGGCCAAGGCAAGAATGCATGGCAGGCGGAGATTGACGCCGCTGCCGAGCTGTGCGACTTCCTGCGCTTCAACGTCCAGTATGCCGAGGAGCTATACGCCCAGCAGCCCGCCCATAACTCGACAGGAGTGTGGAACCGCGCCGAGTACCGGCCGCTCGACGGCTTTGTCTACGCAGTTAGCCCATTCAACTTCACAGCAATCGCGGGAAACCTGCCGGGCGCGCCGGCGCTGCTGGGGAACGTGGTTGTTTGGAAGCCGAGCGACTACGCCATTGCGAGCAATTGGCTGCTGTATAACATCCTGATCGAGGCCGGCCTGCCAAAGAACGTCATCCAGTTCGTTCCCGGCGACCCGCAAGAGGTCACCGATGCCGTGCTGTCTCACAAACAATTCGCCGCGCTGCACTACACCGGCAGCACGGCGGTATTCCGGAAGCTGTACGGCCAGATCGGCGCGGGCGTTGCCGAAGGCCGGTATGCCGGATACCCGCGGATCGTCGGCGAGACGGGCGGCAAGAACTTCCACCTAATCCACTCATCGGCCGACGTCGAGAACGCCGCGGTGCAAACTGTCCGTGGTGCCTTCGAGTTCCAAGGGCAGAAATGCAGTGCCACGTCGCGAGTCTATGTCCCGGCATCAATCTGGCCGAAGTTCAAGGATCATCTTGTCCAGGAGACTAAAGCCCTGGCCGTCGGTAGTCCCACAGACCACAAGAACTTCGTTGGCCCCGTCATCCACGAGGCTTCCTTCAAGAAGCTCTCAGGTGTCATCGACGACGCGAAGAACGACGCCGAACTTGAGCTCCTCGCCGGCGGCACCTACGACAGCTCCAAGGGATACTTCATCCACCCGACCGTCTACCAGGCCAAGAACCCCAGCCACAAGCTCCTCTCGACAGAGCTGTTCGGCCCAGTACTCACCGTGTACGTCTACGATGACACCGAAGACCCCGTAGGCGCGTTTGCGGCCGCGTGCGAGCTCGTCGACTCGACATCCGAGTACGGACTGACGGGGTCCATATTCGCGTCCGACCGGGCGGCCGTGCGCTTCGCGGAGGACAAGCTCCGCAACTCGGCCGGCAACTTCTATATCAACTGCAAGAGCACCGGGGCGGTGGTCGGTCAGCAGCCGTTCGGCGGCAGCCGGGCCAGCGGGACCAACGACAAGGCGGGGAGTATCAACCTGCTGGGGCGGTTCGTGAGCGTGAGGAGCATCAAGGAGGAGTTCACCACCACCACCAAGGTGGCGTATCCTAGCAACGAGGTTTAGATGGGATCGCGCATCTGATGTGGGCGGGAGACGGGAAGAAGAAGCCGCTTCCGGTATGGAATACGGATAATGATAAGACGAATCAAGGGCGGAAAGGCCACTACTCCCCAGTGGCGTTACACAATTCGATGCATGTACTGTACGTCGGCCCGAAAGAATGAAGATCGCAGAATTCGGAAGTGGCTGAGGTCCTCCCTACCATGTACCAGCTCTCTTGAGGCCAATTGAGCCCTCGATAAAGGGATTGGCAGAGAGAGGGCTTGTGATCCTGGCAGTTCGATCGCCCGGAGCTAAAGTGACGAGGTCTAGACCCGCCATTCCGTAGTGCCGCTGCTTGACCCGTCCCACTCTTCAGTCGACGATGGGGACCCAATGAATAAGATCCGTGCCAGCCTCATATCTGTGTCGAGGTTCGCAGGAGACAAAATATTGGCAGATGACCAGTGTCTTCTCCCGCGAGAACTGCATCATTTTCTGTCCAGAGCGGGAAACCCATTGAAATTCCGATTATTGGAGGTTCCAAGATCTGAGCGGAGCTGGCCAATCAACGGACCCACGTGCTCCCCCATTCGCTCCAGCTGCGCTCTGTCATATCCCAACACTAGCAACAAGGTGCGACAAGACAAGCGGAAGCTTTAATGGCATAGTGGCAGGGTTCCTGATGGGTGCGCACGCGACTCAATGGGTCCCTGGCGACCTCGTGGGCTGGATGACAATGATAACGCGGGCTTCTCTATCCCACTTCCCCTTCCTCCCCCTTCCCAGGCTCCGGACCATGCTCATTCGAAATGTGACCTTGCGTGAACTTTCCTTCCTCTGAACAGCCATCCATATCTTGTTCTGTTTGTTCCAGGCAACCTCCTTCGTTCCCATCTCGCCGTCCAGCTTGAAGCGAGGTGCCACAAGCAAGACAGGGCAGAAAAGATGCCTCGACCCATCCTTCCCCCGACCCCTGCATCCTCCACCGACCTCAAAGCCCAGGATGGTGCCAAGCAACTTGCCGCCCTCCAGCTGTCCTTCGAGCTGCCACCACCAGCCATGACCTCGCATGAGCACCCGCAACAGCCCTCGTCGTCCGAGCCAAACAGGGTCTCACCTACTGCTACTACGGGCGGCGCTGCGCCCCAGCAGACGCCCCCAGAGACACCGTACCCAGTGCAGCCGAGTGAGACGGTCAAGTCCCGCAGGCGGTCCTCGGCCAACCAGCCGCCGAAGAGCCAGTTCTCCCTGCCCCCGCCCCCGACCCGGTCGCGGAAGATCATCCAGGTGAAGCCGCGCTCACCGGACGAGCACCGCGGTTCCGGTCCCGGTTCCGGGCCCGGGCCATCCAGCGGCGGCGGCGCGAAGGGCGCGGGTGGTGCCGCAAGGTCGTCGGCGCACGCGGGCTCGCAGCAGCAGGCCACGACGGCGACGGCAGCCACCCCGGCTGCGGCTGGCGGATCGAAGAAGAAGCAGCCGTCGGCGACGAGCGCGGCCGGGAGGAAGATCGCGAGGAAGACGGCGCATAGCCTCATCGAGCGGCGGAGAAGGTCGAAGATGAATGAGGAGTTTGCCGTGCTGAAGGGCATGGTCCCCGCTTGTACGGGGGAGATGCATAAGCTTGCTATTCTTCAGGTTGGTGGATTTCCTTTTCTTTTCTCCCCCTGAAATCCGCCGTGTCGACTCAGCTGTCACCTACCGTTAAAGTGACGAGCTAATGTTAGTTGCGCTCTAGGCATCTATCGAATACCTCAGATACCTCGAGGATTGTGTGGCCAGATTAAAGGCTCGACAGGACGTGGACCCGGAGTCTCAGCCCGTCGAGCTCAGTCAGCCACCGCGCCCTGATCGTGAACAGTTCCATGCCGAACCTCGGTCCCAGTCATTCACAGGAGGCAACTCGCCGGATGTGGATATGACAGGATCAGAAGAAAGGTCTCCAACATGGACAGGAAGCCATCCCCGGTCACAGCAACCGTCGGTTTCGCCAGCTCTCATTGGCCGAGACTCCGGATTGAATTACAACTCGCGGCCTTCAGTCTCGACGGACCAACGTCACTATAGCTTCAGTGCGTCCGGGGACGTCTCTCCGGCCCTCGGTCCGCAGGCCTATCACTATGCGCATAGCACTCATTCTGCCTCTGGATCAACACTCACCAGCCCCGCGCTTGCTCCGCAGAGAGACATCGACCAGGAAGCAACCGCGGCTCTGCTGATGCTCAACCAGATCGACCGCAGAGGTATCAATAGGACCCCGAGTGGCCGGGGGATGAGTGTCCGGGATCTCTTGACCACTTGAGGAATGCCGGCGGCCAAATGGAAACAACACGCTCGTCGTTTCGACCTTCCTTGCTCTGTCCATGGATGAAGCGGCCTAGGTGGCAGTGGGAGCCTGAAGATCGGAGACTTGTCCCAAAAAGCTTAACTTGTTTCTCCGCCCGGGTGAATGCTCGGCGCCAGCATCTGGAAAGAGGAATACAGCTCAAAGTACCAGGGCATGGAGCCTTTGGTTATTCATTGCCAAACTGCTTCGCAGATTACTGTCACACATTCGTACACAGCGCCTTCTCTCATTTCGTTCTGGTACGGCTCATTCTCTGTGCCCCTCGCCGCCATATACCTCTACCGCCATGAACTCGGCACGCAGAGGTCCATTGTCCGTGCCAAATGGTTCGATGCTAGGATTGCTCGAGGTTTTGAGTCCCCCTGCGAACGCCGAGACCTAGGACTGTGTCAAGGCTGAAGTGGATTGGCCTTCTATCAATATGGTAATTGGCAAGATTGGCATGGTTGGCACGAGGATCTGCAATTGTGGCCCTATTCTCGCCGAGGAAAGGGGGCAGTTGGGGTAGGAGGGTGGACGTGCCTGGCTCTATTCCCCTCTTACAGGAGGTCAGATTGAAGAGTAGGATGGATATCGTTCTAGATTGTTGCCAGGATAGATGGCTCGATGGCTCGATGGCACGGGTCCCGCTGTCATGGTAATTGTTTGATTCGCTGGGTAGACACAGGTATAATGAGTTTCACCCCAATTCGAATCATACGAGGGGCAAGTTTTGACCTGTGTCAGAAGCTCAAAAATGGCATGTCGCGCAGCGGGATTTCTATCCCTTCTCAGCACGTGACATCCTTGACTTACACCACCAAGACGCAATGAGTAGTAGAACCAGATATCTCTACAGATAGAAGGTAGGGGCTGCGGAGGGAAAGTATATATGTTCCCCTTCTCCGTCTCTCTTTCACTCTATCTTCTCCTTTACGGCAAGCCGCAGCTTCCTTCAAGCCTTCTATCCCCTCAACTTCCTCTCTGGCCGGTCCACTTCCATCCCCTCTTCACTTCTTGAGCCGAGCCTCCCAACGGAGCCGGTGTGGATAAACAGCAGTCCTCGGCATTCTTTTGTTGTTTCCCTAGCTTTCCCGTCAGCCGGCCTAGGGAAAGCGTTCAAGACCCCGTCCCCGACTACTCATCAGCCCGCGACCTCCCACCGTACGACGGATCGGAACTCGATCCAGAAAAGAAGAGCCTTGAGGCCGCACGACGCCTTGGTGTTGAACAGAACAACTTCCTATTAAAGCTTCCAGTCAATCTTTCTATCAACTTTGTTACCACCACCCCGCCCTCATTCGAACCTCCCCCTTACTACCCCGGTCACGGCAAGGCCAAGTCCTTTCAATCATCCAACGCTCTCAAACCGAAGCCGCTTCGCCTCGTTCGAGACTCTCGCAAGAAAAGCCCGCCAGTCTTTTACTCCCGGAGTACCAAGACTCTCTTTCAGGGTGTCGCCTACATCAGTATAGACAACACCCCGCCAACCCCGAGGAGTATATCATTCAATATGGCGTCCAACCAAGCCATGCCAAAGGTTACTCCCCTCCCCAACGGCCCCCGTCTCCCGACTGGAGGCGTCGGAGGCGGCATGTCCACCTCCCAGACCAAAGAGGAGCTCCTCGCTGACCTCCGACGCCAGGTAAATCCTCTCCCTGCTCAACCTCGCCCTCCTCAACCTGCATCTATATCAGTATTTCATCCTGTCCCCCCCTCTCATTACCGCCCAGAACAAGGCGAGTGAGTAATGATTCTGACCCTCCCTTTTCTCGCCGGCTAGCTCGACGACTCGGTCTCCGACGTCGGCTCCTCCGTCGACTCCCGCGGCGGCCGTCGCCGCCGCAGACGCAACAACAAAGCTCTCGCCACCACCGGCGGGCTGAGCGCTCCGTATACCTTGCCCCGGCTCGCGGACACCAAACCCGTGCGGCTGCAACTGGGCCTCAATCTCGACGTCGAGCTTGAGCTGAAGGCTCGTCTGCAGGGAGATGTCTCGCTGACTCTGCTGTAGGTGTCCTTTCCCCCTTTTCTTTTTGTTCTCACCTGTACTCTCTACATCAGCGTCATCCATGCACTTTCAGCACCTCGCTTCTGTTGGAATCCGCGGGCTGACAATAGGCTCACACAGCAACTAAATGCAACAGAGTCGAGAAGAAGCAAACGCCCCGGCCGTCGACTGAGCTCAAGCCGGATTCCAGCGGGGTTGTCGAGAAAGCCGAGTTGTTCTATATGCGTATCGGGACGCTCAGGCTCCGGCAGCGATGGATTGATCAGGAACTAAGCCAGTCCCTGACCGTGACGGTCGCTTTCGGGCTCTCTCTTGGGGGTTTTGTTGTTGGCTTTGTCACGTCGAGATGGTTGGGCGCGGTTCCCTTGCCGTACTTGTCGTTTTGATTGTTTTTCTCCTACGTTTCCTTGCATCGGGGTTCAGGCGTTTGTGGGCATCTTTTTGCGCCGTTACATCTATCACCGGAGTGAGAGGCAAACACACGGGGTTGAAATCTGAAGACTGGAGATGGGTTTCACTTGTCCTTTCCAATGTATTAGGTATTTGGCCCACGTTCCAGTTAGGGTACTCCCAGGGGGCCATTCCCAAAATTGTGACAATAGAACAATCTGAAGAACCTGAGATCTCAGCATCATAACCGTACATCCCTAAAGAAACCTGCAAACTATCGGTGACCACACCTTTGTAGTTCTCTTCTGGTACTATGAGACCATGGAAGTTCGTTAAAGTTTGCTGGGCACTTTAAATGCCCATGTAGATGCTAAAAGTAAGGTAGGTGCGACCCTACTCTACTACCTAAGGTTTTGATTGAAGAGCAAAGAGGAACGCCCCTGCCCTTCTAGGAAGTTCAGCAACATGGATCAAGTCTGTCTGAGGAATGTCGTGCAAAGTAAGGATAAAATACCTATGGGATCTCTGTTCCGTACCGTTTTGTTGACATCAGTCTGTCTCCCTTTTCAGTCATTGACAAATTTAGCACCATGGCGAGCGAGTCTTCCGATACCGTTCATCCTCAAGGGGAGGCCGATGGCGACACCCTTTGTGAGACGATCATGGCCATAGATATGAAAGAGAGTGGTCAAGTTGGCTGTGCTTACTACGTTGCCATCGAGGAAGCCTTGTGTCTTCAAGAAGATATTGCCATGGCTGGCATGGAGCTTGTCGAGACGCTGCTCCTCCATGCACAGCCCACGACGGTGATCATCACTAACCGAGCGCCGGACAAGTTGATTGAATATTTGGAGAGTGGTGCCCAGAGGGTTGACTCTGATCAATGTATGGGACACGTCTCCAACCTTGCCGTTTTCCCCTGCTGACCATGAAAAAGCCAGTGACATCAACGGGGTATATGCCCTACGCACTGTTGGCTCATCCGAGTTCAACTACAACGCCGGAAAAGAGAGGCTACTCAACCTCAACTCGGAGTTATTCGGACCCCAATCCACCTTCTTTACCTCTGTTGCGGAAGATGATATGGATGACGCAGCAGGGGCTAGTCATGACGGCAAGCAGAGCAAGTTGATGAGGCTCGCCACACACATCAACCTCGATAGCCATCTGTCGGTAAGTATGTTATGTGTCCTCATTATTTGCTGAGTTCGTAACGTTGGCTCCAGATCGGATGTGCGGGCGCCGTGTTGAACGAACTTCAGCGCAGGCAAGCTGCCAAGTATTTGCCCGATGATCCAGACGCAATCCTCGCCTTCCGGGTCAGGAGCATTAAGATGCTGTCACTTGCCGACTCCATGTTTGCAAATGCCGATACTCTGGCAGCGCTCCAGATACTTTCTTCTGAGTCTCACCCAAACGGCCAGATGCAAGGCCCGGACAAATCGAAGTCAGGGGCAAAGGAAAACCTCTCCGTCTATGGGTTGTTCAAGTTTCTGGCCTCTACATCCCAGGGCAAGGCTAGATTGCGGCAAATGTTCCTCCGACCGAGTCTTGATCTTGACCTTATCCATGAACGGCAGAGGACCATTTCTGTCTTGCTCCGGCCGGAGAACTCTCAAGTGTTATCAAGCATGGTTAAGATGCTCAGGAAGGTCAAGAACGTCAAGACCTCCGTCCTTCATCTCCGCAAAGGTGTCGATCTACCCTCTCGGATAAGGTCGGTCAAGAAGGGGGTTTGGATGGCGCTATCGAGATTTGCTCTTGTTTCCATCGAGCTCAGGGAGGCAGTTCGCACTCTTTCCGGTGGAGAAAATCTCGCTATCGCCTCAAGGGTAAGAAACGCCTTCTGGTCTTGAACCTCAAGCAACTCAGTATGTCCCCAGCTTGAAGACGCTCACCAATGGTAACGGTGTGGCCAGGTGGTCAATGAGATCGAGCCACGGGACATTGTCAGAGTCGGTGAGATGATACACTCGGTCATTGACTTTGATCAATCGATGGAGAGCAACCGAACAGCAGTCAGGCGAGGTGTCAATGCTGAACTGGATGATCTGAAACACAAATACGACGGTCTCGATGATTTCCTCTCCCAGGTTGCCGCGCGCCTGGCGCAAGTGATACCCGAGTGGGCTTGCGAATACGTGCAGAACTGCATCTTCTACCCCCAGCTTGGGTTTCTTACAGTGGTCAGCCTGAACCCAGAAACAGGAAGGGGGAACTACGAAGGCGAAGGCCTTGTCGGCGATATATGGGAAACGATGTTTGTGAACGAAGGCCACGTCTACTACAAGAACACCATGATGAAGGAGCTGGACGAACAGGTTGGGGACATTTTTTGCATGATCGTTGGTTGGTCTTCCCCTGCCCCAGCTGATGCCAACCACTGACTTTTCAACCAGATAAGGAGATTGAAATCATCCACGAACTCGGCACAAAGGTCCTTGGGCATGAGGACGCGATGATTGCCGCCTCGGACTTATTTGGGGAACTTGACAGTTTCATCGCGCTGGCGCTGGGCGCGGAGAGATATCGCTGGACGATTCCACGGATGACAAGGAAGAACGTGGTCAAGATCCAGGGTGGACGTCACCCTCTCCAGGAGCTAGTAGTTCCTTCATTCATTGCGAATGACTGTGGTATACATGGGGGCTGTGGAGCCCGACCTGAAGAAGACGAAGACATGTCAATAGATGGGGAGGAGGTGCCGAATGGGCCGAGCATGTTGGTCTTGACGGGACCCAACCACTCCGGCAAGAGCGTCTATCTCAAACAGGTGGCTCTCATTGTCTACTTGGCACATATCGGGAGCTATGTGCCCGCGGAGCAGGCAACCATTGGCCTGACTGACAGGATCCTGACGCGGATAGCGACGAGGGAGAGTGTGTCTAGAAGCGAGAGCGCTTTCTCGATCGATTTGAGACAGGCAGCGTTCTCCATGAACTTTGTGACTCGGCGGAGCCTTGTGCTTATAGACGAGTTTGGCAAGGGAACGAATGCAAACAACGGCGCCGGCTTGATGACGGCTCTGCTTGATCACTTTCTCAGCCTGGGCGAGGAGACGCCCAAGACCCTTGCCGCCTCGCATTTCCACGAGATATTCGAGAACGGGTTCCTCGAGGAGGACGACAACCTTGCCTTTGCACACATGGCCGTGAGAGTGGACCTCGAGACCACAGACCCCGAAAACCAAGTGACGTACCTGTTCCAGCTCGTCCCCGGGCGGAGCACGTCTAGCTTCGGGAGCATATGCGCAGCCATGAACGGCGTCGACAGCGCGGTGGTCGACAGAGCCGAAGCCCTCGTGCTCTTGTTAGCGCGAAACGAGGACCTCCAAGCCGCCTGCGCGAAGCTCTCGGACGAGGAGGAGCGGAAACTCGAAGAAGCGGAGGCGGTGGCGAGGCGATTCATCGAGATGGACATCCCCACGCCACCGCTGCGAAGGGGTGGTATGCAGAGGGTCACCCCTGACGTTGATCTCTTTCGGCATATGCTGCGCGACCTCGTGTCTCCGCGACGAGGGTCAGGTTCTAGCCCATAGGCCACATGATGCGCTCCAGGGAAGTACTCGGATTCTTTTGGCCAGGTTAAATTGAATGATGGTGCATGGAAGGAACGGCTCGTCTTTATATGATTATGTTCTCAATGCGATGACCGCTCATATGGCCGAAGGGTATCTCGTTACATGGCCCTGTTGTGTACACAGGTCCCTCCCAGCAATGCACACCTTCTAACTTCCAAATCCAAGGGTGGTCCCCTAACATGAAACTATGCGCCGATGAAGCCCCTGACACCTGCTCCTGATAAATACAAAATAAACGCCATACTCTTTGTACTTTTCATAAACGTAGCTAGACCATTTGCGGTCCGTCGGGATATTAACCTCGAACCACGTAACACATTAGACCTTCCGATACACCTCCGGGCGTCACCTCAAGGCAACGGCAATGGCCAAGGGCAAGCCGGCCCACAGATACGACGGACCCATGCCCCGCCCCGCCGCGCTATCTGGCGGGGTTGCAAACGGGCTCGAGTCGGTCGGGTCCGTATTCGGCGCGGGCTTGGTTTTGGTGGACGACTGCGAGCTGGCTCGCGTCACCGGTGTTGTTGTTCTTGCGGGGGGTTGGCTCGCGACCGCCGTGGTTGGGGCTCTGTCATCTGCTGATGAGCCCAACGCCCTGGTCTCGGTCGGCTTCGTCTCCGACTCTGTTGTTGGCTCCTGCAGGGTTATTCTGCTCTGCTGCGGGGTGGTGGTCGGCGTCGTGATCGGGGTGAGTCTGGCGATGGTGGTGGTGGTGGTCGTCTCCGAGGTCGCCTCGGGCAGCCTCGCGATGAGGGTGCTCAGCACCCGCTCGGCCTCGTCGATGGAGCTCTCGGGGATCGGCTTGTCGATCGACGCGCAGCCCGCCTCCATGGGGTGCAGGAACAGCGCCTCGGCGCTCCGCACCTCGCCCGTGCAGTGGTGGTACATGCAGACCAGGACGTTGTCGAGGAAGGAGCCTCTCGCGGCCTTGCACATGCATCTCGGGTTGCCGATGCCGCAGGCGCCGTTGCCGATGCAGCTGTCGATGCAGGTGGAGAAGACGACTGACGAGGAGGAGGAGGAGGTGGTGGAGGAGACCTGGCTGAGGAAGGGGAGGATGACGGCCGTCGTGAGGAGGGCGGATCGGAGATGCTTCGGGAGTGCCATCTTCAGATCAATCTTGATCTCAAGTCTGCGTATGGGAGGGAATCGAAGGTGCGCGGGTAGATGCGCTCCTCCTGGGGGGACACCGCCGGGAGGACGCAAGATATGTGTGAACCCAGAATGGGCATCTTGAGGGCTGTCGCCAGGCGGCGCAAGCTCGAGGAATGTTGATTGTGGAGGCGGGGGGGGATTCCCAGGGGGGGTTGGCGTTCGGTTGATGGTCTGTGATTGGAGCTCCAATGCTGTGCGTATCCGTGCATGGCTGTCAGCTTTGGTAAGTTGAAACACCGCGACCCCGGCCTTCGCCCACTAGAACTTGTTTCTACAGCTCCTTGTTAATCGGGGGGGAGGCACTGCCCAATCAATAGTCGTGCTTCATCCAAGATGGGATTTCAGACGAATCGCAGGAGCAAGCGTTTCATGTTTCACGAAAGGCAGCAGGGGAACTTGTCAGCCCAAACCCAAGTTTGCCCAAACCCAATTCGACTGGATAATGTCGTCACAACCAGAAGCCCTGAGCTGCTTGCATAGCAAATTCCACGATTGGAATATCAACTACTTCAATTAGTCAATCTAGTAAGGCTAAGCAAGGTATTTACAAGTTTAGAATGGCCAACTTGAGATGTGTCGCTGAAAGGCGCCACTGCAGGGAATGTGGTGGTGTTTATAGATCTGCAAGATCAGATCCAGGGTGTAAGATCCGCCCAAATTCACTCGATTTAGGGGACGCTCCGCTTCGGTCGCAAGCGGCTTCAACCAATGCCCCCGACATTCTCATGCCAACGGGCAGTGGCCGAACTCGTTGGTTTGGACGTCATCGATTCCTGGGCAAGAAACATAGAAGATAGGGCACCGTAGTCCAGGTCTCGCAGAGTGGAACGGCCGAAGATGATGCCTTCGGATTAGCTCAGGAGTGCAAGAGCTGCTTCGACATCAAGACCATAGCCTCCAATCTCGAAGGTCAGCAACACTATCGAGAAATAAAAAGCAGAGTTTGTGGCTATTGATTTCGGGCGTTGCGGGGGTATATTGGGAACAAGATGCCTCCCGAGAAGGAAGCGATCACCATGGTGCCAGGGGTCTATTCCGTTGAGGCTGACAAAGTTGGCTGTCGCCTTCAGGTTGTTGCCTAACTGATGTCGCTGCTAATCAAGCTGTAAAAAGAGTATGTCACTTGTCAAGCCTGCTCCAAAGCCGAGAAGGTGTTGTTGGTTTCATAGTTTTACAAGGTTGTTTCACACAGGGGGTGAACCAGGATATGGGGCGGCGGGTAGTTTAGGTTCCTTCGCAGGCGACCGGAGCAGTCCGTGATACCCGTCGACGTGTAATTCGCCTCTCAAGCGCTAAAGTGGAGTTTATCATAATCGGCGATTCGACCGGAAAGGGGGTATTGGCCAAGCCCGACATACAAGATGCCAAAAACATGGCCCATTGTAGGGGGTAAGCACCCGCCTGACTGCAGGAGCATGTGGTCGCGCGACAGGATTGGCGACGCTATTGTGGGGTGGTGCTCTAGACCCCCGTGATGGGTTCAGCTGCGCCGCAGCTCACTAACGACCAACGATCACCACCCATCAGGTGTGGCGGCTAGAAGAGTGATGCCCACAGCCTCGTGCCGCCATGTCGGCGAGGGCGGTCCCCTAAAGAGAATCTCTTAAATCCTTCATCTATCCCGTGCTCAAGTTGCGCGCTCGTCTTTAGCCTTCTCCTGTACTTCTGCGAGAACCAACACCAACACCAACACCATAGCAGCCACAGCCAACAACTCGTCGCAATGGGAGAGCCCCGGCCTCCGAATCTGGCCGCACTCAAGAAAAAGTTTGAGGACTTTGACCTTGGTGAGGTGTATGACAAGGCCAAAGCTGCCGCCTTGGATCCAGAAGCCCAGAACTTCGTGGTACTGTTTGGACCGCAACACGCCAAAATAGCCCTTGACCTGGGGCTTGATGACTTTAGGGACCTTCAGAACTGGAACAATGATGAAGATTATCCCATTCGCTGGATGTGAGTCAGCCTGCACTTGACCTCAATCGGACAGGGACATGCTAACACTCTGTCCTCCAAAGTAACTTCTGGAACACGACGAAGCAGGAAGATGTAATCGACCACATCGGACAGGACTACGGCTTCACTCGACGGCTACGAGCCTCGATCACAGCATGGGACAAATACAGAAGGATCGTCAAAGACCAGTCCGCGAAGGAGAATAAGGAGAAGAAGAAGCAGTCGGAGCCTGAAAACATACACTCAACGGTGATCCAGAAGGAGGATATCGAGCAAGGGTTGAATGGAGTGCCCGATAAACATGCGCGCTCCCATACCGTCGCTATTCAACCTCGGCCGGATCTCGAAGAGCTTTCCTATTTCAGGCTGGTACAGAGTTCGATGAACTACATTACCGTCGACCACGGCGAGAGATGTAAGTTTACAAGACACCCGGTAATGCGGATGGAAACGGCCGCTGACACGCACTCAAAGTCACATGTATCGGCGCGAACTGGCTTCATTTGCGGTCCGAACATGACAAGCAATTGGTGCCTCCCAAACATTGGGCGTGGCTCACGCTGTGTAGTACGAGTGGCAAATGCACCGACACGGTGATATCTATCCACGAGGAGCCAAACCTGGAGGAGCCAAACCTAGCAGGGCCACCAGAGGATGCGAAAGTTGCCCTAGAACGGCGGCTGAAAGAGCTAGCGTTTATGCGGTACAACACCGTGGCAGTCCTCAAGCAGCTCTCCCTCATTGGCATTGCTCGCACCAAGGACAGCGCTTTGTCGTTGAAAGCCATTCGGGAGCCGCTTGGGCGCGAATCGTCACCTCGGATCCGTTCTTCCACTGCCGTTCCCAGGGAGAGGATCGCCGAGGTGGGATCGAGCAACCTCTTCTACTATCTTTTTGAAGACACTTTGGCGGTAGTTCCGGTCCTTAGCAGTTCAAAAGTGGCCCTCGAACATCTTGTCAGTTGTCCCCTCACTCTTCAAACCTAACCGCAACTTTGCTGACTGGCTTTCCGGTTTGACTAGACCAAGCGTATTCTTCGTAGCGCTGTAAGTATTCAAGGTGCCTTTGAGAAGTGAGTGACCTCAGTATGGCTAACAGTGCCCAGCGTATCAAGGAAAAAAAGACAGCACAGTCTGACATCATACCCGAGCTTCACAAGCTCGGAAAGGACCTTCGACTCTTGCAACATCTATTCAAGAGCTACAAGACCCTCATCCAGACAATCCTTACCCCTCCCGACACCGACGTCTCAGAACGTATCAAACTAGACCAGCAGGCCCGCGATCGATTTCGGCGTCTCGGAGACCGCCTTCAGTTGCTGATGTTGAACACGATCAAAGAGTACCTCAATGAGAAGAGTGAATTATCAAGCACGGTCGGTTTTCCCCTGTCTGCTTGCGGCCCGGCCCCAGAGGGGGGAAAGGAAGAAACCACAAATTCTGACGAGAATCACTAGTATTTCAACCTCACTGCGCAGAAGGACTCCCAGGCCACTGCCCAGCTGACGCAGAGCGCGACGCTTCTCGCCAAGCTCAGCGTCCTCTTCTTGCCCATCAGCTTCGTGACGAGCTACTTTTCCATTGAGATCCCGGGCCTGATGGACTCGTACACGCCCAAAACTTACTGGGTCTGCTTTGGAGTGGTCGCGGCCATATCCTTTTTGTGCTTGTTCTTCTTCGCTCGCCTTCTCATGGTCGTCAGTGACCGTCTCGACGCGGCGTCGGAGCAGCTCGCCCAGCGGGTCAAGAGAACTCTCTCCAACCACAAGCACAAGCACAAACACGATGACGATGGCGATGATCATGATGATTGAGTGGGGAACTTAAGATAGAGAGGACGTCCTGGGAATCTGTCGGATTTGAACTGCCATGGGATTTTTGGGTAATTTAAAGGGACTCGTGCAAGACTTGCGCATTTGGATAGGTTTGGTGTTGGGTAGTATGATGACCTGAGAGACGCAGAATAAGATAATAGACCGTGTGGAGGAATAGGCTGTTAACATGTCATGACACTAATTTGAATCACCCCGGTCGGGAAGACATCGTCGCATCGTTCATCATTCATTATCTACGTTGCTCTTCGCAAACCAAATATATAGAGAAATCAATCATGTACCCGTAACACTCGCTGTGAAACAGCAGTGAGGCCCCAAGCAGCCCAAAACCCACCCCAGTCGCTTTTCAACAAGAACGGGATCCAAAGATCTGCCCCGAAAAACGAAACACGAAAACCCCGCCGCTCACAGGCCATTCACGACCCCGAACCCAACCCCGGCGAGGCCGACCGCCCCGGCCAAAGCCACGCCGACGCCGTTGCACGGCACGCCCGTCGCCGCGGCAACGTTCGCGGTGCCGGTGCCAAAGTAGAAGCGCCCGACGCTCGTGCCCCTGTTGGTGCACATGTCGCGGCTCAGCCCCCCGCACGCGACGCCGCTGAGGCTGGAGCAGATGCTCGTCGCGCTGGCCGATCCCGGGGAGCCGCCGCCGACGCCGGGGGCGGGCGCGACGGTGGTCCCGCCGCCGCCGGGGACCACGATGGTCACGGCGTGGCCGCCGCCGCCGTTGCCGTTGTTGTTGCCCCCGAGCTCGACGGTGCAGCTGTCGTAGTTGCGGCTGCACTGGCTGACGGCGGCGGAGCAGGCGCCCGGGTTGGCGAAGGAGGATGCGGCGTAGGGGAAGGAGAAGTAGGGGTTTTGCACGAAGGAGACGGGCGTGGGGCCGCCGGTCGGGGTGACGAAGGTCGCGGGGGCGGTGCCGGTGCAGACGGCGCTGCGGGCGGGGGGAGACGGGGTGGTTAGTTGCGGGGCTGAGGAGTGGGGTTGAGTGTGAGGGCGGCGGGAGGAGGGAGGGAGAATGTGCCGCGATGGCTTCGAGATGTGATTTCTGTGGCGGCGAAAATGTGGGAGTGGGAGCAGGTGCAAGGATGCAAACTCACTTGGAGGGACAGCAGGCCGGGTTATTGTTTGCATCCAAGCGGCAAACCTGGCCGTTCTGGCAGCAGATGTTGTTGAATGCGGCGCCTTGGTCGGCGCAGCTGTAGAAGTTGGCCAGACATCCTCCTTGTCGTCTCGCAAGGGCTCCTGCGGTCTCGGCGGGCTGGAAGGGCTGCTGGTATGCGCAGACTGTCGGAAGCGGCGCCGCGAAGAGGAGGACTGTTGCCGCTCGACGCAGAAGGCTTTGACGCCTGCTTGTTCCCATCTCCGCCCAAGCTTCGCAACTTCTGTTCCTCACCGCTCCCGGGGACAGAATTTCGATCGGGTTGGGCCCAATATATCGGTGAGTAAATAGAATGGAACTGTTATACCGAGTGGTTTCGGCGCAAGTCGCAACAGATTCAAACTAGCAGGCTATTCGGTCTGGTCGTCTGAAAGTTTACAAACAATTGATTGTCCTCGTACCTGCGTTGTGGGCAAGAAACTGCAGAAACTCGGGGTGCAGCTGAAGTAGTCTGATATACAACCAACCATGAATGGCTCGAAGGAGTGGGAAGGTATGCTATAGGCTAGAGATGCATAGCGGAAGCTGCAAGAATAACCTAGTATGTATGTACAGTAAACCGGATTCGATCCCAGGCTCACGATAGACACTGCCTGCAGCCGACTCGGAAAAGATTTCGGCTCGCTCCTACAGGCCAATGTATTGTCGTTTAAGAGTGAGTACCTGGATATGCAGAACTGCTGCTGACTTGATCATTCAAAATTGTGAAATGGTATGTACCTAGGCACTGGATAATCTACACAAGCTCTAGACCAGTGATGTCATTTGCACACACCCAACCCCGGTCGGCTGGGCAACGATCCCACTAGCGCCCGAGCCACGTGACATGCATTGCCCCAGGCCGCCTTGGCCGTCATGGCTCGTGAGTCGTGCTGCAGAACCAGTGGACCACACTAGGCCACGATTTTGCCGTGGCCTCTTCGCATGGGTCAACTGCTCTGCTGACCCCGTAAATGCCCAAGAATGGCCCTAAGTCTCCTGAGCGCTTTGGTTTGGGGAGGAGAGTCCTCGGGCTTTGCGTCGTCCAGCTGCGCGACCTCTGAGCGAGCTTGTTCGACCAGAGAACTGAGATCACCCCAGACCTCGTCGGTGTACCTGGTGAGGACGTCGGACCATTGTCCAACCCAAACCTGCCACGCCTGACCTGGATCGGAGACTCCCACGTGCACAGAAGTTTCCCTCTCCTTTTGGCTATTTGATGGCACGTCTTCCCAATATCTCGCATTCACCCCCAGTCGAAGATATTCGGGCACGAAGTTTAGGACGTTATCCCATTCTTCCGAGGGCACTGCCGCATCAGGGGCATCCCCAAATAACGCTCGGCGAAGACCTTCACTTTCTTGTGGTGTCATCGATTCGTCCTCAATCTCGCCAGGGAATATCGCGTCGCCGCCCTCTGACAAGAGAGTTACAACTGCTTGCCCATCGTGTTTCTGCTGCTCGGTGACGGAGCTGTAAGCGTTAAGGTCACCGGCCGAATCGCCACTGTTAGGCATGGCTTCGCGTGGCTGCCAAGCCCTGTCCATTGCATCGGTCGGCTCTGCAGCCTGAAGTATGTTTCCATCATTGTCTAGGAAGCTTGCAAACGCTGCCTCTTCCGCTGCGACATGGGCCTGAGATTGGCTTGGTCGGAAGGATGCCACCCTCGATGGCCCCGGCTGCCACTGGACCGAGCTCTCGCCCACTCGTTGTGCGCTGTCATTCGCCGTGGAGGCCTGGCCTTTCTCTCCAGACAAGGACGCGGCGAGGGCAGCATTGCTGGACGGGCCACCCAAAACGGCACCCGCGAGCCCAGCTGCTGAGCTTGTGATTCGGCCTATTACTGACTCATCAGGGATGACCTCTGAGTTCCCTGCCTGGTCCGGGCCCGACTGCGGCTTCTTCCCTTGACGCTTTGCCTCGTCCCTGCTGGAATATCGATCCCCCATAATCTTTCCACTTGCAACGAGATAATTGGTGACAGTAGTGCACAATCCTGAAAACGGGAGGGGATTTGAATCAGTCCCGTGGTTGGGGAACAACACCGAAATAAGGTGATCACTGCCTAGCTCCGCGAGGTCAGTGACACAAAATATACGCAGACAACCTACCTAGATGTGATGATTAGGTTCTTGGTAGATGGAACCCGACCTTACCTATCTAAACGGTACCTCGGTTCAACACGGTTTGCACCGTGTAAAGGGTTGTAGAATCACTTAAATCAAGTACCTTATTAGCTCTCGGTGGTCTCGGTAGGGCCAAAGTCAAAGCTCCTATTTGGCGCTGCCACCACAGATTTTTCCATGTGTAATCTGTACTGTGTGGTAGGTGGTGTCCAAGTTTAGCGAGGTGGCACCTGAAAGGCGGGCAAGGCGGGCACTGACCAGATGCACGCTCGGCGATTATCGATTTTGGCTCTCAGAGCAAGCATCAGCTAGACTGTGGTCATTGCGCCAACATCGGGACATCACTCCCACCCACCAACATCCATATCGCCATTTCGAGCTTAATAACCCACTTGCCCCCCAAGGCGTCTTCCTAAGCTCCAAACTGCCCAGCCTCTCCCGACCTCACCAGCATTGCCCTCCCGATACCCCGCGTCGCTTCCCCGCCAGCCTCCATCCCACATCGCTGCCAGATTTCTCCTGCCTTTGTCAGCTTCTCGCCAGTCGTGACTGTGGCGTCAAGAGAGCCTCTTGTCTTTCCAGAATCCCGTCAATTGCGGCCACCGACTGCTCAACTTTTCCCACCTGCACTGACATCGATTTGCGCAACACGGCACCTCCTTTGACCCTGCCTTCACATTGACGTCTGGCCTACCCACCTTGACGAAGGTACGACCCTGCCCACCTCCCTACCTACCTACCTAGGTAGGTTTTAGGTAGAGACGTAGATCTGAACTAACCTATCTCGATCTACCCAGGTACCTTACCACCTACCTTACGTTACCCTACCGACCTCATCTCAGCCTCAACCACAACCTATCCTCCATTCACCTACCTAGGTACCTAATCTACCCATCTAGATAAGATACCTTGTATCCCAGCTGCCGCCGCGGCTCACCTCATTACCCTGCCGCAACTGCAGCCTTCTCTCTGCTGCGTCATTCCTCGGTGCCGCGCTCTGCGTTAACCGCTTCATACGAGCTCGTCGCATCGTCGCCATCCATCCCCAGCGACGCTACTTCTCGGCCTGACCGCCCACTCTCGATCCCTAACCACTTTTCTCTGGTAGAGTGGGGGCGGCCTCCACCTCCAGCAACTCATCCAGAAGATGGTAGACGCGGAAGCGAACCCGCCGACATGGAAGTTTACCCAGTATGTGACACCAACCTGATTCTCCCTCCGGCCCTTCTCGAGCCTGCCGGACTGCTGGCGACCCGCCGATGGCCATGATGTTTTCAAACCTTTAGCTCTACAGCTCTTGCTAAATCTCTCTCTTCCAGATGCTTCGGCGACAAGGGCGATGTCGAGGACATTACCGAAGGTATGAGACCCCGGCGTTTTCATCCCCTTATGCACCCTGCTCCTCACCAGGCCTCATCCTTGGAGCTATGGGCTAGGCTAACTTGACCTCGAACAAGCCGACATCATCTCTACCGTTGAGTTCGACCACACCGGAAACTATTTGGCGACCGGTGACAAAGGTGGACGCGTCGTCCTGTTTGAGCGAAACGAGACGGTCAGTTCGGAAACCTGCGGCCACAACCGCGATGCAAGCACCCCCCTTCCCCCCACCTATGTTGACCCTGGAACCAGAAAAAAACTTGCGAGTACAAATTCCATACCGAGTTTCAATCCCACGAACCCGAATTCGACTACCTGAAGTCCCTAGAGATCGAGGAGAAGATAAACAAGATCAAGTGGTGCCGGCGACAAAATGCGTCGCACTTTCTGCTTTCGACCAACGACAAGACCATCAAGTTGTGGAAGGTCTTTGAGAAGTCGCTGAAGGTAGTGGCGGAGAACAACCTGTCTCACGACCTGACGCCAGCAAACCTTGCCGGCGGCGGAGGTGCTCCAAGGGCGATATCGCAACCCCGGTTCAGGAATGCTAGCGAGCTCAAGCTGCCGCGTCTCACCCACCACGACACCGTAGTGGCCGCCGTTCCCCGGAGGACCTACGCCAATGCCCATGCATACCACATCAACAGCATTTCGGTTAACAGTGATGGGGAGACATTTATCAGCAGTGACGACCTCCGCATAAACCTCTGGAACTTGCACATCCAGGACCAGAGCTTCAATATCGTCGATATCAAGCCAGCGAATATGGAGGAGCTGACCGAAGTGATTACCGCTGCCGAGTTCCACCCCATGAGCTGCAACTGGTTCATGTACGCAAGCTCCAAGGGAACTATCAAGCTTGCAGATATGCGAGAGAGCGCCTTATGTGACCAACATGCGAAACGTACGTGTCTCGCACCCACCCCTGGCAGGAACATGACTGAGGAACCTACTTGCTAACTCGCGACCAAATTTTAGTTTTCGAGCAAGAGGAAGACCCTTCGTCGAGGTCCTTCTTCTCCGAGATCATTTCGTCCATCTCAGACGTCCGTTTCTCCCACGACGGCAGATATATCCTCTCCCGCGATTACCTCACGGTCAAGATTTGGGATGTCAACATGGAGAGACAGCCGGTCAAGACGATCCCGATTCACGAGCACCTTCGGCCTCGTCTGTGCGATACTTACGAGAACGACAGCATCTTCGACAAGTTTGAGGTTGTTTTCTCCGGAGATGCTAAGAACGTCATGACAGGCAGTTATAATAATAACTTCATGATATACCCGTCTGACCCGGACAAGGAGGTCGAGGTCGTTCTTCAGGCCGACAAGTCGGCCTTCAAGGCTAAGAAGGTTGGGGTTCCGACACCGATCAACTCGGCGACGAGCCCAACCGCGAACGGAGGCAAAAAGGGCGGTTCACGAGCCGGTAGCCCGGCAGCTGGACAAGGCCAAAGAATGCGCAAGGAGACGGACGCGGACCAGATCGATTTCAACAAGAAGATCCTACACATGAGCTGGCATCCCTTCGAGGACAGCATTGCAATTGCAGCAACGAACAATGTGAGTCTTGTCATGTTCAAAACGGGTCCAATCACGAGCGATTTCTAACTGCAGACCAGCTCTTCGTCTTTTCTGCGCTCTAGAGGATTAGATTCCACGATACCTTGGGGCATTGTCGGTTGGTGGCTGGACTCTCCCTCTCCGAGGTTTCTCATTTTGCGGTGGCCGGTGAGCTTTCGAGGTTGGATTCTTGAGGATACTGGTCCAGAATCTCGAATCCTTATTCTCGTTTTCTCCTGGCGTTCCAGCGACTAGAGACCAACGGTTGTATGGGAAGGTCGCATGAGTTACGAACCATAAGCTAAGGTGGGGGCGGAAACCATGCATTGGGGTGTGGGAGTTGCTGTTTGTTGATAGCTGGAGGAGGGGGGGGGGGAAAGAACAAGAGCCGCCCGAAGGCGTGTTTGGGAGATCAGCCAGTGTCTGTTATAGCTGGCAGTGAACAGGTGAGACACAGCATGGCGGACAGTCAAACGGAACGACCGGGGCTTGCATCTACTACAGTGAGAGAGCAAGGCTATAATCAGCCGAGGGTTGGCATAGTTGGCATAGACCATAGTCAGAGTAGCCAGAGAAAGATACGTTCAGACGTGACAGACGTGGCTGCTCCTTGTTTACTACATCTCCGCACGCATCCAGTATTTCAGCCATGGCGGAGATGTCACAGCAAATCCTGGGAAATCGCCGATAATACGGGATGGAACAACCTAAGGTAGTGTAAAACAACCGGGCCTTAAAAGAGGTAAACTTATAGACTAGCGCAAATGTAGGGATAATGGCACGCCTACGCAGAGGTGGCCAGCAACGTTAACTTAGCTTAGCTGGCTAGTAGGTCCGTCAGGTCATGCCGTCGTCGATTTCCTCAAAGGGAAGGTACCGGTACCTTGCATGTGGACGCATGCAACCCCCGACATACCGTATGTACCGAGGAAATCTATCCCAGCAGGCCCGGCAATGGTCAAGCCACTGGACGTTCCCGCGCTGCACCAGAAGCTTCACTATTCATCTTGTAATTTTAGTGGTCGCTGGCAATCTGGAACCCTGCCTGCGTCCCCGTTGATCCCCACCACTGTAGGTACCTACTTTGCGACCAGGCGGGAAAAAATCAACTAAAATCCATAAAATAGAATGGATAAGAAAAATGAAAATTAAAAATGGTGGTAGAAAGGGAGGGCCGTGAGATTGGGAAACTGGCCAGACGGGTTGCTCGGAATCCAAAGCCGTTCGAACAAACCCTTTCTTTCTACCTACCTACCTACGGTACCTAGTTTGTCTCGTCGTTTCCCAGCCCTTCCTTCCTTCTTCCAATCCTTCCTCTCACTCCACTCCTCCTGGAAGCCTGAAGAGGGAAAAGGCCACAGTGTAATTCGTACCCCGCCACTCACTCCCGGCCGCCCTCCCAAGTACAATCCGCGTCTCCCGCCTTGTCACCCTTAATTTTTTCTTTAATTTTTTTTTCCTGCCGCTCTCCCGGAGCTTGGAAGCTTCCTTCGCTTATGAATTGGTAACACTCGCCGTGACGTGGCCGGCCATGACAGCCTCTCGCCGCCGCCAGGCGCAGCTCAAGTCGCAGCAAAATGCCGTTGCTGCCGCCGCCGCCAGCAGCGGCAAAGACCGGAGGGAGAGGGCCGCCGCTGCCGCCGCCGCCGCGACGACGGCGAAGCCGGCGACCCGCGTCATCAACGCAGCTCCCTCGCTCGAGAAGGCCGAGATGTACGGAATCGACGACAACCGCCCTGTTTTCAGCCGCGCAATGGCCCTCGCCGGGCGCATGTTCATCGAGACTATCCCGCAGTGGCTGGCCGTCGGGGCAATGCTCTCCCTCATCTTTGGCGGGTGCTGCTCCAACGTGTTCGCCCTCGAAGCTATTGTGAAGGTCGAGCCGGGTAGTGGTAGGTTTCCCCCGAATCCCCCCCCACACACACAAGAAGCGAGGATACGGAGTGGAATTGGGAAACCGGGGTTTGCGCTCGCAGTTGCTGGGTTAGGTAGGCTAACCATGTCAAACATTGAAGGGACTCTCCTTACTTTTGTCCAATTTCTCTTCGTGGCCATCGTTGGGCTCCCCTCGCAGTTTGACCGCACGCGGCCGCCGTTTTTCCTCAAGCCGAATCGCGTTCCTCTCCGGAGGTGGCTAGTCAACATCGTCTTGTTCTTCAGCATCAACGTCCTAAACAACCACGCTTTCAGCTACGATATATCGGTGCCGGTGCATATTATTTTACGTTCGGGAGGCAGCATCACCACCATACTCGCTGGCAGTCTGTATGGCAAGACGTACTCGCGTATCCAGGTTGTGGCTGTTCTGCTCCTCACGGTCGGAGTCGTCACTGCCGCCTGGTCTGATGCACAATCCAAGGTTTGTTGTTTGTCGCATGCTCAACATGCCGAGCCTATGCCTCTAACATTTTGGCAGGGAACCGCCAACGGTGAACACCACGACGACTCGAGCTTCGCCACCGGTCTCTCGATCCTGTTCATCGCACAGGTCTTGTCCGCCATCATGGGCCTCTACACCGAAGAGACCTACAGAATATACGGGCCCCAGTGGAAGGAGAACCTCTTCTACTCGCATCTTCTCTCGCTTCCGTTATTCCTCCCTTTCCTGCCGTCCCTCACGAGGCAGTTCATGAAGCTCGCAAACAGCGCGCCGGTTCCGCTTCCAGTGCGATTCCTCGCTGAGTATACAAATATATCACCCGGCGTCCAGGAAGCGCTCGAGATGATCCGCATACCGAGCCAATTGACCTTCCTGGCCCTCAACGTGCTGACCCAGTACGCATGCATCCGCGGAGTTAACCTCCTCGCTGCGGCGTCGTCAGCGTTGACCGTAACCATCGTCCTCAACATCCGTAAACTGGTTAGCCTGCTGTTGAGCATCTGGCTTTTCGGAAATCGGCTGGCGCCGGGCACGCTGCTGGGAGCCGTCGTGGTTTTCTTCGCAGGAGGCTTGTACTCGTTTCACGGGAAGAAAAGGCCACCGAAAGCGAGGGGGAAAGCTACTACGGGTGCTAAGGGCGATTGATTTGACCGGCTAGCTACGCTACTTTTACGTGCGGTGTGTATTGTAATGATATTCGAGCCGCAAGGTAATTGTAGCAGTCGAAGCCTGGTTTTATGGATTCTATCAAGTGTGCAGCCGTCAACCTAAGTGATCGTGAACTGCAAGTACCATGTACTTCGTTCGTAACAGCGACTTGGCAGGTCAAGTCCCGAGCGGCTAGGGTCGGCACTAGCGTAGTTCAGCCCTTCTGCAAGGGGTTTGGTACGTCATAATTCGCCGAAGGATAGCGTCGTCTGAGCAAAGCCGACACACAGCCAAGGGGTCTAAGCTTAATTCTTTCTGACTCGGTATCTGTTGGTGTCTACCGCTGATCCTCGATACCAACAACCTACATACGTAGGCATTAAGGGGTGATTGAGATACTTCTTTCACTGCTCCTTGTCCCCAGTGTCGACGTTTGACGCATACGGAAGCCCGTTTCCTCGATAGTCGATCCGGTCATCGTTATTTCTCTCACCATGGCTGGTAAGTTTGTACTACCTTCTCAAGGGTAAAGATCTGCCCGTCTATCAAGATGGAACAGGTCAACCAGTCCAGCAATGGAAGTTTCCCGGGCAAAGTTTGACAATCTGATCATATAGACTACCACGTCTCCCACGTCTCCCACGATCCCTCGTCTAGTTCAAACTCCCCGATGCATACTGCCACCGAATTTCCGGGTGACCAGTACACGGACGACGAGGATGACGCTAATACGGACCCCGATGTTTTGTCCGCCGACAATCGTACAACAAAGGCCGACAGCCCCAAGGTCATCTCTGCTCCGGGGGGAAGTGACGGGCAAGCAGACGAACCCACAGACACTGCGGAAATGCATGAAGGAATGCTCCCGAGAGACCTGCCTAAGAAAACAGCCTTCTACGATCCCGTTGCCGAAAAGGAAATGACTCAGACAGACGCCAAGCTGTTCTACCAAAGAATTCAGATGGACGCGCAAAAGGCAGGGCCCAATTCATGGGCTCAGATGCAGTCAACTCCACTGTCCAGTCCTCTCATGACGGCTAGTGCTTCGTCGGCTACGAACCAGTTCCCCCTCGACTTGGGTTCCAGTTCCGTCCCGCCGACGGGTCTGAACAGGTTCGCGGGGTTGCCTCCTAGTGCAGGGTACGAGAATAACGTCGAGAATACTCCGAAGAGGGATCCAAGCTCCTTCAACACCGGCGATCCGGCCAGCCGGGGCAGCTACACCCAGCTTAACAGAATGGGTGCACCCGTTGGTCGCCCAGATTCGGCAGCCCAACAGTTGCCGCCTATAGGCGCCGAGCCTGTCGCCGGGGTCGGCAGCTCCGCTTACCTGGACGCTGACCCTGAAGTTACGTCTGAGATAATGACGATATTTAGAAATATCCGCAAGGTCCTGGACGTCCGCCGCAAGTACATAAGCCTGTCCCTCCAGGGACCAGATGATAACCCAAATGACGATCCAAACTGGCCCATCTACCCCCCTCCCCCTGAGCCGGCTTGGGTTGAGGATCGAGAGAGGAATGGTACACATACCGCGAACAGTGTCTCGAACAGCATACAGAACAGTATGGTCTTGTCACCCGACAGCCAGAACGGTCCCCCCGAACCCCCCAGCCAACCCTGGGATGTCCAGCTTGATAAGGGCGGCAAGAGGAGAAAGGCCGGCCAAGACATCGGGGAGGACTTCGATATGAATGACCTCCAGCCTCTACCTAGAGCAAGCGAAATGACGTATAGCCTGGACGAGTTTGGAGTGTATCAGGTCTACGAGAACAAGCAAGCCGAGGAGGCCAAGTCTCCCGCGATCAAGGTCCCGACGATCAAAGAATACTATATGGACCTGGAGGACATAGTCGCCGTTTCGTCTGACGGCCCGAGCAAGAGCTTCGCCTTCCGACGATTGCAATATCTCGAGGGGAAATTTAATCTCTACATCCTGTTGAACGAGTACCAAGAGACAGCCGACAGCAAGAGCGTCCCACATCGCGACTTCTACAACGTGAGGAAGGTCGATACCCACGTCCACCACTCGGCTTGCATGAATCAGAAGCATCTCTTGCGGTTCATCAAGAGCAAGATGAAGAAGAGCCGGGATGAGGTTGTGCTGTATAGAGATGGCAAGTACTTGACGCTGGCAGAGGTCTTCGAGAGCATCAACTTGACCGCATACGATCTCAGCATAGACACCCTCGATATGCATGCCCACACTGACTCATTCCACCGCTTTGATAAGTTCAACCTGAAATACAACCCCGTCGGAGAATCGCGCCTGCGCACCATTTTCCTTAAGACGGATAACCACATTCAGGGGCGATACCTTGCTGAGATCACCAAGGAGGTCATTTCTGACCTGGAGTCCAGCAAGTATCAGATGGTGGAGTGGCGGATCTCCATCTACGGCAGGTCGGTTGACGAGTGGGATAAACTGGCCGCATGGGTCGTCGATAACAAGCTTTTCTCCCACAACGTTCGGTGGCTGATCCAGATCCCACGACTGTATGATGTATACAAGGCGGCCAATCACCTCGAGTCGATGGAAGAGATCATCCGTAATTTGTTCCAGCCCCTTTTCGAGGTCACCAGGGATCCTTCGAGCCGCCCAAAGCTCCACATCTTCCTGCAGAGGGTCGTGGGTTTCGACAGCGTGGATGACGAGAGCAAGGTTGAGCGGAGACTCTTCAAGAAGTTTCCGGTTCCCAGGGCATGGGACACGAAACAGAACCCTCCCTACAGCTATTGGATCTACTACCTGTTCGCAAACATGGCCTCTCTGAACTTCTGGCGAAAGCGGAGAGGCTTCAACACTTTCCTGCTTCGGCCGCACTGCGGAGAGGCTGGAGACAGCGAGCATCTTGCCGCCGCCGCTCTCTGCTGCCACAGTATCAGCCATGGCCTGCTGCTGCGCAAGGTGCCTCTCCTGCAATACATATTCTATCTCGAGCAGATTGGCATAGCGATGTCACCTCTCAGCAACAATGCCCTCTTCTTGACCTACGAAAGGAATCCATTCTACCAGTACTTCAAACGAGGCCTGAACGTCTCGCTGTCCACGGATGATCCGCTGCAGTTTGCATTCACCAAGGAGCCACTGATTGAGGAATATGCTGTCGCGGCGCAGATATACAAGCTCAGCTCTGTCGACATGTGCGAACTGGCCAAGAATTCGGTCAGGCAGAGCGGCTACGAGTATTCAATAAAGCAGAAATGGCTTGGACCCGACTTCCATATGCCGGGAGCTCGCGGAAACGTCATGGCCAAGACGAACGTGCCGGACAGGAGGGAGGAGTTCCGCTACCAGACCATTCTGGAAGAACAGCGAATGTGAGTCTCCCGTAATCAAACCCCCTTTCGAGACGTTCCCTGACAGTGACCTAGGGTCGAGCGTTATACTTCTCTCGCCCCTGAAGCGCCAGCCTCGGAGACAGTGACCAACGACGTCAACAGCAGCAGCCCCCAGCAGGGGGTGCCTCCGAGATCGCCCGCGCTCTCGCTGAAGACAATTACCACCCCCGGAGTCGCAGCGCAGGTCGGCGAGGCCCAAGGCACCTGGACGCCGGTAGACGGCATACGCGATCTGCACCTGGATGCGAACGAGCCGAGGTACTTCCCCGGCGTGATAACGCGCAGTCAGCGGAAGAACAGCAAGCGTCAGGACTCGATGCACGAGAGTGATGACTCTTCTGGACGGAAATTGGGAAGGGTGGATAGGGCGATGACGTCTTCGCCGCCCAAGGAGTAGAAGGGGTTAGAACCCGCGAGGGCTTGGAAGGGGGCCCCTGGCTGGTCTATATTGGCGTTGGTATTTTGCTAACCGAGCGGAGTGAAGTATGCTGTGAACAAATTGTAATCGGTTTGGTTCGAGGTTTCCACTCTTCTGCTTTTAGACATGGAAGGACATGGGTTCTGGCTGAAATACTTCTACGCCTTTATTTGATGATTTGTCGTTAGGAACAGGTTAAGAGGACCTTGTGCTGGGAAGAAACTAATAAGACTAACATCGCCTAATTCTTGGTTTACATTGCTCAGAGCCCCTGGATGTGTGCTTTCGCCGTCTAACACCGCTCGTGACAAGTCACGTGCCTGACTTCTTTTTCATTCCCCCTGCTAGAACCACCCCGCTGGTAGAGTAAGCGAGTGCCCAATCTATCATAGATGGAGCCTCCAGCAGTTGCTAGCAACCGGAAAAGGAGAGCAAGGAGCATCATCACATTACGCTTGCACTCGACCACTCTGCGCCCTGCCGCGGAGTTTGATATTGCGGCGGTTTCCGCTTGCCTCTCGCACTTACGGACGCCCGTTTATACGTCCTCCGCTCTTGTCACTACATTCGCCCGGGAGTCCAGGCAGCTTTCAGGCTTGACTTGCCAGACCTTAATCAGCATCGGTATTGGCATCTTTTGAAACGTCTCTGGGAATATCAAGCTTGTCCTGCGGCTCAGTATTATGTCAGTACCACTGCGCCGAACCGATTCTGCTGCTCTGTCTGTCTTCACGACGTCTTGTCTGTCTTCTCCCCGATCATAAAAGCCAATTGCGGTTCGAGAGCCGCTCCGTCGCCCGATCTGCAAAGCCGAGCCACGCACGATATCGGCGAAGCCTTCGCCCCACCCACTGGGAATCCCTCTTCAGTACCGCACTTCCCATGTTGGCATGTCCTGCGGTTGCGATTTAACCATTTCCGTGATTAGACTCTGAAATCTTTCGCTATCGAATAAACGAGACACGCCGAGTCCCGGCATCATTAAGCCAAGCCATGGGGTTCTTGGGGGTCTACAAGGCCCTCTACGACTACGCTCCGCAGGCGGAAGGGGAGCTTCAAATCAGCGAGGGCGACATCCTATACCTCTTGGAGAAGAGCGAGGAGGATGACTGGTGGAAGGCGAAGAAGAAGGCTTCCGCCGAGGACGAGGATGAACCCTCGGGCTTGATACCTAATAATTACGTTGAAGAAGTGAGCATTCTTTCTGAGAAACTTAACACCCTGACGGCCAGGCCATGGACACGCGACTGACTCTCGGGGTTTTTCTAGGCACGACCTGTTTCTCACGCCCGCGCCCTGTACGAGTATACGAGACAAACCGATGAGGAGCTCTCGTTTCCCGAAGACGCGAAGCTCGAGATCTTCGATTCCTCGGACCCTGACTGGATCTTGGCCGGCCACGATGGTGACTATGGCTTCGTGCCTGCCAACTATATTGGCATGGGTGATGGCGAGGGGCAACAACAAGAAGAAGAGGAGGAGGAGGGGGAGGCTGCCCCTCCTGCGCTTCCGGCCCGAGCTCCAAGCGATCTGGCTAGCCCGCCACTCCCTGCCAGAAACGTTCCTTCAGAACCAAGCAGCCCAGCTGCATCGGGCCCCGCGGCCGCGCTGGCAAATGTGATGGTAGGTCGTTCGGCGTCTACCACGCGCGCTGCGCCGTCGCTATCCCTACCTCCCAGACCGCAGTATGCGTCGGAGGAGTCGGAGGACGAGGCCAAGTCGCCACCCCTCCCTACCCGGCCGAGGGGCCCGTCGATGGCGTCCATCGAGCAGACTTACCGCTCTCCTCCGCCCGATCGCCACATCACCTTCAACGATTATGCGCCCGAGGCTGAGGAGCCCCCGGAGGAGCCCCCGCGGACCCCGTCACAGCAGCCGGGAAGTTTCCACATGTACAATATCAACGAGATGGTCTCCGTGATGGGCAAGAGGAAGAAGATGCCGACGACGCTGGGGATTAACCTGAAGACGGGCATCATCCTGATAGCACCGGAGAGGGCCCAAGATGGTCCAACCCAGGAATGGACTGCCGACCGGATGACGCACTACTCGCGCGAAGGCAAACATGTGTTTATGGAACTTGTCAGGCCCAGCAAGAGCGTAGACTTCCACGCGGGGGCTAAGGATACCGCGGAGGAGATCGTGAGCGCGCTGGGCGAGCTGGCCGGCGCCGTGCGCGCCGAGGGCCTAAAGGAGGTCATCATGGCCGGGACCGGTAGGACCCAGATGAAGGGCCAGGTGCTGTACGACTTCATGGCGCAGGGCAACGACGAGGTCACGGTTGGTGTTGGCGACGAGGTCATCATCATCGACGATACGAAGAGCGAGGAATGGTGGCAGGTACGCAGACTCAAGAACGGCAAGGAGGGCGTCGTGCCGAGCAGCTATATCGAGATCACCGGACCTGTCTCCTCGCCTATCACGTCGTCTCATGCCGGCATCAACGCCGGGAAATCGACGGTCAAGCAGAACCGGTTGGAGGAAGAGCGGCTCACGAAGGAGGCCGTCAAGGCGGCACAGCAGGCAGAGCAGAGGGAGAAGGGGAATCGATCATCAGAGGTAGGCCCAGGGATGCGTTTGCCCGAGAGGAATAGCAGTCTTTCGGCCAGGGAACGTAGTAACAGTGCGGGACAACAGCGAAGCAGGCGCGAAAACGGACGGCCAGATGGATCTGGGTCGTCGCGGTCTGGCAAGTCAAGTAAGTTTTGTTATGAGAACAGGGGGACACCTCGATTCAGCAGAGCCGCTAATTCTTCCACAGAGCCCGACCCTTCGAAGGTCCGGACATGGACCGACCGATCCAAGTCGTTCAGCGTGGAAGCCCAGTTCCTGGGGCTGAAGGATGGGAAGATCAACCTTCACAAGATGAACGGCGTCAAGATCGCGGTCCCCGTCGCCAAGATGTCGGTGGAGGACCTGGAATACGTCGAGAGAGCCACGGGGATATCCTTGGACGAAGACAAGCCATTGTCCGGCCTCCGGAAGAAGATGGCGCCGGATTCCATCAAGAGCCCTACTTCAGCCTCCTCCAAGGTTGGGGCATCGGTGGAGCCGAAGAAGCCCGACTACGACTGGTTCCAGTTCTTCTTGTCGTGCGATGTTGCCGTGGGTCTCTGCGAGCGGTATGCGCAGGCTTTCTCACGAGATTCTATGGACGAGAGTGTCCTCCCCGATGTTGACGCCAGCGTCCTGCGCAACCTCGGCTTACGTGAAGGAGACATCATCAAGGTGATGCGGTTCCTGGATAACAAGTACGCCCGAGGGAAGAAGGGTGCCGGAGGCGACGATGGCGAGGCCGGCGGCGGTCTATTCTCGGGTCCCGGGGGAACTCTGCGCAACAACACTCGAAAGGGCCGTCCCGCACCTGCAGTTCAGACGAACGATGTTGTCGACCCGAAAGCCTTCTCGCGGCAGAAGGATGCAAATAGCGACGCGGCTTCACCAAGTTCAGCAACAGCACCTGCTGCCAGTGCTGCTCCCGCCTCGAAAAGCTCCGGTGGTTTTGATGACGACGCTTGGGATGTGAAGCCATCGAAAACACAGCCCTCAGAGGCACCGTCGACTACTTCCGCGGCTCCTGCTTCTAGACCGGCCGCGCAACTGACCGGCTCTATGCAGGACCTCTCCTTGCTATCGCAGCCACTGGAACCGACCAAGGTGCAACCTGTTGTAACTCAGCCTCCTGCCGCTCCGCCAACCGTTACAACTTCTCCTCCGGCCCAAGTGCCCCAGCAGACGGGAGCCACCCCCGCCTTCTTCTCCGGTATGCAGCCGCCTACGATCAACACCCAGCAGCTGGGCCAGATGCCCCAGGCAATGGCACGGCAGCGACCGATGGCGCCGCAACACACGCAGGGACAAGGTGCGCTCATGCCACCACCTCCATTGCGGCCTCTCTCGGCTCCTCAGTCGGCCCAGCCGAGCGCCTTCTCGCCGCCCCCTCTGCAACCGCAGATGACGGGCAACCCGAACATGTATCAACAGCAGATCGCACCGCCGGGCCAGAGCCTCAACGACATCAACCAGGCTCGGCTACAGCAACAGTATATGCAGCAGATGCAGCAACAGCAGCAACTCCAGGCTGCACAACAGCCCCCCGCAGCGCCGATGATGGCTTACCCGACAGGCATGCAGCAGCCTGGCTTTGGGCAGAACCAGTTCATGCAGCCCATGGCGAACGGGCCGCAGCAGATGCAGAGCCCGTTTGCGGACCCCAGATCCCAGCAATTCTCGCCCGTCCAGGCCCAGCCCACGGGCTACCCGGGGGTCTTCAATCCCGGGCAGGGCTTTGGCGGGGCGCCGACGGGGGGTGTCAATTCATTCCTCCCGCCACCCATGGAGCCTCAGCGGACAGGAATGCCGGGTCAGATGCAGCCGCAGGCCACGGGTATGCCGTTCACGCAGGGGTTTGGAAACGCGGGAGCCCCGCCACAGCAGCAGCAGCAGCAACAGCAGGCCCCGATGCAGCCTCTCGTGGCGCAGAAGACTGGTCCGCCACCCCCTGTGCGGTTCGGCATGACGGGAGACGCGAAGCTAGCACCCCAGCCAACGGGACGTCGGGCAAACCTTGCACATGCTAGTAAGTTGCTCGTCCAGTCCTGCCTTCCTACCTATCTACCTACCCACGTCGCGATGCCCATGACATGGCATGTCGTACATCTAGCTAACCGAAACCACAGCACCGCAGAACCCCTTTGGATTCTGAGGTCTCCCAACCTTGTTTACGGCGCCTCGTAGCCTTAAGTGAAGTTGACGACGGAAGGTGGTGGACGTGACCACGAGGGACTTATTTTCTTCTTCTTCCACCGCAGGAGCAGCAGCGCCTTGGGGAAATTACGCATGACTTCTCAGTCCTGTGACTCTAGCTGTCAAAGAGCCAGGACATGCATGGGTGGTGCGCTCGCAATTTCTTTTCCCAACTTGCGTGTTTAGCGATGCGGATTGCGGCGATGATCGGTATACTTTCGAAAGGAGCAGGCGGGGGAGGCTGGTGGGGGGACGGGGGCTTCAGTATAATACTGTGTAGGGAACGAGCAAGTGTGGTTCGCGACAAGCATCATGAGCACTGGTTTGGAGGAGACGCTGAGCATCACATATACAACAGCATGTAGCCTTTTTGAACAGAAATTATTATACATACATAGCTTTAACCTAGTTACTTTTACGCATCAGTTCTCTTCTACGTGGGACCATTATGTCCATATATTCCGTCGGTTCTGGGCTGTTTTGCTGCCAGCGACGGAAATCAGGAGATGGTCATCGACGAGGATCCTACCCCAAAGCTCATTCAGCGCTGGCTGTCTCCTTGTCCTAGGTCCGAGGGCGCATTTCCTTTGATCTACCAGCGTGTTTGCTCTCTTTTTTTGATAGAGATCAGCTCTTGCATGTTTCGGCCATGGAGCTCGTCATCCATATACTCCACGCTCAATGGCCGCCCAAGGCCGATCAACGGCAAGTGCCTTCTGTCAATGCAACGTGATTTCGATCGGCCCCTCATCCGTAGAAGAAAACGTGCCACTGTCTTGTTTCACCGGCAGAGCCCATGCCCTCCAGAACGGTGGCATTGCTTGGCTTGCGATCGGCGCCTGCGTCTCTACCGCGCGCTCGTTCCTGACAATGGGGAAGCCCATTTTCTGGTAGGGTCGCATTGACGTCCTCCCACCTGGCGCCCCACCCCTTCCCCTTTGCCCCAGCTCCAAGTACAGAGCATTTTATGAAGATCACCAATCCGTCATTGAAGACTCAAAAAGGGAGATGGCAGATCGGCGGTATAAAGTTGTCGATCGTGCTTGACGCAGGGGCGTGGTGCTGCATGCCTCCTCCGAGAACCTGTCGACATTCAGGGGCAGAGGCGCAGGCCCGGGGGGTTTGCCAAGGAAGAACCACACTCGGGGGAAGGGTGAGGTATCAAGATGTGCGCAGAACGAAATTGGCCGAGGCCATTACGTCTTTGGACGGGGTTCAAGCCCAAGGTGAGGGACTCGCTCAAATGGCGCTGAATAGGTCGAGTGTCGCGTATCGAGGCAACTATAAAGCACAGCATGCCCACCCATCTGCTGGCCAAGAGTTCTTCTATCAGCAAGCCTCTGCCTCACTTCCAAATACATTCACTCCTTTGATAGACCTCAGTCAAACCCAACGTTCATTAAACAACCCAAAGTCGCTCCTTACCATCTCTACCCACCACCACCCACCCACCATCCATCCAACATGTTATTCAAGACCTTCATTACCTCGGCCCTCATCGCCCTCGCCGCCGCCTCTCCCCTGAAGGCCACCGTCCAGATCGGCAAGGAGCTCACCCCCGAGATCAAGGCTCGCCAGTGAGTTATACATACCCCCAGGTGCCATGGAAACATCATCTTCTGAGATCCCTCACTGACCCACCCAACCCAACCCAACCCAGGCTCGACACCCTCACCGATCTCATCAAGGGCGCCACCAGCCTGGATGACCTGACGGCGCAGCTCGAGGGCCTCGCCGGCAACTCGGCCGACACGACCGGCCTCGGCAGCGTCGCCGACGCCCTCAAGGGCCTGCTCGCCGGCGCCGGCGGCGCCGCCAGTGGCGTTGGCGCCGTTGGCGGTGTCACAAACGGACTCACGGGCATTGTCAAGGAGTGAGTGAGTGCGTCGGTCGATTCAGGGGGGAGAGGGGGGTAGGTTCCCGTGTTCCGGACAGGCACTGGGAAGGGGTAGTTGGGCTGTGGGCCAGGCAGGGGTTTGGCCGGGCGGTGTGGTATGACGATGGCGGTGGTTTTGTAATTGTCGAGCATGTCAGCGTGTGTAAGCATTTGGCAGCGCTGATTTGCATAATGTAACCTTCTTGGAATATGGTGGTCTGCGTCTGCAGAACTGCATGCTTGTAAACAACCATTACCCCAAACATGTTTCCCAAGATAAAACCTGTGCTCGACTCCACCGATGCTGATAACCCTAGAGAGACGCCACAGGTTGGACACAGACACAATGCAACTGTTCAGTCGCTGCTGAGCCATAGTGAGACATGGCGGTCAAATGAGGCCCAACAGGCGACGCTAGAAAACGACACGTGAGGGCATCACAATCACCCGACTACCACGCCAGCCCAACCGAATTATCACGTAAAAATGAAAATAAAACAGGCAAATTCGGAAAAAATTCCTCTGTTGCCTGCTCACTGAATCGTACCCTCCCGCAACTCCTCGCTGTCGGGCACCATCCCCTCGATGGTGCTCCGCCTCTTCCGCATGGCCCCGAGCGCCTTCCCGGCGCCCGTGGCCTCCGCGGAGGAGACGGCCCCGTTCGGCCCCTTCTCGGCGGCGGGCTTGGGGGGCTCGAACCTCTTCTTCACGGCCGTGATCATCTTGAAGAACCAGTGCCAGTTCAGCGTGTTGAGCGTGATGTTGCTCGCGATGTAGACGCCCGCCAGCCAGACGGGGATCGGCCCGGCGTCCGTCGCGAACGCCATCATGTTCTCGTCCGGGTCGGCCAGCGTCGAGTTAAGCGCGGCCGCCGCCGCGTAGCCCGCATCCGGGGCGGTGTGGACTGCCCGCCACATGTCGCGCCACACAAAGGCGGACTGGATGGTGCCCCATACCAGACGGCAGGAGAAGAATGTGGCTAGCAAGGTGATGCCGTTGTAGAGCTGGGCCTTTGAACCGGTCATGTTCAGTTTGTCAAAGAACCAGTGGATGTTGAGGAACGGGGTGGAGAGCTCGTATAGGATGAAGGTGCATCCGTAATAGTTCAAAAAGGGTTTCTGCGGAGAGGACGGCCTATTAGAGACGGAACCAGAGGATATATGGATATCAAACGCAGGGAAACACTTACAAACCCAAGTGAGTAGACGGCCAGAGCACTAGACGCATGGGCGAGCAGTCCCAAGCCGAAGACGTCCAGATAGCTGACGGTCATGATAAGATCCCACACGAAGTACCCAGTCGCCATAGCCTGGACTAGACCAGCAGCCCCGGTGTAGCCCCAGATTCGCTGCTGCCAGTCCATCTGATTGCGCTCATCGTCGACAAACATGACCCACAAGGCCATGCCGTTGATCAAGACGCTCTGGACGAGGGACACGACATGGGCGTCCCAGTTCGCCTTCTTACCCCTCGAGTTTCGCGGGTAGTGGGAGGGGAAAAGCCATGTCGACAGCACTGGCGATATGACCATCTGGATGAAGGTGTAGAACAGGGTGAAGACGATAACCTCGTGTATATGAAGCGAGAGCGTCGGCAGGCCATATCGATCTGCCCATGGCTGAACCGCCTTGCTTAAAGCAGGAATCTGCGGTATAAAGAACGGGTCCTTCATCGCGGCTGCCGGCTTGAAAATACGGAGAGAGATATCTTTGGCCTCCGAGACAGCTTCGCGGGTAGGCGGGTGCTTGGAGACGGCAGCTTTCTCGGTTTGGGCTCGATCGAGCGGGCGGGGTGGCGAAGCTATATATGGGCGGTTGGGTGGATGGCACGCGACCAGGTTAGCCCCGAATCCCCAAGACGAGGCCCTACCAGGTGATGCTAAGGGATGAGTCGTTCAGGTGGTTGCCCGACAGGCAGAAGTGATCAACCTTCTCGCCAGTCGCGGCAAGCCGAGGCTTCAGGGGGGTAGTGTGCCTAAACCTTGGTGGCTAGGTTTTGTTGGGGAACTCAAAGATGCCGCTTACAGCTCTCCATGAAAGTGGTTATTAGTGCAGTACCTTAAATCGCTATCCGGAGTGTGTTAATGCAAGCCCGTATAGGAGTAGTTCAAAGTTACTGGCTAACATTTGGATGGCCAAGCTAGTGGTTCAACAACTGGTTGCGAAGCATTATTAGTAATCCATCCTGCGCCTGTATCGTCCACGTGATCTTGATTGGAGGCTTGGCATACGCCGAGTCAGGCAGCTACCTACCTATACTTTGCTGGAAGTCGAAGCGACGCCGTGAATACTGAAGTATACGCAGTAACAGTTTACTGCAGCGATTAGTGCTTGTAACGAGTCGGAGGGCTCGCGTTTGGCACTGCCCCACCGTTGCTTGCGGACGGCATAACTGTATCCGTACCCTGCATATCAATGCTTATCCCTCTGGACACCAGGGAGCCAGGACTTAGAAGACCACGTCAAATGTGCGATATGAGATGAAGAACCGGGTTTCAACATGGCTGAACTCATACACGACCTCCTGTCACGCTCAGGGGCTTCCGACTCCTCACCGGTAGCTGATGCAACCTCGCTGGAGTATCTGACGACGCTCGCTTCTCAACCCTTCTCATCCCTAGACAGTACAGAGCCGCAATCACTCTCCCAAGCGTCTCATTCACTCTTGCTCTCACTCCAATCCTTGTCAAAAAAGTCTCACAAACCGATCATCGAATCTGCGGCTCACCATTCCACTCTCCACAAGTCCCTGCCCTCGCTCGCTGCGAGCACTGCAGAGCTTCGGAACTCAATTCCAAGACTTGATAAGGAGGCAGTCCGCTTCTCCACCACCTATAACAAGAGCAGCGAAAATGAGGTTCTTGCGAGGAGGAAGAAAGCGCTGCTCCTCTCGAGGAACGTCGAGCGCCTGGTCGACGTGCTCGAGCTTCCCCCGTTGCTGTCGTCGGCCATTTCAACGGCGCCAGTCAACTACTCGTCCGCCATCGACCTGAACGGGCACATCCGCAGGCTGCATGCTCTCTATCCGCAGTCCGCCCTGGTGACATCGATCTCCGCCGAGGCTGACGAGTCGATGCGGACCATGGCGGCGGATCTCATCCGGTCCTTGAAGGCGCCAAACCTGAAGCTTGCAGCCTCGCTACGGACCGTCAGCTGGCTACGGCGGTTGCTCCCGGACCTCGAATCCGCCAGGAGCCCAGGGAAGGGGCATGAGTCGCAGGAGAGAGTGCTCGGCGCGCTCTTTCTCGTCTGCCGGTTGGCAACGCTCATGGCGATGCTGGACGCCCTGGAGCCGCTCCGAGAGCTCGCGGACCAGGAGAAGGGCCGGCAGAAGTCGATCGGGAGCGGCAATACCTGGTCGGGAGGGCAGCAGACGGAGCGATATCTTAAGCGGTATATCGAGATATTCAGGGAGCAGAGCTTCGCCATCGTCTCCATGTTTAGGAGTATTTTCCCCGCCAACACACATCCCGATGGGGCCCAGCCGCGAAAGCAGGATGCCTTGGAGCCTCTGCCGTCGGCGTTGTCTACGTTCCCCCTCTACCTAGTGGATATGCTGCTGGAGACGTTACGGCTGTATCTACCGACAGTGAAAGACCAGGCGTCCAGGGACAGCCTGCTGACACAGGTGTTGTACTGCTCTGGGAGTTTGGGGCGCTTGGGAGGAGACTTTGGGTTGTTCTTGGCCGGGTTAGATGTTGGCAGTGAAGCGGAGGAAGAGTGGGTGGAAGTAATTAAACGGCATCGTCTGCTAGCAGGTCGCTTAGAGTCTATTGTAGGAGACCAAAAAGAAAAGGGGCACAAATGAAAAGACAGAGACTCTGTCTCGATTTTCTGCTGTCAAACTATCGAAAAGACGCGTGACACTCGTAGTGTACTATACATCTAGACCTCTCTTGTCGCTTTCGCCGTGTCGTAATTACTAGTAGTAGACTACAAAAATGTAAAAAAAAATAACTTGGTCAATAAGAGGCTTGAACTCTTGACCTTGGCATCGCTTAGATGATGAGAACATCATTTATTAGTGCCACGCGCTAACCAACTGCGCCAATCGACCATGGTGTGACCGGAGCTTACTCTAGATTTAGTATTGCTTTGCATCGCAGTACCGCCCTCGCCACGCAGCCCTCGGGGTTACAAGTGTCCTCTGCAAACGATCCTTTAAATGCCTGCACAACGTAAACTGTAAATAGTTGTATAGGTAGGTACAGTACATAGCGATGGGAGTCGGGACATTCCGGTGCCGGGGCAGGCCGGCGTGGCCGGTTACCAGGGGCAGACAGATGCCTGCCAAGGGATGGAAGCGGAAGATCCTAGCTCGGACAGAAAGAATGCCGTCATAAATATTTCCTCCTCGATTCTGACTCGGCCATGAAGCTGCCACATAACAATGACTCCCAGATCACTCGAGGCAATCCGATAAAGGGGGCCGTCATATTAATTATGGACTGACAACGCCCCGGCGTTCACAATCTTCAGCAGCTCATCGCCGTCTAAGATAACCGTGGTGTCTCCCCCGAGACACCCGTCCGGAGAGCTTGCGCAATGTCAGATGGCTCCCGCAAAACCGTCTCCAAGTCCAGTCGGTTCCCCACGGCTACCTAAAAAAGAAGTAACTTGTAACTAACCCAGAGCCCTCACACCGGGCAACCCCAGCTTTCCATTTCGTGGCGGGCCTCGGCTCAGGCGTCTTCTCCGCCGTCCTCCTGCAGCCCATCGACCTCCTCAAGACCCGCGTCCAGCAGTCGGGCCACCACTCGCTGACGGCCGCCGTCGCCGACATCCTCCGGCAGGCGGCAGCCGCCCGAAACCAGACCACCGGCCGCGGGCCCCTCCCCCTCGCCCCGTCCGTCGCGGCCCTCTGGCGCGGCACCGTGCCGTCGGCCCTTCGCACCGGCTTCGGGTCCGCCGTCTACTTCACCAGCCTCAACGCGATCCGGCAGAACGCCGCGCTCGTACCCTTCCTCGCCGCCGCCCCGGAAACCTCGCCGACGATTCTCCCCACCGGCCCCGGCAATAGCAGCAGCAGCAGTAGAGGAGGAGGAGGCCACTCATCCTCCCTCCCCAAGCTCTCCAACACGGGCAACCTCCTGGCGGGCGCGGCGGCCCGCGCCTTCGCCGGCTTCCTGCTCATGCCCCTGACCGTCATCAAGGTGCGGTACGAGTCCAGCCTGTACGCCTACGACTCCCTCGCCGGCGCCGCGCGGGACATACACCGCGGCGACGGGGTCCGGGGCTTCTTCGCCGGGTTCGGGGCCACGGCCGTGCGGGACGCCCCCTACGCGGGGCTGTACGTCCTCTTCTACGAGCAGAGCAAGAGGCGCCTGAGCAGGCTGTACGGAGGGGGAGGGGACGACACGGAGGGGGCGGGGGCGGGGGGGCAGGGCGGGAAGATGGGCGTGTCGAGGGCGGCGACGATCAACTTTGCGTCGGGCAGCCTCGCCGCCGTGGTGTGCTCGGTGGTGTCGAACCCGTTCGACGCCATCAAGACGCGCATCCAGCTGCAGCCGGGCCAGTACCGGAACATGGTCCACGCGGCGAAGAGGATGCTCGCCGAGGAAGGGTTCCGATCCCTGTGGGACGGCCTGGCGCTGCGCATGACGAGGAAGGCGCTCAGCTCGGCCCTGGCGTGGACTGTCTACGAGGAGCTCATACGGCGGGCCGAGTTTACATGGGGCAGGGGCGCCAAGAGGAGTGACGTGCTTTGATGGTTGATCCTGCACTTTTCGCAGGGTTGCTATCTGTATTTTTGTGTGTACTAAAAAGGGGAGATTAAAAGGAAAGGGCCTAACTAACGAACCTCAAAACATGTAACAGCGGCGTCAACAGAAGGTTTGAGTTGGGGATAAAGGTATTCTCGACTCATAGAAATAGATCATAAGCTCATGGCACAACTCATCCCGACTCTAACATCTCCACCCCCTTTCCAGATACCAACTTACTTCAAATCTCCTGACTTCCAGCTCACTTCCATCTCCCTGACTTCAGATTCCTCCCACCTCGTGACCTGTCAAGACATTATACCCAAGCAAGCGAGCCAAATCTGAATCATGGGGAGGGGGGAGTCCGAGACCCGAAGCCGCCGGCCGGGCAGGTAAGTATTGTACCCATCAGATTAACTGGGGCGGCCACCAGCGAGGTACATGAGAAGGCCGGGAGACTTGCTGCGTCTGCGCTCAGTCTTCTTGTGGACCCACATGAACTGGTCGTCCTCCTTGTGCTTGTGCTTGTGCTTGTGCTTCGAGTCCTCGATCTGGAGAACGACCTTGTGGTCCACCTTCTCGGCCTTCTGGATGATGCGGATCTTGCGAGTGTGCTCCCAGAGCATGTCCTGCTCCCATTCGGGCACCCATCGCTTGATGAGAACATAGCCCGGTTCCTGATGTCTGTCAGCGTACCGAAGTGACCGCGATCTGGGGAAACTCGTGAGAGGAAAGAAGGGAAGACGTACATGATCATAGTCGAACTCGATGTTGTAATAGACCAACGTCTCGACGTCCAAGTGCCTGAGGGACATGCGGGTGTAAGTAGGCCGAGCGAGCTGTTGATCCGCGTGTCTCCTGTCGTCCTCCTTCTTTTTCTCGTCCTCCCTCTTGATCTTCTCCTTTTTGAGGATGGCCTCGATATCCTTCTCATCGACGCCGGCACGGATCAAGTCCTCCTGCATGCGGCGCTGGTACTCCTTCTCGGCCAACTCCCTCTCGCGCTTCTCCTTGACAAGGCGCTCGGCCTCTTCGGCCTTGTACCTGGCGACGGCCTCCTTGGCTTCCTTCTCGCGGCGTTCCTTCTCCTCCGCCTCGCGTCGCTCCTCCTCGAGTTTTTTCAGCTCGAGCTCCTTGCGGATGCGCTTCTCCTCTTCCTCGAGCTTCTCGCGCCGCTTGATCTCGTCTAGCTCCCGCTTGGCCCGCTGCAGCTCGGCGTCCTCGCGGTACTGCTTGTCCATGCGCCTCTCGTCGCGCTCGCGGGACTGAGCGACCCTCAGTGACTCGAGCTCGCGGCGGGTCTTCTCCAGCTCCCACTGGTCGCGGGCGGCATCAATGTGGCTGGACGACGAGCCAGGGGAGTGGTGCGACCGGGAGTGGGAATGGGAGGGTCGCCGGCGGTGGTGACGGCGGCCCGACTCTTCCGACGAGTAGTCGTCGTCGGAGTGCTCATTGATGATCTTGTTGTGGATGATCACAGGCGCAACCGGGGCTTGGCTGGTGGGCGGACTGGAGCGGCGCTCGCGGGACCTCGAGCGAGTGGTGACGACGGTTCGCTCGGGGTTCAGGTAGACGGGCCCAGATTGGTAGTAGCTGTGGGGCCGCTCGCGAACATGGTCTCGATCCCGCGAAATGGTTTGAATGTAATGGGGGGCTGGTGCTGGGCGGTGGGGAGAAGGGGCCCGAGCATATCTCTTGACATGGACGTCGATAGACTCGTCGTCGCTATAGTAGCTGGACATCTTGATCGTCCTGGGATCACCTAGGCGGTCCTCGTAGGCAAGGCTTCTTGTCCAAAGGTCTCTCTCACTTGATGGTCCGGTGTCTCAGTCGTCTCTCTAACCAAGAGCAAAGCACGACAGGTGTGTGTAGGGAGGGAGAGGGGTCGGAAGGGATTGTAAGCACTGAAATAGGACCGCAAAGCGGGGTGTGAGCCCCCCATTTATTTCCCGTCAGCGCCTTTCTTGGTAGGACAGGGGGTGGCATCCCATCCATCCATGCCCTGTTCAATCAGCGCCGGGGTTTGGATCTAGACTGCACAGAAAGGAAACGGTATGTAGGCGCGTATGCAAGGCAGGCAATGAAACCAACAGACGACAGTCTAGCGGCACAATCACTTGACTACCCACGCAATTCGACTCATTCCCGGGTTCTGGCGTTGTAACTTCCATGATTGGGCTGGCTGTTCGGTCCCACGATAGGCCGCGGGAGGATCTGTTCTTGGTGTAGGGCTGTAAGCGGCATGGCGCTAAGCAGCCAAGACCAGGGTGCGCTGCGTAGGTCTGGTACTCTGTCGCGATGTACTGTACTTTCTATTAAAAGACGGTAAAATCTGCGAAGCACTCGCAGAGTGTGTGGTTGAGGTTATGCCAATTTCAATGGACGGGATCCTTCTGATGTGGGGCTCGGGACGGCTGAGCGAAGCACATTGTACGAGCTGCCTATGTCCAAGTACCTCCACGCATAGGCACGGCCGGGCTACCTACGGCGTACTAATACGGCGCTGAATGAAAAACGTGGTTCCCCTCCCTTTCGAACGTGGGTCGTAGTCCCGCAGTCCAAGTTGGGAGAACCATGCCCAAAATGAATTCTGACCGGCTAGGAAGGAGGTATGCTGCGCAGGACGGGAAACAGTGGAAGGCGCCTAACTTTCAATCGATCTTATTCATACTGTGCTGTAGCTCGCGTTCCAAAGCCCCTTCGGGTTCAGGAGGCACGGCGCCTATATCGGCATGTAACAAGTACACATGTGTTTCCCCCAAAGCCAAAAAGGACTAGCCAGAAAGGAGGGACTGGTAAGATCTCTCTGCATCTGTCCATGTTTCATACCTATCTTGGTATCAGACCAGTCGCTTGGCCCGCCGCCCGCCGCCCGCCGCCCGCCAAGCTGCCACGCTGCCATGGCCATGATCGTTGTGAGAGATGGTATGTTGGTCATGCTCCCGAAAGTGAGAGGGGATTCGCCTCAAGCCTCCTCAAGCCTGCACTCCGCCCTTGAGCATCTTCTCGATGTGGTCCTGGCTGTTCTTCGCTGTCATCTCTAGGTAGTGAAGCCTTTTGCCTAGGCCCTCGACGTCGGTCTCCATCTCCTTCATCTGCGATGCCAGCTTGTCTTGTAGTTCCGGGACCGGCACTGCGGCGAACCTGAAGAAGGAGTTAGCTTTAGGATCCGTGGACTGGCCCAGTTCAGGGGTGGGTTAGTCATCACATCTTGCCAACACCCTCATAGACGGCGGTGTCGGCCGGGAGCGACGAGAGCTCGCTTCGCGTCAGCTGGGCCAACCGCATTTCTCGCTGCTTAGACGCCAGCTGTGTCCTGACGAGACTGATCTGCTGTTGGGCAGCGATCGCCTGCGACTCGATCTCTCTTACGAGCTGTCCCAGTCTACGTTAGCTCCCGATCAAAGTCTTATCAACGTCACGCTTCTCATCTCACCTTCTGAAGAGCTTCATTTGATATCGACATGGCGATTCTAAGCCTGACTCGAGGTGAAGACCTGTGGCAGCGGTGATCGTGGTTTGGAAAGTGCTTGATGAGATGCAAATGAGACTCTGCATGACCCCACAGGCCATTGACGAGACATTTGACAAACGAATACTTGGGATAAGCCCCACCACAGCGACTATTCAAACACTGGAACTGCCTTGGCCAGCGCTAAAGTGCTCTCCGGACCACCACCCGCCCCTACTCCCCCATTCCAGCTTCAACGTCGTCCATGAATAACCGTCAAAAGTGAAAGCACTCACTCTCTCATCGTCTGCAAAATGTTTAAAGATGGTTTTGCACATAGAGTTATGACAGGGTGTCTTCGGTTTTTATCCTAATCTAGTTTTCCGCTCGGATGTCCCACTCCTCCATTTGTCAAGGGCCCCTGGCGCCCATCAGTTCGTGGGACGACATCAGGGACTGAAGCGAAGGACGACCACTTGAGCATAAACTCATTCTCGTATCCATCCAAGCATCGATGGAGCCACAGACCCCATACGATGAAGTAATAAGCTATTGTGTCACATATCGCTGTTAGCATGCAGACGGGATCAAGACGAGAGTAAAAAGACTGACCACCTGGATCCAATGTTAGTATGTTTCACTTGCTTGGAAGGGGGGTTTGCTCCGTTCACTTACCTAGTCCTGTTAAAACGTGCCACCACCCATGGCCCTCGAGGACCACAGCCCACGGCAGCAGTAGATGATTCCTTGCCGCCAACAGATGGCGGCAGTAGATGTTGTCCATATTCCAAACAAAGAAGCCCGTCAAGAACATACCGAGACCTTTACAAAATTGGGAAAATTAGCCCATATATGTATGAGGGTAGGATCCATGCGAGGCACGCCTCTCTCTACTGACCAGTCACAGTCAACTTCCACATCTGCTTCATGATTTTATCGCACTCCTCTGGATTTCGTTGCCGTAATGCCGGTCGAAGCTGGTACTCCATGACAATTATGCCACGGGTTACGAGAGACGTTGTCATGACCCCATAGGCAACCTGGTGGAAGACGGGATCCTTCGCGCGAAGATAGTGGTCCTGTACGGTCCTTCGAGTTAGGCCGGGATCGCTCACCGAGTTCAAACCGAAAGTTGATGGGACAGTAACCCACCGTTATCCACCATGCAAGCGCAGCAAGGCTAGCCGCAGTCACGACGCGGAACCGAACGGATCTCGAGTATGTCAACGCGGCGTAGGCCATGATACAAGTTGTATAGATCATGGGCAGCTCGTCAACTAGCTGCATCGAGTCTGGAACGAGTTCAGCAAGCTGGGACACACAAAGAATGGGGCAGATCAGCAGATGAGGCCACTGCCCGTACATTTCAAGGTTGAATGAAACGCCATTGAACCGGCACCGACAACCAGGTACCCAATGTATGCCAAAGTGAAGATGGGCGGATGAGAGTACACCAGGCAATTCCGGAAGCCCTTGAGACCTAGCCACATAAACACGAGGTTGGTCGCCGTGTTGACCAGCTCGGCACAGTACATGGTGATGTTGTAGTCCTGGTTCAGAACGAGGTAAGCACCACCTTGCAGCAGAGCGGTCTAGGGGTAAAATGCTCACCTCCTCACACCAGTTCAGGGTCGAGGTTTGGTCTCCCCAGAAGCCCTCCCGGGACTTCCGGTACGGTATCTGGAAACAATTGGCCATGGTGGCCCTCGGCGCGGTGTTCGGCCTGCTCCAGCAGAGCTAGCTTTCGGGGAGAACAGCAAGGCCAGGTCTGTCCAACGATAAAACTGGGCAAGACAGAGCTCTATTGCAATTTGTTACAGACCCCGGAAGACCATCTGACAAAAAGGGAGGGCAGGTGTAAGTGTTCTCTCCGGCTCACTCGAGCTGGCTCAAACTTGGCAAGCTAGCTTTTCAAGTAGTAGCCGATGCAGAGTTATAAAGGGATTCGACACATGGGTAGCCAAAAGAGGGGGGCAGAAGGGCATCCAATTGTCGAGTCCAGTTGCTGCCAGGGAGGATTATAACACCCTTGCGGACGGAAGGGATAAGAATTCCACAGTGGGTGAGATATAAAATGACAATCGATCAGAATGAGACTCTCACAAGCCTCCATCGTTCTTACCGAAGTATCCGGCCGGGAGTCTTGCCGTATGCACATAGACATCACAAGCTCTTTCGGTTTGGCTGCAGCCGACGGGATGCCGTCATGTTCTAAGCCTGGTTAACCCGATGCCACCCAGCCACAGCTCTCATGTTCCTCCACCCACTATTGATCTCTCCCACGTAAACCAGAGGAAGACTTTAGCTGCAGTCTGTTCTCTCTGCAGATGTGGTTATATTTAGGCAGGCATTTGACTAGTGAGCTGCTAGTAATCCATGTGAAGGCGTGATATACGGGTGCTGCTGCGGCAAGCCAAGCAGCTCGTAAAACATGCCGTGCCAGCGCGCACGGCCACCGCAGCTTCGGGGCAACTCCACGTAAGACGGGATTGCGCAGGCGCGCAGGGATAACCTCCACACCCAGAAACAGAAACCACAAAATTGTTCGAGAAGCCACATCGCTGGGTCAGGCGATCCGCCCTGAGACTTCAATCGATTCCCTTCATTCCACCTCCCAGCCGGGTCTGGCCAGAACAGACGCCGAATACTACGTTGATTGACAGTCCAAATGCCCTGCTTCGTGAATCCCAGATTCGCTTGATGGCCGCCCATATACGAACCTGCGCGCCAAAACTTTCCTGCATAGGTAGATGCCATGGCAGCACCGGGTAAACGTGGAGCAGGATGGGGGTCCTTCCTCTCGCAGGCCGTGGCTGGGGTCGAGGCCCGGCTAGACAATATGCTCGCCGAGAACGAAGACTCTCCCAACAAGGACCCCAACAAGGACCCCAAGTCCTCCTCCTCATCCACCCCAGCGGCTGCACCAGCTTCGCCCCAGAAGCAGAGCCCAGGTAATTTCTTCCGGCGCACCATCTTCCCGTGCATCACCGTTCCTAACCTTACCGATTACCCCAGCTCCCTCAAGGACGGCCTCGACCAACCGTGCCAATGACAGACTCCAGGAGCGCCTTGCGAGGGCGCTTGCCGCCAAGTCCGCCGGCCAGAGGCCCGATGGCTCGTCTGCGAAGCCTGCCCCGTCGTCCCAGGCCAGTCCCCGTCAGAGTTCCGACCTCCCCAGTCGCGTGTCCACCGACAGTACCGATCGATCGAGCCAGCTGCTACAGGAGCCGATTTCCAAACGAGCTTCTCAAGAAGTGCCGCGGGCATCCGAGGAGACGCCGCCTCAAGCCGTAGGTGCTGGCGCAAGTATATCGAACGGGGAAAACGGCAGCCAAGAAAATGTCTATAAAGGAGCCAATGGTCAGAGGAGGTCTGAGGAACAAGTGCCTCCAGCTGTGGTCCTCGAGGAGAATACAGCCATTACACCGGAGCTTTCAGAGGCGACCGACAACCCTGAATCTGGTGGGGAGGCTACAGAGGCAGGTGATGGAGACAAGGCCAAAGAGTTGCAAAAGGCCATGGAGGAGGCACAACTACAGTACCAGGAAGAGATTCACAGTTACGTCGAGCGCATCGATGCCCTTGAATCCAAGCTCCAGTTTCTTGCTCGAGAAACCACAGACTCGGCAAGGAAAACAGCCCTCGCCGCAGCAGCCGGCAGCGTGGAGAGGAAGCTGGCCGAGAAAGACCAGCAAATAGCACAACTGATGGAAGAAGGGAAGAACCTGGCAAGCACTGAGCAGAAGCATAGAGCTATCATGAAGAAGCTGCGCCTAAAACTTGCTGAAGATGAGAAAGAGCTTGGCACCCTGAAGGATTCGTGGGACAAGACAACTGGGGAGCTCGAGCTCTTGCGCAACCGAGCCCGTCAAGCTGACGAGTTGGAGAAGGCACACCAAGACTTGCAGCGCCGTCTTGATCAGTCGCAAAAGGAGCTTGGCGCATTACGACCTGAGGTCAGCTCAAAAGACGCCGTGATTGCAGACCTGAAAGCAAAGCTCGAGGCGGCAACTGACCAGGCCGACGAAATGACTGCGAAAGCCAACAACAAGGGGAGGGAACAGGATCGCCGGCGCATCGCAGAACTAGAAGAATCGGTAGCTGCCCTACAAGTTGAGAAGGATTTGGTTGCAGACCGAGCGAAGATACAAGCGACTGAGCTCAGGGAGAAGGCCGAACGAGCCAACGAGCGGTGCCGGGCATTAGAGCTCGAGATGAAGGCAGAGGCCCAAGTCATGGAGAGCAAGCTGGAGGCGATTCGCGCCCGGGCCGAGGAGGCATCATCAGGCGCCACGGGAGACTCACAGGCCAAACTGCTTAGGCAGGTCGAGACCCTTCAGACACAGTACTCGATAGCCAGCGATAATTGGCAAGGTATCGAGAGCACTCTGTTGGCTCGCATCGCGGGCTTGGAGAAAGAGCGCGACGAGGCACTCCGTCGGGAATCTGAAATGAGGAAGAAGGCCCGCGAAGCTGTATGTCTACCGCTCATATGCCCTTACACCCCTTACCCCCTTACCCTCTTTCTCTCTCTGTCCCACTCTCTCATTGGACTACATGCTAACGGATCCTAGGCCCTCCGTGCTAAGCGAAACGAGGAGGAGCTCGAGGTAGCAAATACAAGGCTTCCAGGTTTCCAGGACGATGTCAAGGCCTACCAGTCCCAACTCGAGGCTCTAAAGAGGCGCGCAGAGCGGGCGGAAGGCGCCTTGTCCGAGTCGAAGACAGAGCTGGAGAAACAGAAGAACATGTGGAAAGCCGAGAAGGAGGAACGCCAGGATCGGGCAGATCAGGAACGTCGCGGATGGCTGGAAGATTTGCCCAGCGCGTCCTTCAGGGTCAACAGCCGACCGGAATCGCCGCTGCTGACCATGTCCCAGCGCACCTTCAGCTCTGACTTGCTCGGGTTGGAGGGCCTGCCGACCAAGGTCAGGAAGGTATCCGCGCCTTCTAGTAATAGCGGCATTGGCAGTGGTGACCGTCCTTTCAGCCGGCGGCCTTCGGCCCAACCGCCAGCGCGGCCGTCAATCCAGGGCGGCATAACGGGCCACTCCACGTCTCCGTTCAGCCCGACCATAGATTCGTTGCCTACGCCATCGACACACCCGATGGACAGAGACGATGCGTTTGAGAATGCCGAGACCCCGTCCTCGCCTCATCAGGTCATGCAGGACATGGTTTCGGTCTCGACGGTAGCTGCAGGACCGTCGGTGCAGCTTGTAGAGCGCATGAGCGCAGCCATTCGCCGGTTGGAGAGCGAGAAGGTCAGCGCGCGAGAAGAGCTAGCTAGGATATCCAACCAGCGAGACGAAGCCAGGGCGGAGATCCTGGCGTTGATGAGGGAGGTGGAATCAGGCAAGGAGGCAACGCAGCGGGTTGCCCAGCTCGAGACTGAGGTTGCAGAGATAAACTCGAGATACGAGACGACGCTAGAGCTCCTTGGGGAGAAGAGTGAGCTCGTCGAGGAGCTACGCGCCGATGTCCAGGACGTCAAAGCCATGTATAGAGATCTGGTTGAGAGGACTGTGAAGTGATGGGCCATTTTATACCTAAAGGAAGCTAAAGGCAAACATTATTAATGATCATACCCCGACTTCATTTCAAAACCACCCGTTCCAGTCAGGCCCGCACTCTATGGAGCTCGATGCCTTCACCCTCTGCCATCCGCTCGATATACTTTCTGACCTAAAACGGTGGGGATGAGTCAGTGTCTGCTTCTCGGGCTAGTTCGAGGTTCTACGGAACGTACCTCTGTATCAGGCGCGAGATCGAGCGCCAGATGTCCCTCCATGTCCCTTAAATCCTTGTCCGCGCCGGCCTGGAGGAGCGCAAGGGCCGCGTCACCTATGAGATGAGAAGGGATGAGAACCATGGCTCTCCACAGGTAGGCTAGGAAAGATCAGACTCACCGTGTCCTTCCGCAACAGCGTGGTGAAGAGCCGTGTAGCCAGTGCTGTCTGTGGCGTTCAAGGGGCTCCTGTTCTTGATCAAAAGGCTGATCATCGGCACTGATCCCACAGCGGCAGCCCGGTGCAGAGGATACTGTCCTCGCTTATCCCGAACCCTCGCGGAGACGGGTGGCTTCTGCTCGAAGAGTTTCCGAGCTACATCCATGTTGTTCTTGGACGCTACAAAATGGAGCACCGTCTGGCCGCTGTTGTCTGCAGTGTGTCAGCAAACAGATTGTCACCAAGCCGTGGCATGATCCTTACTGGTCTGGTTCACATCAGCCCCCTTGGACAGAAGTAGGTCGACGATCTTCTCGCCGTCTTTCACGCTCCCGGCGATCATAAGGGGCGTCCAGCCACTCTCATCCTATAGCCGCAGGCGTCATTAAAACTTCAAAACTCAAAACACATGACTTGTTATGGCAGAAGAACATTGGTTTCTAACCTGAATGTCAGGGTCAAAGCCTTTCTGCTGGACCAGCAGCGAAACGATCTCGGGCTGGTTTGAGGATGCTGCCCAGTGGATCGGTAGCCTGCCGTCGTCGTCCTGCAAACGGGCAAGCTTTGGGTCTGCCTGGACATGGAATCAGAAAATGGCCACACTTTCCCTTCATATTTCTCTCGGATCATACGTTCAGCAGAGATTCAACGGTCATTACTGCGGATGGTTAGCTGAGCAACCCGAGTACGCCGGGCCCTGTGCGGAGCTCACTCACCCTTGCCCTCCCTGGCTGCAGCGTGTATGGCGAATTTTGATTGATCCTCCATCTTGCGTGGTATTTATGTGCAAGGCGACGGTAGATACGATGGCTTTCAGATTCTGCAAGAGATCGGCGAGTAAGATTGAAATATTGTGTATTTTCTCTTCATGTTGAGAGACGTCGTATGTCATGTAAGTGATGCCTCCAGGGCCAAGCTGCTGAGAGCTTGGCGTCGAATACTGTATACAACACTGTGCGGCACCTAGTCGTGGCTGAAGCACCCGCATCAGCCACATCTACGAAATTTCGAAGGGACATAGCTTGAATCTGGGAATACCCATTTCCCTCCTGTCATAATAACACTCTATCTGACGACGAAAATGGCCGCACAAGTCGCCGACGGCGCGTCTGGCGCCCCTGATACACATCTGAAGACGATGATTCTTCAGAATGCGCGGCGCTCCAAGTCGATCTACGCCGACACCACGGGGCGGAAGCGCATAAGGCTCGATCCCGCACTCGCGTCCTCAGAGCCGGGGATGGACAAGACGGCGCTCTCGGTCCGCCTCCACGCCGAGTACGACGACGTCCTGACCCTCCCCGAGGCGATCGCCTCCAAGCTCCCAGCCGCCGGGCAGCGCAAGAAGAAGGCCAAGGCACCGGCGGAGGAAGCCCCCACCCCGTCGGAGGAGCAGACCCGCAAGCTCATCGAGGGCATCCCGTCCACGGCGGCCGCCGGCCCCGGAGGGCCCGGCTCGAGCGGCGCGCTGGTGCTCTCGCGCAGACCCGTGCCCCAGGCCGCCGGCGGCCAGCGCGGCCAGCCGGAGCAGATGAGCCTGATCCGCCGGTCGGACGCGCCCGGCCAGCCCAGGCCAGACTGGCACCCGCCGTGGAAGCTGATGCGGGTCATCTCGGGCCACCTGGGCTGGGTGCGCGCGCTGGCCGTCGAGCCGGACAACAAGTGGTTCGCTAGCGGGGCGGGAGATCGGAATATCAAGATCTGGGACATGGCGACGGGCTCGTTGAGACTGACCCTCACCGGTCACATCTCCACCGTGAGGGGCCTCGCTGTCTCCCCTCGTCACCCATATCTTTTCAGCTGTGGAGAGGACAAGATGGTTAAATGTTGGGACCTTGAGACGAATAAGGTCGGTGTCTCTCTCCTCTCCCCCCCACCTCTATACAAATTAGACTAACCAAGTGACAGGTGATACGGCATTATCACGGGCATCTTAGCGGCGTGTATACCATGGCGCTGCACCCGACGCTGGACGTGCTGGTCACGGGGGGGCGGGATGGCGTGGCCAGGGTGTGGGACATGCGGACCAGGGCCAACGTCCACGTGCTATCCGGGCACACGGGGACGGTCTCGGACCTCAAGTGCCAGGAGGCGGACCCGCAGGTCATCACGGGCTCGCTCGACTCGACGGTCCGGCTGTGGGACCTCGCGGCGGGCAAGACGATGGGGGTCCTGACCCACCACAAGAAGGGCGTTCGCGCGCTCGCCACGCACCCGACCGAGTTCACGTTCGCGTCGGGCAGCACGGGCAGCATCAAGCAGTGGAAGTGCCCCGAGGGCGCCTTCATGCAGAACTTTGAGGGCCACAACGCCATCATCAACACCCTCTCCGCCAACCACGAGAACGTCCTCTTCTCCGGCGGCGACAACGGGTCCATGAGCTTCTGGGACTGGAAGTCCGGCTACCGCTTCCAGGCCCAGGACACGGTCGCCCAGCCCGGCTCGCTCGACGCCGAGTCCGGCATCATGAGCTCCGTCTTCGACCACTCGGGCACGCGGCTGATCTGCGGCGAGGCCGATAAGACTAGTAAGTTCCAGCTCCCCATTCCTGCAGTTGTTGGTCCCTCGTCGCACGAAGTCATGTGTACTGACAGACGGTTTGTGCAGTCAAAATTTGGAAGCCTGATAATGAAGCGACCCCGGAAACGCATCCCATTGTTTGGAAACCGACTATGGCGAGACGGAAATTCTAGAAGGTTGGAGGTTAGGAGTTGGGTGTCTGGCTTCAAAATTGAGCGATTGTGCTTGCTTGTATGTACATTTCTGTAATGTGTGCGTGTCTGCACAGGACAAAGAGGGATGGATCACGGAAGTAGATAGAAAACACCCAATGCATCCTCAGGCCGTCCTTCCTAATCTACACTGGGAGATTTATCTATTATAACGTTATTCCGAGTGACTTGATCTCGGGATCGTCCCGAAATGCCATCCTGATCTCCTCGTCCCCCACAGCGAGCCGAATCTTGCTCGGCCGCTCCGCCCTCTGCGCCTCCAGGTTTATGATCCCCGCGCCCGTCAGGTCGGCCGCCGCCCTGCCCATGCCGGTGGGCCGCAGGACGCGAGGTTCGTGCCTGGGCCTGGCGGCCCTCGACGGCACGGCGCCGGAGGCATCCGGGTCGGCAGGCCCGCCGCGGTGGTCGAGGAGGCCCAGCGGGCGCGAGGCCCCGGCCGAGAGCCGCAGCATGCGCTGCATCTCCTCGAGGACGTCGCCGTACGTGCTCTCGGCCAGGCCGGTGCGCTGGGTCCGCGACAGGAGCGCCGAGAGGAGCAGCCTCGGGGCGAAGGGCAGGGCGCGGAGGTACAGCTGCAGCGGGTTGCTCGTCGCCTCGCCGATGGCGCGCCGGACCGTCTCGATCGTCACCCTACCTGCGGTAGCCTTCTTCTTCATCGTCGTCGCCGTGGTCGAATCGCCGCCGGGAGTGGCGGCCGCCTTTGCTGCTGCTGCTGCTCGCCTGCTCGGCGTCGGCGGTTCGGACTCGGCTGCACGGCTGTCCGCCTCGGCGAGCTCTACCGCCCGCCTGCAGATGTCGAGCGCCCGCCTGGCGTCGCCGCTGACGGCGGCTACCTTGCGGCTCGCGAACTGGATGGCGTCCGGCTCGACAATGTTGCCCGGGACGCCTTCCAGCCTGGACTTCACGATCCTCATCAGTTGTTCGTGGTTGTAGCCGGGGAATGTGATTCTGGTCAAACCTGGTGCGCCGCTTGGGTCAGTATGGCTTGTACGTGCGTAACGGACGGGTTTCGGGGTTGGGATGCAAACGGCTTACCGAGACGACTGCTGATCTTGTTGCTCAGCGTTCTCTCTGGCAGATCCATGGTGTTGGCCACGGCCAGGACGATGAGCCGGCTGTGCCGCAGGCCCGGCCAGTTGAAGAAATTGTACATGACGCCCTGGTTCTTTGTGACCAGCTGGTCGAGCTCGTCCATCAGCACGACGCAGGGTACCCGGCGGGGGCTAGGGTTGCTGAACTCGCGCTCCAAAAGGTCGAGAGCCTGGGCCGGGCTGACGCGCTGGTCCCTCAAAGCTTCCCATAGCAGCGAGTATGCCTGGTGGGGGTCGCTGATCTTCATGCCGTTGATCTCCACGAAGATGAAGTCGTCCAGCTCGTCGGAACGGACCGCCTCGTCCAGCCTCGAGACCACCTCCCGTACGGTAGCCGTCTTACCCGTGCCGGGAGTGCCAGATATATATATGCAGGAGCCAACTCCATCCGTAATGGCGGCTTCCAAATGCGAATATACGAGGCTAAACTCGGCCTCTCGGCACGGCAGGCTGGTGGGAACTGAGGCGACGTGGAGCTGTGATCGAGCGAGCTGGTAGGGGGAGGATAGGTGATGGTTGGGGGAGAGTACTCGAGTGGCCAATGGGGTAAAGTCGAGGTGTTTCTTTACCATAATCCTGAATAATCGTTAGGCTGGTGTTCACATAAGGGAAGAAGAAAGAAGAAAGACGAACTTCCGATGTGAAGGAGTCATGGGTTTGCTTCCACTCCCCCGCTTGCTCGGCGTAATGGCGTCCTGATTCCTCGGCTTCTTTGGGGTGCGAGGATAGTCTGTAGCCTCCTCCGCATCCTCCCCAGGAGCATAGTCTGTCTCTGGAGGCTCTTTTTTTCCTACCCTCCGCTTTCTAGTCGCCTTAGTCCCTCCTTTGACAAGGTCCACTAGAGTGTCGATGTCCTCATTCCCACGGTAGACGTCCTCCCACACAAATTCGTCGGTGTAAGTTGCGGTCCTTGTATTACATCCTCGACGGCAGATGAAAACCTTTCCGGAATCTTTCGATTTTCGGGGGACCTTGCCGCTTGGGTAGTCCTTCAGGAACGCTTGCAATGAAGTGACACGGGCTGTGCCATTGATTGCCGCTAGAGGATTGATATCCCACGAAGGCGAGATGTACAGTTCGTTCTGTGGCAGAGTAGACCTGTCAGTGTCACGCAGCAGCTACCCCAGCAGCTACCAATCCTGGGTAGGAGCTTACCGGGTAGGCATCCTTCCTCTTCTTTTCCTTGTTGCGAATCTCCTTCTCTGTGGAAAACCACATAAAATTGGCAGCCTTCTCTCCCTCGTCATCGTCGACGAAGTCGCATATTATGCCAACCCACGCCTCGTTGGAGCCCTCGGCCTTCAATAACACGGTTTCACCCAAAGCACACTCGAAATCTCCCATGCGAGCGCCGACGATCTTCCGCTCCTGCGTCCTCTTCCTCTTCCTAGTGCTACCAGTCCCATTATCTTTCGGGGATTCGGCCTGCTCCGACTCGTAAATCCATTCCCAAGGGTAGTCCTCGGTTCCGAGTTCGTCGTCAGAGTCATATCTAGTGATACCAGGAGGCGGTTTGGTTGCTCGTTCCTGTGGGCGGTCAAGCTGGCTCTGAGAAAATAATTCCGGCATATTAAGACCTACTCTATGAGGTCCGAAGATATAGATAATGGCTTGTTGACTTTTGAAAACATGGACGATCCAAATTGTAGGAAAAGGAGGGCTGGCGCTCTCAAAATCCACAACCTTGAGACGCGTCTTGGACGCGTCGCTTGATTTAGCGTGACAATTTTCAATTACACCCTTGTCCTTGCAGTATGACGTAAGAGGGATGAGCCCCACATGCAGTGCATGGACGTCCACCGCCTTGAGACACCGCCTTTGACTTCCTCACCTTCGATGACAGTGGTCACAATGGTTACAAGTAGACAGTATGGTGATTGCTAATCTGAGAAAGGCCATTAACTCGGATCTTGCTTTCGTTTGTGTTGTGCAATATTGGGGGTAACTGGCATGGACTGCAGACAGCAATCCCTTCGCCTGATTGCTCCTTCGTCCTAGCCAAGTATGGCTTCTACTGTTTGTAAGGTAGAAGGTATGTGGGTAGGCAGGTACCTTCCTTGTCATTGCCTTCCATCTGTTCAGTCAAGCAAACTGCCTCAGGTTTGGCGGGTAGGTGCCTCTACTTAGTTTCTAAAACTTGCAATACCAATATAAACACGTACCTCCCTACTGATGCAAATCCCCCTTTCCAACCCTCGCAGCAATTTCTCTAGCAACTACACCTCAACCATATTGATCCTGCCATCGAACCATGAGGATCTTAGTAAGTACCCTATATCTCAAGGTCTGCCCACACGCACTGGGCCTGCGAACGAATGGGGATTTCTAATGAGGATTTCAGTAACGATGAAGAAGCAAGAACAGGGTCGGCGAGGTGCTCAAAGTTGCCAAGGAGGTAAACGAGGTCGCGGGACCCAACGAGCAGCTCGTGGAGCCCAACGCCAGCAGCAACGACTACCACTCCAGGCAGACACGGCCGCCCAGCAGCCCGAAGCCCATCCCGCTCCTCCAACTGTCCCACTTCGAACAGAATCTGCCGCAGTGTCCACTATACACACTCGAATTTATGGAAGCGCTGGCGCCCCAACCAATTCTGCGAATGTCAACCCCCAGGACCTGTCTGTCGGAGTCGCCAGCTCGGAGGGCAATCGAGAGGAGATGAGGGTGAAAGTAAGCTGCTCATCCAACTGGTGCCATATACGTCTGCAGAGACTGACAGTGTATACCAGGTTAAGCTGGCGTTGCCCTCGTTTGGCTACAAAGAACTGGATGCGGACGATCTTGATCTGGTGACCATCCTAAGACAGATTGCAGTCCGCTACAACGTCAATATTGCACTGCCAACTGACGATGGAACAATTTCGATCAATGCCCAGTCCAAGTTCAGGGCCCATGAGGCTATCCAGGCCATTTTCAAAGCCCTGGAAAGTCAAGCAGATGACTCTAAGGCATGGCATCCCCAGATACTGATAGGCCCTCCAACTTCTGGAAAAGACCACTTTGAAGCTCGGCTTGAGAAGGCACCAGATGGTTCGCGTCCCATCTTGTCGCCCAGCACGACCAACACCTCCGGGCCCGACAACGATGAGCTCGAACCTCTCACTCAGGGATATCAGGACGCCTTTTGCCACAAGATGTTCCAGATTGCTGGAAGCCTTCGCTCGAATCCAAATGAGATGCAAATGGGAGTGTACTTTGGGACCCTGCGACTCCAGGAATGGAAGAAGGACAAGGATACTTATTCTTTCGACGATTTGGAGATATTGACCCGCCGTATCAGTCTACGAGGGACTTTCAAGCTGGACGGATTGTGAGGTCCCTCGCTTTCTCAAAGAAAAAAACAACTCTTGACTGACCATATACATACAGTCTTGGTTCCGACCGGTTCAACGAGGACTTGATGACAAAGATCTATTCTTCAGAGAATTTCTTTGAACCCATCACGCCGCGTATTCCCGACCTCAAAGATGTGCCAGCAAGGCACACCCTGATGTTGAAAACTGCGGGTCTGGATCTCGAGACAGAAGTCATTGGTGTGCTAGACAATGACCGGGCGACCACCAAGTACCGGCTTGGCCCTGTTCATGGTTTCCGTCGGGAAAAGCGGCACCAGGCTGTCGAGATCGTCACATCGTGCCCTGAGTCGTAAGTCGTTCTTATCAAGCCCCTAGTCTGATATTCTCTGACACGCAAACAGGCGATATGACTGGGACCTGGAGGTGCGGACCCAGGTCAAGGTCGACTCACTTCCCTTTAACCGCCGCGAACTTGAAGTCAATACTCGCTTCAAGGCAAAGGAACAGAACCATTCATTCCCAGATGTGGTCGTCCTCAAAGATTTCGCCACGAGATCCAAGCTCGAGGGGGTCATGGGGAAGACGACGTGGGTATTCCGTATCAGAGGCACGCCGTACCTGGTTGAAGTTTCTCTTTTCCGCAAATGGGAAGGTCCGTCAACCAATGCCCCGGCCGTCATGGGATCGGGAGTCACAATGAGGGGAGTTGGTTGGGACGAGGAGCTAGGCCCCAAGAATATTGCAGAAGGTCTTCGGCAGTGGAGTGACAACTTCAACGAGTTGTTTCCTGACGTCGACCGTAAGGATGATGGACTTGAGGTATTCTTCCGTTGCGTCAAGGAGGTCCAGGACATTCTTGGCGAGGTTGCGGAGTTCCAGTATGTCGAGGACTAGAGTCCGACAGCCGCAGAAAAAGCCACGGCAGGACAGGGGATGACAAGGGCGTTTGCTTAGCAAGGCAGGTCTGGCCGGGATATTTTTCTTGACTCGGGGTTGTTGATTCTCTCTCATTCCTCCGTCTTGTATCTTCTCTGGTGACTGTTTGACGGGGGGCCGTCGACTCTAATTGATACAATGCAACGGATGTCTGAGAAAGCTGCGTCACACATGATCCTCATACATTTCGAGGTTCTGGGTCTAGGTAGTTCGATATGGCCATTTCCCCAACCACCTTCCACCTTCCTTCCACGAGTAGCAGATGATTAGTTTGACTACCTATGGTAGTCAAGCAGCTGCGCCCTCCAAATTAGCCCCAATCCGGCGCAGATATTGAAGATATCCACAAGCTAAGCCTTCCAAATATCCAGGAAACCCTCTCTGAGCCGGCCATTACGACGACGGTCCTGGCTGCGAGCCTGCTAAAACTTTCTGTCGCAATACTGCAATTCGATCAGCTGCTTGGCCTCCAGTTGCAGCTGGGGGTGCAGGGTAAAACAAGCTCACCTTCCTCCACCATTCTAAGACTGTTCGTCTTGTTCTGGACGATGTTCTCGAGGTCCTGAATGTTGCTGCCCAGCTGCTTCACCTTGTCTTCATAGAATTCCGTCGCACTCTTGACATCCTGAAAAGGGGAGCGCAAGACGACAAGTTAGAGATGCTGCCATGACGGGGGTTTTCCCCGTTCTCACTCATATCTTGGGGAACTTGTCTCGCGAGTTCTGAAAGCTTACCTTCTCGACGTAGAAACCGGTCCCGACGTCAACGATGACTCGGTCGGGGTTGGTCAGCTTCCCGCGGACATAGAGGGAGTTCGTCAGCGGCACTAGGATGTCCTTCTTCTTGCTCTTGTCTGCTTCCCCCCCCTCCACCGTCAGCCACGAGGGGATGAGAAGATTGGGGTCGGACTGGGGTTGGGGGTCGGGCGCACCCTGAGAGGTAGGCGCCGTGTTGACGCAGCGCAGACACTCCTTGAACTTGCCCTGCGCGGCATGGAGCTGGGCGAACGAGTTCGTCAGGTGCTCCACCTCGTCATCTAGCTGCTTCTTCACCTGGGTGAGCTGCTGTGGGTTGAGGCTGTCGAGGCTCACTTTTTTTTGGATGAGTCAGAAAATAGAGAGGGGAATAATATGAGCTGGGTCTTACGCTCACTCACCTCCTTCCTGGCCTCCTCGGGCTGCCATTCTTGATTACTTGTCTGGTGCCTGGCTACGAGGTTTCGATGAGATGAACGAAACGGAGATACTGATGAGTGTGCCCCGCTAGGGAAAATTGGTGGGGGTAACTCACTGGTCCCTTATACCAACGTTTTTGCGGTTAGCGAAAAACGGGACCAGAGCCTAATGCTACCTAGGTACTTAGGTACCTAGGTATCCAAGCCAAACCTCACAACTTCCTGCTCAGGGGGTGCATTCATGATTTGAGACTGCTCTGTCACACTGGAAACATGCTTCAGGGCATTTTGTCTAGTCTTATGATTCGGAGACTAGATTAATTCCTAGTTTTCATCCTCCCAAGCCTAGGTAATAACAACCTATTTAAATTTGGTGGTTCTTGACAACATTGCATCAATTGATTTGATTCTTAGCCCCTGAATCGAGGACAAAGGGGCATGATCATTAAGAATATCTTAGGACGGGTGATTAAGTATGTACAACCTCAGCCTTCAAAGTTGATCGAGGAGATTGGTTACAAATACAGGCAACTCGTCCATACCGACATGCTCCTTGACTCCCAACCTCCGGCATTGCACCTCGCACCGTCGACGGGCCTTCCATTCCCTGCCGAGGACGACAATAACCGGGTACCCGACAAGGTCAGCATCGTTCAGCTTCCATGCGAACGAGCTATCGCGGTCATCCAGTATGGCATCCAGGACCCGCTCTGCTGGTCTTCCGTAGGCAGACAGTGCATCAAACACGTCTTCAGCATCGCCATCCAGGCCCTTTCCTGGTATGACGACGACTTCGTAAGGTGCAACCTCCCGTGGCCAGTTCAGGCCCTTCTCATCGGCTAGGTGATCGGCTATTGCGCCGATGATGCGAGTGACTCCGATCCCGTGGCAGCCCATCTGCATGGGCACACTGACGACCTCGTCCCCTTTCGACGCAACTGGTTGGGCTGGCCCGGAACTAGATCCCGATTCCGGAAGCATGTTCGATGGGATTGAGACTCTTGCGTCTAATGGCTCGGAGTAGCGCGTGCCTAGATGGAAGGTGTGACCAAGCTCTATGGCCTTCTGTACCTTAAGTGTCCCTGATGAGCACTGTGGGCATTTATCGCCTGTCCGGATTCTTAGCAGGTTAAGGGTTCCGCCATCCTTGTCGCTGTCCATGACTGTGGAGATGGAAGGAGGTGGCGTCTGGCCGAGGCCATCCGGCCATACTGGAATTCCCGGGCTTTGGTTCTTGATACTGTCGAGGAAGGATGACGGCAGGCGACAGTCGACGATGTTCACTAGCCGTATGCCGTCATCCTTTCGGCTGCTGATGACATCTACCCAATGTGGCAGGGGGTTCTCAATGCCGCCATCCAGGTCGGGAAACAGGGACTTCACGGTATAGATGTTGATGTCAGCGTCCGTATACTCTCTTGGGCCGCTGCCTGAAGCACCCTCGACACTCTCCGGATACCACACATTAATAAGCGTGGACCTGTCCTTCGTAATGCCTCTCCAAACATGGATCCGGCCACTCGCTTCATGCTTGCCTGAAGGGCGAGTTTCAGCCAGTTCATCGTTGATGATGTAGTCGCAGTCACTGCAGCTGACAACGTGATCCTCTCCGAGAGACGTGGGAAGGTGGTACTCGTGGCTCAAGTCGCCACCCATGTCCCCAGAGCTGGCCTTGGCAACGAGGATGGGAAGCTTGAGCGCGGCAAAGATCTCGACGTACGCTGCTCGAATTTGCTCGTACGTCTCGAGTGCAGAGGGTATCGTAGAGTCAAACGTATAGAGATCCTTCATGATGAATTCCCGGCCGCGGAGGAGGCCATGACGGGGACGGAATTCATCTCGATATTTCCGAGCTACGAATCAGAAATAGATAAGAACCAACCCTCGGAATCGTAACGTTTTTCAACTCACTGATTTGATACAACCTCAACGGAAGTTGCTTATAAGACTTCACTGCGCGCGATACAAGCGTCGTGATTTCTTCTTCGTGTGTTGGAGAGAGGAGGTAGGGCGACCCCTTCCGATCAACGAAGCGGAAAAGCTAGCAAGAACAGTCAGCCATGAAATAACTCGTTTGACCAGACCTAGGTCTGTCCATACCTCTGACGCTACATTCTTTAGACGGCCGCTCTTCTCCCAAAGTGATTCCGAGGAGATGGTCGAGAGGGAAAGCCTCGAAGCTCCTAGACACTCGTGAGCAGGCTAGCATCCCCAATAACACGCTTGCCAGCTTACCTAGGCTTTGCATATGCTGGTCGATGAGGTGCTGGATCTTGTCCTCAACACGGCGGCCTAGAGGAAGCATATGAAATATGCCCGAGTGTGACTGTTGATCAATGGTGAGCCAGTGTCTCTCAGGGGTTGATTGAACACCTCTAGACTGACCTGGCGCAGAAATCCAGCACGAATGAGTTTCGAATGAGCGTCTAAGCCATTAGCGATTGTCTGCAGGCACTGGAACCTATGGTCCTACCCTCATTCTCTCCTGCTGCAATACCTCCGCTCGGCGCCCATACGTTGGAGAGACGGGCACGCTTATCAACATGTATCCATCGATCCTTTTAGGCATTTAGTACTTACAACCTTATTCATCTCATAGGGTACGCTTACTTGTGTGAAAGGCTTACGCCTGGCCGAGGAGAGGATTACGATACAATGTCCTCCCAGGGCTTGGCGGACTGGCCCTCTGAGGCCGGCGGAAGGACAGCGAAACATTTTCCGACGTGTCAATAACCCCTACATAGCTATGGGACTCAGTGAGACACAGTAGGTAGCCGTAAATGTTGGTATTTTAAGCTGTTTGGCCAGGAATTGGTCGCCTTTCCCAATTCAATTGGGAACTTTTTGCAGCCTCGCAGCACTGGCGTTACTTCCAGTTCCACTCCAGTGGTGCTACCAGGTTTCAGGGGCTAACCTGGCGGCAATAGCCTTGCAGGTGCGGCTACACTCTAGCGGGACTCAGCGTGGGGCTGGCCGCCTTTGGCCCCGCCCTTTTTTTTCTCGAAAATTTCTTCGGCCAATGGATGCTTGGTGAATTTCTCTGTGGGTGAAGCTCAACCTCTGGGACCCCTTCTCTCTCTCTCCTCCTCTACACCAAGAGCAATCCAACTCTGGCCACTGCGGTAGTCATGGCGCCAACTAATCGCAAGGACAAAAAGCCCAAGTCGGCCAAACCTGGCTTTGACGAGGCCGCACTCAATAAGTCAATCGCCAAGCTCGACAAGACATTGGCAACGCCCAATGGCACTGGTCAGAATGATCAGAACGGGAAGAGGAAGAGGAAAGACACCCCTGCGGAAGCCCCAAAGTCCAAGAAGCGCCAAACAGTCGCCGCCGAGTCTGACTCGAAAAAGGAGAAGGGCAAGGCGAAGAGGGCCGGGAAACCATCGTCAGACAGCCTGCTGGAGGAGATAAAGGCACTTGGTGGGAACGAGGACGACCTGGCACTCATTGCGAATATCGACTCGGATGCCGAGGGGGGAGAGGATGAGCTACAAGAATTCGGAGTCGAAGGAGGCTTTGACGATACGCTCAAGAATGAGTTGGCCAAGTTCGCATCCAGCCTAGGATTCCAGAACGTGCGCAAGGACGACGATGTTGAGACCGAAGAGTCCGAAGAAGAGGCATCCGAGCCTGAGGACGAGATAAAACCATTGCCACTGCCGCCACCTACCCAAGACGAGTCTCGCAAAGGCAAGAACGCGGGGAGATTGGTAAGTAAGCATCTCGTCTGTTGGTTAGACAAATGGACGTGGGCTAACCATCCTTTTATTTTAGACATTTGATCCCCGACCAGACTGGCATGCCTTTAGCACCGAGCACCTGTCTGCTCCTATTTCCGATGACACCAAGCAGTACTCTGCCGCAATCGCGGGCCTGAAGGCGTACGCGCAGACACTCCTTGAAGAAGATGCAGCCATATACGGTTCAAAGCAGTCTTCTTCCTCCACGCAGAAGTTCATGTCGACTATCATGTCGTCTGGTACACTGTCGGATAAGGTGTCTGCGTTGACTCTGGGCATACAAGAGTCCCCGGTCCACACTATCAAGGCCTCGGAGAACCTGATCAATTTGGCGGGGAAGAAGAGTCGTGGCCAGGCAATCGCCGCTTTAGGAGCCCTGGTGGATCTTATGGGCAACGGCGTCGTCCTTCCCTCTGACAGGCGTCTGCGCCCTTTTCAGTCTCAGCCCGGCCTGATTGGCTCCCTGCAGCAAACCTCGACGCGCACCTGGGCAGTCGGACAGAGACTCCCAGGCAACGTGAGCAAGGCTCACCTGATCATGTGGGCGTACGAGAACTGGCTCAAGGACGCCTACTTCCGAATCATTCAGCTCCTCGAGGTCTGGTGTGGAGACGAAGTCGTCTACTCAAGGTCGAGGGCTCTAGACTTCGCCTTTGGGCTCCTCAAGGACAAGCCGGAGCAGGAAGCCAACCTGCTGAGACTCCTCGTCAACAAGCTTGGAGACCGAGAGCGAAAGATTGCGTCTCGAGCTTCACACTTGTTGCTGCAGTTGCTGAACGTGCACCCGGGAATGAAGGCCATTGTTGTTAAGACGGTGGAAGAAGAAGTCCTCCTTCGACCTGGTCAGAGTGTACGGTCAAAGTACTTTGCCATCAACACCCTGAATCAGACGATTCTCAGTTCCAAGGAGCCGGAAATCGCTGATAACCTTGTACGGATCTACTTTGAGATGTTCCTCTCGCTCCTAAAGACGGGTGCACTGGGTGGTATTGAGTCCTTTGAACTCGAGAAGAAGTCTAAAGTTGGATCGCGGCCGAAGTCAAGGAAGCAAAAGCCCGAGCCTGGTGTGCTTGGGAATGAACAAGAGACAACCCAGAAGCTCGTGTCGGCGGTGTTGACGGGGGTAAACCGAGCTATCCCTTTTACCATGACCGACGACTCGACGTTGGAGAAGCACCTCGATACGCTGTTCAGGATAACCCACTCTTCGAATTTCAATACGAGTATACAGGCCTTGATGCTCGTCCAACAGCTTGCCGCATCAAAGCAGCTGGCAGTTGAGAGATTCTACCGGACTCTTTACGAGTCTCTCCTGGACCCCCGTCTTATCACGTCTTCGAAGCAGGCACTGTATCTCAATCTTCTTTACCGAGCATTAAAGAACGACCTGGATGTCCGCAGGGTCAAGGCGTTCGTCAAACGAATGCTGCAGGTGATCAACCTTCATCAACCTTCCTTCGCGTGTGGCATCCTATTCCTTATTATGGAGCTAGACGCAACGTTCCCCGACCTGAAGACGTTGCTGAACGAGCCGGAGGAATACGACAGTGACGAGGAGGAGGTCTACAAGGACGTCGTCGACGGCGACGCCGAAAAGCCAGAGCCGGCTGCTGACGAGGCTCTTGCCGCGCAAAAGAGGAGTCAGCGAATGTATGATGGCCGGAAGAGGGATCCAGAGTACAGCAACGCGGACAAGAGTTGTCTCTGGGAAATTGTGAGTTTCCATGATCTTGTCCCTTGATTTTTTTTTTGGTCACCGAACCTCCAACTAACTTCTTCAGGTTCCTTTCCTCACTCACTTCCATCCCTCGGTCGGCGTATTTGCGGCGAGCCTCTTAGCGCGCCAAACGGGTCTCCCCAAACCAGATCTAGCGAATCATACCCTGATGCACTTCCTGGACAAATTCGTGTACCGGAGCCCGAAGGCGACCGAGACACAGCGCGGAGGCTCCATCATGCAGCCGGTGCTCGCGTCGGGCAGCGCGTCGATCATCGCGGTGCCCGGCAAGACGGGGGCCAGGCAGCAGGCGGCCGTCAACTCGGCGTCGTTCTGGAACCTCAGGCCCGAGCAGGTGGCGGCCGAGGACGTCTTCTTCCACAAGTACTTTGCGCAGGTCGGCAAGCCCGGCCAGGCCGCCAAGCCGAAGAAGGCCGAGGAGGGAGACGAGGAGGAGGACGAGGAGGCGGCCGAGGAGGAGATCTGGGGCGCCCTAGTCAACTCGCGGCCCGAGGTCGAGGGAGAGGAGGGTGACTCGGACATCGACATGGATGGCTTTGACAATGATGACGACGACGACGTCAGCTTGGATATGGGAAGTGATGACGATGTCTCTGGTGGGGAGATGGGCTTCGATGATGTCCCGAGTGGCGATGATGATGCCTTCGAGGGCATATTCGGAGAGTCTGATGAGGAGGCAGAGCCCGAGGACGAGGACGAGGACGATGCTGCCGATGATGATACTCCTGCCAATCGCAGGGCTAAGAGCAGGCAACACAAGAAGGAGATGAAGAGCCTGCCGACCTTTGCCTCCGCAGAGGATTATGCGGAGATGTTGGCAGGGGACGATGATTTGGACGATTAGGAGGGGATACGATGATGCGGGTGTGCTCTCGGTCCGCTTCTGGCTCTTTTAGAAGGCTCTAGGTAGGAGCGATAATGAAATTCATTTTTCAGTCCAGCTATGCTATCTAAGTACAGCAACAAGCCAGGTACTGAGCCATCGCGCACCACCATCCAGGGTATCTCGATCCTCGATTTGCCATTTATCCGCCACCCTGGGGGGTGTCACTCAAGTGTCGAACCATTCAAGGGGGTCGTTCTTGGTGAAGATGGCCCGGTACGAGAAGCCGCCGCCCGGCAGCTCCCGCTCCTCGGTGTGGATGCAGTGCAGTGTGGCCTGGTCGTCGGGCCCGGTGCTGAAGATCCGGAAGTGGACGTACGCCGGGCCGGAATCGGGCATCGCCGGCAGGCGCAGCTTGCCGAAGATGTGGATGCCGTAGGCGGAGATGCCCACCCGGACCTGCTCGAAGTCGGCGCTGGTGAAGGAGACCAGATCCGTGTTGCTCAGGTGAGCCTGTGAGGGGGGCGGTGGGTGAGAAAGGACCCCGGTGGAGGGGGATTGGGTGCAAGGGAAGACTCAAAGAGGTGCTTGGGGCAGGTTGCTTACCACGGCTGCGAAGTACTCGGGCTCATGCTCTTTTGCGCGGGTCCCAGTTTAGAATACGAACGTAAACTACTGGGAAAGGGGGCGTGCCATTGCTTGCTTACTGTTATGCTCGTGGCGGATATGGACCAGCTGCTTCCGCAGCTCGTGCTCAATCTGCTTGAACGCTCTAATCGATTCCTCCTTTGGCTCGTGGGGAGGGCCGAGGTGAACGGTCTCAGCTGTTGCCTGTTGTGCGAGTCAGCAAGGAAACAGACGCTCATGTTCAGATATAATGGCTGCGGTTACTGACCATTTCAAATTATGTTTCCGAGCACTGTCGGGACGTTCGATTTCTATGAAGTCTGAGGTTGAAACGTTTACAGATCAACTATGACGATGAAGGAGGGGATCATGAACTTTAACTGTCTGGAGACCCTGCTAGTATGCGGCCCGGCCTACGTAGGGGTGAAACCTGTTGCTGTACTACGCAGTACATACCGGTATGCAGTAACCTGATTTCTAGTTCCCGTTCGACCATGCGCCCCACCCACATCTACCAATCGACCACAGAGTCTAGATCAGGTTACACCTACCAGTCATTGAACAGGGTTTATTGACTCTGAGCGTTTGGAGTTGATGTTTGTTGGCTTGCTAGCTAGCCTGCGTTTCCACTTCGCCGACTTTAAATGTTGGCAATTCGACCCCTGGTCCGTGGCAAGACGAGGCCTATTCTACAATCCTATATCCAACCAGCACTGCCAGTACCAACCTCCTCTTCTTGCCCTGCTACCGCTGCAGTGGCAGTCCTCTGGTCCCTCAAACCAGACCTGGTCGAGACACCTACACCAAGGATGTCAGGGGGCAAAGTTGACTCCGCGCCAGGCTTGTACCAATCCACCAGCCTACGCTCCTCCCTCTCCTTGAGCCTCCTCTCCACAAATCCCTCTATGGCATTGACCTGCTCTGGTGGTAGCAGCTTCAGCCTGTCCATGATATCATGATATCTCCGCTTTCATTCTTGCAAATGGACTTTTTGTCCAGTATCTTCCAGTAAATGGCGTCAAATGCCCAAGTCCTCCGCGCCGCATACGTCAGCCAGAAGCGACCCGACTCCTAGCTCTCACGCATGCGGGTAGACGAGATCTCTGATTCCTTCAAGCGACCATCCTCGATAAATTGCTTCTCTTTTGCCTCGAGGCGCGGAGAAAAGTGTCCAATCTTGGCTCATATCTGGCTACCCAGGCGCCCAGGCCGCCTCCCAGTCGTCAGCAGCCTTGAGAAGCAGCCACCTGGCTGTACATGTACTCGAGCTTCTCCTCATCGATGTTGGGATTAAGTCCTGGGGATCTTCGTATCTAAAACCAGGTGTGTTCACGACGTCGACAACGTCGCCTGCATTCTCCACCCATTCCATGATGATGAGGGGCCCCCAGTCCGCCTGGGCTTTCCTCTTTCATGTCGTAGTGGAGGATGAAGGGCACTGGAATGGTGATGTTGCTCGTGACATAGCGCATAGCGGCAACCTCGGCCAGAACCCTCTCTTCAGCGTACTTGAAATACGCTGGCATGGGAGCGAATCATCGCCCCAGCACCATCAGCGAAGCGAATGCGATAGTAGACATTAAAAGCACCTCTTACGATCTCATGGTAGAGTTCCTTCACGTAAAGCTGCTTCTTGAACGTCTCGAATAGCTCTGTGCCGTAATCCTAGATGTCGTCGTCGTATTTCTCGAATAGGTAAGGTAGGCATCTCCGAAGACTAAGCGAGACAAAGTCTGGCTGCAAACTATGGCACATTTCCTTGATAGGGCCAAGCATCATGCCTTCTACCTGATCGGGCTGCTGGCAGAAAGTGGCAGGAGGAGAGGAAGAAGGGAAGAAGAGCCGAACGAAATGATCCGTGTGCTGGCCTTGCGTCTCCTTGACTCAATATTATATGGTCCTCTCACTTGAAAGCTTGACCAGTGGCATGTAGTTCTGTAGCCTGTTGCACATTCAACAGACCGTAACAAGTGGAGGAACACCTGGTCCCGATGAACCTAACGGGGCGTAGGCTCCAATTCCAGTTTGGGAACTTTACCAAACCTGGACTGCGCATTCGCTGTTTGCGCCAATTTGGTCTGGTACGGTGACTTACACGGAGCGGAGAATTTAAGGTGTGACACCCTCACCTAGGTGAGAGCGTTACATAACCCAGGTTGCAGCGAGATCGGTGGTGGAGCCCCGATCTCACCGCTGTGCCGAGGTTCAACAAAGATTTCATCTTGCCTCGTTGGAAAGCCCCGCGCCAAGTACATCAATTGCACCGAGCCCCGACCGCTTTTCCACAATTTGCACTGCTTCTAAGCAGCTGTCGCCAACCGGATCTCGGAGCGCGGGAGACACGACGCCCGGTGCATCCACCTGGAAGGTTGGGGGTTAGTCCAAAGACCCGAGTCACGGACAGCAGGATAGCCTCGTCGCCCTCGTCGCATAGCCTAGGCAAATTCTGGTAGGATCCACTCAAGGTCATCCTCATACATAAGGGCTCCCACCCCTGAGCTCAACAAAAATGTCGCTACCTCGGTTTTCTGTCCTCCAAGGAGTCCGCGCCATCCGTCGTCCTGTTCACCTTCACTCGTTGCGTCTTCCAGTCCAGAGAAGTCCAGTCCGTTTCCAGTCTACAACCACTGGTAAGGAGATACCCCTCCTTGATATTTTCAAGGGGCGACGACTAACAGCACGTACACAGCCACTGCAGACTCTACCGCCTCCGGCTCCAAAGAATCCTCATTCCTTCGCAGAGCAGCGTCCTTTTGTGGCGGCGCCCTCCTCTTCAGCGCCATCGGTTTCATCATGGCCACGGCTCCCGCCTACAAATCGGTGGGGCAGATCCTGTCCCCCACGACCGACGCGGAGTCACTCAAGGTGTTCGAGCCGGCGCATCCCGATTCCGAGGAGAAAGAGGAGTTTATAGACTCGCATCCCCTGGTGAAGTCGCTGCGCGCCGAACCCGACTTCACCGAGAGCCGCCCGCACATGAAGATCCCCGCGGCGTGGCGGACGCAGAACCTGACGGCCGGCACGCTGATGGGACCGGGCAAGGTGGCCGTACCGCCCTTCGCGTTCAACGAGAAAGGGGGCAAGAGCTACGTGCAGATATCTCATGTCGGGACCGATCTCTGCGGTCACGTCGGCATCATCCACGGCGGGTTCCTTGCCACCATGCTTGACGAGGGGCTGGCGAGGTGCTGCTTCGCCGCGCTGCCCCATAACATTGGCATGACGGCCAAACTGGAAGTTAACTATAAGGTGCCGGCCAAGGCGGATCAGTATCTGGTGCTGAGGGCGACGACGACCAAGGTCGAGGGTCGGAAAGCCTGGGTTGAAGGCCACATTGAGACACTACCTGCCACCGAGGATGAGCAGCCTACTGTGCTAGCTACGGCTAGTGCATTATACGTTTCGCCCAGGCAGGCATCGGTAAGCATTGACGGACCCGGGGCTGCTAGACGGAGCAGGTTAGCTAACTGTTACACAGATGATGGCGAAGGTATACCCGGTGACGTGAGAGGGGACATGCACGAGGCAGGTCCCATTGGAATTGAACTATCGAGTCGAGCGGCGTTGCCGACCTGATGATGCAATGCATGATAGAACATAGAGGAGTTTGGTGTTTGGAGGTCACAGATTTAGACTTTCTTCCTTGCCCAAGAAAGGGGTATTTTACATTGGTTGAAGGTGTCTTAGAACAAGCGCATGGTGCCGATGTCGATTATTTTTACCTGGGGCCATACGTCACATATATAGTTGAAGATAGCAACCTTGATAGACACTGCACATAAATAACAAGCCAGGCGCAAAGGCCCCCACTAAAACAATCCGCTGCTGCGATAAGCGATAAGCCCCGCGGCAGGCATAAGCCCCTGGAAACTTACTAACCAAATGACGACTTCTTGAGAAGCTCGAGCAACTGTTCTATCCTCCCTCACCTTGACCGGAATCGCAAGAAATGCAAAATGTACTCCCACACGCCCCCAGTCCCCCCTCCAAAATCTGGAAGCCATGAAACCAGCCGGATGAGCACGCCGGCATTAACACAGTCGCCGGCGACCTCCTCGCTACCAGAATCACAGGCCGAGCTTCCTGCGACGAGCACAAATTCTCACCTTGCGCAACCACAACCTATCCCAGACCCAGGTGATCAATGGCTGCCCAAATTTCTCGAGGATAAGTCGTCAGTTCTCCCCCCCAAAAAAAACACCTTCTCCCAAACCAACCGGGACCGGACCAAAAACTAACCCCAAACCAGCAAGCAAGACCTAGCCGACATCCTCTCCTCCCCGACCCTCCTCTCGGCCCTCGCCCACTCCCCGCAGACGATCCACCCGTCCCTGGCGGCCAGCCACGCGGCCCTGTGCTCGGCGCTGGCCGACAACATCGAGCTCGCGGCGCGCCTGCGCGAGCACGAGGCGCGCCTCGCGTCGGCGCGGGCGGCGACGCAGGGCCGGCTGCTGGCGACGCACGCGCTCGAGCGCGCCTGGCGCGCCAAGCAGGCCGACATGGATGTCGCGCTCGCGCCGTTCGCACCCGCCAGCCTGTACCAGCGCCTCGGGCAGGGCGTCGCCGAGCAGGAGGCCGTGTGCGCCGCGCTCGAGGAGAGCTTCCTCGATGGCGGCGGCGGCGGCGGTGGGGCGAATGGTGCGGGGCAGGGGGCAGGGGGTGGGGATGGAGATGGGGGTGGCGAGGCGACTGAGAGGGAGGTTGGGGAGTGGGTGAGGCGGTATAGGGAGGCGAAGAAGTTGTATTACCTGCGGCTGGAGAGGAAGCAGAGGTGGGATGAGGGACGGGTTGGGGGGTGGAGGTGATGTTGTTGTACGGCGAGTTTCTGTCCGGGATTCCCGGAGGGGAATGATATGGAATACACTTGAGACGTCCGGCTGGATGGTGAGGAAAAGGGGGGCCTTGGTTGGGAGTGCGCCAATGCGCCGACTATCAATCACAAGCGCGCAGGCCATATGCATCGCTAGGGCCTGGCGAGATGGGAACCAACTGCCAGGAGATGCGGAATACCTTGCCCTGGAGACTTACTACATATAGGTACGGCTAGATGATGGGCTTACCGGAGCTCATGGGAAGGGCTCACGTATGGAAATGCGTTTGATACTGGCGGGCCATATAAACGTCATTTCATTAAGGACTTGATTCTAATTCTGGAAACTAATACGCTTGAAATGTCAATGTGATATCAAGGTCTAGGCTGATTCAGTAGCTTCCTGTACGGACACTTGACCCAGTCCTGTCCGCAACCCCGGAAGCTGTTTGGGCGAGAACACTTGCCGCCCTAAATATGTATTGCTGCTGTTGAGGTTGGATGTCCTCCTTGCAGCGCAGAGCACTCGACTCTGTTATAGTGTAGATACTCCAATCCACTTCTTGAAGCATCACGGGTTTCCGGATCGGCCGACTCGTACCTCTAGACGGCGCATACCACCGTGGCTTCCTGACAAGGATCGGAGGCTGCGCACGACTATAATAGGCTGAACGGGCTCCTCTTCATCTCCGGACTTCGGGGGCTCATGGGCAGCGCGAACAGGTCCTCCTCGGTGTCGCCGTCACCGGTCGTGGCCGCAGGGGCGCCGGTCCCCAGGATCGCGTCCAGGGACGCGACGCTGTCGTTGCCTGCGTCGTGCGGAGCCTCGCGGCCGGGGAACATGGCGAACGACGATACTGCTACGTCTGAGGCGCCGGGGGAGAGTGACGTGATCTGGGGGTGCGGTGCTCGTGGTGCGGCTCTGACGGCTGCTATGTGGTTAGTGATTTTCTTTTCTCCTCTCTCTCGAATAAAAAGGGGCGCTTCCTCCCCCTCAACCACTCCCCTACTCCCATCTGAAGCAGCCCGTCACACCACCACTACTTTTCGGACTAAACTGTAGAGCATGGGACTAAGATGTGGCAACACCATACCTTGAGCAGCCGCAGCAAGCTCTACTGGACTCGTCGCCAACTTCAAGCCGCGGAGCTTCTCCCCTAGACGGCCGCCGATGGGCGACCGCGGGCTCGCGGGGCCCTGGACCTGCTGCTGGGGGATGTGAAGGCGGGTGGGCTGCGGCACGCCGTCGGTCGGGGGGAGGCCGAAGTGGTCGACGATCCATTGGCGTTCCTGCATCGCCATCTCGAGACCCACGCTCTCGCCGTTGGCCTTCATCTCGGCCGCGATCTCGGCCTGCAGCTCCTCCAGCCGCTTCTTCGCCCAGATGGTGTGCAGGACCCCTCGCTTGCCAACCGTGTCTCGGCCGCCCGTCAGCTCCTTGGGGAAGATGGCCGGCATGGGTTTCGTGCGCAGGGCGGCGAGAGCGTTGCCGGCGCCTCTCCGGGATATGCTGACAATCGCGGGGATCGCAGCCCCCGGGGGTAGGAGGAAGTATACCCGGCGACGAGCTTTGCCCTCCCCGTCGTTGTCGGCCTCTGCATCCCGCGTGGGGAGCACGGTGGCCTTCCCTTCCCATGATACCTCCCAGTCCCCGCTGTCAGATGTTGTCGTCTCGGCATCGCCGGTCGGGGCGGGCGCGGCGGGCGAGGTGTCCCATTCCACCATGAGGATTTTAGTACCATCGTTGCCCTTGCCCGCCTCGAACTCGAACCTCGATAGGGCAAGGGCGGACGACGGCGACGTCGGGGTCTCGACCACGTCCAGCTGCTCTTCGGAAGGCGCCGGAGCCGCGTTCGTATCCACCGCGGGCTCATCCGGTGCAGCCATAATCTGCAGAAAGGCCCGAGGAAGAGCGGCGAGGCGGGGTCTCTCGGGAATCGCTCGGGATCGAGTTACGCCGGATCGGCCGGCCCTATGGATTGCTTGGGGGCGAATCTGAAGAAAATGGGGGTATAATGCGCGCGGACCGACAGAGGCCTAGGTTTGGTTCAGGGCCGTCCGTCTCGGACACGGCGGGGAGACTAGGTAGTGCGAAACCGAACAAGCAAGGTTGGTTTGGCGTGCCCCTGAAGGAATGTGCAGACGCAGGAACGGGAATTTGGCGTCAGGTGGCCCAGGCCAGAGTTCAGGCAAGTAAGAAGCGAGGCAGATATTGGGGGGTCTCGATCTGCAGACAGACTCTGGCGGGAAGCGGATATAATGGGGCGGAGCTGCAAGGTAATATAAATGAGCTTTGGCAGTTCGACTAGGACTGGGCAGCTTTCAGGGGGATGGATGGTGGTCGCAACTGATAATCATGAAAATAATAAGCACCAAGCGCAGGGCTTCCAGGTCCCCAGCTCTTGGGACAGCATAGGTCTATTGACAAGCTATGTAACCAGGGCCAGGCGGCACGGGCAGCAGAACGGGAAGGCGGGAAAGCGCGCAGGCTGAGAGGTAGAGAGGTAGAGAGGTAGAGTGCAAAGATGGATGTCATGCCCAGAGATGATGATCGGAGGGGGGCAGGCTCCTTTCTCGCCAGTCACATCATATCGGCTTGGCGAGCGGCGCCCTTTGTTGTTCCCCCGTCCTCACAGGGTTCTGGGTTCTGGGCTCCTATGACGAGAATATTTGAAATCCAATCCAAATCAATGCACAGGCAATAATACTGGCTGAAAAGGGAATATCTTGGCCAATAATTGGGTCATCTGGTTGCAGGAAAGGCAAAGAGATAACCTAGAGAGGCAGAGCCAACTCTTTCTGGGATATGGGGCGCGCAACACTGATCAGGTTTAGCGCCCTTGCCGCTCTGTGTGGACACGCTCATGATATCTTGCATTATTGGCCTCTCAAACGGTCAGCGAGACCAAGTGCTGTGTACCTACCTACTTACTAGTATAAAGCTGAAGAGACGGTCAGATCGAGTCACGTGGGGGTTTCATCCGTTGACCCTTTGCCCGACTATCTATGCCGCGGACCCAAGCTTCTCAGATCTTGCTTCTACCTCTCTACGCATACAACCCGTTCGTTTTTGTAGCGTATCTGTGTTGATTTGATGTTTTGTATCCAGGTTCGGTATGAGACCAGCCAAAGGAGGTTAGTTTGGGCCTCAGGCGAAATGATACCTTGACCGTTCGGTCGATACGGTGCTTGACGGAACGAATTATGCAAATTTAGCATCGGATGTTAAAGCGGCGCTGCCCCTGCCTCAGGTACGTACCTAGCTTAGTCTGAATGCAAGACGGGTAAAATCTCTCCTCGGGTCAAGGGAGGGGTCCTTGTCGAAACATGGGCCAACGAGGAATGGGCTCGCGTACCCACCCCCCACAGTCTGTCTCTATAAATAGATTGGTTGCCGGTGTCTCGTGCGACTTAAATCCGCTAACGGAGCTTGGCATGCCACAACTTGGGTCCATACATAATCAAAGATGGCAGGTATGCAGCTTCATCGTGCAGATGGGTGCTCTCCAAAGCGATGCAGCAATCTTTATTGCCTTGCCAAACTGTCTGTTGGAACCAGGGTAGGAGTTTAAATTAGGCACACATACACATACACTTCATGGAAACTTTCCTGGTTCTGCCGACACATATCCTACTGCCACCGCTGGGTTCTGTTTCGTTGATACCGCTCGCTAGGTCGGGGAGGGTGGGTATGATTGCACGTTCCAGCTTCCCGGGATCCCGTCAAGTTCCAGCATATCTACCTATCTCAAGTACTATTCAAGGAATGTTCGGACTCCAATCCCCTAAGCTGTAGAACAGGCAGGGAACGGTCGGGCAGCACGTCTCGTCGCACAGGACTGGGTGATGCGGCGCCGGGGGAATCATGCAACCCGCCAGACGAACTTTTTGAGGCGGGAACTCGGGATGACAATCGTTGACCGCTCGTTTTTTGTGCCCAGTCCGCTAGTACCAGGTTCGAAGATGGAATATTCAGTGCCTGTGCGCAAAGGTTCGAAAGGCCAGAGGCTATTTGTCGCCGTCGTACATACATATGCGTGAGCGGGTTGCAACTAGCAGATGGGACGATGCGGCCACACCTTCTTCCTCGGAATGGTGGCGAATTGCAGACGGTAATTTTGGAAACATCGCATTCTTCCCCCCTTCCAAGGAGAAACTAGTGCCAGGCAGCTGCCACTATTACCTCCTCTCCTGGCCAAACCTCCAGCGAGATGGCATGGGTTTGCATGGTCGCAATGGCCGCCTCCTCTGTGCTTTGTGCTTTGAGCACGCACCTGTGGTGGCAAATACGCTCGTGGCGCTCTCGTCAGGAGAATCCTCTGGTTTCTCGTGAGGGGGTCGACCATTGATCTGTCCCGGCAGAGCAAAACTAGCCTGGGGCTCACCCTAGGTTCTTCACGACAGGATGATGTTCCAAGCCCATCTCTTCGATGAGGATGCAGAAGCAGCAAGCTTGAAGGTTTGAAACGGCAACGGCCGGCAGTGCATATTCGGACGGTTTCTCCTTTTTCTTCTCTTTCCATTCCATGTGACAATGGGATGAGGCTATGAGTAAAGTTTAAGGGATTTGAGAGAGGATCTGATCACATCACCTGTGGAGAGGGGTCATAGTGTCATACTCTTCGACAACCGTGAATCTTGGAGAGTTATAAGCAGCCTCCACCGGTCATCGGAGCCTAAGCAGCTTCATTCCATGGGGAAAACTAACCAAGGCCGGGGAAGAACCAAACCACAAAACAACCAAGAACAACGGGTGCCTTCTGTCCTAGCGCAGGCCGGCACCACGGGTCCGGGTGGCGCTTATCTCTCGTGGGCTTGGCATGATCGGAGCGGTGAGGTTTGGCATGAAGAACGGCAGAGACAACCGGGACTGGGACGGAATGCATCACCCCCCCATCGTCCTCACTTTTCAGCCGATAACGGTCCGGACTTCGGCAAAGCTGCCGACTCCCACGTGGCCTGTCGATCGCTTGGCCGAAGCATTTTGCGTCGCCCCTTTATACGGAGCAATGGATCCAACACCATTTGAGGTGCAGATTGTCTCGCCTGATATGCAACTCGGCCTGATATGCAACTCGGCCCGAGGCGGCGCCGAAGCTAGCTAGCTTGGAGCCGGTGGCGACAGCTCTGACTTTGGAGTTCTGAGTCCTGAGTCGTCCCTCTGAGATGTCCCGAGACGGTATCATTTCAACCTCATCAGCCATGCTTGGCGGGCAGGTTGATTGATAGACTCGAAGGGCTCGACCCTGAACCCTGGTAAGCCGTGGCTGGGATTAGGTTGTTTGGTAGGGACAAAATAAGCTTCAACACGGCGATGGAATTGGCGAGAAACCAAAATTCGGGTACGACGATCACACTATCATTCTTTAAATTCAACCGACTGTTACCTTTTGATATCGACGTCACAGATCAGTAGGGGCAGGTGAGGCTTATGAACTATTGCTCTGGACTCGGGCGGATTGCACATGCCGCCGAATTCTAGCAACCTTGGCGGGAGCCGGTCCGGGTCCAGCAGGCACCAAAAGGGTGGAAACAGGGGTACCCAGAAAAATAGAATAATACGACCAATCAGGAAACAGCCATCTTCAACCCCAGCACCAAAGAGACCGTGCGAAAAATGGCCGGAGTAGCGCCGCCACTCGTCCTGCAGAGAAGGTCAGCGTCAATTCTCGACCTTTTTCAACGCATGCGGCTAAATTGCACCAGGCCTCTCGCTTCTGTCATCATCACCCCGTCTAGAAGTCTACACAGGCTGATGTTTGAACTTTACAATGGCCAACTTCAATCACTCCAATTTGGGTCCCGTGGCCGTAACCCATCGGTCACACAGTGAGACATGACAAAGCAAGGAGTTAGCACGGTTTACGGCAAGATTCAACCATTGCGCCGTGTGGGCCATCGTACGGCGTTACCACATCTGCATTCGCTGCAACCCATGATCCGTACTCCGTCCTCCCTCTGCGCGCCACGATGTTGGCTGTGTCGTGTTGTCGTCCAACTTGATGGTTGATGCTCAAGTGACGACAGAGGACAGAGGAAGAACGTGCGTGCCTTTCCTTGCCAAGAGATATTTTGTCCGCGATCGACATTTGCTTGTAGATCCAGATTTAAAACAGGCATGGCCTGGGTTCTGTGGCTTGCTTCGGCCTCCGGCTCGCTAGTGAGCCCCGACTTTCCCCATCCCCCCCTTTTCCTATTCCTTGCTCGTGCTGGAGACGGGAGCGATCTCGAACTTGTCGAGTCGTGCACTCGCCTCCGCATGCCAATTCCGAATTCGTGGGGTCCAGACATGCGACATCCAGGCAGCAAAGGGATTGCATGATGAGGGCATCATCAGGTTGGGCTGCACTAGCTTGTCATAATAGCGATTGCACAGCCGCCCCGATTCACGAGAGGAGCAATCGCCTAACAAGTAGGCTAGCTCATGAAGGCTTAACGATACTGGCTTCATCACACAAGACTGCTGTGGGAGACTCGTTCGATAAATGGAGCAGGTGCCGGTCCAGGATAGTTCGGAATTCGAAGCAGATGATGTGGACAAGCACCTGCATCGATGGCCAACAGCCAGCCAACAACAGTGAAGACTCCAGATTGATCAATCACTTACTATGTACTGGTAATTACCACCTCAACAGCAACTGGCAAATGTGTTATTTCAAGCCCAGCGATAGGACAGCCCGGTTGGCATGAAACAGCCAGCGGAGAGATCGGCAGAGTGAATGCCGGGGTGGCATCTTGCCGCGGTCTTTCTTCCCTTATTTGCCCTGGAATGAATGATTAACCCATCTCCTCTTACCGCCTCCTTCCATTCGTTGCCACCTCAAGTCACGGAATGTCTCGTTGTCTCTGCGCACTACAGTGTGTGTACATGATCGAGTCGCTGTGGCTGATGCGAAGGCTGCGCAGTTCGCAGGGAAACTCTCTACTCGAATCGAAGGCCTCTTCAAGAGTCGAGGACACTATGGTGGGAGAATGGCTTCGTGGATGGTCCCCCATCTTTTCGGTGCTTTTGAATCTCATTTATTGGCCCCGGCTAAATTATGGGGTGCCCGCAGATGGCAGAGGGAAATGGGGGGCATGTACTGTCCGTGTAGCAGTACCTGGTCTTGGCATGGTCCTCGTGGCTGGCGGATAGCAAGTCACGGGCTGTTCTGGGAGAAGACGTAACATCCCGGACTGTGGGCCCAGTACTAGGAACGTCCATTTTCAGGGACGCTACCTACCCACCATGTAGCTAGGCAAATGATGCTACAAGCAGGGCCGATTTCATATGGGGAAAGCTGACGAGCCAGCGTCTTTGGGAGCACACCCCAATTAAATTGGGAGCACGCGACAGGGCAGTTGATAGCGAGATACACTAGCTCGGCGACGCTCGCCCCCAATTTGAAAGTACCACGGTCCACCCCCACTACCACTCCAGTGTATCTTTGCAACTAGCAGTCATGGTGGCTCTGGGTTTTGGTGGAGGCTCGTTGCTGTCCCACTATTACGCCGGCGAAACCGCCGTGGTCCATCCATGATCCATCACCTCCAAAATCACCGCGTCCATCCCGCAACCACCCAGACTGCCTCCCCGCCTTGAGTGCCTCCGTCCACTGCTCCATTCCGTCCGACGGGTCTTCCATCGACGACGCTTCTTTACACTCCTTCCCACTCCCCCCACCTTTCCAAAACAGACCAGAGCCCCGATCCCACCACTGTCAGCGTCCCTTACTATTGAACCATAGTGGCTGCTCCTGGGCCGGCCTCCCTCCATCCTCTTGCGGCAACTCTTTGCGGCAACCCTTTTGCCCAGCGCCCCGGCATTCAGAGGCCGTTTTCCCCCTCCCATCCATCGTCTGCACGAACGAGAGACCCGCGCGCTTCACTCGTTCCCTCCGAAATACCCAGTGCATCTCGCCCTTCGACTTTTCGATCCGTTGGCCTCTCCGTCCATCCCTTTACCGGCCGTCGCCGGGGATAGGTATAGGAGGCACGAGAAGGGTTGGAATTGAGAAATAAGCATCGGTTTGTTGCTTGCCTCGCCATCCTAGCAAACTCAATTCACCCAGCGAACAAAGCCGCGAGAGATACTCCCACCCCGGTCATCCGCCGCCTGTCGACCGCGCCTTGCCATCTTAATCAACCATTTCGACATCTGCTCGACTGGGAGTTTGGGATTCAGGGAGAGTGCGAGGATTGGTCTGCGTCTCTTGTCCGCTCACGGTCGCCGCCTTCCAACGTCGCCTTGCGCGTTCCGGCCACCGACTCCACGATATCCGGGTAGACGAGGAGTTTCGTTCGTGCCTCGGTGCATCTCCCTTTCCTGTCTCAGGACACCAGACATCAACCCGGACCCCGATGTTCCACCATGTGTGAGCACCAACTGACCCGCCTCGTCGAGATTACCAACTCCAAATCCCGGCCGGCCCCTTCACGATAGAGGGGAAGATATCGTATTGAACCCTCCGCAGGGTTGGTCCATCCTGCGCGGTGTCGTCTTCCCCGTGGGCTCTGCGGCTTCGTCGCCGTACCAGCGGCCAAAATGGATCCCCTCCACCTCACCGAGTTCGCCTCGGATCGCTATTTTGAGAAGCTATCACAACTGAGAGATGCCTCCGGAAGTCAGGAGGAAGGACATGCTGTTGAAGGCCCTTCATTACCACCTCAACCCCTACCGCAATCGACTTTCATCCTACCGCTCAGGGCATCACAAGGAGTGGAAGTAGAAGAGCCTGTTATTGTGAAGCCAGGTGACCAGAAACGCGAGAAGAGCCGATTTCTCAGTTTCCGATCTAAGCTTCTCCCTACAAAGTCTTCATCATCAACACCGACAATAGTAATACCAACACCACCACCGCCACCACCACCAGCAACAACAACAGCAACAACCACAGAACAAGCCGAATGGAGGACGTCCATAGCAGACTCTAACAGGCGAAGGTTCGTGTGCCTCTGTCCCTTTCGCCCTTTTCGTCCCATGTCGTCCTATGTTTATCTGACTGATTGAATGACATTAGCCTTGCGTTTGACGAACTATTCGTGCATCTTCCGAATGAGCTTCAAGTGCAAATCATAGCTTCACTTCCGTTGTCGGACATTTTGAACATCAGGCTCGCATCTAGATCTCTCCACGCGCTCATAACATTGAATGAGGCAACCATCGTCCGCTATCACTTGGACCACCACGTACCAGCCTACGCCAAGCGACTCTACCCAGCACCCGAGAATACACACCCCAGCTTCCATTATCTTTGTGGGATATGGCACCGACTGCATGTCGCTGCCAAGTTGGCTTACTTGATGTGCGAGTGGATCACGAAGGAAATATTTCTCAGGACAACGGAAGAAAAGAAGCAAGAGTTCGCTCCGCAACGGGAACGCATGCGGCGACGACTTATACCACTGCTCTTTACCGTCTACCATTTCTTCGAGACGTATCGCGATCTTCATCTGAAGCACATCGAGGAGAACGGCGGATATGGCCTACTCAAGGAACCCTACACCCTGAATCCAATCGAAGCGAAAATCATGAACATGTACGACGACCAGACCCTGCTCCGAGTGCACCAGGTCTTCCCACTCGTCATCTCCTCTTTTTGTCGACGGCTAAGGCCTCCGTCATATGTTGGCCGAGTCGAAGGAGCCCTCCGAGGTTATCTGAGGGAGAAGCCGCCGGACGATGTTCACGTCGCCATCCTCTGCATCGGCGGCCTGAGACAGGTCGAAAGATTTTGGGAAGTCAAAGGCTACAACGTCAGGAGAGCGGCCGTCGACACGTGGTATAGCTCGGTCGTTGAGCCGGAGGCGAAGAAGCGGCGAGGGCTGATGGGACTGGGGCGGAAAAAGTCGAGCATCGCAATTGGGAAACAAGCGGCGCATGACGGTGCCCAGGCCGGACGGCGCTCGTGGGATTCTGCTTCGCCGAACTCCAACAGCAACAACTTCATCTTCAATACGAGTCTCGCTGCTGGGATGCCGATGAGTTCACTAAACAAGGATCAGCTGAAGTCGCTACTGGCAGACTTGCCGATATTGCAGCAGATCTGGTTGACGACAGCGGAGGCCCTGATCCTCGACCGGAAGATCGTCGAGCGGCCGTCGGACATCAAGCGCAACGCACAGGTCATGCTGGAGCTGATCCGCGAGGAGGGAATTGAAGAGGAGGATGAGTGGTGGTACGGCACATCGGCCGCCGAATCCGTCCGTCCCAACCTCGAAGCCATCGAAGAAGACGCACTCGAATGAGAGAGCGTTCCGCCCAGGATCGAAACAACAGACAAGGGACCTCAGAAGGAGGATTCCTGTCCTCTCTCCGGCGTTCTTAACCAACTATATACTCTGCTACAACTACTTCACTATATTTTCTCGGCTGCTATTCTTCATGGAGCGAGGTTGGGGCAAACTGGCGTCTCCAAAGACGAGTTGGAACCACGCAAAGCTATTTTCTCATTTGTCGTTCTGGATCACCATTGAAAAGCATATGCAAGGCGTTACGGGGCGAAGGGGCGGGGGCCTTAGGCTGTGTCCAGCCAGGCTATCCATACCTAACATGGCGTGGGGGGACAAAGGTTCTCAGGGGAATTTTTATTATTTCAGGCTTTGGTTTCTGTGCTTGGGTGATGATACACCACTGCGTGTGCACCCGGGAGGGGAGTTGGGGATATCACACGCCCACCTACCCTCCCTATTCTATTTTTATTCATCCCCCTTTTTCTTTTCGGTTGTTCAAACCTTTCTGTGTAATGTGTGGCGTCTTGCATTTTCAAGGAGGGCCCCGCTTGTACGTCTGGTAAAGAGAGACAGCGCCTGCCTTCTTGACGGGATGGGATAGAATAGGTATTCCCGGGGGCAATAGGGCCCCTGCTTCACAAACGGAATGTTCGAACAAGCAAGAACAAGCAACAACCAGAAGTCTCTATTCGCATGTGAAACCACTTTGGATGTGTGGGTGATATGACAAGCCATCAAAACCGTCAGCCTACACAACAAGATGAGAACGATGCTACGGCGGTCCTTTTTGGAGAGAATAAGAACATTATGTGTTTTATGCCCAGCCCTGGCCTGTTTATTCTCCCTGACCAGGTGAGGTAGCGGAATGGAATCGAACTCCTCGACCAGTCCCATCTCCAGGGGACGGATTAGCTAGCCATTGCTATATAACTCGCTCGAAATGAAAACGCAACGCAACCCACGCCGTTCATTAGCCATTCCTGGTTCCCAGTTCCTAGTAGACTCCGCGATGAAGGATAAATCCCCCTCCCAAATCGTGTTCAAAGTATTACAGTCATATCTGTCGTTACCGTGAGTTGAGGATGGGACCACATTATATTTTCCTCCCATTCCAACCGCCCCCCCCCAAAAAAGGCTCCCCATCACGTAGGAAACCCCCCAAAATTCTCCGTGACCGTGAGATAGATAACCCCCCCTTCATGTTCTCATTCCTTACCGGCCCCGTCTCAGCGCCTGCCAACTCCATAGTACCGATCACTACCGCCCAGCGCGGAAGGGTCGAAGCTCGTCATGGCCGACTGAGCGAAGGCGGTGCCGGAATTGGACGAAGGGCGTGGCACGTTTGCGGCGTTCATGCTGTACGTGTTGTTGAGGCTCAGCGCGTTGTGGCCGCCCGAGCCGTCCAGGTTCGACGGGTCGAACATCCATTCCGTGTTCCCAAAGGACTGCAGATTCTGCACGCCCTGCTGCCCGGTCTGCACGCTCGAGTGGGCCGGGTTCGGCGTGCGCTGTTGGGCTGCGGTCGTGGTCCCGAAGGAGGGCGAGTGGCCCTGAGACAGGCTGTGTGTGCTTCCTGGGCGGTAGCCGCTCGACGCCGTCGTTCCAGACTGGCTCCTCTGGGTCGCAAACGCCTGGCTGTTAAGACCGGCTGATGAAGCCCTGTACGTGCCGTCGTTTGAAGTAAAGTTGTTGTTTGTTGACGAGCTGAACTGTGGTGACTGTTGAGCAGCGAATGATGTAGAGCCCGCCGAGGATGTCCCGAGTTGCTGCTGAAACCGCTGCTGTGAAGATACTTGCTGCTGCCCGCTCGCATACTGGGCCTGGCCTCCCGGGTACTGCTGACCGGTTGGGTACTGCTGCTGCTGCTGCTGTTGCTGCTGCTGCTGCTGAGTGGCCGCAGGGTATTGCTGGTTCTGGGATGAGGTCTGTGCTGATAGCTGTGGGCTGTGTTGCTGTGTCGAGAATTGTTGCTGGTGCTGCGGGGAGTACGACTGCCGTTGCTGGCCGTACTGGGAATTCGTTTGGCGATACTGGGAATAAGTGGTTTGCGATGCCCTTGAGGGCTGTTGCGTAGCTATAGGACCTGACGCCTGTGGCTTGGTTGTTTGTTGTTGCGGTATAGGAGACCTGCTTTGGCTTGCAGAGCTCTGCGAGTGCTGAGATTGCTGACTCTGCTGTTGCGGCCTTTGTCGCTGCTGCTGCTTCCGCTGCTGTTGCTGTTGCTGCAGACGGTTTGCCACGAGGTGCCTTGCGTCCACGCGGTTCGACGTGGGGATGACCTGAGGCTCTGACTCGGCCTGTTGTTCAAGCTGTGCTTGGAGTTGTGCCTCATAGTTCTCCATGGTCGGTGACTGTACTTCAAAATGACTGAGTTGGGGTGATTGAAGAGACATATTTTGATCAACAGACACAGACAGAGAATCATGGGCTGCGGGTTGGCTCAAGCCTTGTTGTGCTGGAGGTGATAAGGCTACCGGTTCAGGGGCGGCAGCAGCCGCCCTGGAAGCTTGATTTTGAACTTCACCAGTAGCTGTGGATTTCGGCTCCTTGCCTTTTCGTTGTCGTTTGGCTGGTGGAGGAGCTATGCTGGCTGTTGTGTCTGCTCCAGACTGGTCGAGTCGACTAGCAGCACCACTATTAGGCAGCGTGATGCCAGCTGCCTGAGGCACAACGGAACTTGTCGCAGTATCATTCACCAGCCGAGATTCTTCCGTGTTCTTAACGGTCTTTCTCTTCCTTTTTTGGGCCGTAGCAGTCAGGGCGTTGGCCTGCTTGGGTGTTGCTCCTGTTCCTGTAGGGAGGGCAAGGGCTGCTGGCGCCTGGTAGGTCTGGCCACCTAGTAAAGGTATATCCGGCGAAGGTGCACCTGCAACGGGTTGGACCCCGTTGACTGCTGGTTGAGGTTCGGATCCAACACCGACCGCCGTGTCACTAGGCCTTGGCTTGTTCTTTGATCCCTTGGGCCGGCCGGCCTTCCTTTTTGTCGGCGTTTCCGACGCTGAATTTACAGTCGGATTTGACCCGGAATTAACGGCAGTAAATGATTGGTTATTCTGGTTGGAAGGGGACATAGGGATGGCCTGCGTGGCTGGCGCCTGAGTGGCTGGCAAAGGTTGAGAAGCCTGTGATGGCTGCGACGGCTGCGACGTGTGAGATGTTGCATTCGGTATCTCGGAGGAAGCGGGCTCCTTGGGGCGGTTCTTGGACCCTTTTGGCCGCCCTCTGCGCTTCCCTTTTGGCGTGGCTTCAGCCTCGGAGCTTGGATTCGCACCAGGAAATGGAGCTGTCGTCAGGGGAGTGGCGGTTGTTGATGTGCCCGGACGCTGTGATGGTGGAGCGAGCCGAGGTGCTGGGCCCGCGTTCAAGGGCTGCTGGAACATTGCGGCGTCCTGGCCCTCCATCTCGGACTCTTCGCCATCGTCTGCCACGTCGACCCAGCTATCGTCTGCAACCATAGCAGCGGCCGACTGGGACTGGGCAGCGGTTGAGTGCCTGGTTTTCAGCGGACCTTTCTTGATTCCCTTGTCTTTTCTAACCTTGGTAGCCTTGCTTCCTTTCGGACGCCCTCGTTTTCGTTTCATCGACTCGGGAACCTCCAGTTCACGAAGTGGGGTCAACAGTCTTTGGCCTTCATTGTCAAGGTTCGGGAAGATCTCCGCGATCCATCCCACGAAGAGCCTTCCCGAACCGTTTGCTTCAGCGCTCTGTGGGAAAGACCCGTCGTCGACAGGGGGTGGGGCTCCTGGAATCCCGCCGAAGAAGGCCAATGCTTTGCATATCTGATCGACGACAAGAACAGGATGGAGGCTGCGTAGGAGAGTCAAGAGCCGGGCTTGCTCAGCCTTTGTCTGCACTGGATCAAGGGGCTGAGTACGGTTCGACCTAGAAGGGGGCGGCGGGGCCTGCGGAAGTTGCGAAGGCCGCATAGGTTGTGCATGTTGCGGCGTAGGTAAAGGGGGTGTTGGTTCTGTATCATCCGGAACGTGAACGAACCTCGTCCTCCTCAGCGACACATATCCGTTTTCGAATGCCTTCTTGGCAGCCAATGCAGTGCTTTCGCTGGTGCGCTTGGCTTGGGCATCGCGTTCGGTCGCCTCTCCCCTCCCGGTAACGTCCATATGTATGACGCTGAAGTTGCCCTTTCGTCCATCCGTCTTACCCTTCAGTTTGCTCGGGACGGGGTCGCGCACACGGCCGTCTCTGAAGACGCCGTTTACAGTATCGATCGCCTCCCTCTCTGCCGGTGCCAGGAGCCCAAAGCCTGCCGAATTTGTTGAAGCCGTGGCAGAGCTTGTGGTCGAAGGACGGCCATCCCTCGCCGGGCCTTTGTTGGACTGTCCGTTCGGCTTGGAAACAGGCACTGAGTTCGCCTCAGGAGCTGTGCTCGGCTTGCCAGCCGCAGGTTGGGGCCCGCCGCCTGTTTTGTTCACGGCCTCGGGGCCTGGATCCGACATCAAGTCAGCCGACGGAAACTCATCCCCTGATAATACTGGCAATAGCTTACTGGAACTAGTAGCCATTGCGGCGACCGGTTGTCATAGTCCTCTGCGATTTAAATCCTTTCCCTCTGGACGTTGCGCTCTGCAGGGTATATCGACTGGAATATACTCTACTGTCCAAATCCAACTCACATATCCGGCCGCGAAAAGCGCACGAACGGAGTGGGTAGGTGGATGTGGCAGGTCGAATCAGCTATAATGGGGCCGAATGACACAGGTTCCCCAGAAGCTGGCGATGTACGCCTTTGTTATTTTTTTGGTAATTGCTGCGTATCCTGGTTTCCTCGCTTCAAGCCCATGCAGGCCCTGACCTCCGCCACGCAGGGTGGTGCGAAATGGTGCGCGACAGATTCGAGTCAGCAACACGTATCCGAGTTGACTGGTGAAGGCGGTGGGTGTGGGGATGGTGAAGTTGGGACGAAGGAGGATTCACGTTTCCGAGGCGGTCTAGCATAGCACTTTGAGGGGACCTTGGGACGCAAAATGGAAGGAGAGAAAGGATTTGCGCGAGATGGGAGAGAGGCTGGTTCGGCGTGTTCGTTCGTGGGTGAAGAACAATGAGCGGCCAACTAACTGGCCGTGCTGCTTCCAGCTTGGATGGCGGCGCCGAGTTTGGCTACGACTGTAATGGGTACTTGAATGGAAGGTGGAGATGTTGGTGGACCGTTAAACTGCATACCATCCCACCAAAATATCAGCTTTCATGAAGTACCCTCTGGGCGGTAAGGGTGGCTTGAAGTACCTGCTACAAGGGCCGAATCAACTCAGATCTACCTGGCTAGTGTGTAAGTCGCGTCAGCTTTCCGAACCAGCATCAGGGTACCTACCTAGGCTGCTTTCCAGAGCTCCCCACCTCTAAACCTCGTGCTTAGAGACAACAACTGGTCCTTTGACCTTCTACCCCGACCCAGAGCCACGCAGGACAATCTATCTGTCCAATCCCCCACGTTTTTCATGAAGAGTCTGTGTACTTGCGCATAACCCATTCATTCATGTGATAGTGCTCGATTTGGATTCGTCGAGACCAGCAACCCCCAGGTCCGTTCCGTCCCTGCTACCCAAGGCATGAGATGAAAGCCCACTGGCCAGCCCATGATAGCTGACAATGACAACCTATTGATCAATAGGCATAGCCGCCCTCCGTTAGTACTGCCCGCATCCCAGTTACGCTGTGGTATGCGGCAGATCCTGCGAGATGCCGTCTTCGACCAAGTATATCCTCGTCTCCTTACCCCTGAGGATCTTCGACTCGAGTGATCAAGAAGATGCACTGTCGTCGTTGAGCGCCACTATAACGCCCGACAATGGAACAGTCCTACCCTTTCCCATACCTTCCTTCAAGATCGGCACACTCGACGCCCTAGTTCAGCAAGCGGACGACCTCGCCAAGCTGGATGCGGCCTGTAATGGAGTCGTGTTGAAAGTCGCCGATTCGTTGCGGTCAATTCTTGATGGGGACGATGACAAGACGGAGCAGCAAAAGATGGTCAACGACAGTGAGACAGACGTCTTGATTCTTGCCGTCTAGAGCAAATCTCTGAGCTGATTCCGCAGAGCCAACCGACCACTACCTCCGAACCTTCAACTGGAACACAGTCCGATACCGAGCCGACCGGCCGATTGGGGAGCTATTAGAGAACCTGCAGAAGGTTTGATACCGGCCCTGGACGTTTGCTCCCCAAATCTGTCGGATGCTAACTTCCCACCGCCCCTGTAGGAGCTCCAGAACATCGACAATGACGTCAAGGCCAAATTCAGCCAGTACAACGGAGTCAAGACGAACTTGGCAGCGTTGAAGAGAAAGCAAACGTACGCTTCTGTCGCTCACTGCCAGCCGCGCGCAGCCCCGGTGTCATGCTGACGTCCATCTCTCAGGGGCAACCTCGCGACGAAATCTCTCACCCCCATTGTCGACCCTGCGCTGCTAGTCCAAGAGTCCGAGTACCTCGAAACGCACCTGATCGTCGTGCCAACCATCGCGCGCAAGGAGTTCCTGCGCAGCTACGAGACCCTGGCGCCGATGGTGGTGCCGCGATCATCTATCCAAGTAGCCCAGGATGACGAATTTACGCTATTCGCAGTGACGACCTTCAAGAAGCACAGCGCCGAGTTCTTACAAAAGTGCCGCGAACAGAAGTGGACCCCGCGGCAGTACAAATATGTGGAAGGCGGTAAAGAAGAGGAACAACGGGAACTGGAGCGGGTTACCAAGGAGGAAAAGAAAGTGTGGGGAGAGGCCCTGCGCCTGGGTCGGACCGGGTGGAGCGAGAGCGTCATGGTATGGGCTCACGTTCTCAGCCTGCGCGTCTTCGTCGAGACGGTTCTTCGGTATGGGCTGCCCCTGGAATTCGTCTGCGCCCTTGTGAAGGTACAGTCCCCCCCTTATCCCGGAGCCCCCTTTCTCTTCTAGGAACGCGACTCACCTCCCCCTATAGACCACGGAAAAGCAGGCGACGAAGGTGAAGACGGCCCTCGACTCGGCGTACTCATACCTCGGCGGAAATGCGTTAGGTAGGGACAAACGGGGTCGCGTCACCAAGGACGACGCCTCCCTGACGTCCGAGATGGCTGCCCAGGGGCTGGGAGGCGAGGGCGCCGAGTACACCGCCTACGTGTATTATGAGATTGAAATCCCATAGTAGTAGATCCTTGCGGGCAGATTACTTTCGAAGCAGATTACTTTGGAAAGTTTCAAGGGATGGATTGGGCCAAGGTGTCCGCCAGCTCCCCATACAGGCATATTGTATATGTCTCAGCCCTGACAAGTTAGGGGATCATTCGCTCAGGCGCCAGATACAAAATTCTATTCACAGGGTTTTTCTATATCCGCTATGCACCTGTTCATATCATTTGTGTTACTCTTCCTCTGCTCTATTTCACCTCCTTCGTCCGCTCCACCAACCCCTTCTCGGCCAGGTACGCGACGATCTTGACGACGCACTCCTCGACGCTCTCCCGGTCGGTGTGGATGGTGACCTCGGGCGCCTCGGGCGCCTCGTAGGGGGCCGAGATGCCGGTGAACTCCTTGATCTCGCCGGCGCGGGCCTTCTTGTACAGGCCCTTTGGATCCCGCTGCTCGGCCACCTCGACGGGGATGTCGACGAACACCTCGACAAAGGGGATCGAGTCGTCGGCGGCGGGGGACGCCTTCGCGTGCAGCTCGCGCGCCACGGCGCGGTCGGCGCGGTACGGCGAGATGAAGGAGGTCAGGGCGATGGTGGAGGAGTCGGCGAAGAGCTTGGCCACCTGGTGGGGGGGGAGAGAGAGAGTTAGGGCTCGGTCAATGTAGTGTGCCGGGAGCGTGCCGGGTGGGTTGATGATGGCGGGAGAGGAGGGAGGGAGACGGGGGACAGGTGCGTCGCCGACAATGGGCCTTACGTACCTCAGCAATGCGCCGGATGTTCTCGTTGCGGTCCTTCTCCGAGAATCCCAGGTCCTTGTTCAGGCCGAAGCGCACGTTGTCGCCGTCGAGCCGGTACGCGGCCAGGCCGAGGTGCAGCAGGTGCTGCTCGAGGGCCGTGGCGACGGTCGACTTGCCCGACGCCGACAGGCCCGTGAACCAGATGGTGAACCCCCGCTGGCCGCGCAGCTGGTTGCGCTCGTGCCGCGACAGCGACGGGTGCCAGGTGATGTTACTAGTTGTAGCGGCTTTTGCGTTACTATTTGTTCCATCTTCTTTTGCGGTTTATTTCCTTCGTCTTGACTGGCGGCGCCTTCATGAAATTTCCCCTGCCCATCGCGGGGTAGGTGGGGGGACCCCCTGGCAACTTGGAAAGAACAGGGACGAGGGGGGAATACTCACGTTGCCATATCTTCTTAGCCCGCAAAGCTGGGGATTTCAAGTAACAATTCAACAACCAAGTAGGGGTTCTCCAATGTGGTCTTAATGTGGCCTGGATATGTCAGAGATTGTGGGCATATAAAAGCCGCCGGTGACGTTGCAAGGATGTGGGTTGAAGAACTCCCAGCTTAATTAGTCGTTCCATTTGAGTTATTTATTATGTATGTACCTAGGTAGCAACTACGTCTGCGGCACTCGCCTTGGCACCTCTTAGCTGCAATTGCGCCATTGACGGTGGCATGTAGCACACTCTGTGTTTGGTGAGTCAGCAGGACGGGCGGGAGAGCTCTCCTCCGTTCTCGCCCTTACCATGGATCCGTCCTAGAGAAAGAGATAGACGTGCTTGAAAGTTAGACTAGATTGTTAGCAGACAGGACAACTAGGTTGAGATTTGCCTGTTCTAGTGCAGTTCCCCAGCTTGGAAGCTCTAAAGAAGCCGCGAACACAGCCTGTTGAGAGCTTCATGGATGCTTCAAGCAAGCTGCTCGGATAGACTCTCCCGATTCTAACGGGTTGATTTTCAACTCCAGGTCTAGCCGTGTAAGCCATCTATTCCGTACAGGAAGGTCGACATGAACCATTACATGCTACTGCACAATAACCCCAACTCCAGTAACCAGGAGGGGCTTTGCCCCTTGCGCCTTGCCCTTCCTTGAGGGCTACGAATTCAGAAAACGGCGATTAAGGCTTGACAGACCATAGCTCTCGCGACCAGCCCGTCTCCCTGAACTTCTTGGTACTCATCTGAGAGCCCTTCTTCTCGGCGGTGCTTATCGCCAGGGCCTTGCTGCACGAAGCGAAGGCATCGACGAGCTCCTTCATCCGCCCGCACTTCATGAACTCGGATGAGACATCCGAGCCCCTTTCGGCGATGACGGCGGCCAGATTCATACACTCCAGGAGATTATCGCGCGACAGGGATGTCCCGACGAAGTGTAAGCAGCTGATGTACGCGAGGACCGTCTCGGGAATATAAGCTTCCCGCAGCTCTTCAAAGTCACGATCGGCTAGTATGTTGTGTAAGCCATAAAGTCACTGGCATGCACGATGAGATGGCGACTGACCTTGAGTGACAATCAGCAGCCAGTCCTTCAGGATTGGCTTCATGGAAGCCTTTGCCACCCGTATCTCCTCGCTAGCACGTTGCCACATCTCCCGAGACGTGTTGCCCCCCCTTTATGCTTGTCAGTACTCGATGTGAAATGCGTTGCTTCCCGGGCGTACATACTCTCGATTGATCTCCGCAAGTGAAGACAGTGTTTCCATGGAATCCAGTGCTCTGACAAGGCACTCAAGCTCCCACAGATTCCTAACCTTGGTGATGAGTGTTTCACTGCTGAGCTTGCACTCCTCTAGGAATTCGTCAGGAAACTCGGTAGACTCGAATTCCTCAAACCATGTCGTATCATCACCATCCTCGTTCAGGGTTCCGAGGGGAATGTCTGTCTTCTCCAGGATGATGTCCTTGACAGGGACTCGGTTGAGGAGAGCGCGGGCGGCTCGCAAGCGCATCCGCTCTGCAAGACCATCAGCGTTGGAAGTTAGCCAAAGGAGATGACGGGGTTCAACTTACTCAGGAAGTACGTGTAAACCCTGATGGCATACATGCAGGTCTCCACGAAGAGACCAGGCACCAGCATAAGCCACTCCATAGCCCGGATGATGAGCTCATCGTCTCGATCCACAAACTCCGCATCTTCCCCGAAGAAGTCCGGCTTGATTATTCGGCCGTACTTCAATGTATGCGGGCCATCCTGGAGGATTCTGAAGTTGCCCCTGGCCTCACAGGACGCTTGTGAGTCTTTCACGTCCTCCAGAAACACCCGCGGTTGTGTTTTGGCGAACTCGGCGAGATCTAATCCCAGTCTCCTCATTATGCTCAGCTGGTTCACTCTTGCTTCTTGGTCGACGATCTGGATGAGGTTCCTTGTGAGGGTCTCGTAGACACGAGGCCCAAGGAGTTTGGAGCAGTACAGCGGCACCATCATCTCCAGGTTAGCAAGACGCAGAAAGCTGACATATGCCGCAATTGCATGCTCTTGTACTCGATGACGGATACGGAGGGGGCCAATGCTTCCATCGTCTTTGGAGGAGCCACTTAATCGGTCGAGAGTCGATATCACGATAAGAACATGTGCGAGGACGCGTAGGCCATCATGATCCGAGAGGTCGACGAATTTGTCGGTCTTGTCGTCCAGGGCTGGGATGCCGTAGTCCGGAATAAGCTTCGACTTCTGATTCTGATTCTGATTGGCATGCTTAGAGAGCACAAGCCCTTGCTGGTAGAGATGTCTGTCCAGGTCATTGGCCAGGATCGCACCTTGCAATGCTTTGGCCGCCGTCAAGGCCATATCCTTGGTTCGGTCGTCTTTCTCCAATGTACTAATCAGGCGCTTCCCAGCCGTGACTGGATCGCCATGGTGCTGTACGGCGTTGAAGGAAGGGAAACTTTGGGCTGCAGCGGCTGCGCCGGGCCCACCATGTTTAACGAGATAAGAATCGAATTGGGTCCGAAGCAACGCATTGTAGTGCGCGAAGAGGAAATCATCCCACGTCTTGCTCACCTTCTCGACGCTGGGAATGTCGCCCGAGAGGACGCCGTAAACAGCTCGCTCGAAGTCGCTAGTGCCGCCTTCTCGGGCGGTGGCAAAGCACATACGCCTCCAGAGGATAGCCGCCCGTGGCTCGAAAACGTCCACCTCTTCATCGTCTAGATTCGAAAGGGGTAGTTTCGATATAGTTGCGGCTCGCCAAGACTCGGTTCTCTCTGAGCACCAGTCGCGGACTTCGGACATGCTGTGCCCTCGCCTCAACATTTCGAAACAGCCGAGCCAGATTGCTCGCTCGAAAGACTCATCCTGCGGCTCGAGCTTGCGGCCTTGCCGTGTCATGGCGTCGGGATCCAGCTGGGTGATTAGGGTATTAGAGCTGAGATGCGATTCGGCGAGACCCGGGTCCTCAGGGTCGAGCACCCCCTGATATGCGTTGACACTCTTCTGCAACTTGATCTTGTGTCGAGTGTGCAGCCACCCATGCACGAGAATATCGCCCCTCTCAGCATTCTGTTGCAGCTCGCTAACCACCTCATCGATTGGGGGACCGTAACTTGCGCTGGTCTGCAGCCACTCTAGAACAATCTTGCGTTCCCTGGCAATGGAGTCGGATATTATGAAGTCGCCCCAGTACTGCCTCCGAGACCGGTGCGGGTCTTCGCACGGTGGTTTGTAGAGAGAACGAGGGGAGTCGCGGTATCGCAGAGGCAAGATTCGTCGCAAAAGATCCCAAGTCTGAGCTTCCTCTTCCACCTTTTGTATCTCTTCAGGGCTAACGGCGAGGCTATCATCGTCATCACCTTCATCGAAGTCCATATCGTTAGAATCCTGTCCCGAGTTACTCCCAGCTTGGATAAGCTGCCATTCTCGTCCTCGAGTAGATCGCTCCCGGGACTGTCGCTCACGGAGCGCCTTAACTCTCTGTCTGGTGTAGGTGTGATAGTGCTCGACCAGTTCGAAAATTTGGGCGCGTTTTACTGCGACCGATGCCTTCGAGACAGTGTACTTATCGAGGGCGTTGGCGAAATCTTCCACTTCCTGTCCTGCCTGGATTGTGCTGTCCTGATACGTCGCCTCTAGCTCGGATATCTCGTCTGCCAGAGCACCTTCACATTCAGTCAGTCAGTCAGTCATCGAAGGTCGCGATATGGACAGCGTTTCAGAGGCATACCTAGGCTACGGCGGTCTGATTCTGCTGGCAAGCTGCCACCTGAGAGGATCGGGTAATCCTGAGGCGACATTGTCAGCTATATTCTTCATCAGCAGGATATCAGAAGCTCTCTCACATATGATGGCGCCATGGTTCAGTACCAGTGCTGAGCCAGGCAGAGCTTCGAGGGTCGGAAGTTTGGGTTTGAGAAACTGGGCCAAGTGGAATGCTCGACAAGGGCGAGACGCTGGATCCGGGTGAATACAATTGAGCAACCCCAGTTCCGCTATCTGAGAATTCTGAGGCGAATTCCGGAAATATAGCAGGATGCGAGATTCGCAGAATTAGCTGAGCTTCAGACGCGAAGATCGCGGTCGGGCAAGGCTGCGGTTGATGGGTCCAATCATCAGCAAGGGGTACAGGATTTTGTGGCTGCTGTGGCTGTGTCTCAGCCTCATATGTGCTAACTTACGCACAGTGAATTAGGTAATGCAGGTACCTAGGTACCTGGCTCTTTCCCTTTAAATAGGCCATCCAAAATTTTCGATATTTTCCCTTTTCCTCTTTTCTTCTCTATGTCATTGGCATTCATATTAGAGTCTCGGAACAAGACCTTCAATACTTGTTCAGGTCCTTGCGGCCTCCTGCGCGCTCAATGATTGCCTAGAGAATTACTGCACTCTCCTTTATCCGTTACCCGATCATCTTTAGTTCGGGTGGACATATTTCTGCGACTGAGTGATACATATCATCACCGAGAGCCCTCTTCCCTTTGCCGCATCTTGAGCTTCAGTAAATGAGCCTTGGGGCAGCTCGCCGAAGTCGCCCCTTCGCCGTTTCTCTCATAGAATACCTTGCAACACTCGTAGAGAGCATCCACAAATCTCTCGCACTTTGCCTCGTTGTAGTTGTTCTTGGTGAGGCAGTCTGGAAACGGTCAGCGGATACCCAGTGCCTTGCTGGCCGAGCCGGACGGATGTCTAGGTACCTTGGATGGCACACTATAGGCCCAATTGATTTCTACAGGTCAGCCGTACTGTCACACCAGGTGCTGGTGGTCCGTAAATTGAATGGCAAAGACGAACCGCTCGTGGATGGCAGGGAGGCTCAGTCTTCAGGTCCTGTTCGATACCCTACAAGATAACACCCAGTCTCAGATTATGCTATGATGGCTTTAGTGGATGGGCAGGTATTACTCACCATTATGAATTTCCGGGAGCACAGAGGCCAAAAGCACCAGATCTTGCAAACCTAATCGCTTGATGTGCCAAAGAAGACAATGTTGGAAACTGGGAGGTAGGAGTTGAGATTCATGAGAAGTAGAGATAGGATATAGCTTGGAGTTAGGGGACTGAAGTTGGTGCACAGCCAAGCAAATATGGAATGATGTCACCCCTATTATCCTTCCTCGTTGGCGTTGGTGTTGGCGGCAATTCAAATCGCAGCACAACCCCATAGAAGCAAAATAGATAACACCAGGCATACTGCAATGTAGGTTGTTTAGCCTCTCGGCCTACACAAAGTTGCCCTACGACGCATATAGACACCATGGATTACAGTGTGTCAAGGTTAAAGATGGCAAGTGGCAAATATCGGCATGGAAGTCTTATTTAGGTGCCCGTGGTTCCCTACAGGCAGCGTCTTCCTTTTCACCAGCAGTATCTAGGAAATCTCAGAACATCGCATTGCAACTTCCCGCGCTTTGTGGCTACCCAGGTACCTACCTAGGCAACTCAAAGTAAGCCTGCGAGTGGTGTTGCCCTAAGAGGCTAAGGCTGATAGCTCTTACCTGACACCTGAGGGTGGGTGCATACCTAGAGGCATTAGTCCTGTCCCCAAAAAAAGGTTTGACCCCACCATCCCGCTCGCCATCCCGCCCGCCCTCCTCCCCGGCAACGTCCATCATCTCGCCATCTTCTCCCAAATTCTGACCGTCGCACGAAACTCCCCCAGGTCCCCAAATCTCACGCTCATCCAGGAGCCATAGAACCTAGTGCAACCCTTCCCGCAAGCGATTTAGCCGCGTGCGCGCCCTCTTGCCCCTGGTAAGTCACCACAATGCCCCTCGTGGCTCGAAAGGTTGAGAGTTGATCCCACCTGATCCACTCTCCCGCCCTGAGCCCAAGCTGGCAAACCCTCTCTTCCAGAAGCTGACTCCCTCCGCGTGCAGCACCTCAGACCCACCTAGCCGGAAGCCTCCAGAAGAACAAATGGCCGACAACCCAGAAAACGGCAGCCCTGGCCAGGGCGACGCCCCTGCACCGGTCGAGCATCTGAACATCAAGGTCACCGACAACAACAACGAAGTCTTCTTCAAGATCAAGCGGAGCACCAAGCTCGAGAAGCTCATGCTTGCCTTCTGCGAGCGCCAGGGCAAGTCGCCCAACTCGGTGCGCTTTCTCTTCGAGGGACAGAGAGTCCAGCCCACCGATACCCCCGATACTGTAAGGGACCCTTTTCCCCAGACATGGCAAACACATATGGCTTGGGTTTTTGCAGCCTTCGAAATTATGGTGGAATCTGCTCTTGCCCGCTTCCCCTCTCTTCTATTCTCAGGTGCCATAGGCCATACCAGTGCTACCAGCGCTAACCATCCCTTCATACAGCTCGAGATGACAGATGGTGACACACTCGAAGTTCACCAGGAGCAGGTTGGAGGATGCTAGAAAATGAGACAGTGGGACACCAGGCCATGGCAGACATGTCGCGGGTAGAGAAGGATCCATTTGAGAAGGGATTTTAGATGACATGGCCGAGCCCCTTCCTTGCTACGAAGACTTTCCCCTCGAAGCGGGCTTGGGAATATTCATAAAAGGCGACGATGGATGGCTATTTGGCAATGGCAGGTTTTTGCTCCGTTGATACCTTGAGCTTTCTGGTTTCTCTCCCTCGTCTTTCGGTGTTCCGAGTTCGCCAGTGTGGTGATTTGTATCGTTATCTCGTTTTCCCCAGGCTCTCTCTATCTGTCACGCCATATGCGAGACTGCTGGCTAAATAATCGCAGTACCTACCTAGGCAGCCAGCACAGCGAACCTTGAGGCGGGTGGGGAAGAAGCATGGAGAAAATCTGACATCGGGGCACACGCGAGAATAGAAAGAACTGACTTCAGAGTCTCGAAATCAATCTTTGCAAGGTTCATTAAGCGCCAGCTCCCAAACAACACTCTAACACCCTGAAAAAGCACAGCCATCCATCCATGTACCGCAAAAACGATCAAGTGCCTACCTAGGCAGAACACGCCCGGCATTATCGACTACTAAAAAACAACCCCTTCATCTCCACCATCAAATCAAGCCTTGAGCTCCCTCTCCCTACACCCCGTACACAGCACGACCGTCTCACCCGGCGCCCCCCTCCCCTCCATGGGGAAGATCTGCCCATCGTCGAAGCCACCACCGCAGATGGCGCAGCGGAAGCACGCGTCGTGCCACTCGCCGCCGAGGGCCTGGACGTACTGGCCGATGACGGCCTGGCGGCACCCCTTGCACTTGGGCGCGCGCCTCTCGGTCCGCCTGGTCTGGCAGGCGACGCACCAGGCGTAGCCGTCCTTCTCGATGTGCGTGGCGCCGCGCTCGAACGGGTCGCCACACTCGGCGCAGAAGAAGTGGCCGTGGTGCCAGTGCGCGCCCAGCGCCACCACGTGCTCGCCCAGGATCGGCGTCCGGCAGTGCTTGCACCGCGGCGCGAACAGCTCGTGCCAGTCGAGGTGGCAGTAGAAGCGCAGGCGCGCGTCACCGTCCTCGCCCATCGTCTGGCCCGGCTCCTCCGCAAGGACCTCGCCCGCCGCCCGCCGCGCGATGCGGTCCAGTCGGGCGGCCCGGTGCGGATCGGGCTCCGGGGAGATCTCGAGCGCCTCTAGCGGGGTGCCGCACGAGTAGCACGTGAAGCACTGCGGGTGGAAGCGCTCCGAGTTGCCGCCCAGGGCGACGAAGCGCCCTTCGATCGGCCGCGAGCACTCGTGGCAGCACGCCGTGGCGCGGCTGCCGGCTGGGGCTGGCGCCGGTGACCAGTGGCCCCGTGGACGTGCGGATGCCCGTGAGCGGGAGGCCCCGGGCTGCGGCGTGGGGAGGGGCCGAGGAGCGGAGGAGGAAGAATCGTCGTTGTTGTTGTTGTCGTCGGGGGTCACGATGATGGGAATGCTAGGTGCATCATCGGGCAGGGAAATCATCGGGATCGGAGGGGTGGAGTCGGAAACAGCTATTGTGGGGATCGTCGGGCCATCTACTTGAATAGTGGGAGGACCTGCGGGGGCATTCCGTGACGCCGGTGACGGTGCCGCGGGCGTACGAGCCTCCGAAACAGAGATAACAGGAATGTTCTTCGCTTGCTGTTGCTGCTGCTCCTCGAGGACCCCGTTGGGGACGAAGGGGGAGGAACGCCCACCTCTTCCGAATTTCGACTCTTCTGGCTTCTCATCAGCAGCCTCCTTTGGGGGCTTCCAATATCTGTCAAAGCTTACGATTGGTCGCCCGGGGTTGTCACTGACAGCTGACGGGGTGGGGAGCTTTGGGCTGCGGTCCTTCAACCGCATGCTGGTCGCTTGACGGATGTCGTCGCCGCGGATCTCCATCCCTTGCTTGCGAAGAACCAAGTCATGGTCGACTGGGGATTCAGATCGGGAATTCGTCGTGTATTGTGGATTGCGAGACTGCGATGGGGGGTTGCGATAGATATCATACTTGGAGACCGTCTTGGGAGGCGGAGGGGGAGGAGAGTCGGCCTTTGCAGGCACCTCGGGGGCGAACTGCACTCGGTTCAGTGGATTTTTCGGCTTGAGCCGCAATGGCTGGACGTGGCCCTTGTCCTCTAGAGCTTTCGCTTTTGTCTTGTCAGGTGTCTGCCCTTCTGGCTCCTCCCAAATATGGTCTCCCGAGAACGGTTTCTCGACCTCCCCGCTGATGTTTCGCCTCAGGCTGCTTCGACGACGTCCGCCCTTGATCGCAAATGATCCAGAAGAGGAGATTCCGTTGTACGGCTTAGTGCTCTTCGACTCCGTGGAGACTTGCCGTGATTTCTCGAGACTTTCCCGGCGCGGTTCGTACGTGCCAGAATGCTTCCGGGAAGAAGTGAATGATGTCCGACTTCTCGTTGACCCAAAGGGGTCACTCTCAGTAGAACTGCCGGAAACCGAGCGCGACATCGGGTCTCTCGCAAGACCAGTTGGGGCCACATCATCCCCGTACAGGCCTACACTGGCTGTCCGGGCATGGGCATAGCTGTTCTTCCTAAGATGCGGCGTGTACCTGTAGGGTGCGCCTGGCTCTGGCACTTTACCAGGATTCTGGTGCTGCCATACTAGCTCCGCAGCTTCCTCGAGGGCAGCGTTGCGGATGCGCACCTCTTCCTCATCCTCAACTTCGACTTCGGTTTCGACTTTGTCGTTTGGGACTTCGTCTCTCAAGTCCATGTCGTCCATAGCCTGGCGGAGGGAGACGGCCTCTTCCTTCTCCATCCACCGCTGGCCACGCTCCATGTATCTCGCAGTGGGTACAACTTCGGACGGCTTCAACGGCTTCGCAGGACGCTCGGGAACGTAATCTCTTCCCAGGCTCATCATCGAGTACCTTGACGAGGCGCTTCCAGCGATGGACGGACGACTTGACACGGGCGCATCTGAGTGTGTCCTTTGGTGAAGTGAAGATGTATCGGATAGGCCTTGGGGACCTAGAGAGGATCGGCCACCCAGCGAAGGTCGACCACCCAGAGAAGATCGGCCACCCATAGACGAACGGCCGGAGTCCTGAGGGGGTTGTGGCCTCGCACCGCCGGGCCTGTTGACGCGATTGTTGCGCAGATTTGCCAAATAGGCAGCTGTCAACACTGGTTAGTGGCGGAACTAGCAAATCCCCCTGCATCCCTCTGGTAGATCTGGTAGACTAGAGCGGCCATACCGAACTGTTCGTTATTCATGTAGGACGGAGAAGGTGGCGTGACCTTCCGGGAGGAGGCACCCTCCTTCGGTTTGCTTTTTGAGAGCATAGGTAGGTGAGGCTACTTGAGAGGTGGTAGGTATCGGAAAGTAGTATATCAAAACTTATCAAACGGTGTTTAGGTTCGGCTGGGAATTGGGCGATAAGTATGATGTTGGAGAACAATGATGCCTAAAGGTGGGCCGAGAACGGGTTAAATAGAGGCTACTGTTTACAGTCTATCATAGGAAGATACTGGGGCACTGAGGGGGTTGCTAGGCAGTGCACGGTGTTACTGCGGCAGGCTGTATTGATTGCGTGAATGCTGTGAACATGAGCCGTTTTATGCAAGGTAACGTGGTTGAGTTGGGAGTGAATCATAATGTTCGAGGTTTTTAAGCGCGATTGGTCAACTTTCCTGGAGATTGCGTTGACACGACAACGAGCTCCAGGGAAAATTTCAACAGCCTCTTTTGCTTTGTTAGCCTTGCAGGCCCATCCCTGTCAGTGTCGCCTGCATCAGGTTAGATATGGGGCGCCATTGGGATCATTGTTTCTCCGTCTCACTAATGGCATCACCTAGGTCATACTTCCAGGTTCTTTATTTGGTCATGGGTATTCATTCGTTCGCGGAGTGCAAGAACAAAGAATTCCCATGTTTACGTAGTGTTGGCCTGGGTGAGCTTGACCAAACAACAAGCAATATACTATGTAAGTGTCATCCCTAGCTCCCAGAACAACCTAAAAGGGTTGCCACTCCTTGAGCGGGCGAATCAATTCCTTGCCCGGTCCGGGGCTCAGTGGGGTCGATCCGGTAATAAGCCGGATTGTTATTTCCATGGCAACCGACCTCCGGCTTCGGGCAAACCAACTTCGGGCCGGCTCTGTCCCCTCCTAGACTGTTCATGAATGCCTTGAAGCCTGATCAGTTAAACAAGTCCTCTCCATAAGTATTCTCGAAGAGAGGGAGGCAGACAGGCCGGCGACCCCTTTATGGACAATTATGAGTGTGAAGCTGCACCAGGTTGAGGTCGTGATAAAGTTCCAGGCTGTGGGGCCTGGAGATGGAGGCCATGTGGAAAGAACGGCAACTGCGGACGGGACTCGGAGGCGGGGGACCCATTTTTAAGTCGATGGACCGATGCTATCCTCTTACATAAGGGATATCAAATGAAGCCCTCAGATGGCGAATCCTCTTCCAATGTGCTTGCTTTTAGTATGTTCTTCTTCGTTCTTTGATATATTTTAGTCCGTTGGTATATGCATCGATCCTCTCGGTGCTTGAAGCATTTGAAGTAATAGTTATTGCCGATGCCGGATTCTTCAACCCCCCTGCCCTCCCAGTTTGATGACTCGTCTCTGGCTGTCCGAGTTCCCTCCAATACGGCAAATGTCACAACTGCACAGGAGAAGCCCACGACAGACAACAGTCGAACCGAGACGGAATCAACAGAGGAGCCCGAATTCAAGGAAGGAGGCTATGGCTGGTCCGTTCAATCCTTCTTTGCTGAGACTTACAAGTCCAAACGTCCCATCTCTAACATGCCGACTCACAGGGTTGTTGTTGCTTCAATATTCCTCGTAAATGCTCATACCTGGGGTTTGAATTCGGTATGTCCATTCCTTGATTTTATGTATCGATATAATGAACAACGATGATTAACATCGGCAAGTCATACGCCGTCTTCCTAGCCTACTATCTTCATTCTGGCACATTCCCGGGTGCTTCCCCCCTTGCCTTCGCGTTTGTAGGCGGCCTATCCATATCAATAGGTATAACCTCTTTGCCCAAATCCCCTCCCTATTCGTCGCACTGACATGGATCATACTACAGCACTGCTCGTGTCTCCGCTGGCTACGATATGTATCGGCAAATTTGGCACGGCTACAACGTTGAGGATAGGGGTCGTATTTGAGACGTACGTTAGCTGGGTCACTACCTCAAAGTTTCCACGCCATTGGCTTACACTTGTCCCAGAGCATCCTTCATCGGAGCCTCCTTCACTTCGGAAATATGGCATCTCCTGCTCAGTCAAGGAATTGCCTTCGGGATAGGAATGGGATTCCTGTTCACGGCGACCGTCGGGCTCGTCCCTCAGTGGTTCACTAAGCGCCGTTCATTTGCGAATGCCATGTCGACCGGCGGCTCCGGTTTCGGTGGGCTCATCTATTCTCTTGCGACAAATGCCATGATATCCAACCTCGGCCTGCCGTGGGCCTTCAGGATCCTGGCCATCATAGCCTTCGTCGTGAACGGTATCTGCAGCTTTACCTTGCGGGATCGAAACAAGGCTGTTGGAGCTGTCCATGTCGCCTTCCACAAGGGCATTTTCAAGAAATTTGAGTTTTGGCTCTTCGTTTTCTGGGGTTTCTTTTCCATCCTTGCATATGTCATTGTTGTCTTTTCCCTGGCGGATTACTGCCAGAAGGTCGGCTTCACGGCCAGCCAAGGCTCCATTGTGGCGGCAATATTCAACCGTAAGTCAACTCCAAACTACCCACTTGATATTTGTTGATGTATGGATGTTGACTGCCAGCAAAAACAGTTTCGCAAGGCATAGGGAGGCCCCTCATTGGCCTCGTTAGCGACAAGGTCGGGAGGATGAACATTGCCGGCCTCGGCACTCTGATCGCAGCGATAGCTGTCTTCTTCTTGTGGATTTTCGCCGGCAAGTACTATGCTGGCGTGATCATATATAGTCTTGTCGGAATGTTCGCAGGCATCTTGTGGCCTACCGTTGCTCCCGTCGGTGCAGAGGTCGTGGGTCTCCAGTTGTTACCTGCAGGTAAGTGAAACCCCTTGGCGAAGGCGAGCAGCAACTCCCTACACAAGGCTAACCAAGGCTAGCATTATCCATTTACTGGATTATACTTGTCCTGCCAGCCACCTTCTCCGAGGTCATTGGCCTGAGTCTTCGGACGAATGGCACAGACGGATACATCAATGTCCAAGTCTTTACTGGTCTTATGTATTTGGCAGCATTCATCTCAAGTATGTCGTTTGATCACATTTTGAGGTTCCTACCAGAGAGAATCACAAAGCTGACATGACCACAGTTTGGACCCTCAGAAGTTGGAAGCTACAGGAGATGGATATGCTGGGTTTGTCTAAGGAGCAAAGGGAGGCCGAGACCGGCGCCAATGATGCAGTCGCCGTTCCACAAGAGGACGCGGCGAGAGTCGCATCTGCCAAAAGAGAATCAAGTGTGCTGATTTCGTACGTAAGAGGCTTTTTTGCCATAGAACATGTATAACACTCTGTATCTTGTTTAGCTCTATCCATATATAGGCCTTCTACATAGGCCATAATTTGCATCTCTGTATATCTCGGCACACGGGCTACTTTAGATATTTCCTCCCCTCTTGGCCTGTGTTACGCTCTAGATAGCTCGATTGCCTTGGCAGCAGCCTCTTCAAAGTCATCGAACGCGAAAAGTGGCAAACCGCTCTCGGCAATGATCCTCTGGCCCTCCTTCTCGTTCGTGCCGCGGATCCGGACGACGACGGGGACCCTCGGGCTCAGCTCCTTGAAAGCTAGGACTACGCCCTTGGCGATCATATCTCCGAGGGTCAAGCCACCAAAGATATTAACAAATACCACTCTCACCCGAGGGTCGCTGAGGATGACCTCGAAGCTCTTCTTGACGGTCTCACTCGTCGCCTTGCCGCCCGTGTCGAGGAAGTTGGCCGCCCTACCACCCGCATCCGCTAGGGCGTCCACGGTATTCATCGCCAGGCCAGCACCATTGACCAGCGTGCCGATCGTCGCATCCTCGCCCGGCAAGCGGATGTAGACGATCCCATCCCCGTCCCCTTCCCTAGCACCCCCCGCCGCCTCAGCCGCCGCATCGGCCTCGCCGTGGATGTCAGCCTGCCGCCCGGCGCTCCTAAACGCGGCGTCGTCGAGGCCGAACCGGGCCCCGACGACCTCGAGCGCGCCGAGCCGCTCGACGACGTGCGTCTCGAGTAGGAACGCCTCCCGCTCGCAGAAGAGCGCCGCCAGGCCCCGGATCACGCCCCACAGCGAGTCGGTCGACGCGCTGCCCAGCTGCATGTGCGCCGCGATGCGGGCGACCGCCGTCTGCTCGTCGGCGCCCGCGTGGGAGGGGAGCGGGAACCGCTTCGCGGCGGTGTCCGGGGTGGGCGAGGCGATGATGCATGGCGACCGGGCCGAGCGGTCGATGCCGATGGTTAGCAGGCGACGGGTTCCGCGGCCGGGGTGGAGAGACGTGTTGACGCCGTGCTGACGGAGGAGATCGAAGGACTTCTCTTCGGTGAGGTAGAGGTGGCGCCGTTGGCCGCGCGTAGCCGTCGATTCGAGGGATGTCCGTTGGGGCCTGCGGGCCACGGTGTGTATTTGCCGCCGCTGGTTCCCGGCACCAAACACCGTCTGCGTGGTGGATAAAGGGATTGAAGTCCGGCCCTCAAGGCGATGCTTCAGCGCGTCGCCCATTTTGGCCGGGTGGTTAACCATCGTCACGCCTGCATCCTGGAGAGCTTGAATCTTGGCCTTCGCGTCCGGCTCTCCTGGGATCGTGTAGGCACCAGCGTGGCCCATAATGCGACCGTGAGCCTCGCTCACTCCTGCCACGAGGGCGACAATTGGCCTTCCAGCTCAGGTTAAAACCGAAACAGCCAAGACAAGGGAGAGCAGTTTGTGACATACTTTGGCGTCTGCGTTCGAGAGTGGTAGTCTCTGATCCATGCGGCGGCGTCGATTTCTCCAACCCCTCCAATCTCCCCTATCAGGGCGATCGCTTCGGTGTCTTCATCATGCTCGAGGACACGGAGAGCTTCCAGCAGATCTGTACCGGGGAGGATGTCACCGCCCACTCCAATACAGAGACTTTGGCCCAAGCCGGCTCTGGTGGTGGATGCCACCGCTGTCCTTGTCAGTATACACCCTAGCTATGACGGCTTTGGGTCTAACAAACTTTCATAACTCAGAGTTCCCGACTTTGCAATGATACCAATCCGGCCAGGAGTAAAACAAGGAAGTGGTTGGAAGCCTAGATATGGTCAAATGGTGAGCGTCACACCGAAGTTACTCGCAACAAGAGCCTACCTATCCGGCACCGTCCCACGGCTGAAATGATGCCAGGCGAGTTGGGGCCGACTAGCCTTGAAGCAGACTGGGTCTTGAGGATTGAATGTATCTCCGAAACTTAGTGAGGCTTCAAAGGCAAGACCGGTGTGTTGTCGGACCCACCCGCAAGATGTCGTGAAGAGGTATATGCTCAGCAACCGCAACGACAAGCGGCACTTCGGCTTCTATCGCCTCCTCAATTGCTGCCGCCGCTTGATGTGCTGCGACGTAGATGCCGGTTGCATCTGGCTTGAGCTGCTCCACTGCCTGCGCTGATGTCAGGATTCGTCCCGGCTCTGGTCTTGGCAAGGTACCCTCACCTTTTGAACAGTAGGCAAGACGGGAAGACCGAGATGCTCACCGGTCCGTCCTGGAGTAACGCCACCAACGATGTTGGTTCCCCATTCTATGGACTCCTTTGCATTGGCGGTTGCCTGCAAAGTGTGAGATGTGTATCCTTGGCATCCTGTGTAGTTAGTTGAGACTAGACACTTACCTGTCTCCCTGGTATTCCGAGCCTTCTGTAAGCCCATGATCTCGCAATGATTCAGCTGGTTTATCAGACTCACCAGTGAATCCCTGGAAAATGACTCGTGTGTGCCTATGTATTCGCAAGTTAGGCAAAGTTGCATCGTAGCTGTGATTTTTGGCGGCTGCTGCAAAACCTCGACGACGACAGGGCATGATAGGGCGGTGCAAGGCCGAGTACTGGAAACCCTTGAGGCACCTTGCAAAACCCAACATGATCTTGACTGGTAACGACAAACAATGCCAGACCTCGGAATTGATAAGAGGGCCAGAATCATTTACCACCTCTCAAGGTTATTCCCCGGTAACCCCGCAAGTGAGGGCTCAAGCATGTGTCAAACAACACCGTGGAGCTACCAACCGTGCACGGGCCACCCCCTTTACCCCTTTACCCCTTTTCTCGGGAGATCTTTACGAGGTAGGGTGTCTTCGTCGGTTGTAGGTATAGGCAAGACGACAAGATGGCGGTATCTATTCTACTTTCTACTTAGCTAAATACATGACTTGGGTGTTGCACTTTCTAAATACATGGCTTGGGTGTGGCTCCCAACTTTCTAAAATACATGGCTTGGGCGTGGCTGCGGCTATTTAGTGCCCTATTCGGTGGTGTGCCTCGGAAAATAATCCGATTGAGGGCGTGGTAGAGTCTGGCTGACTAGTCCGATAGATGGACTTCGTCTGATGGAACGATTGATGGCTGGCCCGATTGGCGAAAGGGGGTTTATCTGACGAAGAGTCTGGCCGTTGAAAAATCCGCTGGCTGAAAGACGTGGCTGATGAATGATCCGTCTCTGATGGGTGACAGTACTGAAGATGTCTCACTGCCAGTCGCGTATTTATGAGGAGGAAGACTCCACCAGGGCTGTGAGGTGGGTGGGTGGCCTGTTAGCCCTTCGGCGTCAGTGAAGTACCTTGGCGTTGGGAAGAGCATTCTCACATTTCATGCTCCGTATGCCTACAGCTGCAGCTGGCCGTCATAATGCTTTCACAGGGCTGCCGTGCTTGTGAGGAACTACTGCTGTTTAGAGATGGTAAATGGTTATCAGAGTATTCACGTGCCTTCTGAAGAGTCCTTACTTCGCATGAGAACACCAGGTGACAGGGAGGTTGGTTGCCTGCTTGCGAGGGATCGAGCTTGAGTCGATGGAGAGAATCGGAGAACCGGAGAACCGCAGGCATGGAAGGTTATAGAAGAAGGAACAGTGAAGTCTGCACCTGTCTGTGGTTGATCTCTGGGAGACTGATGGTCTGGTCGACTGATGGTCTGGTCGGTCGATGGTCCGGTCGGTTGATGACTCCGGTCGGTTGATGACTCCGGTCGGTTGATGACTCCGGTCGGTTGATGACTTAAAAGCCATGTCTTTGAAAAGTGACCGACTCATAGTACAATAATCTGTACTCGGTAGGTTGTTTGGTAGGTTGTTTGGTAGGTATGTTGCCCCTGCTTAGCTCATCGAGCGACCAACTCCGATGAGGAACACCCATCCACGACGGTGACGTGAGGGGCTTGGATGGGTTAAGAAATACTTGGGGGATAAGAATGGGGGTAATTGGGGGATAACGAAACGGACCAAGAGCAAAAACAGGACCAAAAAGAACAAAGGAAAAAGGTAATGATAACCTAAGCCGCCAGTCCACCGAGTCCCCTCTCCAGGTCTCTCCTCTCACCCTCCCCCAATTCCCTCCAGGCAGTCGACTGGACGCGGGCCCAGACCGCCAGCTTTTCAGCCGGCGTGGCCACGCCATCCAGGACGACCACCACTCCCGAGGCCAAACCAGACCGAAGTCTTCCATCCTCCTGGATGACTCGCCACAGCCAAGCCAGGGGCCCGAACAACAACTTAAAGGCCCGACGGACCAACCGCACCACAAACCGCCAGGCTTTCCGCAAGCCGGCCTTAACAGACCACTCTGGCCACCTCATCATCACGCCCGCGAGGGCCGCCACCCAGGAGACAAAACGACGCACCACCGCGCCCACAAACACAGCAACCCACAGGAGGATTGGAAATCCATACGAAAAAGCGGCCGAGGCAAGGACCCCTTGCGTCATTGGTGTGACTGTAATATCACGTTAGCCATTTCACGCTAGTAAGGTGGTTGTTAGGGTATGAATATGGGGATGTGAAGAGTATCTAGAGGCTAGAAGATGACTGAGAAGGCCAAGGAGTTCAGGGATGGGTACATACGCCAATCCATTTTCGTTCATGGGGAAGAAAACAGGAGGCATATGGTCGGGCGACCTACTCACTTTTGTAGTTCTGGTTGAACCATAACAATTGTATTTCATGGAAGGAGCTCATCATGATGGGTTTCTTAAAGGGGGAGGAGCAAGACACTTGCAGCTTCATGATCAAGCTATGCGTTCCAGGTGTCAGAGCTAGGGTTGTAGCAAGTGGTGGAAATTGGCAACTGCTTTGCTATTGCTAGAAATAACAATAGCGATAGACAGCGACGGCAGTAGCGATAGACAGCGACGGTAGTAGCAATGGATAGCGACGGCAGTAACAATGGATAGCGACAGCAACAGCTGCAACTCTAAATGAATCTCAGGAACCTAGAAGATTCCCGGGACAGGAGTCGGCGAAGAGACGAGAGTTCCAAGTGCGATTGCATCTATCAAATAATTGCATCTAAGTATCAGGCGGCTTTCAGCTTCTCCTTGCTAGACTCGGCTGCTGGTCCTGTGCTTGTGGACTTATCAGGGGTTGTGGAAAAGAAGTCGGACAGGCTCTCCATCCAACCCTTCTGTTCCGGCACAGGGAACCCATCCTTGTACCTCCTCTCGAACATAGGCTTACGTATGCGGTTGACCTCTGGGGCGCAGAGCGATATGCCGTGCTGTGCTGCCAAGTCCTTCGCTGCCGCAAGCAGCATCTGCCTCATCTTGGAATCGTGGACATGCTGTGGAATGAACTCGTTAACGTCGACCGACAGCTTACGGATCAGCCGATCAGACCCCCTCACAGGCACCTCGTCGATTAATTCTTGCATGACCCCTGTGTATCCTGTCAAACCCTTCTCATATTCCGTGCGATCGAGTTCTTGGCGGTGAGTGTCGTAATGATAGAGCATGATTGCTATATCCCCCAAGTCTAACGGACGGAATATTGACAAGCAATCATCCAGATACTTCCAGACCTTGCTATCAACAACCTGACCCCTCTTGAAGTAGCCGGCAAACAGGGTCAAAGCCCTGCAGAAGGGAGGAATATGGCGCCACAGGTGTCGAAAGAATATCGGCTGACATCCAGAGCGATCCTGGGAACGGATGTACCCAACCCAGAGCGACCCTGGCAACGGATGTACCCCAAAGCCGTAGTCAATGAGCAGCATATGCTCTATAAGAGGCCCGATTGGAAGGCTTAGGTGAAAGGTATCGGTCTCTGGCATCAGGGGCCCAAGCTCTGCCTCTGGTATCGGGGGGCCAAGTTCTGTCTCTGCTGCCTCTCTGGTCGAATCACTGCTGCACGCTTGGTCATACAGTATCGCCGCAACGGCTTGGAGAAGTGGTTGCTCCGCATGGTAGGGAGAGCGTTTGGCAAGCATCTTCTTGACGAAACCATCCAGCGAGCCTTCTGCATGGCAGATGGCTGCATGGATTTGTCGTAACGCCCGTGCCCACTTTTCGTTCGATGGGAGTTCCATGAGGATCGCATACTCGGGTCTCTCCGGACGCAGCGTACGGGTGTTGATTCTATTGTCCCACCGAGGAAGGCAAAGCTGGTTGAGCCGCTTGAAATTGAAGTCATCGTCCATGGCTGTCGTCTGTGTTGTCGCCATGGTACTGGGTATCATGCGAGGTGCTGGGACTAATGGGCTGACGGGCGATGATGGGCACCCGAAAAGATCAAGGGTGATGGATGATCTTTGCAGAAGACAGACGGCGTATAGGGGAGGAAGACTTTAGGACCTCTGTTGGAATAGGTTTGGAGAAGCCACCTGAAATACCTACTTACCTACCTTACTTTCCGTCAAAGACAAAGCTGCAGCGAAATAGAGTTCAAAACCGCCGACTGGGGAGGTCACGTCCAAATTGTCCCACCGAGGCATCCGCATTTGCCTACCTTAGGACACCGATGCGATTTCGGAAACTTGTACCGAAACGGCTGGGCATGTAAATATTTTAGAACAGTCCTATGTACATCGCTCATGGAGCATGTGAAAGGCTTCTGAAGCCTGCACGGCGCGGTGGATGTTATAGGTGGTTATAGGCCGAAGCTGCTTATACATAGACTGAAGCCTGGCTGGTCAACTTCATATTAACCTCCTCCCTCCCCCAAGGGGTCACCTGTTTGACTCGCCTTTCACCCCCTTTTCTGCCTCGCCTGCCTCGCCCGTCTCATTGGCCGAAAGGTCCTTGAAGCCCAAGTTTTTGAAATCATCTTTCGCCATCAGGTTTCTGTTTAACAAGCAAAAATCAATACGTCAGGAGTAGCTATGACTCGGAAGAGGAAGGTTTACCTTTCCATACGGCAAGCCAAGTAAGACTTGGCCAAATCGCGACATTCATCTTCATTGACTCCCTTTACTCTCTTGATGCATTTGAGGTAGTTGGTCATTACATGCCGACACTCGCCTTGATCCAACAATGAGACAGGAACCAATCAGAATATCAGATATCACTTACCATCATGGTCGAGAGGAAAACTTCCGCGTTGCGGCCTGCGAGGTGGTCAACAGACTGGGATTTTATTTGAGATGGCAATTGTCACTTACGGGATAGGCTTTGTGGCTGGGAGGGCACCCGGGCCAAATGAACTCATAGCGGAGGAGGTGCTCTTACTCTTGGTCTACCTAGATCCCCACAATCTTGAATCCACCGGAAGTAGTCGTCTAAGTAAGTTGATAATGCCAGTGAGCCTTCTTCCACTTCCCCAGCTCGGTATGTCTGTATAATGGAACTGGATGGGGCCATATGCAGGAACGGTGATGCACGTGCTGAATCATGCAGGCCAGGAGTGCGCACGTGTGTGTTGCCTGAGGCAGATATTAGCCCACATGAGGCGCTACCGTGCATAATTCTTGGAAATTGGGGCCATTCGTGACTGCGTAACTGCATGGCAACCCTCGACGGCCAAGCTTGGAACCAAAAGCTAAATAATATTTTTGGCATCCACCAGCTTGAGCTGAGAGGACGTACCTCGTCGCGCTTTTTCAGATTCTACCAAGGACCCTCGCCCTCTCACTTCGCTTCTACTATCCCTTGATTATTTGGTCAAAGCCGTGCCGGTTGCCGCTTCTTCCCCCCTTGACTTGGTCAGCTCGAGGCCCCAAGCGAGCGACCCAAAAACCTCCTACAGGCATCCCTTCTATCCCCCTTGAATTGAGCGCAATCCAACCCGCCCCTGAAGCAGAAGGGACTTCCTCTTGCTTCCTAAGCTTCCGGCATCATGGCTGCTCTTGGAGATGACTTGCTCGGGACTGTCAACAAGCTGCAAGACCTGGTCTTCAACACCATCGGCAATGACTCCCTCGATCTACCCCAAATCGTATGGCTAGCCCACCCCTATGCCCGGTGATTCCTCGTTCAGTTGGTTGATCGCTAACCCGACCTGCTTGCCTGCAGGTGGTTGTTGGCTCACAATCAGCCGGAAAGTCGTCAGTCCTCGAAAACATTGTTGGCCGAGACTTCCTACCCCGCGGTGGTGGTATCGTGACACGGAGACCCCTTATCTTACAATTAATCAACGTCCCCGAGGATGAGCCCGAGGATGCCGTGCACGTTAGCTACAGGAACGCGAGCCAAGCTTTCCGGAACGAGTGGGCTGAGTTTAACCACATCCCCAGCCGAAAATTCACGGATTTCGGCGATGTTAAACGTGAGATTGAGAATGAGACGGCGCGAGTTGCTGGCAGCAACAAGGGCATCAACCGCCAGCCGATCAACTTGAAGATATTCTCTCCACATGTCTTAAACCTCACCCTGGTCGACTTGCCAGGACTCACCAAGGTCGGCCCTACTCCGTCGTTCGCGCCCGCTTACCTCGTCGCCACTGACATCTGATCCTAGGTTCCCATTGGAGATCAACCGACCGATATCGAGAAACAGACCAGGAACCTCATCTCCGAGTACATTGCGAAGCCCAACAGCATCGTGTTGGCCGTGTCGCCAGCGAACGTCGACATTGTCAACTCGGAGGCGCTGAAGCTTGCCAGACATGTGGACCCCCTGGGCAGGAGGACGATTGGCGTGCTCACAAAGGTCGATCTCATGGACCATGGCACAAACGCCTTGGATATTCTATCGGGGCGGGTCTATCCCTTGAAACTGGGCTGGATCGGCGTCGTAAACCGATCACAACAGGACATTCAGGGCAACAAGCCTATGGAGGAGGCACTCCGGTCTGAAACCGAATTCTTCAGGCACCATCCCGCATACCGGAATATTGCCAACCGCTGCGGCACCCAGTACCTCGCCAAGACACTGAACACGACCTTGATGGCGCATATCCGGGATCGCCTGCCGGACATCAAAGCTCGACTCAATACCCTCATGGGCCAGACCCAACAAGAGCTTGCAAGCTACGGAGACATGCACTTTAGTGGAAAGGAGCATCGCGGCTCTCTGATCCTCCAGCTCATGACTCGATTTGCCATCTCTTTTATCTCATCTATCGACGGTACTTCGACCGAGATCTCCACCAAGGAGCTCTGTGGTGGTGCGCGCATTTACTACATCTTCAACTCGGTCTTCGGCAGTGCTCTGGAATCCATCGACCCCACGTCGAACCTCTCAACTATGGACATCAGGACAGCTATTCGAAACTCGACCGGTCCGCGACCCAGCCTCTTCGTCCCAGAAATGGCCTTTGATCTTCTCGTTAAGCCTCAAATCAAACTCCTGGAGATCCCCAGTCAGCGTTGCGTCGAACTCGTATACGAAGAGCTCATCAAGATCTGCCACACCTGCGGTTCAACCGAGCTGTCACGGTTTCCACGACTCCAAGCCAAGCTCATCGAGGTTGTCTCGGATCTCCTTAGAGAGCGGCTTGGTCCGGCCTCGTCATACGTAGAGTCCCTCATCTCCATCCAACGCGCTTATATCAACACCAACCACCCGAATTTCCTCGGCGCGGCCGCCGCCATGAGCCATGTGGTCACCAACAAGCAGGACAAGGAGCGGAAGCGCCTGGTCCAGGAGGAGCGCGAGCGACGGGAGCGAAGAAGACTGAAGGAAATTGGCGCTAACGGCACCGAAACTCCAATTGATGAGGAAGAGGAAGCGACGGCAATGGAGAAGACAGAGACGGCAACAATCCGAAAACACACTGCCGGAAAGGGGCTGCGGAGCATGTCGCCCGCCGTCCGGGAGACCGTCTCGGGAGGATTTACCTCGACCCTCAATGGGGGTCGATCTTCTTCGCCGTCTAGGTTTAACCAGCCAGCGCTCGGCGGCGCGCGTGACTCGTTCCTAAACTATTTCTTCGGGAAGGACGGTGCTTCGCAACCCGGAGCCGGACCGTCCCACAACGCAAACATCGGCAGGCATGTCAGTCAGATGTCTGAGCCGACGTTCAGCCAGAGCATCCGTAGGCCGGAAGAGAAAGCGCTTCGGTCGCCCATCCAGACCCATAAGCCAGAGGACGAGCTCGACTACACAAAAGCACCGCGTGGTATCGACTTCGTAAGTTCCATCTATTGCTGACCCCTCGTTTCCGTTTCCCCCACCCTCCCCCACTAACGCAGGCATCTCACGCAGGGCAACACGGGCGAACCAGCCCTGACAGACCGCGAGGCGATGGAGACGGAGCTCATCCGGGCGCTCATCTCGTCGTACTTCAACATTGTGCGCGAGTCCATCGCGGACCAGGTGCCCAAGGCCGTCATGCACCTGCTCGTCAACCACTGCAAGGACGTGGTGCAGAACCGCCTCGTCAGCGAGCTCTACAAGGAGGCCCTGTTCGAGGAGCTGCTGTACGAGGACGACAGCGTCAAGAAGGAGCGCGAGAAGTGCGAGAAGCTGCTCGACACGTACAGGGAGGCCGCCAAGATCATTGGCGAGGTCATATGAGGATGCCGGGGGATGGTCCTCATATATCTATCAGCTTCTCTTGTTAAGAGTACCGGGAAAAGGGATGTCAGTGTTGTATTAGGTCGTTTCCTTTTTTTTTTTGCCTCCTCTTTATTTTGCCCAGGCGTCTCTCTCTCTCCCTCACTCACTTAGAACTTTCACGGGCTTCCACGCGTAACATAGGCCTCGGTTGGAAGGCCCCGGGGATGGCTGGGATTTTTTCGACATGAAAGTAAAAACGGGGAGGAGTGCTTATTGGCTCGCAAGGAAGGGAACGACCATCTCTACTGCTATTTGTAGCTGTTTCAAAGTGTATCACAACCGTGTACATCAAATGACGACACCCATACTGCTCTTCATCAGACGTTACTAGTCAAATATATAAGCCTGTGCCTCTCTGTAATAAATAGCCCGCGGTAACTCTTAACAGGCATCCATAGTCGCCAACTGTATAGTGTCTAGATTTAGGGGGTGCTTGGGTAGGCGTCGTAGACGGGAACTTGGCCGCTGATTGATATCAACCGACAGAGACGGATAGTATACAAGATAGGGGACCCGCCGAGAGGCAACCCGCCGAGAGGCAGATAACGTCCGCATTAGTGCCATTAGGCAGCTTCTATAAAAAATGATGACAAAATAAAGTAAAACCACTACGCCGCCCCAACCATTGGCCATGGCTTTTCGTCTCGCAACACCCGCTCAACGATCACCCTCATTGGTAGCGCACCTGTCTCGGTGGCACGCCTCCCGGGGGTGGGGCAGCCGGAAAGCGCGGATCGTATTCCTCGTCGTAGGCGGTAGGTTCAGGCGGCCCCGCCATCCGCGGAAGAGGGTATTCAGCCCGGGAATCGTAAGACGGCGGGGGCGGGGGCGGGGCCCGGGAGTAGACCGGTTCGAAGGTGGGATGGTGGTATAGTTCCGGCTCTCGGCGAACATGCCGCTCGTCCTCGTAGATGTAGCGAGGCTCTGGCTCCCGCCTGACCGGTCGCCGGATGTAATACTCGCCCTGGGAATCAATGACCTGGACGATCTCGTACGCCTCGACCGGCGGGGCTCTTGATCGTGGCAGCGGCTCATCGGGGTAAGGCCTGTAATACTCCTGCCGGGCTGGGGGTTGCCTGTCATAGATAACCTCCTCCGTCCGGTGAATTCTGTCGTAAGGAAGGGCATCATCAGGTCGACGGACGATCTGTTCGTATCGGTCTGCTCCTGGGCGTGGGATTTGCTCGTATCTAGCATCTGCCATTCCACCAGCGGGTGGAGGGTGTGGGTAATAGCCCCTCCCAGCTTGCCTCGGCACCGGGCTTCTCTCCCTGTACACTTCGGCACCTGTAGGAGGCTGCCTATATCTAAACGCGGGTGATATCGATTGGATCCGGTCAGACGGATGATGAACTGGATATCTGTCCGGGTCTCTGTGGGTGACTCGAGTGGGTGGTGGATGGTCATCATCTACATAGATAACTCTGCTTGGAGGCTGGGGTCGTTGTTCCGAGGCAGGACGTGAATGCCCTTGCTCGAGATGCATTTCGAGCGCTGCCATGAGATTGGGCTCTTCCCGTCGCGGAGGGCTGCTCCTCTGCGAGATCTGCGGAACTGGAGCCGTGGGGGCCGCTGGCGGACTTTTTGCCTTGGGAGGTCTCGCCATTGCTGGGTTTGGTTCCTCGCGGAGCTCCGGTTGACCCTGGGGGCCTTGGTCCGTCTCCGTCTCCGGCTTCGCGGAGGAGGAATAGACTCGTGCAGCCTCCGCACGATCGGCGGCCCACATGGCTCTAATCTCCTCTTCGCGGACCCTCTCTTCATCCTCTGCCTTTTTCGCTTCTGCCTCAGTAACCAAACTGGCGGCTGCTCCAGCAGCGTCCGAGTGCTTGCCACGTCCTCTTTTAGACTTGGCACTCTTCTTGGACCTTTGATTACCACGCCCTGGGCCGGAGCTTTGGGACGAACGACTTTTATTGTCACCCGAACGAGTAGGGACAGGATTTTGCGGCATGCTCTCGACGTGGTACCCAGGCTCCTGGGATGGAGCGGAAACATAACCATTCTGAGGAGGGCCTTGGCTATAGCTGGGTTGTTCATATGTTGCCGACGCCGCCGGTGTTTGATAACCATCCTGCTCTGCGCCATAGTATGTCTGGGCATTGGCCGACTGATGTTGGGCATAGGTACGATCGTGGCTGTCAACAGGGGCTGGAGGATAGACAGAAGGATAGTCAGGACCGGGCTGGTATGGCGGCAGCGGGTAATAGTAAGGAGTTGTGGTGGCTGTGCTGCTGGGCTGTTGGAAGTACTCGGGGAAGGCGTCCGAGAATAGATAGTGTCTTTGGCTATCAGAACCGATGATAGCTGGTAGCCTGGCAAGGACAGCCGGGTCTGGGAGCAAAATCATGTCCACCGTCCAGTCCAGTGGTGGCTGGCCGGGGGCTATCCGTTGCATGGGATCAACGTGCTTGTTCTGAAAGTGATTCACCAGCTGCGGTAAGGAAAAGGTCTTCCTGTCCTGTTCCACGGATGCCGCATTGCCTAAGCCGAAATGGCAGGCCTTGCAAGAGAGCACATTGATATTGCGCACAGGCCGCATGTCCTTATTGTTTGACAAGCCGTCGTTGAACATCTCTAGCGGTGGTGCCTCGAGGAATCTCGACCTGAACCTCTTCACAACGTGATGTATTGTCACAAACACTCTGGCGCTACCGGGAAGGTCCCTGATGTTGGCAGTCGCAATCCAGATTTCCCGCGAGTTCCGAACAACATCTTCGAGCCGGACCTGATACGTGTCGGGATACCCTGTGTTTGGAGGCGGCGGATAGGCAACCTGTCCATCTCCATGGAACCCGCCGGAGTTGTAGTTGTAGACAGTTGGTGGAGGAGGGAGACCTTGATTTGGGGGTGGCGCTGAGACTTGGGGTGGGTAGCCTGGAGTGTGAACGGGTGCTGGGTGGGAAGGATATGTCCCATTCGGCGCAGATGGCGGTTGGTAAGAAGGATATTGCGCTGGAACAGGCTGCGGTTGAAATGGCTGGGGGGTGAACCCCGAGGACGGAGGATAGCTAACCCCGTGCTGATATGAAGACTGTGGTGGATATTGCTCGTTGTATGGAGGGGCTCCGTACACAGAACCTGACGGAGGGAATGGCTGGCCAGGTGGGGGAGGTGCAGGTCCCTGGGCAGGCTGGTAGCCATTGAAGCCATACAGAGTGGGTGGCCCAGCGCTCTGGGTAAAGGAGATCGGGCCCGGAGCGTAATATAAGTGCTTGGAACCCCGGGCTTGGGGGGCGAAGGGTGGTACTTCAGGCCATTCTGCCCTCCAGTGAACAACAACACTGCCAAGGCTGAGCGCACTGGTATGCTTGGCCGCGTAGTGTTGAATGACACCCTCAAAACCATAAGCCTTGAAGTTGCCTTCACAGCCATTGCAGAAGAAAATCTCCTTCTTCTGAGACTCGGTATGAGGCTTGATCTTGCTGTCGAAGATCCACTTCATGTTTTCCAAGGTCAGCTTCTGTGTGAATGGGCCTTCAGGAGGGTCGGTTCGAGGTTCCTGACCAGCAGCACGCGTTGCTGCGGCTGCCTCGGTAACCTCTGCGTAGAACCTTCTCCGCACATGTGTGAGGACGTCTGCGGCGAACTTGGAACAAGTTTCCTTCGTCACCTTCTTGCCGTTGTCCCAACCGTCTCGAATGACCTCATCCGCAAGGCTCGCGATGGAAGCACGCACAGGTGCTTGCACTTCTTCCCAGTCTTTGTCTATCATATCTCTGGCTTCCTTGGTTGTTGCCAACGTAGTCTCAACGTTGTGTTGTTTGTCGTTCCTCTGCAAGATCTGAGCTTGAGCAACACTCTCGGCTTCTCGCTGTTCGGCATCCGCCCTCTGAGCTAGAAGTCGAGGCTTGAGAAGTTCCCAAGCATTGTCATCCAAAGGCGTTATAAGTTGAGTGGCAGCTTGGAATGATGGTATCCGGCGAAGAATATTTGGTTGTAGTGGAGGATCAAGTAGGGATGCCCGGCGCTCGATTTCGGATTTTCGAGTAGCTTTCAGCTTGGCAACTTCCTCTATAGTCCGCTCCTGTCGGCCTGGGGGTAAAGGACGAGACTGGTGGCCAGAATTATTCTCCTCAAAGTCCTGCCTTGGGGCGGCGCCTGTGTTGATGGTAAGCATACATGTCAACATCGGAGCCGTAGACACTAAGCCCTACCTGGAAATTGGGCGGGGGCCGGCCGTAAGTCGCCTGGCATCCTTGCAGCTGGCAAGGCTGAGGTTGCAGGAGGGCCGGCTTGTGAAGGCGAAGGATTGACTGGAGCCAATATTGAGATACGGCCACCTGAAGCCTCCCACTTTTCCCACTTCACCGACTCACTCCTGTGGTCCTTGCCCCGGCCATCGAGACCTTTAAACCACTCCTCAGTTGTACCAGGACCCATTTCCTGGACGGAGAGAAACTCCTTCTTAAGCTCCTCAACATCAGAAGCTAGGAAGAGTTTTGTAACTTGTATGGTGGTCGGCAGTTGACCCTGCTCATAAGTGCTGGCCGATAGAGCGTGAAGCTCAGGTGTCAGGACGACAAACGGCAGTGCGGGAATGACTGCCGAGGGAACTGAAGGCGAAAGAAGTAGGTCAATCTCCTGTGACGCGTGGTTAGAATGTTCTTGGGTCTTTTCGAATAGGACACGCTTAGGACACTTGTTGCGCGATGCCAGATTCTTGACCAACCTTGAAAGACATGCGCAAGAGACAGAGCCCACAGACGCGAATAGCGAAGGGCCAAATGACTGACACTCCGTCCATCCCCGGACCTGGGTGCCAGGGATCCGGTGGAGGCTGCTGCTGGCCACGTGCGTCTTGCTTATTGCAGCTTTGACATCTGATCGAGCGGGCCAACCTCCACGACTCGAGCTCCGTCATTGACCGCAATGGAGCTGGCATATGTGGCCAGAACAAGCGTCTTGAAGCTTGCCAGATGCTGTTCGGCTTCAAAATACTGATGGCACTTTTACCTGGAGAGAGAGGAGAGGCACTCTGAAGCGAGGATGAAGGGTCAAGATAGACGTGGAATAATTTGTTGACACGCAACAAATTACCTAAAGTTTGGGGAGGGCAGAAAGTGAAGATGTGGTGCCAGATCTCAGGGGGAAGGAGAGACTTGTCTCTGCCAGGGGCATTGGCGTTGATGTGCTCTTCGCGATCAACCTCCAACTTGGCCTTTTTCGATGACATTATTGACGTCGAGGTCCATGCGGGTATCTGGTCATTCTCCTGGTCTGATGACTTGCGCTTCTTCGAAGATACGGCTTGTGTGTCCGGTGTTCCCCGGGCCTTCGGTGATTTCCGTTCGGCTGACCGAGGGCTGCCTTGATCTTCTTCGTCGGTTTCAGCGGCCATCGATATATCGGAGGCGGAATCGTCGTTGTCGTTGTCGGCTTCTTGGGGCCTGGGGGGTCTTGATATAGAGTTATGGGTGGCTACCGGTGGCGTCGAGACTGGAACTGCTGCGCCAGGCATTGGAATCGACAAGTCGCCATCCGAGCTCGAGCTCGAGCTCGAGCTGGTGTCGGTCTCAACTTTATCCATTGCGACCAGAAGAACTCATCTTGTACCGATAGTCCGACAATAAAAAAGAAAGACAGGGTAACAGCGTGCTTCTGGCAATAGCCGAGACGAGCAAAGGGACAATGGGAAGGTTTCAATAACACTTGTCAAGGCGGAAGAGAGGGATGGGCAAAGACCATCCCTCGGTCCGTTGTAAGGTACGGGCTCTCAAAGTTGAAGAGAAGCCTTCAGGTGGGAAACAAGGCTGAGTAGAGATGCTCAGGCCAACCGACAACCAAGCGAACCTTCTATCAGTCGGACTGGGGACTGGTAACTGGGGTTAGAGGTCTAGCATCTTGATTGACACTGCTCTAGCCGGCTCTGCGACGAGATTTGATGGAAGGAGAGACCTCGCAGACTCGAGATAGGAAGGTCCAGAAGGCGCACAGTATAATGTGGAGGCGAGTAGCAAACAGTCGGAGAGACGGGAGACAGGTGGGCAAGAAAAGCTGTCATTCATAGAAGTTCTCGCCAGTAATAGGGAGGTAGTCTGAAGGTTTCGGTCCCTACCTTTATTTATTAAATTGTAGCCTCTTTCGTCCCGCGCCTTCCCGTCATTCGGGCGCCCGGACCAAGATTAGGTAAGTCAGATAATACGGGCCCCGCATCCCCTTTTCTTCCTCGTCAGCGGCTGTATTGTCTCGTAGGAGAACTGCTCATGATAATTTCCATGGCAGTCATCTTATTATACCCAGTCAATATTATAACCCGGGTACGATTGCAGAGAACTTGTGCGCTATGGAGTCCCATAAGATCCAGTCTCTATTGACTCTCTCCCCGTAAGATCATACATGCGAACAGTACCTCTCAAACACTCTGGCTGTGAACGACTCCTCGACATGCGGATTAAAATCACCCATCGAGCTGAACGTAGTTGGCCGGGAAAAGCCCCGCCGCACCGTTGTAATGGCCAAACCACCAATCCTCGTCGGGGAATTCGAGGTTGGTGACTTTAGCCCCTTCAGGGAAACTCAGTTCTATGTGTTATCATTAGCGGCCAATTCATGCTCGGTAAATTGGGTATCCAATCAACCCAAAACTTACCATTGTCTTCGGCGGCTTCGTAGTCAAATAGCGCAGTGGCAGTAGAACCACCAGATGCCGCAGCAGGCTGAGACTCGGCAGCAGCAGCTGGGGCCGGGGGTGGTGCATGGCTGGCGGTTTCCTCTTCGCCTTCGCCTTGGCCCTCGACAAGTTCTACATAATTGCTCGGGAAAAGGCCGCTCTCACCCCTGGGGTTCGTGCCCATCCACCAGTCATCATCCACCATGTCGATGTTGGTGACATACTCACCTTCTCGAAGTTCCAACTCGTTGTCCTCGGCCCTCTCGTAATCATATTGGACCAGGGCCCGCTTCCCACCACCCCCGGAGCCAGCATGGCTGTCAACGGCTGGTGCATGCCCAAACGACTGCTCCGCAACAGCGGCTCCGGCTGCTCTGGGATCATAAGCTTCCTCTTCTTCTGGAAGCTCCTCTTCTCTTGGTACCTGTTCCTCAATGTGCCGAGTTGGGAGGGATATCGGGGGGAGTTGCTCAGCAGGCTCCAATTCTGGCTCTTGGCTGCGCGCAACAGGCATGGCGATGCGAACTGGGGAGTGCTCCTCCTCCTCTTCTTCGAAATCCCGGGATGGAATAGGAGGAGTCTCCTCCTCGTCTTCCTCCTGGTTGTAGGCGGCTGGGCGCGAGGGAAGACCAGGAAGTGCGAACCCTCCTGAGGGTCGAGTGTCTGTGGGCAAGCGAGGTGGTGCAGGTTCGTCGTGGCTTGGGGAGGTGATCTGGCGCGCGGAGGGAGTAGCGCCACCCATTGGCTGCGAATCTTTGAACCTGTCTCTCAGGGCAGAGATACCGCCGGCTGGGGATGCAGGGGCCTCGGGCTCGGAGCGATCCGTGCCGCCGGTGTTCTGCGTTTCCACCCCGCCACGGGCAAATTTTGTGGTCTGGACCGGAGCCCAGCTCTTCCCCTGATACCCACTCCTCCATTCGCTCCCGCTCAGCTGGGCTGCCATAGGCGAGGCGGGCGGTGGAGATATCGTAGAAGATGAAGTCCCGCGTTCTTTGGCTTTCTTCTCGGCCCAAATCTGCGCAGGTGTTTTGCCGCCTTGATCCGCAAAGGTCCTACTCGCTGCACCAACAGGTGGGGGAGTAGGAGCGGTGGGGGACCCGAGTCCGAGGGCGGCAGGGGTTGGGGGTTTGGTACCCGTGAAGGGAGAACCTCCAAATTTCTTGGCGACCTTTGGCTTTGGCAACTCGGTCAGTCGCTCAGACTGGGAGAAGGCAGCGCTGCGGTCAGCCAAGCTCCTGGGTGGCTCTGGAGTGTCCTCGACTGGTTCAGACGGCCGCTGCGCCTTTGCTCGTATTGCGGCGATATCGACTTTCCCAACCGGTTCATAGGCGCCTTTTACCGGAGCCGGTCGATCATCGCCCGCCCTCTGTGCCTGGGCCCGAATCGATGCAATATCGACTTTGCCCACGGGCTGGTAGCCTCCCCTCACAAGGTCACTTGGCTGATCATCCTGTTTGGCGGCCACATTGAACCTTGAAGGCTGTTGGTTTTGCTTTACCAACTCGGCCATGTTCACTTTGGTTGGCTTGTAGGCTGACTCGACCTTCTCGAGCTGGGTTCGTGTAACTTGTGGCGCATCATGGCCCCATCCATCCTCATCGACGTTTTCGTGGCTGCGGTTTCTTGCAGCGACTAGGGGGTTGAAGGAACCGCCTGTGCCCAATGCTGTTGGGGTGAACACGGGTTTCTTGGCGACTGGAGGAGCTGCTGCTGCTGGTGCAAGGGGAGCCGATCCGCCAGCGGTATACTTTGCACCTGATGCATCTGCGACTTTCCGCACAATAGTCTCCGGTTCAAGATCACTATCGGAGCGAGCAGTTATCTGAACGTGATATCCATGGAGAATCTTGGAAACGGCGGCAAGATGGCTTGTAAAATATCCCTTGGTCCGCTCCGGAACTCCTCCACCACACCAGGCGATGAGCACGTTCTTCGGCAGTCCGGTGTTCGGGTCTTTCACTTTGACGAAGGCGAACTGGATACGGCCTTCGTTGAAGTCCTCGACTAGATCCGCAAGCTCGCCCTCTGCAGAGCAAGGCAGTCAGTACGTCAATCCTAGAAGGTTGGCTGTTACAAGCAATCTCTCACCTCCAGTAGTTTCGACCTTCAAAACACTCTCTGTCGCGCCGCTGGTTTGGAAAGCATTCAAAAGTGGTGCCTGGACGGAAAATAGGGCCCATTGGCCGTAGGTGGAGGAGCTTGAAGATGGAGCTGGGCCATTGACGACAGCCTGGTAGCTGCTCTTAATTGACGGGCCATTAGTCGACAGGTTCAAGGAAGCCATTTTGATTTCCTTTGCTGCACCGAGTTTTGTTTACGGAATTATGAGAGGCAGAGTGTTAGTTTCTTCTCTCCTGGGGTGAGGTAGTGAGGTAGTGAGATAGTGAGGTAAGGAGGTAGGTAAGGTTAGGTAGTGAGGTACGTCAAAGGAGGCAGTGCAGGGCATGGAAGCTTCCACCTGGGAATGATGAGCGGGGCACGGGGACTGTGTTTATTTCAGCTCAGAGAGACTGTGCGTCAACAACCCCGCCACAGCTAGCCGCGTCATTAGTGCGTGGCTGGTGTGGTCCACACAGCTCCAAATCTTCGGACACGCCGAAGCTATCGTTCCATGAGGCCGGGACTCAATCAAGGAGTTGGGACATCGAAGCATATCTCCATTTGATTCAACCTCCGATTGGAAAGCGCAGACATTGCAGACATAGGTAGATATGGCCGTGGTTTGGCCCATGTAGTGTACAAAACCACCTTACAAAGAAAGACCCCTTACTTTACCGCCGACATCTCCATCTGTCAAACCGAGGATGTCCCATGACTGTACCCGCAGGTTCCTTGCATCCTCCGTTCAGAGTAATTCCTGCAACAAGACTCGAATAGACGTCAAGAAAAAGCAGGTGTCACTCAAGGAGATAAGCTTGGCAATATCAACAACGCCCCCTTCGTAGCCAGTTCAGCATTCTGAGGGAATGCCCGCCGCAACGTCGAGAAAATCCACCGTGCGCCTAGATCCCCAGTTGTGTGAAGTTGTTCCCTTGCCCCCCGTCATCTGGTAGCCATTGCGAATCAAGCTCACTTCGGTCCATGAATTCCCCGCTGCCTCAGCACATATCGAAGCAGCATTCCATACAATCGAAGCCGCATTCACAGCACTCTGTGCAGACGAAGCAGCAGCAAAGTGTGGCCAGGCAGGTCTTGAGACATCCGCCGCCGCCTCCCGATTTTTGCTGCGGAGGGGGTTGTTGCTGATACTGCATCTGCTGTGGAGGTGGATATTGGCCCTGTGGTGGTCCATAAGACTATGGAAACGGTTTGTTAGATACCACATATCAACCGATTGGCAGGATACGGACAAAGGCACAGTGCGACTCACCTGTTGAGGGTATTGTGGATAACCCTGGGGAGGAGGAGGGCCGTAGCCCTGAGGAGGAGGGCTTCCGTAGCCCTGAGGGGGCCCTTGCTGGTAATATTGCTGAGCAGACATGGCGAAGTTTCGACACGAGTGTAGCTGTAACTGGCAAACGAATGGTGGTGGATGAGGCTCAAACTTTAATGCCAAGAGGCGGCTAAGGTGGAGGAGCAGGGAAGAAGGCGAGACTCGAGGAAATGGGGAGGTGATGCTGGATATAAAGTCTGGGTTGCTGCAGTGTTTGAAGGGGGTGGGGAAAGCTAGCTAACACATACACATATCAGCCGCCCCCTAGCGCGGCCATATGTAGATCGCACTCTGTGGATTACGTTACCTCATAGGTAATCTGTAGGTAGCGGCAGATCCCTTTGAACTAATAAATAAGAGCAGCCACCTAATTTTGAATAGGCTACGCCACAGAGAACACACCGCCACATGCCCTGCAAGGGAGCACACTGTTGCTAAGGCACGGTGTACCAAGTGATATAGGACCGGAGATCACCGGGCAGCTCACCGGACTACGGGCAGCAAAAGCGGCCCCATTAGAATTCAGGGGATGTTATTGCAAAGAAGAAAAAGTATCGGCAGATTCCCCTAGGCACAGAATATATAGTCTGTACATACCTAGGTATACGTAGTAGTAGGTAGACGGCACTTGCCTTTGGTAGGGTAATTAGGACCGGGTTAACTGACACCTGCATGGACAAGCTGCGCAAATGTTCAGAATACGGCCAAATGACGCAAAGCAAGGAAGGCAGTCAACTAGCCAATCAAAATCACACCACCCAAAGATTATCAATCGCGGGGTCTGCCGTTGGAGGGGCCGGTATCTACGAACAAGAAAAAGATTGAAAGAACTCCGTTGTCGGTCTCTTAAGCACCATTCACCATCCAAGCCAGTGAACAAGAGATAAATAATTCAAATAATCGGCGGTATCAATAAAGGTAGGTAGTTGTCTTAGATCCGGGCCTGTTGCTTTTGCCCGGGTATGTGCAGACTACTTCCAGTTACTAACCTTATATCGGCCCCAGCCGCCTGTAGGTTTTTCCAATTCGTGCCTACCTATTCAGGAACTCGACTGAGCATCGATATAAGAGCGACTTTGGATATCAGGTGGTCGAGGACGGAGAAGAAGAAATAGGTCAAAAAAAGCTGGAATCTGGCAGCACCAACAGCAAAAGCTGTTTATCAACCCTCTAGCATCACCATCGCGATACCAAGCCGATCATCTGAAATCGCCACCTAATCCCGATCCTCTATCCCGGCGAAGACCGGCCTGCCGCTCACCATGTCCACCATCAGCGAGATCAAGACTCTCGAAGAGTGGGAGCAGCACCTCTCGGCGCTCCCACCAATGACCCTCCTGATCGTCAGCTTCCACGCCCCCTGGGCCGCGCCCTGCGCGCAGATGGCCACCGTCCTCTCGACACTCGCGTCCGAGTACCCCGTCGCCGAGCCGCCCGCGACGTCGTGGGTGTCCATCAACGCCGAGGAGCTGAGCGACATCAGCGAGACCTACGACGTCACCGCCGTGCCCTTCCTCGTCCTCGTCCGCGACGGCCAGGTGCTCGAGACCGTCAGCGGCAGCAGCGCCATCAAGGTTCGGACAGCCATCGAGACACACGCCGGCGGCGCTGCGGCGGGGGCGGGGGCCGGGTCTGCTGCCGCCGCGCCGGCCGTTGAGCCGACACCACCCGCCGCGGGGAAGGCGGACGGCGCCGCCGGGGAGGAGGGGGTGGACCCGGTGAAGCAGAAGGAGGAGCTCTTCAAGAGGCTGGAGGAGCTGGTCAAGGCAGCGCCGGTGATGCTGTTCATGAAGGGCACGCCCGGCTCGCCGCAGTGCGGCTTCTCGCGGCAGCTGGTGGCCATCCTGAGGGAGAACGCCGTTAAATACGGCTTCTTCAACATCCTGGCCGACGACGAAGTGCGGCAGGGCCTGAAGGAGTTCGCCGACTGGCCCACATATCCGCAGCTGTGGGTCGACGGGGAGTTGGTTGGCGGTCTGGATATTGTAGGTTTTCCGCTCTCTCTCGGTGCTTTCCTTGCCGCTCTGCTTTTCCACCAGAATCACAGCCTAGGCATTGCTGATTTGCTAACACTGACGGACAGGTTAAAGAGGAAATGGCGAACGACGAGGATTTCTTCAAGCCTTACAGCGTCAAGACCAACGGCGAAACTGCGGCTGCGTAGGACTGGCTGGAAAGGAATCTGCAAAGGAAAGCGCGCTGACACGAGTGTTTACCATGGTTTTATTTTTGTACACAATTAGACAGGTCCTATGGACAGGCTCATCAACTATCGATTACAACATCCAGTCTCTGGCGTGCTATGGCTTGCTAGACTTGGCAACAGTCAAGTGATATGTTACATTTAGATTTGCATTGCCCAAATCAGACGACCCTTCACAAGTATTCCTCTCAGATATTGGAAATCACGGGAGGCCCCTTGACCGCCACCTCAGGATGAGCCGCCATACCAGATACTGTCCTTCGGCGCGGCCCCCTTTTCAAGCTCTTCGACGCTAGACTCACAGAGGCCCAGGTTCGCCTCCGGTATCGCCCAGTCCTTGAGCACGTCGAGCCGCGACAGGAACTGCATGGCCATGCCGGACTCGCCGTGCCAGACCATGTGGCAGTGGAACAGCCAGAGGCCCGGGTTGTCCGCGACGAAGCGGATCAGGAGCCAGCCGAATCCTTCGACGGTGGCCACGTCGCGCCGGAGCGGGTTGTCTATGATGGACGAGTTCTGGGGGTCTAGGAGGCCCTTACCCTCGGGGGCCAGTCCGAGGCTGGCGTACCCTGGGAAGTAACCGTGGCCGGATGCGAGGACGGATATCTTGTGGCCGTGGAGGTGGAGGGGATGGTTCCCTTCGTCGAAGTTCTGTAGTATGATGTCAACGACCTCGATCCCGTTATGGCCGATGACCAGCTCGGTATCGGGATCGAATGCTCGGTTGTTCACCCCTGACAGCTGGAACGACTCGTTCTTGGATGCCAATCCGTCGACTACGCGGTGCAGCGTGGGGGACTTGAGGTTGGGCCGGAAGGACGAGGTGTTGAGATGGCCCCTCTCGAGACGCCAGTCACCAATCCCCAGGTTGACCCGCAGATACCAGGAGTGGTGTGCATACTCAGGTGCGGCTATTGCTGGGATCGGCTTGTAGAAGCCCGGCCCCGTGTCTTTGCACTCGGTTGCAAAGCTGCCGCTATCATTTTCGGTGGTGGGAAGCGCCAACCGTTCAGGATCCTCTGGCGAGGAACTCGAGGAGTATCGAAGCACCGCTTTTGCCTCGTCAAAGCCGTCTTCTGGAAGGACGTTCTCGCCAAAACAATGCTTGAGCATCCTCGCCCTGAACCAGAAGGAATCCGCGCTGGACGAGTTGGCGAAAAGCACGATGCTGTACCGCTGTCCCGGTCCGACGAGAGTGCTGGCTTGCGGAGCAGGCTCGATGTCGGTGCCGTCCACTTCAATGACTGGCAGTCTAAGGTGCTGATCTACAGTGACCTCGAACCAGGCGAAGGCGCCAATATTGAGCAGCCGGAGGCGGTGGTTCTCATTCGGTTGCAGATCCAGAGTCGCAAGTGAGGCTGACGACGAGTCGCAACGCCGCAAAGGGTGCAGAGCGCAGTCAACCTTGTTGGCCCCGTTGATCAATACGCCATTGGGGGTTGGTGACGATTCGCTCCCCGGCGACAGCTTTTCCTTGAGTAGCCCGCTTGAGGGGTCATAGTACCAATCCTGAAGCATGATAACGCGGTCTGATGCATAGGGGATCTGACGCCGTTCAATCTCATCCCTCCCATGGATGATTATTGGTCCTACTAAGCCATCCAGGCCTTGGGCAGCCTGGTGTCCATGATAAAAATCTGGTGCTGGTTAGCATACCTCCTCCCCTCTTTCTCACGGCGGCGGTCGTTTCCTTGACTTACAGGTTCCGGTTTGCCCCTCGACTGTGAACTCGTATCGAAAGGTGGCCCCGGGTGCGATGGGACACTGTGTGACGCCAGGGGTCCCATCCATCCAGTTGGTCCCATTCTGGAAGAGACCATGCCAGTGCATCGATGTCGCGTTGGTAGCCTTGTTCTCAACGTTGACGACTATGGTGTCCCCCTCGTTGCATCGTATCATTTCTCCAGGGAACTTCCCGTTGACGGTCAACATGGGCCGAAAGACTCCATCGGGATTGGCCACGATCTCTTGAATAGTCCAATGGTATTCACGGACTTGTGGAGAGGCGCCGAAGTTCCAGTCCGCATCTAGGATGTAGTCTGATGCTGGCCTCCTAAAGTCTCCTGAATCACCATCCCCTCCCCTACCGCGGATGGATATCCTCAGGAAAACCGCGAGTAAGAGCAACACAAGCAGTCCTGCTGAGGTCAAAATCCAAGCAAGCCGGAGCTGAGTGTTGTCCCGTTTGAGATTGTTGTCGAGATCATTGTCGTGATCACTGGTTTCGCCATCTTCTTTATCCGGCAACAGTCTCTCTTGCTGCTCGACATCCACATCCTGAAGGTGCGGGTCTTCTTCCAACTCGTGGGATTCTATCTCGTTACGAAGACCTGATGCGGATGTCGACGGAACTTGCTTGTAACCCGCTCCGGCGGCCATTGCTAGTTTGCTATGGCTCCCAACGAAGAGTTACAGCCCAGTATTGTCATGCCTAAATCAGGAGCTGGGCCACCCAACAGTTCCTGGCACATCGGCTGGGATCAGGGCATGGCGGAAAGAGAAATGAAGGTTTGGGAGCGAGTTAGCTAGTAGAACATTTTCGTGTCCTGCGAGATCACAGATATCCCATGAACGGCCCAGACTTTCGACTTATACTTTCTCCCCACATATAGGAGTAGACTGACGCAGGGGTCTGCACCCAAGCAAACTGGCACGTGTCCCCCCCAAGTGCAGCATAACCGCCTAAACTGGAAACCTACCTTCGTACCTATGGGGGTCGAGATATCTCCTGACTTCCAAGGATAATGATCAAGTGAAACACCACAGTTAAATCTTAGGTATCTCTTAGCCGCCCATGATACTTACGAGTTAGCCGCGTATGGTAGCTAAGTCCCTTTGAAAACCCCACTGTACCTGCCTACAAACCTGGAAAGTAGGCAAGCACTATAGATCTCATACTGAAAAGCGTCTCTGAAGATATGGATCTACGAAACAAGGGGATATTTGATTTCAACTCAACTTGGCCTCTCCCCATGTTGTCAGTCAAGGCAAAGGGTGTCGTTCAGCTCGACACTTGCGACTCAGGAGAGAGAATGGGGAGACCAACCAGCCCATATCGCTGCTCCCAATGCTTGCAGTGTCGAAATTTGCTGCACCAGTGGGTTTTGAGAGATCACTGTCGATAAACAAGTATGCGTCGGTATGACTCACATGCATCTAGAACGGGAAAATGAAGCAATTAATAAGCATCCCTAAGAAGTTAGCATGCTTCCATTTCTTTTGAATCGTAGTTGTAGGATGACATATGAGATACGCAATGTTAACAAGTTGGGGCCCTAGAATGGGAATAAAGCCCTATATACAGTGCGATTAGTATGGGGACACATGACCCACCCCTCTCAAGGCTACCAAAGCCGCATCCCACCTTGGGATCGCGCTCTTCTTCCGTTTTCCAACTCTAATTTCTTCTCTCCCCGGACTTGCGCCTGCCTCCCTTCCCCTACCGCGCCGTCGAGTGTATCCATTCGGTGACCTCCCGACCCATTGCTCTGAGCGTTACCCCCTGCAAGCTGCCAGCGATCCGACGCTGAGTGGTCGCGGGTATCCCACCTCGCTGCCTGGCCAACCTTCGAATCTTTCAGAATCGCCCGAGTTGGTCCCAGTCGGTACTTGTGAGCCGACCTAGTTGCTTGTTCTACAATGCGCCTTGCCTGCCATACAGTGGAACGCATGCGACGAGATTGGTGTCGCTAATAACTGCGCAGAACGACCTAGAGAGGTTCCTGCTCTCCGCTTCCCGTCTCGAGGCTTGTGGTGATCCGATTTGTCGCCCAAGCGCGCGGCTCTGTGTACCATTCATTCGGCCCTCGGCCGTAGCTGGAACTCGGTGACACCTCCCATTGTGCGAGAGACATACAATCTCAAAGAGGTTGCCTGTGCAGATCCTAGTTCCGGTGGAAGCCTCCACAGGCTCGTTTGCGACAATAACCTGCGACCACTATAATGACTCCGACACCACCCTCAACAACTCCATCCTCGGGGGCCGCCCGTTCTCCCGAGGAGCAATTCCGGGTTGTGCGGAAGAGAAACAGGGTGCCCCTGAGCTGTTATCCCTGTCGGATAAGAAAGTAGGTATATCCGAAATCCCGACCTGGCTTATCCAAACGTTTACAAGTACTGACTGCTGCGGCCAGACTGTAAGGCTCCCATGACCGAACTTGCCGCGGGTTGATGCTCACAGTCCTCAGGAAGTGCGACAGAAATCACCCATGCAGTAACTGCACCAAGCGTGAAGGGGATGACACCTCGGCATGTTCCTATGCTACTCCTTCTTCCCGCAAGAAGAACCAGAGCCAAGGCGCTACAAGTCCTGATGACATGCAGAACCGCATTGACAGGTTGGAAAACTTGGTGCTATCGCTGGTGCACGGAGGCGCGAGCGTAGATACCTCGTCTGCAGCCACTGCGGCCGCCGCAACAACAAGTACAGGTCCTTCTGATGCTTCGAGGACAGGCAGCACCTCGTCGGCATCAAGGTTCGACAGAGACGATGATGGGGCCATGAAGGACGGCGAGGACGAGGATAGCGATATCGACGAGGGGCTCGCAACTTCCCTCGGGGTCCTCAAGGTGGATTCCGATCGCGGCAAGTCGATGTACATCGGGCAAGAGCACTGGCACAGTATCCTTTCCGACATCACAGAGGTCAAGAACTACTATGCGGCCCACAAGAAGGACCTCGAGAGAAGTTACGAGAAAGTTATGCTCAGTAAATCTGCCATGGCCCGAGAAGGCCCGACTTTCTTGCTTGGTGCTACGCCAGCAACCGACGTCGAACTGAGGGCCGAGCTTCCACCCAAGTCGAGTGTTTTGATTCTGTGCAGGAGGTACTTCAACTCAATGGACAACGCCGTCAGCATCATACATGCCCCGACCTTCCACCAGCAGCTCCGAAACCATTGGCAAGACCCGTCCAAGTCTCCTATTATGTGGTTAGGGCTGCTCTACTCCGTCCTGTGTTTAGCCATGCTGAGTTACCACAAGGTCGGAGACGAGCCGCCTGAGTGGAAAGGCCGTACCCTGGAGATGGCGGCCGAATATCGGCTGCGTACCGTGCAGTGTCTAATAACGGGTGACTACACCAAACCTACCGAGTACACCGTCGAGACCCTGATCCTCTACCTATTTGGCGAGCACTCGTCGCGGTGGGACGCCGACTTGGGCTTGTGGCTGATCCACTCCTTGATCACAAGGATAGCCTTCCGCATGGGCTATCATCGTGATGCCAAATGGTTTCCTACCATTAGCCCCTTCCAAGCTGTAAGTCCAGCCCTTAATTTGCCCTCTTGTGCAATAAGATTATGGCCTAATGCGAGACCTTGCTTGTAGGAGATGAGAAGAAGAACGTGGGCCCTAGTGAAGATGTCTGACGTTATATTTTCCCATCAAGTCTCGCTCCCGAGCATGATTTACGAGGATAACTGCGATACCGAGCTCCCTCACAACATATTCGATGAGGAGTTTGGGCCCGAGACCAAGGTTCTGCCGCCGTCGAGGCCAAACTCGGAGGCCACGCCCATCAGCTACATGGTCTCGAAAGTCAAGCTCTGCCTGGAGCTCGGGAGCATCTTGCAAGCAACGAACCGCATCAAAAACCAAGTGCATTACGATGATATACTCCGCCTCGACGCAAAGCTCAGGGAAGTGAAGGAAGAGCTCCCGCCACATCTGAAGATGCAGCCATTGGATTGTTCTCGCGACCCTGTGACGCTGATCATTGCTCGCTTCAACATGGACATCCTGTACCTGAAGATTATGTGCCTCCTTCACAGGAAGTACGTGTCGCGGGCGAGAAATAATCCACGGTACGCCCACTCACGCCGCAGTGCTATCGAGGCGTCGATGGAGACTCTTGGTCATCTGGCTACCTTGCAACGAGAGTCTCAGCCAGGTGGGCGGCTGGAGTCGATCAAGTGGTATGTGACGTCGATAGCAACCAAGGACTTCATCCTTCCGGCCATGCTTATCGTGCTGGAGTTGCAATTCGACATCACGGCGGAGAGCTCCCGGAAACGGCAAGACTCGCAGAGTCTGTACTTCTGGACCCCTGAACAGCGCTTGGCAATGATCAACAGTCTAGAAGTGACGAGGGATATCTGGAAAGGCTTGCCCGATAGCTCTATGGAATCGGTGAAGGCCTCGAACATCCTCGAACTGATGCTTCAAAAGATCAAGCAGCCTCAGTCGAGACAGGGTCCGACCGACCAAGAGGCCATGACCAAAAGCACAAACCCGTTCACAAGCCTAAGTTCGGCGGAGCTAAAACCTGAGCATTCGGCGGCGATGACGCTTGGCATGCTGTCGGGAGGAATGTCCCCGAACACTGCGACGGCTCTCAACGCGGTGCAGAGCTCAGGGAATACCGTTTATCCCCCGATGGAGTTGGGCGGTGGATTTTCCTTCCCGGCGGGAAGCTCTGAGCTTTCGCCCGATTTCTCGACCGAAGCACTGGGGTTGGAGAATAATGTGGGATCTCCCTTCTCCCTGATCAATAACATGGGCAACAGCATGGACTTTACAACAACAAACTTTGATTGGGTAAGTGGCGCCTTCGCTCTCTTCCTCGTTTTCCATGCAATCGGACCCTTCGCTGACGCGCAACTCGGTGCAGGATGCCTTTGAGAGCTACACGCAAAGCGCCAATTGGGGCCCTGATCAGACTTTCCAGTTCTTCTCTGGCAACCCAGACTAGCTGCCACAGCAATTTATGATCGACAGACGGCAGCATACACGACAGCGTATCAGGCTTAGAACAGCGTATCAGGCTTAGAGCATCAGGTTTATATCTGTCAGGGCTGATATCTTTTCCCATGATGTCCTTGTTAGGCGTCTATGGACGTAGGTGAATCTCGGGTTAAGTGGGCTTGTAAAAAGGGGTTACGGTTGGGGTGCGGGTGCGGGCCCAGTCTGGGCTGTTGTATTAGCTACATATTGCTAGGCATAGCAAGGAATACCCCTCTCCATTGGTCATGGCCAATATCGTCAGCTAGCCCAGCCACTCAGGGCCCAAAAGCAATCTTCGGATGAGCGACGGCTGACGGCCTTCCCCTAGGCTCCACCAGCCATCACCCCTGATGAAATGCAGCGCGCAAGGCAAATCACATGAAATAGAAGGGAGAGAAAAGCGAGCTGCCATGTAATGGCAGTATTCGGCCCTTCCTTCTACTCAGTCATCTTAGACCTACAGTTTTAAGCAATCGTTCCTGGGTAATGCCCCTAGATTTCCATGTCATTTGCGATGGATCAACTACCGACGTAAGGCCCTGGTGTACTGCGCATGGCTCTATATTCATGACTCCAACTCCAACTCTAGCCTGTCCTCCCTCCTGGATACTAACGTCCCAAAGAAAGAGGGGTTCAGCATCAATCCCCGATGAGATCCCCATGCTATGGTGTCTTGACCTGGGGTCTGGTCACAATCACCCAGTGCTTGTCCTCTTCGGACTGGCGTAAACAGTCCATCTACCAGGTCATGACAGACCGTTTCGCCAGGACGGATCTATCAACGACGGCCTCTTGCGATGCATCACAGGGCGTCTACTGTGGAGGCACATACAAAGGGCTAGTTTCCAAGCTGGATTATATCCAGGGGATGGGGTTTACCGCCATATGGATCTCGCCTATCGTTAAGCAGATGGACGGCCAAACACTGGACGGGTATGGGATCTCTACTCCGGCGACTCTATTTCGTAGCCTCGGCATAGACTGACGGCCCCCGACCACTAGCTCCTCATACCATGGATACTGGGCTGAGGATATCTGGGGCGTGAATTCGGCCTTTGGCAGCGCTGACGACTTGGTTGCTCTTTCTGACGCTCTCCACGAGCGTGAAATGGTAGGCCCCAAAGATCACCACGTGTCTATACTGTACTGACCGAGGTCCAAGTATCTTATGCTCGATGTCGTGACTAACCATATGGCGTACCGTGGTTGTGGCGAATGCGTTGACTACAGCAAATTCGACCCCTTTTCCTCGGTGAGTTCCATCCCACAATAAACTGCCCAGCAGCTGAGCTCAAATACCTTCTAACCACACCCTAAGTCATCGTATTTCCACTCCTTGTGTCTCATCGACTACAACAACGAGACTTCGATACAGCAGTAAGTCTAGTAGTGTCTGGACCGTCTTCGGCAGCTAATGGAGCCAGATGCTGGGAGGGAGACAATATCGTCAGGCACGTCATTATGTGATATATATATATATATATAGCGGAGAGCAATAACTGACTTAAGTGCTTAGCCTTCCCGATCTCCGTACAGAAGAGTATGCCAGACACTTCTCCTTTCCCCTCCTCTAAGCCGAGCAGTCGTACAGTGCCGTGTCTTGGCCTTGACGAAAGCTGATCCACTACCAGCGCCAACGTTCGAAGCATCTGGAACGACTGGATCAAGGAAATCGTCTCGAAGTATAAGATGTGAGCAATACATCCCCAAATCACATCATGTCCTTCTCACGATTTCCTTCAAGAGACGGTCTTCGGATCGACAGCGCAAAGCACCAGGAGAAATCATTTTGGCCAGGCTTTGAAGATGCTGCCGGTGTCCATATCGTCGGTGAAGTATTCAATGGCGATCCTGCATATGTCGCTCCATTTCAGGATTATATGAGCGGTATTTTGGATTACCCAAGGTATGTCTGGTCCCCTTGTGCGCCGTATGCACTCCTACTCACAGGGGGTCACGGAGTTATTACTGGATTACGCAGGCATTCCAGTCGTCCAGTGGAAGCATGACCAGCCTCGCCGATGGTGTTAATAGATTAAAGAGCATTGGTCCGTATCGATACTGTCGCGCGCCGAAAGTGTCGACTAACCGAATGGCAGCGCGAGATACAAGTTTGTACGGGTCATTCATGGAAAACCATGACCAAAAACGGTTTCTCTCTCTCACCAACGACAGGGTATGGCCCTCCTCCCCCTTGAGACGCATCTCATAATGGGTTGCTAATATCTGCCATCAGACCCTTGCCAAGAATGTCAGTTCAACTGCCTAGCACAAACCCGGGTCACTCGATACGAGTCCTAACAATACATGTAGGCCATCGCCTTCACCATGTTGAAAGACGGTAGGTTTATATACACCTGATTACAAGCACATGAGCTACCCCTTACGAAGTACCAGGCATTCCAATCATATACCAAGGTCAAGAGCAGTCCTACACCGGCGGGGATATCCCCAACAGCCGGGAGGCCATCTGTCTCTCCGGATACGCAACAGACTCGGAACCATACACGTGGATACCCTCCCTGAACAAGATCCGCAGCTGGGCGATCCATCAAGATGCCAAGTACCTCACCTACCAGGCGTACCCAATCTACTACGACGACAACGCGATCGCCATGCGGAAGGGCTTCGACGGCTACCAAGTCATCGGCGTCTTCACCAACGCGGGCTCGGGCGGCTCCGCCGGCGTGAATCTGACCGGCTCCCAGACGGGCTTCGCGGCCGGCGAGGCGCTCGTCGACGTCATGAGCTGCACCGCGTCTGCCGCCGATGCGAGCGGTGGCATCACCGCGACCCTGGAGGGTGGAATCCCGAGGGTATACTATCCGGCCGATCGTCTGTTCGGGAGCGGGATATGTTCCTCCCTTGCTGGCGAGAGGTCCCGATGACACGGAGTGGTCTTGCTCGAGTGGATTATGTGAGATATCCTCTACGACGTCTGCGTGTGAGCCACGCCGCCCCGGGTATCTCACTCAACAAACCGTGGTAGTCTTGTTACTTTTCACTTCCACAGCTGTATATAGGTCGAGGTCCATGAAATGCAGATAAAAAATCTTGCTTTACTTTTCATGCAGAGCCTTGGAACTAAACCACCCTCCTATGTGGGCGCCAAACTCCCCTACTGGATATGCATAAATTTCCCTAGATCCCGGAGGAAGAAGAAGTAGAAGAAGAAGAAGAGGGAATTTATCAAAAATTGCCTCAATACGTCACACACACGCGGCGGACGAGCTCGTCTACCCCGAGAGCCCAAACGCCGCCTTGGCGCGGGTCCAGTAGGCCAGCCTGTCGTCGCTGGCCGTGACGCCGACGCACGTCATGTAGGCGCGGAACCCGTCGTCGGTGCCGGCCTGGAGTGCCTGGCGGACCGAGTCGGAGCACTGGGTCGCGAGGAACCACGGGCCCGAGCCGAAGTTGTACTCGTCGGGCGTCACGAGGGCGAGCACGTCGTTGTCCGAGGCGCCGGCCACCTTGGGCTGCAGCTCGGGGATCGAGGACGCGTACTCTTGGTTGTAGTTGACCATTTGCATGTTTGAGGTGCCCTGGTTCTTTTGTTAGCTATCGGTTTCCTTGGCAGGGAGGGAGAGGGGAAGGGGGATGTTAGAAGGGGGAGGGAACTCACCTGGCCAGGGCGTCCCGGAGAAACGTTATGCTTGTACCGCATGTCGACGCTCTCGTAGCCGACGAGGGAGAGCACGCCGGCGATCTCGCCCGCCGAGTAGAGGTTGTACGTCTGCATGGCCTTGATCAAGAATGGGGCGGCCTGCTCGGCGGTGCGGCACTCGTCGGGGAACGTGGCTCCGTCGCACGAGTTGGATGTCGGCATGATGCTTCCGATGATGGAGGCGGCCGTCGTCTCGCGGGTGGAGAGCACCGGGGCTGAGGCGGCGAGGCCGCCGAAGATGACGATGGATGCGAGACCGTGGGAACGCATCTTGTTTTTTATGTTGATGATACTTTGAGTTATTCAAAGGGGATATTTGTGTAAGGGTTCGAGTATAAGACGTGCGAGCTCCTGGTAAATAGGGCTTAAATAGTTGTAATGTGACAAAAACGGATTTGTGTCACAGAGAATGAAGTGGGTAGTTGTGAGAGAATGAATGACCTTTGTCTCTGACAAAGACTTGTTCTTGGGCTTCTAGCCAGTGAACAGACGATATGAATTCAAATGACTCGAGTGTCCAGCAGCTCAGAAGGACTGAAGGAGTGACAGTGTGACCGGCAAAAAAATGAAGGTTGGCAAAAGGTAGGCCAAAAAGGAGAGAGGAAAACCCAAATGGGAGTGTTGGGATACGGGATACTTAACCCTCCAGTCTCAAAGGCCTAGAGTGGTCGTGATGCGACTCATGTCCTCCAATGGCCACTGACTCGAATCCCTAGCTGGCCCCTTTTCCTAGACTCGGGTGGTGATCGTGAATCAGTTGTCAAGTCGGGCTGAATTGGCTGCTGCCCCCTGCATGCCCCGTAAAACAAGGCCAATCAGCACCGTCACTTGGCAAGTGGTGGCTGCTTGGCGAAACGTTGTTTCACGGGAGACCAGGGGTCTGTAAGGGACTGATTGGGATCGGGCCAAAAGCTTGGTCACTTTGGTACGGGGCCAGGAGTCTGGCATGATCCCTCCTTTGTCTTCCACTTCTAGCTTCTTTGAACAGGCATGTATTGCTTGATACCTTCGAGGCGCCATCTCAGGCCCAAACGCCAAGTAAAGGGTAGAATTGCTTTGCATGATGGTTCGCGATCCATTATCGGGGGTCCTTCACGTTTCCAAACGACGTGGCGAAATTACCAGTAGCCGTTCAAGCCGTTGCACAGCGCGGAATGAAGGCGCAGCTGTAATGTAATCCCTGTAAAATATCATCTAGTGCAGATCGGATAGGAACCGAAAGCTTTGGATTTTTGCATAAGGAGCGGGTGGCGACAGGCTAGCATTTGTCGGCATCTCGTTTCTAGTCCTAAGCCGGCGCCTGTTACGGCGGACATGGAAGCCAGGAATAGGGGCAGTAACATTTACGGCGCAGCGGCTGTAATACGTACTGCTATCGTGAGTTTGAAGCCTGTCGTCGTTTTGAGAGAAGCCAAGACGAGGCCGTCGGGATCTGCCGCCTGGACAAACGATCTGCGGCTAGCTGTGGCCTACCCCAGGAACTTGCCGAGGCTCGCCTTGGCACCCCTCATCGTGACGAATCCCGGTTGCTTGGTTTGAATGTCCTTTCTCAAAGCTGCAACTGGAGACAATGTTGGCCGGAAACGATCTGAAGGAAGGTTAAACCAAATCAAACCAAATCAACAGGTTCTCGCCGTTTAGTAGCAAACCCTCGAATGTAAGGAACCACAACTGGTCGAGGTCTGTAGAGCAGGCAGTACACACAATGTCGGGGCCCGGCGATAGAGATACAGGCGGCAGGCCGCCTTACTATCAGTACCAGTTCGATCTGTACGCGAAAGCCATTATTATGGGCGAGAAGCCGATCGTCACGACTGATCCCAACAAGCTTGAGGAGCAGGCGAGGGGGAAGATGACGAAGGAAGGGTTCAATTATGTGTTCGGCGGCGCCGGAGAGCAGTCAACGATGCAAGCCAACCGCCTGGCCTTCAGGCAGTGGAAGCTCATTCCCAGATTCCTGCGGCCGACAGTACCGAGGGATCTGCGAGTCGAGCTGTTTGGCAAGACATACGGTAGATACTCACCGCTTACCCGGGCAGGGAGCCAGCCGACCTCGTCGACCTGTGGCTAACAGCTCGCGCCCAGACTGCCCCATCCTCATGGCACCCGTCGGCGTCCAGTCCGCCTACCACGAGGACGCGGAGATCGGCGTCGCGTCCGCCTGCGCCGAGCTGGGCGTTCCCTTCATCTATAGCACCGCTAGCAGCACGGCACTCGAGGACGTCGCCACCGCCGCGGACGCCGCCTTCGCCGCCTCGTCCGACACCAGCACCGGCCGCGCCCCGCGCTGGTTCCAGCTATACTGGCCCTTGTCCGACGAAATCACGGCGTCGCTTCTCTCTCGCGCCGTCGCCGCCGGCTGCGACGCCCTCATAGTGACGCTCGACACCTTCAGCCTCTCGTGGCGGCCCTTGGACCTGGACGCCGGCTACCTGCCCTTCGCGACGGGCACCGGCAACGCGCTGGGGTTCTCGGACCCGGTCTTCCGGCGCCGCTTCGCCGCCGACTCGAGCGGCGACACCCCCGAGGACAACCCTCTCGCGGCGTCGCGGGCCTGGACGTCCGAGGTCTTCTCGGGCGACGCGCACTCGTGGTCCGACCTCGCGACCCTGCGGCGGCTCTGGGCCGAGGCCGGCGGCGCGGGCCCGGTCCTGCTCAAGGGCGTCCTCTCCGTCGACGACGCCGCGCTGGCCCGCCGCGCCGGCGTCGACGGCATCGTCGTCAGCAACCACGGCGGCAGGCAGCTCGACGGCGCCGTGCCGGCCCTCGAGGTCCTGCCCGAGATCGTCGACGCCGTCGGCGCCGACATGGCCGTGCTGTTCGACTCGGGGATCCGCACCGGGGCCGACGTCATCAAGGCGCTGGCCCTCGGCGCCAGGGCCGTCCTGGTCGGGAGGCCCGTCATCTACAGCCTGGGCATCGCCGGTGGGAAGGGCGCCAAGGCCGTCCTGGCGGGCTTGCTCGCCGATCTGGATCAGTCCATGGGGCTTGCTGGGGTGCAGAATGTCGGGGAACTCAAGAGAAATATCTTGAGGAGGGTTCAGTACGGGGGTGATGTCAAGTCATCCCTCTGAACAGTTGTGTAGGAGCACCCAAAAACTTGACATGGGCCTGAAGTCTTTGGATTCTGAGATAAGCCAAACGCCTCATGGCACTCAAATTCAGTCTAGTGATGCTATGTTCTCTCGGTAGTCGGTCCTCTGTTGCGTGCAGCTAATTCCAAGAAGTGCATAAAGAAAGGCAAATTTCCTTTTTTTCTTCTCCCAGATCCTACAATGAATGAGCCTACCTCCGCCACCCCTCCAGCGAAACAGACTTCTTTTCCCCTACGCCTTTCCTCCCCCCAGAAACGTATATCTAGATATTACACGAGGCTGCGGGTTGCCCAGGTATTGCCAGGGCAGACCTGATGATAAGGAAAGCCTCCTGGCGCCGTTCGTCGGGAGCAATTATTTCGCAAAGTGCAGATCGTAACCGAGCCACTTCCGTCTCAGGACCTCCTCCACGGAAAGGCCGGGGTAGCCGTATGTCAGGGGCAGGAAGAAGTACCAGCCAGCGGCAACGAGAGTCAGGATGACGAGGCAGGCGATCCACGACCCCATCATGCTCTGGCCCGCGAATCGCTCCCGAGCCGTCACGTGTCTCTTCGCGGCCGGGGCAGCCTTCTTGCCAGACCTGGCCGCCTGGTAAGCAGCCTCACTCTCCGGTGGCTCCGTCTGGAAGACAAACTCCACAAGGGCTCCAGTCACCAGCGCCGAAGCTAAGTGAGCGGGCAGGTAGTGGTGGAGGAAGAGCTGACGACCCATGACGAAGAAGGAGAAGTAATGTGTTGCCCATGCCAGGAAGAAGAATCCTGTCGAGTTATACAACCGAGACCGTGTGCCTAATCGCGCGTTGGTTAGCCATGCTCATCCAAGTTTCATCCATGAGACAACGGGGGGAAGAAACATACGATGGTCCAAGGCGTCAATGCCACGGCGCAGCGAGAACTGGTCAGCCGCAACGATACCGGCGTAGATGGCCAGTACGCTGCTGGCAATCCACCAGCCGATGGGGTTGCCGAGGAAGTAGATTTGCTGCCGAGTGTCGTTCTGCGTCCAGAAGCTCACGCCACGGAGCAGGAAAGGCCACTGGTACGGCAGGGATGCGTACGGGTGGCTACTGGTCAACTGGTTGTTGTGCCAGAACATGGACCGCTGCAACTCAAACCACTTCCTCAGGAAGGGAAGGGTCTTGACCTGCCTCTCCGGCTTCTCTCGTCGCTTGTCGTCGGCGGGCAGAGACGGGATGTCGTCAACCAGCCAGACATTGGAGCTGGGGGCGATCTGCTTGTTCCCGTTGATCTCCTGCTGCTTATGACCCCAATCAGGCAACGGGGTCGGGTGCGTCCACATGGCAACCTTGCTAGGGTTGTGGATGAACTTGAAGTGGCCGGAAACACTCTTAAACTCCTGGTTGGGCTTGCCATTCTCGATCCGGATCTCGAAGAGGGTATCCTGGAGTCGATCACCATAGGCATCGGTCAACGGAACTGTTGTGAATTCCTGGTTGGTGGGATAGAAAGGAGAAGCGACGTCGTGGGACAGGAGTATGGTGTCTGTCCCTAGGTGCCGAAGTCTGACAAGGTCGTGGTTCTTGACGGGCCGCCCCGTCTTCTGATCATCGTCGACGGGAATGATCTGCCAGTAATTGTTGGTATCATTGTAGGGATATCCCGTAACCTGCTGGCCCTGGCTAGACACACGGCCATCGTCGTACCTCAGAGGATAATACTCGGGATGGCTATGAAGATAAGCCTTGGTCTCCTTGTGCTTGATGCTGATGGTGTCATAGTACTCGATGGTAATAGAATTCTGGAGCATAGCGTTGTCGCTCAGCGTCTCCTGGAACTCGGGCGTCATGAAGTCATCGCCCGGGCCAGACCGGTTGAGGATAGCAAAGTGAACCTGGAACCAGAAAAGGTAGAAGATGAAAGGCATCACGATGAGGCCGAACGCGCGAGCCGCAAAATGCTTGCCGAACTCGGGGAGACTCAGTGCACCGCCGGGTCTCTTGACGTCCAACAGTGCCCAGAGGTCGATGACAACCGCAGAACCGATGGTGATGAAGGCGAAGAGGCCGACGTATTTGGTTGACATATCGCACGAGAGCGCGAAACCCGTCAGGATCAGCCATTTCCACCATTTCCTCGAGAAAGGCTGGTGCCTCAGCTTGTAGAATTTGATATAGGCGAGCAGGCTGCATGCCATGGCGAAGACGAGGGTGGCATCCAGGAGGATGAGCCGGGTCTGGCCAATGTGGGCGTTGTCGAGAAGAATCAACCCAGCGGCGACAACACATGCGGGCAAGCTGTATCCAGACTCCCACATGATCAGATACACAACAGAGACAGTCATGGTGCCCAAGAAAGCCGGCATAGATCGGAAGGCCACGTATGGGACCTTGTTCGCGATATACGAGTCGCCGATGTTCTCGAAATGGAAATGGCCATCGTAACCGACCAGCCAGCCCATGAAGGCGAAAAGGAGTTTACCAAACGGTGGATGGACATCGAAGAAATAAGTCCTTTCGAGGTAGTATGAAGCGAACTGTATTCAAGGAACACGTGTCAGCAAGCGCAAGGGGGATGGGAATGAGGAATCTCTACAAGGCGAGGCTGTCGGAAGAAACGAGAGAAGAGTGTGGGCGAAGACGGTAGTACCTTGCCAAAATGGACCTCATCGAAGACAACTTCGTTAGGGTGGCTGATGCCCCAGAATCTGGTCAGGAAGGCGAGAGCAGTGATGAACACGAGGGTGACTTTGTAGTCTCGTTCTGAGCTGGCAGCCCGGGGTTTCTTCACGCTTGTCTTCACGATGTCATCCAGCTCGACGTCCGAGACGCCCCCGTCCTTCTTCCTACCAACACTTCTTTGGCGCAGACTCCCTTGGGGGGTGGAAGTCGTAGCCATGATGGGCAAGCAGAACCTCGAAGCTGCGCGGGTCAGGCAATTCAGTTAGCTGATGGTCTATTGACGGAGGAGTAGCAATTGACTTGGAGTAATCGTAAGAGGAGATCAATCTGCTATGCCATTCATGTTGAAACACCTCCACCCCGACACGTGCAAGGACTGGGCAGAGCACGGCGTCTTTGAGGAAGACACGGCAGGAAAAAAAAGGGATAACAAAACTTACAGGAGTTGCGAGCAGTAAAGCTCTCCGTCAACCGGTCGAATCAGAATAAAACGAAGTTCGGGAAATAAAGAGTGGATGGGGAAAGTCAAGGATGAGAAAATTGAGGTTATATTAAAAGAAGTCTGAAGAATTATTGGTTTTAACCCCCTAGAACCTCCCTCGCGGTTGTACAGATCAGCATCATCAGCCGCGCATTCCAGGGGGATTTTCAGCTTTTCTGGACACTTGGCCAAAGTTCCATCGTCACAGCCCGGACTCGGCCCTGGTCCAAGCTCCCTTGCCAAGATTTGCCAAGATTTGAGCTGATAAGAATAGCTCATTCCCTCTCTCCTTGCTTCCCCCTCAGCATCAAACAGGCTGGGGTACAATACAAACTGCCCTTGCAAAACAGAAGCGAGGCTAATATCAATGATGCAAGATTCAGATACTGTCATGTTAATCCCAAGGAAGATTGGCATGAGCTAAGAAATGGTGGAAGCGTGACATAGTATGTAATTGGATGTTGGGAATCTAGGGTACGGAGTAGAGCGGCCACCACCGGCTCGCGGGGCAGTCGCGGGCGGGGTCGGCATCCAAGGCATTTTTGTGGGCAACACTAACACATCAATTCAATTGCCTCTCCTCCTCCGTTCACGTAACCTTTAACAACTTGAATTGATGCTCGTAGCTACGCGGATTCTACCAATTGCCCTCAGACAATCTCGCTCTCTAACTCCGTTCCTCCTCCGATTCCCAGTTGCCACCACCCGCAAGATGTCGACCGATATCGTCCCCGTGTTCACCAAGAACGCCGCCCCTCGTGAGTATTCGCCTACTATCCTCTAGGACTTATGGAACCATACTGATATCAGACTGCCACAGCCGCGGGCCCATACGTAGGCCGACTGACTCCCCCATGAAAGTCAGAGCACCAATCGCTAACCGAACCCCTTCTTCCCCGGCTTCCAGTCCCAAGCTATCAAAACTCCCACTACCATCTACTGCTCCGGCCAGATCCCCTGCGACGCCGAGGGCAACCTGGTCACCGGCACGATCCAGGAAATGACGCGGGCCTGCATCAAGAACCTCAAGGCCGTCCTCGAGGAGGCCGGCTCCTCGATCGAGAAGGTCGTCAAGGTCAACATCTTCATCACCGACATGGCCAACTTCGCCGTAAGATAGTTCCCCCTTTTACCCCCTTCCCCTTTCCCCTCCAACACGACCGCCCTTAGCCCGCTACAGAGACAGCTGACGAACCGGATTCCCGTTGAAGAGCATGAATGAGGAGTACGCCAAGTGGTTCACCCACAAGCCGGCGAGGAGCTGCGTTGCTGTGAAACAGCTGCCCAAGGCCGTTGATGTTGAGATCGAGTGCATTGCCCTGCCGTAAGGTTGGTGCACATTAAGGGGGTTTTCTCACAGGCCCGGCTTATTCGAGGGGGACAAAATATATATTATGGCAAAATACATGTCACCATTTTCCTCGCCCTTGCGTGCCACCCACTGCTCACTCCCTCATTATTTCTAAAGGCATCCCGGTTATTATCTCATGACAGGGGACAGGTTTTGCACCTTGAGGGAGCGAGATAGGAGAACAAAATCGACTCCGACTTCCACATTTGTAGGGCCGAGGCCAGCCGTTAGGATGCAATAAGCTAAACTTCCATAATGCTATGCTAACATTACTGCGTAGAGAGAAACCGGGCTATCCGGCCGATATCACCTAGCATCCACCTAACTTGAACCCCAGTTCCACAATCCCCAGGTTTTTCAATTTCTAAATTTTACATTCTCGCGCTCCGACCCGACCCGTCCCGAAGCTCCATTTGACCCCGACACAACCAAGGAAACCTTACTTTACTCTAGCTGTGCGTGGGCATGGCAACATCGGCCTTCTTGCTGATCGCGTCCCCGCTCGACCACATGGCCGTGACGGTCTTCTGCTGCGTGTAGAAGCTGACGCCGGGGCGGCCGTAGAAGGTGCTCGCGCCGCCGCCCGCGATGCTCTTCTTGTTGCCCGTGAAGCTGAACATGGGGAGGGGCACGGGGATGGGCACGTTGATCCCGACCTGCCCCGCCTCGATGTTCCTCCGGAACGTCTCCGCCGTCGGGCCGCTGCGGGTGAAGATGGCGACGCCGTTGCCGTACTCGTTCTTGTTGATCAGGTCGATGGACTCTTCGAGGCTGTCGACGTTTAGGCACACGAGGACGGGTCCGAAGATCTCCTCGCGGTAGCAGCGCATGTCCGGAGTGACGTTGGTGATGATGGTCGGCCCGATCCAGTTGCCGTTGGGGTAATTGGCCGGCTTGTAGCCCCGGCCGTCCAGGAGGATCGTGGCGCCCTCCTGCTCGGCGCTAGCGATGATGCTCTCGATCCTCTCCTTGCTGTGGGCGCTGATGACGGGGCCGAGGTCGGCACCCTTCTCGAAGCCACCGTCGACCTTGAGGGACTTGGCCCGCTCGGCAACCTCGGGCAACCAGTCCTTCGTCTCGCCAACCATGACTAGGGTGGACAGGGCCATGCAGCGCTGGCCGGCGGCGCCGAACGCAGCACCGACGATCGAGTTGATGAAGTGGTTCTTGTTGCAGTCGGGGAGGACCGCGGCGTGGTTCTTGGCACCGAGGTTCGCCTGCACGCGCTTGCCGTTCGCCGAACCGCGGCTGAAGATGTACTCGCCAGCCTTGTTGCCGCCGACGAAGCTGATGGCCTTGATGGCCGGCTCGTCGAGGATGAAGTTCACGGTGCGGTGGGCCCCGTGCACCATGTTCACGACGCCGTCGGGGAAGCCAGCCTTCTGGCACAGCTCGGCAAGGATCATGGCCGCGCCGGGGTCACGCTCAGAGGGCTTGAGGATAAGACAGTTGCCGGTAACGGTGGCGATGGGGATGGACCAGAGTGGGATCATAGCAGGGAAATCTAGGGAAGAGGATAAAGGTTAGTCCATGAAAGAGTCCAGTCACGATAGAAGGGGGAGGGGAGTCTCAGTACGTACTGAACGGGCAAATGGCCGCAACGACGCCTAGCGGCTCCTTGTATGACCTCGTCTCCATGTCCTTGGCGACTTCCAAAACCTCGCCCTTGAGCATCTCCGGCGCCGAGCAGGCGGCCTCGGCGACCTGGAGGCCACGGAGGACGTCGCCCTTGGCGTCCTCAAAGGTCTTCCCCTGCTCCAGGGTGATGCTCGCCGCTAGCCGGTCCCAGTTCTCGCGGATCAGCGCCACAAACTTGAACATGATCTGCTGGCGGTGCATCACGCTGGTGGCGCGCCATGCCGGGAATGCCTTCTCGGCAGACTCGACGGCAGCTTTCAGCTCGGCATCGGTGTTCTGGGGCACGCGGGTGACCAGATTGTTGGTGGCAGGGTCGTGCAGATCGATGAATTCGGTCGTGTTCGACTTGACAAACTGATTGTCGACAAAGAACGGGGTATCCTCAACCTTCTGGATCTTCTCGTGCGTCGTCGGGAAACTCGTCGCGGTCGAAGCCAGACCATGTATCCTCCGTGCCGCCAAAGACGGAGCCTTAGAGTCGGCCATTCTAGACCATCTGGCGGGAGCGAGAGACACTCGACCCGGGGCGGATTGGGCCGCACGACAGGTGCTGGCTGATAAGCCCTTGGCTACAAAACGACGCATTATGTAAGGATATGGCCCAAGAGCTGCAGTCGATCGAAGGAGACTCCAGAGGGATAGTTACTGGGCTTACTCGGTATTAATAGCCCTTCAGAGACCCCTCCTTGGATCGGAGGCGATACCCCAGAGGTCTCGGTTCTCTTTAAATGTGGAGATATCGGTCCAACGCCCGGTAGAGCAACTGAGAGCCGTTAATTGCCGGCAGCCAATCAACTGCTGGTGGGAAAAGGTTACGCGGGGTTGTGTCGGCTGACTCGCAGTCTCACAATGAGATGGCGATGAGAAGAGATCAAGAGGCTCTCTAGGAACCTTTTCAAGAAACGTTTGATCCCAAAACTTGTCTGTAAAAGTAGAAGGAGATGTGGTGTTGGATTAGCCAAGAGCGGGGGAGACTCTGTCTCTTTTCAATTCAAAATCTGGGCGCCCAATAGCCCGACCATGCACGTCCGCTGGCAGCATTCTGGCGGTCACAAAAAAGTACCAATGGGTACCACCAATTGCCGATAAAACATGGAATAAAAAGATTTATTGACCGCGCCTAGAGGTACACCTGCGCCTTCCAATTGCAGTTGTGTTACGTACTAGCAAAAGGAGGAGAAAAAGAGAGATAAAAAGAAAGCAGACATCGTTGCAAATCAATGGTGCCATTGAACCGCAGCTCAACCCTTGTCATGTCAAATCCATCTCAACCCATTTTTGCTAACTACCGAATTACTGCCCCCCCGTCTGTCCCGCCTTCCCACATCACCGCTAGCCACTTACGACTGGCTCCGGGTGTTGCGCTTGTTAAGGTCTGCCTTTGAGGTATCGGCACCGGTCGCTGATGCGGCCTTGCTCGCAGCCTCCTTGGCCTTGTCCTTCGCATCGGTGGCAACCTTCTTGGCAGCCGGGGCAGCAGAGCTACCCGAACCAGCGAGGCCGACAACGACGGCGAGAATAGTAACCAGAACGGCGGCGATGCCACCGGCAGCCTCGGGGACGAACTTGATGGCCTGGATGGGGTCATTCTTGGCGATGGTCAGGAAGAGGTCGAGCTTCTCCCTGATGTAGTGGACCGGGTCATCCAAGAACTTGAGGTCGGACGGCGACTTGGGCTTATCCTCCTCCTTGGGCTTGTCGGCGAGCTCAGCGAGCTCCTCGATCGGGTGCTTGAGGAAGAAGGTCTCCTCGGCAAGCTTGGCGGCGTCGTCAACAGAGTGGCCAATGTAGATGTTGTCGAACAAGATGTTGTTCTGCATGGTCCAGATCTCGAAACCGATCTGCGTAGGAGAGGTCAGTCAGTCGCCACGTTAATTCAACTTGGGGAGTATGAGACGGGGAGACGTACAGCGCCCATGGGCTCAAAGTTGGCAGGCGTCTTGTCCTCGAAATAGTTGGGGTTCTTGATCTTGCGAGGCTCCCAGACACCCTTGTAGGCAGGGTTGTCGATGAAGGGCGCAGTCCACTTGCCCTTGTAGTCGGGGTTCTGCTTCATGGGCTTGGTCCACGGGCCACAGCCAGAAGCCTCGGCACACTTGGGGTTGGGAATGGTAGGGGCGATCCAGTCACCGTCTTCCTCATCATCCCAATCCTCGGGCTTCTCAGCCTCGGGGTCAGAGACGGTAATGGGCTCATCAACGAGCCAATCCTCAGGCATAGTGGCCTCCTCATCGACAACCTCAAACGGCGCATCCTCATCCCAGTCCTCGGGCTTCTTGGCCTCGGGATCGGCGATCTGGGCCTCGTCAACCCAGTCCTCGGGCTTCTTGTCCTTGGGATCATCGATCTCCTTTGGCGGGTTGACAGCTGGGGCGAAACCCTCCAGAAGGCTGCCCGTCTTGACCTGCTCGCCGTTCTGCTGGATAATGTAGGTGTTGTTGGGGTGCACGATGAGAGTGTAGAGCTCGGTAGTCTTGACAATGCGAGCAGTAGGAGGGGAAGACAGGTGCTTCTCCTCATACTCGCCGGTCTTGGGGTTCTTGTGGTTGAAGATGAAGTGCACCTTGTTGGTGTGGCCACACTTGTCGGGCCCAAACATGATGACATATGGGGTAGTGTTGGAGAACTCCTCCTGGTGAAGAGCCTTAGTATCACGCAGGAGCTTCAGGTAAGCACCACCACAGTCAAGGCCATCTGTAGGGTTTTGCAAGTCAGCAATGCGAAATCTCGTGTGGCTCAGATAAACTTTGGGGACTGACTCTGAAGCTTGACCTCATACTGGACAACCAAGGTCTTGCCCTTGGGGTCAATCTTCTTGGGGAACTTGGCAGAAATGGCGTGGTGAGCAGCGACGTTCTTAACGACAAGGCCCTTGTCACCCTCCATGCCCTTGTAGACGGTAGGCTCCTCAACCGACCACTCGCCAACGAAGGCCCATTCTTCCTCATCAGAGCTGTCCTTCTTGGCGTGAGAGGCCTTCCACCGCTTGTCCCAGCCCTCGGTGAACTGCTCGAGGAAGGGCGCCTTCAGCTTCGTAGGCTGTGGAAAATAAGTCAACATGCAATGCATCGAGAAAGGATGCAATTGAAGTTTGATGGGAAAAAGTGAGCTTTGGGAAAAAGTGAGCTTACAGTGAAGGTGGGCGTGGGAACGGGCTCAGCGGCCGAGGCCTCGTCCTTGATGACCTTCTGAGCATCATCGGCATAGGCACTGCCGGCAAGAAGGGCTGCACCAACGGCAGCTGCCACAGCGTTGAACTTCATGATGACAGCAAGCTGCTGTTCTCAAGCAGCAAGACGATCAGTCGGGATGGGGGATGTGAAAGGGCGGCGACAGAAGGTATGGATGTAGAGGAACAAAGCGCCGTCCACGGAGACAATTGAGAGAGGTTATTCACAATGAATGATTGCTCCCAGAGCTCGAGGAAAGAAAAAGAAAATTCCCAAGATCAAGATTGGGAGGTCGGGGTGATGGGTGGTTTTCTAGTCCGGTAGAAGAGAGATGTGGTCACTCAACGTGTCCTCTTTTCGGGTGAGCAAGCACAGTGAAGCTGGGCCAGAAATTATTGGGCGGCCATTACTGGCTGCAAGTTGGGGTAGGGAAGTACCGTGAGTGCCCGCATCTTTGAGCTCCAAAGTGGGGCCATCGAGGTACAAGGGTACGTGGTGTGATCAGTGGGGCGGCACTACCCCGAAAATCCGAAACCCATGATTTTGAGGAAAGCCGTCGAAACTTCCACAAGGCCGAAGTCTTTGCTTGACTTCATGCAAAGGACTCTGAACTCACTCAGGTAGTCACTGGCATGTTATCCTTGGCCTGGCATTCAACATGTGTTTCCTTATGGTCTTTAGAGCCTAGGGAAGCTACTGTTTGCTACAACTGTGACAAAGGGAGAGAAGCCATCAGGTTAAACTTCTTGTTGGACACTCAACTGGAGCCTTCTTCACCTTAGGCATGCATCCCCATGTTAAGGCACCCTAGGATTTGCATTGAAGCAGAAATGGCGTAAGTTTCAACAGATATATAGACCCGACAGAGTCCACCAAGCTTGCTTGATGCCAGGCCACTCCAGCCGCCACTTGCTTTCAACATGACAAGCCAACAGCTAGAGCTCCTTGCACCATCTTCAGGACTACAAGCAATTGTGAAGTGGTATAAGAGCCGGGCCTACTCCGGACTCTAGTGTACAGCTGTGGCATCACAGATTCACAGACAAGTTGAATTGAGAACACGTGGGCAAACTGCGGATATAGGTGAACCAGAAATGAGGAGCGGGACTTTCTTAATGTGAATAGTGGGTAACAACCTACCTAGTTAACCATGATCGTCGAGCCGCATCTGGCATCCAATGGAAGCTTTCTCTCGCAATTTCTCGTGCACCAAAATTTAGCCTCATTGGAAATAGCCTCTATCAATACGGCCTTTGTTACATGCTTACTCCGGAGAACCCTTACAATTGACGCTCAATTGGCTCGGCCGTCAACCGGTTTTTCTTTGAAGCCAGCTTTCCTTTTCGGCTCTTCGAGCACCTCAGGACCCCGCATAACGTTGACCCCAAAATGGCCGCGGTATTGGCTGACGGCAAGAACGACCATCTGGTCCAGTCCGACAACCCCAGCCACCCTGCGAACCTGATTCCTTCCCTATGCGCCAAATTCTGGACTCTGGGGTGGGTGACGGGGACAGGAGGAGGATGCTCCATCCGCGAAGGGTAGTCATCTCTTGCTTTTTATCGCCGCCCATCAAAACACCATCCGGGCATCCAACATGCATCCGGCGTAGCAGACTGCTCTGACATGACATGGCACCCCTACTAGTGACCTTGTGTATATTGCCCCGTCCGGGGTGCAGAAGGAGCTCATGAAGGCATCCGACATCTACGTCCTTTCGCTGGCCGCGCAGGCCGCCTCGCTCGACCGGCGCAACCGCGTCTATCTGCGCAGCCCGCCCCAGCTCCGGCCGTCGCAGTGCACCCCGCTGTTCCTGGCGGCCTTCGCCAAGAGGCGGGCCGGCTGCTGCATCCACACCCACTCGCAGTGGGCCGTGCTGCTCACCCTCATCCTCGAGACCCGGGGGCCCGGCCGCGACCGTGAGTTCCTCATCAATAACGTCGAGCAGATCAAGGGCTTCGGGCGCGGCTTCGACAAGGCCGGGAACCTGGGCTACCACGACACCCTGAGGATCCCCGTCATAGAGAACACCGCCCACGAGGAGGACCTCACCGAGTTTCTCGAGGAGGCGATGGATAAATATCCCGACACCTACGCCGTCCTGGTGCGGCGGCATGGCGTCTATGTCTGGGGCGAGACGGTGCACAAGGCGAAGACTCAGTGCGAGAGGTACGTAACTGCTCCTCCGTCTCGACCCTGTCGCTTGGAATACTCGGGAGCCCCTCTGGCAAGGAGGGCGAATCCTCGCTGCTGACATTCCATCCCTATACAGTCTAGATTATCTTTTCCAGCTCGCAGTAGAGATGGAGAAGCTGCGACTCCCCTGGGTGACAGACATCGAACCCGTGGTACCACAGAGAGCACAGCAGCCATGAGGCAGCAAGTAGAGGGTTGAAAACATGCGCAGAGTAGATTTGACGTTGTACACGGATCGCCAGCGCGCCCATTTCAATTGATTACCTAAATATCCAAGGTATCTCCCGATTGTCCCTGATCACTCCAGCCATTATGAACCAATCCCGCCTGACCTTCTGCCATCCGTCATACCGTCGTTCCAACCTTCCATCCCCCACCATGAGGTATCACAATAGAATTGTATGACTCAAAGGGCAAGGAACGCAGCCAAGAAGCCCAACAAACCAACGGCCGAACCGCCGACCACGGCGTTGCCTGCAGCCACGGATGAAGTCTTCGCAGCCGCAGTGCCAGTGGCCGTGCTGGAGGCGGAGCTTCCTCCAGTACCAGTGGCATCAGCACCGCTGCCGGATCCCGAACCAGAGCCAGAGTCAGAGCCCGAACCAGAGCCAGAGCCGGAGCCAGAGCCAGAGCCAGAGCCCGAACCGGAGCCGGAGCCGGAGCCGGAGCCAGACGAAGGGGTGCCGCTGTTGGGCGTGTAGAAGTACTTGCTAATGCAGTCGTTGACGCACTTGGCATACTTCTCGGAGTCGGCAGCAGAGCCGTCGCCCTGGTCGCAGCCGGCAACGCATTCGTTGGTGGCGTTGACCTGGGAGTCGGAGGGGTTGGGGACCTAGGGCGGAAGAGTGTTAGCACGGAGGCACCCATCTAGTATGGCAAGCTTGGGAGGGGGTCAATTCCCCCCGAGCAAGACTTACAGCAATGCACTTGGCCTTGCAGTTCACGTCGCCATCGGCGCAGGCTTCCAGGCACTTGTTGATCGCAGCCTGCTCCGAGGACTGAGCGTTGCCGCTAGAGCTGACGGAAGTCGGCGCGGAGGCGTCAGTGGCAGACTGAGCGGCGGCGAGCGCGGCGAAGCCGGCGAGGAAGATCGGGGCGAAACGCATCTTGGGGGTGATGATAGGTTGAATTAGGGTGTTATTAATAAGGTTACGAGTTCAACGAGAGTCTGAACAGGAAGAATATAGCTGTGAACGAGTGTGGGGTTGCGACGAGACGAGGACTGGCAGGAATTATTAGGTAAAGGGGAGAAGAGAGACACAACTTATGAGATGGGGCGGCGAGGAAGGGAAATAAATAACAACAAGAGGCGGACTGGAATTGGACGTGCACAACTCGTGTAGGGGTACCTGAATCCCTTGGCAGCAATACTCTACCGTATTAATCGATCGACGAACCCTTGCTAGCGTGAGCTGGAGCATTCGTTGGCGCAAAACCATCATGACTGGGTATAGAAATAAGTACATAAACAAGTTTAAAATTCAGAAGGGGGTTTCCTCCTGTATCAGTATCTGGTATATAGGCACCTACCTAAGTCTTCTTCCTGTATCTCTCAAATCATAATTGTTTTGTTTTTTTAATAATTGGAATAGAGAATGAATAAGTTACCAGACCATATCCACGAGACGAAGCTGCCGCGCTAAGCAACAATCCAGAGTTATTTATTAGAGATCAGCACAACCCCTGGTCAAGTCCTGAGCGCGGCTTGACCTCCTGACTCTGGGGTAGGACCCAGAATAATTAGCCAATCTTACGCTGAACATGCCTTGGAGTCTCCTCTCGCCTATGCCCGTCCATCACAAAGTGTAGATTGCGGCAGGGGAACACACGGGGGCTAGGGATACTTGCTGATGCCTCTGCCGCCGTCACATCCACGGACCCCACCGACATCCGTACACTTAGTGAAATCATGAGAATCGCAAGATCCGGGGAAGTCTCCCGTGCATGTCACCTCGTCTCAGACAAACGACGACACTGGCTAGGTTCAAATAGGCAGTACACTATCGGCAACATCCGCCAGTGCGCTCTCCGTCTCATACTGCGTAGTTTGCCTAAGACCCAAATGCTGGTCTCAACATGCTCGGCCCGGAGCCTGGAAAAGGGGGTAGGTATCCTAGCAGAAAAGAGAAAAAAAGAAGAATACTTACAAGCTACGTATACCTTATATATACATATTTTGTTTGCTGGGTGAACAAGGCAGGGGAAAGAGGACGAGGGGATGGAGCCTATTATTGGCTGGCACATGCATCCCCGGCTGGGATTAGCGGCCCCTGGGCACCTCGCCCTGGTTACCTAATTTCCACCGGCAGCTCCAAGCTTCCAAGACATGTTGGGCTGGCGAGGAGAACAGTCGCTGGCGAGGAGAACTGTCTGCTCCTGCAGCTTCCCTTTTGCATCCGCACCACGCGGCACAGCTAGGACTCGAGGTTTCGAATCATATTCAAGTGGAAGGCTCCTGACCCCTTGGCGGCTTCGTGCATTTTGTGGAGACGCCAAAACGGCTTTCTCTCCCTAGGTTTCCCCTTGTTTCTTCGGCTAAAGCTTGCCGAATGGCAAGTTCAGATTTGTGGTTTGCAAAGAGTGGTGCCAGGGTGCACCTACATTGGGCAATACGAGCTGCTGGTTTGTCGCCAGTGTCCCATTGGTGGTTTACAAAAAGTACATATTACGCTTTTTCCCCAGTGGAACCCATCTCTTGAGTTGAGGTTGCTCTGTGTGATGTTCGGCCAGGTTTTCGGCAATGATCTGTTCTGGTTCTGGAACAGCCTGGCAAGGCAGGAGGGCGTTGAAAATACGAACAGTACTATGTAAGTAGGCAGTGGAGGGGCAACATCAGATGGATCAACACGGGAATAATAGAACTGTCTCATCCATCCTTCCCTTGCATCCCCGACCTCGCTAGTAAAGCTTGTTCGAGGCGGGGGCCGTTATACTATACCTGGGACATCAGCGTCAGACACGCCGAAGCTGTTGGGTTGGTTGTCAAAGCTTTTGGCTGCACTAACACCGGATCTTAAACGAGCACAAGACCCCTTGGGATGATGTCGTCGAGTCGGGATTCTATCCTGCGAACACAGCATCTTCGTCCGAAACCTGGCTTCGGGGTATCCTCACGGTCTCGGTCGCCCCAAAATCCCATATCACCAGATCTCCATACCCCACTGTTCCTCTTGCAGTACATACTTCCAAGTACATGTCCCAAAGGCATTGCCCTCTCGATGAACTGAGACTCGAAAGTTCCACCGACACCTGTGAGAGAAGTATCCGTAATCACAGCAGAATCCTGCGGACCTGGTAATCGAGGTTCCCTAGCGTGCAAGTCCCAGCCAGATTCGCGGAGGTTGTCGTTTGCCCGGCTTGGAGAGGCTTCATGTTGGTTAGCATGGCGCACGGCCGGCATCTCCAGGTTCGATTTGCTTCAGGTGTAAGCCAGTCCGCAGCAAGGTATTCGCCGTGCGGCTTGCTTGTCAGAATTCGAAAGCAGCGACAACTCTATATGTGCAAGTGATGGACGTGTCCGCTATGACTGGCATTCCAGAGACAACCGTGTTGAAGCCATGTCTCGTTTTAAACCGCAATAATCGCCCCTTGCATCCACATATGACGCCAGTTCCATTGACCTTCGGGGCTGTTTGGGCTTCTAGATTGGGCCAGGTGTTTTGGCCCGGCATGCGAAAGTAGGACTGTAATGGAGCGACGCCCATGTTGGAGATCCGTTGCTGTAGATACGGTTCGCTACGCTACTGGCAAGGTTGATCATGGCGTAACGGGACAGAAGCCAGGAATGCTAGAGTGATCGACGTTCCATGGAAAGACAAGACTGTAAAAACGTGGTCACCGCGCCACAAGGGCTCTGATCTTCCGCTGGCCGTTTCCAATCGATGTGATCCCATTTGAGTGCGATATCGCTAGTTGCCAGGGCGACTGACGTCTTCGGCCCTTGGAAAGCGTATTCGGGTCGTGTCCACCTCGACGGCCACGGATAAAGGACCCTTTCAAAATCAGGGACGGCCAGACAAACTGGGGAACTTTGCTTGCACCGTCCCCTTTCCCCGGTGACATATCGGAGTCCGCTTGACCCCACAAGGTGCTTGCTTCCACCAATGTTGACGACCTTCCACGCAGCGGGAACTAGGATCAGGCGGGGATCATCCGCTTAAGATCGAGCAGCTCGCTGAGATCCCATTGCCTTCGCCATCTTCAACCGACTTCGTCAAGTTCCTTGGCAGCGAAGACGGAGTGACTGCAAACCGCTAGTAGCTCAGACCAAGACAGCCCAAGCAGCAGATGGACCCGCGAGGCTGCGCCCGAGCAATTTGGTCCTGAGCCGGTCCAAGATCACACCAACTCGGCGTCGCCTATCTCGACCAAGGGTTTGGCGTCGGACCACCGGAGGATCAGAATCGAGCCGTCCTTTACGTCCAATGCGCCATCGGCATCGACACCTTTGCTTTCCACCGTGGTGTCTCTTAGCAGACGGACAAAGACTGCGGTGTCGAGGTCGGGCGCATCGATCATGCTGATATTGCCAGCTGTATCATTCAGGTTTTGCAGAGGTGGCGGGAAAGAGCCCAAGAATGAGGACAAGTAATGATTGTGGAGGAGAGCCTGGTGCCGAGTGGCATAGGCCAGCTCAACCTCGGAGAGACGTGACCTCAGGGCGTCTGTGGACAGATAATGAAGCGTGTGCTTGTCGATCTGCAACGCAGGGATAATCAACAACGAAGTAAAGGGGCCGTTGGACGAGTCGGACGGTCATACCTTTGCTATTCGAGCTCTAAGGTAGCTGCGTACGAGATATCTATACCTCTCCAACTCGGTTTGAATGACAATGAGGGCGAAGTTGGTCTTGGGGTCCATATCCCCCGTCATTTCCTCAACCTTCTCAATCTGCTTCTTGATGCGGTCGTTTATGCGCTCAAAAAGCCCACCAGCAGGCCAGCTACGGAGCCAATCGGCGAGAATGATTAGAGATGGCGAGGCCTCAGAGCGAACTAGGACCTACTCTAAGAGTTCAGGGGCAGATCTTTCGGCCACCCAAGCGCGTGTTAATGCCTGGAGATCACGCGTCTCCTGGGGTACGGCATTAAAGGTGGGGTCCACCTCGCGAAGTATGTCGTCGATATCCATGTTGGCAGAGCTCGAGGCCGTCTTCAATGGCGCGGTGGCGTGTCTGCGGAAGCGACAATGCACACTGAGAGCTGACAGGATAAATCTGTTGTTTTTTGGGGGGCTTGGCTTGGCATAGAAGTTGTCGTTGGTTTGGCTGGTCGATCACGGACCCGCTTATTGGGCTAACGGGCTGCCTCGGCCCACGCCACTATCAACCACTCTCGACTCTTTCACCTTGGGATTCCTAATTGGGCTCACCTTTTTGCATTCATGGTCTAAGTCTGTCATGGCGTCAGGCCAAGCCCCATCAACAATCAGCCGACCACAGCCATCAAAAGTAACTGGTAACTGAGTTATGCTCAGTAGGCTATCGCGCGCGGAAACTAGCGTCTTAGCTGTTGGTCTATGGCATTTCGTGGCGCTTCAGCCGCCTGCACAGCGCCTCACCGCAAGCACCGGCGTACTCATAAAGCGGCCATTTCCCGAAGCTACTGGCCAGCCACACTGCACCAACAGTCCATTAGCAGGGACAGCCGACAGCTCACATGCGCCAGCTTAAAGAAGGTTCGGATATTTGCCACCACTACCCGTGGTGGTGTGGCCTAAGGAGACAGCAAGTGTAGCGTGTAAGAAGGCCATGAAGGGCGCCAACAGCGCGTAGTGCGCGCTGCCTTGAGGAGTCGAGACACTCTGTCAGTCTTCTTATTAGTTTCTAGTCATCGTGATTTCTATGACTGGCCTGATGTCCCGAGCGGGACAGCTAGTGTTTCGCACGAGGCAACTCGTCTAAAAGTATCAGCGGCATATCTTGCAGTATCATTCAAAGTTTGTCGCCGGATGCACCTAGCGGCCCGGGACTTGCTTGCCTCTGACCATCTGATTCAACCCTCTTCTTCTCCCTCTGCCGATTGTTAACTACACAATGCCCTCATCATGGCCTATGTTATAAGTTTGTGGGCTATTCTCGCCGTCAACAGCCTGGCTGCGCTTGCTGCCGAGTCTGGCAAGCCTCTGGGCAGCATGGCAGTCGACTTGTCTGATTACGCATATGCATGGACTCCAGCGGTTCCTGGGACTGTTCCTCTGGTCGGAGTCCCGGATCGCCGAGCGGACCTTGACAAGCGAGCGTGCCTCTCGAATGGCACCAACTTCTGCTTCGACGACGAGGATAAGTATTGCGCCAACTGTGGTATATGCTGCGGAGGGTCGAGTGGCTACTGTTGCGCTTCGGACCAGCAGTGCTGTGGGAATGCCTGCTGCGCTTCTGGGCAGGCCTGCTCGAAAGGTCAATGTTATTTGCCCGAGTAAGCCCCCAAGTCCTCCTCGCATCATGGCCACATCCGAGAAGAAGTGTTTAACAAGTATGCTAGTGAAACCATCACTGTGACAAGCACAGCTTCAGTCACTGTCTCCCATGTTGCTACACAGGTCGTGACCGTCTTCCAGATTGTGGTGGACACGTCCACAATTGTCTCAACAGTCTCGATTACAGTCTCGAGCGCAGCCACTCAGACGGATGTAACGTATGTTACAACTACAGTTGTTGCGAGGAGAGCGGCTCCACTGGATACGATTCCTGGAAGACTGGAGCGCCATAAAGCCCCTCATCCAGCACAGGCGCCAGTCTCAAAACCTGAATTAGCTCGTCGAGACGAGGGACCTACAGGAGACCTTGCCACTCCCATCGCATCAACGGGCGTGGTGACCTTGTTCGTCACCAAAACGAGCGATGTAACGAGGACTGAGATGACTACGGTAACGGCCCCGACAACTTCCTTAGTCCTGACTACGATTTTCCAGACAATTACAAAGTAAGTGAACCCGTAAAACCCAGCGGACTTAGTCCACTTGCGACCCCCGACTAACCTGACTCGCTTCAGGGTGTTAGATGCTCATGTGACGGTCTCGATTACCAGCATAATTTCAGTTACCTCGCATGCACCAACGACCGAATCAAGGACGGAAACCCCAAGCCCAGCCGTCGTCATATCTTCCGCCGTCTTCACGCCCTCCACAGGCCTCGGACCCCCCGCCCCTGCCCCAACCTCGGCCCTGATCTCATCGACGCCCGACCCCAGCGCCTCCCCAGCGACCACGCCGTCAAGCGGGGGCCTGTCGACCGGCGCCATAGCCGGCATCGCCGTGGGCTCCGCGCTAACCCTAGTCCTGGTTGCCATAGCGTCCTTTCTCGTCTGCTTCCGCCGCCGCCGCCGGAGCCGCCGGGCCCACCAGGATCTCGCCAGCTACCCGGACATGGACACGCGGCGGCCGACCCTGCCCACGATCTTCGACCCCACCGCCCCGCACCACGAATATTCCCACGACGACCACATGTCCCCCCCGACCGACGATCCATACGCGGTATCGCCGATGAGCCCGGACAGCACCCTCGGCCACCACCGCCACGTCTCGGGCCAGACGCTAGTCGGCAGCGCACACAGGACGTCGACAGGCGGCGGCGCGGGCAAACCGGGCGCGACCATGGACGACCGCCTCTCCCTCGCCAAGACGAGTCCCGTGCCCCACGGCGGCGGCGGCGGCGACACGCCCACGCCCCGCATACCGGACCTGCCCGAGTTTCCCGATACCCAACGGGCCGTCGAGGCGGACGGCAACGAGGTCGCCGAGCTGGACGCCGGCGGCGGCGGCGGTGGCGCCAACGAGTTGGACGCCGGCGGCGGCGGCGCGGTGGGCGTGCCGCACCGCCAGCAGCAGCAGCAGCAGCATCGGAACTACCGCCAGGCGGGCTATGGCCAGTCGTACGAGGGCGCCGATGAGATGGACGCCAGGGAACCCGCCGACGGGCCGGAACGGGCGGCGGCTTCGGAGCCTCGGAATCCGTTTGGGCGTGGTTCATACCCCAATTTCTAATCAGTGGAAGGAAGAGGGCATAAACGAACTCAATAGGGTGTACGATTTCCCGCATGTTTGGGGGACGGATGTCTGGGTGGGCGAAATCTTTATACATGGGCTTGCATATTTGGTTAATTGTGGGAGTTTTTTTTAAGGGGAAAGGGGTCGGTAGGTAGGTGTAGACGGCTATAGGCATGTATCTGCTTTTTCGACCCTTTCCCATCTGCACGGGGAGAGAAAATAAAACAAGAACAAAAAAATTGAAAAATAGCATCGTCACTAGCAGTGTGGCACGGCTTTACTATTCAGGGGCCGGCCCAGGGAGAACAAATATGTCTCGCCCGACCTCAAGCTTGTCATTGAATAATATATCCAAAGTCGTCATCGTGGTATCTATCACAGCATTCATTATACAATATCATCAAAAGTCATCACTATCCCTCTCGTCGGGGACCACCACACTTCGTTATCGCTCATATCTCGGCAGGGGTTCTGGTGGGGGAGACGGGAGGTGTGAAGAAGATGGCTCCGCCATGGCATACCCGGGGCCGTAGCCTTCGTCGTCACTCAGCACCGGCGCCGAGGGCTCGAAGGTCGCGGGAGACGGGGTGGTAGCTGCGGGCGAACTCGGTCCCGCTACAGGTCCGGGCTCGCAGTCCTCGGGGAACTCGGGGGGGACACTCGCCTCTGCAAGCAACCGAAGCCGTTCAAGTTCCTGCTTGTCGTCGGTCGATGCTGCCTCTGTGCCCGAAGACAGTTCATCGAGCGTCGGGGCTGATGGGCCTTCTGATGTTTGGGCCGGAGGGGGTTGTGACGGGCCTGCTTCCGGTTCGTCTTCGGCGTCATAAATGTTTGCGCCTTCCAGAAAAGGCGACGTTGAAGGGCCGGCGACGGGGGACTCGGTCGGTTGGCTGGGCAATAACCTCTGCTCAGCTTGCCTTATTCGATCCTTTTCTGTAAGCCCGCTATCGTCGGGAACTTCGGGAGGCGGTATATAGACTGGCGCCGCAGGCTCCGGAGAGCTGAAGTATGAATATCGTTCCGGCGCATCCGCTGGGATGGGCCCGTACTCTGAAGAGTAGGCCTGTGGACCATGTCCATACCCATGTCCATGCCCATCATCTTCCAAACCGTTTTGCCACCCGCCCTTCTCCTCGGCGGGTCCCTCGAAGATGCTGGATTCGGCTACCTGCTGCGTGTAGGTCGACGCCGGAGGCCGCGACAACCCCCTCCCTCGTTGCCGCATGCTGTCCACCGTCCCGACAACGACCTCGAAAGCAACCGAGATGACACCTTTCTCACGCCTCAGTCGATCTGTATCGATGAGGCTGCCACCCCAGGAGGCCAACGACGCTGCACCGCCTTCGTACGGGTTTGATGTCAATGGTATCGCGGCAGGAGCGCCCAGAGTCCCTACTCTAGGGGCCGAAGACTGGCCGGACTGGATTTGGCTGGCCAGCTTCCCCCCAAGGTCGACAATGACCTCTAACTGATATTTGAAAGTGATCATCTCGCCAGGAACCCCTTTAATTGTCGGGAAGACATCCTCTGGTACCCTGACCGATGTCGTAACGCTCGCGGTCAGGGACACGGGATCGATAATCAGGGGGCTAAAAGCCTGAGATAGGTCCTTGCGGAACACACTGCAGGGGCCCGCCGAGGACAGAGAGAGGCCGCCGAGGCCGGTTCTCGACTTTGGGTAGTATTCCTCCTTTTCCCGCCCTTTTGACAGTTTCTTGAAGGGCGGTAGCGGCGGGGAGGAGTCTATCCGCCCTTGCCTATATAACGTCACAATAACGCCGTGCATGCTCTTGATCCGTTTGATGTGTTGTACGGATATTTTTACCGGTATCATGTCGCCAGGTAGGCAGCCTCCCTTCAGCAGTTCGATGGTCGCCGTGATTGTCCTGTCCTCGGTTGTAGATAGCCGGTTGGCTCCCGCTTGATGGCTGCCAGATTCGCGTGCGTGACTGTGGTCGCCACCCGCGCCCCTACTGAGGCCGGTACTGCCGCTGATGCCGCTATCCCCGCTGACCTCGCTCCGCACGTCGCTAGGCACTGGGCTCCTGGGGTGGATTGCAGGATCCAGGCCAAGGTCGTCGCCGACCACAGATAGCGAACCTTCGGTCGAGTTCTCATTCGCCCGTGTTGAGTCCAGGTCAGAAGCTGGTTCCGTCGTGTCTGACGCAACGGCGGGACCCTTATCAGCCCCCACCGGCCTCTTCCTCTTGGACTTCTTTGGCAATGGTTCTAAATAGATGGTACGGGCGCGGGGTGGAGTAAGCGGCCCGACATCCAGCTTCTCAACGAGATATATCTTGCGTTCACAGCTCGTAGTCGGCGATATCGGCGTCGGGCGGGTCAGGGTCGCGGTGATCATGTAGGATATAGTCCCACGTTCGAACTAGTTGCGACGTGTTAGCATGGCGGGAGCAACTAGGATCTCTATCAGGCAAGGGCGACGTACATCTATGCTACTTGGTAGGCCCTTGTCGGGGAACAGGAGATCGAAGTTGAACTCGTATTTGCCAGTCTCGAGACGTCCGTCGGCGCTGAGGACCTGCTCATCCTGGAATAGCGAGGCGAATCCGTTGCCGTAATATTTGAGGCTCGAGCGGCCCTGGGCGGGAATCTCGGCGGGGACGACAGCCGGCTCGTTGGCGGCACCATTTGGGCCTTTGTAGACGCGGACGTAGCCATGGAGGGAGACAGTCAAATGGGTGATTCGCACAGGCTTAAGTATCGTCAAGATGACAGCACCGCAGACATGGTCGCCGGCCGAGTACTTGCGGTGCGGATCGGCGGGGCGGATGTGGAAGTCGGCGAGATTGCGCGTCCGCTGCCGAATGGGGAGGGCAAAGCGCGAGAAAAAAGAGCGACTCGAGGGGGTCTCTTCCAGCGATGGGGAGGCGGCGGGAGTACTGTCGCCCGAGTATGGGCCCATCTATGCTGCTGGTGTTGCGCGTGGGATTGTCGACAATGTGGTGCAATAAGGAGGACTCGGGCGAGGCAGAGACAGCTGACGTGGATGAAATGATCGCGGGCTGGCTGGGTTTGAGGCCAATTGCCAGCCGCCGCACCCGAACAAAAAGCCAGGTGGGCAGGTTGGGCACCGCGATTTAGACGCAATCCGCCGTACGAATGTGTACAAAAAAAAAAAGATCCCCGCAAAGAATCTAGATGCAGAGAAAGAAGCAACGGGATGATCTTACAGCTGATGCAGTTGCATATGCCAAGACCGAACAAGCAAGAGGATGGCTGCTTGGCTTGCCAAGAGGACGGAGAGGGAAGAGTGGAAAGCCGCGAGGGAGAATCAGGACGGACAAGTCAAGCGGAAAGAAAAGAGGGGAAACCGGTGGGGACTGGAAAGATTTCTTACAGCCGCTGCGGCGGGGTGCTTCCACTTAACACTAGGCGTAGGCCTAGACCCAGCAAGTCTCTGACGGCTGGGTTTTCACCCGACAACAAGAGGAACGATGGAACGGAGGGGGAGCAAAGGAAAACGTAACAGAAAACCCCATGGGACTGTTAAGTACTCCGTACGGAGTGCCTAGGAGTGCCTAATAGTAATAGTATGTGTCCCTTAAAACTAGCTGTCTGCATTGACTTTGCTGCCCCTGTTAAAAAGGGTCCAGAAAGCGGGCCAGTCCGGGATGTCTTGGCCGAGGAACGGCGGGGGCAACCGGGCATGCCGAGATCATTGATGCGAGCTGGAGGGGAGACGGAGAATACCTTCTTTATTAGTCCCAAGTACCCCAGACGACGTCGTGCGACGTACGAGAGCCCCCCTATACGTGTGGCTACATCGCCAATCTTTATAGGGCTGCCTTGGCAGCTTGGCAGCCAAGCTCAAAGGTTGAATTATCTATTCTCACCTGCCACTTCAAATTGCCAGCTGGAGGACCTCCTCTAACCCTGGCCAGAGGTCTGCGGTCTCCTTGCAGTCTCCCGGGCTCTGCGAACTCTAACATGAGACCAGCGTCGTCATCTGAACACATCCAGGAGGGACGATTCTGTGGCTGTGCTCTTGTTTGTTTGGCATTTGTATCACCATCGAGGGCGAGATACGGCATCTAGAGTCCTTCGCTATAGACCTCGCCTACGTTGATCGTCAAGACTATTGCTTATTTATCCATTCAAGACGCTGACAGCAGAGTGCTCGACAGCAGCCAACCGACCAAGTTGTTGATGTATCTATCTATCCCGTCTATATTCCCCAGCTGCCCAGCTTTGGAGACCAATGCAGCTCAGCCTGACAGCTCCAAGAATAGCACTTGGTCGACCATGACAAACTATCTCTCGCTTGCCAAGGCCAAGTCGTGCGACAGGGCTTGCTTTATTTTGTGACACTTGGCAACTTGTCGGGAACTTTGGTCTTGACCGAGCGTAGGGGAAAGACGTGGAATATCCCCTCAGACAGCCTGACAAAATGCTCGATGACCTTGTGGTGACAATTGGTTTCTTCTTTCTTATGTGTTTATATACAGATTAATCCCGCCTGAGCCGAGGCAGCCAACTCAAACATAACTGGTAGTACAGCATGTCCTTAGCCAAGGAACTCCTGTTATGCAGACAAGCCAGTATGTAATGCTGTGAACGTATCAACCCATTAATCCAACGCCTCGCCGCTCAAAATGCTCTTCAGAATGTCTGCGCCTAGGCCCTCAACGGCCTGCTCTATCTCTCTGTCTCCCACACAGCTGGCGACCCTCTTATCATCGCCGAGGGTATTGCCATTACCAAATGCCGGCTTTCTTCCCCTTTTGCTTGGTGTCTGCAGCACCGTCAAGGACCCCGTCTTTCCATCCACAGGGGCGATCAGAGAAAGGGTCTCCAGGCTTCCCACCACCTCGCGAAACTCGGAGCTTGACAAGGGGTGCAGGACCGAGTCGCGCTTGCAAAGCAGGCAGTACGTATCGAACAATGTCTTGACCGTGGGAGCGATGACCGTTGTCTTCGACGGTGTGGTCAAGCCCACGGGATCCTTTGCTGCCTTGTTACGCTTCTCGATAGCCATCAGAGCGCATAGCGCCGCCTTCTGTTGGAGGTTGAGTGTCTTTAGCCTCTGGTTTGTCCCATTGCTGAATGCCGCCGCTGTTACTTTGTTGAGGTGTCCGATCGTGACTCGAGGCGCATTTTCCACTGTCAAGCCTTGCAGAGATCGGGCCAAGGACGGCCTGGCGTTTTGAGCCCCATTGGCTCTGGGCGAGGAAGCTAGATTGGAGTTCTCGCCCAGAACCTTTCGCGACGGACTCATTTGCATGAGCTCATCCTTTACCTCGTTCTCGAGGTTCAGCTTCGTCTCGCCCTCCACCAGGTCGATTGCTCGACGGCAGATTTCAAAAGCTCTCCGCAGATCCCCCGTCTGGGTCGAGACCTTGCGAGAGCATAGCTCAATGGCGGCGGGGTGAAAGAATGGGATATACTCCGGCTTGCTGCTTCCTTCAGGGATCAAACTCTTGAGTTTTGACGTGATGACGCTTTTGATCTGCGGTGCTGAATAGGGCAGAAACGGAAGCAGGTCGGGCTTGAGATTTCTGGACTTGAGGCGTGGAAGGAACCGGTCCGTGAGGTCGAGTGCGTTGGCGATACCCACCAAGACGAGGCGTGACGCTTTTTGTAGAGACCATTCGAAAAGTCGGTATAGGCTCTCCAAGTCCATGGACAGGACGTGATCAATCTCATCCAACACTACCAGGAACACGTCCTCAGACTTGCTCTTGGGTGAGAACAGCTTCTGGAGGGCCTCAACCGCATCACACTCAGACATGTCAGCCTCGAGGTTCAGCTGCTCGAGCAGGGTGCCATAGAGATCCTTTGATGACCGGATGCTCATGCAGTTAATGTATGCTTTCCGGACCGTCGGAACCTCAAAAACAAGCTCCTGCGAAACCTCGTGGACCATGGCACTCTTCCCCGTCCCGGGCGGTCCGCTGACATAGAGGCAGCCACTCGGATTCCGAGTTGCACAACGGTTGAGGAACCCCCGAAGCCTTGCTCGTTCCTCATCCCGCCCGATTAACTGGCCCGGATCCGAGCTCCGTGAGAAGAGCTGCCTTGCGAGATGATACACTGTCTGGCAAGCTGTAGGTGTGCGTGGTGTCTGGGGTGTCAACCTCCTTGAGACTTTCCCGGCAGACATGACACGATGGCGTGGGGTGGAGGCAGTCTTAGCAAAGACATCGTAATAGCGAGGCGTCTGCGGAGTAATGGGTGTCGTCTTGCTCGGTGCAGTGTCTCTAAGCACGGGCTCGGTAGATTCCAAACTTGCTCCATGCTTCCCAATCCTGATCGTCGATGTCGATTGGACATCTTTTGTGCGACTCTTCGAAGGAGTTGTTGCAATAATAGAGTCGAAGTCGGCGAGAGGCGGTTGGTTCTCCTGGTCGTCAAGTCCAATTGTGTTGGAACGATCCTCATTCGCACAATCAATGGCAATTGCACGTCGAGAGCGCCTTAACCGTTTTTTTGGGAGATCCAATTCTGCAAGAAAAGAACAGTAAGTCGCTGTTGCGGGGACTCGACGGGAAGGAGGTAAAATGGAACTTACCAGGCTCCCTGACACTCCTGGTCCTCTTTCCCAGAGTTGTTGAAGGCATTGCTCGATCTAGGCGTACAAATATGATAGACAGTGGTGGGAAGGAACTATGCGTAGAGTGCACAGAAGTAAGAGCGACCTTGGAGGAGGAAGTTGCAAGTCGGACCTTTAACTCTTGGTTGGCTATTAAACGCGGTCTTGATAGTGGGTCAGGCCAGAGTCGCGTCGCGCCGCGGCTTTTCGCGTCACCATTTAAGTCCCGGTCTGCTAGCGTCCTGTTTTTGGGTGGAAATGGGGAGGCTGGGGGGCGGGCCGCGAACTGTGGCTTTAGCGGCGAGCCACTGTTTGCGCCAAGCCTCAGATCCCTTAAAACAACATTGCCCGAGCTCAGGGGGTCACCAAGCTCGCCAACTCTTCGGATTACAGGGTAATGGAGATCCACACCCTTTAGTCCGTACCAATTCTATATAAGCTAAACACTGGAATTTTGTAGCCGTTCAACATGCGTGCCTGGTACGCCAATAGAAATGCTCAAATTCAGGGTCTAACTAGGCTCCTCGCCCTCCTCCTCTCCTCCTCAGTCAGGGACCACTGCATGCCGTCCTCGCCATCAGGCGCGGCGCTGAGTTCCTCCCATTCATCGTCCTCCATATTCGCCACCATCAGCACCTGGGTCGTCTTGCCAAATATCTCCCTTAGACCGTAGTTGCCCTTGGACACAACGCTAGCGATGCCCGAGAAATCCCTCTCCATGCGGATGGCCCCGTACGCTGTGGTACGGCCGGCATAGGTCCACACGCGCTTCTCGAGCACCCGCGCGAGATACTGGGCTGTGATGTCCAGCACCGTATTGAAGGTCTTGGGAGTCATGAGGCGGCCAATAGGCCTCATCAGCGCATCCCAGCCGTGCTCGAATCGGCGAGGCACCTGGTCGATGAGCGCTTCTTCGCCTTCATCATTCTGCTGTGCTATCTCGGCAAGCTCCTCCTCGGTAAGCGTGTAGTCTGTGTCGCGGAACGTGTCGCTCAGCACTGGCCGGAGGCGGGGCCGGATTACTTGGTTGAAGAGGACCTGGAGTCCCGTGTTCAGGAGCTCTGTGCTTTTGGAGGAAAAGGTCGAGTTGAGGGTGTTTAGGGAGTTGATAACAAAGGTAACGTCGTGGTCGAAGCGGAACGACTCCTGCAGAAAAGTGGGAGGAGAGGCGCCGTTGGTTTGCGCGCTCGAGATCCCAACCCGGCTGGATATGATGCGTGCTAGGTATTCGTTTGCCATGTCGAGGCTGTTGATCAGGACAATGAAGGCAATGATCTTGTCTTCTGGAGGGAATCCCCCCTGAACCACCGCTTTCGGGTACGACTCGTCCCGCATCTTCCTCTGGATCATAACAATGAAATCCGAGCCAAGTACCCTCCCAATGGTCGGGATTACCCAGCCAACCACGTCTCTCTGCGACGTGGAAATCGACTTCTGGATGACTGCGTTCACGATGTACATGACATCATCGACGGCAGATATAATAAACGGCGGGTTACTCTCCAGGGGCCTGCTCATGTTGAGTGAGAGCCCGCTGGGAGACTCGTCAAGCTGGAATGCCTTCTCAACAGAGCGTCGGAAAAAGAAGGTCGTCATAACATTATACGGCGTTGTGAGGGTTGCCGATACTTTTTGATGTAGATTGGATTTCGTGAGAACCTCGGGAACGGTAAGTGGTGCGTCGTCCGAGGCATCCGGGTCCTTGTGGTTCGAAGTTAGTCAAAGGTATACTCGCAACTCTCTCCAATGGCCAAAAAGGCAAGGATGACTTACTTTGCATTTGCCGGCGATAAACCGCGAGTACAACGACCACCGACCAAGCATGACAGCAATCTCGCTCAGCAGGCCATCAACCTCCTTCATATTGACTCCCTCGTCCTCGCTATTTCGTGCCTCGTTGTTCGAGCCACTGCCGAGGGCCGGCGAGTTTACTCTCGAGGTTCCCGTAAGACCCCTCTGTTGGGGCAAGAAGCTCTGGACCAGAAATGAAAAAGGGTAGCTCTTGACATCGGTCAGCTTCCTGTCCACGGCCCTCTCCTCACTCCAAGACTCCAGGATGATGCCTCCTTGCACGTCAGCCTCCATCTGCAGCCGCTCGACTACTTTGACCATCTTCCCAGCCCCGTAGTGCCTCTCAACCAGACTCCCGTGCCCATCCACGATCCGGGCGATGTGTTCGAAAAGCTTTGTGAGGGCATTGGCGTAGAAGAACCCGTCATTCTGTGTCTGGACCCCTGTGGTACCCGGTCCTTCCCTCAGCACCGCTCTCGCCGTCCCTGCCACACCCTGACAGACATACCGACCATAGACGTCTAGCCCGACATCGCCACGCCCAATGAGGGGGAACAGCTTGAAGAACCTCGTCACCCGCACTCCGTCATTTTCCGAGACAGCCTTGTCAAACTCCCGCAGGAACAACCCGCACAGGCTCTCCCTGGCCGACTCGAGGGTCACCCACGGCGGATCGGGCACCTCGACGGTGGGCACGACCGCGGCGGCGAACCCACCCCTGACGATATTCTCCGGAATCTTGGCCGCGCGGGCGATGTAGCCCGCCGCGGCCTCCCAGTCCTGCGGGGCGCCCATGGACCCGACCACGCCCGCGACGCAGGCCTTGAGCTCGGCGACCTGCTCGACGACCCTCAGCGTGTCCTCGACGCGCGTCTTCTCGAGGTCCAGCGCCCGCACGCGGCCCGACAGCCGGGATGCCGTCTCCGCCGCCCCGGACAGCATTCCGTCGCTGATGCCCCGCGCCGCCAGCACCTGCGACCCGAGGCCCGCGCGGAGGTTGTCGAGCCGGCCCAGCGAGCGCGAGAGGTCGGCCTGCGACGCCACGAGCCCGTCGAGCTTGGACGTCAGCGTCGACTCGCGGGCGTGCAGGGAGGCGAGCCCCGCGCGGATCTCGGCCACGGAGCTGGATTCGCGGATGGCGGTGCTCGGGTCATCTTTGGTGGTGGTTGCGTCTTTGAAGGGGCGAACAAGGGTCGAGTTGGGCATCGGGGGGATTGAGGGGGGTTTGTTCGAGGTATCGCTCTCGCCAGTTAGCCTGGAGGAAGATGAAGCTGCAGGTACGCCATTGGAAAGAGCAGACATGGGTACGGCCTTGTACAATGGCAATGCATTGCTGCTCCGGACGACACGTTGGGTTGAGGTCAAGGGATGGATGGTGGGATTAAGTTTGCCCCGCTGGAGGCTGAAATTCGCTGTCACTTGTCAGGGTGCCAGGATATGCAACTAACCGGTTGTGTTTGCCTCTGTATCACTAGATACCTAGGTAGGCAGGTTACACATCTATTGCAAAATCCAAGTTGATGACCTCTATGCAAGTCTTGTTCCATTTCTACATCCGTATATGCAAATCGGTACCGTGGTATATATATATATATAATAGTACAAGCATCTCCGCGCCCCTAGCCTTTCCAGCATCCTCTTCTATACCGCCTGGCTGTAGTTGACGCCCAGCCTCCGCCGGCCATATGTCCACCACTTGCGGAACTCGTCCGCCCAGAACACGGTGCTACATAGGACTAATAGGCCGATGAGGTCAAAGAAACCAAGGGCTTCTGTCTGGAAAACCTCCTGAAGCCAGGGGAAGTAGATGACGAGCAGCTGCCCTGCCAGACTGAGCGAAACGGCCCAGTTGAATAGCGTGTTTGAGAACAGTCCAACCTCTCCTCTCAGGACCGACTTGGACTCGGATCGACAGGTCAGCGCGTTGAACATGTCGAATAGTACAAAGCAGGTGAAGGTCATGGTGGTGTCACGGCGGGTCACCATGCCATCCTCGAGCATTTCGCGGGTATAAACCAGCATCGTGCCAGCCATAATGATGAAGGCCGACGTCAGAACACGCTTAATCAGGCGATGCGTCAGCACGCGATCATTCCTCTTGCGAGGCGGCCGGCTCATGACATCCTTGTCGACAGCCTCGACCCCCAGGGATTGAGCAGGAGGCCCGTCCATGATGATATCTAACAAAGTCAGTTAGTTGCTACGGTGCAAATGCCACGAAGAGTACGCGACTTACTGATCCAGAGAATCTGCATGGCATTGAGGGGAGACCTGAAGCCCAAAGCCGTGCATATCAGGACGAGTGACAGTCCAGCCGCACTGGTGCTCAGCTGAAAGGTCAGGAAGTTCTGGATATTGTTGAAGATGCCCTTGCCCTCCTCAATTGCGTGCAAAATGGTCGAGAAGTCGTCGTCGGTAAGTATCATATCTGCTGCCTCCTTGGCCACGTCGGTCCCATGCATACCCATGGCGATTCCAATATCGGCCTTCTTGAGGGCGGGGGCGTCGTTGACGCCGTCTCCAGTCATGGCAACTATATCACCTCTGGCCTGGAGTGCTCTGACAATCTTCATCTTGTGGTCGGGGTTTGTTCGCGCAAAGATGGTAGTGTTCTCTATGGCCTGGGCCAGGTCTTGGTCTGACATGGCATCGAGCTCGTCTCCCCTCAACACTGGCCGGACGCTGGCCTGGTTCACGGCATGCTCCCGAGGCACTGCAATCGACATTCCCAGCTGCTTCCCAATTGCGACAGCCGTGGTCTCCGCATCACCGGTGATCATTATAACTTTGACACCGCCGCGCATCAACCTCCTAATTGAGCGCGCAACGCCGAGACGAGGAGGATCGCTCATGCCAACCAAGCCCGCGAACGTCAGGCCTCTGTACAACTCCTCGTGGCTATGGGCGTGGTGGCTGTCGCTCATGTCGCCGCGCGGGGTGCTGCTGCGGGTTGTGGGCATAGCCGCCTTATTCGATGCCGCCCTCGTGACAGGGCCACTTGCAAATGCCAATACACGAAGGCCTTGTGACGCCATCCTTTCAGCTGCCAGAAAAGCTTCTTGCCGCCTGGTAGAGTCTAGAACAATTTCCCTCCCGTCTTTCGTTAGGTAAGTATCACAGACGTCAAGGACCCGGTCGATGGCGCCCTTGATGTAGGCGAACTCCTTCTCGTTCTTGCCCCCTTCGTTGCCGATGACGACGCCCATCCATTTCCGTTCCGAGCTGAAAGGTGTCTCCACCGAACGAGGGCCGATAGAGCCTCTAACGTCGTGTTCCTTGAACCTGTCCAGAAGGTCCAGCATTGCAACATCGGTCGGCTGTCCTACCCACCGAGTGTAGGTGGAGATGTGGTCTCTTCCTTGGGTGGATGACAAGACGGCCCTTGTAGCGGCGCCGTTTTCCGTGTATTGCCGGGCGAGGCGAGCATTGTTGGCGATATTCCCGATTCTCAGAATCCTCAGCGTGGCAGGGTCTGCCTTGGTCTCCGTTGCCTCGTCGTCCGAATCGACGTCAAAAGCCTCGTCAGTGCCGAAGGACCACATCTTTGCAGTTGTCATGTGGTTCATTGTAAGGGTCCCTAGGGTATAAACACATCAGCACAGTTGTCGCAGCGATGACAAAACGGAGAGGCGTACCTGTCTTGTCCGTGCAAACCACATTGACAGAACCCAGAGTCTCAACCTTGGGCATTCTGCGGACAATTGCGTTGTGCCTGGCCATACGGTGGACTCCAAGGGCGAGAGTGACAGTTACAATGATCGGGAGACCTTCAGGGATGGCGGCGACGGCCAGGGAGATGGAGATTGTGAAGATCTCGAGCAGCTTCTTCCCCTGGAGCCAGCCAATGAACGAGATGAGTCCGATGATGACAAACGACGCTTTGCTCAGCTGAGACCCGAGCTCATCCATGGAAATCTGGAGCGGCGACCGAGGGCTCTCCGTTCCGGACACGCTCGTTGCGATTGTCCCAAAGTGTGTGTTCCCACCTGTCGCGAAGACTATACCTTGCCCATGACCAGACTTCACCAGAGTACCCATATAGGCAATGTTGTTTACCCCGTCCGCCTTGTCGCCGCCGCCAACAGTCCCATTAGGGGCTGACGATGCAAAGGAGGGACTAGGCAGTTGAAGGCTCGAACCTGCCGGCGGGGCTGCGAAGGGCAAGTTACGGAAGCGCGTCTCGGGCGATACCCGGACGGGCTCATTTTCTCCCGTGAGGTTCGAGGTGTCTATAGTTAGGTCCGCGGCTTTAGTAACACGGATATCGGCAGGTATGCGGTCGCCCGTCGTGAACAGAACGAGGTCTCCTGGAACCAACTGGGCGGCCGTGACCTTTGATGAAGTGGCTTCCAACATCTCCTCGGCCGGGGTGGCTGCGCCCGAAGCGTCGCTCATGTCAAGCGGGTCCTTGGAGCCGGCAGGCCAGTTTGGCAATGGCGAGGAAGCTCTCCCAGGCTGGCTCCGGACCAGATGCGCGTGATTGGGGACCAGATGGTTTAGCGCTTCAATGGACTTCTCGGAGCGATATTCCTGGGCGAAGCCGACTGCAACCACAATGGTGACTGCAACGGTGATGCTGACGGCATCGTCCATATTCCCAAGCACGAGCGATGCCCCGGCGGAGACCAATAGTAGCACGATCAGGGGTTCTTGGAATTGCTTGATGAAACGCAGCCATAGTGGCTCGGGGTCATCGTGAGGTATCTCGTTGGGGCCGTAGTCGCGTAGGCGAGAGAGCGCCTCTGCGGGCGTCAAACCGTAGGTTAACGAAGTCTTCAATCGCAAGGCTACCTCCGGGGGAGCCATGCAGGAGTAGTCATCGGCGATAGTCTGCAATACGTTAGCAAGGGATGGCGCGCGGGCTCATCCTTTCCTTGGCAGCTCTTACTCGAGACTGGGCAGAAGTCGGCCTGGGAGGCGCCGAGGTTCTGGACCAAGATCGCTCAATCTCGTCTGGCGCAGCGAGCTGAGCTACCCCCGACGGTGCATTGAAGAGGGGGAGGGATTCCTCGGCCGACTTGCGCGTAAATCGGTCCATGTTGGATGAGGATCGAAGGATGGAGCAGCATATGGCTTCACAGCCTAGGCATGAAGTCGGTCGGGGCCGGTCATGCAAAATCGGCAGGTAGACCAACCAATCCACCTAATTCCGAGATCGCAAACGAGCTGCCCCGGATCAAGTTTCCTAGGCCTATGTTCGACGTGGGATGATTTGAGGTCTCTCAGGAGGGATCGGTGGTGGAAACCGTCATGGTTACCTCGACGGGCCAAGAAAATATTCGTGCAGGCACGCGTTTTCTGGGAATGGGGATTGAGGGTTGGGGTTGCTCAGTGCTCAGAGCTAACGTGTTCAATCACCCGAAAGTTTCCACCGAAAGGGCGTTCCTGCCAGGGGGGCAAGTGCTGCCGCATGAGGCTGAAAGCCACTTTTGGCTTCGCAGACCCCACTGTTTTCGCCACGAATCGCTGCACGGACATTCCAGCAGTATGGCAAAGGGGTAACCATGCACTTCAACATCGAAATCTGAACAGAGAACCTGCTTACGGTTGCCTCCACTCAATACTACAACACTTAAGAACATCCTAAGAGACAATTGGCAAGGGAGAGAAAGGGAATAAGTGACAGATGAAAAGGTTTTCCATGGCCATTTACACGACCACTTACACGGCCACTTACACGGCCACTCAACCTAGGTACACCACCGTATATACCTCTGAAGTAAGGATACCTTCGGTATGTATTCGTTTCTATACTTCGCCATATATTATCCCAATATCAAACAGAAATCTTGTCATTGAAAGCTTTCAGGTGTGCTGGGACTGTGGCGCAGCTCGGGGAGTGTCGTTCTGCCACCGCGATTAAAGTGCTGCAAAGTTAAAATGTGCATTAGGGGTTCGCATGATGAGCTTTCCATCTTGAATCCTGCTGTCGAAACGGACGACTGTACAGGCATAATGGCGAAGAACACAATGATGCAGTTATCCTCAAGCCTACCTTACCTAGCAACACGCGATGAAACGCTACAGAGAGGTATATAGAGCCTAAGGGCGCCTAAGACTTGGGGAAGCTGGGATATGTCATATGTCCTGGGAGATCCGGAAACCTTAGATTCAGGAGGACCTCCAGTAATTCATATGCACCTTGCTTGCAGAATTGCGGCATACCTAATAAGATGAATGATGAATCACGTGCTTACTGCTGATTGGGCTGTTAGCCCGGACATTACCTATGTGGCTGGTGGCCTGCAGATCTCAGCCAACCAGACGCACTTGGTTCAACCCCAGCCACCAGCATTTTTACAGAAGGCCTACGGCAAAAATGGAGCAAGGTTTACATCCGTTTGTTGAAGCGCACACACGTTCCCCCCTCTTCCTTCCTCCCACTCCCGCCTTTTCGCTTCATCGTGGACCTCAACAACTTGCTCCTCAAGGCGTCGCAAGTCCCTTCAGCGCAGGGAACCACGATCTGTGGCTTTCTATTGTCAGCGTTGCGCTTCGTATAACGCTCTACCAGTTTTAGATGGTCTGGTGACTCCCCACTTGGCCTTTTCAACGCGCCTCTCCTGGCCCTCCAAAACAACGCGCTTCCTTGTTTACCTGCGCCACTTGCCAGAACTTACACCAAGTCGCAAGTCGCGCTGTATTCGTTCCCATATACGGCCACAAACTCCAACAGACCATTATCGCTGTGTCAACTTCCCATAGTTATCATCGCGTTCCGTCAATACCGCCACCATGTTCTGGTCTGGCACCCTTCTCAATTCCACCGGCCCTCTGGCCAAGGCCTGGCTCTCGGCGAACGTGGAGCGCAAGCTCTCGAAAACACACATCTTGCAACACAACCTGCAGGACAGTGTCGACGCCATCATCACACCCAACCAAGCGCCTCTCGCCCTAAGACTGAGCGGCCAGCTGCTCCTCGGCGTCGTCCGGATCTACGGGCGCAAAGCGCGCTACCTCCTCGATGACTGCAATGAAGCTCTATTGAAGATCAAGATGGTGCGCAACATCCGCGGAAGAGAGTCCCATGCATCGTTTGCTAACACATTGCCTAGGCCTTCCGCTCCACTGGGAACCACGACATCCCTGCGAACTTGCACGTCCAAAACAAGGAGTCGCTCTTGCTTCCCGACCGTATTACTCCGTACGATAACTTGGACTTGCTTCCCCCTCCCGATGCAAATTGGCTTTCATCGCAGATCGAAGATGTAACGGCAACTCCCCTGGGCCGAAAGAATCGCGTTAGCAATCGCGACATCAACCTTCAGGAAGATTTCAACAACAGCCAGTTTCTGCACGACGACCTGGGCATCGACGACGAATTAGCGCTAGCAAACAATGACGACCTCGATCTAGAGTTGGATTTTGGTATGGACATTGACGAACGGCCCAGCAAGCTGATGGACAATACCGTGGAAATCGGTCGAGAAGGTCCTGCGGCTAGGCCAGTGGACGAAGATATGTTCAGCGAGCTTGAAGTACAAGGCCACAACAAGGGCCTCCCAAGTCATGAGCAATCCTTGGGCCTCGACTTCGACTTCGGTGAGGGCGTCCATATTGCGGATGGCGAGGGCGATATTCAGATGGGCGACGATGACTTCCAATTCAACCTTGGTGACCAGTCGGTAAACCCCGCAATGCCACAACCTGGCCGGGCTCGAATCTCTGAGTCCCCACTATCCGACGTCGACGAGGAATTCGCAAAAGAGATCGAGATGGAGTACAGTCGGCACATGAACACAGACCTCTATGAGCCTGTCGAAGATTCTACTGCGACTGTTATTGCTCCTCAGCGGGCTAAGAAGAGAAAGCTTTTGGAACCCGACGAGCAGACGATGCTATCCAGTGCACACATCAAGGAGCAGCAGGCCAAGAGGGACAACATCCTCAAGCCCCAGTCCTTCTTGCCAAGAGACCCCTACGTGCTGGGTCTCATGGAGATGCAGAAGAATGGTGGTTTTGTGACCAACATTCTGCTCGAAGGCCGCAGTGCCGGCTGGGCGCCGGAACTGAGGGGTCTTCTCTCTCTCTCTGCAATTAGGCCTCAGAACGACCTGAAGAGGAAGCGTGACAGCGGGATCGCCGATATGGACAGCGATCTAGAACAGGGACTCCCTAAATCCCCGCGCCTTGAGCTGCCCGAGGACGAGTCAGCGCTTGCCTTTGGTGGAGCTGGTATCGGTAACCAGAGTGTTGCCGCCGACGGTACAATCCTCGATATACCCGCCGATGACGGCATGCATCCGATCCACGACGACGAAGACGGCCATGCAGCAGGAAGATACAATTCAAGCCCAGGCCCAGCCTTTGACGATACCGTTGCACCGATAGTACACCCAGCCGACAGCGGCCCGGTCTCGATCGCCACCAAGCACGCCGTCCACATCCTTCGTGACCTCTTCGGCCCCGAAGCTGCCACAGACTCGCAGAAGCGCCAGCAGTCATCGGTGGTCTTCCAGGACCTCCTGCCAGAAAAGAAGACCACCAAAGCGGACGCAACAAAGATGTTCTTCGAGTGCCTCGTCCTCGCGACCAAGGACGCCATCAAGGTCGAGCAGCCCGAGGGGTCCCTAGGCGGGCCCATCCGCGTCCGCGGGAAGCGCGGTCTCTGGGGCGACTGGGCCGAGCGCGAGGCTGGCGGCGAGATCGCCAACCAGGAGCGGGAGAACGAGAACGAGGACGCTAACGAGGACGAGAATGAGAACGAGCCCGAGCCCGCCGTCCGGTCCGCTGCCGCCGTCCCCGTCGGGGCCTAGTGGCTCTCTCGCTTCGCCCCCCCCGGGGGCCCGGGCCAGGGTGGTGGCTTCGCGTTGTTTCGTTTCGTCTTCTCATACATGTAAATATTGAAGAGCCTGGCTGTCGTCCCTCAAGGAAGTGGTAAGGGGAGAAGCGGCATTCGCAATCCGGTCGCCTCTGGGCCATGTCACTCTGCCCTCACTCCCAGAGGGGCGGGACTTTGTAAGGAACTGTCGATGGCGTTTGGGCGTTGGCGGAGGAAGGGATGTTTGGAAGATACCAATCTCTTGGGAGGGGTGGGAAATCGCTGGTCATTTTAAAAAAGAACGGAGCCGTTACTATTTGCTCGGGTTCTGGTGTCCTCTTTTAGGGGGCTCGTGTTGCGAGAGTTCGAGGTTGGGCATTAGATCCTGTTAGGGCTCTGTATTGATATATCTCTCTACCTTTCACTTTTCGTTGCAATGCAGTCACACTCAACTGTGGTCGTTTCTGTTTGGTGAGTGAGATGTGAGAGCGCTCGAGATACCGTTGAGCCACGTCACCAATGCCTTCTCCTTAACCCTTTCCCCTGCTGGATTCCCGCCCTGGACCCATTGGCAAGCGAAAGATAATGGGGGTTTAGCCCTTCCCCAGTTTTGTATATTGTATCAGTTAATTACCCATGCGATAGGCTTGGTAGTTGAAGTCCTGTTGACGATCTCCCTGCCCATCATGAAAGTCTATCCCCACGCCCCAAGACTTCGAAATGTAGGATATGAAGCAGCAGAAAAAGAGAATAGGAAAAGATAGAATCTCAGAGTTGAAGGGCCCGTGTCCCTCTCAGCCGTTACCCGTATCCTTCCCAAATGTTGTGGATAGGCCTTAAAACTCCGTAAAGCGTTGAGAAATGGTCCATTCGTGATGTTCCATCTCCCGTTGTTCCAAAAACCAAAACGCCTAATTACCAATTACCAAGGATCAATGTGCTGTCCGTGTTGAATTCGAACCCCCCACCCCAGCCAAAGTATCCGTAGTGTTGGTAGTGAGTGATGCTGGTGTATAGGGGTAGCCACCGCCAAACCTGGGAAAGGGGCCGCATTGTCCTCGAATGTGGTGGTCTTAGGTGAAGTCAACCAGAGGACGAGATGTGCAAATGAGTTGGTCGCCAAGAGCCGTCGGGCAGGACGAAGCGAAGAGATGCAATCGTGTTGCCAGACGCATAAGAAAGGCAAATTGATTAGGCTGTGATCGAACACAGCCGACCACCTCGTCAGATATCGTATTCTGGAGTGTCTTGAGGGCCGGCCGACGAAGAAGCGTATGGATTGTTATCCCCGGAAGCCGAGAAAGGGCTGAAGGCCATGCCGCCTGGGGTGTTGATTGGGTGGAATCCAGAGCCATGCGGCAGGATATCGTCTCCGAAGCCCTGGCCACTGAATGAATGGAAGGGATATCCGGTTCGAGATTGAAGAGACAGGGGGTTAAGCGTGTTAGAGCCAATGCTCTGATGATGGAAAAAGGGATGGATATGAGTGCTGACTCCTCCGTGAAAGTACGGAACCGCTGACGGCTTGAGACCCGTCGGAGTGGGAGATTGAATCGACATGTTGGAATTCATTGGCTGCAGCGCCGGACGGCTGCGATGCTCGAAGTTGTCGATGTGGTCAGAGACGAGTCCCACGGGTTCAGGGACTATCACGGACCTTCCGCCATCCAAAGGACTCTCCATAGGGCCTGCCAAGGCGTCGATTAGCAGAGGTGAGACTTGGTGAGAACCATGGTTCAAAAGGAGTCCGGACTGACCAGGGCTTGGAATTGCCGTGTCACGGAAGACGTCGTAGTTAGCTCCCGCACCATTGGTTTGCGCCGGGACACGACTGCCGTTCTGAATGCCTTGGTCCTTCTGACTCCCGCCATCGCTGTTGCCCATGCCCTTGGAGGCTTCCTTGGCTTGGGCCTTCCTGGTCGAAGCTCGAGTCTGACGTGCGGTTGCCATGGTTGAGCCCTGGTGGGCATCTTTCTTCTTGTGATTGTCTCCGGCATGGACGCTCGGCTCCTAGGAATGTCATCACGTCAGTAAAATCACACAATACATAGCTCCTGTATGGAGGGGGGCCGCCTGGGGAAGGGGTTCACGGACCGGGCTACCGTCAATGGAAGGGGCGGCATATATGTCGCGCGTTCTCTGCAGCTCTCCATTCTCGGACCAAACGCTCTCCGTCGGTTCCACTTCGGCCGAGGTTTGCTTCATCTGCCTCAGAACAGACTCGTCCTTTCGCTGGTTGCGCTTCCGTTTCTGGGCTTCTGTGGCGGAGTCGAATACACGCATTCCGGGCCAACTCGCGCCTTTGAGCTTAGAGCGGTCGGTGTCATCCTTGCTGGCGACGTCGGCGGCTTCCTCGGACGGCAGGGCACTTCCAGTGATCTCCGTCTCTGAAGACCAGCCCTTGTATTTCGGTCGCAAGGGGATCTCTGGAGATCCAAGCATCGCGTATGGAGCTTGAGCGTGTCTGGGTACTGGCGTCTGATAGCTAGAGTGGTCAATGGGATACCCCTGGTGCGCACCAGCCGCATGAGGCAACCCATCTGCGTGTGCAGTGTTCCAGTTAAGTGCGGGGGGTCCCCGTGAATGAGCTGCTGGATCAGCTTGGACGACCTTGTTGCGTTTGACGATAGGGTGGGCGTCGAACTTGGGCAACCTGTTAGTAAGGGGCACCAAACTATCACCAAACGGGCCTTGTGAGTTTTGTTACTTACACTAGCTGTGCCGGACCTGGCCCGTTTATTGGACTTCTTGGAGTCCTTCGCCGTCATTCTGTGGGCAAGCAATTGCTGTATGCCATACTGCTCATACCAGCCATCGTATTCCGCAAGAGTCTCTTTGGCGGCCCTCTCTTTATCCGCCCGTATTTCCGTTCTGAATCGGAAAGATAGGTGGCTCTTAGAGGAAATGTGAGTCAGGAGATGCGAGACATCTGAAAACGATGGTTGTTTGGGGCAAAGAACGCATTTCAGAGGAATCGTTCCGCTCTTCGCCAACTCCAGAGGTGAAATGGACGCCATTTTCTGGAAAGGTGGTCAGTATGTCATCGTTGGACGCATCGTGATAGCTCGGGATTGGCCAGCAACATGCTGCTGAGAGTGGCTCTGGGCGATATATAACCAAAAATAAGAGGGTGAGAAGAAGCTGAGGGGGGAAACAGTTGTTGTGGGGGATCAGCAAGCAAGCAACTCACGGAATGAAGACCGATTCTTCGACTTTTAGGTCTCGAGTTACGTTGTTTCCAAGAGACCTCGTCTGTAGGCGTAGCTCCCAAAAATGCGAGGGTGAACCGGTTTTGAGTGGGGAAGGTTGGCAGAGAAACTGAACTGGTGGTTCTAGGTGCGGCAGAGAGAGACTCGAGGGTCGAGTTTGGCAAAGGTCAACCTGAATTGCCCTGATAAAAAAATTAGTAAAAGAGGTGACTCTCTGCAGCCATGGCAGACTATGGTAAGAAAAAGGTGCTGCTGGTTCCAATGTATGCTACACCAGGTGGCGGGTGGGAGGACCAGAAGTCCAAGATGGAGTTAGGTTGGGGAAGAGAAGATTGGAGATGGGAGGACTTCTGAGGGTTTTGAAGTGGATGGGATGTGCGACAAGGTTGCCAACTCGCTGAGTCGTCAATAACTGGCTTAGTCGTCAATAAGTTGCTGAGTCGTCAACAACTGGCTGAGTCGTCAACTCGCTGAGCTGTCAAACCCATGGACAGGTAGGTACCAGCTATTAACTTTCAATAACCAACTGCATCACAATAGATGTAGGACGCAATAAGTTGGACGACTGAATGTCAAGCCCATGGCCAAATCGCAGAGTCTTGACGTCGATCATATGGGACATGCTCCTCAAAAAACCCAGGGGTGATAGAGAATGCCAGATGATTAATGACTTGGTGAAGTGTAAGCCACTTACATGGGGAATGTGAGAAAGTGGATGGATGACCAGGTAGGCGACATGGTTGAGGAAGGGAGTGAAACACAAGACAGGATAGAATGGGCAACAGAATGACCATACATACATAAGGGATGAGACAGCTCCAGTATGGGATGGACAGGAGGTGCGACAACGTTGACAGACTGACAGACTGCCCGCTGTCAAGTATATAGAGAAGGTGGGGCAACAATGAGCATGAAGTAGTAGCGTGTTCCCACAGCAGAGAGCAAAGCAAGGCGTCTTATGGGATGGGTGGAGGACAGATGGAAGATCCGACGGTGACGACTGCATGGGAGTCGCCATATACAAAAGGGGAAGAGCAATGCTAGGCATGAGAAAGCATTGCAAGTAAACAGGACGTGGGCGGGACATGGAACCCTTTTGTGTTTGTACATGGCTGGGCTGGAATTTAATGTGTCAGGGGAAGTATATGAACCCGGCAGAGCACGTGGTATCAGGGGAGAAGGAGCAACCTGAACTTCCAGGGTATCTTCCATGTACAAAGGAAAATCTGGAAGTTGGGACGAATGGTAGGTACCTAGGTAGTTGGGACGAATGGAGAGTGGAAGGAAGTTGGGACGAAAGGTGTACCTACTTCATACCAGGTCCATGTGCTGCAGACCAAATGTTGTGAGGCAATGGCAACCTGATGACAGTCGAATGGGTGGTAATAAAGATGTTGTCCTAAGAAGGTCCACGGGTGTTCTAGGAGGACGAACAGGTGGCTCGGAGAAGGGACAATGGATTGTAGATGGGTGGTTCTCTTGCCTGTCGTAGGTGAACTGGAGGAGAGGCGAAACCAGGCGGGAAAGAAGAGTTGCAAAGGACGGTCCTGGGGGGGAGGAGTTCTCAAAGGCCCTTATGTAAGGCGACTTCGAGGTATGTCGGTATGTCGTGTGTACCTTACCTAGGATGTCTTGGGGATTCATACCTACTTTGCGACTCAAAAGGGAAGGAACGATTGGCCTCACCACAGATGACCCACAGTACCTAGGTACCTCGATGCTCCCAGGAGGTTGAAGATGGCCAAAGAGGTCTTGCTTGTCCAGACTATGTCGGAGATAGGCAGAAAAATGCAGGGAGAAAGAACTCTGAATGTGAAGAGTAGAGGAGGAAATTGACTGGAAGAATATTTGGTTATTTGTCTTACCTGGTAATGCTGGGAATCCTCTGGTTTGGGTGAGGATGGAGACTCTTAGCTGTCGAGCGTATGCTGGAAGACAGGCGAATATTTGCGGGGAGGTAGAGCTCCAAGGGACGAAGGTGAAGGAACATTGGCCTTGGAAAACCTCAAGCACCAAAATTTTGGCAATGGCATGGGCCTGTATTTCAGTCTAGGATAACTTAGACCAACCTCGTGTAAGCCGACCTCGGGAACCCACTACTTAGGGCACTACCTGTTCCTGATAGCACTACATGTTCCTCGATAACATAAGCGACACCTCTCGCCTGCCTGTCAAAGGCGTGTTAAAACAGAGGCGGAAATATGCACGAGACTTGAGGACTGTTATGACATGAGCATAGGATAGACAGGGCGACGGGAAGCCTCATATGTCCACGGTATGACTACGAAAGGGGTTGGATATTGAATTGTCTTGCCTTTCACAGCCATAGTGATATGAACCCACAGAGCTTGCCAAGATTAGTTACCTAGATTTGCGGTGCAGGTTACTTCCTACTTACGAAAAAGCTTGTAGAAAGATGATAATTGGTGGGAGATTAGAAGGACTGAGCGCTCGGCAAGGGTAAGACAGTGGTAAAGATGGCGACACACTAAATCATTAATAACAAAGACCTACTCTCAGGGCCCTCAAAGCTCAACATATTCCCTGTTTCAAAGGACAGCGAGGAGATAGATAGGGGTGTGCGGACAGGTTAGCTGAAAAGAGGGAGATTTTAGAGGAAAGGAATAGTTGCTGAGTCCTGGGACATAGGGGAAGGTTGTCAATTCACCCAGCGTTTCGGCACGACGGAATGGTGTGCTGATTCCACTTCCATGTCATGTAACCGCAGAGGAGACTGATTCGCTTCCTTCTAAATCGCAACTTCGCAAAATGTTAGCTTCGCAAATATGACTATATATAAACCAGACGCATGTGGAAAGGCAACAGAGACTGGAGGCTGTCAGCTTTTTCAAACAACAGCGACGGGGCAGCGAAGCTCTGGTCTGGAGATTAATTCTAAGAGACAAGAGAAGCAAAGAAAGACTCAGCTTGCTAAGACATTGAGCGAATTTAATAATAGCCCAGCAACAAAGCTTAGCCTAGAAGCAGATAATAGTATGTAAGGCTCTCCGCGGTGACAGGGTTAAGAAAAAATATATTGAGGAGTAGCAACTAGGCGTGGGACGAAGGAAGACATAATTATTAAGAGGTGAGAAGGACCTTGATATGATAGATGAAACGGCGAGAGAACAGTGGGAGCTGATAGGGCATTCTCATGTCGTAAATGACACTCCGGGGGACATAAAGTCGAACTCCTAACGTTACTTATGATAAAAATAGTAATCACGCTATGTAGTGGATTTGAGGCGAGTAAACGCAGCTCTAAATGGGATAGCCTCGTGTAGTGAGATTAGAAAACTGACTACAAGGAATTGGGAAGATTACCCTGAATCAAGAGATAGGATGGGCTGAATGCTAAGTGAGCGAGTGGATGTTCTAACCAAGATAGTTTCCAAATAGCAGTAGGTTCCTATGTGTAGGTGAAGAGTTTGAAAACTCATGCCTCCCAACTCTTTGACGCTACTAGATAATTCCATAGCAGTTTGTGGATGAACTCAAGACCGGCTCACTGGAGTGATATATCATTCGTAGCGACAACGAGAGGAGGAGGAGAGACGGAGAAGGTGAGGGTAGGGTCAGTTGCCCAGAATATTGGAAATGTCAGTCCACATCTCCAAGTGTATCGCTGGTGACAGATAGCTCGAAGAACCAAGAAATGTAAGTGCAGACTGGTGTACTCTACTGTTGCCTTGTATCCTCCCCAGCATCGTGGGCGCGAGGGGGTTATTAGATTGCAAGAGACTGATGACAGAACAACTGGAACTCAAGTCATTGCTCAAATTATCAATGGCATTCAACTTCATCTACAACCCGAAAGATGGGTTGACCTAGTCTTGTTTGCCCAAAATCCTTTCGATAGTCGATTTCGGCATACAATAAGACGCGGAAACAGGTGCGAGTCCCGGATATTCCAGTAGGCTTAACCCGGCGATGGCATAGAGGGTATGCCATACATCAACCATATTTCCTGGTCGGTCGGAGATACCCCCTTGTTCGGGGTCCTGGCATCTCAGAATGAAAGAAATAAGCTGGTCCCTATCAATCCAATGGGTCCTGCCAATCATTTCGAGACTGCTCAGAACCCACCAACTATAGCAAACATCCTCTTTCTTCTCGGGCCTGCCGTTTAGCCCACCTCCGGCGATCTGTCTCTCACTGAGCCACCTGCCGAGCTTATCAGCGTCGACGAGGTCCAGCCTCCCTGCGATGGACAAGGCGGCGACGCAGGTGAATATCTGGCCAGCGTGGGATTCGGCGCCCGGACTGACGCCGTACCCGCCATCGAAGTTGCCGCAGGCAACGACGTAATCTACAGCCTTGTCGACATCAACCAGGTGAAGAAGCCCGAGGAGGGACAGCGCGTTGAGCGCGCCGTAGAGGAAGCGAGTGTCTTGCTCGCCCCATTCGTCCCCAGCAAAGGTACCGGTGTCTCTGTTCTGCAGGTCGGCAATAACTGGAATGAACATTAGCCAGGAACAGGTTCCCAAGGAATTATTATGGGAGGGTAAACTGACACTTCCCAACCAGTGCCTTGCCCTTCCCCCTCTTCTCGAGTTCGTCCAATGCATCTATCATGGCGAGAATCTGCACCGCACTGACGGTATAGAGCATGTGTGCGTCGTGGCTCGGAGCAGCTCCGAACCCGCCGTTCTCGTGCTGACATGACAGGACAAAGTCTATTGTCTCCTCTCGTGGAAGGGCCTGCGGGTGGCCCAGTAGATGGAGGGCCGCCAAACCCCAGTAGAGACCATTTAGTCGGAGGTGTTCCGTAAGCCAGTAATCATACTCGTCCTTCCGGGTATCCAAGCTCTGGATATATTTGACATGGGAGGAAGTGGCAAGCTGGACCTCTGGAGGTAGCTCCCCGACAGTTCCAGTCATGGTGGTCGCCTGGTCTGGTTTCCGGCTGGAGCCCTTACGAATAGAAAGCAAAAGTTGAAGCGGTAGGCAGTCGTGCAGTCGCGATTGTCGAGAGGTTCAAAATGTATTACGTAACTAGGTACGCAACAACGACGGGATTCATACCAGCCGTCTGCCAACTGCCAACCGTTAGAGTTAAGTACGTATAGCACTGTACCTTCCCACCGAGGTAAGGCATCTTGCCCGACCAAATACAGAGCGTAACCGATTGACGTCGGACAAAGGCGCATAATGTATTGCGCAACCCATGAACATTCAATGTTGCGGAGTTTCCGTATTTAAGAAACCCGTTTACATAGTAGGGAATGAGTGCGGCTCAGCTTGCCTCACCTCGCGCATGGACCGTTGGGGGAGGTACCCGACATACCTGAGAGGTAGGTAATTACGTACCGACCCAGTTTCAGATCAGCCTGTGTTCCTGGACTAAGCTGGTTATGGCAAGGTGTTCTTGACCCCTCACGCGGATCAATTGTTACTAGGTTGTTACTTCAATGTCAGTGTCACAAAATGTGTCGTTTCTCTGACCGTATTCTCCTCTCCGCGCAGATATTAGATTAGACAGATAAGTTGAGCTAGATTGTCAAAGCAAATATGTGGCATCAGCTGCTTATTTGTCTTGATCAATTTGTTAGTTAAGTCTGTTGAAAAGCAGTCAGCAGGTGAGTGACTAGGTACCTACAGTATTGGAGACACGGACAAGAGGCATGGGCATTGGACTCCCGGGGGGGGGGTGCACGGGCTCTGGGGAATCCCTCTTGCTGACGCAACCAGTGATGAGCTTCCTCTAGCCTGGACGTTTCCGGAGCTTCCATTGTATGGACGTACCTACTGTACGGAGGTACAGACGTAGAATATGGCGAAGAGACCTGACGATTTATTATTAGTGTAGTTCAGCGGTAGGTTAGGTAGACGACTCAGGCAGGTGACCATGCTGCGATAGCATTCCCCTTGCTCCCGGTCTTCTCTAAACAGTTTCGGGCGGGAATGCTGATGATCCGAGCTCTTCACTTCCAGTCCCGGGCCTGGCTCAGATCTCTCGGGACTTGGGCAAAGAAAGGTGGGGGATTGGTTGAGCCATCTCTCTATTCGATATCCCGCTGTGATATAAGATACCTAGGGCCTACATTACGTACCTATGACAGTCTTGAAAGCGGGCGGGCAGCTTGTGACTGACTGTGCTGTACCTACTGCTAGTAAACATTCATTGGTACTATCCACGGAAGTTATGCGTATGGTCACATCCTCAAATTGATTACCTGCCGTAGTCCCAGTTAGTACCTTCGTGCCTTAGGTCGGGTGCCGAGCGCTACCTAATTTCCAGCCCCCCTCAAAGGTAAACCAGGTACGGTAGAATATGCCTTCAAACGTTGCGCCTAACACACAGTAAAATCTAAACACCCCTGATGACACGTCCCTGCACACCATCTGGTTGGAGGGTTTCAGAAAATACTCTCTGGAACCTATCGCAGACGGCCTGGAGGCACGACGGCATCGGGTTTGTGCCAATCTGACCAGAGTCTGGACCATCCCTTGGCTGAGTCTAAGTCTTAGGTTGCCTGCTACCCAAATAGGCGCGCAAGAGGAGAGAAACAAGGGGGCAAGCGAGGGAAAAAAAAGAAACCCCATGAACTGAACGCACGACATCGACCGAAACCGCCGAGTTGTGCACGAGCAACGATCTCCCTTTGCTTGACGACCACAAGCCCACAGCCACAGCCACAGCATCCTTCGTCTCGCTCTTTGCTTCCGCTGCGTCTCCGCTCACGGTCAATCAGGCCCGACAAGCAGCCCTACCTTGCCTCCATTATTTCCGTGCTCCGAGCCTTTTCTGGATTGGTCGCTCATTTGTCGCAGACTCCAATCTGCCTATTTCCCCTTGCTAGGGGCCCCCGACACATTCATACTGCTGCGCACGAGACAGCTGGTGGTTTCCTGCGGCATAGACGGGATCAGGATTCAGGAACAACCAACAGAGCCTGCTATATGCACCTCCCAGTTATTACTAACTGGCGGAGATGGGACGCAAACCCGCACCACAGCCGCTGACACTGGCTGATACCGCTGCCTCGGGCGAAGATCCGCCCGCTGGTGAAACCCTCCCGATTTCTTCGACACCCGACTCCACCTCTTCCAGGTCTCCCCGTTCTCCGTTCAGGTTTGCTCAGAAAAAGCCACAGAAAGTCGGAGGGAGACAACCTCTACAGGCTCCCGACGTCTCACCGCAGCAGCAACAGCTGCCGGAAGAAACCCAATACCCCCCCATATCCTCGGCACTCTACCAAGAACAGCAACAACAGCAACAACAACATCATCATCATCCCGACAACCCCTCGAACCAGCTGCGCCAGCAGCAGCAGCAGCAGTTCCAGCACCAGCAACAGCACCAGCAACACGGCCACAGTCATCGTCGCAAAGTCGAGGACAAGGGGTCTAAGTCGGGCTTCTTCCACCACTTCACCAAGTCAGCCGATCGCCTCCATACCCACCAGCAGGCAGGATCTCGAAGCGAGATTATGTCAAGGGACACCGACCGCCCAGCCACATCAAAACAGAATCTCAAGCAAGCAGGTAAGAAAGCCGCCAACCGTTGCGACCTCCGCAGGGTCGAAGGTAGACCGTACGCGCAAGCTGGGCGATCTGACACTGATGAACACTCTCTAGTGCCTGCTTATCCCGACCAGGTGGCCCAGAAAACTTTCCCATCGACAGCTTCCAAATCCGACCTCTCCCTCGTCTACTCAAACGATCACGACGACCCCAACGGCGTGAAGAAAGATAAACAGAAGCATTTTCCCCTTTTGAACCGGACGAGATCTATCAAGGAGAAGGATAATTCCAGTCCGCAGGGTCACGTTCCAGTTGCGATAAACGTGACCGAACCAGAGAGCGCACACTACCGCGGCCCTCCTTCCCTCAGGACTGCCCCAATCCATGCGCACGACCGATCATTCAGAGAAATGATGTCATCCGCGGTGAGGAATCACTCGGCCGAGCGGCCTCAGGGCAGGGACACATACGGCAACAAGGGAAGAGATCATGATAGGGATCATCATGGCAGATACCAACCCTCCTTTAGGGAAAACGGAGGCTCGACATTTTTCAATGGACTGAGGAGCTCGTCTAGCAAAGCAGCAGACTTGATCAGCAAAGGCCTCTTTGGCAAACCAGCGAGGAGTGGTAGTACCACCGAGAGGGAACCAATCGTGGACGATGAGCATTACGTTCTGAAAGTCATCAATCTGCCCCTTGTTGAGCAGACGCGCCGTACCCGAATTTCGAAGAGGCTGGAAGATTCACGGGACAAGACCGAGTTCTGGATGCCTGCTTTCCCCTGGAGAGCCATCGACTACCTCAACTACAAGGGCAGCGATGTCGAGGGCCTGTATCGAGTCCCGGGAAGTGGCCCGCAGATCAAGAAATGGCAGCGCAAGTTCGATGAAGGTCAGTACCCAGTCCCCCTTCCACCGCCGTCCCCCCCCCCCCGCGCCAACCGGTACCATGTGAACCAGGCTACTAACGATGCTTTTAAGAGGGTGATGTGGATCTCTTTCTCCAGAAAGATCTCTACGACATCAACATCATCGGCTCAATGCTGAAGGCATGGCTGCGGGAACTGCCCGACGAACTCTTCCCCAAGGATGCTCAAGACAGAATCGCAAGAGAATGCGTGGGCTCGGAGACGGTCCCACAGCTCTTGATCGACGAGCTCTCCAACCTCACGCCATTCAACTACTATCTCCTCTTTGCGATAACATGCCACTTGAGCCTTCTGCTCGCTCACTCGGACAAGAACAAGATGGACTTTCGCAATTTATGCATTTGCTTCCAGCCCTGCATGAAGATTGATGCCTTCTGCTTCAAGTTTTTGGTATGCGATTGGAGAGACTGTTGGAAAGGTTGCAAGAACGAAGCGAAGTTCATCGAGGAGGAGTACGCGTTGTTTGACCAGACGCCTCCTCGGAGACTTGAGGACCCCTATGGAACTAGCCCTGAAAGGGGGGTGGAAGATCGCAATGTATCCTCCTCGGACAGCAGCAAACAGTCGAACCGCAGCGCGGACAACCGAAAACCTCGACTGAAGAAGAAGGCGCTGCCTGCGATCGAGAATGCCAGTGTTGAGGCAAACTCAACGGTTTCGACGACCGTCACCATACATAGCGGGCGAGAGACACCATCTCGAAGGTCCGGAGATCTTCGCCCGTTGTCCCCTATCCAGCCACTGTCGCCTTTGGGCTTCTGAGCCGGGGGGGTTTACAGGCAATCCCTTGACACTCCGAACCTCTTGATTTTGGCGAGTCGGTCATTTCGCTATAAATGACCGACTGGCCCACTCCAGTATACTTACGACATGACGCCACTGACGACTTTCCTTTGTCTTGATCGATTTGACTCGATCTTCCGTCACTTCGACTGCACGACATAGCCCTACCAGAGTCATAGAGGCGAAGGCGGCTTGCTTTGACTTTCTTTTTCTTCCTCTTCTTCTTCTTCAGCAAGTGGACTAGTTTTATGATTTGCTGCGTTGTTTAACTGGAATACCCTCTTCACGGCATTTGGAATGGTTTCAAATCGGAGCCTCAAGTTTGGAACAACAGACCCCATCATCCTGGAATTGTCCCATGCTTCCCTTATTTGTCGCGACCGTGTTTTCGATATTACGTGCTGGGCCGGTCTTGAATACCGGTCCTACTTCCTCATGGGGCGGGGCATCTGTCCATCCCAGGAAGCTTGCCGGGTGGAAAGTTTTTGGCTTGACGGAGATGCTGATGGGCATCTTAAACGAAGGTGACGAGAGGCAAGCATTGATACGACAATGCTTGGTCTCTGGCGGCGAAAAAGGCTTCGGGAAAGGAAGGTGCCGGAGTCCCCTTTGTACTGTACAATACACAACGGCACGCAGAACTGAAAGTGAATGCATAGCGAGGCGAGAAATCAAATGATCATTTCGGCTCGGAGGGGGGCTCCTTTGTGCCTTACTTAGGCTCAAGGGATTGACCATCATGGTCGACTTGGATCGCTCCGCTCCGGGGAATGAGTTTATAAAACCTCCGCAGCATAACATGACCCTTAACTCCAACTAACAGGCCCGCAATACCTTCCCTTATAACGCCATAGTGATGATGAATGTCCCAGCCCTTCCCAGCCCGACATGCCATGAAGTCGTCTTCCACTTTATCCCATCAGTTGCCTCCTCCCTCTGACCTCCGCATGTTTTTCCTCATCAGCCTCTCGTTCCGCTTGACCCTCTCCTTCCTCTCCCGCCGCTTATCCCCCTGCACCGTCGTGCCCTCCTTCCTCTCCGCCTCCTTCTTGGGGTCCACCTCGACCAGCCAGTCGTTCTCGCCGGCCTTGTTGGCGCCCTTGTAACCCCACTTGCGCTCCCACTCGCCCGTGGCCTCGTTGTGCTGCAGGTTGCGCCGCTGCTCGCGCGTCTTGGTCTTGATGCCGCGCTTCTTGGCAAATGCCTCCCACTTGGTCTCGGCCCGCTCCACCGGCACTGGCTTCTCGCGCGGCAGGGGCGTCGTGCTGGGCGGCAGGGACAGCAGCACGCCGGCCTCGCTGGAGGAGATGGGGCACGTCGTCAGGAGCTGCGATATCAGCACCTGCGCCCCGTCCCGGGCGACCTGCCGGAGAGAGCCCTCGACATCGGAGGGGTCCACAGCGACGGGGTTTGGGTCGTTGGCTAGCAGGAGGCCGAGGTCGAAGGTGTAGGGTGTCGGCTTTGTGACCGCTACGGCCAGCTTGGGGCGTGAGGCCGGGACAGACATGCTGGAGTTTGCTGTGTGTGTGTTGAGCTGTCCGGGAGTGGCACAATGGGAAAATGCTGGACTTTTGCTTGCTTGGTTTTAGGTTCTAAGCGGGCAATGAAGACTGCGAACATTTTTTTGGCGGTGATGGGTTGCAGTAGTTCAGCCTAGCACCTAAGGATTGACTGCTTTGATTGGCTGGAACGGCCGAAACTTAAAGCGACTCCGTATCCGTGCAGCTCAACGCCTGGCGGGTGGACCGAATTTATTTGCTCTTGGGAGCAAAGAAAAGGGACCGGGCAACTTTGCGATGAGACGATAGATACCGACCGATTCTACAACAGCCGCAAGGGAACACTTACACGCCCGCCATGGCGGCACCCAATTGCCTGAGATGCCTCTTGCGGCCCTCCCCTGCAATGGCAATCCCCCGAAGGCTAGCACCAGTCACAATATCTACCGCGCCGTTCTCCTCGTCCGCTGCCACGCTCTACGCTTCCAAGCCCGCGAGCTCAAGCATGTCGAAGCATATACGTGCGGGCAAGAAAATGAAGCTCGGCAAATTCAAGAAAAAGAAGAATATCGATCGCGGCAAACCTCCTGCGCCTGGCGAGCGGAAGGCCTTCCGGAAACGCATATTGCTCAGCAACAACAACGCCCTGTCTGTTCCGGGCCTGGGGGAGCTCAGCGCCGATGCAATGCTTGATCCCACAAAGACGGGCCGCGTGCTCGCCATCCCGAACGAACTCGTGGACCAATTGCGCGCGGTAGAAGCCTTCAAGCCGTCACAGTGCTGGGGGCTGTTCCGACAGCCCTCTATCCTCGTCCGCGCGGAGACGACGGACCTGGCTAAGAGGATGCAGGACTCTGCGCGGAAGCAGGAGACGCTCAGATTGGTTATTACAGGGGAGAAGTTGGCCGGAAAGAGCACGCTCCTCCTCCAGTCAATGGCGTATGGGTATCTCAACGGCTGGATTGTTTTCAATATCCCTGAAGGTGAGTCCTTGCTACCTTGCTAGGATCGCTCTCCCTTATTGAGCCAGGAGTCTGATCTCTTCACAGCGCAAGAACTCACAACTGCGTGCACCGAGTACGCCCCAATACCGGGCACCGACCCCGTACAATACAGCCAGCAGTCCTACGCACTCAAGATGATGCAAGCCCTCCGCAAATCTAACGAGCGTGTACTCTCCAGTCTCAAGACGGTCCACTCGCATCCCAACCTCGTGCAGCACTTCCCCGTGGGTACATCGCTCTTGCAGCTCGCCAACGGCGCCAAGGAGGCCGACAACGCCTGGCCCGTCTTCAACGCGGTCTGGCAGGAATTGACCGTTCAGGGCCACGGCCGGCCGCCGATCCTCTTCGCCCTGGACGGCCTCGCCCACGTCATGAAGATCAGCGCCTACCGCTCGCCCGCCTTCGAGCTCATCCACTCGCACGACCTCGCCGTCGTCCGCCGCTTCGTCGACTGCCTCTCGGGCGCGGCGCCGCTCCCCAACGGCGGCGCCGCCATCGCCGCCACCAGCAGGGGCAACGCGCCGCGCACGCCGTCCATGGAGCTGGCCCTGGCCCAGCGGGAGGCGGAGCGCGACGGCACCGAGCCCCCCCGGAGGGAGCCCTTCTCCCGGGGCTACGACGACCGCGTCGACGCCGCCCTGGCGACCGTCCAGGTGCTGCGGCTCAGCAGCGTCGCCAAGGCCGAGGCGAGGGCCATCATGGAGTACTGGGCGGCGAGCGGGCTGCTCAGGACCGCCGTGGATGAGCCCACCGTGAGCGAGAAGTGGACCATGGGCGGGAACGGCATCCTGGGGGAGATGGAGAGGGCGGCGTTGCGGACGATGAGGCTTTGAGGGGGTATGTGACGGGCCTAGATGATAGAATGCGGAGCTTCTTTTCCATGTCTACCTGGTTACCGGGAACTGCTCATTCTTTCCATCTGTACGCACTCTGTATTGTATAAGAGGGAGATATGGATGAACGATGTACCATAAAATCATTGCTAAGATACATACCCCTTTAGAAAGGGTGCTATTTTCGGGACTTAGCAGGTTAGAACGTGATTCTGCGAGAGCTTTGCATAAAGTTGTCTGCATATTAATTCTTCCATTTCCTAACATGAGTCAATTCGATCGTCTACAGCTTCCTCTGGTTATCCCGAGAAAGATTCCACTAAAACGCCAGTCCCAGCTCCCCACGAAACCCCTACATGAACACACAAAGCACAAAAGACATCAATCAGGCGCGTAACCCCATGTATCGGCTCTAGAAGTCGACATCGTCTCCCATATCCCCGTTGTTGGAGGTGACGAACACCAGTCGGCTGCTGTTGCCTGCAGTTTGCCAGACCTAAAGAAGAAGAAGAAGAAAGTCAGCTTGCATGTCCCATCAAAAGAACAAGAAGGGAGTGTCCTAGGCCGGGAATTACTTACGTCGAGTGTGGTGTACTCCTCCAGCGCATTCAGCCACTGGTCCTCGGTGAACCCCTTGGCGATGACCCGCTCCTTGACCTTCCTCATGCTGAGCTCGATGCCGAACTCGCCGTCCTCGTCGTCCTCGCCGCCCGCGTCGTCGGGCCGGCAGGCGCCTGAGTCGGCCAGGCCCTTGACGAGGTTGTAGATCCTGCTGCTGGCGTTGAGGGCCCTCCTGCCGGCGCCGGCGCCGCCCGGGTCGGTGGCCAGGCTGTCCTTGCTGGCCTCGACGAGGCGCAGGGCCTCGTCGACGTCGTCCTGCACCACCTCGTTGCTGAAGCGCAGGCGGGCCAGCGCCTGCGCGAGGCGCACGACGCCGAGCAGCGTCCGCGGCGTCGTGTGCGCGAACTGCTTGCCCCGCTTCTCGGCGCGCCGCTGCTGCTCCCGCAGCCGCACGTACGTCTTGACCAGGTACTCGGACACGGACGCGGGGACCACGGGCCGGAACGTGCGCGCCTGCGCGACGTAGGCGCGCACCTCGTGCGGCGTGAACACGACGCCATCGGCGGTGCCGAGGTCCGGGTGCCGGCTGTTCATGTGCACGAAGGCGACGTGCTTGGCGAGCTGGGCGTCGGTGTCGCGGGACGGCGTGTCGAGGATGAGGAAGAGGATGTCGAAACGGGAGAGCAGGGCGGCCGGCAGGTTGATGTTCTCGACGGGCGAGATGCGCGGGTTGTAGCGGCCGTAGATGGGGTTGGCCGCCGCGAGGATGGAGGTGCGCGCGTTGAGGGTGGTCGAGATGCCGGCCTTTGAGATGCTGATCGTCTGCTGCTCCATGACTTCATGGATCGCCGTCCGGTCGTTGTCGTCCATCTTGTCGAACTCGTCGATGCAGCAGATGCCGTTGTCGGCGAGGACGAGAGCACCACCTTCCAGGACCATCTCGTCGGTCACTGGGTCTCGCATCACAGCGGCCGTCAGACCGACACCGCTGCTGCCACGGCCAGAGGTGTAGACGCCACGGGGCGCCACCTTGGAAATGTACTTGAGCAGCTGAGACTTGGCCACACCCGGATCACCCATCAAGCAGACGTTGATGTCGCCACGGATTCTCATACCGTCACCCATTTCTTTGGTAACACCTCCGACCAAGAGAAGCAAGAGGGCCTTCTTGACGTCTAGATGGCCAAAGATTTCTGGTGCAATAGACTTGGCCAGATACTCGTAGACGTGTCCCGACTGTCTGAACTCGTCGATCCTTCGCACCAGCTTGGGGTCGATTTCCATCTCGTCGTACGCCTTCTTGTGTTGACGAATGTGGTGAGCCTCAACATAAGTGTCGGTCAAGAGACCTGCACGCATCGCCTTGAAACCAGTGTATGGAGTTGGGAGGAAGATACCGGCAACGTCGACAACGTCACCAGGGCTGATCTTCCGGACGAGGCTACCATAGCAAAGAATAGTCAAGGTTCTCGGGATTTGTCCAATAGGGACCTGCTCAGCGAGCTCCTGGACCTTGACCTCCTGGAAGGGCAGGAATTTGGAGGCTCTTGATGAAGGATGCAGCTGTCCCTTGGCCTGGTTGGCCTTGCAGTCCCGGGATGGGCAGATGGTCAAAGGGCCAAACTGCTTGTCCGTAACAGGCTGGAAGATCTCGCAGCCACAGCGGTCACAGGTATAAGCGCTGACTTGGACAATAGGCTTGACATCCGAGACCCGAGTGGCGATGCCGCGCACAGTGATCAGGTGGCCGAGGTGGTCGCCGCGAACTTGACGAACTGACAATGTCTTAGCCGGGCTTGTGAGAGTGATTTCTCTCGGCTTGAACACAAGTGTGTATCGTCGCGTAAGTTGAGCTGGGAATTGATCTTCCACGATCGTCGGGTCCACGGTCCTCTCGGCCGCCTCTTCCAGCTCGCGATTCCGTTGCTGTCTCCGTGCCATCAAGACGTCAAGAACATCGTCCTTGAATGTGATATCCTCGCTCGGCTGGGGCATCAACTTGTCGACAGCCCTAGAGAGGAGCTCAACGTAATGCTTCGTATTTGTTTCGACCGACTTCACAAGTTTGAGGCCTTCGTTGACTTGCTCCTCGTACTTGACGCCCTGTCAGTAAATAGATTCGCGGGGTATGACATGGCGATGAGGAAAAGGCCTTACTGTTGCCAAGTCGTCTAGGTCAACGACAACCTCATCGATGTCTCTGTCTGCTAGTTTCTGGAGCATGTCCTTGTACTTGTACTGCGGCAATCGACTCCGAGCCCTTTCTTGGACGCGACGCTCTTCCCCCTCTTCGTCGTCCATAAAGTCATACTCATCGCTCAGGTCATCGGCGTCGATATTAATATTGCCGAGGCCATGGGTAATGGCCTGCTCGGGCGAGGTCTTGAATTCTTCTAAAAAGCTCTCGAAGGCACCTGCACTGGGTATTAGTGTAACTGCATGGACAGGCATGGTGAACGCAGGACATACTCTGTTGCGCCGAATAGTCGACAGGCTTCTTATACTCCAAAAGGGCCATGATTGTTTACTTCGTGCCGTTGGCCGCCGGAGATGATAGACAAGAAAGGAGAGCTTGGTGTTGGGAATCGAGGGACGTGGTGAGAGAGGATCGCAAGTCTGAATTGGCTTCAGAGAGTTTTGCGACACTAACAAGGGTGGCTTGGGACATTGCACGCGCCATGACGGCGGAAAGTGGAGGCTGGGAACGCGTCAGGGGGTCAGAAATGAAGACGCGTTTTCGCGACTCGTTCGTGTTCCTGGCATTAATTGAAAGCGCTCGGACCTGCTAGGACATTTGTAAGCTCAGCCACATGCCAAGGCCCTGACTGTGGCTGAAAAGGTTAGCCCCGCAGTGGGATAACCCTTCGTCTTGTCCGTCATGGTGGGGTTGTCTGGGAAGATGTTTACTTCCATACAACCTCAACACTTTATTTAGAACCAGAACAATCGCAACCATGACTCACTCGTTCGAGCCGCTACAGAATGATCTACTCCTACGGGCCGCCTGGGGTAAGTAAGAACCACGAATACGCTCTTTCAGGTTGCTTTGAACCCTCGATTAACCAGCTTCCAGGCCAGAAGGTGGAACGGCCCCCAATGTGGGTGATGAGGCAAGGTGCGCTCAACTCCCTTAGTCCATTTAAACTGCCTTCGGCTTGGCCGGAACTTTTAACTAAATTACGAATATAGCTGGCCGTTACCTCCCAGAGTATCACGAGGCAAAAGCCAACCGGGATTTCTTCGAGTGCTGCCGAACTCCTGAGATCGCATCGACCTTGACCCTCCAACCAATTGATCGGTTCGCGGGCCTCATAGATGCCGCTATTATCTTCTCCGACATTCTGGTGATTCCCCAGGCTATGGGCATGGACGTCCAAATGGTCGACAAGAAAGGACCGCACTTCCCAAACCCTCTGAAGAGCCCCGACGACGGTCAGTATGCGCAGGTGATGGAACGCCAGGTGGATGTTTCCAAGGAGCTAGGCTATGTCTACGATGCCATCACGATGACAAGACATAAACTTAAGGGAAGAGTGCCGCTCATTGGGTTCTGCGGAGCCCCCTGGACACTGCTCTGCTATATGGTTGAGGGCGGAGGGACGAAAATCTTCCAGCACAGCAAGGCGTGGATCTACAAATATCCAAATGAAGCGAAGGCTCTCTTGCAGAAGATCTCTGAGCTATGCGTTGAGCATCTTGCGCTACAGGTGAAGGCAGGCGCTCAGGTATGCAATTTCAGTTGTTGACTGTCCCCGACCAATTTGCTGACCCCTCTTCCAGGCCGTCCAAGTCTTTGATTCTTGGGCTGGTGAACTGTCGCCAGCGTCATTCAAGGAGTTCTCGGAGCCCTACCTAGCCTATATTGCAAAGTACTTGCCGCTAAAGCTGCGTGAGCTTGGCCTAGATGTGGTGCCCATGATTGTCTTCCCCAAGGGCGCTTGGTATGCCCTGGATTCCGTGTCGAACTTGGGCTACAATGTTGTTGGCCTCGATTGGACTCATGACCCGGCGGAGGTGGTCAAGACGATAGGCGACCGCCCGATCGTGATTCAAGGCAATGCAGACCCAGGGGTCTTGTACGGGTCGCATGCATCCATAACGGAGGTCGTCAAGAAGATGGTAGATGGTTTCGGGTGGGCGGAACGGAGGAGAGGCTGGATCGTTAATCTCGGACATGGTAAGCTTCAGAGTTGACATGTCTATGACCTCGAGCTGACTGATACACCCAGGGATAACACCATTCGTCAACCCAGACGATTTGAAATTCTTCTTCCAAGAAGTCCATCGCCTTACTGTCTAACCTGTGCAGCAACGTGTTTAGGATGGGTGCTGAGCCGGGGATCTGTAGGATGAGGCCGCTTATAGAGGGTCTCCCACGCTCGCAAGGTCGACCCAAAACCTGTTTGTCATAAGCTTGGAAATCTCATCTCTTGATCATCACTTACCATGATACCTTCCAAGCGCGTTTGCCGTGGAGACTCCTACACACTCCCTGACTTTGAGGATTTCGAATCGAGACATCGGCAGAACACCATCCATCATCCCCAAAATCTCCTAGGTGATCCCGCATCAGCCGAGCGGCGAGTGCTTTTGCCAATCCGCGGCCACGATATGGTTCCTAGAGGGAGTCAGCCCTTCGAGTAGTTCCGTTCCAAATGGTGTATGCAATATTACCACGCTTACCTCGCAATGGAGACTTGTCAGCGATCCGTCCAAGCCCAAGAACGCCCAGGCGATTGGGGTTCCGTCATCAAGCCGTATCGCCGTGTTCGGCAGAAGCAGCAGCGTAGCCCTGCAATCACCATCTTAGCAAGCCAGCCCAATTCTCACGGGCTGCGTAGCAACACTCTCCGTAAGCTCGAAAGCGCAGACTTAGGGAAGCCGGGGGCTCACGCACTCCTTCCTGGGTATCGCCGTCCGCGCCCTAACAAGCGCCGCATCCCCACTGTCTCGGATGGCGTCCCAACGCATCCCCGCCGGTAGCTCCCCACCGCCGCCGCCACCGGCCCCGGCCAGGTCCTCCACCCGGAAGAGCCACTTGTCGTAGAAGTCCCACCCCACCCCCCTGGGCGTGACGCCCGTCGCTCGCACAGAGACCCCGGCCCCGATCAGCGCCTGCCGCACCGCCTCGTGCAGAGACCCCATCAGCACGGTGCCGGGTCGCCGGGCGCCCGGGTCCGGGTCTCGCTCCGGGGCTGCCGTCGCGGTGCCGGCGGCGTACTCCGTCTCGATCTTGCGCATCCGCCGCAGCAGCGCGAGCACTTGCTCGACGCACGCGCCGGCCGGCGCGGCAGCGCCGCTGCTGGAGGTGCTGTCATTGTCGTCCTCCTCGAGGGTGGAGTACAGCCAGCTCTCGGTCTCGGGGCCGCGAGACGGGTCGACGTAGGCTGCGGCGAAGCGTGCCGGCGTGGGCGGCGGGCCTGTCGGATCGGGGCCGGCGTGGGCGGTCTCGGGCGTGTAGGCCAATAGGATGCGCGCCACCGGGGTCGAGGCGCCCCTGAGGCGGTGGGCGGATTGGAGGCGGCGGAGGAGGGGTAGGGAGAAGGGGAGGTGGCCCGCCAGGAGGGCGAGGATCCACTCGGGGACGTGCGGTAGGTCCTCGATTTTCACGGTCATTTGGGTGGTTTCTTCGGCCACGTTAAATAGGGGTTGGTAGGACCATTGCTGTTCAATCTGGAGGAGGGGAAGGGCTCTCCGCATCTATGTCCCATAGTAATTTATGGTTGGGCTCGGAACTAAAGCCGGCCGTTGGGCCCTAGGAGCGACCTAATCGCCGGGGTCCGTCAAGGAAACAATCCGGGGGTGGATGTCGTGACCGTGAAAAGATTTTTCATTCGTTACCCATAATCGCAACTGCGTAACTGCGTGGCAACAAAACCCATAACCATGCCTTCCATGCTCCGCGTAAACAAGTAGCGCTCAATCCATCGCGTCCCACAAAAAGTAAAAAGCCTTGCGAAACGCCTGCACTCAAAAGCCGTAGGGGTATGGATAGATGATACAGTAAAGCCCGACGCAAATGTCTCTCATAAATGATTCCTCAGATGGAAAACCCCCCAACAGGGAAAAGACGTGGGCCCCTCGAATAAGCGGCGACAAGTCCCGCAGACGCCCCGGGGGGGCGCCTCACTTCTTGCCGAAGAAGAAGTTCTTGCCCTTCTCGGCCCAGCCGCTCGGCGACTCGGCGTCCGTGACGGCGCTCTCGTCATCCTTCCCCCGCCCATCCTGCTCTGCGGCCCGGACCTCGTCCGGGTTGACGACGTTGCCGTTGCCGCCGCGCCCGACGTGCGTGGCGCCGTGGCTGGGTCGGCGAGCCACTCTGAGGCCATGTTAGGAACTCGTCCGTCCGTGAGGGGTTTCCCCCTGACTCAATCACCACGGGGCCCCCCTCAAAATAACATAGGTAAAAGCGGATAATGGAACTTACGGCTCGACGTCTTGGAGAGCGCGGGTCTCTGCCGGATCGGTGTTCTTGGCCATGTTGCCGGAGCCGCCGCGGCCGGTTGTCACGACGGACTCCTTCAGCGTGGGCGTCTCCAGGTCTTGGGGCTTGATCTTGGGGGACTTTGTGCTGTCGACGATGTTGCCGGCGCCACCACGGCCGGAAGACTGGAGGTGCGACATGTGGAAAATGGAGCTTGTGCAATATTTGGAGACCAAACTTGACGTGTGATAAGATATGGGGCGAGATATAGATGCCTACTTCATATTATTCACCAGTAGAGGATTAAAAAAGAAAGAAAGCTTGGTTGGTGTATCAATGAATGAATGCCTGGAGTGAGTCTCGCCATCGACCTGGAGGTGTTAGTCCAATCCGGTGGGGCAATTTTGGTCACAAGGATGGAAACCCCTTGCGCTAAAAAATTGGGCAAGTCTCGCCCCTCAGTCTTGCATGTACGTAGTACGGACGTACTTTACGAGGCTCTCGTTGGGTCCAAGTAATTGAGACACGTCCCGGCCAATTATCTACTGTGTACCTGTGTACCTTGATTAATTCTTTTGGTGTGTGACTGGAGCATGGACGGGAGTCTAAAGACCTGGTTCGACAATCCGGGCACCTCTCCGGATTAATAAGTCTCCTCCATACAAATCGATCTGCCCGACCACGATGCCTATATTTGACAACCAGAGTCTCCCCAAGAACCTAACCTATTCTAAAGCCAAGTGATACAGGCCCTATGCAGCAGATCCTAGCATTACCCAGTACCCTCCGTCAGGCCCACCACTTCGTATCAAGCCCGCTTTTGCTGTATTTGTATCTCTCTGCAACGGAAACGATGTAGATAGGATCGTGCCAGGAAACTAAGGGGAGGGAAACGAAAATGGAAATGGAGACATCCACCCGACCGTTCAATGCAAAAATCCGCTCGGTTCCATTCTATAGGGCCATCGGTAACATTCCTGAGGGGGCCGACCAGCTAAGTAGGAACAAAAATAAATATGTAAGCAAGGAATTGGTCGTGAGTGAACGCGGCAGAGGGCCACCACCGGTCTAAAGTCGAGCAAAAATGAAAATGAAAAAGCAGAGTGACTGGTTGTCAAACGCAGCTTCTGCTCTCCGCCTCGCCATAGCAGGGAACAGCTTCCCAAGGGGTATATATCCAGGCATACTCAGCAGGTCAATGCCAACGACCGTTGTTGTCCAAAGCTCCAAGATGAAAACAAAGTGATTGTTGGTACTAGCTGATCGGATTGGCAGAACGAAGCCCGAATCCGACGACGGTTAAACCGCAATTCCTTCAGTCGTAGTCATCATCGTCCTGGTTCCCGCCTTTGGCGTTAGCCCCCTCCTTTCGGATAGGGATTTTGATGCCCTGCGTTGCGAAACATTTGCTCAGTCCGGTGCTCTCGCAGACGCCGGGGAATTTCTTGGCCGAGTACACCTGGAAGACGTCGCTGAAACAGGAGGCAAGGACTGGGGCTTTTCCAGTGTTGACGATGGAACTCGAGTTGCCTTGCTGTCCGTTGAGAGCAGAAGATGGCGGTCCGACGTTTACAAAGGAGAATCGCAGCCTGCAAGGCTAGTTAGCTTGCCCGACCTCGTGAGAATCAGTACGCGTAGATGACATACCTGAAGAGACCTTCGGTCCGAACACTAAGATCTTGCAGAATGAACCAGATTCCTATCCTATCCGATGGGTCGGTCAGGCGGAAGGCGCTGGCCGCGAGGCTTCCGATGAGATTTCGGGTGAACATCCCCTGCGGCTGAGTGCCTGATAAGGAGAGGCGTTGGGTCATCGCCATGGGATCATACACCCGTGGGGGCCCATAGGACACTCCCCCTTGAGACGGCAGGTGAGGGACGGGCTGCTGAAACTCGCCGGGGAAGTATTGGTTTGCAGGAGAGTAACCGTTGGCCTGCATATATCCACCTTTTCGTGACAATGTCAGTAAACGAGAAAATATGTGTCAGGGGTAGATTTCGAGCATACCAGAATATCCCTGCTGCACGTAAGTGTTTACCGCAGGGGAATGGTAGGACGGCGGCATCTGACCACCATACTCTTGACGATTAGACGGGAGAATATGCGCGTATGCCGGAGTGGCATGTTCTAGGGTGGCGAACGAAGCAGGGGTGGTCGACGATATGGACGGGGTCGCAGTCGTGTGACGGACTAGGTTGACCTCCTTGGTCGCGTCCTCTGACCACAGATCGACATTCAGAACATACATGGTATGTTCAATCTCGCTGGCCACAAATGTCAGGGTCCGCGCATCACGGTTTACTTGGGCTGCGACTTACTTGCAGTCCACCTCCTTCCCCGTATGGACGTCGGTTATGATCAGGCGAACGCATGGAGGCGGAGTAATGGGCCGACGATCCTGATCCCGGCAGAGTCAGTCGTGCGGCTCGTCAGGGGTTTGCGCGATAGGAACGCAGGACTTGCCTTGTCTCCGAAGCCACACATGCGCGCCCGTTGCGGCTGTTGCACAACATCCAGACTATTGTGAACCTGAGTTAGACATGACCTCACGAGTTGAAAGAATGGATGCGCCGAGTGGTGGTAGAGGACTGGGGAGCGGGTGCAACCTACGCATATCTCCGTGTGCCATCGGTGGTCGAGTAAGGCTTAAGGTTCTCGCGTGAAAGCGCCTGTTGCTCTGCGGTCTTGGTCTCTTGGACGGGAGATGTCGAGGTCGGCACTGGTTCGACAAGGGGCGCAGGCGGCTGGCCATAAGGATCGCCGTAGCCAGCGGCCGGCGGCGCAGACATTGAGGGCAGCTGCGAGACGGGAGGTGGGGGCGGGTATGAAGATGCTGGCGGAAGAGGGAGTTGAGGATGGAGGTCGTGTTGTAAGCTGTGAGCCGGTTGGTTCTGAGGAGGGTATGGGTGCATGGTGACCAGTCCTGCCCAGAGGATGGCTAGCTAGATCTTTGTGGGTTCGGTTCGACGAACTATCCCCTCTCCCGGCCCCGGCACCTCTGGGTGTTCAATATAAGGAGACCTGCTCAATGATGCCCGCGCGTTGGAGGAGGCGATACTCGATCGCGGACTAGCGGCGTGTAAATGGGAGGATCAGACGGTGGGGGGAGGGGGGGTTAAGAGCGGGGAGACAGAAATAGTATCGGGTCTTGTCGCTCAATTTACACGCACTTTCGTTTGGTTGGGCGCAATGCGCGAGTCGGGATAGCAGTGTCGTTTTCGCAGCAAGGTTGAGGCGCAGGTAGGGGGGTTGCAGATAGGAACCTTAAATCGCTCTCGAGCTTGTCGAGCTTGTCGAGCTTGGGTTTCGTTCGATGTGGGTGGAGAGGAAGGTGGGCGCGTGGGTGGTTTATTAGGTAGATGGGCGAACCAACAAGTGGAGGCCGCTTCCCGAGTCACGGTTCGCGGTTAGGCCAACTTTTATTTCCCCAGGTCTGGTCGGTACCTCTCTGTCGGTAGCTTCTAAGCTGTCAGCTCTGCTTTGTGAAGCCGCACCTATCCGGGCAGTCCCAAAGCGGAACTCAACCACACACGCCGTGCGGGCTGCTTTGTGGGCTTGGAAGCTCACCTCTCCTCACTCGGCTTGCCTGTCGACTTAGAACCGAGTTCTAATTTCGCGGTGGAGTTGTGGTTGTGCCAAGTTCAAGTATTCAGACGATAACCAAAAGGTCTCAGTGGTTCCCACAGCCAGTCCTCAGCCGCGTCGAAAATTAGACCTGGGCAGGAAAACGGATGAATGTAATATGGGAACGTTGCAGAGGGCAGGTCAGCCGAAGACCACAAGCGGAATTGGGGCACGGCCGGGGAATTGCGAGATGCTGGGTGGCAATTATTTTGTCGTTCAGTACCTGAATTTGGCTAACTGGGAAGGAAGGGAAGAGGGAGAAGAGATTGCGCCTTTGCCTCTTATTTATGAAGGTTCTATGGTGTTCCTCGACAGAAACGGGATTTGCGTCTTGAAGCTGATCAATGGCGCGCTAAGCTCTCGATGTGAGAAGCATCCTTCAAGCCTTTGAAGAAGGCTACCGGGGGGGGGCAATCAGACGAGACGAGCGCCGCAGGATACACACGGACGTTTTCAGTGGTTGCGTTGCCTTGCATTCCGGGATACCTGGGACTGCCTTACGGCTGTCCATATTCGCACTAGCCTGAAGGATAGAGGCGTTAGGGCCGGGCAGGTAACACCTAGGGAGGTACCTGTAATTTGGAGACAGGTACATCCAAAGGAAGTTGGGTTATATGCAGATACAGCTGGTCCCACGAAGGTTGGAGGGGGAAATAATGTACATTCAACAGGCCAGGCCGCTGCAGAGGCTCCTTCCAAGTCCCTAAGATTTCACACAACCATAGGTATTGTTTTTACGGCTAACACAGCTGCAGCGTACGGAATACACTGGGATCTGTGGGCTGAAATCGGTTGCCTTTTATGGTCCCTGCCATGCCTGACCCACCGACATTGTCCCGTACACGTCCTTTCGCCTGCAGCCATCTGGTTTGGCCAGGGCCCGGGCTAGGAACCCAAGACGGGACGGCGACATGACATGGGGGCAGCAGCCGGCTTCCACTTACCAGGGTGGCCAAATAGTCTCGCACAAAAATAGACATAGCTTGAGATTGCGATTTGCGCCAACTTGGTCGCTTCGTCGCTTCATGTCGCCATCTCACGCCCGTCATGTCTCTACTATGTGCACACTATTGTCTTTGTGGGCGCTTGTTCAGATGCAGCGGACTACTCTACAGGCCGTGGAATGAATGATAACCTAATGAGGGGGAGAATTAGATAGGTCAGGTACCAACCTAGGTATATGCGTACGTTGTCTGAGGTACCTAGTCCTGGAGGCAGATCACCACCGTCTGTGGGGACCCCTGAATCACCGGCGAACCGCCTGCCGGGGAATAATTGCATGCTCCGTGATAATAATAATAATAATAATAATAGTGTAGTTCCGCTCCTTCCTCTTGTCCCTCTCTCTGATAGTGGATGGTGGTATTCGTTGTGCACCAAGATAGGTACCAAGGTGGTGGATGCGATTCCCGCGAATACGGTTAGGAGGTCACAAGATGGTGTGTCATCATATTGCAATCAAACCGTTGGTAACTAGCCCGTGTCCGAACGGCTGCAAACCTACCTACACATTACAAGTAGGGAAGGTGGAAGGAAGCTGGCCATTGCACCAGGTCTATCCTTGCCAAGCATCTGTGTCCATGGTGGCCCGATCAGCTGGGCTGGGACAATAATGTGGAGTGTAGATCCATAACACCTTGAGATGCGGTCGCACCTGGCTGTCTGACGAGCTCTGACGAGCCTTCAACATGCAGCACAGAGCTGCAAGTACACGTACACTCCTCACTGATCTTCTCCCCAACGATGAAACTCTTGGCATAGGATGGGCTGGCAATTGGCATCCATGGGGTTGACATGGTTCGAGGTGGAGCTGTGGTGGTCAAGTGGCGTCAGGGGTTATCAGTAGCGCCGCAACTGATTGGGCATTGTGGACTGTGATGCCTTCCTCCCCCCCCTTGGCCTGGGACCTTGATGCCGGATCGGCGCTGTCGTCTGAACTCGCCAGATCATCCAATGACACCGCAGAGACTCATCAACCGATCCAACCTGCCATCTCCCATCCCGGGTTGTCTCCACACTGAGAATGGCGCTATCTACATACTATGCGGTAGTAGCGCGGCGTCCCTAAAGATGGAAAAGCGTCCAAGCCAAACCTCGCGAACCAGCGACCTAGGCTTCTCATTAACTCAGATGCGGGACTACTAGGTCGGTGTAAGTTACAACATAAGGTGAGAAACGGCTCCCGAGCTCGGCGAGATATATGCGCTAGCCTCTATGCCATGTCACGTCAGCCGTTCCACCGCTTTGGATCAGCAGCCAGATGCGGCCTGCCGCGACAAATTATGGTCAAATTATGGCCCCTCCACCTCGGCAGCGTCCAGTCCCAGCGCACGATAGTGTACATTAGTGCAGTCAAACGGGCGCCTTGCATCGGAGATTTTTCCAGCGACCGAGCCTTTTTGTCCTTCTGTCGCTTCCCAAGCGGAAAGCTTCCAGATGTCTTAGGTTTCCAGCAATCCCAGACAATCTCCACGCACCCTTTCCATGAAATTTCATGCACCATCCGCCCATCAGTGCAGAATGAACCTGGCCTAGCCTCTAAGCTCCGCGCTGGCCGCTGCCCCCGTTGATGTTCAATCAATGAAGGATACAAGTGCCGAGCGATCCACTGCGGAGCCCTGTGGCGTGCCTCTAATATGTAGCATCATAGTACGCAAAGTAAGGTTTGGGCAGTCAAAGGTGTGAAAATCGCCCTTCGAGATGGCGTCTTGGGGCAGACTGACCGTTACGCCCGGCCGAGGGCGCCATTATACAGAAGACACTGCACCACCTCCGCAGATCTTCGCATCTATGTCGTTGGACTGCGTGACACTTCGTTGTCCCTCTTTTTTTTTTTGTCCACCCGCCTTCCACGATGGTGTCGCGAAACCTGATGATACAACACCCTCTATGCATTGGACTCCAAATCCTGCCGCCTCGAGGTTTCCTTAGGACTGTTTGGAAAACAGCCATACACGGCATATCGTTTGTCAGACTGGAATGGAAACTTTCAAGTGGATTCTCGGAAAGTGTCATTAAAGTTTACCTGCACGTCTTTCTATCAAGAGCCATGGCGACACGGCTCGGTCATACGGTATGACCCTCCTCCGTTCTTACTTCCCAACAGCTTGTTTTGGCAATACAACCAGAAGTCCCTAGTTGGTCTCCACCGTCACACCGTCACGGGTGGCCGCTTCGTCTATCCATACATCAACGCCAGAAGGCCCAGAGTAGGTATTTCCGGGGTCCACATTACCGCCGTAGCCCTGCCCTCCCTTCACATCGCTGTTGCTTTCTTGATTTGCGGCTCTTCCTTTCCCCTAGCCTCAGAATTGCACGCTAGCACAACGCCTATTCCCTGGGAAGTGAAAAGCGGAAGCATCTTCACTATGAATGCGATGGGGGAAACGCAGAGCGAAACGTTCGCAGAACCATTACACTCTGCGGGTTTATGTGTTCTCTCATCGGTCTACCATGAGCAGAAAAGTATCTCGATCCATACGAGAGTCAGATTCCCGCCCTCGCAGCCCCACCGACAGCATGCAAGGCAGCAGAAAAGAACGACCTTCTCTATTCCGCGGCATCCCCGACGGTTTTTTTTCTGGGGCGGATCTATGATCAGCAGCAAGCACCAGGCCAGACGAAACAATCGGTGAGCTACTGAAATGACGCGCACGACCGTGGTTTAGAGCTGGACCGGGTGCCCGCTCCGGGATCTGCAAGGAAAACCCGGGCTTAGGGTGGGTGACGTTTGTGGCCCACACAACCTTACCCAGGCCCAGCCTCTGCCGCCGCAGGAGTTCACGGGTCGTGTCTCAAGAATGGGCACAACATCGAACATCGGGGGGCTAACAGGGGGTGGGGGCGGGATGGGGCTCTGTTTGATCTGCGGCCCCCCAGAGGATTCCTTCTGCGTCTTCCAGAACGTCTTAACCCTGGGCCAGATTCGCATCCGAAAGCATCCGGATCTGCAGGAAGAAGGTACCTGATATTTCGAAATTTTGCACAAGTCTCATAAAGCAGTGGGTTTCGAAAATGTACGGCAAGTCCGTATGCAGCTATTTGTCCTAGGTAGGTACAGCACCTAGGTAGATGAAAAACGTGGCCAGAGCTCTCTCCGTCTTCCTTTTTGACCGTCTCGCCAATGATTTCTCGTCCCATCATGACCCCCCTAGCTGCGCTTGTCTGTATTCTTCTTGTGTGTTCCCCAGAGAAGATATCAAATGGAAAGAAAAGTCAGCAAAATACGCTCTGAATGTAGAGACATTTATTCCCCCCCTTCCAACCCTCCTCAAAGATGACCTGCCCACGCGCCCAAGATACTAGAGTTTAGGTATGATCATTGCTGAGCCGCATTTTACCCGCCCCCTTCCCGTCCAGATCAACCAGGTCCGCCCTGTCCCACGATCATGGCTTAGGAGAAAGAACCTGGTCTTAAACCCGGAGTAAAAACAGAAGAAAAAAAGAAAAACGCCCCTTCGTTCCATGCTAAAATATTTCCAGTTGGGAGGATGACGGCCCCCTGGCGTCCTCCTCGTAGCAAAACCACTCCTTTTCCCTTCGTACAAATGTCCCTGTTGGTATACGGCCTCGTCCGATAAATACCGCGGAGGGATGCATATTACACCAAATAAACCCGGGCAGCCTGAAAAAGGGGTGCCCTCAGTCTCTCAAACGCCATGCTTGCTCTTTCTTAAAAGCCGATATCGACGGCATTTTCAAATCAACAAAGGTCCTGCATTCCCCCAGAAGGGAAGGAGGGGGAAGGGTGTGTGAAGCAGGGGGTTTGGAAAGGGGTGAAAAAAAAGACGCCCTAGGAGTCCGCCAGCTTGGCGAAGTGCTTAGACCAGATCCATCCGACCTGGTTGCCGGGGTCGTCTTGGTTCTTGGCAAGCCATAGCTCGCCCTTCTCGGCAATGACATCGAAGATCTGAGACGTAAACGGTTAGTGGAACGAACGGCCTCTGCTGCTAAGGTGAGTAGGAATGACATACCTCCCCGGCTTGATACGTCAGATACGGGTATCCAGCCTCGTGCTTGGTAGTCTCAATGTTGAATTCGAAAAGGGACGCTGCAAGCCACAGGATGTTGTAACCGCCATTGGTGGCGGCACGCTCTCGAGAAGACGCGCGAGAGGACCGCTGGTTCTCCTCCGAGCTGTCGGGCAGCGGCAGAGCGGAATGGAATAACCCCGAGAAGCGGCGAGCCTCGGAAAAGTTAACCGGCGAGTTGTAGGTCGAGACCGAGTCGCGCTGGTTGTGGATACTTGACTGTGCGTTAGACTCGATGCTCGGCCGTGCAGCACCGCCCGAGTCAAAACTTCGGCCCGTGCTAGGCCGAACAGACGCAGCGACAGACCGAGATCCGACGGGTACCTCAGATGTGGCGGGAGATGATCCGCCGCGCGAGTGCCCATTGATGCCGGTAAAGTCTCGGTAGTAGGAGTACCCTGGACTGGGCAAAGTGGGTGAGAGTGTAAACTGGCCGCCACTATTCCGCTTGAGGACATCAGGAGTTGGCAGGCTCGGAACGCTGTCACTATTGATCGAGAGTCCACGGCCGCGGGGAGTCAGATCAGCAGGTCGAGGTCTCGTCTTGGAGAAAGTCGAAGATGCATCGTCTGCCGTTGACTGTGAGCTCCGTCCTTTCAGCGTCGGGTTAAGGATACCGATGGCCATGGCCTCTTCTTCCATCATTCTGAAATCTGTCTGGAAGGCAGAAATGATCTCGGAATTGTCAGGAATGTGGGAGGAGGAGTCCTGGAGCGGTACTTTGACTTTCTCCTTCCAGGTGGCGAACCAGTTGGTCTGAATAGTGACAAATTTGCCCAGGCAGATGTTGCCGACTTTGGCGGTAAGGGCGGAGAGCCTCGGGAGCTCCTTCTTCAGGGTCTCATTAAGGGCTTCGTAGTGCTCAACGAGCTCGCTGAGTTGCTTGTCGACCTTTTTGCCGCTAGTTTTGAGCTGCATATACTTCTCGTAATCAAGGCGTCGCTTTTCGCGCTTCTTCATTGCCAGGGAAGGATTGCCGTAGCATTTGATCACCTGCTCAAAGGGCTCAATCACATCTTTCCTGACAGCCAGGAGCTGAAGAGAGTTGGTTAGTACGGGCCAAATAAAAGAGTTACCGATATAGTGGACTTACATGCTGTTCGAGGACTTTCTCGATATCCCTCATGCCCACGTTGAACTGAACCCATTTGCTCTCCAGATGGCCATGATTCTTGGAGGGCTGGAGCCTCATGACAAGCTCCATGGACGAAAGGTACTGTAGGAACTCATGGACATAGGTTGATACTGTCCTTGTGTAGTACTCAACGTCCCTCAAGACAACCTGGAGGCTGAGATAGTCGTCTCTAAATTTGTCCTGGCGTTTGACATATTCCTCGTCCTCGGCTGGCCTGTTGCTTGATGCTTGGAGCTTATCGACTCGTTTGCCAAATGCCCGTGCAAGACCAGCCCTCACATCGGATTCTTTGCGTTTCCTGCTGACAATCTGCCCAACCAACTCAAAGTTCTTTTTGGTCTTGTTGATGTCGAGGATTGCATTCTCCACTGTTATCCTGGCAGCAAGGAGGGCCTCCCTATCGGGGTGATCTGGAGGGGTGTGCTCGAGCAATTGGGTGATAAGATTCGGATACTTTGTGAGGCGCTGCATTGGCTTGATCAGAAGGGAGTCCAGGTTCCAGGCGGCTGTCAGGTCCTTTGCAACCTCATTGCACTCGTTGAGCCAAACCATGACTGTCGGGTCCTCCTGTATCTGGATGAGACGCTTGGTCGCATGATCGCTTGTGCGAAGATATCCCTCATGGGTCATCTTCAATGTCTCCATGTTCCTGGAGAATACAGGCCCAAGAGAGGTCTGTCGGTCTTTGCTGTCGTCCACTTCCATCTTCAATGGGCTGGTTCCACTTGAGAGGGTGGAGCTCACGGTAATGGCATCCGAATCCTTCGAGTCTTTCGACGAGTCTTGTGTCAGAAGTGGCGACCGTCTGCCCTTTGCGACATAGATGTTGGAGACTCCCTCCTTGAGCTGCACAAGGAAGGCCGTGTGGAAGGCGATGATCTCGTCGGTATTCCTGAAGATCAGCTTGACGGTCTTGTCATCGAGTTTGGGGCAGGCTTCGGCGGTGCCCTTGTAGATCTCCTCGACCACACTCATGTCCCTGACAAAAGCTGACTCGGTGTCTATTAACTCTTTGATCACCATCTGGCGCTGCTTCAGCCGCTTCTTTTCCTTGTCTGTTGGACCCTGTGCTTCACTGCTGGGGACCTTGCCGACAGCTTGTGAGTCTTGAGCTTCGAGAGAGAGTTCGCCAATCGAATGCGGCGTTGAGATGGGTTGTGTGGGATATTCGCCTTCCTCGTCGTGGCTGTGAAGATAGCTACTAGGCCGAGTCTCAATGTAGTACGCAGTTTCCTCGAGCTGATACTCATCAGAGGGCGGAGGAGGAGGGGCGTGGTCTGGGGGCAGTGGTGAGAAATCCTCCCTCTGTGGTTCGCTGGCCGGGTAGGAATCATCCTTCTGCGGTTCACTCGGCGGGTAAGAATCCTGGCCATGCAGTTCGCTTGGTAGAGAAGGGCCTTCTCTCCGTGGTTCGGCCAACCGGTATGATATCGAGAAGCCTGCGCCGGTATCGAGTTCGGGGAGCTGGTGCCTGTTATGAACCGAAGGGGGCTGAATAGGGGGTACGGCAGCATCGAGGTCGCGGGGCGATATCTCGGGACAATTGGCGATATATTCGTAACTCGAATCTTGAGATACCATGATCGAAGCTGTGTGGCGAGAACTCATGGTGCCCGGGTCACGAATATCTGCTTCTCGACCACTCGCTGCCAGATCTCTAGCAAGGGCGTCACGATCATCAGTGCTTCCCAAGGAGAAGTCAGTCCATACAGACGTCTGGCTCAGCCGGTTTCCGGGCGACAGGGATATGGGGACGTTCAGACTATGGGATGTATCTGGCGTCCTCTGTATCTCTCCTATGGATTGCTGTGTGTCCGGGGAAGCATCGTAGTCCGAGGAACTGATTGTCGACACGCGTAGCGCGGCGATGTTATCTTGCATGTTGGGACCAACATAGAATTCCTCCAGTCTCGCCATATCCTCAGTTCCATGGTCCATATCGGGACTGGCATCCCCGCCTGTCTGAAAATGGCCGGGTATAATAGGTGTATCAGGGTTGGCGTGGACGCGGTAGATGTCAGCCTCGTCAGCTGGCACTGGCTCGGCCGTCGTCGACGTGAAATGCGTTTCCGGGCGGAGAATTATGGCGGTTGTCTCGTAACTTGGGGGGGAGTAGGTATACGACTCCTGCTCGTCCTCGTCTTGAAATGATCCTGGGATCGAATGGTCCATCTCGAACTCGGGCGAGCTAGATGTTGGCCGGGGTGACGCTTTTGGGGAGGAAGCATCCAAGGAGATTTTGATAGACACGCTCTCATCATTCATCCCTTCTTCGTCAAAAGGATAATGGTAAGAAGCTCTCTTATGTAGACGAGGCTGTTTCGGGGCTCGTTCTTCTTCGACCCTCCGGTGAGGTGAAGACATGATCCCCAAACCGTCACCCATCTTCATGGTGCTAGTCGCCTGAATTGGAGGCTCCGTCTGCGGTTCAGTGTCGAACTCGGTGACAGCCGTGGCAACTGAAACTGCAGACAGGGGAATCTCGTCCTGTTCCCGCGGGGGTGGGCCGAGACTCGGGAAGCTCCCCGGTATGCCAAGGGTCGGAGAATCCGAGCCACTCTCTGCTTGTTTGCTGGGGGGTTGAGCAGGCGGCAGATTCGTCGTGACCTTCAGGGGCTCCTCGGGAATGGACCTTATTCGTGGGGAAGCACTGTGTTGCGCAGGGCTGCTTTCCGCACCCTCTTGCATCGCAATCACTGCTATCGCCACTGCTTCGGCTTCGGCTTTTGCCCTGGCAACAGCTTCGAGCTCCTTCCTCCTTCGCTCCGCTGCAGCTTGTCTTGCTTCCTTTGCCTGCGACTCCCTTATCGACTTGCTATATGCGAGCTTGATGGTTTCCCGCCTCTGCGCGAAGTCAATAGGCCCGACTGATATTTTCTGCTTCGGGTTATTAGCCTCCCCCGAGTCGCCCGCACCCCTTGCGCCTCTCTTGTGAGCTTGTTGCGAGTTTTCGGCAATCCTCATCCTCGAGCTAGCGGTTGTTGCCCTTGCCACGGATTGCCGGGGTCGCGAACTTCGCAGCGGAGGGGAGAGTTTTGGCGGCGGCACCGAGACATAGGCACTGAGCCGATTGTTTTTAGGTGTGGTGTTGATATTCGGCGGAGCCTTTCGGGGAGAGTGAGTAGGAGTCTTGGCTCTCGAAGTAGGGGTAGTGGAGCGACTAGTTGGTGTCTTTGCTCGTGCGATAGATAGTCCATTCTGTCTCGAGTTTCTGCCGCCCGGTGCTGTCGAGCGTTTTCCTGTCGACGGTGAATTCGATCGCGTTGAGGCCGGGCTGCCTTGAGTTGATGCATTACTACTGAGTTTCGAGACCGAGCGGGGAAGACGCGAAGTCGGTGACGTCGGCTGGTCGTGTGGTGAATGATCAGCATGGCGTCTTGCCAGCGGATGCTGTAGGCGATGAGCTGTGGGCCTGGACCCTGTAGCCACATCACCATGCAGTCTGTTGTTTGGCCTGGGTAGCCTTGACTCGGCATATTGGGTGCTAGTGTCCCGTGTCGAGGGCGCTGCACGGTACCAGTCGGTCGGAGAGGGCGGCTCGAAGTCAGGGTCAGAGAGGCTTCTCTGGTGCGGCCTTTCGTTTCTAGGGGTTTGCACATGTGACTCGGACGTTCTCCGGGGCCGCATCCCGCCGATTCCGAAGCCAGCAGCTAGGGAGTCGCCGTCTCCTGGCAAGATCTCGCCAAAGAGCAAGCCATTTGACCTCGTTGCTGCAGCAGGCGAAGAGGCAGAGATATTCAGCGATGGGATTTGTGAATGATGTGTCATGGATTCCGTTGTCGTCGTGCTGGGAGAGGAGGTCGCATTTCTCGGTCTGCTTATCCGGCTTGCAAACGACTGGGAATTGCTGGAAAGTGAATCTTCGGCGACGAACTTGGCTCGTTGGGAAGGTCGTGCGCCCGATCCTCTACTCGGTTCGCTGGCAGGCTGGCGAGTCGCTGTAGTTCTCAGCGTCGAGTACGCTGATTTGCTACTTCCGACGCCAGGTGGCCGTGTCTCAGGATTGGACGAAGGTGCATCCCTCGTCGAGCGGGTTCGAGGCGTTGTCCTCCTCACGGTCGCGGCTGGCTGCGTGGAAGTCTGGTCAAACTTCTTCTTCAGGTCCTTCACGCTCTGCTGGGCAGCTCCACTATAACCATTCCGTGTTGTTTGCGGCGTCGACCTCGCACTCGGGCTTCCTAATCTGTCATCGACGGGGTTAGATGCGGAGCGAAACGCGGGTCGCGGGCCATTGGGGTCAGCGGGAACGGCAGCGTGTTTCGGAGTCGTTCCATTCCCATTTGGCCGCAGTGAAGGGGCGTGTCGACTGGTGGAAATAGCCGAAGTCATGGAGTCGGTCGCGGAAGAAGTGCGCAGGATGGCATTTGCTGTTTGCACTCCGCGATAGCTGCGATAGAAGTCGTCGGGATTCACAGTGTCGGGGAAGAGGCCGGAGGAGGTGGCATCATTGGCGGTAAAAGCCTGCGAGTTTGCCTCAGCACAGGAGGCGACGACGGGGCGGTAGGTGGTTTGGAAGAGTGAATTGTCCAGGTAGGCAGGGCTCCGGAGGCTGTGGAGCTCTGGGTCGTGGGGGAGCGAGTGGGAGGAGTGGTTGCGGTCGTGGGAGTGTGAGTGCGGGTGGTGGTGGTGGTGTGCGACGTGGTGTTGGGAATGGGGCGAGTGCGCGAGGAAATGCGACGACGCGGTGCCCAGATTATCCTCGTCTCCATGATTGCCTCCGTCCATTGTGGACTCAACATCACCTAGTAAGGCTCGCAGTGGGATGGAGCGACAAGACGGGACGGGGGGGAGTCTAGTGTTCAGCGAGATGCTTGAGATCCATGCAGCCGGGATGCTGAGTGGGTTGTCAACCTGTCGGGGGTTGGAGGCATTGATGTGTTGGCACGCAACCTGAGTGGGCAGCGGCGGCTCGGGGAGGCGACGGGGCTTGCCTGGGTGGAAAGCTGCTGGCGAAGCGATTTAACGACACCGCCATCAATCAACACGCGCAGGGCCTTGCTGCAGGGCAGGGATGCCGGCGGACACGTAGAGGGGAAATTCGGGGTAGAATAAGCAAGCTTGCGCAGAACAGGAGAGAAAACCATCCAGGGTGGAAGACAGGCCACTGCAAGCAGACCAAGCAGACACACGGACGGCAGCTCGCAGATCCCAAGACACTCTAGTTAGGTGAAAAAAAGATGAGACGGCGCGAGAGGTATTCCGTAGGTCGGTCGTAGGAATGAGATTGGAGGGTAGGCGTGAGATTTTGCCTTCTCCAGAGCCTCGCTCTTATTCGTCCGAGGGTCAGTGCATATCGTGGCCGTCATTGGCGACAGGGAAGAAAAAGTAACGAATTGACAAGGAAGGACGGATATTACCTCCGGGGCTCTCATTTCTCTCTCTCACTCTCTTTTGCTCTATTTATTTTATTCGTCTTTGCTTTTTAACGTATTTGTCTTGTCGTGTCTCCCCGCACTCTATTTGACTTTAGACTCGCGTTGGTCCCGTCTTCGTCAGATTCTCGGATGAACTTCTAGGTTCTTACGGAGTACCTAGCTCAGGGTAGCTACAGTATGTACATGTATGTATGTTTTGTTTTTTTCAACTCCCCGGTCAAAGTGGGTTTGGGCAGCCATCTGATGGAAGCTTGCGATACGGTCAGCCTGTACTTTAAGGTTGTGTTTGTTCCCAAATCCGCCCATACCATCAGCTAAAACCCCAACAACTTCGTATCTATTTCGTACACTACGATTTTCTGGGTGCTGGATGTCGAGCTTGATCCGCTGATTGACATTGCTGATCGTCGCAGATTCACGTTCCTCACGCGGCTAATTGGCGCTGGTCTTTTAGTTCCCTTTCGACGGATGGCGCCGTAGTGTAACCGACTAACTTACACCTGTACCAGGACGCGGAAGCGACCCAACTCTAGATTGACTGCATCGTTTCTTTTTTGGCAAACGCAAATGTTACGAGGAGCCAAGCAGCCATAAGTTCGTGTTTGCAAACCGGCGACTATTCATGTAGGTATTGGACTGTACATCCATGTTCTGTACGCAAGAAGTGGAGAATTATTCGAGTTCCTCAGGTCTCCATGGTAGGTAGGTACCTACATAGCCAGCGCACGGTGGGCTAGAATCTGAATCTACCAGCCTGTAGTCAAACGTTTGTGGCTGACCAACTGTGGCACTACGAAACGCGTCCAAGTGAAGGCGCGCTCAGTCACCCATCTCCCCTCGAGCAAGAACACAAGACGGGAGCCAAGGAGCATAGATCGCGTAAATTTATCCACTTTGGCCGCCTTTGTCCATTCATTGCCAAAAGTATACGTTCCAGACTTGACTGGAATTTACATACCCTGCTCAAGCGGGCATTGTGGATGCAGGAGCACTGTATCTGTATACAGTCAATAGGGGCTGGTGACCTGCTGCGTATGGCCGACCAAAACAGCTACCATGGACGGGACGAAGAGGAAGCAGGTTCTGGGGCCAGTTGACCAACCTGCAAAAAGGGTCAAAACACGAGAAAAAGCGGGAAACAAGCCTCAGAGCGGTGATACTGTGAGGCATGCTCTGCTGTCTCGGCTATACCCAAAACTTCGAACCCTGCGCGAATACGTTCTCGCGAAGTTGCCCCCGTCCTCGAGGCTCAGACGGAAGAAAATTACGTCTGTCGGACTGCAAGACTCAACCCCCAATGGAAGCTGTCCTTGTCCGGATATCGAACTTGCACTCGGCCACCTCCTTGACACAACCATTGTTGGGTTCTACGACAACCCCCCTGCCAAGACCGATAATCGCTGGGAGCAGTGGGCCAACTTCTCTCAGAGAGGGGACGAATCTTACGTGACACTTTCCGATGGCACCGCTGGAGCCTTGTTTTCCCAGCGCGAGGTTTGTTGCGGCTCCGAACACTTAGCCAGCGCACCACCACTGATGCGTGCGACAGATCGTGGACTTCGTCGTCTGGCTTCTCTTCTCAAGAGAGAAGAAGGCTAGTAACCGGCCGAGTCATCTACTCTGTGATGGTTTTCGGAGGGATGTCAACCCCAGACCACACGGGCCACAGGGCAACAGAAGTTGCGAGATCCCCGGCCTGTTTGCCCTCCATCCAAATCCCCAGGTGCACGCTCTGAAGGCCACGCCTTGGCCTCAACTTCTCACCCTTCTTGGAAAAGCTGGCGAGAGAGTGATGATCGACCTATTGCTAGACTGCGGTGTCTTCAGTAAAGTTCTGGCCGGACCTGGTAACTACTGCCAGTTGAGCGGCATACCAGTCTCAGAACTAGACTATTGGTCATCGCAAAACGCCGCTGAAGGGGCTGCTGCTTCCTCCCGCGGCGACACGACGCTTAAGAAGAGCGCGTGCCGCAACCCGTCGGCGATATCGTTCGTCAGGAGTCGGATGCTCTACGCTAGGGCCGCACTCAATGCCCGAGGTCTCGTCCACTTCGGCTTCAGGCATATCCGTGAGTCGCTAAGGGCATTTCATACAGAGGGCTGGACTAACGTGGCGAGTCAGACGTCCTCAACCGGTTCCCCATAAAGACCCAGGCTGCGGCCGTTGTAGGCTCACCTTCGGATGGCCCGGTGGAAGAGGCGATTGCCGTGTGTGAGGAGTCAACACTTCGCGTCATGATGTACATGTTCCCTCGCCAGTTTGGGCTTCACAATGTTTTTACCTCGAATGTTGATCATTCCCAGACGGCACAGAAGTTCCAGGACTACACCTTGCGTGAGGAAGAAATCACAAACAAATTCGCCGTTGTGGAGGAAGATAAGCAACGGCTCAGAGTACAGGTTCCAAAGAGGCTAAGGGGCTTGCCGCGGCACCTAATACAGAGACTCCAGATTCTTCATGCACGCTGTTCTTATTCGGAACTTCTCCAACATTATTGTCCTGTAAGATCTAGCGCTTGTTACAGACCTAACCATATGACGCTTCTGACCGGTTATCCAAGGCTCCAGGGCAGTTTGAGACGCGCCGAAGGGCGCGGGCAAGCGCTGGAAAGTTAACATCCACGTCCACGTCCACGAAGTCGCAAATTCGGCACGGAAAGTCTCGAAGGAAGTCCAAGCAAATCTCGGCCTCTGTTCATCCTCCAAAATACTCTTCCCTTGTCGATTTGGCGACGCCTGTTGCCCATGTCTCGGCTTTCTGCCAGGCAGTCTTATCAGCCATCATCCCCAATGATTTCTGGGGCAGCGGCTCTGTTCAAATCGAGAACAAGGCTGCGTTCTTCAAGAACGTGGATCGTATGCTACACCTGCGGCGATTCGAGCAGCTGTCTCTCCACGACGTGATGCAAGGTCTGAAGGTGGGTTTCGCGCTTTACAACCCAGAGTCTCCGTTCAACGGCATATCTGACGTCCAGAGAGAAGATTATGGATATAGAATGGCTCGCGCCTCCTGCTTTGAAGAATCAAAAGAGTTCGTGTACGGACACAACCAAGCGGGTTGAAATCTTCTATGAATTTCTGTATTACCTCGTTGATTCCCTTTTAATACCCCTTATCCGGAGCAACTTCTACGTTACCGAATCGAGCGCTCATCGATATCGCGTCTTCTTTTTCCGGCATGATATATGGAGACATGTTGCAGAGCCTGCCATGACAACACTAAAGGCCAAGATGTTTGAGGAGGTCAAGCTTGATGACGCTCGTCGAATCCTAGATTCACGGCGTCTTGGGTTTAGCCAGGTCCGATTACTGCCCAAAGGGTTGGCCATGCGACCGATCATGAACTTGCGGCGTAGGACTTTGGTCAAAGGCGACCGGAAGCTGCTGGGACCCAGCATCAACACCATCCTCGGACCAGTCAACCACATGCTGAAGCTTGAGAAGGTAATCGGTACGTGTAACTTGGCATTTTGCAAGCGTGCTGACTCTTGTTGTCAGGAATTGGACCCTGCCCGTCTAGGCTCAGCCATGTTCTCAGTTGGCGATATTTATAAGCGCATCAAGGAGTTTAAGGCGGCAGTGGGAGCTCACAACCAGCGCTTCTACTTTGCGAAAGTGGACGTCCAGGCCGCATTCGATACCATTCCGCAAGATGCCATGGTCGACTTGATGAACCGCGTTCCGAGCCAACCTGGCTACAAGGTACTCAAGCACCTCGAGGTCCGCCCAAGCGACATGGCTCAGGGTCCTGGATCGAAAGAGAAGCCCGTGAGGAAATGGCAATCCGTTGCCAAGGCCGCGAATGACAAGACGGCATTTGCGCAAATGCTTGAAGACCAGCTTGCACCGAACAAGAAAAATACTGTGTTCGTGGAAAATGTATTGCGCAAATCGTATGACACGCGCGGTCTGATGGCATTGTTGTCATCTCATGTCCAACAAAACCTGGTCAAAATCGGCAAGAAGTACTATAGGCAGAAGAATGGCATTCCCCAGGGCTCTGTTATCTCCTCGGCTCTCTGCAACTACTTCTACGCAGATCTGGAAATGAATCGGCTCCCATTTTTACAGTCAGATGACTGCCTGCTCCTGAGGCTAATTGACGATTCCGTCTTGATCACCACCGACAAGGCAAAAGCGCAGCGCTTTGTCGAGACGATGCATCGGGGCCTCCCCGAGTACGGCGTAATCGTCAGTCCGGGTAAAAGCCTGGTCAACTTCGACCTGTCCATCGACAGTATCAGCATTCCCAGAACGGTGGAAGGGCAGCCATTCCCTTACTGTGGCACTCTGATAGACTGCAAGTCGCTGGATATCACCAGGAACCGTGACAACACCAAGGATTCCGGTATGCCCCCTTCCTACGAGCGGATCGGCTTATATACGCTAACCAAGCCAGTTGTCTTTGACTCCCTCACTGTCGAGTCCTCTCGATATCCGGGGCAGAACTTCAGGAGGAAGACTCTCAGTACGTCGTTGCGTGGGCTTGGCTTCTCCTTTATGGGGCATCTAGCTAACACAATTCTCAAGACGCCTTCAAGATCCAATCCCACCTCATGTTCTTTGACACATCTCATAATTCCCAGCAAACCATGCTCTCCAACATCTACAACGCCTTCCTGGAGACTGCAACCAAGTCGTGGGCTTACATCCGTTGTCTGCCGAAGGAGAAGCGGCCGTCAACCCAGCTGATAATCGGTAACAACACCCACAAGGCAGTCTAGGGTGTCTTCAACAGTGGTATTCTGACAGGCGGGCGGTAGGCACGATCAAAGACTTGATCGACGTCTCGTTCATCCTCCTCACCAGCAAATCCCGGGTCTCGCGGTACCCGGGCTACCAGTGTACCATCAAGAAGCCGCAAGTCGCTTGGTGAGTCTCTGTCTCTCACACATCGCCGCCATGCGGGGCTAACCTAGGCATATAACAGGCTGGTGATAGTCGCCTTTAGACAAGTGCTGTCGAGGAAACAAACTGGCTTCAGCGACGTCATTGCTTGGCTGGAAGGTGAAGTGCACCAGGTGTCGAGCAAAAAGGGGGTGGATTGGAGACCGTTATTGCAGGCAGCAAAAAATTCATCATCGGCAGGATGTTGAGACATCTGAGAAACCAGGGTCTGGGAACTCGTCACATGAAATAAACATAACAGACAGAAGTGGGCTATCCGCCCTCCATTGTTTCTCTATGAGCCCTTCTCAAGATTTGCCATAATACCGATCTAGAATCTCTACAACACCAATAAATGCCCAAACTCTGGCTTTCAAGCTGGGTATACGCAGCTGTATAATACAATACCCCGTTCTCTTCCTCCAACCAGATTAACCATGCATGCATGCATCCCAGGTCCTCCCTTACCCGACCCCCTCTCAAAGCGTAATCCCCGTCTCCCACCACCGTCTCCCAACATACCACCGGGGGGACAAATCCCGATCCCAGCGCCACCACGAATCCCCAGGCCTGCCCAGCCCAAGCGCCCGCAGCGGCGACGCAGGCACGGGCTCAAACAGCCATATCGCCGACCGGCTGAGGTCGTCGACGAGCGCCCACCGCGTGAAGTGCAGCCACAGACCCACGAATGCAACGTTCGCCGCCCCTGACACCCACCGCCGCCACCGGCCCCGCGGCAGCAGCAGCAGCAGCGCCGGCGCCGGCCCCGCGCCCCACGCCGCCTGCGCCACGACGCCGACCCAGCTGAGCAGGAAGAAGGCGAGCGACGACGACGACGGGCTCGGCGAAGTCGTCGTCGCCACGATGCCGGCGGTGGCGGCCCCGGCCGCGTGCAGGGCGCCGCTCAGGAGGAACGCGACGAGCCCCGCGGCGGCGGAGTTGGCGGGGGACCGAGGGAGGAGGCCGCGGCGGGCGAGCCAGGCCGCCGGGGCAGTGAAGGCGGCGCGGAAGGTCTGGTGCCACCAGGCGCCCCAGAAGCCGGCGAGCCCGCGGCGGGGCACGTTTGCGAAGGAGCCGAAGGTGGAGGGGTAGTGCCAGAGGTCTGCGCGGGGGCCGAGGGTTACGGGGATGGGGATGGTGCGGCAGAGCTGGTCGAGGGAGAAGACTAGATGGATGGCGCATATGATGCCGAGGAGGGAGAGGGCGCTGCGCCAGGCCTGGAGGAGGGGGTCGGAGAGGGCGGCGAGGTGGGGGGGGAGCGGGTGCCGGTGCGGGCCGTCGGGCCCGAGGATGAAGTAGGGGTCTTTCATCATGGAGACGCTGCAGAAGTCGAGGGCGAGGTAGGACAAGGCGATGCGCCACAGCCGGTCGCGGAGGAAGGACGAGTAGGTCCGGAAGCGGGTGTAGCCCGAGCGCGTGACCAGGGGGATGGTGTCGAGCTTGACCAGCTCCCCGGAGTGCGGGTTCACGGGCCGCTGGAAGTGAGGAATCGAGGAGATGGCCCAGTTCCATCCTGAACCTCTAAACGCCGTGAGAAGGTCGGTAACCCAATCCAGCCGCGTGAGAAAGGATCCATCTGCCGGATAAGATTGCCAGTAATATTCGTACTCATCCAGAACCTTGGATACCCTCTCATCCGGAGCGGTTGCCTTCCCCTGAGTCTCCACACCCGCACCCGAAACGGCACCATTGCCGTTAGCCACCGTCTTCGGCCTCCTTGGCCGCCTCTCGACCCGCGCAGCCTCGAATTGGGGACGGGTCCAGATGAGCAGCATCATGGTCCAGATGATGCCCCAACCGCCCAAGAGGCCTGCCCCGTACGCCACCGCCACATTGGCGCTGGAAGTGCAGCCGATCATGGCGAGGTTGAGGTAGATAACCAGGGCCATGACGGCAAACCTCATCCTGTACAGCCATGGTCGTCGCGTGTGTGGGATGCACAGGTAGAGGGCCGGGAGGATGAAGGACCCGACGAGGTCGAACGGCAGGACGAGAGGTCGTGCCGTCCCCGCCGCAATGGCTGCCTTGAATTTGCTCCGGTAGAGCTCCCGGTAGAACAGGCCTAGGTTTTCATGCTGGGACAGCATGGCGGCTTTCAAGGTGAATTATGCTTTAGGGCGCGCCTTAATTGCCTGTCAAGGCGACCAAGTCATGCTTGGTGCTTGGGCACTTGCTTTCAGCGCAGATTACACAAATTTTGGAGATCGGTAATGGACTGATACTAGTGGTTCAGCTTTCAATTTTCCTGCTTTTCCTCCTGATATTGTTTTCGTTCATTCCTTTTTCCTTTCTGATAGCATCAATTGGGTTGTATGCTGTGTTTTATTACAAGTTATTTTCTTTTGGTCAGGAGGTAAGTAACTGGTGAAATGGTACTGCTTGGGCACCTTCCTCTGGGTATCAAATGTAGCCTTTTTATTATTAAATTGTTTTTTCTCTACAGCCACCGACCTATGACGCAACATCCAGGCTACGCCACATCCGGCTCAACAAAGTCCCCAACCCTGATCGTCGGAAACTGCGCCTCTCTCCGCGCAGTGTCAGGGCAGGGCCCAGGGCTGTGGCCCATATGCGCGCCGAAGAAGACCTTGCCGTCGAACCTCCGCGTCTTCGACAGGGTCACAAACGGCTCCTCGCGCCTCTCCCCCGTCCCCTGGTCGACGCATATCATGTGACACCTCCGGCACGAGCCCAGCATCCTGAACTCGTGGCCGCCAATGCGCAGCCTCGCCCATCCGTCCTCGGCGTACGGCGACTGCTGCTGCTGCTGCTGCTGCCGCCCATGCGGCGCGGCGCCGGCCGGCCCGACCACCACGTTGGCCCTGAACACTGCCGCCGAGACCTCGGCGCCTCCCGCAGCGGCGACGTCCCGGTTGAGCGCCGCGAGGCTGCACGTGTTGACGAGCAGAATCGGGCTCTCGTTCGAGAGCAAGATGCGGCGCTGGGCCGCCTCCTCCGTGTCCGACTCCGACTCCGGCGGCGACGGCGGTCCGGGGAAGGACCCCGGGAGCGGCGTCCGCGCCGCCGGCCCCAGCATCTGGTGTTTCTGCAGGCGCGCCTTGGAGTGCCGCATGCTCCTCCCCTGGCCGCCCGGCGGGAAGCGGGCTAGCACGCACGGCACCCCCAACACGTCCGAGAAGAACCTGTTGACTTCCGGGGACGTGTATGTCTGCGCAGAGATCTCCTCGCCGCAGACCCGCGACGAGACCAGCCGGTCAAAGACGGCCGGTCCGAACATGGCCGGGTTATTCGATAGCGGTACTGAGATGTACTTGGGTAGATGGGACGGGATGTCGCCGCCGAAGGTCACGCGTAGCTGGCCGCCGTCAAAATCCAAGGTAGGCCGTAGGAGAACCATCTTGGGATGCCTCTTTTGACTTAAAGCCTGCCCGGTACCACGATGTAGTAGGCACCATTCCCTATCCCACGCGAGGCCCTCAGGTCGAACTTCCCATTCCCTGTCGTCCTGGACCTTGTAGCCGCCGCAGCTCTTGATCGGGTAAACCGTTATGCTACGGACGTAAAGATTAGAGAATGTCCGAGGTGGTGTTGTCTTCCGTACGAAGCTAGCGGGCGCGTTCGGTTCCCGATAAAATTCGTCCACGAACGCGACGAATCGGTCCACGTCCGATGCGGTGCTCATGGCGCCCAAGCTTGCCCGGATCACTCCGGTCGGCTTGCCCCCTATGATATCGTTCTCACTTCCGCACCGGAAGCCCGAGGAGAAGTTGTTCTTCATCTCCCACGGCTCGAGGCCGAGGGCTGATGCGACTCCGCCAGGGTTACAGACGCCTCCCGTTCGCACGTGGAAGCCCTTCAACGTCGCCAGCTTCTCGAATTCCGCCAAGGGGACCCACGCACCCAGGCTACTGCGTATGTTGAATGCGACCACGGGGCCGAAGCCGAGAGTGTGGTTGTGGGCGCTGCGGTCCCGTGAGTATATCGAGCAGGCGCTTGCGCCGTTGCCATGCTTTAAAGATCGCAGCCCCTCGTATAATCGGTCCGCGAGATAGGATGCATGCTGGGCAACCCGGCGTATGGAGCCAAACAGTCGGCAGTAGACATCCATTGCTAAGCTAAGGGCGACGATGCTGTGGATGGGCAGCGTCCCATCTTCCAGGCGCTCGTGCAAGAACTGTCTCTTGGGCGCATGCCACTGTTCCCGCTGGCAGACGACCATATCGACCGTGCCACCGCCGAAATATTTCCTGGCATCGAAGATGGGCTCTGCCTGCCGTCTCACGATCAGGGCCCCGAGATCGGGGAACCCGAAGATCTTGTAAAAACTCAGAACAGTGAAGTCTGGCGCCGTCTCGGAGTTGCCAAGGTCCAGCGGAGACGTCGCGACAAGGGCCGCAGCATCAAGCAGCGTATACACCCTGCCACCGGTTGTCGCCCACTGCTGGCGAAACTGGGCGGACCAAGTCAAGGGGAATCGCTGGCCGTCCATGTTAGACTGCGCAGGGTACGCAACCAACGTCACGCCCTCGCCAGGCGTCCTGTCAGGAGAGCGACCCCATACCGGCGGCCCCTCGAATTCCGGATCGACGAAGCAGTGGCTATTCCGGGCCTCCTCGCGCACCCCGACGAGACTTGTATGGCAGGCCTGGTGGTACATGTAGTCGAACCCCGCCGGGGCGGACCGCAGGGCCTCAGCGACCAGCTTGATCCCGGCGGTCGCGTTAGCAACGAAGATGACATCGAAGTCGTCGGGATCCGCGTTGAACCACTGGAGCACACGGAGCCGAGTATCCTCGATGCGTGCCGTCGAAAGCTGGGACGAGGCCGACGCGGAATGGGGGTTGCCAAATAGGTTCGCCGTCATCTCCCTTGCAAATGCGTCCATCAAGGACTTAGGGTACGGAGTGGTTCCAGCATGATCGAGGTACACGGGCTCTGGACAAGGTCAGCGATGAAGCCAGGAGACTGCGGAACGCGGTGGACCAATGCCAGCACCTTTTAGCATGGGGTACTCCTCGTCCCTTAGAGCTTCTACGGAGGCGTTATAGGAAGACCAGGTAGTATCGGTCATGATGAATGGAGATCAATATCGCTGATAGAGAGACCCGGATTCCAGCTTTCCCATTCCCAAGTTGCTTCTTTGGCAAACCGGGCCATCAGACTGTAGAACTGGAAGTGAGCTGGGGGGACAAAGGGATTCATTGTCGGGACAAACACGGTGGCGGACCTGAAATAAGGTAGGGACAGGATGGGAGCTAGAGACAGATACCGGCCGTTGCCACAGTTGGAGTATGGTACATTCCAGCCAGATAACTTGACCCCACAACGGAGATCGGCCGGTTCCATGTCAGTTGGAGTTCTCGGACCCCGCCCCAAAACCAAGGAACCCCACTCCCAGAGGCATCTGATCTCACCTGTCTAACCGTTTCACCAAACATCAAGCGCATCAGGGCCAATTAGACACCCAATAACAATTGGCAATGATGTAAAGGACCCTTCCCGGGGCCAGAGACACGCCTCGCACGAGATGAACGCAACGCACAGCCCACAGGAGGACAAGCATTTCCTCCGGTGCTGGTCACAACAGAGCTGCGGGGGTTGCCTGGACCTAGCCCGCTGCAGCTGGTGTCCATTCGTACGTTGTCACCTGTGGCAGGCGGCCTGCTAGTGCCAGCAATCCCGCACAGTAACTAACAGGGCCAATGCTCCCTATACAGACACAAAGCTGCGTGCCGAACAACTACGCCATCCCCGCGTTGGCGCCGGCATACGACGCCAACATCTGCCCGCACTGGGCCGAGCGCTGGGACCTCAGAACCCGCCCGCTCGGCTGCCAGGTCTCCACCATCACGAGTCTTACGTCCGTCGTGTCCATCGTCTCGACGCTGGTTGTCGTCCTGTTCATCCTGTGGGCGATTTGGGGTATCAGAAGGTTCACAAGGTTCAAGAGGGAGAACCCCGAGTGGTTGGGACGGCGGCAGCTTGGTCGGTTCCCGCGCTGGAGAGCCCGGTCCCGCCAGAGGGAAAACGGTGCTCGGGAAGACGACCCTCTGTTAGGTCCATAAGGCCTTCCTCGAGCCTTGCCCCAGACGCTGGTTCGCTCGCTTCGTTCTGTTCATAGAATTGCATCAGGGGTCAACCTGAGCTCACAGGCGGGATAATTGCGACCTCATCGCCTGGGTGAATGACTATTGAACTGCTGTCTTCGCTATCCGACGGTACATCGACATATTCTAGATTGATTGTGACCAAGCAAGAGTCGAGGATTATGGACCTCATGCCCTTGTAGCGCTCCTCAAGAGCCTGGAACAGTTTTCCCAAGGGGAGAGGAGCTGGCCATGACTCGAAATCCTTAGATGTGTATGAACTGGCGGATGCAAAGTAAAGCAGGTTAAAATGACCCTCTGGAGGCTTCGGAACAGAAGTCATGGCAAGATCAGTGGTTCCTATCCAGGCATAAATGTTAGCCCTGTCCATGGACAACGATATTGAGAGAGGGTTGTGTAGAATGTGTGGAGTCAGAGATCTTGGTGATGAAATGAGACATCAAAGTATTTCAGGGTTCATGCGTTTGTTTACATCATTCACGTTGAAGGAGGAGGATATTAGGAGAGAGACTTACGTTGTCTGTGATTGCTTCTCAAACGTTGTGGGAAAGTGTGGGAGCTGGGAAGCTCTCCAGAAATTTCTCGCGCGGGTTTAAAAGAGGCGGAGTCACGTGCCCGTGGCTAGGTGCTTTTTTGGTGGGAGATTCCGGTGACTGCAGCTCAACTAGAGGCACGCCCCGGCGTGGGTACAGAGATGGTAGACGACGATATGTGTTGCCCAACTCGCTGGAAGATGTCTGCAATGAAAAGCCGGCGGGGCCTATGTAGAGTTCTATCCTTGTATATGTGCTCCCTCTGCCCTGAATATCCAAAACACCGTAGACCTCAACGCCCATGCATCAGCTGATCCTTCCTAGTCCATCACCTGCCATCCTTATGTACAATACAACCATAGTATCCGTATTCTGCGATTCGGCTCTCGTTGCCGGATTCCCCCTCAGACGATCCGGTATACTCGCTTTGCTGTCCAGTAGCAGGCTAAACCGAACATCAAAAGTCCAATCGTGATGACCACAAACCACTTCAAGTCTCCCTCGTGGTCTTGCCCGGGAACCCAGACGTTCATACCCCACAGTCCTGTTATGATGTTCATGGGTAGGACGATGGTTCCGAGAACCGTAAGTTTTCCGAGAACATCGGCAGTCTGCTCTTGCCGCTCGTTCATTCGGATGTTGATGTGGGCGATGTAGTTGGCATGACATCGAGCGAGGATCCTACCGCACGAAAAGATGTTAGCATACGACACCCCCTCACTGCCGCTGCCGGGCAACTTACTTTTCGTAGTGACTCAAATTCCCGGTCATTGTCACAATGTGGTCCTGGATATCGCCCAAGTATAGCCCGATTTCTGATCGTGGCGCGACCTCGAGGTGCGCATTACATCGCTTGGCGAATCCCTTGATGACGTCTGCCTTATTGCTGAGCAGTCTGTAGAGACTCATGACCTTCTTGCGGCAGTCACCCACGCGCCGGAGCATGTCGCCTTCTCGGTCTCGTGACGTGGCATCCGACTTCTCGTTCTCTTTCTTGCTTTTTTCCTTCGACGCCCGGTCGCTGGAGGGGAGCTGCAGGACGGTGTCGTCTATATCATCCACCTCCTCCTCGATGTCCTGGATTAATGGGACAAAGACATCGGTGATATCGTCGATTATGGCGTACGATATCCAATCCGATGATATCATAAGATAGTCCCGCAACTGGCGGACACGACGCCGGACATTCGCTGGGTGGGGAGTCATGGAAAAGTGGAAACTCAGGAGCCCTTCGCGGAAGACAACAACGTACATGTTGACCGGCTCGAGGAAGTCCTGGCTGTTCCGATCCTGCTCAAAAGTACGGTAGGTCACGAAGTAGTAGTTGCGGAAGAGCTCGACTTTCTCTCTGGGCTCCTGGACCATGATATCCTCCGAGGTGAGAGGATGGATGCCGAAAGCCTTGGAGATGACCTTCATTTCGGCTTCTGTGGGACTGAGGATATCAAGCCACCAGACTGGACGCTCGCCGTATCTCGGGGTCTTGGTTTCGGTATGGTACTCTGGCGTATGGAACTCTGGCCATCTTGGCTCGGCTTGACTATGCTCACCCGAGTTATGTTTTGACGCTGGTGCTGTCTCACCGTCGCTGGATGGCGATATCGTGCTCTGCTTGTGGGATCCCGCATGGCTTTCCGTTGTTGTAGCGACAGACGGTTGCTTTATCGGGCCCTTTGCCTCAGAATTCTGGCCAGTGAGCACCTGGCGTAAAGTAGCTGCATGGTCCTCCTCCTCGTCCTCCTCGTCCTCCTCGGAATCTGACAAAAGCGGTGGATCGGGGATGAATAGCTCCCTGAAGCTCCCTCCTGGCCGTATGAGTTCGGAAATTGATTGGCTGTGGATGGTGCTTGGGAACTGTTCGTTGAAATAGGTGAAGCGATAAGGAGAAACCTCTGTGGTTTGAGACCAACCCTTATGCACAGGTCGCAATCTCCCGTTAACGAGCTGAGGCTCGGTGATTTTCTTGGCCCGGCGCTCCTCGCTTTGGCCTTCCTTCTCAAACTTGCTCCACTCGTCGAGTATCGACAGATCCGGCCACTTCTTTCGCCTCCGCCGAGCTCTCATGTGATATGCCGTCGGGTCTTGGACGCGAAGGTCGTCATCGGCCATCTCAGAAAGCCCCTCATGCGGAAAGCACACGTCCTCCTCCGCCTCCATGGAGATCGTATGCCGCCGCTCAAGCGGTGGTTGAAATCCTTGACCGGGCCCGGCATCCGTGATGTCAATGCCGGGCAAACATTCTTCATCCGAATGCCGATCTAATTCAAGCTCGTCCCGGAGCATCACATCCCCCAAGCTCATGGCCATCCGATGAGACGGCCGCATCGGAGGCGTTCCAGGAACCGAGGGGGGGTAATTGACATTGTAGTTGCCATCACCAGGCATGAATTGGTTGGGAAGCTTCCTCTTGCTGCTTGTCCGGCTCGAATCGCGGCGACTATGCGATCCGCTTCCCGGGCGCGGATTGTTCGATCCATAGCCCCCGAATTGCATCAACACTGGGTCTGATCTCAGGCGAACAGAATCGGAAAGGAGGGGCGCGCCTTCGTCCAGTCGAGCTGTTTCATCGTCAGAGTCGGAGTCCTCTCCATAATAGACTGTCCTCAGCCTGCTGGTTGGTTGTGGGATTTGGTGTTGCTGAAACGACGCTGGTTGCGGTACATTCGAGGGGCGGCGAGGCCGTAGGGAGGGTGGTTGCTCTCTTGGACAGTACAGGTCAGTTGGGATTCTCCTGATATCAGTGAGGGAATGGATGCTATATAGGCAGCCATACCTATGGTCTAACAGCACCTCACTATCAATACTTGTATTGCTGAGGTTGTTGAGGTTGCTATCGCGAACTGAGTAGAAGTTGGGGGGGTGGGGACTATCCAAGCCTTCGGGGTGGTTGGCATCGTCGGTCATCTCGTCCAGTGGAGCAGCGAAGGACATTCTCCGTTCTCTCTTCTTCTTCTTCCCGGCCCTCTGGCCTTTCCTTTTCCTTGTTTTCTGGCTGGATGGATGCTGAGCTGTGGCAGAGTCCGAGCCCGCAGCTTCGGATCCAACTCGAGCCTGTGCGGATTGCATCGTGAGACTCGGCTTGGGGTTTGTCTCTAGTCCTGTCGTCTGTATGTATGCATGCGAACTCTCGGTCACGATTGGGGCGAGTGGGTCCAAGGATTGAGTGGTGAAGGGCCTTGCAGCTGATACGAGAAACCCAGACAAGCAGGTACCGATATAGAATAGGTCGGATATCTGGGACTGACCAGTGAAAGGTGGATAGAGGTCTGACGCAGACGCTGGAAGAGAAAGCTTCTTGGTGGTCAGTTCCCAGGCTGGAAATTCGCTACCCCTCTAGGCTGTTTGGTGTGGTTCATAGTGCGCCACGATCCACATGGACCCATATGGGGGCGTGTTAACTGCCTGAGGACCAGAACACAGCGAGTCGATAATTGTTTACGTGTCGTCCAAATCGAGGGAGGAAGCAGGCATGGTAGGTTGATTGAATCGAAAAGACAAGCTTCGTGTAGTCGTAACGGCTTCTGTACACTACAGCATAAGCTAATGTTTCTAAATTCAGATGTTTCAAGCTTTTCAGTGATGTCACCGACCTCGCTTTCTCCAGCCCAGTTTCCGGGCCGGTAATTGGCTGTGATACTTGGCATTCTCCAGCGGGGTCGAAACTCAAGGACATTCATTACCTTCCTTCCGTTCTGGGAGCTCGGCGTTAGAGCGGGGTCCTAAACCCAACAGAGAAACATAGGGGCTCTACCTACCTTATCCCGGAGATATGGAGACATCAGCTCTTTAGTGGATCCGGCAACAGAACGCAGACCCGGGATGGGGCAACCCCGCAGAGGTCGTTGTGCACGATGATGTGTAGATACCTGCTTGGTCTACACTAAAAAGAAACCCATCCTCCTAAAGAGTTGATAATCCATCCAAAAACCCTTTACATAGTGCCCTATCTGAGCTGTTCAATTCCAGGTCTGCTTCTATATTAGCTAGCTTCCCGACCATGTCCGGTTTCCCCAAGCTCATCCCCGCCTTCACGGTGCAAGTAAGTACCGCGTTCCGCCGGTCCGGGAGGGGGGAAAAGCAATCGCTCAAAAGCTAACGCGCGAGTCAGATTGCTCTCGATAAACCCTCCCCAGTCGGAGCTGTCTCCAAGGGGCCGAACCTCGTCCACGTAGGCTTCATCCCGAACTCGGGCTCCCTCCGGTCGGAGCCCGACTACCCGGTCAAAATCGATGCCGTGTTCACCCACGGCGCCGACTACATCAAGGCGGACCCGGACGGTGAACATGCCCGCCTCGAGGTCCAGAGCATCCTCAAGGACAAGTCCACGGGTGCGCTGGTCCGCTATAACTATACCGGAATCATCGACCTGCGCGGAGCGGCGGGGAAGGTCCTCAGGGGCGAGCAGGACGCAAAGACCAGCGACTTCGGGGATGCCTTCGCTCATGTGTCCCTCGAGACCGGGAGTGCGGAATTGAAAAGACTGGAGAATAGGGTTTATGTTGCCTCGGGCCGCTTCGTACTTGACCCTGGCCAGCCAGTGATTGTCGAGTACAAGGTCAGCGAAGTGGCGAAGTAGCGGTCGGGGTGGAAGCTAGGAGGCGTATAAATAGGTTCGAATCGCTGGTGCTTATCCCGCCCTTGAACACCGATAGTGTTCAAGTTACATGAAGCCGACCGTCTTGGCTATCGCATTGCTCATCAAGTCCATTCGATCAGCTGGGGCCATATCAGACTCCATTCATCCTGTGAAACGAAACGCTTCCGATACTTCTATTCAAGCCCATCCTAAAATTTCGTGTCTGGCATCTGCGGACCGTCTGTGGCGGCTCAAGGGCTCTTGGCGGGTAGTAGCCGCATCAGTAATTTCAGTAATAGTTCGGAGTGGCAGTTCTGTATTCTCCGTGGGTTCCTGGGAATGCCCCTACTGGATTAGAGTCGACCAGCGTTCCTTCATCCCCAGAGCTCTGGTCGTCTCCTAGGTCATCAGACCTATCCGGGGGCGCCCGCATAGCGTCTAGAGATGAGACATCGAGCACTGGCGGTTGGAATGGCTTGATGCTGTGGATTTCGCGCCCAGACGGCATCTGGGCAAGCAGTGAGCCAGCGGCAGGAATATCTTGGGTGAACATCTGAGAGATCCTCGTCAGCACTTGGCCCACAGCCCCGGGGTCATCAGCTTACCGTATCGTTCTGCTTTGCCCATTTGGCCTCCAGCAACTCAACGACCCGGGTTTCCTCCCACTTCCCTGCATCAGAGCCCCAGTTGGAGCCCTTCTCGACCTTCCTATCTTCCCTTTTCTCGGACCATTCCTTTTTGAGTCGCCCAAGGCCGAGACCCTTCTTCACGTCCTTCTGGTCCACACCAAGCTCCTGCAAGGCAGCATGGAGCCAGCCTATCGCACTGCCAGTTTGCCCACCAAGGTCTGCGTCAATCCCAAAGAACCTGCAGGCCTTCGCTCGGCTCGTCCGGCGAAGATCTTCGAGATAGCGAACAAACCCGTCGTTGAGTTTCCCGCCCCTTCCAGACCCTTGCGAAAGTGAGTATGCCTTGGTCGCATGCTCGCTGGCAGCAAGGCAGAGTCGGGCAAACAGGTGGGCGCGGACCTTTGGTATCTCCGGAGCTTTGTACATCCATTCCGTGTCGTTCTTATTCCGGTCTTGGGCGACGACTGCCGGATATGGGTCATCTTTCAGCACTGCCAGGAGAGTAGCCTCGGCCAAAGCCAGTGAAGATTGGGCCCTGAGAGTGGTAGGAGCAATGTCCGCAGATGGTGGGCTTGTGACAATGCTCTCGGCGCGGGTTGCAAGGTAGTCATATATCGCAGCAGCATCAAGAAGGTACTTGGTTGCGGCGGTGATGGCGCTCTGCCGCTGTTGCGTGCCCACGGGTGCACTAGATGTCACATATAGGGGATGTAGAACCGCCCTTGCCTGGAGGCTATACGCGTTGGCGAGCGTCGAGAGTGCAAACAAGACTTCATATTCGAGGGACTGGATCTTCACCCGAGAGCTTTCCTTTCCCGGAACCGTGGCATCAGACAGTGTAGGCCGCCACTCAATTACCGGTGCAGTCTTGAGGATCACATTGACCTCATCCCCGTGAGCTGCCTTTCGGCCAAGTCCAGCATCGACGGCGAAGAGGTAAGGGAGATAGCCGTTGAGAGCTGAGACCACCAGTGATAAGTTTGGAGATTGCGATGAAGGGGGCAGCCTCTTGTGCTTCTTCAACGTGTCCCTCACGATTCCTCGATAGGTGCTGGCATTGAGAGGCAGCGATGGATGAGTTTCACAGCTGAAACTAGATGAGTAGGAAAAGGCAGATGTAGTTGGGAGGACGAATGGATACGGCATTGTTTTCCAGGTTAGAAGGCAAGTAACTTTGAGCTCACAGGGGTAGATGATGTCTTGAGGGAAAGTCAAGTGCCTTGGTATCTGCCACTCTCCAAACTGACATGGATGGCTTGGCTTTGTCGTTTTAGTGAGCATGTACTGTACCTGAGGAGAGCCATTGATGCCCATCCACCAATGACATCACTTGGAGGGTCAACCCGGCACGCAACTGCTATCGGCCCGGCAAGACCACTCACGTCGGGTCGCTACCAGACTTAAATTTGGAGCTTTCCCCACAGCTTCTTGTTCGCTGCTGTGGACAGATTCGCGACAACAAGGCCGCCAATATATAGGAACCCGGCGACTGGTGCTGCGTCTCGGGCCCTGAGTATTAAATGACACCGATTGATCGTCTCAGTACTCAACACCGGTGACAATGGCCATGCCGTCGCCTTCCCCTCACAAGCCGAGGCGGAAGATCAAGAAGCCCGGCAATGGCCTCAACGGCCCCATAGGCCTCTCCAAGGCGGAAGCTCTCGATCGATCACCCGCCTTCCCATTGTTGGCCTTCTTCTGGCCGGCCCGCAGCTCTGTCTCACAATGGGAACTCCTGCCTTTGACATTGATGGTTGCGGGCCTGTTCAGATGGGCTGCCAGTCTCTGGGGATACTCGGGTCAGTTGCCAGCTTTTCTCACCTGCTTGACCTCTGGCTAACGTTACATTACTCCCCAGGCTTCGGCAAACCGCCCATGTTCGGAGACTACGAAGCCCAACGGCACTGGATGGAGGTTACGACACACATCCCGATATCCCAGTGGTACTTCCACGATCTTCAATGGTGGGGCCTCGACTACCCGCCTCTGACCGCATATCATAGCTGGTTGTGCGGGAAGATAGGCTCGGTCTTCGACCCGTCGTGGTTCGAACTCTACACATCTCGCGGCTCGGATGACCCGTCGCTGAAGATATTCATGAGGGGCACCGTCATTATTTCCGAGTTTCTCATCTACGTTCCGGCTGCCGTCGTCTTTGTGAGACGATACAGCAGGCTAAGCGGTGTTGCGACGTGGTCTTCTTCGGTGGCACTGGTTGCAATCCTCATGCAGCCGGCAACGATACTCATTGACCATGTGCACTTCCAATACAACACCGTCATGCTCGGATTTGTGCTTGCAAGCATGTCGAGCATGCTGGCAGGGAGATATATGTGGGCTTCGGTCTTCTTTGTCGCGGCCCTCGGCTTCAAACAGATGGCCCTCTACTATGCCTTCAGTGTCTTCTCTTACCTTCTCGGCAACTGCGTTTTCCCTCGGATCAACATCCCTCGCCTCCTAGGCATAGCTGCAGTCACGGCTGGGTCATTCGCCATACTCCTCGCCCCGATCATTGCGGGTACCTACTACGACATCAGTCGTGGCATCGATCCTCGACCGGATCTCGACGGCCCCAAACCACCGTTACCCTTGTTTCCTGGCCTTGCGAAGCATCTAAACACGGAGGCATTCTACTTTTCAATCGTTGAGCAACTGCTGCAAATGGCCCATCGAGTATTCCCCTTCGCCCGGGGCCTCTTTGAAGACAAGGTCGCGAACTTCTGGTGTGCCTTGAACGTGGTGGTTAAACTCAAGGGGTATTCTCCAGAGCTTCTCCAGAAGGCCGCCTTGGGAGCCACATTGGCCTCCATAATACCACCGAATGTCATTCTGTTCTTCCGACCGAAGAAGACGCTCATACCCCTGGCCTTCGCAGCAACGGCTTGGGGCTTCTTCCTGTTCAGCTATCAGGTTCACGAGAAGAGCGTGCTCTTGCCATTATTGCCTATGACTATGCTGCTTGCCGGAAAGCAGGGGCTAGGCAAGGAGGTCAGAGCCTGGGTGGGATTCGCTAACGTGCTCGGATGCTGGACCATGTTCCCGCTGCTGCAGCGCGTGGACCTGCGGGTGCCTTACGCAGTCTTTACGCTGCTGTGGGCGTACCTCCTCGGCCTACCGCCGACGTCGATCAGTGCGTACTTCCAAGAGGGCACCAGCGTCTGGGCCCAATGGGGCACTGCATTGATCCATGGCGCCTTCTACTTGGCCATGGCGCTGTGGCACGTCCTGGAAATGAACCTGAAGCCGCCAGCGGATAAGCCGGACCTCTGGGTCGTGACTAACGTGGGCATCGGGGCTGCTGGGTTTTCCTTGTGTTACTTGTGGTGTCTCTGGCGACTGGCGGTCGAGGGCGAGGTCATCCCCAAGTCATGGACGAGGAAGAGTAAAGCAAAGTCGCAGTGAGGCACGTCTTCCAGGGCAGGGCTTTGGTCATTTGCATCGGCCGAGGCCAGCTATTCTGTGTACATATGTGTATTATAGGGACTCTGCCACTGGCGCCCTCGTTACATAGTCCAAAGAACGTACTTACTCTATATCTACGGAAGTGCTTCTCTCGGCACAGCATTGAAGAACAATTGATTGTGTTGGGGCTTATTTACATCCACACAGGCGGAGCGAAAGGAGGCGCTATTCTGCAACGGTTCCAGCTATTCCTGTCTCGGTTTAGCGCAGACTTGCTCCAAGACGCTGTGACCAACAATTAGACCTCATGCCTGCTAACAGGGGATCCTTGCCAGGCGTTCGTCGATCATTTTCATTGGGGATGGTTGGACGACAACTTCGACAATCAACATCATCGCCATCTCGATCTGGCAGCTTGGTGGTATTACAGTCCTCGTCAACTATTCGGTCTGTTTCTGGGTTATAGAAGGACTGGTGATAATCCCCATGACATTGACTAAAACGTCAGCAATAATATCTTCAAGCATCGTCTTGTGACCAACGCCACGCAGCATCGAGGGTACATCGAGGAAAAGCCAGCCGTCACGAAGAAAGGAACCAACGAGGTGGTGAGTAACGGCCGTACATAACTCGCCTGCCGGCACCTTTATTTATCCTGATCTTTGTCGCTTTTATCACGGGTCATCAGGCCACTTCTGTGCCAACTCCCGAGGCTGGCCCAGGCAAATGTCCATATAATATAGAAGCACGCATTAAGTCTCCATAATGTGTCTATGTCTAATATCAACCACTCGAGTCCTTCGCTATCATTTGCATATTCTCAGCTTCGCTTGTCTTGGCCCGGCATCCTGACACCGCCTGGCCAAATTGTCCTGCATCCATCAGACTCGGCCCGAGAAACAGATCCCGTCCCTGATCTTCCCCCACTGGGCTGGTCCGAGTTGGCCGTTGCTTCTATTCTCCCTATCCCCACCGAGGGAGTTTATCATACTTATCCCCTTTGCCCCCTCCCTCCTTTCCTTTCTTGTCCTTTCCCCCTACTTTTGTTGCTTCGAAATCCATCTTTAGTCCACGCAAGATAAACTGGACGACTATCCAGACATGTTACCGTCATATCTGCTGCAAGTGGCAGCCGCGGTGGTCGGCAGGGCCGAGTCTCCAGAGCATAACAACTTCGAGGCAGTAAGCCCGACGAAGACAACAACAACAACAACAACAAGCTCGACGTTCTCGCTCACGATCCCGACGACGGTTCCCACCCACACAATAGCGGTTGGTGCGGTATGCTTGGTCCAACTAACACCTTGTCTGGCTCTGCCAAGTATCTGGCTAGCTTGTTCTGACTTCTTTGCAGGACGGATTCAAGTACACGCCCGCGGAATACAAGCCCGTAGATATTGGTGATATCATTGGTGCGCAGAACGTCCCGATCTATGTTTCCTTCAAGCGCTTACGTCGTTACCCAGAGTTTCGCTTCTATCCTGGAGGCCACACGGTTGTCCGGGCAGAATTTGGATTCCCATGCATCCCATATGAGTACACGGGAGCCAACAAAATTGGCTTCTTCAGCGGCCACAAGTCGCCTCAAGTCATCTCGAACGATGTATGTGCGTTTTGTATTTCTGTCCGGCTATGGGGCCTGATGATTCTCCTCTACTGACACTGCCCAGCTTCCGACCTTCCAAGTACGGGTCAATGACACAGATCCCTTCTTTTTCTACTGCTCTGCGCCTACCTCCTGCGTCGACCACCACATGATTGGAGCCATCAACGCCGGCGGCAACAAGACGCTAGAAAAGCAGATTGATTTTGCCGTGAACGCAACTTATCAGTTGGCCCCTGGAGATCCTTTCCCCTCGGAAACGGCGAGCCCGACCGGAACTCCCTCACCGACGAACTCACCAGACGGCGTGCCGTCGAATTCCGGGGTCAGCGACGGGGGAGGCCACCACCACCTCAGCGCCGGGGCAATCGCCGGCATCGTCATCGGCGCGGCTGCGGTTCTGGTCCTGGGCGGTGGCTTGATCTATCTGTGCGGATGGAGATACGGCATGTATCGTACAAACACGCAAATATTTCCGCCACCAATGGCTGACGCCAAATTCTCACCGTCGCCGAAGAGCCCAGGACACGGGGCGGCCGCGACAATGCATTACTCGGTGCCTCCCGGCAACGACCCTTACCAGGCGCAGAGTCCTTCGAATCCATACCTCCAGTCTCAGTCGCCGATACATCCCGGTACTTACCCGAGCCCTGATAATACGAGCACCCACGGCCCCCTTATGGGGGTGAACGGTGGGCAAGGCTACTACCAGTCAGTGTTTGTTCGCTCGATTTATTTTCTTAGGAGTCTCCTTCCTAACTAGTCTATCACAGTCACGGCGGGCAAACCACCTCACCTCATGCGCAGGTACAACATCAGACAGCGCCAGTCGAGCTACCAGCAACAAATAGTCCAGGCAACTCGCCGATGCCAATATACCGGGAGAGGAAGTATTCATGGTCACAAGGCGAAGAAGCCCTATATCGACCAGGAGACAAATCATGAACACAAATGCGCCACTCCGACATATGCAGTCCTCCTTGACATACGATCCCATGACATAACGAGTCACGTATCTAATAATACAATTGCTTCATCCGTCACGAGGCGGTAGAATACACGGCATTTAACTCATGGAGTGGTAATGGGGCGTTCAGGGGGCCCATTCGACACGGAGGTCCGATAAATTCTTTGTTTCCATGGCCTTTTCCCTTTGTTTACAGCGTGGACAGTAGGGCGGTGATATTTTGGCCGGTCCTCGTGTTCCACACATTTACCTACCTGAATTACACCTTAGCCGAGACGTAGAAATCGCCATCTATATTCTCAAGACGGCGCTCTAAACAGATGTTGGGGACCTCCTGTGTGCAAGTCCGTCTGCCCTCTTGTAACCTTGGAGCATGCATTGCCAACCTCTGCCGGGTTAGGCCTCGTTTTGGGTTGGGGGCGAGAAGTAGGCCACCATATAAGTGAAAAGATTGACAGCCACACACCCAAGTAAGCTCGCTTGAAGCTGTGCCTCGCGGATCCTGTGGGTTCCGATATACACGCCATATCCTGGCAAGAACAAGGAAAACTAGGCATGGTGACACGGGATGTGGGCGGTGTCTCCTCGTGTAGTGATCTACTGTAAGGCTCCAGGGGTCTCTTGGGGGCCTGAATTCTCGGCCACGAGGATACTGCCGCGGAAGGGCCCGACGGACATGGCGAAGGCAATATGCATCATCCGGTGTGACATCCTGGGCTGGCAATACGCATTGCGGCGAGGTAGGAAATGAGCCAATCGAGGTCGGCTAGACGGCTAAGAGCGCTAACCCAGCCAGCCAGGAGGGTCGTCTAGAAAACGGCTCTGCACGCTACTGGGCTTTCCGAGCTACCTCGAGTCCCGGGCTGTCATTGAGGTACGACCGCTGCATGTACCCGTGCTGGACCGTAAGATGGAGCGTAGGGGTCTTCTAAGAGGCCACGTGAAGATTTGCGACAAATGAACGGAGCTTCCTCGGAATGTTCCGCGGCATCTTTTCTCGGAGTTAGCGTGACACTCGAGACCATCAGGGTCCAAACTCCACGCTTTCGAGCCAGGGAACCCCTGATAACCATTATTGCGACCGCCAAATCTGCGATCAGGCGAGATACTTGAAAAGGATCACGATCCGTTGGCTTAACAACCGCGTGCGTACATCGCTTTGTCCCGCGGCTCGGCGCTTCCTTTTGACACCCCGAGACGACGGCCGCGAGGGCTGAGCATTATTATCATACCCCGGGATGAATTCTCGGACCCGACTACCAACGCCCTTGTTCCACTCAGAAAACTGCTCCAAACACCCAGGAAGGGAACAATTGAAGTAGCCTAGGCGACTAGCCTTTTGGCGGAGCCCGAGATGGAAATCCTGACAAAGTGTTCGGGGCTACGGGGCCCGAGTTGGTGATATTTTTGGGAGAACAAAGGACTTCTATGATATGACGCATTTTCCCATGATGGATTAAATGGCCTGTGCGGCTAGGTAGTTGTCTTTAGCTCCACTGTTGTAACCTGTAAGGTACCTTGGTACCCTCTGCGCTGACAGGAGGGAGACCTTGAGCTCTGATGTTTTCGAAACAATCTGATCTTTTGGAGAAAGCTCCGAGTTCAAAGTGAGGTACAGGGCCCCACTATAGGTCACATCTGCTATAGGGTACCTCAATTTTGCAGTAGCTTACATGTCACTAAAAGTAGCTCTTAAGGTCTAATACCCAAGGGGGTGACAATTCTTTGTCACTTTGGACGATGTCTCCGGTGGCTCGTGGATCTCAGTGCTCGTTGAGGACACTGTGGTATTTGACCATGAATTTTGCAACCTCCCCCTCAACACCGAACCAGCCTCCCGTCTTCTTTCATTCTTAGCTGCTGTGCTGCCTCGCCTGGTTGCTTTTTCCTCGACCCACCCATTTCTTCCAGCTGTCCTGATTGCTCCTCGGCACTTGGATCAGGACCAGGACCTTGCCGTCGTCACCAGTTCCCTCCTGCCAACCTCCCCCCCGTGCCACCAGAATTAGCCATTCCTCGACCGCATCGCCAATATTTAGACATTTTTGATCAATTCAGACAGCATGGCGCAAATGAGAGGACCGGGCAGCTATGGCATTGGCACCCAAGTCCCATTTGGGGGCCCCAGTGAGCCGGCGCCCGAATCCGGTCCCCTCGATGCCATCCGGAAACAAACCAGCAAGATCGAGGACTGGCTCGACACGCTGAGCGAGCCACTCAAGCCGTACGCGGCCCCCGACCCCGTGCAAGCTCAGGGCTTGCATTGCTAACTGCTTCTCCGCAGCTACTTGCCAGCAATTGGCCGCTTTCTCATCGTCGTCACGTTCCTCGAAGACACTCTGAGGATACTCACACAATGGAACGACCAGCTACTCTACCTACACGATTACCGCCACAGTAAGCTCCCCCCGAATATCCCTTCATCCGATCTCGCATCGCGCGTCAACATCGGACGTAGCTAACGCCACCGTCTTTTCGTAGTCCCGAAGGGCATCACGCACCTGTTCCTCATCGTCAACATGGCCTCCATGCTGGTCTGCTCCGTGATGATCATCATCCGCAAACACGCCGAGTACGCCGTGGCCGGCCTGATGGCGGTGGTGGTCACGCAGGCGCTCGGCTACGGCCTCATCTTCGACCTCAACTTCTTCCTGCGCAACCTGTCCGTCATCGGCGGCCTCCTGATGCTCCTGTCGGACTCGTGGGTGCGCAAGTCCAAGGCCTTCGCGGGCCTGCCGCAGCTCGAGGAGAAGGACCGCAAGATGTACTTCCAGCTGGCTGGCCGCGTCCTGCTCATCTTCCTGTTCATCGGCTTCGTCTTTAGCGGTGAATGGTCCATCTGGCGGATCATCGTCTGCCTCATCGGCCTGGTCGCCTGCGTCATGGTTGTTGTCGGCTTCAAGGCGAAGTTCAGCGCCACCCTGCTGGTCCTCATCCTCAGCGTATTTAACGTCTTTGTCAACAACTTCTGGACCGTGAGTAGCTAGCTTTACCTCTCCCCCCTTCTCAGGCCTCCCTGGCTCCGCACATGCTTGTTACTGACTAACCCCCGTCGATAGCTCCACGAGCACCATCCCCACAAGGACTTCGCCAAGTACGACTTCTTCCAGATCCTTTCCATAGTTGGGGGCCTCCTCCTGCTCGTCAACAGCGGCCCCGGCCAGTTCAGCATCGACGAGAAGAAGAAGGTCTATTAGAGGGCCTATTGACTTTGGGGCAGGAAGGGGGAGGAAGGGGGATACAGGCGGATACCGCAAGAGATTGAGCGCAAGGCGGCAGGCGGCAGGCGGGATGATGAATTTAGACCCGAAAGCCCGCGGTATACTTGGTCGAAGAGTCGGATCAAGTGCTCTGTGTTGGAAAGTGTCAAAATGAGACATGCCATGCTTACATTTGGGAAGGAGTCGGAAGTGGCAAATCATATTATTATTCAAGGGTAGGTCCTAATCAAGGGGAAAAGTCCGATGATTCACGAGCTCTACGATGGGCCATGGGAGTCAACCAGGGCCGTTATCTCTGCGATTTGTACGTCTTTGTACCTCTAGCTTGCGTGACTCCTCGACTCGGCATGACGAAGGCAACGAAGCGAGTGTGCCATGTGGCCATCCTGACACTTGGTTTCACAACTTCCTTCTTTTTGCCCTGCCTCCCTCCCTCCCTCGACCTGACTGCGGGAATATCCAGACTGCCTTTTCAGGATCGGTGATCCATCCCTCTATAATTAATCCCTTGCAGAGAACACGCCCACAATTATCTTGCATGCGTACCTGGGCTGACCTCCTGGTGGCTGGCCGGGTGGAGGAGCAGTTCCGACCTTCGTCATCTATGTGATCATGGCCACGCATCCGGATTCCGGAAGTGAGAAAGTGGCCCGGAGCCCACTTCTTTGGCAATATGAGTGACCGCCAGAAGAAACTGGCGGTAGCACAGGGTCGGTATCTGATTTACGGAATGATCAGCTCGCGCATTGACTGCTTCGCGAAGTCGACGATTCTCAGGCAGTTCGGCTTCTCTCCAGACGAGAGCGGGCCGTGTCCACAGTCGCGGTCGAACACCAACGTCCCGGCAGCCACCATTGCATCGATCTGTTCGTGTCGACGCCGGGACCGGTCTTCCATCATGGCAATGATGTCCTTCAAGCCCGGCTGCTGAAACCACGAGCACGGGCCGGCCTCGCCCGGCGGCGTGTCGGGGGAGAGTCCGTAGACGTCTATCCTGAGCAGCGACCGCACCAGCACGCGCCATATGTGTGGCTCGAAGACGGCGCCCTCGATGCCGAGGGTCGAGCAGTGCTTGGTATTATTATGGGCCGCCAGCTGGCCCCAGAGGCCGCCGTAGTCCTGCAGGGCGAAGGTGAGCTTGCGCCCCTCGCGATCCGCCTTGGCGGCCTCGTCCTCGACCATCTGGAGGATGCGCCTGTAGGCGAACGAGATGGACGGCAGCAGGCCGCCGAGTACCATGAGGTTCTGCACCGACTGGATGGGCGGGTCGTTGCTGTGCTGGATGGGAGGTGACGCACAGATCGGGCAGAGGATGCTGTCGTGCGCCGTCTTGGCGGCGGTGCGCGCGACCCTCATTGCTTGGCTGACGTCTTTGGGGAGACGCTGAAGTGAATCCAGGGCGAGGTACAGGCGCGCCAAACAGCTGCAGATGGTAGGGTCTGCTTCTGCGAGGGTTTCTTGCTCAGAGTTGCTTGAATCCTGGGGTGATAGGTCCGGTATCTGCTCGCGAGCTTCGGTCGACACCGATGACACAGCTTGCTCCAGGGTAAACTCCTCGTCCAAGGTGGTAGGTTGGACTGGAACATCGGTTTGGCCAAAGTCTATGCTATCAAGATGCAACGAGTCGATTTGCCAAAAGGACGCGGTAGGAACTGCTTCGGAACGCGGGTTTGCACTGCTTGGGCCGGGGACGCCCTGAGTAACGGGGTTGCCTCCAAGTGACGGATCTGGAACTAATAGATCAAGGAAGCTGAGGCTGCTATCATCCATATCGAGAAAGGCCATGTCAAGGTCCATTGTCCCGTCCAGCAAACTGTCCTGGGCAGGCACAACAACAGGATGCCCAGGCCGCGACTCATCTGATTGGGCAATAGGGCGTTTCCTCGGGCGCCCCATGGGCTTCTGGGGGGAGTAATGGCACTTAATGCCTTCACGCCTGCAGCGCGAGCATCCATCGGCTTCTTTCGAACAAGCTAGCTTCCGAGCCCCTGCGAGGCATTAGACGGCACATCAGGGCCGATTGGAAGGAAGTCGACATACGACAGTCATCACAAGCACGTCTTCTAGCTGTCCCAGTCTGGGAGGTTGATGAGGACCTAGGATCCATCGCGGAGGTGGTTGGACAACTCGCACAAACTTGTAGATCTGACAAACAACTTGGCAAATACGTGGTAATGTAATTATACGGCGTCAGAGTTAAGATCCCAACACCATGTATCTTAGGATTCTTCGACCATATTGTAACTCCACAAGTGTGACAAGTGCAAGAGATGGTAAGGAGACAGTGTTGCTGACAGTAGGCAGCCGTAAAGGTGCGCGCGCAAGAAATTACTAAGCAAGAAAAAAGGCGGTGGGAACTGCCCCTCTAGGTCGGTTCTAAAATTGTTTAGCGCATTGGCAGAAAAAAAAAAGTTGGAATGTTAAAGGAACGAGACAAGATATTCTTCAGCCTACAGCAGGGCGTGATCACTACACCCAGATCACATCCAATGGCGACGAAATTACAGTCAAAAAAGCGGAAGGCTCCGGCGAAGGACGATGTTCCTGAGGATGATCTTTCTGGCGGTGTATTGGACGGTGCGCTATCACAAAGTGACGATGATTCCGGCTTCGTGAGCACCGACGAGGAGGACGAGTTGGACGAAGAAGAGGATGAGGGTGAGGACGCTGAAAGTGGGGAGAGCGAAGCCGACGATGATGACGCTCTCCTTAGCGACGACATCCCCTCCGATGATGAAGGTGTTGAGGCGAGTCTTCGGGAGCTTTTAAAAGATGGCGGCCGACAGAATACGGACACGGCCGCTCTTGCTGGAGGGGAGGAGCCTGAGGAGGATGCAGCCCTGGAAGATGATGAGGATCGGCCGAATTACACAATCACCACGGACGCAAATGGAGGCGTCCGGTATGTCTATGAGGAAATTGATCCAGTCTACGACTCGGACGACAGCGATGCCAAGGAGCCGGCGAACACCATTGGCGACATTCCACTGTCCTTCTACGACTCGTACCCACACATCGGCTACGATATCAACGGGAAGAAGATAATGCGCCCAGCTACAGGAGAGGCCCTTGACGCACTTCTCGACAGCATAGAGGTGCCGAAGGGCTGGACGGGTCTGACCGATCCCGCCACTGGCAAGCCGCTCAAACTGACTCGGGATGAATTGGAGCTCCTCCGCCGGGTACAGATGAACGAGATTCCAGAGGACGGCTACGATCCTTACCCGGATACGGTCGAGTACTTCACGAGCATAGAGGAGACGATGCCCCTGAGCGCGGCTCCGGAACCGAAGCGTCGTTTCCTGCCCTCGAAGCATGAAGCAAAGCGCATCGCCAAGTTGGTTCGCGCGATAAGGGACGGCCGTATCCTACCCTACAAGCCCCCTGAGGAACGGGAGAGGGAGGAAGCGGAGAAGGAAGAGATCCATTACGATATATGGCAGGACGAGGTTCCACGAGAACCTCATGTGATGCACATTGCAGCACCTAAACTGCCTCCCCCTGGCTACGACATGAGCTACAACCCTCCGCCCGAGTATCTCCCAACCGAGGAGGAAAGGCAGGCATGGGAGAATACGGATCCTGAAGAGCGCCTAAAGGAGTACCTGCCCAAGAAATTCGATGCCCTGCGGAAGGTACCTGGTTATGACATGTTTGTCAAAGAGAGATTCGAGAGGTGTCTGGATCTCTACCTCGCCCCGAGAATACGAAAGAACCGACTAAACATCGATCCGGCATCTCTCCTGCCAAAGCTACCACGGCCGGAAGAGTTGAAGCCGTTCCCGACAGTGTGCCAGACGTTGTTCCGAGGACACAATGGGCGCGTGAGGAGCTTGGCTATCGACCCAAGTGGCTGCTGGCTTGCAACGGGAGGAGACGATGGTAGTGTCCGTGTCTGGGAGCTTCTGACCGGGCGACAGGTGTGGAGCGTTCGTCTCAACTCTGAAGAAGCGGTTAACGCTGTGCGATGGCAACCGACGAAGAACACCGGGATTCTCTCCGCGGCTTCTGGCGAGGATATTTTCCTCATGATCCCGCCGATTCTCGACCCAGAAACTGAGCAGGCAGGCCGAGGCATCCTCGACGCCGGATTCGGCTACGCCACAAATGCAAATGGCCCGCAGAAGCCCGCAGGCGTAGGTAAAGAACCGCCGGCGAAGTGGGCGAGGCCGGGGACCAAGCTAGAAGACGAAGGCGTCCTGATCAGGATCACCGTCAGGTCTACGGTCAAGGTCATCTCCTGGCACAGACGAGGCGACCATTTCTGTACCGTCTCGCCGGGGGGCCAACGAAGCTCTGTCGCCATTCACACCTTGTCCAAACATCTCACCCAGATCCCCTTCCGAAAGCTCGCCGGCCTTGCGCAGACCGCCCACTTCCACCCGTCTCGGCCCTTCTTCTTCGTCGCAACGCAGCGCATGATCCGTTGCTACGATCTCCAGAAACTGGAGCTTGTGAAGACCATCCAGCCCGGAGCACGGTGGATTTCGTCGTTCGACGTCCATGGCGGCGGCGACAACTTGATTGTGGGATCTTACGACCGGAGACTCTTGTGGCATGATCTGGACCTTTCCAACAGGCCGTTCAAGACGATGCGGTTCCACGAGCAGGCCATCCGGGCCGTGAAGTACCACAAAGGAGGACTACCCCTCTTCGCCGATGCCAGTGACGACGGCTCCCTGCAGGTGTTCCACGGCAAGGTTGTTACCGACCTTATGGAGAACCCCACCATCGTGCCCGTCAAGGTCCTGAAGGGTCACAAGGTTGTCAATGCCCTCGGCGTCATGGATGTTGACTGGCATCCCAAGGAACCATGGTGTGTGAGTGCCGGAGCCGATGGGACGTGTCGTTTGTGGACTTGAAGTGAATGGGGAAGATGGTTACCTCCTATGTATGCCAAGTTTTGTTAAGGCAGTGCCCGCACAGCTGAGGCGTCATGTCATCGATCGGACTGGCCGAGTTTCTAAAATATAGTTATGAAATATTACTGCTTCAATCTTGATTGGGCACTTAGGTTCTTCGGCATTTGGCAGTTGAGTCTTTCCTCCATTACTGATTAGCTGGCGTGCACTCCGCCCGTCCCGGTCTCTCGCATTGTTTCAATCACGGCAACTGGTGATTTGTCGAGGCTTAGCCAACGAGATGGCTGTACTGCCTCACTCGCATATCCAGCTCATCCTTTCCTTCCCGTGGCCCCCGTGCTTACTACTCCTACTTACAACAGACATTCATTAGGCGCTCCTCCTCCTGCCTGATCTCCTCAAGGACTAGCTCCTCCCTCTCTGAACCCCCTAGGTTCTATGTCTGTCTGCTCTCCCTCTTCTCCCCTCCTCTCCTTAGCCTACATGAAGGTGTGCACGCCGCCAGCAAACTTCGCAAACAGGGCCAAGTCGACAGCCTCGGCCATGGCCTTGTACCCGGCCGGGTTCAGGTGCAGGTAGTCGCCAGAATTATAATCGGGGTTGAGCTGCGTCGCATTGGCAGGGTCCCTGACGGCGGCATCGAAGTCGACAACAGCATCGAACCGACCACTGCTCCTGATCCACTCGTTGACGCGCAGGCGCTCGGCCTCGACGGCCGGCTCGCCGTACGCCTGGCCCGGCCCGCTGCACGGCGTGATGGTCGCGCCGAAGACGGCGATGCCGAACCGGTGCAGGCGCGTGACCATCTGGTCGAACGCGGCGATGAGCCGGTCGCCCACGGCCCGCAGCTGCGCCTCGCCGCCGGTCGCCGCGGCCGTGGTGCCGCCGAGATCGTTGACGCCCTCGTAGACGAGCGCGTACCGGACCCCGGCCTGCGCGACGACGTCGCGGTCGATGCGCCCCAGCGCGTTGGGGCCGAGCCCGTCGGCGAGCACCCGGTTGCCGCCGGCGGCCTCGTTGACGACGGCGACGGCGACGGTGTTGTCCGACTGCAGGCGGGCCGCGAGCTGGTCGGGCCAGCGGTCGTTGCCGTTGGTCGTGCTGCCGCGCCCGTCGGTGATGCTGTCGCCCACGATGACGAGGGAGCCGAACCGCGACGGCAGCCACGCCTCGATGCCCGTCAGGAAGTACCAGTGGTCCGTCTTCTGGGTATCGCCACCACCGGCGATGTCGGCCGCGCCGGCGAGGTTGCCGGGCCCCATGTGGCTGGTCGTGCGGCTGCCAGGGTGGCCCGTGATGAGGTTGGTGGTCTGTCCGTCGGCGAGGTACATGGTCACGGTGAGGACCTGCTGGGCGGCGAGGGTGATGTTCACGGGGTCCGAGAAGACGACGGCACCGTTGGGGACCGTGAAGGAAGGGCTGCCTGAGAAGGTGACCTTCTGGAGAGTCTCGGGCTCGATGGCGCTCGCCCCTGCAGCGCCGTCGGCTGGGAGGGCGACGGTCACAGCTGTGATGGGCAGGTCCGAGCCGCCAAAGACATTGCTGAACTGCAACCTGATGGTTGAGGCTTTCTGCATCACGGATACGGTCTGTCTGAGTGTCGCGTTTTGAAAGACGACATCCGTGCCGTTCTGGGAGGAAGAAGGAGTGAGTTCGGTGGACTCAGGTCGGCGACCCCTTTACTGGGTAGCGGTAGCCTTTGGGAAACCTACAAAGGGCGGGTTGGGCAGGTTCGCCGGTTCAACCAGCTGGGGCATCGTACCCCAGATGGCGACCCAGTGATCGTTGCATTTTGCTGCGACGGACGTCGTTGCCAGCAGGAGAGTCGCAAGGCCGGTCTTTAATCCCGAGGACCTCATCGTTGCATTCAGAGTCAAGGACAACTCTTGGCACGCAAAGGGAGATGTTACATCACTCACTCTGTCTCTCGTCCCGGGTGCTCAACAGCGATTCACCTGGGGCTCTTTATATTATTGTGCATCGAAATTAAGACCCAGGAACGCGAACAGGCACTGGGGTGACAGGCCTTTGGGATCCGCCGTCTTGGAACCCACTGGGGCCAGGAACCCGGGGTTGCGGCGGTGAAGCGTGGATTCAATCAGCCTAAATGGATCATCGCGATGGTTGACTCGGCGGAACGGAAGAGCAACTGAGGTCTCATTACATTCTAGCTTCTTTACCGGGTCAGATTGTCGTCCGATCGCCCATATAGCCTTTCGTGCGGAGACGACACAATAGCCAGGATGGCCAAACGAGCAATAAAGGTAAATAAGCATTGTTGTCGAATAAAATTTCAAAAATAGGTACCCAGGCGATAGTGTCGTCATATCCTAACCATATCCTAACCATATATCCTACCTAACCATACATCATAAGACATATGCGTACACTCGCATCCTATAACGCAGAGTTTCGACAGTGGAAAACATGGCAGGAAACACAAGCTGATATCAACCACAAAAGCAATATAAAAGTACATGTCGTACGCCATGCACACCAATGACACAACAGCGCGACGACACAACAGCCGAAACCGACAGGGCCATCTCCCCTAGTCCAACGACAGGCACGCTGAGGCGTACACAAACGTGATGCTCTCGTCGTCAAACTGCCCCCCGGCGGCTCGTATGTCATTGGTGACGCTGCCGGCGGCGTCGGCGTGGGAGACGGGGTCGGAGCTGCCGTCGGTGGCGGCGGCGTGGCTCTGCTTGGAGCGGTAGCTGTTGGACTCGCGCGAGGCGACGACGACGGCGGCGGCGGCGGCGGCGGCGGCGACGCAGTGGCGGGTGAAGCCCGGCGCCGCGCTCTCGAGCCACCTACCCAGGTCGCCGGCCTTGCGTGTGTCGGTCTCGTGCCCGTACGGCTCGAGACTGTTCTTGGTCAGGCCGCAGTCGGCGAGCGGGGCGAGGCGACGGGCCGGTGGGCCGTTGTCGGCTTTCGTGTTGTCCTTCAGGGTGTCGTCGGAGGCCATGGTCTCGACGGTGGGAGCCTTCTTGGTACAGGGATCATAGCTCGGGCCCAGCTTCATGAGGGTCTCCACCTCGGCGGCGAGCAGCGACTCGTCGGCGGAGGTGTCGGCGACCTGGGTCGATGACAGGTTGCGGATGTTGTGCTGGGGAGGCCTTGACGCGGAGAAGCCTTCCATGTCGACGACAGTATCGACGACGACCCAGTCGTAGTCTGAGGCCATGTTGATGGCTGGGTGGTTTACTAGCTGCTCGTACCATTTATTAGGACACAGTCACGTTGGTGGGACCGACTCTGTCTTATGGGAAAAGTACCTAACTCACAAGTAAGGAGGCGTGGAATAGGACCAAGAGGTCTGAGGATGCGTTGGCGGGGAACGGAATGGGGGAGAACTGCGCTGGAAAGGGGGAAGCTAAGAACTATGGGGTGATTCAAGTCTGACTTTATATTCTTTCTGGAGGAACTGTCGTGGAATGGCAAGAAAGTCAAGAAGGAGAGGAGGAACTGATGTACCAACGAGCACTCCGATGATCGGGCTCGTGTGTCTTTGCACCGATGCTCATTCGTCGTCGGTGACTGGTGACGACCTACTCACCTGGGGGCGCTTGGTGTGTGGCGCTGCAAATGCTCACAACCAGTTTAGAGCTCTATCGTCGCCCAAGGTCCGATCGATGGGGATTCGAGTCCTCCCTCCCTCCCCGTGGATCAGACTAGTATTGGCAAGTTCCTGCGCCCAGGTTCAAAGCAAGACAGAAATCCCGAGCTAGACTCGCCTGGAAGCAATGGTTCAGCTGTCGCGGACTGATCCATCCTCGGATCGTCCTACAGGTCGACCCCCTGGGGGGAGCATTCTGCAGGTCTGATTGGCCCATTCCTTGATATGCAGAATCGGGGGATGGATGCAGGCCGTTAATGATGCGAATATGCCATGCATGCAAAAATCTGGGGCGAGCAGACCCCCCAGCTGGCGACTAATCAGAGGCTGAGATGCCTTTACCCGGGCTGACACCGAGCCAAGTCGTAGCCATTATCCTGACAACTTCTGACATTATAATTGGAACTGGTTTCGGCCAACGGCGATCCCCACCATGGAGAGAAACGAGCGGGATCGGAGGTTGACAGCCCTATCGTCTGCACGAATCCTATCAGTGATGATGCCTCAACAACGATCTCCTCTGGTCTCCTCTGATCCCTGTCTCAGAAGCCAAACTTCCCGGATTGGTTGATCAGCTATGAGCTTATTTCTACGGGCAGCTCTCGTTAGCCACCCTCCCTGTTTCCCTGTTTCGGTACCTACTATACCTTGCTGTGTAGAGTGCCTTGGTAGATGCCTTGGTAGATACACACCTCTCCTGCTGACGACCACTCTCTCGGGGTGCCTGCCAGTTGGCTCGACCCTTCCTTGGAGTCGCGGGCTTGATTCACCTTACACTATCTGCATGCTGGGCCAACAACATGTCACAGTCATCCCGGATACTCTGCAACCTAACCACGACCATGTCTATTAGCATAATACAATACAAACAGGAAAAGACATAACCGCGGCTGTTAAATGTGCAGCTGAAGAGACCAGGTATGTAGCAGCACGACCTCCGTAATACTCTTCTAGAGACCGAGACCTTGGCCAAGTGATCAACATAATTTCTCCTACCCAAACGGCGCACGCATTGCTGCCCCGTCCCCTGATGCATAATGCATGTACAAGGTTGGGAGATCGAGAGCTGCATGTGCGGACGTAGGACTCCATCCCGACCCCTGCCACTGTCAACCCCCCCTCCCCCCCAGGGCAGAGCAAGGCGGGGCGGGGCGATCATCTCGTTCTCTCACCGCATTGCAGGATCAGGCGTATTTCGTATACAGCCTTGACAGCCACCGATGCTGGCTGCTCTCAAGATCCGGACAACTAACTGCATATGATGAAACAACTAGTCTCCTGTCATCATAAGGATCGTATCCGAACGAACTAAATTGTCTCGCAGCCTTAACGATCGACATCCACCGACCCCCATGTCATCGTGTGTTGTCAGTGCCGATCCATATGGCTGCTGCCTTCTAGAAAGCTTCCATGCATGTGCATCGAAGCAGAGCAACCTGGGCAGGGTTGTCCCAGGTTTTCCCCATTAGGCCCCTTGCACAGCTGGGTTTTTGCGACAACACTCCACTCGATCTCGACCGTCATAGGTCGCCGGCGGGCGACGGGGTAACACATGCTAATATCCGCCCGCCATGCCATTGGGCCGGTCTCTGGCCCCTCGGTCCCCACCCAGGGTCGCCGGAACTGCCATTCCGGCGCTGGACTTGCGTCTCAGACCGCCTGCCTTGAGGCGCCGCACCTGCTGGTAGGCGCGGTCGAGCTCAGTCTCGACGGCGCACCGGATCTTGAGCGCCGCGACGGCGGGCCAGACGCTCCTCTCCCCGCGCAGGATCCAGTAGTCCAGCGTCTCGCGCGTGGGCGTCTCGAGCAGCCGGACAAAGTCCCCCGCGGTGACCTCGGGTACCAGCGTCATGCTCGTGCCGGGCACCGTCTCGTCCACGAGGAAGCGCCGTATGCCGGTCGGGAGGACGTGCAGCGTGTCCAGCTGGCGCAGTCGGTGGCGGAGCTCCAGACCCACCATCCTGACGAGGAACGACCGGACCGTCGCCGCCTTGTTGTGCGTCTCCAGCAGCGACGGGCCGTGCATGTCGCTCTGCAGGAACGGAATCAGGTAGGGCCGAGCCTGGGACACGATGAAGTGGTTCACGTTGAACAGCTCAGCTATGCGCTGCAGCGGGGATTCCCGGTCCGAATAGGACGCGTGTGTCCAATGCCGGAAATAGGCCGTATTGGCGGGTTTCCACGGGACGATCCTCCCATGCGCGTCCTTGCAGAGGACGGTCGTTTCTCGGTGTCCATATAATGACGCCGACGAGGCGTTGGATGCAACCGCAGCGGTCCATATGAGCTGAAAATCTTATTAGTAGCGGTGTCTTATGACAGCTGCAACGCGAGAGAGAAACAGGATTATCTTCCAAAAACATACCACATTGGGAGCCGTCAAGTAGTTCAGCAGGGTTGGGACACCATCCTGCCCAGCAGTAGCCACGGTGATGTTCAGCACCCGCTTGCTTCGGTTGTACGCTTCTTCGAAGGTCAGGTCGCCCACGTTCGTCCGCACGCAGTCCTCCAACACCTTCACGTCCAGGAAGTACCCCTCCCGCCAAAACCGCCGCGCCCTCCTGACCAGCGTATGCCACCGCGTCCAAAACGACTGGCGGCCATTGTCGTGGCTATCATTTGTAGGATTGCCAGCTTTCCCCGAGAAGGCCGACAGGTCGATGCCGTCGCCCTTGAGCACGGCCGGGAGCTCCTCCTCGTTGTGGATGGACACGAGGGCGGCGATCAGCGCCCCCGTGGCCGTGCCCGTGATGATGCGCGGCAGCAGTCCCCGGAGGAACAGGGCCTTGACGACGCCGAGGTGGCAGAGGCCGAAGATGGCGCCACCCTGGAGCACGAGCGTGCTCCGCCCGAACGCCTGCCTCGTGTCGTGCACGAAATCAAGCTTCACCTGCGTCGACAGGCCCTCCCAGCCGCCGTTGGCCCGGGCCGCCCCGTCGTCGCCGCCGCCGTTGTTATTGTTGTTGTTGTTGTTGTTGTTGTTGTTGTTGTTCCCGGACCGGTCCCCGCTGGGCAGGGAGCCGATGTCGTCGATCGCCTCGGCAACCTGCGTGATGTACTCCTCGATCAGGAACTTGGTGCCGGCGAAGGAGCGGTTGTACAGCTTCGGGGCGGTGATGTTGCCGAGGTTACGCACGAGCCCCGAGCGCAGGAGGTTGACCAGGGCGTGGGCGTTGCCCTCGTCGCGGGCCGTCACTATCCCCGCCAGCCGCTCGTTGATCAGCCGGTAGTCGTAGTAGCGCGACGTCGGGTTGTTGCGCCACAGGTCCAGCGACAGCAGGTTATCCAGGTGCAGGGCCGCCTCCTCCCAGTCCTCGTAGACCTCGGCGTTCCGGAGTATGTCAACCCATAGCTCGATCGGCGAGCGGCGGTGGATCCATTGGCGGAATTTCTAAAAAGAGGCGCGGGTTGTGAGATTGGCGAAGCATTTACGTGGAGGGAAGGGAGAGAGGGGAGGGAGGGGAGTCTACTTACCCTATACCAAAAGAAGAATATCTCCACGATAATGCGCCAGACTGCAACTATCACCGACCCCATTCTAGTTGAGGCGACGTCGTACTTGGGAGCATTTGAACTGTCCGACTTCCCTGGGGCTTGCACGTTGAAAGAATGAGCTGTCGAGTCACACAGATTGAAGAGGAAGGTTGGGATGTCAGCAGAGGAAACCTACATCTGAGTGGTCACAACTTGTTTCCCGGCAGACGGGGACTTACAGACTAGGTACCTTAGAAATGCCTAGGTACCCGGTAGATAGTGAACAATTTAAATCTACGAAAAGATTAACCCAAACGTAAACCTCGAGAGGTCGCACTTAAGGTCCTGCCTCGTGCTTCCCCAGAGGATTTAAAGCAGTTGACCACGGTTAGCGCGGTGCTCTGCGGTTGGCATGTGAAATTGTCCAGGGTACATCTACCGGCTGGGATTTGCCAAGATAGAGTCAACGCCGGCATTAAGGCAGGGTTATGGAATATGTAAACGAACGACCAATTCCAGAAAAGACATCGTAGCCACGAAATCTATAGTAATAGAAGTTCTGCAACGCTGTTTCATCAAAGCTTAGGATTGCCAGAGAAAGAGAAAGAGAAAGACTATCTCATGTTTTGACTCTAGTTTTCCGGAAATTTTGCCCAACGCCCCGCGACCAATGTGACCCCTTCTGCTGTTATATACTACAAACGGCCGTTCTTAATGCCCAAGGATAAGTAATGCAGGCTCCCATAGCCTCACTCATCGTCATCATCATCAATGATATGCCGTCTCCGTCGGTTAGACGACTCAGCAGCCGCAGGCACATCGATATCATCTAGGTCAGCCTCTCCTTCGGCGTCTTCGTCATCTGCAGGTTCGGCAGTCTTCTGCTTCTTCCGCCGAGGCAGCTCTTCCTCTTCTTCCTCGTCGTCGTCGATGATCTCCTCCTCATCATCGTCATCGCCCTCGTCGCTCCCTTCCTCGTCACTGGCGACGGCGAAGTCGTCGAGCACGTAGTCGTCGACACGCCGGGCGCCTGCGGGAAGGTCGTCATCGGAATCGTATTCCGCATTACGGTTCCTGTTCCGTGACTGGCCCTGCTGTCCTCTCTTCCGGCCTCCCGCCGCGCCGCGCCGGCCTTCGAGATCGCCAATGGACAGGGCGCCGCGGTTGTATCGGGCTCCGACGCCGTCAAGGCGCGCCGCAGCTGTCTCGCGACGCCGCTGCGCTTTCATGCGCTCCTTCTCCGCGAGCTCGGCTTGCTTCTTCCGCAGCTCTGGATCCTCCTTGGTAGTGATTATCATCTCCTCGGCGCTGGCCGCCTTGGCCGCCTCTAGCTTCCTCTGCAAGCGCTCCAACGCGTCGTCCTCGACCATCTTATTCGGCCTGACCGTATACTGCTCGGTGACGCGGCCAACGATGAGAAGCGAGTTGCTTGCCAGGTGCGCTGCAGCCGTGTAGTAATGGGCATCCTGGAGCTCTTGGTATGGCTGGTTGCTGGGGGGCGCCAACGACTTGGTCTGAATCTCGTAATGCTCACTGCCAACGGACATGGTGACAGATCCATCGCTCCACCTGAAGATATTTGCGTTGCTCTGCATCTCGCCTGCAGCATCACGTCGGAAACGGACGACGGGAATGGGGTTCGCAGACTGGGCATTCTCTGTATCCCATTTACTCGGCTCCCACGTGTCGGGTTTGTATTCTTCGGGGTTCCATTTTAGAAATTGAGGAACTCGTAGCGATTGCAACTGGTTTGCCGTCTGTCAGCCTCCTGAGCCACGGAGTGGGGATATTAGAGGCCGTAACATACCTGGCCGTTCTTGGACTTGGGTATCCTGTGGCGATACATGGGAATCGACATTACCACCTTGTTCCTCATCTCGGGTGGCTCGTCATCCTCATCGTGGAGTCCACCATAGTCATCTCCTCGGTCGGAGGCCAATTCGTGGTCGCTCAGGGCGCGTCCATGATCAGACTGTGAGAGGGCATCGTCGCCACCCTCATCTCCAAAGAGGTCGTCACCGCCCTCATCGGGTAGATCAGCAGCATGGTCTTCCGAGTCAGAAGACATATTTGCGCAGAGAAACGCAAGCTTATTTCCTGGTTGTTGTGTGTGTCTCGGTTTCTGATCCGGCGCAGGGAGCAAGGAGCTTGTTGTATCCCGTATTTCCCAAAGGAGAGTGAATTTGGATGGGAAGGCTGAATAGGTGAGGCTGGTGCTTGCCGGCCTCGCACAGAGAGTGTGGCGCGGTTTCTTCAAGTGTGGGGTAACCTAGTGCAATTAATGCACCCTATTGTCACCTCCATATAATTGAGCCCGACCTTCAAGCTATTATGCGCCTTGATGAATGGATAGGCGCCATCATTTCTGATTGTCATGGGAGAATTGTCCCACTCAAACTTGCCCCAGAGTATATAGCGATATATTTTTGTTATTTTCCCCTATCTTTTCAATCTCCCTAGAGTTATACGGCGCTGCCCACTTTCACATCTGTGTGTGGTTACCTCCCTCCCCCTGTTTCCCCGCCAGGTCAAACATGTTTTCTGGAATGTGAGTAGCAGAATGCGATTTGGTTAACAAAATGTTTCACATGTCTGCCATTAACTGTCAACCCAAGGGCAGTTGGCCTCAAGTGAGGCTGTAAGCTGCAAGCTGTAGTGGTCATATTATACAGAGGAACAACTCTTTACTCCCTCTTCAGAAGCATTCGTGCTGCAGACCTCAAGGGCAATGTGCCCTAGCAGGGAATGTGGCATCTGTTGTCCGCCAGTGCGCGTTACATTGGCTTTGGCATTGTTTTGATTGACTTTATCTAAACATGCCCACCCCAATACAGTCAAGTGTGGGCAGGCAAGAGGGGCGAGTGCCCTTAGTGCGAGGACTTATAGACGATGATGTTTGGCTTCTTTTGGCCTGGATGGGCAACTAAAGGGGTGGTGAACAGCTTTGGCACCGGTATTCTTTTCCTCTCTCTTTCCTTTTAACCACACTCGGGTATGGCCATGAAAGAAGGGGGCAGCCAAAAACATGGCGGGCATACCCTGTGGTCAGGGACTACAGGCCTTTGGCCTTGGACCGTGGCTTTTCCCTGGCCTTGTCCGGTCATGCTCACCCCTTTCGGCCATGAAAAGGGCCAGCTGGGTACCCGGTGTGCTGCCCTGATGTGCCGCCCCGGTGTGCTTCCGCCTCGGAGCATTATGGTCTCCTAGTTGGCGAGTACAGAGTTCTAGGCCAGGAATGCCTCCCCCCTCTCACACACCTGAGATTCACCTCGCAACTGGTTAGAGCCTCATCTCCCATATTAAATTCCATCTCCCACACCCAACCTTGCAGACCCATCCACAAAATTTGTCCAAAACTTCATTACAATACTGCAAAGCTAGCTACAATGAGGGTTCAGGTGCCTCTGATTTTTGCCCTAGTTTGGATGATGGTTTTGCTCTTGGTAGAGGCCTCTCCTGGTGAAGAACCCTGCCAGATCATCTCCGGCTTCATGATCGCCGCTTTTGTGCTGCTCAGATGGCGCCCGTAAGGTGCCCATCGCTCCATCCTTCGAGATAGGAAATCAACAGGGCAGATATCCACATATCCTCGCCCAGATTCAGTTGGAGGAGGCTTTGTTTCCTATGATGAAGAATCTGCCCGAGCGATATCGCTCAGTGGCATTACCATCTCACCCTCGCCATCTCTCACTGCTCCCTCTATATTCGTTTCCTTTACCAGGTACATCATACTCCCTATTGCCACTTCAGCTCCCTCTGCTACATTAGCATCGGCTGTTCTCTTCTGCGATGGCCTTCTAAGCTCAGTTTCAGACTCTTAAGATGCTAATCGATTCGTTAATAGCAATGCTCACTTCCGCAAGAGTCCAGTCACCCCCAGCGCCCCTGACCGTGGCTCGCCGATCGATCTTCCTGAAGGAAGCCAGCCTTCAACAACTCCGGTAGCTAGTCTGCCCGCTCAGCAAACCTCTCTCCCCCTAGACGATACCCCTGAAATGGACCAATCAAGCGGCAGAATGCCGACCGCCGACGAGATTCTGGCCTCCTACCACCTCCCAATGCCAAAGCCATTATGGCTCAACGCAGCCCATGCAAAGCACATTGTTAAGGGGAATTTTATGACACTCAGTGCCCGGCCTAAGACGGTGGAAATGGGCGAGTGGATTGCTCACCAAGGTTTGTATCGGAGAGGGACCATGATAGATCAAAGCTGACCATGGATGGCATAGTTGTCGAGCACTGGCGCATCCTCATTACTTTCATCCGTCTTGTTCACGACAAAGAGGGGGATGGCTTCTCCATTTGCAATCCCAGGAAATGCCCCAAGATGTCTGCTGGGCCGTAAGTCACTACCTGGCTAACTCCGCCCGCATTCCCCCTTGGCTAACTGGGTCTGGAAAGGAACCATTCCTTTACCTGGCTGAACTCCCGCCTGGAGCCATGCGAGATTCCAGCCTGCGAGTACTTGAGCCTCGTGCAGCGCTACATCTCCGGCAAGATCGACGACCAGAGGATCTTCCCGACGGACGCGACGGGCATCTCTTTCGCCGACAACCCTGCCTTCTGCTCTCCGCTCCTCACCGACGGCGCTGAGGAAGACTGGGTCGGCAAGCGCAGCGGTTTCCCCAAGAACTTCCTCGACGTCTGCCAGACCATCTTCCGCCAGATGTTCCGCGTCTACGCCCACCTGTACTGGACGCACTTCGAGGACCCCATGTTCCACATGAACCTCGAAAAATCCATGAACAGCTGCTTCAGCCACTTCATCCTCACCGCCACCACCCTGGACCTCCTCAGACCGGCGGACCTGGAGCCGATGCAGCCGCTGATCGACCTCTGGGCCGCCCTCGGAACTTTCCCGCGCGAGTCCAAGGCTTATTCGTACGCGAACCTACCCGTCGGCGAGCGCCTTCTGCAGCTGGCCGGCGTGGCCCCTTGAAAAGCGGCAGGGACTGCTGCCGAGCTGGGGGCTGAGAAGCGGCCCTTTTTTAGGGCCTCGCCGGAAGCAATCTAAATTCCCGACTCTTGTCTACTGGCGCGGGTCAGCCAGTCTTGAAGGGGATCCGTCCTCAACGGTATATCTACAGGAGCGCTTTCTTATGTCGGGCACACAATTGAACTGCGTGTTTTTTTATAGTTCGTTCCATAGCGATCAAAGAGCGATATCAGGACACATATGAAGATGATTCTCCCGCGCCGTCGAAATTCCGATACGTGCCGTAGATGAGCGGATTTTACTGATTCTGGCATGGAGTGAAGTGAAGCCCTTCATGAATGGTGCCTTTATGTATGCGTTCTTGCTACCGTGGATAACGGAAATCCTGACATCCTCCTTAAATTCTCGCCGTAGTGCTATATCTTTTTGTGAAAGGGGGTGAAGGAGACCATTCGGGAACTTCGACAAGTAGGATGCTTGAATATTAGGCCCCATACCAGGGCAACGGTAAACCTCCCACGATATTATTACATTACAGCTGTTCAATACCCGATATCAGCTGGTCCAGCTGGTCCGCCCGGCCGCCGAGCACATCGCCCATCAGCCTAGCGGCGCCCCTCAACCTGCGGACCCTGATCTCCGCCTCCAGCTCGGCGGACTTGAGCGCCGCGACATCTATCACCTTCCGCGGCACCCTCGCCAGCCTCGCGACGTTGAGGCCGTAGGACCGATGCGCGACGCCCTCGCCCACCTCGTACAGGAACGTGATCTCCTCCTCGCCTTCCCGCTCCCCGCCCTCCGCCCCGCCACCGCCGCCCCTCGCCGTGAAGCGCATGTGCACGCAGCGGACCCTCCCGCCGCCGAGCCCCGCCGCGACGCGGGCCAGGTTCTGGTAGTGGGTGATGAACAGGGTGAGGCAGCGGGTCTCGCGGACGACGTGGTCGAGGACGGCGTGCGCGATGGCCGCGCCGTCGTGGGTGCTGGTGCCGCGGCCGAGCTCGTCCAGGACTACGAGGCTGCGCGGCGTCGCCGAGCGCAGGATCGCCGCCGTCTCCGACACCTCCACCATGAAGGTGCTCTCGCCCGCGAACAGGTTGTCGCGCGCGCCCATGCGCGTGTGGATCGCGTCCGCGAGCGTCAGCTCCATCGCCGCCGCGGGGACGAAGGAGCCGACTTGCGCGAGGAGCACGAGGAGCGCCACGGCGCGCACGTACGACGACTTGCCGCCCATGTTGGGGCCCGTGATCAGCTGCGCTAGCGGCGCAGGCGATGAGAGCGACGTCGTGAATGGTATGTATCCGTTTGGGAGGGTGTGCTCCGCGATGGGATGGCGGCCCTCAGTCACGCTGATGGTGGGCGGCGCCGATGCCGGAAGGAAGGTCGGCTTGGAGTAGCCGGGAAGGGCAGCCACCTTTGACAGCGACATGAGGCAGTCTAGGGTTGCAAGTGAGGCGACGGCGTCGCGGAGGGGTTGATAGTCGTTCGCAACCGAAGCCAGCAGGGCCGAGAATGCGGTGTCACACGCGGCGGCCAAGGCTTCCTTGTGCTGATCCCGCTCGGCCATCAGTGTAATCACCTCGGGCGTATGGAAGCGCGAGAGCTTCTTTGTCCCGCTGACCTTCACCCAGGAGGGTGGGACATTCTTGAGGTCCGCATTTGAGACCTCAACGAGGTACTCGATACCGGATACGGTCACGTAGGTCACCGGGGTCTTCTTGGACAGCTTGGATGCTGCGTCCTTGCGATGTGCATCAAGCTCCTGCTCAACAGCCGCGATGCCCATCTTATGGTTTGTGATGTCGTCGGTCTCCTCGTCATCGCGGAAGAAGGCATACTTATCATCCCTGCGTGCCGCCTCTGGGTTGATCTTCCCAAGATATGCCATGACAACATCACTGATGGCTGGCAGCGAGCAGACCGCCTCGCTGAGGAGGTCCGATTTGAAACCTGTATCCGCTGGGGATTTTACCCGGGCAAACTCGGAAGCAATCTTCTGGAGAGTTTGCAGGGTTGATAGCAGCTCTGGTCGAGTGCATTTGCTGTAATAGATGCGAATGAGGCTCCGTTCCAAGTCGGCCTTAATACCGCCAAGGAGGTGTCCCAGCTTGTCGACCTTCGCGGTTGACTGGCCCTCGAGAAGCTCGTCGACTGCAGATACCCTCTCTTCCAGCCGTTGCTGATCTAGCAATGGTCGACCGATCCACTTCCTCAGGAGTCGCTGACCAAAGCGAGTTTGCGTCTTATCAAGCGCCCAGAGTAGACTGCCCTTTTCAGAATGATCCGTTGCGTTCCTGTAAACCTCGAGGCTCTCTAGTGTCGTGCCGGTGATCAACATGTGTTGGCGCGTGGTGAATGATTGGAAATATTTCGTGAGGTTAAATACGTGCTCCAGTCCATATTCGGTCAAATGGTTTATCATTGCCGAGAGGCAGACAGTGACAAGTTCAGGTAGGTGCAGTACCTTGTCAAGGAGGGTGGCAGAACGCTCATCACTGTCCTTCGTCTTCCCTGCGTAGAATTGCGTGACATGGGAATACGCCTCTGCGGCCATCGTTTCACTCCTGGGGACTCGCTCCACGCGGCTCTTGTCGCCAAAGACATTGGTGCTGCTCCCCGAGAGGTTTTGGACGAGCTTGTCAGTAGCCTTCGTGAGCTCGCCGACGATGAGGAACTCGCAGGGAGAAATGTGGAGCAATCTGGTCTCGACCTCGCTCCGCATGAAACCGTCCTCGAAGCTATCATAGATGATGTCGCCAGTGGCAGGCTGTACGGCCACAATACCAACATCGACCTTTTCGTCGGTGCCTCCGCCTTTGGCTTTAGATTCCGCGATACAGAGCAGATAACCCCCGGACGGTGCACCCGCCTGCGGGCCGGATTGGTCGAGCTCGCCAATTTCGTCTACGTACGTTCCCTTGGTGTATACATTGGTGAGTTTCCGGACGAAAGGTGCGTTTCGATTGTCCCCTGCTTTTTTCAACGCTGCTGTCTCGATTTGCCTCACAACGCCAACTTTGTGTCCTGCGGCAACGAGACGCTTGGCGTGAACTGGGAGGCGGTGCACAGGAATACTCGCAGAGGCAAACCGGTCTAGATGGGCTTCCGAAGGATCTGGACGGGGCTTGAGTTAGAAGAAAGGGGACTCCGGGCTGTCAACGGCGAGTATTACTTACGCTCGTCGTACCTGAACTTCCCAGGTATGCAAACGATGCTAAGCTCTTTTGCGGCAATCCGAGCATCCTCACCGAAGAATTTGAACTTGTATCCGACCTCGACAATCAAGAGCGTATCCATGTGCTTCCTCTTGATGTCTAGGAACTGGATCTCCATGGGCGTGAGCTTGCCTGTCTTTGCCCCTTTCTTCCGCGATTTAGCAGATACTGGAGCCTCGTCCTCTTCGGGATCCTCAGCAGCTTCGGCCTCTTCGCTATCCAAAGCAGGAGTCCCGTCGGTATACAGGTTTCGCCTCTTGATTTGGGCCATGCTGTCAGCCTGCCCGAGCTTCTTCACAAACTTCTTATGCAGTTCATCCTTTTTGCGCTTTTCCAACGGTTCGTATTCCACTTGCTCTTCGTCGATATTATTCGCGCTCGAGCGGTCTGCCTCGTAGACATAACGATCGGTTATAGCAGATGACTTTGGTGCAGATTTGGTCGTCCTTGGGGTGGCGTCGTTGGGAAAGAAGGTACTCTTGTCACCGTCGACGGTGTCAGCCTTGGGACGCTTGGTTGTTCTGTCGAGGTTCTCATTCCCGTTGTCGGTATCCTCTTCAAGCGGCCGTTTTCGGGGAGCTTCGACGCTGGCCTCGTTCGGGGGCGACGAGCCTACATCGTGGCTCTGAGTGGAGGCTAAGCCATTAACCGTCCTCGAAGGAAAGAAGCTGGTGAGGGAGGCTTGTTTCTTCACAGGAGCTTTTTGTGAACCTGCCATCTTGCTATGGCAACCGTGGTGGTGATGTCACAGCGCGTTGGAGTCTTGGACGGTCATTAAGGCGGAGTCTAAGACGCGCTTCACATTCGGTCTAGATACATAATTATTTCGAAGCTTGACGCGCCAACCACACGCGACTAAGTGCTTGCAGGGGCCAGGAGCTCATGGTCCGTGCAGAGAAAGCTTGATGGTAGCCTCAGTCAGGTACCACAAGCAACATGGAAAGGGGCACAAGAAAATCAAGAAAATGCAGGGGCAAAACCATCAACAACAGACCGAGCTTCGTCTCTTGCCCCCCATGCGAACTGACAACGATAGGTTAGCTTTCCCAGCTCTCGTCTGAAAATTGGCAACTGTTAATGGAAACTTTTCAGGGGCGCCCTTCTTAAGCTGCACGCTTGCTTGTCCCAATCCTTTGTGGACGAGGATTGTTTGCCCGTTATATGATCTTCCATCTCGAGCGCTGAGAGACGCGACGCGCGATCGACACTCCTTTGTAAAGCTTGGGTATCTCTGCTGTTTTGAAACTGGTCGAGTGACCGAGGAAAATGTCTCAATTTGTTTGCTTGTCACAGAATCACAGTGGGCCCGTTTCCCTCCCCTAGGAACAGAGCCGTTTAGCCTGATTGTCAAACCGACTCTGAACGGCGCCGCCGCATGGCACAGCAGCGCCTCCCGTCAATCTGGCCCACGTCTGCGGTGCGGCACTTTCAGCTTGCCGTTCCGTCTACCAATACCGTTAATCGCGCCTTCTTCGCCTAAGTTGTCCCTCCTTCAATTGTCCATCTCCGTGAAGCACATACAAACCGACCAGCTAGAACTATAATATTGCGGGCAATCGAGTCCGACAGCGACCGGTTTTCCGCATATATCTTCAATGACCTGCCGTCTTCGCACCTGGAGCAGTTCGTCGTCGCAAGTGGACTGAATAGGCCTGGAATCATGCGCTCATCTAATTGTCACATCTCCAACCTATGATCGGCAAGGCACACATAAGTCTTGTAATTAATGCCTGATTGGGTGTGGGCAGGTCGATGTTCCCGAAATTCAGAGTTAGCAGGGTTGAGATCCCAAATGACCAACAGAAGCAGCTGTGTGCGCCCTCTCGCCTGCTCCAGAACCCCCGATATAGTAACAAGAGACACCCATCGGATATGAGGCGAACTACATAGTGCATGTGTACTATGTAGGCGACATCATACTACTATGTATGCCAATGCATACCAATAAGCGCGCGACGCGGCTCAGGACCATAGTTCCCGTACCCCACAACTTCGATTTCGCTTCTTCCTGGATTGCGACAACGACGCCTTGTCGCCCGGTCAAGGCTCGGTCAAATGCTACACTACTCCGTCCGCACGCATACGCATGGAGGATCTTCACGAGGACCAAGTGGCTTCCTTTCCTCCTAGTGCCTGACAAGCCAACGGTCTGTCTGCCCTAAGAGGATTGATCTGCATCCCCAGCTCAAAACGGAAGAACAGGTTGGGGTCTCATATCAGCCATTAGCCTTTTTGTCCGGTGCATTTCGCTTCTGGTTGCGCTTGGGCGAGTTAATGGCGGCCCAAGGAAGTTCAGATTTGCATAATTCTTTGCCGTCCGAAGCAAACCTCTGGTTCGGCCTTTCCAGGGGCCCCGGGGGGTGTTGATCTCCATCGAGGGAATACTGCCTGTGTGGTGATATTGGCTATATTCCCGCTTACGTTCACTTGTCCGACTCCTACATTGCCCTTCCGATGGCCAATTTGAATCTTGCGACCGACTGTCCGGTCCGATCGGCCGCCTCTGTCTCATATTCCCTATATTGACGACGCTCCCATATATCTCCCTCACGGACGCACCATGCGACCTTCTTCTTTCCTTCCTAGTTTCCTGTGTTCATCATCGCAAGTTCCTGGTTTTCTGGAAACCCAGTCCTCCCCTTGAAGGCCATCGGAGCCAGGACTTAGCTGCTACTACTCCTTACCTATCCAGCCCCTATTGAGCCCCGGCTCACACGCCTCAACCATGGGCATCTTCTCAAAGAATCCTCAGTCAGAGGCAACCGTCCAGGCGCAGGAGGAGGCGCCACAGTTCGAGAAGGTCGACTGGACCAAGGACGCTGGTCTTCGCCAGCTCTACTTCTACGCCATCATCCTCTGTGTTGCTTCGGCGACCACTGGTTATGATGGGTGAGTTTGAAGATTGTGGGTTCCTTGTTGTGTGCGTGCGGGTTGCTGACTTCCTTCAAGAATGTTCTTCAACAGCGTCCAGAACTTCGAGTCCTGGAAGGACTTCTTCGGTGACCCTCAGGGATCCATGCTCGGTTTGCTTGGTGCCCTCTACCAGATCGGTAGCTTGGTCTCTATCCCCTTTGTGTAAGTGCCATAAAAAAATTATACCCTCCGTGAACCGCTTGCTTACTCTCTCGTTCAGCCCCATTCTCACGGATAACATTGGGCGCAAGATCCCCATCGCCATCGGCTGTTGTATCATGATTGTCGGTGCCATCCTCCAGGGCAGTTGCCAGAACCTCGGCAGTAAGTGTCTAGCCAACCTGGCAGCTGTACTGGATCCCGTCTAACCTGGGGAACAGCCTTCATGGGCGGACGTGTCCTGCTCGGCTTCGGCAACAGTCTGTGCCAGATCTCCTCTCCCATGCTGCTAACCGAACTCTGCCACCCGCAACACCGTGGTCGTCTGACGACTGTCTACAACTGTCTCTGGAACGTTGGAGCCCTTAGTAAGTGCTGCGCTCGTCCAACGCTTTTCACTCGGGCACCGTTGCTTACACTGCCCTTTTAGTTGTCGCATGGCTCTCCTTCGGCACGGACTATCTTCACAACCAGTGGTCGTGGAGAATCCCGGCTCTGGTGCAGGCCTTGCCATCCGTCATCCAGCTCACCTTCATTTACTGGGTTCCCGAGTCACCGCGTTACCTGATCGCCAACGACAAGAATGAGAAGGCTCTCGCAATCCTTGCCAAATATCACGGCAACGGTAACGCCAACCACCCCACCGTGCAGTTCGAGTATCGCGAGATCAGGGAGACGCTCAGATTGGAACTGGAGCACAGGAAGACCAGCAGCTATAGCGAGTTCTTCAAGACCAAGGGCAACCGATACAGATTGGCCGTCCTCCTCTCTCTCGGCATCTTCTCCCAGTGGTCCGGCAATGCCATCATCTCCAACTACACCTCGAAGCTCTACGACACCGCCGGCGTCACTGACCCCAACCAGAAGCTCGGCCTTTCTGGCGGTCAGACTGGCCTGTCCCTCATCGTCTCGGTCACCATGGCGCTGCTTGTGGACAAGGTTGGCCGTCGTCCGATGTTCTTGGCTGCCACCGGAGGCATGTTCGTCACCTTCGTCTTCTGGACGCTGACTTCCGGTCTCTACGACGAGAAGGGTGCGCCAGGTGCCAACTACGCCATGATTGTCTTCATCTGGCTCTTCAGCGTCATGTACTCCCTTGCCTGGTCTGGTCTCCTGGTCGGATATGCCATTGAGATCCTGCCCTATAAGCTCCGTGCCAAGGGATTGATGATCTTGAACGTCTCCATCCAGGCCGCCCTGACCCTGAACATCTATGCAAACCCCATCGCCTTCGACTACTTCGATGGCCACACCTGGAAGTTCTATCTTATCTACACCGTAAGCTCGCCCACCTCTCCCCCTGAACCCCCGACTTGCATTCGCTGACTTGTGTCGTTTCCGCAGTGCTGGATCTTCCTCGAGCTCCTCTTCGTCTACTTCATGTACGTCGAGACCAGGGGCCCGACACTCGAGGAGTTGGCCAAGGTCATCGATGGCGACCAGGCAGAAGTTGCCCGTCTCGACTTCCACCAGGTCGAGAAGGAGGTGCAGCTCAACAGCCACACGGAGGAGTTTACCGACAAGAAGGTATAAGGCGACCTCGCTGTCCCGATCCTACCATGAGGACGGGGGGGCAAAATGTGCTACCATGTGTAGACTTAGTCAAGATTCTCATTATCTTTTTTCTTTCCCGGCGGGATTCGCTCGTGTAGAGGTGGCACCTGTAGAGCAATTCTTAGGCGGGTGTACGACGTTTATTTTAATAAGTTACAGACATGTTTCATTCTACCAAAAGAGTTGTGACTAGGTACATGCTTATTCTACCATTGCATCAATAGGGGCTTGAAAGGGCGCAACAGTACGGATACGTTTCGTAAAATATCTATAATGGAAAGTATCGTGAGAGTAATAGATATCAGTCCGTTCCAACATGTTGCCCGTCAAAGAAGCTATTCCCCCCTCCCGGTCCCCACAATTACCTACTCCGATGGACATGCCACACCATCATGCTGTATAACCGGCAAGCAGAACCGAAAGTCCTCCAGGCCGTCTTGGGGCTAGTATCCTCATCCTCAGATCGCACACCCTGCAAGGCTGACCATTCCCCACATGAATTTACCCCATCCCCATCTGCGACCTGTTTTGTTTCCGCTGAACCGTGGAGACAAGGTGATTTCCAACACATAGAACGGGCATATTCTCGGCGTAGCCCTTCAAACTCTACTTTACCTGCCCCGAGGCCCGAGTTCAGTGTAATATACCTATATTACACCAAACAACATCACGTTGATTCCTGAAGGATCCCCTCAAGCAACCCACAGCAGGAGTGGTACAGGCATCACCATCCTACAGCGGTACCCCACAACCAGAAATAGACGAACGGTAGGTCCCCCGTGCCCGCACGGACGAAAGGGGGCCCGATCGAGGCGCCCGGTCTGATGGATCTGCACAATGGTTCGCCTCTTCCTTCTCAGGTTACGCAGTCACCCCGGTAATTCCCTTCTACCAATGGGGCGTCTGGCTTTTGATCTGGGCTTTAGGAGTCGGGGGGAGCGAATGTAAGCACTGCGTGGAGATCGGGGTGATCTGAATTAACCGCGCGTCGGCCATGACTCCGTCACCCGATCGCTTCTCGGCCGGGGTCGTCCGCCAGCATCACTTCTGAGGCGTCGACCCTTAGACCTGCTAGGAAGTAGGAACTGACGCCGGCGCAGACCTCTATCCCTTGGAGAAAACATTCGAAAGCGTCCCCCCCCAGACATGCAGCGCTGGTTCAAGTGATCTAGGGGCGTGGGCCGGTATTCACTCATCGTTGTCTCCACGATGTGTAGGGCGAAATAGACGAGTATTGCTGCTAAGGCACCCCCTAGTACATAGACTGTTGATGCATCCGCGGAGTCGGCTGCCCGCATATGTAGCCATGGTTGGAAGTAGATGCTGGAAGTAGATGCGGCTCATGCAGATGAGGGAATCACCCTATAAAAATGCTATTTCGGAAGGAATATTTCATGTACGACCATACCCACTGGAAAACTTGGGATCCCGTCCGCTCTCCCATGACAAGCCAGTGAGGGACAACATAGTAGTTGGGTCGGTGACGACCAGCGAATCCTTGGTGTTGTAGGGTTTTTTTTGTTTTGTTGATGATGCCTCAGCGGCTCCCTAAGATAGGCCCGAAAACACCCTAAAGCTTCCGCGCATCGTCGACCAAATATCTTAAGATATGGGGCATATCCCATCGGCATCCTGGAATCAATTTCAGACTTGATTCGTCAGTTGTACCGGCATACGGTTGACGCCCCTTTTCCTTGCTTCGCATTCTCAAGTTTGGTCCAGATCGGAAGATGGGGCCTCGAGATTTGGCAATAAAGGGGGAGACCGCTTGGTCGTCCGCGGGCTTAAATGTCTGCGTCGACGCAACAGGCTTGATGCTCCCCCTTCCGCTAATTCCCCTCGAGGTGCTGGCGATGCCGGGTCGACTGTTGGTACGGTGCTAGTCGCATGTAACCAGCCTAAGGGGCAGCCGTCTGACATCTTCATCTTGACAAGAAGCAACCTCTGAGCATATGCCAATTAAAAGGAGTCCAAGCATGGTAGTAGGTTGGCGTTGGCAATCTCAACTCTCACTCTGCTTGGCACCAAGTCTTGGGAGTCGGCTTCTGGGCAATGTCTTCATCATGAATACTCCTCCTTTCCTCCTCGGTCCCGTTTTTTGGTCTCAACCGAGTGTGCTACTAAATGTGAATCAACGGCGGCATGCTTCGTGGCGGGATGCTTTCTTGGTCATCTGACCCGGGAGTTCATCTGCAAAGAGCCCAGCTATAAAACAGGGTTGGCCGAAACGGAGACTAGGGTGATGTTGTGTGCCTTAAGGCGATGCTGTCCTGCGAATTTCACTCTATCAATTGCCTCCTCCTTTCTTCTTTGGTGCGTATCCTGCTGATATGGCATCAAGCCCGGCGGCGAAATTGTCCACTGCGAGCATTAGACGGAGCGCCTCCATTCGCACGGCGTATCTCTCCACCCCTCCCGCGAACTGCCTGAGCGTTGTCCATCGCGGGACCCGTATTTTCCAACAGTGCGAGTGAGGACGGAGGGCGTTGCTGCAACAGACTTGTCCTCCTGGCCCCAATCATATGGACTGATCCCCTTTTCTCCCCTGCGTCAACTATTGGCGTCTACAAAAAGCTCGCGAATGGCAATAGCCGTGTCGCTGTTTAGTTTTGTGGTTCTTGCAAGCCATTGGAGAGGCAATTCCAGGATGTTCTGCTCTCTGGCTGGCATTCTGCGCCACGTCCTTGAATCGGGAGGCTCCTGAAAACCACCCAACACCAACGTCACCCTTGAAGCATTGGCCCTCTGGGTGGCGCTGGCGAGTTCTCGGCAACTTCATTGCCTCGGACCTGTCCTGCTCCACGTAGGAGGAAAAGAAACCCTGGTGCTGTTTCTGGAGGTCTCCAGGGAATCGGTGAAAGGATTGAACACGGCCAATATTCGGGAAAGCTGGCACTGCAAGTCTCTTCGGAGGGACGGAACAGCGACGGACCTTGGGTCGAAAACGCGGACTGCCATGTCGAGCGAATCCAAGCAGCCTGGTACTATTATTAAAGAGGAAGAGAAAAAAAAAGGGCCTGGGCCTCGTAGGTCTATAGCTGGAGAACCGGACAATTTTTACTCGGCCGCGCCCGGCGGAGCGGCAGAAACAACATCGACTGCGAGCATCATCTGATATCCTTAATCCCCGGGGACGCGTACACGTCTAATTGACGACGGCCTTTGCGCACGAGGAACTCGATGGCTGCAAAGTCTCGCTTGTCAATGTGGATGTTCTTTTCGAACTCGGATCTAGTGGTTGGAGTGAGCCGAGATTGTCTATATGGCCTTGTTTTGATTTGTGTGTGTGTGTCTCCTACCGAGCAAAAGACTCGAAATGGCCCCGTGTGTCCTTGGAAATATGTAAGTGTGTTGAACAAATAAGTGGTGGGAAATCCTTCTCTTACTCTTGGCTTCTTGCGGCTCTCACGCAGACACTGGCGATAGAGGGCCAAGACCTCCCTCTGCAGACCAGACAGTCGCATTTCTGGATGGGAAGAGCTTAAAAGCTCTCGAAAGAGTTGGGTCACTCACTACCTAGGTAGTAAAATGCAGTGCACTAGGCGGCGTCTGCAGGGTGACTGCGAGGGGTCGGCAAATGCTGCGACCTATTATTGAAGGAATTGGCGTTGTCATGGGCTCTCGGCGATCATTTGGCGGGAGCGGATCCCCCGCATTTAACGCCGAAAAAGAGGGACACTTGGGAGCACGGCATTCACAGTATGGGTTGGCAACCGGATGTAACTCGGACTTGGGAAACATGATATCAACTTGACATCTTGTCTTCGTTTGTTTGTTCTACTTATGTTCGGTTTGGTGCTCGTGAGAGAGACAAAGTTTTATTGATTATCATCCGTTCTCCTGACTTTCATCCGCCTCTCATTCCCAATCATTGCCTACCATGTCCTCCTTCTCTGTAAGTACAAGTTCGGACATCCGTCCCTGACAACAGATAGATATCTTGGGATCGATTTGCTCACGCGAAACGCAGCGCCTAGTCCGCTTCTTAGCCAGGGACGGCCGTACCTACTACGGAGATGCCATCCTCCCGAGGGGGGTGTCTGACATCTCCAAGGCCAGACAGGCCCATGTCATCAAGGGCGATATCTTCGGAAAGCACGAAGTAACTGATCAGGTGGCCGACATCCGCCTTTTCCTCACTCCCTTGGCGCCGGAAGAGGTGAAGACAGTCAGATGCCTGGGTCTCAACTACGCACTCCATGCGAAAGAGGTATGTAGGCCTGTTCATTGCAGCATCCTAATCTTACTGCTGCTCGGAGCAAGAATCGGTGCTGACAAGGAGATGTAGTCCAATTTGCCCATCCCGCAATTCCCAGTTCTGTTTGTAGGTGCCCAGCAATGAAACGACCTGTTCTTGCTTTCATGCTAACAACCAGGCAGTTCAAACCGTTGACGTCTCTGGCCGGCCCCCATGACGCCGTCCCAGTCCACCCCCTGGCTCAGGAGGGCAGCGGGCTGGATTACGAGTGTGAATTGGTCATCATCATCGGGAAGAGGTGTACCGACGTGCCAGAGTCCAAGGCGCTGGATCACGTCCTTGGCTATGCCGTCGGCAACGACGTCTCGCACCGCGACTGGCAGCTCAAGCGCGGAGGCGGCCAGTGGGGCCTCGGCAAGGGCTTCGACGGCTGGGCGCCATACGGACCGGGCATCGTCAGCAGCAAGGTCATCAAGGATCCCCAGACCTTGAGGATCACGACCAAGTTGAACGGGCAGACGGTGCAGGACAGCAACACCGCCGACATGATCTTCAGCGTCAAGAAGACCATCGCCTTCCTGAGCCAGGGCCAGACCCTGCTGCCGGGAGATGTCATCTTCACCGGAACGTGAGTGCATATGCAATTGTGATCCCGCCCCAAGCCATTGTAGAACCGTCATCGCTGACTCGTCCTTCTAGTCCGTCGGGAGTTGGCATGGGCCGGACACCGCAGCTGTGGATGAAGGACGGCGACATCGTAGAAGTCGAGCTCGAGGGGGTTGGAACGGTCACCAACAAGATTGAGTTCACCGCCAAGGATGCATCGAAACTGTGAACGGCAGAGGGGAGATTTTCTATTGATCTGTTAACGACTTTGGAATTGCCCTGACCAATTCAGACCAGGGAGCAATAGAGAAGGAGCAAGTGTGCGGGTTCGACGGGTTTCATAGACTGAAGCGGTTGCCATTGGGAATTTCCACGTGTTGTAAGATTTTCGTTCGAAAAGACAAACAAACAAACAATTACTACAGTTCCAGCATTGCGCATGCTTTTTGGAGGCGGAGTATCTTGGGCAATGGAGGGCGCCACACTAAAAGGCCCCCATGCACTCACTCTGGAACCCCTGTCCACCCTGGGAACCCCTGTCCTAGGCTCTATCCTGCACTGCCTCAAAGTCAACTTCAGCACAACCGAAAGGGGCAGCTTCGCGAATAACCAGTGATCTCTCAGTGTTGCCTCTAGTCGAGCTGCTATTGGCTCTAATAATCGATAATGCCTTTCCTATGGCTGTCGGTCGGGCAATGCAGACGCTGGTTGGGATATCCAAGGCAGCTTCGGTGACCAACTTGCTCTTAGCAGGCTTGTACGGCTGAAATGATGGAGGGCGTCACGAGAGAGCCTCGCTCGGTGGCTCAAGTAAAGCTTCCTGTCTTTAGCTGCATTCCCCGCCTTCTCAGCCTCGTGCCTTCGCTTTAGACTCTAGATATCATCATCTAACACCATTTTCGGGCGTTTAATGTTATGGTTTATTCTTGAGGTTCTTTAAACTCGGTGATGAGGGAAACTATGCGAGACTGTATGGTGATCAACATCGGTGTGTTGTTCACCTTACCCTGGACTAACCAGACCCATTTCTATTCGGAGATCAAGGGCATTAGTAGTGCCCAATTGACTTGATCATTGTTACAAAGTGCAACCGCTGTGCATTCTACTATGGAGCAATCCTTGACGGCCAGCAGCGCTGGCGAGGAGGTGGACTGGACGAAATATGAACCGCCGGAGGCCTTGACCAAGGTCCCCAACATTACATCCGAGACCATCATGGCCGTCGTGGTAGCCTCATTGGACAACATCCGGCAGCAGATCAAGGCCGAGGAGGAACAAGCCGCGCGGCGCGAAGAAGCGGCAGCGAGAGACGCCGAAGCCAACATCGCCAGCAAGGGGAAGGACAAAGGAAAGGCTGGCGAGGAGCAGGCTTGGAGCGAGATCATGGCTTCAATTCCAGGGCCCGATCCAGGGCCCCCTCCGGGCCCGGCTGGCGCAGGTCCAAGCAAACCTCATGGACGCTCCCGCCTCGGCATATCTAGGATTCTACGCCATGTCGTCGGCGGGAACAAGCCCAGAGAGGAGAAGAGTACCACTTCCACAGGTCATAATCAGGCTCCCCCGGGCAATGATATGCCTAGCCCCACCGGGTTCACGAAATTCGTGTACAAACACATCAAGCCAGCATCTCAAGAGTCGGTGGAAGGGCCAGTGTGAGTATCACATCACCCCTAGGCTTCTTAAGTCGTGCCACAGCCGTACGCTAACGTTCCGCGAAGTGAATGCGTCTCCTGCCTAGAAGACATCCCCCCGAAGGACAGAGTCAAAACGGTGTGCCACTACTACTGCAAGGAGTGCTTCGAGCGGCTCCTCCGGACGGCGATCGAAAACGAGGCGCAATGGCCGCCCAAGTGCTGCCTCAACCCGATACCCTTCCGGACGATCAACAAATACATCCGCGGTGGCCTGCTCGGCGACTACAAGAAAAAGGCGGAGGAGTTCGGGACCCCGGTCGAGTCACGCATCTACTGCAGCCAGCCCGACTGCGGCGAATGGATCCGCAAGGAGCACATCAACCGCGCGGCCAAGACGGCGCGGTGCCGGCGCGGCCACTCCCTCTGCACCATCTGCCGGCAGGCGGCGCACCCGAGCAACGCCAACTGCCCGCAGGACCACGACCAGCGGCTGGCCGACCGGCTCGCCGAGGAGGAGGGCTGGCGGCGATGCCACAAGTGCTCCGTCCTCGTCGAGCACCGCGAGGCCTGCCAGCACATGACGTGCCGCTGCGGCGCGCAGTTCTGCTACGTCTGCGGCGCGCCCTGGTGCACCTGCAGCTGCAACATGGAGGCCCTCGAGGCGCACAAGAGCGCCGCGCGGGCCCGCCGCGAGGCCCGCACCGCCGAGGAGGACGCCGAGGCCCGCGAGCTGCGCGAGGCCCTCCGGCTGGTCGAGGAGTTCGAGGCCGAGCAGGCCGCCGCCGACGAGGACCACCGGCGGCGCGAGGACCGCGCCCGCGAGGACCGCCGCCGCCGCGCCGCCGAGGAGCGCGCCCGCACCGAGGAGGCCCGCAGGGTCGCCCTCGACAGGCGCTACGCGGACCTCGGGCGCACCCTCGCCGACCTCGAGGACCTCCACCGCGCCTCGGTCGCGCAGGCGCACAGCGCCGAGAGCCAGGCAGATGCCCGGCGGGCGGCTCACGCGAGGGCCGCGCTGGCCGCCGAGCACGACGCCGAGCGTGTCGCCCGCCGGGCCGCGGTCGCCGCGGCGGTCGCAGACTGCGAGATGGAGTGGGACCGCTACTACTGCGCCGGGGTTGCGTGGGAACTGCGCCTGGAGAAGGATTATGAGGCTGCGCTGGAGCAGTTCTGGGCAGATAAGCTGGGCGGCCCGGAGCTCGTGGGGCCCGCGATGGCAGCGTATAAGAGGAAGAATGATCTGCGTATGGACGCCTGGAAGCAGTGGAGGGACAGCGAGCTGGAGAAGTTCAGATACGCCCAGGAGGATGAACTAGCGATACGGATGGAGCTCATGGGCGACGCGAAGAAGCGACAGGAGGAGACGCTCTCGGCTCACGAGGCTGAGGTCAATAGGAGGCAGGTGGCCGAGTTGAAGTGGGTTGACCTAGTCATGGAGGAAAGGGTTAGACTGCTAAATGAAGTTGAGATGGTGGAGAGAGAGAATGGAGGTGACTCTGGAAGCCAATCAGATGAGGAAATCTTTTTGCGTTTTGGAGATGAGTTGAGCATTAGGAATCTTTAGGCCTGCGTGGAATATTCAATATAGCATACACCTCGAAGATGGATGAGATGTCACTCTAGACTTCACTGGGTTAGGGTTGGGGTTAGAGGTAGGACCCGACGGGACCTAGGAACTTCCACTACCTAGGCTTTAACGGCTAAACGATTATCCGTGTGCCTGCCGCCGACAGCTAGGTGGGCTCTGGACCCGCCTGACTAAGCTCAGCTGGGAACAAATGGCCAGAACTACCACATGCATTTGCTTGCCTAGGACTCCGAAGCTTCCATTGCGACAAGTCATTCTTCTGTTGTGAAGGCACAATTTCGCCGCCGAAGCGCCCCTCGACAATCGCAGCATTTCCGCCTGCACTCACTAAGATGTTCGGGGGCCTGATCTACGGTAAGACGAACCTCCCATCTCGTCCCGATAGTCACGACCGAGACCGCGACCGCGACCGCGACCACGAAGCTAACCACCCCTCGTAGTCGCGTGCCTCCTCGTCAACGCAATCGCCATCCTCTCCGAAGACCGCTTCCTAGCCAGAAGTATGTCCAATCCCCTAAGTCCGAACCAGCTCCGGTGCTGCCTTCCCAGTGTGCTGGGGAGGCCATCCGCCAGCGGGGGAATCTCCTACTAACCGTGGCCCCCTCTCCAGTCAACCTTTCCCCGTCCTCCTACGACCCCGCCTTCGGACAGAATGCGGACGCGAGCGCCAAGGCAAAGGTCATCAACCTCATCGCCAGCGTCAGGACACTTATGAGAAGTGAGTGGAAACCATAACCAACCCTCTGCCCTCGCCCCTCCCGTTCCCATCCTCTAGGGCTAACCTTTGATGTATCCGCCCGCTTCCAGTACCCCTAATAGTCATCAATACTCTCATCATAGCATATGAACTGGTGCTGGGGTGAGGGACCGGCGCGGCATTTGCGACAATGGCTATTGTACCGGGTAAACCAGGAGTTCAAACCGTCATCATCGCGGAAAGGCGTTACAGGAGACAAGGGCATGTCTGTTCAGAGAACTATTCCAACTGTATGGGAAGCACTAGCCTGGTGATGTTCCAGCACCCACAGGAAGTCACGACAAAGCATGGTCAGAGGCTTGATTAGGCCGATGAATGGTGCCTATTAGCATTATCCAAAACCAGACGCCACGAAAGTGGCAACCTCCCCCTTTTTTTTCTGATATGCAAACCCGAGGTCGAATGCTCGTGGTCAACCACAACGCTGGAATTATTGTACAATATATGCGAGTTGGCAAATGCCAACCGCCAGGCCTCTGACGCCGATCGAAATGCCCAGCCTTATGGATGATGTGGGTGACAGCAGATATCCAACCAAGCCTTACCGCAATAATTGTTTGGCTGCCGCTTTTGATAGCCCGTTAAAAGACTACACAATCAACACCCCTGACGCTCTCCGCTAGATGTCCCGACGCCTCCCCGGCAATCGTACACTCCGTGCTTTATTCGGCGTGCCCTTTTGTGTGATCCCGTGGCTCTGGTGGCTTTGCAATTGGATAGACCTTGGGAAAGGGGGTGAAAGGGAGATAGATCAACACCAGCTGGTATCCAAACACCAAAAACGCCGCATTCCGCTAAGACGACTTCTCGGTCTTCTTCCGTCCCAGGCCGAAACTGAATCGTTCCTTAAGGGGCTTGTCGGACTTGTCGGCCGGCCCTGCTGACGCGCTGCCGTTCTGGTGTGCGCCCTCGGACGTTGAATTGCTATCGCCCTTGTCGCCCTTGCCCAGGAATCCAAAGCTCTTGCGAGCCATCGACTTGCTTAAGCTTCCCTTGCTAGCTCTGTTCAAGAACCCTGGGCTCTGGCTCCCATTAGGTGGCCCCTCCTCGCCCACCTCTTTCCTTCTCTTTCCTTCCTCGGCAGCCAACTGTTTGCTCTCTTGGAGTGCCTTTTGCAGCTGCTCGTATTCGTTCTTGTGCGCCTCGCGGATCCGGGCCTGCCTCTCAGTTCGTTGCTTGGCATCTAATCTGGCCTGCTCCTTCTCTGCGGCCTTGCGGGCTTTCTCCTGCGCTTTGGCCTCCTTCTTCTCCCGTTCTCTTTCCTCCTTCGTCTTGGGTGGAACCGTGGCGGGTTCGTCTGGCTTTGTCATCACCGCAGGGGCTGAAGGCACTGCCACTACCACCGGGCGAGACGGGGGTTCTGGGGGTGGATTGAGGATATCGCTCGGGACGACCGGGCTGGTTGGGACGAGAGCAGGTGCGGTCTGGACTTGATTTAAGGTCGCATAGGTGTCGTTCTCTTCCACGGCCAGAGCGGGTTGGGTGTTGAGCTTGGAGAGCGGCGTCGCCCCAACACCGTTCACATGGTCATTACCCAGGGCGAGGTCGGCCTTCTGGCTGGCCAACTTGACTTCCTCAAGTCCTTCGGCCTCCTGTTCCTCCCGCATCTTCTCGAAGGTAGTCTCCTGGTAGAACAGGACATACGCACAGGCCATGCCCGGCTTGTCGCCGAAGAAGTTTCGCACAAAGTGTTTGTCAACGGGCTCCACCATTTCGTCGTCGAACAGCAGCCAGCCTCGATCTTGGGTTTTGATGACCGACACATAGTGGCCGTGGTAGGCGTTGCCGCCGATATGAACAACGACCGCATAGAGCTCGTACATACGATCCGGATCTTCAGCATCGTCGGTAGTGTTGAACATGCGGAGGTGGTAGGGGTAGACAACTCTGTGGAAAAGCTTCTGTAGCCGGCTGTAGTCTTCGGTGTACTTGAAGCGCTTCAGGTGAAGCGCAAGGACCTTGGGTAGTTGCTTGATCTTCATCCGCTTTTCTGCTTCCTGAAGTCCCCCGCAATGGTCGCAGTGAAACTTGTTCCTTTCGCAGAGCATCTCCTCGGCGGAGAACTTCCTCAGGCACGATGTCACCGACGAGTGCTCTTCTAGATCGATTGAGAGGTCGAGGAATGTCTCGTCCCTTTGTGAGGTCGTCTCGCACGTGAGGCACTTCGTTTCAGAAGTCAGGACTCCCTCGAAGATGTCGTGCACCCAGCCTGTTCCGGGTAACCTCGCGACGGGGCTGCCTTGACTTTTGGTGACTGCTGTCGACGCACCGACTGCGCTCTGCACCGACTGGGCCAAACCATCCTTCATGTTCCCGATCTCTTGCCTCTTCCGGGCGTTGGATTCGACACTTGCGATGACATCGTTCAGGACCAGTCCATAGAATTCGTGGGCATCCTGGTGCATAGAGTTTCGGAACATCTCGTTATCGCGTTTGAAGATGTCCAAGAATCTCTGTGGGCTGAGAACGCCGGTTCGGGTCTCGCTCTCGATCAGGGCTGTGAAAATATCCTTCAATCCAGTGAAGGTGCACTCCGGCATGCCGTAGGCCTCGGCAGTCTCCCGCGCCAGCTCCAGCACTGGTCCCTTGACCATCGCTTGCTTCTTCTTGTATTCTGGAGAATCTGGCCTGTCCTCGGGTCTCACCGGTTGACCTGGGACAGGCAGGCCAGTGGCGAGACCTTGCCGTTGCTTGGCGGTCTGTGCAGCAGGCAAGCCTTTCTGACCTTTACCAGGAGCGGTCGCGGCTCCATTCGCGATCGTCGGGGGCCGGATTGTGACATTCACCTTGCTATAATTCCCGTTGGGCGTGTCTGAGGGCGGCGAAGGTGGGTAGTTGACAACGTTGTCTCGAAACGACTCGGAGTAATACAAGGCCTGGACTATCGAGTTGCAGTAGCTGTTTTTGGTGAGCATGAATCTCCTTCGGCAGATTAAAGATGCCATACCATGTGTTTCCAAACTAAGATCAAAGATGGAGTTAGTATCCAGCGGAGGAAAATAGGTGTGCTTAGGGTTGGTCATACATTTTCGAGGCCGAAGAACTTGTCGCTACCATTTTCACGGAGCGGCCCAGCATGCTGGAGTGCTTTCTCCAGGGGCGTCATCTCCGGGGCGGGCTCCTCCTTCTTATGCTTCGGCGAGGCATTGCTGGCTGCATTTGAGGTACTCTAGCGACGCGGAAGGTTAACCTGGGGGCCTCACAGCAAGGATGGGGGGGTCTGAGGACTGTTTGAGGTGGTAACTACTGCACGGAATGCCGCAGAATATCGGAGGGAAACTCACGGCGCCAGCCACCTTCAGCTTGTTGAAAAACCCCGCCATTGCGCTCGAGACTGGGCTCAGCGGCTGGTGATCTGGGGAGGTCGAGATCGGTTACGAGTCTCGCCTGTAGCGCGATACCAGCTCAAGAACGATCTGCGCAGACAACCATTCGCGACTAGAGACAGCAAGAGGCAACGGAGCTCGAGAATCTGGAGATGGAGCAAACAGCGCTCACGGTATCGGTCGTGGACGAGAGAAGCGCGCGACTGTGGCGTAGGAATGGACGTCGTTGTAAGGGTGGATCGCTGAAGCAAGGCGCATGGGATAGGGCTTCGATGTCACGACCTGCTCGGAGATGGAAGCCAATTGCTAGGGTCGGGTATCGGCTGGAAGATCTGGATAAAGAAGTTCTGGTATATATGGTCGCAAGGAGGGTGTGCAGTATTGGGTGTGGTGGAAGGGTTAGAAGGAAGCTGTGGTAGGGGCTCGGGGCGGCGTTGCAGGGTACCTCAAGCCGCGCAGTCTTGACTCGTTCGGAGCGACAATGGACGGGTTCCTTCGCGCGGGGGTCGTTGACTCGTTGTGGACAAATCCGCAGCCAAGCGCCAACCGAGGGGCAATTGGGCAAGCAAGTAGACCTATATAGGTACCTAGGTAGGGACTGTGAGGAAGACGAATGCCTACGCAACACCAATGATGAACCTTATATCGCACTTTGCAAATGTCAAACCGGTAGGTAATTAACAGGGCGTGTTTCGTTCGTCCTCAAAACCAAAGTCGAGCCCGTAACAGCCACTGGTGTGTGTGCAGGAGGTACAGTACCTCAACCCACTTGTGTACCGGGTACATACTGTACCTACCAATTTCAAGGGACTCGGTAACTACAATTGATGTTTTCGACCCTGCCTCCTGTATATACGTATACCTACATAGTACACCGCACCCGCCGATCCATGGCTCCTTTCCCCCTCCCACCTGCTCCTCGACATGAGGCGATGGTTGGTACATACAAGGTACCATCCTACAAGGTACCTAACGATTTAGTTGAACTAGGCAGGTACGGAGTAGCGCCACATGGGCAACCGTCGCGGTAAGCCGGGCCTCTGGATTTTAACCGCAGGTCCAACCGCTGATCGTGAGACGCTCGTGGACTGGGCTACACAGGTAGAACAATGAGCAAACACGTGAGATTCTACTGTGGTATGTCGCTAGACTCAGCACACCACGAGCAGCCTCGTTGGATTCCCAAATGTCAGCCTACAGATGGAAACGCGACCGATCTAACCGACTCTGTATTTCATGGGGACACGCTTGAAGAAACGATGCGAGGGTGCCAGCCAATAAAGCACTCAATTGGGGAGGGGAAACGCAATTCATCATCGGAGTGGACCCTAAGACAGGTCGTTGGGTCGCTTAGCACACGCTAGTCTCATCCATTCTCATGGATTTCCAGGCCGTGCCCCTAGCGTCTGCTGCAGGCATCCGGACATGGGGCGAGTTCCCCAAGTTGCCCCGGCTTATATCATTCGCGGGCAATAATATTTACCTGCCACAGTGTTGCCTCCATCCCTCATCCCCCATCCCATCCCTTCCATCGGTGTGGTTGCAGGCGCCCCTTTACATTTGCTTCTGCCTCCAATCTTGCCATACCAGAACCCCGCAGCCTGGATATGTACTGTACCTGGCGTCTTATCCGGCCTCCTAAGACACCCCATCCTTGCTTACAAACTGTGGGGTAGAAAGGGAACCATGTGGCAGTGTGTCGTTGCTAGCGATCCTCTAAATTCTCTAGCTCCACCGTATGGCAGTAAACTGCATTAACCTTCGTCAACTGTGCAGTGCACTACGAGTCTGCGAACGTGTACTGCGGTAGGCACTCGGAGGGGGTTGCCTGTTGGATCTTCCACTGCCCTCCCCTACGCTTCCCTTTACGGATCGTTGCCGAGCGCTGTTGATCGGGACCCCACCCTCACGCCCTCTAGGATTTCCAGTGACACCCCTTCGAGACCACCCAGCTGGGCAAAGTACAGATGTACACCAGTCCGATTCGTCGCCTGGCCCTACATGTCGGGATGGAGGACCGAGAAAGCACCGGCATGCCTCTCCATCCCTCCGATCTCCGCCGTTGCCCAGACCTGATTGCCCGTAATTATGGGCTCCACGAATAGGTACACGCACCGACAAAAGTAATCCGTACTCCGTACATCTGCAGGATATGCAGTTGCGCAGCGCATGCAAGCAATAGTCCATGCCCCCAACAGCCACACCCGCATTAGCCTGCCTCGCGACACACTCCGGTGGCCGCTCGCGACACTCTTCTGTGGCCTGTTCCAGCGCCGATCCCCTTGCTGATTGTCGACCGTGTCCAAGTGACATCAAACCAAGGTGTGCTGTGGGAGAAAAATAAGGGCCGCTTCACACAAAAGACTCGTTCTGCTCATGTTGTCAATCATCTGCCACGATGGAAGTTAATCTATGTTCAATACAAGAGCAGGGAGTATCAAGTTGCGGAGAGACAGGTATCCTCGTATTTTAACTTCTTCCCTCCCGGTCTTTTGCTACTATTATTCTTTGAACGTTTTCCCCTACGAAGTAACGCTGCGGCAAACTTGCAGCTCAAATCAGGTTTGCCACGACTCTGTCGGATACCGTTTTTTCGAGAATTTGTGGTCCGTCTTGAATATCAGATTTTCAACCACCAAAGTCAATCAGTCATACTAAGATGGGTAAAAGGATCGTTGTCATTGTGACAGCATAAATGTACATCTCCTAGGAGATGGAGAGCCTGGGAATAGGAAAGGAAAGAGGGACGTCCATGTCTCAAGCGGCGTATTTCGAACGTGATAAAACAGATTCCTCCGGATCATTTCACCCCGTCATCAAAATACCTGAAGTTCGTTTTACGGGCAGACTTTTACACCAGCAAAAAACATCCCCCTGAATCAGCTGTTCAGCCTCTTCGATCATTCCTTGATCTTCGCGGGCGGAGCCGGTCCACCGGTCGTGGGAAGACCCATGAAGATCTTGAAGTAGTCCTGGATAAGAATAGATCAGTATCTCTGGCTCATAGCATCGACGCGGAGGAAGCAAACTCACGTAGATCATCCATTGCAGGCCCGTCAAGGTACCGATCATGACGATTCTGACGGGAAGTCCGTTCCAGAGGCCCTTAAAGCCGATGTCCTTGTATATTCTCGAGAGGACGGCTCCGAACGCCTCCCCTGGCTCTCGGTATGCGTTCAACTTGCTGACCATGACGTCGGCGGGGTGGGACACAAGCGCGCAGAGGATACCGGCCATGTAGCCACCGGTGAAGGAGACGCCGGTCTGGGCTGCCTTGCCATAGTCGCTCTTCTGGCCTGGTAGGCGGTCGTAGATCATCTCGACAATGGTCTCAAACGACGCGAACTTCATCATGGTGTAAGGGATCTGTCGACCCCACAGCGGGTAGAGTCCCTTATACAGGCCGGACCGGCCCTCCTTGGCCAGGATCTTGGTGATGCCGTCCACGGTCCCGCTGTACACTGGCGGGCTCGAGGCCTGCATGCGGACCTTGACGGCCTCAAAGGGGCACAAGGCAAGGTCGGCAAGGAGTTCGGCGGACGCAGACGCGGCGAGGTACAGGCCGGTCTTATACCTGTAGGCATTCTCCGGACCTGCCAGGTCGGAATACTTCTTCTTGAAGAACTCGTACCAGCCGTACTTGAAAGCACCTTGGGCGGAGTAGCCGAAGAAGGTGGGACTCCATCCTGTGAAGATACCCCGAACTCCCTCGGCGCTGTAAATGACCTTCCATCCCTGGACGTTGCTCTTATAGAGCTGCGAGTTTACCTGACGCCTCGTCTTGATGAGATCCAAAGGGGTGACGGCCGTGTGTGTCAAGCCCTGCATTCTGTCAGCGCCGAGACTTCGCTTGCCGGTGGAAAGGCACACGTACACACGCAAGCAATCCGCCAAATGTACAAGCAGCATAGTACTTTCCGGAGAAGAGTTCGATCTTGCCGGCCTTCTGTTGTGCCTTCTGGCTGGCAACTTCAAACTCCTTTGCAGCCTCGTTGCTCAGCTTCTGGGCCTTGTTCTTGGCATCATCGACAACCGAGTAGGCACTATAGAGTTCCGGCCGCGCCTGGTAAGGTGTGCTCCTCGACCTCAATTCATTCTGTGGTCGGCTGACGCTCAAGACCGTATTGCCGAATGTTTGCTGAAATGTCTCAAATCCGGGAAATAACGGCGGCATGTTGACGATGCGCTGCACGCGTTCTTATTTTTCGTCTCTCTAGGTGTAAGTCAGCCACCACTCCGAACCAAGAGGAAAGCATTGAGAATTGGAATGGTAACCGGTGCCGCCGGAAAGAGAACGAAATTTAAGAGGACGATGACGTCTAATGGATTGCAGTATGTGCCCAAACCGGATTCGGCGGGGGAGACTGCCACCCACCTTCAAGTAGACTTGGAGTGATGAGCCACCACTTACAGAGCTTGTAGCTTGTAGCTTGTTAAACAGAACACATGAGTAACTCACTTCTCACACGATGAGAGGACTGACGATAGATGCCACTGGAGGAAAAGGTAGGGAAAAGATAGCAAAGGTACTGGCTAAGCGACTCCGGGAGATGACGGAATCCTTCCGGGGACGGTAGGGTAATAATCCACGCATATTCACTGACGTCGGTGTGTGTCGATCCCCAGCAGCTTTATCAAGGTGAGCGATAAGGATTAATTCGGGGACGACCCCCACGTTTAACCACACGAACCGTTTAACCACACGAACGAACACGTGATTGGCTCAGCACTCAACTTAATCCAACCTTTTGAGTTGCCTCCATCGTGAAAACGGACATCACTCACCGCCTCGGCCCTCGATTTGATCCCCAAGACGCCCGTTGTAATATACGAAGACTAGCAGATCAGCACGCAAACTCCAAGTCGCACAATGGCGGACATATTGTCACAATCGACGTCCCAGGATCTAAACCCTTTCGCCAAGCCTTTTGTATCAAAATGGGCATCTAGATATCGCGGGGTATGACATAATATTGCCCCTTTGCCTTCCCTAGACTTGCATCGAACCCCGAGCGGGAAACCCCTCGCGACGGGCCAAAAGATCTGATTGGAACACACTCGCTAACCCAGTCCAGGCCACAGTCGAAGACCTCGACCCGCCCGCCGCCCTCTCGCTGACGCCCTCGGACCCCATCTCGCTGGCGCTCATGTCGGCCTTTGAGCGCGACTACACGCACCTGACGGTGGTGGACGGGCAGACGCGGGCGCTGCTTGGGTACATCTCGATGCCGACGCTGCAGGCGATGCTCGACTCGGGCAAGGTGGCGCCCGAGGACGAGCTCGCAAAGGCCATGGTCAGGTTCGAGCGCCGCGGCCGCAGGTACCGCGTCATCACCATGCAGACGCCGCTCGAGGAGCTCGAGGAGTTCTTCGAGGGTGGGTCCACGGGCCAGAAACAGGAGTTCGCAGTCATCACCGACGAGCGGAGGAGGTTCGTCCTCGGCGTCGCGACCGCTAAGGACCTGGAGGAGTTTGTCAAGAGGCGGCCTGCGTAGAGCGGTGGGCGTGCGCCTCGGTGGTGGCGGGGCGGTAGTGCGGCGACGATGCCTTTAGGGGACTGGCGGTGCGTCAAGGCGGGGGACCTATGGAACGAAAGGTTGGCACAAGGAACAGGCGGGACTGACGATGTGGGCTAGCACAACACCCGATGCGTGGCAGGTGCAGAGCATCGCAAGGCGTTTCATGTCATGAGTTCATCGGTCGGGAGCATGGCATGGTGTTCTTAAGACGACGGTTCAACACGGAGGTTCAACACTGGGTTATACGGAATGCCTCACCGCACCCGAATCAGAGGAGTTTCTGTTTACATAAGGCAAGAGACAGAGAAGGAGAGAAGGGGAGATTATGCAGCCCGACGGGATCAAAGCTACATACACTACACTTACAATCGGCACAGTAATCAAAATGAGATTTGCAACCCTTTCATATGCGTTGCATTCGTTGTCTTCGGGTATCTGCTACGCTGCCCATGCCAGCCCGCATTTACAAACAACTGGTGCGCAGGCGCCTAGCGCCTTACTAGTCCTCCCACTTTCCAGTGCCCTAGGCCGCGTGCCCAAGGCGCAAAACCCCCCGCACATGCCGACCGGCGTCGTTAGACTCAAGGGAGGTAGTCGTAGACCAGCCTGATCTCGACCCGCTGGGCCCCCTTAGCAACGACGATATTCCGGCAGTACCTCCTCTCGCCCTCGACGGTCTGGAACCCCCAGATCTGCCTGGCCGTCCAGTCGCTATCCAGGCTCTCGACATAGCTCTCGAGCAGGCCCTCGCCGGCGGGGCCCGACGCCTCCCCCTCGCCCGCCAGCCACCCGCCGGCCAGGAACTTGTCCTCGACGTCGGCGGCGGACGCGATCCAGTTGCTGCGGCCCCGGACGCGGCCGAACAGCCAGTCGCCGTGCTCGCGCCACTCGCCGTCGACGCAGCGCTTCTCCGTCGTGCCCTTGACACCCGCGGTCGCGAGCTGCTCGATCTCGATGTGCGTCGCCGGGCCGGCCGCCTCGGACGGCGGCGAGGGGACGCCCTCGTACTCCTTGATGTCCAGCGTGATCGACGCCAGACCGATCGCCTTGCGCGTCAGCCACCCGATGCCCTGCAGCGCCAGCGCCGGGTCCGGGCTGTCGGAGAGGGTCTTGTTCTGCGACGGGGGGAAGCCGGGGGTTAGCTTTCATTCAGCCTTTGGGGGGTTGGGGGCTAGGGGGTCGTCGAGACGAGTTTCGAGCGTGTTGTGTGCCTGCCTCGCTCTGGGTGTGTGCATACCATAGTCCACTTTCCATTGAGGTCTTTGAGCGTCCTGGATGCGGGGGCAGCCATTGTGACTGCTGTTGTTTTGGCGGGGTAGGTTTAAAGACTCGAGCTATCCAACAGGGCGGGTTCGCAGACGGGGTCACACGCGTGGGAATTGAGCGAGATATTTGGGAATTGCAATACGAAGGTTCGATCGGTCTTGTAATTGTGATGCCGGGAAAGTCCACAGCTATAAGTAGGGAGGGGAAACTGTCACAAGAAGACTGATCAGTGAATCGAGGCCGAGGTATGTAGGCCTGTCTGGCGCAGCGTGGAAGGAATCAGAATGTCGATCCATCCCGGGGGTTGCATCAACCAACCGGAGCTACCTCCCAAACAAGCTGTAACTTGCATCTGCGCAGACCCCGCCCCGGATTTCTTATTCACTGTTGTCCCAGAAGATGGGCTTAGATCAGGGAATGGCCCAGTACAGATGCACTAGTTTATGCCCAACAAACCTGCACATCATTAGCTAGGAGAGCGGTGGATTGTGGATTGTGGATTGCCGAAGACTTTCCAAACCATTCCGGAGCCATTTTTAACATGTGAATATTCCTTTCACCGAGTCGCATTCTCCTGGAGATAAAACAGACGACCTGATCGGGGGCGTCGAAGTAAAAGCCATATCGTTGCATTAAAAACCTCCATGTATGGAAGTTGTACAAAAATACAAAAACAACGAACTTCTAAGGATATCCTAATCTTACAATACATACTCAGAATCGCTGCGCTGCTTTTCCGGCCCATCTCCGCGGAAGCCGGCCCTACGCGCACTTGCCGCGAGATGCTTGCCGGGGGAGGGAGTGGAATCGGGCGGGGAGGGTTTTGCTCTCGGGAGTCCGGGGATGCGATAGATAACGCCGGGAGTTTTGCGAGCTGTCCGTCATGTCCATGTCATTGCCACCTTTTTTAGATGCCGCTCGGTCGCGCCTCTGGGGCTCTCAGGGCCACCACTTCATCTTCTTGTAACTCTCGATCACCTCCTCGACCAGTTCCTTGGTTATCTTGGGTTTCTCGTACTGGAAGCCAACGACCTTCTCCAGCTGCGTGCCGTCCATGCTGAGGTCGGTGTCTTTCAAAAGCTCCTTCTCCATGAACGGACTCAGGGGGCCAGGTCTCGTGATGCCGGCCTCAGCTAGAAGATCCGCCCACGGACCGAGCACCTCGTCGTTCACGTCGTCGACGACATTGTCCATGTTCAGCCGCGCAAATGTGCTGATCAGCTGGCCCTGGAAACCAGTCTCGATGCCGAAGATCTGGCCGATGATGTCGGCCATGGCACCTTGAGTAGTGGTGCCTTTGTCAACGACATTGAACGTTGGGACTTTGCCCATGCTGCTGACATCCCAACCTGCCCTCCCGGCGTCGTACCAGCTCGCGACCGCCCACAGTGCCCGCGTCACGTCATGGATGTGGACCGTATTTGTCCGCAAGTCTTTGGTCCAGAGCCACTTCATCTCGTCCTCGAGTGCCTTGTACACGCGCGCTATGCAGAGCGCCGTCGCCACCCATTGCGAGGCATATGGGCCATAGACGTGTGCTAGACGCACGATGACGAGGTTCAGCCTAAGTATGGTCAAGCATCGAGTTAGCCACGCCCCTCGGGGGACTCGGAAGGGGTTTGTTGTCGCCGCACTCACCCCTCAATCTTTGCCAACTCTTCCTCCGCCTGCAGCTTGAAGACGGCGATCTTGCTCCAGGGCTTGAGCTTGTCCTGCTCCTTGCTCGGCGAGGAGTCCGCCTTGTATACCATTCCCGTACTGAGCTCAACGAAGGCCTTGACTTTGCGCTTGGCCGCCTCCCTTCCAACGGCTAGAGAGAGGGCCAGCGAGCGCAACTTGTACACTTCATCCTCTTGCGAGTATCGCGTCTCGCCGCCACAATTGAAGACATAGTCCCACTGCTTGCCGTCGGGGCGGTCGAATACTCGCGCGAGGGCCTCTGTTGAAAGAATAGGGGCGCATGGTTAGCGAGTGCGCCAATGATCAACCTCGCCTTCCAATCTGAAGGGACGAAGAAAAAAAAGGAGAAGGGGATGCGAAGGGAAGGGAACGGTGGCCGACGACATACGTTCTCTGCTTGCGTCTGCTTGCAAGAATTTGCTCGTTGCGCATGCCTCTTCGAACTCGGGCGCCAGCCAGGCTAGCTGGGGGAGGACTTTGTCGACCAGGCGCACCTCGGACGCAAGGTCATTCTCGTGTATGTGGCGGGCCAGGAAACGGCCAATATATCCCAGCCCTCCAATGATCAAGACCGACGGTTTCTCCGCCATGGCGACAGCAGAGCACCGGGGGATCTGTATAAATGATTCCGGGGAGTAGTTGCGAGAGTTACGGGGACCACCAAGAGGCGGGACACGATCCAAAGTCAGAGGGGTAAGTAAGGTAGCAGTCGCGCGGGTGGGGTCTCGTCTCCTTGAATGGCAAGCTCAGGGGTATCGGAAAATTGTACGGCAAGGCGCCGGCGGGATGGAGTAGGCGAAATTATTAGGAGGGACGAGTGGCAGTTATTAGAGTCGATGGCATGCGAAACTGGCAGGACCACCACAGACAGACAGCCATTCATTCCCTTCACCAGCTAATAAGGCTGCTTTGTGCAGAAGCAGGCAAGCAGCAGCGAAGGAGGCGGGTTTAAGTGGAGCTTTATGTAGATCCCGCCCTGATATTACCTCCCACTGCAGTTATAGTGTTATTATAGTGGCCCGGTGACCCTGCTATTAAGGGCCTCCTCATATTATACCTGCCCGCAACGCACCATCGACGGCCTAAAACAGCGTCCCATCACCTATGCTTCTGCTAAGCAGTACTAGCAGCACAGCATCTAGGTACCAGGCGAACTACCATTCCGCTCCAGGACTCCACTCGGCTAGTTGGTGGCGGGCCAGCCCGAAATCTCTCGGCCGAAGCCCAAAGTTTAGAGTTGTGACCGTCGGCTTTTGCTTTTGCGATGAGGAATTTCGAATTGGAATGATTTTTATGCGAGGGGAAATAAAGGAGAAGATCAAGGCCCAAAAGAGAAACAGGAGAGTGTCTGTGGTGTGGGCGTATGAAGCAAATAGCGCAGCAACTACCCCCACCTCCTTTTTCTCCCCTCGTAAAAGCTACAGGAGCACAGCGTTGAAATATTACGCATAGGAGGAGAGGCCCGCATATGGGAGATCCGCATTTGATCAAGTGAGCATACCTACTACATACCTATGTATATGTAGCAGAGGGCGCAGCACATCAATTCTCTTCAGGAGTTCAGCTGCTCAGGTACCTCTTGGTGGAGTAATATTAAAGAGACCGGTTGTGATATAAAAAGACAAGCTGGACCCACCCAACCCAGCAGAACCCAACTGTCACAACATGCACTGCTCTTCCTCATGAACGAAACCCGGGAGGACAGAGAGGAACAAATGATCACATGATGAAGTACATGACTAACCAAGTGTTTGGCTGTCCCTACCCAGGTAGGCAGGTAGGTACGCATTACAAAACATAAGATTCTTGGGCCTTGAAAAGGGATGGTTATTTGTACACTTGAAGGTTCCTACGTACCTACTTGGGCTGATGATGTGGTTATTTCCCCTAAACGGGCGATGCGGCTAAGGCAAGGTACCAAGCTCACTCGCGCTCTAGCGTACGCTAGTTCGGAACGCTTGGATAAGCTTACCAACGAGCGAGGCCTTAGACGGGCTATTTGAACACGCCAAAACTAAAGATAGGGGTAACCACCAGCCACCCGAAGGACCCATCCTTGCTGCGATCGCAGTCTGTGTGTCTCTCTCTCCTTGATCACCAAGCTGGTCTCTCACCAAAGATGCAATCAAATGCCTGATTTCGAGTCTCCTCAACGATGCATTGACTTCGCAAGGATTTCATACTGCGTCCTTACACATATAGCTTGCTCTGTAACGCCACCTCGACTCTGATACGAGGGCAAGATGCTGCCCAGAAGTAAGAGACATTACAACCTGCTGGTTTGTCTTCAATAGGCTTGGTCCCTTCTTGAGCTTGGCGGGAGCCCTGCAAGCCGTCTTAACGGCCGTAAAACAAGGTACAGTAGATGTAGACTAGTTATTAGTAGCTGTAGAAAGCTGATCTCGGCAAGTTCAACCCCAACAACTCTAGCGTGTCAAGTTTGTAAGATGTTCACACCAGAATGAGTCGCCATCAAGTTGAATAACGGTGGCAACAGAATATCTACTATCGCAGCCACAAACCCCCATTCGGTTCAAAGGATACCACCCTCTCGCGATCGGGAACAGCATTTTTGTGCCTATCTCTGTCCAATAGAGGCTGGGATTTCCTGGGTATTGCCTGTCCCAACCGAGTTTAGCCCCCAACAGAGCCGTGTCTACGCAGTCTAGACTCTCGGCCTGCTCCGTATGTACGGCGAGATTGTCCGGGCCACATGGGAAAACTGCATATGCAAGTCATTGTGTCCGGTGATGCATTCATTTCGGCGCACGGCTTCTCGAAACAACCCTACTCTCGTCCCTTGCATGCGTTTCGGCCTATTGGAATTCTCCTCAGCCGTCAATGGGGTGGGTGCCACGTCTGATAGCTCGAAGGGAGACAATCGCGACGGCTCGTCCCTCTCCTCCCCACGGCACGGCCCCTCCATTGTACATGCATCCTCCGAATGGTGGCATATAACACACGAAAGCCCAGGCGCCACGCGAACTCGGTTGCCACGTACTGGTGGGCTGATTATCTACGCATGCTGCCAATGATCTCTCTCTGTGTCTCCCTTTCCCGCTGGCCCTCGCTTAAGCTGCCAATGCTCCTCAGGTCACCCACTACGTCCTTCGCCTTGCCAAAGTACACCTCTTGCAGGAGGTTCCGCATTTTCAGCTCCATATCCTCGACGAGGCGTCCAATATTGGCGATGTGGCTCTCGTCAGACTCGGCAGGCATATCCTGCTCCACCTGCCGGGTCATGTTGCCGCTCAAGTCCATCTCGCCCAGGGTAGTCGTAGACGAGGATAGACTCAAGATGACGGTCGATGTCAGCCTGTAGTTGGTCGTCCTCCCCCTTTCACTGGCCTCGAAGACGTGGATTGAATCCCAAACCCCCTGGCTGCTACCGCCTTGAGGGGCCGCTGTGCAAAGAAACATGTTAGCCATGGTAGGGCAAGCGTGGCGGGACCACTTTGCAGATGTAGATGTGGGCGCGCCGCCATGCACATCACTCACACTTCTTGAGCAGCACCACACCGGCGAACCCGTCGTCCAGGTTCCAGAAGTAGACCGACGAGACGCCGCCCTCGTAGTACAGCTCCCGGTAGATATCAAACGCCTCGTTGGCCTTGATTTCCATCTTCCGCACCCGCTCCCCCGGTATCGCGCCCTCCCCCGCGCCTTCGCTCCCCCCAGCACCCACGCCGCCAGGGCCACCCTCGTCCAGCGGGGGGTCGAACTGGTTGGACCATGGGGAGCGGTGCGAGTCGCCGTCGCGGTTGTAGTCGCAGAGCAGGTAGTCCCGGCCGGTCTGCTTGCACCTCCTCACCGTCAGGGGTTGGTCGACGGACGAGAGGAGGTCCTCGGTCAGGTCGGGCGCGAGAGAGATGAGGGCATTGAGATGGTCCGCCGTGTGTTTCGGGTTCAGGCGCCGAAGCAGGTCGCTGAGATGCGGGGCAGACACAGCAATGTTAGCACGGGGGCAACCAACACAAAACCATCTGGGGAGTAGAATTGACCTACAGGGCCGAGTCAAAGGGGTCTGCAGCCATGGCTACAATGCCTTATAGCCTTTGAGAGCTTAGGTGGTTGGTTGTGGAAGGTGACGTTGAAAGGTGCTGGGAGTGCTGAGGGGTGTTCCAGTAGAACTGTTGGAGGGGTCGTTTACCCTTATGCCTGGCTCGTGCGCTAGCATTTGAGTGGGACAGCATCGAGCCTCACTTCCTGGCACCAATGAATGGATGGGACAGTTTCTAAACTCACCAGCCTTGCGTATTAGCTTACAGATTACCTCAAGTTGAATCAACTGGGGCCATGGGTTACGACCGGCCTGCGATTGCCCACGCACTCCTTTAAATACATTCAAAAAGTATATCGCACCTGCCGATACACGATGAAGCTCCTCGGTATGGTCTCTCATCCCCCGTTCACTCACACCTTCGGAGGTTCATGTCGAGACTGATATCCCTAGACTTGCTACTCTCACTTCTAATACCCGGATTGGTTTTGATCCACCTTCTGGTTGCCCCTTACACAAAGGTCGAGGAGTCGTTTAACATTCAAGCCTCCCACGATGTGCTGGTCTACGGGACTCCGACCTCCAACATCAACGAGAAACTGAGCGGTACATACGACCACTTCACCTTCCCAGGGGCCGTCCCGAGGACATTTATAGGGCCTGTCCTTCTGGCGGGGATTAGCCAACCCATTGTTGCCCTCGTCGGTTTCGACAATGCCCAATTCGTCGTCAGGGCCATTCTGGGGCTCTTCAATGCCGCCTGTCTCCTGGTACTGAAGCGGAATCTTGCGAGGGCCTTTGGTACGCCAACGGCAAGATGGTTCGTCCTCCTGCAGGCCAGCCAGTTCCATATAATATTCTACGCTTCGAGGCCATTGCCCAATATGTTTGCCTTTGGATTGAGTAAGCCGACTGTCAAATATTATTTCTCTGCATTACCCCGAGTCTGAGCTCTAACATTTGCCAGCCACACTGGCCTTCTCATTCCTTCTCCCTCATCCCAAATCGAAGGCCGTTAATCCACGCCAGCGGTTGGCAATTTCTCTCTTTGTCTTCGCCGCCGTCATATTCCGCTCCGAGGTTGCCCTCCTGTTGGCAACAAGCGCTCTCTATCTCCTTATCATCCCACAGACTTCTCTCCAGAAGCTGATACCACCGTTTGTGATATCGTTCATCATGGCGCTGTTAATCTCGGTGCCCATCGACTCCTACTTTTGGCAGAAGCCTCTCTGGCCCGAGCTCTGGGGTTTCTACTACAACGCTATCCTCGGCTCGTCCTCCAACTGGGGCGTCTCGCCCTGGCACTACTACTTCACCTCGGCCCTTCCCCGGCTTCTCGTCAACCCCTTCGTCCCTCTCCTCCTCATCCCCCTGGCCCTCTCCCAGCCGGCAACCTCTCACCCAGCCGGCCACCTCGTCTACCCCTGTCTCCTCTTCACGGTCATATACTCTCTCCAGCCCCACAAGGAGGCCCGCTTCATCTTCTACGTCGTCCCGCCCCTGACCGCCGCGGCCGCCCTGGGCGCCAACTTCCTCTTCGCTCGCCGGACCAAGTCGCCGCTCCTGGCCCTCGCCGCCCTCGCCCTCGCCGCCTCGGTCGCCCTCTCTTTCGCCGCCAGCACCGCCATGCTCCTCCTCTCGGCCCTCAACTACCCCGGCGGCGAGGCCCTGGCCCACCTCCACACCCTACTCTCCCCGCCATCGTCCTCCTCCTCCCCCTCCTCCTCCTCCTCCTCCGTCGTCCCCGTCCACGCCGACGTCCTCGCCTGCATGACGGGCATCACCCTCTTCGGCGCCGCCACCGCCGGCGCGGGTCTGCCCGCCCTCCGCGGCGCCGCCGGCCCCGTCGGTGGCGGTCACAGCAGCAGCAGCAGCAGCGACGGCGCGACCCTCGCGCTCGACCGGACCGAAGACCCCGCCCTGCTCAGAGACCCGACCTTCTGGCAGCGCTTCGACTACGTCCTTGCCGCCGCCGACCCGCCGGCGGCTGCCGCCCGCGGCGCGTGGGACGTCGTCGGCGTCGTGCAGGGGTACGGCGGCGGCGGCGTCGAGGTGCTCCGGCCGGGTGATGACTCCTCCTCCTCTGCTGACGAGGGGGGCGACGACGTCGTCGTCGTCGGGAGGGGGGCCGTGGTCGCCAGGGTGAGGGAGACGGTGCGCCGGTGGACGGGGGGCTGGTGGGTCGGCCCCAGGCTGGTGCCGCGGATCAGGATCCTGAGGCGGATCAAGGATGCCGAGAAGGGCGGGGTGGCGGTCAATGAGTGAGGGGCCACATGGCTGGCCCTGGTGTGTATTGTGTATTGTAAGATGGTGTTTTCGTCGCACAGGACATCGGGGATGAGGTCGGTTCACACAAAGACGAGGCAGTCGCACAGGCGCAGGGCGTATCTTCCATCGATAATCATTGATTGATAGAGGCGGAACTGACCAGCCAGGCACCAAAATATACTCCAACGTCTATGGGACCCCCAAGAGCCAGGCAAGCCCCCTACTTTGAAATCGCAACTGGGCTGCACACCGCCGCCGCCCTGTGCTCGTAACAGTAGTTTAAGAAGCGCATTCTTGCGACAGGTAGGTAGTACGTCTAAGTGCTAAGGAAACAGAAAGTAAGTAGCTAAGAGTAAATCCTACTACTTTGTTTATTCATTTCTACCTGAGACAGTTGACAAGATGATGTCCATCGATGGCGTCGCTGCTGGTAGTCTTCTCCCCTGACACTGACATCGGTATTAAGCAATTTGATTTTTTCTCTTTCTTTTCGTGTAAAATATCCGCGTCGCAGTGCGTACAACAAGTACAGGGAACACAGTAGAAAATAACCTAGTCATCCTTGCGCCACTGAACCCAACCCCTATACTCCGAAGCCAAGTGGTGTCTCAAGTCCCGCCTCTGTTCAGTCCGTCCTGGCAAGGCAGAGACGGAGGAAGTTGCGCCCGGCGGTGCCGAATATTCATCGCACCGGTCTCGCCGAAAAAAAGAAAACTCGAAACGGCATGATGACCATGTCCGCTGGCTAGCGCATAGTCGGAGAGACTGTCGGAGAGACTGGAGCACATCCCCTGGTTATCCTCGAAGAAAGACACCCCTCATCCTATCCCACAGCACGGTCGACAAATGTAGCAGACGGCGGACGTCCCAAATTTTAGGTTAGTGGCGCTTGCGCTTGCGCTTCCAGAGCACTCTCGGCGGGTGGTGAATCACCTCCGCCAAGGGGTTGAAGCTCGGCATTGGAGCGTCGATCTGAATTGAATCCCCTTCAATGACCAACGCCTAATTGATCTGGGAGCCGCATAGCAAACACTTGATCGGCTCTGTCCACGTCTTGTCTCCGCCAACAATCCCTTCCCGCAGGTCGCTGAACTCCAATATCGGCGGGCTGGTGTCCATCCTCAGGGTCACCTCGAATAGCCCCATGTACGGCTTCGCCCCCTCGCCGAATCCCTCCCCCTGCCTCTTTCGTGACTTTGCCAGCTTCTTCGCAGATCCTGCTGCCTTGGATGGTGTCCCCTTGCTGGGGGTTTCAGACCCGGCCTTTTCCTTCGTGGCGGCAGAAACCGCGGACTTGGTCCCAGTTTCTGGAGTCTTATCCTCCGGTGCGGCAGACGCATCTTCATCCTCCGGCCCCTTCACCTCGACATTGCCATTGTTGCCGACGTGCACGGCATCTGTAGCCTGCTTGACATCGATCGATTGCTGTGCCGATACTGCAGCTCCGGTCTCGGTGGTGGGGCTCAAGGGGCGCTTCCCCTCAGCCCCTGCCTTGTCAGCTTTGGCGGGATCGGAGCGATGTGGCTTGTCCGTGCCCAGGCGTTTGAATGTCTCGAGCAGGGCGTTGTGCTTGATACATTCTTCGTGAAGCCATGTCTTGCACGGTTCGGTAGTGCACCCAATCAGGGTCTTGTCGGGATTTCCAGGAAGGGAGCATTTGCATAGCATTTCAACAGACTGTACGGAAACGAGGGTCAGCATACAAACGCGTTGGAAGCGCGAGTCATGGAAGCACTTACTGAGAGTTCGTAGGTCCGGACGTCGAATGCTTGCCGCCAGTAAAGGGCATTCTGAATCTCTTCGTCGTTCTCCTCGTACCACTGGTTCACCAGCGCAGGGGCAGTCACGCTGACAACGTTGATGATGTCCACTGTCTCGGGTTAGCAAACGCGTCCGCCAATGCAGCGCCCAATGGTAGCTTACTGTGGTTGGAAGCGATCAACTCATTGACGCCGTGGTACGACTGGCGGCTGCTCACAACTCTCTTGCCATCGTGGGTGCCAGGGGGCAGCTCGTCTGGCCAGTACATCCAATAAACTCTGGCGTAGACGTGATGCTCGTCGCTAGCCCGGATCTCGAGGATACGGGCGACCCAATCGTCATCCGACTTTTTCCGCGGCTGGCCCTGCTGCTCTTTAGTGGTGGCCGCCTTCTGCCGCTCGATGCTCGAGTCATTTGCAACATAGATGAAGCCTTCACTGAAGTACTTCACGCCGTTGACTGCCAGGTCGGGCGCAGGTCAGCACGGAGCCATCGCAGAATCCTAGGGGTAGTGGCTTTTCTACTTACGGACAAAGCTGTTATATCGCGTCATGTCGGTCCATCTCTTGGCCGGGTCGACCTGGTAGTATATGTCCATAGTCTCGTATGTCTTGAATTTGCCCGAGGGCGCGAAGGGCGACATCTGCAAGGACATCCTCGGCGCGGCTTCCTCCTCTTCGGCATCGGTGCGTCTCCGCTTCTTCTTCTTCTGCTCCTTCTCCTTGGGGTCGACTACTCGGATGGAAAAGGGGCACTCTGCTCTGTTGTCTTCGGAGGTGACCTCGGGCCTGGGGCGTTTGCGCGAAGAGGACGCCATTTTTGACGAGATATTAGGGTAACAAGTGAGCAAGGTAGATGAAATTCGAGATAAAAATCAACCAAGTCCTGGTTGGCACGCGCGAGTTTGATGATCGCGCAAAGTGCGGGAGCTCGACGGCAGAGTCGCGAAGTTACGAGGATGGGTTGCCAGTAAGCCGCGGACGGGGGGGTCGCGGTGGCTGGGGAAGCCTCGACTTGGTCGACGGTTGCCGTGCGCGTAAATGCTTGATAAGAAAGAAGTGGTGAAAGAAAAACGTGATCGCAGCGATTCCGGCAGAAGAGATTTTCCGCGTCGAGATGCTTTTGAGGGCCAATGGGCGACGGAATGAGAGGAAGGAAACCGTTGCCACGATGTTGACAAACCCAACGATCAAATTTCCGCGCGTCTGCCACAGAAGCTCATGGAGGGAAAAATGTATGGCCCCAGCCACCCGCCACGTGACATCAGCTGAGCTTGAAGAGGAGGTTGGGGTTACTTTATGCTATACTATGGTATAATGGGTAAGTTTGCCCAGTGGGTCAGGTATCCCTGGTCGATTTAGTGCGCTTTCGATACCTGACAGGGGGGGGAAACTTTCGCTCGCAACCGCAGTATTATTGCCAAGTAGTGGCTTTGGGGTCCGTGCATAACGTGGATGCCCAGGGTGGCGACCTGGGGCATCCCTGTCATTCCAAGCTTCGGTAATCCGGGAAAGGAAAGACGGCATGGCGCGGTTCCCCACGGGAGCTATCTGCTAGAGCTGGTCCGTATTCCTCAAGAACGCCCAGGAGAAAAGTTTCAATTAGGTAGGTATATTCCGTACAAACAAAGGTTGATAATAGAGTCATATGAAATGCAAACCGTGTTCTCCCCGAAGCTCCAAGCCTCCAAACGCCGTCGCTATGTTTGCTGTTCAGTCAATGTCCGTCCGACTCAACGTTGATTCGACGACTGATCCTCTCCCCGTAAGCCATCAACCTCATCCCCATTGTGAGCGGCGAGGATTCCTCGACTCTCCGAGTCGCTGTCGGGCCCGCTCGATGCTGCGCCACCCTGTGTGAGCTTGAATCCCTCGATCATCTCCGCCAGCTTTTCGCCTTCTATCTTGCCTCGATCTACATTCACGAGGTATATCAAGGGGGCGGGCAATCCCACAAGCACCGCCAAGAACCAGAATGCAGGGCGGATCTCCCCTGACGCATCAACAATGGCGCCAACGATGGCAGGGCCAAACACGCTTGAACCCTTATCCGTGATCGCATAGAGTGCGTAGAAAGCCGCTTCGGATCCCGGGGGAATAAGCTCCCCGTACAGCGACCGGCAGTAACCGCTCAATCCGCCAAGCACAAATCCGTAGATGGCAGCAAGCGGGTACATTTCCCATGGCTGCTGGAGACCAAATACACCCTTGTCCTTGATAAACGGGATGTAGCCCATCAGCCCGTAGATCGGTATGAGTTCGAAAAGCCCAATGCAGGCAAGGATGGTTTGATGGGGCCGCAAGCCCAGTTTCCGGGAAATGAAGGACCAGGAAAAGGCGCCAATAACACCAGCGGACGTGGATATAACATTGATCATGCCGAGTGCCCACGGCTTCATGTGCAGCTGGGTTTTCGCAAACAAGATAGCCGTCGACGAGGTCGTCGCAATCGCATCTGACAGGAGAAACCAGGCGCCGAGGAAGAGAATGATGTCGACCAGACGGCGGGCCAGCCGGATGGTGCGGAACAGTGACTTCCAGGCGAAAATCGTGTATGAAATCCAAGCTCGAGCGCCCGTGTGTTTAGACGACGATGGCAGAGGTGGCCCCGGCCTTGGTCGGAGCCACATGGCGGCAGGAACCGTGAAGACAGCCCACCAAACTCCGACGATGAAAAGAACCACCCGCTGAGACCAAGTTGAGTTCTCCATGCCGACCAGGATGAGAATGGCAACGCATTGAAGGAAGAGTCCGGCCAAGTAGCCTATGCCAATGCCTTTCGCCGATATCTGAGTTGAGAGGGTCAATTCAAGAGATGTCAGCTCCTCGTGCGTTCGGACGCGCGTAATCCCATATCCATCCGGCGCAGCGTCCGCAGATAGCAATGCCGTAGTCGAGTCGTGCATGTCTTCGATGTCGCTGGCTGCGGCGGAAGCGTCCGAGTCGAGGGGCAACGGGACTGCTGCGTTCGCTACTACGGGGTGGTGCCTCACGAGAAGGGGAAGAAAGGAGTTCAACAGGACGAAAGAAGCTCCAAACGAAACGTTGGAGACGACAGCCAGAAAGGCACCGAAGATGTAGACGTTGGTGGAGACAAAGATGTACATCATGACGGCAGAGCTACCAATCCAGGCGAACGCCAACAAGAGTTTCTTCCTGAAATTGCCGTGGTCGGCGGCACAGCTTATACTGACAACCAAGAGGGCTTGGAGTAAAACACTTATGCTGAACGTGTACATGGCAAAGCTTGCCGTGTTGATCTCCATGCCCAGTATGTAGACGACGCACTGGCCGGTGCCCTTGACCGAACTGGAGCCGCACGGCGAGGTCTTGTCGGACAGGAGAACGCCATTCTCCCTCGCGAGGGTCTCTAGAAGAATCGGGATGAACGAGCCTGAAGAACTGTGAGCGGATTATCTTGCCAGGGGTCCTCGTGCGGGCGACTCGGAGGGATCGTTTCAACTACGTACCGATTCCTGGATCAGGTTAGCTGAGGCACACGCAACGGAAACTAGCATGAGCTCTCTCTCTCTCTCTGTATTTCAATCTCAAACCACTCTCTCGCCGATCGTTTGTTTACTGACCACAGATGACATAGACCTCAGCGGCGAACGCATAGGCGTACCAGCCTGCAAGCTCCTTTGCGCTGGTGGGCCGGGTATCCTCGGCGGCGTATCTGGATTGAGGGTGACGTGCAACGCCGTCGCCCTCGGGGTTGTCAGTGCTGGGACTCATGGTTCCGGAATCTTGGATGCCGGTTGTGGTGCTGGACAGCTCGTCATCGGCCTCGAAGGACGATGAATGGGAGAGGAAGGAGCGCTTGGACGCGTGGGAGAGCCTGGAGAATAAGCGTGGCGCCAGTGGCGGGCGGAAGGACTCATTTCGCTGCGTCATGGTTGGTTGGTTGGCCCTCGAACAGGGGTCTTTCCAGTTAACGACAGGTGACAGGCAAGCCCAAGCCCAGTCAGTCAGTCAGTCAAGTCATGCGAGATTCGGATTTCCTTTGGGCGAACACTTTGTACGCAAAAAAACAAGATTAAGGATGCAAGGCACTCCGCGGTATATATTAAGTGGTGTACCCGTGTGTGTACTGGCACTAGGTACGAGGCATCTACATATGGAGACCGTGTCGTATCTACAAACAGTAAATTGACATGGCAATCCCATCAACAACCGCCAGAGCAGCAAGCTATTTGTAAGTACCTGCCCAGCGTGACCGTAGGCTCGGTTTTAGTACATCTTATTGGGGCCTAGTAACAGGACCTGCATCGCCTAGCCCTGTTCAATGCGAGCTGATGCGAGTGCCAATCCTGGTGTTCAATTGCCCGCCTCGATGCCTGTCTCAGATTATTCACGGCTCCTCACAGCCACTCTTCTCAGGCTCTCGGCTTAGGGTGGGGGTGATGTCATCTCTAATCTGGATTCCTGGAACACTTCAGATATGATCTCCGCTTATAGACCGGCCTACATTCTACAATGGAACCTAGGTACACAGGCTGCCTAGGACTCTGTCAGAAATTCCAAGCACCACCACAGAGTTATACGTTAGAACGTCGTTCCCTTGTATCAAACATGAGGAACAACTCTCTTGGGCACTCTTCCTTCGATCTTGGAGTGGCTCTGCTTCCAACCGTCTCTTGCGAGGTTGTTGCTGCCTGGTGCCTCTTCGTCGTTGTCTGCTGTGTACTTTTGCCCAAGATTGTGGAAAGCTACACTCAAGTCTGCCGAGAAGGCTCATGGCCTGAACAGCATACCGACATACGCTTTGCTCCTTGTAGGAGATATAACCTCAGGCCTTGTTAATGGCTTCGATTGTAAAATCTCATCTATTTACTAAGAAACAGACGGTACACTATGCTGTGTATTGAACAATCACAGGGTATCTAAAAGAGGCCAAAACTTGAGCACCGGCACAAAACAGACCCCGGGCCCCTGAAAACGCAGCACCGATCTGACGGCATCATCAAAAACAGCACAACCGCCACAGCAACGGGCGAATCCAAGGTGGCAGCCCGCCCCTCTCCCTCCTGAACCCCCTTCACAAACACCCCCCGGGGACCCACCCCTACTTCTTAAACACATGAACAATCTTCTCCTTCAGCTTATCAGCCAGCCCGACAGGCGTATCCCCCACCTCCGCGACCTTCTCCCCCCCATGCCCGTTGACGTCGGCAGCGGCAGCGGCAGCGACAGCGGCGACGCGCTCGTTCCCCGCGCCCCCGCGACCGACGTGGTAATCCGAGTTATCCTGGCTCGGGCGCGTAGCCGAGTCGGGCACCAGGTCCCCGTCCCTGCGCACCGTCGACTTTCTTCCCTGGTCGCCGATGTTGGCCGCTCCTGTTTTTTTGGGGGGCACGCGAGGCGCTCGTTAGCAAAGGGGGGAACTAGGTAGGTAGGTAGGTAGATAGGTACTCCTCAAGGGTACCTAGGTATGTATGTGCGATGTCATAGTACGGGGGTGGGCGTGCAGTCAAACATACCTCCGCGCCCGGTGCTATACGCGCCGTCGCCGTGGCTGCCCTCGACGCCGGCACGGACTACCTCGCCGTCGACGTACTGCGTCGTGTCGGGGTTGATGTTGCCGGCGCCGCCGCGGCCGTGCGAGACTTCGGGTGTGGCTACAGCCATTGTGACTCACGCGAAAAAAAAAAGGCAAGGAGGAGAAGATGGGCCTTTCTTGTTTGGAGGCGCGGAGTGGTATGCTCTTTTTTTCCCGGCTGGTGCTTACAAGGCTGATCAGGACGGGGAACGCCGACCAACAAACGGCTCATGGGCCTGGTGCCTGGCTGAAAACGAGGGACGAGCAGTTATATACCAGAGCCCAGCCCTGATATGGGGTCCAACGCCAAACCAGGGCAAGCGAGGTAGGTCCCGAGCTTCACGCGAGAGCCGAACATCGGGCGGGATATTATTAGACTGCGGGAGGGGTATGAGGCGAAGATAGGGGAAATGGGCGAATCACTGTCATTACAGGAGCTTATTCGCCCAGCCCAGGTCCTACTTCCCAGTTACTGCTGGCTGCGGGTATACTAACAGTTGAGTCAGGTCATGTCAGGGCGGAGGAGGTCTTGGACGTTGGGGGGCGTCCAAACCAAGTGAGATAAGAAACAAGAAGTAAATGCGCTTAAGTAATGAGTAGTCCTCCTATTCGGTGCTCTATCTCTCAAGTGCCCTGGTAGCACGCCATCTCTGTTCCTATCTCTCTTTCTTCTCACATCCCGAGCCTCCATCAGCACTCAGTAGTGTGACGTAATTGCATAGCTCAACCTCTCCTGTTGCTGAAGATAAGATAAGAGCACCCCATTGGCTCAAGCTTCCATGCTTGGCAGGGAGCGACTCATGCATAAACATTTCCAACATAATCATCTTTCGGGAGAGGCCCCTCTTTCCAAGAGTAGTAGAGCAGACCTAGCGTAGACCAACAAATGAGTTGCCAAAAATGTAGGTATCAATGGCTTTTGTCTGCAGACCCAAGAATACGGAAGTGACAGACCAACCCAACCCCCAGGCTCCCAGCGTAACCTACCCGGCCAGGGAAGATTCGGACTCCATTCCAGAAAACAAGATAAACAAACAAGGGCATATGCCGCATGCAATGGCACCAACACAAGTCCCCCATCCTAATAACCCCTAACCCCATCCCAACGCCGGAGTAGTGGCATCCCCAAGAAACAGAAACTCGAAGTAAGACTCCCCCTCCTTCCCCTGGGCCCCTATACATAAATCCGCGCCACCCACCCACCCCCTGAGCCGCCGGGCCGTTAGATGTTACTTCTGGAAACAATCAAAAGTCTGGCCAACATATTCATCAAACAATACCTATATATCCGGTAGGAGTATGTCTTCAGCCCTAGCGTCGATCGCTATGCCGCTCGTATATAGTATGTATATATTTGTGTGTGTATATACACGCACGTCGTCAAGGTCATTCGTGCTCGGTGTCGCTTCCGTCCTCGATCGATCCGCCCTCGATCGACAGCAGGTTGCCTCCGAAGCGGGCTTTGTACTGTTCGAGTTCCGCCAGCTGGGCTGCGAGGCTGTCCAGCACCTGTGACATGGGAGCGCGGAGGTCGTTCAGCTGGCTGATGGTTCCACCGCCCATGGCCATGTGGCGCATAGCAAGGGTAGAGACACAGGTCTGGTCAAGAAACCGTCAGCATACTTCTCGCACACATACATATATATTCCTAGGATGGACGTATGTCCCAGTGTGAATGTTTACCTCAATCCTGCTGACCTGGTGCTCCATGAAGTTCACCAAGAAGCGCTCCGTTACTTCCCCGCCTCTCTGTTTCATGCGCTCAAGGAGCTCCGTCTCAGGGGGTTGCAGGCCCCTTCCAGAGACCTCCTCCAGCGAGCTGCACAGCATTTCCAGCCGCAGACTGACTTGCCAAAGGGCCCATATAGCCTCCGGATCGAAGGGAAGCTCGCTACCGGGGCTCAACACCGCCGGCCCGCCCCCGGCGTCGATGCTGTTGGTCTGTGTCCTCTCGTGTGCCTGGTGATGCTCTATCCTCCCGGCAAGAGCATGCGGATAGAGTGAGTAGACGACCTCGGGGTTCTCGAGACCCTTGAGCTTCTTCTCACCCATCTCCTTGACCTCGAAACCTTGGCTGCTGAGGGACCGCAGCTCGTTGGGGATTGTCTTTGCAAAGGCGTCGTCCTCTGGGACATCCACGCTGGAGGTCCCGGATTCCTGGTACGTCTCCAGGCAGCGCTGGATCTCGGAGATGAAGTCCGACGAGACGGTGATCTGCCCGCCATCGGCGCAGGCCGAGATTCGACTGGCCTTGTTCACCATGGGGCCATAGTAATCCATACGGCGCGTCACCGGATCGGGTTCGGCCAGGGGCTCACCCCAATGAATTCCCATGCGCACTGACAGGCCCTTGAAGACGAGGTTGTTGTCCTTGTCGAATAGCGGTTGACAGGCGATCGAGTTGAGCATCTCCGACGGCCAGTTCACTTCTAGCAGCTGCATCTGGACGGCGAAGCACCACAGGAGCGCCGATGTCGCAGTGGGGAACGAGACCATGAACGCATCGCCTTCCGTCTTGACCTCAAACCCGCCGATTCGTCTAAGCTGGCGACGCATGACTTCGTTGTGCAACCTGATGGCCGATCTCATGGCGGCCGGGTACGTCTCCCAAAGCGTCGTCGAGCTCTTGATGTCGGTGAAGACGATCGAGATCAGACCAGTAGGGGCTGGCACTTCGGCTTCGAGTCGCTGCAGAGTCGAGTCCAAGGGACCTTCGGCCTTCGCCCTCCTCCCCCGCCTTGCCGGGGCCCACTGGGCGTCCTCCTGGGCAACCGGATACCAGGACAAGCTCTGTCCCCGGTGGAGTCGCGATCGCTCGGTCCTCCTCTTGAGATCCGCGACACCTATCATCATGACCATGATCTTGCTTGTGGCACCGTACGCCATGGCCAGATCTCGAAGCTTCTGTGACGCCCGCATGAGGTCTCCACGTTCGGACCGCGCAACATCGACCACGAGCCCGGGGGAAAGGTACTCCCATAGTTCCCTCGTCGCGATGAGAATGGTCTCGTCTTGCTCTCGGACAGTTATGTGGCTGACGTACGGCGCGGCGTGCACGACGGGCATTAGATCGACATATCCGAATGCTCGCGATACTTCGAGCACGTCGTTCAATCTGCCGTTCCGCGAGACCCATCCCCCCGCGTCTCGAATGCGTGACCGCTCCCCCGGTTCTGCCGGATCATGCTTCCGAGTCAGTATCTTGTAAGTGCCATCGGACTGGATCAGCATGGCCTGCACGTCCCCGACATTGGCGACATAGAGATCCATCCCCTGAAGGTAGGCAACCGTAACCACACTCCCGGAGTTGACATCCTCCTTGCTGAGCACAACTTGCGAGGCCGTGGAGCTCCGATGCGTTACCAAGGACCGGTCTTCCGTGTGTTGGACAGCAATAGTGCCGAGGTCTTTGTTCAGCGAGAGGAAGGCTCGCCTCAGAGCATCCTCGGGGGTCTCATTGAGCTTCGGTTTTAGTGCCTTCAGTTCTGTGGCGAAGACCTGGCCGAAATTCTCGTGGAGATACTTGGCGATCCTGGAACCACCACTACTCAGTGCCTGGCCATCGAAGAGCCCCAGCAGAGTATCCGTGTCCGACGACGTGAAGCGTGGCACAACAAGGTCTATCGTCGACAGGTGCTCGTTCTTGCCCAGGGTGTCAGCCATACCGTAGGGCAAGTAGCCTGCCAACGACCCGGACGTTCTGACTCGGCGATCCTCGCTCTGGTCCGGGATGCTGGGTTGTATCAGTGTCACGTCCATGAGGCCGAGGACCCGCAGATTCAGGAGTCGATTGAAGTCTGTGTAGTTCTCACGGTTGGCTGCGCTGGCACCGAGGAAGGACTGCTTGATCTCCAGCCGCCTATTCCCGGACAGGTTGAGATATCTCAGGTCGGGATTGAGATTCCAGTTCCAATCATACGGAACATTAGAAATGTTGTACTTGAGGTAATTGCTGCCACAGTCGAGTACTGCGAGCTTCTTGGCCCTCGAGATGTCTGCCGGAAGGTTGGTGAACTTGTTACCGTTTATGTGCAAGACCTGCAACAAGCTGTATTCCTCCAGGTCGTCCGCGGGGAGGCTGGCCAGCTCATTCCCGGACAGATAGAGCTCCACGAGTTGAGGCCAGCTCTTTATGGACCGCTGGGGCATGTCTGAGAGATCATTATAGGAGAGGTTGAGGACGCGAAGCTCGGATAGGAGGGTAATCTGGTCGAAGACGTCGTCGTCCAGTTGGTTATCCGCCAGGTAGATATTCCTCAACGAGCCGGCAAATGTGTTCGTTAGCCTCTGAGACAAGCCCGAGTCTTTCCTAGAGGCCATTGTTGGCGTCTGGCTCCCACTGCTGCCCTGGGCTGCGCTGCTCCGTGAGAGAACAGACGTCTTCCGCCCACCCTTCCCGTACACGGATACCACCGAGTTCTTTCGGTCCGGCCCCGATGGTATTGGCGACGGGCCAACACTTAAGAGCGTGCTCGACGGCTGGCTAGGCCGCCTCCTCGCGTCTCCACCCAGATCTTCAAGGCTGGGTTTCTGAGATAGCGATCCTGGAAGCGGAGTCTTGCTACTGAGCGAGCTGGCATTATTTCCGCCGTCCCCTGGAGGCTGGGGCGCGCGGGAGGCCGGTTTCGGGAAATGGTCCAAGACATTCGAGGATGCATTGAGGGTCTCGAGCTTCTTAGCCCACCAGATCTCCATAGGGAGCTTCCTGATGTTGTTTCCGCGCACATCGAGCACCCTCAGCTCTGTAAGGCAGCCGATCTCGGGGGGGAGCTCGCCGACGGAGTTGTTGGCGATGCTAAAGTGCTCCAGCCTCCTTAGATTACCGATCTGATTTGGCAAGGACACAAAGTAATTCTTGTCCAGGACGAGCCTTTCCAGGCTCAAGATGTTGTTGAAAGACTCGTCGATGCTTGCCAGCTGAGCGTTCGAGAGGTTGAGTAGCTTCAGCGTCGGAAGCGGCGAGACAATCTCGAACTTGGTGATTGGGTTGGCGTTCAACTTCAAGCTTCGTATCCTCTCGAAGCTGCCGACGAACTGGGAGATGGCATTATGGTCGGCTGCGAGAATCTCCAGCTTAGGAAGCTCAGAGATGACGTCGATGGACGTGATGGCGTTGTACTTGATATCTAGCTCGCGAAGGGTTTGGAGCCGATTGAAGGATGCCGGGAGAGCGCCGGAGAGTCGGTTGTTGGTAATGACAAACTTCTCCAAGTTCCTGAGATGTCCCATCTCTTCAGGGAGGGTGCCTATCAGATTAAAGCTCAAGTCGAGATCGACAAGGCTCTCCAGTTCGCAGAGAAACCCAGGGAACTTCTCGAGGAAATTAGACGAGATGTTGAGGGTCCTCAGGGACTTGTAAGTGCTGAAATAGGGAGGCAGATGCTTGAGGCGGTTGTTCGCGAGGTTGAGCTTCAGGAGGCCCGTCAGCTCATTCAATTCGGCATGCTCCAGCTGCTCCAGACGGTTGTTCGAGACATCAAGGTAGGTGAGCTTGCTGGCCCGGCCGAGACTCAATGGCAGCTTTCTGGCTTCGTTGTTGTTGTATTTTATGTCGCGGAGGTTCTGGCATGACTGAATAAAGTCTCGAGGCAGGTCTAGTGATAGATTCCTTGACAGGTTTAGCGAGCTGATCTCGGGTGCTTTCAAGTATAGGGAGATGGGGATCGTGACGAGGTTGCGCCCAGCCAGGTCCACGTGGTTGAACTTCTGCATCCGGCCGAGTCCGACGTCGTGAGTAACGCCATGGAAGTTGCTCTCTCGGGCCGACAAGAAGAGAAAACGGCAGAGATAGCTGTTGTCTTCTCGGCCAACGTCCTCTATCCTGTCCCGCTCTTCGTACCCAACTTGTTGCAACAGTCTCTTCTGAATTAGGAGCGGCCGCTCTATGCCATTGAGGACTCGGATGAGATCGTGCTTCTTGAGGATTATATGGTAGTCGTCCAGCCCGTCGGTGACATACGACTTCTTCATGATCTGCGAGACAACCTCATGGACAGTAGAGTCCAGGGCCATCTGCAGGGTAGCGAAGGTTCCGTCGGATCTGAATACCCGGATGCAGTAGGGCGTGAGCTTCTCCTCCGGTCTAGGCGGGCTGCCCACATCCTCAATGTCGGGCGTATGGGTCGACGCATCGTCTTCAGTCCGTTTGACTGCCCAACTGTCGGGCGCATTCCATGCACCATTCGGGCCGGCAACCCTCAGAGGGGGCTGGTCGGCGTCAGCGTTTCTCAAGAATTCCGGGTTCATGGGAGTCAATGGCAGTGGTCTGCTCAGGATGCCTTCCATGTCGTTCAGATTCGTGTCAAGAGCGTAGAAGGTGCCGGTGCCTTCCTGCCTGTCTGTCGGGCCGATCTGTTCGTCAGGGTCATCATGGTGCCGATGCGATCGCCCCTTCTTCGAGAACGGAAACTTGTTGTTAAAGGTTTGTTGACGCGAATATCCATGCCGCGAGGGTGGGGTGTCTCGATACTCCATGGGGCTGGGCCATTCCGATGTGTACGGTAGAGGCGGTTCGGGCCCTTGCCTCCCAAGATCCGATCGAGACGGACGCGAAGGTAAAGAATGGGTGGAAGGGGGAAGAGACTTGAGCGACTGGCTAGGCGCTTCGTCCTTGTCCTTGTGAGTTCTCCGCAGCCGGTTGAGAAGACCCTTCTTGGGGTGACCCTGATGAGCCTGATGACCGGGCGAGGTTGGGCCATCACGGGTTGAACCCTTGGAGCCGATCGGCGGCGCTGGGCTTTGGGCTCGAGATTTCGAACCATACGAGGTCGCCGCAGAACCGCTCCGGTCCTTGAAGTTGGGCGTACTAGCCATTGAATCTTCTCTGCTGATTGACGGCCGAAGGGCCCTCGGGTCGTCGTTGCTCTTATTGTGTCTGTGGGTATGGCCAGGCATGTGTACCATGGAGTGGCCTGAGCGCGAAGACGACGATGTTTTCGGCGGATCCCTTCCTGAAGCCTCGCTCATGTATCGCTCTCGATCCGGCCCGGTGAGGATGTCTCGGACTGGGGCCTCACCATACCGCGCAATGTCCTGTGAACGAGCTGTCAGAACGAGCCAGGGTGACGGGGAGAAGAGAAGCCTGCCAAAAGCCAGGGAAGACACTGCTGGTGATAAGGGATATGCGAAGCGCAAAGCTTCATCTTGATGGCAGGCTAGACGAGCACAAGACATACCTCTGCTTCCTGGTACAGGAAAGGCACGACTTCTGGGGCCGGCACCGGGGTTCGTGGCCGCGACGAGGTCGGTGAGGCGTCCTTGGTGTGATCTGTGGCGTTGGAGTGGTTTCGATCCCTATATGAGCGGCCATGGCTGTACGAGTGGGAGCGGTGCTCCTTCGCCGGGACGGCGGGCGGAAGGCTGGTGTCGGACGAGTCTCGGCCAGGAAACTCCTCCCCAAAGAAGCCTTGGAGCTTCTTCAATCCACCTCTGTTCCCGCTCGCCTTCGAACCTTGACTGCTGGCGTTAGTGACGATGCTTGCGGAGGACGGCCGCCTCTCATCGTTGAAATATGCGAGATCGGGGGAGTCGGTGCTGCCGGTCGGGGTCTGAGTTAGGCGGGAGTGAGTGGGACGAAGGCCCGGCGACAGCTGGGATGAGACGGAAAGGTTGTCGGTCGAATCATTGTAGAAGCTCGTGGGAGCGGGACTGGTGGTTGAGCCGGTGCCGGTGCCGTTGCCGGTCAGCCAAGGCGCGACCTGGCCCAGAGTGCCCGACATGAAATTGTTGCTGCTGTGCTGAAGCTGGGGAAGCTGGGGGACACGTCCGCCGGAAGGGTCGAGCACGGCCAAGTCACGACGATAATTGGTAAGGTCGCTCATCCGATGGTCTCGCAAAGTAGAGACATGGGGAGCGGACCTTGTTGGCGACAGGGCGGCACTAGTGGCAGGCGGCGACGACGGAGGCGAGAGCTGGGGTTCTGGTTCTCTTAAGGAGCTGCAAATGGACACGCCGAGGCGCGGGGCTGGTTAGCCTGGTTCATGGAGGAACAAGGAAGGAGGAACGGATGGCGCGATGATTGGGGCCGAGGAAGGGACTCACCGGTGCACATTCCCGTCTCCGTCAGTCCTCAGTCGCGTAGGAAGTCCTCGTCGAGAGCCGGTGGAGGTGGAGTGGCGGCGCAGAGCAGCATAGCCGTTGATGTCGTTCAAAGCGCTGTTGCCGTTGCTGTTGCCGTTGTTGCTAGTAGGGGAGATAGGAGTCGCCGGCAACGGCTTCGCTGTGCCAGTTGAACGCGAACTGGGGTCGGTGCTGGAGCTCTTAGCAGAGCTGAAGCGGGAGGTGGCTTCATTCCTGGCCATGGTTACCAGGGCCTTCAACTAGCGGGCAGAGCCATTTCAAGCGCCGAAGCATGGATATTAGGTCATTGCTTGTGAGGTGAGAAATTAGAAAGGTGTAAGGCCGGGACTAGAGCTGTAAGCGGGAGGCGGTGGTTGGAGATGGCTTGTGGACAGCGGATGATGGCGGATGACGGGCAGTGGCACCTTGCCCGATATGAATGGGGGAGACGAAGGATGGTGGACAGTGTGAGACTGTGAGTACCACCAAGCGAGGCTGGCAGGTATAAGTGTAGGTACCTCTTATTTGGGTAGAAGTTCGAGTAAGTCGTAGTTTGGCGTTTGATACAATCATGAGTTAACCAAAGCTCCTGTGGTGATTCGAGGTTACAATTCCCCAGTAAAGCCCTAAGAACAACATGGATGATGGCTTCAAGTCTAGCTACGTAGTCGCTGTAGTGTTGGGAATTGCCTGCCCGTGCCCATCAATCTCACAATTCCCAGGGGTCATGAAGTTTGAGCTAGGTAGCCTGTGAGTTATTCGTACTGTATGCGTATGTAGGTAGTAGGTACGTGCACGGAGCGTATGTCGGTTGGGGTGCAGCCAGCGATCAACGAATTGAGGAGAAGGAAAGCACTGCATATTATGTGCAAATTCTCGACTTCTCCAAACTACCTGCGCTACTGCATCCATACTGCGTACACAAAATGCCCAATCCTTCCTTGTGCCCCTGCTCCATCATCCCATCTCTTCCCGGCGTCGGTGAACCGAAGCGGCATTTCGAACAATTGGCCCCCAAAACTGTTAAACGGCCCGACATCTGCTCAATTATTCGTAAGCATAAGTCGATGAGAAAGAGGTTCCCACCCGTTGACGAGTGGCATATTTACCCTGAGGTCTGCGAGTAGTTCAATTGGTGTGTGACTCTGCCATCAAGCAGCCCCTTCCAAAAGAGTGCAAAAACGTACAGAAATGGAAATGGAGAAAGGGTCTGGGGCCTGGACCGTGCTCCAGGGCCCCTTGCCAGCAGCAAACCTAACCATGGCAGGCAGTGATCCTCCATCCTCATCGTCTGCATTCTGCAGGCAAGGCTTAGCCAGGGTTTACCTGGGCCGGCAATTGGCGACTCTCGGCGGGATATGACCTCCATGCTTCCAATTGCGAGGAGCTATGTCCAACGATCTTCGCACCCTGCTGTGTGAGAAGCAAGAGCAGGTGCAAAATGCAACGAAGCGTCCCGGAAGTAGGGGCGGAAGCTTTGACACCTCCCATTACTGAAACAAGTCTCACTCATGCTGCCTGCTTCCATGCTCGTGCATTTGAAGTATCATTGGACTCGAATTTGTGCGACAAGCGCCTTCCCATTGGTTTCGCTTTTAACCCACAGAGCAAATCCACCGCTGGCTACCTACCTGCTGAAGCGAAAGGCCTGCAAAATAAATCCCAGTAGCTCGGGTATAATGCAGAGCGTCAGGTCATCTAGGAAAACAATATCAGCAAATGGGGGCAGGGCCCCTTGACGATCCTGGTGCAAACATGACATGTGCATTGTAAGTTGTTTGTCGCTCAGGTCCTTCCGGGCTCGGCCTATTACAACCCGAGGTGGCCGAGAGCGAGTGCTCTCCAACCGGACCTTGTCTCCCAAGAATCCAACACCCATCGATCACTCGAGCTCTACCAGCTCGTCGCCAGAGACATCCGAGAGCGATGACAGCGAGCCTGTATCGTCCTCATCCTCATCCTCATCCTCGGGCACCACATCACCAACTTCCTCGTTGAGAAGCTCGCCAATCCAGATGCTCTCCTGCAATATCGACCTTGCCTTGACTTCCGACACGCCCATGTCCTCCATGATCAGCCGCACCGCTAACTCGGGAACCAGCACCGCCTGGACATAGGCCGTGTAGCCTCTTGCCGATATCAGCCTATCCTGCACCGCCCGTTTTCGTAGAAGTGACGAGAAGTGGTTGATGATGGTCTCTGTCATCAGCCTCAAGCCCCGGATGCCGTAATAACCAGGCGTGAGACTCTGCTTGGTCTTCAGCACTGTCTTGCTCTTCCCTGCTTTCACTCTCCTGGTAAACTTATCACCGTAGTGTGAAGCCCTGCCCTCCAAGATGCCTTCGAGAATGCCGTGGCGTTTCGATATCCGAGACTCGAGTTGGCGCCAGTCGATATCGGGATAGCCCTTATCGACCCACGTATTCCTTGCCGATTTCAAGTTGTGGTGCTGGCAAAATTTCTGTTGCTGAGCAATAGTCATGCGATTACCCTTGGTGAAGCTGTCCAGGAGGTCCCGGTCGACTTGTTCATTGCACATCGGGCAGACTGCGCCCGCTGTCGCCGCCATCTCATCACCTCCCTCCGGCGATGAGGGATCCTCCACCTCCCTTCTAAGCTTCTTGGGCGTATTTTGAACGGGACCAAGGTCGAAGTCGGTGCTAAGATCTACTGCCCCAAAGCTCGGCATTTTGAACTCTGCCATCGGGGAGTCGTCTTCTGGTGGTATGTCCACTTTCTTGGGCTTCTCTGAGCTGGTGTGGATGCGGTTTGGTCGTTCTCTTGATGGTTTAGAGGGTTGCCTAACCGGGGAACTTAAATCCAAAGGATCCTCTTCAACCCGTGGGGGGATCTTCATGGATTCAAGGCGAGTAGGAGAAGATGCCACTGGAAGAACCGTCGGGTTTTGATTGAAAGCCCCTTGGGGCCTCTCAGGCGAGGAGAAGGAAGATTTCTCCACAGGTTTGAATGCATTCTTCGCAGGTATAGATTTTGCAGGGTTTCCATACCTCCTGTGACTGCGTTTTTCATGCTCTCTAAAGGCATCCGTCTTCGCCTGGAACCGGGCCTGGGACTCTTCATTGCTGTATGACCCTCCTTTCTGCTTTTTGGAAGGTTTGGAAGGCTGCGGGTCTGGAAGAGAATCGACATGACTGTCTAGGTCAAGTGACCTTTTGGAGCCGGAAGGGCCAGGCGAAACCGCAGATATGTCCAGGGTGGAATTCCTTGTGTGCCTCGTGTGCCTCGTGTGCCTCGTGTGCCTCGTGTGTTTCCTATCCCTAGTCTCGAGGGAGCTCCCGGTTGTTTCAAGGCTTTTGGATTGTGCAGGGTCAACTGTCGGTTCCCTCCCAAAATTGGTGCTTATTATATCTCCTCGTCGTGAAAGCCCGCCGCCGTCGCCGTCATCGTCGCCGTCATCGTCGCTTATCGGCTCGGCATCCACAGGTATCGGTTTGCGAACTTCCTTTCGAGATGGCTGGTTACAAACCGGTTTTGGCGACGGCTTTCCCCTAACCACACTCAATAGCGGCGGTACATGTCGTTGTTTGTTACTTAAACCAACATGCCTCGAAGACATTATGAATGCCTCCCTCTCTTGCCTGCTGAGGGGCTAGGCAAGGGCAAGAGGCAGTTGTGGACAGCCACCGACAATTTGTGTTATTCCATCCGGTTTCCCTAAAGACAGAACCAAGAACCCCAAGTCTTCACCCTTCACCAAGTTGCGCCCCAGTCCCCTTGTTTTCAAGGCTCTCGCTGCGGGGGGCGAAGGCTAGTGTGATCTTGAGACGAGAGGAGATGACGGTGCTGTATGGTTTCCTGACTCGAATGATAGAAGGGTGTTGTACAACAGAAGAAAAATAAAATAAAAGACAATGAAAGCGATAGGTGTTCACTCAAGTGGCGTAGGTAGGAATCGGTTCGCAGGCGAGAATTTCGAGTCCCTCAAAGTGGTAGTCTGTCGTCTAATTTTCGACTGGGACTACCCGTCTGGGCCTCTGGGGAAGGAATTGGGGGAACGCGTCAACGCGTGTAGGAGTCGCTCCACTAACCTAATTACCTAAATAATCACTACCAACCCCTTTCTATGTCTGAGGTGCTCCCATATTCGTTTAATGTGCGTTGTTATTCCTCTAAATCAACTTGGTATGCCTCCTTATTGGTACTCACTAATTAGACCTTGTCCTTGGCTACTACCTAAGGTAATAGCGGGCTATATTGCGTGTGGCGTTTATTGGGTCATCTTTCAGCAGCCCTGATTATGCATGGCGACTATCGGTCTTACCTAGGTACGGATACTTCAGGTCACACACCTCTGGGCTCGAACGAGACGGAGATTACCCATTTCGGTACCTAGCTAGGATCAGGTACCCAGTGAAGTACCTAGGTCGGTTTATTAGCGGCAGTTGAGCCTCATCAGCCCCCTGTTTCCAGCTAAAGCCACATCCAAGTTCCAACATCCAATAGCTTCCATGTGACATGTTGATTCTCAACGTTCACAAAGACTTAAACAGCTTTGTGCCTGTTTGGTGGACAATCTCCTCCCCCGACGGCGAGCCGGTCACCTACCAGAGCCTCCAATCCTCGCTACACTTACAATGGCACTAAATCGAAAGTATGCCGCCCTGCCTGACCTGGTATGTTGCTGCTCAATTCTAGGGAGAAGTACTGAAGAAGCGACGCCAACACATGTAAACATAGGACTCGGCACCAGATATCTACGAGACGCCAGAATTGACAGATGATAACTCGACCCTTCCTGTGAGTCTACCCGAATCTCAGCCATCGCCCGGCCTCGACTAACACCCCCTGTGTTGCAGGCAACCACAGTCCGATCCCCATCAGACAACGAATTCGACGACGAAGATGACGGGGCCGGGATCTCTCGCACACGGCTACGCATAGACCAAGCCCGGTCTCGATTCATGCCTTCAAATGTCGATGCCCGAGATGTAGACTTCTCCGATCGCGTCAACGGCAAGCGGAAATCTTACCGGGCGTCGAGTCGCCGGCAGCGTATCCTGGAGGACGGGACCGAGGAGTTCGGCGAGCTAACCGACGAGGAAGATGGAGAAAGCTTGGCACGGAAGCTCGCAAGGTTGAAGCGCGAGGTTGAAGAGGCGAAGGAGGAATACAGCAGGCAGCAAGCAACCAAGGCGGACGCCGCGGCGACGGCCGACAACCATGAAGGGGAAATTGCGTCGCTTAGTCAAGCTCTGGAGGAGATCTCACAGCTCTCAGCGAGTTCAGTCCCGGGAATTCGGTCTCGGTCTGCAGGAACCACTGGATACCCGACTGTCGGAACCGCGGGGCAATCTCAACACCCATCGGCCATCGGAGACATCGCTACTTACACCGTGACCTACGCGCCTACCTACGAGGAAACCCACGCGCTAGCAAAGGCAGCCGATTTCGACCGCCGTCTTTTCCTCCTCGAGAAGGCCCTTGGGATCGGATCCTCTGCTCTCCCGGGCCTGGACACCAACGGCCTACCGCGCGCCGTGCTGCCCACCTTAGACACTCTGCAGAAGCAGATCTCGACTCTGTCAGAGGCCTCGACATCGTCGCTGGACTCGATCAGCCGGCGAGTGCGCACCCTAGCGCAAGAGGCCGACGCCCTCGAGAAGTCGCGCCGCAACGCCCAGGCGGCCCAGGAGGCGCTCGCCTCGACCGCCGTCGCCGGCGAGGCCGATGGATCCGCCGCCGCCGCCGCCGCCCTCGCCGCCGCCCCGCCGGCGGACTCGGACCAGGCCGCCAAGATCAGCGCGCTGTACGGGACGCTGCCCACCATCGAGAGCCTCGCCCCGCTGCTGCCGCCGCTCCTCGACCGCCTGAGGTCCCTCCGCGCCATCCACGCCGACGCCGCGGCCGCGGCGGAGACACTGGGCCGCGTCGAGAGGACTCAGGCCGACATGGCCGGCGACATCAAGCAGTGGCGCGACGCCCTCGAGAGGGTCGAGGGGGCGGTGAAGGAGGGAGAAACAGCCATGACCGGGAACATGAGCGTCGTCGAGGGCTGGGTGAAGGAGCTGGAGGAGAGGATGGCCAAACTAGCTTAGATTTTTGCCGGATGTTGTCCCGTAGGGATATTGATTGATACCCGACTATGAATATGACTCGCTCTTATGATAAAAAAGGCAAGGGAGCAATGGCATGTATTGTGAAGTAACACACACACGCCAATCCCCTTCCGCTTCGCGATCATCTGCCGTAAGCCTGGCCTTATTTTGTACCTGGCCCTACCTAGATGTACCGGAACGCCTGGCCCCCATAAACTAGATTATCCGTACAGCCTTGCCAACCTTGCCCTTCCATGCTCTACAGCCCTAGGCTTTCTCCGGGGCTCACATAACCTGAACCCGTCCCCACCGTCAACGCACCGCCCAGAACCTATCGTCTCTGCGCCCCAAAAGTAGCCCTCAGCGCCAGGACTTGCGCCCTCTCCGCCTCGGGCAGGAGGTCGATCGTCTCCTGCGGCAGCGCCATGACGGCCTGCATGAGCGCCTCCGGGTCCTGACCGACCGCCGGGGCCGGCGCGGCTGCGAGAGCGGGCGGCGGCGGCGGCGCATACCCGCCTCCCACGGCGACGGGGGGGGTGTTGGTCGCGCCGGGGTAGCCGCCGTAGCCGGTGTTCGCGAGGGGCATGGGCGGGGGCGCGAGGCCGCCCGATTCGAGGACCGAGTTGATGGCCTCGGGCGAGACGAGGCCCATCAGGAGGAGGGCCTGGAAGACGGCGTAGGAGAGTTGGGGGGCCTGGTTGAGGAGCTCAGTCGCGCGGGTCGGGTCCGTGGTCGCGAGAGACTTCATCTGGGTGAGGATGTCGAGGAGTTGGGTCGGGGGGAGGGTGTTGAGGGTCCGGGATATGGCGTCCGCGCAGGTCACGCCGGGGGGGAGCTCTTTCCCGGGCGGGAGAGGGGGGAGGGATGTGGGCTGCCAGCTCGGAGCCGAGCTGTTGGCGTTGCCGTTCGCTGGTGGGTTATAGGAGGAGTTGGTGCCAGCCTGTGGGAGATGGTAAGCATTTTTTCAAAGTTGATCCTGACAACGTTGGCAAGCCGCGGTGGGTAGACTTACAGCACCGTCCTTATCTCGACCATCATCATCGCCAACTCCTTCATTAGAGAAATCCACGCGCAGCTTTCTCCCCATAATTTCGTAGTCGTTCAAGTTTCGGACGGCGGATGCCGCAGAATCTGTGGAACCAGAAGTCAGTTGTCTGATGGAGGAGTAGATGTAAGTGCGGTTGACATACCTGCGTCGGGGTATTCTGCGAAACCAAATCCCTTAGGCCGCCCTGTTTCTCGGTCGTATACCAGGCGGAAGTTCAGAACCTTGCCGGCTCCGCTGAAGATATCTGAGATCTGCTCTTCGGAGAGTCCTTAATCACATATAAGCGGTGGTTCGCGTGTAAGAAAGAAGCTGCCTTACCATATGGGATGTTGCCCACAAAGACAACTCTCGACGGCGGTCTTGTCGACATGTTGAATACGATATTGATGAGTCCCGTAGCTTGACGTTGATGCGATTCGAGGGGAGAGCTGGCTCGACGGTGGGGGGATGATTGGAAGCGCAAGGAGGTATGGAGACGAGAGAGAAGACGGAAGTTTCGTGTAGAGCGGTCACTTGAACTTGGAAGAGACGGGAGCTGGGGAACAATAGAACCCAGAGAGTCAAGAGATGGTATTCAACAATAGGCTACCTTGTCAAAGACAAGCTTCCGCCCCCGGCAGCTTCACTGTTGGTTCAGCCTTTGACTTTCCAAAGCGACTTTTGTACACTTGAATACAGGTTAGTATCAAGGTTGCGTAATGGTTTGAATGAAGACCGACGTAAATGTGCTTTTGAGGTCTTGATAACTTATTAGAGCCCACTTGAGTGCATCCATAATTGATCGTACCTGAAAACTGGCTCGTGGTTGGCCCGAGCTCCTGCCGGATCGCCTGCGACTCACGTGACCAAACAGGAAAACATGACCCCATCGAGCAACAGTTCTAGAGCTCAATCCAAAGCTCAGTCCGTTCGGTTCTCCAGCTTCCCGCTTCACCTCAACGTCAATCCCGAGTTCTAGTGGCCCAACCCTGCATTACCGCAAGGATGTCGAACCGCAATCCCATGCAGGACTACCTGAGCAAATTACAGCAGGCGGCCAAATCCGGCCGTCCAAGAGGCGGCTTCGGTGGAATGCCTCCTACTCCCAAGATTGGTGGTCTCGTCGGAGGTTTGGTGCTGCTCGGCGGCGGCGCCATGCTGGTGCAGAACGCCCTTTTCAACGTCGACGGTGGCCACAGAGCTATCAAGTATCGGAGAATAAGCGGTGTCAGCAAGGAGATCTATGGTGAAGGTATGTCGAGCTCGCCCAGTAGACCCGAGACATCACCATGATGGTTAACAAGCTTGGCCAGGCACGCACTTCATCCTTCCCTGGTTCGAAACACCGGTAGTCTACGATGTCCGAGCGAAGCCGCGAAACGTGTCGTCCCTGACGGGCACCAAGGACTTGCAGATGGTCAACATCACCTGTCGTGTGCTCTCCAGGCCGGACATCCCGGCTCTACCCCAGATCTACCGGACCTTGGGCTCCGACTACGATGAGCGAGTCCTCCCGTCTATTGTCAACGAAGTCCTCAAGAGCGTCGTCGCGCAGTTCAACGCCAGTCAATTGATCACACAGCGAGAGATGGTCGCGAGGCTGGTTCGCGAGAATCTGTCGAGGCGAGCGGCGCAGTTCAACGTCTTGTTGGACGATGTCTCTCTTACGGTATGTAACTATCAGTGCGGTCCGCCGAGCAATGGTCTCGCTAACATCGGTTCCAGCATCTGGCTTTCTCGCCCGAGTTCACGGCGGCAGTCGAGGCGAAGCAGGTTGCGCAACAAGATGCTCAACGAGCCGCGTTCGTTGTAGACAAGGCTCGACAGGAGAAGCAGGCCATGGTGGTCAAGGCTCAGGGTGAGGCACGGTCTGCCGAGCTTATTGGAGAGGCGATCAAGAAGAGCAAGTCATACGTCGAGCTGAAGAAGCTGGAGAATGCCAGAGCGATTGCGGGCTTGATCCAGGACGCTGGCGGAAAGAACAGATTGCTGCTGGACTCGCAGGGTCTTGGACTCAACGTCTTCGATGATGCGAAGAAGGAATAGGCACGGTAGATAGTAGCTGAAGGGGTGAATCTCCACTGTATGTTTAAAGACCAGAAAACAGAGTGTAAGATACTATTTGCGCCAGCAACAATCACGATCCAAGCCTTCCAACCGTGCGACTTGCATGTCTAGGAATTCCTTCGGCACCGAGGCTTTAGACCAAATCACTCTACGTAGGTATTGCACGGTACTTAGATTTGTACGTGCCACTGGCATATTTTCTTGGATGCTTGGCCTCATATTCCCGACGGAGGGAGTAAACTGGTAGGCATCCGTTTTTAAATACTGTGGCTCCAGCAATTGTTTCCGGCCTCCGTAAAGATTGCCCCACCACCCCTCCTTACCGTCCACATCCTCCTCCGCCCTACCTAACCTACCTACCTACCTACCCTGCTCTGAGCCTTCTGGACCTTTCCCACTCTCCCGTATTCCCATCCTTTGTTGCGCCAAGTTGCAGCTATCTGCTTGTGAAATCGCCCACCATGCTGATCAAGTTGGTCTCCCCCCCCCGTCGCAGAAGTCTCGAGCTGTCGTTATGCCGATTACTGACGAGGCACGCGCTATAGGGTCCGAACACTAACGGGCAAGGAGATCGAGCTTGACATCGAGAGCGATTACAAGGTACGGCCACCACGACCCGACCCCGTCCGGCTGGCACGAATCATCGCCGACCACCACCGAACTAACCCGTCGTCATACTAGGTCTCACAGATCAAGGAGAAGGTCGAGGAGAAGGAGGGCATCCCGCCGGTGCAGCAGCGCCTGATCTTTGGCGGTAAACAAATGTGAGTTTGGCACCGTCAGTGTCCGATCAACGTAGGGGACGACGCTAACCAATGCGTGGCCACTCAAAAGGGTTGATGACAAGACGGCGACCGACTACCAGCTGGAGGGAGGCTCGACGCTCCATCTTGTCCTGGCCCTCAGAGGCGGACAATCACCCGTCGACGCTCCGTACATTTGAAGGACCGGCGGCTACGTTCTTCGGTTCTGCCGGTTACCGTTACCTATTCCATGCTGCTCCCTCCTCCTCTCCCCCGACCGACCACAACACACACCCACTTATCTCGGGCTGGTCGGTATGTACCTGACCCGGCGTTATGGCAGCACGCTCTGTAGTGGTTATGGGTTCTAGACATCTTAGCTACGGCCCGGGTGGAGACTGAGTGGGAGCGAATGCTATTTTGATTTGACGTTGTCCTGATACCTAGATGTATTCTCTCTCCTTAGATCGAGGAGCCGACATCAACCGGAATGCACCGTGCATTGTGTGCGCAGAGATAACTCGGGGCGTTCAAATGCAGCACCGTCAGTCCATTTCATTCTATTCCCAAGTGCAATTATGCCGTCCCATCCGCAAGGTAGAAACGCCGCCGCCATACATAAACGCAAACCCACGCCCGAAGCAGTGCACTAAAAGGGGGTATCTTATAGCTTCTGATGCCCAAACTCCTATAACAAGCAGTGACCCGTGCAGTTCCCGACGCTGACCAAAACCTTGAAGCCATCTATTGAGCTTCCCTGCGTCTCTAATCGCGACGCGCATATTTTCCACAGGATCATTGGCGCGGGATCTTCTTCGGCCGCCGCATGAAGATATCTACCGCCGGTTTTCTCTTCCGCAGCGCTGGATTCGAGCTATTAGCTGGAACCGATGCGCTTGACTGGCCCGGGTGAGAGTTAGGGGGAGGGGAGAGGCTGGTGCCTGTGGGCGGCTTGACGGGGTCGACGATAGCTTTGTTGGGGGGTGGCCGAGCAATCTGCCTCTGTGACTCGGGGCGTGAAGAGTTTAAGAGCAGGCCAGTTGTTCGACCACTCGCCGGCTGCGCATGTCTTGAGTCAGACTTCTGCGGCTTGAGAGGCGGGGATGGGCTGGCCTGCGGTGAGGACCCCGGGGGAGAGTAGGCGTTCCGTCTCTGCCCATCAAGTCGGTGGGCGTTGGATAGCAGGCCAGCGTTCTTCCTACTTTGGGGCAATAAGATCGGCTTCTTTTTCGGCGTAGAGGCCGAGACTGAAGAAGCAGCACTTGCAACTGCTGCTTTCCTGGAAGAGGTCGGCCTGGGCTCCTCTTCGTCCTCATCTTCAAAGAGGTCGGCCAAGTCGGGCCCATCTCCTTCATCCTCCGAGTCTGACACAACCTGTGGAGTGCGGCCAGAAGACAAGTTCTTAAGCCTCAACAAGCGCCCTTCTCTCTCCTTTCGCTCCAGGTCCTCCGCAGAGAGCTTCGGCTTAGATCTCGGAACAAGGATGCGAATTTCGGGTTGCTGCTTAATCCGATGCTCGTTAACCATACCCTCCGGGGCCTTTTGGATCTGGCCAGGGCGAACGGGTAGTTGGCCAGTGGGTGTGGAGAGAGCTCTCCTGCTTGCAACCTCGAGAGCTTCTCTCCTGGCCTTCTTCAAGAAGCTCTGGCCGTCCGTCAGCCTAGTCCGCGATCCGCCACCGAACGAAAGATGGCTAGGAAGATCCGCGCCGCCGCCGGTGCGTCGGCCACCGACTGCACGCCCATCTCTGGGAGGCCGAGGGAGGAACCGCTGTTCAACAATCTTGCTCTTCCTGGCCTCCTTCTGGGTCTCGAGTGTAGCAAAAGCATTCTTCAGGCGCGCCTCGGCCTCTGCCAGCTCCTCGTCGTGTTCCTTCTTGTATCGTGCGTAGACTTTGTACCAAGATGAGGGGTTCTTGGGGACGTAGTTTTTCTTTTCCCACAAGGGGAAGTGCCTTGCTATGAGCCGCTTCCAGACCTCGGGTGTGTCGATGGCGAGATGAGGGCAATTCATCTCGATTTCGTGAAGCTGAGTACCACTTTCAACCTTGAGGAGAATCGGGCGGGCCCTGTTGTTGGGCATGTCTCCCAGATCTGTTATCATGGCGACATTCTTGATGCAGGCCTTCGTGCAAAGCTGGACGAGCGATTTGGGAGGCATTTTGAAAACAAGGGTGGAGCTCGAGGAATCGGGTGGATAGCGAAATAGGTGGGAGCTTCGGTGAATAAATACTGAAGCGGTGGTGAGTCGACAATGGCTTCTCAAAGCTCCAGTCCTCGGAATAGAACTTTTCGTTCTTTGTTGTCAAGTCTGCGCCCTCGACCATTTGATTGTTCGAAGACAATTATCCTGGTATAGGAGGGAAAGAATGGAACCCTATAACCCGGAAGTAGACGAACATTCGTATTGATTTCTAGCAATCCGAAATCGAAGAGGATGAATTTGAAGGAATGCAATATGGCTTACACGATAGGTAGTCGCACTCGATGCGGCTCTGCAAGGCCCATGGGCACCCACTCAATTCCCGCTAGTTTCACCCCTTGCCTTTTACATTAGGCAGGTAGGACCGAGTTAAGTTCTTGAAGCAGCATTCTGTCGAATTACTCCTATTTACAAAAATTTCACAAACTTGACAAGTACTTCAAATTTCACCACAACTACAAAGAATGAGGAAGGCTAAATTTAGGATCTACGATGAAGCAGGCTTCTCACTTCAGAAATTCTTTGTGCCGGTGAGTTTAGAAAGGCGCGGAAGGCCAAGCATTATCCTTGTAGGCGAGATTCGCGCTAATGGGTCCACAGACCTGATTAGTAAGTGATTTGCCAAACTTCCATACCATCAAACATCAGATCCAGATCTTGGTTGAACAAAGCTAGCTACATAGCTACCTTGCCAAGTCATCAGCCCTTTTGCTTTTACGTCCAGACTCGAAATATCCTCTCAATATGTCGTCCTGGAATTTGTTAGACGAGAGAGAAGAGGCCGAGCTCCACAAGTCGCGCCTCCTTAACATCGAGGAGAAACCCTTCAAGCGTGTCACGAAGCGCCTCGTCACCCTCAACACGCTCGTGGCCGCCAAGGCGCGTCAAGCCCCGACACCTCCACCAGAGAGCAGCAGCGCGAACGGCGCGAACGGCGCGGACGCCGAGGGCGCTGCGGCCGAGGCCCCAGCGTCCCCGACCGACCCGCTCCTGGAGATGAAAGAGGACATCGTGCTCGACTTTGCGGCCTTCGACGGCAGCGTGACGCGGCTGCAGTTCCTGCTATCGGCTAACGAGCGCGAGCGGGCGCGGTACGCGGCGGACCGGGTGCGGATCCTGGAGACGTCGCAGGGGGTCCGCGACAGCACGGCGGGGCTGAGGCAGCGGCTGGAGCGGGCGCGGGCGACGCTGGAGCAGCGGCGCAAGTTCGATGACCTCGCCGAGAAGATCACGAGCAACCGGATGCTGCGGCCGCGCGGCGACCAGGAGGCCAACCTGCGCAAGCTCGAGGACGAGTGCGCCCAGCTCGAGGCCGAGAGCGAGACGTACGCGGCCACCTGGCGCGAGCGCAAGGACCAGTTCAGCCGCATAATGGACGAGAGCATGCGACTCCGGAGGCTGATCAGGGACGAGAAGGAGGAGGTTGAGCGCCGAGAGGGCATGGATGATGAGGGCGGGCAGGGCGATGCCGAGGCGGACTCGGTCCAGACACCGAGGCCTGGGTTGGCCAGTGGGAATGCGACTCCGCGTCCGGATAGCGGGCTCATTCCCACGAAGGGCGGACTGGAGAGTGGCGACGCGGCTGGGGCCTCGCGGCCGGCTTCCACCGCCGGAGGGGTAACGCCAGCCAGGGAGAGTCCCGGTCTCGGTGGGGAATCTCGACCTTCACTCAAGCCGAGACCCGAAGCGGCTGGCAGTTTCTCTCGGAGCGAAAGTCGGGCCGCGAGTAGAAACGCGTCCCCGAATAGATCCCGGTCCAGGGAGCGGGAGGAGCCTGAGGAGCCGGAGGAAGGCGAGGATGTTGAGATGGATGACGCCAAGGAGTCTGTTTCCAGTCCCCTGACACCGCTTCCTAGCGAAGTTGATACCCCTCGGATCGTTGTCGACAGCCAAGAGGTTGAAGACAAGATGGACACGACGTGAGGAGTCTACCAGCAGACTATGATACATTCATGTACTACAGTTAGGAGTTGATTGCCCGAGGTTGGCAATAATCGGCTTGGCCAACATCTAGAGATACCCCACCCATATGAAGCTCGTAGAGCCAGTTTGATCCCACACTGCCCTTCTTGGAATCCTAAGCGTATTATCCCGGTCCCACTATGAAACGTAAGCAATGGGTGAGTGCTTGACAATGGTATATGATCCCCATTACCCGGTTACAACACCATCTTTACCAGGCGACGTTGAGAACCGACCAAGCCAGGCCCATCCAATCCCCAAGCCCCCTGCTCCCTCCCTCAGACCTCCTCCGTCCCAGCCACCAGCTGCCCAGCCTTCAACGCCTCCCTCGCCTTCGCCAGCTCCTCGTCCCCGGCCCCCTCGCTCTCGCCCAGCGCGATCTGCTCCTCGAGCTTCCGGACCGCGTCCGAGATGCGCTCGCGCAGCGGACCAAACATCTTCTCAGTCTCGGCTGCGGCCATTTTCTGCTTGGGCGGTTAACCACGGGTTTCTCTGCCTCGCAAAGGGGGAGCACCGATCTTCTTTCAGGCGCCCGGCGAGGAAGCCAAGACACTCATAAGACTTTCGGGGAAGGGGGGAAGGGAGGAGAGACGGAAGGGAGGAGAAACGGAAGGGAGGAGAGACGGAAGGGAGGAGAGACGGAAGGGAGGAGAGACGGAAGGGAGGAGAGACGAAAGCAAAGAGAAAGAAAGAAAAAAAAACATACCTCCTGCCTCAGGACATACTCGGCGTTCTGGTCGGCGTCCGCGCTGCCGTTCTTGAGACCGTCCTCGAGTTTCTGGACGCGGACCTTCTGGCCCACTAACTCCTTATGGTAGTATGTCTCCTCCTTCACGAGGCGCTGGACCGACTGCGTCGCGATGACGAGTGCGGACGGGGGTGCCATGGTTGGATGGTGGGGGAGGTGATTTGCCACCTTTTTACTTTTCTTCTCCCCTGTTCTTCTGGGTAACGATGTCGAGATGATCTCGACAATGGGAAAGTGGTCTCCAGTCGGTCTTGGAATTTGTTCCCTTTAATGTTTGCGAGGTTGCCTGGAATAGGATGTTGGATATTGTTGACTGATTTGCTATTGGAGGGGTTGGCGGGGTAAATTTTCACAGACGTGATAACCAGTGGTACAGTACCTAAATGGCCACCGACCTAGGTAAACACCAAGGAATGCCCAGACGGCCAAGCAGTAGCTGGCCGCCTGAGGTGATTGATACATGTTCTTGTTTCCAGCTTGTCGATTGTTTAACACGCCGGTACGCTTTCCCAGGCATGGCCAACCGTCTTCGCTCCCCAGCAGGCCAGCAATTTACAATGTAGGGGGAGCGGAAAGGGGTATCTTGATTTGGCTGGACGTATATAAAACATCAACAGCAATGTGGGCAAGATTTACCAATTCAACATTTTATTTCCTAACGCTCGTTTGTCCTGAGACAACTAATACCGTCTTGTCTAATCTTTGGGGTATATCCTCCCTTGGTGACATCTACCTTGGAAGCGAAGAACACAAACCGATGTGAACCCTATCTATCCCAGCTCTATGGCAACGGCAAGCCCAGTATTCGTCCATTCCAGCACGGAAAAGTCCCAAAAATCCCTCCCCAGCTCAAGCCGGGAACCTCGGGATAGACTGTCTTGTGGAGAAACCCTGGTGGGAGGCTGCAAACACACCACTCAGTCCGTAGACTACCAGGGTACCCTCGAAAATCATCAGCTGGAGACAGCTTCATGACTGACACCGGCATGAGTCGATTGGTACCAGTAAAAAGAGAAAGATGCCCAAGTCGCATCGCATGAGGCGACATTGGTATCTCCAAGTTGTATGGACACGCTTAGTCGCTGCTTGGCGGAGTTATATTATCTCTCGCCATCAACTCCTTTCGGATGGTGTCCTCCATCTCTCCCGCAGTTATCTCGACATTTCCTCCACTCCAGCCGGTGACCCGGTTGGCGAGCTCGATCTTCTTCTCGCAAGCCGCATAGACAAGCTCCTCGATGGTGTCTTTGCTGACGAGCTTGATGATTTCGACGGGGCGGGTCTGGCCCAGACGATGGGCGCGATTCTCAGCCTGGAGGTCGTCCTGGGGATTGTCTGACTGGTCAAAGACGATAACCTTGTTTGCGGCAGTGAGGTTGATGCCGGTTCCGCCAGCGCCCGTCGTCAGAAGGAAGGCAGTGATAGACGGCTCGTCTTGGAACTGGTCAATCAGTTCCTGCCTGTCGGCGACATTTGTGTTCCCCTGCAGGGCAACATATTCGATGCCTTCGGTGGCGAGACATTCTCGCAGAATCTCAATAACCTTGGCGAACCGCGTAAAGACAAGAACCTTGTCGCCGTTCTGCTCGTACTCGCGAACCAACTTCAACAGTTCCTGGACCTTGGCGCTCTGCATAAACGACAACTCTGGTATGTCAAACTTCCTGATGCAGCTGTAATCGCGGCACCAGAGATGGAGCTCGAAGTCGGAACAATTCTTGAGCTCGGCAATGAGATGGCCGAGGTTGTCCTGTTGCAGGACAGACTGGTCAACCTTCCGCATCAGGATTTTGGCCATTTCAGCAACCTTGTCGTCGGTGAACCATCTTCTGAAGAGCTGCGCATGGATGGCAGACTTGCGGAGCTGCATCCAGACGTTGTTGCTATCGGAATCAGTGCCCTTGACTTCGGGCACAGGGGGTCGCAGCTCCTTGCCTCCTCGCCTGAAGCGACGCTCGTAATCATCGTAGATCTTCCGCTGTGTCTTGTCCAGCTCGCAGTGCACGATCCTGTTCGTCTTGGGTGGGAGGCTCATGAGAACCTGTTCCTTTCGGCGCTGCAGAATGAAGGGCTCGAGGATGGAACGGGCGCGAACCACGCGTTCGGAATACAACAGAGCACCTTTGGATACGTCCTGTAAAGAAACCTTCTGGTTGAACAGGGCCTCGAGGTCCTCGAAGTGGTCGCGGAATAACTTGGGCTCGATGAATCGGAGGAGCGCCACCATCTCCATCAGGTTGTTCTGAATAGGAGTGCCCGTCAACAGCAATCGCCAGGCAGCTGGGATCCGGATGAGGTCTCTATACAGCTTGGTCTTTGGGTTCTTCAGCTTGTGGCCTTCATCAAAGACCGCAATCATCGGCCGAATTCGCTTCATGTTGTCGATATCTTCTCCGCGACCCAGCTGAGTATACGTAGTCAGGATGACATGGTAATCTGCCGGGTTCTCCGAAATTTCGTCGGCAATTTCGTCCCGATCCTGTTGACGGCCCGAATAGGAAATTACATTCAGGCCTGGGGCGAACTTTTCAAACTCGGCTTCCCAGTTGGACAATGTCGATGGGGGGACGACGATCAAGTTCGGCCAAGGTCGGCTCCCCTCCCCCGCGCCAGAGCGCTCATACTCTTGGACGACGGTGCACACGAGAGAGATGACCTGGCACGTTTTGCCGAGGCCCATGTCGTCGGCTAGGATAGCTCCAAAGTTCTTCTCGTACAAGAGATACATCCAGTTAAGCCCGTACAGTTGGTACGGCTTCATGGTGCAGTGTCCCTGCATAAGCTGTGGCTCGACTCTCGGTAGGTCCTTGAGTTGTTTTGGAGAGCTCAGACTAGATGGAGTCAGGGGCCTCTCTTTCTCGATAGTTTTCGTGCTCTTGTCGCTCCCAGTGCAATCGACCTTCCACTTTGACGTCGCTCTGGAGATGGCTTCTCCTTGTTCCTCGCATACGCCGACGATATGGTCGATGCCATCCAAGGCTCGGGCGTACTCCTCGATAGCATCGACGACGTCATCGCCGAGAGCAAGCTTGGCAGCCTTTTTCCTCGATGTCTTCTTCGTCACAACCACATTGCGAGCGTCATCAAGAGTCGAAAAGGGTTGGTGCTTTAGCATGACATCGGCATTGTCCGCCTTGATGTTGGCGATTGCCATCAGCTGAATTGCATTGCAGTTGTTGAGATAACTCAAGACTCGCTGGGCAAAAGCCAGCTGTGCAGGATCCTGCGTTTCCGAGGGTTGCGGCGAGGGAATGTCCTGGGTGAATTCATCGTCCCCATCGCTTACCAGATCAACGACCTGGGTGATCGGTTGTGACAAGGGGTCGGGCCGGAAAGGCGAGCTCTCGACGGCGGAGTCGCGGTGTCGACGTCCCTGAACCAAGCGGCCTCGGCGAGGAGGATTGGGGGTGGATGTGGGAGGTTTGTAGGTGAATTGTGAGGCAATGCTCTTCGGCATTTCTATGACGTCCGACTCGGGCGACGCCGCGAGTCTAGCCTCGTCCAGGAGGTAGATAGCCGCCTTCTTAGAATCAAGATCGTACTTGACCAGGGCCTCCTTACACTTCTCATGTGATCTCTTGCCTCCAATTTGCTTGAAGAGCTTGCCAGCCAAACTGTGGAGTCGCGAGTCCATCAGCTTGTTGACAGCCAATGCTACCTTCTTTGGCTTGGGCTCGGTAGTAGGCACTCGGGCCTCAAACACCTTGGTCGGCTCACGGCGTCGGAATTGCGAGGGTTGGATATCCCCTCTCGGTGGGCCATCATTGTCCGATGAATCGTCACTGGCATACTGAGGCCTCGGGGCACCATGATCGTCATTCTCATCCTCGTCATCGCTGATCTCGACACAGGGCCGCTTTTGCCCAGCAACAGGTGGAGCGCGGAAAAACGTCCCCGGAGGAGCCATAGCATGGCCTAGTTTCCCTGGCAGGGCGGACGGTTTCTTCGGTTGAAAAGGCGAGGATGCGGGCACCTCGATAACCGATCTGGGTGGTGAGGAGGAAGCCAAGGGGAGCGAGGACATCAAGGAAGTTCGGGATATGATTTGGGTTGGTTGGGTCTGGTGGAGGGTAGTCCGGCGCACAACCTGGGTAGGCTGGGTGAAGTAAGGGGATGGCGAACACGGGATGCTCCCCTCGCCAAGCTCGTCGTTGGAGTCGGAGTCCTCGGTCATGTCAATGACTTCAGCGTCCCTTCGGGAAGAAAGGGGCGACGAAGACACGTCCATGATCGAAAGCAGCGAGAATGAATGTGGGACGAATTCGGACGGGGTTCAGATCGGAGACTGGTTCGAAAATAGAGAGACCGAATCCATGTAGTGGAGGTGACGGGGAGGGGTTGGAAAAGGGTAAGAAGGAAATTATCAGAAGAACGGATCCGTAGCGAGTGACAGCGATTCAGGGCGGCATTCCCGAGTGGTAGGGACCAAGGTGGACAAGGTAGGTAGGTTCAAGGAAGGTGTAGTGTCGAAGGAAACGGAGTGGCAGGACGGGAGGTCCAATTCCCCGTTACCCACTTGGAGAAATGGTGAAGTTGAAATTTTGAGGCGCGACGCGCTTTGTGCGCTTTAAACGCGCCTCACGTGGGCAAGTACAGTACCTACTCGCGGCTTAACCAGCGGAGTGGGGCACTCATCACTCAGCGAGGTACAATACGGAGGTACGCAATACGTATTTGACTGTATTGTCCACGACGATTTTCGCTGTTCTATCACATCCATCTCACCCCAGACAGTTATTCATCTATTGTATCGCTGAATAAGACAATAGGATAGACATATTCCTCTTGTACTGCTCAATACCAACCCGCTTTCTACGTCATCTACCGTCTCTATCTCAAGCCCCTTTAAGTTAGCTGGTTTTATAAGAGCAGTGAGCAGTCCTCCTCCATACAGAACTCGCCACCGCTCATGAGATTCTAATGATTCTATTTAATCGTATGCAGCAATAACAGTAGTTCTCAGCCCAACGTCCTTATCTGAAAGCAGGTCCCGGGAGAGCAAAAGGAGAGCAAAAAGAAAGAAAAAAACATCGCTATGGCCTCCCGCAGGAACGTCTCGACCGAGAAGTCTCTCCTCGAGAAAGATGCCACAGTCAGCTCGAGCCCGGCTGCTGCGAACGAGCGGTCAAGCGTGGCACCAGCTGTCCCCACGTATGCTGCTAGAGATGAAATAACCCTTGCCAGGAGACCCCCATGACTAGCAATCGCTAACCTCACTCTCTCTGCTGTAGGGAGGTGATCGTGAAACTACTGGCGTTCACATTCGCCATGATTGTTGTTCCCATCGGCTCATACTTCGTGACAGTGGACACGATATTCCAAGGTTTGCCTTCCGCTTCCCACTCTCCACCATCGAGATAGCCTACGACTCCCTAGATTCTAACGATAGGCGCCTTAGGGAACTCTACATACGCGGGTGCTCTGGCTGCTATCATGGCCAACGTCGTACTTATCGCCTATGTTGTTGTGGCAATGAAAGAAGACCAGTCGGAACAGCAAGAAGAGGAGAAGAAGAAGAACCGGTAGGCATGTTCGGCTGTACGGTATCGTGTGGCGCTTCTGCACCCCCCTGAGGAATGGATGGCGATGTTGCATTTTGTTTGAAACCGCGCCTTGGGACAATCGCCGATGCCAGGGGTCCTAGGAATTTAATGTCTCGGCAATCTTGTCGCTTAATAACATGCCGATCTATGGCTCGCAAATATCTTCTGTGACAGCGTGAAGGGATGCGAAAGCCGATTAATGTAGCAGCGGGACTTTAGACCATCCCTAGTCAAAGGTACCCCTCTCCAGACCCTTTCCATCAGGAACATGTAGCCCTCATAATCCCAAACAGCCAATCCCTATCTTGCATTCCGTATATGTACCCGAGTCCTTCCCAACTGCCAAACCAAATATTTTCATGGGAACAAAGAAGAAAACAAAGAAAAGGAGGTAAATTAGTAGCAGTGTACCTTTCTGTCGTCGCCCTTTCGCTCCGCCCGAGAACCACTCCTCCAATTTCTCAATTTATTTCCCTCCTCGAAGACGAATCTTCAGAATGAGACGGGCTGACCGGGGTACGCCTAATGATAGAAAACGTCGGGTATCAAGGAATGTGAAGATGATCACCATTACATAGTTTGCCGCACCAACCACTTCTCGTTCCCCTAGGTTTGCTTGCTGAACCTCCGCGCAAACCAACTCTTTCGCTTCTCTCCCACCGAAGGCCTTTCTTGGCTGTTGGAGTTCGCACTGAGGGTCTGAGATATCGGCTTGCGCAAGATAGAACCTCTGTTGTCCTTCGGCGGTGCCGGCGGCGGACCTCTATAGCCATTGCTCTGGTACCCATTCGCCTGGTTGCTGTTCGCTTTGGCGCCATTGGTGCCATTGGCGCCAACGGTGAACGTCGGCGGTTGGTAGGTCGAATTCTGAGTGAAGCCGATGCCGTAGTCGTTAACGGGCTCCTGCTGCCGTTTCTGCGGCGGTTGCATTCGCTCCACTGAGCTATTGTCGCTACTGGTAGGGTCAGTCTGATAGCCTGCCGGCTCCCCGTAGCTACCGCTGCCCGCCGCCGAGGCCACCGTCTCGTAGGATCTGTGATTATTCGGTATCGGATAGACGTGGGCGTCGGGTTGTGGCTGTCTGTGTGCGCTAAGCTGCGGTTCTGATGCCATCCTGGAGTATCGTTGTCTGCCAGGCGGGGCAAGAGGTGGTGTGCCAGAGAAGCCGCCATTGTAACCATTATGGCCATTGCCGTTGTAGTAGCCACCCTGCCCACCTTGCCCACCCTGTTGCTGCAAGTCGTAAAAGCTGTCTCGTGACATACCGCCCTGTCGCATGTCGATTTGGTTTACTTCTGGTCTGGAGGCAGGTTGCGAGCGCCCGCCGTAGTAGCCTTCTTGGGGGAAACGCCCGCCGTTATCTAGATCGAGGGCATCAGCACCGTGTACATGCGGACGGGGTGGGGCGAGGTTAGGGATATGCTCACTGTTATAATAGCTGCTTCGCCGGTTAAAATTGGCGACGGATTCCGAGTCTGAGCGGTACAATGACTTGCGACTATATCCGCCGTCGATGGCTGCCTCGAAGCTCCGGATGGTGTCGAGTGGACGTTCCCACCGACTCCTGGTAGGATTGGATCTATCGGGTTCGGCTGTCGGATGGATTAGCGCCTGCAATGCTGGGAACGAAAGCATGATAGAATGGATGGTGAACCATACCGATGGGATTGCCATACGAGTCCATGTGCTGCATGGCCCGGATCGACGCCAGCGACGACTTGACCGTCGCCTGAACGACGCCTGGCTCGGCTTCGTTCATGGCCATGGTGGGGTCTGCCTTTGTGTGCAGTCTCTTGGCTTCTTTCTCGGCGGGAGTCTCGTGAGTGTCGATGTGGTGGTGGCTGTCTCTGTTGGGCTTGTGCGACTTGTCTGAGCGAAAGCTGAAAGTTCTCGACTTCTGCCGCGGCCTGTATTGCTGAGCTGGGGTCGACTGCTCCTGTGGGGTCGTCCGGAAGGTGTTCTGGGCCGGCCCTGGCGGCGGAGGGAGTGGGTGGTTGTCATGAGCGGCCATCTTGTGCTTATCTGCTCAGCCAGGAGGCGCTGCAGCGTTATCCCTTGTTTGCTATGGCGCCGAGGTGGGTTCAAGCGAATCCTGGGAAATTGTAATTTCGATCTATCTTTGCGGTATCCAACAAGAGTAGCTATCTGCAGCGGGCTAGGAGCTAAAGTGGAGGAGGTTAGGGAGAGGCCAGGTAGGATCTGGTGGATCGGGTGGGATGAGTTGCCAGGGAGCCGTGTCGCAGAAATCGGCGAAATCAAGGCAGGGCTGTCTCGTCTCGCGTGGCTGGGGTGGTTGGTGCGTTGCCGATTCAAAGAACCTACGTTGCAGAAACAGCCGCCAACTAGTTGATTATGTAAAACCGCACTGCGCTGCAATGCAGGTGAATAGGGGGCAGAGAACAGGAATCTGGATGAGTTTTGGTAAAATCGAGGAGTTCCGGCGATGGCTGCGCCCAAATACGCAGCGCCTCGGTCAAGTCGTTTGGGTTTCTGGAATCTGAATTCGTACCTGGGCGATTCGTGAGCTGACGTCAGGCCCAAGGGAGTCTCCACTGCGAACACCTCCTCGCAGGGCTAAGAGTGGCGCTAAAGCCCCGAGGTGCGTCTGATGTGGTACTACCACGGGTACCGTCTGTTCTCGCCTTCCCCTGCAGTTTCGGTTGGATCAGACCGGGACAAGAGTGAGGGTGCCCGGTTTCCCGATCTCCAAATTCTTGGGCTCTTGAAGATTGCCTATCATATTTTCTGTCAGCATCAGCTGTTTCACCCCAAGCCCCCTCTCGCCAGCGACTCTGAATGTCGGCAGCAAAGGGATGCAAATCCGTCGTTACCAATAGGGAACTTTCTTCCTACCTCGTACTGCTACCACCACTAGTGAGTACCAAATTAAATAGGCGCCGACGGACACGAGCTCTGCTGGTTGGATTCGGAAAGTGCCTGGCAGAATATGGCCATATAATACGAGCCAAAATGGAAGAGGGAATCAGGGCTAAAAGGCGAACGGAACAGCGAATGAGTTGCCCTTTTTCAGTGGTCAAACAATATAAAGCAATTGGCAGCCACAAACGAAGGTCTTGAGATGGAGAGTAAAATTACTGAATCTTCAACGACCATCAGATACAAACGCCGCCAGAAAAAAATCAGAAGGGGGACAAAGCTCGAGCGATGTGATGGGAGACCGCCCCTTAAAGGATGATTCGGGCTCAATGCACACCGCCGAGTCCCAATGTCAGAATACGAATTGCCCGAGGGTTGTAGCTTGTAGATGCTTGTAGCTACCTGTAGCGTACATTGGGAATGGCCGGATGCAAAGTTCAGTTACACGTGCAAGGTGGCGCATATGCGTACGCATGTACTTTAGACGACAGCTAACACGAACGATGATGAGTGTTCCAGGTTAGATTGTGAGAGAGTCCCACACTTCCATACGTTCCTGGTCACACTAGGTGGGCTCTATCTATACATGACGCTACTTTAGCGCCGTGTCGTGTCGTGTCTGTGGTGCCTTTAGTGGAGGTACAGGTAGGTACTACTGGTAGGTACCTGGGTAAAAGATAAGATTCATGGATGGATGGAAGAAGGTGCCTGTCCCGTCCTTGGCCTTACCACGTCACACCATCATGTTGGAGCTAAAGGTCAAGCTGAGGCCCGAGATTTACATACCTACACAGGTACCTACACGATTGCCCAGCACATCAACACACATCCATGGATCTCGCTGTCAAAACTTGGTTAGCTTGGCTATCCGGGCTCCCGCACTCCACCGATCAAGGACAGATTTGCTGCGCCTCAAGGCGAAACTTGAAAGTTGATGGCAACATCCTCGGACGTTATTACCAATTTGGTTAATGTCGGGTACCGTCCAGGTCTGCTTTCTGCTTTCGGGTCCAATGCTTGCCGCCCATTAGCCGTCATCGATCGATCCATCGTCTAGACTCGTCATCCTGGGGATATTCTGGGGACATTCCAGCTACGAGGGTGTGGATCCAAGGTGCCCCCTGCCTGTCTGCAAGCACTTTAACGCGGTAAACCTCGCCTCACCGTCGATCGAAATGGGAATGGGTCCCAACATCCAAATGGGTGCTGGCTAGTAGCAGGTAGCTTGATAAAGCGAAGATCTCTTGCTTGGCGCTGGCATCCGGGACGCTGTTAGCTGGGTGGACTCGTGGAGTCAGCAACTGTCGAGGCATCTGGCTGATCAGATGGGTTAAAGGTCGAAGATAGAACGCTAGCAGTAGGCTCCGTCGGGAAATCCCATGTTATCTGTGTCCTCGGTATTTACGAATTAGCTTTCCCATCAAGTAGCTACCGAGAGTACCAGGCCAGTGCCAGTGTTCTTCCAGCGAACCTTAGGCAGCTTGCCATTTATATGTACATACAACACCTATATGTACGTAGTCATGTTGCCAGAAAATCTTAGATCAGGAATGTCACTCCTCCCTCCCCCGAACAAGCAACCAGCCGGAGGAGGGTAGGTGGCCTCGGTATCGCGACCAAAACACGTCAATCCTGTAATCGCACAGTCCAACTGGATATTTGCCTTTGATTGAATGCTACCTATGCGTAGTAGCAAGGCCCGAATGATCTTGTTCCTTGCCTTAACCCCAATGCAGCCAATCATGAACCCCCTTGACCAACCAACTCCGGCCTGACCCTTTCTTTATATGGAGGATGGGTAAAGCATGATACGAACAGACGCGCCGAAAGATTTCGAAGGAAGGGGGTGGGTGAACTTTGCGCGGACAACTCCAGAATTGCCTAAGATATCTTGTCAGCCGGAAGGTGCTCCATATCGCGCAAGACACGGGTTGGTTCGTGGGATTTACCATGTGGCCGTGTGACCTTGCCCCAGATCACCCTGATCTTGGTTCCTCGCTTCTCCTTCAGGCCCCGGTAGACATAGGCGACCTTCTTGCCCAAGTAGAAGCTAGGCATGTTGTCAGCACCAGATCCAGCACCGGCGTGGAGCGATACGAAATACGTACTTTGCCGCATCGGTGTCGTCGACACCCTCGATCTTGATCAAGCTGGTCTTGGGGCGGACGGCGTGGCGACTACGCTGATAACTCAGGTGACGACCCCTAATCGGAGATCCTGTCAGTGAACTTGTCCTTGTACTTTTTTTAAAAAAAAAATAGCACCCATGTCCGTCGGCTGCGCGCCCTCTCCTCCTCCCAGCCCCGAACAACTAGAACACGACTGCATCTCCGAATAGAAAAACGCCTGTCGGTCCTCCCGTCGCCAGTTCGATGTGAAATCAACGAGGAAGTCTTACTTGACGTAGACTAAAATAAGCAGTTAGCAAATATTAGAATTATGAGATCGAAAATCCGGCAGTAGAATCGTCAGCATCAAGCGCGCGCGACCCTCTAGGGGATGAGCACACGCGATGCGCCAGATACGTTGCATGTCCGGGAGGAGAAATAGGAACTCACGTCTGTGACCTGCTTCTGAAGGCATCTTGACTTTGGAGGTTGTGTTTCCACTCAGTCAGTATCACCAATCCAGATCATTGAGGAGATCAGCAAAAGTGTCCTTGTGGAAAGACCTTTCTGTTGGCTGGTTGTCGTGGCCCTTCAATCGACGGGTCGGGTTTGACAAAATTGGCCGGAAAAATGTCGAGGTGGAAAGTTGTGGTGGCTGGTGCAGTGGCTAGTGCAGTGGGTGGTGAACTTAGTGGCTGAGGCTCTCCGGAATAATGTGGGACGCCTAGGTTGTGGAAAGTTCGGAAGTCGGAACTCAGCTTCCCCGTCACAACCCAAAAGTACCTAGGTACCCAGGTTCCCGTCTCGTTGCTGCTCGCCGGATTTAGCCAGAATACGACAAGTGACGCAAGGGAGTTAAAATCTCCCCGATCCCGGGGCAATGCACCCGAGCTAAGAGCTCTCCGGCAGCTTTGGAGCTTCGCAGAATTCAAAAAGCTAATTTGTCGATAAGAAATTCCCATTCCCGTGCGTCTCTTTGCTATGAAAGAACCAGTTGTCGATCCCCCTCCCAACTACCCCTGCTTCCAGCGTTTCTGAAGTGACAAATTGATTGATCTCTCGAATTGATTGATCATCCCGGAAAGCTGGTTTCCCAGTGCCAAACCCCTTTGGCGACTGCTACTCTACCAGGCCAGGCCAGGCCAGGCCATCTTCGACCTTCGCCTTGCCATCCATGTAGGGCTTGGCACCGATCTAGGGGCCGGAGCCTCGTCGGCTGCAGTTATTTGCTCAACAAAATTTGACACTTTTGTACGACCATGCCAGTTGTGTGTTACATACCTATCTAGGTCTTTACTCAGACCGCCCATCCATGCAATTGAAGAGACGAGTGGGAAGAGAAATCCTAGGAAGTGGTGACTGAGAAGTTAAGTACGTAGTAAAAACTACGCAAAGGATTTACTTTGTAGTATGTAGGTAGATGGATGCCTAGCGTAGGTAGGTTGTCGGTATTGAAGAGCAGTCGGTTCAGTTACCGCCGATGCTATCCTCACCAAAATGCGCCCCTCATTGTTTCTTCCGTCTTGTCCTCCGAAGGGGTTGAGTGGAGGTTACGGACTACTTTCCGACACGGATGCTACAAGTTTTGCAACATAGGGCCGTTCACAAAAGAAATCGAGTCTTTCAAGCGATTGCCAGATTACCAGCGCCAAGCTGTCATAATTCAGTGTCCTTTTCTACCTCTCCCTCGCTCTCTTGTTTTTTTTTTTTTCCTGTTGGAGCTTGGGGATTGGTTTCTCTGGATCGGTACCCACCCAAGACATTACATACAATGAATGTCTGTTAGCATCTATATCTGTTAGCATCTATATCTCGTTCGACAGACGGTCGCCCCTCCAGATGCCCTTTACATTTGTCCGCTTTAACCAGTCAGGCTAGTTCTTCTCATAGGAAATGACATCTGTCTCCAGTAGAAGTGCGTTTTTGTTCTGAGTCTGTTCTTTTTTTTTCCTGTCTTATATAGCCTCAAGAAACCACAACTGCACTACTGCATCGTCTCAAAACTTAGCCAGGGCGGATGAATGGGATTGTGTTAAACTCACTAACAGGTATGAGCTAAAATAACCCCCACGACGTATAAGAGGTGTACACGCGGGGTTTCTCAAGGATTCCCCCCCTCTTTCCAAGCTTCCCATCCATCTCAAGCTCCAGCATTTATCAGTAAGCACAGTGAATAACGATTATTAACCCCGATTTTCGCAAGTGCGCGGTTTCGCACCCCAATTCACTGACCTCATCACCTGTTAATCGCTCCTGATTCCATCTTTCTTGCTATTGCGACTTTGGCCAGAGAGACTCACCCAGTCTAGGACAAGATGGCATCAGATCTGCATTCTGCCTCATCGTGAGTTGCCCCCTTCTCCAGAGTAGAAACCCCCGCCATAGCCCCGCCATCAATTATCCGCCGGACCTCGTCACTATCCAGGGCGAGGCAATCTGCTGTTCTCAGCTCCTACGAGCCCACCGATTGTTAGTACAAAGTCATCCGGGACTAACTAGCCACAACTACCAGCGCAATGGAGCTCAAGGACAATACCGTTATTATTGTCCTTGGCGCCTCTGGCGACCTCGCAAAGAAGAAGACGGTATGTTCGCTCCCGACTTCCCGGTGCGTTGACAATTGACTGACAACTGTGTTTAGTATCCGGCTCTGTTCGGTCTCGTAAGTCGCATGCCCGTGACGAGAGAATGTTGAAAGGTGTTGGCTGTTGGAGATTAACTTGTGAAATAGTACCGGAACCAGTTCCTGCCAAAGGACATCAAGATCGTCGGATATGCCAGGACTAAGATGGACCATGCCGAATACCTCCGAAGGATCAGGTCGTACATCAAGACGCCGACCAAGGACATCGAGCAGCAGCTCGACGACTTCTGCTCCCTTTGCACCTATGTTTCCGGCCAATACGATCGGGATGATTCTTTCCAGCAACTCAACCGGCATCTCGAGGACTTGGAGAAGGGCCGCAAAGAGGCGAACAGGCTCTTCTACATGGCCCTGCCGCCAAGCGTCTTCACCATCGTTTCCCAGCATCTCAAGAAATGCTGCTACCCCACCAAGGGCATCGCTCGAGTGATTGTAAGTCGCCCAAGAACCGCATATTCCGAAGACACAGGGATGACTGACATGTCGTTTCATTAGGTCGAGAAGCCATTCGGCAAGGACCTGGCGAGTTCGCGAGAGCTGCAGAAGTCCCTCGAGCCAGACTGGAAGGAGGACGAGCTCTTCAGGATCGACCACTACCTCGGCAAGGAGATGGTAAAGAACATCCTCGTTCTCCGTTTTGGCAACTCGTTTTTGGGGGCGACATGGAACAGGCATCACATCGACAATGTGCAGATCTCGTTCAAGGAGCCATTCGGTACCGAAGGTCGCGGCGGCTACTTTGACGAGTTTGGCATCATTCGGGACGTCATGCAAAACCATCTTCTCCAAGTCCTCACGCTCCTCGCCATGGAGCGGCCCATCTCATTCTCGTCCGAGGACATCCGCGATGAGAAGGTCCGAGTTCTCCGCGCCATCCCCGCCATCGAGCCCAAGAATGTCATCATCGGCCAGTATGGCAGGTCTCTCGACGGCAGCAAGCCATCGTACAAGGAAGACGATACAGTGCCTAAAGACTCGAGGTGCCCGACCTTCTGCGCGCTTGTCGCCTACATTAAGAACGAGCGGTGGGATGGTGTGCCCTTCATCATGAAGGCGGGCAAGGCCCTGAACGAGCAGAAGACGGAAATCCGAGTCCAGTTCAAGGATGTCACCTCGGGAATATTTAAGGATATTCCCCGGAACGAGCTCGTCATGCGCATCCAGCCCAATGAGAGCGTCTACATCAAGATGAACTCCAAGCTTCCTGGGCTCAGCATGCAGACAGTGGTCACAGAGCTCGACCTCACCTACCGAAGACGGTTCTCGGACCTCAAGATTCCCGAGGCTTACGAATCCCTGATCCTGGATTGCTTGAAGGGTGACCACTCCAACTTCGTTCGAGACGACGAGCTTGATGCCAGCTGGAGGATCTTCACCCCCTTGCTTCATTACCTGGATGATAACAAGGAGATCATCCCGATGGAGTACCCATACGGTAGGTTAACATCGAGTCTCCCAGGTCTGACGAAACACGATTTGACTGACCACCGTCACCAGGCTCTCGCGGCCCTGCCGTGTTGGATGATTTCACTGCGTCTTACGGATACAGGTTCAGTGACGCAGCAGGGTATCAGTGGCCGACTACGTCGGCGGCACCCCAGCCGAACAAGTTGTAAGTCGCTGGACATGACGGTGCTGCCTGTATGACTGCGTTCTTGCTCGTGTTAGATGAGCCGGACACACAAGTCTAACAAAGCCTCCTTCACAGTTAGTCGAGCGTCTCGACCAGCCCTACGGGCACTTTCTCGGCACTTTCTCCCGCGACGCCTATCTTCTTACCATGACGGAACGAGCTGTAGGAGGACAAAATGGTCCCATCGATATTACATCTCTTGAAGCGGCCTATCTGTCAAGAAAGGGATATAGGGTTAGGACCTTTCAACATCGGACATGGCCATTGAAAAGCGTCGTTACGGCATGTTTAGGTAGTTGAAGGAATAGAAAAGTCAGGCAATGCAATCCGGATACTCTGCCTAGTTTGGAATGTGAAGGATGGATGATGACCTTATGTATTCAACGGAACTTGCATCATGAATTGGAATCGTACGTGATTATCTGGCCGAGGGCCTATTTTGCATAACAGTAAATGCCGTGTTTCTGGGTCTCTAGAACCATCAGCGAATCTTGCGCTGGACCTATTCGACTGCACAGAGTACTGTGGTAGAGTCAATCATGGCTATACCCTACCATTTGTAGGTGTATGCACCTAACCGTTAGTCCTTGCCAAGTTTGTGCCAAGCGTACAACAGCCGCCGGGTGGGTGTGGATCTTTTTAAGTTCTAGTCATGTCACGTGAAAGCGACGCTTAGTCCCGAATGATCCTTGGCTTTCCTCCAAGCCAACTATTTATCACCCTCCGGCACGCAGGTGATCATCGTCTTGCCACGGTCAACCAACGGAGAAACAGCGCTACATCGAGTCTCTCGGCATAAACATTCATTCCAAGGGACATCCCATCCTCTGGCGACAGGTCTGCCCTTCCTGCCGATTGCCCACGTGCCAACGCGCCCCGCTGCGACCAGTCGCGCCCCAAACTCGACTTTTCAACGTCGCAGCCCTTGCTTTCAGGCATCTCGGGCTTCAAAGGAGGTGATCAAGGGACAACCTCACAAAGCGATGGAATACCTCATCACCGACTACGCCTAACGAACGAGCCACCTGCGAACTATCTGCGAACCACCTGCGAATCACCTGGAAACGAAAACCTGCCAATTTCTCGACCCCGCGACCCGGTCCGTTGGACCCTAGCAGATGGTAGACATTTGGTGTTGACGGCGCAAAACGTCCGGCTGGGCGTGCTCCTGGAGGACGAGCGGCTCAACGGCACTTGCCGAGCATCTTTTCCAGAACAGTGTCGCTGCAACAATAATAGGACTTTTTCCTGTCGTCTGGACGGTACCCTGGGGCTGGTCCGACTGGTGGAGGTCAAGGTCGCGCGACGAAACTTCAGCGCAGCGGTTGACGCAGTGAAAATGGAAAACGGGATCCAAAATGGACTGCGCACCAATCATGACAGAGATGCGCGAACTAATAACGTCAACGGCGTCTTCGTCAAGTCCGAGCCATTACTTGACGAGAGCAAGGACAAGGCGAATGGTGGGCAAAACAACACCATGACAGCCGGCGCACTGTCGGCATCAAATCCACTGAGGATGAACGACCTTCCCGACGAGATCCAACATATTACCACGGACATAATGCCGCTTAGTCTTCTCCTGACGCGACTTGCGCAGATCTCCCACAACCACATCCAGGAACTCATCTCGGAACTGGCGACAAGGCCGATCGCGGCAAATGCCATCAACGGCGGCAGCCCCGATTACCGCAGTACGACCGCCGAAGATACATCGCCTGACAGTCTTGAGAAGAAGAGGATGATTCTGAACTTCATCCAAGATCTCCACGCCAAATGGGTCAAGGCCCTCGTGATCACGGAATGGAGCAGGAAGGCGGAGCTTGTTGGAAAGCTCATCGACCTTAAAGCCCATATCGAACAGCAGCTTTATCATTACACTGCTGTGCTGTGGGAGATGGCCAATGTGAAGCGCGACCTTGTCTTCGCGCGGTTGCCAAGCCCGGATCTCAAAACAGCTCTTGAGGTGTTCTCGTCTGGAGAAGTATCGTGGATGCCAGAAGTAAGTCCCAGAGTGACCAACTCGCAGCCTCGTTGATCTGACACTCTCTAGCTCGGCTTCATCGACCCGCCGCCTCTCACTCCACAAGATCAGCTCGAGTGGATAGATAATCTCAACACTTTGCTCTCTGTGCGGTTGACCTTGGATGACTACGAGAAGATACCGTACCATTTCAGAGACTACTCCATCAGCTCCGGCCGCGTTACATTTAGAGTGGCGGGAGAGTTCGAAGTAGATCTGACAATTGCCGACGAAGACTTTGAGAAGCAGTTCTGGTTTATAGATTTCCGGTTCCTCTTCACGCCCGCGCCGACGGAGCTCTCGGCTGCGGTCCGAGGCTTTCTGGAGGCCAAGGTCAACGACATCCTATCTACGGACGGCTTGGCTGGGTGCTACCACTTCCTCCACGAGTTTGTCTTGACGCACAAGATAACGGAATTCACGCGCCAAGCCGTGGAACTGACCCGTGGCCGATGGACAGAAACTCTCAAGATCGAGAGACTGAACCGCGGGATGGCTATCCAGTACTGGGTCGGCAGGCCCACCTCCAGCCTCAAGAGTTGGATTATCCTGGGGGCTAACAGCGGGAAAAAGGCGGATGGGTCTCGAGATGCAAAGGCTGCGAGCCACCTCACCCTGCGCTGGTTCCGGGACAACAAGGAGGTGAAGGACTGCGACATCGCCTTCGATGTCAACGAGCTCTCCACAGAGGCCCTCCTAAAAACCATCATCGCCCGACATGTCGAATACATCCTCTCATCGATCCACAAGAAACTCCTGAGCTATCCTCGCTTCGGCAGCATGGAAGCGCCGCTAAGCTTGGAAATTTCCGAGACGGAGCCAATGCTCTCGCAACTGGTAATGCGACTGTCACATGCAGATAACCTTACCGTGAGGATGGACCCGACGACAGGCTCCTTCTCCCTGAGCCCACAGTCGCGAATTGTGCAATCCGGAGAGCGGAATCTCAACGTCACGCCCAAAGATCCCGTGGACGAAGGCTTCATCATTTTGGAGAAGACTCGGTGCTTCTGTGCAACCGAAGAGCTGACCCGCCGTGGCAAGAGTATGGGTTGGATTGGCCATCAACCACCAGTGAGGCCCGACGACCTGAGGCCCCTCATGAACACTCGCGATGCGTTCCACAGTGTCTGGCTGAAGCGCCAAGGCTGGGGACCCGAGTGGTTCATCTTGGTGACCCTGAGTCTGGCGGGCGATCGCTGGTGGTTAGTCGAAGTGTAAGTCTCCGGTCTGTTCGTCCAAGGCGCGTATGGTGCATGTGTGCTCACGACTTTTAGGACAAATACTAGCCCCGCGCGGCGAATAAGAACTTTCAGCCAGTTGACGCTGACATCGGCGCAACCGAACCTGTCCGATGCCTTCTTCGACAACCTCACAGTCTTCGTCACGGCCATGATATCGCAGCTCGCAGATTCACGGGTGCTCTATGGCAAGCGGGTACGACACTCGGTCCAAGACCTTCCAGGCTTCCCTCTGGATCCGCACGCCAAAATGCCTGCGATGTACGTGCGGCTCTCCGAGATAGTACCATCCCTGGCGGCGCGCACTGGGTCCCGGCGCCCATGGGCGAAGGACTTCGTCCAGCTCACGTTCATGGGCGCGCAGAGGCTTGGCGGCGGTCGCCGCACACCGAGTCCGGACCGATCGGAGGACAGCCTAGGCATCAATGTGATTGTGGAAGCCAAGCTTGCCGTAACAGACAGGTCGAAGTTCAGCCTGCTCAAGGGCAACGTCGACAACGACGTAATATTCAACCCCAGGCTTGGCCAGTTCGCTCTGCGGCTACGGGCCGAGGCTGGAAAGTCTATTGTCGATTCGCTAGCGACTCGACTTGAGGCAATTGCCCGGCTGGTGGACTTCGTCGACACCATGCGGCGAAACGGTGAAGGCATTGCCTGCGAGAGCGTGACTCTGCGCCAGGTCGTCTTCACGTATGGCGAGGGTCTTGCGGGCACCCAACCAGACGATGAAGCCCCGCAGAAACAGCGCCGCTGGAAAGTCTGGCTCGATCTTGCGTCGGGCAACATCCGGCTCGAAGAGCGGAATCCGCATCTGCGCGTCCTCGACAAGCTCAAGGACCTGGCGGACACGTCGTCTCTCAAGCTCCTGCCTTCTCTCCTGAGTCTCACCCTCCCTCTCCTCAGGGGTATCGAGGCCATCGAGGCCTCCTGGGAGGAGATCGCGATGCGCGATGAGGGCACCGTCGAGACCTTCTACAAAACGCTCGACTACATAACTCTACGGTACAAGCTTCCCGGTCCCCCGAGCCAGCCGCGGCAGCTGAGGCTGCGGCTGAACATGAGAATGCGGAGAGGGGAGCTGTGGTGGCACCTGTGGCGGGAAGGCAGCACCAGTCCCGAGAACGAATTCAACAAGGCCCTCAAGCACATCTGGGAGGGCCACGGCGAGGGCTGGAGGGGTTTGGGGTCTAGCGCCATCGCGAAGCCGGCCACGGGGATCGAGCCGTTGCTGTCGGCCGTTGACGACGCCGTCCGTGCCCTGATCGGGTCTGCGCCACCGCCTCTGTCGGCGGCTGCAGGGGCGTTGCAGCAGAGTTTCGGCGAGTCTGCCACTTCCACAAGGCTTTCGCAGTCGTCGAATGCGTCTCAGCGGCGTGCCTCCCAGACCCTTACCCAGCCAAGCAGCCAGAGCCAGACCAGTAGGGTTGGCGGGAAGGCAGCGTCGCCTATTGTGGTGTTAGATTAGGCAGCTTGGGCAGTGTAATAATGAGTCGAGAGCCATCCATCAGTGTGGCAGCGAGTGGTCTCTCTAGCCTCGAGGATGGTAGGTGGATAGACCGAAGTCTGCTGCCTCCGCAAAGGAGGAGTCCCGCCATGTACAGGATAGATCCTCCTATGATGAGTGTTTTGATTGACAGCGGAAGACGTCACGTCACGTAAAGACGACCAAATTAAATAAATAAAAATACTTTTTTGATACAACTTTGCCAAGCTTGGGACTGTTTAAAACACGTTCCGCCTTCCTTCCCCCTGATGGCGATATAGTAAATGTCTTCTGTAGAGCTCTAGGCGTGTGTGCCCACGTCTCCTTTTGGTATGTCTATAGTAAAGTAGCACTACATGAGAAGTCAACAACACAAACCGGGCTTCCCGCCCCTTCTATAAATCCTCACACATGCGGCCACCCCCCATAAATCTACTCCCCCCCAACCCCGACCCCCCCATCGCCAGGCCTCAGCGCCCTCCACGGCGCGCCCCCGACATACGGCAGCTGGCCCCTGGGCCAGCGACTCCACAGCCGGCCCGTCAGCCCCGCCAGCCCCGTCTCGCCCACGCTCCACGGATGCTCCCCGACGACTGCCGGCGCCGAAGACGACGACGACGAGGCGGGGACGCGGAACCTCCCGCCGACCTGCGCCGCGACGTCGCGCGCGGCCCGCAGGCCCGGCAGGACGCCCGGGCTCGAGTACGAGCCGCCCGCGACCGCGAGGCGGCCGCCGAACGAGGACAGCAGGTCGGCGTGGGCGGCGGCCAGGCGCGCGGCGTGGCCGACGCGGTGCTGCGGGATGCAGGCGCGGCAGAGCTTGGATGACGAAGCGGCGGGGCTGGACAGGGCCGGAATGCCGAGGTGGCGGGTGACGGCCGCGATGGCGGCCGAGGGGCCCGTCGGGAGGAACGAGTCCGGGAGGCCGTCCCAGTGGTGGCCGCCCAGCATGACGGTTAGCTTGGTGCCGCCCGGGGAGGGCGGGGGGGTGCCGCCGGGGCCGGACGCGGGCTCGGGGGCGGATTGGGCGCCTTCGCGGTCCGAGTCGAAGAGGACGCCTAGGGCGGCTTCGGGGTTGTTGGCGGCGGGGACGCTCTGGGGGATGAGGTAGCCGAAGCCGTGGTAGGGGGCGTTGAGGTTCGGGGTCGGGTACCAGAGGTTGACGACCTGGATGGTCACGGCGTGCATCTCGGCTAGGCTGGGGAGGAGGTTGTCGGTTAGGGAGGCGAGGGTTTTGGCGAATATGGTCGATACAACCTTGTCGTAGTGGGCGGGTTCCCGGCTCTTGGCCGTGGTGATCTGTGACGGTGTTAGGGGAAGGGAGATTCATGCCACGGTTTACCGGCTGGAGTGATGTGGACATACCTCTATCCTCTGTGTCTGGTGTTTCCTCAGGTGTTCCACAGGCTCGTTCAGCAGGACGGTAACGTTGGGGTTTCTCTCCAACTCGGCCGCCATCGCATCCATGAGGGTGCTGAAGCCGCCCTCGAAGGATATATAGCCCCAGTTCGTGCTCTCCTCGGCCAGCTTGCGGACTGCCTCGTTGTTCTTGGCTATGTCATCGAGCAGGTTCACGTCATCCAGCAGCGCCAACACAGTCCCCGGCGTGCTCCCCAGGCTGTCCTGAACCATCATGCGCTGGAACATGCTGCTCTCGATGCTGAGCTTCCAGACATCCCCTCCCTGCGTGCCGTGGACTATTGCGGACAGGATATTGTCGATCAGATCGCGGCGCCCAAACTTGCGCAGGAAGTACTCGCCCACCGATAGGTCTTGCTGGCCGACGACGGGTATATCCCCGGGACTAGTTTGCTCCCGGGTCAACGCACCGCTCTTGGAGAAAGAGGCGTTCAGTATTGAGGGCAGCAGCCCGTCATATAACGGCTCGGTGAGGTAGTTCCTGCCATATTCTAGGAGGGACGCAACGGTACCGAGCGGGTCGCGGAGGGGCTCAAGGTACGGACCCGTCACGTCGACCAGATGGTCGGGGTAGTAGATGTAGCGCGGTATCCTCATCCCCCGGGGAGTGGTAACCAGCCGCGACTTGAGGTTGAGCGCATCGATCTATTTTGTCCGCCTATCAGTACACTGCCGGCCACTCTTTTGCGCGCGATGGTTGGTGGGTACTCACCAATTCGTACAAGACCATATCGTCCCACTTGTGCTGGGAGTGCTGGGCCTGCACCGTCCTGGCGCCGCGGTCGAATAGCACCGTCGCTTTCTCTCCCTCCTGGTTGAGCACGTCGACTTTCTCCGTGTCTACCCATCCGCCCAGCCTGCCGCTGGCTTCGTACAGCGTGATCTTCGCCTCGGGCACGAACTTGGTCAGGTAGTAGGCCGTGGTCAGTCCGGTCATCCCGCCTCCCAGGACCGCAATGTTTCGAGGGGGGCCGGTCGCATAGTTTCTCCTCGAGCCTCTGCTTCGTGCGATGGCCAGCGAGGAGCTCGCAATGGCCCTTGGAGGACCATGGCGTGAGGTCTTGGGGGTTGTGAATGAGCTAGCCTGTCGGGTTTGCGACAGCCCTGCTCCGGCGTTGCAAGACGGCCTGGACAGAGACCTACACTGTGGACTCGAGCCGCACGACCTCGGCAAGGCTCTTAGAGCTCCTGCCTTGAGTTTTGCTGCCATGGCGCTTGCGCAATGGCTGGTTGATGTGGCGAGACATTGGATCTAGAGGTGCTGGCGGTAGTCGGGAAATACTGGGGCCGATTATCATTATGGCGCCACGAAAATCACAGCAACTTGGACCTACTGTACTGTACCTCTAGGCGATTGTAATACAATTCGATCTGTAACATTTCTTACAACTTCATCGAAACATTTCACAATTATGAAAAACAGTGGCAAGATCTTGTTGTGAGAAGGCAACAGGCAATCTCTCTATTACGTTGCCGTCCTTGTGCTGATCCGCTCCCCATGAAATGCAATCCAGCCCTCTTCTAACACAGGAAACGCCTGTTCGGTTTGGCCGTATGCTAACTCCCAGCAACGCCTGAATAGAACCCCCCTCGGGTCCATTGGGATCACTTCCATATACTCGTACAAGCAGCCATCCTAGGATCCCTGAGCAGCCCACCTATACACACTGACCCGTCGCCTTTTCCTTCTAGGGAGATGGCGGGGCCATCCATCCTCCACAGCTCTCATGCAGCTTTTTTTTTTTTTGCGCATGGTATCTTTATGTAACCACCTCCGGCGTGCCGGTCTTCTCGGCAGTCATCTCACTGTCGGCTCCGGGCAACACAAGGTCTTCTTGTGCCTTGTCATCCACAAACTTCCGCTCGCTGACATGCTCCTTCGATTCGTCCGCAACCCACACCTTATCCTGGAACGTTCCTCGCTGTCCCTCCTCGTGTGCGAAGTGGCAGAACCGGTTTGTGCAAGGGTGGAACTTGCAGGCTGTCTTGACGTGGGTGAATTTGCAATTCGGAACCTTGCACTCGCCGCCATTCCTGCACGGGGGCATAGTCGGGTGTCGGAACAGGCAACGCGGGTTCTGGCAGTTAGGGAAGAACTTGCAGTCCTGTTCGCTCTGGTGGGCAAGCTTGGTCGCGGGCGAAGGGTGTCGGCCAACGCATTTGCGATTCTTGCAGGCCACGCCGAAGCTGCAGACGTCGTTCATGTCGAGGGCTATGCCGGGAGGCGCGGCCGGAGATTGATGCGCAAACTTGCATTCCTTGTTGGTGCAGTTGAGGTTGAACTTGCAGACCGCCTCCTCGGGGTTTAGTGCTTCTCGCCCGGCTTGAGACATATCGACATCCGCGCCCTGGATGTTCGCCTCTGCCTTGGCTGCCTCAGTTGACGGCCGACCAGCATGGTGTCCGTTGTGCTGATGGTGTCCCCTCCCCCTTTGGAAGTTGTTCTGCGGTCTCTGCACACGCTCGAACAGAGACTTTCCGCGACCGTGCGCCGGTCCACCGTTATTCATCATCCCTCCCGGCTGCTGCATCATCATCTGTTGGAGCATCTGCTGCTGATGTTCCAGCATGGCGAAGAGATCCATCTGCGGCGGTGCTTGCCCTGGCATCATCCAGCCGTTGTTCATGCCGTTCATCGCTGCAGGACCAGACGGGACACCTCCTATTCCTCCGGCCATGCCATGCGCAATGGTTGCTGCACGGTTGCCATGAACGCGAGGTTGCCTCCCAGCACCCATTCTCGGTCCGGTCGGGGGCGTTCTTGCGATTCGCTCATTGCCGCGCACACGGTGGAGGACGGATTCGTGGCCTCGGTCCAGTGCGCGGTTGATCTGACCCATCATGCGTTTCTCGCGTCCACCTCGGAAGTTTCCAGTTCGCATTGACTTTGGGCCAGTCGGGCTACATAGGGGTTAGAGTCAGATGCTCGAAACGCAACGGGGAAGGGGGAAGAAAACGTACGCGTTGAGCTCAGTACCAGCATCAGGTGTCGCACCCATCTCAGTATCCACGTCGCCATCCATTTCTGCGTCGTTTTGCGCGACGTCTGTCATGCCATCCTCTCCAGCGACTGCTGCGCTTGCGCCATTATGTTGGGCGCTCAGCGTGTCGATCTGCTCGAATAGCCATTTCGCGAAATCCCTCGCGCTGGGATCGTCGGGTCCGAGATTGAGGAAATCGCCTGAGAGCTCGGATGCGATGTCTTCTTGGGACTTTTGGTTAACGAGCATAAGCACAATGTACTCGGCCAAGGCAGAGTCATCGGCGCCGCCGCTGCCCCAGCCTAGCTCGTGCAGCTTAGGCTGGATGGAGACGGTCAGGGCCTCCGCCAGAGGCGTGTTGAGGACCACCTCGACAGTCATTTTGCAAGAATTCTCCGAAGGGCGGTTTTGCTGAGTCGGAGACGATGGGCAGGTCGAGCTCAAGGCGAGAGCAAAGTGACGGGAAATGTGGCGAATGCCAGTACCAAATCGCAACTTCGCTCGGGCGGAATGCGCGCAGGAACACAGCCGCGAAGGTTTCGGAGGGCAGGAAAAAGTATTTGGGTATCAAGAGAGATATAGCTTGAAAATGTCTTGCTCCAAACCAAGTGAAGTCACCGAAGGAAGGACTCTTGAAGTTGGAGGTGGAGATGCAGGGTAGAAAGAGACTGGGTGGAAATGTAAGCAGAGCCTTGCATTTCAAACCAAAGGCGGGGTCACGTGCACAGACATTGCGCGAATGTCACAATGTTCACTCTACAATGCGCCTGCGTAGAGTTAGACAAAGAGACAACTTTAATTTTTTGGTCTCGGTCTCGCCGCCTTGTCGAGGCAACCAACAATAGCCTTTCTTCACCTGACTCTCTTCATAGGTAGGTACCCGCATCTGGCCACATCCATGTGAGGGTAAATTGTTTGCCACACCTCCCACACCCACCTCCTGATCAATCAGCAGAGCCGAAGATTCTAGCTTTATCTCTTTCATCTCTGATTGATTGATGTATGTATTATGGATTTAAGCTCTTCTATCGCTGATTACCCCGGTTTTACTTTGTTATTCGCCTCCCCCTAACGCCAACGCCAACAAGCATGCTTTGATATTATTCGGGGCGATGATATCATGACCTCGACCCCTTAAACGTTCCCTGCGATAAGAAACCCCCATCTACGCATGCAATGTTGACATTCCCTTTCCCCCCCTCCTAAAACCACTCAGGAGACCTAATTAGTTACCGCCTATTAATAATATTTAGCTTGTCTTTTCACCCATATCGATGAACACACTGATGAAGTAATCCCTGAGCCTCGCACATTCTTCCACGAAAGATGCCTGGCAGGTTGCCCTGAGGACCTCCCTCCACATGGCCTTCTCAACATCGTAGCCGGCCGTCTCGGTGAAGTCCTCCTCGTCCCCCCATAGCCGCACGTATTGGCCCTCGTCGTTCTTGCGCAAGATGGACCCCAGCGTGGCATCCATGTGCTGGACATCGATCTTGACCTGGTTGTGGTGGATGAACAGGCACCTCGCATGGACCTCGTCGTCGCCCTCTGCCTGCAGGGATAGCTGGCTATGTCTTCCGCCGCGGCCTCTGGCGTTGTTGTTATTGTTGCTCAACCGCCAGTCGTCGGCCGGATCCGCCTGCTTCAGCGCACTCGTCTGGAACGAGCCGTTGTACCATCGACCCACGGCGCCTATGTTCGTCTGGACGCTGTAGGCTGGGTTGCCCAGCACCAGGGCGCTGTGGAGAAATGTCTCTTTATCTCCCTCGCCGTCCGCCCCCTGTGATAGCAGCGGGTAGTAGTAGTGCGGGCCGTAGAAGTTGTAGTATGTTGCCAGCAGCAGACTATCGGCGTGCCTCGCTTTATTGTACAACATGATCCCGGACTCGGAGCTCCGACTGCTGCGGCTCAGCGCCGGCGCCGGCGTGCTGGTGATGTCGTACAGGGCTGGCGATACGGTCGGCATCCAGAAGTCGGGCCAGGTGACGAGGCCGTGCGAGGTATAGGGTTTCCTGCGAAACAGATACTCGGGATCGTGGATTGGGAAGGCGTCGGCGTCGAGGAAGAGGATGTCCTGGAAAGAAGAGAAGAGTACGGAGAAGACCTTGAACTGGAACCTGCTCAGTGCCGGCATGGTGGGTGTCGTAGAGAAGATTGCGTCGAAGCTGAAGCACTCAACATTCATCTCCCCTTGGAATTGCTCGCAGACGTGGCGGCTCTTGTCGGTGGCCTCATCCAGGAACAGCTGCACCGGGAGCCTGGAACCTGTCTGGCGCAACATGAGTAGTGAGGTGACCGCCATCCCGATGTTCGAGCCCCTTGCGGTCATCACTATCCCCCGAGAGCCCCTTTCAAATGGCAATCTAGCCGACATGTCCTTGATCCTCGAGACAAAGCCATTATGTGCTGCCTTGAGCGAGTCCCGGTCCGCATCCTGGAGCTCAATGAGATCCGGCAACTGATAGACATGCCCTTCTGGATGTTTTGCCTTTGGGTCGAAGTCGAACCTATTTGCATGTTCGTATTCTGATATCGGTGGGGAAATTGGGTTTGTCCTCAGCAGTTCGGAGAGGAGCTCCTCCCAGAACTGGACGAGTCTCGGGCTTGGAAAGGGGTGCTTGGTTTCCACAAAGTAGTATTTCTCATGCTGGAACTTAACCAGGCGTGGCCTCTGGTCAACTGAGTCTCGTGAGTCTCCTGCTGTGCGACATGATAAATAATAAATGACGAAGCAGGTAGTAAAAAAGGCAGCCCAATGAATTCCATTACCCATTCGCTGAGCTGATATTAACATGGCTGTTGAGGTCCGAAGTGGTCTTCCATGGCCGATGACATCGAGACTTCGTCGATTGTGGTCATCGTGGGAATCGCATCCTATAAACGATAGGGGAAGCGGCACAGTCTCGACAGGGGAAAGATGATGCAGGGCTACGCATTACTCCAGGGCACGATCTAATCTTCGCCTTACTGAGTGGGAAAGCTGACAGGCTGTGTAAATGCGGCACGCCGGTTTGATGGCTAAAATAAGATGTAATATATTTTAAGCTACCTACATTCGCTTCAAAACTTGCCTTTGGCCCATGGCAATGACGACCATCATGCATCGGGGTCTAGAACCTAGATGATTTGTTTGACCGATTTGTTTGCCAATGTAGAGGGTTTGAGAAATATTATTCGGCGTCTGGACTTCAGTGAACCTCTTAGATATCTGATCAGCCTTGCCGACAATAGAAATTGCTTGGCGCGCGAAGGAAGGCATAATATGCAAGTTATCAATCGATCTTCCAAGGTCCCCAATCATACGTGCCGACTGAAGTCTCAGGTCTTTGCCAAAGAGGATATTGGTGCCATGCTGGCCCCATTCCACGGGGCCTTGGACGACTTGGACGACGGGTAGTCAGGATCCGTACAAGAGCATCAATGATAGCCACGCAGCAACATTTGGTGCCGCTGGCGTCGTGCTATGGAGGCATTGGTATGTATCGAGCCTTGAATTGGCTCAATAAAATTTACATGCTGTCGTCGAACCTCCCTTCTGTTCGAACTTCCATCGTGTGGTGTGAGCCTCAATTCTCAAACTCCAAGCAAACCATATGCATATATGGAGGGATGAAGTGTGCAAATGCTGGTTGCTAGGGCGTGATCACGTGTGAAAGTCACGGGAATCATCAGGTGATTTCGCGACCATCCCTTCCCTCGGGTCTGCGGACTGCCCCGCCCTGGCGCCAAACAGGTCATGCATTGTTTATGGTCAGTCGCGTGATTTGTTTACTTTTCCAACTCCGCTTCTCTCCCTTCTCTCCACGCTCTCCCCGCAGTCACACTGACCGCCGGACTTGCAGCACCTCAAACGAGCTCATGCAGGGCTGATCACGGTCTAAGAGTTTGTGGGCTCCATCATAGGTATCATCCGCTTACTGCGCCATGGTGGTATTCATCCTGTTTTGAGGGAATATTGGTCCGTTTGGAGCTGTCCCCATGTCGTCTCGCGCTTGGACTCCCCCTCAACCGCCCGCGCCCATTGGACGTGGCTGGACTCCTGGAGATGACACTAAGCACACTTGCAGCGATCCCATGGCTGCATTATTCATGGCGGCATCATGCAGACCATCCATCGTCTTGGTGGTGGTCGATGGTCGATGATCTCAGAAGACGTATTCGTGCATTAGCTAGAATTTCAAGCAAGCGAGTCAGATGGATGTCCACCTCCAAGAGCAGAGATCTGCTGCGTTGCCGTGCTGCTGCGCTTGACTGCTTCTTCTACCGGATCGGTCGATCAGTAGTTCCCCACCGATTGACGCCAGGGAGGAATCTCATTACCTCAAAGTCTTATTAGGTTCGGAAGAAATCGTTCCAACTCAAAAGTTCTGGATCTGCGTCGCTGTGTCGCATTCCTCTCCTCTCATAGAAATACCGTTGACCAATGATCTGGGCCGTGGGCGCTCTCCAGCGGCGTCTCGGGAAGTTTGCGAGGAATCCAGGGTCTTCCCGTGCCACAGCGGGCGTTTTCGGCATCTTCCAGGGAGTCCCAGAGACGAACAAATGGAGCGAATAGAGGGAGGGAACAGCGTCAGTCCCAATTGAATTGAAATTGCCCGCGCTTACCTACAGTGCGTAGTGCGTACTACCTTAGCTGCCAAGTGCCATCAGCCAACACTCGACTGCGTGACGGCCAGAAGAAGCAAGTCAGCATATTTTGGGGTATTTCCACTTGGCCCAGGCCAGGCCAGGCCAGTCAGGCCCTTCCTTGTAGTGGACTCGTGTACTGAGTAGTGCAGGAATAAACTGCAAAGGGAGGAGGCCTGGCTAATAACTCCGAAACAATCAGAGAACTCCCCTGTTGCTATGGCCTGTCTTGCTTGTCAGCGGCCGGTGGGTGGACCCTTGCTGGGATTCCATGTGGTTTCTCCCGTCAGGGCCGTCACCCGGCGGACGGAGGAAGGTCTCAGTCTTAGTACGGGAAGGTGGGTAGATGATCCAGGATCAGTTTTCCAAGAACCTGGGCGAACTGCGAAAATCCTGTAAGCTGTACTACGTATGTGTAGATCACATACTACGAAGTGCACAATGTAGCAAGACGTAGCTGTAAGAGTAGGAAAGAAATAAATACCAAATTGCTCCCCCATCATTCGCTGCTATCGATGATGCAACTTCGGCTCCTAGCGCCAGCCTTCCAAGGTTGGAGCGCAGCGCTTAGGCTGTGGACGCGCCGGGCTCCGGGCCAGCTGTGGACAGCTGTGGATTCCCAAAAGCGGCAGAAACCTGGCCAAAGAGCAAGGAACAGGGCAGTCAGTCCGGTCGTCTCAGCGCTCCACATTGACCGAGAACCCACCCAGGCCAAACCGCAAACAGGCAAGGCCCATCACCATTCGCCAATTCCCTGCAGGGCATGCAGCCAATCGCCCCTGACAACCAGAATTACGCAGTACCGCAGTACAGTACTTTGTACCGACCTTGCAGGGTAACGTCAGGTTGTTGGTGAGAAGCTGAGACTGGGACTGGAAGAGCACTGAACAACCACGCCGTGCTCAGCCAGCCCTTGCATTGGTGCTTGTGGTTGTGCTGCAAATTCGCACCTTTTCAGGTTTCTCACCTTTTCCACTCCATCTGTACCTGTTACTTAATTCTCCAATCCGTTCCTCCTCCCACCTCACTCACCTTCCTCTCTCCTCTTTTTCCGTTTCCCACCAGGCTGACCGTCGTTGACTGTCGATTGTCGACTCCGATACCCGCCGCTTTCTTGGGCCGCCCACCGCTCAGCCAAGTCCCCTCTCACAAGTCCCAGGGAATCCATATCGGACCAAACGCGTGCAATTACTGCGTAGCTCTGCATTGCAACTGCATTGCAACTGCACTACGTACGCCATTGCAGAATCTGGACGCCCTCCACGCCAGGAAAGCGGCATATCGAACAGTCTATAGAGTACCTACCTACCCCTCCGACGGTTAGGGAAAAAAATATTTGGACCGGGATCCCACCACTGCACCCCCCAACCAAGGCAAGAAAGGAGAAAGAAAGAGAGTCAAGCACGCTGGAATTTCATTTGCGCCTCTGTGCAATGCAAATGCGTTTTCAGCTCTGCTTTTGACAGTCTCCCTGGCCCCTTGTGTCTTGTTCCAATCCAACCCAACCCCACCATCCGCCCCGAGTTTGTGAATTTTGAGCTAGCTAGCTGCGTTGCACTGGACGACCAAGCTTGCCCGGCAACCGCCAAAGCCCACAACCTCACAAAAAAGATCAGGGCAGATCAGGGCAGATCCGAACAACAGACCAAAGACCCAAAAGTTACAGCATCAGCTTAATTGACTGTGACTGTGACTGCTGGTCTTGGGGAGGTGCACTGTATGTCCTTGGTCCTCTCCTATTCCTCTCTTGCTTCCTCGCTGACTCGACCCAATTGGGATATCCAGCTACCTCGATTACCTCGTCCTGTGCCGCCCTGGGTGAGGAAGCACCGAAACCATGGAGACCTCGTCACCTCTAGCTGCCATGCGGCCCCCGGCTCCCATGTTCGGACAGAGAGGCCTTTTCCGTTCCCATGCCCACTCCCACCTCTCCGCAAACCCCAGAGGGTCTGGCACCCTTAACCTCCGCGAGCAGTTTGGTCTACAACGATCCTACCAGCCCTATTCCGACTCTTTCAACTCCTTCAGCAACTCCTTCAGCAACTCCTTCAGCAACTCCTTCAATGTGAAGGCAGTCCAAGGCTCGTCGCCTGCAGCCAGTCTTGCAGCCGACCTGTCTCAGAACTTCAGCATCACAGATGCGAGGTTCGTAGCTCTACACCCGGTGCCTCCCTGGAGAATCATTGCTAATCTACAGCAGCCCTCACTTTCCCACACCTCGGCGAGCCCTCTTTACCACGGCGAACATGATGGATGCAATTGAAGGTCGTGGTAAGCTGATCCAGGCCTTGGGAGTCTCTGCCTGCTCGAGGAACCTGAATTGACTTGGATCTAGAATACTATGTCACAACCCCTCCTCTTCCACCGTCCTCCTCCCCGGCTCCCACGACTGATATGATGGATGTCTCTCCTCTGCCACATAAGGCTCCTTTCACTTCATATGTCGATCTGTATTCGCCGACTCCTGTCCAATCCCCGGGAGACTATATGATGTTGGAATCTCCCAGTCTCCCGCAGATGGTGTCTCCTGCTGTCCCGCAGATGGCGTCTCCTGCTCTCCCACACATGGCGTCTCCTGCTCTTCCGCAGATGACGTTGGAGCCCCCAAAGCCATTGAGCTTGGAGCCCCCCAAACCCGTCTTGCCTGAGTAAGTTGAATAATCCCAACGGGATTCTACCCTTCCCAAAGCTCCTGCTAACCTTAGGTCTAGGCGAAGAAAGGCTGCGTTCCGCCGGCCGTCACTCAGCCGCCACAAAGGCTACTCGACTGGAGTCGTGCCCAACCGCATGCATGTGGATACCCAGCTACAGTCGTTCCGGTTTGGTGATGATACCTCCCATCGGCCCTCCAACTCGTCCATGTCCCTGAGCGAATGCTTCCAAGCCTCGCCACCCCAGGAGCGGCGTCCTCAGACCGCCAACAGCCCCTGTGCCACAGCTGTTGCTGGTGCCCGAGCGAAGCCTCAATTCGCGAGCCTGAGTAGCATGGGTGCTCTTAGAAATGGCTCGCCTATCAACGGCCACTCTCGCCGACCCTCGAACCCCTTTATGAGGCCCCGTAAACAGTGCAGGCGCTCGTTGAGCATGTTCGAGAATCCCAACGATGTGATGAAGCCCAAGAAGGAAGACACTCCCCAAGCCACAAAGCTCCAAGCTGTTATGGATATCGAGGAGCCTCCCGAGCCTGTCCTCCCTCATTTCTTCGCCGAGGGAAAGAATGACTGCATCCCCCGCATCTCTCAGAGTACCATGCTGGATGTCTTGGATGGCAAATACTGTGATCAGTTCACCCAAAAGATGGTCATCGACTGCCGCTTCGAGTACGAGTATGAGGGTGGTCACATCAATGGCGCCATCAACTATAATGACAAGGAGCTCCTCGCAAGCCACCTGTTCCGGACCCCGATGCAAGGCCGCACTTTGTTGATCTTCCACTGCGAGTATTCCGCCCACCGAGCCCCTATCATGGCCCGCCATATCCGAGCCGAGGACAGGTCGGCTAACGCCGAGTTCTACCCGAGGCTCACCTACCCCGATGTCTACATCCTGGAAGGTGGATACAGCGGCTTCTTCACGGACCACCGTGACAGGTGCTATCCTCAGGCATATGTCGAGATGGGCGATGCCCAGCATGTCCGTACCTGTGAGCGCGAGATGGGACGTCTGCGCCAGAACCGTAAAGGCCTTAGCAGGGCACAAACTTTTGCTTTCGGCCAGAAGAACCAGTCCATCGAGAACTCGCCCACAGCCCCAGGCCGATCCAACAACCGCGAGCCACTGGACATGATGATGCTTGGTGCATCGCCCATCCTTGGCAATGACCGTTGCCACACCCGTCGCATGGCGTCCTACTAACAAGGCGCCATCTGCGATTGGTCATTCGGTCAGCACAGCACCGATAACTTCCATGCCGCACTTCCATGTACATATTAGGCGACAAAATGAAGTATTCCTTACGATCCCACCGACCCCACCGGACAGCTAGAACTTGTTACGACCCGCTGCAACCGCCTTTTGTTTCTTCCGTTTTCCATACCCGTTGATCGTGCGATCCTCGCAATGGGCAACACTGTTGTCCAACCACGGCATTCTCTCTGGCATTACTCGCATTGGCATAGAGCATCATTGCGACCGCATTGTTGAGCTGCTTGGATCTGGCATTCATCTGCAGCCCCTTCATTTTTTTGATTTCGACATCTCCATCCATCCTGGCCGGATATTTTCAGCAACGGCATAGAATCCAATGCATCATCGGCGACATTACTCTCTCCGGACCCCTGTCCTGGATCACCGTTCGATCGAGAGAGAGAGGGGAAGAGAGAGAGAGACGACTGCTCCATTTTCAGCATCGTCTATCTGGATTATCCTGGATCGAGAATCGCGAGGTTAACCCTGGCAGGGATGGGTTTTCCACTAATATCCTTCCTTACCTGTCACGAAGCACACATGACAGCATCATTACATTGCGAATTTGTGCCGCAACCCAATTACTGTACAAATCCAAACCTACACACACTCGGGACGTCCTCCCCCGGGTGCAACATCCATTTCCTTATTCATACCGATAACCTGTCACTACACCTCCTGGAGGCCGACTGTGAGATAGCCGTCTTGGGCCTCACTTGTCTAGCTCGGATGAGGAGCTCTCTGTACGAGATTGGCTTCCTAGTTCGGCAGCCTGGGGGATTAGGGCGAAGTTCAAGATTGTGCAGATATGCCTAAGGAGCTGTCTAGGCTGTTAGGAGAGCTTTAGGGGTGATTTCCTTTTTCCTGGGCGTTTCATGTCCATCAGTTAGGTGGATGGTCTTGCAATCTGTTGGCCTGTTGGCCTCTGTTGCCGCCTGCTTCACGTTCAGTTTGGCCCCTTGGCCTCCCGGACACAACTACTTCGACCCTCTTGGGGCCATCGCCTTTTGGCAGCCGGTCCTTAGCTAGCTCGCTAGCTAGAATTCGAGCACTAAAAATATTCCAATACCTTGTGTTGGCCATTCGCGTGAACAAGATTGTGATGTGGGATTTATGCTGCTGAACTTGTCGGTTGTGGCAATCTAGACCAAGGATGTGGTCCTGCGAGGCCCTCATATTTGTGTGTCTTCTTAGGTGCTCTGTCCTCTGGTTACAGTCATCACTGCACCTATATTTTCAGCCTAAAATGCCGTCAGTTGGTGGTGGTGTGGTGTGTCTTTACGAAGCCACACGGTTTTATTTCTTTCAATTGGGACTTGAAGGTGGTTTACTTCAAGGTTAGCTTTTCCTTCTGCACTTACCTCTTTACACGGCTGCTGGATAGGCCATGCCCAGGGCCATTTAGATGTTGCTTATTTGAAGAGTTGGGCGGCGGAAACCTCCAAGGTTCTCATATTATATGGTACCTGATATCGGATGGTCTCCAGGCGGTCGACTCCCGGCCCAAATTTACTGATACATGCGCCCGTTGTTGCAGGTCCGGTTGCATACGGCCCCACTATTCCGGCATATGCCCGGACCCATATACGCGATAACCAGGTAGTTAAACGCAAATATCGTTAAACAGGATTTGCAGCAGCCAGCATTTGCATCATCAATTTTGAGGTTCACGGCTTGAGGATATCGCCTCTGCGCCTCAACTCGATTGAGCCGGCGTCTTCTGGCGTCTCTTACGCTTTTCCAATCTTTTCCAAACCTTCCCAGTACCACCCAAGCGCGCGCCACCTTCTACTCTTAAACGCGCCAGATCACCGCGATCTATGGGGGGTCTGAACTCCCAATAGGCCTACCTGCCCTGTGGGCTTCAAGCCATCATGGCAACGAAAATGTGAGTCGCACCGTCGCCGGACTGTCCACCTCACTTTCTGATCAAATAGCTTCGTATTCGGCAATGCCAATGGCCAACTCGAAGCGGCCTTCAACAAGCTGAGCACCTTGCATGCGAAAAACAACTTCTCCCTTGCCATTGTGACGGGCAACCTCTTCGCCGAGGCCGAAGACGACGATGCCGTCGCCGCGCTCCTCGATGGCCGAATCTCGGTTCCATGTCCGACATACTTCACGGTCGGCACACACGCATTACCCCCGCCGGTTGTTCAGAAGATTGAGAGCGACGAGGAGATTGCGCCGAATCTACACTACCTTGGAAAGAGAAGCGTGACCAAGACCTCGGAGGGGCTGCGCATCGTGGCGCTGGGCGGAATGTTGGACACGACGATTGTTGGTGGGCAATCTAAGGAGCAGCACCTGCCATTCCACACGCTAGACGACGCAAAAGCTCTGCGAGGCGCAAACTCTGCTGATATCCTCCTCACAGCCCTGTGGCCGGCGGGTGTGTGGAAAGGGTCGAATGTTGCGATGCCGGTCGAGCCTGCCAATATCCCGGCTACGGATTCAGTCGCGGATTTGTGTGCGGCGCTAAAGCCACGGTATCACCTTTCTGCGTCACCCGGGGAATTCTTCTACGAGCGAGAACCTTTCTTTTTCCCACCAGCAGATGATGGGGGCCAGCCGACTGGCGAAGTGACGCGCTTCATCTCCCTAGCTCCATTCGGCAACACATCCAAGGCCAAGGCCCTCTACGCCTTCTCTCTCCAGAATGAGACGCCGGTTTCCTTACCACAAGGGAGCACATTATCTCCCTTCTCCCGCCCTGCCTCCGGGAAGAAGCGTCCGGCAGCAGATTCCGGCTCCTACTCTCGCTTCGGAAACGGGCATCCGAACGAGCACAAGCGGCGTAAGAGTTGGCGGGATCGATCACCACCACCCGGACCCGACAAGTGCTTCTTTTGCCTGTCGAACCCCAACTTGTCCACCCACATGGTGTGCAGCATCGGCGACGAATGCTACGTCGCCACGGCCAAGGGCCCCTTGCCGTCCGCCGCCACCTTCAAGAACCACGGCCTGGAATTCCCGGCCCACGTGGTCATCGTGCCCCTGACGCACGCACCGACGGTGACCACGGCCGCGATGGGGGAGACGGACGCCGCAAACACGTTCAAGGAGATGTCGCGCTTCCGCGAGGCGCTGCAGGCCATGGTGTCGTCGCAGACGAAGCAAAAGCTCGGCGCCGTGACGTTCGAGATCAACCGCGCGAGGGGCATCCACGCGCACTGGCAGTTCCTCCCCGTGCCGGCGAACATGGTCCAAAAGGGCCTGGTGGAGGCCGCCTTCCGGGTCGAGGCGGAGAACCTGAAGCTCCCCAAGTTCGAGGTCAAGGACTTCGGCGTCGGGGACGAGGTCGGCGGCGACTACTTCCGAGTGTGGATTTGGGCCGAGGAGGACGGCGGCGACGACGACGGCGGGCGGATCATCGGCAAGAGCCTCCTGATGCGGTTCGACGAGGGCGTCCGGTTCGATCTGCAGTTCGGTAGGCGCGTCCTCGCCAAGCTGCTCGGCCTTGATAGCCGGTTGATCTGGCAGGACATACAGCAGACGGAGGAGGAAGAGACTGCCGAGGCCAGGGCGCTCCAGAAGACGTTTAAGCCGTGGGATTTCACGATGGCGGATGCTTCGTGATGGTCCGTCTTTCTGCTGGGCTGCATGGGACTGGCGATCTGGCGAACGAGTAGACTCGCCGATGGGGTGGATATTCGTCGATCTTGGGAGGATGTACGATATTCAAAAATAGGTCCCTAGGTATACCCCTGGGAGCTTAACACCGGTAGACGGTAAAATCGGATAGAGCAATAATGGCGTTGAGCCAAAACTGCCCCACTATGGGGGCCAATCTATCAGCTTATCTTATCGCTCTTTGGCCTTATCGGCTCAGCGAGGTGGGAAAAAAAATCGAGATCATTGCCAGCTCCACACCGCACTGAGAGATCGTGAAGACTTGCAAATCCGAAGAATCTTTTGATTCGGATACCGGCAAAATGCCTTCCACCTCGTCGGGACGGATTATGAAAGCCCGCCGGGCAACAAAGTTGACTCTCCATGCCAAACAGCACCGATGGGAGTCCTTCAGCAGGAAAATATCGAAGCTCCATTCGCTCGATCCGCTCCGCAAAGTGCGCCGCCACGACCTCGACGCCGAGGACCTCTCTGCAACGACCTCGTACCTGCGAAACGGTCTCGACAAATGGAGCGAGCTCAACGTCTCGCGGCCCTTTGCCGCGTTCAAAAGGGACGTCCTGCCCCTCACCGAATCCCTCGCCCAGATCCTCCACTTCGAGGCCCGCATCATGGACCTGCTGGCCAAGTACATAAGTCTGCAGGAGAAGGAATCGCTGGAGCCGCTGCTGGACCTGCTCACGGCGTTCGCGCACGACCTGGGCACCCGCTTCGAGAAGCACTACCCGCGCGCGCTGGGGCTGATCGTCAGCATCGCGGGCCGGCCGGGCGACGTCGAGGTCATTGAGTGGACGTTTGCCGCCATGGCGTTCCTGTTCAAGTACCTCTCCCGCCTCCTCGTGCCGGACCTGCGCCCGACGTACGACGCCATCGCGCCCCTGCTCGGGAAGGCGAGGAACCCGGGCCACATCGCCAGGTTCGCCGCCGAGGCCATGAGCTTCCTGGTCAAGAAGGCTGCCGCGCCCGGCAACAGGGAGACGGCCCTGCCTCTGCTCGTGGAGCATGCTAGGAAGGATCTGGAGTCCGTGGCTGGTACGAGGCAGTTTGAGCTGTACAGCCAGGGGGTCATGACCATGTTCGCCGAGGCCATCAAGAGCACTGGCTTCGCCCATACCGTGCATTCGACGGGCTCAGGCACCTTCCTCGCCCTTATCGCGGCGGTCCCGGATGCAGAGCTGGTGCCGGGATCGGAGCAGGCTGTGTGGACGGATGTCTGCTGCGGCGTGCTCACGAGCATTATCCACCACTCGACCGTTCAGACGTTCACGACTGTCGAAGAGGCAATCGTTGAGGCGGCAGATGCTGCCGTGGATGAGTCGAACACAGCGGAATTCTCTTGGAGACCAGTAGTCTTCGCTCGGCTTCTGGGAACGATGGCCGGAGTCCGCAGGGGCGCGCGTGTGAGCGATTGGCCTGCCCTGATCAAGGCGCTATCCAAAACCTTGGAGCGCCTGACAAAATTTCCCGACAACATCACGAACGTCCACGTGGACTTTCTTTGGCAGGGCGTCGTGGTCAACACCGCGATCGTGTGGAACCAAGCGCCAATGGACGCTCTGATACCGTCAATTTCGCAGCTCATGGGGGCACTGACCAGGGAGCCGTTGATGAGATGCTACATCCCATTCTGTTCATACTTTGCGGACCTAAACTCGGACCGTTTCCGCAGTCTCTTCCAGAAACACTTCGAAAGGTAAGGCAGCTAGTGTCCGTCTCCAGCCGTCAGTTTGCTAACTTGGCAAAAGGTTTATCATGGTACATTGGTCCGATACCGACAACGAAGAGATGTTGTGCACACTTCTACCTCATATGGCAGAGATTGGAGCGCTCACGCCAGATAACGAGAAGGACGGCTGTGCGCTTCCACAGTCGTGGCAAGGTCAAATCGTTGGCAAGTTTGAGCGTCTCGAGATCACACCATTCCCCGAGCGAGGCTCCTACGACAAGGACCCGAAGGAATGGCGGGACAAGTGCCTGCCGAAGTACTCGGCGCTGTTGCAAGTGCTCGAGTCGACATCGGTCCACCCATCAACCAACGCGAGGATAGCGGAACTACTCCTACGGAAGCTGAAGCTCGCCCTGAGGCCGTCGTCATCGCCCACTACGGAGGAAGCAAACTTCATCGTCAGCCATGGATTTCATGCGTATTTGCGCATGGCGAAACCTTCCGGGACCCTGGATACATCCATAAGCCCCTTACTCAGGGCTGCAACACCTCGCTTTTGCCACCTCCCCGGTTTCCTCGAGGCATTATTGGCCTATGAGGAGGCCATTTCCAAACTTACTCCCGACAAGCCTATGAGTGATAGCAGTGAAAGCCCCGAAGCCGAGGAGAACCCCCTTGTCAAGTCATTGGTCCACAACCTGTCCACGCCATCTCACCGGCTACGCCTCGCCTCCCTGCGTAATCTTGAAACCCTGGAAGCCACCCCCGACCAGAACTCTGCCCTCGCGATCATGTTGCAGGTTGAGCAGACGCCGCTTGATCTACAGAATGCCAGGACAATATCCGTGCATCTCCGCAAGTTGGGCCAGACGTATGCAAACCTCGACAGCAATTCTTGGCTGCGTCAGGCCATCCCGGCCTTCCTCTTTGGCATGATGACGGTGAAGTTGTCCCCTGTCTGGGATGACGCGGTCGAAGCCATGAAACAGATCGCCAGCGACAAAAGTGGTGAGGAGATCATTGCCACCCTCGCCTTCGACTGGATGGAGATCACATCAAAGAGATGGGACGGACCAGGCCGGCAATCTTTGGGATCTAGGCGTCCGTATCTATCGGATTTCGAGTGCCTGAACTGGATGAAACTCCAGGAAGCTGCAAAATTGACAGGCAGTGTGCTTTCCCAGCCATCACACGCGATATTGCAGACATTCGAAGACGGCCAGGAAACAGTATCTCCCCGTCCAGATGATGCCCGGACCAGGGCACTAAAGGTTCTTTCTGCGCTGCCGGCCATCGCGGAGAAACGATCCAGGAAGTTTGTCCCCTATCTTCTGTCCTTTACCTCCGAGGATGATATCCCAGTCGATGAATCAGACGACGAACCTGCAAAGTCACCTGAAGATGGCTGGTCACTCCAGGATAGGAAGGCCCTCGTCGGTGTCTTTGCACAGTTCAACAACCCCAGGGTTCTCTACCAGAGCCAGAGGGCATATGACTCCCTCTTGCGGCTGATTGCAAACGGCGACGTGGATATTCAGAAGCCTTCACTCAAGGCTATCCTGGCGTGGAAACAGGAGGGGGTCAAGCCGTACCAGGAGCACCTAGAGTACCTCCTCGACGAAGCCAGGTTCAGGAACGAGCTTACTGTCCTCTTCCAGGGCGACCAGAAAATCCGCGCAGAACATCGCGCCGAACTCATGCCCGTTCTTCTGCGACTCCTTTACGGTCGGACGATCTCGAAGAAGGGCGCCGCCAGTGGCCGCCACGGGCTCCATAATACACGGCTTGCCGTCATCAGAAGCCTGAATGTGGATGATGTGGGCAGTTTCCTGGACATCGCCCTCGGCAGCCTTCGGGGCATCCAGATCGTCGACGCATCTGGCATCCGAGAGGCGACATTCAGCAAAGAAATGGTCCCGGCTCGCAAGCTGGTCGGTCTTCTCAATATGGTGGAGGCCATCATAAACGAGCTGGGCACCAGCGTGCTTTCGTACATGGAGGCACTAGTCAACACAGTGCTCTATTGCGTGATTTGGGCGAGTCGCCAGCTCGAGGAAGATTACGGAGATGTCGAAGAGGAAGAGACGACATCCCACACATCTCTCTTTAAAGTTGCTCGGACCACGGCTCTCAAATGCGTCTGCAAGTTGTTCCAGAACACGCAATCTTTCGACTGGACTCCCTACAAAGACGCGATAGTTCGCGAGGTCATCAGCCCGAGGATCGACAAGCTCCCTCGCGACAGTACCCAAGGCGTCTCCTGGACCTGGCAGCTGCTGGCCACGTGGTCGGTTCTTCCGGCGCCGGCCATGTTCCTTTCCATCGACGATCGCATCCTCCCAAGGGTCGTGGACTGCCTTGAAATCGAGAAGACCAAGGATGAGGTCAAAGTGTTCGCCCTGTCGATTGTGCGAAACCTGGTCAAGCTCGCCCTCGCGCCAGCGGCTGAATCAGAGTACAACGAACTGATCAAGTCGGAGCTGCTGGACCCGAATGTCGATCTCATATTCAAGCGGATTGGTGACCTCCTACGGGACCAACACGATATTGGGCGAGATCTGCTGGAGGCAGCCATCGAAACCGTGGTGGAGCTCGCCCCCATTGTCGAGAAGTCGAAGAACGTCGAAGATATGGTGGATATCTCGACCTTCCTTCTCCAGCAGCCGTCGCGCAAGGTTAACCCGAAAGTTAAGGGATCCATCCTGCTCATCCTCAAGCAGTTCATCACTCGGCAAGAAGTCCAAGGCAATGCGAATCTCAAGAGCAGAGTATACGATACCATCGTTCCGCTCTTCAGTTACTTTAAAGACAGGAACAACAGGCAGGCACTGGCGGAAGTCTTGGTGGTCTTTGCCTCGCAGGAACCCTCTCTTCAGGAGGTGGCAGCCCTGTGCTCAGACCTAAACGCGTATGTTGAAAACAGGCTGGATGAGCCAGATTATAACAAGCGCCTCTCGGCATTTAATGCCATCTCCAGGGAGCGGGAGGTCCCTTTCACCATTGGACAATGGTCGGCGTTTCTGCACAACATGGTCTTCTTCATCCAGCAGGATGAGGAGTTTGGGGTTCTATCTACGAACTCGGCCGATGGGCTCTGCAAGTTCATCGGGGCGGCGAAGTCTGTTTGGGACGGCCCGGAACAGGAAGCGTATGCGAATTTGCTCTCCACGATCATCCTGCCAGAGCTCTACGCCGGCGCGCGGGAGGTGTCGGAAACGGTCAGGCGCGAGCATCTCCGCGTCTTCGCCTTCCTAGTCTCGCACCTCAGAGAATGGGCGCCGATATCTGATTTGTCAGTCCTTGTCCCCGAGTCGGACGAGGATACCGAGAATGCCTTCTTCTTCCATATCTTGAGCCCGGCCGTCAATAGACAGTTGCAGGCGCTCCGGCTGCTGCAGCAAGCGAACGATCGTGCGGGGATGCAAAGCAAGAACGTCAGCCAGTTCTTCATCCCGCTGCTGGAACACTTCATCTTCGACCGTCCCGAGGGTGGCGACGACCATGGCTTGGCGGCGCAGGCTACGAACACAGTTGCCAGCTTGGCAATGTCCCTGGAGTGGCAGCAGTACCGTGCAGTGCTTCGCCGCTTCATATCGTTCATCGAGTCCAAGCCGGACTTCCAGAAGCGGGTCATCCGGCTCCTCGAGAAGGTCGTCGACTCCCTACGGGCGGCCATCTCCGAGAAAGCGGATGGTGACTCGATGGACTTGGATCGAGGGATCGGGCCTCGCCGCCTTGCTCGCACCCTTCCCAGTCAAGAGAAGGTGAGCGATGAGATTGTGGGCGCCGCTCTGCCATCGCTCGTCAAGTACCTTCATGAGAAGGACGAGACAACCGTCAGCGCACGGGTGCCAGTCGGGGTCATCATCGTCAAGCTCTTGAAGTTGCTGCCCTCGCAAATCCTGGACCAGAAGCTTCCGGCTGTTCTGACAGATATATGCCACATCCTCCGAAGCAAGGCGTGGGAGTCGCGGGAGATGGCTCGGGAGACCCTGGCAAAGATCACCTGCATCCTCGGCGCCCAAGGTTTCGGCTTCGTCCTCAAGGAACTTCGCGGGGCGCTCACCAGGGGGTATCAGCTCCACGTGCTGTCGTACACTCTGCACTCGATCCTCGTCACCGTCATCCCCGAATTCAACCAGGGAGAGCTCGACTATTGCCTGCCATCCATCGTCGCTGTTATCATGGACGACGTCTTCGGCGTCACAGGGCAGGAGAAGGATGCGGAGGGTTATTCCACCCAGATGAAGGAGGTCAAGAGCAGCAAGAGCCAGGATTCCATGGAGCTCATTGCGAAGAACGCGTCTATCATCCACCTTGTCGACCTGGTCCATCCTCTCCAGTCCCTCCTGCTCGAAAAGCTTGACTTGCGCATAGTGCGGAAGATTGAGGATCTGTTGAGCCGCATTACGTCGGGGCTACTTCAGAACCCAGCCGCCGAGAGTCGAGATACGCTTGTGTTCGCGTACGAGGTGATACAGGAGGTCTACAAAAGCCAAAAGCCCCAGGCCGAGCCCAAGATCGACCCCAGGCTGAAAAGGTACCTTGTCCAGAAGGGAGCAAAGAAGAACGACCGCGGCACAACCACCAAGCATACATACAAGCTGGTCAGGTTTGCTCTCGACATCATCCGGTCTTCTGTGAAGAAGCACGACAGTTTGCGCACTGCAGCCAACATTGCCGGCTTCCTCCCCATTCTCGGCGACGCGGTGGTTGGTGGCGAGGATGAGGTCCGAACAGCCGCCTTCAAGCTCCTCACCGTTATTGTCAAGATGCCCTCGAAGACGGACGACTTCGTCAACCTGTACAAGGTGGCCGCGAAAGAGGCTATCAAGGGCATATCCATGTCTTCGTCGACGTCTTCGGATCTCGCCCAGTCCGCCTTGAAGCTCCTATCGGTGTTGATGAGGGACAAGCGGGAGATCCCGGTCAAGGATGCCGCTGTCGACATGCTGCTCGGGAGACTGAAGGACGACCTTACTGAACCACTTTACCGACACGTGACGTTCAACTTCTTGCGTTCCGTGTTGGACCGCAAAGTCGAGACCGCCGTTGTCTACGACACCCTTGACTACGTCGGCACGGTTATGATCACCAACGACGACAAGGACACGCGCGACCTGGCGAGAGGCGCTTTCTTCCAGTTCCTCCGCGAGTATCCGCAGAAGAAGAGCCGCTGGACCAAGCAGCTCAGCTTCATCGTCGCCAACCTCAAGTACGAGCGCGAGGGGGGCCGACTGTCCGTCATGGAGGTGATCCACCTGCTGCTGATGAAGTCGGCCGACGACTTCGTCCAGGAGGTCGCGGCGACGTGCTTCATCCCGCTCGTGTTCGTCGTCGCCAACGACGACAGCGAGAGGTGCCGCCTCGCGGCGGGCGGCCTGGTCAAGGAGATATTCCGCAGGGCCGACAAGGAGCACCTGCAGAAGTTCCTGACGCTGCTCCGGTCCTGGCTCCAGCAGGATGAGAACCCGGCCGTGCTGAAGCTCGCGCTCGAGGCGTTCGGCTTCTACTTTGAGGCTAGGGAGGCCAGTGCCAAGGACAAGAAGGACCTGGGCTTGGTGGTGGACAAGGCGACGGAGATCTTGGCGGGCCAGGAGACGGGAGAGGCGGGCTGGGAACTTGCCAATGCGTCGCTTCAACTGGTACAGGTCTTGCTCGAGAAGTACCCCCATAAGATCTTGTCACGGGAGTCTCAGGATCTGTGGGATGGGATCCATGAGTCCCTGTCACATCAACACGGAACAGTCAGGCTCACTTCTATCAAGCTGCTCAGCATGTATCTTGCCGACTTTGCAAGTAATACCAAGGCAGGCACCGCGCAAGAGACCTTCTCCGGGTCGCATGGCTTAGAACTCGACAGGGAGGACATATTCGACCTGGCGAAACTTACTCTTGGCATATTCACGGCTCCCGAGGTGGACGAGGCCCTTGCCGAGGAAGCGGTCCGGGTACTTGTGTTCCTGGGCGGCTATCTCGAATCCCATGTCCGCGGAGCAGACCCCGAGGAGAGTGAGGACGAAGACACCAATGAGCCGGAGCAGAAGGAGCGGAGGACGGGGCTGGGGTATCTGTTCTGGAAGCTGGCCGCCGTCGTCAGGAGAGAGTCTCGGCCGAACTACCAGTCGCTGATCCCCAAGGTCGCGGCGATGGACGTGCTCGAGGCGTTCTGCGTCAAGTCGCCGAACGAGGTCCTCCTTCCGAACATCAAGACCATCCTCCGCCCCCTGCGGAACCTCAGCGATCCCTCTATCCCGTCGCCGTTTTCGACCGACGAGGCTTTCAAGACCAAGTACGATGATCTGAAGTCCAAGGCTCAGGCCATCATGGATCTCCTGCAGAAGAAGCTCGGCACGGCAGAGTACACCAAGAACCTCTTAGCGGTTGGGGCGGATATCAGGGGCAGGAGGGAGCAGCGGTCGAGCAAGCGCAAGATCGAAGCGATCACGCAGCCGGAGAAGTATGGCCGGGACAAGAGGAAGAAGTTTGAGAAGAAGAGGGAAAGGAGGAAGGTCAAGGGACAGCAACACCGTGATTTGAGGAGGGGCTATTAGATTTGGGGCCCCTGAGATGGGCAATAGAGGGAGATAGATAATGGGGCGGAAAAGCCCTGCGTATCGTGATTTATACAGTTTATATGTCTATATGCGAACAGAGTTGTGAGATATGGTACAGTCTATGCAATTTCGATCCGGGTATTCCTTGCGATTAACTCCAATATGTGATAAAAACAGCCCGGTGTCACAACCACACCAACACCATGCAACCGCCCCCCTTTTTTTTCCTAACCCGACTTCTCCCCAGCAGCAGCCGCAGCAGCAGCACTCTTGAACGTCGCCCCAGGAGGCAAATCATCCACTTCTTCCTTCTCCTGCCCCCCCGCGCCGCCCACCACCACCACCTCCCCCTCCCCGTCGGGGTCGTCGGCGCCGCCCCTCCTCGTGACGGTGCCGTCCTCCCAGAACTCGACGTCGCCGTCCTCGCCGAGGGTGCCGCGCTTGACGAGGCGCCCGCGCCCGCGCATCAGGTCCTCGACGGTGCCCGAGGGCGCCTCGGAGAAGACGCCCAGGTGGTCACTCATGACGTGCCGGTTGCGGCAGCCCGGACACGTGATCAGCACCGAGCCGTGGTGGTACCCCTGCTTCGAGACCTTGTGGCGCGAGCGCTCGCCGCACGGGACGCAGGTGAAGGTTAGCTCGTAGTGGGGTTGCTGGGCTACCCGTGGTTGCTTGGGTTTGTGTTGGTGCTTGGATTGGGAGGTTGGTGCTGCCGGGGGGCCGGACTGGTCGGTTGTTGTTGTTGCTGCGGCGGCGTGAGAGCGAGGCCGGGGGATGCTGTGGGCGGCGCGGAGGAGGAGCGGTTGGGGATGCTGGGCGGCGAGCGGGAGGCGTGGGAGGAGGGAAGGTCCCGTGGGGTGGAATTGGGGACGGGAAGCCTTTATTGCTGGGGCGATTGGTCTTGAGAGCTGGGCTAGCAGCGCATGTGCGCGTCTTGATGCCATGTTTATGTGGGGACGCTCGAATGCAGGCTTCTTTTTTTGGTGTGTTGAAAGATTGCAAGTAAAAAAGAGATGCTTGCAGATGCTCTCTACATAGGTACCTCTAATTGATGGAAGGACGTCGGGGGACAAGCTCGGATAAATTAAGCTCAAAGCTCAGAAAAATTACGGCGAATCATAACTTCTTCCGTGTTTGGAGGGGCAAGTATGGGAAAGCGCTGAGTGTGGGGTTAAAGCCGTTGGTCCTGCTCTTAGCACGCAGCCATTTGTTCTTGAGGTTGCCTAACCAATTTCACTCTATCTTGACGGATATCTCAGCGCCAGCCCCTTTGGTCGTGTATGTCATGTCTGCAGCTAAAAAAAATCCGGTGTCACTTTTGCAGTGGTAAGTTCTCGGCGTCCCAGACCATCCACTCCCTTCCCTCTCCCGGTCCCGACTTCTAGCTCGGAGCTTCAAGGTTCAGCTGCCGAAAACTGACGACGACCTTGCTCGGCGCGCCATTTAGAATTCCAGAAATTTAGCCTCCCTCTGTCTCTTGCTTCGCCCAAAACATATTCGCTCTCAGCTTTAGTTTGCCCCTATCAGGATTGCCTGAATTCCACCCACCATGATGGGGTCGAGGGGTGGTAGAATCCGGCCTCCTCGACGTGTAAGCTCAGAGCCTATCTCCCAAACCCAAACCCAAACCCAAACCCAAGACTGGCCCTGCTAACAAACATGCACCAGCCCATCATCGGTCGAAACGATATTGGCGACACCGAAGCCTGTTGGAACCTCCTTCGCGATTCCCTAACCGATATTCATAACAGGGATGCATCAAACCTTTCGTTCGAGCAGCTCTATAGAGCCGCCTATAAGATAGTACTGCGGAAACAAGGAGATCTGCTCTACGACAGGGTCAAGGCGTTCGAGGAACAATGGTTTGCCGACCATGTCGTTCCCCGTATACATGGCCTTCTCTCCAAGCAGCTCGTCAGCGTGTCACTCCTTCAGCCGCCTACTTCGAGCACCAACGAGCGCCGCCAGATGGGCGAGAAGTTTCTGAGGGGCGTGAAGGACTCATGGGAAGACCACAATATGTCTATGAATATGATCGCCGACATCATGATGTACCTGGATCGCGCCTACACCCAGGATTCGGGCCTTCCTTCGACATGGAGTGCCACAATTGGTCTTTTTCGAGATCACGTCCTTCGATCTGGCCTAGGCAGCCTCGCCGATGATGTGGATCACGAATGCATCATATTTGACATACTTAATGCCGTGGTGCTGGACTTAATCAATATGGAAAGAGACGGGGATGTCATCGATCGCAGCTTCATCCGTGCCATCATACATATGCTGGAAGTTCTATACGAGACCGACCACGAGCAAGACAACCAGAAGCTCTACCTGACCGTCTTCGAACCAGCATTCCTCACTGCAAGTCGAGCTTTCTATCAAAACGAGTGCCAGAAGCTGGTCCGCGAGGCGGATGCGAGCACATGGCTCCGCCACACGCAACGACGCCTGGTCGAGGAGCAGGACCGGTGCAATACAACCATATCCCCACCGACGTACGAAAAGGTCGCCAAGGTGATTGACGAGGACCTGATCTCTGCGCACATGGAGGAATTCTTGGCCATGGAGGGCAGCGGTCTGAAGATCATGATCGACAACGACCAAATCGAAGACCTCTCCATTCTGTATCAACTCATCTCCCGAGTCGATCCAAACAAGACGCAACTTAAGAATACCCTTCAGGTTCGCGTCATGGATCTGGGCTTAGACATCGAGAAGGCACTTAAAAACACGGATTTCTCAGTGCCAGCTCCCAGCGGAGAGGGTGACGAGGCGTCGAAGGAGGTGCAAGAAAAAGCTAAAGCTCCTCAGCCTCTTAGCGCCACGGCGCAACAGACGGCAGCGGCAATAAAGTGGGTGGACGATGTGCTGACGCTGAAGGACAAGTTCGACTACCTGTGGGTTCACTGCTTCAACGAAGACCTGATCCTGCAGTCGGCCGTGACCAAGAGCTTTTCAGACTTTATCAACATGTTCAACCGGAGTTCCGAGTACGTGTCGCTCTTCATTGACGACACTCTGAAGAGGGGAGTCAAGGGGAAGACGGAGGCAGAGGTAGACACGCTTCTAGACAAGGCAATCGTCCTCCTCCGATATGTTACCGATCGGGACATGTTCGAAAGATACTATCAGAAACACCTCGCCCGAAGGCTGCTGCAAGGTAAATCCGACAGTCAGGACGTCGAGAAGGAGATGATCTCCCGCATGAAGCAAGAGGTGGGCAACCACTTCACGACCAAGTTTGAGGGCATGTTCAAAGATATTGAACTCTCGAGAGACATGACGGAGAATTACCGGGAGCACATCCGCAGCCTTGGGGACGTGGATGTCAGGCAAGTTGATCTCTCCATCAGCGTCTTGACCACCAACAACTGGCCGCCGGATGTCATGGGCCGTACCGCGCTCCAGGAAGGTGCGCCCAAGGCCGAGTGCAATTTCCCACCGGAGATCAAGACCTTGCAGAGCAGTTTCTACAAGTATTACCTCAAGGACCGGAGCGGCCGCGTCCTGACCTGGGTTGGGACAGCCGGGACCGCCGACATCAAGTGCCTGTTTCCCAAAGTCCCTGGCAAGGAAACGGGGCCCCTGAGCAGAGAGAGGCGCTACGAGCTGAATGTGTCTACGTATGGCATGGTCGTGCTGTTGCTCTTCAACGACCTGCCTGATGGCGAATCTCTGAGTTTCGAGGAGATCCAGGCGAAGACTAACATCCCCACCCTGGATCTGGTCAGGACATTGGCCTCGGTTTCGGTGGCTCAGAAGGCGAGGGTGTTGCTCAAAGAGCCCATGACAAAAATGGTGAAGGCGGGCGATCGTTTCTCGTTTAACAGTGGCTTCTTGAGCAAGACTATCAAGATTAAAGCGCCGACTATCACCAACATCTCCAAGGTCGAGGGTGAAGAGGAGCGCAAGGAGACGGAGAAGAAGAACGACCAGACCCGAGCTCACACCGTCGACGCGGCGATTGTGAGGATCATGAAGTAAGATGAATAGCGTCCCCGGCGACGCGACTTGTCTTGGTGCATCGATGACTGACAAATGTTTTTGATGCAGGCAACGTAGAGAGCTGAGCCATGCCAACCTCGTGACTGAGGTTATTGGCCAGCTTGCCAGTCGCTTCAAGCCCGACGTCTCCATGATCAAGAAACGCATTGAGGATCTCCTTGCGCGAGAATATCTTGACAGGGGTGACGAACCTGGGCACTATATCTACATGGCGTAAACGGGGAGGAGTCGGGGAGAATATTCTTCTCTGATGGTTTATTCATACGGAGCTTTTCTTGGTCCGCGGCGTCACGATCGGGAGGGGGCGGCAATCATTAAATCATAGCTAATTTTCCCTTTTTTTCCCCCCGCTCCCCTTGTCCGGTTTTCTGTGTTTCTTGCATGGGAAGCAAGGGAGTTGGGATGGCTACGATCCGGGCTGGTCTGGTGTCTGGTGTGAATGAATCATGGCACAGGCGTTACGAACACGTTGCTCAGGAGCATAGCAGCATAGATGTCATACCACAGAAGAATCATTCATCCAGAGACGGGAGCTACATGGGAGCCTCGCATTTCGGCCATTATTATCGCATCCACGTTTAGAGGTGGGTCTAACTAATAAAGTTGCAACAGCTCGTTGCATCGTCCTCTTTGCTCTCACATGTGAAATTCCTACCTCAGGGACATGGGGGTAGAAGTCCCTCCCTGGCATCCCCCAGTCGAATCTGACCAAAATAACAGATGCCCCGATTCCGCAACTCATGTACACATCTCAAGAGCGTGAGTTCCCAGACAGGATGATGACCACTATGGTGCCGATATTTGCCAAGCCCTATTGAACGGGCCGTTCGGGTGGGTGACAAACGGTAGGATAGGGGTCCAGATACCTACTAAACTGAGCTGATCGGCCCCTTCCCGCTCCCGCTGCGGGTCCAGGCTTACAGCGAAAGCAACCTAGTTGGGCTTGGCTTCCTGTTCGCAGACAGTAACGACACCGTATATCCTAATGGGGCCTCTTCATGGCAGCCGGGACAGGTCTGTAGTTCGAGCAAAGGTCTGAAGAGGGTGAGGCCGACCTTGCTTAGGCTGGCTTCCAAGCCCTGGGTCTGCTGCCTCCGTGGCAACGGTCCCGTCGTCATTCTGACGGCGATGGAAGAAACTGGGCACCGGGCTGACTCAATGTACTCCGAGATTGATGAGGTTGGGTGTTAATTGAAGGATGTATCGCCTTTAAACTTCTCCGTGAAGTCGAAATATCGAATTGCGTGGGGGTAATTATATCAGGGTGCTGGGACAGGAGCATGACGGGGTAGCTGGGAATTATCCCAGCGATTACGCAAATGGAGAAGGAAAGCAGATGGGAGTGCAGCGATCGCCTCGTCGCCTCCCAATTCTGACAAAGCTCTTTTTTCGAGGCAAGATGGCGACAACCTGAGGGTCCTTCGTTGGGCAACCTTGCTGGAGGAAGCCCATTCAACGGTTGTGTCATACCAAGGTACCTCGCTCTGGCTTAATAAGCAACTACGAAGGAGAAAGTAAACAAAGCCGACCTCGCGGCCCGACTCTAGGCGCAAGTAACATCAGGTTCAATCTGCTGTCTAGAAAATGCAGGTGCAATTTGACAAGAATTAGTGAGCATAGCATCGCTAAGGCCCAGGTCTATTTCTTTGTCATAGGATGGCTCGCAGGTTAGGAAGGGGCTATCAAGCCTGCAAATGAACTCAAGTCAACACCCCAAAATAGAGCTGCCCTTTGACAAACTTTCTCATAGATAGGTACCTACCTAGGTAGAAGGATCTGTTTAGCATCAGTTACTTCTTTCCTCATTCGACTCTTTGGACTTCTTAATGCGCGACGTCCTCCGTATGTATAATTGGAAGTTGCTTTTCGATCACGAACGCCTTCCCACGTCCATCTGCCGATGCCTTCTCTCCGTTCGAGACTCCGAATATTCTGAACCCGTGTGGTACGATACCTGAAAATTCTCCACGCAAATAGAACGACTTCCCTAAGTTCACCGGTCACTACCACCTTTCCATTCCTTGCTAAGGCTCCTGGGAAGTCGTCCTGTGAGTGGAAGCGTTTCTGCGAACCTCTCTGGCTGCCTCGTTCGAGCCTTCCAATCTCTCGAGCATACGATGTGCAAACAACCCTTGCAGTTGGGAGCCCCTTCTCCACCCCAAGTCACTTCCATCTCTCGAAAACGCTCTTTCCCTTTCACAAAATAGGTATGGCCACAACCTGCCGCCCCTCTGGTCCATCCTTGAACTATAAGAGCAGTCATCTGCCCTCCTCTTTGCTGATTCTCTTTCTCTCCTTCGTTCCACTTGTGTTCCATCGACTTTTTGCCCTCGGCACCCCCGTCTCTATTGACACTCTCGCCTCCATCGACTCTTTACCCTCTGTCAATTCTCCCGTCCTACGCTGGCACCTCGTCTCCGTCAACATTCTCGTCCTCCCCCAACACTCTCGTCCTCATCGACAATCCCGTCTGCCAGCACTCTCGCCCTGTCAATGCTTTGTTTTTGATCGACTCGCATGCCCTCCTTATACTTCTACTTCTCCGTTGACTCGTTCTTCATCAGCTCTTGTCTCCTCCTGCCAGCCGCTCATTTCTTCAATTGCATTCCCTCTCCTCTGCTCAGTCAAGTCTCCTTCGGCGCCCCCCCTTGTGTTCTGTTGTCCATCAGACACAAATTCCAGGCGTCCATCAAGACTTGGAGGATCGTGTCAGTCCCAGGTGGGTGGTTCCTAATGCTAAAAAAAAAAAAAAAAAATGATGTACCCCTTGCGTGTTTTTTTTGGATTGCTTTTTTTTTGCTTTCTTGCTTTTTTTCTTTTGGCGGCTTCCACCAGCGTAACATGATTATTATTATGAAAAGAGCAGAAGGAGCCCTCACAAATCGTCAGCCTCGGCTGACGTACCTCTAGGGCGATACTTGACATGGCTTCCGGATACCTATAGAGATGGTGATCGGCTTATGGGGCCATGGCTGACAAGATAGGGGCTTGGCGGGTGTTTTTGCTTTGGTTGTCCTGCGTCAGATGCGAATGTGCCTTCGTAGTTACGCGCAGGAATGGCTCGGTACTCTTGAAACTGCTGAGTATGTAGTACAATAGAATTTGTGGCAACCGTGAGACTCCGTTGTGTTTTTTCCCTCCATCGTCATTTGCGCCAGTTGTGGTGACTTGACTTGCTAATGGGGAATCCAACAGCACAGGATAATCTAACGATTCTTACCGTCCGCTTTCCATTCCTGCGTCAGATGCGACCGCAACTCAAGGTCGGTGATCTTCCCGATACCATTGCCACAGCAATATCGAACTCTGGGGCTGTCGCCCGCGAAAGCTCTGCACCACATTCCAAACAATCCTACAGCGTGGGTGGCAAATTGGTGATCGCAGCTGAACTACTACCAAGGTCTCGCAGGCGCGAGTTTTAGCTTCATGGTCTCGGGCCGCTCCCAAGGGCCAACGGTAATTGACTGGTCGGTCGACCAAAACCTACACAGGACGTGTGTTGGCCAACAAACATCCGCCATAAACTTTCACAAATCACATAAAGGCAGGCCTTCCCCCTTCTTGTCCTTCCCCTTCTTGTCCTTCCCCTTCTTTGTTCACCTAACATCCACCCGAATTTTGACGTCCACCCAAGAGGTCTCGCAGCACTTAGCGCCGAGCTCTAAGACGGAGATAATCGGGGCAGGGGGAAGCAAGCTGTTCTTTTCTAAAAGGGCCAGTGATGATATATACTCAAGGGATGCTGAGGTCCATCAATCTTACGCTGGGGGGCAAGCAGTTCTGTTCTTTTCAGTTCTTTGGCCAATGATGATACAAACCTTCGGGATGCTGAGGCCCATTAATATTCCTTTGGGTTTTTTTTGGGGGTTGCTGTCAACTGTTTGGCGTGAACTTCGAGAGGTACAGTACATATGCCCCACCCAAGATGACCTTCCGGAAATGGTGGGTGAAATTCTACCAACCAACGATATCAAGCATAACGGGGATATATTGGATGTCAGTCTCATCGCTGTCTATCATATACTGCCTACCTGGTCAAGTTCTAAATCCAATCAGGCCCTGCCCATCTCAAGCAGGCGCGTCATCGTCTTCCTCATCGTAAGGTCTCCGGCAGATGGGGCAGGAAGGGACATTGCTCGTCGTCCCGGCGAAGCAGACGAGACATCTACGACCCGCAGCCGCCGTGTGCGCCCCCGCACAGCGATGCGGCGCGGCCGGGACGTCAAATGGCGGGTTGTCGCTTACGAAGTCGTTGGTGCAGATGAAACACCTCGCGCCGGGTGGCATGGTGGCCGGGTCGAAGTCGACGATGTTCTCCTCCGCGCTCTGGAGCCGGGCGTGGAGCCGCGCCCCCTGCTGGCCCCACTCCTCTGTCATGAAACCGTGCCGGTCCGAGGGGCGAATCGGGGCTAGCCACGGGCACCAGCGGACGGGCTCCTGGGCGCCGTGATCGAGGAGGAAGGTCATCTCGTAACCGTAGAGGTCAAAGTACTGGTGAGCGTTGTTGGCCAGCAGATCCGACAGGCGGTTGATCCACGGTCGGTCGGCGTCCAGTAGCGCGTCCTCCAAGTACCACGGCCGGGCATGTCGTATCCGCGTCGCCCTGTCGAGCATCCTGGCCTGCAGCATACCGAAAATGGCGCCCGCCCGGGCCAGCGTCAGCCCTGTGTCGATGGCGAGCACCCAACTGATGTCCCGGAGGACGCAGTAGATGGCGTCCCACGGGCTGCCATCCTCAGACTGCCGGTTGTCTCTCAACCCCTGCAACCTCGACCAGCGCGCCGCGAGCTGGGCCGCTCCGAATGGCATCACGGCCCCCAGCACGGGCGGGACCCGCGTCCTCATCAACTCCCCCACGGCCGCGTCCCCGCCGGGGCCGCCGCCACCGACCCCACCCCCCCCTGGGTCGCCGGGGTCGCTCCCCTCACCATCGCCGCCCCCATCACCCAAGTCTACCATGTCATGGCCCCGACCCAGCACCAGCGCCGCGGCGGCGCTCTGCAGCGCCATGTCGCGGCGGCGCTGGGAGGCGAGGTTCTGGATCAGCGGGGCCGCGGCCAGCGTGCAGCCGCAGAAGGGCGCGTCGGGGTGGTGCGGGCCGTGGGACGGGTCCTCGCGGCAGGTCAGCTCGCGGGCGACGATGGCGTTGCGTTCGGCGAGGAGCGCGGGGTCGCCGTTCCCGTCGTGGTAGTCGCCCGGCCGCCGCCAGTGGTCCGAGATCCAGGCGTGGAAGAGCCGGGCCAGCTGCTGGGCGTAGGTGTTGATGACGCGGGCGAAGGCCGCCCGGCCGGCGTCCGAGGCCGTGCGCGGGAAGGCCCGCGATTCGGTCCGGACCGAAATGCCATCCGAGGCGGCACTGTGGCCCGTGCAATCGGGGCAGGGGTGGTCGTACCACTCGTCCTGCTCGTCGAGGGCCGTTAGGCAGGCCTGTTGGGCGCCGGCGCCGCCGGCGGTGGGGGGAGGGGGGCTGGAGCAGGGTTGGATCCACCGGCCCTGGTGGTGGGTCTGGGATTCGACGGGTTGGCCGGCTCGGGTGACGCACCTGTAGCGTCTGGTTACTAAGATGCACATCTTGGCGATCGGGAAGGGGTTTGGTCCTGCCTACCTGGATCGCGAAGATGACTTGCTGAGTACTGAGAGTGGTAACCGGTGTCTCAGTCAAGTCGAAACTGTAGTCGGAAACTGAGGTAGGAAACGAAAGGGAGTCGAGATAACGTCGACTATTTAGACGAATGCTCCTCGGTACATAATGCTATTGTGTGAAGATGAGCCCTTTGTACCTATGGGTTGGTGAGAGCCCACCCTCGCCTTGGGGGACAATTTCTTTGTTGCGCTTTACACAAAGGGGCTGTTTTAAAAAACAGAGCGGTTGAATTAGACAGAGAAGTTGATCCCGGGTGGGTGACGGCGAACAATTCAGCCTCGCTCAGCAGATACAACGACGTATATATGGAGAGTTTTCCTTCCTTCCCAATCTCAACTATTCTCTTCTCTTGTCTTCAGCAAACTCTGCACCTCCAGCGCAGGCCTCTTCCATCCGAACAAATCGATCACTGGGCACAGCTCTTCCAATGTGCTTCGTCAAGGCCCATCACTACACTTTCTGCCCCTCGGGGCACAGGCAGGTGACATTCACTCGGGAGTGCAATGGTCGGCCTCGCATATTGGGAATTCCCCTTTCGAAATCGAGCTGCGCTCACTTCATCAAGTCGGACGAGGAGGTGGTTGGCTTCTGCCCAAGTTGTGCTCGCCGGAAGCAAGCGGTGGAGGAGAAGATACAGGCCCGCGAGAGGCGTGGCCAAGCATTTCAGGAGTGGCAAGAAATACGTGAAGCTGAGGCGGCCAGGGCCGCAGAGAACGAACCGGCCGACAAAGACAACAGTGCTGCCTCGGGACGCCCTCGTCTCGTAAGGCAACTAACAGGTCTCCTAGGTATCCGACCCCGGAAGCAAACTCTCTCGGATACCGCGAACTCTGGGCCGAAGGTGATCCCAGGGGAAGTTGTTCAGCACGACACTATCACCTTCACGGAACTGCCAGCACAGGGCGTGCCACGCACCCATGAACTTCCCGCGGGTGAGACTTCCAGGCCTGCCGCAAATGATCAGCCCGTGCTCTTGACAGACCTAGTCCCCGGCAGGAGGATTGGGAATGGAGTACTCACGCCTCTTTATTCTGCCTACACACCGGGGGCCGAGATCAACATCGACCGTCGTGGGCAAACCGGGAGTCCCGAATCAACCAGTGATCTTCCAGATTTCTCCAGGATCAACAGTGCTAACCGAGACTCGTTGTTCCTCCCGAAGGAAAGCGGCGAGAAAGGTAAGACTGGTAGGTCGGACCGCAGTGACTCTCTCTTGCCCAAGCTTGCCGAACCCAACAGCCTCCCTTCCGTGAGCTTCTTCCCGCAGTGGCAAACCAGGTATGATGCCGGGCATGATACACCGGAAACATTCGAAGGGCCAGGAGTAAAGAATGGTAAAGTTGGGGGAAGCGGGGATGAAGCTGAACCGGGACAGGTCACGGAGGATAGCAGCAACGCCTCCGAAGCCGAGATGACAGACGCCAAAGACGAAAAAGAGGCAACCCATGACGATCGGGAGCTGCTCCCCAGCCGACAGAATTCGGGGCGCGAACGCCACCCCGACCAGCGACATTTCCACGCCCTCCAGTACCCGGCCGATGTCGCCAGGGCGATGGCCGCCGCGATGGCCGAGACGGAGAGGCGGCGGAGCAGCTCGGTCATTGCAGTTGTTGACGAGCCGCTGCCTGTTCGCAGTCGGCACAGACTGCGAAGAGTCCCCGGCCGGGAGAATCTGCGCCGCACGTCTACTGAACGTCCGGAACGCGATCTCGTGTAAGTTGGCCGGCGAGACTGGACATGCCCGGGTGACCTGACGGACGGAAAAGCAGCTTAGACCCTAGCGGTGAAGTTGTCTTCCAGTAGTCCGTATTCCATTTCCTTTCCACTTTCGCTTTTCCTTTCCACTGCTTTTCCTTTCCACTGCTTTTCCTTTCCACTGCTTTTCCTTTCCACTTTAGTTTTTCCCTTTCCTTTCATTTCCACTTCCCATTTCTTTTCCTTTTCGCTCTTCATTTCCTTTTCACTCTGTTCCCTCAGGTAGGGCTGGTCTAAGGGGTCAATTTGGACACGGACGGGAGGCTACAGCAAGGTAGGCCGATAGATGGAGGATTGAACTCAGAGTGGGATACGGCATATCTGATCCAATATTTGGACATCTACTTGGAGGATATGGCTGTGGTAAGTTATGTGGAGGAAAATAGTCAGAAGCTGGTTCTTTTGCTCATGGCGAGTCGTCGTTTACTTTTCCGTGACTTGTGCAACTCCCCGAGCCAAAGGCCAGACCCATCTATCTCATCTCAGTTCTAACTTCGCAAATCGACCCGCTGGTCCCGCCAAATTGCCTCACTGGCATACTCCAATGCAGCCAGTTCTAGTGAGTTAGATTATAACGAGTTCATCCATTAATGATGAGCAGCTTTTCGAGCTCGGAATCGGAAAGTTCACTATCTCAAACATGCACAACGAAGTTGCCGGCTTCAAATCACTATCCTTCCAAACCCCTTCTGTATACAGATGACTTCAGGAACCAGCTCAATTTGTGCCCCAATTTGTCTTCTGGCATCAATGATGTGCTGGCAGCCAGTGAATCATAAATTCAGAGCCGAGCCTCTGCAGATGTGATGCGGTCGGGGAGGTGCAGACTAGATTACCGTGGTGTATCTACGGCGCTGAAGGCGTGAACAACAAAGAATGGTAGAGCCCTCAGCTGAGGAGAATGCAATCGGTGACATGCGGACTTCCTCCTCCTCCTCGCCAATCCCGGGGTCCTAGAGTGGTACTATCGAGCCTATCCCTCGTCCTTGTCAAGCGTCTATTCGAGCTGAGCCCGTAGCGCCCAACAACTTTGATTGATCGACAATCTAAATGGCAGGCCACTGACGAACGGGATAGCCATCGGTTGCGGTGGCACCAGGACCTGAGCTCAAGCCGGAGACAGAAACCGTTCAAAGGCATGTGATGGAGGTTACAGGATAGACCCTAAGTAGACCGAAGTGCTTCAAGGCGCCATTGGGCGGCGTCTGAGGGCAATGGCACCGTATGATACAAGCCGGCAACATCAGACATGCCACTCCATTGTCAACCTCGGCAATATCCGGATTTTAAATGTTATTGAAGGTACTCTTAGTGCCAACGCCTCGATGGGCCAGCGAGATTCGTCCGAGTGGCGAAATGATTGCCTGTCAAACGACGGAGAACGAAAGCAGGAATGGTTCTAATTGATTTAGCAATGGCAATGGGATGCCTACTGGAAGGGAGAAAATGGAGAGCGCCGTTGATAACGGGACAGATGTTCCCAGCCACATCCCGAGCCGGCCGTGCCAAACACTGCACATTACGCGTCATCTGACCGAGCTCAGATTTTCTATAGTGCTCTTACGATACTGGACTGACATCTGAATCTCAACATCGACGCATTCGATATTGTTAAGTGGTCCCCGTCGAGATTCAGGGGCTGAGATTCAGGGACAGGGGTTAGGGTTGCGGGTTTATTTGCGTGTGATACTACAGGAAGAGAGAAAGGATCGGGAAGTTCCATTTGCTCCTTGAAGCCTCACTGTACCTGGTTTGGCCCACTTTATTATGCTTTCGTTGGATTTGGTGATCTGTGTGTGAGTGAATGAGCTTGTTCGTGGCTCCCATATCCGAAGTGGGCCTTGCCGAAAAGGGGTCTGAATAGAGCCTCAATAAGAATCGCCGTCACTCTTCCCCTTTATCTTTAATTACCAAGAAACCACTACGGATGCTCACGGGAATCTTGTTTCCATAAATGTCGCTTCTGTTCAATGATTTCGGTTTAGCTTCCTCCTGCCCCCCTGGATTCTGGAGTCCCTCGACCCGTCGAGACCGGACTTGACCGGGATGAATCGAGACGACCAGATGTAAGGAGGCATGTGTTGCTAGCCATATCAAAACTCGACCAACAACCAAAATGTCATTGCCTTTGTGTTATTCTTGGATGCCTTGTCTGCCACCCACGTCTCGATTTCCTAGTTGGGGCCTGAATAGAGCTCAACAGCGAGCCCTGCGTCCAATCCAGGAACTCGATCCATGTTGGAAAGCAAGACTAGGAATATCATCTTCTTTCACATATTCTGACTGACGGCAGCATGTGACTATTGCTATTCTGCGTTCCTTTCAAGCCGGGGCCTCCAGCCATACCTATTGATGACAATAACGGAGTCATCTCAATAGCCACCACTTATCTCAATAGCCATTCCTCTCAATAACCGTCCCTCTCAATAACCACTCCATCTATAAGAACTGCGCAATGCCCCCTCGAGTTTCCTCCATTCTACTCTCTCGATACCATCAACCACATCGAACTGAAAGTCATCTTTTGACAACCCCAAGACATCTCGGAACCCTCCAGACAACGTCTTCCCACCCTTCCCCCAAACATCATCAGCTTTATCACACTCCCGACCTATCGAACCACCCGCCATGAAGTTCTCCATCCCTCTCGCCATTTTTGTGGTCGCGGCATCCGTTGAAGCCGCCGCTATTGCCAACCCAGAGCCCGAACCGTGGTGCCTCATCAAGGGCCAGTCCTGCTGGAAGCCCAAGCGTTCCGCCGAGGCCGAACCATGGTGTCTCATCAAGGGCCAGTCCTGCTGGAAGGTGAAGCGGGCCGCCGAGGCCTTCGCCGAGGCCCTCCGTCCCACCGAGGGCACCGTTCACGCCCGCGAGGCCGAGATCTCCAATCAGCCCGGCAACGCCGCCTTCATGGCCAAGCGCCAGGTCGACGAGCTCGCCCTCGTCCTCGCCGCCGCCTCGGAGGACCCCGAGGGCTTCTACAGCGCCCTGGGTCTCTCGGACGGTTTCCCCGCCGACACCGCCACGGGCGCTGAGAAGCGCGAGCCTGTCGACCACGAGGCCGACAAGCGCTGGTGTCTCATCAAGGGCCAGTCGTGTTGGAAGGCCAAGCGCGCGGCCGAGGCCGTCGTCAGCGCCATCGAGACCGTCCACGACCCGCGCAGCACCCCCTTCGACCCCCTCGCCCGCTCCAAGCGCGAGGCCGAGCCCTGGTGCCTCATCAAGGGCCAGTCCTGCTGGAAGCGTGACGCCAGCGCCGAGGCCGCCTGCAATGCCCCCAACGGCGCCTGCACCAAGGCCAAGCGCGACCTCCACGCCATCTACAACGTTGCCCGCAGCATCCTGGATGAGGAATAGGTAAGCGGGTCCCCCATCTTTTACCCAATCTCATACTGACAAGATACATCGTGGTGCAGATGGCACAGCCTTCTCCCTCCGTCGCCAGCGGGGCCTGAGGTTTCGCCCCCTTTTTTCTTGGAAGTAAATAACCAGCCGGTTTCTACGGCGTTGGATATCGAGTCTAGTCTCCTTCGACACTCTCACAAATTCCGCAGTCCCCCAACAAAATTTTCATTTCTCGACGCTCGCCAGGCCAGCCTGGGTCTGAATCTTCAAGACCCATGTGTTGATGGAGCGGGCAGCTTGATTTTTTATCTTTCCGAACCACGATGGCGCAACATGGGCGCCCATCTTTTTGTGTGTGTGAACCTAATGGTCACCAACCTACCCAAGAAAAATCTCGACGACTGACGAGAACGTGCTGGGTGTTGAGCGATTAGTTAGCTACTACAAATAAAAATTTGGTAGCACACTTTGGAGTTCCTCGCTGCCTTCGTGAATGAAAATCACTCCCGATTCTCGTCTTCTGTATTGCCAGGTCGATGCCGCGCGGATGTTGTCCTCTTCCAAGCCCGAGTTGGCTATTTGACTCCGGGCCGGAAACCAGACCGGCGGCGCCTGGTCCGTGCGGTCGGGTCGGGGCGGGGCGGGTGGTTGAAGTGCCGAGGCGAAGCACCAATCAGGTCGGGTAGCCTTTTTCGAACCGAAAGACAAGACTGCGTCCTTCCATATTAAGCGCGGCAGCGGCTGTTTTATTAGCATACTGAGGACAAGCTGGGCCGGAGAGGGTTGCTGCGCCTCCCCCCATGCTGAGCCAACACAATAACTTCGCAGCCTAGGTTGGATCGGATTTCTGGTCAAGTTGACGGCTCTGAAGCCGCCCCTCTCGCAGCGGACCCGCAAGGTTGATGTTGCGCAGAGGCATGAAGAATGCGCAAGATAGATATTTATGAAATTCCCAGACGAGATACTTAAACGTAAACAAATAGTAACAATCTCAGTCCCGGTCGCGAACCGCATTCTAAGCCGTGTATGATCCCAGAACCCTAGATATTCGATCAACTATTTCTTGTCGCCCTTCACGATGCGGCACACCAGATCCGACCCGTCGACCGAGTCGCCTTCCCGAACCTCCAACTGGGAGACGATACCGTTGTGGGGCGCAGATATGACCATTTCCTAAAGAACTCATGGTTAGCATTTCCTTCTTAGTTGCTCTTGACGAAACAGGGGAACCCACCATCTTCATGGCGCTCAGAACCGCAAGCGGATCGCCCTTCTTGACCTCAGTGCCGTCGCGGACACGCAGCTCGACCAGGACGCCGGCCATCGGAGCACCGACTTGGCTCGAGTCGGTCGGGTCGGCCTTCGGCCGGCTGACGTTCTCCACCGCCGATTGCTTGTCGTCGACCGCGACCTGGCGGACCTCGCCGTTCATCTCGTAGAACACCTCTCGCTGGCCCGTGTTCTCCGACAGCGGGCCGACGGCGAGGAGCTTGAGGATCAAGACCTTTCCCCTCTCCAGCTCGACGTGGAACTCCTCGCCAATCTCGGGCTTCGACAGGAAGTACCTGGTCGGGAGCACGCTGAGATCTCCGAACTTGCTGACAAACTTCTTGTAGTCCTCAAACACCTTCGGATACATGACGTACGAAGCAATATCGCACTCGGTGACGGGGCCACCGAACTTGCGGCCGAGCTCGCGCTTGACCTTTGCGAAATCGACAGGCTCGAGGAAGAGACCAGGCCGCTTGTCGAGCTTCCGGCGCCCTCGGAGGGCATTGCTGCGCAGAGGCTCGGGGAAGCCGCCATATGGCTGACCCATCATGCCCTCGAGGAATTCGAGCACGGAGCCTGGGAAGTCTAGCTCGCCAGCACGCGCCTTGACATCTTCGGCCGACAGTTTGTTGGAGACCATGAACTGGGCAAGATCTCCGACGACCTTGGATGTAGGAGTGACCTTGACAATGTCGCCAAGGAGAGCATTGGCTTGCTGGTACGCCTTCTTCGTCTCCAACCACTGCGAGCCGAGACCGAGTTGAGCGGCCTGGAACATCATGTTGGTGAGTTGGCCGCCCGGAATCTCGTGCTGGTACACCTCTGGGTCGGGACCGTTGAGGTAAGCCTCGAAAGGTGAGTAGAGCAGGCGAAGCTGGGACCAGTAGGTGTCGAGAGCCCGAACGTGGTCAACGTTCAGACCAGGATCCAAATCGCTGCCCTCGAGCGAGGCAAGGATGGCGTTGATGCTAGGCTGCGAAGTCATGCCAGACAGGCTGTCGGTCGCGGCATCAACGGCATCAGCGCCAGCGACGGCGCAGGCAACCATGGAAGCGACACCGGTGCCAGCGGAGTCGTGGGTGTGGACATGGATAGGAAGGTCGGGGTACTTCTTGCGGATGGAGCCGATAAGGAGAGTGGCCGCATGGGGCTTCAGGACACCAGCCATGTCCTTGATGCCCAAAACGTCGATATCGAGAGCCACGAGCTTGTCGACGAGATCCAAGTAGTACTCCAAATTGTACTTCTTCTTGGGGTTGAGCATGTCTCCGCTGTAGCAGACGGTACCTTCGGTGACACCACCAGCCTTCTGAACAGCCTTGATGCCAACCTCGAGCTGGTCGATATCGTTCAGGGCGTCAAACACCCGGAAGATGTCGACGCCGTTCTTCTTGGCCTGTTCAACGAAGTGCTCAATGGCATTGTCCGGCAGAGACGAGTAGGCGACACCGTTGGCACCCCGAAGAAGCATCTGGAAGGGGATGTTGGGGATCAGCTTCCGCATCTTACGGAGGCGATCCCACGGATCCTCGTACAGGAAGCGCATGGCCACGTCAAAGGTTGCGCCGCCCCAGCACTCCAAGCTGTAGAGGTTGTGCAATGCGTGGCTAGTCTCCTTGGCAATGTTCAGGAGGTCGACTGTCCGCACACGAGTCGCAAGGAGAGACTGGTGGGCATCTCTCCAGGTGGTATCCATGAGCAGGCAGCCCTTGTAGTTCCGGATGGCCTTTGCGAAAGCCTTGGGGCCCTGTTCCACGATGATGTTTCTCCAGCCCTTGGTGCATGGCTCGCTGACATCAATCTTCTGTCCAGCATTGTCGTAGAGGTCGGGAACGATGATCTCGCCCTTAAACTTGGGCTCGCCAATCTGGCCCTTGATGCTGCTTCCGTTGACGGCGATGTCTCCCAGATAGGCCAGCAGCTTCTGGGCGCGGTTCTGGCTGCCCATGAGGTCGAACAGCTGGGGGGTATCGTCGACGAAGGTGGTCCAGCAGTTTCCGTCAATGAAGGTAGGATGAGTCAAGAGAGACGCAAGGAAGGGGATGTTGGTCTTGACACCACGGACTCGGAACTCGACTAGCGCGCGGAGCATTTTCCTGCGCGCAATCTCGTAGGTGGAGCCATGGCAAGTACACTTGACCAGCATGGAGTCGTAGTATGGGGTGATAACTGCGCCAGCAAACCCGTTGCCACCATCGAGGCGGACGCCGTTGCCACCGGCGGATCGGTACACCTCGATCTTGCCAGTATCGGGTTGGAAGTTCTTGGAAGGGTCCTCGGTCGTGATACGGCACTGGATGGCAAAGCCGCGGGTGGAGATGCGATCCTGTGTCAGGCCAAGCTGGGCCAGTGTGGCGCCTGCTGCGATCTGGATCTGGGCGGCCACAATATCGATACCGGTGATCTCCTCGGTAATAGTGTGCTCGACCTGGATGCGGGGGTTGATCTCGATGAAGTAGTAGCGGTTCTGCTGATCGACCAGGAACTCGGCGGTACCGGCGTTGCGGTAGTTGACCGACTTGGCGAGCTTGACCGCATCGTTCAGGATGGCATCCCGGGTCTCGGTTGGCAGGTCCTTAGCCGGGGCAATCTCGACGACCTTCTGGTGTCTCCGCTGGACTGAGCAGTCGCGCTCGTAGAGATGGACGATATTGCCGTGGTTGTCTCCGAGAAGCTGAACCTCGATATGCTTTGGTTTGTCGAGGAAGCGCTCGACAAAAACAGTGCCGTTTCCGAACGCCGTCTTGGCCTCCGAGGTAGCTCTTTCGAAAGCCTCCTTGAGAGATTCCTGGTCACGCACGACTCTCATTCCACGGCCACCACCTCCATACGCGGCCTTGATGATGATGGGGAAGCCATATTGGTCCGTGAAGCTCTTGACCTCCTCGAACTTCTCAACCGCGCCTTCGGTTCCAGGAACGACCGGAACGCCCGCTGCAATGGCGAGTGTCCGCGCAGACACTTTGTCACCGAGGGAGTCAATCACTTCCGGAGAGGGACCGACAAACTGCACAAGCAACCGTGTCAGCAAAGACGATGGAGGGGCAAAGAGGAGAGACGATGGAGGGGCAAAGAGGAGAGACGATGGAGGGGCAAAGAGGAGAGACGAGGGAGAGAGCTTACGATCAGACCAGCTTCTTCCACCTTGCGTGCAAATCCAGCATTTTCGGAGAGGAAGCCGTAGCCTGTTCACCTAATCAGCAAGTTGCTCAACGCAGATATGAAGAATGCTTAGCATACCGGGGTGAATCATCTGAGCGCCATGCTCAACAGCGATCTTGACGATCTCGTCGCCGGCCAGGTAGGCTCCGACAGGGGTATATTGTCCGCGTTTGCCAATAACATATGCCTCATCGGCCTCTGTTGGAGTGGTTAGCGCGAGGCATGACTCAATGGTCGGAAATTTTGTGCATACTCTGCCGGTGCATCGAGAGACGGTCCTCATAACTGCAGAAGTTAGTAGAGTAATAGGGAATTCGGACTCGTAAGGTCTTACCTAAAGACAGCAATAGTATGAAGAGACAGCTCATGAGCCTGCAAGGTCTTGGGTTAGACACAGCTTTCGACAAGAGAGGCACCTAGGATGGGCCAGAGTAAATCTTGGTAGCACAGGGGCAACCTACGGTTCTGAAGATCTGTGCAAACCAACGAGCGTCAGCGAGCTATCTAGCCGGAAGAGTCCTGGGTCAATCGTTTTAGACATACGCGGATGGCTGTGAGGAAAGGGTCAGCAAGCGCGGACATTGTTAGGGGGTTGGGCTGATCGTGACTCACGGATTTCACCACGGTTGGCAACTGGTTACGCCAAATCTGCGTATTAGCAGGACTTCCCCTGACTGTCGGTCAACAGCGAGCGAGTGAGGGCGACTTACCAAGAATCTTCTTCAACTGCATGATGGTCGAGTTGGCCCTGATCCGGTGGACCGTCTGGGCCTCCTTGGGGGGCTCGCCATCCTCAATATCCTCAATGGCCTCCTCGACGATCTCGACAGGCTTTCCGTCGGACATCTTGGGTTCAACTGCTGTCGATTCCGAGGGTCAATGGCAGCAAGAAGTTGGAAGTGGGATGTTTCGCGGCGTGACGGCCAGGGCGGGGCGTTTTTAGAAGGGAAGCCTTGTCGGTGGGGTTGGGGGTTTGGTCGTCTTGCTCAGCGCAGGGAGCTAAGCTCAAGCTTCGGCTAAAAACAGCTTGGAGCTTGCTTGCAGCTTGCCGAGGCGCACGTGGAATTGTGTCTCCGTCGAATGTCTCAGATATCACGTTGGGAGAATAGGACGCAAACGCAAACAGAGGAAGAAAAAATCGGGGGGTTGAGGGGATTTTGTTCTTGGAAACACTAAATCAAGTACTTACTTACGGTATCTAATAATTACTCTTTTCGTCACTATGGCGGCGGATAACTTAGTTCGATCATCGACTTGACTACATACCTAGCCGAGCCTCTTTCACACCTGCAAACCCGCTTTCCTGCGGCAAAAAAAATAGCTTTCTCTCCAAAACGGTATATATACTTCCGGCGTTCCTGGATGACACAGTACAGCATGTACAGGTACAAGAGTCCCAAACTAAATCTTGCAGGGGTAAGAGGGTGCAACCTGGACCTGCGACGTTCATTGAGATGGCAAGGATGCAAAGAGATGCAACAGCTCCCTAATCTGGTGCTGGGAATTTGCAATTTTTACCGTGCTTGCCGCCCTGCACATCTTTCTGGTGGGCATTTCCATAACCACATCAAATGTTTAATGGGATGGCGGAGAGCCAGTTGATAGGGGATGACTATGCATCCCACCAGTTCAAACCGCCGCCGCGGGCAGCCCTGGTTGTTGTTCTTGACGCGTGGGGTTGCCATTAGCCAACCACAACGACTCTATAATATCTACAATACTACTACTACTACGTAAATTGATAAGCCTTGTTGGGAGAGGTGTGGGACAAGATGGACAGCCTCTCGGGGCCAGAACAGGGTCTGAATGTCGAGTACGAAATCCTGCCACTGTACGATAACCACGGCTGTACATGTACACATACACTGCCAATGATCCGGGGCATTGTCGATTCGACGGGCTCGGCCGCGATCCGTGGTTCGTTGCTACGTTTTCGTGGAGCCGAGGATAAGGTCGTCCAGAGCCTCACGGCCAGAAGGTTTCGGGACAGAGCGCGACGATAAACGTCAGGTGGTTCCTGGCCATTTTCGCTGGAGATGCGGGGGTGTGTCTAAATCCTGGGGGATCTCGGCCCTTGGATGGGATTCCGCATCGGCTGCCCTGTCGTTGATCAGCCCGTTCTGCCGTCGAATACCGATACCCCGCCTTGGTAATTGCGAGATACCGAAGAATCACTCAATGGTGTCGCGAACATGGGAATCATGGGATGGCCAAGATTTGTGGATGGGATTTATTAGCTGCAGCTTCACCGTATCATGTATGCGGTATTAAAAAAGGGATCGCTGCTGCGCATTGATTGCAGCCGCGCCGACCTATGTAGGCATGTATCCGTTGCATTGGTCTGCTTCCAAGGTGGGCCATTGGATCGCTTCCTCCTTCTCGGGCTTCTGCTGTCTCTATTTTCTCCCCTTCCTCTCCCACACCTCGTGTCCCTTAGTTTGTCCGTGGCCTCCAACCTCCGAGGTCGGCAAGGCCCACCATTCTCCGGACCTATGGCGAGACACTCACATGGCAGCGGTGAGTCAGGCAGAAAACTTTTTTTTCTCTCTCCTTTTCATTCCCAAGCTACCTCACTACCCGCCGGTTATTTCATGGCGGCTAGACATGATCCGCCCTTAGGATCCCAGGTCCATCTGGCTGCCAAGACTCCCCTCTCTATGAACCTTCAATGGTACCTATATGTATCTGTTCCGTTCAGCCGCTGTTCCCCAGCCGGCAGGGGTCAAGGACTTGCGGATGTCGCTAGGACGGTGAGTCAACAAGCAGATGCCGAGGAAGGTAACCCCTGGGCGCCACAGTCGATAATCCTGTGAGCCAGGTAGGCACAATCCGATCAGAGACAAGATCAGGTTTGGCTGGCTGTGCCCGACCAGGGGCGCTGACCAGGGTCTGATACTGGTAGTTGTGCTGTATTCGATGTGCATTTCGTCTTTAAGTCGCCATTGAATCGCCTAGCCGAGTTCAAGATAGCTCTTTTTATCAGACCACTGTGGCCAGTGTTTGGTATGTTGTTTCACGGCGGTAAGAAAGCCACGGACGAGTTTTCGATGGGCGGCTTCTGGCTTCTTCAAATCTCCCCTGGCTCAATGACTGAGCCTGAGCTGAGGCAAGGACTTGTACAGCGACCATCTCCCAATCTGCTCGCAGGCTCGTCCTCGTTTGCTGGTGACTCGTTCTCGTTCGCCTCCATTTTGGATTTCCTTAGCCTACAGAACTAGAGAGAGGGCGGTTCAGAGTAGAGTCGCACGAGGGACATACCTCTAGGTAACAGGAGCCATCTAGAGCAGGATTGCTCGGTATCTCCTCCCTAAAGTTCACAATCTGTAACGTACCCACCTAGGTAGTTTAAGTCATTGCACCTCCTCTTGTACTTCTAGTATGAAAAGTAACCTATCCTTCTAGCATGAGTGGTCCAGTCTTTTGCAGTTGGTTAAAACCGCCCAGCAATGGCATATTAATCGCCGACGGAACGCTTGGGATTGCCACTGACAACTTTGCGACTGGCTCCAAGACAGGCTACACAACTACCAGGCCAAACTCAACAACCCAGCGGAGTCAGCTCGGAGAGCGACCGCAGACCAATAGGCAGACCGCTGTGGCTGAGAGCCTGTGGAAGAAACCATAGCGGAAGATATCACGCACGCGTCGTGAACAGCGTCGAGTATGCCTATCCTGCGCAAAGAGATCGCAGTCAAGTCGTCGAGAAAAATGAGGAAAACAGACGTGTACAACGGGTCAGGAAGACCCCACGGCATTTGTAGCGCTGGGCATTTCCATTCGCTTGCAATCACAAGGAACCTATTTCCAGGTTGCCAATTTTTTTGAGCTGACCACCTTTGCCGAATTAAGAGTTCTCTATCCTTGCCCCTAAGTGTCTGACGCTGAATAGGTACAAATAGGGACCTACGTAACTGGTTGAATGGACAGGGAGTGTTCCATACCGGACTTAATAAGTCACGGGCGATGGAACGGAGTAACCCAGCCATGCCATGCTCTCCAACATTACCCGCCGCCATGACAGCCCATGAGATGAGCAGCGCCCCCGGCTCCCCGAGAAGCATGCCCATATCAAGCACCATGGTGCCTCATTTGCTCACGACATCCTTGACCTTCTGCTCAGCAGCCTGGGCGCTCTCCTTCGCGGCCTCCAACGTGCCCTGCACGCCGAGCTTCTCCTTCCCTCCCCAGTTGTGGTAGTTCAGGTAGCGGTAGCCTTGCGTCAGCTGGGCGCCCTCGTTGACGAAGTGGCACAGGAAGAGGAGGTAGTTCTTGGGGGTGACGGCGAGGGAGTAGCGCATGAATGTCGCGCTGTAGATGCAGAGGGCGAAGGTCATCTTGCCGGAGATCCTGGTAGAGAACAACAGTCAGTGGCCATGTCGGGAGATCGGGGAAGGCGGTCTCTGTTGGTGCTTCGTGTGCGGAGACGTGCTTAGGGGGCAGGCTCGTTCCCGATGCCTGGTGAATAAGGGGTGTACATACAGGTCAGGGCTCTTCTGTGTGTCCATCACCGCTGCGACCGGAATGCCGAAGTTGGAGACGGGGCCCCAGAAATCTATCCAAGAGGTCAGCTGTGAGTCAAAGAGGCCACCCTTCCATCTCATGGGACTCCATAGCAATTGACGAATCCATTGGCGTGGAGCAGCTGCTCCCATGGCCTTGAGGGCATTCGTCTCTCCTCTCGCGCGGATGAAGCCCGGCGACACGCACGAGATTGAGTCACGGTGGAGCAATCCGGACATAAGATTAATCTTGTCCGATGACGGGGAGCCAAGTTGAGGGAAAGGCTTCGGGAAACCTACGTGTTGAGCAGATATAGCTGACCGTAGGGTGGGACCTGATCTTTGCATTGATCGCTTTGACGAAGGCGGCCATCTTGACGGTTGCGAGCGATCAATGGCTCGGAGTCGATACGTTGGGGCGCGGTTGAACCCGAATTTCGAGGTCGGCTGCCAGCTAGGTAGGTTGCTAAGGATAAATTTGGTTCGCGGACGTCCATTCCCAGTCAGTCAGCCTTGCAGACAAGGGGGGACATTTTATAAGTCACGTGCTCAAATAAAAGGTCACCCTGCACCACAACACCCGTAGCCGAGAGAACAGAATGATCGGGCGGGGAGAGAACTGATGCCTTCATCATCAAGGTTCTGGTAATTCCCTAGAACTCCTTGTAGACCAGGAGGTCCGCATCCTCCTCCCTGATCTATGCTAGAATACAAGTCAAGGTATTCCGCCCACCGTTTGATTTTCGGTGTACCCCTTAACGCCATGAGTATCCTGTCGCCTTTGGACAAAACAAGCAATACGTGATGACCGTGTCTCCATCTCAAGACATAAAACACATGCATCCGGAGATAAAGGCAAACCACTGCTACCCAAGCCCATCCATGTCTATCTTCTTGGCGGCGGGTTGAACCCGGATGGAGGGGCACCTCCAGGTGCGAAACCAGGCGGGGGGAACGCCGGGTTTCCAGGGAATCCAGCCTGAGGGAAACCTCCAGCGAAACCAGGGGGTGGAGCTGTTAGACAGTAAGCATGTATTCCTCGTAAAGCAGTAGCGGCCTCAAACTTACGTCCACCACGTCCGGGGAACCCAGGCGGCGGAGCGCCGGGGAAGCCAGGGAATGCCGGGGGAGGGACCGCGCCTCCAACACCAGCAGCAGGGCCAGCCAAAGAAATGGGAGGAGCACCACGCCCAGCAGGTCGTGCCACACCAGGGCCCTGGCCGAGAGTCGAAGAGATTCCTCCGGCGGTGGGCTTCCCCAGGCGGGTGCTCGGATCGGCAGGTGGCGGTGATTCGACCGAGAGAGAGACAATATGTGCGCCCCGAACAATCGTCAAGCCCAAGGTGCGCTTCTCCTCTTGTTCGATCGTCTGGCCGGCCGAAGATGCTCCAGGTGCTGCAGGTTTGGCCTGCTTTCGCTTGATGCGCCGAAACTCCTCGGTGTCGGCGAGAACTAGGTTCATATGCTGGACGCACCGTTAGCACTGATCAACAGATCTAAAATGCCTGCTAGCATACCTTGTCAAAAGCCAGCATTTGTCCAGTCATCTGACGACCATCAAGGAGAGTGGCTCTCATCCGGTAGTTGATCTATTACAATCGGTCAGCTATTCAGCTCAAGTCACAGCAGAGAACATCCAGGCGCAAATAGGACACAATATCGTAAAAGGATATACGTACGTAGCCGGCCTAGAACCACACATCGAGTCAGCCTTTGATGTCAACGCCACGATAGATGATAGCGGTGTGGAGCGGAGAACTCACCATCTTTCCCTGTTTGTTCGACATGGCTGCAACAAGATGCTACCGAAGTAGCTTCTTCTGATTGTTCAAAAAATTGTTTGTTGTGTGGAGTGACAAAGCTCTTTGTAGCTTCGTCGTCGCGGTCTCTGTGGCGGGGATGCTACGGAGGTCCAGCGTGTAACTTTGCTATCAAAAGGCGAGAACAATTTTTATTCGACGCGGCTGAGAGAAGGCTGATTCTGGAGGCGGCTGCAATAGGCGCTTGGACCATGCAGTTGGAAAAAGGAGCCAATGCGGATTAGGCATGGCTTCCGTCCCCCACCCAAGTTCTTGTCCCTAGGGCTTTGGCTCTGCCCACACAAAATTTCTTAAACTTCTTGGAGTGCCTATTTCCTCCCAGTTAACTCACGCCAAACCCTTTGTCAAGTCACCCAGCGATCATTGACAGCAACTCGCCCATCATGGTACGAATACATGAATAACAATGGATCGCGCTCTACCGGCCGGATTTGCTAACTTCATATCCAGTCCGAGAAGCCCCAGAACCCCATGCGGGATCTCCGCATCCAGAAGCTCGTCCTCAACATCTCCGTTGGCGAGTCTGGTGACAGGCTGACCCGAGCAGCCAAGGTGCTCGAACAGCTGAGCGGTCAAACCCCCGTCTACAGTACGTGCCTTCCAATTACTACCCGCCTGCTGGCTCGAACCCCAAGTCCGCTAACTCTCTCTCCTCCCGCTCGACAGGCAAGGCCCGCTACACCGTCCGTACCTTCGGCATCCGCAGGAACGAGAAGATCGCCGTGCACGTCACGGTCCGGGGCCCCAAAGCCGAGGAGATCCTCGAGCGCGGCCTCAAGGTCAAGGAGTACGAGCTGCGCAAGCGCAACTTCAGCGAGACGGGCAACTTCGGCTTCGGCATCAGCGAGCACATCGACCTCGGCATCAAGTACGACCCGGGCATCGGCATCTACGGCATGGACTTCTACTGCTGCATGACCCGCCCCGGCGAGCGCGTCTCCCGCCGCCGCCGCTGCAAGAGCAAGATCGGCTCCACCCACAAGATCAAGCGCGATGAGAGCGTCAAGTGGTTCAAGCAGCGATTCGATGGTATCGTCCGGTAGAGGAATTACCAGGACACGCAACGTTGGGGAGCAACGAGAGGGGGGAAAATGGAGTTCACGGCACGGGCATGATTCAATGGCTTCCGGGGTGGACCATTGCAAGTTCGGGAAGACGGGATGGTCTTTTTCCTTGGACATGTATATCGAGCAGCATCCTCTGACGAGGCTCGCTCGTCACATTAGCTCGACCTGAAAATTTTCAGCTGTCGAGCTACGGCCTTTAGAGACCGACCGGCGTCCTGCCGGCTTTCCTTGTCCTGTTCCCCTCCTACTATCCCACATTGAACCATGGTAATGCTGTGCGCAACTTGATCGTATCAATCCCAGGCACAATATTCTGCAAGTTGAGAAATTACCAGATGGCCTGGTCTCGCGGCTCGTTGAGAGTCGCCATTCCCAGGTCGTATATCATCTTCCATTCAACTTCAGCATGCAACTCTCTGTGAACATCCCCCCTGACAAACGTGGCTTGGCCCAACGATGGTTTATGCCATTCAGGTGGTATATAATCACTTCTCTCGAGAGGCCATAGAAGGGACGAGGATGGAAAGAATGCATTGGGTCTCATGCGGGCAATGCGAGTGGTGCTGGGAACAGTCATTCCTCTATCTACAGTATCATAGCCATAACCTCGTGTAACGCATATCCAGCCAACCTCGTCCTCAACACCTTGTCGGAACTCATAATCATGCCAAGTTAAACCATTTCCTTCGTATTGCATGCCTCTCCCTCGCCCCTGTGTTGAGCAAAGCCAATTCATAAACAGATGCAGCCGCGTGGCTTGTATATCAAGGGTATAACGTGCACTGAAAGCAAAAATTCCACCGAGCCCTCGGAGATACAATCCGGCGTTAAGGTCAGAAAGATATAATCAGTGCGACTCCTTTGTGCCGAATTTGCTAAGTACAATGTGTCTTCGGCACATGTAACGGAACGGAAGCCGGACGGAAAGATGGGGTGATAAAAGAGTACAGCCAGTGCCATAACTCGAAAAGAGATGTGGTGCCGGGTCAACTGGGTTGAAACACCCAAGGGCCACCTGTTCACCGAAGGGATGTTCAGGTTGCCAATGAGGGCAGCTCCGGTCGTGTTGGCATTGGGCCAGTTTCATCGGCATCGTATCTCGCAACTGGGTGTCGTGCTCTCTGCCTCGAATGGATATCAATGAGCATTTCGATGAGGGTTTCCGCGTCTGCGTACAATGCGTCCAGCTCTGTAAGATCGCTCGCAAGTGTTGTCCCATCGAGGCGAGGTAGCCTATACGCCGCGAAGACTATGCCGCGATTGTTCGGCTGCGGCCTCTTCTTCTTGGAGTTGAGTTTCGGCGAGGCAGAGGAGTCGCGCCCCGAACCCGTGCTTCCCTGTAGGCCGACTCCAGTGTAGAAAGAACAGCTGTAGCCTCTTGAAAACTCATCCGCCGCGGCGTGTTCGCTTCGATATTCGAGCCAGCCATCTGTCCTTAGTACTTTCTGGTGGACTGGGGCAGAGATGCGGAAAGGCGACATGACCGATGGGAGGCCATAGCCAGCCAACAACCGACCTGTCATGCCTGTTCTTGGATTAATACAAGCCAGGGAGGCTTGTCCGTCTAGCGGGTCGCCTAATGCCGTAAGCCTGGCTGTACGTGCCGGCTCGTAAGCCTTATGTTGCGTGATGCCAAGATTCTTGGGCCACAAATTCACCACGTAGACGAGGTCAAATTTGTATCTAGCCGCTATCCTTGCGGCTTCGAATGCAGCGGCGGTCGCGGGCCGGCTGGTAAGTGGTGAAGAGAGGGTGAGAAGTGGGTAGCATCTCGTCTTTTCCGCAGGAGATGAAGGCGATGGGGGATCTGGAGGCAGGCCGCAAGTGGGAGGTTGTGATGGAGAAGGGGCTTGGGGGCGGCCATCGGCAATATCGTCATCGCTGAGAGAGAGAAACTCGTCGAGGCTAGGCTCCTTGAGAACAGGATCTCGACTTCGTAGCGGCGCAGACGCTGACAATGTCGAGTCACTCAGGGCCTTCCGGAGTGGCGTCACGTCGAAACGACTCGTCTCCGGATTTCCGAGACTGACGGGTCTCAGGGACTGCATTTCTTGGCTGGGCATGCCGTCACTTTTTTGATCACCGTCGTCGTCTTCGAGCACCGGCGACAGGCTGGGTGACGGCTCGGGGGTTAGACAGTCCCTCGGTGGCACCGCAGGACGCGCCTTCACGACTCTTAGGGGCAACGGCGAGGGGCACTCTTCGTGGTCCGAGAGTGGAGGGGTGTCAGGGCGGTTCGAATGAAATCTATGTAGTAATGCGTGGGAATTGTCCAAGCTGCGCTGTTGAACGGGGCTTGAGAGGGGTGATGCCGTTGACGAGGAAGACAGAGAGCCGTCCGGGCTTGGCGTTGCATTCTGGGCGAAACTGAACTCAAGCAAGCCGGCGATTGAGGCGTTGTTCCGCCTGTGAAGGAGTGATGATGTCCGCCTCGGCACTTGAGGAGATTGGTAAATCCCAATAATTGTGGGCGGTCTCGTGGAAGTCTGGCGAGATGGGGTTGAAGCCTCGGGGAGACTGTGCGCTCGGCGTGTGGGTTGGGATGCTAGAACGGCTTCATCTCTTGCCAGCATCCGCGTTGAGGTGGGTCTTATGAAGGAAGGGTGAGGGAAAATCTGAGAGTTGGTGGCCGACTCCATTTGGGTTATTTGAGCTGGCGGAGAGGAAGGTGTGCCAGATCTGGTTCCGCCAAAGAGGGAGTCGCGAAATGCGGCGGCTTTCTTTGTCCTCGAGAAGAACTTCTCCAACTTGTCAAAGTTCTTCTCCAACCTGTCCCGGCCTGTCGCCATGGTGTAGTTGGGGCTTACAGCCGATCTAGTCAAACAGTTAGATATGATGCGCCTGGCACGAGGGATCTCCATACGTACAGGATATGCATAGTGATGCCTTACAGCAGTAATGCAGGGTTGTGTGGGGTTTTATGGCGAGCCAGTAACTGCTCCTCTTAGGGCAGAATAGACATCACAGGACACTCTTTGCGTCAAGTCGAAAGGGTTTCCGGAGGCGACGCGAAGGATGGCTGGCATGTGGCCAGTCGAGGATACACCTGATACGATCGTGGTCGTCTTCAAAGCCTCCAATTGCACAAGCTGTTGAAGATGATACCCTTGACAAAGCAGACCAGCTTGTGTCGAGTTGGATTGACGGTAGAAACTGTGCTGAGAGAGGCAGGAGGCAGATGTTTGTTCGTGTAAGGCGAAAGTGAGATGGACCGAGATTTCAACCTGTTGTGCTTCCCCAGTCTTCCAGGTTGTATGTTGTGTATGTACGAACTTGGGTCCTCCACATGCAAGTCGAATGACGGGGCCGGGGAGAGACATGGATCATATATGGCTCACGGACGGTGGAGTGTGATCGAGAGCGGCTGGAAAAGGCTTACTACCTCCCAGCTTGACAGTTTGTCGGAGTAACAGATAGGTACATAGGTAAACTGCCTAAGCAAGTACGGGGTAATAATGTGGCAGACTGTCTTGCCCGACGAGTTCAGAAGAAGGAAACATGGGAGGTGGCGAGAGACTAATCCGCAGAGAACATGATAACGCCCCCCACAATGTGGAAATCAACCGCAAGTGGGAGAGGCCGAGGCTTGGGGAGCGCCAGGAAAACTTGGTCGTGGCTTCCCCCATTGGCCCCGATTGTCTTGAACGAAGTGATAGTAAGATCTGGAAAAGTAAGACCCAGCTTTGAACCCACCAGCTTTTGCTTTTTCCTAGAGAGAAAGGCAAGTACTGCACCATGGTGGTAGAGACTGTGTACCTACCGGGGAGGGGATGAGGTGCGCAGTTGGACAAGGAAGGAGCTCCCGTCTGGATAGGATCCAGGTGACCAACCAACCAACAAGGAAGCGCGACTACCTAGCTAGGTAGGTTACTACCGATGTAGGTTGAAAGAGGAGACGGGAAGACCCTCGCTCACCTCGCCAACTCCCGGTCACCTCGCTGTTCCTTCGTTGCATATCAAAACGAAGAGCGAGTTTTGTCCACACGCTTGGCCACCTCTACCAACTAGTAATGGGGTAGGACCCGACTGCATAGGTATTCATTCCATCGTGGCTTTTCGCTCACTGAGTTATGAAACCCCCGATAAATGGGAACAACACCAAATCAGAACAGATCCCAGGCGCAAAACTACGCCAGAGATCAGGGAACGTGGCGGGGGAGCAAGGGAGGAACCGAAGTCACCTCCTCGTGTTACACTCGCACGGTCATAAACATAACGCAAAGCATGAAGCGCTTACAGGGGTTTATACACTAACAGGGGTATAGCACAGTGGAGCGTCTGTGATTTACCCCGCAGCAGTTCGCAGATGCAACCCCATTGCTGCATTTCAACTGGCGGTGACCACGCATCTCAACGGCCTCAACCTCGTCAATTCTCTCGGTGGCAGCCGAGATCACCACGGGCACTACTCTGCACCTAGCGCACCATGGCACACGCTCTGGAATCCTACATTACGGAGTACGCTCACGCTTCCAAAATGCGTCAACCGTCTCCGAATACCGCAGCTTGGCAGGCCGTTGCGCACGAACCTGTCTTTTGAGATGCTTCCATAGCAACTATCCGACCAGGGGTGAACCGCTCACTCCCTTTCGCCCCCTCCCTCTGGCCAAGGGAGAGGAAAAGTTTTCATCTGGTTTGCCCTTTCTTCTTTTCTTTTTGCCCGCCACTGGAGCTGATAAACTTGGCCACGCGCGAAATATCTCCACATAGCTTGCCCTAACTCCACTTGCTTCCTTTTTCCAGCGCACAATAACATCTCCCTTCCCTGTCCAGCGATCGTAGATAACGTCAGTAATTGGCGCGATAGATCACCCGGCAGTCCCGGGAATTGGGGCCCGGCCTTCGATAGGTGGTGTCTACGCAGTAATGTTGGTGGATGGCGGATCCTCGCAACTTGTCTGGGCCTCAAAGAGTCAACACAGCCCCTCTGATACTCCCCAGCCAAGCTGGGCACTTCAGTCCCAACTGGGGATGGCGACGCTCTAGGTTGCTTACTAGACTAGACGCAGAAAAAAGGAAACAGTGTCTCACAACGTACATACTGAGAACTCAATTATCAATGTTGACAGCTTCCGTTGGGCAATATGCTGTCGTACAGGGTAATTTTACTTTGGAACCTGTTCCTCCGCCTCTTCAGTTGAATCTCGAGTTTCATTTGTCTTCCAGCCAGATAGCCAATTAAAAGCTGTGATGAGGCGAGCCATTGTAGCAGAAGGATTCCCTTGAGTTTGCTCCTTGATAACGGGAAGCCACCACAGAATGTGAAGCTTGCTGAGTTGTTGACCAAGGACAAGGCGTGGAGACGAACGAGTCACGACACCCCATCGCTGACATAGTACCCAGATCTTGGCTCTGTTCTTCCCTGTTTTCTCAACTAAGTAGTTCCTTGTTGTGCCTGTCACTAATCCGTACTTGTTAGTATCCTCTCCTTCGGGCTTTCATGTAAACTAGGGCTCTGCTTGCAACAACCGAGGCAGTTCCAGAATCAAGGACCTGAATTCGAGCCCGGCAGAATCCCTCGCTACCGGGAACCGTGGCGGTACGACAGGACGAAAGCTGTGCCACCATCGAACTGCAGTGAAACCACACTCTGTAATCTTGCACAAATGATGCACCTTATTCTCAGCCACTCGTTGGCGAACGTCAGTTGCTTCTCAGTAGCTCCACGCTCCACGCTCCACGATGCAGCTGCATGGGATGGTTTGCAAATTGGGCTGTTTCCATTTTACACATGCTACATACAACGATCCAAGGCCGTATGTATCTGGAGGGTATTAGCTTGAAGTCTCATCTCCTTGCAGGACAGATGATGGCTAATGACCTTGGCGTGCATGCGGAGCGATCAAATAAATCATGGATGGGCAATTGCTACTGACGCGAGACCGTGGCCATGAACTACTCGAAGCAAGGGGGCTGAACAAAAAGCTCAGTGATCGACACGGATCGACTACCGGAGCAGCCTCGTCTGCAGCCACAGGTCTGGGCCCTCAGCTAGTCATGGACACCGCATCAACGATTGCGTACTCGCGCCCAGCCGGCACTGGCCCCTCCCAGACCCCCAGCCCGTCGACGTGGAAACATAATACTATACGAAGTCCCCAGGGAGTGGCGGCGGCGTCTGCTACAAGCCCACAGCTTAGTCTCCCCTTTCCTCGTCCACTTCGCCAAATAGGTTCATGAAGGCCGTGTGCACCTCGTCCGTCAGATCACTAGCTTGCAATGAGCGCCCCTTCTTAGCGAAGGCGAGGCGAGAGCATTCCTGTCCAGACCCCCCCGCTGCCGTTAGCAAACCATGCAATGCCGAAAAGGAAAGGTCGTCAAGGGCTGCCATTCAGGGGCTCGCAGCCCCCGCCTTCAGGGGGGAGGCACAACTCACCCTCGTAATCGCACTGCCCCCAAACACCGCCAACCCGACGGTCTCCCTCTCGCTCAGCCGCCCGCCCGTCTCCCAGATGCCGTCCAGGTAAGCCTTCCTCCAGCCCAGGAACGTGGCGATGCTGCCCGTCAGCGTATCCCCCTGCCCGCCGCTCCTCTTCCTCCCGCCGACCAGGTCCACCGCCAGCGTCGTCTTGCCGTCCGATATCAGGTCCGTCCCGCCCTTCTGCACGATCGTGACGCCCCCCAGCGCCCTTGCCAGCGCCTCCACCTTTGCGCCCTCGCCCGCCCCCGCGACCTCGTCGTCGATCCCCAGCGCGCCGGTCAGGCGGCCGAACTCGACGACGTTGGGCGTCAGCACGGCGGCGGGGTAGCCGCGCACGAGGCCCGGGTCGCGCTGCACGAGGGCGAGGGCGTCTGCGTCGAGGACCAGCGGCGTGCCGCGGTCGCGGGCGGCGCGGATGACGCGCGCGCACACGTCGTGCATCAGCGGGTCGCGGCCCAGGCCGGGGCCGATGACGAGCACGTGCAGCCGGGGGAGCATCGCGATGATGGACTCGGCGATGCGGGCCGGGTCGGTGTCGGCGGATGGGGAGGTGATGGAGCCCGCGAGGGTGGACGGCGAGGACCGCATTAGAGGGTGTACCATCAGGTTTGGCGAGTAGGTCTTGATCACGGCTGCGGCGTTGGGGGTGCAGACGACGTGGGACTGCGTGGTGGTGAGCGAGACGGGCGGGGTTATCAGCGCTCGCGGCGGGCCCGGACACCTCGGGCTGCTCGAGGTAAACGTACCATATCACACCCCAGTCTTGCGCTTGCCATTGCCGAGAAGTACGGTGCCCCTGTGTAATCCTCACTCCCGCCAATGACTGCCACTCGCCCAAGTTGCCCTGTCCGGCGTACCCCACGAGTTAGCCGGCCTGAGATCTCTCGTAGACGTAGAAAGGAATAGAAAAGCGCCAGTCATTCGGGGTCCTTGCTCGCGCTCGAGGACCCCACGACTCGTGGTCGGCGAGGGATCACGGACGGGGCGTACCTTTGTGGAACTTGTCGAGCATCGGCGGCACCAGTTGCCGGACCTTGGTGAGGATCTCTTTCGTAGCAGCAGACATGTCTGGAACAGTCGAGGTATCGGAGATCATCGTCGGCGCCTGGGGTCCGCGTTTCTTGCCTCGGGGTCAGCTCGTTGTCTTGGGAGCCTACGGCAAGCTGGAAACGTTGTGGTTGATGATGTCAGTGACTTTGGTGAGAGGGCCGTGGAGAACATGGAAGTGAGAGAACCCAAATGACTTACGAATGGATCGGAAGGGTTGTCAATGCCTCAATTGGTGGAATAAGAGCATCTGAAGCTGAGAGATGGTTGGATTGGTAAGTGCCAGACATTTTGGCGACTGAACGACTTGGATTTGTATGGCACCACCCGATCTTGCTGACGTAGTTGGTCGATGATGTGCCGCCGAATCTGGTAGTCGAGAAGCATTAGGTAATCAACAACAACATTCCAGTCGAACCAAGTCTACTTTGTTGCAAGGTCACAAGTCAATTGGCACAAAGTACGGTGTGTATAGGGCCTCGGATCGTGTACATGTCCGCAGCTGGAGAAGACATGCTCGAAGAGGTGAAGCACTTCCATCAAAAAAGGAGGTGGTAGTTCAAAGCACAATATGTGGCCGAGCGAGGATGAAGGGGCGCAAACTCAATAATTCGATGATATTTTGATACCAATCATACAGGGGGGTTCGACGACAAACGTTGAGTTGACAGTTGTAACGTAATATCTAGGTGTGAAGGTGATGAATCAAGGTCAAGAAGCAACTGATTTCTCCCTTCACATCGCTTCCAGTCCAGCTTGGCACAAATAAAAGAGTAGATTTTATAAAGATTGCGATGATTACGGACAAAAGGAATCGAGTGCTTGATTGAGTATTCGGCTCTATTTTACAGTGGTTCGACTGGAGAATCTCCCCTCCCGCACTTCCATGCCTCAGTCCCAGCACCCGAAACGGAAGCTTCCTCTCTAAACGACGCACCCGGACGCGGTATAAACAGTCATCTACCCCCATACATCTTCTCCAAGAACCCCAGCAAGGTCTGAGTCTGCTGCAATTAACCCAGGAAGCTCTTGGTGAAGGTCTGGATGATCTCCTTCAACCTGGCCTCGAGGTCCTTGCTGATCGAACCCTCCTTGTCGATGGTTGTGATGACATCGGCCTCATTGGTCTTGAGGTGCGCCAGGAAGTCAGCCTCCCACTGCAGGATCTTGCCGACGGGGACCTGGTCGAGGTAACCGTTGACACCAGCGAAGATGAGGGGAACCATCTCGTTGACGGCCATGGGAGAGTACTGCTTCTGCTTGAGAAGCTCGGTCAACTGGAGAGGATATTAGCTTCGTATGCTCTGGCACTCTATCATCGATCAAGTACTTACGCGTTCACCTCTGCTGAGGGTCTGCTTGGTGGCGGCATCCAAATCGGAACCGAACTGGGCGAAGGCGGCGACCTCACGGTATTGGGCCAAGAAGAGCTTGAGCGAACCAGCGACTTGCTTCATGGCCTTGAGCTGGGCAGCAGAGCCGACACGGGAGACGGAAAGACCGACGTTGATGGCAGGTCGGATACCCTTGTAGAAGAGCTCAGCCTCCAGGAAGATCTGGCCGTCGGTAATGGAAATGACGTTGGTGGGGATGTAGGCAGACACATCACCGCCCTGGGTCTCGATGATGGGCAGGGCAGTCATGGAACCACCGCCGTGCTTGTCGTTCAACTTGGCAGCACGCTCGAGGAGACGAGAGTGGAGGTAGAAGACGTCACCGGGGTAAGCCTCACGGCCGGGGGGACGACGCAGGAGCAGGGACATCTGGCGGTAGGCGACAGCCTGCTTGGACAGATCGTCGTAGATGATGAGCGAGTGCTTGCCGTTGTCACGGAACCACTCGCCGATGGAGGCACCGGTGAAGGGGGCAAGGTACTGCAGAGGAGCGGCCTCGGAGGCAGTGGCGGCGACGACGATAGAGTACTTCATGGCGTCGTTCTCCTCGAGGGTCTTGACGAGCTGGGCGACGGTGGATCGCTTCTGGCCGACGGCGACGTAGACGCAGTACAGCTTCTTGGTCTCATCGGTGCCGTTGTTCCACCGCTTCTGGTTGAGCATGGTGTCGAGGGCGACGGCAGTCTTACCGGTCTGACGATCACCGATAATCAGCTCACGCTGGCCACGGCCAATGGGCACCATGGCATCGATAGACTTCATGCCAGTCTGCACTGGCTGGTTGACGGAGCGGCGAGGGAGAATGCCGGGGGCCTTGAGCTGGGCTCGGCGCCTCTCCTTGGTGTTGAGGGGGCCCTTGCCGTCGATGGGGTTGCCGAGAGCGTCGACGACACGGCCGAGAAGCTCGGGGCCGACAGGGACATCAACCTGAGGCGACAGTAAGCAATCGTGTCGTTGTCGGGAATTTAATATCAACTCACAATCTCGCCGGTACGCTTGACGGTCTCACCCTCCCTGACCAGACGATCGGAACCGAAGAGCACGACACCGACCTGGCCAGCCTCGAGGTTCATGCACATGCCCTTGACACCGGAGGCGAACCTGTATATCATGTTAGTGGCCGCAGTCTTGAGTTGACGGCAGGTCAAAGGCCGGGAATAACATACTCGACCAGCTCCTCGGCCTGGACATTGGCCATGCCATGGACACGGGCAATACCGTCACTGTGAGGAAGATCCAGGTTAGCATTTTCCTTGACAAATCCTGTCCAAACATTTCTTCGCATGCTCCTTGATCAATTGACGTTGGGGGTGGTGGGCGATTGAAGGCGTCCCATCCCCATCCCCATCGTCGCGGTGCCAAGAGCTGCCGGTCCAGGCAAAACGTACCCGACGGAGAGAACGCGACCAGTCTCGGCGAGGTTGGACTCCTCCTGAACACCACGGATCCGCTGCTCGAGAATGGAGGAGACCTCAGTTGGTGATGCCTTCGCGTCGGCGGCGTATGTTCGGAGTTGGAAGCTCAGGGCTGCGGGTGCGGCATTTCGTGCCTGGCGGGTGCAAAACAAGTTAGCCGAAAGGCCGAGAATCAACCACCAAAGCTCTCGGAAAGAGCTCCAAAAGGCCATCCACGACCCATGTACCCGTCTCAAAGTCTTCAATCGGGGGCTGGCGACACTCGATGATGACATTGAGATTGGATTCGAGGTGCCTTGGATGGAATTGGGGCGGAATCGGCCGGGCGGAGGCATCACTCACCACGGCAACTCTGCTGGTGGCAGAGATGGCACCCACGGCACGCGTGGACTGTCGGAGGGCGTTCCGGAACATATTAGAGCGTTATCTAACGACAACTAGGATAGGGAGAAAAGCAATTGCAAATGGATTGCAATTGGGAGAGGGGAGATTGAGACGGAGGAGATGTTGGAAGTTTGCAGAGGTTCCGGGCGGGAGTTTTTTGCAAGAGGACAGTGGATTTGGTAAGAGGGAGGAGGTGGAGCCGAGCTCACCCGTCGACCAATCAGCCACGGTCCCCTAATTTTCCTCAGTTCCGAGGCTCCACATCAACATTTGACCCGTTGAGATGGAATTGGCTTTGATCAACATTGCGATGCCTTCAATAATTCCTTCATAATTCCTGGTCGTCAGCAACATCTGTTCCGACCTTTGCGCCATTGGACGTGAGAGCGTCGACTTCTATAGCATATAAAGTGCTCGCGTTTGGCTGGCCAATCCCGTCTTATGGCGAAACCTACCAGCTTTGGATGTCCAAGACCGTCTGCCTCAGATTTCTTCGGCAGACCGCCTTGGCGTCCAGCTTATTTTTACTGAACATCCTGAGGCACGGAATGATCTCCAAAGCCTTCCCATAGAGTCAATTGCGTCCTTGCTTCACGTCTGCTTCTAGGCGAAAGCCACAACTGTAGCCCCATGGCGTCGGAGCTCTAGTTCCGACTGCTAGGAGGAAAGTTAACCAGCCGCCTACGCAGCGCAGTTGTCAACTCTCTTTCTATGTTTCTGTGGCCTCCTTCTGGGACAGTAGGCGAGTCCGAAGATCCCAGGGCATTCTGCCAGCAGTTATTACTGACTGATACAGGCCACGCAAATGTTTGTCTACTGTTCTTGAACGGGCGAACGGCAGGAAGTACAGCGGATGCAAGACGTCTCGATACAGTGGCTATTGTATGTTCTCGGCATACCAATTGCGGAAAATACTTGCATGGGAAAGATGCCTTCGTTGCTGGATCAAGGCCGTCCAGCAGCCCTTGCATATGTCCTTTGAGCTACCTCCACGAACGGGTCAAGGCAGGGAGTCAACTTGAGGGGGCTGGCAACGAGCACGAGATAACCTTGCCAGCTGAACTCCGAGTCCTGTCAACTCTGCCGCAAACGCGTGGAAGCAGAGGGGGTAACCGCATCGTCATTGTCATCTACAATTGAGCGTTGCTGAGGTTGACGGCCCGTCTGAGAAGAAGCTGTCTCGAGCAAGCATTGGTTATGAGTGTTCTTGTGGCTGTGCCGGTTCACACCGAGTATCTCTTCGAGGGTGGTCATTCTGTATAACCTGACAGCATTGATTCAGCCCATTGCCTGATGCACCAACAAGGTATCTATCTACCTCTGGGTTGTCCTCTATCGCAGTCCTCCTGCGATTGGGTAGGGGAATATGTTTCGTGCTATTACAGATCCATTGAGAAGAGCTATCCTTGAATCTACTACGCAGTAGGTATCAAAGTATGGAATTGGGAACAACATTAAACATATTAACCCATTGTCTCTTCGAATGTGATCTTATCTTACCAGACGCTACAAGAGCTGTTGGGGGAGCTGTTGGAGCTGGAACTGGAACAGGGGCACGGGCGTCGTTCCAGGAGGAGGCGGGGCGTGTGTAAGCTGACCCAACGCCAACTGCAAAGAACATTTCCAAATTTCCGGATTGGGTCCTGAATAGAGTGCTCATAATCCACCAACCTACTCATTCGTCTAGTTCTTCGCCGGCCGATTGAGCGAGACGCATTAATTCATGTTTGTCTTGAGAGAGTCAAGCTTGCCAACTTGTTGATGGCAGGCGAGATGCAGCCTCACCTCCCATAAGTCTAATCCATCCAGTCGAGTTCCCACCCAACCTACCTACCTAGGTGCCTACCTACATTTAGCCGCCGCCATCATGTCCCACCACCGAGACCACGACCGGGACGGCGACCTTTCGCTCTTGAATCAACCAGGCCCGTCCAAACCCAGAATGTCGCGCGAGTCTCTCTCCTCCGTCAGCACGACGAGCCTCGTCTTCGAGCGCATCCACGACCGCCTCGCCCACGAACGCTCCCCCAAGGGCCACCGCGGTGGCCGCGATGGCGCCTACTACGCCGCCCGCGACGGCCGGGCAGGCGTCGATGACGACGACGAAGAATATGAAGAAGACGACCGGCTGAAGGAAGAGCTGGCCGCCGACGACCTCGAGACGGGGCCCTTCCTGGCCGGAAATGGGTCCTCTCGCGGAGGCGGCGGGGCTGGAACACGCGGCGGCGCAGGCGGCAGCAAGCAAATGGACCGGTCGCTGCGGCGGGCGCTGATTGCGGGGTCGGTGCTGTTCGTCTGCATCTGGCTGATCGGCGCCTTCGTGTACATATCGGCGGGGCGGAACGAGCAGCACACGTCAGGGGCCGCGGTGAGCAGTCACGCCCCACAGGCGACGGCGGGCACGCAGACCCCCGACGCCAACGCCGACGCCGCGACCAGCAAGGTGACGCTCGACCAGGTGCTGGGCGGCCAATGGCTCGCCAAGCACCACGGCATCAGCTGGATCGCCGGCGCCGATGGCGAGGACGGCCTGCTGCTGGAGCGCGGCGCCGCGGGGAAGGACTACCTCGTCGTCGAGGACGTTCGCTCCCAGAACCCGGAGATCGCCGACGGCGGGGACGGGGTTGCCGGCGTGCAGGGCACAAAGTCGCTGATGGCGAGGGGCACGTTTGCCCATGGGGGCCGATACCACAAGCCCGACGACGCGGTGCCGAGCCAGGACCTGCGGAGGGTCCTGCTCGCCACGGACAAGCAGTCGAACTGGCGCCACTCGTCCACGGCCGTGTATTGGATTTTCGACGTCGAGACCCAGAGCGCGGAACCGCTGGTGCCGGGAGAGCCGGGCGCGAGGCTCCAGCTTGCCAGGTGGAGCCCAACGAGCGATGCGATCGTCTTCACGAGGCAAAACAACATATATCTGCGGAAGGTCGGAGATAAGGAAGTCAAGAAGGTCACGCAGGACGGAGGGCCCGAGGTTTTTAACGGGGTGCCTGACTGGGTCTACGAAGAGGAAGTCCTGGGCGGGGCCAGCGCGACTTGGTGGTCGCAGGACGGAAACTATTTCGCCTTCTTGAGGACGAATGAGTCCGGCGTCCCTGAATATCCGGTCCAATACTTCGTCTCGCGACCCAGCGGCGTGCAGCCCGAGCCAGGCGAGGAGGCCTACCCGGAGGTTCGCATGATTAAGTATCCCAAGGCTGGAGCCCACAACCCTATCGTCGATCTGAAGTTCTACGACGTCCAAAGAGGTGACGTCTTTGATGTTAAGGTTTCGGATCGCTTTTCGGATGATGACAGACTCATTACCAGCGTCCTCTGGGCTGGGGGTAAGGTCGTTATCAAGGAGACAAATCGCGTCAGCGATGTTATGCATGTCTTACTCGTCGACGTTGCCTCGAGAACGGGGAAGACAGTTAGAACCGTGGACGTGAAGAGCATCGACGGAGGGTGGTTTGAGATCTCGCAGAGCGCCCGCTACATACCAGCAGACGCCACGAAGGGCCGCAAAGACGATGGCTATATCGATACTGTCATTCACGAGGACAGGGATCATCTGGCGTACTTTGTCCCCCTCGACAATCCCGAACCTATCATGCTTACGTCGGGAAAGTGGGAAGTTGTGAATGCCCCCTCCGCCATCGACCTGGAAAGGAACCTGGTTTACTTCGTTGCGACCAAGGAATCGTCCATCCAACGCCACGTGTATAGCGTCAAGCTCACCGGGAAGGATCTGACCCCCTTAACAGACACTACGGGAGAGGGCTACTACGATGTGTCTTTCTCGAATGGAGCTGGATATGCTCTTCTTTCGTACCAGGGACCAGAGGTTCCTTGGCAGAAGGTGGTCAGCACCCCCAGCAATCCCAACCAATACGAGCACATAGTCGAACAGAATGCAGGACTCGCCGAGAGCGCCAAGCGGCACGACCTCCCGGTCAAGATCTACGGCACAATCAACGTCGACGGGATCGACCTCAACTACGTGGAACGCCGCCCGCCGCACTTTGACAAAAACAAGAAATACCCCGTCCTCTTCCAGCAATACAGTGGCCCAGTCTCTCAGTCCGTGAACAAAAGGTTCGCCGTCGACTTCCAGTCGTATGTGGCCTCCAACCTGGGCTACCTGGTTGTGACCGTCGACGGCAGAGGCACTGGCTTCATCGGCCGGAAGGCGCGCGTAATCATCCGCGGCGACCTGGGCCGGTGGGAGTCGCACGATCAGATCGCGGCAGCGAAGCACTGGGCGGGCCTAGACTACGTGGACGCCTCTCGCCTCGCCATATGGGGCTGGTCGTACGGCGGGTACACGACGCTCAAGACGCTCGAGCAGGATGCCGGGGAGACGTTCAGCTACGGCATGGCGGTCGCGCCCGTCACGGACTGGCGCTTTTACGACAGCATCTACACCGAGAGGTACATGCTCACGCCGCAGGTCAACGAAGGGGGCTACGACAGAAGCGCCATCAACAACGTCACCGCCCTGTCGCAGAACGTCCGGTTCCTGCTCATGCACGGCGTTGCCGACGACAATGTTCACATGCAGAATTCGCTGGTGCTGCTGGACAAGCTGGACTTGGACAACGTCGAAAACTACGACGTCCACGTGTTCCCCGATAGCGATCATGGAATCTACTTCCACAATGCCAATCGGATCGTGTACGACAGTAAGTCTCTTCCTCCGGCGCCCGAACCTGACTGTTGATGAAGTTGCTGACTCTGTATGCTCTAGAATTGTCCAATTGGCTCATCAATGCTTTCAATGGGGTGTGGCTCAAGGTCAATGATGCGAAGCCCATTGATACGAAGAGGGAACTGGATCTCGAAGGGAGTCAATAGCCTCGGATTATTCTGTAAACCGCCAGCTCGTGTAAGATGATCTGGAGTTATAGGAGGGAAACATTACAGCATGGCGTTCTAGGACTGAAGACAGGAAAAACGTCCCAGCAAGTGTTGATAAACAGACACCACATTTCTTTGCTTTCAGGTGTAAACAATAAAGGAACTAAAGTCTGCTTGGTAGCTCCAACTTCCATCCCATACCCATCCCAACGCGCCGCACTCCTATAACACCACTCACTCAAGCGAAGCGACCCTTCCCCTAAGAAAAAACCGCACCCGATAGCAAACCCCCTTTTGCTGGAAAGCGCCCCCAACAAGCCTAAAAAAAAGAAGAAAAAAGAAGAAAGAAAAGAAAAGAAAAAAGGGACAGAACAAACACGCCCGTCCCGTCCACCCTAGGTCTGGATGAGCTGCGGCGCCTCCTCCACCTCGGGGTTCAGTTTCTCGACGACGGCCGCCGTGCCGTAGGCGCAGACCTGCGCGAAGCCGGCGAGGTCGGCGGCGTCGAAGCGCATCGCGATGATGGCGTTGCCGCCGCGGCTCTGCGTCTCGGCCACGAGGCGACTGATGGCGTCGTTGCGGGCGCTGTAGAGCTGTTTTTGTCTGTGTCAGCTTGTTTCTCTGTTTCCCCCCCTTCCCCTCGCCCTTTATTTTGGAGGGGAGACATTAACGGGGACTCACCAAGCTCGTGAACCATTGCAGCTCCCCGCCAGCGATGCTCTTGAGCGCCATTCCCAGGCCGGCGGCCCAGTTGCGCGACCGCACGGTCAGGCCGTAGACGGCGCCCAGGACCTTGACGACGCGGTACCCGGGGATGTCGAACATGGTCGTCGTGATGACGCCGTTGGTCTCGGTGAAGCAGTGCAGGTCCTGGATATGCGGCGGTATGTCGGCCTGCTGGCCCTTCTGCTGGGCCTTCTTGTCGCGGGTCCTGTGATCCATAGCTGGCGAAGGTGGTGGGGGATGATAATGTATATGGGCTTTGTAGGCTCTTGGGGCGGGGTAGGGGGGAGGAGATTCACACTATCGTGGGCTGCGCGTTTGATGGAAATGGTGGGAATGGCCTGAGAGTGGGAGGATGATGGGACAGGGCGACTGGGAAACTAGAGACATCATGGCTCTCTTTATACCCTTTTTTGCCTCACGAGGTTGACCGGCGACTTGACGAAGCTCATCGTCAACGATCGGGCATTACTCGCAGATCTCAGGGACTCAGACACACTCAGACACACTGCCCCCAGAGAAGTGGGAGTTTTGGTGACATCCCATGCGTGTTTTGATAGGTTGTTGGCAGGGCAGCGTATTTCGTATTTCCCGCATTCTAACCATGTTAGTCGGAGTGCCTGGGGCTAGCCTGCTGTATCGGGGTACATACAGTGAGGCGTCATGCTATGTAGCAACAAGAGGGCTGAGTATGCGTAGGACAGTGTCGGGTGAGCCGTTTTCGTTTTGCTAGTCGCCCTGGCGACTTCGGGGGGAACCGGTTCGCGGAATAGGGCCCAATCCAGCATAAAGATAGAAAAAATACGGTTAATTTAGGAGATCGACAATTATTATTTAAAATAAAAATAACCGCATACGGGGCTTTGCGGAAGTTGCGAGAGAAACAATGGATGTATGTACCCCAAGTCGTGATCCCCCACAGCAGCTTCCTGGACGCTTTTCCCCAGCTCTGACCCCACTTTTTCAATATGGATCTCTCCCAATTCATTACACGGAAGATGACCTTTCTGGCAATTGCAGTAGCATTGGCTCAAGGAACCGATGGCAATTCGCGTCGCTTAATCAATGGCGGGTTCATTCAGCCGGAGCAATTCAGTCCAAGTGGTCAGAATGCCAGGAAGAAGACAAAAACGCTGGGCCCTCCCTGCTGGCTGGGCGTTCGCTCTTGCTCAACTCGCAACGACATCACCAGCTCCAGTCTCCCTCGTTTTTGAACCCTAAGCGTGTTATCATTCGTTTCGAGGGGAATTAGGGGAAAAGCCGAGAACAGCCCAATCAAGGATAAAGGCAGAAGAGAAAGGAAGAAGAAAAAAAAAATGATCGGAACCACAGTCCTTCTCGCGCTGGTCAGCGCCGCATCGGCGGCCTCGCTGCCGTGCCGCCAGGTCGACACCCCCGCCGAGGTCAAGTGCCCGATCGTGTTCGACGGGCGCGTGTCGTCCTCGCTGTCGGCGGCCGACTTCGACAGCTCGAGCACGTCGCCCTTCAACCCGGACTACGTCAAGGGCGAGGGCCTCAAGTGGAGCGAGATCCTCAAGTTCCCCGCCGACGCCGGCCGCGCGCGCTTCGACGACGACACCAAGAAGGCCTTCGAGGTCACCATCAGCGACAAGTCCATCTTCCAGACCCAGAAGGGCTTCCGCCGCGCCGGCCTGCAGTTCAAGGGCGACAGCAACGACGCCAGCCCCGCCGTCAAGGGCGTCAAGACGATCCACTTCAGCGTCAAGCTTGATCCACAGAGGCCGCTTAACTTGTCGCATGAATACCTGGTTCGTCCCCCTTTAATCTCGCCCACCCTCCCCCCATTAGCCCCGTAATCAACATCATGGGCAGGGGGGAGATTCAAGTTGGCTAACCAGGACGGGCTATAGAACGTCTGGCACGAGGCGGCCGACTACTCGGCCAACCAGTTCAACTTCGAGGCGGGCGCCATTATTGGCCAGGACAGCCTGGCCAAGGACACATGGAAGGTGCTGAACCGACAGAACAACCAGGTCTGGTCGACGCCCATCGAGAAAGACGCCTGGCAGAACTTTGCCATCACCCTGGACTTCAACAAGAAGTGAGTATACCCAAGCCGCCCGCAGCCCGGGTTTCCCCAAACGACGAGGGCAATCCGTCTTCTTCCCCTTTTCCGCCCCTCGCTGACCAGTCTCCTCCGCACAGTACCCTCCAAGTCTACTACTCCAAGGGCTCCGACCCGCTCAAGTCGGTCACCAGCGCCGTGACCAACGACAACTCGGGCGCGGGCCAGTTCCAGATCGGCATCCTCAAGAAGCCGACGGGCACCAGCGACGTCGTCAACGCCGGATACCAGGAGAGCGGCCTCAACGAGGGCCTGATCTACGGCAGCCTGTTCGTCGAGGACTCGGACAACGCCTGCGTCTCGCTGTGATGAACCACACGCCAACTCCGCTCCACACTCACAACGGGCACCCATCTATCTGTCTAGACCATCTGGTGTCGGTGTAGAAGGGGAGGTAGGGGTAGGTCCGGTAGTCAAATATGTGGTTCCTGTACATACCTACATACTTGCGACTTGTTGATACAGCGCACGTATATAACTTCGCTTCTGAAATCGTTGTTCATGGATGGCTGAAAATACGTTGAAGTATGTATACAATTTGCTTGCTTCTTTACAAGTCATGAATAAAATTGGAGCACCTACTGGCTCAGCCCGCTCTCGCGTGACCTACATAAGCAGATAGATGTCACGGAATGAATGATTCGGCCAAGCCTGCCGAGACAGGATCACATTACCAACTCACACCGGCGCAAACGGACGGGTTCAGTGGATTGCAAGCAAAATCAACTAGACGAGATAGGTCTCTATCATACAAGTATTGTGCACATAGTTTACTCTGCGCCATGAAGAGGAGCAGCCGATGCAGCGATAAGGCGGAACGCAACCATCCACTTGAAACCAGAAACCGTACCACCTGCGTATCCATTCCAACCTCCTGCTTTCACCACGGTATTAAGCACCCAGAAAGTAGAATTACAGCCAGTTAGAGGGGTGCTGCTTCTTGGGAGGATGAAATGAAAATATACGGTTGGGTTTGGTGGGAGGAATTAAACGCTCGGTTGCCGAGAGGGGAAGGGGAGACGCGCAGGGTGCGCGCCCCCCTTAGAAGCCATAGCCGGTTGGCTGGGGAGCGAACCCGTTGGTCTGGGCGAACGGGACTGGTGAGGCATGGCCTGCACCGCCGGCCGGACCAGCGGTAATCATGAGACGGTTGCCACCGAGGATGGGCGTGTTGTCCTCGACCTTCTCCTGTTCCTTCTCCCTGGCCTTCCGAGCCTCGTTGTCCGCCTTGAGGGTGGTGAGCTCCTTGGTCTGCTGGCATAGGAGGTTGATCATGTACGGCATGGTGAAGTCGTTCAGGCCATGGCGCCAAGACATCTCGAGAACGGTATCAGGCCGGATGAGGTCGTAGCAGGCATAGAGCATGCCGACATAACATTCTCGGTTGCCAATGTCGACGAACTGCAGAGCATGAGTTAGCCACCAGCGCACGATTTGGGGGAGGATTAGCACCTACGTATCGGACGAGTTCTTCCACCACTTCCTCCTTGCTGGAGATGGCCGCAGTCTCGATGGCATCCTTCCAGAGCTTGTCCTGCTTTGACAAGTTGATCGACTTCTCCCAGCGCTTGTTCTTGCGATAGATGTTAGCTGCAATCTGGCGGAAGAAGACGAGGTCGTGCTTCTCGAGGCGACCGGCCAGCTCGACGGCGTCGTAATTGTCGTAGTTCTCGACCGAGTCGCGAAGAGTCTTGTAGTCTTCCTCCTCGATCAACAGGTCGTTGATGGCATCGTTCACAATCCGCTTGTTCTGCGTCTGGACGTTGAGCAGGAAAGGCTTGATGAGCGGCAGGTTATCCGACTTGTGGAACAGTCGGACAACCCGGTTGACGTCGACACGCGGCGTCAGAGCCTGGAGGAGATCGGTCAAGAGCGACGGGTGCTGCTCCAGGTAGAAGTTGATGGCCTTGTAATAGATCTCGAGGTTGGCGACCTTGACCACAATCTCCTTGAACTGCTGGTGCTCCCAAGAGTTCTCTGGCCTCTCGATGACGGCGAGCGCAGCATTGTCGAACTCGTCGTAGTGGTAGTAACAGAACACCAGCTCGGGCCACAAGTTGGCCTCCTCGCAAGAACGAATCATCTTGGGAAGATTCATCCGGCTCCAGAACAGCTTGAGGTGCTCCATCAGACGTTCTGGGTGGTATTTGGCCAGTGCGATACCCAGCTCGGTGAACATCCCCATATGGGCCCGCTCGAGACCGAGGCCTTGCTCAAGGAGGTTGATGAGTTCGTCGAAGTAACCGTTGCGCTCGTACTGCTTGACGAGGGCTTGCAGCTGCTCGGCGTCGACAATAAGATTCAGACCACAGATCTGGGCCAACCGGAACTCCTTCTTGTCCACGCATGCCTCGTGGACCTCCTTCCACACCTTGATGTTGTTGGCCTTCCGTGCGCACTCCACGGCGGCCTGGTAGTCGGCAAGGTGAACGAGGGTAGTGGAGAGCTTGGCCCAGTTGGAGATGCTGGTGTAGAAGATCTTGGCAGCCTCATAGAGACCTTCCTCATAAGCCTTGTCTCCGGACTCCTCAATGTTCGCGACGTTGGTGGCGCGAAGGAAATCCTCAAGCTCGGAGAGCTGGTCCAGGCGCGCAAAGCAGAAAGCGAGGGCCGTGTCGATGGCGGGCTCTCGGAGAGACTTACGGGCCATGCGAAGGTATTTGACGAGCTCCTCGTTCTTGCCAGCGCGGACGGCGATCTCGATGACTTCCTCGTAGTTCTTCGGGTCGCCGGCCTTGATGTACGAATCGATCGAGTCACTAATCCGGAGGCCGTCCAGCTGAGCCTTGGCAACCTTACTCCAAACCTCAGGGGTGTCCACGTGCTCGGCGAATGCTTGTGCCCGATCGATACTAACGACGTGCTCGACAAGCACGTTGGCAGCGGCCTCGTTGTTGCCAATCTTCTTGTAGATCTCAAACGCCTCCTCGTGGAGACCGACCTCGATGCACGAGTTGGCGATGTCCTCGGCATCGTAACCGTCCAGACGATGGATGTAATCCATGACGCGAGCCTTGTCAGCCTTGGCGGCAGTGTACATGAGCAGGTTTTGCAGGCTCGCGTTGTCACTGAAGGGCGAGGGTTCAAGGACGATCTTCTCGAGCAGCTCAATAAGCTCTCCGGGGAGATCGGCAGCCAGGAACGACTGGACGGCCTTGGCCACCTTGTCGGGATCGATCGACTCCGGGACCGCAGTCGAGATGACCTGGTCAATCACGGAGCGGCGATGGAGGTTGTTCTCGCTAAGAACAAAGGACCAGAGCTCCTCATCGGCCCGCTCAAGGAGATACCGCGCCTGAGCCTTGTACATGGAGTTTTCGTTGGTGATGTTGACCAGCTCCAGGTCGTTCTGGCCCTTGCGATAGCTGATGTATGCGAGGTTAGGGTCGCGCTTCTCGCAGTATTTGCCCACGACGACGGTGTCGTATTGATCGTTCTCCTTGAGGAACTTCTCCGGATTATTATTGGAGTCGATATAGATCTTCGCAAGGGCATTGTAGACAGCCTGCTGCTGGTTCCCAGCTGCCAATGTCGCCTCGAGGAACGGAAGGAGGAGCTTTAGACGATTCCGCGTCTCAACCTCTGAGACCAATTCGTCGATTGGAATAGACGCCGGGTCAACCGTTCCCAGAAGGTTCTTGATGATGGTCTCCTCACAGTCGACGTCAAGCAAGCCGCCGATTACAGCGGGCGTGCGAGCGGGATTGACTCTCTGCACGTAGACCTCGATCGACTTGAAATGCTGGTTCTGGTAGAGGTAGAGAACCAAGTCATGGACGAAGTTGAACCGGTCGCAAACGACAATGAGAGGCAGCATCTCGCTGAGGCGAGCTTCCTTGAGGAAGTTCTTGACCTTCTCCGGGTTGTAGTGGTTGCTGTCGCGGCAGATACGTTCGACTTCGCCGAACTGGCCCATCTTGGTGGCGGCCTCAATGTACTTGAAGTTGACATCCGGATCCTCGGAGAGATTGACGATGCTGCCGAGGTAGTAGAACAGGCCCTCGGCGGTCTTGTACTTCTCGAAGAGATCAATGAGCCGGGTAGGGCCAAGGAGATCGGAGTACTTGGTGGCGACCTGGACGACAGACTGAAGATTCTGGCGAATGTTATGCTTCATCATGGCATCTAGGCAGTCCAGGGATTGCTCGACAGACAGCTTGCCGAAGAATTCCGTCAGCCAGTCGAGGTTGAAGTTGGGAGCGCCAGGAATGTTGACAATGATTCGCTTGACAGCCTCGGGGTCCTCGTAAAGCTCCAAGGCCTTCTGGAAGAGCCCGGCCTGCTCGCACAGGAAAGCGATGCGGGCCTTGTCAAAGTACGAGAACATGTCGTTGCCGAGGATGGCGTCGGCCACTTGCGGGGCGTTCATCAAGTTCATCTCGAGCAGACGGGTCTGGAGATGGCCTTGCTCTGGCTTGTTGTCCTTGAGCGCATCCAGAAGGAACGCCGTGGCTTGCTGAACCATGCCTTGGGCTTGGAACACATCAACGACCCGTTCAATGTCAACAAGGGATCCGCCCTCTTGGTTGACCAGCGATGTCGCAAACTCGGCGCCCTTCTCAGGGTTGACTCGGACAATGTGCTGGAGAAGGTTGATCCAATCCGGCTGGTAGCTGACGGAGGCGCAGTACGGCAGGATCTTCTCGAACTGGCTCGTCTCGGCAAAGCCGGCGACGACCTTTTGCGGTACATTGGCCTTCACATAGATGCCCACAGCCATCATGAGATCATGAGGGCGAACCATGTCACCCAGTTGCTCGGAGCAGTCCAATTTGTCCTCGCCGAGCCATTTTTGGAGGAGCTGCTTCCGGTTCTGAGCCAAGACTGGTTGGGCAAGCTCGATGGTCTCGTGCTGGTTTAGAGTGCCCTTGTCAAGCAACATACCAAAGTACTGCAGGATGTGGGACATCTGGCCGGGTTGCTGAGGGATCCGCTTGAACCGCTCTATGGTCTGCGGCGTGCGCAGGAAACCACGGGGCGAATTGGCAGCAACTTTGGCAGCCTCCTGGTAGTTACCTGAACTAAATAGCTGCTCAAAGCGGTGCTGGTAGAGATTGTCGGCGCCAGGAAGTCCAGCACGGGATGCCAACTTGAGTGCCAAGTCGTTCCCGTGACTCTCCAGGACATATGGGACCAGATTATTCTCGTCGGCGGCAACCAAAAGAACCTGGCCCTTGCGATTGATGCCGACGATGCCTGTGGAGCTCGAGTCTGCGCAGGACGTGAAGATGGTGTCGCTCGATATCCGATTCATGAAGATGCAGGTCGCGGACTCAAGATCGTAGAGGTGGATGAAACCATATTTGGTGACGAGGTAGATGAGGCCGTACTTCTGCGATACCTGCATCGCAACCGGGAAATCGCTGGCGGCTTCGGGGGGGAAGAAGACGTCGACGGCCCGCTTTGTGAATACGGGGTTCGTCTCCGGGTGGTCGACCTCGACGATATGCAGCTTCGCACCCGCTGCAGTGCGCACAGCGAAGGTGAACAGCTTGGTGTCCTCGGGAGCACCCTCCAATCTGAGAGTGCCAAAGGCGGCCGCATGTCCCTCGATCGCCTGGCTAATGCCCCGATCTTTGGAGTATAACTGCATGGCACCAACGACACGGCCTTGTTGTTGAGATATTCCAACGACAACCATCCATTTTCCGTCAACGCTAGTGCGGTAGTTGATGATCTGGTTGTTCTAGGAAGTGTTAGAGAGGAAGGTGATATTCGACCAAGGCGGGTATCCACATACCTGAAGGTTGGAGTTCCGGTCAAACGCCTTGACGGGCGCTGCCTGGCTCGCGTCGAAGACATTCCAGTGGTAGACAGAGCTGTCGGTCACCATTCCCAGTGTTGTCTCGGAGATCCACTTCCAGAAGACAACGTCCTCATTCATGGTCGTCGACTTCAGCTTCTGCTTCTGCTCCAGGTCGAAGATTTGGAGGGTGCGCGACTGAGCCTTGAGGGCAATGACCTGGCGAGTCCAGTGCATAATTGCGCTATCGGCTTTGATGGGACGTCGGATGACATTGTTGCCATTTTTGAGGTCGACGATGATGACTTCGGGCGAGGAGGCTTCGTCCTTCTTTTCCCGGATGCAGATGTAGGAATCTGATTCTAGTGTCTGGAGCGGAGCTCTGGGTTAGCAAGCGGGAGGGGCAGAGATTGAGTACGGATGGATCGTACACAGGAGTTGAAGGTGATGGCCTTCTCGGTCACGCCAAGGCTGTTGAGCTGCAACAGCTCCTGGAACTTGATGGGCAGCGACGCCATGGTAAATTGTCGGCGCTAGGCTGCGCGAAGGCGGCGAGGGGAAGCAGCCAACTTATTACGAAGGCTGAGATCTTGAACGATGTCAAGGTGAAGGAGATTCGTCCAGGAAGTAAATGAGGTTGGTTCGTCGTCACCTCCGTCCGGGGCAGGGGCGGGAACAAGTCAACAATCCACAGACGGAGGACGTGGGCAATTAAGAAGTGTGCGACAGAGAAAGTAGGTTAGTCTTGTCCCGAGATGGCAATCGGGAAAATTGGACGGAAAAGGTTGATGTGCGGCGGATGGGGGAAGATTGCGTGTTTGAGAAGTTGAAGAAGGTACGGAGTACGTCAGGTTCCTTTTTTTGAGGTTACCTGTTCGCTTCAACCAGCTTCGCGACGCCTGGCCCCTGCGTGTTGGTTGTACCTGCCTTGCGCACCCCCGAGGCTCAATTTAAAGTCACGTGAGGCGTTCACTTGGGCTTGACATTCGCCCAATCAGATAGCTCGCCGTATGAAAGGCAGGGGCAGCTGCTGCAAATGATGGGAAATCAATGACATGGATCGTAACCAGACCAGAAGGTATGGTTTGCATTTCCTCAGGGCTTTTGCAGGTTTGTTTTCTACACGCCTGTAAAAGTTTATATTGGTGACCAGGTGATCAACTCGAAGAGCTACCTGCTACAGCTTCCTCACTCATCCAGCGCAGCCTTTTTGCCCTGGCCTAGCCGTGGGCGTGGCGGCGGGAGGCTTGACGGGACATGGCAATCCTAGAACACGCACTTCATACAAGGGCTTGTCGTTCCTACGGTAGACGCTCACTCTCACATGGTTGGCATATGATGCAAATATTTGTACGACCAATCATTGCGGCCCATCCCACGGCCGCGAAGGCATAAGGAAGCACCGCACCCAAGATTGTGCGCTGGAATTTCGATCTCCATTCTGTGCGAAAACCTCAATATGTCCTGGGCCCAACCGAGACTCGTTTGCACGAGTGACGGGGACCTCGAATCAAATAAGCGTTCCGAGAATGTGAAAAATGCGTTGTATAGTTATACTATGAAGAAGAAAAAGAGAAGAAAAGTCAGAAAAATTTCTGCTGTTCGATCAATTTGTATGGCGGCTGCACAGCTTTTGGCCTCAGGCACCGATAGCAACCACCCCTGCAGGCTTGGCACAGCTGGCAATTGCACGTGGGGCGGCGGCTCGCATTCCCATGGAGCGACGACTTGGATTTCACCGTTTACGAGATGTAGACAGTATAGGTTGCTTAACCACTCCAACGAAATCATTCGATTTGAGATGAATCCTGCCCAAACGCTCCCGAGGTTCTTGCTCCCTCGCCTGAGCTGGGCTGGACCTGGTACGAGGTCCTTTGGGGCAGTGGCTGGGTTGTCCATCCACTCAAGGAATCAGCAACCATGGCAGACTCCATCCCAGCCGATCCACGCAGGCTGGCCGCGAGCTCATCATCTCTCTACCTCTAAGACCAGGCCCTGTCGGACAGGTCTGCTCCGGGAACTGTCCCTTCGGCGAGCCTTCCATGTCTCGGCCCCTCGGCGCAGAGACCACCACTTCGATACCCTCAAGTTCGTCCAGCGCCTACAAGAAGAGGGATTCACAGAAGAGCAGTCGGTGGCGATGATGAAGGTTCTCAACGACGTGATTGAGGAGAGGCATGTCTCCTCCGCCTCCGAACAGGCTGGCCCGTCCCCGCTACACCCTCCGCTGACAGGCGTCCCCAGCATCCAAAACCTCACGCGGACCATGGTCCTGCGCGAGGACGCCGCCAAGGCGACGTACACGCAGAAGGTCGACTTCGCCAAGCTACGCAGCGAGCTCCTCAGCGCCGACAGCACCGAGTCCAACACGACGCGCGCCGCGCACGAGCGCCTGACCAACGACGTCGCCAAGCTCAACAGCCGCCTGCGCGACGAGATCGGGCGGACGCAGGCCAGCGTGCGCCTGGACCTGAACCTCGAGAAGGGCCGCATAAGGGAGGAGGCCGTGTCCCAGGAGCTGAAGATCAAGGAGACCGAGACCAAGATCGAGCAGGAGGTCGCGGCCCTGCGGCAGCAGCTCGAGCAGGTCAAGTTCCAGACCCTGCAGTGGTTGATGGGTGTCTGTACGGGTTGCGCCGCACTTCTGCTTGGTGCCTGGCGCCTACTGATGTGATGGGCTGGAATCTCACATTTCTTGGAAGGAGGCTGCAATAGGATGGCATACCAGCAATTGGGTCCTGAGAGAAGGTTTGTGTCACTTAACTCCATTTGCCTGACAATGGAACGCTAGAATACGGGATATATCAAGCGCAAGCGAGACATCAGCGAACGCGTAAGGAAATTGAAGGCATATTATGAAGGCAGCTTTCCAGACCATCCGTTTACAGCCACCACGTGAGCGCAAGTCGCATCCTCGGGTGCAATACATGTGTGGCTTGTCCCCCCACGACAGTGTCCGAGGGGATGACGAGTCGTGGAATAATCATGGCTCTCCTGTGGATGGGTTTTGGCAAGACACCAGCTTGCGAGGTCTTAGTAGTGTCATTGCACCCGAGTGCAGTTCAATTCTATGGTCTTCATAACCAGTGTGTACAAGGCCAAGTCGGCAGCTACTCCCCCTCTCCTCCCTACTTTCCAGTGAGGATCAGCCAATTGTTGGAGATGACCTTGAACTGTTCCTTGCCATTGGCGGATTTGAAGACGAACCCTTCCCGGACCGTTCCGTTGGTGCCAATGCCGTCCGCCTTCTTTATCAACGCCTCCATGCTCGGCGCAAATTGTCTAACTGTGCTGTATTCGAGGACAGGGACGTGAGCGATCCCCAGGCGGTTGCAGATTGCGATGACGTTCTTGGGGCGCATCTCCTGCTGCCTCTCGATGTCCCAGATGCCGAATACAATGAAGGCGTGTTCTCCCTCGGGAAGCCTCAGGCTATTCCCCTGAATCGACGGGCCACAGAGCTCCCCCTGGACGACTACATTATCCCCGATCTGGCTGATCTTCTCGGGGAGGCCCAGCTTCTTGGCAACCTCCCAGTACAGGTTCCGTCCATTGTCAATGAAGTCGTGAGACCGACTGCAAACACCGACCCTTCCATGCTTTTGCTCCATGGCCATTCCACATCCCTCGGGAAGGGCTGTGAGGCTGTCGTACCAGCGGGAGCCCGAGCGGACAGTGTAGATTGACATGGTGACACCATCCAGCTTCTCGGTAACCTGGAATACTCGATCCAAGTACCGGCCTCCTGGTGAAAAGAGGCCAATGATGTTTTGGGCCCTCTCGCACCCGGGTTGGGGGAAGAAGGTGGGTGGCCTCCCAAGGCTGGCCTCAGGGTTATTGTCGTCCATGACGACCTCCCACTTCTTCACCCTGAGTTCCTTCTCGAAGGACATGTTGAAAATACTTTTTAAAGCTTCCTTCCTTCCGAGCTTTCTAGTCAGATCCTCGAGAACGCCGTTGACCTCCGGCACCCGGTCGAGGGCGAAGACGACACCTTGAGAGATGGCTCTATCAACGGTGCGGGATCTGACTCGGTGCCCATATATCCCATCCTGCACCTCCATGCGATTAAACATGTACTCCCCAAAGAGCCTGTTGGTGGCGGGGAGGAAGGAGTCGATTTCGAAGTAGACGACCAGTTGGCCTTCCTCGTACTCATTTGCTGGCACGATCACGGTCCAGCCATCGATGTGGAGAACGTCATAGCGATGGTTCTTGAGTCTCTCTTTCTCTCTGATCTGGCGGACTGTAACGAGTTTGCGGACAGGACGCGGAGGTGAGGTGTCGACGGTGGTATCCATTTCGAAAAACGACCCTGCTGGCGGAGCGTGTACCAGGAGATGCCCGAACTGGCTTTGTGGGTAGGTAAGGGGTGTCACTCTTGGAAGCCCTCTGTTGGGAACAGGTTTGGAATCTGAGGATGGGGTGAGGTCGTGTGTTAAGCTTTGAGGACGAGGAGGCAAGGATGTATTAAAATAACAAACTCGGACGGTCCTGGCAAGGTTTTATATAATTTGCCCGACGGACCTGTGTATGTCAAACTATCAATCAACACCTTAAATTCTACATCCTGCCCCTTGCTCCGGGAGCTACGTCCTACAGTCCCCTTATTCCTCACCAAGCCTGATCTCGGATGGTACCCAGACAACTGTTGCAAGGACCCCGTTCGAGAGCAAGAGATTGAGATTGGTAACTAGCGCACGAAGGTGGTAATCTCGTTGTGCAATTCCGTTTTCTTCTCACCGCGGAGATGCGCCATGACCTCGCGATGCAGAAGACTGTCGACCCGTTCAAATGGGACAACATCGAGGATCGATTTAAGTGACATGCAATATGTAGGTACCTACCTAACGACGGAGACAGCAAGCAGGGGCGATGGAGACAGCAAGCAGGGGCGATAGAGACAGCAAGCAGGGGCGATGGAGACAGAAAGCAAGACCACACGGCACGTTGAACTAGAGCGAACCTGGCCCTACGCGTGGAACGTTTTGGCCCTGCGCTGCTGATGTTGAGGCCAATCTTGGCCCGGCGCTCGTGAAGAGCCGGAAGAAGATGTCCCGGAACTGGCCTGCCCGCTTCTCCAGCCGGGTCACCTGCTTGGTGGCGATGATCTCTTTCTGCTTGTAGCCCAGGTATTGTTGCTTGAGCTTTAGCGCAGCATCTGCGCCCACCATGGACAGGGAAGTCGTCTAGCTGCGCTCCCAGCAGCAGGTATTCAACTAGGTAGCCTGTCCTCTAGCCCAGCCACTGTCTCCGACATCATCTTAGGCACCGGCTCGATCGTCAACGACATACCGGCGCTCATCAGCACCCCCGCTAACCATTCCACAGACGGCGGTGCCGACGTGTCTCGGACTACAGCCATGAGGCGACGCCGCGGTTCAGGTCATACGTCCGAGACCTCCACGAGAACTTGATGCAGGAAATTCCTGTTCTCCATCGAGACCAGCTTGCCAGGCTCGAGGAAGAGCCGAACTATCCTGCAAGATGAATACCACGCGGGACACACGGCGCTCACTGCCAGGCAGTTCAACAACCTTATCCGATACCAAGATATGGAGATTGGCAACCAGCGCACCAAGGGTATCTCGTCGTACAATTCCCAGCTGCTCGTCACTGCAGAGATGCGGCAGGACCTTGCCTTGCAGGAAGACCGTTGCCCCGTTTGAGTGGGACTACATCGACGGCCTGCTCAATCGACCCAAAGCTCCGCCAAGATTAACGGAACGGCAAACCCCTTGGCCTTGGTGACCTCCTGGGCACGCCGACTGATGACGCCAAGGACCTTCATTAGCTCCGATAGCTTGTGGTCCCCTTGGTCGGACGCCACCGTCGATATAAGCTTCCGCATGACGAACCCCTTGTCATCCATCCAAGTGCCAATGGCATCTATCTTAATGTTCATCTCATCCATCCGATGCCCATGGCATCCGGTCCAGGAATTATCTCGTCTCTAAAGCTGAGAGTAGTTGTTCTCAGGTTGGCGATAGCTGCATGTATGTCCACTCTGTCGTGAATAGCTGGCATGTTGATATTCCTCTCCCTCTCCATCGGAGACTGCAGCAAGCAGTGTCTAGATCTGAACGGCAGGTCAAGGTCTAGCAGCGGGATTTGGACGTACTTTGTCTCGCATTTCTCAGCTGGCAAGCACTAATACTGAATTCTTAGGTTGACTAGAAAATGACGTAATGCAGTTCAGGATGTCGCTTGGAAGGGAAGACAAGGTGTGGTCTGGGGTGCTTCATTTATTGCCCTGATATATCGATTATCGTCAGTTGACGATCTCCAAGCCAATCAACTTCCCTACCCTCGGAACAAGAGCGCAGCACAATGAAGGTCATCATCACAGGAGCGACGGGCCTCGTTGGCGGCGCCGTGGTGCGCCACTGCATCGCAAACGAAAAGATCACCCACGCCTTCGTCCTGACCCGCAAGCCGCTCCCAGAGCTCGCCACCGACCCAAAGGTCACTGTCGTCACGCACGACGACTTCTCCACCTACCCCGCCGACCTGCTGGAGCGGCTCGCCGGCGCCGAGGGCTGTATATGGTCCGTAGTTTTAGCACCCCAGCGTCGGATGTGTGTCTGTGTGTTTGCTGACACGGCAGAGAGGGCAGGGCGATAGGCGGCAGGGCGACGCAGTTCCCTGACGTGGAGACGGCCAAGAGGGTGGGAGTGGACTACACGCTCGCGGCGGCCAACGCCTTTGCGTCTGCGCTGGCGCCGCGGCTGCCCGACGGCCGGGCGTTCCGGTTCGTCTTCTGCAGCGGCAAGTATGCGGAGTGGGAACAGGAGAAGTCGCTTGCCTTCTTGGCGGATACGCGGCGGATCAAGGTTCGTTCTGCCATTGTCAACGCTGGAGTTTGTCCCGTTCTTGATTCTGACTTGCGCCGGAATTAGGGGCTGGTTGAGAAGGGGTTGTGCGACATTGCGGATGCCAACAAGGGTCGGCTTGAAGTCTGGTGCGTTCGCCCGAGTGGCATCCTCCCGTCGGACGCGGGAGCCCTGTCTAAGGTAACTGGCAAGTTGTTTGGTGCTATCGGTGTGGATCATCTTGCTTCGGACATGGTGAAGGTGTTTTTGGAGGGATATCCGGACAGGATCATCGAGAATGATGCGTTGCTACAGATGCACTGAGAATGGTACCTGGGGGGAGAGATCGTGGTGCAGAGAGAGATCGTGTTTCTGCATTGCAACTACAAGGAGCTTTCTGCTCTTTTTTATGAATAGATGGGCATCGCATCGATGACCATCATCTGGCTTAAACTGTGCATAAGGAGTGTAGAGAAGTGAAACTGTAATGCCTTGTTTCCTGACCGCCAAAGCAGTCCACCCAGCCCGCCAACCATTTTCACCCTTCTCGCCGCTGCCACCGATCTCACCGTTGTCACCTCCAGAACTAGTCTCTAGGCTCTCGACGAGAGCCATCAACCCCACATAACCGTCACCGAGGCTCCAATATGGAGCCCGTCGTCCACCGACAGTCTCGAGCGTCACCACCAACGGGACGTCGACCACCTCCAAGCTAAACCGGGGCTTCCTGCCCCTTCGTAGTCAATCGACTTCATGGAGCTCACCGTCATTGCCCTCATCGCGGTGGTCAACCAGGTACTCGCCAAAGACGCGCTGCTCGACATCAAGGTCCTTCCAGGCGGCGCCGGACGACCTGCGGGCCTGGCGGCGGAAGTAGACCCTCTTGGCCCACTTCCAGGCCTCGACGCCGAGGAAGAACAGGCCGGCGGCGACGAAGACGATGCCCCACTCCCAGGTGATGCCCGTGTGCTTGAAGACGGAGTGGTTAATGACGGGGATGTAGACGGTGGGGAACATGGTGACGAAGCCGAAGATGATGGCGAAGAAGAGGAACTTGTTGCGCCATACGTCGTGGGCCCACTGCGTCAGGTACCGCTTGGACCCGGGCTGCATGCGGAAGAAGGACCGGCGCGTGTCGACGAGCTCCCAGGCGAGGAAAAGGGCGAACCAGGTGAGGCAGGCGAAGGTGGTGGCGCGGGCCCGGAACACGGTGTCGCACGCCGCCGAGTACGACTCGTTGCAGTTGGTGCCCAGGGACCGGTCGCCGAAGCCGTACACCACCAGCGTGAAGCTAGCCAGGCACAGCATGGCGATCCACGCGCCGTACACGAGCATGTCGACGAAGAACTCGCCCGTGAAGATGCCTGTCGAAAGGCTCTGCGGCGGCCGCCTCATGATGTCCGGCACCGCCCGCTCGAACCCGAGGCCCATGTCGGGCATGCCGCTCGTGATCATGATGATCCACACGATCTCGACGGGCGACAGCGGGAAGACCGACAGGCCGTGCTTGTCCTTGAAGGCCAGCCCGATCAGGAGCGTTCCCGCCTGGGCGATGTTCTCGGCCAGGACGTGGAGGACAAACTTTTGGATGTTGTCGAAGATGCGGCGCCCTTCCTCAATGGCCGCCACGATGGACGCGAAGTTGTCATCCGTTAGCACAATGTCTGATGCGTCCTTTGCCACGTCGGATCCGGACTGGCCCATGGCGATGCCGATGTCCGCACGGCGCAGCGAAGGGGAATCATTTACACCATCGCCAGTCTGTCATATTAGTCCAAGATTAGCTTTGGCTCACTCAACTCTCGCTGCAAGAAAACTCCTTACCATGGCGCAGAATTTTCCCCGACGATGCAGGGCCTCGATCATTCGGACCTTGGTGCTGGGCGCACAGCGAGCGATCACGAGGGGCAGGACGGGGAGATCGTCGACCTCATCATCGTCGAGCGCATCGAAGTCGCCGGCCGTCATGATCATGGCGTGGGCGACGGCCCGGCTCACCCGCTCCATCCGCCTCGGGAGGATCCCGACGTCGATGGCGATGGCCTTTGCCGTCTCCAGGTGGTCGCCCGTGAGCATGTGCACCGAGATGCCGGCCTCGTGGCACTGGCGCACGGCACCAGCCGACTCGGGCCGCGGGGGGTCGTACAGGCCGATGAGGCCGCGGAAGACCAGGTCCTCCTCAACCCTGGCGCGGTCCTTGTCGTCGCCGTCCTTGATCTCGAAGTCGATCTTCCGGCTGGCCAGGGCGAGGACCCTGAGCCCGAGCCCGGCCAGGACCTCCATGTTGCGGAGGATCTCGCCCCGGAACCCGTCCGTCATGTCGACCGCCGCCGCCTCCCCGGTCCCGTTGTCATCAAAGTACGTGGCGCAGGAGTCGACGACCCGCTCCACGGCCCCCTTTGTGAAGGCGAACCTCTCGCCGGTGCTGCTGCGCTCCATGACCACGCTCATGCGCTTGACGTCGCTGTCGAAGGGGAACTCGGCGACCTCCCTCCACTCCGGGCTATCGCCCCCGGTGAAGGACAGCCTGTTCCACGAGAAGCGGCTCGAGAACACCTGGATTGCGATCTCGGTGGGGTCGCCGCGGGCGTGCCAGGTCCCGTCCTTCTCGTACACCGTCGCCAGGTTGGCCAGCGAGGCCACCTCGAGGAACCCCCGAAGGCGGGCGCCGCCGTCCTGCAGGAGCCGGGCCGGATCGACCGCGGAGCCGGCGTCGTCGGCAGACCCCGCCGCGTCCTTGGCCCGCTTGAAGTCGATGTCCCCGGGCCCGCGCGAGTCGAATCGGATCTCGCCGGTGGTGGGGTTGAGGGGCTCGTTGGAGTGGAGGTCGACGGTGAGGGTGCCGAGGCCGGGGACCCAGGCGCCGCGGGCGACCATCTTGCCCTGGGTGAGGGTGCCGGTCTTGTCGCTGCAGATGTCGGTGATGGCGCCGAGGGCCTCGAGCGACCTGAGGTTGCGGACGATGACGTTGCGCTTGACCATGTTCTTGGTGCCGACGGCCATGGTGATGGTCAGGACGACGACGAGGCTGGCCGGGATCATGGACAGGCCCGTGGCCACGGCGTAGATGACCACCTCCTTCGAGCCGTCGAACCGGTTGCTGCCGAGCACGATGATGGCGCACACGACGGCCACGCCGAAGAGCAGCATGGCCAGCTTGCTGAGCTTCCGCTGCAGCGGGGTGCCGACGCTGACGCCGAGGAAGCGCCCGATGGCGTCGCCGAGCGTCAGCGTGTACGCCTCCAGGTACCGGTGAGGGCCGGCGTGGCCGTCGGCCTTGCGCTTGACCGGCCGCACGCGCGAGTCCTTCTTGTGCAGCGCAGACGCGATGGCCCCGATCTCGGTGAAGGTCGCCGTCGCGAAGACGATGCCCTTGGCCCGTCCCTTGGTGACCGTCGAGCTGCTGTAGGCGACGTTGAGCCGGTCGCCCGGCCCCGTCGCGTCGCCGAAGATGCTGTTCTCTGACTTGCGCACGGGCAGTGACTCGCCGGTCAGCAGGGCCTCGTCGGTCTCAAAGTTCTTGGCCTCGGTTAGTCTGTCTCATCGTCAGTCTTTTTTTCTTTGCTCGTCAGAATTTTTGGGAGGAGTCGCCTCTCTCCTGGGGATATCTAGCAATTACCTGACATCAGCTGGGATCGTGTCGCCAGTGTTCATCTCGATGAGGTCCCCTGGGACGATCTCGCCAGACGGCACAATAATGGCCTCGCCACCACGGACGACGTTGGCCGTGGGCGAACTCAGCGAGCGGAGGGAATCCATCGTCTTCTCGGCCGAGTACTCCTGGAAGAAGCCGACGACGACGTTGAGGAGGATGACGGCAGCGACGACGCCGCCCTCGATCCAGGACCGGATGCCGAAACTGACGGCCATTGCCATGATGAGCACCTACGCACCCGAGATGGATGTTAGCCCTTACATAGTCCTTGGGGGTTCCAAAAAGGGGGAGGTGGGGGGCCAACTAGAGTCATGGCGTTTGCGATCTGGGCGATGACGATCTTGAAAGGCTGGATGCCTTCGCCCTCGCCAATGTCGTTCGTGCCGTACTCGTTCAGTCTCTTGTTGGCTTCATCCTTGGAGAGGCCCGTGAGAGTGTCGACACCGAGTTCATCGGCAACCTGCTTGTGGCTCAACGCATGGGCAGGTTGACTGAGTGGCCGGTTGGACTGGCCCGAGATGTGATTCTCCGGCGCCTTGTCTTTCTCCTTTCCTTTAGCCATTGTCGCTTGCCTTATGAGTCTGATGCTGGGAATTTGCGTTTCGTGTGATTGAAGTGTATCCGTGTCCAACCCGACGTTCAAGAAGAGGGAGCTTGTCCAGGAGAGAAACTGATCGAATGGAAAAGGTTTGGTAAAAAATCAGGCCACCGCGCTTGCAAACAGATAAGGTTCAATGAGTTCACCAGTAAGATCTCCAGATGCGAACATGTGTCGCGTGCCTGGTTTACTACTACGCCCCTTGGCATCTTGGCCATCTTGGCAAACCTGGATCAGCCATTGGGGCATTTTTCTTGGACGCATGCTTTAAACGGCTGGGCAGTGGCGGTGTGCGGGTCCACTCGTCGTGATGTTGACGATCGATGCGGGCTTGGCGGCTTGGCCAATGTTTGGTACCTCGTGTTTGCAGAGGTTGCGGGCCCGCCGGAGGAACTGCCCCACTCCTGGCTCCGCCTCCGCCCCCGGCCTACGGAGACGGAGAACAAATTACGGGGAAGGATGGAATCCAACAGTACCTATACTGGCCAAGCCATTTATACGTGAAACAAGCTTTACTATATTGGATATTGGGGAAACATCCAATGATACCAGCCCGAGAGCTTCGTAGTCACCACGTGGATTATCCTCTACGTCTTGACTCACGGTGCCGAGTGTTAAAGGCCTGTGGGGCCGCTAATTTATGATTCCCGTCCCCTCCCGCCCACTGTCGCAGAACGGATTAATGTTCTCCCTAGTACCGCTATCAGCTTGAATTTTTCCCAATCAAACCTCACTGTCGCATTTGAATCCATCCAGTTTGATGCTCATAACTCTCTCGCAATGGCAAAGAAACCGGTTATTGGCCTTTTAGGCGGTGGGCAGCTGGGGCGGATGCTCCAGGAACAAGCCATGCTGCTCGGCATTGAGATCGTGGTGCTCGACGAAGACAACTGCCCTACACGGCAGATAAACTACAACCACAAGCACGTCACAGGTTCCTTCAAGGATCCGGAAAGGATCCGCGAGCTCGCCAGGAGTTGCGACGTTCTCACAGTCGAGATCGAGCATGTCAACACCGAGGTCCTGGAAGAGATCGCCACCAAGGGTGTCGAGGTTGGTGGCCAGATGAAGAAAGTGCCCGTGCATCCGTCGTGGGAAACCCTGCGCCTGATCCAGGACAAGTACCTCCAGAAGGAGCATTTTGGAAAGGCAGGCATGCCTATTGCGCCGCAAATGTCCATCGACTCTGGGCCATCTATGCTGGACTCGCTACAGAAAGCTGCCAAGACATTCGGATTTCCGTTCATGCTAAAGGCCCGAAAGGGGTCCTATGATGGCCGCGGTAACTTTAAAGTAAGCGGCGGAGCGGATTTTGAGGAGGCGATTTGCGATATGGGGAAGCTGTCCCTTTACGCTGAAAAGTTTATGCCCTTTAAACATGAGCTGGCTGTCATGGTTTTAAGAACGGAGGACGACGAGGGTAAACTGAAGGATGTCTATGCTTATCCAGCAGTCAAGACTGTCCATGAGGACAGCATCTGCACCAAGGTCTTCTACCCTCCGCCACAAGTGCCAACAGACGTATGTGAGAAGGCAAGGAAGGTGGCTTCCGATGTTATTCGGACGCTAAAGGGTAGAGGTGTCTTTGCTGTTGAGATGTTCCTCTTGGAAGATGGTAAGTTTTCCGGCACAAGGCTGTGGGTGAGATGCTTATATTGCGGCAGATAAACTGGTGATTAATGAGGTTGCTCCAAGACCGTGAGTCCTGAAACACGACTTATAACCCCAAGTAATTGCTAATTGTCCATGTTATAGTCACAACTCCGGCCACTACACAATCGAAGCTGTGCCATCTATGTCCCAGTATAGAGCACAGCTTTACTCTATACTCGACATTGTCCCTGCTTCTATCAATCTGCAGCCTCGGGTATCAGGCGCGATTATGCTGAACATACTGGGCGGTGCTCAGGAGGACTCTCATGACTCGCTCGTCGATCTGACCCATTCGCTCTACAATGATGACATGGACATCTTCCTGCACCTGTACGGCAAATCTTCTAAGCCTGGCCGCAAGATCGGGCATATCACTGTCACCTCCTACTCTCCTGATACGAATCTCGAACAACTGGCAGGCCCCCTGATCAAGGAGGTCGACCACATCCGCCAGGACCGCCTCGATGCTGCCTCAGCTCAGTTACGTCCCAACGCTCCTGCAACCTCTCAAGCGACCTCTTCAACCTCATCCCGTGACACCAAGAACCCCCTGGTAGTTGTCACAATGGGCTCCGACTCGGACCTCCACGTGCTCAAGGGCGCATTCGAGATTCTCGAGCACTTCGGCGTGCCCTACGACTTCACCATCACCTCGGCCCACCGGACGCCCCACACCATGAGCGAGCTGGCCAAGTCCGCCGCGGGGCGGGGCATCCGCGCCATCATCGCGGCGGCCGGCGGCGCGGCGGCGCTCCCCGGCATGCTCGCCTCGGAGACGACGGTGCCCGTCATCGGCGTGCCCGTCAAGGCGACGCACCTCGACGGCAACGACAGCCTCCTGAGCATCGTGCAGATGCCGCGCGGCTGCCCCGTCGCGACGGTGGGCATCAACAACTCGACAAACGCTGCCCTGCTGGCCGTCCGCATCCTGGGGTCTAGCGATGCGGGGTACAGGCAGGCGATGGCGGACTACATGCAGGGGATGAGTGACGAGGTTGAGGTCAAGGCCGCGAGGCTGAAGGAGATTGGATGGAAGGCGTATCTGGAGAAGAAGTAAGGAGGTAGGCCGAAGGCCATTAGCGCAGTGCTGGTGGGTTGTTGGCGATAATGGGCCGGGATGACACCAGCACTCATTTAGAGCTCTAGATTCAGACAGACATTTTGAATGATACCAAGGCTGTCTACTGGTATCCTTACTTGCGAGACACGATGGTGTAAAGCTCTTTGGGTAATGTGGAGAGTGTGCGATTTTTTTTGCAAGTCAGGGGCTTACTAGTCGACGAAGGTGATGAGGTGGATGCCTGTGTCTTTGAAGGGTTGGTGAACAAGCTCACGAATGAAACGAGAGTAACTGGGAGTTACACCTTAATCTAAGGGCTATGGAGGCCAGGGGTTTCACCTTCAATTTGAAGAACTTGTCTCTGCGGGCAGGGGCATTTGGCTATTCTGGACAGGGGTTCCGGGCCGCCAAAAATCTTGGGATAGTTGGAGCATGAAAAAGACCAGCTGACAGCCATGGAACAAGCGACGGGAACGGCGACGGCAACAGCAACAGAGACGGCGACAGCAAGAGTGCCCTGCCCGACTTTGGCAATAGTGACCGACGGCTAGCCAAATGCCCCTACCCTAACAGTTAAATGCCCCTGCCTAAATACCTAACCGCCCCTACCCGCATAGCTAAATGCCCCTTCCCGAATAGCTAAATGCCCCTGCCCGCGGAGACAACCTCCAATTTGAAAGGCAAAATTCGAGTATGATTTGAGTCAAGGATGTGTCAGTTAACCTCATAGTTTGAGCTAGGCATATTGTCGGGGTGACTACGCAGGGCACATACATATACTTTCCGTTTAGGACCCAGCAATCGCCCCAACAGAATCCGGTGTTGGGTGATCAATATCAACCTATATAAGTGGATTCAATCGTGCAAGCAATTGGAGTATTCTCGTTTTGCCCAAGATTTCCGTTGCTTAACTTCTTCAAATCCCAGTTGGAGTCTTAGACGCCAAGATGGAAGAAGCCAACTTCGAATTTCAGGAGGAGGAGGAGGCCATCATCCGCGTGGCGGCGTTCCATTGTCAAGACTACGATCAAGCCGTCGTCTGGTCCGAACCTCACAAGCACGACCCGGTCCTGCCATCCATCGTCGAGCCGTTTGCCACGTCACCGGCCTGCGAGACTTCCGTCCTGGGCCGGCTCCCCATCGAGCTCATCTTCGCCGTGTGCCTGTTACTGGACGTGCGGTCCTGTTTCCACCTTCGTCAAGCCAACAGGCGGGCCCGATGCATCGTGTCGAGCCTGAATGAATACCGAGCCGTCGCAACACACGGACTAGAGGCCCTCCGCGCCGCCCTCCGGACAGGCATTGCGTCTCGCCTCACCATAACCGACCTCTACCAGCCGCTGTGCATGAGGGACTGCGTCATATGCGGCTCGTTTGGCGGGTTCTTGTTTCTACCCACTGCTACGCGCTGTTGTTTCGCCTGCATTGGGAACGCGCATCGTCTACATGTCGTATCTCTTTCGGCGATCTCGAAGGCTTCCTGGATACCTCGTCGGCAACTGCGAGGGATGCTACCGGTGCTACACATACTCCCAGGGACGTACTCGATAGAAAAGAAGCGCTGCTATGGATTAGAACACTTGGTGGGACGAGAACAAGCGATCGCATTCCTGCGCAGCATTAGATACTATATTGATGCCTCCATCCCCTCGCATCCCCTTGGGAGATACGCCGCTTCGACGGCTTTGCCATATTTCGATCGGGCCACCTCTCGCATCGAAAATGGGCTCAGCTGCAAAGGTTGCCGGATTACCGCCGAAGAAAATTATTTTGGGGTTGAGGACTTCTGTGACCAGGTATATTCCAGGGCGGCTTATTTACACCATTTTCGGTTCTGCACCGGTGCGAAGAGACTTTGGGATGACAGTCGTGGGGGTTTCGTTGCGACCAAGGAGCCGGTATTGCCGTGGAGAGGAGGGCGTATATGGTTCTTTTCTGATTCTTGAATGAATGTGCATAGACAGACGCAGACCAAACCATGGGCTTTACCGACTGCTCAGATGGCGATACGCCATCTTAATGGAGCGACTGTGGTGTATCCCAAAACTCTCCGTCCCCAAACCTTACATCCGCGTCCTCCATCTTGAGCGCCGGCACCCACCTGCCCAGGCCGGGCCAGAAGTTCTCGTGGCCTCTGTTGCTCCCCTCCTCCCCCCCCTCGTCCGCCTGCCGCATATCCGCCCACCCGACGCAACTCCTCTTGGAGTACTGATACGGCACGACCTTGCACCATCGCGTCGTGCCCGCCAGCTCGCCCTGGCTGCTTTCGCCCTCCGGCAACGGCGGCTGCACCATGGAGATTCTGATGCCCAGCCACTCGTACAGTTTGGTAGACATTGGGAAGTACGGCGTGTAGCGCATCGGCTGGAAGGTGGCCCGGAAGAAGGGACGATCACTCGGTTTCCTCTCGAACTTGTCGTATGGCGTGGCCGTGTCGTGGGGGAAGACCTCGACGTGTGTCGACCCGTCTGGCAGGTCGGTCCACTCGAAGCGGGCAAGATGCTTCGGGATGTTCCAGTCTGTATACGAGAAAAAAAAAGGAAGGGTTGAGTTGTTAGAGCAATGCGACATATCCACTATGGCCAACATAGACCCGCAAGTTGAATGGGCTCACTCTTCCGGCCATTCCAGCAAGTATCCTTCTGGCTGACGTAGATTCTCGTCAGTCTGAGCGCCCGCTCAGCCCTCCGCTTCTTCCCCTTGTCGTCCACGGGGTACTCGAACTTCCCGGGCACTAGTAGCATCTCGTCATAGGGCCCGACAGGCGTCCGGCTATACCGAACGAGCTGAATGGTGCTGAGGCCCCCAAGCGCCCGGCCAAACTGGGGCGATGCAAAAGGCGAGGCGCGTTCGAGGGGCGAGTAGGCAATTTCAGGCAGTTCCCCCGACGCGGGCTTGGACGCCACAAAGTATAACACGTAGACGGTGGCCTTGCAGTCCCAAGGTGGTGGCGCTTCTGTGATTTGCGTCGTCGAATCCATGTTGTGCCTCCGCGACTAAGTTTTGATCTGAAGACGGTTGCAATGTTGTTTAGGTGGCGGCAGCAGGTTATAAAATCGCCAGATCACCTGACATGGCTAGGATGGGAATCTTGGGCATGAAGGAGGGTTTGAAGTTCTTGAAGAAGCTCACCGCGCCGTAAACACTGACGTGTCATGCATGCATGACTAGACTGAGGTGACGTCATAATTAAAACCCACGACGAGCTATCTTCTTGCCCGAGGCTTCCTCTCAAATAAGACCCCGTATCGCTTCCACGTGGGGGAGTGCCGGGTAGACAGGTAGGCCTGCTGCACCATTGCTGTTATTGATGAATCAGCTCGATCCACTGTCGACTCTGGTGGGGGCGTACGAGATGGCGGCGAGACCCTAACGCCGGGTTGTTGTTGAGGAGCCTTTGGGCCATTGCGCGCTGCGTCGGCACCGAGTGGGTGTATGGGTATGATTGTGCCCGATTACTTGGACTATGGGCCTGTACCTTCTGAGGAGATGCCTTGCAATGCGAACTGTGGCGCTTGGGATGACGGATGTGAGGCGTGAAGGTTTCGATGAGTTTCGATGACGGTGTTGATGGTCAGCTGCGCCTCAGGAGGTTGCCCCTGAGTCCCGAGAAGGCGTGAAGCCTGGCTGTCATGTTGGGAATTCCATGTTTGTGAGGGTACGGAACCTTCATCTTCCTCTCCGAAGAGTCTATCAAGTGGATGGATAATCAAAATTACCTTGCCAGCGATAAAACCTTAGCTCATGGACTCATGGTTTTCCGGCCGACATACCCTTGGGGAGGTGGCTTCGGGAGGTGCGTGACTTGGGGAGAGGAGAGCTAGGGTCCCTATCCCGGAAGTTGCCATCAAGACGTGGCATCTAGAGCCTGGGATACTGTTGTGTAGATGATGCTTTGCGTGTTGCGAGCGAAGGCTCCTTGTGCGAAAAAGTTGATGTTGCAGGTTGGGGGGGTTATTGACGACAGCCAAGACAGTCGCCTTGATGACTGTTTTGTCGGTGTTGACGGCCCTTTCAGGTTTAAGACCCCACAAGATGCGAAACCATCTTAGACTGCTGGGGTCTGCCGGGTCAGTCTGGCCTGTGGCCTGCATTTCAAGCAGGAGGTTGTCACGCTTCGGGGTACAAGGACCCGTTTGTGATCATCCCCCCCAGACCAGCTTTCGGGTGGAATGGAGGCCAGTCATTGGTTTTTGGCCACGTCCGGCGTTTTCAAACAAGGGCATCGCTGATATTTATTTCCTTGGGGAGTGGCATCGCGACGGATGGACTGGCACGAGGGTGGTATGTTATCTTGGATATCCTAGCATCCCAAAGAGCTCCTCTCGAAGCCACTTAGAGCCCCCCTCTCGAGGCTGAATTGATGTGAAGCTCCCCTCTAGAGCGGAAGTGAGTTTATGCGTTCTTGAACTCGGCCCCCTATGGTCAACCTATGGTCATGACGGAGATTTATTGTCACATCCATGACCAGCTCGGACCCAGACAGCGCCGCACGGAGGCGTCAGGATCCGACCTTGCTGCCCACCCCGGAACATCATAACGACAGGCAAAACCACGCCCGAGGACCCATCCGAACGTCAGGGCTCAAGACTTGGGCCCGGTTAGGCCATCATATCGGCAGTTCCAAGGGGGGGAAAACCACGTGCATGGACCGGCCACCCTCGCCCCGTCAGCTGACCCCCGTAGAGGCGCGTCAAGGAACTCAGAATGGCACGGGTTTTGTCACTAAAGCTCCCCGTCCGGTGTGCTACAGTGCGGATCGTTGCTTTCTCGACCGGCCTCGAGTTGACACCAACACATCTTCTAGGTTCATGTGGTTTCTTGCTAGTACTTGATTCTGGCCTGCCTCGCTCGTGCCCCTTCCCTTCATCGTTCTTGCCTCTGCCCCTGGTTGTTCCTGCTCTAACCTAATGGTGCCTGCCCCTGCCCCTGCTCCCGATTGCTCCAATAAATCAGATCTTACCTCTTCCTGCTTCAACAATCTAGGTACTCGTTGTGCTTGCGGAACCTTGGCTCAGCAAGAAGACCCTGATGGCCAGGCAAGTATAAGAGCAACCTACCTAATCATCTGCGAGGGAGAGTAGGTAAGGCATGCACCTACCTACCTTAGGTAGGTACCTGGGTAGGTAGGTAGGTAGGTACCTAGCAATTAGGAGAGAGCAGAGATACCTTCCTTGTGTTGTTGTTCAACTTGGTCGCAGGTTAGCTGCTTGATTGACGTGATGGCGTCGTGACACGCGGGTGATATGTTGGCCTGCTTTGCGTTCCAAGCGGCCAACACGTTGGGAGGGATTTGGTCTGTTGTCGACCACTCGCGATACTCCGGGCCAAGATCTTGGAAAGCCACGAGGTATCTGGCGAGGTTGTTTTTTGTGCGATGTGATGATGTGAGAATTGGGTTGGTCTGTATCGCGGATTGGCGGTATCAGCGGCAGCGCGCTGCCAAAATGGGTCGAATTCGGCAGGTTTGAGGTGTAGGAGCGAGGACCGACCTACCAGTTGCTCACCTAGGTGCCTACCTGCCTAGGTAGGTGGGTAAAGGATGGAAGTTAACGCACGACAAACGATGGTCCACCCCCTGATCGGGCAGGGACGGGTTTGGCTAAGGGACGTGTGCGGAGTAATGCTCCCAGTCTGCACCAACCAAGCTATACCCACGCCGGCAACCGGCAACCTCGAGATTTACGCCATTCTGCAGATATGTTTCCATGTGCAATTAGGGTGCAGCTCCTCATTGCTACACGCATCTATGTCCTTTACCAGAACAGGACCTACATTGAGGCAGATAAGAGAGACGGAATCCCCAAGGGACCCGCACCCAGACAAGGGCATTCACGGCTTACTTGGGGAAGGCCACACCCACCCATCTTTCCTCCCCAATTGCCCTCGTACACTACACAGAGTCTCGGCCATGGTCGATCAAAGCCTGCGGACATGCTCCCAGTAGGGGTCAACTTGATCCAGCTCAAACGCCTCCCCATTCAGTCTTGCCTGGGCTCGCCGGACGGCCTGCCACGTGAAGCCGTTGTTATCGATGCCAACTTGTTGGGCATGATCGAGAACACGGTCAACCCAATGCTCGCATACCCGTGTCAACTCCTCTTTCAGTGTCTCGACGGCCCGGAGAACATGGGGCAAAGCTTCCTGTTCCATGCGTAGCAAGTCGAACACAAACTGGATTGCCACGCCAATCTTGACGCGAACAACGTCGTCCTCGATGCTGCGATTTCCCTGAGTAAGATCTTTCCGGTTCACCGGGAGTGCCTGGGCTGAGTCGTAGAGAGACTGAAAGCAGATAGGGGCACTAAGATGCGCGTTGTCTCCTGTCTTTATAAGAAGCACGGTGAATTGGGATGTATGCCATTCGACGCGCCGTTCCAAGTTGTAAAGGGGTTTACCGTGCGGGTACTCAGCCCAATGTGGGCAGGGATCCGTATGTGCCACGACTTGGTCGTCGACAACCATGAACAGGGATCGGAACAGATGTCCCAGCGCAAAGCCATGCTCTCTCCAGGACCGGCTTGCTATATGAGGGTGTACGCCACGTGGATTATAGTGATCGAATCCGGAATGCAACGTGGCCTGTTCGTCGAGGGATTCAGATGCACTGTCGCAAAAGCTCTTGTGGAAAGACGTGATTTCCGGTATGTTTTGAGGGCGATTCGAGCATGTCTCATCGAACCAAATGTCCTTGGCAAAGGCATGATGACGGAATAGGGGCGGTCGTCTGCCGTTGATGCGGAGCCACTCGCGGTAGACATATCGCCCAAGCTTCTGCGCGTTGAATCCCAGCACATGATCCTGGGACTCGAAGTAGATGATGACTTCCTTGTTGGCAAACTCCCTCAACCCTCCCGGAAAGCCCCCCCTTTTGGTGAAGAGCTTTTGCTTGTCCAGACTCCATCGGTTGAACTCGCTCCACGTAGAGTGCCACGGCAGCCATCCGATTTTGTAAGTATTGGTTTGCAGACGCTCCCATGCCGCCCGTTCGTGGAATATGTCCTCTAATTCTCGTCGCAGCAGCTGCACCAGGTCGTCTGACGGAGGCTCTATCGTCCGGGACTTCAAGTACCGTTCATCGTATGAAGGGCAACTCTCCCGGAAAGGTTCGCAGTCGGTCTCGGTTTCATATGGAGGGGAAACATACCCAGGGTACGTTATCCCTGCCGGCATTTCTAGATGGGTGTGCTGGCCAATGATGGGGGAAAATAGGTTGAACTCGATGTCAGTTGTCGACGATTTAGAGATGCCGTGCAGAAGCAAGGTGGAAGAAGGTCATTTAATGTCTGCTGGGGAGTCTTTCGGTTCAAATTAAGGTGATATTGAAATCTTGACCTCACGGACCCCCGACGTCTTGTGAGTGACTCAGAGCCAGTTTTGTTGGTGAAAAGTTTGATCCTGCGGCCTCACATGCTCCCAACGGAGATGCCTATGATGATGCCATAGTAGCCCAAAGACAGGTCGGGTTCTTCATTCAGGCAATTTTGCGCCACTGCCCACAACGAACCAGACGCTTTGCTTCTCTACAGGGGTTGGTTTTCACCGACAAACGTAGTGACATCAGCTTGGCGGGAAGGGTTGGTTTGCTTTGTGGGGCCGGTCCGGAGGTGGCGCCGAGTCATTCGTCACCCTAGCGCCCACCCACCTCTCCCACCCCCTTTTTTTTCTAAAAAAAAAAAAAGAAAGGAGGAGAAAAGAGCAAGACCAAGGGTATGCACCTAGTCTACGGTAATGGACGATGTGTGGACGAATGATCCAAGTCCTTCATGAGATGCTGGACAGAATATGAGGCGAGCCGTGTATCTAACACTTTGCTCCGACAGTCCTTCCCGCAACTTCGCCATCATGATATCCTTAGGAGTAAAAAATAGAAGGCGTGTGATATAGCGTGGCCCGCTGCGCGCTTAAGGGAAAAGACTCTCGCGGGTTTATAATTACGACGGGGAAAGCAGGTTTACCCGTTTGGACCGCTCGGTAGACATGTGGTTTATATTCGGGCTGCCCGTGAGCATCAGGATGGAAATCAAGCCAGTATTTATCGTGAAGCAATACACGCCATCGATAGGGACACTTTCCCCTCGCTTTCGGCGGCTAATACGTTCATTCTCCGAGTCGTGTTTGTTCCCATGCACACAATTCTTGGGGAAGCGGCGAGCTGACGGGACCGTCAGCTGTTCCAGCTGTTACCAGTCGGCAGGAATGCGAATGACTCATAATCCGATTTACGCCTCAGAGCTTAATTCAATATCTCGAAGTCAACCGGGCACCGAATTTTGAAGCAACCTTGAGCTACGGCCCCGAACTTTAAAGGCGCCTGTCTCAATTTTACATAAATAGGTCTCTTTCTCCAGCTTCAACTCATTTTCTCACCTCGACACAACATATTTTTTTTCAGCATCAACCCTACGGGTGACTTCACAGACTACTATTCTGCGCAAACCAACATTACCTAGACTGGTGGATTGAGCAAGCCTACGAAGCGAAGCCTCGCCATCCAGCATATTTAACCACAATTCTTCGCAACCTCCCGAGAGGACGTGAGTGTTCGCCTTCGCTGGCCCACGTCTGAAATCGAAATCTGCTACAGACACACGCACAATACTTGCCGATCGGAGTACGGGAATATCGCCATATTGATTCGTCATCAACTCCCACATTATGGGTGCACTCTACATTTTCGCGTCAGTGGGCTACATAATCTGGATGGTGTTATTCCTCCACAACCCAGACGGAATTGGGCCACCTGCAGAAGCCCCGGCAAACCTCAACCTCGTTGCTCGCGTCGCCTACTACGCCCTCCATCCTCGCTGCGGTGATTGGTTTCTCGTCAACGTCATTGCCCAACTCGTGGTTAAGGGATGTGAGCTTCTTGAAGAGCGCAGATGGCCAAGCTTTTCCTGGGGTTATTGTCTCGGCAGCATTGCATTCCTGTGGTCCATATCTACCGCATCGACCAGGCTCGACGCATACCGGTTTGGAAGGCCCGCTTACTGACTACCTAGAGGAGTAATGGTATGGCAAGGTGAAGGAGAAAGAGCGATTCCGGGCTTCGGGTTAGGTAGGACAGTCGGATTTACTCGGTGGGAAGTAATTAGGCCTTGGCACGGTGCCAGCCGAGACTCCTCTGCAATTGCCGCTGGAAGGGGTAAAAAGGTACGGCACGTGCGAGGTCACGTGGAAGGGGTTATGACAGCCGGAACGGCTTTCAAGGTTAGGTAGGGAAAACAACAAGCAGGCAATCACCTACTTTTTCGAATATACGGTCTGCAACGGCCCTCACTTCTCTCCAGGGCCGCAGATCAATCAGCTGGCCCTCGTATTCTCCCTCGTGGTTGTTTTGTTGTTTTGCCCATACTGGGCGAAGTCCAAGGCTTCGCCTGTTTCACCGCTTTTATTAAGAATCGAGAGACGTTTCTCTGGCATGCGTTCAAAGCCCGTGTGTGTCGGTGGAGTAGAGGTGCAGGCAATCGTGAGCATTCATTCGATCTGCGTTCAAGCAAGACCATGCAGGCTTCCTCGATCTTGCGATTTTCTGAGAAATTTGCAACCATACAACATTGAATCCTTTCTCTCTCCAGCAACTTCAGATGCTGAAGCACTTAGCCATGCAATTTCTCTCTCTAGTACTTTCCCATTACAGCGGCAGCAACAACAACCGCAACTGTTGCCAATTTTCCGCCACCTGGTCGAAATTTTGACAGCCTGCTGATACCTGTGATGCACTAATCGCCTGCGCGTGCGGAGTAAATGGCGTATGCCCCTGGAGAAATTCTGTTTGCAGTGGTTGCTTACGTGAAGTTGCGGTATCGTCCGAGATCGCACAGATGTAAGGATGGCCTCTTACATCATAGATTGTGTGGAAAGCGCGATGTTGTGCCTGCTAGTCTATTGTGCTATCAACCTTTCACGATATTCCTAGAACGATGAATTTGGCAAACATCGACATTGTTGTCTCAATGACCTAACCAAACGTCCAAAGGACTGTACAAAGTAGACCAATACCCCTCCCTCTCACCCAAAACCCCCATCTCAATTATCCCTTGGCCTTTTATCCCCTCAACATGGACAGAAGTAAATACCATCATCACAAAGCAGCGAGCACCGGCACAACAGCCAAAATGACACCACCACGAAATTCGGCCTGGGATGCGCCCCACTCACTCCAGCGGTCACAACAGCAAATTGACCAGATCCTGTCGGCGCCGATCCAGCCGTTCTTGTGCAAGTGGTGAGCATAGAACCGCTGGCAGGCGGCGTGGTCGGTTCGGGGACTCCTTGCGGACAATGCCAGTGCTTGCCATGGGGGATGCGCTTGCTGGCTGGGGATGCCGCGCTAGTCTCGACACTTCCGCTAGGCGGGGTTGTCGGTTCGGGGACTCCTCCGGGGACTCATTCGGTGACTCTTTCGGGGCAGTGCTAGTGATCACCATGAGGAATGCACTCCCTGGCAGGAGGTGCCTCTCCCGTAGGGGAGCTTCCGCTGGGCGGGTTTGTCGGCCCCGGGACGCCTTCAGAGTAGTCCCCGTGGTCGCCGTGGGGAACACACTCGCCTGGTCCCTCCAGGGTGCCAGTTGCGCCGTGGTCGCCTGGAGGTGTGGTCGGTTCTGGGACTCAGTCCCTCGGGGCAGTGCCAATGGTCGCCGTGGGGGATACGCTCGCCCAGTAGCCCAGTTGGGGTTGGTTCCGGGTTACCGCTGGAAGGAGTGGTTGGCTCGGCAACGTCCGACGGATAGTGCTAGTGGTCTCCGTGTGGTTCGCAAGTGGCGGTATTGCTGGTTCTTGGACCACAATCGTCCTCTCCCGGAGGGGTTGTCGTCTCAGGTACGCCTGGAGAGCAGTACCAATGGTCCCCGTGCGGGATACACTCCGGGTGCCGTCGTCTCGGTTGACGAGTGCCCTCGTCCGGAGTAAGCGTGGTCGGCTGCGGCACTCCGGGCGGGCAGTGCCAATGGTCACCGTGGGTTTCACAGGATTGGGTGGCGCTTGGGGCGGCCGTTGAGAGGGCGCACAGTGCCCTGTAACTCAACATGTCAGTATCACACAAATCAGGAGCCGCATTTCTTGAGCTTCGTACAGTGGTCAACGTTGGGGCTACATACCGAGCCCGTTGGTAGTCTTGGTAGAACCTATGACTTGTTTCAGTAAAAAGGCGAGTTGTCGGTAACAGCCTGGGGCCTACTCTTACTAGCAACCTGATGATGTTGGTGACAGAGATATGGCTGACACTACGCCACCGTCGTGAGACTTTGTCGACCGGAGCCCGATGGAGTTCGAGTGGGGTCCATCAATGATATGGATGATACTAGGTATATCGCCGTCTTGAGACTTTGTCGGCCGGAGGCCGATGGAGTTCGAGTGGGGTCCCCGGCTGGACCAAGGCGAGGGTACCGGGGTTGTCGGGGGACCTCATCCGTCATCCCCACCAGCAACGGACGTTGACTTTACCTAGGGTTCAGGCGCATTGCCGAAAATGGTGTCAATCACGAACCGACGAGTCGGTTCGTGATCCATTGCAGCATGGACGATCCTTCGCAGGGCCTCCCGCTGCGCCGGCGTGGACCCATTATACACCAATACGCCCCCCAGGCAAAGTGCAACACCGTGCCAGTTGGTCAGGACGAGGTCCCGGGCGCCGATAATTATATCGTAAAACTATTACGCAGGAGTGTCAGCAGCAAGTAGTACTGTTACCGAAAGCACTTGACAAGACCGGGCGGACAAGACCGAGAAGGATGCTGAACCAGATGATCTCAGGAGAGGAAAGGGGTAGAACATGAGTTGGATGCGATAGAGAGCCAAAAACCGGCTGTGAGAACAAGACTTACTGTCATTTTGTAATTATTTTTTGAGGATATCTCGCTCCAAAAAAAAAAAAAAAATATCGCTTGATAGCAGTTTGACAGAGAAGAGAAGAGAAAACCGAAACGAATCCCAGGAGGATAGCCTATTTACATACCTGTGCGTCTTGCGTCTTGCCACTTCCTGCTCGACATGCTGTACGGGGACAGAGGCTGTACTTGCCATTACAAGCCTCCTTGTGCGACGTCCTGTGGGGTCCAGCTCGACGTGTGGATGCGAGATGAAGGCTGGTCTTGCCATCGCAAGCCTGTCCAGGTGCCTCTTGCGGATTCTGGTGCGTTATCCAGCGGAAGGCTTGGCCTGCTGCTGCATTCCATAAGTGGAAATCGCAAACAGAATGGGAAGGATGGGAAGGCTCACTCGTTGAAACAGACAGATCTGTCAATCGCTACTGCCGTCTCTTGCTCTTGCTATTTCTAGCAATAGCGACCCGTGTAGCAGGCCGCGCCCCACGCACAGGAGCTGGCGCTCGCCGTGCGAGAGTTCGGCTGCGAGCCAGTTGAGGTCGGCCCAGTCCGGCTTGTGTTCGTGCTGCAGGGAGCGCAGAGCCGCGACCAGCTGGGCGTCGTCGTGCTGGTGCAGCGGGTCCAGGTTGGCATGCACGCTGCCGTCAAAGAGCTGCGCGTCCTGGGGGACCACCGTGATGGCCACGCCGCGAAGGCGTGGTAGAGACACGTCTGCGATGTCGATGCCGTCGATCGAGATGGACCCGCCGTCGGGATGGGGGTCTAGCGCCCGGAGTAGGGCTAATACCAGGGAGCTCTTGCCGGCTCCAGTGCGACCAACTACCGCTACTCGCTCCCCGGGCTAGCGTCGAAGCTGATGTTCTCCAGCACGGGCTCGAGGTGGGGGGCGTAGCGGGCGGTGAAGTTGTGGAAGCGGATGGCCCCGTGCCTTGTCCAGGCGGACGACACTTTCTGCGCCGGGCGCCGGCGCGATCCTGGTACTCCTTCAACTGCTTCCTGTTCGGCCGATGTGTACTCGACAATGCGCTCCACGGATGTCAGGCTCTGCTGGATGATGGCGTAGATCTGCACAAACCAAAGCATGTGGTCCGTGAACGTCGCCGCGTAGGTGAGCACAAGGCCTGCTGCGCCGGCCCCGATCAATCCTGTTTTGGAGAGGACGAAGGCAGCCGTTGAGAAGGCGACGATGCTGCTCAGCACGTCGATACGCAATGTCAGCCATTGCTTGCTGGTCCAGAGGAGTAGGTAGGGCTGGTTGAGCCGGTCCACCAAGTCGTCATGCTGGGCCGTAAACATGGCTTCCCGTCCATAGCTGCGGATGCTCAAGCAGCCCGCGATCGTCTCCCCGATCTGTGGTACAGAGGCGACCGGGCCACCGACTCGATGTGCTTCAAATCTCGTGCCACGTTGATATACACGGCCGTGACATAATAATAGGCCAGGAAGTTCACAGCGAGCACCACAATTGGCGCCAGCCCGGTAGCACCCACAGGATGATCACGACGACCATACCCACCGACACCACGATCTGGAACGCACTGATCAAGAAGGACGCCAGAAACTGCCACCACACCCTCGTCCTTGGAGAGGTGGTTCGTGCTCTGGCCCAGCGGGCGGTCGAAGAGGACGAATTTCGCAAAGAGCACCGAGTTGAGTAGCCGTTCGAATATCTCTGAGGATGCCTTGAGTGAGCCCGAGAACGTGATTAGGTCACGCATGAATGTTATCAGGGCATAGGCAGTACAGATTGTCGTGTAGATGGCCAGGTAATATCAAGCAGACACTTTTCCCGCGGCCTTGGCTCTGGCGTTTGGTGGTGTTTCACTCTCCTGCCTGTCGTACCGGGATGCCCACACCTTGATCCAAAGGTTTCTACCAAGCGAAGCCACCTGCTGCAAGGCAAAGCCACACAGAACCAGAACCCAGCACCACCTTGAGCCCATGGCTGCTAGGTAGCCCTGGGCCAAGGTACCGCCCCTTCGAATTTTCTTTTTCGAGTGTCGGATTCCTCGTCTGTCTCGTCGGTCATTCGCTGTACGACATCGGGCGCTGGTGGCTCGGTAGGAGCAGACGCCTCGTCCCGGGAAACTGCTTCCAACGACCTCTCCGCCCCCAGCAGGGAGTCGACAAGACCTGTAGACATTAACCTCGTCAGCCGTCCCCTGGGCCTTGATCCGACCGGCTTCGAGCACAACGACATAATCGCAATGCGGAACCGCCAGCTGGGTGTGGTGGCGAGGATGCATGTCCGGCCTCGCATCAGGGGCCCCTTGATGGCGTGGAAGAAGATGTGGTTCACGGTGCGCGCGTTCACCGCGCTGAGACAGTCGTCGAGAAGCACGTATCTAGACGGCCTGTACAGCGCCCGCGCGAGGGCCACCGGGTGCTTCTACCCTCCCCGAGAGCCGGATTCTGTTTTCGCCCGAAAGAGTCTGGTCTTCGTTGGCGAGCGCCGCGAGGTCCGGGACTAGGGCGACGGCGTAGAGGACTTCCTCGTAGTGGTCGGGATTGAGGCGGCATAGATGGAGATCCACACATTCAGGGGCAGCAGGGCTATCATAAGTGCGACGCCAATCACGCCACTCATCCCGAGAACGCGGTAGAGTAGGGACGTGCCGATGGTGATCTGCACCGGGAAGGTAACCCAGCCGGGACCAGATAGACGCTGCCACTCATGAAACTGAGGTGGTCGACGTCCGTCGACACGAAGTTAAAAATGGCGCCGTCGGTGGCGTGGTCTTGTACGCGGGTCTCCGCCTCGGAATCGGACGGCTGCGGCGGCTTTACCATCCTCTTCCGCAGCACCTTTGCGTAGGTTTGACTCGAAAGGACGGCGCGGAGCTTGGCGCTGATGGTATAGCCAATCCAGCCGCATTGGCAATCAGCTGGACCGGCCACGAGACTTGAGGCCAAAAGGCCAACGACACAAAGCCAGACAGTTCGGCGCGTCACGCTGTCGGGAAACTGCAGATGCTAGCATTGCTAGGATCCAATTTCCCTGTTGCAATCCACAACGCTCGACAGTGCAGATTCTTGGCTGCAGGTGAGGTCCCAATGTCTTCTTGGCTAATGTCTATCAGGGTTCTCTCATGGGGGGATTAATGACACAAATCTTGGCAGTTTCCTTCCTTTTCTTAGGCAAAACACCCGGCTCTCGCTCTATTCGATGAAATGAGGCTCTTGAGGAGTAGCTACCCTGTCTTTATGGTACTTCCACTGTACTTCGATGAACCGACTGGGATCACTCTTTGACCCTTGAGCTGAAAGATGACCAGCCAGCCCCTGTCAGCATCCAACCCTGCTTAGCTGGAATAGTTAGGTTCATTTACATCATTCCCAGAATAACTAGTTACGTTTTGTTCCATATTTCGCTTCCGACCTCTAATCTTGCCCATGAAACTGAGTCGAGTCTAGCCAGAGGCCAAGCCAAATCCCACCATGACCCGCTCCAGCCCGCGCACCTTGACGGCTTCGCCAAAGCCATGAGAATATAGAGTCAAGTTGCATTCACACAATGACTTTTTTGGGCGTTCTGTCCAGCTTAGGAAGAAACGGCATTGCCAGGGGTTAGTCGTAACTCAACTCGCCGACATAACAAACAAGGTCATCGATTGATGAGGCGAAGGTTCACAGGACTCTTGACCTCGGCACGGCTATCAGAACTGGCCATCTTTTTTTTTTTTTTTTTTTTTACTACGAGCTACTTTGATTTAGCCCAGATACCCTCATCCAAATCTTGTCGTTTGATCTCACGCTGTCGGCTTCCGTCACCATGATTCGCCAGTTACGAGCCTTGGGAGCCCTCATCCTCTTCTGTTTGTCGACGCTCGTGCTCTTCAAAATCGTGACTGCTCTCGGAAGCCCACCTGCGGGACGGCAGGTAGCGCAAAGCACAGCCGGTCAAGCTGCCGCAGCGGAACCCAAGGTCACTGCTGTTTCGAAATGCGGCCATGACGGTATCATGCTGTAGGTCATCAAGCAACAGCGCCGAAATTACCCTGTTGTTTGGGTTGTACTTGTAGGCATCACCATATACTAGTCGCTAATATGTTGTCTTGCAGGTTATGTACGGCGGGTGCATCCGAATATCGTGTCCATACAACAGTCACGGCAACAACAGACATCCCACCTGCGTTCACGGGGTGCCGCCAGAATGACTCCGATATGTGCGTTCCCTTCTCCTGCTCTCCACTCACATCCATAGTAACTAAAGAACCGCCATGCTGACTTCGTTGATCAGATACTGCCTCACCCCAGCAGGCAATGATGTAGAAATAACCCTGGACGCGGATGACGCATCTCAGAACGGTGGTGATGCTGTCGAGCCGGCTCGAGAGAACTGCCACTTCCATGCTAGCATCGAGTAAGTTCCAGTCACCGGCTATCCGCCACGAACCGTCAGAATCTCCCGTAACCAATTTGCTACAGGCACTGCGCTGGCACTGGTTCGGACAAGGAGGGTTCAACTCGGAGATGCACCCGCATTGAGAGGAATTACAGCATCCCCTTACGAGTGGGCATGCTATTCGTGATATTGGTGACGAACGCAATTGGTAACAGGCTCCGCCCCTATTTTTGGATCTACCGTACCCTCGAGCTCATGGCTGATGTTGACTACACAGGCGTGTTTGGGCCCATCTTCCTAGGCCCGCCCGCCACCCCTCGCCACATCGTGTTCTCCGTGCTCAAGCAGTTTGGCACCGGTGTGATCATCTCAACTGCCTTTGTCCATGTATGGAAGAACATCCGATTTTTAGATATCGTGCCGAGCTAACAGGTTCCCAAGCTCTTGACACACGCGTATCTGATGTTCGCAGACGAATGTCTCGGGGAGCTTCCCTTCGAAGGCAGGGCGGCATCGATGCTAATGGCCGGCCTATTCCTGGCCTTCTCTGTCGAATATGCCGGAACCAGACTCCTGCTATGGCATGCGGCCAGGATGCCGGCAACCTTCGAGGCCGGGCTGGCCAGCATCTCCGTCCCGGAAGCTGGCATCATCTTTCACTCCTTGCGTGTGTCCGCCCCTTAACTGCCTCCTTCTATCGGCTCTCTGGGGAAAGCGACTAGCTAACGGCCCAATCAGTCATCGGCCTCACCCTCGTCGTCGCAGGCGACACCTTCTTCCCCACCCTATCCGCAGTGATAGCCCTCCACCAGGTGATCGAGGGCCTCGCCCTAGGCACACACATCACCGTCCCTCGCAGTACCGGCAACATGCGTCGTCCCCTCCTCAACCCCGGCCCCGGCTGCCAGGGGTTTGCGACAGTAGCAGCAGCAGAGACGAAAACCCCTGCCCCTTACCCCACCACCACCACCGATTCGGCGACTACGAAGAAGAGGCAGAAGCAAAACCTCCCCCTAGCAGCCGAATTCGCCCTCGCGGCCCCCGCAGGCATGGCATTGGGCACCGCCGCGGTGCGGAGCCTCCTCGGCGGCCCGTCTGCCGTGGCGATCATCGGGTCTCTCGACGCGCTGTCGGCGGGCGCGCTGGTTTGGGTCGGCGTCGTCGGGCTGTGGGCCGGGGACTGGATGGGGCATGGGGGACGGATGGCGGGCGAGGGAGCGGCGGGGGCTGCGGGTGGGTTGGGTGCTCTTGTTGCGGGTGTGGGGTTTGGGTGGAGGTGGGCTTGAGGTCTTGTTTGGTGGGTATATGTTAAGTTAGCCCGACTGCATATTAGCTAGCGGTGGAACGTATCTCCCTGTGATGTCTTGTCTTTGATGTACATTATATGCCAGTTCCCCTGGTAGGCACCTAACTAAGGCGCTAAACCACATCCCCTGCATTGTGTCAATGTCGACAGCCAGTCAATGAGCGTATACATGACGCCATATCCAAGCTTATCATGGTTAAGCATTCTGTCCGGAACGACCGCTATGCTCAAGAGAGCCAAATCTGGTGCTAGCATGGGGAGTTCAGGGGTCGACTCACGGGTTCAGCCGGGATGATCCACCGTCAATCTGAAAAATAAGAGTCGGTGATAGATAAAACAGAGAAGTCAGGGCATAAACCCCTTCCGATACACACTGACATGGGATATCCTTAGAGGACGACATCTCTGGCTTCACAATGTGGTAGAGCTCATCTTGAAGGTAATTACATTGCCTTGGCTCTTCTTCTCAGAAGCAAATGCAATCACAAAATCGCCCCCAGACGTCCCTACTAAAGGCAGCAACTGCTACAAACCCGGTACGTGCCCGGCATCAAGGCCAGTAGACCCGAATCAATAACCATCCCTCCTACTGACCCTATTCGTAAGCCCCTTCCCCTCGCTAAACCGCCCGAGGTTATGCTCCAAGATGGCGAACACGCGCTGGTTGTACGCCGTCGACGCGCCGCTGACGTGCGGCGTGACGATGACGTTCTTGGCGCCCCACAGCGCGTGGCCGTCGGGCAGCGGCTCCGGGTCCGTCACGTCGAGGGCGGCGCCGCGGATCAGGCCCGTGTCCAGGGCCTCGATCAGGTCCGCCGTGTCGACGATGGGGCCGCGCGCAATGTTGGAGACGAAGGTCTTCTTGGCGGAGAGGATCTGGAACTCGGGGGCCGACAGCAGGTGCGTCGTCTTGTCGGTCAGTGGGAGGGAGACGACGAGGAGGTCGAGCCCCGAGGAGAGGAAGGAGTGGAGCTCTTCCTTGGTGTCGCCCGAGAACCACTTCGAGGGGAGTACGCCCTCGGGGTCGCCGAGGCCGGGAGGGGTGTAGGACTCGTCTCGGCGTGATTCGGGCGTGTTGCGGGGATGCAGCGTGTAGGCGTGCACGTCTGACCCGAGGGCTTTTGCTACCCGCGCAACCTGCCGGCCGATGCTGCCGTAGCCGAGGATACCCCTAATTATGAATGTTCAGTAACTGATGGCGAATAGCCGGGGCGGACGAAGAACTTACACCCTCTGGCCCACGGCGTCGTCGACGATCGTGTGGCTCCTTTGCCACTTGCCTTGGCGCTGCAGATCCAGGTAGTGCGGGACTGAGACACCGCTGTTAGTCCTGGGTTATCAGGCTTTGCTGATTGTTGGAAACATACTGTGATGCTGGAAAGCCAGGAATGTGGTGATAACCCACTCAGATATCTGGGGCCTTTTGGCTTGTCAGCGTGTTGACGAGTGGCATGGGAAGGGGGATAGAACATAGAACCCTACCCGTGAACGCCATTGGCAGTGCAGAACGCGATATCGGTATCCGAAAACAGCGGGTTCTTGAGGACGTGGTTGGCGCCAGCGCTCATGAGCTGGACGTACTGGAGCTTCGGCGCTAGATCCTTGGTAGGGAGAGCGTTTCCGGACGCGAGCAGGATCGTGATGTCTTTCCATTCCTCCTCCGGAAACAGTGTCTGAGTCTTTGTCTCTCTCCAATCCAGCCTGTGGTAAACGACCTCGAGCCCCGGGAAGTTTGTATGCAGCCTGTCCAGATATTCCTGTGGCGGAGCCTCCGGTATGAGCAGGAGGAGCTTGTGTCCCTCTAGCGACCTGTTTGGTGCGGCGGCTGCCGAATATGGCGCGCCATTGGGCCCGGCGGAATCGATAACCATGATTATCCCTTGAATTGAAAGTCGATTGACGGGTTGCGGGAAGTGAGGAGGCACCGAGTATATAGCACCGCTGAAATTCAAGCAAAGTCAGGAAGGCGTTGTTGCGGTTTCAGGTCGACGGAAGTCGGGCGGCTTACAAATACGACGCAGATAGGGCCAATTGGGAGAGTGGGATGGTGGGGGTGTTCTGTGTGACGCCATCTCGCGCCGCTGTGGGGTCATATCGCGGTGCCCAACTACAACTTCCAATGACCCTAGGAGAGTACTGGTGTCCCTCTATCTCGGTTTGATCATTTGAGGCGTAAATCAGGTCATTACCATTGAGGGGCAAACCGCACCCATGGGTGCGAAGCAGGCAAGGTCGCGGTATCTTTGCGGCGCTATGCTACATCGGGAGCCGGTGTTATAGCTCCTGAAGCGACGGGCCATATTCTACAGGAGCAGGGTTCTTTGAATATTGGTCCTCTTTTGTGTTGCCGATTGGAAGCCTCAGAACATGGGACGGGCTTGAGATTATTTCAACTTCACTAGGAAATCAACAATAAATACCCGTGGCCCATATCAGGTACGAAAAAGGGGCAATTAAGGGGTAAACGGGGTATATCATCAACAATTGAAGATCGAGAATAGGAGCGCGGTCTTGTTTTGAATTTCCTCACTGATAAGACGCCTTGGTATCTGTCCATCAGGCGCGTGGTCGTGGAGCCTAACCTGCCCACCGTATTCGAGAGACACGAGTAGAAGGCTCTTAAAGACTCACATCCATCTTCCCCGGCTTATCAACCCCCCCCCCCCCGCCCTGCACCGAAACCGCAATGTGCCCCAATCAGCACGTCACCGGGGCAGGACCAGGGTTAATATAGCTCGTGGGAATCGGGTAGTACAGTTGGAACAGGATTCCAGGGTCGGATGCAGAGTAGGCCCCCGGGATCGCAGCAAGCGTGCCCGTGCTCAGTGTCCCGGTTCCGCCGGTCACCGTGACTTGCGCGCAGCCGATGTACAGCTGCGCGCCCCCGACCGAGGAGGCGCTGTGGAGGGCGATGTGTTCCACCCGGAGGAGGTAGTCGCCGTCGGCGACGCAGGCGGGGATCGTGACGCTGACCTCGGTCAAGCCTGGGAGGGAAAGGATGGTGGTCAGCATAGTCCTTGTGCGATACGATGGTTGGTTTGGTTTAACTAGAAGAACGGGGAAAGGGGGCACGCACCCTGGGTTGGCCAAGTGATGGTCCCGGTGCCGAGTCCGCTGGGGCCGTCCTGGTAGATCTTGAACCAGACGTTGCCCTTGCCGTCGAAGTCGGCGGCGGTCTTGCCCGAGGGCGCTTTGGCCATCCAAAAAGAGATGGGGCCCGGGTGGCCGACGCTTGGGTCGACCGTGAAGGTGAACTTGCTCCCGGCGGTGACCGGCGTGATCTTGGGGGCGCCCGTGCCCGGGGTGAGCTCGTAGCACGTCATCGCCGACGATGTGACGTCCTGCACGGGGGCGTGGGAGTAGTGGTTCTCCGTTTCGCGGATGACCTCCCACTCTGCTGATTTGGCTCCATCGTAAATGCTTTGCGGGAAGGTGTCTGGGTGATGCAGGGTCAGTGCTGTGGCAGGGAGATGGCAGGTTCTGAAGAGTCACTTACAATGGGCCTCAACCGCTGCTGCGGCAAGCAGTGCGACAAGACCGACTGACTTCATTCTCGGAGGACTTTGATTTATAGGGAAGATTATCTTATTAGGCGACGAAGTTGGGTGTTACAAGAGCGAGGTGGGAGGAGAGCCTCAATATATAATATCGAGTGCCTCTTTCGGAACGACGCCGCCGGCCAATACCCCAAATGGGCACTGTCCGGTTTGCACAGGGGCATAGCTGAATGACGCATCTGACTGGCCTCGTGATACCCTCAGCAAAGCTGGGGATTACTTCAGAGTGCCATTGAGAGAGATACGTCAGTCCCCTCGCCAGGGCATAGATTGTGGACGAAAACTTGCGCACACGCGTGGGCATCCAAATCCACCAACCACTCAAGCGTGGGTAATATATTAATTACTTGGAGGCATCGCAATATACCCAACCCGGTTGTGGCCCTCCAGATTTGCCAGGGTTTGCAGGGGTGGACCTCGAACGGAACCAGTATCTCTTATCGTTTGCTTGCTCCCCAGACGCCACGGACCAGGTTTGCCGACAATTGACACGGCTCGGCATTTTTCGGCAGCCTTGGGCTGGTCGAATGTGCTGCGGTACGCCATTTTGGTGTTTGAACGGTGGGGCCGCGGCTTGAGGTTGGTGTTTTTCGGTATCAAGACTTCCATATTGCCATTCCCGGACTGGGGCCGATCACCCACACCCCTGAACCAGATCGAGTTGAATCATGGACGGGCCATTCCGCTGCAGCCTTGCGAGCGGCGCATGCTGGCCGATCTCCTGACCAAGGTTCTGTCGAGCAATGCCGATCGAGACCCGGAACACCGGTCGACTAGCATCACGGCCGACCGAAGCATCGAGTATTATAGGAAGAGGAAGAGCTTATCAGCCACGAATGGCATAAATTAAACTAAGACTTTTGCTGTATAAGCTGAAATAAAGCCTGCCGGAGTTGTCTCAATGACCGCCCTAATTATTCTTCTCTTTGTCGAACCCCGAATGAAGTCGCCATGATCCGAGAGAATGGGGGAAAGGGCCCAAGGGAGGAGAAAATATAAACGCTGACGCTGTTGGTCTGGGCACAGAAACCTGCTCTATACGAAATGCCCACCCGAGACCTCATTAAAATGCAAAGAAAACCAAACGGAAACAAACGCCAGTCATTACCCTCCCACCGAAAATGACGCCAGCCAGACACGTATCCCTCTATCAGACTCCTCATGGGACTCCAGGCGAGCCCTCGTCCGAGCCGGTATCAAAGGTGATGTCCTTTGGTTTCGCGCGGCCGAGATTGCCCGGGAACGACGAGTCGGAGAGGGCGATGTGTGCGTCGCCGAAGTCGTGCGCATACAGCTTCTCGCGGATGCCGGGCGGGAAGCCGTTGTAGGAGACGAGGTCGCCGCGGAACCAGACGCCGAGGTCGTTCTCGATCGCGTCGTCGGCGGCGGTGGCGAAGCGGAAGCAGTGCGTCCCCACGGACCCGTCCTTGTGGTACACCATCTTGGGGTGCTCGCCGTCCCAGCGCACGTCGGCGGCCGCCTTGACAAGGTACTCGCCGTGCTGCGACGCGGCCACGTACTGCGCCTTGCCGTCGCGCACCCACACGGCGATGTGCTCCCAGTCGTACTTGTGGCCTATGTCGATGAAGTAGGGGATCGCCACGTCCTTCTCGAAGTAGTAGTCGTAGAGGTAGGCACACCAGCCGTTGTTGCACCGCTGTCGCGAGTAGACGTTGTTGCTCAGCAGGTCCGCGAGGTCGTGGCAGTTGCTGGACGGCGACACAAAGTCATGGGGCAGGCCCGGCGAGATGTTGCCGTTCTTGTCGATGGCAGGGACGTTGTAGCAGCCGTTCTTGTCGAAATCCATCGACGGCTGCCAGCGGAGATCCTCGGCCGTCGCATTCAGCGGGAGCGCCGTCAGGGGCTTCGCCGCTCGCCTCTGCAGGAACGGCGGGATACTCTCGCCGCGTTGCACGAAGGCTGCGAGAAGGAGCGCGACGAGACATCTCTGCCAGTTGGACTCCATGGCTTGTGTTTACGTGGGCCCGTCGCGATGTCCCCTGCTGTGCCAGAAACGAGAGAAAGCGAGCTGAGGCTGATATCCGTATCCAAGATCTGCATGATGGACCAGTCCAGATATAAAAGTTCTGACGCGCGAACCTGCCACGCTACCACGCCCTCGCCCTTAAATCTGGGTTGCGCCTTCCAGCACCCGTGCAAAGCTCCATGAGGCCTTCTATGGCTGGTGATAGGGGGATTGCCGCCACTAAATCAGGCACATGGCCGGGGTTGCTGTAATTGGGGCGTGCATAGCAACGTTGCCGGGAACAAATAAGGAAGGCCGTTGGGGCCTATGTATTGAATTTCATTACAATGTGACGCCGGAACACGAACCAATGGTGGGACGAAGAACGGATCTGTGGGCGTTAGACGCGAGAAATATGGGCTTCGGAGATTCGTTGATCTTTCTGTTCATCCAACCCCGCAGATGCCACTTTATGCAAGTTCCAGCTGCTGGGATGTCACTGGCAAGCCACTGGCACGGATTACATTAGCGGGTTGATCATCGGAGGCTCATTGGTCACGCAATCTTAATTTTGTCTCCCGCGTGCTGGCCCCCCGCTGCCGGGTCTCGCCCGTGGGACAACGTCAGAAGGCCTATTGGACGGATCTATGTCTCACTACCATTGCCTAATTCCCCCCCATTCGGGATGCTGCGATTTTCGGGGACGAGACAGCCATCATACGCCATTAGGTAGTCTAACCTCACATGTTATTCCCCTCTCCCATCGTCTAACAAAATTCATGATTTCCTGTCTCCCAGGCCTTAAACACGTGCTCTGAGGACTGGAACCGAAGAACGGAGAGGAAAACAGTCATGAATATTAGCCACCAGACCAACTAGATAGGTAAGCTGTGCAAGTACGATAATACAAGTCACTCCTGTGACACCATTCGCAAAGAGGCAGTTTCCAGATTCGGGCTGCCCTCCATGCTGCAGCCTTCGTCGTACTCGTGGTCGCCCATGCTCAAAGGCTTATCAATACCGCGTGTCTGTCTGTGTACTTTGGTGCCGGCATGGCTCTCTTGATCCCATTCGGAGTCACGATCAGACAGAAGTAGGCGAAGCAGCGCATCATCGTTGAGTGCTGGTTGGCTGCCAGACGAGGGCAAATGCGAGGAATTCGGACTTGCGTAGACAAGGCGATCCTTGAACAGGTTAGGGGTATACATTATCCATCTACTTTCTCAAACAGGCAGCGGACATTAGGCGGATGGACGAAGATATTATCCACCCATCGAAAGGAACGAAATGGGGATGCTTTGGATTGGCTAACGGGGGTTGATACGTTTAACTAAGAAGAAGTGACCAGTATCGAGACCACCATCAAGTCCATTATCGAATCCATCGAGACCAGCATGTCTCACCGAGCAAGGATCGTTCAAATCCGAACGGCATGGCCGAGAGTTATGCAGGTGGACCACCTCACATGCCATTCAAGTTGAGCCCGGCCAAGCCATCCGAGAGGACGTCGAACAGTCCCTCACCAGACTCGTCCCCCATGACAGCAGTCTCAGGCTTGCCGTCCTCCGTGGCCCAAGCGGGCAGCTCCCCCATGAGCTCCAACCAGCGGTCGATGAGTTCCGAAAGGGTGTCCACCAAGCGGTTCATCTGCTTCCATTCCTCGTTCGTATTGGTGGCGTCGAGGACGTTTTTGAGAAAGGCCCCGGACGGTCCCATCCCGCCCCGCACAAACATGCGGCGTGCATCGAGGGCGAAGTACATGCACAGCTTTACCGATGAGCCCGTCGGCTGCCACATAGGAGCGGGCTTGCTGGTCGACTTTGGAATCTCCTCGGCGACCTTCGCGGTGAAGGAATTCAACCCGTCGGGACGGTACACCTCCTTGATGGCCAGAGCCGTGGAAAATGTCGAGATGATGGTCCTTGCAATGTAAAGATTACGGAAGAACTTCTTCTGGCCGCCGGATCTCATGTTGCAAGCTTGCTTCACGAAGATACCGACGTTCGGGGCTCTGAGGTTCTTCCTATCGAGGGCGGGTTGCGGAGTATATCGTAGTCGTATGTTGGGAGCCAACTCCACGATGTTTCCGGGGGGTGACTTGGGGCGGGGAACGTCTTCATCGGCCACAGCTTCCATCGGGGTCGCATTCTTGCCCTCAGCCATCGTGGTTGCTTTCTTGCCATCGGCCTTCGCGGTCGCTTTCTTGCCCTCGGCCTTCGCGGTCGCTTTCTTGCCCTCGGCCTTCGCGGTCGCTTTCTTGCCCTCGGCCATCGGCTTTGGCTTCTTCGAGCTTCCGGGCTTGTTCGAGACGGTGGACTGAAGGGTTTTCAGATGCTTCCGGACGTCTGGACCCTTCCCAGTGACCTTTCGGTCCTTGTTCCGATCCTCACGGCCCATATTGTCAAGGGCGTGATATGATGAGTCGGGTAAGAAGGTGAGAATATTGATAAGTTGAGGGTACTGAAAATGGGGACGATTGGTTGGGCGAGAAGGTGAAGACGAGGAGAAGGCGATGGACTGGTCCCACAAGGCAGTAGCACAGTGAGAAATCCCTCGCAGATGGCTGAGATTTATTGCCTCGCGGGGAATAAATACTTGCCGGCCACGTTTGAAGACGCGTAAAGTTCAAGAGACGCGGGACTGGTCTGAGACTGGATATCTCAGGGTTGATATTTCCAGTCGTGAATCTCCCTTTGTTGGGGTTGTTTGTGGTGAGGGCCTTCTGTTTACAGACAGAAGAAAGGGAACCTTAGAACCTTGCTCGGGTAAGCGACAAGGTTTCCAGACTGAGGGGTCGTGAAAGAAGACTGGCTGCCGATTCTTAGTCGGTATGTAGTCTGTGAATTGTCCTAGCCATTCACCATGTTACTCGGCGAGCATTGCCAGCTCCTGGCCAGATGATTCATACCGATAAGAAGGGCGAACGTCGAGGAGTCTGTAGCAAAGCTCCAGACCTATTAAGCTTAACAGGAGTTCAGCTGGGGAGTTAGTTCTTTGGATATCGGCATATGTGACCCTTATCTCTTGGGTACAAAGCACACGTCTGTAGGGAAAATGGGCGTGCCCTGGGTAAGACAAAGGAGAAGAAACAATGATTAGTCAAGGTCACGAAATAATAAGCTATAGACAGTTCCTAGTCCCAAAACGGCTTGAGTCACACTCCAATGGAAGTGGAAATATATCTAAGCGTTTTAGAGACCATATCCTTTCCTCATCTTCCCTTATCCTTAAAAACCTGGGATGTATACACTCGACTTTGAGTCTATGTGTAGATGTAGAATGAGGAGAACAGACAGAGCCAAGCAAGTGTGGTTGGCTATTTAAGTCCGAGCAGAAGCTACTGAGAAACGTCCACGTTTACTAAATGTCGTTATGATAAATTTAAAACCTCACTGCAAGGATGTTCGTCAGTACTTCAACTAACAACGATAGGGCATGATCAAATAATGAGTTCTAAAATTGTTGATAGTTTCCCTGATTCTCTCTATGTAAAAGTTGACTTGAGAATATTTGAGTACTTTCCTTAATTAGGTAGTCTCATCTCACAGGTCTCTTTCCTCTAAACTATGTTTAAGGAGCTGAAATAAATTATAGAACCTTGAAAAGACTCTGTGGCAAAACCCGGGATAATGTTATAGACATTGTCTACAGTGATGAGGAGTGGGAAACTTCTTGATATCTTTGCTGTGTAGCTGTCCATTCCGATGAATTAACTTGCCGATTTTCGCACACTTGACATGTCCTTTGCCCTGGGTCTATTTATTGTGCAAATTCTGAGATTGCGAGTCATGCTTGCCGTCGTCATATCCCTCTCAAAACCAATATTCCATTTTTTGAAAAAAGTTTTGCCCGTCTGCATGCCCATAATTAATCGTCGGATGCTTCGGGCACCATTAGTATATTTCCCAGCGCATCCGGTTTGTTTCTTTGCCAAAGTCGGGACATGTTAGCCCGACCCAGCACCAGCTTACGGAGCGCCACAGATTTCTGACTCACCCATACGTGTACTGAGGGGCTCTGGAGAGGATCCCGACCCTCCACTTACTCCATCGATCTTAATCTCGACAATCATCCACCATGTCCACAAAGGCAACCAACGATGCAGCCAAGGCCTTCAAGGCCCTACACGTGCCCGGCACGCCTCTCCTCCTCGCCAACGTCCACGACGCCACCTCGGCCCGCATCGTCGCCGCCCTACCGGGCTGCAAGGCCCTCGCGACGGCCAGCTTCGCCATCGCGCTGGCCAACGGCACCTCGGACCCGTCGCTCGACCTGGACACGCACCTGGCCGCCCTGGCGCCCATCGCCGCGGCCGCCGGCAAAACGCCGCTGACGGTCGACCTGCAGGACGGCTACGGGCCGCGGCTGGGCGAGGCGGTGCGCGCCGTCGTGCGGCTGGGGGCCGTGGGCGCCAACATCGAGGACTCGGACCGCGCGTCGGGCGCCATGATGGGCGACGGCGAGGCCGTCGCGCGGGTCCGCGCCGCGCTGGGGGCCGCCGCCGCCGAGGGGGTGCCGGACTTCGTCGTCAACGCCAGGGCCGATAGCTGCCTCAAGGGCGGGACGCTGGAGGAGTCGATCCGCAGGGGGAGGCTGTACCTGGAGGCTGGGGCGACGACGGTGTATATCCTCGGGGGCGGGCCGGGCGGGTTCACGAGGGAGGAGGTCGCGAGGATGGTTGAGGGGCTTGATGGGCGCGTGAACGTCGGGCTCAGGCTGCCGGGGGGTTCTTCGGCTGTTAAGTCGCTGACGAGCAGTGAGCTTGGGGAGCTGGGGGTTGCGAGGGTCAGCGTTGGGCCGCAGATCTATCTTGCTGTTGTCGAGGCGATCAAGCAGGCTGCCGGGGCTGTCCTTGGGAGTTAGAGACTCTGAGCTGTCTGAAACAGGTTCACTTGATCTGGATCAGCAAAGGGAAGTGCGTAGGTCTTCGAGACGAGTCAGGTCAGCAACATAACATAACCTCCCATCAACAATTACCAGGTCTCTCTCTCTGCTATTGGCCACATATTAGTTGAAACAAAAGCATTGTTAATAGAAGATCGAGGGTGGTCATTCCGCAACCATGTGTAGGAGAAATGTGTCCTAGGAAACGAAGAACGATGTCATTAGTTCGAAAATCACTCAAGTAGGCCCTATCCTAATAAACTTCCTTCAGATGTTTGAGATCCCAAAACCCGCAGAGACTAGGCGCCTCCTGAAATGCCCACTGAGCTATTCACGCGCACGCCCAGCGTGTAAATATGTCCAGCCGCAAGATGCCTGGCAATCGGAGCAGATCTCCCTCTTATATCTGGTCTCACGGTCATACTTGACACCATTTGGGCAAGGCGGGCAACCCTTGGGCCGGTTGAGGAAGAGCGGTGAGAAGAAGAAGTCGTCGCACCAGATATAAGCCTGCCTGTTCTCCGTTTCCACATGGTGACCCGGAGTATTGTCCTTGCGGTTCTTCCTTGGGCACGACGGGTGTGTGCATCGGCAGCGCCAGACAATCTTGTTTCCCTCGCACATCTTGAGTCGTTGGAGGTTGATGTAATCGTTTGGTGCTCGAGGATCCTGGCCAATTGGTGGCATAAGAATAAGTTTTGGGATGAAAACCTAGCCAGTTTATATGGAAGGAGGGGAGTAAACGGCAAAGATACTGAATGAGGAATACAGGAAATCCATCACTTTGTGGGTGGACGTCCGTGTTGTACTAAAAGGTTACACTACCTCTGACCTGGCCGGCCGTAACCCAGGTAAAGAGCGATTCACTCGCAGTCATGTCACATCGTACCGCAATAACAACCTGGAAGGGCAGCAAGGTAGCCCGTATGAGCCCGAAATCACCTTGGTCGCAGACGCAGGTGGAGTGAATCTGTGGCAGGACAACAAACTCCAAACTAGAACGGGCGCATTGGGAGGCCGCACTTGACCAGAGCTCGGTAATCAACTAGATCCTCCGCCAGGGCAACCACGGCTCAGCCCTGGTAGAAAGCGAGAGGGGGGAGTCAAGATGAGAATACTGCCGCGGCCACGAGCAGGACTGACACGCCGACCTGAGTGAAAGGAAAGGAGATGCTGTATTACAGGTAGGGATTGTTTTTGAAGAATTTGGCGGCCAGCATTGACCAACATGAGGGTCCACCTTGCTGAACTGAATATCTCCCTCCAGGGCGCAGGCAGGTCTTCCAAAGTGCCTGAGACATTTAACGCCCACTGTGATCTCTCAGACTCGTCGAAACCATTTCCCCAGAGATCTCTAGGCCGCTGGAAGTCCTCATCATCCACTGGAATTTCGTTCAAACCTGGTGTCGCAGTAGGTTGGACTCACTCCAGGTTTCTATTAGCAGGTACACAAGGTAATAAAAGAAAAGCAGGTACTTTGAAAGGTTACTACTGTCTATGGCACAGGAAGCCGGTGCTCTATCTTTTACTAGCACGTTTAAACTAGACGAAAGTGACGAGGTAGATTGGATTGATACTTGCACAAAGCAAATGCATATAATAACCTAGGTGGCTACACTGGTAGTCTCTATTCGTCTGCACCCTGCTTGGTGGAAGTAACCCCTTTTCCTTGCAGCTTCCTTGCCACTTCATCTGTCAAATAAGGTGAGGGGTCCTTGGTCAGCAGCGCGGCGGTGATGGCGATGCCGCCAAAGGCAAGGCTGGAGAGGTAGACAGTTTTGAATGCAGTTGCATAAGCGCCCGGAAGTGCGGCTCTAACCGCTTGAATTACCTCTGGCGTGATTCCAGGGACTTTGGCGAAAACACCGGTTGATGCGGCAGCAACTAGAGCCGCAGCGCCGTCGGAGTTGAATCCGGCTCGCTCGGCAGCGGGGAGGATCGCGGCTGGAACGGTAACTGCTAGTCGAGTGGACAGAATGCTGGAGAAGATGGCGACTGCGAGATGTGTTAATTTAGCTTCGGCCAACCAATTAGGGGGTCGAATACTTACCTGCAATGCTAGCTCCACCAGACCGGATGGTTCCGAGCAGCCCTGAAGCCAACCCAAGGTCCTCGGGCTTGCAGAAAAGCGGCGCGAGACTGAGTGCCGAAAGCTCGATTACCCCAACCATGAAGGGACCGAGGATCGTCAGTGCAATGCCCAGGTTCAGATTCTGGGGCGTGAGGCCGGCAAGGCCGGCGACGAAAGCGGCCGTGCAGACGGAGGCGACCAGGAGGATAATTCGCGGATTGCCAAACCATCGGATGAACAAGCCGCCCATGGACGTCCCGAGTGCCGTCGAGCCTCCGACAGTGCAGGCGAGCCAGCCCGCGTGGCTCCCCGTGATGCCGTAGATGCGAGCCACCTGCTGCGGCCAGAGGTAGACGCAGGGGAAGTAGCAGCAGGAGCCTATCATAGCGCACACGACGAGAGACATGAAACCCCGATTCTTGAAGAAATGCATGGGAATCAGGGGACACGGCTGCTTCGAATAGGCCTCCCAAAGTCCGGTGGCGGCAAGAAGGGCGACTCCCACCACCAGGGTGGCAATGGTGGCGGCGCTCTTCCAGGGGAACATGGTGCCCCCCCAGCTGAGCGGGAGGAGGATCAGGACGACGCTGCTTATATATAGAAGCATCCCCACATAGTCAAGCTGCCGGAGCTGCTGCATTTTGGTCCTCCTCCCGGATGAATGCAACTGCTTGTACGACGGCGGGTGGTAGCACAGCACCAGGAGGACGATTGCAACGGCAATGCAGATCATGGGGAGATAGAAGAGCCAACGCCAGCTAATCCCCCGCTGGATCATTGTCGTGGCTGCAGAGCGATTAATATCGGGTGCCAAACCGGAAAGAAGAAGAAAACACCCCCTCCCAAGCCGGCGGAGAGAGAGAAGGTGGGTAGCACTCACCAATGATGGAACCAAAAGTGGCAAACGGTGCGGACGAGGCAAACACCAGCGATACGACAATGGGCCTATGCTTGTTCTTGACCAATTCAGGCAGGGCGATGATGTACGAGTTTTGCACAGCTTCCCCGATGCCCGTGATTGCGGACCCGATGGCGAGTTGGGCAATGCTGTGGCTGGTGGCGGTGATGATGGTCCCGACCAGGGCCACCACGTTCCCGCCGATGAAGAACCAACGCCGGCCGAAGATGTCGCTCAGGCGGCCAACCAGGGTGAAGGTGATGGACTGGGCTGCCGTTCTCCCAATGGCCCACCAGGCGATCATTGGGCTCGGGCCTGGGGGGATATAATGATATCAGCTTGTCAACCATGTACTTATTTATGTCTTGCCTCCCTGGCATGGCATTGTTGCGGATATTTTACATACCTAGATCGTTGTTGATGACGGACAAAACGGCCGTAGGCATTAGAAGATACATGTACAGGGCGCAGGACGAGAGGCAGAGGGCCTGACAAACGTGTTCGTGAGCACCACACCACACCAGCGAGTAGCCCCGACGTGGGACTCGGGAAACGAACGACATACCACGAATGTGCCAATGAAGTTAACCGAGTAGTAGTAGCCCTCCGGCAAGTTCTCGCCCGTTGCCTCTTCCGCGAGTGAGGCTTCATCGGAATCCCGAGTCTTTTCAGGATCCGCATTGAGGGCCTCGAGGTGAACCGTCTGGACCTGCATGGTGTCATCCAGATACGCCTTGTCTTGATCGTTTGAGATTGTCGCCATGTTGTTGTCTAGTGTAGTCTTGTGGGAGTCTAGAATCAGCTATCTGGGGGAGGAGGGAGGGGCGGTGGCGGGCATATTTGAGCATCCCACCATGAATGGCCTCTCCTCGAGCCTTCGACCAAACATGTATCCGATATTCCATTTTCGAGATAGCTTAACGCCAGTCCAGCTGACGACCGCGACCCCCACCCCCAGCTTCGGTTCTGTTTTCCTCCTCGCTAAGATTCCCGTCACCTTGGACTCGGGTGTCGATACCCCCACAAGTACGTCTGCAGTGGTTAGCAGGATGTTGCAATAAATACAGTTTCTTCATGGCCCCAGATTCAACTAGTCGACCATGGAGTCATGCTACTTGCGGGGTATGCCTGTCTCCATCTAGCTGCCTTACTTAGACCACGCTAGTGTGACATCCGGTTGCCAATATCGTCCTCCGTGTTTTCCGTGTTGGAGCTAGTGTGACACCCGTCCTCCGTGTTGGACCTAGTGTGACATGGCGCCCTCTACCTCCACACTCTACATCCAGCCAATCCCACTGACAAGATTAGCATACCTGATAATTAGGTGCAACTTCGTTACTAACAGAGGTTTGACTGTGTAGATTTGTGTCGGATCACTAAATTTAATTAGTGCGAATCGAACGTCGTCGGATGAAAGGAGCAAAAAGGAGCGCCGGAGACGGGACCTAATAGATGGGAACCCTAGGAGACAGTCGACGCTTTCGACTGTGGAGACACATGGAAGTGTGCAGACCTGCTATAGTCATCCGTGGAAAGTCTCTCAGACACTCTCCACTGTTCATCATCGGCCAAACATGGCTTTCTTTTTCCTACAGGGTAATAGCTGTGTCACATTCTCTTGAACCACCAACAACACGCTGCCATTACCTTTGGTCTGGAGACTTCAAAGAAGAAGCAGGCGCGTCGTTCCCCCCGAAAATATATCATCCACATCAATAAATCGTCTTCGAGAACAACCACGATGGCACCGAGGCTTTATTCCGTCGAAGAAGAGGCTAATCTGCCGCCCGATGAGACAAGCCCCTTGCTACACTCGAGTGGCGACGTGAGTGTTATGATTTCCCGCACGGATAAAGAGACCAACAAAATTGACGAAGGACAGGGGCAGGACTTGCAACCCAAGAAACGGTCGCCCTGGACGGCGATCTCGGTCATCCTCGTGGGCGTTCTCGTCGCCAACATCGACATGACGCTGCTCCTCGCCACATATCCCCAGATATCCTCCAGCTTCGGTGCCCTGACCCATGGTTCCTGGTTACTCACCGCCTACATGCTGTCCATGTGCGCCGCCCAGCCGCTCTACGGGAAGCTGAGCGGTATATTCGGCCGGAAGGCCATGCTCATCGTCTCGTACACCTTGTACGCCACCGGCTCCGCCGTGTGTGGCCTTGGTCAGAGAATGGGGCAGGTCATCCTCGGGCGCGTCATTGCCGGGACAGGGGGCGCCGGCATGGTGTGCCTCGTCTCCATCATCATCACCGACCTCGTGCCGTTGCGCCAGGTGGCCGAGTACAGAAGTTATATGAACGTGATCCAGACGTTTGGTCGCAGCATAGGAGCTCCCATCGGCGGCTTGATAACGGAGAGGTTTGGATGGAGAGCTACATTCGGAACCTTGTGCCCCATCACTATCCTGGGTATTGGTCTTGTGGCCTGGAAGCTCCAAGATCAGCCACCCGAGGTTGCCCTTCTAGGTTCGACACCAACACCTCAGAATCACAAAGGCCGTTACTGGGCGCTTCTGAGGAGGATCGATACCATAGGCTCCTTACTGCTTGCCTTCAGCATCGCCGCGGCGCTCATGGTCTTCACCATTGGGAGCGAGAAGCTACCGTGGACTTCCCCTATTATGGTTGCCATCGTTGCGACCGCCGTGGCCGGCGCCGTGGCATTCTACATCTGGGAGACCCACTACGCTTGCGAGCCCATCTTCCCACCATCCCTCCTCGCTCATCGCGCTGTCTGGACCTCCTACATCATGTTACTCCTCCAAAACGCAGCGCAATCAGCCGCAACCCTCTCGGTCCCCCTGTTCTTCCAGGTGACGCAGGGCATGAACAGTGCCGAGGCAGGCATGTTCCTCCTCCCAAGCGTCGTGGGGAACACGTTGGGCGCCCTCGGAACCGGCAACTACATCAAGCGCACGGGGCGGTACAAGCTCCCGGGGGTCGCCGCGGGGATATTCGGGGTCCTCGGTTACGGCCTCATGATAGCCCGCTGGGACGCTGGCCCGGACTTCAACCTGTTCTGGGACGACTGCTACCTCGCTTTTGCCGGCCTGGCCACGGGCATGGCTCACTCGGCGGCCTTCGTGATCCTGACGGCGGGGATAGCGGCGCTCGAGGGTGACGGGCAGGGCGACTCGGAGAATACGGCCATCGCGAGCTCGGGAATCTACCTCAGCGGCAATATCGGCGGTGTTGTGGGACTCTGCATGTCGAGCACCATGTTGCGGTCCATCCTCAGGCGAGAACTTTCGCTGTCTCTGGACGAGGCAACGATGAGAAGGGCCATGGAGGATGTCACATTTGTGCAGGGGCTGGAAAGGGGCAGCAAGCTCAGAACCATCATCGTTGCGGCTTATGTTGATGGATTCCGTGGGACCTTCTGGGGGGCGGCTGTTTATTCGGCTCTGACCACCTTTGTTAGTTTGTTTGTGAACGAGCACAGCCTCACTGGCTAATTAGATCCCGACATACGGTTTAGAGAAAACAAAAGCGGTAGTCAGCATATCGAAACGTAGCATCTTGAAGTGCTTGGTAAGGGTTATTATATAGTACAAGCTCAGAAATAATATACAGGTGAAGCGTATAAAGAACGACACACCAGCCTCATGATGACCGGACGTTGATAGCCCCATCCAAGAAACGAAACTCCTCAACAAAGGCTGCGTCGACCGTCCAGTTGGACAGATGCCGCAAGTGATTCTCAAACTCGAGACTCAGAGAGTATTCATCGAGCGTATCTGTCAAGGACAGACATGCCGAAAGCCCATTGGTCCAACCCAGCGAGAGCGACGAGCCAATGGAATATCGAAACACGTCAAACTCGGTGTAATCAAATTCTTGGATGAGCCGATCCCGCACGGCTGGCCACACAATCACATCCATCCATATGGGATGCGGGATGGTCAGTTGCGTCTCGGTCGGACGGAGAAACTCGGGAAGCGCGGCGAAGGTTTCCCGCGTCCGACACAGGCGCCAGCGCACAAGGTTGCAGAGCAGCCACATGGCGCCCAGCCGCTCAGTGGTGCCCCCAACAGGCATCTGACTTAGGATTCGCGTGACAACGGCCGAGGTAATTGGCTGCTGCGGGTGTGCTGGGCGTGTCTGTGGGTTGAGTAGGGATGAGACATGGGGGAACGCCGGGGTGGTGAATTCCGTAATGGCCATGTCCTTGGATGTCTTATTCCAGCACAGCTCTTCCATCTCCACCACTGCCCAGTCCAAGGCGGCCATGGGGGCCGTGTTGACTGGCATCATGGACCACCTCCCCAGGCTGTCCGAGATGGTACTCTGTAGCTGAGGCAGTTGGGCGTGGTCAAAACGGAGGATCCCGTCGCGAGAATAGCGCTGCAGGCCGGCGGCTTGGGGTGATGGTGACGGCACAGGCCAGATATCCGTCAGCGAGTCCAACGAGATGCAGACCTCGGACACGCCAGGACGAGGTCCAGAGAGTTCTTGTCCGGATGATTCCGTAGCATACGATTCATCAACCGACAAGTTGCTCCCAGGACAATCTTTGGCTGCTGTCGAACCTCCCTCGGAGCCGCCGCGGAATGCCTGCTGTTCCGGTGTCGCTTCCCGAATTTTCTCCCGCTCGCCGCATGCTTGCATCTCGGAGAAGGCCGACTTGATTATGTCTCTCAAACGTCGACACTCCTTTTGTAGATCCTCGGCGGCCTTCGGTTGTTCCAGGAGCCGCGCACGGAGGCTGTCCCTCTCTTTCTCTGCCGCTTCGAGGCGTGCAGCTACATCCCGAAGCTCTTCCTCAAGCTCGCGGATTTGGTTCTTTGCGCTGGAGCTGGATAACCTGTTAGTTGGTTCATCGCTTACTCGGACTTCTCAGCCGACACTTGCTCAGCGGGGACCATGCTGCTTACCGGTAATTGCGCTGTCTGGCCCGATCCCAGTGTCTCTTGTGTGCCAGTTGGCCAGCTGACAGGGTCGAGACTGGCCGGTACGTGACCGGCTTTGCTGCATTGTCACACGCATCCATCCTAGAGAGCAGGAATTCCTGTGACCGATGTATGCGGTGGCGGGTGTTGTCACGCAAACCCATGCAATCCGGGAAGTGGATAGTTAAGCGTGAGATGTGGGGAAATATATCCTCGCCGGAAACCGTTAACCTTGGGAGGAGCGCTGTATCACGCTAAGTGTGACTCTGCATATAGACTGCCGTAGTCGGGCAGCGATTGTGGGCCAGAGCATGGACTAGCAGACTAGGTAGCGGGAATTTAGTCCAGCTAGCGTGTTAATTGGCATAGCACTCGCTAGGCTGTTCCAAGCACCACAGTTCGCCCACCTAAGTGATGATGATCGGACGCAGTTTAGATGGAGTTATGCCGAGGGACTTGGCTCATACTCCTCTAGGAAGCCGTGTGGCGCTCTGATTAAATACTCCAACACCCACAAGCTCGGAGTCGCTCTAGCACGTTGTTCGTGTTAGTCCTCGAGTTCCCTCGTCTCCCCCATCATCGCCACTCACAAAATGTTCCTCACTAGGGCCATAAAATGGCTCGGTTTGGGTTCACTGACGCTCCAGTCTGGAGCCCTGGCGTCAGGAAAACCCAACATCATCATGGTCCTGACCGATGATCAAGATGTCCACATGCATTCTCTTGACTACATGCCTTTTGTACAGAAGTATCTGATCAACGAGGGAACGACCTTCACCAGACATTATTGCACAATCGCCGTGTGCTGCCCGTCGCGAGCCAGCTTGCTTACTGGAATGGCCGCACATAACACGAATGTGACGGACATCTTGATGCCGTATGGTGAGCGAAAGTCATGATTTAATGTTAATTGCCTGCTCGAGCCGTTTTGTCTGACCCGAGTCTTTGTCAAGGTGGATATCCGAAATGGGTCGCTGAGGGTCTCAACGATGACTACCTTCCCCTGTGGCTTCAAGAAGCAGGTTACTCGACCTACTATGTTGGGAAGCTGTTCAATCAGCACGACGTATCCAACTATGCCGACTTCCCAGCAAAGGGCTGGACCCAATCAGACTTTATTCTGGATCCATGTCAGTTGCCCTTGCGAGATGCACGATAATGCTGTCAACAATTACATGACGGGGATTACTTGATTATTCCGTGATAGCTGCTGACAAGTAGCTCTTTTAGATACGTACGAATATGAGAATGCCCATTTCACGCGGAACGGGGAGAAGCCGGTCAGCTACAAAGGCCAATACTCCCCCGACGTCACGGCGGACAAAGCATATGACTTCCTCGACCAGGCACTTGAGGATGACGATCAGCCATTCTTCCTGAGCATTGCCCCCATCGCGCCACACGCAAACATGGTCATAGAGCCGTATTCGGGTACTCCGCCCAAGTATGCGGCGCGCCACGCCCATCTGTTCAAAGACTACAAGATTCCAAGGACAGAGAATTTCAACCCAGATGAAGTAGGTCGATTTGATTTGCGCCCCGTGTCTTCATCCTGGGAATGACGACTGACTGACGCCAACACCTCAAGCCGAGCGGCGTGTCCTGGATCTCGCAGCTGCCGAAGCTGAACGATTCCGTCATCGAATACAACGACGAGTACCAACGCTGCAGGCTTCGGTCCTTGCAAGCCGTTGACGAAATGGTGGAAGGCGTAGTGAAACGGCTCGAGGCCGCAGGCCAGCTCGAGAACACGTACATCTTCTACACGACGGACAACGGCTACCACATCTCGCAGCATCGGATGCACCCAGGAAAGGAATGCGGTTTTGACACCGACATCAACATCCCCATGATAGTCCGGGGTCCGGGGGTCGAGCGCGGCGTCAAATCCCACGCCGTAACAGCCCACAGCGATCTCGCGCCCACCTTCCTGCATCTCGCCGGGGCGGCCCCCAGGCCGAGGATCGACGGCAGCGCCATGCCCCTAGTAAAGGGGGACGAAGGCAAGACAGAGCACGTGAACATCGAGTTCTGGGGCAACGCGGCCGGAGAAGGGAAATACGGGTTCAGCGGGGAATGGGGGGTCATCAACGGGACGGTCAACGGCTACCAAAACAACACCTACAAGGGCCTCCGGCTCATCGGCGAGGGCGCCAACCTGTACTACTCGGTGTGGTGCACGAACGAGCACGAGCTCTACGACGTCGGCGCGGACCCGGGCCAGGTACGCAACCTCTTCGACCCGAGGCACGGCCTGCTCGCGAGCCGGTTCTCCGTCGCCGGCCGCGGTCTCGAGGCCGTCGTCACGAGGCTGGACGCCCTCATGATGGTCCTCAAGAGCTGCCGCGGCGACAGCTGCCGCGATCCGTGGGCGGTTATCCACCCGGGCGAATCCGGGGTGAGGAGCCTGGCTGACGCCCTTGGCGCCGACTTCGACGAGTTTTACCAAGGCCAGCCTAAGGTGAGGTTTGATAGGTGCGAGCTCGGGTACATCAGGGGATCGGAGGGGCCACAGGACGTGCAGAGTTACAGAACTGGAGGGAATGGCGGCATTGCTGGAGAGAGTGACCAAGTCCCTTTCCTCCGGCATGACTGGAGCTCATGGGTTTGATGTGATGGCATCATATTCAAGAAGGATGCTTCTAAACTTGCAGTATAGAGGGAAATCAAGAGGATGTAACTAATAAATTTCAAAAGAACTTATTTTACTGGCTTGGTTCTTCAATGATTGCTGTTGTTAGGCTTGGGAAGATCTAGCGAGAGACCTGTCACGCACAGACCCCATGCCCCTGAAGTAAACAGTGCAGGCCCACAAGATCGTGGCTCTCCCAACTTCCCCCCTCGATTCTTGACTCCCCTCCATTCTTTCTTGAAACAAGGTTCGATGTCCGGTACGGAAAAGGGGTTGAAGCCAGGCGTCTCTAGCTTACTTCATGATGATCTGCCACCCAACATGAATATTTCGATATCCACAGACGGAGAACAGGAGAGAATCGATGGGAAGACATGATGCCTAACGCCGGGCTGGCACGAAAGCGGGAGTTGAACGGGATCCATGATGGGGCGCACCTTCCCCCATGTCTAGCTGTCCCTATGTCTTGTTGAAAGAAGGCAGGTGCGTCCCAACATGAGGAGGCGATTTGCTGGAGATATGGGACACCTATATGAGTCCGCGCGTCTGAGCCCTTGTGGGTTGGGGTGCCGCGATAGGTGACTAGCTTCGTCAGGATAAAGGTGGGCGAGTCGGCATCAGAGACCTGAATATCGGCTTGATGGGTGACTGGGAGAATAAGAAGCTTGAAGCAGTCAATCAACCTAAAAGACCGGCAGCTCTCAAAGTCTCATACCGGAACGCCCGTCGCTCAAATCCAGCCATGATCCGAGAGTCATATACCTCGCCCTCCCCCGTCCACTGCGTAAATTTCTCAGTGTCCACATACTGAGAGCTAGCCCGGTCAACGGCTCGCCCCCTTGCAAACTCTCCCAGCAATTCGCCGTAGCGAGATACGGCTCCCATGAAGCGACCGGATCGGGCTGGAGACCAAAGACCGCAGCTTCCCGAGCCTCTAGGTCCATCACGAAATCGACAGCCGTCTCGAGCGTGGTTTTAACAGCGCTTCTGGCATCTCCCGCGCAGCCGTCGATTTTATCCGCGACGGGCTCGAACGAGATGGGCGCGCTCAGACCGTCTTCCACGCCTGTGCGGACCAAGAAAACGGGAAGGCGGCCCACGGTCTTTGAGTCCTCGTTGTTGTAGCTGTCGGAACAGACGATTACGAGCAGCGCCCGGAACAGCGGCCGCAGGACGTGAAACCTGTGGTCTTGACCCGGTCCAGCTCCCCCTGCACCTGCCGGTTGCCTGTGGCGAGCCGCTCGGCGTACGAACGACGGCGCGCGTCGACCTCGGCGCAGATAGCTCCGTTCATGACGACGAGGGTGCCGATGGTCGACTGCGAGGCCGTGCCCCCGTCGGGTAGATGCGCTGGTCCGATGAACTTGCAGATGAAGCGTTGGCGCTCGATCTCGCTCCGGTACGGGCGGAACCACCGGCGATAGATGTAGTTATGACGCACCGTGACAAGCGCACGATTCCGCAGCGGGAGGATGTAGACGGGCACCAACTTGTTGCACGTGTCGAGGAACTCGCTGATTTCCATCTCGGGCAGGCGGTCGATATCTCGGACTGACGGTATGTACGTGAGCTGGACGGCATACAAATGCGTTTCGTGCCGATGGTGTCCTTCTAGATTGGTGCGGAAATCCCACAGCAGTTCGTCTCCTGTATACTCGCGGAGGTCCCGTTTGTAGGGCAGGGCGGTTCCCCTCTACACGGCTGGCAATCCATGAATATGATGCTGGAAATAATGACGCCGGATAAACGGATGTGTGCTATGGTGATGTCCAAGGTGTGCGATGTAGTAAAGGGGAAAATTCTTGGGCAGGAGAAGTTAGGGAGATGGCCAAAGTTGGGTGGGGCCAGTGGTGAATCACACCATTGGGGGATCAAGGGTTCGACCATGAACTTACATGGAATTTTGTTTCCTCGAGATTCAAAATCGATACTTGCTCGCCAGGAAACCCAAAACCTTAAGTCTACTAACCCCTAGATTCTACACAAAATCCATCCCTACGCAGTAGATTGCCATTCTTCGACCTCCCTTACACGCTTCGTTTGCCCCTGCTCTCAAAAGGCAACATCAAACTCAACACGACCAGCAACCCAAATAAACTGGCACAGACAAACAGAGGAGCCGTTGTCTCGACATTCGCATAGCTGCCGATCAACACACCGGCGATGCCCCCAACCCTATTCAGCACCACGCACAGCCCGTAGCCGGTCGCGCGATGCGCGCTCGGGAGGATCTCGGGCGTGTACGCATAGATAGTCCCGTAGTAGATGTTCGACGCGGCCGAGATGGCGGCGCTGACGCCGACGTTCTGGGCGGGCGTCTTGATCTGCGTGTAGCCGAACTGCAGCACCATGGTGATCAGGGCGCCGAGCGCCAGGGTCCCCCGCCTGCCGAAGAGCCTGGTCTCGACCAGGACGCCCGCGACGATAGGGCCGAACAGGCCGGATATCTTGTTGATGGCGTAGTTGCGCCAGGTGGTGTAGTTGGATGGCGGGCCGCTTATGTCGGCGCCGCGGGAGGCGAGGTAGTAGGGGAGAAAGACGGAGTAGAGGGGCGATACCATGCCGATGACGAACCAGTTGGCGATGATCACGAGGGACGAGTAGGCGAGCGGACGCGTCTCAAAGAGGCCCCCGAAATGCTTGCGGAGCCGGATGGCCGACCATGGCGAGTTTTCCGTGTGCAGGACGCGGCCTTTGGCTTCCAAGTCCTCGAGGCGGAGGGAGAATGGGCGGCCGTACGTCTGGGCGAGATCATTGAGAACCGAGTAGACGTCCGCGTCGCGGTTCTGGGCAATGAGCCAGCGAGGCGTCTGCTTCATGCGGATGAAGAGCAGTCGGGCGACGCTGAGGATGAGCACCAGACTCCCGGCGGTGAAGTGCAGGTATCGCCATCCCCAGTTTTCGGACCTGGAGCAAGTGGCAGGCGTAGCGTCAGAGGGGCAGCTGAAGTTGCTCATAAACGCCCATGCTAGCAGCCCTGTGATGGTATAGCCGACGGCCCACCAGATGGACATGAACGTCACCAGCCAGGTGTGGGTGACGGGCAGGAACTCTAGCAAGTTCGTGGCATCGAGGACGTAGTTGCCTCCTGCTCCCGCTGAATAGATGGCAACCCTATAACGCGGTCTTAGCTTTTCGTGCCAGGGGAGTAAAATATTATTAAAGTAATATCATGGCGAATGTCCAACTGGACTTACATAGCGGAGAAGGAGATGTAGTTTGGCATGCCTCCAGCGATCAAGACAAAGGCAGCACAGATGAAGAGACTACTATTGAAGGCGAGCTTCCTGCCGATGATGTCGGCAGTGAAGCCCCAGATAGCTGCTCCTGCTAACAGTCCGATTTGAGAAGCCAGCGCAACGCCAGCGATCTGTTTGTTGGGCCTGCCGAATTCCCGATCAACTGCGGGCTGGGCGATGGCGTTGCAGACAATGAGCAGCTTGATTGACAACAATTCAGTGGGAAATGATCCAACGGAGAGAGGCTTGGGGAAGGCTCACCGAATCAACCGCATATCCAAACCCATTGAAAAAGAATAGCTTCCATTGGAATGGAGTCATCCCAATCTCGTCGATTGCCGTATTGACGAGGACCATCTTTTCTGCGAGGACAGGATCGACTCGAGACGAGTCATAGACCTCATTGCTAAAGCTGACGGGTTTGTCAGAGCTGCTATCGGCTCCATTCGCCGCAATTGATGGCTGCAACTCCTTGCCGCCGTCATGTTTGAGGCCGTCATCCCCGCTCGGAGTAGACATGTTAGAGTGGCTGGTCGAGTGAGTCCCAGTCCAAAGTGAAGTTCACGATGTTGGATATCGACGTGTGGTAAATATCATTTGAAGAGGCTTGGCTGAGCTGATAAACATCGGTTTACTGCGTACATCCCGCTCTCGCCATGCAAGACCCGGATGGCGATAACGTTGGTGTTGAAGATTTCGGGTAAGTCGTGATTGGATATCATGAACAGGAGGTTATCAGAGGAGTCCATGTTCAGAATAGTAAGCCCCTTGGCAGATGCGGATTTGTAACGTACTTGGGTTGTGTGGCATCTCGCGACGGGAACTCCAGTGGCCAGCGAGGCTTAGTATGGGGTTTGGCCTGTATTTGCTTGGGATCGGCAGGAGTAACTAATAAGCTCGTAAGCAGCATGCATGCTTGGCTCGTACTGCCCAATGAAGCAGCTAAAATCCATCATGCCATGAACCCTACAATGGCGACACCTTTCTTGTGCCATTTTATTACAAGATGGCGACTCGCAAGGGCGCAACAGAAGGTTTGTCGGAAAACTGTAGCTTGATGTGTGTCTTTTAAATTGTAGACAGTCCTTGACTGAACAGGGGGGTCAACGCCTCTAAAGCTTCATGCCTCATCAGATACAGTTCCAGATGAGCCATCAACCGCCAGAATCAAGATGGTTATTTCCCACACAGGACTCACAGAGGAGGTGTTGAACTTCAAGCCTCCTCATCCACCTGTCGAAGAGTTTGTGCCTCTCGATGACCGAGCTTTCTTCGCGGACGTGACCAAGAAAAACATACTGGGAGCGGCCACCGAAGTCAAGCACCTCACACCCTACATTGGTACCGAGCTTCAGGGTATTCAACTCAGCCAATTGACCGACGCTCAAAAGGATGATCTTGCGCTCTTGGTCGCGGAGAGGGGCGTTGTTTTCTTCAGGGACCAAGACATCACACTCGAGCAGCAACATGAACTCACAAAGCACTATGGCATTCAAGACCGAGATCCCAACCAGGTCGACCCTCGCCATGTGACCATCCTCGGGCGTGACGAGTAATTTTCCCCGGCCCCCTTGCTGCAGGTATATTTCAGTATGAAGGATGCTGACAGCCAACAGCGACATCCGCTCGTTTGCGAATTATGGTGGTGACTTCCACTCAGATCATTCATTCGAAGCCAACCCGCCATCCTACACCATCCTGCGCCTTGTCAGAACACCTGAGACGGGCGGTGACACCATCTTCACGTCCCAAACCGCTCTATACGACAAACTCAGTCCGTCGTTCCAGACACTGTTTGAGGGCCTCAAGGGCGTGCACTCCTCGGAACACAGCTACGTCAACTCCATCAACCGCGGCTCGCAGCCGTTCCGGGGCCCTGTTCGGCGAGAGCACCCGTTGGTGCGAACGCACCCCGTGACGCGCCTCAAGTCTCTGTTCTACAATCCCTCTTTCGTCATCCACCTCCAGGGTCTCAAGGGAGCCGAAGCGTTGCACACGCTCAATTTTCTCCGCGAGTGAGTCCCTTCCGTTCCCTAGATGGCGGCTGCCCACCGCCGGACCAACCAAGGTCTTCTCCTAACAATCTACCAGGCACCTTCACGCAGCAGATGACCTTACTGTCCGCTGGAAATGGGAGCCGGGGAGTGTGGCTTTCTGGGACAATCGTGTCGTGGCCCATCGCGCCGTTCCGGGCGGATATAATCCGGAGGAGAGGGAGGGGAAGCGGACGGCGATCTACGGCGAGAAGCCGTTCTTTGACCCCGAGAATAGCGTAAGCTTAAGCGAGCGAACCAGGAGAGTATCCGGTGGGAGAGAATCCAAGGCTGGTGCTGTCAACGGTAGCAGTGAACACCTTAAGGGCTGAACTAGCTAATGTGAGATGAGAACAAGTGCCAAACCACGTCAAAAGAGAAGCCAGCTATTTGTATCACGTCTCAAACATCGTCTATATTTAGGAAGATATTGATATATCTAGATATACCTACCTACTCCTTAGACAGTATCGTTTTTTTTTTTTTTTTTTTTTTTTTTAGAGAGCGAAAAGTATTTTTTTTTAAAAAAAAATTTAAAAGACAGTAGCATGATTCAAACATGCGTAAGCACCAATCTACGTTAGCAACATAAGAAGTTTGCCAAAGCCACAGTCAAGCTTCCCTAAGACGCTGCGGGCGTGGGATTACCAATGATTGGCTTTGGTGCTGTCACGTCACGTCAAACCGCGAGAAGGGCAAAAAAAAAGAAGAAAAAAATTAAACTTACCTTTTCTTCTACAAATAACTGGCCCTTGAAACCATCTTAGCCGCGTGGTTACTAAAGCGCCCCCCCACTTGATCGTGTTTGGTATGGGACATTTGTTGCGACTAGAGTGCGGCTCCCCGGGCAGAGCTGCACTCCCCGGATCCGAGTATCGCCGACCGAAATCCCAGCCGCAGCTGGGACTCGAATCGGCGACCTTTCGGTATCACAGTCGTGTCTGGGTCTTACAGGGGGGGTCCGGCGGCTAAGGGGCGTCCCCCTTAACCGCTGAACCACCCCCCCTGCCATGCGTTGCAGACCTCTGACCGTATTTGGCCCTATATAGGGTGGGCAGGTGGAAGGTGAAGTGAAGGTGATGCGTGGTTGTGTGCGGGCACCCACTCACAGGGCGTTCCTTGCCTTGCCCGTCAGGTTATGGGAAGTGAGTGAATATGAGATCAGGTACCTGCTCAGTGTACCTTTACCTACCTTATCTAAGCATACAGACCAACTCCCCTCCTTCTCCAAGGCCAAGGACAAACAGCCAGGAGTCAACAACACATCCACGGAATACCAGAAGGACCTGTCCAACACAGCATATCTAGCCATCTCTAGCAAGATATACCTCTCCCACACCAGCTAAGTCTTGCCTTATTCAAACAATCTAACCCTGGGGGATTAGCAGACTACTGACTTCAAGGGTGAGTATGGAGGTGTCCTCTTGATACGTTGTGTTAGATATGTTCATCACCACCACGTTTGTCTCCTCCCTCCCAGCTCCAACCATCTGCCCATCTTCCCAAGCCAAGCTAGATGCAACCGCCCCATCCGACCCACACATAGCCATGGTCGCAGGAACCGATATGCTACCTGTTATACTCACGACAATGGTACCCCCCCTCGAAGGAGACGATGCCGGGAAAACGGGGAATAAAGGGGGAAAGCCCACCTTTGGGTGGCCCAACAGCGACCTCCTTGATCGCAGCCTTGATGTCCTCACACGACGCAGACTTCTTGATACGGCAGGTAAGCTCAACAACCGAGACATTCGAAGCTGGCACACGGAGCGATATTCCCGTCAGCTTCCCCTCGAGGCCGGGGTTAGTTCAATGGCGACCGTGCGAGAGGCCTGGACGTCAATACAATTAAAATTACATTTTTAAACAACCGTCGTAGTCTTCATGACCAGCGTTAAGGGTATCATAAGCCAGTCAGGGCTGAAGTGCCCTACTCCAGCCTCATCATCACGGCTCATAGCCATATCTATCCGCGCTCTCCCTTCTATGGTAGTTCATCTCCACCTCCGTCGTCCGCAGAATGCCGCCCAGCTTGACATCCGACCCTAGGCTCGATTCCTCGCCACCACGGGACGGCACTATGCTGGCATCATCGTCAACGCCCGCATTGACGGCGGCGGCGCTGCCTTGGGGAGGATCGGGCGCGCGGGAGAACGACAGGTTTCGCATCCGGCTGGTCGACATCCGTATCCCATCCTCCAGCCGCACGCTTCTGGACCGGTACTTCAGCATCGAGACTTCGAGGAACATGGTGCGCAGGATGGGTATCGAGGCGGCGATGATGGTCACGGCCGATTCCGCGGCGCCCCAGATCATCAGCGTAACGGAGGTGTCTTGTGGAAAGGGTCAGAAAAGCGCCAGAAGGGGGAGGGGGGGCGATGAAGGGTAAAGGATGGGGAATATCTCACATGTAGGGTCCTCAAAAGCCATATTGCCGATATAATAGCATTTGATAAAGGCGATGGCTGCGGCACTGATAGCCCGTGGTCAGCAGTCTGGGTCGCGTTCATCTGACACGCCTGCCTCGTCACTCACAAGACACCCATGCTCATGGCAAGAGCAACGCCAGCCTTCTCCCGGGTCTCCATGCTCAACCCCCACACAACCCTCCATGCCATCAATGCCAGGAGGACGTCCATCACCCCCGAATAGGCTACGGGATCGCAGCGTCAGCCGAAGGTGCCCTGGGCAGACATAGGCCAGTGTTTCTGGCGGCCGATTCGATGCTGGGAGGGTAAAGACTCACCAGACGCCACTACCCCGATCACGATGTCGACCTTTAGAGACAAGCAGGACCCAGGAATGGTTGGGTCCCAGGTCTTCTGGACCGGGGCGCAAGAAGTGAAGAGGAGGATCGCAGCGGTGAGCATAAGGGCGTTCATGGACGCGATGGCGAACCACAGAAAGGGCCGCTTCCACCCGTCGACGAATCTCAGCAGCGTCACGGCAAACGAGGTCTTGCTCCACACCGCGGCCAGGATGGACATGAGCGACGTCAGGCCGATAAGCCGCGCGATTTGGAACAGGTCTGTCGGGTTATTCGCAAAGACGTCCGTAAAGTGTCGGCCGAGGCCGAACCCGGTGGCGGCGGTGGTCAGGCTGGCAACCAGGAGGAGGCATATCTGTTACACCCGCCCGTCTTAGTTTGCTGGAACTGGGAAGAGGATGGATGGATGGATGGAACTTACCCATGAAACCAGGAGGATATAGTCGTCCCACCAGAAGCCATTGTGTCGTCGGAATTTGCAGAAATATCGGAGGGCGAGGAAAACCAGCGACAGTGCGGTCAGGGTCCACACCGAGGCCAGTAAATGCGGAGCTCTGTTCTCATCGGCCGTCGACTCTATCGGCTCCAGCGGGTCCATCACCTCGATACGCGGGCGTTTTGGTGTTATGCGCCTGTCGGACCCAAAGACGGGTCATCATCAAGAGGAGAGTCGGGGGCGGAAACCATTGAGGCATGGATGTTCAGCTTCAGGCCCAGGTCTTGGGGGAAATGGAAATGGGGCGACTTAAGTAAAATCACTAATCCGTACCAGCAGGACTGTTCCCAAGGTTGGGTGTCGGTGGAGTGGTGTCTCGGACCCCTTTGCCAAGTGCTAAGGACGGGATTGCCCCGTGCTCTAGCGTAGCACCGGCCAGCGCCCCCCTGCGGGGAAAGCTTCCCAGAACCAGGGATCTGGGTATGCCAGCTTCGACGCTGCCGCCTTTGTCTATTTTTGTCCCAACTTCCCCCCAGCCACACTCAATCAATGGATGTGCATTGTCCTATGTATGATGCGTCACGTATAAGACGATAATATGTACACTATGATATGTGGGTGCTCTATGCTCGTGTGTTGCATGTAAATATTTACTAGTGTATGTACGTAGAAATTAGCATTTGTGCTAAGGGAAGTCAGTTTCCGCGCCAGCTATTCCACTTACGCTCTAGCCACTTGATCGTCGCCCCTTGTGAAGATCGATCTTGGGAAGCTTTGGAAGCCCAGGACATCCAAATACCTACACTAGGGACCTATCCTCACACAGGTTGTAGATCCTTGATAAGTTGAAATTGGTGCTTACACATCGCATGCCACGTGATCGTGAATTTGGAATTTGGAACTTGGTGGAATTGATTATGCAACTTGGTGCTTACACATGCCCAGCCAGAGAGAGGCCCCACAGTACCATTTATGTCTTGAGTGATCTTGAGTGATCCCTCTTACAGGATTCCGGAAACGCAAGGCGACTTCATCCAGTTTGTTACGCATCTAAAAATGGCAGACCTCAAGGGCACAATCTTTGTCACAGGCACCAATGGTGGCCTCGGCTCCGCCATTGTCTCCAAAATCATCTCGTCGCCGGAGCTCTCGGCTAACTATTACGGCATCTACACCGTCCGGAAAGTTGAGACAGCGACGGCTCTCAACCAAGCTCTCGCATCCGTACCGTCAACACATAGCTTTGACAAGGTTGCCTTGGACCTGTCGACGCTGTCAAACGTGCGGGGGGTCGCGAATGCCATCAACAGGCGCGTCGCCGAGGGCTCTCTGCCTCCGATCCGCGCTCTGATTCTGAATGCCGGCTACCAGGAGCATACGACGCACGACTTCTCGCCAGATGGCTTCGACATGACCTTCCAGTCTAACTACCTGTCGCACTGGCTGTTGACTCTGATGCTGCTTCAGAGCATGGATAAGGAGCACGGGAGAGTCGTGGTTCTCGGCAGCTGGCTGCATGAGTAAGTAAATTCTTGGGAGACAACATGACATTTGAGTCCTGACACATACCTCCCTGTCCAGCCCTGCAGACCCCCGAAATAATTCGATGGGAGTGTATCACGACGAGAAATGGAAGGTTCTCTTTCACGATACCGAGTCCCTAGCCAAGGGGACCTGGAGCTCAACCAAGGAGGACCCCACGATGAATGCCGGATTCAGACGATACGGAGCTGCAAAGCTGTGCGAGGTCATGATGATGTGAGTGCCTCATCGCCCATACTGCACAAACAAGCAGCTTACCACTGCCTCCAGCCACGAACTGCAGAAGCGTCTGGACAGCGACCCAGCTCTCTCCAACATCTCTATCCTCGGCGTCGACCCCGGCGGCATGCCCAGCGGTATCGCTCGGCGGGGTAACTTCCTCTTCACCGTCGTGCTGAGGTACCTTCTGCCGCTCCTCGCCACGATCATGACCGCGCTATCCCCGAACGGGTCGCTGCGCACCACCACGAAATCGGCCAACGATGTCGTCAGGGCGGCGTTCGACACGGAGGCGCTTGGCGAGCGGCCAAAGGACTTGTACCTCAACGGCACGGATCCGTTGGAGACGAGCGTTGAGGCGAGAGATCCGAACAAGCGGGAGGCGCTGTGGCGCGATAGCGTTGGGTATGCGGGGCTGAGGGCCGAAGAAACCGCGTTGGTTAACTGGAAATGATGGGGGACGGGGACAACCGATATCGAAGCATTTGAAGTCTTGAGTAACGTGATTCCGGAGCCAAGTATATTGTAACCTGAATTGTAGACATTTCTGTAGTGTAAATTGAGCGACTGTATGGGAGGGTTGATGCCACATGGACTGTGATCATGCCATTTTAGACCGCTGACCACACCACCCTCGAACTACCAACACGCAACACTCGAACAACCACCGGAAGAGTCGAACAATGGCCGCACCACGCTCGGAATATCTAGGTAACAATGGAATTATAAATGCAGCAATGATCTCCGCAAGCAGGCGGCCCCAAATTAACTTCATCATAATTATCGATACAGCAAATCGCGCAGGTTTAATCTGAGCCTACTTGAGCTTCAAGTCCTCCCCACACAACAACAGTCACAATCATGGTCAATCAACCAGCCAAGCTTTCTGCCCCATCCCTCGGTGCGGCAAGGTAATTGAACTGAGCGTCCCACCACGCCTCCTGCGCTTGGAAACTAATAGGTTCCAGGTTACTGCCCGCAGTAGTTGTCATCGGAAGTGGTTAGAGCCCCTGAAATTCCCTCTCGTACCCCATTCTCCAAACATTGTCGAGAATAGGTGCTAACACCATGATCAGTCTCTGCCGTGGCTGCATATATCCGATCACAACTGCAGAACGAGTCTCGCACAATGGACCGGTTCTTTAGCCAGTACAAGAGCCCCCAAAGCGAGGCATCGAGACAGAGGGTTTTCGACGGCCGTAAGGAGGACCCGCGAAAGAGCTTGTTCAATGTCTTGGGGTGGTGATTCGGCTGGTTTAATTTGCTGGCGTTTTGGGGGGGCAGATGGTTATGTTGTAGACATAGACAATGAGTTCAGTGAAAACTTACTAGAGATTCTACTCCAGAATGAGATCTTTCGCTGGGTTGGGTGACACAGTTCCTTATCATTCCCAAATAGTGCACCTGCTTCCTGATTTCCACGCCTGCGAGCCTCTTCTCAACGCCCACCTGTGTAGAGCACCGGCACGACGGCCGATGTCGACGGAGAATTGAGCCCGTTGAGGAGGTTGGGAGGGGAGGAGGAGCAGAAGACTCTTCGGCGCCGGCGATGATGATGTCGAACGCGGCGTGGAATTAGTCGTGGGCCATCACGGTCTGCGAGTGCCGCGTTTGACCGCCGACGTGCGATGGCTTCAGGTTCTCGACGCCAGGGCTATTCTCGAGTATCTGTCGGGTTGCGGGTTACTCGGTGAAGTTTTGTGGTGATTGGGAAAGGAGTCTGCCAAATTCTCGACCCTCGTGGTTCCTCGGGTGTGGCGGTAGCGTTTTTGAGTGGGTGGATTACGGGAAACAGTTAGACCTGGGACGAGGAAGAATTTGATATCATATGTGGACCAACCCAGTCTGCATTGCAAACCGCTCATGTTCCGGAGGGATACCCGTCGCATGAGCGACCTGTGCTGGAGCATCGATGGCAAAGATGGCGAGTCAAGTCACAATTAACATGCCTGGTTCTGCTGGGTAGATTATCGGGAGATGTTAGTTTGGGCTGCCCAACCTTCAGGGGGTATGATTCCGAATGTTCCGAATGGGGACAACTTACCGAGACACGTCACAGCCAGGGAGTGTCCTTAGCTCTGGTGGCGTTTCCACATTTGCGAAGGGTTATGTTTAGCCATCATGGCATGCTACATTGCAGACGTGAATGATTGGGCGATCGAGCGGTATCGAGCGGTATGACGGCGGCTGTTGGCTCTGGAAAGCTGCAGCAATATGCAGCAACAGCAACGGCATACATACGGCATTACTTGTGGACTGATGGATTCCAAGAAACATCTTCAAGCCATGTGCCACTAAGATCTGTGTGGACTCCGGGATATCCACGCTCTTAATTGATAGACAGCCTGAGCGCCGAGCCGTATAGAATAGAGCTGAGATCGAGGAGGGGTATCAAAACCCAAATCAAAGGCCATTGAAATTAATGCCGGGTTCCATATGACAAAGATATCCGGTAGGTTGTTGTGAGTTCTCAAAGTAACTTACTAGGAGCTCCGAGAGTAAAGATACAAGTCAAAGTCTCTTACCTATGTGTAGGATAAAATAGACTGTGGCAGTTCGTTGCTTGGACTTTGAAGAGAAGACAGCCAGTTGCTAGCTGTTTCCTCCCAGTTCAGTTGCACATGGCTCTTATAGACTTACATGTATCACGTAGACCTATGCTTCCTTTCGTTCCTTCTCTTTTCGTAGGAATCAGTAATTATCGTGGGAGAAAAGTCATCGCCGACCTCATGGTAAACAGCAAACCCAGGCTGCGGTAATTACCAAAGCTCCTGGCAGCCGGGGTCGCTACCGCCACCCACAGAAGAGGTTGCGGCGCCGGACTCTGCCCCAATGAGATGCCAAATTGCCCATCCCTACTCCTGTCTGTACTACGCCAGGTAGGTAACTTGAGATACCTACTTGAGATGCATTTTCCAGGCAGGACGGGAGGTACCGATTGTGATTCTCCCCACTAGAGGTACCTAATCAACGCCACATGCATGAACCTTGCATTGAGGAGCAAACAGACAGACAAACACTCATATCGGCCCTCAGCCCATCCCCCTCTCACTTCCCCCCTCTTTTCTCTCATCCAACCGCCTTTTTCACTTCATCTTCCATCCCCCAAACTTTTGCATCGAAGCTACAGGCTGTGCCACCCATATTGGGACCAGGTAAGTGGCGGCTTCACCTCAGCATAGAAGAGCATGCAGACTAACAGATGCAGGTGCCCATCATGTCAATCCCCAAGGGCGAGTACGATGTCTGGAAGCCGGCAATCAACGACCTCCTCAAGCAAACTACATTCCCCTACAAAAGCCTCGCATCCCTCAACGCTGCATTCGGGCGCGCGGGCGACGGCAATCTGAAGTGGACGGGCAAGAAACTAGGCTCGCTGTTCGAAGTTACAATCATCTCCCAGGACCAGCCTGCAACTTCCGAGTATTACGAAGCCGGGGACTAGGCCATTCTTGCGATAACCGTCAAGGAGTGGTTGACAGACCCGGCAAGACAGGAGGCCTGCGGTTCGGAGCCGTGTATAAAGATTGCGACTCGAGCAACCATAGGACACGCATCTCAGTGTTTCTGCGGCAGATGGGCTCCCTATGACCCTGAATCCGATGCTTTGACTCCATGTTGCCAGTGGCTTGTTTGGTGGATAACCGACGGACTGCCAATCTCGGCGACGGAGAAGGCTTTGAAAGATGAGCATGATGAGGATCGGTCGAGCTTGGCTGCGGGGAGTAGTATGCCACCTTCGTCTAGCAATGCGGCTGGCCAAAGCCGCACGGCAAGAGGGGGCGTGGCAGCTTCTGCCGCTCGAGATAAGCAAGGGATTGAGGCGCTGAAGAAGGAGCGGGATCAGCTCAGGGCATCTCTGGCTACGCGTGACCAGGAACTCAACAGATTGACAAAGAAGAGGGATGACCTGAAGGAGTTGCTTACTACGAAGGGCCGGGAACTTGACGAAACACGGCAGGATAAAGATGACCTGAAGACCTCGCTGACCACTCGCGGCCGGGAACTCGACAAGGTGAAGAAGGAAAAGGATAAGCTGACAGCTGAACTGGCGGCCAATAAAGCAGAGTTGGACAAGTGTAGAGAGGAGCGGGACGGTCTGAGGGCGTCGCTTGATACTGAAAAACAGGCGCGCCTTGAGATACAGAGCTTTCTGGGTACGAACAGAATGAAGCAAATCGTAGGGGGGATGAAGGAATTCGTGGGGATGTTTGAGGAAAAACATAGCATCTTCGCTGAAGCGTCCACCAATCTCGAGTCGCGCAAAAAGAGACGCAGGACGGCCGCTCAGGGCAGAGAAGAGGAGAATATGGACGAGGACTAGGACCAAATTGTAAACGCCTCTTATTATATATCATCTTAGCACGAGGCATCCAATCCCAGAGCACGAACTTCTCAAGCACCCCAGCTTAGGTAGGTCGGACCTGGATCACAAGAAACCACCAACGCTGCAATAGACACAACTAATTGGCTTGACATTTTCCCCGTTTGTGACGTGGATGTATTTTTTTCGTTTGGGCAGTCGTCTTCCATGTACGCTTGTCTACGGATCCGTATACATGCCCCGTTGTTGGATCCGGTGACGTCAGAAGCTACTGGGGAAAATGGGGTGGGCTGGCCAATGTCAAGGCAACCACAACCCAGCATCCAATTTATTGGAGAGTACCTAAATCATACTTCTGTTACCTACTATCGAGACTTTAGACATATACGCGCAGTATTTGATGCCCACGCCTGTTTCGCATGGGTGTACTCCTTGCCTAACTTCGAATCCCTTTCATCACAAGTCTAGACCTTTGGATGAATTGATCGGTCCGGCATGGCCGACAAAGCAGACACGGCGGACAGCCACCAGGGGGGAGCCCCCACCGCTCACCGGTGGATATGGTTCGTGACAGGGCCAACAGCCTGCGGCAAGACAACCGTGGCCAAGCAACTAGCGGAGGAGCTCAAAATGACATACTTGGAGGGGGACGACGTGACTAGACCCTCCCGTTCTCACGATAAACTCGAATGCAATCAGCTGACTATCAGTTGGTGGTGTAATAGTTCCACCCCAAATCCAACGTCGACAAGATGTCCCGCGGCGAGCCGCTGGTCGACTCGGACCGGTGGGACTGGCTGCGCGCGCTGCGGGACCGCGAGCTGGTCAAGCCGCCGGGCAAGCCGACCGACAACCTCGTCGTCACCTGCTCGGCGCTGAAGCGGCACTACAGGGACGTCCTGCGCGAGGGGTCCACGGACGAGCCGGGCCTGCGGATTCGCTTCGTCTATCTCGAGGCGCCCGAGTCGGTCCTGGTGCGGCGAGCCGCGGCCCGGAAGGGACACTTTGCCGGCAGCAACTTGGTCCATTCGCAGTTCATGGACCTCGAGCCACCTGAGGAGGATGAGGATGATGTCGTCCGGATAGATGTTGATCGCAGTCCCGACGAGGTCCAGAAGGACGTGGTATCAAGGATCGGGGAGATTATGGGGAGAGACAATCCTTAGACGGTTCTAAATAGTGGGCATTGTTATGCAATTGATCACAGAGTAGAAAGTTTAGACAAGCGTGGAATTGGCTGGGCTGATGGAGTCTAAAGGCATAAGGAGGCAAGGGCGCCCGAAGAACCACTGTTAGTCCTTAACGAGTCATTCCTCAGCAGGGAGGTGATCCAAGCGGCAAATCTATTGCCACACCCTTTTCTACATCGTCCCCTATTCTAGAGTAGCAGACTACTAGCGAGCTGCGTGGTATTGCTAATTGCTGGTCAGCAGTCGACAGTGTACCGAGAGTCGAGCGAAGTCGGGGCATGAAGTCAGCCCTTGCGGGCCTCAGAAGAAATGTGTAATTATGCCGTCTAATAATTAGATGCTTTCTCAATGATTTTGCCTCCCCCGTGGATCAAAGCTACCTCCCAATGCTTCTATCCTGCACATTACGACCGGCTACCTGCATTAAAATGGCCAGTGCTTGACCCGCCGACTCCACCCCGTCCATAGCCGACAACCCCCACGCCGGCTTATCTACACCGAGCCTTGGGTAGAGATTGTCCATCATGATCGACCCCATTTCCCCACCACCGCACGCGGCTTTACCTCGCGACCCCACTTCCTTCCATCTTTGCCAACTCGGCCTCTATCGCCATCACGCCAGCCATGCCCTCCCGGATCTCCTCCTCGGCCTTGCCGCCCCGCGGCAGCCTCTTGAGTGGGCTCCTGGGCGCGCAGGACGCCCGCTCGCCCTCGCCGTGGAACATGGGCATGGCGGCCTTGACGCCGACAAACCCGTAGCGGATGGCCAGCCAGTCCGCCCGGGCGACCTCGGCCTGCAGCTCGCGGGCCTCGGCGAACCGGCCCTGCTCGAACAGCTCGACGATGCGCACGCACGCCCGCGGCGCCAGGTTCGCGAACCCGGCGATGGTGCCGTGCCCGCCCACCACCATGCCCTGCAGCAGGAAGTCGGCGCTGCCGCCGGCGACGAAGAAGTCGTCCCTCCCGCCGCGCACCTTGGGCGCCTCGGCCGCCACGCGCGCCAGCTTGCCCGTGTTGCCACACGTCAGCTTGACGCCGACCACGTTGGGGTGCGCCGCGATCCTCAGCAGCACGTCGCTGTCCAGGTCGACGCCGTGCGCGGCCGCGGGGAAGTTGTACACCAGCACGGGCAGCGGGCTCCGGTCAGCCACCTCGGCGAAGAAGTCGACGAGCCCCGCGGGGCCCAGCAGCCCGGCGTAGTACCCCGGCGGCAGGACGAGGGCGTGCGTGGCGCCGGCGCCGCGCGCCTCGGCGCACAGCTCGACCGTCTCGCGCACCGACTGGGCGCCGCACCCCGCGATGACGGGGACGCGGCCCGGCTTGTCGGCAGCGTGCCGCGCCGCGTCGGCCACGGCCCGCACGCCCACGCACCGCTCCTCCCGGCTCAGGTGCGCCGCCTCGCCGTTGGATCCGTGCACCACCAGGCCCGCCACGCCGGCGGCGAGGAGCCGCGCCGCGTGCCGCTGCGTCGCTGGCACGTCGATGGTGTCTGAGGGCGTGAAGAAGGCGAGCATGGGCACGTAGACGCCCGTGGGGAGGCGTGTGGTTGTGGTCATTGTGGTCGGCGTCGTGACGTGTTTAGGGGTGGTGGGGGTGGTGCCAGAGGGGGGAGTGGCAAGCTCCGTAGTGTTTGTGGAGTCCATTCCCTGTGGATGTTTGGGTATTATGGTATTACAGGTAGGTAGGTAGTGTAGGGGGATCAATAGCCAAGAGTAGAGTGGCTAAAATCAGGTGAACGTGCTCGGGGGAAGTTGGGATTGATGGAAACGAAAGTTAAGGAAGGTTATCTCATCTCGGGGAGTAGGTCGGCTTATGTACCCCGAGAGCTCAGTGGGCGACGACGCCTCCCTCCCAGGAACCTTGTTCCCGGTGTAGATGCGGGGAGGTGGTGGACTACACTAGTGCCGCGGCCATGGGAAAAACAGCGATCAGCGAGCCACGGCCACAGCAACAACCCCGTATTCCCCCTCCAGTCGGGAAAAAGGCACCCCTGCCCTTGGCCATGGGTCGGGAATGAGGCTCCCAACCCGCAGAGGTCGGTGAACAACGGGGCTGGTAATATATGTCCACACAAATACCGAAGCCCCTGGTCCGCTGGGGCCCGGGCGTGGGGGTTTCCTTTGGCGAAAAGGAGGCGTCAAGGGGACTCAGCTCAGGGGCGTCAGCGAGTGTTCACCAACCTGAGTCGCGCAACATCCATGATCAAGACTATCAATGCTGGCTATTGTCGGCCACAAGAGCAGAGAACCCATCGGAGCCCGTGGTGCCACCAGAGCTGCCGGAAACAAAGCGGAGGAGTCGTTCAGCATGGACCGCACTGACGCCTGCAGAGCCTAGGTCGGAGGCGATGTGTCAAGTTGGGGTTTGCATCAGCCAAGCATAGGCAATCAGACCTCGGAATTGCCGCCGGCAGTGGTGCAGGGAGAAAGGGAAAAACCCTTCAGACTTGTAACGGGTGTAGTGGGTGCAGATCTGGCAGGAAGTCACCCGAGTTGGATGGAGGTGCGAATGAAAGTCGTGTTTAATTAGGTAGGTACCGAGGTACCAGCTGGCGTTTGCCCGCCTTGACCCCCACGCCCCACATCAATCTGTCGTAGGCCAGACCGTGCCAAATCCACCAACCAACGCAATGCTTGGGACCTCCTCCAAATCCCACTTCCAGGGGCGAAACACAGGCACCAGTGGCCTGCAGGCCGCCACAATTCCGGGAGACGCGTTGTCGGGAGAGTGCCGTGGCTCCTGACTGGCTCAAATCTTGTTGGGGGAGAGCTCTGGGTAACTTCCTTTTAATGACGACACCAGCTGGCCCATCCGCCAAGGAAGTTTCGATCGCTGTCAGCGATGGGTTCGGTCTGAGAGTAGCAAGCAAGCTGGTGAGGCCGTGAGATGTGAGACTGGAAGGCGGCAAACTGGCTGGCGAATCATCGAGGTGCCAATTACATATTCCTGGCTGCTTACTTGACGCACGATGCTGATTTTTGTTACCTCATCCTTTTAGGGCCCCCTCTTTCCGAGCCTCGTCCGCGCCGGCTATTAGCAATAACAAAGACGGCTGTCGGTAATGCCTCCACGCAGAGATGGAAAGCCCATCAACTCTCAGGCAATAAGAGGCGAAAGGAGGGGCAAGGATCTTGTACACACTACAACCCACAATCCCTGGTTTTGCGTCCTGCGCTGATCTTCCGTGCATCTTGAGACCTTCACGTGAGATTTGGGGGTTGACCAATCAATCAATCCTCCCTATAACGATCGGAAAGATTCCCCCCCCACCCTATAGGATTATATATGAGCTGGGGAACTGCATAAACAGACTGCTGGCCATACTATGTTGTTAACTCGAAAATCAAGTACAGAAAACAAACTCAAGCAACGGAAATCATCAAAACTATGAACCAAAGAGTTATTCGAGAGTCAGGTTGCAAGTGTCGCTTAAAAGCCCCATCTTGGGAAATACGGGAAATACCCGGAGGATCAATATCGTTATAGTTAGAAACAATTATGCAGGGTTTGCGGGGTTCCAAAGGACAAGACTGAGGTACAGGTACTCCGTACCCAGCAATTCGAAGTGTTAGGATAACCAATGAAGACACGAGTATGGCTGTTACTTGACTTCTTGGGTCGCGGCTGCATTCCGGGCAACTAGTATACACACCTGCGTGAGCTTGGCCTCCGTACCCGACTGCCAATCACACACGAGGATCGAGCATATCTCAATGACGCCTCCGTTCCACTCCATATCCCCAACAGAGGCGCATTAGTTATTGGTGAGCCCCTCTGCAACCCACCCTCTGTTGCCTATACGGGCTGGCAAAACGTCTCAGCAAAATTAGCGACGGTAATGAGAACTCAGACAGTAAGGCTACCTACAGGCGAGGTATTGGGGTGCGAAAGAGTTAACAACGGAGAAGACCGTTATCAGAGGCTGGGGAGCCTCAGCTTGGACAAAACTCACCAAGTAGAGTAGGCAATCATAGGGTTAAGCATAGGATCTGATCCAGTTATCTTACTGTTGTGAAAGGAGCTGCCAAAGAAGGTTTGACGGCGTCATGTTTGAAGAGTTAGACTGATCAATCGCACAATATCCACTTCTTCTCGCGCATTCTCAGACAAGGCTCTCCCAGACTTGATTCTGCCCATAGGGATGCAATATTTCCGAGTTGACATATCATCGTGAGAGGGAACGGCAAGGACGGCAGCCTGTCGCAAAGAAGTTGAAGGAGAGGACTTGGCGGATAGTTGGAGGAGCTGTTGATGGACGGATCGAAGATTTCTGCGATGCTGGGATTGTTAGAACACCCAGCTAGTTTTGCATCCGGTCTTTCAATTATCGGAGTGTCATGATCGACTGTGTCATTCATTGGGCAGGGTGAAGATTACGCTCTATGATCCATCAACGGAGAGCATCCACCAAGTGATAAGAAAGCTGATGTCGAAGAATCGACGCTTTGTAGTCACAATGATTAATATGTCATTCAAGACGGTATATGAAATATTAATCATTTATTGGCATCAACTATTGGACAAGTGCCACTGCTCTCCCAATCCATTTGGCTCCTATCAATAAGTAATTCGGGCATGTCATCGTCATTCGGTCAAACGCCAATGCTTCCCTGCTCCCAATGCAATCAGGAACCAGCAAATGGTGGTATTTCCAGCCAAGAGATGCGACGAATAAGCATGCCAATTCCCCCCTGTCCCTGTATCTAAGCTGGTCTGGTAATCGCCAGCTGCCCTTCCATGCCCGGACGTGCTGCCAGATATGGACTGCTACTCCTAATCATCTGTCACGAGGAACCGTTCGACCCCGTCATCATCGTTCTGGACGCCCTGCTGTCCATGTCCATCGTTCAACTCTGCTGCGTTAATGGCCCCCTCGAATGCCTCTGCGACGTTGGAGTACCTCCTATCCGGCATCCAGGGGGGCGGTGCCTTCTGAGGCGAAGGGCCCGTGGTGTGTCCCGCCTTCAACTTCGCTTCCTTCTTCTTGAGATACTTCGAGATCAATCCGTCCGGTATATTCGCCTGGGGCTCCCACGTCGGGTTCTGCCACTCGGGCCAGTCGCCTTGCCACAGCACTTTAAAGTACCGGACCAAGGTACCGGTCTCGTCGTATTCGTGCTTATCGGCTAGGAGGTCCTTAACCTCATATACCTCGTCGTCTTCCTCGAACGGCTCCTTTACCTTCGCCTTTTTCTTTGCCTTCTGCGTTGACTTGGGCGTCTTCCTCCGCGAGCCCGTCGACGATGGAGTACTGCCCCGTTTAAGATGTTTGGAAACTGATGGCGAAGGCGTCAACCGAATCGTGCGATCGGAAGGCTGATCCCATGTAGTTTTGACTGGCTGGAGTGGTGTGAATCCAGTGAGTTGCTGCTGGTGGTGGAATATCCCGTTCGAATGTACCGGGGTTGCGCGGGTGGCGGGAGTACCCGTCCGGGATTGTGGACGACCGTCTTTGCGCGGTGGACGGAGCAAAAGGTTAAAGGCATTAACCAACGGGTTCCGTAGAGCTGAACCTTGCTTCTCATGCCCATGCTTCTTCGTCAAAGGGGTGGAGGCTCTGGATGAGAATTGGGGCTCTAAAGACGGGCGTTTGCTTGGTTGCAATGCGCTCCACCGAGCTGGATTTGATATCCTCGACAAGAAGGGTTTTCCAAGCGGAACCGAGCTGCTAGCCCGTGAAGATGGTTCGTCAGCAGAAGAATTGTCTGCTGGGACGCTCAGTTGGTCCACAGACTCGTCGTCCATATCTAATTCATCCCCATCCAAAGGATCCTCTGCAGATTCACCCACACCGTAACCATTAAGCTGGTGGAATAGCGCCACAGCGTCCGAGTCATTGTCTCCGAGTTCGTCCGCCTCCGTATCGTCTTGCAGTATGTCTTCCAGCTTGCGTTTCCGAGGTGTCGACAATGAAGGACCAGACGCCTTCTTTTGCGAGATCAAGGCCTCCTCCTCAAGGTTGAGGACAGCGCCCAGCTCATCTTCAGGCGGCACGGCTTCTTCTTGTTTGCGCGGACGTCCACGACGCTTGCCAAAGCCAGGCTGGGCGACCTCAGCAAGCTTCTGGTATTTCTGCTTCTCGCGCCTGAGAAGATCGTTGTATTCCCATTCTTCCAACTCCCGGGGCGAGACGTAGTCTAGGACCTTCGTGCATGGTATCGTAACCTTCGCCGCGGGCAGGTCTGTCCAGGCAATGACATAATGGAGACGGCGTTGCTCGTGTTTGCCGATTGCTGTCGAGGTCGGAAGGACGAGCTTGTTGACGATGTAGCACGTGGAATCGGAGATTGGGAGGAGGGATATCGACTGCGGTGGAGGCCCGGAACCGGGAATATATCGTGGCCAAGAATGAAGAGGAATCTCTATGTGGGCTCTTGTTATCCTGGTTGATGGAGTCGCCATCACGGGTAGGCATCCGCTTTGTTTTTGAGGTGGCGACCCCTCACGGACATTGGCGTGGCATTAGGCGGACGCGGTGGAGGTGGGACGAAGGTATTAAATGGAAATCGGCCTGATCATTTGTTGTTAGAAATCCTTGCAGCCTCCAGGGCCTTCAGGAAGGCGCGATGATATTAAAATTTAGAAGGACGTTGACCGCGATTACCTGGCGTTTTTATGTTCTGAAGTTCTTGTTAATGTTTCGCAAAGTAGGTAGCTTCGTTGCCAAAGGTAGAAGTTTAGCGCAGTTTAAATTGATCTATTAATTTGAAATTTATCAGGTCGTTTAGCCAAGGTGATTACCTAATAGTACTGCGTATGTTCTAACAGAACCGTACCTATTTAATAACTTTATATTAATACTTGCCTAATATTTTAACTATTAAAAACAAAGGCTTTATTTAAACTTATTATACAAGAAAAAAAACAACACGCTTGCTTTACTTATAATTATTATTTCATGTAAAATCTAGTAAGAATCCTGTGTTGAACTCTGCTATTAATAAACCTAGCCTTTTTAAAAACTAAGTTAGCATTATTAATTACTATCAATATCTATTACGTAATGATTACTACTTACTGATACGTAGTTAATTATGTACCTATGTGGTGATGTCTAGCGCGATATGCACTTTCTGAGGCATCTCATGAATGTGGAGCTAATGTTTCAACCGAGGCATATGCCTTTGCAAACAGCAAAATATTTGATCTCGGGGAGCAAACACAGTTATGTCGCCGCAGACACGCTGACACTATGGAGAATCTTGACCACCTCAAGGAGCAGCTTGGGCTAATCCCATGGTGTCAGCACCTCCTCAGAGACGAGAATCTCGTTGCTGAAATACCTACGGGCAGGCGAATCAAGAGGACCCGAGAAGACGCTGCATTTTCATATACGTTGAACACCAAAGACACAATCCCACTATACGTTGTGTTGTACCAGCCACCGCGGCAGCCCGGCATCCCGATCAGAGAAGTCAAGGGAATCTTGAAGCTTGCGGGCGGTCTCAATGGCTTCCCAGATGTCTGTCATGGAGGCATCGTGGCGACCATCTTGGACGAGGTCATGGGGGAGGTCATCAACGTCAATCTCAGGAACCGGACCGTTTTGCGCACATCGTATATGACAGCCTACATCAACACGACCTATCTGAAGCCCGTGAAGACACCTGGGACAGTCCTGGCAAGGGCATGGATCAACAAGATCGATGGGAAGAAGCTCTACGAATCAGCGACGATCGAAGACGGAGAAGGGACGGTTCTTGCAAAGGCAGAGGCATTGTTCATCGGACTGAACCAAAAGCTGTGAGATTTCCTGTGCTGGACGACGTTTTAGACGAAGGCTTCAAGGCATGACCCCCGGGAGGAGTACCACTCTCCGATGCACCGAATGTAAGCCGAGCACATCTCGGCCTGGGCACGAGGACTTCAGGATATGTATACGAATGTTATTCCTGCCATATTAGAGGGCGATATAATGCAGAGCTTGGCTACCAACACCGAGATACCTAGCTCGAGGGTCATTATGGTCGTCTTCCATTGCAACAGGCGCAAGCTCCGAGGTTGAGGGGTGGGAATACAAGAGGTCTCGAGACAGTCAGCCCCGTTTTAAGCCTTTTGGAACAGCTCGCTACTGATTGGTCAACCATACCCCACAATGCGTTTATCGCGAAAACTCATGCTCCAACCATCATCATCTCTGCCAAAACCTAAAAGCTTGAGACGAACCTCTCAACCCTGAGCTTTGAGACATCAGTCTTTCTGCCAGACCCGACATTAGACCTCTCCACTCATTTCTTTCTTCCTTATTATTCAATTCATCGACCAACCAACCTTTGACCGACATGCTTACTCCTACGACATCCACGATGCTCCGTTCTGGAGTGGCCCGCTCGTGCGGCCTCCAACCCATCCTTCTCCGCAGTGCGGCCAGCTCATACTCGACGATGATTGTATCTCCCTTGTCGATCACACCCAAGCTTTCTCCTCAATGCCAGCCCGCTCGAGCTTCCCAACCCTGTCGAGGAATCTCCTCCTCGACCAAACCCTCCCTGTCCAACCTCCGCCTCCACACCAAGACAACCAGCGCCCCGTGCCGTCACGCCTCGACCACCCGCCCATCCGACGCCCAGATCGACGCAAGGGCCGCATCCGCAGCCGCCTCCGCAGCCACGGCCGCGCAGGCGGCCGCACACCCGGGGGAGCTGCCTCTGGACTGGGACACGTTCTTCCAGCTGCGCAAGTCTCGGCGGCGGTGGCAGGTGGCGTTCAGCGTGGCGACGCTGCTCGGGGCCGGGACGGCCGGTGCGCTGTTTGTCAGCTCCGGGGCCGCGGAGCCGCTGGCCAACCAGGTGCCGCTGGATCCGCTCGTCACGCTGGGGCTCATCACCTTCTCGTTCGCGGCCATGGGCTGGCTGGCCGGGCCGAGCATCGGGAACGCCGTCTTCTACGCCCTCAACCGCACCCGGAAGGCTCAGATGACGCTCAAGGAGGGCCAGTTCTTTGCTAGGATCAAGAAGAATCGCGTTGATCCGAGTGCCAGCTCGGCGGGGAATCCAGGTAAGTGTCTCGGGGAGCAATTGAGGCAAGTTGTGACGATGGCTGACAACAACCGCTGCAGTTCCCGACTTCTATGGCGAGAAGATCTCTAGTGTAGCTGGCTACCGTCGATGGCTGAAGGATCAGAGGGCCTTCAACAAGAAGCGGACGACGTTTGTGTGAAGGATGCTCAGAACCGCTCCCGTTGACAACTGACGGGAAGCGGATGTCCGAGTAGGGGAGGAAAAAAAAAAAAAAAGACAAAACAAATAAAAAGAACACTCGCCCTTAGGCATGCTCGACGCAATTTTCTTTGGGAGTTGGGATGGTTAATGTCTTATTTGAGACCACTACCTTGTCATTGGCGTTCAGAATCTCTCTCATTGTAGCAATAGGATGCGGCCTAAATATGCAAATGGCAAGACTCCCCTTGACAAAACAACTATATACGAGGATTCCCCTTCATACTCGGGCGCCATTCGATTGTCCAAACTTTTAGGTGAAGGGAAGGGTCTCATCTACCTCCTCTTTCCAAGCCCTCATCCCACCCCTGATATCTCCAATGAACCGCTCCCCACTCCGATCCAGCCCCATCTCCTTCAACTTGCGGGTCACAAGCTGTGAGTTGTCTCCCACCCGGCACACAACGTAGATTGGCGCATGATGTGGCAGTGCAGGGGGGATCCAATCCGGCTGGATCTCGTCCTCGCCCGCCTCCCCGGTCCCGTTCCTCTCCCGGCCCTGCTGGATGATCGAGTACGGGACGTTGACCGCACCCTCGATCGCGCTAATGGCGAAGTGCTCCCTCTCCCGGACATCGAGCAGGAGGTGTTCCTCGTTGATGCGGCTGCTGCTCAGCAGGCCGTGGTACTCCGAGGCGGAGATGCGCTCCTCGGGCGCCAGGATGCTGAGCGGCAGCCCGGGAGCCCCGCCGCAGAACTGGACGTAGTCGAGCGAGCCGGACCGGAAGCTCGTGAGCGTCATCGTGGAGGCGGCCGAGCAGGCTAGGCAGTCGCCGCGCCGGCCGCGCATGCGCACGTTGCGGAAGGAGGGCGAGCCGTTGCCCGGGGAGGAGAAGAGGAGGAGGGAAGGACGCTGCGGCTCCATGCTTGGTCGTGATCCCTCTGGGAGATGTTGGCCCCCGGCGATGATCTTCAGGGCCTCCCCGGCTTGCAACACGCCCATTACCCCTACGACGGGGCCGAGAACCCCTCCCTCGCCACAGCTGACAACGCTCTCTGGTGGAGGCGGCTTTGGGAAGACACATCGGTAGCACGGCTTCCCCGCGCTGCCTGGTGCACCTTGTGGTGCGGCAGGGCAGTTCAGAACGATCATCTGGCCGTCCGTCCGGAGAGCAGATGCCGACACCAACGGCTTCTGAAGGAGGACGCAGATGTCTGAGATCAGATACCGGCTGGTGGGATGGTCCGTGCAGTCAAGGACCACGTCGTACTGAGACACGATCTCCTCCGCATTCTCCGTAGTGAGATGTTCGGGATACGAGTTGTAAGTCGGCAAGGGGTTGACCCCTCGAAGATAGGTAATGAGACTCTCAGTCTTGGGCATGCCGACCCTCGACGTCGCGTGAGCAATCTGCCTGTGGAGGTTCGAGGGCTCGACGATGTCCCCGTCGATGACCCCGAATGTTCCGACGCCGGCACCCGCGAGATACGCAGCAGCCGGGCAGCCCAAGCCGCCGGCCCCGACGATGAGCACGCGAGATGACTTGAGGCGCAGCTGACCTGGAGGATGGTTTAGCTACCCTACGCCTGGTTTGTATTATCGAAAAATAACAGCAATAAAGCGCTAACCTTCGACACCGACACTTGGGAGGATCAACTGCCTCCCATAACGTTCGTATTCAACCGCCCTCAGGGGCCATTTCCGCTTCGCACCTGTCGGAACCGATATAGACTCGTCGACCACCTGTCCACCGCCCTCAATCTTTACAAGCTGCTCTTTCAGGGCTTTCAACTCTACCTCGGCTCTCGCAATCTGCTCGCGCAGATCTCGGGCGCTCGTGCTTAGCTGCTCCATGGTCCAAACCACAGTCGCATGTGGTTGAGGAATGACGCCAAGGAGCTGGTAGCTCGAGTACCGATAAATAAATGATTATGACGTTGTAATCAACTTGCCGAAGATTTCCCACCGCCTCAACCGTCGATAAGCATCAGACCCCTGCCAATTGTTCCGAGCCCCACTAAAAAGTTCAACCTGCCACCCCCTCCAACATCCATCGTGAAGTATAAACCACGGCCGCAAAACCAAGCCACAGAACAAATCCTCGATCGAGCAGTCCTCTCCTCAAGCACCTCCCAAGAAACCAAGACCAACATGGTAAGTCCCCCATCCCCCCAATCTCCCCCCTTCCCCCTACCCCACCCCACCACCAACCTCCCAACAACAAACTAACCCTCCCCAAGGCCCCCCGACCACCAACCCAACCCAAGCGCCCCACCGCCCGAGCCAAGGCCCTCGCCCGCCTCCGCGACCCCCTCCTGCCGCGCAAGCTCCACCGGCCCGACAACGCCGTGACCGACTCCTTCGCCGACACCAAGCGCGACAGGCGGCAGATCCGGCGCTCGGCGTTCGTGTCGCGCATCGCAAAGTCCGCTCCGGGCAGCGGCGGCGGCGCGGCCCAGAAACGGCGGAGGCCGAACAAGAAGCTCGTTGCGACGCTCGAGTCGCTTGGCGACGCGCTGGGGGACATCGAGGTGGCGCCCAGGGGGGATGATGGGGAGCAGGATGGGGCGCGGGGCAAGGTGCGGCATCGGAGTATTGCGAGTAGGCCTGGTGCGCTGAGGAGGAAGGAGAAGGTTGTGCGCGGGGAGATGGAGAGGTTCTCGCGGAGTCTGGCGCAGCTGGCGACGCTGCCTGGCGCTGGTGGAAAGGGCGAGGGCGGTGCTGCGGCTGCGGCGGAAGCGATGGAGACTGAGGCTGCCGGGGTTGCCGCCGCGGTACCGGCGTCGGCCTCGTCGTCGTCGACTTCCAGTCGGTTTGCGGCGCTGAGGGGGTTTATAACTGCGACGATGGAACAGAACCCTGCTTTTGTGGGGAAGGGCTGAGGTGTATGCGTAAGGGAGGGTCGCTAGGGTTGGCAAAGAGAATTTCCACTGAGGTTGGGTTTCGCTCGAGTGGACGGGCACACCGCATTGATTCTACGGGATGTCTCGGCGTGTTTGGCGTCGGGAAGTGAGGTCTCACTGTCCGCGACCTGCTGCCGGCACGGTGGTGCCAGGAAACGTCCCCTCAGGAGTTGGCATTCATTGTATGATCAATTGCCTGCCTGTTTACGATGCGCCATGTATGGCAATCTGGTCAGTAACAAGTATCTACGAGTTCCGTTCCTCCATAGTCCCCATCAGGGAGCATAGCTTGTGCACCACCGAGTTGAGACCAATTGCAATGACCTTGGTCACCTTGCCACAAACACATGTGTCGAGCAGCCAGTCAAACCAAGTCAAAGTAAAAAGCAGTCGCTATAATATGCATCGCTATCGAGGAGTAGGACAAAATACAAGGGGAGTATCATCTCAGAGTTCTTGCTTTCCATGCCAGACCCATATCCTTGGGGACGTTGCCTCGTTTCCAACGCCGTACGCCGTACCGGCAGATTCAACGCCTCGTCACTCATGTTCTTCGTCATCTCGGTGTGGTCTAAGGAGGGGGAAGGACAGTCCTCCGAACCACCTTAATTCTCAGTACGCCCTTGGCTGCCTCCCGCTCGGGCCCGTCTGGTTTTCTCAAAATATTAAACTCCTCGTCCCCGAAGCCTCCTTCACGGTGGGGCTGTGGACGACCCAGGCCAGCTTCGGTGTTTTCCGCCACAGGATCCTATTCGATACGCGGGGTGTGCGATGACGCAAAGGGACTAGCACTGCGCCGTCTCTCGCCTTCCTTGCGCAGAGACTCGATGATCTTCATCATCTCCTTGCGGGCGCCGTAGCTGTCGATGATCTTGTTTGCCATGCTCATGGAGACCTTCTCACGGGCGTTGGCATTGAGGAGGCGCTTGACGAGCAGGTGACGCATCAGGATGCAGACGAACACGCCGCAGTCGCTTCCGTTCTCCTGCTGCGGGCAGTCATCGATCTGCTGGTACTTGAGGTCCGTCTTGAGAATGTGGGAGAGCTGCCTGGTGCAGTGCTGGGCCTCCTTGCAGTTTGCTCCCCCGAGGCTGTCGTAGTGGAAGGCAACTCTGTCGATGGTCGAAACGAGCAGCAGAGACCAATGCGAACCCCCCTCGGCCTGAGCCACATTACGGTTGTCGTTGATGGGTAGAAAGATATGCGTCACTTTCGAGAAGTTGGGCAGGGCCGTGGTGACGCATTTGACATCGGGGTCTTTCATCAAGAGGAAGGTCATGCTCGGTCGCAGAAGGACGATGCTGGCCTGAGGGTACTTGGGGAGGATCTCGCGCTCGAGCCATCTGTAGTGCCCATGTCAGATAAAACGGGCCAATTGGGTGTTGGGAACCACCGGGTTCGGGATAGGTAGGTCAGGGTAGGGTAATTTGGGGGAGGGGCATCGGAGGTGGGCGGGGTGAAGGTGGGGGAGGGGGAGGCGGTGGTGGTGAGACGAACTCTTCCCAGAAGGCGATGTTCTGTTGTATGTACTTGTTAGCCGGGCCTTCCTCGAAGCAGACAAGCAAGCATGGAGATGCAGGGCGAACTCACATTGTCGGTCAGCCAATCCGTCTTCAGGGCTTTGACGTCCTCGTAGGTAACTAATCACATGTTAATTCGGCTCCAATTCGGGTCGCGAGCGAGGAGGTGGGTGCGCCATACGGAGGATATCGTGGTCTGTTTTTGCAATATTAGAAATAAATAAGTAGTCAAGCTGGCAGGGCCAGAGAATGGGAGGACGTACAGGAGAGATAGGCTTTCTCAGGCGAGAGCTGATCGTCATCTGCGGTTAGTCTACTGCTGCTTCTAGTGACTCGAGCAACTCTCTGATACTGCTGGCGGGTGACGGGAGGGCGACTGGTGGCACCGCCGGCGCGCTTCGTGACCCGGTTGGCATGGATAGGGCCCAGGGTCTTCTCAGCGCGCGCGGCCTGCTTCTTAGTCTTCCCTTTGGGGGTCTTGGCCTTGGCCGGGCCGGCAGACATGTCCATGTCCAATGAGGAGGTCATGTCGCTAGTCTCCGGTTGCTCTTTTTGGGAAGTGGTGGTGGAGATGGAGTCAGAATCTTCAGGGCCTTTGCTCACAGTCTCTCCCAATTTGCGCGCAACGCGTTGCCGGAAGGGCATCTCAATATGGTGCGAGTAATCGGAGAGGGAGGAAGGGAAGGTGAGGAGGTCGCGGGGGACGAGGGGAGGAGGGAGTACGGAGAGTACGGTTCGAAGGGAGGGGGTTCTCGTTTGCTACTAGAGCTAGGTGAGAGTGTGCGGTGTGGTCGGCTGCGCCGGGGTTGGTGAGAGCAGCGACGAAGTCGTGGTCGGCGGGGTCGGAGATTTGTAAGGGTAAGATCGTGCCGATGGTCTTGACGATCGACTTAGACGATGTTGGTCTCGGGATATTGAAAGTGATGTCTTCTAAAATACCGCCAGAAGGCCAGGAACGCGAGGCCAAACCAAGATACAGAAGAAGAAAATTCTCCTGGTTGATGGCACAAGAAAAGTCAATTGTGGAGTTACGGGGAAGGCAAGCGCGAGAGCGGAAGTGATAAAGATCGGGTTGGCCTGCGTCAGGTTTTGAGGCTGAGCATTTGGACAATAGCCGGGTATTCCGCTATTGTGACACATCTTGGCGCACTATTGTTCCCCCTCTCCCTATTGTTGGTCACAGGGTCAATGGCCATGTGTGAAGAGGGATTGAGGTCTAGGCCCACTTGGATCGCGGAGTATTATTTGACCCCGGCAATTGGACCCCCCATTTGATGATGACGCATAGTACGAATAACCATCTACGCGAGTGCAGACAGCGCAATTGAGTCAGCTGATGGGATGTACGGACTACTATGCATGCTACCTAGGTATTCAGTATTGTAAGTAGTACAGACGACTGCTTATTAGGTACTGTAATTACTGCTCTCATAATTGTACTAGCCACACCAAACATCTCCAACCGGAATCGTGCTGAAGAGCATTGATTTGGGGGTTCCAAGATTTCCAGCATGTCCCCCACGTGACACTAGGGTACTTTGGGGGATTATGACGTATGGGCTTTGGGCGCAATTGTTTGGAGTTTGCGACCTGTTGTTGAAGCAACCTCACCAATGGTAAATTTCTGAGCGGGGTCAGCTCGTCTCGATGCCTCCTCAGGCAGGGCCCGCATCTCTTAATTTTTTCCCTTTGCATACCATAGTAGGTAGGTACCTTATCTCAAATTGTACAGCCAGGGGAAGGTTTAGACAGATTTGTCGGGATCATCCACGGAGTACCTACCTACCTAACCGATTCCCTCAATTAAGTTTCGGCTCTTGATGCTTCAGAGCGGGGAACTGCAACGTTGGCGCCACAAACTCTCGGTCAATGTCGCGAATTGTTATCCGTCGCTCCCGCGCGCCCTCCTTGGCACACATGTAGTATCCGTAATGACGGGAACGCTGTCAGAGCTGATAGCCAAGCTGAGCATCACGTCCAGCGCTATCGAAAGCAAACGGGCAAGGCAACTCCCAACATGGGCAGGGTAGCGCTTATCACCGGAAGCGCCTCGGGCATAGGCCTCGCCGTGGCCAAGCACCTCGCGATCGAGAAGGAGGGCTGGAAGGTCGTGCTGTTGGATTCTAACGGGGAGGCGGGCGCTGCCGCCGCCGCATCTATCCCCGACGCCGTCTTCGTCGAGGTTGACGTGACATCGTGGTCGTCGCTGTCGCGCGCCTTCGACGAGACCTTTGCCATGTTCGGCGGGATCGACTTCGTGTATGCCAACGCCGGCATCTTCGAGCGCGGAAACTTCTACGAGGATCTGACGGCCGGCACGCGTTCTGACAAGAGGATGCCACCGCCCCCGCCGCCAAACCTTCTGGTGCTCGAGGTCAACCTCAAAGCTATCATAATGACGTCCTATCTGGCGCAGCATTATTTCCGCTTGAGCCCTCACAAGGGAAAGGACGCAGCGCTGGTCATGACATCCAGCGTCTGCGGGCTGGTACGGTTTCCATTCCCTCCTCATTCTCTCCCAACACTCCGTCCGACATGTGGTGCTGCTGGTGCTAAAGCAGGTCCCCGAACACGCAGTACCCGTCCCAGTATACCCCCATCTACGCGGCCACCAAGGCAGGCGTGGTCAATTTCATGCGGTCCATTGCCCCCCCATTCTACACATCGGACGGCATCCGCGTCTATGCAATCTGCCCGGGCTCGGTGCGCACCGACTTTCTCAATGACCAAGAGTGGGCAATGTTCCCGGCTGAGCTCTTCACCCCGATGAGTACGGTTGCCACGACGGTCGCCATGCTCCTCGAGGGCGGTGACATGACGGATGCCTGGGGTCGGAAGGTTGTGGCCGGACAGGATTATGGACTCGCCGTCGAGATCAATAGGACGAACATCTACTTCCGCGATCCGCCCGAATACTGCGATGATGCAATGAAGGCGACCATGGAGGGGTCCAAGATGGAAAGCCAGGCTGAGAGGCTGAGTACGAACAGTAAGCGGGGTGGTTCCTGATAATAGGAGCCAGGTAGCTGCCGACTCGCTTCCAATGTTAAATTTACGAAGACGCTAGCTGTGACCATAGGTCGATCTCCAATGCGGCCTGGCCAGGCAGCAATATGTTGGTTTTAAGTTGGGGTTCCTTCCAGGAGGGAAACCATTGCCCCAAGCTGTAAGACCTCAACTTAGCACTAGATACCGAGCCAGGATTATAAGCTTCCTGCCCCTGGCCCGCTTCATTGTGATCCTAGTCTTCATATTTATACATCTTCACCAACGATTAAGCAATCTGCTACGCTCATGTCAGTTCTATTATAAGGGCTAGCTTCTAAGGGCTAGCTTCTACTATTCCGCCTCCTCGCATCCCATCGGCCAGTCGTCTGTGTGCTTCTTGATCAGGTTGATGGTTTCGTCTAGCAGGTACTTTGGAGCGAAGGTTTCCTTCATGAAGCTGTCTTGGACTCACCAGTCATGCCTCTGGTGGTACGTTGTGACGAACAGACCCCGTAACGTGGATTGACAAGGAGCTACACCATAAACTTCTGACGCCCCAGCGTGCTGCTGCCGACAAAAGGCTTCAAGAGAGACTGTTGTGTTTGAAAAAGCTTAGTCTAGCTCTTCTTCTTCAAGTTATCGTTCTCCAGCTTCTCCCGACGATCCAGCTCCCACTTCACCATCTGAACAACGACCTCATCGTGATTCGCAATGGGTTTGAACCCCAGCCGTTTCCGGGCTTTCTCAATGCTATACGTATGCGACCACGTAGCATACGTATACGACAGCATCGACAATTCTGTCGGCGGGCAGAGTCTACCAAGCGTAAAGATCCAATACGCCCAGTCCAAAAAGACAACAACCACCAACATCACCCACGCCGGAATGACCCAGACTCGTTTGACACCCTCCTCTCCCCGGACTGCCTTCCATATCGACCGCACGTGATACCAGAACGGCACGGGATGGCCATCCGAGACAGTAAACCCCTCCCCACCCACCTCCCCTCCCGCCCGGCCCCGATCCACCAGCGCCTTGGCGGCGAGGACGTGCGCCGCAGCGGTGTTATCCGCCGACGCGACCTCGACGAGGTTCGCGCCCGCGCCGACCTGGAACAGCGGCCCGCCGCCGACGCACATGCCCACGACCTCGGGTAGGCCCTGCGTCGACCGCTCGCCGTACATGTGGCCCGGGCGCAGCGACGCGGTGCGCAGACGCCCGCCTCCTTCACCGTCGTCGGCGGCGAGGACGAGCCGGTCGGCCACGGCCTTGGTGCGGTTGTACTCGGTCGTCCGCGCCGAGGGCCCCCAGAGGCGCAGCAGCCCGTCGTCGTCCTCGGAGGCGTCCACGTGCGGCGGGTCGGCGTAGGCGTCGATCGTCGAGGTGTACACGAGGGCCTGCACCGAGTCGCTCGTCGCGGCGGCGGCGAGGAGGGTTTGCGTCCCCCGGACGTTGGTCTCGTGGAACTCGCTGAGGCGGTGCGCTGGCAGCGAGGCCGGCGGCGAGGCGGCGTGGAAGATGACGCGGGGCCGGGTCTGCTTTAGCAGTGCGTCTATGGCGTGGGCGTCGGTGATGTTGCCCCGGGTGTAGATGGCGTCGCTGTGACGGTTGCGGTCAATGTCGCGGTCGAGCACGTGGACGGCTCCGCATTCTTCATCGCGCAAGAGGTGGCGGACGAGGTGGAATCCGAAGAAGCCATTCCCGCCGACGACGAGAACCGTGCCCAGCAGAGGGGCAGATTCCGCAGTCGATCGGGTCTGCGGGGCCATCTCGGGGAGTTTGGGGAGTGATGAGATGTTGTGTCAGCACAATGAATTATCGAGGTTCGAGCTGGCAGACGAGTCCGTGATGCGTAATTCCTTACATCAGCCGCAGATCACCTGCGTGAATCTCAGTCAAGTCGAGAGAACCGCGGACGGGCCCGTTAAATATGCAGCACCTGCGGGCGGCTGCATGCCCATGCCCATAGAGAGTGTGCCTTGCGTGCCTTGTTAAGCGCCAGCCTCGGCTTCTTATCCCCGGAGCCTCATACGCAGCGAGCCACATTGCCCAACCCTGACTTGTCTAATGATTTCTGATCCGGCATTTCTCAGTATAAGCCGATGTGAAGGCGAGATGACACATCAAAACGACCTGTCCAACCCGCACTATAATAAGTAGGGCCAACTATTTGGACCGCAACTCGGCGTGGGGTTGACAGACAGCAGAATGTGGAGGCACCGCTGCACTCGGCCTGGCCAGCAATGTTGCTCAGTTCCTTGGCTATGCGGTAATAGAGGCTATATCAAAGACGTCCGAGATCCTCCACAGCGCCGGTGGTACCCTGGAAGAGAACGAGGAAATTGACAAAATCATGATGGATATGAGGGAAACGATGACAAACATCAAAATTGGCAAGCGTGAGCGATTATGGCTCGAAGAGAGATGACAACGCTGTATGCAAATGCCTTCAACCCATGGAGGTGCAGAGTTGATGCATGAACTGGAAGACTTGGGGGCTATGGAGAACCCGCCATGAGTGATATGTCTATCTGTGGATGGACATGACGAACCTCAACCTGCATCAAGATCTGTGCCACCAGCCGACCCTGCCTCGAATTCTCCAACGCATTCGAGGCCAGCCCGTGGAAGGTATACCTTCAAGAGCTCACAAATGAAGATATTAGACAGTATATCGAAGACCATCTGGGGGATGACACACGGTTCCAGCGGCTGCAGCTGCGAGACAAGACTGCCGCCTTGGGGCTCATATCTGAGACAACCTCCAGGGTCTTTGGCGTATTCCTCTGAGCCTTCTTGGTACAGGTACAGTCGAACCTCGAGATCTGCTCAAAAGAACGGCCGCGCTTGCCAGCAGCTGGAGGCATTGCTTCCCGTCGAGTCACTAAGAGACGAATCGGCGGAAGAACGCCCTGTCCTGGACTCGGGGCGAGGACGCGCGCTGAACAAGTAGTTCCACTTTTTACGAGGGCTACCAGTTCCTTCATTCGGGCCTTCGGGGATGATAGGACGAGTCGAGCCCCCTTTCTTGGACTCTTGGCGTCGAAAGGGGTGGCAGAGTGGTCCGTGCATTACCCCTGAGTGACGTGTGGATTTCGTTTGTTTCTCATTTTTGGATTTTTCTCACATCAAACCTGTTGTTGCTCCAGACGTGGCGAAGCTAGGCCATCAGGGGGTCCGAAGTTTAGAGAAACCAGTGGATTGCAGCTATCCCTATATATATCCGCCCAATGGAAAATACGAATTTCGACCCTATATTGAAAAGCAAGACAGCAAGTTGATCCTTCCTCAGCTACAGGAAAGTAACTATCGACAGAGCTCTAGAAGAAGGTCCATGTACTCCATCTCCACCTCCACCTTGCGTTCGCGGCAATCCCGAAGAATCATGGCCACTAAGTTCCGCCGCTTTTGAACCCAGTCTATCTCCCCCTCAAACATATCGTTAGCCAGCTCCAAGAATTTGATCGCCAGCAACTTAAATGCGTACTGGCGGATCTTTGTGTCAACCTCTTTTGGAAGCAACCCATCGCGAGACCAAAGCTGATTTTTGGAGTTGACCCAGTCTTCTGTCTTGAAAGCTTGGTAGAGATTGGTCCAGAACACTCGTTCGGTGGCCTTGATGTCCGGGCTGGAAGTCTGGTGGCAGCCGTCTTCGTTCTCTAAGATGGCGCTGACCATATCGGCTAAAATTCGTCCGGCCAGCGACGGACAGCTTCGTAAAGCGGACAGGTGCCCGACAGGTCTTGTGCCAAGATATCCGCTCCATGCTCCACCAGGTTTCTCACACACTCGACCAATACCCGCAAAATTTTCCTGTTCGTGTAGTGGATTCCAAGGAAGAAGGACAAGAGCGGTGTGTCTGCCTGAGCGAGTTACGGTGGTTGACGTCGGCGTCTCTCCTGAGTACAGTCGCGATCAAGTCCTGGACCCCGTCCGACGAGTAGCATAGTTTGCACACCTGGTGTAAGACGGAGTCCCCCTCGCGGTTGAAGCTGCCAAGATCGACACGGCTACAGACCAACTGTGCTCTGTTAAGATCAATCGAATAGTGCGATCGTTTCAAATATTGGAACACAAGCCGTTCTTGAGAGCGCAGTGAGATATCAAGATTGGCTCCTTTATTGATAAACTTGCCGAATACCGCATATGCAAGTGTAAACCGTTCTGTCCAATCGGAGTTGCAACTTGTCAGAAAGACCTCGAGTGGTGTTTTGTTGCCCGGCAAGTAAGACAAAACGTCGGCACCAGAGTCGAGAAACGGCGGCAGGAATTTGACCATGCTGGCGTCGCGACTATATGGCCCAAAAGCTTGTGAAATGGTGTAATTCCAGCCTTATTGGCTAGGTTCACATCAGATCCGGATCTCAGCAGGGAATCAATGACTGATTTTGGATGCTTAGAGTAGGCGGAAGGTGTCGATATGGCGATGTGGAGGGGGGTGTTGCCTTCGTCGTCCTGAGCACAAGGAGCAGCGCCGTGGAAGAGGAGTTTGTCCAGTATTGCTCCATGTTCGACCGCAAGGTGCAAGGGAGAGTAGCCCATGTTACCTTTGGTATTGGCATTAGCTCCGAATCGAAGTAGAAGATCCGTAGCCTTCGAATTGAGTGCGCCGACTGCGTATTGAAGCGGTTCGTTTCCGAGGAAATCTTTCAAATGCACGGCTGCCCCCGAATGGAGAAGTTCTTTGATCTCGTCCATTGATCCATTGATTGTGGCTCGATGTAGTCGAGTTTTGCCTTCGCTATCTTGTTGGTTCAGATCCAAGGGGTTCAGATCAGCCAATGGCAGACCACCGGTGTCCATCATGGTTGTGTCTGCTGGACCGTGGTATAAGTCATTCAGACTGCTGGTGTGAACTGCTGCGAATGACATATCAGACGGGAAGCTGAAAAGCATTAATACATGAATGACATTTTGTTTCCCAAAGTGGGATGAGACTTGCCTGGCGGTTCTGGGATAGCTTGTCGAAGTGTCTGTGGCAGAAGACTGTCGATGGACGCTTGACCGCCCGACCTGCACCAGTCTAGGGTTTCTCACGCGGGGATTTGGGAATGACTCGGTGCTATATTTCATGTAGCCCCATTTTCGGAGCTGGGATCGATAGGACCGCTCACTAGGCCGATTTTTAGAAAGATTCTGTGGCTTGCCAACATCTATCTACTTACGATGCGTGAAACCTATGCTTCCCCTTCACTAGTCGCATGACCTCATGAAGGGGTTTTTTTTCAATTTGGTAGAGCTGACGAATCTCCTCCTTGAGGGGAGACCATTCTTTGACCATGATTCAGTTTCAGGACTGGGTTTCGGGCGACAAGGCCGGGTGGATTTGGAAAACATGCACGGCCAGTATCAAGGAAGAAGGGAAGGAGGAGCGTCGGGCATCATGAAAAAGTGAAGGTCGGCACGCGGCCCATTTTGATTTCGCAGGTTTTGAGATCAAAATGCAGCCACTGTCGCCAAAAGCGTTCGATTGGCTCGCATAATGAGGCAGGCCGGATCACTGGTTGGCCTGGGAGACTTCAGCTGCCAATAGAAAATGCAAAAAAACAGCCACCGGAACCTGAAGAGTGCAAAATGCATTTTTAGCGCTCTGAAGCAGGACCACACAGGTACCCCCAAACCTCCCCGCGAACTCCTATTTTTGTAGGGCTTATTTTGCAGATTGCCAGTTTCATGGCAGTCGTCTGTTCTCAAGCAGAGATGACTGACTTGGTCTGCGTTCTTCGCCAGATATAAAATGGCCGCTCTTTCCCCAACTTCCCGCTCGTGGCAACAGACCGGTCTTATGTTCCTTCCCGTCTTCTCGTCTCTCCCTTACTAAAATACCCGGACGAACTGCTCAAAATGGATACCTCCAGCGCCACTTCCCACTTAGATCCTTCCCACACACACAACGGAGGTGACAAGTCCCCAGTGTGAGTGCTTTTGTACTTTGTTCAAAAATACAATTGTGTTGATATCCTATTCCTATGTTTCCTACATGTAATTTTCCAGTCAACCCCTTCCTTTATGTCACCTCGATGACCCGAACCTTGCATCGATCAACACTTCAACGTTCAGCAGAACGTGCTCTAACCATACTAAAGGGCTAGTTGACCTCCATGCTGCCCCGAGGATGCCTCTAAGGCCGTCGCCGGCTCCAACCAAGGACCTGTTGCCATGGTCCAGCCCGACTGCAACGACCCGCGGTCGAAAGGCGTTGCCCAAGCACCATTCCCGGCAGCTGCATCCACAATACTTCCTGTCGACCAGGCTCCCACCAACCCACCAGTCAACGGGTCCGAGGATGTCGACCATTGGGTACAGACGCTCGGTGTCGGCTTGCCTAACCACCTCGCACGGAAGGTGTCCAAAAGCTACGATGGGATGACACCTATGACGAGGTTTCTTGTGGAGACATGCAAGATCCAGAAGGGCCAAGCCGACATTATTGATGCCATAGGCCGTGGCAGTACGTCAGATTGTGGTGCGACTGGTGGCTCGTAGATGCGCTTCCATGTCTTAGGGCTGGAGGATAATTATATATAAGACTTATATACTGGAATCCAGGACCAATATAGACATTCCCCTTGGTGTCATGCTGCCTCCCATGACAACTTAGATCTTGTGAACCCCCCACCCATAGCACTCACATACAGTTGGATATTTTTCAGAGATAGAATAATTCCGGGATTCGGTGCATGGTTAGCAAATTTTCATTACCGTCAACATTCTGGAATGTTTAAAGGGGCCAAAAGGGGGTAGTTCGTGAACGCTGTCCTTGCCCCAGCAGAGATGCCAAGATGAATAACAGCCAGAACATGACCCCAATCTGATCACCAAGAATTCCCCTTTCCTCCTTCGGACCTGAGCAGTTACTGCCTTGGTCTGAGCCAGCCTGAGCCAGCCTGATGGGTGAAAACCCTTGGGCGTCAGCCCTAAGGTTGATATGGCAGCCCTACGGGGAGTGGTTTTGAATCCCACGGCGATCCCTCCTCTGGCACTACAATGCCTGTGAAGTGGCTTCTTTTCTTTTTTATTATCTTTCGCTTTGACTCCTGTCGCGAACAAACCAAGCTGGGGGTAGGAAGGTGTGATCTTGGGTTCCCACTAGATTGTAGAGTTGGGTATATCGCACGTGTAAGTGGTACACGAGCCCCATTCATTTCATAGACTACAATTAATCGTCCTACTTGCGCCACTCCCTCGGCTCAGCTCGACCTCTTAGTTGGGATGAGCTAGGTGGGCAGGCGCTCTTTAAGATTTACCCATGGGTGGTGCCAGAATACGCGTACTGCGGTGCGATCAGTGGCTCAACCGTTCGAAGTGACAGTTCTTGAGCGCGTTGTCTTTTCCTGCGTTCTGGCGCTGTTGGTGGCGTTCGCAGGCCAGCTAACTACATTCTGGGATCACATGCGCCTCGCGCCTGGCCTGATAAACCTTCCTTCACCATTTCCACTGACCACAAACTTTCCTTCTCTCGTATCTCCACAGGCCATACCCAGTCCTTGAAAAGGGCCAGCTGCCAGCCACGGAACAAGCGACTACGACGGCAATGGCAATGGCGACAGCAACAGAGACAGCGATAGCAAGAGTGCTTTAGCAATAGCGAGAGCAACGGCTGGCCAAATGCCCCTGCCCTCACTGTCAAATGCCCCTGCCCTCACTGTCAAATGCCCCTGCCCTCACTGTCAAATGCCCCTGCCCTAAAGGTTAAATGCCCCTGCCCTCACAGTTGAATGTCCCTGCCCTAACAGTTAAATGCCCCTGCCTGAATAGCTAAATGACCCTGCCCGAATAGCTGAATGCCCCTACCTGCAGAGATAACGTGCGCCTGGCGCCTGGGGGGCCTCCGCAGACCACAAACCTTCCTTCACCATTTCCACAGACCGCGAACTTTCCTTCTCTCGTATCTCCACAGGCCATACCCAGTCCTTGTCTCCCGTCCAGATCAAGATGGATTGGAAGGATCCGCTTCGCAAACTCCCCACTATCGCACCACACCCCGCCCCAGAATCCGTGGCGAGCTCGGAGCTGTCTTCAATCCTGGAAGATAGTAACCGCTGGTACGACAGCCGTACCGCGGTGTTGAAGATACTGGAGGACCGCTATGTACCGAATGGCCCTAAGGATGACACCCCCAAAGTTCTGCGTACATTCGTCATGAAGCTGCCCAAGGGCGGTCAACTTGCTCTGATGTCGGAGATTCTTCTTCTCAAGGATGATTCGACTAAGTTACGACAGCTGCGTAACTTTTTGGTAGATGCAATCCTCAAGCCTAGTATGTCGTCCTTCCCTCTTCTAGGTGTTGCATTTAGCTAATTAGTCTGCTCTACTTTAGTGAAGGCAGCTGGTGGCAAGAATCCCAAGACCCCGATCACACCAACTCTGCATCCGGATGCGAAAGACGACATCCTCCTCAGCATGGCTACAATTGAGCCTTCTTCTATAAACGATCAAGGACAATTAACAGTTGACTGCTTGCGAAGAGAGGGCTATCGTTGTGCTGTTTGCGGCAGAGTTGATGGAGTCTGGAGAAGCAAAGTGCCAGAATGTACAGTGGGAATGGTCAGAACTCAATGTGCTCATATACTGCCATTCGCACTTGGGAACTTCGATGAGCAGAGTGCACAAGAGGTAAAGCATCACCCTGCTGTTCCACCATCCCAAACACTGACCAAATCCTAATTACACAAGACTGAAAATAAAGCCACGATCTGGTCGGCTCTCTTTCGATATTTCCCAGATCTAAAGGGTCTAATCGGCTCTGAGAGTATCAACCAGCATCAAAATGCGCTGACAATGTGGAACACCCTACATGTTGAGTTTGGACGCTTCAATCTGGCCTTTGAACCTCTAGACAACGTAAGTATTTCCAACGCATATTTGGCTCCAAGGTTTCCATATCTAATATACAAGGGTTAATAGAATCGATATCGAACCCGCTGGCTGGACTTTCCAGCGACTGGTGCTCCTGATGTTATCACCTTGACATCGAACGACCGTTCTGTACCGCTGCCAAACCCCAAATGCTTTTGGGTCCATTTTCGGGTAGCGGAGATCCTCGAATTAAGTGGCATTGGAGAAAAGCTCGATGATGCCCTGGAAAATGAGGCTTGGGATCCTGAGAACATAGAACCCAGCGGCTCTACCGACATAGGATCTATCCTAAGTCGTAAAATGCTAACGGGTATCTAGTGGTTCAATAGCGGTGAAGCCACCTTGAAATTGATAGAAACTGGGGCGACATCTCCAGTTTTGGATCCGGTTTCTTTTCTCCGGACGTTCTTCGTGGAGTCGGAGGAGCGGTGACTACTTCCCCCCGTCGACCGGTCTAACTGACCCTCGCGATGACCTCAACAACATCTTGATCGAGACCCGATCGTCCAACTATACGAAATGAACTTCTATCCCCGGAAATACCCCCAAGACCCTCAGGCGGCGAGATGCTGAAAGACGTCGATCAGATCGCTGTTCAGGACGAGCCGGCAGACGAATGACCCCGGGCCGGGCCAACAAAAACCCCGATTCCTTGATGGGCGAAAGCCCACCCTCTCCGTATTTTTTGATGGGTGAAAACCCGGTTCCTTGATGGGTGAAAACCCTTGGGCGTCAGCCCTAAGGTCGTTATAGCAGCCCTACGGGGAATGGGTGCGAATCCCACGGCGATCCTTCCTCTAGCACTACAATGCCTGTGAAGTGGCTTCTTCGATCACTCTTCCTTGGTGGGCGAAAGCTCTATTCCTTGATGGGCGAAAAGCTGGGCTACACATGGTCCTCGAATGTGCACGGGGCGAGGATGATATAATTCGGATGGTATCTTATCTCTATCTTGCGGCCAAATGCAGGGAAAAGCGCAATCTACGTGCGAGCAAGGTCCGCGGTGGAGCAGGGCAAGAGTGTCCCGGACGGCGGACTCACACGGACAAACTCGGAGGGGTACGGCACCTACTCCGCCGATTCAGTCGTGTCTTGACGCAATAACCTGGACAGGCTGCGGGTTGACTTCGACGGGCGTCTTCGTAACTGTTGGCCATCACATGATGTTTTCTTTTCGGCGCGCGCGTCGTGCTATCTCTAAGCCACTTGTTCGGTGCCCAATGTCGCGCAGTGTTCATCGTAAGTGGTAGCCGGCGTCTTGGTCCTTCTGGTAGAAGTCGGAGTGGCAAGTGCCTCGTGGAGATCGACTATCTGCGAGCCAGAGGATCAGCGTTAGACTTGTCTGACAGTTGCGGCACTCACCTGCTCAGCTTGTGCGATTCTGCTTCATCGCTACCACGACGGAGGTCTGCCTGACAGAGGATCGCTCAGCGATGATTTACGTGCTGCGGAAACGCATGAAATACGATTGGAGGTAGAACCCTAACGTTAGGGCCCACAGTTCAGTCCCAAAAATGGCCGAAGAAAGTAATCTTGACCAATCAGACGTGGTGCTCGCTTCGCATGGGGCCAGGGCTACAATAGCAGGGTACTGTTCCCCTACCCCCCTGGATTTCAAGACCATAATTCAATCACTCTACCATCAAACAAGAACCACAAGGAGTTTGCGACCATCGCTGCGATGTCGTTGCAAATAAATTCGAATCAAAAGGTACCGTCAATCCGACAGCAAAGTAAGTGCCCCCCAGTTCGGCGCGTTGCCCCTGCCAGCGCTCGCAGAACTCAAGTGATGACTGACTGACTCGGTAAACAGAATGGCACCTCACAACGCGCAGTGGGAGGCCCAGATCGAGGGCTTGCGGAAGAACCGGCGCCTCCTTGTCGCCCGCGGCATCCCCTTCAATGCCACGCGGGCTGCATTCGAGACCGGCCTCATGGCCAAGCTCGCCAAGCCCAACTCCATCAACTTCCTCTGGCCGCCGCCGTCTTCGGCCAATTACAGCAACCAGACTCGTCATTCGGGCTGGGTGATGCTCGCGTTCAATCAGCGGACCGATATCATTCTGGCCCAGGCCGACCTCAAGGAGTACAAGTTCAGCGGCCATCGGATCAAGATTGATCGAGCAATAAGCAGGGTTGCGGTCAGTCTATAGACCTTAAGACATTGCACGGCCAGCACTACTAATGCAAACCCATAGTATACCTCAGGCTCCTCGACCAAGCGGGCGGCCGCGCCCGCCACAACGGCTCCCACCATCGTAGCTCCTACGACCACCGCTCCCACCACCACTGCTACGAACCCCTTCAGCCCCCCCGGTCCAACCCAGCCAGGCTTATGACATCGCCGGCCCCATCCCCTCCGACTCTTTCGAGAAGACTCCCTTTGTGTCGCGGGACGTTCTGATATGGGACGGCGATGAGGTTCCCGACGAGGAGGACGAGAACCAGAATAAATGGGGAGAACGACGACGAGGCATACCTGGACGACTAGGAGGAGGATGAGCAGCATAAACGATGCTCGAGCCGCCGATAGGAGCCGACCCCCTCTCCTCCCCACGAATGCAAGTCGCCTCCGACCACAGCATCTCGCAAGTCCCCCTCCCTCAGAACGGCAAACCACCGCCGGCCCTATCCCTCAATAGGCAGAAGCCTACCCCCTTCTTATTCCTTGATGGGTGAAGACTCGGTTCCTTGATGGGCGAAAACTCGGTTCCTTGATGGTTGAAAACCCTTGGGCGTCAGTCCTAAGCGTCGTTGGTGCTTCGGCACCGGGTCGCCCCGATTACCGAGACCTCGCCCACCTATGCGGGGCAGTGGTACAAGGGGAGCGGGTTCAAACCCCGTGCGATGCCTCACAGCCTAGTGGAGTTGAGAACGGCCCAGCTATTGCCTGGCAAGCTGATATCTGGAGTCTGGACACTTGTGATGTGATTATACTGACACATTCCTAGGGTTCTGTCAAGGCCATTCGAGGGACTTGGACGAGACGACCGAGGACGACCACGCCAAGTCCAACTCCAGGCCCGATTCATCGCCTGTCTTGGCGACCTAGGTCAAGGCGCTCAAATATCCCGACAAGTTCCTCCGTTAACTACCATCTTGCGTACAGCTGCATACCGAGAAAGAAGTCCCCCAAGGGCTCCCGTTGCTCTTCGAGGCCGAGTCCCCGCTGGTGCTCAACCACGACGACCTCTTGGAGATGAATATCCACGTGGACGCCGAATTTGGCGGCATTACCGGCATCGTAGATTGGGCTGAGGCCAAAATCGCCCCGTTTGGCACGTCGCTCTGGGGTCTTGAAACAATCCTCGGCGTGCAGACGTCGGCGTGCAGACGTCGGCGTGCAGACGTCGGCGTGCAGACGTCGGCGTGCAGACCTCGGCGTGCAGACCTCGGCGTGCAGACCTCGGCGTGCAGACCTCGGCGTGCAGACCTCGGCGTGCAGACCTCGGCGTGCAGACCTCGGCGTCCAGACCTCGACGAGCAGGCTCTTCCACCCTTGCCATTACAGCCTCTGGAAAGAATTCTGGGACACGTTCTACGGCGTCATGGGAGATCTTTCGGATTGCGATCAGCGGGCAATCGAAATCGCGAGAATTCTTGGCCTGTTCCTGGCGTACGGATTCGATCGTCGGCTCGATAGCGGCCAAGCCCGGGTGGTCCAAGAAGGAAGCCCGACTTTCATATGCCTCGAAGCCGTCGGCTTTGTATAGGGCTTGTCCGCTCTAGGTCTTCGATCATACGTGTGGTTTATCACAAGTTGTGCGTAGATAGACCTTGAAAAGTGCAATGTTGCGTGCCTTCAGCCTTCCATGGCATCAAGCTTCCGGAACTTCCAGAATCTATATCCCAGACAATTTTCACCGGATAGAGAGGTCATTTTCCGTTTGAAGCTTCCTGGAAATTAACCTCCCACCAACAAAGTTAAAAAACACGATGCTTAATCATTGACGTTACAGCATCAACAACACTAGTTTCCAAATCTTTGTACTCCCATTTGCCCTCATCCGTCCCCTTGGCTAGAATGCCAAGACTGACTCGCGCATCCCACCCAGTGGGATGCACGCCGGGCGGCAAGATCTGCGAAGGCGTCCCCTCGGGCACTCGGTCGCGGAGGGCGGGGAAATGTTCCCGAATCGCGTTGACGACCAGTTGCGGCGATATGAGGCCCGCGATGAGCAGGATGCGCTGGCCTACCGCGGCGGGGTTTGTCAGTGCGTCGACGTGGCTGCGGGCTACGTCGCGGACGTCCACCTATTGATTGATTGCAATTAGCGTGCGCTGGGTTTTTCTTTTTCTTTTTTCGAAAAAGATATTTCTCGAGGGTCGATGCCGACTCACAAAATGATAAAACGGGAACGTCACCCCCTCAATCGTCGGATGAGTCCCGTCAATGAAGCTGGCAATGGCGAACTGGTTCGTCTCATTGATGGACTTGGGCCCCGAGACAGGGTGGATCATGGGGCCGATGATGATGTCCGGGTTGATGACGACCAGGTCGAAGGATGGGCGGTTCGCTTTCATGAACTCCCATGCTGCTGCTTCGGCTCGTATCTTAGACACGTTGTATCCAAGGACGTTGTCATTTCGCTCGATGGCTTGCTCGGCGGTTACCTATCAATTGTCAGATAATTGCATGCTATATATAATTGCAATGGGGCTATAGTGTAATTATACTTGATTCCAATCCTTCTCGGTATACGGCCTTCCTTCCTTGGTCATATCCTCGAACGAGTTGAGAACAGAGACGGCACTGCCGAGTAGGACGAAGCGCTTCAACTCGGCACCCCCGTAGTGTTGGGCGGATCTAAAGATCTCCTTGGTTCTGACACATGGTCAGCTTTGTCCTTTTGGCTGGGGGGGTGGATACCCTTACCCCTGCTCCGCCGGCTCGATCATGTCCTTCCGGATATCAGAGACCTGGAAGTGCACTGGCGATGCCGTGTGGATGACAAAGTTGAAGGGAACCTTCGCGCTATGGAAGAGATGGTCGAAGGGTTTCGCGGAGGTGAAGTCCGCAACGAGAGCGAAGTTGATCTTGCCTTTCCATTCGGGGTGCGCGCGGATAACATCCTCTGCTTTTTCCTGGGACCGTACTGTGGCGGTGACAGTGTATTTTCTCTGTGTGGCATTTAGTTTCTATCCCTTGTCTACGAAATGAGCAGAATGGAATGACGGACGTCGATGAGAATGGAGAGGATGTGGGATGCGACGAAGCCATTGGCTCCCGTCAGGAGGACGTGTTGACCTGACATGATATTTGTGCAGTGTTGTCCAATATTGCTATGATTGCCGAAAACCAGTAAGTGTAGGGTAAATGTTGATCTCTACGAATCTTACATCCGGTCAATATGTAGAATGCTCGACACCAGATTCACACCAACTCATGACGACGTCACCAGCATCTGACGAGACAACGATGACAGCGATACGAGATCACCCAAACCAATATTGCATCATTATGCGGGAAAGACCAATATTGCATCATTATGAGGGAAAGCCGCTTCCGTCATGAAAGGAGACTTTCCATTACATGATTGCTACCGCACGGGAGTAGAGTAATTAGGGGTTACGAACGGCGGAATGTCTTCCCGTCAATATAGAGTAAACCAATCCCAGCAAAATCTGGGTAAAATATCAGCGCTCCTCAATATGCGACACCGTCAGTCCATCTAATACCATATCGCCTTGAGTGTGTCAAGCATGAAGTGACAACTCAGGGCCGCTATCGAGAAAATGAATATTTATTGGGCAGCCTGGCGTATCAAAACATAGCGATGAAATCCTCCCTTGTCATCTTCTCGCTGTCCACGAGCGCCTTATACTCCTCCCTCTTCTCTAGAGCTCTATCGTACTCGTCCAATTCGCGCACCTTCTGTGCCGCAAACCCGTCAAGCCCTGCTGCGTTATCAAATTCCTTCTCACGCCTTGCCTTGCCCACTCCGCAGCACCTAGATGTTGGCGTAGCTGCGTAAAAGGAAAGCTGCATTGGTCATTGAAACCTGCCGAAAGGAGCATGTGCAGCCACATAGCCCCCGAGTCCTGCGACCACTTGACGAGACTGGAGAGCTCCTTCTCCTCGTGCCCTGGCATTTTCGCCTCTTCTTCCTCCAGGACCCGTTTGAATATCTCGAGGTACCTGAAGTACCGCTCGGCGACCTTGGGCGGCTCGTCGTTGTCGCAGTCCCACACGCTGTTGACAGGTCTGTCTTGGAGAAGCCACCACGGCGCTGAGCCAAACAGCTGGGCGGGTCCGATGTATGACCACTCGAGGTCCACCACTCCGACAATGGTAAGGTCTTCTCTACTTCTGACGATCAGGTTTGCCAGGCCAAGGTCGTCGCAAATCAGCTTGAACTTGCCACGGTCGTAGTTTGCGTTAACAAGGTTAGGTATTAGGGACTTCAGGACTTTGAATGCCACCGTATTTTCTTTTGGCGTTATATGCACCAACAATTGAGTTCGGCTGGTGGACAAGTTGCTCCCAGTCCTGTCCGACAACGTACTGGAAGTACTCAGTCGTCGTCGCAAACCCCTGGCGTCGGTCACCTAAAGATCGTTGCTCAGTTGAGTCCCTCGATTAAACCCTTGGGGGAAGGAAGTGCATAGGAATGAGAAGGGAAACGAAAGAGACAAGCCGTACCAAAAGTGTCAACTCCTCCATTCTGAGGATGGTATGTGCTTTAAATGTCAGCGGGCGTATTAGTCTAGGGCTTTCGGCTTCGGCGCTTGGCGATGGCAGGCTGCCGATCCGGTCAAAGTCAAGTTTGAAGAGCTGGAGCAGGAAATTTGCAAACTGCTTGTAGATAGCTTCGATATTGTCATCACTGATGTCCTCCCTCATAAGTCTCATTGGGCGCTTGGCGTTGGGATCCTTGAGAACGTCACTGAGGCTCACGCCGTCGATGAAATCCATGATGATGAAGGGACCTAACCCAAGAGGGTTTCTGGCAGCGGGACCCCAGGCCTGGACTTTCGGGACGGGAATGCTAGTCCCCTCACGGATGAGACCCAGGGCCTTCACCTCCATGGCAAACCTTCTCGCCGGCATTGCCATCGTGGACATTCCCCACACGAGGAAAACGGACCATCCAGGCAGTGCCGTCGCGGAAAACCATCTTCATGCCAGCGTTAAATGCGCCATAGTGGAATGTACCCTCGAGCTGGCAGGGAAGCCCGCCAGGATGGAAGGTCGACACCCACTGGCAGAGATGGCCTGTTCCATAGGTCTTGTTCACCTTGTCGACCCAGAGTTGGCCCTGCACCTGGTAGCCGAGATCGATGAGCGCGTTATAGTCCATAATATTAGAAGGCTTCAATAGTTGAGCACTTGGGGGAATACGAGTTTGGTGAACGGGTTGGTTGAGAGAGAAAACACTCTAGGTGGGCGAGGGGCTGGCGGCGCCCTCTATGGTTGGGGAGTCGTGGCTTGGGTGGGTCTCTTCCAATTGGGTGTGCACGGGGTACTTACAGCATGATTTGCTGCTTGACTTAAATTGAGATGGCGTTGGTAGTGCTCTAGATTAACTGAGGACTTGGCCCCAATGAAGTTCAGCACCTTTGCTAGCTGATGACCTCGGAGGAAGATCAGGGTTCCTAGATCATCTGGTTGGGGAGTCCGATCGAGGAGAGTGCTGAGCTCGTCAATGGATTTGAGTTCATGTTATTAAGCCGGCCATCTGACGAGCACGTATTGAACGTAACATATGACTCGGGGTCTTCCTCGCCTTTGCAAGAGGCACCATCACTTTGTGTGATACGGGATGTACTCAATATCTGGGTAGGAATTTGGAAGCCTAATCCTGGATCGCATTGGGCATCAAATCGTGACTTGTATCTTCCATCTCTCCCCCCAGCATCTCGATAAAACGAAAATGGCCAAGAGATCCCACAAATACCCAAGTTTACCAGAGCAATTACCGTATTTCCCCAGCCGTATCCTACGTCATCGTAAAGGGGAAAGGTGGACAGCGGTATGATAGACCCCCCAACCGACGCGGCAAACGTGTGGGCGGCAAGTGCTGAGGCCGAGAAGTTAGGAACAGCCTCCCTAGAAGGGGCTGGTGGATGGACAGCGCTTTGGACTGAGCCATTGGTTTCTCCAGCTTTGCTTTCTTCGACTTTAGCAGCCATGAAGTCCCGCGGCTGACTGGTCGGTCTCCTAAGCGCCGGCGGCCTCCTTTGAAAGCCAATCGGATGTCGAGGCCACAGTCGGTTGAAACAAGGAAATGGTCTCGCAGGCGACATGACGCTGCTCTAAAAGGCTAACAGTACTGAAGCGTATATTTAATTAAGCAGCAGGCTGCGGTTTGTGTTTGGAGACGAGGCGGCGCGACAAGATGGAGCATGGCTTCAGCGCCTCGAAGGAAACATATGCGTGGATTTTGGAAGGTTCTCTCGCCATCAGGGAGGGGTATTTCAGCTTGGACCGCACCGACTCCCGCCTCTGCCGGTTGTCCAGTAGTTTGTTACTCCGTTTACCACCTGGTCGTCAAACTGCCATGTTTTATGGTAGACAACTACGCCCTCAACAGCGACTTCTTTGACCGTGAGTCGGTGCTGGCCCAAATCGATGAGGCACTACTTCTAAACGAGAAATGGGTCTCGTCTTCGGCGCAACCCGCAAGTTGGCTGGTTGTTTTCGATAACACGGACGAGCCGGAGCTTCTCCACGACTATCTTCAGGTCCGAGAGCTAAAGAAAGCCACCTGCACAGTTATATCATCTCGCACATGCCGGGCGGATGGAGCGCCGAAGGCCAGCCGGCCTACTATCAACTCATGATGGTTTCCACCAAGGACATTGCGTACTAGGTGCACGGCGGCGTTGTCGTCTTGGATTGTCGTCCTCCCCTCTACAAACTTGTAGTTCAATCCTTTCCAGAATCGACCGAAATCGAACGGTTCATACGTCGGCTCCGGTGTGCTGTTTCTCTTCTCCGCCACGAGCGATTCCACCCATTTCCCCACTAGGTCGACGGCCTGCTAATCGGAGACGGTATACCACATGCCGTCGGTTGCCATGATCAAGAAGGACAGTTTGCTGGGGTCGATCTTGGTAAATGTCACAACCGGCTCAGCGGTCAGATACGGTGGCGTCTGGAAGTCACCGTGGCGTCTGGAAGTCACCGTGGCGTCTGGAAGTCACCGTGGCGTCAGGGGTGATGTACCCTAAAATCACATTCTATCGGTAAGTATATGTATGTGGTTGAGGCTGAGCAGTGGCATTTTGTTAAATCTGCGCGGTCTGGCCAAAGCCACAGTCTGTGTGGTGGTTGATTCCCCGACTCTCAATGCTCCTCTTGTTGTCGTTGCATGTGGAACTGCTAGCAGCATAGCACTACTTTTTTACTTGCAACTACATTTGAGTGAGAACCTTTTCCGCCTTTCTCTTGTATGCACTAAAGGCACTGAACTGCAACTAAAAGCCAAGACTAATCTAGTCATTCGTTGTTATCCACATTCTAAAATGGGCCAAGAAAATCATAACGCTCCTTGGCGTCTGGCTGGAACCAGCTATGCCTCTCCTGGCCGCCAACACGAACTGGCCAATCAAACCCCAGCCTGTCAACCTCGACGTCGTCGTCATCTCTTGGGGCATCTCACGAGTTACTATTCTGTTTCTGGACATCAACGCGATCAAGCCATTGAGATGTGAGCTGGAGGAAATGATATCTTCAGCAGTCTCAGGCATCCAGTTTGTTGCCATCGGAGCTCTGACTATATATACCATAGATCGTTTGCCTATGTTAGTCCTCGATGAATCAAGGCAGATCAACAACTTCGCTTCGTATTAGCCACACACTGTGACCAGCCTCGACAAAGATGTCCCCTCCAATTCATTTCTTCGTCCCTTTGCTTGCCTTGGTCTCTTCGCCAGTGGCCACACGCCAAGTGCTTTTAGGGCCAGCCTTTGCCACTCCCTCGAACTTGGCCGCAGTGGAATTGATTCAGTCAACTGCTGCAAGTCTTGTGCAGTCATTCGAGGAGGCTTTGACCCAGGGGACAAGCTCTTTCGGCAACTTTTCTGGCAATGCCACATCATTGTCACTCACTGCGGCATCGACCGACGATGCCGGGCCATTCTTTGACTTTCATTTCTCCTCTCCGCAACTGAACACTTCAGCAGGGAGCCTCTCAGAGGTGACGGCCGATTCGATCTACAGGATTGGCAGTATTTCCAAGCTGTTCACTGTTTACGGTCTCCTTTTGGACTACGGCATTGAGAACTGGGATCGACCCGTCACGGATTTCATACCAGAGCTCCGCGTTGCAGAGTCCTCGTCCAATGCCACTGCAGTCAACCAAGTCCAGTGGGATAAAGTCACCATTGACTCTCTAGCATCTCAGCTATCAGGGATTGGAAGAGATTGTACGTTACCCCCTCGTTTTGCCTCACTCAACGACTAAGGTCCAGACTTGGATACAGCAATAAGTACTAACAGCTTTGCTTGGCAGATAACAACGCCGATTTGGCCAGTCAACCTTTCCCTTGGGATGAGGCTGGGCTGCCGATACTACCCCCAGAAGACATCCCGACTTGCGCTGGTAAGGAAAGCCTGCCACCTTGTGACAGAGATGGTACGTGTTGCACTGTGACCCTTCCTTCTTCTAGTGATCCGGCACTGACACAGTATCCCCAGAGTACTACCGCGGACTCATCAAACGACACCCCGTATTCGCCCCGTACACGACCCCCACGTACTCCAACGCCGGGTTCAGGATTCTAGGAAATGTCCTCGAGGCGGTCACGAAGAAATCATTTGCGACAGCCATGTCGCAAAGTGTTTTCCAGCCCCTTGGCCTGAACCATACGAGTGCAACCACACCGCAGGATAAGGGCGTTGGCGTGATTCCAGCAGGCGACTCTGGCTGGTCTCAGGCCTTGGGAGACGAAGTTCCGTAGGTCGACCTGCATCCCGGATGGTATTGTCCTGAAACAAAAGGCTGACACATTATATTCCCAGCACCGGTGGTATCTTTTCCTCATCGCGAGATCTGGTTGAATTTGGGCGAGCTATCTTGGGAAATAAACAGCTCTCGTCCCTCGAAACACGGCGTTGGATGAAACCACATTCGCACACATCGTCTCTCTCTGCCTCCGTAGGCGCCCCCTGGGAGATATACCGGACACGGAGCAACATCACCAGCGGCAGAGTCATCGATCTCTACACCAAATCCGGGAGCGTCGGACAGTACGGCTCGCTGCTGATTCTCATTCCCGACTTCCAAGTGTCGATTTCCATCCTGGCTGCTGGCCCCGATGCCAACCACCTCATCACCACCGCGGCAGAAATGGTCCTACAAGCATTCGTTCCTGTCTTGGAGCAAGTCAGCCGTGACCAGGCTTGCCGGGTGTTCTGCGGGAAGTACCACGGCCCCGCAAATTCCTCCCTGGCTCTGTCTGTGGACGACGGCCCCGGTCTGCTAGTCAGCGACTGGATCAGTTCCGGCGTCGACATCAAGGCTTCGGGCCAGGCATACTCGGACGCCACCAGCGGCGGACAAATCAGGTCCATCAGGCTGTACCCGACGGGCCTCCGGTCGCAGACGGGGGCGGCATCGGGGTCAACCGCCCGTACCCTAGTCTCGTATCGGGCCCTCTTCGAGGTCGTCGACCCCGACGCGGATCCGGATGTTCCGCGCATCTTTGATCCGAACGCGGGGCAGTGGAGTGAGGTAGACAACCTCGTCTACGGTACGGTCGCCGTGGATGACTTTTTGTTCCATCTAGATCAGCATGGAAACACCGTCGCCGTGGAACCACGTGTGGTTAGGCAAGTCCTTCGCAAGGCTTCTTGTCCCACGTAATTAGAACGTTGCCACAATGGTGGAAAGATAGGCGGTGAAAGGAATGACAGCAAGGAGGCAAGTAGATAGAGTAGACACTTCCTCAGTTTGCTTCTCTAATCAAATATATTCTGCATCCACAAAGTACTGTCCACATTATCTTGGCCAAAAATCATCAACGCCGAAAAAGGGTAAAATGCAGCAGTCCGCGCATACTCGTCGCCTTGCGGCGTCAGGATCTAATTCCCACGCCTGTCCTATTCCACCTCGCCTCGTCGTGATTACCATGCGAAAATCTCCACGACATCCTCCCATTCGCCGTCCAAACCGTTAGGTTGGCTGCGGAAAGAAACTGCGGAATACTTCTCCGCATAGTGAGTTTCGATATCGACAGAGTGAATGCGGCGGAATTCGGGGATCGGTAGCAGCTCTGTCCCGTCAAGGCTAACCACTTCCATATCCAGTCCACCTTCTTCAACCTCCATGACCCGCTCGGAGATTCGTGCCAACATGGCCCCCTCCCAGGCGCCTTCGGAGCCGGGAAATGAATAGAGAAGCTCGATGGCCCGCCGTCGAACTTCCGGGCTGCGGCATTTTGTGGCCGCCATATAAAGGGGGTGAATTAGACCTCCATCGAGGGAGAAGCCGACTTGGTGAGGCGGACTGGGATCGCGACGGTCCATAATGTCCGTCGTTAAATTAACGAGTGTGCAGAATTGTGGGAGAAAACGGTCGTATATGGCCTCTTCGGCGTGCAGGCCCGTGGATATCACGATGAGAGCTGTCAAGTACCGGATCCGCAACAGCGAAACCTGATCTTCCGACATCTCCAATGGCTCACCATCTACAGCCGGCGTATACGGGGCCAAATATTTGTCATGGAAGCGGTGGAGCTGTGACTCGAGGGATTCTGCTTTGGCTATGACGTCCATTGGCAACGGCCCAGGCTGTCGATACCGAAAGTCGTCCCCCGTGGCGCGAAGGAACTCATAGATGCGGCATATCATGAGCGTCAGGACATGGTCCGCTTCCTGGTAAATGGTTTCATAAACGAAGTTGTGCGCAGAGAAACGACCAAGGTCCAATGTGGGCGACCGGAGCCCAAGATATAGAGTGGCCTGGAGATCCAGTCTGGAGAAGGCGAGGCAGATATCGCGCTCAACTTGGAACAGGTCAGCGTGTTAAATATGGCAGGTCATCTCCCATGCACTTACCTGATGACAGATTTGAATTAAGAATCCCCAGACTGTACTCGAGGTGACTGAGACACATGCGAGGATCATCCATTCGAAGCTCAAAGCAAATGCAGAGCAGCGCGCAAAGCAAAGCGACATTGATGGAACGGCTATCGCCTTGACTGATTAGACGACGCAGGGCAGTGATGCCCTTCCCATAGTGATCCAGGGCAAACCGACTACTAGGCCTGGATCGCAAAGCTACGCGCTTGCTATTCTCCTGCTTCTCGCTCGAGTCATCCTCTCCACAGTCGAGCGCACTGAAAGCGATCACGGCGTGGCAGAGTGCAGCGTCTTCATGCATGGCCTGGAGGATCAGCTGTTTCCAGGCTGGCCGTGCGACGTAGCCCATGATGCTGTATATAAGCCGTTGGCGGAACAGGTCAAGACATAGTAGCTCTCGTTGGCCAAGCCAGCCCATCTGGCTGGGCCGAAAACTAGACAAAGTCAAGGGGGCCGTGAATGTTAGACGGTCCTCGCTGTTGGCGGGCTTCGATACGCCATCGCAGCGACGGCCGGTCCTAGAGCAGTTTCGACAGATAGGCCAAGTCTCATCACAACGAATCTTACGGATTCTAGGGTAATCAGTGGGGATCTGACGGGTTGGGAGGTAGGTCAACCAACTTGCAAGTCCTGCATCCAACCTTGGACTGTACATATCGCTTCCGCGGGGCGATTGGCGGCCGACTTTCTGGTTGTCGCTGTCTAGGCTCGGGGTCCTCTGCGCAATTCCCACCCATGGCTACAAGGAACTAGCATTCCACTGCTCGGCTGGCTGGCGCAGGCCTTGCGGTCGTGTTAGAATACATAGATTCTGAAGGCTATCTCAGTTATGTGGGTCTAAAATGGTCAATTGGTGCGGTGGCACTCCTAGGAGTAGAGGGGACCATCTAACTACCGCCCGTCAGCTGCTGCCTAGGCATCTTCCTTTGTATTGTCCGGTACCTCATACTTACCTACCAAATTGGGTATGCTAAGATAATTGGAACCTTAGGTAGGTAGGCACCTACCAGCTATTTGGAGATGGTCGGGTACATGCGAATCACATTGGACCTCCCCTGACCACTCACGCATAATCTGTAGTCTCGCTGAGGTGGAGGAGGCTAGGGGAATCTAAAAATCTAAGTCAACTTTCAAGAAGCCAATTCAGGTCCTGTGTTCGTGCTACTGTGAATAGGATATGCACCTTCGCTGGACTGCGTCATCTCATCCCTGTTTTAGCTCGCGCCATTCCATGGAATGGCGGCGGGTGGCTTATGGACTGGATGGCTGGCGACCAGGAACAACTGTCAGCCACTCGACTTCGTTCAACCCGCTGCCTCGAAGATCTACGTTTACGATCCGTAGTTACCAGGTGATCAAATGATTTCACCGCCATGCTTCACGATCTGGCATGTCGTTCTGTAACGGAACATTTGCGGAACACAGGCTGTTAAACTCAAGAGCGGGGTGCGACGGATAAATCTTGATCAACAGAGACATGCAATTGGCCTTGGCAAATCCTTTTCAATAGTGGGGCTGGTGGCCTGGCCCCTGCCCTCGTATCCCGGCAAGGATGCATTAATTGCCTAGACTTGGGCTCATGCCTCGCGGTCATCATCCTGGTCACCTGCGTTGGATCCCGCCCACCTTTTTACGTTCTTCCCTCTCCCTTTGTCGCCAAAACCCAACGCGCCATCTCTCCCCGACTCTCAACTGATGGTTCTCTCGCGAAGAGCCATCGTGCTTCCATAGAAGCAGATCCAGTCAAACCATAACCAGGAGGCCGGGCCGAGGCTGGGAATCGAAACCCGGAGACGCACAAACTAAGGACAGAATTAGACTCAGGCGATCCTGCGACGCACCCCCAGTCAATCTCGTCGAGTTTTACGAGCGAACAAGGCTTGGCCAACACTGGCCCGCTTACTCACTCACTGCCCCTGGCGAGAGCTTGGACGAGAATACGAAGCAAAACAATTTGGGACGACACCGACTGAAATTTGCGGTATCTCTGCGGCCATCACCGTCAACGGATACCGTGTCGTCGGCATTGCAAGGGAGACGCAGGTAAAAGCGACGCATCGCTGCTCGAACAGCCACCGCACAATCCCATTTCGTCATCGTGCGTCTTTGGATCGCACAATCATCTCGACCTCCTCTGATCGACACCCTCATTTTTCTACTCTCTTGATATTCATCCCATCCTTCGACCCGTAATCTCTCGCAATGGGTACGTTTCGAGCTCAATCCGCCCATCCAAATCTTCCCGGGCCTCCCACCCACTGTGACTAACCAACCCGCTCGCAGAGACCACACTCTTCCCCGTGGCGACCCTCCCCGCCTGCGCCAAAAACTGCGGCCTCCTCTACGACGTCAACGGCGCCTGCGTCCCGCCCGCTAAGCCCACCGCCGCCGCCTCCGTCTACGACGCCTGCTTCTGCGGCGACAGCCACCTGGCCTCCTTCAGCGCCGGCACCGCCGGCGTCTGCGACGGCGCCTGCCCCGACAACCCGGCCGGGCTCAGCTCCATCCGCAACTGGTACACCAGCTTCTGCGCCGGCAAGAAGGCCGTCGCGCCGCAGACCACCTCGACGAAGGGCTCTGGCGGCAGCAGTGGCTCGTCGGCGGGATCGAGCGGCGGTGGGAATCATGACTGGTGAGTTTTTAAATTCGCACCCCCCCACAACAACCCGCCAGCAACGAAACCAACTGACACCTCCCTCCCCCCATAGGCTCTCCACGCACTACAAATGGGTAATCTTCCTCGTCGTGGTCGTTGTCGCCATCGCGGGCATCTGGATCGGCGCCTGCATCTGGCGGCGGCGGTACCTGCGCAAGAAGGACCGGCAGTACGCGCTGGGCAAGCGGCTCGCGCACTTCACGTCGTCGGGCCGCGTCGTGCCCAACGCCAGCCAGGCCGCCTCCATTCACGTGCCCTCGGCCGGCATGTTCGAGCCCGCCCCGCTCTCCGCCGCCGGCGTCTACGACGGCCACTCGGAGAAGCCGAACAAGGTCAAGCAGAAGAAGAAGAAGTGGGTCGTCACCGAGCGGACGTGAGGGGGTGGATTCACCCCATGTTTTTCTTCTTCCGTTTTCTTGGGTTCTTGAAGACGGGCTCGGCTGCCTGGGTGTTGGCGTTTTTCTGTTTTCCCGGAGTAAAGGGTCTGCACTATGATACAGCGGAGGGGGGCTTCTGTATGGCTTGTTTTGTCGTCTCTTATGTACCAAGTTTTAATCACCCCACCACACGCCCTTGCACCCTACGGTTGGCGTGGATACGCAACATGTACCATCGGGTTCACCCTTCACAGGGGGCGGGCACGATTTCTTCAGTTGGCCGGGATGCGGTTTTTTGTTACGGGGGAGGTCAGTGATTCCGAGGTTTCATCTCCTGCACACGCCCTCTCTCTCTCACACACACACCGCATGATTGGCTCGATAAGAGTTGGAAAGCAAGGGACGGAGGGGAGGCAGGATGGATGGATAGGGTATAGAAAAATTTGAGTTTGCTTCGACGGCAGTGTTGTCTTTTTTTGTTCAAGATCAGGCCCTCCAAACGGGTTAGATTGCGTGAACCTGCCAGTGTTCGAATGGAGATCGGGAGGGCAAGCAAGGCAGTGCGGTGGGACGGGGAGGCGATGTTCTTGGCTCTCGTGGCAAATAGCTAGACCTCTTGATAACTGAATGGCAATCTCTCACGCGTGGATGATCCCTCCGGTCTGATGGCGAGGCAGCCTGCAAGTGGCTGTGGGAGTGTTGGCTGAACCCACATAAATGGATGGGATCATGGAGATCGGCATGTAAAATGGGTGTTGCTCAACAAAGTTGGGTGTGTCTTGGTGGGTATATGGGCGAATTTGGGAAGATAAACAAGGGGAACTTCTATTAGTATATCTTCTCTTCTAACTCCATATATATATATCGAGACCACCAAAATTCAGCCTTCCCCTTCCGGCTGTCTCTCCTGACACGCCATATTTGCAAGAGGACCCCTCCACAGCCCAGAGCAGAACACCTCCATCACCTCAGGGGCAGAGCCGCGGCCCGCGCCTGCTCCTCCGCCGCATCCATGTACAGGTCGATCAAGCAACCGGCCGACCAAGCCTGCGTCGGTGACTATAGAATCGTGTTAGCAAGCCCAAAGTAGAGCATCACAAGGGGAGGGAGGTAAAGAACCCACCGAATCGGCACACTCCTCGCCGTCCCTGTTGGTCAGCTCCGTCAGCCCGGCCCACGGGCTCTCGCCTATCATGCGCTTGCACCCGGCGAGCCGCCGGGTGACCTGCTGGAAGGCCTCGGTGCGGCCCTCGGCGTCCCCGGGGTCCCGCCTCCGCAGGTCGAACCGGAGGAGCGCTCGAAGGAAGAAGCCCGTCGGCCAGAGCCACTCGGGCCCCTGGTGGTAGTTGCGGCCCTTGCTGGTCGCAAAGTCGCCGCTGTCCTCCGAGTTGCGGTAGTAGGGGCGGTACTCTGGGTCCTCGGGGTCGAGGGTCGCCATGCCCGTGGGCCCGCGCAGGGCGCCGTCGGCGACCCAGAGGGCGTGCATGGCGTGGTCCTGCTCGAAGAGGTCCGGCGCCGCCGTCATGGCGATGGCGAAGTTGGGCCGCAGTTGGTAGTCCTCGTGTGGTTTGCCGGACCTGTACAGGTCCTTGTAGATGCCGCGCCGCCGGACGAGCTTCTCGTCAACATCGTGTTGGCCGTCCTCGGAGGGCGAGAGCGGGACGTAGAAGCAGCGCTCGAAGTTGGCCTTGATGAGCTCCGCCCACGATGCGTAAGATATCTCGGTCCCGTCGGCCTTTTTGGCTCCCGAGTGGGAGAAGTTGCCCGCCTCATGCAGGTTCGCAAGCCATTTCACCGTGCTGTAGAGGAGACCGATGATTTCGATAGCTGCGCCGTCGCGGGGCGTCCCAGGGACGCCCTTGCTGCCTGCCCGCTCGCTCTCCCCCATTTTGTCCATCCAGGTGCCGCAGTTGTGCTGGTTGCCGCCGAATACCATGCCGTTGCTCCAATCCACCTTAATTTCAAGATTGAACCCTTCATCCTTCATCTGCGAATCAATTCCCGGGCCAGCATTTGCCTCGCGGAACTTCATCCCCTCGGCGTGTCGCTGCAACGCCTCCTGGATGACCTCGCGGATGGTGCTCTCCTTGCTATACGCTCGAGGATCATCGACAGGGAACCAAGTGTCGTCATACGGCAGGAAGCGCCGTTTGACCTTCTCATCCAGAAGCGACAGCCCGTCGGGGACGATGCCAATATAGTCTTGGATGCATTGCAGGAAGAACCAGATGGAATCGCGAGAGTTGTATCTCGGGAGGCTGCCGCTGGACAGGAGGTTGGGGATCATGCCGTGCTTGAGAACGCTCGCGAAGGCGAGGATGTGCTCCTTGGCCTCCGCAAAGCGACCAGTCCCGAGGTACAGCCCGCGGAGCGAGATGAATACATCGCGGCCCCAACAACGGGCCCACTCGACTGCAAAATGGGGCAACCCCGCGGCAAGAGACGGGACAAGACGGCCTGGATACAGCGATGCAGACTGGACAAGGCCCGTTTCTTGGACACTGACCATGGCAAGGCTCTGCAAGAACCACTGGCCTCGCCGCACGTCGTCATTCATGAGCGACATGCCGCGCTCCCAGGCAGCCATGTACGCAGTCCTCAGGACAAGGCCAAAGTACCGAGGGAGGAGGGAGCTGGGAATAGGACGGATTGCATCAAAGCGTTCCTTCAGCCAGGCAGCGGGCTTGCTCAACCTTGAATGCCGGTCCTGCTTCGACGCTCGCTCGAGACGTCCGACGGTGTAATCCAGAGCCCACTGGCCGTCGCGCAGGTTTTGGCAGAGCGGGTGAGCAAGATTGTTGTCCTTTATGATGCCCTTAAGAAGGCTCCACCAGCCTTGCAGCCCGGCGTATACGAGCTTCCCGTATCCGGGTATATCGTAGACGCCGTCCTGGCCGCCGCTGGCGTCCCGTTCCTCGGCCTCGCACTTGTACAGAAGAAAGTTGAGGTCGACCAGGTCAAGGTCCTTCATCGCCTCCCCTGCGCCGGAAGTTACGAAGTTATCGAGGCCGGCCCAGTGGTCTGCTGCGGGCGTCCAAGTCTCGAAGAGTGCGATGCTACCGGGCGGGAATTTTTCGCGAACAGTGATGATGGTATCGCTACCATCCACCTCCATTCGAATGCCGGGGAGATCAATGACTCGGCTGGGCAAGCCGCGGAGGTATTTCTTGTCACCCAGGGCACTCTTCTTGGCCTCCTCGCTGTCATCAACCTCCAACATCCAGCTCCCGAGATGCCGGGCTCGAGTCCCAGCCAGGTGGACCGGGTTGAAGGAGCCGTTGCCATTGCCGTAACCCGGGAAAGCGGTGTGGGCAATCAGGAAGTAGCCCTTCCTTGACTCTGGATGGACCCTGTGGACAGTCACGTACTGGTCCTCATGGTGAATGTGTGTCTCGTCGTAGCCGTCCATGCCCATGAGGGTGTGAATCTGGTTAAGCAGCTTTTTGATGCCGCCGATGCCATTCCTGCCACCGCCGACCTTGACGGGTTTCTCTGACGATTCCGAGGTGTACAGTCGTGTTTCGCTGACCAGGTCGACCAGCTTCGGGTAAATCTCATCATAACCCATAACGCTCCCGGTTGCGCTCGCGCACATATTGACCAAGGCCGCATTCGGCAGGGTATCCCGCGCGTCTCTCTTCTGTGCCGGGACCTCGTTGTCGTGCGTGCAGTCCATGAAGAGGGCCTGAACAGGCACGGGCTTGATTCGGCGAATGATCTCCCTGGAAAGCCCAGTGCCGTCGCGTCCCTCGGCTTTGGCCATGACGGGGCTCGACACTTCGGCCTTGGACACCTCGTCTACCTCAAAACTACCGATTGGCCGACCGCCATGTCGGTGCACTAGACGGCTCAGCTCGGCGGTGCTCCACGCTTGCATTGCTTCTCGAACGAGCGAGCTCAGGCCCAGCCGCTTAACAAAGACGTAGTCCATCTCCTCAGATCCTGTGAAGAGCTCCGCTACGACATAGAGATCCGGACGGACCCGGCGAGCTTCATCCAGGATGTGCTCGGCCACGTGGATCGGCGTGGAGTGACAGTTGTCAATGCGAAAGCCAGCAAAGTACTTTGCCAGAAGGCGCGCATACTTGGTCATGTGTTCCCAGAGCCAGGGGCTATCAGACGGGCCACTACCGTACCGAAGCTTGACGCAGTCGCCCCAGACAATGACCTCGCGCCTGAGGTATGCTCGAGAATCGGGGCCAGCGTTGTCGACCAGTGCATTTGCAGCCCAGACCCAACCATTGTTGACAAGGACGAGGTCGGTCTTCTTGTGCTTTGACGTCTTCTCATTTACCGGGAGACGGGTGAAATAGGTCTCGATGAGGGGGTTCTCTCGATCGATGGGGCCAAGCTTCGGTCCATGTTCATCGAGCCGGACGTACTTGATGCGGTTGAAGAGCTGCTGGAGAATCTCGGCAACCTCGCTGTCGTATTCCTCGTAGAATGGTAGGTTCACGGCTTCGAGGATCTCAACCATTTTGACGCGAACAGCTGTCTGATCCGCGCCGTCGCTAGCCTCTCCCTCGTACTTTCCGTAGATGACGGAGAGCAAGGCTGCGCTGATGTTGGGATCAACCCTCCGTCGAAACCGCTCGCCTAGACGGTCGGTCCCTTTCAGGCCGTGTTTGGACAGGAAGCTGGCCTGGTCTTTCACGCTCGCCAAGTGGAGGGCGTCGATGCCGCCAACATCGATTGAGCTCTCAGGGAACGACGTTCTGCCCACCACCCAAGATTCGACCGCAGCGTCCGCGTCGCGGTCGACATCTAGGGCGTAATACTCCCACAACCGGATGTCGCCAATGACATGTTTCTTAATGGCGTCCATGATGAGGCTAAGATCATCGGTCGACTTCAATTCCGTGGGCAAATCAAGCTCCTCCAGTCGGAGGCCTACTTCGACAAGCTTCGTGTCAAGCAAGTAGGCAGATTCCAGCCATGGTGCCGTGGTCAGGTTGTAGCCAGCCTCGGGGTGTTCCAAGAGCCAGGCGCTGTTATCCGCCGTGTGGTTCAAAACGATATCCGTCAAACTCAGCAAGGAGTGATTCTGCTCCAGACTGTCGACCATCTTCTGCACGTCCTTCTCGCCATCGGGGAAGCAGTTTGGATCCCAGCCCAGTTGGTCATATAAGCTATATGGCGAGTTCGATGCGCCTCGCACTTGCAGCGGGGTGAAGTGGACCATGTTGTACCCCCTGTCGCTGATGCCTCGCAGGTGCCGTTCCCAATCGTGGGGATACTTGCCCATGAACTTGCTGATGATGGAGAATGTGGAGAGGGCGGGCAAAGGCAGTGGCCGCCCGTCGAGCACGAGGCGTGGAGCAACATCGATGTAGTATGTGGGCGTCTTCTTCCGCTCAGCATTGGCGCTACCTGAACCTTTGGGATCCAGGTCCTTCGACAGCTCGGGCAGCTCAGCATAGGTGGTGTAGAAGGCGAAGGCACCAGCCTGTGTGATGGGGACGGAGATCTCTATCGTGTGGTTGAAGTCGGGCACAAGCCTGGTAGTTGCGCCATGTGTAAGTGCGAGCTCTAAGCATGCTAAAGATAAGAGAACCAGGAGGCAACGGTTTATTTACTTGAACTCGCGGAACTTGTCCCTTCGAAATTCTGCTCCTTCCTCCGGGATGTTAACCCACAGACTGCCATGGCGGCAGATGCTCGAGGTTCCTTCAATGGCGAAGCGGATGCTTATGGGATCGCGGGTTTTGGGGGCGATGTAGATGTACTCGCCAGCCACCTGGGGCGATCCATCGTCGTTGAGGGGGAGGAGGTATACTTCGTTTGAGATCATCGTCCTTGGGGTCATGTTTTGGAGAAGCTGGAGGGGAGGCTTGGCTGCCCCGCGTTCTAGGCCCAGTGGCTCCTTCCTGACTGATCCACGTCCAGCAGTCCAATGACACGGCGGAACTTGCAATTCGAGCTGACAATGGGTCAGCGACGGCTGATAATCGGGACGGAGGAGGAATGAGAGTTTGAGGAGCAACGCAACGCCAGTTCGCTAGAGGAATGGGAATTCTGGGAGGAATGGGAGAATTGGTGGATTTTGACAGCTCCCCTACCTATGTAATCAATCCAACGCGGGGCAGCTCACAGCGTCACACAGCAGGCACAAGTCTTCTGCCGCGACCAATTTGCGGTTGCGCCTCCAAATCAAGTATGGTATCCTAAGGAGGGGCTACCCCTGTCCGCTGACATCACCAAGCATGGCTGTTCATCTCCAGGGAGGTTCCTCTCCTAGTTCCTGGTTTCCACCCCTGCAAACCTGTGCAATTGGAGAGAGAAAAATAAACCAGCATTGATCGCCCTCTCACTCACCGGTAAGTACCGTCGCTGGCTCAAAATTGCCCTTCCACGGAATGAAGGCAATCGGTCAAATAATAATGTAAATCTGATTACGGATTACACAGGCATGTGATACAACTTGTCCCGCCTCGGCATGCAGCCATCGGAGCGGCCGATGGGATTCGTAAACCGGGAATCTCGTGAATTGTGCCGTTTCTACCCTGGGAACGCACCAAAAATGCCACTAAATGCCCGTGTCATCCTAGCAAAGGCCTGGCCCCCCTTCCTCGGTTGTCAGCTTCGTTCAGCTAAGGAGTGACACCTACGCCAAGAGCAGCACCCCCAATGGTTGGGCACAAGATCTGAAAAAAGAACGCCACCCTCGGTATACACTCTCCCTACTTAGGCCGCCGTGGTTTACAAGAATCAACGGCCGTCCCCATTTGCTTGCTCTTTCCAACCTTGCCTTGATGGTCTTATCTGTACGACCTGGGACCCTGAAAAGATTGAATCTCGTCCGCATCCAGAGCCACCGCTTCTTCCACCACCGACCCGCCTTCAAGATGGCAGGCCCAACGACTTTAGGCCTATATGGGAAGAAACACAAGGTCACCGTTGTCGGTTCCGGCAACTGGGGCTCGACCATCTCCAAGATCGTAGCCGAGAACACGAGGGCGCATACGGACCTGTTCGAGGAGGCGGTGCAGATGTGGGTGTACGAGGAGGAGATCACCATTCCCAAGGACTCACCGCACTACGACGCCTCCAATGCCGACAAGCCCCGGAAGCTCACCGAGATTATCAACCAGTACCACGAGAATCCCAAGTACCTCCCCGGGATTGCCCTCCCCGAGAACGTCGTCGCCAACCCCTCCCTCCAAGACGCCGTCCGCAACTCGACCATCCTGATCTTCAACCTCCCCCACCAGTTCATCGGGAACGTGTGCAAGCAGCTCAAGGGCCACATCCTCCCCTTCGCGCGCGGCATCAGCTGCATCAAGGGCGTCAACGTGAGCGACGATGGCATCAGCCTGTTCAGCGAGTGGATCGGTGAGGGCCTGGGCATCTACTGCGGCGCCCTGTCGGGCGCCAACATCGCCAGCGAGATCGCCGCCGAGAAGTGGTCCGAGACCACCATCGCCTACGACCCTCCCCCCATGGACAGCAGCCGCAACCCGACGCCCAGCAACCGGTCCCCCGTGGCCTCGACCTTCGACCTCTCCATCACCTGCGCCGACGATTCGGCTTACCACCAGCAACAACACCGCAGCGCCAATGGCGAGGAGAGCAAGACGAAGCTGACCGCCGTCCCCCCCGAGTACCCGCCGCTCGACCACGAGACCTTCGCGCATCTCTTCCACCGGCCCTACTTCCACGTGTCCATGGTCTCCGACGTGGCGGGCGTGTCGCTCGGCGGCGCGCTCAAGAACATCGTCGCCCTCGCGGCGGGCTTCGTCGACGGGCGCGGGTGGGGCGACAACGCCAAGGCGGCCGTGATGCGCGTCGGCCTGATGGAGATGGTGCGGTTCGGCAAGGAGTTCTTCGGCCAGACGGTGCACGCCGGCACCTTCACCGAGGAGAGCGCCGGCGTCGCCGACCTCATCACCAGCTGCTCCGGCGGCCGCAACTTCCGCTGTGCAAAGATGGCCGTCGAGAGGGGCGTCAGCGTCGACGAGGTCGAGCGCACCGAGCTCAACGGCCAGATGCTGCAGGGCACCACGACGGCGAGGGAGGTCAACAGCTTCCTCAAGACGAGAGGCAAGGAGGGCGATTACCCGCTCTTCACGGCCGTGATTGGTAAGGTTTACCCGTTCTGTATATGCTTTGTGTCGTTTTTATTCCTCGGCCCTCAAGCTGACAGTGTTCCTCTCCCTAGGCATCCTCGATGGCAAGTACAAGGTTGATGATATTCCGTCGTTGGTCGCGACACAGGCACATGGACTGGGAAAATGAAGGGGCGTAATTGTTATGTTGTATGGTGCTAGCTGGGATCTTGGGCCAATATTTGTTCGCATGTGTTCCACGGCGAGGGTTGGGGACCGGATTGGGTCGTGGCGTCATCATGAGAAGATGGTTAGGCAAATAATAATACGGCGACTCGAGTCAACAAGGGACGCGGGAGATGGGATAGAGAGGATGATACACGGCGCAATACAATTGATGCCTTTGCCAGACTCCAGTACCCCTATTCCCTCGACTTGGGTTCCTGCCCGGATATGCGTACATGGTATAGCCATCCATATATATACGGATACGGCCGCGGAAATTGCAGTCAAATGTAGACCTCGCTCCCCCAAAACAGCGTCTCTCCTCACTTGAGGTTCTCCTCATCATCGACAAGCCTAACCTCCCCACCCCGCCTCCACCACGGACTCCTACCACCCTTACCCCCCTCCACCGTCCTCTCCCCGTCCCCAAAAACATGCCTGAACACGCGATCATAGCTTATCCACACCAAATTAAACAGCACCGCCAGCACCATCCCATACCACGCAGGGATCTTCCCCTTATCGTCCGCAACCAGGCGACTCCCCCCAAATAGCACGACGAACGGCGGCGCCCAAGCGAGCCCAAACACCACCAGGCCGACGCGCTGCCGCACAGACGTCATCCGGTACGGCTGCAGCGCGGCCAGGTACGCGCGGTACTCGCCGGGCAGGTCGTGCTCGCGCGCCCCGTCGCGTATCAGGCCCAGGTACCGCGCCGACGGCTGCGCGTGGTCCGGGGCGGGGCGCCGGAGCGGCAGGAACAGCTTGCGCAGCCAGCCCGGGAGGTACCGCGGCGTCTGGGGGGACTCGGCCTCGTCCTCTTCCTTCTCGTCGTTGTCGTCGCCCGGCAGCGGCAGCCGAGGCGCGCAGAGCGTGTGCGCCAGGAAGGGCATGGGCGAGTCCGTCGGGCCCAGCGGTAGGCATGGGACTAGGATGTCGTGGTAGCTAGACCCGCCGCCTTCGGTGGCTAGGATGCGGGCGTAGTCGGCGCGGGTGACTTCGTATACGACGCCGATTAGGCCCTTGGTCCACACGGGGTCGCCGCGGTCGTTGCGCTCGATGTCTCCTTCTCCGTCTTCTTCGTATGTCGTTACCGTTGATGGTGTCTTGTCGGTGTCGGTGTCGGTGTCGGCGTCGGAGATGGGAGGCGTGGGTAGGTCGGGCAGATCGGGGAGGTCGGGGACGCCGGGCGGGGGCTTGGGAAGGGCGCGGGGCGCCGTGTTGGCGAAGCAGGGCTCCATGTAGGGAATGCCCGGCAGGTCAAAGGTCAGGCGCAGCGACGGCGCCGACACGTTGACCTTGCTCAGCGGGCGGATGCCGCGCTGGCCCTGGAACGTCTTGGCGCAGAGGTTGGACCCGTAGGCCAGGTAGAGCACCGTCTCGGCGGCCTCATGGTGGGCGCCGCGGTGCCGGACCGGCCGGGTTGGAAAGGGGGTCGGCGCGGCGTCTGGTTGGGTAAGCCGGGCGACGGGTGTCGGTGGTACGGGATGGACCGCTGTGTCGCTGGTAATGGCCTCTGAGATTGGTGTGGCTTCGACGTCGCAAAAGCGCTTGAAGATGGCGCGAGATGATCCCGGGTCAGGGGTGTCCTGTGGTTGGCCCATGATGACGAAAGTCGATCCAAATTCCCGCGACAGAGCAAGGCTGAGAGACTTGTGAGGAGCCTCGCTAGTCACGCAATACCCTACCTATATATGTGAAGGCTTTCTACCCCTGCCTCTGTCGATGAATATTTTACTTGGGTATTTCGAAATTGAAACGGTTCTTGACTCTCTGGACAGCCAGGTTCTGATCATCTGCTTAATAATTCGGACTCGCAATGTCACCGGATGTCGGAGTCGGCGCCAAAACGAGGCCGATGGGTGATGGATTGTGGGCCAATGATGCGTTCCAATTGGCTCCCGAGCTCAAATGTTTCCGGCTCCCAGCCCGACTCCCGAACCAGCCTGGAACGTCGCGTCAGTATAGGATTCTGGATGACGAAACTGGGAGCCTGGGGTTGAACGGGATTGGCAGGAGATGAGAGGAAGCTGATTCCATTGGCGGTGGTATTAGCCTCCTTTCTTTGCAGGCCGACACTTCTACCCCTGCATTTTTCTACCGCCTACCCCCACCGCGATCTAGGATGACCGTTCGAGGAGGACGTACTGGTAGGAGCCTGGAATCCTTTGACGTCTTACCAATCTGGCCGATGGGATGGGCAGGATGGGCAGGACAGATACACTCGACTTATACGGTGGAATATGCTCCTCCATAGCCAAGCTTCCCCGGGATAAGATAGTCTGTACGTAGAAAGCAGCGTCTCGATGACAGTTTGAGAAGACTCTAGAACTCCAGGCTCCATACGGCCCCTGGTAGAAATGCAAGAGGAACAGAGCCAGGCACGGTGTCTCCAATGCCATGAGATCTCTGTAACCAGAGATATTCCAGCTTTCATTGGTAAAGCCAGGTGAACTGAATTCCACCAAGACCGAATAGGAAACACATTGAAGGGAGATAGGTATATAGGGACCGGAAGCGTCAAACTCGGGCGCTTGGGCCGCCCAGTCGAGCTCACGCATCCCGTTGGTGAACTCGTTTCCCCGGACTCCGGTCACAGACTATTGGGTGACGGGAGAATGCGATGCTTTGATCACCCTCATCTCAACCACCTGGCTAATAGGGCGGCCGAAGCCTACGGATTCGACAGTCGGTGACTTGGCCTGTTCATCCCCTTCGCCACTGAGCTTCGACGTGTCGATCCGCCCACTTCCGTTTCTTTTCTATCCTTGCCCCCTCGGGCTCGAAGCCTCGGTTCTTTTCTTACTCGGTGGATAAGGTAGGTCGTCGCCCAGACAGCTTGAGCAGCCTCCGGCGTAGATCAGCGAGCCCACAGGAGTTCAGTCGCAAGTGACAGCAAATAGTTCATTGTGTACCGATACTATCTAAGCCAGGCATCCTTCGGGCATAGCAAAGCGACCATCTAGGTCGACCCGAAGCATCCAGCGGTGACACGACAAAAAGCCAGAAACAGGACAGACAGGTCGTTCAACCGCCATCGCATGTCCGCCGGCGTCGGAACCCAACGCCACGACCACACAGCACGATCCCCTCGCGATAACAGCCCCTTCATCCGGCCATCCGGCCAGGACAGAGCCATCGACAAAACCATCCCCAACGCCAGGCATCGCAGCCATAACCAGTCGCAAAATCTACCTACCACAACGCGATCCATCCCCCCCAGCCGTCATTCATTCATTGACTCGTTCCCTGCCGCCGTCCCACCCGAACAAGGGCACAGCAACCACTCCCTCACTCACCCCTACCCCTCCTCCTCATCCAAAGGCTCAACCCTGACCAAAATCTCCTCCAACAACCCCTCCAAAAACGTCCCGACGTCCCTCCCCATCCCCACCGGCTCCGCCTTGTCAAAGTGGTCAATCTCCTTGCACACGTGCGCGAGCTTGTACACCAGCTTCCGCACCTTCTCGTGCGCCGCCTCGGCCCGCTGCTGCCTGGGCGTCATCACCGTCTCCTGCTGCTGCTGCTGGTCACCAGCCGTACTCCGCGAGTGGTGGTGATGGTGCGCCTGCTGCAGCCGGATCTGCCTCCTCTTGAGCGCCTCCTCCAGCGCCGGGAAGATGACGTCGTTGAGCGCGTCGAGCTCGCCGTCCGGGTTGGGCGGCGCCTGCGAGGGGAAGGAGAGAGGCCCAGGGGCGGCGGTGGTGGTGGTGCCGTTGCCGGCTGGGGAGGGGGAGGGAGACGGAGCTGCTTCTTCCGCTGCTGCAGTTTCTGCTGGGGAGGTGGGATCGGTGGCGGGATAGGGGTTGCGTCGTGATGCGGAGTATGGGTCCGGCCGGGGGAGTTCCTTGGATGGGAGGGGGTGGTGGTGGGGCATTTTGCTGGTGGGCCCGAAGGGTTGGTTGCTGGGCTGTTGGGGATATTGCGGCTGGAAGAGCTGTTCCCGGGATGGCTGCTGATGGAGAGCCTGCTGCGAGGTCCTGGTCTGCAACATCGGGTTCGGCGTGACCTGGCCTCCCCGGAACGGTGGAATCTCCGGGAGTGTCAACGGGCCCGCCTGCGAGCCCGGCCTTGCCTGCTGAGGCACGTGCTGCTGTGGTACACCCCTTGTCGCCTGCTGTGGGCGGCTCGTCTGGATGACTGGGCCGAGGTGCATGACGCCCATGTCTCTCTGGAGCTGCTCCTGCAACACGCGGTCATAATCTGGCGAGTTCCCCACAGCGCTGACCGGGAGAGGGGCCAACTGCTTGGTCATCGACGCCCGAGGGGTCTCCGGCTCGCGGAGCAATGTCTTTGCCGGAGACGACGGCAGAGTAGCCTTGCAGGGCGACGATGGCACCAACGACGGTGCGGCAATGGGCTTTCTCTGCGGCGACACCTGTCTCGACGTCCCCAGCGCCCCGCCCGAGGCCTTGAGGGTATCCCGCGCATCGCCCGCGAGCTTCGTCGGGCTGGCCTCCCTCCTCCGCTCGCCGTAGTCGTCGGAGCTCTCCAGCGTCCTGGCCGAGCGCGCGTTGGTCGCCGACCCGTCCATGGCGCCGAGCAAGCCGGGCCTGTGCACGAAGCCGCCGCGGTCGCCGACGAGGCGCACGGTGCCAAAGTCCCACATGTCCTCGTTGACGGCCTTGGCGTTCTCGTCGTCGTGGCCCTCGCCCCCGTCGAAGTTGTCGTCGTCGTCGTCGCTCTTGTGCGTCGCGCTCCAGCGGCTGTGCCGCTCGATCAGCTCCGTAAGGTACGTGGTCTTCTTGGCGCGGCGGATGAAGGTGTGCTTGAGCAGGTCCCGCGCGGCCGGCCGCTCCCTCGGGTCGCGCTGCAGGCACAGCTCGACAAAGTCCTTGAAGGCCTTGGTGAAGTTGCCCTCCAGCCGGGGCGGCGGGTTCTTGGGGATGAGGAACAGCACCTTCATCGGGTGGATGTCGGCGTAGGGCGGCTCGCCGTTGGCGAGCTCCAGGGCCGTGATGCCGAGTGACCAGATGTCCGCCTTGTGGTCGTAGCCGCTCTGCTTGATCACCTCGGGGGCCATCCAGAAGGGCGTGCCCACGAAGGTGTTTTTCTTCGTCATGGTGGCGGACAGCTGGCCCGAAACGCCAAAGTCCGCAAGCTTGACCTGGCCGTTGGCGGAGAGGAGGACATTCGCAGCTAGACAGACCGCATTAGAATCTATCTCTCCCCCACAGAGAGCACGCCCCAGCGAACCTACCTTTGACGTCCCGGTGTAGCTTCTTGTCCGAGTGCAAGTAGTCCAACCCCAGCAGCAGCTCGCGCACAATGATGGCGATGTAATCCTCCCCAATGAGTCCCGGCTTCATGAGGTCGGCGCAGCTGCCGCCGGAGCAGAACTCCATGACGATCCATAGCTCCGCGCCCTTGGCATACGAGCCGTAGTATTTCGTGACGAACGGCGACTGGAGCTCGGAGAGGATAGCAATCTCCTGGATGATGTCCTCAACCTCGTCCTCGGCGTTCTCGATGTCGATTATCTTGATCGCTACGGCGTGCCCGGTCCGCTTGTCGACCCTGGGTGTTGGTTGTCACGGGTTAACTTGGCTGCCGCAGCTGAGGGAGCTCGACGCAGAGAGACATACCCCTTGTAGACCTTGCCGAAACTGCCTCCACCTGCGATTGCTCCGTGTCAGCGCAGTCCCCAGGACGCCGTAACGTAGCGAGTAACGAACCAATGCAATATTCCTTGGTGTAGAGCAGCTCTGGGTCCAGCGAGCCCTGGGAGTCGTCATGGTCTCTGTTCCTGTCCGCCATGTTTCACGCCACTACGGATGTCGAGGACGATTCCGTGCCGAACGCTTGGAGTACTAAAATGAGGGCTGAGCAACAGCGTTCCTTGGCCTTCGTTGCTTGTAGAGCGAGGGGGGAGGGGGAGGGGCACGAGGAGCTCCGAGATTCGTTCTGGTCAAGGGTTTTCGCACACCGCTGACGAAGAATCTGAGATCGAGGCCAGGGCAGGTGTCGTCGGGCTAGAGCCAGGGAGAGAGCCGGTTGGAATGTTTCGGGAGTGGGAGGGAGGGTAATGAAGGCCGAGGAATTCGTGAGGCTCTGTGGAAGAATACTGAATGGTGGGTGACGATATGTAGCAGGTACCAGATACCAGCAGCACAACCAGTGTGGGTGTCAACGACAGCAGGCCGATAACGATACAGAAAAAACAATACGGCGGGATGCACAGGAAGGTGGGCCGTCGGATTTGTTATTGTTTGAATTGTTCTGGATTGGAGGGCGGTCGGTATGCCGGCCGTGATCCTCCGGCGGATCCCAATTGCTGCCCGCTGGGGAATGGGAACCGCTTCCCAAAGTTCCAGGTTGTGTTGTTTATCGGTCGGCACGAGCTGACAACCCCTGCGATAGCGAAAGTCAGGGAGGCACCACAGCGGGGTAAACTGGCCGAATGAGTGGGGATTCAGATCTTAAAACATATCTCCCAATGTCACAGCAGTACTTTTCTGGGGCACGGAGCTATTCAATGTTTTCTTCAGAGACCATTTACTATGTTCCATTACCGCCCTCTAGCAATCTACACTTACTCAATTCCGCGGCATTGCTTGACAAGCGAGAGGGAAAATATGGTAATCAAAACATAAAGAAACAGAAAAAAAAAGACGCATCCGTGCCTTCGCCTCGAAAAAAAAAACGCGGTGCCGCGCCGACCCAGCAACCGACGCCAAATCCAGGAACGGTTTCATGATTCGCGGGACACGGCGCCATTGATTGGCTGGCAGGCCCCCGGTCTCCATGGGCGGGCCCAATTAAGCCCTGGCCATTCGCGTCAGTGCTCTGGATGGGGATGACGAAAAGGAAGAGGTGTATGTGAAGGGAGACGGACCCCCTTGATTGGACTTGCTGTTGCCACGGGAGCAATCTGGTAAAATCCAACCTCTTGTCATTTCACCCTCACGCATGTGTTGGCCATCACGTTGACGAATACCAATACTTTCCTTGTGTGACCTAGCCGGCCACGGCCATGCAGCCTCAGGGATGTAAATGCTCCTCCTCTCTGACTTGCTCGCCACTATCTATCTATCTATCTATGTAAGGTAGACATACACACCTAGACCAACCCATACCCGAGAATGGAGACTGAGACCATCCATCCTCATTCGCCCCACCAAAAATGCCTCGCATCTCCGGCCCATCGGGGTCAAGGAGAGAGCGCAAGAAAGCCGGGCCCCTGCGGTAGCCAGTAGGTAGCCAGTAGGTAGCCATGCAAAGCTGGTCCCGCCACGATGGCCCTCGTGGATGTGATTCCCCCCCAACGCCGCTCTATTATCATGAACCCCTTTTCCGCAGACAGCAAAATCCATCTCTCTCGGTGTAGCAAAGACGCACAAAAACAGCAAGGTGAGATGATGAACCCCCATGCTCACATGGCGCGGTCGGGCAGCGGGCGCTCACTCCTCAATAAACTCGATCATGACGGTGCCCTGCTTCAGCCCCGCCTCGGCGATGGTCTTGTCCAGGTCCTGGATGAGGTCCCGCCCCTGCGGCATGACCTTGAGCTCGAACTCGACGCCCTCCCGGCCCTCCAGCGGCGCCGCCTTGAGCCACTCGTAGACGCGCGAGACCGTGTCGTCCAGCCCGAACCGCCGGATGACCCTACCCGTCGGGTGGCGGAACTGGATCCGCGTAGTCGTGGCCGGGTCGTTGGTCTCTGGCTCGGCGTGCGGCCGATCGCTGGGAATCCTGGAAAATGCCGACTGCTGCTGCTGCTGCTGCGTGGTACTGGACTCGCCCGGCACCGGCGCCGGCGACTCCGGCTCGGCCCGACCCTTGCCCTTGTCGCCCGACAGGTCCCCGACCGACTTTGTGAGCGCGTCCGGGTCGTACACGCTCGGCTTTGAGCTGCTGCCGCTGCCGCTGCCGCCGCTCGACTCGAGGCTGTTCTGCATGGCCATCTGGAGCATCTCCTCCTCCGTCATGCGGTCCACGTCCACGGGCCGCTCGGGCCGCTTCGCCTTGACCACCGGGTTCTTGCTGTGCGCCTCGAGGCTGTACCGGTCCAGGAACTCGGCCAGCTCGGCGTGGAAGTCGAGAGCCGTCGGGAAAGGGAGACCGGTCCACACCTTGACCTGCTCACCGGTGCGCGGGTCCACGATACTAACGTGGGGGTAGTTGTCCTGGTTCTCATGCGTCCGGTTCGGCAGGTAGAAGGTGATGTACTGGGCTGCGCGCGGGTCGTCCTTTGAGTACTGCAGGAAGATGAAGTTCTCCTTGACGAGCTGCTGGATGGCGTCGTCCTTCCAGATGTCGCGGTTCAGCGCTTGGCAGTTGAAGTTGGTCACGTCCTGTAGGTTGACCAAGATCCATTTCTTTTCCTGCTTGCCTTCATCACGGGCGTGGTCCCATGGAAAGTGCGACATCAGTTCGTAGGGTGGTCGGAATAGCTCGGCGAGGCGCTGGGCTCTACTGCTCTGTCCCGAGCCGCTGGCCGGGCCGCCGACCGGGCCTGGTGCCGGAGGTTGGATCGTAGAAGGGTCCTCCCATATTGATTGTGCGAAGGGGTTACGTGAGCGACCTAGAGCTGTAGAAGAAAATTTAGTCAGAGATGAATCCAGACCGCCGGCCAAGTTTGAATCGGGGAAACTCACGACCCTGATGTCGGCGTCTGAGCTGCTCCTGAATCGCCGCGTTGACATCATCCATGTCCTCACCCACGCCCCAGTCCCCGCTAGGGGCCACCAGCGTCTCCGTGGTCCGGGCCATAGGCGCCCTGATACCCTCCTCGTCCACGTCCTGGCCCTGATACAGCTCCTCCTGCAGTCTTTTGGCCATGGCGGCATCTTCCTCCTCCTGTGCCGTCTGCGCTACTGCCGCCGCGCTCTCCGCGCTCGCGTCTATGTCCATCGCGCTGCTGCTGCTGCCGCCGAGGACCGGGACGTCTTGATCGTCACCATCGTCGTCGCTGTCGATGTGGATGACCCCGCTGGCGTCCTCGCGGCCCACCGTCGGGCGGGTGGCGTGCGGGACCGCGGGTGGCGACCGGCTGCTGCCCGAGGGCGCCGCCCCCGCCGCCGATGCGGAGGCGGGGTTGCTTAGGTTCCGCTGGAGCTCCTCGTCGCTGAACCACAGCTGGATGGCCTGCCCCAGGTCGCCGGCGCACATCTCGAGGACCTGGTGGGCGGCGTCCTCGCTGGCGCCAGTAATGCCCACGAAGTTGGCGAGAACGTCGTCCATTTTATCCCTTGTTTTTTGTGTCTTGATTTCGTGGCTGGTTTCTGGGAGCGAGATGGAGATATGTAATGGGTCGGAGTGTCGAGAATAAGTGCCGAGATCGGAACGTTAACACCCCAGTCTCGGTGAAAGACGACTTCGTTAGGTTTGGGTGCCCGATATCGATATCCCAGCCGGTGGGGGCGAAGTGGGATAACCGTGTTGGTTGGGCGAAGAGTGAGACAACACAAACAAGGGGCGGGAGAGGTGATTGGGATGTCCTTCGGTATTTGTACCTGCCGATGGTTTGTTGTTGGGGACGAGGAAAATGGGAAGAGTAGGCAAGCACGGCAGACACGAGGAAGATGGAGAGCCCGGTGCAAGGCGGCTACTTGTGACGCAAGAGTGCGGATCATCAATATGCGATTATCCGTCCACGGGTCGGCGCACGGACCATGTGAGGCACTTGCTCTGTCTGCCAGGCGACAACAACTGGGTGGGAACTGACCCGAGAGTTGGCGAACCAGTTGTAAATCGCGTATTACTCAAGCACATCATAGCAGCCTATATGCTTGTCTGGATGGTTTGCATTTGACTAAGCTTCAAGTTGGATCTTTGAGCGACCTGGCTCTCGGAAAATAGTCATCTACCGAGTCATCTATCTATCTCAACACCTAATTTGTTCCTGGCTATAAGAGCCCGAGACACGATCGCCACTTCTCCTGAACGTCCAACGATCTCTCGACCTTCCCAGCGCTTTCTATCCCGCCTTTCAGCTCATCCACAAGCGCCTGGCCCTCGCCATCACCCATAGATGTGCCATTCAACTTGCCCTGCTTCTTCCAGAGCTGCACCACGGCTGTAACAGCCTTTGTCCTAGCAAGTCTCTGCTCCTCCGTCCCGTGGTCCGTCTTGTCCAGATCCAGCGTCGCGAAGAACCACCTCAAGACCGGCAGCCTCACAACGCTAGGCTTCTCGCACTTCGCAGCCTCGTCCATGAGGTTCGCCACACAGCCATACCAGAAGACGCGGCGGACGTCGTCGAACCGCGGCTTCGAGAGCAAGGGGCTGGCGATGGTGGCATCCGACAGTGCCTTCTGCTCGAGAGTCGCCACGATCTTCTCGAGCTCCGCGAACGGGCCGTCACGCATATCGCCGCGGTTGTAGCCCTTGGCGATGGCTTGGATTGCCGCCCAGGCCGTCTTGCTCTGCAGATCCATGCCGCCCGCGCTGGTCCCCTGGCCCGGCTTGTCGACATCCATGGCCTCTTCGTCTTTAGCTTCCTCAAGATAAGGACCCACGATGGAGTAGATATCCTCAAGCATGTGCAGATCCTCTCGCGCGGCGGCAAACCTCCACAGACATTTGAACGCGTGGGGCCGGTACTCGTCGTTGTTGCGCTTCGCCTCGCGGATGGCGATCTTCTTGAGCTGGTCGCCGAACTGCGTGTTGTCCGCCCACATCGCCTTGCCCTTGCTGACAAAGTCTGGGAAGGCGTCGAGCAGCTTGTGCTTGTCGGGGAACGTTTTGAGAACGAGGGACTTGTCGAACACGGGCCAGATGGCCTTGAGATGTTCGACGTTGACTTGCCCGCTGAGGTCGCTGGCCCCGGTCACGGAGGCGACCAGCGACGCTGTGGTAAGGGCGCCGGCATGCTTCAGCGCCCACTGTGCGGTATCCAGACTCCTCTGGACGAGGCTCACGATTTCGGGGATATATCTCGTCACGGTAAGACTACTGCCTGCATGTTTGTTCCACACCTCTTCCGACTCTTTCTGCACATAGTCGTCCGTGTCATGCTTGGCCAGGAAAGCAAACGGCAAGAGCAAGCCCTCCAACGCGTTGAAATGGTCTGGCGAGATCTTGGAGAGTGCGAGTACAGCGTCGGCGACCTTCTGGCGGCGACCCTCGTCCTCCGATTTGAGATATAAGTTGATGAGCTGCTCCGCAAAGCGGATTCCCGCTTCGTCGGGGACCACGCGGACGATATAAGCCGCAGCACGAGCATATCCCTGGCTGACTTCGTCGTTGCGATCGAGAGCTTGCTTCTCCACCAGTTGCAGGAACCGCGCGGCGTAGGGCTGGAAGTCCCTCCCGTGCCTCGTCGCCAGCGTGCCCAGGACACGGCCGCAGCCGATCTTTGTGGGCATCCCAACGGCCGATTTGATGGTGCCCTCCAGCCCTGGCGCAAGATCGACTAATACGTCGCGGTCAACGCTGCGGAGGCAGTTCTCGATAGCTTCGGATATGGGGCTCTGCGACACCATTGCGCTTCGCAGCTTGTCGATCTTCTCGCGGCTGTCTTCGCCGGCGCGGAGGTAATGGTAGTTGATGGCATCCGGTTCGATGGTGCTGAGTAGCCCGAGAAGGTGTGGTATCATAGTAGCAATGTATGGCTTCAAGGACTTGCCTCCACTCTTCGATATCTTCATAATGGTGATGGTGGCAAAGAGCTTGACATCCTCGACCCCGCTCTCAATGCCCTTGTCGGAGAGCAAGAAAGGCAGCGCCTCGTTCATCATCGCCGTGGCGGATGCAGTAGAGCTCGATTCTTCCAGTTGCCGCACAAGGGTGTTGGAAAGCGCAACGCAGAGACGCAAAGCAGCTGCGCGAACTGTCGACTTGACATCATCTAGCACCTTCAGAGCCGCCGTCCAGATATCTTTATAGTACATCTCGTACTTTTGGAACGGCCTCCCTTGGATCAAGTCGGAGATTGCTGCGCAGCTAGCCTCCCTAACTCTCCATTCCTTGCCCAGGATGCTCTTCAGTAGGTCCTTCATGATTGCATCAAAGTGAGTCTCCAGGACCGCATTAGAGTCCTTGACGAGTGCCTTCCAGATGTCATCCATGGATTTTTGCACGGCCTGGTTCGGATCGAAGCGGTAACGGAAGAGTTTGGGGTACAGCTTTGGGTCAATCTCCGATTCGGAGAGGATGCTACTCAGGCCAAATCGCCCAAAGGCAGATCGAGTGGACCAAGTGGCGGCATTGTTTGCGAGAGACATGAACTTGTAGACCAAGCTCTGGTCGCCCACTTCGTTCGCGAGGCTGACAATGTCTTTGTATGAGGTGATGGACTTGCCCCCTCCGGTTGGAAGGGCGCCGGCCGCGAAGAGCTCCGTTTCATCGTCAACCTTGAGCTGTGGGCCGGAACCAGTAAACGATGCCACAAGATCTCGCACCAGGCTATCCCTGAGCGAAGGGTCGCCTTTGTCGTACACGAGTGCGAGACCCCTGGAGGCAGTCTCTTGGACCAGTTCGTCTCTGGCGCTGAGTAGCCTCATGAAGGCAACCTGGCATTCCCTCAGCCTCTGCTGCACCTCTTCCAGATGCGAGCAGTGCTGAATGATGCAGAAAAGCCAGATCCCCGATGCCTTCAGAAGCGACGGCTTCGTCGATTTGCAATCCGTAAGAATCTTCTCAAGAACCTGGCTAATTCTCGCCGATCGCTTCGGAAGCCGGTAGCTCGTATCAGTTGACTGGACATCCAAGGTAAGCTGGACGACCTCAGCATCCCAGCGGGCAACGGCCGCTGTAATGGCTTCTCCGACGGCAAAGTGGATCTCAGCTTGTTTGATCTCGTGCAGCTCGTACAACTTCTTCAGGATGAGATCGATAACATCGACTTTCTGGTTCCCCGCCGCATCGTCTGGGTATGCCATGGCGAGCCTGCCGAGGGCCGTGATTGCCTTTTCGTTGCCCTTCTTTGCCCAAGTAGTAAGAGGTTCGATAAATTCTCGCTGGACGAGGGGAATCCCATCCTCGTGCTCTGGTATCGCAAACCCAGGGATGCCAGCAGTCCAAAGCTGAGAAAAGGCTTCGAAGACAGCTTCTTGGACGGACACGGTAGCGGAAGACACATCTTGGAGCGTTGGGAATGATTGTCCAAGGTAACCGTCAATCGCCGAGGCAGTCGATATCGAATAGTAGACTAGTCTGGAGAGAAGATGGGCCAAGGCGACAAATGCTCCCTCAACGGCATTGAGCTCGGATCCGATTGCGGTCTTCAGGTCCTTGGTAGTTTCGAGGAGAGACGTTTTCGACTGCTCGGTCGAATTGGCGGGGTGAGCAGCAAGAATTCCGTATGCCTTGGCGCCCAGTGCGCGGATCTCCCTCTTGTTTGACTTTACCAATGGTAAGAGCTCTCTCGATCGTGGCGCGAGATTGGCCAGGGTAGCCATTGGAGCAAATGAGGCCAGTTCAACGAATGTTCGGGCGCATTTTTCGACAATGCTGGTATCTTCCTTGATCATCCCCTCGAAGGCAGCCGCTAGGAGGTAAAGGAGCTCTTCTCCTTGGGCTTCGTCCGAAGCTAGGTAGTTCCGGATGGTCTCTCTAGTCTTCTTGTCCAACTGGACAAGGGCTTCCAGCTGCCTCTCCCAGCCTGGCTCAAACTTGAAGTCTTTCAAGGCCGTTAAGAACAGGATGCGCTTGCAGTAATCCACTGCTACGGGGAAGGCGAGAAATGCCTCGCCAGGGAAGTTGATGAAGACTGAAAGCCCATCAACATCCATACTGCCCCCGGTCGCCCACTCCGCGGAATTCACATATGAGATCGGCTCCCGAAAGAACTTCTGGGCCATGACGTTCCAGGCCGGCAAGGTCCGAGACCTGTCGCTGTCCACGTAATAGGTCCAGGGGTCGAGACCTTTCTGGCCTTCCTCCACCACCTCGTTGCGTTCATCGCGGCGACCCGCGACTGCGAGGACGTCAATCCACCTTGCATAAACATCTGAGAATGGAAGAACGGCGTTTGCCCACTTGGTTGCGGCATGCCTGGCGCTGCGAACTGCGTCACCCTCGATATCCATTGTCATGTAGGTGAGAAGGATCGCAGTCAAGCTGTTCCTGACGGTATCGGTGAGTGGAAGCTCAAAGACGGACGTAAACCCAGACAGAGCTCCATCGATGTTGACCACAACGTCGGGAACGGGATCCCCGACCAGTGACCGAAACAGCCACCCAAGCAGAGAGAGTGCGGCAGGGGCGGGCATGGAGATGCCCTTTGCGAGGGTCCCGATGGTTTCGTATGCCTGCGAACGTCGCGCGACATCGTCGGTGGACTGCCTCAAAGGCTTTGGCCACCCTTGGCTGATGATGAAGTCCCTAAGCAAGTCGATGAGTGACCGCCCGGTTGCACTGAACCCTTCCTTCTTGGACCCCACCCGGGCCACCCAGTTAATGAACTCGAAAAGTGCCTTGTGGATCTTGGTTGCCTCAAGCCCAATGCTTGCCCGGCCGGCAGCAGCTAGCTGAGACTCGAGCTCAGGAGTTTGGACAACGTTTTGATGGAAGAGGTCGATGATTTCTTTTCCGAACGTGCTCGCAACCTGGGATTTGCTCAACAGGCCTAGGATACGGATCCTGTAGGGGGCCGGAAGCGTGGAATGTGCCTCGAACAGGCTCTTCACCAAATCTGCATCTTCCAAAGAAACAGTGGTCCGCTTCAACATGTCGTCCCCAATGCTCGCAACGCGAGAGTCGGAATGCGCCGATGCATACAGTGCGGGGATGAAGCGTTCCTTGTCCGTAAACGCGGCACTCGCAAGCAAGTTGACAGCTTTGATGCGTATCTCCGGCAAGCTCAGTCCTCCATTTGCCGGATTCCACGTGTCGGGCTTCGAAAGGGTAAGGAAAGAGATATCCGCCTCGTTCAAGCCAGGAGACATCTCTGGCCGCGCGGAAGCCGGGCGGAGGAGCAGCAGTTTACCAAGCCACCCTGCGACAAATCTAGCATCCTTCTCGTCTCCGAGGCCCAGGTCCTCCCGGAAGGTGGCATCTTCTTTGTCTCCCCTGGGGGGGATGCGTAGGTCTGGGAGAAGGCGGAGCAGAACATTGAAGAGGTTAGCAGTTCCGGTACCCAGGTCATTGCCGATGCCACGGATGGCTTTGGAAACCAGGCCCCGCCTTTCGGCTGGCTCCAGTCTCCCGACACTATGCTGGATGAAAACGAGGTCAAAATGCTTGACGAGAGGAGAGGTGGCAGCCTTGTATTGATCCAGCAAAGCGGCAACAGGGAGAACAACGCTGGGCACCGTGGTCAGCGAGCCGCACATCATAAGCGTGGGCGAGCATGGCTTACCCCGGAGGATTAATAAATATGTTCAGTCTCTGGCATATGCCGATGATCTATGGAGATATTGGTGAGCTTGAGGGGCTGGGAAGGACTGACGGCGTCACCATCGGGGAGCGGGGTTGGGCAGCAGACCTTGTTGCGGACAGAGGCATGTTCGCTCCCTGCCTTCAGCAGCAGGGGTGGAAGATAAGTCTTGAGTAGCTGTTGCAGCTTCTCCTCATTGTTGGAAACACCAAGAATGCGGAAGTCAACCTTCTCAACCAGGTCGAGCTCCCTCTGCTCGGTGGGGGGGTTTGCCATGTGGGGATACGCAAACTGGCTTCATACAGAGGGCACGACGGACGAAGAGAGAAGCAGGCAGCGCAGCACGTATCTAGGAATGAGGCAGCTATCGAGATTTTATCATTGTTGCCGTGGCGAGGAGGCCATCGTAAGCCGTCTTTGCCTGCTGAATTCAGACAGCAGTCCTGCCCACGCACACCGATCACCCTCCGGATCCCAACTGATGATTCAGCAGATGAAACGCATGGAATTGCTTGGCAACCTAACCCGTTTCGGGTGTTAGCGGCCCGACAGTCTACAGATAATGGGGTCGTATCGGTCGTATTGTAGCCCAATTTACGCTGGCAGCTGGAAAAGGAACTCGTTTCTCTGTGGGGTTTCAATACCATCACTTGCAGCCATGCCATCGCTGGGTCTCACCTGAATGGCCAACAGTTGTGGAGAGATCGCATCGAACCGAAATACGAGATGTGCTCCTGCCTGTTGGTGGGATCAAACCACAGCTGGCTGTCTACTGTACCCCATCCCAACACTCGTGTTTCTGTGGAAGGAGAAGCACACTCAGCGAAATGCTCCACGGAATAACTAGGCAATCACTCCTGGCCACCAACCCGGGGCCCGGGTAACCATCGCGAGGATAGTCACTGCGCAGTGGCGATCTAGGGGAACCCATAGAATGCATCGGGCGTCCCGGCGGAGCTGTGTGAGGCGTCTAAAGAGCACGAGGAATAGACAGGGACTCCGACGCAGGCCCGGCCATTACCGGAGGGCTTGAGGAGATAGCAAAGCATCATCACGAGAGAAGGAGACCATGCGAGATCATAAGAACACGATCCAACGTCCATGACTTCGTCGTGTTTCCAACACTCTCTTTCCCTGGATTCATCTCTCGACCCCGTATCTTCTGAGTGCCAGTAAGTCCTGTTGTCTTCCTCCGTTGCCCTGTTCGGTCGTTTGGACAACCGTGTCATTACCAGGCACGCCTCTAGGCCATGCAATCGGGAACCGCCATGAGATCCTCCGGGGCCGACCCCCAAGGTGCTCAAAACTGACCCCACGTGGCAAACGGTGTCGATGTGCATCGGTTAGATGGTTTTCATGAGCTTTCGCTGCCTGTCTCCCAATTAATCCCAATCCAGGTGCTGCGCAGGCCCGGCGGGATGATGACTGACCGGCGGCACAATACGCAAGGCGAAATGAGAAAAATAAAAAGGGAAGGGAACGAAACGACGAAATTCTCCGATGGATCTCGTTGCCGCCGTCCCGGCTGATCAGCAAGTGGACACGGTAAAGGCTTCCAGAAGCCCAGATGCCGGAAATACCAGTCCCTGACCGGTTCCCGCCGCCTGTACTGCGTGACCGGGGGAACCACAGCCACTTGCGATGGGGATCCAATCGCTCTGTTTCTGTACCTGCGTCTCCTATAATTAAACGACGTGCCACTGGGCCGATGTTTCAAGTTGCGGCGGGAGCAGTCTTGACGGCTGGAAACTCGGGACCATTGAAACTTCGGGTCCCCCGAATATTCAGCCTATTTGGCGGGAGAGGAGCTGACGGAGGATCATATGGCGGGGGTCTTATGCGATCTTATCGACGAGACCTGGGCCATAGCATAGGTGGGTGGAGAGCAACTCGCCAAATCCTCCATTTTGGAGGCTGATGAAGTGTCAAAGTGTCACCACTCTCCGGTCGCGACATCTTAGCCGTCGACAAACATCCGCCTGCAGTGTCCCCCCTTTCGGCCGAATGGCGGGCCCCAGACGGGCGGATGTGTGCATGCCTGATTGGGATTCCTCTCCTCCTGTGCTGTACCGGTGTAATAGAGGCAGAGTCGTTGGCTTGAAACTGTAGCTTTCCAGTGATTGGTAACTCCAAAGGCCGAGTAGTGATCGTCTGCACAGAGATAAATTAGGTATGAAGTCGGTGATTTGGGGGGAGGGGCATTCAATTGAGGCGATCTAGCTTGGTAGCTGAGCGTCTAATATAACGCAATAGTTGTCCTCACTCGCCAAGGAATGACAAAAGTTCGATACCAGTCCAACGGGTCGTCCTCCCGCGCTGTCTGACGGAACCTACCTTACCTGGATGGGGGGCGGGCGGGACGGAACAACGTCTCCCCAAACCGCTTTACCTAGGTACCCGACACGAGTGTCTTGAGGTATGATCTAATGCACCATGACTTGAGGCGGTGCCGGAGAATTTCTGCGTCTAGTCAAGTAGAAGGGGTGGAACGCTACTGCAACGGACCCAGCCAAATGCCAGGTGACCATGGCAGCATGCAGGCATCACGATGACCTTGCGACCGCAATCACAGTCATCGCGGGACCAGGAGGCGGGGAGATCTGTTGGCGCAGGCTGTATGCGGAGCGACCGGAATCTACCTCGTGAATGCCCGGTGATGTCACCGCCGAGCTCAACAGATTTTAAATAGGTGACTTGCGGTAGACCATAGACCACCACAAGTTATTCTGTTCAGAACCGAAATCCGATACCGCCGGGCTAGAGCAGATCTTTTGCGGACCATCGGTAGGGCCATCCGTCCACTGGGCCCTCTTCCATTTGCAATCAAGTCCACTAGCACCTTGGTAAATCCAGCATATTGGCCAACAATATGGAGGTGGCAAGGGGTTCTTATCTGAGATGTACGACTAGGAAGCTTGTTGACGTTTTTGTTGTTGTTCCAGCGGAAGGGGGATCGACGACACAATGGTGAACTTCGGCTGGGGGGGGTTACAGTAGCTGGCCATGACAGCAGGGGCATATGCTCCCGATCGCGATCTTAGTTCCGGACACAATGCGCGTCAGAGGAACGGGAGAAGCTTTGGCTGACGCGATGCCACCCATTTTTGAGCACCCGAAAAAAGGAAGTACCAGTGATAGAGGCACCCCGCAAGTGTACATGTACATGTACTTGTGCCTTCCAAGGAGTTCTAGCGGGGCCTGCTTGACTCGTACGGATCCGAATTGACCGGATGCGGGTGAACTGGGAAACTAGGGCAGACGCTGTGCAAAAACGAAAAGTTATGCGGCACTAAGACCGTAATAATATGGCGATATACTCGCCGACTCTGATGCCTCCATCAACCTACCTTCGCCTACGGATGCATTCCGCGCCACGAGTTTGATGGTGTTGAACATGGGAATGTTTGGTTTGCCAACATGGCAGGGTCTGAGCGCTCGTAACCGTGGGTGGAACAGGGGTTCTGTCGATCCATGCGTTTTCTGGAGGCTTCGAAGTTCCTGCTGAAAGGAAGACACCACATCGAAACTCTGTGATGAGATGAGGTGGTTTCAGTTGCCAAGTAAGGTACTATACACACATACTCTGGTGCGGCTGATGATGGCGTCCGGCCGATGGGCCATTGATTCGCTCGGAACCAACACAGAGGAGTCACCTTCCTTCCTTGCATTATACAGAGTACACGCAGGGCGGATATCTTTGGTCATGAGGGACGCTAGTATCAACTACGCAAGCTGAAAGGGCTCCGGCGCTGCGGAACGAGGCTTGGGACAAAATGGAGCAGGACGGCAATACCTAAGGTAGGTAAGGTAAGGGCCCTGTACCTAGTGCAATGAGACCGCGACACGGCACGACTCGGACCGTACAGGTTAGCATGAAGAAAAAGGAACTCGATCCCACATCAACCAAGCCCGCCCAAGCCTATTATTGATCGATGATGCCTGATGGGAGCTGTCGTCGCCAGTGGCTCGGAAAAGTGCACAAATGAGCAGGCAAGGAGGCAGAGACGTGTCGCTCAAATTGGAACCCGAGCTTGCCCAGCGAACGGATCAAATTGCAATGGTTCCAGAAGGCCCAGAATATTAAGCGACCGGGGTTACGTGCACCACAGGCATCTCAGATCATGAGATGAGCCGACCGTGGGCCGTGGCTACAGCCGAGCTTGCTAATCGGGGTTTGTCTTCTCGGGTTTTGTCATCCAGTGCAGCCGGCAAGCAAAGTGGAAGGTCGACTCGACGGTGGACATGTTTTCTCGACGCGGCACAGCTTGCTGAATCGCTTTGTAGCCTTTCCAATTGATGGCTCCAAGACTGGAGTGGAAGCAAAAAGCAATGATGGAGGTCGTTGGCACCAAGATATCTACTGCATGTATGTACCTACATACCTTAGATCCCGTAGATCTCAGGGCCATCGGCTTGCGCCTGCCCAGGTGTGTGTACATGCGGTACATGCGTGACCATCAGCTCAACTGCACCCCATCAGCTCCAGCTCCGCACATGAAAAATTTCCCTTTCGCCAGCCCTCTCCACTTCGGATCTTGGATACATCCACCCCCTGGATCGTCATTTACGTTTGTCATAGCGGCCACATGACGAAGCCCCTTGCTGAGATCAGGTACCACTGTCCCATTTGCAGGCGTTCACGCCGAGAAGTACCAAGCTCCTTCCCAGCTCCGGTGGCATCCGCTGGCTGCCCTTTCCCATTTTTTTCGTGTTCTTGGTTCGATTATGTACCTTTACCCACCAAAATCTGGTCAGGAATGGGCGGAGTCCACCACTGTGGACCGGTGTTGTTCGTGCCCTTCAAACCTCTGGCGCCTTCCCAGTTTTTACTTTTCCTCTCTCCACTCCACCATCACCAAAGTTTAGAGTCTTCTCTCCTTTTCTTTCCTTCCCTTCCCTCCCACCCACATATCCTGATATTCTCGATCTTTTCTCCTCACCCACCGGCGTGTTGCGATTTCAAGAAGCATCCTTTTGCGTGTTTTCTGCTGTCGTGTCCTGCACTTGACCTTTGTGTTCTGTGTTCGAAAACCACGCACTCTCCACCTTCTCCAGGCCGAAGTCGCCCAGTAATCCACTCAACGCGATCCTTGCCCCTCGAGTTAGCTCGTCTCGGCTCTTCGGATCCCTTACCTAGACGAACCTCTCGCACCCGTATTCGCCGAATCCTTTACTGCTTTTGCGGGAGTTTGTACGGATATCTGCACGCTGTCTGTTCAATCTGGAAACAGGAGTCCCTTGCCTGCGGAAACCAATTGTTGCCTTGTTGTATTCCGTTGCTCCCAAAAGTAAGTCTCGGCTTTCTTTTGCCCCGTGTCATTTCTCTTTGTGTGGTCTAGCAACCGGCAGCCTGGATCGTGTTGCTGCTGCTGGTTTCCCAATGATGAATCGCGATGCTCTGGTCCCTCCAACTCGCCAATGCGCCCCCTCTGTTGCCTGATGACAGCCTCGACCATCCCTCGCCTCGTCGGATAGAAATTACTTGTTCAATCGCGGGGTTGTCGACTAAGCCCTAGAGGATAATCCGATGCCCTACGATTTGGCTCCCTTGGAAACGCGATCGCGATCGCCGGCCGAACTTCCCATCGTCCATCCCGACCTGCTATTCCACCCATGTCCTATCCTGTTCCTAGATGTTTGAGGGGCGATTCATGGAGCTCTGAAGAGGTGGAATAATCACTCATCGAGTGCGGAAGGGGTGCTATGGTCGACTGTGGAGCTTGGGGAAGCCTGTCGGTTGGATGTTGGGGTATGCCGAAGCTGCCGAGTATGGTTTCTTGAGCCAACCTGTCATTGTGGATATGAATCTCGTCGATTGACTAAAAAGCCGCCGAGGAAGGAGAGAGGCTAGAGATGAACCCCTTAGGTTACAATCTCGGGTGGCAGCTGGAAGCGGAAGAGATTGGAGTCGGGCGACGAGAACTGCGAAACCCCCGACCCCCTTGACCTCGGGCGATCGGATTCCTCGAATGTGACCGGACCTATACATCCTATCGATATAGTTTGTCGTCAACTTTGCGGCGCGCAAGCCCATGTGGATAGCGATTCATCTGTGCAGAGTGATCTTGGCGCGATGGCGGCTCTCAAGCCAGGGTCTCTGCAAGAGTTCGTGGTTCTCACTCGGCGCATCTCCTTGTGGACTTTTGGGACACCGATGAATTGGTCGAACCGTACCGAGAGACGGCCCCGGAACCCTTCCGACGATGTCATTTTCGCCGACCAATATGTTCGAAGCTGCGGACCCCTGGCCACCCCGCTGGTCGCATACTTCGTTTGGATTTGGGGGTCCATCACTCAACACCTTGGAACACCTTGGAATGCCAGTGTTAGTACACTCGGCAGAGCACCCTGCCCCAAATCTCCTGACTTCTCGGCCATGTTGCACCTATCTCTGGTGGGGAGGACCCGGGGCATCAAGCCCCTGAGCTCGTTGTCAGATCTGTCGGATCTCCCAATGACACTTGAAGCGGCATCCGGACTGCCGGGAGAGGGCAGCCTGCGGGAAACCTGGTATTGGCAACCCATTGTCCGATCCACTGGACATCCCACAGGGCACAGGTCACCCCAGACGACTGGTGCATCCAGTGTATATACTGGCTCCGACTATCTCCTGCGGGGCCGCCAGCACCTTCGCCAATATGGCCATGTTGGACACACTGTTCAGCCAGCAGCGTCACGCTTGATTGACACCTGGGACGGAACTTTTTGTTGTGCGGAAGGCAGTCTCGTAGATGCCTTCCACAGACTGCGAGGCAGCGCCGTTTACAGGGGCGCTCAATCCTACCCCTACCTCTTGTTGGATACGGCCGGCATCGTTTCTGGGTCCTCAACAATCCCCCGAGATCTTACACGCGAGATACTTGGCGGCTTCTACCTCGTTTCAAAGCATGGATATTACAAACTGGCAGCTCCCATTGGATCTCCGCAGGACCTGTCCACCCTACCTCGCCTCCTCGAACCTCATTAGGCTTCTTGTTAAGAATGTCTGGAAACTTTCCAGTGGCCCCATCGGATTCCGATAAACTTCAGGCCGGATCCAAGCTGCCGTTGCTAGACTACTTGTTTTCCTTCTGTTGTTTCTCAAGTCGAGTGACTCGCTTTTCGACGCTTTGATGCTAAACGTGCAATATCAGGTTACCATCTAGCCTTGAATTGGTTCTACGATACCAACGAATCTCACATCAGATCTCGAACGCTTTTGCCGCGGCACCTGTCTTCACCTTTGACGAGTTTCCGCAGTCACTACCTTCGAGCCCGATCAATACTGGATGAATCCTTAGACAGCCCATACTAATACCCGATCTGTTGTGTCCTTCTGGTCTCTACCACTGGGCACCTACCAACATCCTCGTCTCGTGATCTTCGATTCCCTTTTCGGGAAGCCATCTTTGCGTTCCAAGGCGTGCCGGCGTGGCTGTTTGTGAAAAGTCCTGCTTTCGGGGTCTGGATACACGACTAGTCGACTCGATTACGTTGCATCGGCAAAGGAGGTTCCTTCGGTGTTTGCGAGTTCCGGTACTTTGCAGTTTGGAGATTAGGAACTGAACTTGTCCTTGGTGCGTACCTTCTCCTTTTCATGTTCCATGGCGCGGAATGCTTTTGCGAGTTGCTGGGAAACTGTGGGAGTTGCGAATTTCCACTTTTTCATCCAGACATCGTGCTGTTAGTGCAGCTTGTTCGTGCCCTTGTGTCTGGGTCCTGGAAGACCGGGACCGATATCCATTCCTGGCATTTGCATCAAGTGGCAGCCAGGCTTAGAAGACTTCTTGTCCGGCTTCAGAAACATCCAAATAGGTTAACCTCGTGTTTGCCTAAACATCGACTTCCGATCCCTGGCATGGCTTCCCACGTCACAGTCAAGCATCTTCCCTACCCCCTCGCCTTGGACTCTCGGCCCCTGACCACAAAGTTGCTCGTCCTACCAGCTCCATCCCATATCATGCCTTGCTGTTTGCCATTTGGCAGCAGCCCTGTCTATTTTCACGCCCCTTGTTCCTCAATTTTGGCTATGCACTACCCGGCCCCAGCCCCTTTTCAAATTAGGAAACATTGTCCACCGCATCATTACTTTATATACTGACGTTCTCAAGGAATTCGGAGGATTAGCGTTTACGATAACGGCGAGACGACGAGACAGCAAACGAATCAATACTTGAGCACAGTTCTAAAGGTTAGTGAGCACTCTTGTACTTCGCCGCTCTCTCTTTCGCATGTTTCCAGCCTGTACCAGCCTCTATTGTCTTCTCCCGCCAGTGCGGCTCTTTCAGGCGGCAGATCATCTTCGAGCCTCCCCCTGCCATCAGGCTTGGTGTCTCCATCAACCAAGAGACCCCTTTGGTGTTGAGAAATTAGGATGTTGCTGCCGAGGATGCCGTGATCCTCATGCAAGCCCATATGCACTTCATTGAGCCATCACGACTGTCGCCAGAGGTGAATCAAAGGCAGCCGAACTTCGTGTAAGGCGAATGTCCATGGCAGAAAATCTTCACGAGTTGGGTCCAGAGTTGGGTCCCACCTCGAGACTTTGCAGCCAGTCCCCGATATAAAATCTCCCATCACCACACAAGCTCTCCTTCCACTTCTACCCAACTTCTTCCCTTTTTCTCACCAACCTTCCTACCTCATCCCTCTCAAGGCTGTGTGCTTCTTTAAGGCACATCTTCCAGACCTTGTGTCTGCTCCTCAAAGGTTAACCCTACTTCCTCCGTCCTGCTGTCCATCCAAGCCCTACATCTTTTCCTTCTCAAACTCGGTAACTTGACCACCAAGCTAACCTAGGTGATTTTACAGGTAAATCCATCTCATCCGCACCACTGCCGCCTACATCGATATCCTCTCCCCAAGATCTCGCCCTGTCTCTCATATCTTGCCCTCTTCCCTTGATACACGGATCTCTGCCCTCGATACACGGATCTCTACCCTCTCTACACGCGGGTTTTATTCTCCACACGTTTCCCTTTTTCCTGCCTCAAAACAGAGCCTTTGTTTTTGTTTTGGCTGTTTTGGTGTGCTTAGTCGTGAGCTTAGTCGCCAGCTTAGTCGCGTGCTTAGTCGCCCCCTTTCTACCTCCCTTTTTCCCTCCTCCTCGCTCTTCACCCCCGCTCTTCGCCCTCACATACTTCCTCGTTCTCGCTCTTCATCTTCACCTTCTTCCTCATTGCAACCTTTGGACCTCTTTTTCCTTTTTTTTAACTCCAGTCCTTTCGGGTAGATCGCTTCTCCCTTTACAATCACGTCTACCTTCCAACTCCCTCAACCATCCTCTCCCTTCCTCCCTCCCACACTTCTTCTTCAGATATTCGGATCTTGCAGTCGACCGTCTAGATACGCCTTCTCTGCTTGGTACTCACCACTCTGCAGTATCTTCCATCTCCACGACGATTATCCCTGGCATACCTTATCGCCAGGAGCCCTTTCATCACCTGAACACTTGAGATTACAACCGGTAGGTCCATCGATTTCCCCCCCCAGTGCTCTGTATTTCCCTCTCTTCTCCCCCAACAGGTAGGTTCCCCTACCGCTTCAACCTCACATCTGCGGGTTTGCCTCTCGCTCCATACTTTGCTTCTTGCATAGTGTCCAGCCCCTCCCAAACCACCTCTTACCACCACACCCAATACCTGCACTGCTCTAGTCCTTGTTCCGGGTTCAATCACATCGTTCGGACTGGACTCCCAGCTCTAGGTTTTGCCATTTCCCCCATCTGTATGGTTTCCTGAACCCTGCATCCCGTCATTCCTCCATATCACCCGCACCTCCGCATCAACCTCTCCCGGGCCTCGACCGTCCCCCATCAGGTCAAGCCGTTGATACCTGGCTACTTCCTTTGCCTTCTACACGTCCCTCGCGCACGTCTATCACACTTTCACAAGACTTCTCACTTTGTCACCACACATTTTGACGTCTCCCAGGCTCTGATCTCGGAGCCCGAGTCACCTGCCCTCGACCCTGTCATACTCAGACTCTCGCTTCCTTCAGATCCTTTAATCTTCCATTCCACTCACCTTGATCCCATCCATCGTAACGTTAGATACTTGTTCTACCATCCCATATCAGCTTTTCGAGATCTAAGCTAACGCTCTCGCAGTCACCATGGCTGATTTCGCACCCCCAGGTGCCCCAGGCGCACCCACCAACCCCGGAATGAACGGCTCGAGCGACCCGAACTTCGCCCAGCCGACCATCTCGTCCATGCCATCCAATGAAGCTGCCAAGACCCTATGGTAAGTTTCTGGTTCCCTTCCTGCGTTCACATACATGGTTCCGTAAGCAAGTCACTGACGTGCCTTCTTTCTCCTAGGATGGGTGAAATGGAAGGCTGGATGGACGAGACGTTCATCAAAAATGTCTTCCAGACCGTCCTAGGCGAAGCTGTCCAGGTGAAGGTCATCCGAGACCGCAACTCCGGGTAAGCAGAACATCACCTCCCTGGATACAGTTCAAGTGCTGATGATGATATTACTAGCAATGCCGGCTACTGCTTCGTGGAATTCAACACCCCTGATGCTGCCCAGAAGGCTCTGGGCCTAGCTGGTAACCCCGTTCCCAACTCCTCGCGCGTCTTCAAGCTCAACTGGGCTTCCGGAGGTGGATTGGTCGACCGTCGGTATGTTCTATCTGCCCATATCTGCTCCATCCCTAGCCTAATGAACAGTGGTCACAGTGACGATCGCGGACCAGAGTTCAGCATTTTCGTCGGAGATCTCGGGCCAGAAGTCAACGAGTTCGTGCTGGTCTCGCTCTTCCAGAGTCGTTTCCCTTCTTGCAAGTCGGCCAAGATCATGACCGACGCCATGACCGGTCAATCGCGTGGATATGGTTTCGTCCGCTTCGGCGATGAGGCTGACCAGCAGCGCGCTCTCGTTGAAATGCAGGGTGTCTATTGCGGGAACCGCCCGATGCGCATCTCGACTGCTACCCCCAAGACTCGGTTTGACAAGCTTCCCTTCCTCTCCTTCCAGACACATGCACTGACGCTCTTTCAGCTCGCACCAGTATGGCCAGGCCCACGGCGCGAGCCCCATGGCCCCTCAGGTTGGCGGCCCTGGCCCTGCGGGTCAGATGGGCTGGGGAGTTCCTCAGTACTACAACCAGGGAAACTTCAACCCCATGCAGCCGATGAACCAGTTCACCGATCCGAACAACACCACTGTCTTCGTTGGCGGTCTCTCGGGCTATGTCACCGAGGATGAACTTCGCTCGTTCTTCCAGGGCTTCGGCGAGATCACCTATGTCAAGATCCCGCCTGGCAAGGGATGCGGTTTCGTCCAGTTCGTTCATCGTCATGCCGCTGAGATGGCTATCAACCAGATGCAGGGATACCCCATTGGCAACTCGCGGGTCCGTCTCTCTTGGGGGCGATCTCAGAACAATTCGGGAGTAGGTACCCCTTACCGACCTGCTCCTCCCCCTCCTCATTACATGAGTGGTATGCCCCCGCATGCTGGTGGCCCTGGCGGTCCCTACGGACCTCCCCACTTCGGTGGAAACCCTCCACAGGGACCACCGCCGGGTGGCCTTCAGGTAATGCACCCCTCCTTCCTTGGGCCTCCGCCCGGCATCCCCGCATACACTGCCTCCCATGCTTTTGAGGGTGCCGGTGCTGCTCCTCGACGTGCCCATGGTCGTCGTCAGCAGAACCAGCAGCCCGGGCAGGGCAATCGCCGCTCCTATGGGGCTCATGTCTCCCACTCAATGGGATCTCGTGGGCACCGTGGGCACCACGCATCGCGTGGGCAGGCCCAGCCACAGGGACTGCAGCAGCAGCCGTCGGGCTTCCATGCCCTTGCCCCCACCCATCCCCCGTCCACCATGCATTCTAACTCGCGATGACCCTGAAGAATGGACTGGCGCTGACCCGTAATTGCAGTAACGACCTCCCCGACCGACCGACAGTTCATCCTTCATCGCACGGCGTTGGGGTGTAGGCGTCCTGGAAAGTGGAAAAAGCTACCGCGTCGCGCGTTTTGAACTGCTTCATTACCGTCCTCGTTTCTCCGCGGCTTCGGCAACATTGGCCGTCCTTCCACGAGCCAGGATCGGCATTGCTGGGCGTTCCGTCTTTGAGGTCGGGATCTGTGTGTTTGGCGGTGGATTGAATGGCTTCCGGGTTGCTCATTTGCCACAAGCTCGACGGGTTTCGCTTCGTTTCGCTGCACCATAGTTCTCTTTCGATTCTTTCCTTCATTCCCGCTTGGGACTTGAACGAGCTTCATGGGCGGCACCCTCTCCCGGGGGGAGCTGCATCCCGAAGTTCCTACCTCTCGTTTTTGCACCGTTATCTTTCCTTGCCGTTTTAACGCATCAGGGTCACGGCGAACTTTTAATAGTTCAGGTAGTCATCGTCGCCCATGGGCTTCGATTGTCTGCACTGCCTCCTGATAGGGAAATAAAATTGGAGTTTTCTCTGACATGTTGCCGTGTGCCATTTGCTTGCCGTCTTATGTCCCTTCTTAAACCTCAGTGCTCTGCGTAGTTGCCATCTAGTATTTGCCCTTGGTCGTCATATTGCTGCCTCTCCCGTCCTCGCCTCACGGTGACTCAGGACAGCGATTATCCCCACTAACCGGTCCAACATGCTGCAATCTGCTAAAAACATATCGCCCGATGAAAAAGTGGATTGCAAGACAGCTATCGCCAGTGATACCTTGCTACAAATACGAGAGCGGGATTTTTCGCCGCGCCGCAAGCAGGTTTTGCTTGGGGCGTATAATAATCATATCGTGATCTTGGGACGCCGGCATACATTGTTCTTCTTTCTGCAAGGGAAACGAGTTGTACAGTGAACATGACTTGGTTTCTTGGGCTGTTTGAATGCTGGGGCAACATCAGCCTGCTACTCAATATACATCATTGCTTGCCATCCGACGACATACTTGTGCTGGCAAGTTACAGCTTTTCATTATGACCTTTTCCAAGTCCGTCCACAATGTATTAGATGCCGCTTTGTTCCTTCTTTCTCGTTGGCAGGGCCCCCTTCATTCGCCATATCCCGACTCCTGAACGCATAAACCCAAATCAAAAGACCGATCGATCGATAGGTAAACCATCCAACCCCAAATCACCGTATCTCTAGCCATCCCTCCCTCTCTCTCTCTCTCCCTCTCCCGCTCCTCACGACGTCTTCCACTCCCCGGCGTCCTTGACCCCCTTGGCAATGGAGGCGGCGCCGCCCTCGATGCCGCCGCCGACGTTGGCGATGCCGTCGCCGACGGGGCGGCCGGCCTCGCCGGTGGCGCCCGTGACGGTCTCGCCCAGGCCGCGGCCGGCGGCGCCGAGGACGCCGCCCACCGTGTTGGTCAGGCCGCCCACCGTGGCGCCGATCGTCGAGGTGACGGTCTTGGCGGCGCCGGTCACGCCAGAGGTTGCGCTCTCGGTGGTGGATTTGTTGTTGTTGTCGGTGATGCCCATTTTGGTGGTGGTTTGGGGGGTGTTTGTGGGTGTTTGTTTGTGTGTGTGTGTGGTTGGGATGTGGACTGTTTCTTGTCTTTGGTAGAGAGATGTGGGATTTCGGAGAGAGGACTTTCTTTGGTTGAGAGAAGAGTCTTGGGTGTTATATGCTTGTTTCTTGATGGCTCCCCCTTTCTGGTGTGGCGTGTTAGTTCCAAGTTGTTGACGGGCCGGCTGGCTACGTCATACCTGCTGCCACACCCACCTCGATGTCCACAACGGCTCTGTCTGGTTTGACGGGCCACAAATGGAGGGGGCATATTAGGGGGACACTTTTTGCAAGTCTAGGCTCCTCTGCATGACGTCGGATGTGCACCTGCCTCCCGTCCATAAGTGGGAACGAATCAAGTTGGCGTGGTAAGCGCGAGCTGTCGGTGCGGCCACTTGATTCCCGTTAGATTAATTCCCGCCATCGAGGTTGGAAAAGACATGCTCACCTGCGCCTCTCAGCTGGGAGAACCCTTGTTGACGAGTCAGGCATTAGACGGTGATCGTCTGCGTGGGGAGGTGCGGGAAAAGCCTGGAATTTGGACTGCCAGAACGTTGACGCAAGATCGCTGCGCCGTTTCGACGATCTGGGGATGGGCGCAATGTTGGGAGACGGGATCGTGGAGAATGCGGGTGGCAATGTTGTCGCTGCTGACCGTGAACCGGGGGCCTCACCTCTCTACTGGTACCTTCCATGTTGTACACCCGAGGGAGCTGCTGCAATTGCGACATTGCTTTTCGAGATTCTTGGATCGCATCGTTCCTTGTTTCCTGAAAGCACTCTGTAATTAGTTGGTTATTGCGTGGCAATGGCCCCAAGCTGGGAACCGGGTAAAATCAGACTTCATGACATGGACTTACCTTCTCGCAAGTCGGAATACATTTTCTTTGTCCTGGTCGCCAGCTCGGGTGTAAGGTACTTGGTACCTTTCCAGGCACTTATCTTCCATTCCATCTCGCCATGTTCATCGAAAATCTTGTCTGCCCATTGATTCAGCGTTTCTCTTCGAAATAACCAATCCTACTGTTGGCTGGGACATGATGTACCCATCATACCTTTATTGGATGAGGATATTGCTTCTTGTCTGCCTATTCCTTTGTTGCCCTCCAATTCTATTCTAAACGGACAACATTATTCTCTCTTCTGCTAACACTTTTCAGGGGTGACAATCATTCCTCGCCCTTCTACCGTTGTTGCTGCTACTTTGACCTCCACCGGTTCCTGCTTGCTCTGCGATCTCCTGTTATAAAAGACGAAAATTGCGCCTACCAACTACCCACTACCCGAGGATACTGTAGACCATCCTCTCCGAGTTTCTAGACCCTGATCTGGAAGAGTTACAAACTAATCGACGGGAGTACTGACCATGAATTGACTTCGACCTTTGTGGTATCTCAAACTGACTTCGAAGCTGGTGGTAGCGATTCCTAGAAACTAGTCCAGCCCCCAGTATATGTTCCTGCGGATAACAAGCCCCCAGTCGCTTTTATCACGCTTCCTCCTTCTTGCCTAGCAAGCTGTGCTTCCGGCCCTACAGTTTGTGTTCTGAATGCGTCCATCCAAGCGTCATCTCTGCACCGTCTGCAGCCGTATCGAAACGTTTGCTATGCCATTTGGAAGGTCGGTTCGAATGTTGATACGGCGGCCCAATAAATACGTGCCTACAGATCATGGCAACTCGCCGTGCCTGATGATGGCCTTTCGAGAAACAGGCCTTGCTTGATCTGGGCAGATCTGCTCAGATGATAGTACCTGGGCCGAAGAGATCGCGGGACTCGGTTTCTAGTCCGACTAGTCGAACATACAGACTCATGAGTCCATAGATACGATCAGTACGATGGTGACCTTTGCAAGTGGCAGCCCTTGGATAGGCTCGGGTCCATCCAAATCTTCTCGGACGTCTTGTACTAGACATCTCGACCATTGTGCTGCTTTTCTCCCCCGTGTACTTCCTACTGGAAGCCAAGCTTGCTAGGATCGAGCACATGAACCCCTTAAACGGTGCGAGTCTACTACAAGAACCCTTGAAGGAGACTTGGTAGCCAGGAGAAGGGGTCTCCTTACCACCAAGTTCAAATGCCAGCGATGGAAGTTCCTGTAGTCGCCTGATTCAACCCAAGCTCCACGATCTAGCTAACACCCTCGTGGTAATTACCTCTCGGGAGACGGAAAGCTCACAAAGCACGGGCTTTCTTGGACCCAGCTTGATTAAGGAGTGGCAAATGTCCTAGTTGCTTGTGTGTGATGACATTCAGAGATTATAAGGAAGCATATTTGCCTAGGTAGTCTACGTGCCCCTGTCGAGATAGTTCGTCAGCTACAACAGCGCATCACGGGTTTGACGGCCAGCATGGAAAGCAAACGAGAATCTAGTTACGCTGAACTTCAAGAGTGCTGCTGTATTTAGTGCTAGTCCCGCCTTGTAACGGCATTGGCTTAGTTTGGTAGCCTGACCCCTGGGATAAAAGAATCCATGGGTACAGTTGAACGCATGATTCCTGGGTAAATAAAGATTTTTGTCAGATCCTCCCCCCGAACTATTATCCCCAGCTGCCTGGCCATTTGTGAAAGGGCGCTGACCATGCAATTCGCTTGCAGGCAGGCTGTACTGGAATAATCTATAACCCCTCTATGAATGAAGCTCAAGTCTTATCTCCATTTCTCCATTCACACAAGTTACCCCTGTTACATTTGAGGCTGTGGTGTTGTCAAGGACTCTTGGCACGCGAGTAGTAATGTCGGGGACAAGTACAAGCTCGATTTGAAAATATTGCTCATGGATTTCTCACACCAACATTTCTGATGGCACCACTTCTTGGTTGGCACTTTTCTTCCTCATCCTAACCATCTTGCAGTTGCAACTGCCAAGAGAGATGATACAGTAGCAGCAATCACACTTGCTCCCTGGCCACACAACATGCCACAGATTCCGCACTACGATCATCGCCGCTGGGAGCGCTGGAAGGAAGAAATGCTGTTGGCTCTGTGCGGCGGTCCTCCCGAGGTGGAGGACGAGTTCGAGAACTATATGGCCCTCGATCCGGTCTCGACGCCCCGCCCCGCTTCCCCAGCCTTCCTGGAACAAGAATACTACCTGGAGCTAGAAAACGTCCTGGAATTCGGGGACGATATTGATGGGGTCCCGATAATGCCCCCCACGCCAATACTCCCAACAGTGGAGTCGGCACAGGACTATATACTCCATCATCGAGAACGGTTGGAGAGACTCGGCATGTTCCGCGGGCTTACATTGGCTGTTTTTCGCCCCGCCTTGAGCGCCACGACAGAAGAACGACCATATTGGACCTATCAAGACGACCCCCCGCCCTTCATTCTGAACGAGGCTCCGCCAGAACCCCCCCTGCCGGATACCCCATCACCTTCCCAGCAGCCTTCCGCTCTTCCCGCGTCTCCACAGGACCCGGGCGCCGCCGCGCCTGCCCAAGACCTACCCCTTTCCCAGGGAGAGGAACCCGGCCCTGCTCTTCCTCCTGCTCCCGCTTCCGCCATCGGAACAGCGGGACCTGCTTCCCAGTGACAGGTAACAAATCCCCTGGTTGCCGAAATCTCGTTGCTCTCGCGGATGAATACTTACAGTCTTTTTTCTTCTTCTTCCAGATATCGGAGCTGTCGTTTTCTGCTTGGCATCGAAGACCTCCTTCAAGCAATAACACAACCGTGGATGTCGGTCGAACCGCTCAAGCTCAGACTTAGGGCCAGAGGGCATTTTTGCCTAGGAACTTGGACAGATAGACGGCCCACGTTGGACAGAAGGGGATAAGACATAGGGGGCTGGAGGAAGGATAATCGAGTCTTCGTTGTACAGTACGTACGCAGATAACCTGGATGATCCGTCGAATCGCACCGCCTGTACGTACTTGGCTGCCCCTCACAGCGGCTGCGAAAGCTGTGCCACAATTATTCTGATGCGGCAAAATATGTGGAAATGTATCATTTCCGCCGGAGCTGACTCTGAATAGTAAACGATGTAGCTCAACGTAGTATGTCCTTATAACCTGGATGGTTATTTTTTGCATGATATCCAACTACTGCGCATCGTTGGAGGGAGTATAAAGCGGTTCATTTACTTGCCGCTGCATCACCTAACCAGTCCATCCTCTCCTCCCCTCATCGTTGCAGATGCTCGTCTTGTTCAGCCCCTCTCACACATCCTTAGAGACTCGACCCAATGCCTTTCGCGAGCCAACCCTGACGCCTGAGACCTCGGCCCACTCGACCCACACGACATTGTAGCACTCGTACCAGTTCTCATTGTAGATGCTCCAACTGTTCTTGACCATCTTAGCATTGGCCCCGGTGTACAACTCGTTACGCTTCAGGGTCTGGCACCTCGAGATAGCCACGAACTCGACTCTCGTCTGATCGAGTGCGCCCTTACCGTGGAAGACGTCCGCGGCGTCGGGCACATGGACATCCAAAACTCCGACGATACTGCCCGCCTCGTCACGTAGCACCTGCGTGCCTAGCTGGGAGTCGATGCCGTGCTCGGTGGCCTTCTCGACGAACGTGTCGCCCGCCCCGGCTTGCCAGTCGGACCGGTGGATGTAGAGCGGGATATGCTCGACGGTGCCGAAGAGATAGCGCGGCCGGACCACGCGGGGCCGGGCCGGGTCCCCGGTGGGGTCTTCCATCGGGATCAGATACCAGAATAGCTTGTCGGGTGCCGAAGCGTGCGTGTATACAATGCTCTGGTTGTGGGCCCGTGGAGCTTGCCCCGCGTATAGCCTGTCCAGCTTCCGTCTGGAGCGCGACCATCCCGGCCGCAGCGGCCTGTCGGGGCCTTTGAATGTATCCTTGGCCTCGAACCAGCGCCGGGATTGGATCGGCCGCCTCTCGCCGGCGGTAAGGTCGGGACGGTCGCCGGTGGACCAGTCCACCGTGGGGATGACCTCAGCATGGGCCGCCACCTTCGACACGACGTGGTCCACGCCGTCGAACTCCGGACTCCGGAGTAGACCCCAGCGGAATTCATCCGGGGGAAGGTTAGTCCACCCAGCCCACGACCAGCTCGGCCAGGCTGCTGCTGCTGGAGATGAGGCGGAAGCTGAGGTGGGCTCGTCTATCGCCCGTCTTGACTCTCCCTTGTCTTGCTATCCTGCGGGTAAAATCCAGAAAGAAAGACTTCCCTGCTGTGCGCATTCTCGGTGTCATCTCACAGCCATTATATCCTGGTAAGCGTTGTAGAACAATCCGCAGCAAGGGATACACTCCCTCAGGACGTCCATACTCCGGGCTTGTCTGTTCTGGCAGTTCGGGAACTAGTGTCGATTAAGTCGAGGACACGTGGAAGCCGCATACCATCTTGAGTTCGATCAGGGTTTTATAAGGACAGAAGTATTTCGGCGAAGGGGAAATCCTCCAGTTGAGACTGTTCCAGTTTGAAAGCTCCCTACCCCTCAGGAAAGGAGCTCTCCTTCAAGCGTTGACCGTTCCGTGACTCAAGGAGTTTTCCCTTTTTTTTGATCCTCGTACTGCTCATTTCCATCATGCCATACTCCTCTCGGCGCTACGAGTTCCCTAGTGGCTATCCCAAATGTTGACAGAGGTTTCCCCGGCCGTGTTCGAGTCCAATTGTCCTCCTCTCGTTCCCTGGTTGGTCATATCGGCAGACTGAACTTGTTGCAAACGGACGGCGGAGCAGAGCACCCTCAAAGTAACCTAAGAGGGAGGCAGCCATAAAGGGCAGTACGAGACCTTGAATTTCGTACCCCTGAATGTGTTGTTAGTGTGACCATTCCGCATTCCCAGTTATAGGTCGACGCACCAGTATTCCTTCCAGTTATAGAACCGAACCTCAAGTTTATCCACGGTCAAGTCTAACCAGAATCATTGCCACTGTCAGCAAGGGTTTTCATTAGCTGAATTCAAATGTCCCCTTGTGGTATTGAGTCCTGATGACGATGGTTTCGTTGAACTGACATCTTGCCAGCATCTGAAGAAGCAACAGAAGCAACAGAAGCAATTCCACAGGTCTTACCCTGGGGAAAGGGCAGTATTGATGAGGCAGTATTTCATGCCTAACAAACCAGGGAGGATGCAATTTGTTAGATGCCTTATTGGTCTGCATTGATATGGGAGCTGGACAGTTAGTTTTATCCCTACAGGCACGCATTATCCAAAGCCTCTTGTCCAAGACACCGAGGGGTGGCCGCACCCCTTAATAGCGTAACCCCTTAAGACGCCTGGGGCCCCATTGCCCTTTTGTTTATGGGCGATCGTGGGCGAGTTCCAAGCAGATGGGACAATTCACTCAAACTACAAATTCGCAGGTGTGCACTGAGCGCGAACTGCAAATTCGCAGGTGTGCACTGAGCGCGAGATCTCAGTATAAATACCCCCAACCTTTTTCCCTTTCTTGATTCTTTCTTCCTTACAACCAAAGACCTCGCGCCCTCACCCTTCTTCCGACTCACGTATAATCCACATGGAGATGAGCCTGCAAGCTGACATTTAAGTATATCCCCAGACATCATAGGTAAACAGAGCTCAGCAGTGTAATCATCTTTGGTCATGACCCATACTTGGTAAGAAACCCCAACATACTTTCCCCAAGGCTCCCTCTCCGCCGGCGATCCAGTACGGAGGACGTCGTACGAACCAGGTAAATTCTCAATCTTCTTCGGGCCACTGACGGGACCAACCCATAATCCATCTAGGCCGCTTCAAGGTAAGACATCCCCAGGCAGCATTGTTCTCCTCCCCTCCGTTTGCCTTGTCACTTCCCACACACCCAGCCGAGTACGCTCTTCCTCGCCAGGGACCTGTGTTTCTCCTGCCCCAATCTCTTCAGTTTCCCCTTCCCCAGCTCCTTGTGCCCAACTGTTCCCTCACCTGCTACGGTAAGTACGGTAGGTACCACCTGAATGATCGTTCCGAAGACTTCCCCGCCCAGCCCAGCTCCGTACACTGTCTCCCACCTTGCGCCTCGCCCAGGGTCTGTTCCACTCACCTTTCTGACGCCCAGTTCAGACATCTTAAGTTGACAGAACAATGTCAGCGACTCGGCAGATAACAACCAAATGGCACGATGATCAGACGATGCGAGATATTCACGTTCAAGAGGACGTCGGTTTATCACTTTGGTTTGCTTCCTGCTTCGTGGTTTGTTGACTCTAGCCAGGGCGGGAATACACACGGCAAATGGCCCCGCGAAGCGCGACACGAAATGCGGCAAGATGTGACCTTTTCTTCTCTCGTCCGGTACGTACGTCTCCCTGGTTCCTCCCGCCACTCACCAATGATGACTTCCTTGTGTAGTTTTCGATCCGAGACATTTCGTCTATGTCGACAAACGAGAGCCCCCCTCTGAGACTGGAATTCTACCTTACCGTCTTCGTTTTGATTTCCTCGTCGGGACTCGCTAATCTTCCTGGCATACAGGGCATTGTTTCGACTTGATCTAGACCAATTCGTCTCCGAGAACACGTCGGAATCAAACAACGAGGTATGCTGCCATTTTGATAACTTGTCCAATACCTGATACATTCCTCTGCCCTCTGCCCTAACCCCTTCCCCGTTGACCCACAGAAACATCGTCGTTGTGTGTCACCTGAATTCACCTCATCCTTTCTCTCGTACGCACCCCAAGGCTTATAATGATGATATTCTACTCTTCCGACCCCTGTCATCTCCATCGATACGGGGATGAAGACCATGGAAGGTCCTTCTGACACTAGCCTTCCCCAAACTCTCCAACTTGTGCCCAAACACACAGAGATCTTGTCTTGTTTATCCACTAACACGGTAGTGTTCGTCCCCTGGACAACTACCGAACATCCTGGCGACTACAACGGCATTGCCATCTTGGCCTCCTCAAACCCAAACAATTCCGCGTCCATGCTTTTTCTCGAGCCGGCTTCATCGTCCTCTCTTCCTCAAAACTCGAACATTCCTCTCGTCCAGCCTTTTCTCGAACCGACTTCATCGCCTGCCCTTCTTCAGAACCCTTCTCGATACGGCCTCGTCTCGTTCCTCTCCGCTGCCACCATGGGTCCTCCAATCTAGCCAATCCTCGCGTCCAACCTTTTCTCGAACCGGTCTCATCGTCCGCCCTTCTTCAGAACCCTTCTCAGTACGGCTTCGCCTCGCACCTCGCTGCGATCATGCGCGGTTTTCTTGATGTCCGGCACTGCCCCGGCATATCGGGTGAGTCTCGGTTCATATTCTCCCTTCTTCATCTCCATCCCCTTCTACACACTCCGTTCCGAGACCCGCTTCAATCAAATATTCTCCCACATCCTTGCCATAGAATCCATGCTGCTCGAGGCAGCGGCGCGTTCCTCGCAACTTTGGGTTCAGGGGTATTCACCATCTCCTGGACCCAGCTGGAACGCGCAAGATCAAACTTGTCCGGCCGACCAGCTCAGACGATGCCAAGACCGTGCAGTCTGAGTCTTGAGGCTGGATACATTAGTTCACCTTTGAGACCTTCCTATTCCCCATCCCCCGTACACACTCGTTTCGATGACTATTCGCAGATTTTATCCCTCGGCCTTGGTCGCAGATCCCTTCGACGATGCTGCTCACCGCCGGGCCACGTTGACTGCCGAGCCTCGAACACACAAGAAAATAAGATCGACGATTTCGGAGACGGACCTCATCTCACGGAGAGATTCACACTTCAATACGGTTAGTGAGCGACTCCCATCCCACCTCTCACGTTTATTCGTCCAGTTCAATCCGCCAGAAGTTCTGTCTTATCCTCTCGTCCATCCTCGCTACGGATACATCGAAGCCTACATCATCACGCTGACGGCATCTGGCGGCTGTTCATACGCCTCCAACATGCCCCGGAATCAAAGGGTGTTGAACATCCGGTAACGAGGTGCTACTTCCCCAGCCACTGGAAACTACCCAACTCCCATGGTTAGCTTCGCCGACCGCAAGCAGTTACTTGCACTTTGTACGTCCCCCTCCTTCAGTTTCTGGACCTGGAGCCGCAGAGTTTGCTAGGTAAGTCTCCGTTTCGATTCCCTTTCCCATGATAAGAATGAGCCTCTAGCTAACTTGAGCAGTCTAGGATACAGGACGATCCCACCAATTTTCATTCTCCGACAATCCTCATCGACAGCGACGCTTACCGAGCCTCGAACCAAAGCACACCAAGCCCTACGAACCGTCCGTACAGTCAAGCAAAGTCGTTGGAAAGGATTGGGTGGAAGGAAACGGGGGGTGTTGGGAAGATACATATACAAACACAACCAAGCGAGACTAAACATCTCTCTTGGGCCCGTCCCAACCCTAAGGGTCCCAAGTGCTTCCACCATACTTGACGACCATATTAGGGGGTGGAAGATCATACCTTCATTGGTTCAATTCGAAACTAGCCTTCTTGTCTAGAGTCTACGACAGAGGGAAAAACGGGGATTGGACATGCTTTATATTTCAAGATAGTGTTTGCTTATTGATTATGGGTTCTGTCGTTTTAAAATGTGGCGCTCTTGAAGTGTGTGTGAGCTACGCATCTCATCTCGGAGGTGGTGTAGTCAAATTTAGGTTAGAGTTGGCGGAGAGATCAAGTTTGGGCGCGCCTTCGGAATGAAATGATGTTAGGCTAAACAAATACAAACCTGGTTTCCGTAGATTGCCTTTGACGGAAGACCGGGCAACAGAAAACATCCATTTCTGGGGGTTCTTTGTATGCTCTTGACCCTTGGTCCTTCTCACACTATCTCAAGAACGCGTCCAGCAGCCCTTCCCCTGGTGTACGTCTAGTCTCTCTAAACAGGAATCAAGTTCCCTCCAGCAACGTGGCTGTATTGAAGACTTTCATTAGTGTGGCAGCCGTAACTAGCAAATAAAAGGACGTTCAAGGTCTCTCGGGGGATGGTTCGTCTTCTACAGTGATTCAATTCATCATTCCAACAACACACCGAACATTAAAAAGTAAGTCCCAACATTTCAACAGCATCCTGGGTATCACCCCCCAATCGCTACGAACTACCAACAGCAGACTATCTCTCTGATCAAGGGCTCTTCATATAGCCGCACCCAACAGTCTCTCTACAGAAATTTCAAACCCAGAAAACCTCGCCATCAGGGGAATTTGCAAGCAAAAAAAAAAAAAAAAAAAAAAAAAAAAGGAAGAAGAAAATAAAGGAAAAGAGAGACGAAGAGAGGAAAAGAGGAAAAGAGGAAAATCCATTTTGCCGATCCTTAACACAAGTTTGTCCAAATCACACGAAACGAGAGGCGACCAATTGCCCCAGGGTGTTTATGAAGGAATTGCATCCGCTGGGACTCGCCGCCGCGGGGGTCGTGGACGACGGATAAGTAACGGGATGACATCGGTTGCTCCTAGGGCGGGATCCTCATCGACGAAGTCATCGCCCATCTCAGTGTCCGAGTCATCGTCGTCGTCATCGTCTCGCTCCGAGTAATCCTCGTCCTCCGAGTCGTCGTAGTCGTCGTCTTCCAAATAGGCGTCGGACATGTCGCTCGAAGCGATCTCCGCCTCCGCGAGGACCTTCGATGTCACGGATCGGCTCGAGTTGAGGACGGCGGTGATCAGGCGGAGGACCTGTTCGTCGGCCATCCACGGGGCTTGGGTGGTAGCGTCGGTCATCATCCACTCGGCGAGGCGGGAGGGGAGTTTGGTTGCGTAGCAGAACTCTTGCCTCTTCTTGCTGCGCGGGACGAAGATCTCCAGGCGGGAGTCGACCTCTTGGATGTGGAGGTCGCCTTGGTTGTTGACGTGGTGGTGCTGCTGGCCGTCTTGAAACAGGTAGAATTCCGAGATGATTTCCTCGGAGTCGTAGACTTGGGCGTTTCTCAGCATGTTGTAGACATCGTCGCCCCATTTCACCCTTGGGCTTTTGAAGTGGAGCGCGATTCTGTGAAGTCAGTCAGTCAAGGGGTTGACGAGATATTGCAGGGAGAGATTTGTGACGGTACCGGTATAATGCATGGGCCTTTGGGCCGATTCTGCGTCCAGGAGACGATATGGCTCGTCTCTCTCCTGTGACTGTTGAAATCTCCTTGATCCGGAACAATAGATACCTTCCAGGCCAGAGCCAGAGCCACTGGAAAAACGGACCAAGTCGGCGGACTTCGTCAACGGTGAAGTCGAGCAAGTCGACGCTCCCGGCGAAGATGTCTCGTAGGGGCGCCGTGTCGGCGATGGAGAAGTCTGAATCTGCTGTCCAGAGCTCGACTTCGCCATTTGGGCGGCGAACAGGGAAGATGCGCGCCTTGAGCAGTAGCTTCGGGTCTGGGTCTGGGTTGTAAGGCCAAGTCGCCATCAGGGAGTTGAAATCCCAGATTTGTTGTTTCACCTGGTCGACCGATGGCGATGGTGAGGAACCCAGTCGTACGAGCTCGTCGCAGATCACACGGAGGTTGATGGTTTCGACCCCGAGAGAGCCGACAAAGAATTCTCGCAGACTTTTGTAATGCTCGGCCAGGGTTGGTTTCCCCCGGATCGCCGTGCCACTTGCCCACAGGCACTCCGACACTCCGTACCAGCCGAACTCCACTTCATTCTCTTCCACGTATATGAGCTTTTCGTTTTGGAAAGTCGTTCTGTTGTACGAGTTTCATCAGCATCGGCACGTTGATAATTTGGCTGATTTGACTTACTTGAGGTCCCACTTCTCCGAGCTCGTCATCGTTGAGGTCATGCGGCTGAGGTGGCGGTATAATTCGAGAATGTCGGCGTTGTCCTCCGCTGCATTTTCGTTGATATACCTCAACTCGTCCACGATGTTGCGCCAAGTACAGTTGGGTATGTCAAGCACCTCAGAAAAGAGCTTTTCGATGTTAGACCCCTCGGTTGACGTGCTACCAACCACCTCCTCGAAGCGCGACCGGAGGGAGTATGTTATCATCATGGTAGCGGGCGCATCCCACAAGCATTGGTTGGGAGTGGCCCAGTTAGCACGCCAAATCTTGTCGGGAGACACAAATATTGGCGACTCGTCCATGAAGAAATTCCTGTCAATTATACTTAGTCATTGAATCATGAGGCTAGAGGAGTCAGCAACTGACTGTAGCTTCTCCCGATCACCCGGCTTTGATGCCAACTGGCTGTATTTTTCGTAGATGGCATTGTACAGATGGGCAAGTCGCAATCCACATCCAATGTCTTCGGCATCTGTCTTGCGGATTTGACGCAGTATTTCAAGGTAGAACTCGAGGTCTTCCTCGACACCCACTCCGAGCGGACACATCAGGAAGCCCCAGTCCACTGAGTCATGTTCCAAGCGGATCCCCAGCTCTATAAACGGGAATATCTCTGTTCCGTTTATAAACCTGTAACACTGCTCCTCAAGATTTGGAAGTGGAAGATAAGTGTCCAAGAGGCGTGTCATCTGACCATCCCTGCACCGGACCCTGATATTCCCCAGCTTCTCCTGCAAAGGGGGAGAATCCTCTATGGCCTTCCCTTCGAGGGGCCAATGGTGGCGTAGAAAGCCAAGGAAATTGTCCGGGTGGTGCTTTGCGACGTAGTAGCACGCTTCGGAGAGGTCCTGAGCATCAGGCGTCGCGAGTCTCAGGTGGCGCCGCAATCCAGCATAGCTGCACAGCCAGTCTTGCCAAGTCTCCGAAGTGGGACATGGCCTCTTTGGGACGCGCATAAGATGGCCCGGATGAATGAAATCTATCGACATGCCAGGTGCATCTGCCCTGAACGCGTCTCCGCCATCCGTCCGCTTTAGAAACTTGTGTGGGCCGAATGGGTTGTCATCGTCGGGAAGATACACATCCCTGAGATGAGGCGCGCAGAAAGACCCTTGCCGGTTTATCACCATGATAAATGCATGATCCTGCATCGGGTCTAGGACGAGATGATGCGTCAAGTAGAGAAACACCAGCTGGTCACAGACTTGGTAGACACAGGCGTTTACCTTGTCCATCTTCCGATAGGCTCCATGCCTCTGGAGAATGGACTGGCGCACGAAGTGGACGGGGGCGCGGCGGACGCCGAGGCGCTTGAGTAGCTCTTCACGTTGTCGACTCATTCGTCTCATTCGTCTCAGTCGTCCCGAAGTTCGAATCACGCTGAGCCCGAGATCTTCCGGAATCCTGAGTCCTTCGGTTTCTGCAAAGAAGACATATCCCCCGTCGTTCTGCGAGACCCATGATTCGTCTTCCAGCGGCAACAGAGGCATAGAGCGCAGTCTCCGACACGCGGAGGAGGAATTTGCATTTTCAAACATCTGCGCAAGCAGGCGTACGACTCTCCCATGCCACTCGCCATCAGGATGGTTGGACCTCATTCTCGATGGCTCCATTGATAGATCGTGGTCTATCAAGTCGATAATCGTGTTGTGATCGAGCAGGGGCATCTCGTAGCTCTGAAGCACCTTGATATCATCGTGACTGTAGGACCTGGAGAGGTAAATCTCGGGTGTTAGATCCTGAAACAGGGGTTCGCCATCGAGATCGAGGTGAGATCTTTGATGCAGTCGTAGTTCCGTGATCATTCGGAGGGGACCTTCGCTTCGGGGCCGCAGCACCGGAGTATCCCGCAACTTGGCTCCAATCATTATGAGCAGACATTGCCCAAACGAGCCGGGTGGACATCCGTCTTTGTTGGGAAGGAATCTCATCCAGGTGTACTGAAGAGTCGGGTGTTCGCAAAACTGTAGAACAGCCTGGATGAATGCATCGCTGATGGCAATGAGAAGGCCTTGGAATCGCACTGGTGTCGTAACAATATCCTGCCAATTTCCTTGCGTCCCGAAATCGCCCAGTATCAGGAACTTGGCATGATTATTAGTTTTGGTTCTCACAGTATCCTTTTTGTTTTTGTTTTGGACCCCTTACTGGTAACCCCGTGTGCCTCACAGGTGGAGATGCAGAGATATCCTCCGGTTCAACGATGGGGACTGAGCGGGCAGTCAGAGGGAAACCTAGCACCACCTCGGAATGTGTCTCGATTGTCTCCTCGAGTCCCAAGGAGGATACAGTCTCGCTATTTGCAAGGTCATTACTCGAAACGTGTCTGGTGACGTGGTAAAATTCGGTAGTTATCTTTGGTTGACCATCTCTCGTGACCTTTTCCAAGGTCAGCCGGTTTGGAGCTGTCTCCTTTGCACACATTACCGTCGACGTCAGCATTTCGTCTTCCTCGCCGAAGAAAGAGATCCCGATCTCCCGCAAGTTCCGCATGAAGAATAAGATGTTGTATCGCAGATCCCTGAACTGCTCTCGAATTGTTTCGCGCTGGTCGCCAGTGTCGTGGAGGAACAAGGTCATCCTCGTCAGGGGTTGGGGCAAGAGACTGTTTGGCTGGCGCCAGATTAGAGAGATCTTTCCAAGTCCCAAATCCCCGCTGTGGCTCTTGAGGTAGAACGAACAGTCACCGGACTGGATGCAAACTCTCGACGATGCCATGAATACAGACTTGAAGCGGATGCTCCTTTCGCCAATGTATCTCTGCTCCCCAGTCTTGGAGCCTTCGGCGACGTTGCAAAGGTCTTTGACATCCTTGTATGTAAAACCGTCTTCGTTGCAGTCGATTACAATGCGATTATGGTACACCCGGAAAGCGATGGAAGGGTGTTCTCCTTGCCGTTTAGCCTTGGTGAAGTGACTATCCTCGGCGTTTTGAAGCAGCTCAAAGACGAATCCTGCGTTGCTTGCGAGGAGCTCCATTCCCAGACTAATTAGAATGGAGTTAGATAGTTGGATATCGTAGATCAGGTCAGTTTGGAGCCTTACTTAGACACAGAAAGGGCCCTCTTCCTCTTCCGCGACGCATCTACGGAAGTTGCCTGATGGTCTAGAGGTAGGCTTGCCAACTCTTCATCACTGACATCGTCATGGTTACTCGAAATAGATTCCACGACCGGCTGATCCTGCACTGCCCCCATTTGCGGCGACTCCATGATGATCAACGATCAACAGTCAAGCGCGGAGAACTTCTCAGGCGTTGTTCGAGAGTGGAAGCGAAAGTGGAAGGTAGAATTAAGGAGGAGAGGGAGGAGAGGAAAGCATGGAAGATGGGGGGAGAAGGCAACGACTTATCTAGTTTCCTGGCATTATAAGCTTCGCCCTCGGCCAAGGGATGTTAAGGTTTTTCCATCGTGAGTATATAGGTACCACAGGTTAACTCCCAGTGCGGCCGCAGGACGCACAGCATTTCCCTGCCGACCAAATTAGTGGCAAGTTATCGCCAAACTTACGACCCGGCGACTGGGAAGTAATCAAGGAGGGGTTTCGACGCATGTGCGGTTATGAACAGCTGATACACTAGGTGATGCGCGAGGCAACCCTCGGACCGACTCGAGTCTGTCGATTCTCCCCCGGGCTGCACCACACAACTTGCGCCTGGCTAAACCCAGGCCCGGACTACGGCGATCATGGAAGATGAAAAGGGCAAGATTTCGAGTTTGGGTTATTGGAATAAACTTCTCTGGGCGTTGTTGAGTTAAACCTTCTGGGCCCACGGCAGTTGGCTCCGGAGGGACGGGCCTGTGTAAGGGGGGAAGGCCTCACACAAAACTCTACATGATTTAATATATCTTCTACTTCTATCGAGCATCATAACACCCTGAACAAAATGCTCGTGTACCCCCCCCAACTCCCGGAATATGATTGAAAAGAACACCAGCCTCAGCAACTACAGAACAAGGACAAACAAAGCCTGCAGACCAAGCGCAACCGCAGCCACAGCCCAGACACTGGACCGCGCAGCCGTCGCGCCACCCTTAACGGACGAGCCCCCCTTGCACTCGCCGGTGAAGTTCGCGGCCGCGCCCACGCCGGCGGGCAGCTCGTGCTCGTTGGTGCCGCAGTTCTTGTACTGCGCGAGCAGGATCTCGTCGTTGGACTGGTCGAAGACGACGTAGGCGGACCGCAGGAAGCTGTCGCCCAGGATGGCGGTCGTCTGGCCGGCCGGGGCCGCGGCGATGACGCACCCGCCCGGCACCACCTCCCAGATGAACTCGTGGAACGGCACGCGGATGGTCAGGCTGCCAAAGGTGAAGTCGACGGTGCCGGCCTGCGACGCCGTCTCGCAGGGCACCTGCATGGAGCCGTCGTCGAGCACGTCGGCCTTGAAGTCCGTCACGAATTGGTTGATCACAGACTGGGGCAGGTAGCTCATGGTCGCGCCCGTGTCGAGGACGATGGGTAGTGCTGAGTTGGCGTAGGTCGTGGACTTGCTGCCTGGCTTGGTGATGCCGACGGAGTTGAGCTGGATCCAATACCTTGGAGGCGAAAATGTCCGTCAGCATATGGTTCATGCCCGATTCCTGCCGGGGGAAGAGATCTGCTTACCGGTATAGGCCTGTCTGCCCCTGCTCTATCTGGGGCGGCAGGTTCTGGAACGCGACGAGGTTCCCTGTGAATTTCTTGGTGTCCACGCCGCCGAAGATGACGCTCCCGCCGTCGCTTGCATCCTTGCTCCCGAGAGCGACGCTGAAGGCCCTCGAGTTCGTAACGCCCTGCAAGTAGAGCTCATCGATGAGGTTGCTATAGACGAGGTTGTAGTCCTTGCCGTGGCCCACGCCCGCAATGCCGTACGCAAGGTCCTCGCTGTCGAGGCCGACGCCGAATATCACCTCCTTGAGGGTCTGGGTGGCTGCAAGGGGTCAGAAAGATGGACGGGCGGAACCACGGGGATGTCTCTGGGCACTTACAGCCGCTGCCGGGGAGCTTGATGCTGTCGGCCACGTAGGCGACGTTGACAATGCCCTTGCCGTAGGGAAGCTGGTTCTCCGCCTCCATGTCGACGACCGTGGAGGAGCTGTTCGGGTCGTAGGCGCCGGCCTTCTTGCAGCTGGCTGTCTGGTCCGCAGTGCTTGCCCCGGAGCACTTGGGGTCGACCCATAATTCGAAGGAGCCCGTGTCGAGGACGACTTCTACGCGCTGAGGCGGGGTTCCGATGTCAACTAAGATATTTGTTTAGCACCACTATCCGACGGTAGCGGAAGAGGTTGCAGGGAGCGGGCTCACGTTCAAAGAGGTAGGTCGTCACGGACTGGTTGTGGAGAGTCACCTCCGTATCCCTTCCAGCGAGTCTCGCATCACGTTTCCGGTGGACGATGGGATAGGAGAGAAATCTCGGCTCGTTTTCGGCTCGTGGGATGATGGACGCCGAGCTGCCCAGAGCAAGGCCAAGGTGGATTAACGCGAGGATCGACATAGTGAATGCTTGGTCTGAAACTAGGTTGCGGCCAAGACGTTGGGGTGCGGGTTCAGGGTCTTTAAGTACGAAGGGCCAAGGCTTCGGCCATGGCCATGGCGGCAGAGGATGGGGCTCTGCGCCATTTGAGGACGCCCAAGATTGCAGCCTGACAGCAAACTTCAGGGGACCGGGGAAAATGTGACGGGGGCTGAGGCGCGCAGGTCCTGTGGTTGGACGCTATCAGGCTCAGCCGCAAGAATGCCAAGAGTATTTATTTGATAGATCCATGGTGCCAAGACGCTGCCGTGGCAGCTGAGGTGGTGCAATGCTGACTGCTGAAAAGGGGTTCCGCCTTACAAGCCATGTGAGATGTTTAAAGGCCTGGTGGGATGAACCAGGAAATCTAGCAGGGAGCAGCGAAATTTGGAATCGGATGACAGAAAAGCGGTATTAATAGGCACGGAAAGAAGGCAGAACCCGGTCAACGGTAAGACGGGATTCAACAAAAGATGGGGGGGCTGGCTTTGTCAGACGCCACGTATTGCTATTGCGGGACAGGGATCTCGGAGCGGGGACACTCTGAGGCTCAACGCATGTCGAGCCTAGACCGCTCGCGAAGCAATCCCAATTCGGGCTAGGTATCGACATTGGAGGTTGTCATTGGCACAATTCTTTGCGCTCTCGGAATCTCGGATCAGCCACCGCCACTTGTGCGTTCTCGTGGTGTAAGCCTCAACACACGGAACGATCAACTGGGAAGATAATCAGCCCAAAATTGCATGCCACCACAGTATATACATATTTTGTCGTACAACATTGATGAGGGCGACAGGACAGCGAGAGGACGACATTTGCAGTAACACACAACAGTTGGTAAGCCTTCTCCTTCGTCAATTGTCAAGTATTAAACATTCGCAGACCTTCAAGTGTTGATTATATTGTCTATACTTCTAATTATGAGCCATCGAAGCACTTTTCATACGGAAGATGCATCCCTGGCATTGTCCCATCCCCTCTAATCTGCGCCGTCTCTAACGGTCTATACGGTATCTTTCGAATCTATGCAATGCTCCCACGACTCCACAAGAAGGAACCTGCCTGTTATGCGGATTGCCCCGAAAAAAACCACCCACGCAGCAAAACGAACGAACAATAGTGATTCCGTTTCACCCAGCCAAAGCCATGGCAAAAGACCCGCCGAAATCAGCGCGACCCCGACCCCGCCGCCGCCGCCGCCGTCTTGAACTTGCGCGCGATCTCCTCCTCGGAAAAGCGGCGGGCGGCGCGGCGCAGCAGGGCGGCCCTCTCTGCGAGGGACATGCGGACCTGCTCGCCGCCGATGGGCACGAGGCGGCGGGCGAGGTGGTCGTAGTCGCGCATGAGCAGGCGCACCGTGATCATGAGGTAGTCGATGTCGTGGAAGACGAGGGCGCCCTCGCGCGCGTACGTGCCCTTCTGCGCCAGGAACGCCGCCGGGTGGTCGCGCCAATGCCGCAGCGGGTTCAGGTGGTGCGACGTGTGGTAGCCGTCGTTGAAGCAGTACCGGTTGCTCTGCCGCGCCGGTTGATGATGTCAGCTTGTTTTCTAGGGGGTTACACACGCACTCGCTACTGGCTCGGAATTCGCCCAACCTGGGCAGTATTCCATTTGCAGGGAGAGTGTGAAGGGGACAGGGCGCCGGGAAAAAACTCACCGCCACATCGATCAGGGTTATGCTGGACCGGAAGTCCGAGTCCGGCTCGTCGGGGTCCACAAAGGCGTGCTGGCCCCAGTTGCCGACCATCAAGCCGACCCGGAGCACGAGGAGGGGGAGGATGAAGACGAAGAGCGTCGCCCTCCAGCTGACCATCTTCGCCAGGGCCACGTAGGTGGCGTAGCTCGAGAGCTCCCAGAAGGCGGTCTTGGCGGCAATGGCCAGGCGCCTCTTCGCCAGGAAGTACAGCGGCAGCTCGAGCCAGACGAGGAAGTAGAAGCGGCCGAGGTAGCAGAGGAAGTCGGGCAGGCTGTCGCGCTGGTAGCGCAAGGTCGAGGACAGGTCGTCCGGCCCGTTGCCCTCGACGTGGTGGTGCTTGACGTGGTGGTAGAAGTACGTGTTCCACGTGTGGCCCATCAGGGGGTCCGTGATGTAGGGGAAGAGGCGGTCGATGAGCCAGAACCTCGGGGCGAGGATGCCCCGCATGTGGATGTGCTGGTGCATCATCAGGGTGTAGGTGCCCACATAATAGCCCTGCATGGCAAAGTGCAGGAACCCGTGGAGGTACGAGAAGTTCCAGAACAGGTACAGGGCACTCGGAACCGACGTCGTGAAGTAGAGGATGAGATGGGTGACCATGACCACGTCGGTCTGCTTACGGGCGACCTTGCGCCCCCATCGGACATATGGCTGCAGGACATACTTGTCGAGCACAGGCCCGAGCTTTAGGGTCGATAGATCGGCCGACACGAAGACGGTAGGTTCGAAAGCGTCCTTCTCGGGATCATTCCACGCCTTCAGGGTGGCGAGATCCCGAGCGTCGGCATCGAGCACCGAGGGATCCGGGGTGCCATGTGCCATGCCTCCGTTCTCTGCCTTGCGGTGCCGGGACCCGCCGGCTGACCCATTACTAGCTCCAACTGACCCAGGCTTCTTCTCATCTGCGGCCTCTAGAGCGGCCCCGGCGCATTCGGACTGCCGGACCATGTCATCCTTCAGGGTCCTGAGCAGCAGCCGGTCCGGGGCTGTTAGGTCCGGGGCAAAAACGATTAGGTCGGCCATGGCGGATGTTGACTGGTAGGATATTTTAGGGGAAGACCATTGAAGAAAATTTGAACCAAGTTGCATCATGCATGATGCGAAAGTGGAGCTCTCTAAATAAAAAGTAAATAAAGGAGACAATCATGCAGGGTTTGCACGGTTGCTCTTTCAAGAATGGAGTTGGCCACGCGTTAGCCTCGTTAGAATGCGACAGTCAACGTCAGCTGCTTGGTAGACGCGGATCCTTTTCAATGCCGCCTACACAGCAATTAGGTGGCTTAGGTAGCTAGGCAAAAAAATCATTACGTAGGTGGGTTGGCAGTGTGGGTGAGTCGCTATTTCTTGTTTTCTTTCTTTCTTTCTTTCTTTCTTTCTTTTTTTCCGTGGGGAAACACGTGGAGACTAAGATACTAGCCAATGAAACGTGAAACCCATTTGAATCACCACTGACGTAGGGGAGCTAATACTGGGCCCACGATGAATTCAAAGATTCTACTACTAGGAAACCGAGATCTGATTCCGATTTTATTTTCCAGTAGCTACCTACTCATCTACCTACTCATCTACCTATAGCCCTACCTCTCCGGAAAATATTGTCCGCGATAATCAGAGGGTTAGGGTTAGAGCTATCTAGTATGGATGCTCATGACTATTGCCTACAAACGCAATTAATTACCTATACCACTAAAAGATGCCCTGGTGTTCTAAACATGAGCTTATCAAGCCTGCATATAACGAAACACTGCATTCGCAAGAGAAGGCATGCTCTCAAAACCAATTGTCCGCTCTCTAAGACTACCAGAAACATCACTCGATAGTTTAGAGGGCGGCAAGAGTCACTGCCCAGAAAGTAGGACGGTTCAAGGAACTAACCTGTAGGCATCAATTGTGTTAAGCACGACCGCATCCATCATCCATGCCCATTTCCCCCTCCGCTCTATTGCTGATGAGTGGCTAACTAGTCTTCCAGGAGCACTTCACGCCAATCAAGCCAGGCACGTCAATGGCGTCGGAGATATTGATGATGTCGTCACAAACTCTCGTAACGGCACGGGCTAGTTGGGTGAGCCACCCTCGGGCCGTTAAAAACGAAAAAACTTAAATCTGCTGATCTACCGACGAAGCCAAGCCAAGCCCCTTCCGGGAGGGTAGAGAACACTCGATTGGTTCTTCCCCGAGGGCTGATCCTGCCTCGACCATCCCCGTATAAAGGACGGTACGGACGAGTACCGACCGAGTTCAAGGATACATCAAAGCGTGGTACGGACGATACTTCAGGATACTTGGGACTGCGCGATGGAGCGGCACACGTAGTGTAAAGGGCCGACAAGCAATTTTAGGGGCACATTGATTGAACGGAAAAGACCGTTGATACGAATGGGGGGGGGCATTGCAAAAATGGCTAGGCCTGGATTGAATGATCTACGTCCTCGGAAACAGGAAAACGCCGCTTATAGCTTCTTGCACAGCTTCGTGCCATCCTCAATCTCCTGCCAACCCTCCGTTCCCGGCGTGGAGATGGCGTAGAACACACCTAGGGGATCCCACTTCTCCCGAATCTGCTTCAGCCTGGGGTAGGACGAGCCCCAGAAGTGGCTCTGCCAGTTGTCCTGGTACGGATCAGCCTGTGGGGGAGGGGGAAGATTTGTCAGTAACCTGCCTTGACATGTGACAACGGATAGACACGTTAGACCGGGGAGGAGAGAGGGGGGAAAACTCACCTCGTTGACGTAAGTGCAACCGCTGTTGCTGGCAGCCTTCAAGGCGCCGTCCATGGTGTTAGTGACGACGTTCTGCAGGTCCGCCTTCTGGGCCAGCGACGCCCCGTCGGGCACGGGCAGGACGAAGATGGTGAAGTCGGTGGCGTGACGCCAGGCCGGGTGGGTGGCGCTGTTGGCCACGGGCAGGCCGTAGCCCGGGTTGAAGAGGTGGCCGATGATGAGGCCGCTGAGATCGGGGCGCGGCGCCAGCACCGTCTTGAAGGCGTCGATGATGTCGTCATTGCGCTGCGTCACGTCGTCGTGGTCGAACATCCAGCCGCCCACCATCACCGAGCTGCCCGACTCCTCGTCCTCGAACAGGTCGATGTACAGGTCGTAGAAGGTCGGGAACTGCTTGATGTCGAACTCGTACGGGATGTTGTTGGCGTCAAGCTCGTCCAGGAACGGCTGCAGAATCGCCTGGAGCTGGGGCTTCGTCTTGCCGATGGCGACGAACGGACGGACGCGCAGCGTCTCCGGGTACATCTCCCAGTACGCGTAGAGGCCGCTGTCGACGAAGTGGTTCGACCACTTGTGGTAGATGGTCACGCCGTTCCAGAAGGTGTCCGGGTCGGTCGTGTGCGTCGCGTTGATATACAGGCTCGCGCCGGAGCTCTTGACGTCGGGGAATGTCTTCATGGTCACCGACAGGACGACAGCATAGGAGCCCGGGCCGCCACCCTTCAGGGCCCAGAAGAGGTCCGAGTTGACGTTTGCATTTGCAGTGACGTATTGTCCAGCGGCAGTTATAGCCTCAAATTCAAGCACATTGTCGGCAGCTGGAGCAGGAGATTGTCAGTAAGCGCATCGTTGGCTAGTTCGGGCGCGTGCTACTTACAGAATCCCTTTACTGTCGTCCAAGGGCCATGGCCTCCGCCCTGGATAAATCCTCCAGTGATTCCAACGGTCTACGACCGGACGAGAATTAGCTGGCCGAGCCTGATACGAGGCAGGTAATTAGAATGAGACTTACCGGGCACTCTCCGGTCACGATAACGACGGGGGGGTTGCGCGCATGACCCTTGGTCAGGATGGACCTGCCCTGCACACCGGCGCCAAGCTTCACAGCCGGGCCGTGGTAAGAGCCGGGGCCGCTGTAGCTGTTGAGCCAAGACACGTCCTGGAAGCTGTGGGTGTTGATCACGAGAGACCCCCAGCCCGTGCTGCGGCCAATGAAGTCGTGTCCGGTGTTGCGGACGATCAGCCGGATGCCCGACTTGCGCGCAAAGTCGATGCCGGCCTTGACGTGCTGCTTCTTGGTGGCCTCGATCACGTAGATGGGGTAGTATCCGAGAGTGCAGGGAGCAGAGGGGTTGTCAGTTGGCCGGCAGGTCTCGTTGGTGAAATATGTCCAGAGCTCTGCGGCCGGCTTGTTGATGCTGCGAGCGGTCGGTTAGTCTCTCTCTCTCGGTTGCTTGTGTGGAGCTGCTCTTACAGCCAGGTCTCGTTTGTAAACTGGGCGTTGGCCTCGGCGCAGGCGGCTGCGTTGTACGAGTGCACCGTCCCCAGCGGACCCTTGAAGGTGTTGTGGCAGGGCGCGCCGGGCGGGATGTTGACTACCAGCCTGCCGTCGACAGTGCTGTTCAGCTGTCGCCACTCTCTGGCGGACGGCCAGCATTTGTCTCCTAGATAGCATTTGCAGCCATATTTCTGGCCCTTCCACTTGGTCGGCACCAAAGGGGCGACATCGTTGAAGCAGAGACCGGGATTGGATGACGATGATGATGACGATGAAGCGGCAGTCTCAGGGAGGGCTATGGCATGTACGCCTTGCAAGAATGCTGCCGCCGCGGCGGTGATGAGCGCTAGATGGCGATACATGTTGGACACCGAGGAGGAAAGCTGGCCGGTGAGACACACGGACACGCGGTGATGCGGTGGAGGGCGAAGCCGGGAGACATTTGTACTTGTCCTTTCCGAAAATCCTCTGGCATGCCCATCCTGCAATCCTACACACTCCTGCAGTCATGCTGAAAAGAATGCAACCAGGCAACCAACCCCACGCCAAGCCTTGCTGCAGTGTTGCATCACTACCACACTAGGAAATTGTGAATGTCCAGGATTCAGGAATTCTTCGCTCATTCCTGGCTTCGATGCAAGTGGTGCAGATCGGGGTGCATCCGCATATTTATATCGCGTCCCATGATTGGCCGCGGCCCCTGCTCGCTGCACGATAACAATATATTGCCACCTCGCATTGCAGGGAATCCCAGCATTTGTTTTGGAAACCTTCCTCTTTTCCATCAAATATCTCCGGCCCCTGCCGATATTCCCTGACCTCCAGTGCATCCGGGGCAGGGGCCGGCTCCCAGATCTGGTAGCCGAGAGGTCGCCGAGCGTCTGCCCGCGGAGCGATGATAGGGATGCCGGCGGTTCGATTGGGGAGTGATATCCGTGCGTGCAGGTGGTACCACAGGATAGCGTACATTCCGGAGCCGTGTTCGCTGTAATTACCGCAACGGGCCGCAGGGCGCAGACATTTGAGAAGGCCAGGAGAGGCAGGTCGGCAGGTCCTTGCGACTCCTTGGGCCTCCTCTAATAAGCCTAATAAGCGCCCCTAAAAAGCCACGTTCCCGATTATCAATCGTCCTGAACCCCCATCACGATGCCCCGCACGCTAATACCCCTCACATGCCACCCTTCAACAAAGAAGGTAGCCCCCCGATTGGCGCTGTGCTGCCGTCCTTGCAGCAGCTGGGAACCAACAATATCCGGCTAGGCTAGAGGAAGCATGACCTCTCCTCTTTCTTGGTTCAGCGAGGCGTCTGGGAGTGGCTTTCTGCAGAGATCAATCGAGTTTGGCGCGGCAGGAAATAACTGGCAGGGGGGTCCGGATCTGGTGCGGATACTGCTGCCGGTCTTCCGGGAGGGGCCATGACCCATGCTGCGCTAATTTGCGAGGTAGAAAAACCCAAGACTTCGATCACGAGACTTTGATTCTTCAATGCACCATGCACCATGCACCACCTTATTGGATCCACAGGTAATATTATCCAAAGGACAACCTGCAATAACATCATGTTAACATCCGGAAACAGCTTGTTGGGTGCGCCATTTATTGACTATCCTCTGCTAGCGGGGCTTGGCCCTCTATGAGTTGAACTTCTTCGGGATTCCGAAGGTGGGTTCACCGAGGTCGTTGAGTGGGAAGGAAGTTGGTGCAAAATAACCATCCTTGGGGTTCTCCGAGGAAACTACGGATACAATGGCAGACAGGTAACTGATGAGAGTCAATAAATAACCAACAGTAAACAACGGAAGCCCGTAATTACTCCCAACCCCTGCTTCATCCTCCGTCCAGACGGAAACCCTCAAATCCAAGCCTTCTGCAGCGACGCAACAACCTGCTCAAACCTAACCTCGACGGCGCTCGGCTCCTCGGGCCCCGGCACGCCGGGCGTCTCGAAGAACTCGCGCGCCCACCTCCTCGTGTCCTCGTCGGACTCGCCCGGCCACGCGCCGTCGATCTTCTCGCGGATGATGCGGGCCACATCCTCGAAGCCCGGGCGGTCGGCCGGGTCCTCCATCATGGCGTTGACGACCATGACGCGCAGGTCGGCGTCGACGTGCGCGAATGTGTCCGCCAGCAGCGCCGCGCCGTACGTCCACTTCGTCTCTTTCTTGCCGGCCGAGTCGACGGTCGTCGTGCTTACCTCGTTCGGGTAGGGGGCCCTGGGGGGGTTGCAGTGCGTGATGAGTGACCACATGATCTGTGCGCTGTCAGGGCGAACAGAGGTGCTCGCAATATCGGGGGAATGATTACGTACTAGTCCGATGTGGTAGAGGTTTGTCTTCCAGCTGTAATTCCCCGCGATTCGTGGCTTGGGCTTCTCCGCGTCGGGATACAGGTTGACCCAGTCCCATTCTTCATGGAATTGCTCCTTTTTGGTCGAACCTTGGGTCAGTACTCGCCGGCGGTGAGGTGCATGAGCCGCAGGTCACAGAGACTCACCGGTGCCAGGTATCCATTGTTGTATTTCCCCATCTTCCTCGACCTCCACATCCGTACTCTGCACGTTCACACGATCAGCGATGGGTATTCTCTCAAGTAGCGATGTACTGACTTGTCACGCTTGATATCGTCGGTCCATCTGGACAGGCCAAAATCTGTTATCTGTGTGGTTGAAACGAAACCGCATCAGCGAGGTCAGCACAGGGGGAGTTCTTGCTCTTCAAGTCGAGCCCTACTACCTTGAGGATTGGAGTCATGCCATGTGCGCCGGCGACATTGAAATTGCCAACGAGAACTGTATTTCAAGTCAGAGATTCTCTTGCCAATGTAGCAAGCAGTATGAGAACTGACTATTGCTCGGGTCCAGATCGAAATGGGCCAAAGTAGGACCGAGTTTATCCTTCTCCTTTGGCAGTCTTTCGTCTTCCATGGGCCCACCCTCCCCTCCTGTCTCCTCAAAATTGGGATAGAGCCGTGGGGGATAAGCCATTGCGACGACACCCTTGAAGACTGGTGCAGTTAGTAATATGTGACGAGCTGTAAACGGGCAGTACCTCCTGCAAGGCATGTGACACCTGCGAAGAGCTGACTTACGGCATTCGAAGAACCGCCACAACACCTTGTCGGAGAAATCCTTCTTCTCCGACCCCATCTTGCACATCCACTTGTAGAGGTTGCCTCGGCTCACCAGCTCGAGGACCAGGACGTCTTGTCTGGTGCTAAGATCCTTGCTGCCGTGGGGCGTCGTGTGGGGAGAGCTATCCGGAGTGCTCTCCGGCACCTTGAAGACCCGCGTCTGAAGCGAAGCCCCGCCGCCCGAAGCATCAGAAGATGGTGATGAGCTGTCGGTCTTCTCCTTTCCCTTCTTGCTAGAAGGACTCAGCTTCAGGAGCTTCCTCGGAGCCGGCGGCTCCCTTTTTCCGGCTAAGAGTCGCCTTCTCTTGTTTGGCGAGCTTTTGTCATCCTCCTCCATGGCGTCGGTCTGCTCCGTCTTGCGCTTTGAGCCCGCCACCTGGGTCTTGTTGAAGCGGATCCGTACCATTTGGGCGATGTGTCTTGCCCGCAGGAGATGCTGATTACCCGGTCATTGGTTAACGAGGCGAGTCGACTTGGGAAAACCCTGGGGAAAGGGGGGGAAGGGGGTAACAAACGACCTACCGCGAAGAACGACTTCTCCTTGTGGATGAGAGGGTAACCGGCGTGGAGATCGGCCTTGACAACAACCTGCCGCCGGGCATTGCCATTCTTGTCCTGCAGCTCGAACACAGCCGCGACACCCAGCCCGCCCCAGGCCAGCAGCTTCTTGAACGTGAGGCCATACGGCTCAATCTCCGGGGTGACCTTTTTGACAGCATCGTCGGCAAGCTTTGCGGTCCGCGACGAGCCTTTCCAATCATGCGGCATATTCTCGATCCGTCTGAAGTCGACGGGATGGGGGTTGGCATTGACTAAGTCATTATTCACCCATCGGTGACCGGGCCAAGCTCCGACTTTGGGTAGTTTCTTGGCTCTCCAGTACTTCTGTCGACGCGCCGGCTCCCACAGGTGGGCTTTGGCCTCGCGATAGTAGCTCATAAAATCGGTGATTCGCTGCCTCTCTTCCGCCCATTCCACATCGTTCATTTGGCTTGATGATGACATCTTGCCGGGCGATAGATAGTCAATGTTTTCCTTGAGATTGGGTGATGTAAGCAGACAATAACTTGGGACCTCCGGGTTCGAGATGAAATTGCATTAGCTTCCCGATTCTCAACCATTGCAGGCTCCGGGAATTGAGAAGGGTATATCTAGTCCGAGGCGACAAAGGTAGAGCCCTGCCCGGATCCGAGAGTTGGGAAATAAAGAAGCAAGGCCCTTCTTACGCATTCGAAAGTGATAAAGGGCGGCCACTGTCGCGACTTGCCTCAACCTTGCATCCGGTAATGCAAAGGGCAAGAGAAAGGGGAAGGAAATACAAGAGACAAAAATAGGGGATGCTGTAAGAAAGAAGCCAACATTGGCACACCATATCCATGGTCCTGAGCTGTGGCAGGCCACGTCTTGCGCATCATTTTGGCCCAAGAAATTCTTCCAGATTGACTCTTTCGAGCTAATAACCAACACACAAAATCTACCGGTGCTCTCCCCCAACTAACATAATCTAAGCCGGCTCAACCCCCTTACCCTCGGACGCATTGCCACTCTCTTTTGTCATCTCCCACCCACGACCCCTGTATCTCTTCGGCCAGATGCCGCACCGGCCGGGCGACAGGATACCATTCGGGTCCAGCGCGTCCTTGAGCTTCTCGTTGAACTTCATCAGCGCATTATCGTTCCAGCTATACGTCCCCGCAACCTGGTCCATCAGCACCAGGTGCGTCCTGTACTCGCCATACCCGCACGCCGCAGCATCGTCAATCATGTGGCGCAGGCACGCCATGGCGGCGGCGCGCCTCTCGGGGTCGTCGCGGTCGAAGACGATCTCGATGATGAGGTGCATCTCGCGCAGGCCGACGCAGAAGGCCGGGAAGAAGTCGAAGCCGGCGTCGTCGTGGCGGCGCCTGGCCAGCGCGAGCAGGCGCTCGGCGTCGGCGCCGCGGATGGGGCTGACGGGCGAGAAGGCCACGTGCGCGCCGTTGGGCACCCAGTTGACCCAGCGCAGCTCGTGCAGGTCGGGCACGCCCGACGCGATGCGGTCGCGCGACCAGAAGTACTCGTCCGCGGGGAGCGTGGCCGGGTCGACGCGGCGAGCCCCCCGGACGCGCTTGAACTCGGCGTCGATGATGCCGAGCTTGTGCTGCCGGATGTGCGCCGGCCCGTACGCCATGCCGTAATAGATCCACGTGCAGTCGCCCGTCGGCAGCGTCGCTGCCGTCGCGTGCACCACGTCGTCCGGGATCGTGCCGCTGCCCTGGTAGTACGTCGTCCGCGGCTGGCCGCGCACCGCAATCGTCTGGATTACGTGCCGGAGCTGGGCGACGTTCTCGAGGATGTTGGAGATACGGAGGGGTCGGATTATCTCAATCTATGGACCAAACGGTTACGGGCTTGCTCTATTGCGTGGGCTGGGGCTGAGACCGCGCCTGGATTTCTATGGACTTACCAGCTGTGCGAGGTCTTCCTCCTTCTGGAACGTGTACATCTGTGGCGCCCTATATGTCAGCATAGACCCTAGGTCGAAGCCCCTCTGAGATGCTTACGAAGCTCTCGTGGCCGCCCGGATTTGCCATCAGAGTCATGCCCATTTTTGTCACGATGCCATAGTTCGACTGCGAGAATATGCCGCTGTGGCGAGAAACATGGTCAGTATCGGGGTCTTGTGGAAGGGAAGGTGGAAGGAGGGGTTCACTCACTCGGAATAGGGGCCAAACCCGTATGGGAATGTTTGCCAAGTGTTGCTCCCAGGAAGCGCTCCCATGCCTGTGCGGAAGACCTCTCCAGTGGGCAAGACAACCTCAAGGCCCGAATGACAGGCCCAGTGGTCACCATACGGGGTATAGCCGACACCTCTATCGAGGGTGTTGCCTATGATGGAACCGCCACCGAGATCTGGCGGATCAGTCCAGAGATGGTCGTAGCCCTTCTCCTTGATGGCTTCGTACAATGCGTAGAAGGACACGCCTGGTTCTACAAGGCAGGTGTGGTCATCGGGATCGATGTTAATGATCTGTTTCATCCGCTTCCCAAGGTCCAGCACAACCGAGCCGCGGACCCTGGGGGCTGCTCCGCCGTAGCCCACTGATGGTGTCAGTGTGTGAATCCTGAATTAAGCATGTTGCCGGGTACTTGGTGGACCTACAATTGCGGCCGATTGAGATGGGATAGATGGGGATGAGGTGCTTGTTTGCCCAACGCACGATCGCCTGCACCTCCCCAGTGCTGCTTGGGTAAACAACGGCTGAGGCAACCAGCTCCTCTTCGTCAAGGATGGTCATCATGTCATGAGTGTTGGGGTCTGCCGTCATCATTCAGGGCTAGAACAGCTTTAGGGAGATGTTGAGAGCGACCAACGTTCCATGTACCTAGCAAACCAATTAGCCCCTTAGCCTCAGATGAGAGAGTACTGAGCCTCGCCGCTCTTGATAGGCGGGATGTTTGCATACCATCCATCTTTGAGCGGCTTATCGTTGACTTCAACATTCTCCGCCCCTATCTGCCCGCTCAGCTCGTCCAGGGCAGCGAAAAATGCCTCCCGCTCGATTCCTTGGGGTAGGACAGGCAATCTCTGTCTTTCCTTCTGGGGTTTTGTCCGCCCCTCAAAGACCCAGTTCTTGGCACCCTTTGCCTTCTCCAAGAGGAACTCGGGGATTCCCGAGTGGACCTCTGGGAGCAAGGGGACGTCTGATTTGGCTTCTTCTGCGAAAGACATAGTTAGGATCCGGATTGAAGTACTAATTATGGCTCGCAATGTCGAAATTTCGCAAAGAGAAGCGTGAGGCCATTCTACAATACTATAATATGCCCCCAGACCCCGCATGGCCTGTCTCTAATTGCCGATGCTGCCAATCTGGGAATCCTGCACGACCTCCCTCATCCCCCGCTATCAAGCGACGGGGACCCCACCTCCAGCTTCCCCCGCCCCAGATGTGAAGGACGCTATTGTTTGGCGATGGAAGTACTGACCCGGAAGGTACGGGCTCTGTACCTGCATCTCATTTTGCAAGGGCTCGGGGGCTCTCCCGCTGGATCTAACAACAATATTATATTGTCGGTCTATGTGTCTTTGAAGGGCAAGGCAAGATTTCCGGGGTCAGTCTATCATGGAAGCCCGAACCTTTGAGCGACGCATTTTTACGAGGACAATCGAGTCCAAGCCATAGGTTAAGTCTCCAAGACAGCTCTCATAATCATTTCTCTGCGGGCATGCACCATTTGATCTGCAGGCAGGTGGCAAGTTGGCAACAGCTGCATCGCTGTCACCATTGTTATTTCTAGCAACGTCAATGGCGATGGACGGCAACAGTGACAGGAGTGACAGCAACAGCAATAGACAGCAACAGCAAGAAAGATAGATAGCAATGGCAATAGCAATAGGCAGCGACCCTGCGTCTCCTTCGAGCCACCCGCGCGTGGGAGCTACAACATCTGTTATTTTGTCAAGTTTCGGTTGCTGGGAGACGACTCGGCCGTCCCGACGCGCACGGACCTACCGGCTCCCGATGACCGAGAGCCGGGCGATGGCCGCGTCCCCGCGGTCGGCCACCGGTGGGTAGTCCGAGTGCCGCTGGCCCCTTGCCTTGCCTTCGGGGCCAAGAGCAAGCTCGAAATCGAGATTGCGACGATGCAGTACGGCTCCCGGGTCCTCTCACCTGATACATTCCGACAATCATCACCGTTCCATTCGACAACTTTAGAAATTGACTGCTTCTGCCCTTGGCCCTACTGTCATGAGACCCGTGCAGGGAAGTGTGGCTGTAATTATTCTGGCTGCAATTCCAATACTACCGTGGCGACGCGGCTTTCGACTCTTTCTGCCGGGCTATTAATTGGTGCTCGCTTTCACTTCCTCATCAACTCCTTCATATCATCCAGCTCTTTATCCACCTTGTTAAATTGCTCCTGCAGACGTTGGACTGCCATCCCGTGGCCTTCGATAGCGTCTTTATGCGTAAGGCTGGAAACCTTCTTCCTGCGCCCACTCTTGGCGGTATTTGATGATGACGATATGGAATCCTGTGTTTCTGAGGTCATTGAATTTAGAAGCGCCCGCATTCCATCCTGCTCGGTCTCCAACTTTTGCGTTAGCTCGTCCTTCAGCTTCTGCAGCCTCTCAAGCTGCTCAATACGGGCGTCGGTTATCTTGTTTGATGACATGGTTGGGTGGCATCTGCTACTCCATCTAGTGCTATGAGCGATTTGTCTAGCTGCCCGCCCAACCTCAGAGCACGAGATTGATCAGTTTTCCGCTGTCCCCGAATTGCTTCTGTCGAAGAAGGTGTTCCAGCGCATATTCACAGCTTAGAAACCCGAGATTTCGAAGTGAAGGCCAAGGGCATGCGGTAGCTATTTGGAACCAGCTCGGCCGTTATGCAGATGAAAATCCACTGACCGTGACTCGCAAGAACCTAATCTCCATATTTATGTGCATCTAAAGCAAGCAGGCAGTCATGCACAACTTGGTGATGAGCTCTGGGATGCGCTCTTTGCACTATCCCTGTGCAGCCTGATATCAAGTTTGTTCAAAGTGGTCTTGCAGAACTGCAGTGATTAGACGGCGCGCTCGGACTGCCCAACGTACTTAAATACCCCAATAATCCATACAGGGCAAGAACAATGTCTCTAGGATGAGATCTGGGACTCGGGTCCTAGATCAGTGGCCCCAATGGAGTCTCCTGCCTAAAGTTGCCATGGCCTGCCTGCAAAGGTATAACGCAGAAGGTAGCAAGAAAAAATCCAAAGGGCATAGAGACGAGACTGTACGATTTAGATGCCAGCTCGATCTAGAAAAAACTACGCATATTTGATAATAAGACGCTTACTTGGGGACTTGAAATCCATTTATCGCTGTTTTGGCTCCCACTGAAACACGACTCCACTAACTCAGCTCTAGGGTAGTTCGAGTCACGAAAACACATCCATTTTTTTGGTATGTCAGTATCCCGATGAATGTGGGATACGTGTATGTATGCACTGAGTTGTAGTCAACAACGCAATCAATTCGCAATTTTGCTGTCCCCTGCACTGTTGGTTAATGCAAGTGTTGATGACAAGCTGGTCTTCGTTCAAATGAGACACAGTGATGAGCTGGCTTTTCTCATCGTTGCTTGTAAAGCTGACAACCCGAGTCACTAGTTTTATCAAACTTGCAATTAGCCTTTTAGACGGCCACGAAATCTCCATTCCTGCCTGTAGATGATATACGATGCCAGAGCCAACCTTTCGATGGTTCAGCCTCAAGTTCAGGGAATGGGGACGAAATCTTCAGTAATTTGTATCCACTTCGGTCTTCCTCGAGTTGCAAAATGAGAACCCCCTAGCGTATTGAACTGTTTTGCTTCGATTTGCACACCGGACATTTCTTTACCCGCGTTTCTCATGTTCGAACTAGAGTACGTAAAGTTGAGACCTATATTGGCCCATTATCGTACCTAGAGAGTGGAGGAAGTACGCTACGAATGAAATTTCTGACATATCCTTCCTTGTCTCTCGCCTCTTCACTCCAATCGCCAAGCATCAAGTTGTCTCCTTGCCGAGACCTTCATCTCGAAGCACGTCAGCCATACGGCCGAAGGGCCTGAGTCTAGCGTGATGATCCACATCAAACCGTAGGCCTCTCAGGGTGAAGCTCCAGGATGACTTTACTCGGCCAAGGTCAGCCAATCACCACGAGGCAACGTTGAGAGAGACTCGCAACCACGTCGTCTAGCCGACCTATTATTATCCCCACCTATATTAGTGCCAGGCCGGGCTCGGCCAAGCTCGCCGCCAGTGAAGCCGGCCTCAGATTTGGATCGTCCAATGCGCTTCCCCGGCTGTTAGGCCTGGTCTTAGCGCCGCTAGACAGGGCTTTCCTCTTGCCCGCCGTGCTAGGAGGCGGGTCGCTGTACCTCTCGCGGTCGGCGTAGTCTCGGGCAATCGCCTCTCGCCTAACCCTTCGGCCCAGCCGCCGTCCCTCCCTCCTGTCTCCGAACGCCACGTAACGGCCCTGTCTGTTTTGCCACCTCACATAGCGTCCCTCATCCGAAAACAAGTCAGGATCGATGACTGTCTAGCTAGGGGACGATCGATTGCGCCACCCTCGCCGCTTCTTTCTAGATCGGACCCTGCGATCAAATCATCATGACTTTGCCCCTTCCCCCGGCGCCTCCGTCTATTACGCTACCTTACCTCGGGTGTCAATCTTTAAGCATCGTCACTGTTGGTTCCCGCCTGTGCCTGTCATAGGGAGAAAATAGTCCGTCCTAAGTGAGGACTCTAAGACGATAGACGCCTATTCCAACGTCGACACAACGACTGGGCAAGTACCTCCCTTCGGCATCCTCCGCGGCTGACCCACTCCTTCACCCTGTCGAGGTTCTTTGGTGTCATATCCTGGACCCCCAACCATCTCGGGGAACCTGGAAGCACATCATGGGGTACCTACGTAGCAATGACACACCTTCCTCATCCGGCCTTTCGGCTGAGATGGAGGAACCTCGACCATATCGAGACACTCAACACTCCACACCTTGGGATGGCAAGTTCGCTTGCCAACCTCTTCGAACCCCTCCCTCGATGCCTTCTCCACTTACTCTCGCTCTCAATCTGATCCTCTGTCGTCTCTGCCGAGGAGGTGGTCTTGAGGCACTATGTTAGGCTGATCCTCTCAGAAGACGCCTGTTTATTGTGTGCCTATCACGATGCGCATCGTAGCGGATTGTCTAGCTAAGTACCTCGTCCTGAAGCGACCGGCGGCGCAGAAAGATCCCCTGTGCGCCCTCGAGTTTAGAGTTACAGGTCTCCGCCTCGCCAGCACCACCATCGTAGTGCCCCTCTCGTCAACACGTGAGGCGACCCATCGTCCAAGCGAACGGTGGTTAGCATCGCTTAAACGAACGGGGGTTAGGATAACGAAGATCATCTAAAGGAGATCATTCTAGTCTTCAACTTCCCATCTGTGGTGCGTGGGATGTATATTGACAACACGCCGGTACGTACCCATACCTACACTCCGTTATCAAGTTACACCTGAATGCGCCCATCCAACGGAAAAAAGCAGTCCAGATCCATCCCATCCAAGCCCAACCCAAATGCCCCCAAAATAAAAATGAAAAAGACCGCCCCGATTAGTCTACCTACACGCCCCCCTCGCCTCCTAGGTTCCGGGAAACGCCGTCCAGTCGCATCATACCCCCCACCTCCCACGGCTCTGCCATTGTTGGCTAACAAGCTCTAGGCGGCTAGTTGGGTGTGGTCCCCTCCTTTTTTTTTTTTTGGTCCCCCCCCATCCCCTACCTATCAATTCCGCGCCAGGAGGTAGGAAGTAAGCGCCGTTTCCCAGGATTTGCACACCCCCCCTCCCCAGAAAAGAAAGGCAGAGAGAGAAAAGAAAGAAGCGCGTATGCGGGTGTGGTGTGTATGTACAGAGTGTGGGATTGGGAGAGAGAGAGAAAGAAGGGTAGGGGAGGGGGTCAAATAATGAACCGGAATGAAAAGAAAGGGAAATGAGATAAAAAAGATATAGAAGGAATAGACAAAAAAAGGGTGTGTCTGAGACTACCCGACGGTGACAGAGTAGGCAAGATCAAACACCTGCCCGCCGTGGGCCGACTGGATGTCGCCGTAGATGGGCGCCCCGAGCCCGCCGCAGATGGGGTACCCGGCCGCGTAGGCGGGCATCGACCCGTGGTGCTGCTGCTGCTGGCCCGCGACGTGCGCGGCGAGGAGGTTCTCGTCCGCGGTGCTGTAGTGTTGGTGGTGGCGGGGGTGCTGATGGTGCTGGTTCTGGTGGTGGTGATGCTGCTGGTGGTGGTGGTGGTGGCCGCCGCCGCCCACCACCCCTTGCCTGGAGGGGAAGGAGACGAGGGACGACGGCGGGGGTGGTGGCTCGACACCGGTGGGAAGAACCAGCGGGTAGTAATTTGACGGCGGTGGCGGCGGTGCACCATCGCCGACAGGGCTGTTGGTGACGGAGGAGTGGTGGTGCATGCCCGCGAACTGGGGGGTGTGGCTCTCGCTCTTGTAGAACCCGTGCGTGTAGAAGCCGTCGGCGGCGGCGCCGAGGTCGTGGCCGTGGTTGCTGCTGCTGTTGGAGGAGTCCAGGGAGATGGTCGCCAGCGACGGGCGCCGGGACGCGGCGCTCTCGGCGTACGCGCTGTCGGCGTACGAGCCGTAGAGCATGTCGATGCTGTTGCTGCCGCCGCTGCCAGCGCCGCCGTTGGACGGCATCACGCCGTCGCCGGCGCCGAGGGGCAGGCACTCGGAATACCACTCTGAGCCCTCGCTCATGAGATCCTTCTCCTGGTCAACGGGGACCCGGAATCCCTCCTGAAAGACGAGCTCCGGGCGCGGGATGATGTTGCAGAAGGTCGAGTCCCAGGATGGCCGCGTTAGACGGCCGCTCTCGACGTCCTCGAGGGTGTAGTAGGCGACGAGGTGGTGGGGGACGCCGTTCAGCACGACCCTGATGATCTTCTTGACCAGGCCGCAGGGTTTGAAGGGGTACGAGTCGACCAGCGGGCCGATGAGGGCGTATTCCGCGTCAGTCTGGCCGTCGCTGGAGCCTCTCCGCTCCGAGTAGGGCGCCCTCCTCGGCCTCATGACTTTCCTCGTCATGCCGGGCAGGAAGGCTGTCCGCAGCTCGCGGTAGACCAGGAAGTTGCCCAGCACGCGGCTCGGGCTCCAGTGGCGGCCGTCGGTCCAGCGCTTGATGCCGGACGAGTACTCCTCGTAGATGAAGACGTTCCCGCTCTGGATCAGCCCCAGGCGCTCTCGGTCGTAGGGCCGGCGGGAGAGGTGATTTATCCTCCCTTGGAGACATGCCTCAAACAGGATCAGCGCGTCCATGGTGGTTGCGACATGCCCACTCCATGTCGCCTGAAGAGGGGCGGGTTCGCCTTGCATTGTGTGTGGTTTGCCGGGCGCGATATTGTGTACCAGGGGCAGGCGGCAGCTAGGACGAGGGTGGGAAGTGCCAATGCCTTGCCAGGATTTACGGTGGAGTGATGAAGGCTTTTAAAGACCTGCTGCGAGTTCAAGGATCGGAGCAGAGGCCGAGCCGGATGGATGTCTATCGTTCCTGAATCTCTCTGGACCGACCAATGCTGGTTGCAGATATGGACCTTGATAACCGGAAAGGGAAGGCCCGCAAATCTGGGGTGCTCAGGCGAGCTACCAAGGGAAGTGGAAGAATTGACTAGGTAGGTGGCCAGCAAGCTAGACCCGAACACTCCGCTCCTCTCAATGTTGACTCCAAACGTCGATGGCGATGTCATACAACACTAGCGCACAAATGCCAAGATGTCTAGAATAACCAGGGATTCCGGACACAGAACGAGGGAGAGGGGGCAGACAGGCCCCAATGTGCGAATGTTGCAAAGCCGGAAAAGCAATGCCTCAGGATGTATCAGTGGGTCGACGATGGGACTTGGGGGACCTCAGCGCAATAGCTGTGGAATGCTTGTACATTGCAGGTACCACTGCTAGTGCAGAAGCGAGCGATATTGCGCGGCCATGTGATTGGCTTTGCAGGAAGCTGACGTGACGGGCCTGGGCGTGAGGGATGAGGATGTACCTAAACGTTGTCGGTACCGGCGTACCTATTTGATGTCTTGCAGACGAGAATCAGGTATTCCAAGGCACCATAAACGCCACGGATTTCAAGATCCATGACCAGCCGAATCAGTCCGGAAGTGGCGTTGAGGGAGCACTTCGTACCTCCTTGTGCAATACATGTATGTAGGTAGCTGGCAGAGTCGTTCGGCTACATTGGCAGGGAGGGACCAGAACATTGAAGGTACACTAATCCGTACAGACATACACTCCAACTACGTAGTATCCAGAAATACGGCCGAGATTTTCGGTGATGCGCCGGAAAGGGAAAGGGTTCGTGCCAGTGGGGCACGCCAGCTTTTCCAGGCAATAGGCAATTTTGAACATGGACATCCATGCTTAGACTCTTCCTTAATGCTCCTAGGTCCTTCCTTGAAAGGATTGATTCAAGCTGCCATCCCTATTTGCCCTGAGTTGAGTTGTGATAGAAAACATAAACTTGGTGAGTCGGACCTGAGTTTCGTTGGATTGTCACGGCTTCGGGGCTTCCATTCCTAACCACCACCTACGTAGGTAGGTACCTATCCTAGGGCCCGCCTCGTTTCGTACCTGGCTGGCGGGACGACCTGGCACATACCGATGCGCGGTGACGGAGCTGATTGATGAGGTAGGTAGCTGAGCAAGATCACTCACTCACTGTTTCCAGCCAGAGACATTTGAACAGGACCAGGATCCGAATCCAAGTGCCGTCGGGCCAGGTGTGCAGCGACTGGCAACTGGCGGATTCAGCGCAAAGTCCACCTACGTATGCGTAGTTGTTGTGTGGAACGACTACTGCGGTAGATACCGGCCGGCGTCTCTGCGTTAGCCTGAATGCGGTTAACGGGATGTAGATCTGCCCGAAAGAGGAAGTGGTCTACTGGTCCAGGCCTTGAGAAAGCCACCAGTGGGTAATCCAACCCATGTCAGGTACTTATAGGCACCTCTAGTGTCGAACTACGTGTAAAACCTACCTAGGTACCAACCTAGCTGAGCTGTGATCACCAACCCAAGTCATCAAGTGCATGTCAGGATGTTATGTATGTATGCGTACAGTCACACGGCAGCCCCGCTGCGGGAGCTAGGAGGGGGAAGAGGCCTTCTTGGCAAGGTCGCGGTCGCTTGTGCTGATCTTCCACCCTTCCAACTTCCGGGGGCTTTCTCGAAGTTGCCGATCCCAGGTTTCCAAGTACCTTGTCCTGCATGCAATTCTCTACCCGGCACCTGGTACGGGTACAAGAACAGTCAATGTCCAGTGTGGTGTACGGATCCGTAGATCGGATCCGCAGATCACCTACGACATCCCCGTCGTCGCCATTCCGCTCACAGGGATCGCATCCGAACAATCTAGATACGGAAATATACCGCTTGCGGGGCAAGATCGGACAGAGAGAACAGATGGCTATTGCGTAGTAGGTCTGTGGAGATATATCCATCATCCTCGTGTGTTCTTTCGTTTGCCTCTGATGACCTCGGGACGCATGTGATGATGGATGATGCTATTTTGATCTCTGTCTTCCATGTCAGCGATCTGGGGCGAGGGCGTCTCCGAAAATAGTCGTCACGCAATCCTTGGGTGACAGCACTGCCGGAATTTGCCCATCTACGCTTCAATACACTGTATACCACAACAGGATTGTACAGCGTGCAACCTCTCTTCCACTCACTGCGTATCTTGGTCATTGTTGCTGCTGCCATGCAACCATGTCCTGATCAGACTCCTTGCCTTGTCGATCACCTCCAGTACCTTGATTTGACCCCTCAGCCCCTCAGAACCCCCACGGGAAAGTCTTAGTCTCTTCATGTGAGAGATGGGGATCGCCAACATATCAATTCCATGAGGGTTCTGTTGTTGGTTGCTTCTGCAGCTTGCTTCTGCTTCCGCGGCTCGGATCTGCACCAGCTTAAAAATAGCATGTAATCACCTCCCGGCCGTCCACCTGAGGATTCGACTGGACTCGCTCTCACGGAAGACAGGAATCGTCAGGGGGAGAGAACCGCTCACACCCCTGTAACTGCAGGCACTAAGGGCGAGCTGCTGCATCCGCGCCTGCCATAACTTCAGCGCTAGGCCCCTCCGGCAATAATACGGCCTCCTTGCAGCCCTACAGGTAAAGCCGTGTGTGTGGGAGTGTGTGTGTGTACTGCGGTATGTCTGTGTGTGTGTGTGTCTGTGTACGGTACTTCTCATAGCTTGGACCGGCCCTCGGGCCCCCACCATGCAATGCAAGATCGCGGAGGATCGCCGATACCCCCGTTGGCCCGTCGTCTGGAGGTGCCGGTTGAACCCCATCCGGGATGCAAGCCTCTTCCGCGTGCAGAAGCACCAGGGACCGCACAGGCTGAACATCGTACGATAAGGCAAGCAGCTCTCGCACAGCTGACTGCACAGCTGGCTGATGTCCCTGCCCAGTAGTATGTGGTCGGCAAGCGGTCCTCTTCGAGCAAACTGACCTGTCACACAGCCTAGACACGCTTACTTAGTAGTGGCTTGCCTAGCTACTGGCGCCGTTGCTAAGGTCTTGTCGACTCCGGATTGGTGACAAGTCAGGAGGAGGACGCTGTTTCCATTACTATTCCCTTTCCTCATTCGAACGAGACAGGTAACAAGTCTAACCGCTTGCGGTTCTCTTGTTGCTCTGCCAAGTTACGACGGAGGGAAATAACCTGACTTTGTTCGCGATATTTGCCTTGGCAACGTGTTTCTCTGACCTTTTTCTTTTGCCCCCCTCATTTCGTGCTCTTTTCTTTTTCGCGGCTGAGGAGCCACAAAACCTGGCTCGGATCCAATGGTATCCAATTGGACAAACTGCAAGTATCAGGATTAGATCAAGGAACAATTGTGCATCCAAAAGTTGGCCTCGTAGTGCAATGGCTCGCTCATGCTCGCTCTCCAACCTCGAACTGCCTGAAGAAAAACCACGCCACTACCCCCTCCCTGTCTTCCCTAAAATCCAGATGCTGGGCGGAGAGGAAATATTGCCCCGCTGCCAATACAACTGGCCCCAACCGCAAGCGGTAAATGCAACCAGCCAATCCGGTGGCCGCGCCAAGACCCTCCGATCCTCCTTCCTTCCCACCCACCCCAGCGCAAACAACAGCTCGGCAATCTGCAGACTCGAAGATCCTCGCATTGACGGGGGCGGAAATGTCCAATGAGATGCATCCGTGCACCTGCCAGGTCCTATCCGATCGGATCGTCATGCATCCGATCTAGAGGTAGTTGATTGCCCGCACGTCTGGGCAATTTCTCAGCCAAAACACGACTCCAGGAGTCCAGGACATCATGATGAGGGCTCAAGGCAATTTCTCCGACGACGGCCAATCGGCCAAGCTAGAATACGGCCCAATTCGAGTTGTTGGCTAGTCGGCTGATGACGTTTTGTGGACGAAGGATGAAGGGGCTAGACGACGTTGAACCGATAGGTACTAGGGATCGGCGACGCGGAGGCCGTTGGGCGGGTGGCGAACTCGCTGATCGTTCCCCTGACGGTTGTAGTTGGCGTGAAAGGTGACGGGAAGCCCTTATCAGGATGCGGGATTGTCGGCGGTTTGAGAGGGTGATTTCAATCAACGGAGTGAGATCATGAGGCGAGCTCGATAAGCAGTTCATGTTCCTCCCGTGTTCCTCTCGTGTTCCTCTGCTTGGATATTGACATGTGGTTGTCCCCGAGCATGCCGTAAAATACGATGGGCAGAGGGGAACGCGGCCCGATTTGATATCAGCAATTACATCACCTGGAAAAGTCGAGATTGTATGTTTCCGTCATCCAGTGTATAGCAAGCAATGGAAAATAATAAAATTGAAAGGGGAAAAGAGAGAGAGGGGAAAAGGAAAAAAAAAGGCAAAAAAAAGAATGACCCGATCTCAGACTCGAACTGAGGACCTGAGGTATAACTTGGACGACTTAGTGCTTCATGCGACCTACTGCGCCTACTCCCTCTGTGCTACCGCTACACTAATCGGGCGTTTTTTGTTGCTTTGGACGCTGCTTGACCTTGTATATAAAGGGCCAGACGGGGCGAAGGGGAAAGTGAGGGTGAAAGTGAAGAAAGAGTGATGATTCTTGGTGCTGCCTACGGAGTAATTACTTGTGACACTTCCTGCTGATGGTTCCCTGGCGGCGGCAAGGATGTCGGAGGGTCTGTACGACCAACGACATGAAGGATATTCTAGAAGCCACTTTGAACAGAAAGACAGCAGCACAGGTCCGACTAGAAGGGCAATCGAGTCGTGGAGCCGTGGAGCCGACATTGTCATCAGTTGCCATGCTCTGACCATGAGGAGGATCGAAAAAGGGGATCACATCGAGGCTGCGTTCCAATTCGTCTACGGTAAAAACAGAGAGGTAAATTAAACCGAGTAGTAAATTTAAACGAGCTATTGGCAAGACTCCTTCGGTAGCCCATCAAAGAAACCAGACCAAGCTTCCCCCTTGCGCGTCTCTTCCACTCCATCCAACAGCGCAATCCCGCGGGTCTTTGGCAAGACGACACCGCGGCCTTCCCCCATGAAGAATTAAACCCTCTTATAACACAACAAACACAACATCCCAAATCGCAGAGAGGATATCTCGCGGTAAAAACGGGAAAGCCAAAAAAAGAGCCCCTGGCAGCGCGGGGGAAAAATAATCTAGGCCGCGCAGGTACCGAAGGCGGGCTGGCATCCGGCGATTTTGGCGCAAAAGTAGTCGCTCTCGCCGCAGAACCCGAACTGCGAGCAGCAGGAACCGCCGGCCCACCCGATGCACGAGACGTTGTTCCCGCACGACCCGTCCGTGGTGGCGCGCTGCCCGGCCGGCAGCGCCGGCGCCGGCGCCGACGGCGTGGGCGCCGCCGTGGTTGTCGTGGGTGGGACGGAGACCGGCGGCGGGACAGAGACCGGCGGCACAGAGACCGGTGGCGGTGTGGAGGTCGGTCGCACGGGAGAGACGGGCGGCGCGGAGGTGGGCCGGACGGTGGAGGCTGGCGGCGGCACCGCGGAGGAAGCGGGCGGAGGCGGCGGAGGCGAGGCGCCGTCGTCCGGGGGAGCGGCGCCGCTGAAGCAGGCGCCGAACTGGGACCGGCACCCGGCGTTGCAGTAGGCGGCGCCGTCGCCGCAGTAATAGAACTGGGAGCAGCAGCTGCCGTGGGTGGAGCCGGCGCAGGTGGTGGTGTTGCCGCACATGCCGTTGGTGCTGGCGGTGAGGCTGCCCGTGGGCCTCGCGGGCGCGGTCGACGACGACGAGGACGAGGTGGGCCGTACGGTCGAGGTGGGGCTAGCTGGCGGTGGTGGCGGCGGCGGCGCGGCCGAGGTGCTGGAGGCTGGCGGTGGCGGGGGCGCGGCGGAGCTGGTGGAGGCTGGCGGCGGTGGCGGCGCGGCGGAGCTGGGCGTGGGGAGCGGCTGGCCCTCGCACCAGCCAAACGCGGTCTGGCAGCCCACGATGGCGAGGCAGAACTGGTCGCCCTCGCCGCAGTAGCCGAACTGTGAGCAGCACAGGTTGCCCGGGCATTTGGCGTTGGCGCCCGCGGCGCCGCACTGGCCGCCCGCCTGCCGCCGTTCGAGCTGCGCGAAGCTGTCGCTCACGCCGGCGAGGATGCCGCTGCCGGCGGCGAACACGTCGACTCCCCGGATCTGGCTGTCGCTTTCGCTGTTGATGCCGCCGCCGAGGGGTATGGCGCCATATGAGGCCCCCGCGAGACCTAGGGTCCCTACTAGGCCGATATTAGTCCACCGCATGGTTGGCCGCGTTCAGTCGGGGGGTGGGCGTATTTGGCGGGCTCGAATGCGGAGAGGGGAGGAGGCGAGGGAGAACGAAAAAAAGAACGAGGGAAGATTTGCGGTCGAGTTGGAGTTGGAGAAGTTCGAGGCATAAATGGCCTTTTCCTTCCCTTTTCCTCTTCGGTCTTTTCGCTCTCTTTTCTCTCTCCTTCCTTCCCTTTCTGCGGGATACCGTGGTGAGGAGGAAGCTATACTTGCGGATAATTGTTTGATAAATGGTAATAAGGAGAATGGGAATAAAAGGCCAACAAGGGGGGAGAATTATCTATGATAAGATGTCAGAGTAGCGGTCCTTGGGTGTCAGGGCAAAATTGACCCCAAGCCGGCAAAATGAGATGTCGGTCTGAATGGATCGCCAGGGCATGTGGTGATATGATCCTGCGTTAAACTGCCAATCGTGAATATATTGCCTCCCATGCCAGGGCAGCCAGGCTAATATCTCTCCGCATGCCGAGCGTACCGACACTGTACCAACAATATAAGGGGTAACAATTGTGAGGGTCATTGGAGTTCTCCTTTTGCCTGACAATTCTCAATTCACGGGCCTTGGCATGGCATAGATGTCGACGGATTTAGCCTTTACGGCGGAAGATGGCTCCGTCGTGACGCGCCGCTATCTGGCAGTTGCTCTCAGTGCAGTTCCCCTGTTCCCCCGCCAGGACCTACTCTATCGATCATCTCATCTGCCTCATCGACCCTCCATCTGTTCGCACTCCCGCACCCCATGTATGTATGCTCTATACAGATGTAATTATACTCTGTGCGAGTAGGCATTTGTTAATAATTATCTGGCCATACCTGAACAGCTGCACTGTGTCACCTGCAGGTTCGGAAACGAGTGGTCGAGGCCCTCACTTCAAGCCACCCACCCAATTTGTCCGGCCATGGTTACTCCTCTTTTCAAGGCTGCAGATGAAATCTGTCACCCGACTTTTTCGTCGTAATGGTGGTAGCCACGGAAGGAAAGATCCCCTTCATTCCGGCTTCTATGCGGACGGACGACCAAGACCAAAGCACACACGGTGGGCAACCGAGTGGCCGTCGCTCGGGCCCTCGGCTGCCACCTTAAAACCTGGAATTGCATATTGCAAGAGTCCCGGGGACGTCAGGAACAGAAGTGGGGGACCAGGTTAGGAAACTCACCTTTGGAGCGGATCGACGTTGGATCTCGGTGGACTCGGGGATGGTGGCTCTACATAACAGCTAGGACATGACCCTAATCTAGTCACTAGGGATTTCCATTTCCTTCTTCACACCTAAGCAGTTAATAATACCTTGAACTGAGCTAGGCTAAGCAAGGGCTAAGTGAAGGGTTTTTGTTGCGCTACCCTGGCTGTAGTTGCTATGGTTTGAGGAAGGCAGTAATGGAATTGCAAGGATGCATTTCTAGTCCTACTAGTTAATTAGTGCATTGCTATCTAGCTGCCCTTTTCCTGGCTTGCATTTAGAACATTATCGCTGAAGTTAACCTGAGTATGCATAAGTCAAATTTGTTCCATTCGAAGGTCCCTGCTTGGAGATCTCGTGGCTTTGTGTCAATTGGCATCGGTGCCCAGATCACCAACATAGAGGGGGTGAAAGCCGGCGACGCGTATGAGCAGACTGTAAAGCAGTCGCTAGTCATCAATAGCGAAGGGTGGAAAATGCCTGAGGGGCATTGAGGACCTGATTGTAGACCTAGCTGTCTGTGAACTAGGGATTATATTGATTGTGCAATGCATGCCCAGACTCTAATTACATCGTGTTCAAAAAGCAGTCCACTCAAATCTGCAACTCCATCTCGCTATTACCCTCCTCCTTCGCATTTATTTTCGGTTTCCACCATTCCGTTTGAAGCCAGCCTTCGAGTTGGTTGACGTCCATAAACTGGGCCGATACATCCGTGGGGGGAGCTGAATATGGCGCTCAATGTTTTCGTCCACAATTTGACGCTGCCTTGGTTCATCTACGTCCAGCATCTTGTCGATGCCGTCCCGAGATGAGACCATCTCGCTGGAGCCAGGGATATTCTTCCTGAGCTCAAAATGCCACGGCTTGAGAAATTTGAGGTAAAATAGCTGTCAAAATTCGAGATCTTGGGTGGGATTTATCCAGCCAACCACTCTGCCATAATTGTTAGCAGCGTTCACCAACTTACGAGGCCTAGTCAGGATAGGGAGTCAAAGCACTCGCTGACTTACCGGACAGCCGATTCAAGGTTTATGAAGGTTCCAATATCTTCACGAGCCAAGTCGGCCAACCACTGGGGATTTCGATGGAAAACAGCGATAGAAACGCCCCAAACCGCGTGACCCAGTAGCTCTCGGGCAAAGAAGAGAATTCGTGAGTAACTTTTTTCGCTCGGGTACCAGAGGATCCTCGTCTTCTGAGAATATTTCGTCCTTATAGCAGCAGTCGAGGGTATCACGCCAGGGAAATTGCTGAGGCAGATCGTCCTCCAGATTATAGACAAACAGTGACATTCCTGCAAGCCACGGCGAGTTCCTCCGCGCATCTTCCGACTGGTATTCGAGAGGGCAATGGGAACTATAAATGTGATATCTGAACTGGGTAGAAGGTTTTGGTGGATGAGGGTTTGGCACATTCGTGCGCCTCAGACCGTCATGTCCCCGCCACCTGGGAATGACTATAACTACACAGGGGTAATCGGGTCTGGTTGGATGGGGAAGCTTTGGATGGGGAAGCTTTGGATGGGGAAGCTTTGGACTGGACTGCGAACTGGACTGCGAACTGGTTCGTTTGGTGTCTGTGAAGACGCGGCGAATCTTCTGCCATAGAGTGCCATTCTCTGTGCCGGACGATGTTGGATTGGTGAAATCTTTGGCATCGCTAGGAACTTCTTTTTCGGATCGAAAATCCTGAGGGATTGCCCCCCTTTTCGGGGGCCGGATAAGGCGGAGGTGGCTGCCAGTTGTCCGGTGGTTGCTAGCTGTCGTCTTCCTCTTTCTGAGGCTTTTGGTCAAACATCCTCAGGAGCTTGCCAGTGCTAGGAGGGTTGGTTAAGGAGGCAATCAGAAAGAAGTTCGGTGTTATTTTGTAGAATCACGTCTCCTCCAAGGGGAGAGAACTCTGGTTTTATATGTTACTCTTATGATGTGATTTTGAGTTCATGGGTACATCCAAGTTTTGGAGATTGCGTTTACATTAATCCTATGATAAATGTAGACTTTGAAGCAATTTAGGCAGCCTTTCTGCTAACGACTGGAAGGTAAAATCCGATATTCTCATCGCCACGCCGGAGGTCAATCCTGCTTGACTGCTCCAAAAGCTCAATCATATCTCGAAAAGGCATATCGGATGAACGTGAAAGCAGAGAAAAGCAAGCTGAACCCGCATAATGGAAAAAAATGCACCAAGCGTCAGGAGACGTGCCTGGTCCCATTTTCCCCTGAAAAGAAAACAACCTTCTTAATAGCAGTGACGATAGACCTCGGCAAAACGGAATGCAACCTCCGTCGTCTCCTCCGATATGCCAAGGTCGCGTACGGCGGCTCTTCTCGACCTCCTCTGCGTCGTCTCCACCGGCCAGAGATTCTCAATGAGCCTTTCCTCGATATCTGGGCTGTTCAAGTTCTTATTGCGTCTAGAGGTACGTCAAATATTTCACGGGTGCGCGAACATGGTGCTAGCGCCGTCCTTCCCGGGGAACATTGAAGGGCAAATAGCGCGGCCGGCCCACACTAGCCTGTTATATTCAAGGTGTGAGGATGGTATTATAGCGTAGATAGGGAGGCTGTAAAAGAAGTTGTTGATATTGGACGTGATGAAATAGTTGATGATATTCGGAAGGATCTACGGGCCAGGGTCCTGCGGGCCACTTTCTATTTGCAGCCAATAGATTCCATGCTTCTGCCCCACCGCGTCAGTACCTTCCGCCGTCCTCCCAGCACCTTCCTCAAGTTGACCGCAACGTCCTTACCTAGGTAGGTACCTAGGGTTTGAAGAAGGAGAGACTCAATGGAGCTGCGTCCCTGGGGTTTAAAATCCCCTTTCTGTTCCGTTCACCTCCTCTTTCTTCTTGTTCTTTTCCGCAGTCCTCTCCATCTCTATCACCACATCACCAGCTGCGTCCACCGCCAGATGCCAGGTCTATCCAAGGTTAGCTATATCCCATCCCATCCCATCCCATCCCATCCCATCCCATCCCATCCCATCCCATCCCATCCCATCACAATTATCCACAGCCACAGAGCACCTATATTAACAATCGCGTGACAGAGCATCAACCAATACAACTATACCAACATGTCGAGCCACAACCCTCACAACCCCTACGTGACCGACGAACACCCTTTAACAAACCTCACCCCACGTGACGCAAGCAGATCACGTGGCTCACACACGCCCGCCCAAACACAGCCCAGCTTCCAGACGGTTCGACGGTACCAATCTGCTTCTGTCCTTGTGGCGCCGTAAGCCACCTCGTTTCACCCGCCCCGGCCGGATCGGAGGGGGGTGCCCCGAGGGCAGTGCAGGTTGGCCGATGGAGACGGTGGAGGAGGGGAGGGGGGGGAGCGGGAAGGGGGCAGGTTGGCCGGTGGAGATGGTGGAGGAGGGCAGTGGCGGGTTGGACTGGGTATCTCGCCGTCACGCTTTCGCGGGTCGGTAAGTTACACCCCAATCCTAACCCTGATAGTCGCCCTCGCTAATTTGCATTTGAGGCCTGGGCTGGGAGGTGTGGTTTTGGGGGCCCGGCATGGGGGCTGCCGCTTTCTTTTTATTTATTGATGTAGCATTGTTCGTGATGGTCGGCGGGCCTGGTGGGGTAGCGGGTTTTTTTTCTGACTTTTAAAGCGTTGTGGCTGGCGGCGGGCGGGTGGGCAAGCCTGTAAATCAATACAGCGTTGTTTTTCTCTGCATCCTGGCTTTTCCGTATTTTTGCATGTCTCTTGGACATCCCATCAAAGGCGGTTTCGCTTCTCGGAGAAGAGCGGGCGGCGGTTGGCCGGGTCGGATGGGCGGCGGGTAGTTAAAAGTGTTTCAATGAATCAATAAGAGCTTGTCTCTGCGGACAGGGCTCTGCTGGGCAGGGGTTCCGGGCTGCCAAAAATATCTAGACAGTTGGAGTACGACGGCGATGGCAGAGCAGAGACGGCGACAGCAAGAGTGCTTTGGCAATAGCGCTAGCGATGGCTAGCCAAATGCCCCTGCCTTAACAGTTAAATGTCCCTGCCTGAATAGCTGAATGCCCCTGCCTGAATACCTAAATGCCTCTACCCGAACACCTAGATGCCCTGCCCGCGGAGACAACCTCTCAATAAAGCGTTGTTCCTCTCTGCATCCTGGCTTTTCCGTATCGGGTACAGGGTTTGCATGTCTCCTGGACATCCTCATCAAAGGCGGTTTCGCTTCTCGGACTGAATAAGGTAGCGAAGAGCGTGCGGCAGGCCAAGTCGGCACTGAGAATTCTTAAATATTTTAGCGCGAAGGCTACCTTGAGGGATCCTTGTCGAGGGTGTCGTGATGTATCCACCATGACGTCCTGGAGCCGTTCGCCCCAGGGATTGTGATGTAAAATTTGCGTTTGCTTTTCTTGAAGGCCTCTGACCCGAATCTCTTCTACGACTGTCAATAATCCTCCCACAATCAAGGATAGACCACGGATGTGTTGAGATTCCAACTCGACACTTGCTCCCAGCATCATTATGTTCAATGACCAGGTCGGCTGCCGAGATCGGAGCGTCTTCCAGGTCTTTTGTGGGGAACGCGCGAGAGACCGAATGGACCGAATTCGTAGGTGGAGCCTTTGCCTCGATTCGAAATCGGCCTTTCGGCCTTAGAGACCCACCCCGACCGGGCGTGGGCCTCGTCGTCGGACGGAGCCGCATGGTCTGGGCAGGGCGCCGGCCATGCTCTGGTCTTGTATTGGCTGAAACGCAGTTTCAATCCGAGTCAACGGGACCCAAACTATCAAACTAGCGGGCCAACCCTTCCATTTACCTTTGGGCCCTATAGCAAGCCCAACACCGTGATATCACCGAGTGGGGGCGAACCTGAAAATTGTGCCAAACACACTCACCGGGACATAACCGAGGTAACCTACCATCTCTCTGGTGATCTTGTACCTGACATATATAAGAAAGATGGCTTCCCCTGGAATAGCTCACTTACATCTCGCCTCCCATTCCGCTGATCGCTACCCCTTCCTGCCAAGTCACCACGACAACATCACAATTGTTATCACCATCCCACAACAACATGGATGAGGCACTACCCGCCCCCCAACCTACCCACTCATCCCCGACAATACCTCCAGAGCATAACCTCCACTATGCCACCACCACCACAACCACTCCGTCGGGCAGCCACCCGGCCGCCCACGCACCACCCCACCACCGCGCCTCCACCTCCAGCTCGCACCGGGCCCGAAGGTCCAGCTCCACAAAGGCGGCGCGCGACCCGAACCTAGACATCAACCTGCCGTACCGCACCCTGACGTCCGGCGCCAACCTGGACGAGTACCGCGTCCAGACCGCGGCGGGCGAGATCCCGGGCCCGGCCCCGGCCCCGGGGGGCCGCCAGTACAAGCTCGTGACGTTCCTCCCCGACGACCCGGAGAACCCCAAGAACTGGAGCAAGGCGTACAAGTGGTACTGCACCATGGTCGTCGCGCTGACGTGCTTCGTCGTCGCGTTCGCGAGCAGCGTCATCACGGCTGATGTCGGGGGCGTCGTGGAGGAGTTCGGGGTTAGCTACGAGGTCGCGTTGGTCAGCATCTCGGTCTTCGTCGTTGGGTTTGGAGTTGGTAAGTAGGAGATCAGATAGTATGGATTTGTCGTGCTGTTGCTGACGAAAGCTCAATAGGGCCCATGGTTTTTGCGCCGTTATCTGAGGTGTTTGGCAGAAGGGTCATATAGTGAGTGCCGCTCCCTGTTTTTCTCTCTCCTCTTTCCAGCGGCTAACCCGCATCTCAGTGGTTCCACGCTCTTTATGGCAGTAATATTCATCATCCCCTGCGCCGTGGCGAAGAACATCGAGACCTTGTTGATCTGCCGAGCCATCGATGGCATTGCCTTCTCGGCACCCATGACGCTCGTCGGAGGCACACTGGCGGATCTCTGGCGAAACGAGGAACGCGGTGTCCCCATGGCCGCGTTTTCCGCAGCCCCCTTTATCGGCCCCGCAAGTATGATCCCCCTTTCCCTTGGTGCATGAACTTGGAATGCAAAAGCTAACCGATCAATAATATAGTCGGTCCATTGGTCGGTGGGTTCCTAGCTGACGCAAAAGGCTGGCGCTGGCTGTACTGGATCCAGCTCATCCTCGCCGCCGCCGTCTGGATCCTCATCACCTTCACAGTTCCCGAGACATACACCCCGACGATCCTAGCCAGGCGAGCCAAGAAGCTGCGCAAGGAGACCGGCGAGTCGGACCACGTCACTGAGCAGGACCTCGACATGCGTCCCCTGACCGAGCGGCTGGGCATTTTCCTCATCCGGCCCTTCCAGCTCCTCTTCCGCGAGCTCATCGTCTTCCTCATCAGCATTTACATGTCGGTCCTCTACGGGCTCTTGTACATGTTCTTCGTCGCCTTCCCGATCATCTACCAGAAGGGCAAGGGATATTCGGCGGGTAAAACGGGCCTCATGTTCATACCCGTCGCAGTCGGCGTAAGCTTTTCTCCCACCACGAATAGCCGTTCCAGCCCACTAACATAAATCAATCACAGGTCCTTCTCTCAGCAGTGTGCTCCCCGATCGTCAACAAGCACTACCTGACCCTCGTTCGCAAGCACAACGGCCACCCGCCGGCCGAGGCGCGCCTCGTGCCCATGATGCTCAGCTGCTGGCTGATCCCGATCGGGCTCTTCATCTTCGCCTGGTCGTCGTACCCGCAGCTGTCGTGGGCGGGGCCCGCCATGGGCGGCTTCCCCGTCGGCTTCGGCTTCATCTTCCTGTACAACTCGGCCAACAACTACATGGTGGACTCGTACCAGCACCAGGCGGCGTCGGCGCTCGCGGCCAAAACCTTCATCCGATCCTTCTGGGGCGCCGCCGTCGTCCTGTTCACCGAGCAGATGTACGACCGCCTGGGCGACCAGTGGGCCTCGAGCCTGCTGGCTTTCATCAGCCTTGCCTGCTGCGCCATCCCGTTTCTGTTCTGGCGGTACGGTGCCAAGATCCGGGAGAGGAGCAAGTATGCGTACTCGGGCGACGATGAAGGGACTGGTTCGGCGGCGTCGTCGTCCGAGGATGATGTCGAGAAGGGGAAGGGGGCGCCGGCGGATCCGGAGCAGCTTGTTCACGATGAGGAGGATTTGAGGAGGGCGAGGAGCTATGTTAGCAATCCTTGAACAACTGGATAGGAGAAGAAAAAAGGAAAGGGAAAGTCAGACACCAATCATTCTCAAGGGTCTGGTGTGGGTGAGAGTGGAGAGAGAGTTAATGCATATTGCCACGATTTTTATCATCATACCCAATAGAGATTTAATAGAACAGTACAAGATGTTAAAGAAAGAGATGATTAATAGAGAGGGCATCCCAGGTTATCCTGCCATTCCATGTTTGTTCGTTGTCCCTCGTAGCATCCCAGAGTAGCTGCAAACTGACCAACCTGTCGGTGGTGTTGTTTCAAGGACCTTGAAAGTGACATTTGTCTCCGCAGGAAGGGGCATTAAGCTATTCGGGTAGGGGCGGCTAGGTATTCGGGCAAGGCCGCTCAGCTATTCAGGCAGGGGCGCTTAACTGTCAGGCAGGGGCATTTAACTGTTAGGTAGGGGCATTTAACTGTTAGGTAGGGGCATTTGGCTAGCCGTCTCTGTTCCTGTTGCCATCGCCCTTGCCGTCGTGCTCCAACTGTCTTAAGGATTTCTGGCAGCCCGGAACCCTTGCCCAGCATAGAACTCCTGCCTGAATAGCCAAATGCCCCTGTCCTCGGAGACAAGCTCTTGTATAAACCAACTGGAAACCCGAAGAAGATCCCAGTATAAGTCGAGATTGCTTGTGTACGGGCTGGGCAATGCCGCTGCACATGCTGCAGAAGCGGCAGCAAACAAGGTGGTAGACAAGGACGTGATTCTCTGGATCCCAGGCTAATGGCCGCCTTCAACGCCCATGATGACTCGGCCCCAAGGATCTAGCCACCAAATAGCCACCTAATTGCGAATAGCTTCCTTGTTCACTGCGCCGATACAACTTCCCGGCTCGGCCCCCTTTGCATTGTCTTGGCTCTTCTCCAACAGCAACCCCTCAAAGCAATAAATATGGGCCAGCTTAATTCATATAAGCCTGGTAGTACAAGAGCCCGATCGATGTCCCTGCATAAGAAGCCTTCTATAAAGCTGCATACCGAGATTGGGATTCGAGATCTCGTCATATAATTAATTCCACCTTGAAGACCAGGGGGGCAATCCGGAGCTCCGTTGGACATTTACCACATCATCCGTCTAGCTCAAAATTGAGAGGGGAAACGAGCCTAGTTCTTATTTCTCGGCTCGCTGAAGCTCGGCAGTTGACGGCATTGATTTCTCTGGTGTTTCTGGAAGTGGGATGGATCAGGCTAATATATGAATGGAGATGATAATAACTCATCCGGATCCCCCACAGGGATCATGCTGCAGGTACCGGCCGGTAGTTGCAAATAACTTCTGCAGCCTCATTTCGCGCTGGGCAAGTCCGAAAACAATGCCACGAGCAGTAGGGAACCATGGCCCAGGTTGTGTTCTATCTTGGGTGGCATCGGGTTCGGTAGCTTGCGTGCGGACCATAGAGAACCAGGCGCTAAAACGATCACAACCCATCTCCCGCCTGTCCCGTTCTCATGTCCCAATAACCCAGCCCGGCCTTGTGCGTGCCCCATCTGGTGAAATCGCACCAGATATCCTCGCCAGAGACGCGTCCGCCGATCTCATAAGGTGTCATGGAGTCCTCTGCAACGATGGGGAAAAGGGACTCGACTAGACTCTCCACAGCGATATTGAAAAAGCCACGCCAGTGGAAACCCTCCGTATCATCGCCTTCAGTAAGGTGTTGTCTAACTGCCTGTGTGGAAATGGCGATGACGAACGGGATATTTGTCCTATATTGTCGCTTGGCTGTCGACGGCTGTGGGGAGTCAAGGATCGAGTCCAGGGACGATGGCGTAACGTACAGACATAGGCTATGATTCAATCCAGAGGGTGGAGTGGAGGAGGCGTATGCTCTGTTGCGGAAAGTGAGACCATGTACGATCAAAAGGGGAGGAAGAGAGCCTCACCGTGCAATGGACGGAATATCACCGTCTCCCTTCCTGATGTCTTCGACCCACTGAAACGACATGTTCGAAATGCACTCGTCAAGCCTTTCGTGCCCGCAGTAGGGATTGAGGGTATCAAGAACGATCTGCAGGAACCGCTCCTTACAAGCCGCCCACCGCGCGGCATCGACAATCTCGGGGCTCTTGAAGACCATGAAACCCCACCGGTCCCGACTCATGGTCTCAATGAAGGGAGGTTCTTTGACCACCCTCGCCGCTTCGTTGCCTATACGATTGGGATTAGCATGCTAAGCAAGACACCGCGGTATGTGAAATTGGACTCATGTTGTTGTCACGTTCCGCCGCCCCTTCTTCCCCCTTCTCTACCATAGGTAGTTACCTGGAGCGTCCGCCTCTCGCCTAAACATCTCGTCAAAAAACTGGTCAAATCCCTGCTGCCCGATATCAGCCCTCAGACCCTCGCGGAATACACCCCTCTGGTCGTCAGTCAGGTTGTTGATTTCCCCGCTCAGGGCCGCGTTGAGCATGCGCTCCCGGTCCCAGCCCTCGGGGTAATATGCGGGAGTTGGCTTAGCCATGTTCGAGGCGGTCCGTTTGGTATCTGGCTTGATTTGCTGTGATGGGGAGGATAGGCTTGTTCACTTGAGGAATGTTGCGCGTCGATGCCGTAATAAGCGGAAAGGAGAGAATGGCCGGGCGGGTGACACTGGCCCCCACAGGGTGAGCGAGGTTGGGCAAACCGTCAGGTGACTTTAGTGAGACAGTGGCAACCTGCCTGCATAACCCCAACATTGACGACTTCGGTGAATGATGCTGCGGTTATTTATGTTAGAATTGGCGCGTTCGGCTTGAAGTTGGTATTTAAAGGGTTTGAGTGGAAGGAAGAACTGGAGTTTTGCCCTATGCACCTTTGACATAGTCGTACTATGGATACCCCAATGCCGCGGCAACAGTAGAGAAGATCCTCCACATGGCAGCCAGGGCTTCGAAGGCGGCATTGTACGAGCCTTTTGTCTGAACAAGCTGCATATATTGGAACTTGCTGCAGTTTTCTGTCTTGTTAGTGCCGACAGGTCCTCTCCCGCTCTATCGTAAGATTGCTCTGGCCAGGTCCTGCGATGGCTGCGAAGCAGTCTTGAAGAAATATTCCGAGAAACAACCACTAGAACCCGGGCCTACGCGCCGACTACTCGAGCCGGCTACTAACGACGTCGCCACGCCGGCGAATAGAACGACATACGCGTACGCAACGGCGGTGGAGGGCGGCGGGGTGTCGTATGGGTGGCCCCGGCTGGGCGGCCGGGCTTATCGGAAGGGTGGGGAGGGGGCGGCGCTGGTGGGGTTCGAGCTGAGTGTAGCTTCTTCGCGCATGGGCCGTTGCGAGTTGTGACAGGTTCAGTTCCCGCGCTATGTTCGGCACTTGCTGGGCTTAATGTAACGTACACGCCACGTTTGTCAGCAGCTCTTTAGCGGTTACCTAGGTGCCTAGGCGTCAGGGCTGACTTCCGCATCTGGGGCATCTCCGAGGTGTGACACACTAGTAGAGTGGGGATAGCTAGAGATCCCGAGGTTCAACAGTTTCGTGGTGACAAATGAAAGGCCCTAAGCCTTCCATCCAATTCTTGATTTGTTCACCTGTTTGTATATATATTTGGAAGGAAACCTTGTCCTTTCGCTTCCTTCCCCCCAGACCTGAGTTAGCCACCAGCCAGATAAGACCCTCAAAATGGCGAATTACAAGCAAATCATCTACTCCAAAACCCCCACCGCCGCCATCGATCCCTCTCTGTCATCAGGCACATTCTCCATCAAGACAAAGCCCATCCCATCCTCCCATGATGTGCCCCCTGACTCCCTCCTCGTCCGTGTACATTACCTCTCACTTGACCCCGCCATGCGCCAATGGCTCACCGCCAAGCGCTCCTACATCGCCCCCGTCGAGCTCGGGGCCGTCATGCGCGGCCAGAGCATCGCGCAGGTGATCGAAGTGGGCAGCGACCTGAAAGCCCAGTACGCCGTCGGAGACTGGGTGGTCGCCTATTCCGGCTGGCAGGAATACGCGCTCGTCACCGCCAAGGAGGCCGAGAAGGTGGTTGTGCCTCCTGGAGGCCAGCCCACCGACGCCATGTCGGTGCTGGGGATGACGGGGCTCACCGCCTACTTCGGCATGCTGGAGGTCGGACAACCCAAGCCCGGCGAGACGGTCGTCGTCTCCGGCGCTGCGGGGGCCACGGGTATGGTTGCGGGCCAGATCGCTAAGATCAAGGGGGCTAAGCGGGTCGTGGGTCTGGCTGGGAGCGCGGACAAGTGCGAGTTCCTGACGAAGGAGCTCGGCTTCGATGCGGCCATCAACTACAAGGACGAGGACTGGAAGAATCAGTTGAAGGAGGCGACGCCAGAGTATATCGATGTCTTTTTTGACAATGTGGGCGGGGAGATCCTCGACGCTTGCCTTGCTCGGGCTGCCCGTGATGCTCGCTTTGCTATCTGCGGTGCCATCAGCCAGTATAATGTGGCCAAGCCGCAAGGACCGGCAAGCTTCATGGCCGTCATCGTAAGTGCCCCCTGTGTTTCTATATCCTGTGTTGGGTTGTTAGCTAACGCTAATTACTTCTTACGCCACTACAGGCTCAGCGTGTGACCATGAAGGGCTTCATTGTCTTTGATTTCGCAAAACAATACCCGGCCGCGCTGAAAGATCTTGGAACTTGGCTGTCTCAGGGGAAGATCAAGCGGAAGGAGACTATTGTGAAGGGCGGCATCGAGGCAGCACCTCAGGGATTGGTGGAATTATATCAAGGTGCGAATACCGGGAAGATGATGGTCGAAGTAGCTCCTCTCAGTGAGGCCGTTCAGGGTTCCCAAGCGAGGCTGTGAAATAATACGGAGCGGGTTTGAATTGATTCTGTGTTTTACTCGTCAGTTTTACTCGTCGATTTTGAGGCTGGAGAATATTACTTGTAACTATGTACTTTAGATTTGGAAATTTCGTGGAATGGCACTTGCGAAATCCATCATGACAACGACATTGTGGATGATGTCCCATTATTACGTCATGCTGATAACGTCCAGCAACTAGCTACAATTCCCTGCCAGTTTATTGCAGCGTATATGCAGCCTTAATCTGCCTTGTACTTAGTAATTACTGGAAATGCAGTGGTCACGATTGTCAGTGACGTATACGATAGTTTCCCGGCCTGGGCTCTAGACCTTCATTTAAGCAGACGACCAGCAATAAAACACAGAAGCTTCGAAACCTATTACTATGTTTCTTGCTGCCAAGTGTATTATCTCCCAAAGCTGTCCCCTAATCAGTTTTAGCCAAGGAATCCGTCTGGCTTGTAATAATACCAACTATTTGCAGAATTCAATCAGTTCTGGGACACCTCACTCTCTAGCTCTTCCATCTCGAACATTCGCCTCATCGAAACCAAACCCATTCCAAATCACACAAGTCACCAGAATGGCCTCCAATAACAATGCAAAGTTTAAGCTGGAGAATGTCTTCAACGTGAAGGGCAAGAGTATGCTGGGCCATCTACTATCTCCGACTAGCAAACCCACCCAAGGTTCGTACTGACACACAAGCTCCCAGTCGCCCTAGTCACCGGCGGTGGATCCGGGATCGGCCTGATGGCCACGCAGGCCCTCGCCGTCAACGGCGCCAAAGTCTACATCACGGGCCGGACGGGCGAGAAGCTCGACCGCGTGGCCGAGGTCTACGGCAAGGACATCCCGGGCCAGATCATCCCCCTGACATCGGACATCACCTCCAAGGCCTCGATCGCGGAGCTGGTGCGGGACATCTCCTCCCGCGAGCCGCACCTGTCCATCCTGATCAACAACGCCGGCGTGTCGTCCGCGACGCAGGACACCGACGCGGAGACGTCGACGGGCCTGCGCGGGGCGCTCTTCGACGACGAGAACGCCACGTTCGAGCAGTGGGAGAGCGTCTACCGCACCAACGTCGGGCAGCTGTTCTTCACGACGGCGGCGTTCCTGCCGCTGCTGCAGAAGGGGTCCGAGGCCGAGCGCGGCTGGTCCAGCACCGTCGTCAACGTCAGCTCCATCTCGGGCATCGTCAAGGTGGCGCAGCACCACTTCGCCTACAACGCGTCCAAGGCGGCGGCCATCCACCTGACAAAGATGCTGGCGCAGGAGGTGGCGAGCTCGGGGCTGCGCATCCGCGTGAATAATATCGCGCCGGGGGTCTTCCCGTCCGAGATGACGGCCGGGGAGAGCGATGAGAAGCAGAAGAGCTCCATTCCCAAGGAGAAGTACGAGGGGAAGGTGCCGGCCGCGAGGCCGGGCAAGGATGAGGATATGGCGGGGGCGGTGCTGTTTACGACGACGAACCAGTATCTGAATGGGCAGACGATTGTGGTTGATGGTGGCTATGTGCTGGCGGCTGGGACGGTCTAACGCATTCACGATGGTGGTTGTATCGGATGTCTAGTTGTTGATTATCATGCATTAGCTTTAAGCATATTCAGCTCATTGAACACACATAACTTTAAACTATGCGTCCAAGACAGTCCTCCATGTCGAAGTCTAGCGGTTTCCACCCCGAATCACGGCAGGCTGAGCTCTCAACCCCTCCCACAGCCATCTGTAAGTCAGACCGTGTTGAGGATCATTCCGCACATGGCACAGAGCACAACACAAGCTCGTGGACAACTGCGTCTACATCACTCCCGCCGAGGACGCACAGCCGCTATCCGGGCCCGCTCCATCAACCGCACAAACTATACCGCCTGGCCAGCTTCCGAAGACCATTCAAGATGGATTAAGGCAGCCTGGAGCTTATATTTCTCGCTATCGGTTTTTAAGGCGTGAATAACATATATCCAACAAAGTCAAGTCCTATTATTTGCAGCCATTCCGCCCCTATTAATCACCAAGCTAAGAGTTCACAAGATATGATAATCAAACGGGATATTAATCAATCCACTGCTAGTTCAGCCCGTCTTGTTTACCTTCCTACCCAATATTACCAGCTTATGGTCCATCCGTAATGCGTAATCTCTTGGCGATTGTGCGATCCCCAAGCCAATTCGCTCCGTCGCCGTAAAGTCCTGATTGACGTAGTGCTGGAGCCTGTCCGAAGGCTGGGAAGTTTCCGTTCCGCTTGGTGCCGCCGACTGTTAGCATCTGGGCTACCTTACCCTTGAAGTCGTGTGGTGAAGTATTTGGCTTACCTGGTGCTGTCACTCAGAGTGACCGAAGGAGTAGAGCTGTGAGACTTGGCGTTCGTCGTCATTGTTGAGACACGGATCTGAGATGGCCGTGGAGGTTCTTTGGTCGGTTTCACAGCGAAAAGGTGAGACTTGGATTAAGTAGGTAGGCTCCCTATACTATCTCCCAAGCGACAGCCGTTAAAGATATTCGAGTTTTTATTGCATCTCCCAAGGTCAGTGACCTTAAATAGCAAATAGGTCTCTTGGATTGCCAGGCCCTGGACACCGAGCATTCGCTTTTTTGCGCCATCGTCAGGGCTAAGGAGGGTACGTGTATTCAGTGCAAGACGGATACTACGCTGATCCCAGCGTGACAATCATATTTGTCAAGGACCCGGGATGTTTTTTTTGCGCATTATGCTTTCTGCTTGTCCTATATGCTTGCCTTGGTCGTTGGGTTGGGCAAAACCCAGAGTGGCGACAGTCAAATGCAGGTGCTTCCAGGTTTTGAAGGCTAATTACAAGGGTTTTTTGCGCGACGTTTTAACGTTTGAATCCCAGCTGCATTGGGCAACGTACACACGTAATGGGATGAGATCTCTGCGTTCTGGATACAACTGTGTGTGAGCCCAGTATGCCCCTGCTTAGCCTTGCAGGTGCCAAGCTTTGACAAGAGTTGTACACGTAGACTTGTGGCGTGGTCTTCAGATTAGAATGTTAAGACTTTCTTTCGCGTCATATGCACGCGCGCACGGCCTGCTGTTTGCATTCTTGCAGTCAAGTTTCAAGTCCCTCGTCGCCTCTCAGTCTATTGGCCTATGTTTTTGCGCTGGGCTAGCTGATTGGCTTCGTGAATTTTTGCGCTGATGCAAGAGATGTGGGGGGCCATGCAAGAGAAGAGGGGGCCATGCAAGAGAAGGGGGGCCAGCTGACTTGGAGGCCTGTCATTTTCAAACCTTAATGCAGCCCTGTCAGCTGAAGAAATGAGAATACGAGGGGTTGGAGAGAGGCCAAGATAAGTAGCAACGCCCATTCGTTTTAAGTAGGAATCAGATCAAAATCATATCATACTCCACCTCCTCTCGGCTGCTAGACAAGCAGACCCTCTTTCATATCAGCCAGCCGCCAACATGACCACTCCCAGCGAAGCATGGCCCACCCCGCCACCCACGCTCATCTCTACACGCTCTTCGTCGATGCCCTCCGCTACCTCACCCCTTAAATCCCAGGATCCAACCCGAAGTAGCCGCGGTCCGGGGCGCCCCGCCACAGCACGCCGTATCTGGCAGGACCCATCGATGAACAGGAGGCTAGTCCGACTGTATCTCTACACGGCCGAGACCTCGCTGAACACCAGGCAAATAAGCAATCTGCTTACCGAGCTTGCTCAAGATGCCGAGAAGTGTGAAAGGTATTGTGGACTGCGCTGCGACTCTCCAGTCCGTAATCTGCCATGAGGACGCACTAACTAATCAGTACATGTTGCAGGTCCGATAAACGTCAGTCTCTGCCTTCGTCACAAACGCGGTCCAAAACACAGTCAAAAATTCGGTCAACGCAGAAGGAATTGCGCGAGCTGCTCTCCGACGGATACCATGTACTTCGACCTTGCAGCCGAGAGGCTGCTCGAGCCAGGATCGCCGAGTTCCGTCTCATTCGTGACCGCCGAATCGAAAAGTCACGCAAACGACGGAAACCTGGACGCCGCCTGAACTCGGCGACGCATCCAGAGGTTAGCCAGTCAAAGCTTCCGCAGCTGACCCAAGCTGAAATTCAAGCCTCTGGATTCTTTGACGTGGAGATTGCGCCTCAGCGATCGAGTGTCAGCAGCTTCTCTTCCTGGGCCAGCACGGACAGCACCAAGCCTAACGCTGGTGGACGAGGAAACCAGAAGCATGTTCGTCTCTCTTGGTTGCGGGAGAGACTTGTGAGCTCGTCCAAAGAGCGTCCATCATCCTCAGTCATCATGGACATCCGCAGTCTCATCAGCTTAAATTCCCTGCGCAGCTCGCTGTTCTCTCGCAACTCATCGCTGGCATCGCTGGCATCGCCACCCGCCACTCCAGACTTCCCTTTTTTTGATGACCAAAGCTTTGCGCGACGAAACAAACTCATCATCAAGTTCTGTTGCCAGAACCGCCCGGACTGCCTCCATCGCGAAGCCGCTCTGTTGTGCAGTAGTACCCAACCGGAGGCTCTCCTGGGCGAAGTGGCTCTCAAGGAGAGATCGATCAAGGACGGCCGGGATATTTGGAACATGACAATCCTCCATCTTCTGGCTCAGTGGGGGAAGGACACGTCGGTGGTGTCTCTCCTCGCACTTATCGTCCATTATTGCGAGCCTTCCATGGTTAGCGCCAGGAACATAGACGGCGACACTTTCCTGCACATCCTCGGTCGCCGCTGGTACGGGCTCGCCGAAGTTCCGAATTCCGGCACCCTTGCCGACCTTGTCACTCTGGTGAGCTCGACGGAGTTTCACTTCGACTCCTGCAATATTCGAGGGCAGAACGTTCTCGCCTCGTTCATCCCGAAGACTCTCGTGACTCGGAAGGCCAACTCAGCCCGTATGGATCTCCATCTCCATCGCCGGGTTGTTCACGCACTCCACTCTTTGCTTCAAGTCAAGGATGGGGGTCGCTTCCTACTAGAATCACTTAGGACGATCTCCTCAGACTCCCAAGGCGATGTCTTGGCGGCGTTTCTCTGGTCCCCGGCATTGCTGACAGAATCGCGTGCTGACGAGTTTCTCCTCTCCACGGAAACCCAACAAGGTTTCGAGTACTGGCGCGGGCTTGCGGCCTCGGGAGTCTTCTACAACCCCATTCCCAGCCTCCATACCTACCTCCAGCATCAAACCATCATCTCGGCCGACCTTCTTGATCAAGGGGCGGATCCGAACGAGTACAACAAGGAAGGCCAGACATGCCTCATGGTCCTTCTCGAAAAGGCCCACCACCTCCGCCTCTCCGAATCAACGATGGCTCGCCTCGTCCAGATGCTCCTCGACCACGGCGCGAACCTGAAGCTCCTTGACCAGGATGGCAACACCGCCCTGCACTACGCTGTACAGGCTCGGCTGCCCAACATCGCCCAGCAGCTGATAAGCGCCGGCGCAGACATGGATGCGCGGAACATATTGGACAAGACGGCGGCTCACATAGCCGTGCGGCAGTATGCGCTTGCGAGGCCGGGAGGTGGCGGAGGGACCCCATATGCCCTGGCTCAGACCATGCTGATCCGGTTCTTCGACGCGAAGATTAGGAATAGGAGGTCGCTGCCTCGGATCCCGGAGTGAGGCCGTGGTTGCACAGCTCACTTGAGACATGATTCCTTGGGCGGATTCATTGCATGAACCAGAAGCAGTGTACTATATTGTAACACCATCTTGTATTATTCCTCTAACACCGTATCGATCGGCCACTCATTCCTGTATCAACAAGCTAGGCACAACGACATCGCAAATATTTATTTAGATCATACGATCTCTCTTTATCATGTTTTACGGATACCCCTAACTCCAAACCCCGGACCTAAAAAGAGTAGAGATGCAGAGAACCTAGTGTTCGGTGTACATATCGACGGGATTCCCAAAATCGCGAGAAAAAAATAATTGAAGAACAGAGTATCTGCATACGCCGCTCTGGGTCGACAAATTATGCATCAACCAAGACGCAATCTACGAGAAGGAAATAGCAGCACACACTCTCTCCAAAGGCCGTGTAGAGATGCCAACCACCAGAGCCTTGGCTGAAAAGCTCCGTCCTTTTTAAGAGCCTTGGCCGTCTCGAGGAACATATGCCAGAGGACATCGAACTGGACCGACTTGTCTTCTTCGCTGGCGTGTTCAATAGTAATTTTTGGCGTCAAAACCCTTTCGGATCTCCTGCCTAAAGCGTACCTCATGGCCAAGTTGCGAGGGCGTGTTTGATGTGCAAGGTAATGTAGTTAGTGTTGGGCACAGGGCCAACAGGCTACAACCTAGGTATGACGATTGTTTAAAACCTGGGGGCTCTGCGAAGGGACGCACATATTGACATGCAGGCCAGGTCTCTTGGGCCTGGACTGGCCGGTTAGCGATGTCATTTGATATAATTATAATTAGAGTCAACACGGAGGCAAGCAACCAACATGCATCGATCGCTGAAACCCCAATATCCGAAAACAAAATGAAGGGCAATGGGCGAAATTCGTCTTTCGGGACATTATCCGGCGGTCCACTGACTGCCCAGACTGCAGGCCCTAAGGAAACCTTGGAAGCCAGAGGAAGCGGCCAGGGAACAAATTCAGGGTCGCATCGGCGTAATATTATAATATGACGGGCGGAAATAGTCTCCGCCAAGGTCGAACCCGGAATCAGACCAGGACGGGAAGTCGGAGAACCAGGTCGTCTCGGCTTGCCATGGAAGGACGGAACGTCATACGGCGACGATGGGAGGCCATGACCGGGAACAGAAGAGACGCTGGGAGATTGCCGCAATGTGGCGAGGAGCAGGGTCATATATATGCTTAAATTGGAGGCGACAGGATGCATCTAGAACCACTGGCTTGACAGGTGATTCATGGGCTTCGCTGATTCGACAATGGCTCAGCTTAACGTATGTTGATCCAATGGTTGATAACCTGATTTTGGGACGGGTAGCAAACTTTTTTTTATTAAGGCAGGCTTGCCTATAATTAGGTGCGTAATAAATGAACCACTGGACAAGTGGCAATCCTGGTTCGTGGAATGGTGGTTCTCCAATTTGGATAAATGCAAACACCTGCGTTGGCGACGTTGAACACCAGAGCTTGATTCGACGATCAAACGGTGGCGTGCGGAAGCTCACCACCATCAAGCCAGATCTAGACGTCAGGTTACTTTGCCCTGTCTAGACCTTCCACAATCTTTCTGTAGTCGTCCCGCAATCAGCAATCATATAAGAATCATGGGCTCCCTTGGAGACGGTTGACGAAATACACACCCAGAACTCACAACACAAGCACCAAAACCTCGAAACTCGCCGCTTCCCACCCTCAAACCCCAACAAAAAAACAACAACAACAAACAATCAACATGGGTTTCCTCCCACGACTCGCCCTCCTCGTACAAACCCTGTACCCAGCCCTCGCCCTCGCCACCGACGCCGCCGCGCCCCCATCCCTCCCGCGGATCACGTCGGTGCAGTACTCGGGCAACGGCTGCCCCGACGACGCGAGCCGCAAGGGCGACTTCAACGACCCGACGTTCAGGTTCGACTCCTTCGCCGCCTCGTTCCCGGGCGCCGGCCGCACCGTGAACTGCGAGGTCCACGTGCAGGCCGCCGGCGCCACCGCCGGCTGGCAGGTGGCCCTGAGCCAGGTCAACGTCGACGGCCGCCTCGTCCTGGACCCGGGCGTCGGGCTGGTGTACTTCACGCAGGCGTACTTTAGCGACGACGCTGCGGATACGGTATGTGAGGCGCGGGGGAGAGAGATGAGTCCGCTGAGTGGAAACGAGAGAAGAGGATCTAACTTGTCTGGTGTGCAGGCCACGGCCCGAGGCAGCATCAACAACGATGGCAGCAGCAGGATCAATCGTGCGATAACTATCAACCAGGGGATCGGGGATAAGGTGTGGTCTGATTGCATCGGCGACGACGGGTCCCCCGGCATCCTCAACGTCAACTTCCGCACCGTGCTCAATGGCGATAGCGGCCGCGGCTCGTTCGAGGTCTTTACTGAGAACTGGGACTTTGTCTGGAGGAAATGCTAGGTTGGCGGACGGGCGGGCCGTGCTACATGGGTGGTGAAAAAAGAAAAATGGGCGGATGGGCTGGACTTGGGCGAAATAATGGACAAACTCTTGAAGTGGACTTATTTCATTCTGGCTCAGAAGACGGCTTGCAGGATTGCATGTTAGGTGTTGGGTGATTCGAAAACAATTCAAGTAGCATTTTTGAACAAACACTTTATCCTATCCTTTTGGTCTTGCAACTTGTATCAACAGTGTGGGGATGTCCTTGATCATTTGCCAGACGACCTTTATCTAGGAAGTGCTGCCATCCAAACTTCTCACAGAGCTATGCCAGGGACGTAACCACACTTCACTTCGCCCTCACAATGAGATGCTGGGAAACGATTGCCTCTCCCCGAGACACAAGTTGCCCTCGGGTACATTCGATTACTCCGCCACTTCGGCACCTCAGACCTCCTCTTGCCCGCGAGGATGCACGGCTGGGGAGTCGTTTTGTCAAAACAATGCTACCTTGTACTATTTCTGGCCAGCCAGTGTCACATTGCGTTGGAGCGTTGGCCGGGCGGCAGAGCAACGCAGTGTAATTACCCCTTAATTATCGCATACACAGCCAGGATATGATACTTGGCACGGCGCGGGGAACGGTGACACCATCATGATTCGATACAAAACATCTGATGAGCAACATGAAGTCCATCTAATCTTTTATAACGGGTAACCGGCCGGGTCAAACCGCCATGCCGCCCATGTCAGCATGTGTGTGTATAGGCTGTCGACCTCTACAGCAGGTCCATCAAGTTCTGGGCAGCATTGTCGATGTTGGTGCCAAAGTTCTGGGGCGTGGTCTGTGTTTCGAGTTAGCAACAGTCCTTATCAAGCTCATCACAAGCGAATCAAAACCCACCTGCAGATAGAGAACCCCGTCCTCGATCACACACTCGCAATACGAGTCATACGTGAGCTTGTCCACAATGCGCAAGGCCGCCTCACCCTTCTCCACGGCCTCGTTGAACCCCTCCCTCACCATCTCGTCCTCAGCGACCTTCAGATACTTCATCCGGTACGCCAGCGCCTCAAAGTAGCCCAGCGCAACACTCCCCAGCCTCTCCTGCCAGCCCTCGCGGACCCCTCCGCTGGCAACCTTGCTGGCATCCTGGAGCTTGGCAAACACGTCCTCAAACTTGGCATCCAGCTTGAAGTCCGCGTTCCCCGTCATGTCGGCGACCTGCTTCCGGCAGTCCTCGATCTTGCCGTCGTAGTCCTGGCGCACGGCCATGCGGGCCAGGAAGCTGAGCGCCTGCCCCTCTGGCCCGGGCGCCGCGTTCAGCGCCGGGAACAGCTGGTCCCCCTGGCAGGCGTAGTCGATGTTGGTGCCGAGGGCGTCCGGGCGGAACAGCAGGCGCAGCTTGCCGTCCGCCACGTCGCACCCGCCGTACGAGAAGCGCTTGGGCTCCGAGTCGTCGACGTCCATGGATAGGACGTGCGCGCTGCAGATGGTGTTGATCTCGGCCTTGAGAGAGTCGCCGCGCGAGCCGATTAGGTACTTGATCTGGTAGATGGCGCCGTCGAAGTAGCTGTCTCAGTGGTTAGACTAAGGAAAAGACGGTGAGGGATGGTGGGGGAGGTGGAGTGACATACGCCTTGATGCAGCTGCCGAGCGAATCCTTGGCGTAGCCGTCGTTGTGGTAGGGCCAGATAGCGTTGGGGTTGACCTCGAAGGTCCATGCCTCGCCTAAGAGGTCGGAGAGCTGCTTCTCTATGTCGGCCTTGTTGTTGTCCCATTCATCGCGGACTATGGGTGGGCTGTCAGTTACGCAATGTCTCGTTTGTCAGAGGTGGGTTCATACCGTTCTTGCGAACAGCAAGCGGAAGCTTCTCGGCAGGAGGAAGTCGGGCCATCTTGAAGAGGATAAAGTAGGGAAGCAAGGAGGCTAGATGTGGATGTTATATACTCGATGTATGGGGTGATCAATAATGTCGAGACGAAGAGTCGACCTCAGAGGGATGTCCTCAATATTTATATCATTCGCTCTCCCCCTCATTGTGATGAAGCGATTCTCCACCCCTGAGCCGAAGTCGCAACAGGCAACCGAGCTCAACTCCAGAATCCAGAAAGCAGGGAGAAAAGTCAGCCGTACGCCCCATTTCGGCGTCCCAAATAGGCTTGGGCAAGCGATGTGGAAATGACGGTGTGAATAGGGCTAGCAACGTGCAGGGCGGAAGACATGTGCCTGCCTGCCGGCGAGGCGCATTCGATTCTAGCGTCGCGCACCTGTGTAGATTTCGAACCCGGGATTTGGTCAAAATTCGGGACAGTACCAACGCTAGCAAGGAACCAGCTAGCAAGCAGTGGAGCCAGGGATCCGGGGACCCCAGGATGTTTGGGATGCGACGACGACGAGATTCAAATGGGAATCTGCAAAGGCTGAGACTCCATCTCGGTTAGGCAGCTAGCGGGGTCCAAACTCGTCACACACACAAAGCTGAAAGGAGCTCATGGCTACCTAAATTAGTGCGTTAGGCAGATTCCGATTCAACACAAGCAGCCTATGATCCTGAGGAGATACCTCTCAACAATAGACAACGTTGATTCTTGCGTCTTGGTAGTTGTACCGTGCCCCGCAGGCCCAACATGCCATCACTGTATGTAAGCCCCTCATTGTTATTGTGGGAAACGGACCACTGACCAGCTCACACGGTTTCCAGACCCCTCAAAGTTCAGATCGGCATCCGAGATGAGTGGACGAACGCAGACAGCCCCGTGCAAGAGTCGCTGAGCGCGCTCAGCGAGCTACTCGGGCATTCCGTCGTCATCGAGCCGGAGTGGCAGCTCCTGCTGGCGGAACTAGGTGACCTGTACGCCGACAAGGGGAACTTCGTCGCCGTCGTGGCCGGGTGCATCCGGGTGTGGATCGCGAGCCTGTCGGAGCTGCTGGGCGACTCTGCCCACGAGGACTGGACCGACACCCTGCTTGAGCGGACGGCGGCTGCCGGTTCGCATTTGCGTGTTTTTGTTGAGGTCAGGATGCGCTCAGTTGGGCGCTCAAACACTTCTCACTCTGCTCCCAGCTAACATGCAGTCCACCCAACCCAAGGTCTCTTCCAACGACAAGGCCTCGACGTCCTGGTCTGACAGACGCGGGGCATTTGTCGTCCAGCTGCCCAAGGCCCAGGTGTACCAGCCGGCCGAGCTGTTCCCCGTCTTCCGCGGCGGCCTGCTGGCTGGTTTCCAGCCGGAGGAGAAGCGAGGCATCCCGGACCGGACCACCGCCGACGACTGGGCCGACGTGGAGGTAGACGGGGCGACGGGTCAGGCTGAGGTGGTGGGCAGGCACCAGCCGGCGGCAGCGGCATCCACGGACCTACCGGCAGCGAGGGTCGCCTTCCTCCCCAGCGCGGCTTCGCTTCCCCGGCCGGACGAGCTGCTTCTCAGGCCGCCGTACCACCTCGTCGTGCACGCGGGCCAGAAGGACGTCGAGATCCACGGCAGCCACAGCCCGTCGCTGAAGCTGCTGGCCGATTACCTGAGGCGGTGGTGCCGGGTCAACCACCACGACTCCAGAGCGGTGAGTTGTATTCCCCCCCCCCCCTCGGCGCCATCTTTCTCGTCGGTATGGTTTGGCGTGACGGAAAGGAAAACGGGTGGCTGACGACGCGTCTCACGCCCCCAGCCTCCGGGAGTCGATGTGAAGCTGCACCAGTCGGCGTTTGGGCTGGGCGAGATGTTCGACCGCCTGGTGCTCAGCACGCGCGATACTCGGTATACGGACGAGTTCGGCGTCACGGCGCCGATGGTGGTGTCGTTGATCGAGGGCGTTTTGGGCTACGACTGTGTCTCGGCTCGTCCCAACACGTGGAGTTTCAGGAGGGATGCGGCGTTCAAGAGCCTTTAGCATGGAAAATGGCCATGAGGTTCTGGCGAAGTGGGGATATTGAGGAAGGGGGTTGGGGGATGGAATTGTCCTTTGCATTGGTCGCTACCTGCCAGCCTCCACGTGTTTTCCCAGTTATGCCCCTTTCCAACCTTGCCTGTCAAGCTACTGCCTTTCGTGGGGCCCGAGCCACGGCAGGATCTCCGAGTATCAAGAGGGTGGCTCATGTATTTGCGAAATATGTCCGTGAGAGCAGTTCCCCATCACCTCCGCCCCCGTTCCTCCCCAGAAATGTTAAATTCCCTCGCCAAGAGATCCATATAAATCAGATGACCCGTGACATCCTGAACCCTTTACCCTCGGACCGGGCTACAACAGGTCAATGAGATCTTCGTCCTCGGGGATATAGGCATCAGGGTTCTCCTTGTGGGTGGGCTCTGGGGTGCCCCTGAGAGGCTTCGGGGTGGCCTTGCGATCCTTGGGAGCTTCCTATGATGGTAATTAGTATGGAAGGTCAAGGTAGGTATGTTGCTCTGGGTGCAAAAACGCACAGTCACCTCTTCGTTTGAGACCCGAATATTGAGCTTGGCGGCTCGCTCAAAGAAGTCCTGGAGGCAGGATTGAGGCGGCGCATAATATTCCCTGGGTCTGGTCAGCAGCGCTCTGGACCCCTCAACAGACAACGACGCTCTGAATATACGTACGCTAGGGGGTTCAACGAGGTCAGGCTGGGGAAGTAGCCTCGTGGATTGCCCTGGACTGCAGCATTGGGAACATTCCAGACTTTATTGTTGCGCGCAGACATGACCGAGTTCGCAATCGTGTCATCGAGGGTTCCAAGAACGCGGACTGATGAAGGTAGGTCGAGAACGCCAAGGCTCTGGAGCTTGTCAAGATGCTGTCAAATATACTGTCAGTATCCATGCTACTATGACGAATATAATTGCGTACAACTATGATGACTGCACGATGGAAGAGGACGAGGTTCTCTTCGTTGGTCTGGGGACCACCCACGAGCGGGTGAGATGGATCCATCCTCCAGGCCTGACCCTGGGGTACGGTTAGCAGAGTTAAAACTTGGCCCTGGGGAAATATACTACCAGCTGAGAACCTACGAAGGCAAGGTAGGTAGGTACGATGTCTAGAGTTGAAGGATGGAAGGTGAAGAAAGGCCCATGTACAGCGGATGAGGTAATTTAGAGAGGTACTTCTCTATTTATGTACCTGAGCTAACCATGTTGCCGAGCAAGTACCTACTTGATCAAGGTACCACCATGCAGTGAGCCCGGGCCCTTCATGGGCTCTGTAGACGGGGCATGGAAGTCGCCTGTATTATGTGTGATTTGCCCTACCTACCTAACCAGAAGATGAAGGTACAAAAACATACATCGGGCTTGCGAAGCCGAAAATATTTTTGCACAATTTGACTTTGTGAGTTAAGTAGGTTGTCTGTCCCCCTGAAGCAAATCTTAAGATGTCTGACCTGGTCTGTTGCTGAGAGAAAAGAGGAAGATGGGCAGCCTTGTTGTCTTCGAGTTAAAGGGCCACCCTAGCATTTGAAAGAACCCCTTTTTCTTCATACATAGTGAGTCCCAATCGAGCCAAAGCCGGAAGCCTGCAGATATCTAACCCTTTAGAACCCCCTATTTGCGTTGTTTCAGGCCGGACGGAGAGAAAGGGCGACAAAAAAGGACGGAGTGCTTGTCTGGTCTTACATGGAGGAAAAAGGGAGAAGGCAGGAATGGCACCGACACTGGTTCTGGAGATCGAGGGCGTCCGAATGACACGAAATATTGCAAATCGGAGAGATATATAGATGGATGGAAGGAGCGTAAATAAAAAACTTTGGGTATCAAAAGACGATGCCGAGTGCATGATAAATCTAATGCAGATACGCCAACTCCCCAACGCCTTTTGGTGTCTACCCCCTCGTCTAGATGCATCCACGTTAGAACACCGTCCGCCGTTTCCTGCCAGTGTACTTGGACGTGGCCTTGACAATCTTCCCCTTCCTCTCCATCTGCTCCTTTTTCTTGACAATCCACGCCTTGCTGCCCTTCTTGATCTCCCCCTTACCGCTCCTGAGCGTCTTCCTCGAGTCCAGAACATCAACGCCTTCCATGCCTCGGACCACGCCCGTGATATCGCCTCCATCCCCGCGAGCAGCGGTCCCGCCAGCTGTCAGGACAAGGTAGAGCTTGACGTTCTTGGTGTCGGGGTCGTCCTCAAGGATACCGGCACCGAAGCCAGCCCTGACCGCGGCGGCGGTGATCATGTTCCGCTGTGCGTCGTTCTTGGGATAGAACTGACACACCGCCCTCCCCCCTCTCTTCAGCGATGCATACAGCCCATTGAAGAACCTCGACAGCCGGCCGGCCGGCGACGTCTCGCTGCTCTCGGCATTGCAGAGCCACTGTATCGCGCTGATGCTGATGGCGGCATCGAACGTGCCCGCCCGGAACGGAACCCCCTGGCCGATATCAGCCAGGAGCAGGTCGCCCTCGACGTCCCGCTGTAGCGCCACGTCTAGCATCGAGGCGCTTATGTCCATGCCCACCCAGATGTGCGGCCCGCCCTCGTCCTCGGGCACCGCCGAGAGCATCTCCCCCGAGAGGCCGCTGCCGCATCCGACGTCGAGGATAAAGCTCGGAGAGCTGAGATCGAGGATCTCCAGGGCCCGCTGCGTCATGGACGCCTGGATGTTTTGTATACGTGAGCTCGTCGTGTACTTGCGGGCCTCGGTGTCATTGTAGTGCACGTCGGCGGAGCTGGGGAAGGAAGATGGTTAGCGGTCGGACTGAACGACGGTGTGCATACTGGACGTATTTACAGGGTATCCTCCGGCCGAGACATGGTAGATCAACGTGGATTCGAGTTAATAGATGTGCTGTGCGTCAGTGGGATGCCTCAGACGACAGATAGAGTGGGAATTGAGCGGGCAGAGCACTCGAACTCGTCGTTCCTGCTAGGGTTTCGACATCGAAAACTGGAATTTACAAGATATGTCGGGTAGTGGCGTAGTGGGGCAACATGACAGGGTTCTTGTTTCCATCCTATCAGGGTGGATCCAAGGATCAAAATTTGACCGAACATCCGAATATGCAGAACCTGCCACGGTTGAGATTTGTTCATTGGTTTGTTCTTCCCGATAAATGGGCGACAGTCGCCCGGCAGCCTCAAAACTTGATGCTCGGAGCTCCTCCTTCCCTATTTCAAGTCTGGTTTGATGAGCATGTGACAAGATGTGGATTTTGCCTCTTGTCGGTTATCTGGGCTCCATCGTCGGGTTCTGCTTCCTGACGCTGGCTATTGGTGCGTCTCTTTTCTTTGCATTGTTGCGGTGTCCCTTCGCGCGTAGCCGTCTGGACTTGATAGCTGACCGGAACCTCTAGCATCGGGACTCTACTATTTGTCTGAACTCGTCGAGGAACACACCGTTATCGCGAAACGGTTCCTCACGCGTCTGATCTACTCAGTCATCGGCCTTCAACTCGTGCTCTGCGTTGTTGATGGCTTCCCCTTTTTCTTGACGGTCGTGGGCATCGTTTCCCACGTTGTATATCTGGGAAATATGCGAAGATTTCCCTTCGTCAAATTGACTGACCCTCTTTTCGTTACTTCCTGCGGTAAGACTGAGCCGTTCCTCAGCCTCATGCCGTCCGCTGCTGATGACTTGTTTCTTCTAGTCCTTGTCCTCATCAACCACTATGTCTGGTTCAGGCACTTCTCCAAGGCCCAACAACGGGCATACATGAATATGTCGTCCTACTACGATACACCGTCAGACACCCCGACGTTCACGGAGATCGCGTCATACTTCGGCCTCTGCGTTTGGCTCGTCCCCTTCGCACTTTTTGTGAGCCTGTCAGCCAGCGACAATGTGCTGCCAACAATGGGGAGCGAGGAGCCCTCAATAACATCGGGGGGTATCGGCGGCGGGAGCAAGGCGAGGCGAGGCCAAGGGATGGCGAAGGCCTTGGTCCACAACATCAGGGCTGCAATCGGGCAGGCCGGCGCGCTGGCGGGCTGGAAACGGCCGAAAGACAGGTTTTGAGATTCGGAGTCGGGAACTGGCGTTTTGTTTGCCACGGCGACGCCTGGTCTCGGCCGACGAGTGCAGGCCGGCGTGCCGCACCGTCGCCGGGACGCATTTTGGTATGTCTCTGACCCCTTACCCCTCTCGTCCAGGCAAAGTGTGAATTTCCATGATGTTATCAATTCGACTAGATTGTATCCGATTCGGCCCATGGCCTTAAATGATGCAAATTTCTGTATAATTCTGACTGTCCATTTCTCACTTTGCCTGGGAACGTTGAATATGCTGTCTGCAGTTCGTTGCTAACACTCTTCGATCCAGGTCGAACAACCGGGCTTGACCCCGTGTATTGATATTGTTACTACTTGATCCATTTAACGACTCACGATGAATTACGAGCTAAGAAACCACGCATTCCCATCGATGCAACCTCGCGATGTCATGGCCCAAGGTGTCCCGAAATGTCGCTCTTTCTTTTGTTAAGCCGGGAATGAAGTCATTCACTCGGCGCTCATGACCTCCTGTTCTGCATTTGCTCGATACATTCTCGCTATTTTGTCAATTGAGACACCTCTGGGTTCTAGGACCATGTCTCCTGCTCAACCAGTTGTCCGTCGGTACAATCCGGTCTAGAACTCTCGATTCTATCTGGCTTGTCATTGCCTGGCCACAAGCAGAATGCCAGGGGCTCTTCAACCTCGCATTGGTCCAAGCTTAGGTAATGCTGTACTACGTGATACTTTCTCTCACCGGTTTCCCGAAGTCGGTTTCTCAACCAGTTTTGCAGCTCCCAGCTTTTCTGAGCTCAGGTTTTCCTGTGCTCGATCTTCCCCCCACCCCACTTTGACTTTCCCCCCACCGTCACAACTTGACTTGTCCCCAAACCTGACCTGTCCCCAACCTGACTGCGCCTACAACTTGAGCTTCGCCACGACTTGACTTGGAAGTCCAGCTTCCAGGACGGGAAGCTGTCCACATGGCGCAATGGGTCCAATTAACTGGCACCACGGGCGTTCAGTTACGGAGAGTTCTTTTAGGTCAACTACTCAATTCCAGGCCATGTGAGTGACCTGTCAACAGTGCGATGCAACAGCCATGCTTGGCCAGGTATCAATGGAAGCATGTCATTACTATCATTATCGTCAACCTTCTCAATTCTCCTCTCCCATTCGTCTCTTGTACCCCGCCGTTGAGGGCGAAGTTACCATGTTGAAAAACACAGCTTGAAGATCTCCCGCACTTCTCGGATCTGCATTTACGTTTTGCAGGCCACCCCGCCGCCAATGTTCCATTCACGCACCTTTTTTAATCCGTTCCTGCACCTCCCCCTCCATCATAACTCAGACCACCCGACCCCAACCCCTCAAGCGAGGTCAGGACAGGCTCCGCCTATGAGATTGTGTATACCGAGCGTCGAGCCCCGTCGCCTCGCTCAACGTTGCGCGGGCGGACCGGTGCAGCTCCCGGCCGTGGCGGCGGTGCGGGGCTCACCTGCCGGAGGGGCAGTCGTGCCGCTCCCTGGCGCCGGTGCCGCCGCGAGTCGGACCGCGCCGATGGCGTCGTACGGAGCCTCATCGCGGGACTGCTGGAGCCACCGGGCAAGTGAGGGCGAGATATTGCAGGCTGTGCGGGGCGGTAGGTGCTGGGGCGATGAGTGGGGAGGTTGCCCTGCAGCTGGTGGGGGAGGATGCTGGTGTGGGAGGTGTGGGACCGGGACCCATGGTGGTAATGGTGCCATTGTCGTGGGTTGGGTGGGATTTGAAGATGTTTTAGAGTTGGGATGTGTGTGTGTATGTGTGCATATATTTTGTATACGTAATATATGAGGTGTGTGCAAGGTGTTCCAAAGAGGCAGGGTCATGCTTCTGTGTCGAGGAAGGGGGGAAAGGGAAAAAGAGAAGACCCCAACTCGCTCCTCCGAAGACGAGGATGGGAGCCGGTTTTCATTCAAGTGGAAGAGCGTTTCCTGCTGACCGCAAATGCTTGCGGCGCTGAGGCTAGCCTCGAATTGGGGTGTTCCATGGTGAGCCGCTTCCCGGCGGCAATTGCACTCTTCTCCTTCCTAGTACAGTACCTTGATACGTTTGTTCGGAATAGGGCCGCCACCAGGCAATTTCAACAGCCATTGTAAGGGCGAGCCCTTTCCTTGATAGGCCATCCGATACGATGGCTAGGTTGTTGCAATGGATCCATGCTGCAGGCCAGCTGTCGCTACACCTGTCGCAGCACACCACTACGACTTGCCGAACCAATTTGTTTTGCTTATTCCTGGTGGGCTAGAAGTGTTGATAGCAATCACATAGGCAGGTGACGATAAAACAAGAGGGGCTATTGATTTACAAATTGTGACATTTTTGCAAAGTCTGTTGACAGGTTTTGACATTTTTGCAAAGTCTGTTGACAGGTTTTGACATTTTCGCAAAATCTGTTAACAAACGATGCCATTGGTCACTAGATACGCGGGGTTTCCTGTCATTGGCAGTTGGTCACGTGAGTTGGAGCTAATAAAACTGAACTGGTGGTTGAGGTCCTTCGAGCGCCTGTTAATGACATTAAATTTGATAAGTGCATAATAACAACTCATTGACCCCACCCCTTCCGGAAAGGAAACATACATGTCATTCACTCACAAAGAAAGAACGTCCAATTCTTGCCAGATTTTACAGGCAGACAGGCTAGAGACTAGCAAAAGGACTGTAATATCCATTTGACAGCAATTGGAGAGGCTGCTTTGAGGGGGAAAGTCTGAGGAACCGAATGGATGGGGAAAATAGTGCTGTCGATATTTGGCTCCATTGTACTTCTATAACAGCATAACCCCCTTTACAGCACCCTGAAGGATGTGCTCACGCCTTATGAGTGTATTGGCCCTTTTTCTCATTTACTCTGTTCCCCCCTTGTTTCCATGCTGCCGTCAGAGCACGCCTGTATTTTGGAAAGGGAAGCCCGTGCCCAGTAGTCAATCCACAGGCTACCTACGTAAGCCGGCGAGATGCTCCCTCCTCTTGCGTTTCCTTTTTCTTCACAGTCAAGCCGTGTAAGGCAACCGGCGTTTGTACTGTGGAAGCCCTGAAGGGAATCTGCCCCGGCTGTATGAAGCAGGGAGGTATGATGCTTGCCCTTTTACTTATTGATACTGGCATCCTAAAATTCGAGGGAATATCGTCATTGACTACCTAGTCTAGGGCAAGCATTGCGTGCTTTCTCTGCCTTCTCGGCTTTCAATCAAAAGTATCTTGATGGGATAGAAGTGGGAAAATTATTATACATTGATCAAGGGTCTTCAGCTGCAAACGAGGACCACAACGCTTTTCTAGCCTGGTCAACGACAGGAGTTGGAGTGGACGCCATGACAAATCGAAAATGGGGAGGGGTAGGTATAGCTATCGGTGGGCTGAAACTGGGTGGGTTGAACCGATCCCATACCCCTACGCACTTTCTACTAGAAAGTGCGCGCAGGGGTGCCTTGTGACTTGAGCTTCTGGGGCGACCAGACCATTTGCCTCTTGCTCGATGGATCTGCTCTCTAGTGATAATAATGCATGGAGTTGCACAGCATTTGTCCAATTGAGGACAGCCGCATATCAAAGTATTGGATATTGACAAGGTTCAAGGCGGGGTCATCCCTTGTAAAGACTAGCGGAGAACGCCTCGGGGGCAAAATGACGCCGTCCTGCGCCTCCAACAGCGATCAGGTCTTGGCATATCAACGCCCAAGAGGCCGGCGGTGACGCGGCTGTTCGGAGAGGCATAGTGATAGTGGTAGTATATCTCCAGAAGTAAACTCATTAACCCACTCAGATATTAGTATCATGAATCCACCGACTAAAGAGACTTCATTAACATTAATGAAGGAGAATCCTCAGTTTATAGATATGGTCGAAGAACTTCCTGGGTATGGTCCCAAACCTTTCTCTGTGCCTTCTCTCGGAGTAAAGACATGACCTTCGCATTTGGAGTACAGTCGCACTTATTATTGACGAGAAAAAAACCATCCGCCTGCCTCTCCAGCGAATTTACACCCGGCTTGCCCTTCCATGGTATGCCACGACCGCCAAAAGCAGCACTGGTGATTTTGAACAAGTGCCTCTGTCCAGACTCATCGTCGCTGAACGAAATTAGGCCAAAAAGGGGCTCAAAGATAAGCCAACGAGCCAGGCCAGGATCGAATTCGGATCCAAACCCCTTCTTACATTGCCCGTGTTGACCGACCCGGGCCAGGAGTGGATGAATGTCACATTGGGATTTTCGTCGGCCAGCTTCTCCAAAATCGTCGTGTTCATGTTTCCGTATTGCGTCTTGGCCTTCATGACGCCGAAATTCCCAGGCCTCTTCAGGTCTATGTCGTCCAAGTCGATAGTTGTCTTCATCAACCCGCCCGCAAAAACGCTGATGACCCTGGGGACTTCCGCTTTGCCTAGGAGAGGGAGAAGATGTAGAACGAAGAGCATTCGCGAATAGTACTCCAGGCTCTGCACGATTTCCAAGCCCTCGGTAGTCTCCCTGCGTGTACCGAATGGTGCGTAACCCGCGGAAAGGAACAGCAAGTCGACGCGTGGCTCCTTACTTTTGATCACCTCGCATACTCTCTTTGTGTCCGCAAGGAGCGAGACCTCGCCTTCCGTCCAAATGACTTCGGCCCTGGGATTGATGGTGTGCAACTCCTGGATGAAAGCATTCGTGCGCTCTTCGGAACTCTTGCAACCGACTAGGTAGATTCTCACGCTGGCACCCGTGGCGACTAGGGCCCTAACAGTGAATTTTCCGATGCCTGATGTACCGCCGACGAAGACGGCGACTCGTGGGGCCGTGGCATCGTTGATCAGCGCGTTGGAGCCTTGTATTTCTGTGTAAGAAACCATTGTAGTGGGTGAGGGATGCCAGCCGATAGACTTGTCTTTTATGTCTGGCTTGGAAAGGATTCTAGGAATGTGATAGACAGAAGAACGAGTCTATCAGAATATCAACTTGTCGTGAGAGTTATTATAATATTACGGCACAAAAAGGCGCCCCGAAGCGCTGGGTTTCGGGCTGCCGGACTTTTTTCATGCCGTCCAGGTGTTTCCATATCAGGTGATCAAACGTTCCCAGTTGGGAGATGGATTTGTGGATTTCCACGTACCACCAGCATGAAGCACCCTCAACAGCATGAGCAACTCCGCGGGCTCGTCAAGGTAGAAGATACCCGGCTGACGTATGGGATATCTATCTAGGTAGTACATCCTACGTTCAGTCAACCCATTTTGTTTTCCTGTTGCTTTTGGAACTCCGCGCATTGGGTGGGTTCAATGGCGGCCGAGCGAGCTGGACAATTGAACCGCCGGAGGTCATAGTACCGCAAAAGGAGAACTCCAATTACCCCCGTTGGTAGGGTGCATTGCCAGTGAAACATGAAATGATGCTTTTATATCAAACGAGACACAATACTCATTCGGCGTAAGGTTTACCGTATCAATATTTACACATGAACAAGGCCGCTTCCGCACCGCGCAGCGCAGGGCATACTCCGCGGACGGAATTGCACAGGAACACGCAAACCGCGATTTAGTTCTCCGCAGCCGAGCACTTCTGCCACTCCTCGACGGCGGTGCCGGCCTCGAGCTCGGCGATCATGTCGTCCGAGGCCTTCTGGCTGATCATGAAGGTGGACACGACGGGGAAGACGCCGGGGATCCTCGCGAAGGCGCTGGCGTCGACGACGCGCAGGCCGGCGACGCCGCGGACGCGGAACTTGGAGTCGAGCACGGCGCCCGTGTCGTTGTCGGCACCGATGCGGTTGGTGCTGGTCGGGTGGTGGCCGAAGGTCTGCTTGTGGATCCAGTCTTCGTCGTCCTTGCCGCAGCTGCCGTCGGCGGCGGGGGTCCCGCTGCAGGGGGGCTCGCGCGGCGTGATGCCGATGCGGGTGTAGATGCGGCGGATCCAGGCCACCATGTCCTTCATGGCGCCGAGGTCGTCGTCGGAGCCCTCGGCGTAGTGGTTGAAGTTGATCTCGGGCGTGTCCTGCGGGTCGGCCGACCGCAGCTTGACCCAGCCCTTGTTGTTGACCGACGAGCCCTTGACGATGCTCACGCCGTACGGCTGCGGCGGCTCGGCGGGCAGCGTGGCCGTCTGGTTGTCGGGCCAGAAGCCCCGGAAGAGGAAGCCCTGCCCGCCCATCAGGAACACGTCCCGCTCGCCGTGCGCCGGGTGCTTCGACTTGACCATGGCCACACCCGCGTCGCCGGGCCCGGCGGAACCGCTGCCCACGATGGGCATCTCCTGGTTGTCCATCAGGTTCTGGCCGACGCCGGGGAGGTCCTTGATGACGGTGATTTTGAACTCCTCGAGGTGCGCTTTGGGGCCGATCCCGCTCAGCATGAGGAGCTGCGGGGAGTTGAAGGTGCCGCCCGAGACGATGACCTCCCGCCTGGCTATGACGGTCTTCTTGGTTCCCGTGGCGCCGGGAGCCTTGCGGTTGTCGGCCGCGTAGAGGGACGGGCCCTCCAGATACTCGACTCCAGTGGCTCGGGGCTTGTCGCCGCACTTGGAGCTGGTGTCGAAGAGGATCTTGGTCGCGAGAGAGGTGGTCGAGATAGTGAGGTTGACACCGTCCTTGACGCCCGCTTGGATGTAGTCGCGAGAGCTGTAGCGGTTTCCGTTGGGGTACGTGTGCTGCACGAGCCCATAGATGCTCTCGGTCTGGTCCCGTTCGGGCGAGATAGCATTCGAATCCCTGGTGAGAAGGTCCGTCATGGGTTCAGTCAACTTGAGGTCCTCCGCATAGGCCTGCATGACTTTGTTTCCCTGCAGGGCTCCGGACTTCGCCTGGTCTTTCGATCCCATGTTCGTCTGGAAGTAACCGTCGAAGCCATGGCCAGCGGTGCCCTTGGGCATGTAGTTGTTCTTCTCAATTCTCTCGAACACCTTGTGCATGTTCTCCGCCCTTTGGACAATGTTAGCATCAGCCGAGCTTTGACTGTGTCTACTGCTGGAAGGAAAACACATACTTCCAAGTCTCGTCGCCGGTCACCTCGTAATGATAGTTCCAATCGCTGTCGCTTGGGAGCCAAACGCACATGGCGTTGATCATGGATGAGCCGCCAAGCGTAGCACCGCGGGGGTAGTAGACGCCCAGCAGCTCAGAGCCTGCGGGGGCGCCACTGTTTCCGACCCAGTAACGGCCCTGGGGCGTCTTCCAAGTCAAGTGGCTGTAGAGATTGTTCCGCGCATCGCCTTCCGGGTAGTGCTTGACGAAGAAGTCCCACGTGACGGTTGGCGTGTACTGGCCGAAGCCGCGACCGGGGCTGGTGTCTCCTGCTTCGATCAAGAAGACTGAATAGCCCGCCTTGGCCAGATTGGTGCTAAGCACGCCTCCACCGGGCCCGCTTCCGATGACGACGTAGTCATATTCGGCGTCAGCAGTTGGGGCAGCGGCAGCAGGGTAAGCAACCAGGAGGCTCAGAGAGAGCAAGCGGCAGAGCCGGCCGAGAACTCCCTCGTTCTTGTTCAAGGACTTCATGGTGAACTAGACCGAGGATGACCTTGTGTGTAAGATCAGATAGCTGAGACCGGGACGACCAGGACACGTGAGAATGGACCTGTCTCTAGCTTCATATTATCCCCCGCCAGCGACAGCAACGGCACACTTCATTGTTAAGTACCGAGGGCCCCAATTTGCTGCTTCATGGATGAGCAAAATCCCCCCTCGCAGGGCAAGTCTCAGATAGTGCTCGCCTACGACCTGCCAAGACAGCAAACTCAAATCAGAGCCAGAGCAATATCGTGATCAGGGCACTAGACGTTGTAGACGATAATTAGCTTGCAATGCTCCGATGTCTTTTCCCGGCGAAGATTGCGGCGAGGGACGCGGTGCTGTTACTCGATACGGAAACCTTATCTGACGGACCCGTGTGCAGCGACACCGGTAGGAGAGTGCCCAGCCGGGTATTGTCTTGGGCTGGATATTGCAATATGCCTAACGGGGCAGAGATCGGAGGTTTGGGCGGATCCTCCTGGGTGCGGGTAAATGTTCGGAACTGGCTAGAACGTCCAGAATGCCTTGGGAATAAGCTTAATCGTTTCAGCGTCCAATCTAATCCCGTGCTCCAATTCTCATGCTGCTCCAGTTCCATGGCGTCAATATCCATGCCCTTGCCGCGATATAGTCTTTCTTTAGAACTGTCCAACTCGAGAGGTGTCAGCAGCCACCCTCAGCACTAACTTTGGCAACAGTGGTACAATACGTTACGTTGCCTGCTGGCTGCTCAGGAAGCCAATCCAGAGGGAGAAGGAGGTTCCTACTTCGGGATTAGCTGGCTCATGGTTACATGGTATGAGATTGAGATGGGCAGATGCTGTCCTTTATTTCCTCCTGACGCAAATAATCTTGGTCTTGTGTCCGGTTCAAACATCGTTAATGGCTAAGAGCTGTGGGGGAAGGTCTACTTAGAACGCCCAAAGTAATGCAGCTGAAAGACAATGAATGGGTTTAGAATATCTATCGACACGCCCAAACTGAAGTCTAATTATATGATGTCTTCGTCGTCCGCGGCCTTCTCCACCAGCACGTACCTGTCCCTGCCAATCGACTCATCCTTCTCATGTTCCAGAGCAAGCTTCTGGAGTTGTCCAAGCATATTCTCAACCAAGGTGTTCTTCCGGCTACGATCCTTTCTGCCGAGATCATTCAACCAGGCGACCCGGTTGAGAATCAAATACACGATGGCGATAACAACGGTAACACCGAACGAGTAGAGCCAAATAATAACCACGGTTACCACATCGGTCCATCCATCTTCCCTCTGGTGCCAGGCATCAAGGGGCGTGTCTACCTCAGACCTCCCGGAGAGCCACCCAAACAAGCAGAAGAGCGTCGCAAGAACGTCCACAGCGAAAATGGCGCTCACAAGCTGTAGAGACGGCCATGTTTTACCGCCACGCGTGACGAAAATGAGCCAATTCTCCGTGAGGGCGATTTCAAGAAAGAGGACTTCCTGAACAGATCCGAAATTCGCGACAACACCGCCGTGAGACAGAAACATGGACCCACGGATGATCCAAGTTCCTGCTGCGAGCAGAATGCCCAAGACAACACTGACCACCCAGATTTTGGGAAGTTGCCATTCGACTGGGCGAGTCTCCGAGTATGCGTTATCGTAAGCCACCGCAATTGTGGCGAGGTCGGCGAACAAAGCGAGGAAAACGACCAAGTCGACCGTGATGGTCTCGTTGATGATGATCATCGAGAGGGTCAAATAGACTTCAAGATGAAGACACAGTGCTATCCGGTACTGCACATAGGCCTTCATGCGCTGAAATATCTGACGCGACGTCTTGATGGCCAAAACGATCGTGCTCAAGCCAGGGGCCAGAAAGACGATATCAGCTGCGGCTTGAGCTGCTTCAGATGCTCCTTCAACTGCGATTCCGCAGTCTGCCTTCTTAAGTGATGGCGCGTCGTTGACACCGTCGCCGGTCATGGCTGTAAGATGGCCGCGTTGCTGAAGCATCTCGACCACTGCATACTTGTGCTCGGGGAAGACTTCGGCGAATCCGTCTGCCCGTTCAACCAGGTCGCGCTGCACGCTTCCACTCAAGCCCCCGCGGATGAGTTTCTCGGAGTTGTAAACCTTGGTCCCAAGAGAGAGCATCTTGCACGTCTCTTTCGCAATCGCGATGGCGTCTCCGGTCAACATCTTGACTGGCACACCAAGCTGACCGGCTTCGATAATCGTCTGCGCGGTGTCTTCGCGAGGCGGGTCGAACATGGATAGCAGCCCGAGAAGAGTCCAATCTTCGTCGTTTTTCTTCACAGCCACCCCCAGGGAACGGAAGCCGCGATGGGCAAACTCTTGCGCCTTTTCCTTGTACATGTCGCTGATTTCCTTGGACGAATTTGCCAGCTGGAGTATGGCCTTTGGGGCACCCTTGGCGCAAATGTACTTGTCGTCTCCGAGCCGGCACTCAGCTGTAATTCTCTTCGATACTGGGTCGAAAGGATAGAACTTGTCGGTCGTCCAACCTTGTTGCAAGATTTCTCGTGCCTTTGAATAGCGCTTGAGGGTCAGGATCGTGACCTTATCGATGGGATCCAGAGACTTGAGGTTGTGCGAAGAAGCGAGTGCTGCGACAGCCATCATCCAGTTGACATCTTGGCCCTCCGAGACGAAAGGCTCACGAATGCTCAGCTTATTAGCAGTCAATGTGCCGGTCTTATCAGAACATAGAATATCGACGCCCTAGATTGATTGAAATTGTCAGATTGAGAGTAAACATACCAACACAGTCCGGGATCGTCTTACCGCTAGTGATTCAATCGCAGTGAGTTTCTGCACAATGGCCTTCTGCTTGGCGAGATACGCGGCCCCCACGGCAAGAGTGGTTGTTGTGACGACGGGCAACCCGACCGGAACGCCGATGATTAGCAGCACAAGCGCATAGTGCAGCAGATTCTGCGAGCCGGGACGCGCAATTCCAATATGGTGGTAGAAACCACCAATCCAGGCAGCCAGGATCCAGAACATGACCAACACCAGGAGCGACGTGCCGATGCTGTCCATGACCGCCTTGAAGTGGCCCTGGTCCTTTGCGCCCTGGACCAGCTCCGCCGTGCGTCCAACAAAGGACTTTTTTGCGGACGCGACGACGACGGCGTAGGCCTTGCCGCGCTTGCAGCCCGTCGTGTAGTACAGGACATCGCCCATATACTTGTCGACGGCCAGGGATTCGCCAGTGATGGCAGACTGGTCGATAGCGACGATGGCGCGGTATCGATGGTCCATTGGGTCGGGTGGCTCGTCGCTGTTTGGGCGGGCTTGCTCAGCACCCGTTTTATTTTCATGTTCCTCTTCTTCGCTGTCGGTTTTATTTCCGAAGCCCTCCCCGGCACTGAGCGTTTTGTAAAGTTCAAAGTCGTCTCGGCGGTCGTAATCACAGATCAGCCGCGCATCACCGGGCACGGTATCGCCTTCTTGTATGATTACCTGCGGGATTATACTCGGTCAGCAATCTGATGTCTTGGGAGCAGGTCGGGAAAGGATACAGGCATACAATGTCACCAGGCACAAGCTCCCGAGCCAGAATGTTTTGCTCGGCCCCATCCCTCACAACGGTGCAGCGCATGGCTATGTCACCCTTGAGGCTGGCAACGACGTCCGCTGCCTCCTTTTCTTGGTAGAACCCGACGAAGGCGTTGAGGAATAGAATGCCCAGGATCACGCCGAAGTCAATCCAGTCGCCAAGACCAACGGCCAACAGAGCGGCCACTTCCATCACTGGTTTGCTAATTAGCCATCTTTCATCTGGAGGATGCACATATGGGGAAGGCTTACCATAAAGAATCGGCCCCATGAAGTAGGTTATGAACTTGTAGAATAGATTCTGCTTCTCCGAGGTCAGCTCGTTCCATCCAGACAGCTTCCTCCTCTCGTCGACGGTCGAGGTCGGGAGGCCGGAGTTGATGTCGGTTGTGAGCCACAGGCCCGGGACCTCTGAGACGCCTCTCGCTGACGGCCCCTGCGTATCTTCTTCAGAACCTTTCCAGAATTGCCACCATTTCCTGCTGCGTGTCTTGCTCTGAGCATCGTCTGGTTTCTTTGCGAGACGGCTTTCCTCACGGTAAGTGCTGATGTATCGATCCAGAGCGGCATATTCGCCAAGGTTAGGGAGCTCCGGAGGAGGGATGTCGCTGGAAGGTTGGTTACTATTGGCCGCGTTGCCTTCGACATCATCTGCGGCATGGTAGTCTTCGTGCCTCTGGAAGAGGCTAGACATGATGTTGAAACCAGCAGGTTGACCGAACCAAGATTGAAGGCGGGGCAAGCAGTGGGTGGGAAATAAAGGAGACAAGAACCAGGCTACCCAAGTTACATCTTTTCGCAATGACCGATTATTACTTATTGCCCAACGTTAATCACGCTCAGAGTCCGAACGGCAGCTGCACAAAGTTCTACGGTTCTGCCGGGAAACACGGATATGCTCGGTTTGAGAATATGTCAGATTACACAGCCACGACATTTGCACAGGACGACAAAGGAGTTGGGGGCGGGACTAGGGACAATGAAGTAGAAATCGGCAAGGCTCGGCATATTACGAGAGTCAATTTGAACAGACTGAAGCCCAGAGTGCGCAGTTACGGCGTGTCACACCTAAATACTGGCGGGTACTTCAACTGACTTTGCTTCCCGCATTGCCGTTATATCCGGAATAGGGGTTGACTACCCTGAAAAAACTCCAACGGACCTACAAAAGGCATTATTATGCTATAATGAGACTGTCGGGCCTCTGACACTTTCTAAATTCTGCTGGACGGCTAGGTCTGTCAGAAACGCCATCCATATCATCCACTGGTATCTATCCTAAGTGACTCACCAGATCGATAATGCCCCGAAGACCACATAAGAGGCGCAAGAGCATGCAGGGAAGCCTTGATACCGAGCCGAGAACGCGAAGATGCAGGTCTCGCACTTCCCCTGCTGCTGGGCGAAGCTACATGCCAGTTCCTAAATGGCTCATAGCCTGCCGACGTAGCACCCTGATCCGGACCCGGAGCCGTGCCCAAGCCTAATTCAGTGCTCTCTTCATGTTTCGCTCGGCACTAATGACATGGTACCCAAACTATGTCTACTAGGAGACGCTATGTTATTTGATATTTTCGCCCTCTAACCTGCGCGTTTTCTGTGCTTCTGTCACGTGCGTGGGAGCTGCTTCTGGCCCATGGTACGCGGCATAATGTAGCGGCGTCGTATCGTGTCTCTTGATGTCTGTGCCGGGCTGGATCGAGTGTTCATGGCGATTGGAGACTCGAGGCAGACCAGCCTATCAACCTCGGGTGGAAGACGGAGGCGTGGAGGTTCAGTGATACTGTGGCGATTCCAGAACGAGAGCGATTGGGGAATCTGCTCATATATCATCACTTTCTCCAAGGCCCGACGGGGATTGACTCCCCTTTGCCCGAACCCCGGCGAAGTTTATTCGGCAGACATGTCGTCGCGCGTCACGCGGGCGTGGACGCGCACCCAAATCCCCACAAGTGCGTTGCCATGGGCATAGCCTCGGAGCGCACTCTAACGTTGATATTTTTGGTTTTGGCAGCACCAATTCCCACGCCATCGTCGAGAGCTAGGATAATTTATACAAGAGCCGAGCATCAGCGGCCACATGGTGTTGTTGTTGTTGCCCACGATGAATTGGAAACATCCTGAATGGATGCATCAACTTATCTCTAACCAAAAGGGATACAATTAGACGCGAATGATAGAAGTCCTCTACATTAAGTTGCATCTTTTTGGAGGATCTCTGCGCCGTTGCTCTGTTTGTTCTACGGGCAGGGGGGCTGTGCGTCACAGGTGGCACCGGCCTGACAGCCGGATTTAATGACAACCTTGCTGCTGAACTAGAACCGCCAGAATCTTTGGCGGGCTGATGTTATCTGCGTTGCACAGACCGACTGCTTGGAGGAGCAAATAGCATATGCCCGCGGAGATGTGCCCCTTGGAAAAGTGCAGCTTGAGGAGGGGAACTCGGGCTGGAGAAAGAGCCGGATTATGTCACGTGATGTGATCTGTCGGAGTAAAAATAGACGGCACAGCCCCACCACCCATTTCTATATCCGGATCCAAGCTTCCTTCCCATTGCTGTGCCTCCTCGCACAGGCCAACATAGCCGATAATAGCTCCGGGCCGCCGAGCATCCGGCACTAACGTCAGCCGCCACATCAACCCGGTATCGCTCTCGGACCTGTAGAATCTCGCCGTTGGTGATACCGGGGCTTATTAGGGCTGACTGTCAGCGTTGTTGACTAGTCTCGAAGCCTACTGCTCCGGCAGGCTGTAAACATGGATGGCGGGAAATTCCAGTCGGTCGCGATGGTTACATAGGCAGCCAATTCTATCTATATAAGAGACAATAGATCTGCCCATTTGGCAAATATTCAGTCACAGCTCATCACCTTCAATCACGACGTCTACATTGCATCAGTTCAGCAACTCGCAGCCAACTTCGTAACCAAGTTCAACTTGCTCTATATCTTATCCGCCAGTTCACTCAAGACCACTCACAACCGCAACCATGTTCAGCAAGACTCTCGTCGTCCTCGCCGCAGCTCTTAGCATTGCTTCCGCTGCCCCGACTGGCACCACCAACTCCGGACCCTCAACGACCGTCTCCCGCACAGGTACCACTCACTCTGTGGTGGCCGGCCGGGCCGGACTCCATTTCGACCCCGAAAACGTCGTTGCCGAGATCGGTGACGTAGTGGAGTTCCACTATACTCCAAAGAATCGTGAGTAGTAGCCATCAGCTATCATAACAACATCGCAAACAGGGCCCTTGCTAACTCCACATGCCAACCAGACTCGGTGGTCCAGTCCTCGTTCGCCCAGCCCTGCCAGCCACTGAACGCAGCCTCCTTCTTCTCCGGCTTCTTCCCGACCGCCGAGGGCCAGAACCCAGAGGTGTTCCAGATCGTCGTCGAGGACAAGAACCCTATCTGGTACTACTGCGGCCAGACGGCCGGGAGCCACTGCCAGAACGGCATGGGTTAGTAGTACCCCCTCCAGCAATGGTGCTTACCAGGTTCATCAGCTAATAATGATATTCGCAGGCGGCGTCATCAACCAGAACTTCAACTCGGCCAACACGCTTGCTAAGTACAAGGAGCTTGCTGCAAACACGGGCGTTTCCGTCAACCCGCCTAGCATCCAGGGTGGCGCTCGCATTGCCAACCCCAACCCTCTCTCCGGCTTCTAAACCGTTTTCCTCTTCTTTTTATTGCGCCTGGATTTGACATCTCACATCGCGACGGGGGTTATGATCTCTACCATATAGATTCTAGACTTGGGCCTGGTGGGTGGTGGGCACATTGGGGGGCATTGATTTTCGGAAGGATTGCATGAGGTTTCAGGCGGCGGCGTACGCACACGGCTTAGACATTTTAGACAGGTTGGCAGCATATTCGTTTTGGACACTCAAACGCAGGAAATAAACACATACTTGTTCTGCCACAATACACTACTGCCATGATATACTTTGCAAGCTGAAATTTGAATAAAGTCTAGAGAACGCTGGAAGGTTCTACTTACTGCATGGACTGTAGGAATAATCAAAACGACAATGAACTCGATGGTAATGCGGAGGAAATGCAAACAGGATACGTGACGGTCAGGGGATACATGATTTGGCTAGCAAATGTGGCCAACAGTGGCCAACAGTGGCCAACAGTAGCCAACAGCCGAACAAAATTGACATGACAAGCTTTCAAGAAAAATGAGGAAGAAACCCTGTCCAATCCAACTCCTCTTAGCGTTGTCTGGCATGGAAGATAAACAATAGAACGTCAATACAAGAAGCCCCAGGCGTGAAATTCCGTAACTAAGCCACATCAACATGCAGAATCTGATAATTGTAATTGAAATCCACTGGCGACACTGTATGTTGCTGTGCCGGCTGTAACCTATCACGAGGACTATTGAGAACAGCCTAGTCGAGACAGACACAACGCCGAAGACCCTCCAAAGTGTCCGGGCAACTGGGGCGAGGAACTCCCAGTTCCAAGCGGCGAGGTGGGCATAGACTCTCGCGTTGGAACCGCTCTAGCCTCATCAATGGCAATGGGCCTTGGCCTAAACGCAGCGATGAGATGCAAACTGCGCGCTTGCGGTTGTGTTGTGGTGCCTCGCATCAGGGTAGAGGCCATGTGCTCCATCACGTGATGACCCTGAGGCCATGCATTCCGCACAGACCAGACCACTAACAGCACTTGCCCCTCTTCTATCGCGTTCGTTCGAATTCAACTAATTTTGGGAGCACAACTCCCTTGCTGTAGGTTCGACTCATTTGCATGAGACCGTTTTCCCTTTTGACAGGTCACAAATCTGGTAAACAAAGGCTCGCCATAACCAGTGCGTTGGCTTTCTCCTATCCTTTCTCTTCTCCTGTGGAATCTTTCTCATTGCTCAGTTTCCAATATGTCCAACGGAAGCAACGGATATCTTCCCATGATGATTGCTGAAGCAAGGGAGACTAGAATTCTGAGAGCGGCAGAGCACTCCGAGTGGCGTCCGGAAATATCTCGTAACAGCTGCAAGGTTTGTCACACACTCTGGACACCTGGTCCAATCGCGTGGTTCTACACCTGGTCATGATGCATCCGCGAAAGCAAACAGCCGTCAGCGAGACTGACCCACATTTGGTTGCGTCGAGGACAGCCGCATGGGTCTATTTTCAATCCGCTCCCACTAATTTCTCGATTTCCTTGGATGACGGACAATGGGTGGCTGAATTCTCGAGGGGTAAGGGAAGCTGCATTTCCGCGACGCAACTTCCCGAAATCATCAGGCCTCAGCCAATCTTGTCATTACTGTCCATCCAATCGCCTGGCGGGCTTCTGGAATCCGGGACGAGTTGTCCCTTCTGATGAGCGTCGAGATTCTCTCTCGGACAACAGTTCCGCAGGGACTCGATGGAAATGTCAAAGTTGCTTGCTGTCATGTTTGCTATTTTCTGGCTAGAAAGTCCACGCACGCCAGAGCCCTCAACTGCATGGCAAAATTCAAGGAGTCAAACATCACTGACAGGATGAAGGGATACACATTTACGCCACAGGTGCTCTTCGTCTACCTGTTTCTTTCCTCACCTCCGACAGCCTCACATCTCAATATAGAAGTGGCTAACGTGTTGTGCAACACCATTCGGCAACTTAGCCCAATCAACCACCCTTGCCCTTCCACGCATTGCTTGACGCACAGCAAGATTGGGCTGAGGCCCAGGTGCACGAAATGGACCTTTCCCCAGACCAGCGCGGTCGCTCCTGTGTACCGCCGCGTACAAGGGGGTTCTTGGCTATGATGAAGAAGTCAAGTTGATCCCGGGTGAAGCCCCCCTTCCTCGTCCCGAAGAGCAAAATGGTCCCGAGCCTGCAGCCGAAGCAGGATTTTCCTCGCCAGGTTTTTGACTCTTGCCTCGTGTCGAGATATTATAACGCCACAAAGAGCTGAAAAGCCCCCATCATCGTGCATCTCTGGTATTCGGTTGTTGGCGTCGCTCAGCCATCTCGTCTTCAAATCCCTTTCCAGGAATTCTATCCCCCACCGCGCATACGCATGCCCCACGCCTTCTGCATCGTGTGGGCTTGACGATCGGCCAACGGCACCAAACAAGGCGAGTCTTGTCCAGTCCTGATGAACCGAGAGCAGGCTTGCAGCCTTGATTGCTCCGTTGGCTGACCTGAAACGTCCATGCCAGTTGCTCCCAGCATCTCGGCCACTCACTCTCCAAGGAATCAATCGAGCCCACCAGCCCACCCCTCCCATCCAGGGCTCGACCAACTGCGTCCGCAGGGATACATACCTACCATACACCGACGTGGCTCTGGATCTGGCGCCCAATCGACGTACCGCCCCTGAAATCGTCGATCAAGTGAAGCCACCAACATACACCAACCGCCCCTCGTGGACACCCTGCCTGACGCCCCCCGAGCCTCAGCTATTGCATCATCCTTACCTACTTCATCCCCCCTCTCTCCCCCTTCTCGTCCGCCGCAATGGACAATACCACCGAACTCCCGCTTCGTGCTACCAGCCCCTCTGAACAAGACTTCATGAATCTCACCGTCGGCCAGCGAAGGGTACTCCAGGCCACCGAGAGGGTTGGCGCGTCTCTTAGCCTGATAGGCGTCATCTTGATCTTCATCACGTACGCCGCCTTCAAGCGCCTGCGTACCGTTCCCAATACCTTTATTCTGTTCGCCTCGATTGCAAATGTCGGTGCCAGCATCGCGTGCCTGATCGGCTTTGCCGGCCTGAACGCCGGGGATGACTCGGCGCTGTGCCAGGTTCAAGCTTTCCTTCTCGAGATGTAAGTTCGTCCTTGGTCTGGAATTCGCGTCTCCTTCCTCCCCCTCTCGGCCTCCGTCGCCTCGACAGACCGAGGCCCGCATGATAGAAGAGGGCACGCGATCTCTAACAGTGTCCCCCCCTTGGACGGCCTCTAGGTTCATGCAGTCCGACCCGTGGTGGTCTCTCGCCATGGCGGTCAACGTCTACATGGTCTTCTTCCTCGCGGCGAACCCGAACAGCTTCCGTCAATACCTGTGGATTTACAGCTTGGTCTGCTTCGGGGCTCCAGCCCTGCCTGCACTCATCTGCCTCATTCTTCGCAAAGATTCACGGGGGATCTACGGAAATGCCACGGTGGGTTGTTTCGGACTGTCCACTTCAACTCGCATAACTCTGACGATGTGGTATCTTGCAGCTATGGTGTTGGATTGACGACAACTGGAGCTCGCTACGCATATTCACCTACTACATGCCCATATGGGTGTGCATCCTGCTATCTGGCGTCATCTACTTTGCTGTCGGATACCAGGTCTTTCACCAGCGTAACCAGCTGCGCAACTTGACGCTTAGCAACCCCGCTAAGGAAGTGTCCAGTTGCGATATAAGGGATTCGGCGGAAAAGGTTAGTGCCGACTTTTCCTCTTACTACAGGCTGATATACTGCGACCCGTTCGTGATGCTCTATGTCCGGTTTCTCCAGTGCAGGAACCACCCCGCTGACCACCGACATTGCACCCACCAGGCATTTTCCGGCCAACAAGGCTGCTATGCCACGGTCGTGACCGAGGTCCGAGTTACCGCTGAGCGTTCAGACGACATCCTGCCGTCACCGCCGACGCCCACACCATCCATCGCGCCAGCCAACCGACCATCCACCCAAGGCCCGTACCCCCAGCATGCCTGGTCATGCCATTCCGACGGCGCGGTACCAGGCTGCCCATCCTCGATGACAGCACTAGCGACCTCTCCATTCGCCACCATATCCAGCATATCATCCAGTCGGGGCCCCCCGCAGCGGCGGACGCGGGACGGGTGGACGTCGCAGCTAGCGCGCTCGGCGGGCCGGTTCGCGGCCAAGATCCGCAACCTGGACCCGGTCAAGCTGGCGTACCTGCGCACGTCGTTCGTCTTCGCCATCTCGGTGCTCGTCACGTGGACGCCCAGCAGCATCAACCGCGTCTACACGCTCGTGTACCCGCGCCGCTTCAACTTCGGGCTCAACCTCGCCAGCGCCCTGGTCCTGCCGCTGCAGGGCCTCTGGAACGCCGTCATCTACTGCGCCACCAGCTGGCCCGCCCTGCGCGACGAGGTCGGCGACCTGAGGGCCAGGGTCGCGAGGCGCGCGGCCGGCGGGAGGGCGGGGCGCGGCGGGAGGGCGGAGGGGTCGGCGTCGCGGTATGGATGGGCGGGGGGAGGGAGGCGGGAGGTCGAGCTGAGGGCGAGGGCGGCTACGGTGAGAGTTTTCAGGGGCGGGTCGCTGTGAGGGTGCGCCGTTTATGTCTAATGTTTGATGATTTCTTATCTTTGGTTTTTTGGATGCTTCGGCTCATTCCTCGTCCCTCCTTTTTTGCTGGCCGGGAGCCAGTCGGTATAGATAGATATCCTTCTGGTTAGGCGGAGAGCTGTTGTTGTCTCCTTGGGGTGGAGATGCGATCATGAGAACAGCGATCCCGTCATATAATCTCACGTAGCGATGATCTGGGAATCTTGGTTAGTTTTACCAACTGAGTGGCCACGATGGCTCGCCAGCTCTTGTTTGAGAGAGGTTGAGCCTGATAATGAGTTCCATGATGACGTAATGAGTCTACAACTCGCCTCACCTTTGATACGTTCCTATGTTACCAGTGATTCACTTCTGGGTTGAACTTGGAGTGTTGACACGCTCCTTGTCCGTCGCACCAGAACAAGGGTTGATAAACAAATTAACTGACTTGGTACAATAACAACAGGGAGTGGTGTAATGGTCAAATGTGATGCTGACCGCCGTACCTATGACAGCCACCTCTGGGTCTCGTCTGAAGGCAGGCATTCGATCCTTCCACCACTCTCTGTTGTTTACTTTTTTCCCCTTTTTTTTTTCAATTCCTCCTCCCACTTCCCGCAACATGGAATTCTCAACCAAATATTTACATGCCTGTATTTGCTCAACTACCTTGTACATTTTAACTAGGCCACCTTGCCAACCAAATCGAAACCATAATTACTACCACACCTCCTCCACGTCCCTACCGCCTCGCGCAAGGCGCCATAGGTCGACGAATGGATACGCAGCAGCTTTGATACCTGCCTTCCTATCCATATCAACAGCGTGAAGAAAGCCATCATCAGGTTCCTTTTTGCCGTGCAAGATTGGAGAGTCAGCCCATCCAGGGAATGCGGAACATAACCTTCACTCCGGGGCCGCCACATACGCATGGATGCAATCCCACTGTCCGTCCACCCTTTCCAATACCCCGCCTCGGGGGCTATGACTTCCCCGGTGTTCTGAGTAGGTATATGAAGTGCCCAGATTGAGACCCAGATCCCCGCAGGTATATGCTGACATACCTGCAGTTCACAGTCCTCCATCGAGGACCCCTCCTCTCGCGACTTGGCCGGCATATTCGACAGATAATATTCCGGGCTCGGTTCCCTCGAATCGGCTCCTTAGCTAGGAATGAAAACAGTATGGTGAGTGACTCTGTCAAACCGGCTCTGAAACTCCAAACTCACCAGCTTGAGAACGAGACAAACCCCACTAGTGATACACGACAACCGAATCCGCCATCAGCCCAAATCCATCGTCGATCATGCCCACGGGCAGTCTCAACTATCCACCCTAGCCATCATACACGCTCTTACGCCACATTCCACAAACTGAGACCTACAGCGCAGGCCCTTCGTCCCCATGTCGACAGACCTCCACCCCAGCAACAGTTTCATAGACGAGGATTGGCACGTGACGTGACATGCCTCATCGACCCCGAATAGGCCTGTTCCCAGCCGGCGGAGATGCTCCATCCGCCGCTAACCGGCCGCGCCATCGACCAGATCAACCGGCGAGCATCTGGAAGCCTACTGCGAGCGACACAGTCGAGGAACAGAGGGCTTCTGGGAGTATCGTCTTCGTCGTGGACACGATGCGGGCTCTGGTCTTTTGGCACCGTGGACTGTTTCAAGGGCCTCTACGGCCTGTTACTGCAGCATATCCAGCCGCGGTACGGGGCATTGGCCTCGAGAAACTGGGCGGATTCGAACGACTGGCGGCGCCGTGTTGGGCCCCTGGCGCGTCGGAGTTTGTTGATGAATAGGTATCATAGAGCGAGCAGTATCTGGACCGGATAAGAAAGGCGTTTTCGGCAGGGTACTGAGCTCTTGACTCGCAGGTGAGGAGGCTTGCTGGCACTGTTATGCAGGAGACTTGGGAGTTTCCTAGTGATAAAGGTATAATTGTGTAGGCAGGCTTATTTCTGACGGTCTCGTGGTTCTAGACATAATCACAGCCAGGCCGTTGTCCCTCCTTCCAGGCACACGGCAACCTGCCCAGAAACTCTATAACGCCGTACAGATCCAGGACCAATGAAAGTAGAAAATTAGAGACTTGGAACGAAGGCAAAAGAATTAGTGCAGCCCCCTAAGCTATCCTGACCTCTGCCCTCGCAACATTCTTCCCGCTAACCTGTATCGCAGCAGCCCCTCCTCCCCCGCCGACCTCCAACTCGAGCGTCTCCCCCGGCCACAGCGTCACATAGTTATCCGACCAGAACACGGGAACCACGTCCCCCCCATCCCTGTCCACGAGATTCAGGCGGACGAAGAACGCCGGGACCTCGGCCCGGTTCTCGAGCACCACCTTCCACTTGCCGTCCCCGCCGGTCGCCGGCTCAGCCGTGACCGAGACATCGGCGGCCGCGAGCCTGTCGAGGGCGGTGAAGTCTGCAAACTCGGACACGGGCGTGTAGAACCAGTCCGAGGCGGGCCAGTCCACCGTGTCGGTTTTCTCGGCCAGCCAGTAGACGTTCCTGCTCAGGGTGCTGTTATCCTCGTCGTTTTTGAGCACCAGCCGCAGGAAGACGACGCCGTCGACGGCGCCGCCGAGCGCCCTCGTCAGGTCGGCGATCCGCTTGCTTGTGTTTGGCTCCGTCGAGGCCCGCACTACGTCGCTGGAGAGGGCCTTGCCGTCAAGCCCGATGACGTCGACGGCCACTGAGCGGGGCCCGCTGCGGTCGAGGGAGTGGTTGATTAGGTAGGCAGACTTGTTGACGTAGTCGTACGCCACGTGCTCGACCCGGCCCGCCACCTTGGTGCCAAAGTACGCACCGGCGGGGTGCAGGTAGTAGTCGAACAGGCTCCAGTGCAGGTTCGGCCAGGCGCCATTAAGCATCCAGTAGATGGCGCCGGTGGCTGGGCGCTCATTGTTCCACAAGGCTGAGTATCCTTCGAACTCTGCCCGTGTCGCTTCGTAGTCCATGATCTGCGCCTTGATCAGGTAGTCGTCCAGGGATGTCGGGGCGCCGTACCGGTTCCAGAGACCGCCGTTGTAGATTGTGCGGGTGCTGAAGTCGGAGTTGCTGGGCGACATGTGGAGCAGGCTTTTGTTCGGGCTCTTCCACAGGTCGTCCTGCTCGCCCTTGGACAGGAACCTCTTCAGGCTGCTCAGCTCGGGGGTACCCACCCCGGGACCAAGTTCCGAGCCGAAGCCGAAGGCAGCTCCCAGTCGCTCCTCTGCCGGCTTCGTGTCGTACCAGTAGTTGGGAGGCACCCAGTCGTAGGGACCTTCCATCTTCAGCGACGGCGGTCCGAGATCCTCTGGGTATCCGTCCTTCTTCGCAGCGTACGGGATGATGGGAGTTTGCCAGTCGGACGCCGCAAGGGCGTCTAGGTATATGGCGGCAGCTCGGTCGTTTGGCCAGAAGTCGCTTCCAACCAAGAAGGTGAGGATACTTGGGTGGGTCTGGAGCATGTGTGCCTCGTGCCACATGCTCGCGTTTGCCGTGTTGTAGTCATTATCGTCCCAGATCGGTATTGGGTCATCGAGATTGTCGTTGTAGCTCCAGGCTTCCCACTTGTCGCAGCATTCCCATCCCGCCATTACCATCAGCCCCAGACGGTCGGCGATGTCGTAAAACTCGGGATGCTCCATTTTCCCCTCTAGGCGGATTGTGTTGAGCCCCATTTCTAGCATGTACTGTGCCTGGGCGGTGAATTTGGCGCTGTCCCATCGGAGAAAGATGTCTGACGTGTAACCCGCGCCGAGGACCTGGAATGGATGACCATTGACGCTGAAAATGCTATCGTTGTACGAGTTCAGCTGGTGGGTCACCTGGCGAACGCCAAATTTTCGCTCCTCACTATCCGAGAGGGAGCCATTGACCGATACTGATATCTGCCCCTTGTAGAGGGGCTGCTCTCCCCATTGTTTGGGCCACCATATTGCCGCATCGTCGAGCGATATCTCGATATTTATTTCATCGCTAGCCAGAGGCTGGAGTGTCAGGGATTTCTTCAGGCTCAGGGGCTCGCCAGAAGTACCCTCCTTGGAAACCATACCCTCGACATCAACAGTTGCCAGTTTATTCTCCAGGTTTTGGACTGCGGCCTTGAGAACAACGACTGCGCCCCCTTGTCCTACGGGCCTGTCAAAGGTTGTCACGGCTCGCAGAGGTCCCAGCGATACAGGACCAGTCTGTTTAACCGTGACGTCTCGCCAGATTCCAGTCCCATTGTCCGGAGGGGCCGGATTCCAGTCCACGAATCCAATGGCGAAGTCATGCATATAGTCGGTGGGATACACCTTGAAGACTAGTGCATTGACACCGTCAACAATACTAGAGATATCGTAGGTGCGGCCACCGTATGCGCCGGACTGGAACGCCTTGTCGGCGAGTTGCTTGCCATTGAGGAAGACGTCGGCTCTTGACGTGATGCCGTTTGTCTCGAGGAAAAAGTGCTTGCCCTCTGCTGGCTCAAGGGGGAATTCGTTACGATACAGCCAAGGAACGAGGAATTGGTCGCTGTCGACACTTCGCAGGTTGTCTGAGAGGAATAATTCCTCCTCGTTGTACATGCCGCTCTGGATCAGGCATCCCATCAACGTGCAGCGCGAGGCATTGACGTGGGTCCATTCCGAAGTGTCCAAGCCAGGCCGGGACAAGGCAGCCGGTTCTGTGGTGATCTTCAAGGTGGATTGTATATGCCAATCTGGAATTACGGACGACGTGGGAGCCGGCGTCGCAGCGACTGTGACGCTTCCCAGGAGAAGCCCCGAGAGCGCGACGAGGTTCTTGAGCCTAGCCATTGCGCTTCTGCCTGGGAGGAGATGGGTGCTCCGAGCATCCCCCTATCGAACGAAAGAAATAGGAAATAGACTACGACAGCATCTAGGATTAAGCCCTAAAATGGTGCGATGATGGCGATCCCTTTCCCCACAGTATTAATGAAGGACCTAACTCCCCACTCCCCAGTCATGCATACTTTGCAAGGTCCAAATATTCGTCTCCTAGGATCCCATTAGGATGCAGATGAGGCAGGACGAGGAGACGTATAAATAAGCTTGGCCCGCTGCCTTGGCGATCAGGTCAGGGTGCAACAACTGGCTCGGCCGGCTTCAATATTTGGGGTGACAGTGTTGGAGTCACGACAGTGTTGGAGTGACAGTGTTGGAGTGACGGTGGTGGAGTGATAGTGTTGGAGTGATAGTGTTGGAGAGGCAGCCAAGCCTCACGAAGACACTCAACGACGCACGAAGACACTAGTTCTCAACCGGGAAGGAAGTGATGGCCAGGGCACGTAGATCCTGCCGAATTAATACCATGCAGGCACAAGACGGTTGAACTATGGAACTATGGTTCCATGATAACCGCCAAATTAGAAGTGGAAGCTTCGATTCCAGCCTCCTTTTATCATTTCACCCCCTTTTATCATTTCAACCCTTTTTATCTTTCCCGTGGGCCAGACCGCGGGGAATTCCCAACGCGGCAGTCGCTTTTCAAATATCCCCCGGCGTAATATCGGGCGGGTTTCCAAAGATCGACAGTTCTGGACGGGTAAAGTGGCCGCGGAAGGTTGTTTGGCGTCGCCGCAATTATTAGGCTGTAGGTTATTAATTTCATTTCCCGGCCATTACTTCAGATTGAGATTATCGAGAGTGGTTGCAGGCAACGTATTCTGATTGGAGCTTTATATTAAAGTGCACTGTAAAAGGCAACAAGGGAAATCCATTCGGGAGGGCATTGAGTAACCTATTACCCCGGGTCCCGCACCCCTACAGCAGCTTGGCGCTAATCGCGGTAACTCATCCTTGCGTCGCCCCGAACGAGTGGGAAAGGAAGCAGTGTCGAGAGAGGGAGAGAGAAGGAGGGCATTGACAAGTTACAACAAGCACTGATAGGGCTTTGCGAGAGACTCTGGGCATCCTGGATACCCGAAGATGCAATACGAGTCTCGGCCTCTCCAAAACCCCTTGTGATGACCGAGGCCAGTTGCCCCTCTGCAAAGAGTTGATATCTTCCATGTCAGAACAGCTTCACTGGTTATTCACGATTTGACTTATTGGCCGCCTCACTCAGCTCGGAGTCATTAGAACAGCCTGTTTATACTGTAATACAGGCGCTTTACAGGCTCGGGGCAATCCTCCCCGAACTCGTGACGCCTTTGCCCCTACCTACGTTGTAGATGTCAGGAACAGAGATGCAGGTCTTGCCCAGATCTAGATCTCGGCAGTCCAGGGCAGGGGCTCTGATTCGTTTCGCCGGCTGCAAGTGAACCTTGACATCTCGGTACTTCTAATTTGGGGCGGAAGATTGACTCCGGAGCTAGCCACTAGGTACTTACGGAGTATACTACATAGTACTAAGGCGGTAATCAATGCCAAGGCTTCGAATTTGGCAGATTTCTGGTCTTGGCCTTTATGCGCCTCGCGCCTTCCAGAAATCCCGGCCGTGTGGGGCCGCAGCTTGGAGCGCCTGCCGGTGCCTGCAGGCTTCCCCGCACCCCTCTCCAGTCTCCACAGCCCCGCAAAGTGGAGCAAACCCCGCAAACGCACTTATGCTCAAAAGGATTTAGGCGTGAGGAGCTGCCTACTTGGCTCTCACCTGTAAATGACCTCCGGACACCCGTGCCCTCCGTGTGCAGCTCTCTCCGACTGAAGCTGCGATCCGAGAGACACCGCAGAAGATATGCTTTTACTTTTCTCTCTCAGCTCCGGCCGGTTCGCCATCGTTTGCTCTGCTTGATTTGATCACGGAAGCCTAGTGCTCATGGCAGTCCTTATTCCTTAATCTGGTTGTCCTGGTTTGTGTTGGGTATAGTGCTTTACCTTGGCGCTCCTCTCGGGCCCACACGAGCCGCCGCATTGTTTCCTTGTCTCCACGGTTCTACTCCACAAGCTTCGCCTCGCGGGCCCACACGAGCCGCCGCATTGTTTCTCTCCACGGCCCTTCTCCATCAGCCAGCTTCTCGTCCGTCATCACTCGGCCGTCTTTTGTTCTTGGCAGAGCCAAGCTCAACCCGTGGTCTCTAATTGCAATGGCTGCCGTCGGGGACGGCGGCGCGAGCACTATCGGCTTTCAAGCTAGTCAAAGAAATCGCGAGTGCCGGCGACCCTTTGGGCGTTGACGATCCCCACATTACCAATATGGCTCGTCTGGAAGGCCAAAACGGACAAGGTCAGGCAAGGGCAGGCAAGGGCAGGCAAGGGCAGGCAAGGGCGGCGTCTTTGGGGTATTTAAGGGCGCATCCCGCCGAGTTACAACAAGAGTTCTCAACCACAATCGAACAGCCAGTTCCATTGAGCCTCTGCACACTCCGGGGATCATAATCTTCAGCCAGCCGCCGCCATGTACAAGTTTGCCGCTTTAGCTGCGCTCGTCGCGCTCGCCCAGGGTCAGGGCGCGGGCACGGAGACGCCCGAGACGCACCCCAAGATGACCTGGCAGAAGTGCACTGGCGCTGGGTCATGCACCGACGTCAGCGGTGAGGTCACAATCGACTCGAACTGGCGCTGGGTCCACGTCAAGGATGGCTACACCAACTGCTACGACGGCAACGAGTGGAACACCACCGCCTGCGCAGACGCCACGGCCTGTGCCGAGAACTGCGAGCTCGAAGGTGCCGACTACAGCAAGACCTACGGCGCCTCGGCCAGCGGCAACGCCCTGACGCTCAAGTTCGTGACCAAGCACGAGTACGGCACCAACATCGGCTCGCGCTTCTACCTCATGGAGAACGAGAGCAAGTACCAGATGTTCACCCTCATGAACAACGAGTTCGCCTTCGACGTCGACCTCTCCACGCTCGACTGCGGCCTGAACGGTGCTCTGTACTTCGTCGCCATGGACGCGGACGGTGGAACTGGCAAGTACGCGTCCAACAAGGCTGGTGCCAAGTACGGTACCGGCTACTGCGATGCCCAGTGTGCTCGTGACCTCAAGTTCGTTGGTGGCAAGGTTAGTACGATCGTGGCGGGCTGTCCAACGCACCAATTGCTGATCCTTGCTTCCTAGGCCAACGTCGAGGGCTGGAAGCCGTCGAGCAATGATGAGAACGCCGGTGTTGGTCCTTATGGCGCCTGCTGCGCCGAGATGGACGTCTGGGGTAAGAGGGAGACCCTTGTTTCCCGGTCTTTCAGGGATCAGCCGCATCGAAAGAAAGTGCACTAACCAGAGGCGTGTCAAACAGAGTCCAACTCTCACTCGTTCGCCCTCACGCCCCATCCGTGCGAGAACAACGCGTACCACGTCTGTGAGACGGACGGCTGCGGCGGCACCTACTCTGAGGACCGCTTCTCCGGCGATTGCGACCCCAACGGTTGCGATTACAACCCATACAGGCAGGGCGTCAAGGACTTCTACGGAAAGGGCAAGACGCTCGACACGAGCAAGAAGTTCACGTAAGTTCTCCCCCAGCGTTATTTCCCTTCCTTTCCCCCGCTAACGCGCCCGGAAACAGCGTCGTGACCCAGTGGTCTCCCGGCAAGATCGCCCAGTTCTTCGTCCAGGACGGAAAGAAGATCACCTTCCCCAGCTCCACCTACGCCGACGGCGCCGAGCTGAACCAGGAGTGGTGCGACAAGGTCACCGAGGCCTTTGACGACAGACCTCGCTTCACCGAGGTCGGCGGCTTCGCGCAGATGGACAAGGCGCACCAGTCCCCCATGGTCCTCGTCATGTCGCTCTGGGATGACGTAAGTTTAGCGCCTTCCCCCCCCGGGCAAACACACTCACTGACATGCAACAGCACTACGCCAACATGCTCTGGCTCGACGCTACCTACCCCCCTGAGAAGGCCGGCCAGCCAGGTGGAGACCGTGGAGACTGCTCCGCCGACTCCGGTGTCCCCAAGGAGGTCGAGAGCTCGCAAGCTGATGTAAGGATCCTCCCCCATGATTTAAACCACCCCCCCCACCCCCTCCACCCCCAAGTTATCCGCACAAAAAGGGCTGACACAAATCAACCCGCAGTCCCAAGTCGTCTACAGCAACATCCGCTTCGGCCCCATCGGCAGCACCGTCAAGGAAACCTAAATGCCGAAACTGCCGAGCCAACGGCTGCCGCCGCCGTCCAACGACATGTAGGATGGGGGAAGGAATTCAGTCAGCTCTTGTCACTGTTTTCCCCCCTCAGCCCACGGGGGCGGCGTGCCTCGTTCGAATAGGCTCTCGCGCTTTTCCCCGGAGCACTTTCTTTCATGTATCCACCCCCTTTTTTTCTTTGGTCCCTGTTGCTTGGGACAACATAGTACATATCTTATCCTATGCATGCCGCGGCCTCTGTGCTGTTGGTGTCCTTAGAAGTAGATAGAATAGAGAGTTTTGTGTCCGCTTCTCCCTTGCCTAAACCTGGTCCGTCTGAGTGAGGGATTTGCAGGGTCTGAGTGATTTTTTTTTTGGTGACGGGTCGAGCCTATACCCGGTTAGATTGCGGGAATCCTTGAATTATGCCGCGCTGATCATCATCGATTCGGACCAGCGTGGTATTTATAGTAAACACTAGTTTGTGGCGAGGATGAGAGCGGCGAGCTTGAGGGTCGCATCATCCGGTGTGGGTGTATTCGGATGGAACTGAGGGAGAGGGTAAACCAGTGTCTCAGATAATATGCAGACCCAGGGAGATAGAAATACGGAAGCCGCAACGGGTCTGATGCCTAATGGCAGGTAGCTATAGAGTTGACACTGTGGTGGGGATGCAAGTGCAAGTATCAGACGCGCAGCTTGTTCACACTTCTCGAATCCAACCCATGGCTCAGTACCTTAACAATGGAAACGGATCTTGAAACAACGGAAGAGTCTTCATCGTATTGGATTTATATGCATTGGATCTGCGTGCTTCCATCAATATGTAACACCCCCTCCCCCCAAGCTTCCCAGCTCCGACTTCCAGGGTCAGACCAACCCGACTTCCGACGAACCACCTAAGGGATGCCGCAGTGGGGAATGCCGGCGGCGTCGTTCCAGCACCCAATGTTGTGGCCGCAGTCGGCGAGCATGACGGGGCTGCCGTGGGCGCACTGGTAGATGGCGCAGCCGGACCCTTCCGGCCGCATGTTGGGGAACACGGTGCCGTCCGGGCAGCCCGGGGGCATCTGCGGGGCGGCCTGGGCGCCGGCGAAGGCGAGGGTTAGGGGGATGAGGATAGAGATGGTTTGCATGGTGGGCTTGGTCTTGTGGGGGGAGGTTAGTTGGTGGTGGTTGGGGGTTGGAGGAGGGGACTGACTGGTTGAGTGGATGGGAGATGATTTGATGGGAGTGAGGGTGGATGGTGGAGAGTGAGGATCAACCTCTTTCTGGGTGACCATGCTCTCTATTTATCGCTCTTTTGTTAACGGTTGTCGGCATGATCGTCAAAGGATCTCGGGAGGATCTCGGATCATTCCTGATGGAATCGCAAGGAGATTGCTGCGTAGCAGTGATAGCTGAGCGTCAGCCTTCACACATCGTATCTGCCTTGCGGTTTTGCGACACACGCTGCAGAGACTCGGCTGTAGGATTGCGGCGAAGGGGCGGGATATGGCGGTTGGGGTTGCAACGGTTCCACCGTGAGGCGCACTCCACCTCCGCTGCACCCGGCTGCAGGGGCCTCTTACTGAATGGCCTCTTATGGTAACATTTCGGAGTACCCGATGTTCCCGCCCTAATAGAGACATACATAACCGGGAATCCTTCCGGTCGGCGGCATCAAACGCAGCAACATAAACGCAAGTTCCCGTCCCTACACCAATTACAGACCCGTCCAGCAGTTTCTGTGTCTCATCCGCAGCCTCTCGCCTCCAGTCTTGATCCTTGCTCGCTCCCATTCAAGCATAGCCTCTCGACAGAGCATCCGGGTTATCGGAAGCAATCGGTATAAATCATTCACGGCACGTCCCAGCCTTTCTTCAGCAGGTAATCCACATTGGTAAAATCAGCGATTCGTATGGACCACCGGGCTGCAAACGCGTTCCTACGACGAGTCTAACAACAGTCTCCAATAGAGTCTGCTCTAGGTCTGAACTAGACGCATCTTCGACCGTTCTGTTCGGATGAATAATTTTCCAAAGACGTCATCAGCAAAGCCGGTTACGAACTGGGATTGGGCCAGATACCTTAAGCAAGAATAACATCTACCAGGGTGGTGACGATAGTTCCCCGCAAGGTGCGATCAACTTGTTCCCCATTTTCCTCTGGTCTCTCTCAGGGGCATATCCTCAGCAACAAGGGGCGGGTTCGACGGCGCGGAAATCCACTAACCTACTCAAACTCGCCCGCCTCGAGCCTCTCGGGTTGTGAAGATTGTGACGCGTGGTTCTTCTGCGCAGCGTCAAGTGCACAGTTACAGGGCCATAATCTCTCCCCGCAATCCTGCTTGGGCGCGAGAGCTTCGGCAGTTTGGAACATGGAGCAGCGATCGCCGTGGGCTCATCCACTAGTCCTCGTTCTGCTCCATGGAGCCCAGCATCGTGTACATGTGCAGGTCCATAGACGCCGACCACCAGTGCACGCCCGTGTTGGGCAGCACCATCTCGTCAATGAGGATCTTGGACCCGAGCGCTATGGCTGGGATCAGGCTGCGCAGGATCTGTGCCCGTTCCCCGTCCTCCGAGCCGTGTAGAACGGTGGAGGAGAAATGGGGAGTGGTCCTACGTGTAGTTCTGAGTACCTTCAACCCGCGGGTCAGAGAAGGCCCCGGAGGCGTGATCGGAGGGTCTTGGCTAGTCTCGGTGATTATGCGGATGAGGCCAGGTAACGCAGGACTCGGCCGAGGAGCAAGGGGTCGGCGCCGAAAGGAGCTGCGAGCATCTTCACGCTGAGGAGAGACTCGTTCTCGGCGAAGCGACGGAAGATGCCCAAGTCCAGGGTAAACAACGAGAATTTTGCAGGCGTGAGTGACCTCCATGGCTGTTCACCGGCTATTCACGACAAATTGAGGGGGTTGGGATATTTTCTTGGTCTTCATATGGATGAAGAAGCAGTTGCCGTAATTACATGCTATTTCGCGGTTTTGAAAATGATCATTTACAAGCCAGCTCATCAGTCCCTTGTCACTGTGACTGTTGCCCGATAATCCCGAAACACGTTTGTTCCAATAGTATTGCGCCGCATTGCGGCTCAATGTTCGGGCCAGACCCCGATGATAGGGTGAGACACTGAATATTCCGGACGCGCAGCTGATTCCCGGTTCGTCAGCCCACAGACCGGAATCCGGTGTGGGACGCGCTTTCCTGGCCAAATCACAAACGCGAGGCGCCGAGCTGACCCGACTGTATGTTTCCTTTATCCCCAACCGGCAGCGCCCACGTTCTTTCTTACCTCTTCACTTTCCACACTCCCCTATCTGGCGGGCCCCTTCATACCAAATCCGTCTTCGCGCAAATCACCCATGGATCTGAGCCAGATTTGAACCATCCTATTCCAGGGTCACGGAGCCTGATTTCCCAACTGGCGACGCGGGCGATCCGGGGAATCCAGCACTTTTTCCATTTCGGCCCTGGTGAGCCTGACAGGAAGCCCGATCGGGGACCAGATCATTGCGAGAATTGGCGGCCCGTTCAACAATACCAAGATCTTCGGTGGTATGGCCTGTGCCATTGATAGCAAGCCACATCGCTTTCGGTGGATTGAGAGACCTACATGAGAGGAAGCTTCACTTCAAGACCGACTTCCGGCCCCGCGCACGATACGTTTGGTGGACGTCTCTGAGCGCTGTTCTACAGGTTGGGTGGCGGGCTGCGAAGGGCGGGACAAACCCGGTCGAGAGCGAGGTCCGCAAGACGGTGCGGTAATGGGGCTCGCGGGGCCCATACGTGAAGAGAAACATGCTGCTAGGCTTCGCCGAGGAGCTAGGCCAGGATGTCGATAGCATCCTAGAAAGCTCCATTGTGGGGGAGGAGGACGGCCCTGAGGAGTCTGATCCGCAGGGCGTCGCGATTGCTGAGGGCAAGGAAGCTGCGGGGGGCTTTGGATTGGTTTCCGCAGCTCCTCTCATGGGAAGTGCCGATAGTAGTGGTAGGGACGGCGGCACTTGCTGGCAAGTTGACGATAGGGAAAGGGAAAATAACTGAATATCCCAAGAAATGGTACTGTTTACACCCCATTCTGTGTTCCTACTTTGTGGACTCTTCAGTGACAAATATATTGCTGTGTGCCATGGTCAGCTCACAGTCGGTTGACACCCCAAGTCTCCAATTTCATTTTGCCCGTCTACCACCGTAGTTCACAGGAACGAGTCTCAGCCTGTTATCCCAAGAATCCCAGATCATCATGTCAATTTTATTGGAGGGTTATCGGAGCCCCAGCTGCCAGTCAGTGTCATCCATCGACTACCTACGATAGGTACGTAGCATCTTATCCCGGTGTGTCTCAAGACACCCAGCCCAAGCCCAGAGACAAGGCATATCCGAGGCAGTCGGCCTCATGTCCACCCCCTCACTCCCATATCTCCTCGCTGGTCATCAAATCGAACGTGGGCCGAGGCTTGTCCATATCCTCCTCACCGGAGTACCGGCCGGCCTCCATATTCTTCTTGACGTGGGCCCGGGCAACGACCTCGACGCCATCCCACAGCATAACCGACGACGGGCCCATGGCGACCGGGTCAGCGACCAGCGCGGCGAGCGCGGCGCCCACCCACGAGCTGGGGCCCCAGCAGCCCGGGTCCTCCTCCTCGCGGTCGTCGGGGACGGCGCGGAGGATCTCGACGGCGCGGGCCTCGTCGGCGATCTTGCCGACCATGATCCGCGACAGCAGGCCCGGGTGCCGCCGGACGTCGACGACGGCCTGCTCCTCGTACTTCCACGGCAGGTCCATGGCCGTGATGACGTGGTGCAGCGTGCCGGGGACCGGATCGCTGCCCTTCTCGTTCTTGGGGCCAATCAGGAGGGCCCAGGAGTATCTGGGTTGCAAGGGTGAGCTTGGGGTGAGACAGAGGGGGTGGCGAGGACGGATTTAGAGCTGAGTGGAATTACCTTCTCTCGTCGTTGTCATCGTCGTCGTCGATGCCACTCTCGTAGAGGGCGACGTACAAGCGTTTCTTGTTGCGGACCATTTTTTCTGGTCCTCGCGGCGCTTTGGGGTGGTTGTTTGCTTCCAGGATGGGGAAGAAACGGAGATGGAAAAGAAAAGATTGTGTGCCAGGTGGAAGTAAAATGTCTGCTCGCCCTTCATAGGTATCGTTACTGGTCTCGCTATGGGCGAATCCCTTCAGTGAGTGGGTCTTACAGCGAGAGAATCCCTTCAAGAGAGCCCACAAGCAAGCGAATCCCTTCAAGAGAGCCCACAAGCAAGCGAATCCCTCCAAGCAAGCACTTGTGCTGAGCGAATCCCTTCAGCCCAACATTTGATGTGGGGTCAAGGACGAGATCCCAAGGGCGTGCCTAGAACCCGCCTGACCTGGTGTTCATGACGCCCTTGATAACGAGTTCTCGGCTACCCTGTGACGCTCTCCTCTGCCCCTGCTACACCCAAGCTTATTGCAAGGCATAAGACAAGATTAATGTGCCAATAAAGAAAGCCAGCCATCTCAAAGGTGCCATTGTTGGTGGGAAATGTATGTTATAATGGCGTTATACTGCTTCACTTGTTCTTAATGAGACATACACCTCCTGCCCTTATAAGCTAGAATAGATCCTGCCTTTGAGAGCTAGAATATCTCTTCCTTCTACAAGCTAGGCTGTCTCGCATTCTTTTTAACCTTTTTATTCTTCTCAGCAGCTTCACAAGAAAGGGGCAAATATATCAATTTATATATTGGCAGAATATTTTGCATAGTTTCTTCTACAACCGGAAGCTTTGGAATAGCATATATCGTCTCTGTAAACTCTTGGTCCTTGGCTTCTCTCTAAAAAGAGTCATTTTAGTGAGTTAAAAATAGTTCATAAAAAGAACGAAAGCCTAATTCTTTCGTGTAATATCTGATGTGACATGTTATGATTTCGATCTTCATGGATGAGCTGGCGTTACTGCTTTGGGTGTATAGGGCGTTCAAATTCCTGGCTCTCCCTTCAGACATGCTCACAGATCTAACCATTCCTGCTCGTTGTTTTCAGTGCCTGAAATCGCCAGTCTGAGTGAGCCCTAGGGTAGTACAGGGTGATGTCACGCGGCGATGTTGGGATATTCGGTCAGCCAATATAGAAATTTGCTGTGGTCAACTTTTCTAGGAAAGGGATTTTAAAAATCTTCACACGCAGGTGGCTATTTAGCAGTGACAGCGACGATACCTGGCAGAGATTCTCCAGTCTGTTGACAGATTTGCGCACAGACCCTCTGCCCAAATAGCCACATGCCCCAGCCTGTGGAGATAACCTCTTGAAGGTAGGAATCCATCACCACGCATCACTTCTACTCTCCATTTCACTTTCTATATTTCTGTCCAACATCTGCTTAATCAGCAGGGTGATGTCAATCGCAGCCAAACGGCTTCCTCATTTTGTCTCTGTTATCGGTGCCGGACTAAGTAAGAAAACTGCAGGCATCCATCCCAACCGAAGGTTTTGGCATTGGGCCTCTCCACCACCGTCTTCCCCCGTCATGGCGGTCCAGATTCTCTCCGATCTACATCTGGAGGCCCCAAAAGCCTACGATATCTTCGATATCGTCCCGAAAGCACCCTACCTGGCGCTGCTTGGCGACATCGGCAACATCGCGCCGCACAAGGACGACTGCCTTGCCTTCTTGACTCGACAGCTCAACCAGTTCCGCGCCGTGCTCTTCGTACCCGGGAATCATGAGGCGTATAGCTCCAGCTGGCCCCAAGCTCTCGAGATTCTTCGCGCCTTCGAACAAACCGCCCGCAGGGACGCGTCGCTGGGCGAGTTCGTCCTCCTCGACCGTGCCGTCTTCCGGCTTCCAGGCCACAAGAACATCGTCATCCTGGGCTGCAGCCTCTTCTCCTACATCCCGCCGGAAAGTCACATGGCGGTCAGCGTCGGGCTCAATGACTTTTACCAAACCAGAGACTGGGATGTCGGCGCGCACAACGAGGCGCACGGCCGGGACGTTGCGTGGCTTAACACGCAGGTTGCAGATCTCGAACAGTCCGACGCTGAGATCATGATCTTTTCGCATTGGAGCCCGTCCAAGGATGCTCGGGCGATCGAGCCGAGGCATGCGGAGAGTCCGATCACGAGCGCGTTCGCGACTGACTTGTCGGGTCAGGCTTGCTTCAAGAGTGACAAAATTAAGGTCTGGGCATTTGGACATACGCATTACAACTGCGATTTTGAGGTCGAGCGGGAGAATGGTGCTGGACCGTTGAGGCTGCTTGCGAACCAGAGGGGATATTACTTTGCCCAGGCTGAGGGATATGACGGAGAGAAGACGGTTGAGTTGTGAACGAAAGGCAACTGAAGTCCATGGACATTAAATACGCCGAACTCCGGTAGTATGTCGGAAAATATTTCAGAATCGTTCATTGCATCCATTGCGCGGGCCCTTAACTCGGTGCATGTCCCTTGTGTCCTCTGGGGCCACCCTCTTCTCAACGTCCATGGCGTACCATCCATCATCGGCGTAGGTATCCCTCCATCGAGATAATCCGCGTTTTCTACTAACTCTCTGCAAAGTCGATTGATTTCGTCGTTCGGGATGACTGTTTAAGGGCTGGTGCAAAAGCTCTCACCCCATTCAAGATCCTCAAATCTGTCACTCGAGCTCGCAGGATCGGCCAACGCCGCCCCGGCATTTCACGTGCACATTGAGGACTCGGAGGTCACGATAGGCCTTAATTGACAGTCTGACACGCTCTGGTTCCTACCACCGCTCGACAGCTGCTTGTTGTTCCCCAAGAAACTCAAGCTTCCGTCGCATTTCGTGCTTGCGTCCGACCAGACCATTCTTCCACCTTGGCGACCGGGTCGCGGATCGGGCGTCTTCAAAGTCAGCCCAGGACCCAGTTGTCGTTCCCAAGTCCATTATCTTACTGGAAGCCTTTCTGCGTCTGTTCGCCCGCGACTCGGGGAAGCGAATAGGTGGCTTCGCAATTTCCATGATTGCGTACATGGAAGAGTACGTCGACGACGATGGGTTTTTGGATGCAAATCAACTCCCGAAGCCGCTCGGGGTTTTCTACAAGGAGTTGAGAGAGGGGAAGAAGCCGCTGCGTCAATGGACAAAGGAATTTAAGGAGGCTCTTGGGGATGCCTCAGTAGAAATCCAACGATGATCGCAGTTGGTAGAGTGTATATAGCTCCTTGTTGCTGAGATTTCCCAACCCAAGTTGTTCCAGCTTTTCTTCTGTGTCGACCCCGTTGTCGGCCCTTCTCTGTGCCTCCAATATTAGCTGGTCTCACCACCAGCTAGGTACCTAGTTCGATCAAGAGCCCTTGTCCTGCCTTGGTAACTGTCACCATCTGGTAGTCTTTACTGCGGGAATTAGTGCTCATGTGACTTGTTACGCTCCATGGCGGGAGAGGCTATTTGGCCCTGGTGCTTGCAACATATAATGAGCCAATGATCTAGCTGGTTGAGGATGAGGTATTCTCTCCGTAATACATGGAAGACGTCAAGCCAATTAAGCCAAAGAGACAATCCCTCCTATATCTTGTTCAAGACTGCTATCAAATGATACATCAAGATCAAGCTGCGACAGCCAAAAACACCTTCACTGAATGTGCATGCACTAGATAGTCAGGCACTGAACCGATAAGCGGATAGAAATACACCGAATCCGCAGGCCTTGAAACGACAAGACTGGACCGGTAGGGACTGAATCAACAGGAAAATACGGGTCGCAAGCATATACGCTGTGAAATTGGTAGTAGACATAAAGGAAAAGTGTAATGCGAGTCCCCTATCCACATGTGCTACCAACATTACAGCGGGGCGGCGGCAATCTATGCTGTCCATCTATGAAAGTCGTTCGATCCTGCTATATCACCTGCCCCATCCGCCACATTGGATCATCTATAGATCTTTAAAAACCCTGAGGGATTTCCCGAGGGTGGGGGCTCGATCGTACATCATCTTGTTTTTCGTGTTCATTGAGCGACGGGACGAAAACCCGCGGCGAATGTTAGGATTCCTAGAGCGAGGCCTCCATCTTGTCGAGGATGGCCCTGGTGAACTCTTGGGTCGATGAATCGCCGCCCATGTCGCGGGTTCGCACCTTGCTGTAGGAACGGTTAGCCTTCTCTAAGGGTCACGGAGGGAGGTTGGAAATAAGGGGCAGGCAGTAAACAGCCGACTTACCCCTCAGCAATGACGGCATGGATGGCGCGCGAAATGCGGGTGGCGTGCTCGTCGAGACCCAGGTGGCGCAGCAGCATGGTGCCGCTGAGAATGAGGGCGGTAGGGTTGGCCTGGTCCTTGCCCTTGATGTCAAGGCCGACGTGTCTGCAGCCGGGCTCGAAGACGGCGACGTCGCGGCCCATGTTGCAGCCGGGGACGACGCCGGGCCCGCCGACCAGGGCGGCGCTGATGTTGGATAGGATGCCACCGTACAGATTGGGCATGACCATGACGTCGAACTGCTGGGGACGGCCGACGCACTGCATCGAGGCGTTGTCGACGATCATGTCGCCCGTCTCGATGGTGGGGTAGTCCTTGGCGACGGCGTGGAAGGTGTTGCGGAACAGGCCGTCGGCCAGCTTCATGATGTTGGCCTTGTGGATGCACGTCACCTTCTTGCGCTGGTTGGCTAGCGCGAAGCTGAAGGCGAACTTGGCGATGCGCTCCGACTTTGCTCGTGTGATGATCTTGAGCGACTCGACCACGCCCGGGACGGACTGATGCTCCAGCCCGCTGTACTCGCCCTCGGTGTTCTCACGGATGATGCACAGATCCACGTCCTTATGCCGCGTGGTGTAGCCCGGGATGTTCTTGATCAGGCAGATGGAGGCGTAGATGTCGAGCTCCTGGCGCATCGCCACGTTGAAGCTCTGGTGGCCGGACCGGCTGATGGGGGTGTGGAGGATGCCCTTGAGGCCGAGCTTGTTGCGTCTCAGAGAGGCGACGGCCTCCCTGAACAGGTCTTCGGTGCGCCCGGTCGGCGTCGCGTCGTCCAGGCCCGAGACCTCGACCTGCTCCCATTCGATCGGTACATTGTCTGCCTTGAAGATGGTCTTGACGCTCTGGGCCACCTCGGAGCCGATACCGTCGCCTGGAATGAGGGTTACTGTGTACTTGCCACCGTACTTTGTGGGCTTGAAGATGTCGGATTGGATTGTCGCGAAGCTGCGGGCGGCATTGAGCTGGTGGGCGGGCCCGGATGCTGTCCGCAGCAGGCGCTGAAGGACAAGGTAAGTAAATGTTTGTGTTCAAGGTGGCGGGGAAGAAAAGCAAAGCCATTGGAAGTCAAGAGGACTGCGAGGACATACTTGCGCCGTTCCAGCGGAGTTACGAGACAGCATATTCAACGATTGCTTGCCAGTAACTGTGGTATGAGGTCTTTTGCAAGAACTGTTGACGTGTTTGGGCAAGAAAAAAGGACGGACGAGGTGGAAGATTCAAAGTGCCGCCAAATGCCGCACTGCAATGAACCAAGGAAAGGCTCCGAAGAACTAGCGCCCCTAGTCCCGTTTCGGAATAGCTCCTGACTATTCAGACTGCTTGGCACGTGAAAATCAAGTGGCAAGCACAGACCAACTGACCTTTGATGTATCAATTGTCCAATGGAAAAAGGGTTTGGCCAACTTGCTTGCAGCAAAAGGATCTCAAGGCTCCGCTGCCTGATAGCGTAACTTGAGATCAACAATTGTCCTCGCTCCTGCTTGTCTTGCTCCGCCTCCTGACTCAACGACAGTTTGGGAATAACAAAAACGGCCTTGTTATGACGTGGGTGGCTTGCCGTTTGGCCGTTCGTTGTTGGACAACCTTCAACGCACTGTCTCATTAGCACAGAACTAGCAGCCTCTTGGCGCCGGCTGAAAAAAACTTGGCAAGGTCGGAAGCCGCCGGAAATACACCCTCGGCCGAGCAGACCCTAGAAACGGGGCCGCAGCATAACAAAGCCGATTTATTTACTGAGATTCGGTCCTCTGGCTTGTGCACTGCAACCTATAAGTTGGTATGCCCCCCTGCCACATCATCTGCTCGAGATAGACCATAATGCGAGGCGTTTACGAGGGTACAAGAACCCAGGCCTTCTTGTCGAAGTCAGCCATGGCTTCCGGTCGGTGAAGCCTTAAACTTAGCCAGTTGATTCCCTCTGCACATCTCCAGCTGTTCATTCGTCCTCTTATAGGTGTTCTGAACATTCATAGCTGCATTCGATATGCATAACTACTTCTTTTTCATTACTAGATCGCCTCTCCACTACAACCAGCCCATTACAACAGTGCAACGACAGCAGCCACGACAAAGCCCGCCTCAGGGAATCCACGCTTAGCTGCTGCATCCGTAGCGATAGGCGGTGATGTGCTAGACGTGGCGGTTGGCGCGTGAGAAGTGCTATTCTCTAGCACATCAACAATCTCCGTCCTAGGCAGCACTCCCATCTCACCAGGGACGACGGCATCTTGGTGGCGCATCGCCTGCTCAAACGCATACGCCAGCCGTATGAGCGTCTCCTCAGACAACTTCCTTCCCAGGAACGTCAGCCCGAACGGTATCCCCGGCGCCACGGCAACCAGCTCGACAAAAGGACGTGAGCCGTCGCCCATGTTTGTTCAGGGGCCACCCAACTACACTATTCCCACATCAGCTGGCTGTAAACTATTTGTATTAGGTCCGTGGAATAGATAAGCGTCATGACCCTTGGAGCGTCTTTGATATCAAAAACCCAATCCATGATTTTCAGCCGTTGAATGTGCTCGTATTCAGGGCAATCAGGTCTATGAAACCTCTCAGACGCCTAAATCGCAAATAGTGTAGCAATAGGATATATCGACCCCGTCACAAACTTGGGGTGCTCCCTTTACAATAAGTAGATGTCACCAACAGAGCTATTCAGTTGGCAGAACAACACCAAGGACCGAGTAACCTACGAGAGGCCGACATTTGCAAGGTTCAAGCTACTTGCTCGAGCGCGGCTGCGACTTCCGGAATACACCACTAATCCCTTCCAGTATAATACTCGGGTGTAATCTGGGGAACGCAATTCATCACAGGGCTAGTTTAACTTTACCCAATAGATTCCTCCCGTCTTACCCAAGTCGACCATTGCGACCTAACGGCGCGGAGCATCCGCAGCCAATCGGCGAAGCGACCCACCCCGAGGTCCGAGAGGGTTCGGGGCAGTGGGACTTGCGAATGCGTGACGACAGCTGTTCGCGATGTTCCTGCAAACTGTAGTATAAATACGATAAATGAACTCTTCTTAGCTACCCTGCCTTTTGGCATGTGAAGATGTGTTTGGGAAGTTAGGTTATTTTCCTACTATTTATTTAAATGGCTCCCAAACCAGACATCAAGTTGGACCACCATTTCGCCACATCATCGGATGGCGCCAAACTGAGCTACTACTCAGTCGGCACCGGAGACGGTGTACTGATTCTACACGGTGCGTTCAGTTATGCTCTTCTACACAGCGAGCTAGCCGATGCGCTGAGTCCGTATTGCACTGTTCACCTCCCCTCTCGCCGTGGCCGAGGACTCTCCGGCCCATATCCATCGTCGGTCACGGACCTTAACCCCCGCCATCAGCCACCAGTGACCGCATCTGCCGAGGGATCGTCCGATTCCAACGTAATGGCAGACGCAGGCAGTACCTTGAGCCTTGGATCCAAGACGTACACTCGCACTTACAGCCCGGCCTTCACAACCGCCGTCATCGCAACTGAAGTCTCAGACCTAGAAGCCCTGATCGAAGCCACGGGCGCAATCTACATCATCGGTGTCTCGTCCGGCGCCTTGCTGACGCTGCACGCTCTGCTTCAGAGCCCCAAATCACCCGCACTGTCGAAGGTCCGCAAGGTCGTCATATTCGAGCCGCCCATATTCTTCACGAACCGGCTTACTAGCTGCAAACTAGAAAAGTTCCATCATTTCGAGCAGGACCTTGAAGATGGTGACATAGTTGGCGCCGCGGTTACGGCGATGCTTATCGTAGAACTCGGCCCGGGGTGGATCCCGAGGTGGTTGATGAAGGCTCTGGCGGGGATGATGTTCCGTGGCCAAGACAGGGATGTACAGAAGAAGAGGGAGAAAGGCGAGGAGGACAGGGGAGTCTGCACCATGTCTGGCTTGGCTGCATTACTCCGGTATGATTTTGCGGTCACAGAAGGGATGGCGGGGGAATCTGGGCGGTATGAAGCCCTTTCTCAGCGAGGAGACGAGACCGACGAGGAGAAAGTTGAGATTCTTTTGCTTTCTGGAGCGAAGACACCTGCCTTTCTCGCGGAGGGAATGAATACCTTGAGGGAGACCATTACTGGCGCGAAGAGTATTGTGGTCGAGGGGGTGGGCCATGAGTTGCTGTGTGACGGGGAAATGCGAGGACAGCCAGCACGAGCGGTGCCGGTAATTCGTGAATTCTTCCTCTGATTATGTATTTCTAGGAGACACATTTTTTGGCTCACCGTTCCTTGTGATGTTCAGTTGTCGTTAGATCATGTTCAAGGACGACCAATATTGGTGTCTCCTCGGTCGTACTTCTTCTGCACCTCTTTATCATTGGTAATGTTTGATACTGTAGCAGAAATGTTTGTCAACTACCCCTGAGGCGCGCCACGCCAAGGGCAGATAAAATAATTGCAGAATCAATATATTAGGCCACCGGCATCCGGGATTGTCCAACGCCGACGGGTCCGTAGTGTGGTTGGAAGCACCGGAGGTCCCGGAGTCACCATTCCGATCTGCTCGAGTCGTGCCATCATGTGCAAGACGACAAGGGGCCGGATTTTTCATCTCGGTGGCTCGTCAGACATTGGTTGATGACGCCATATATAGACTCATGGCGAACGTTGTCTCGCGATGCCCTATTTCTAATCAACATTGATAAGATCGACCCGTGAGCACAAACCTTGGGACCGATATTGTTGGATTGGGACGCCTTATTGGCGGGGCTTAGAAATCAGAAGTGTTCTGGATGATACAATTCGTCGTCTTAGAATTAAGCACACTGAATGGTGGGTGGTGAGCAGTCTGACGTGCTCGCGGGGTACGTATGCTGGGACCGAGCTATCCTTCCATTCCAAATATAAGAGGCGACGACAGACCCTCCTCAACATGAAAGAGTCTTGCCCTCTCTATTCCAAGCCATTCAGCACCTGTGACTTGAAAGTTTGATATCGACGTTTATATCTTGCAATGGCCACTGCGGCGATCCAGCAGCCCCAACCGGTCCCAATTTTGGACCAACTGTCCGAGACGGATGTCCAGCCGAAGCCGCAATTCGTCCATACGACACTCAACTTTTACAAGGATCCCGAGGATGGCTCGCCTCCGCATCCAACCTACATTGGCAAGCCCGAGACCTACGAGAGACCCTTTGAGACCCACCCCGTCACCATCCAGGATGTAACCGGACATGAGAGCGAGTACACACTTGACGCAAATGGCTTTCAGTTTCACCGCCATGTGGCTACGGAGAAGGATTTCATCGACGATGACAAGATCAGGGAGACTTACTACCCAGAGACTGAGCAACTGCTGAAGGACGTGTAAGCACAAGTACCCAAGCCAAGAAAAAGGAAAACCCCTCCCAAAGTTCAGGATGCTCACTTCACCCAACTCAGCACCGGCGCCTCCCGCGTCTTCATCTTCGACCATACGATCCGGCGCTCCCTCCCGGGGCAGGGCGGGCGCCGCGGCCCGGCGCAGCGCGTGCACATCGACCAGTCCTACGCGGCGGCGCAGTCGCGGGTGCCGCACCACCTGCCCGACGAGGCGGAGGCGCTGCTGCGCGGGCGCGTGCAGATCGTCAACGTGTGGCGGCCGATCCGGACGGTGCTGCGGGACCCGCTGGCGGTGGCGGAGGCGCGCAGCGTCGCCGAGGAGGACCTGGTGCCCACGCCGCTGATCTACCCGGACAGGAAGGGGGAGACGTTCCAGGTCAGGTATAGTCCCGCGCACAGGTGGTTCTACAAGTACGCGCTGTCGCCCGGGGAGGTGCTGCTTATCAAGTGCGCTGATAGCAAGACGGATGGGAGGGCGAGGAGGGTGCCGCATACGTCGTTTGCGGATCCGCGCTCCGAGGAGGGCCTGCCGCCGAGGGAGAGCATCGAGGTCAGGGCGCTGGTGTTCCATCCGGATGATCGGGATTGAGGGGAATGTCCGACGGCCTCCAAGGATGAACGAGTTGTGTCGATTCAAGGGCGTAGGCACGGTTGGATGGGCTGGGAAGATTGTTTCTGAAACTTAAGAGGTTGTACTGAACGTCTACAAATATCAAGTTAGGATGAACGACAGATCTAGTGTCAACGCAAAGAATAGCAGCGTTCTTACTTTTCATCGTAAAGATGCGGCAGAGTGTGTAAACTTAGAAGGAACAAAGAGGTCAGCATCTTAAAAGTCCGGACCAAAGCATGGAAATTCTTGGAAGGCATAATGACTCGTCAATGAACATTCCCCATAAATCCCAATGCAGTAAGTATGTATGGTACAAGAAAAGAAACCCTATCAACCATATCGGTCCGCATCCCGATCATCATAACAATCCATATCATTCGCGTAATCCTCCGTACTCAGCCTCTTGACCGACTTGACCAGGCGGCCCATGACCCCCGTCCCACGACCACCCTCGTCTTCCGTCTCCTCATCATCGCCAAGCACGGGAACATGCCAGTCCTCCATGGAGCAGCGCGCCTGGAAGTGGTCGGCGATGTGGTTGGCGCGCACGTCCCAGCTCGTCAGCACGGCGGAGCAGAACCCACATCCCCAGCGGTGGCTGCGGCGCGGGTGGTCCGTCGTCCAGGGCGGGCGCTCGAGCTCCTCGAGGCGCAGGGCCTGGCGGCCGGCCGGGTCGCGCATGTCCTTGTCCAGGCCGTGGGCCGACTGCAGGTGCACGCCCAGCTTGTCGCGGCGCGTGTGCGTAAAGGGCTTCTCGCGGTCGCGGCAGAAGTGGCACGTGTACAGGAACTGGGGGTCGTGCGACGAGCTCTCGTGCCGCTTCCACTCGTGCTTGCGGCGGAAGGACGCCGTGCAGGGGGGGAAGGTGCAGCGGTACGGGTACTCCCACGATGATATCGTGTTGGCCGACAGGGGCTTGGGCCGGCTGCCGCCCGACCGTTGGCTGTCGACGGTCGACGACGAGTCGCGGTCCGGGGCTGGCGCAGGGTGGTCGAAGACTGAGGCGGCGTACGAGCTCGACGGCATCATTGAAAACTGGCTGCCGGTGTTCAGGACCTCGGCTTGGGGCATATTTGTCAAGAAGTTTGCCGCACTCGGCGTCAGCAGACTGCTGCCGGGACCGACTCCTCCGTAATGCTGGGGGTCGACTAGAGAACTGGCGCTATGGCCGAACTGGAAGGTGGGGTGCAACATAATGGGCGGATCTAGGGACCCATAGTCTGAAGGCTGCTGGAAATGCCCTGAGGTAGGAGTCGGCGTCGTTGCCATCATCGGCAGCGTGCTTTGGCCGGACAGGGAGTCTAATCAGGGGTTAGCTTCCGATGCAACATAGCTGTCCGTTTATGATATTCACTTACTCTGTGCCTGTTGTTGCTGCCGACGGTTTGCCAGGATCGCATTGCATTCCATGAGAATCCTCTGGACATCGGTGGAGTTCGCCCGGTGGAGGAATTCAAGGATCTTGGGCAACGACTCTGGAGCGCCCCCCTGCCTCCCGAGGTTGTACGTGCTTCGACATTGACCACATATCTGGCCCTTCCCGATGCCGACGAGACCGGTGTTGCATACGGCGCATGGTATCTGGTTCACACCCGGCGCAGACATGAGTTCAGCGGCAACGATGGACAACTGGCGGAGCACTGTAGGTCAGGATCGCAGCGTGGGAGGGCAAGCAGGAGCTCGGCCACCGATGGCGAGAGTCGAGCCTCTTCTTAAACATCGTCGAGACCCCCTCCCCTCGATAAGAAGAGCGGTGTTTCTCCATTTCGCATTGAACCAGGTCTCTGAAGTTGACTAGCTTGTTTGGCCCGCTTCGAGCGTCAGGTCTTGCCCACTGATGGGATGGGGGTAAATTGTTGCGCCCTAGGCTGGGGCGAGACAAGACTTGCCTGTTTCGGGATTTTCCCCAGAACATTCTGCGACAGATCTCGTATGGTGTATAATTAGCCCACTTCTTTTCCCCCCACGGCTACCCGATTCGGCCGCACCCACAACATGCAAGTCGGAGAATTTTGGACTGCTGGGTCGATGGCAATGAGCAGCAGTGCAGCAGTGCAATCGATTGCAGTAAGATGCAATTGCGGAGCGAACGAAGACTTGCGGAAGGGATGCCCCAATTGCTGCATCGCTTGAAACCCCCCTCGTGATGGATGTACTGTACGATGCAGGAACCTCTCCATGCCAACCTAGATACAATACCCGACAATACATGCTTTCCTTTCGTCGAGGAAAGTCTTGCCGACTGGTCGAAACGCACTGACACTCTGGTCCATTGCCCTGGTTCCGCCAAGGCGAAACAGATAAACCACTTCGCACATTCGCAGCACAAACTTTTGTTGCTAGATTTAGAAACCGGTCTTGGCAGACGTTTGACAGGTGTTTATATCGTTCTTGGCAGCGACACCATTTCTAATTATAGCAGCGTTGCCCTCCCTGTACGAAGATCATTTTTGGAATTGCTTTGGTGTCGTCCAGTCTCAGCCTTACCCGTTCGACCTTGCATAAACAATGGAAGCTTCCATGCCCGAGTCGAACAACATGGAACGACCACACGTGCAGGGCAGAGAGCCCGCGGGATGCGTCTCGACTTGCCTTTCCAGGGGCCAACCGCCTAGACCCTCCCTAGGGAGCATGGGGTAGATAACAGGATTTGGAATGTCTTTCTTCGATCCTAAAATAGAATTGACCCCGTCGAATCTTCATACCTACCTACCTACCTACCAAGCAAGCAAGCAAGCAAGCAAGCATGAAGTGGTGTCATTTCGGCATCGCAGCGGCGCAGTTGTAGATGCAAGATGTATCAAATTCCATTCTTGGCAATTCCTGCCCACATCGATAGCGACGACAAGCCTACCCCCATTCCCCATTCTCGTAGTATGGATTCCAAGGAGACGTCCATCCACACCTCAACTCTAACCCTGCAGGCTTCCAACTTCATGGCGCAAAGTGCAGCGTGTCCGACCGCTTGCATCCTCGCAGTTGCCTGACACGGAGCTCTAAGGAGCAGGACTGCACTCGGGAGCCCGCCGCGGTGCCACGACCGGGGCGGTACCGCGGAGACGAAAACACCGAGCCTTCATGCCACCGACATACTACTGCCGCCGCCCGCATATACCAAGCCAGGGGTTAACGGCAGCGGCCTCTATGTCTATTGATGGCATCCTATGTCGGGTCGTGAGCTTCATCTCCAACAAACCCAGCCATTTCAAACAGTATGGCACTGGTTAAGAAGCAGCCCCCTCTCCCTCCGGCATATCTGACGACTAGACCCCCGTCCCGAGACAGGTCAGCTCAGCAATTCTCAGCCCTCATCGGCCTCATCGACCTCATCCGCCTCAACCCCTCCCTCCTTCCCCTTCGCCTGCTGCAGCAGCCTCTTCTGCAAGTTATACTCCGCACTCCTCCACATCCGACCATTAAGATGCCTCAAGCACAGCCTCCGCCCCTCGTCGGGGTAATACAGCCAGCAAGCCCACCTCGCCCACACCCCGCCCTTCATCTGGCCCCTCGCGCGGTGCCCGACCGTGTCCTCGATGAACGCGCCCCTCGGCATGGCCAGGCGCGACGGGAACACGCGCTCCAGGTAGTGGCCCACCGACGCGACGTGCGGCTTGTCGTGCCAGAAGAACAGCGGCGTCAGCGGTATCGTCGTCGTCGTCGTGCCCTCCTCGGCGCTGCTGCCGGACGCCGCGAAGAAGTCGCGCCGCAGAGACGCCGTCAGGCGGCGCAGCTCGGGGAAGTACGTCACGTGCGGCGACACGGCGTACGAGGCCATGCGCACCGAGGGGAGGCAGATGTACTTTACGGGTGGTGGTGGTGGTGCGGGGGCGGCGGCCGAGGCGGCTTCCGAGGAGGAGGCCTGCATCACCTGCAGCATCGCCTGGAGGGGAATGTCCGAGATCAGGGTCCAGTCGTGCTGGTGGATCCAGACGTAGGGGGTCGAGGTGAGCCGGAGGGCGGAGCGGACGGCTAGGCCGAAGCCGAGGCGCTGGGTTGGCTCGATGAAGGTCACCCATTTGTCGTGGGTGTGCGATATCTTCAGGGAAACGTTGTTCCAGTCGCCGCTCAGGCCGTACTCGGCTACTCCGTCGTCCTGGGTGAGGGCCTGGTCCGGGTCTCGGTCTGGCCGGTACTCCTCTAGGATGAGCTCCTTGACGTTGTCCCTGTACAAGGCAAAGTTTCTGGCTCCCTCGGCCGTCACGGTGCCCCTCTTCAATCGCGCCTTGGCCTCGATCCGGTCATACGTGTCGAAGACGACGATGACGCGGCAGCAGACCAGGCCGGGGCAGTGCTGCCGGAACGAGAGCAGTACCGATGAGAGGAGATCGGTCGACGGCGCAGACGGCGTCGGCGACGTGGTGATGATGACCGTCAAGAGGCTGGACAGAGCCGCCGGAGGCGGTCCTGTCGATGTCATTCGAATCCGCGCCGTCGGGTGTTGGGAATGTTAGCTTTAGAATGCAAAGAATGGAAAATTGGAGATGCAGTATTTAGGGATAGATTAGACCCGACCCGAGTCACCACCGGCTGCAGTGTATTTCCGGCGGCCGACGACACCAAGCCATGCGGTAATTAAAGTTCCAGCGAAGCAATTCAATTCCATAAGCGGCTTGGGGTTTGAACATCTTGCTCGATGTCATGGAACCTACCTTCCATGGTACCTAAGCTACCACAATTAGGTACCTAAGTTTTGTGGCAATGCCAGTCCAATGGCGTACGCTTAGGCGAACATCTTGCGCGGCAACCAATAGTTACCTCCCTTCTCACCGCGAAAGTACGATTTTACAGTGAGGAGGCATCATTTTCACCCAGTCTGAGCATTGGAATGTGCCCCAAGATGCAGGACCCAGGGTGTGTGAAGGAACCGTTCAACTATTGCCTTTTATCCTAACCACTGCTCACCCAGCTTGTCCCAATACAGCCTGTAATTATCGATAGCAAGCTATCAAATTAGGCCCTGCTTCAGGAAAAGGCTAATATCAATAGAAGACGTAGGAGGGATGCTCCAGTAGGCAAACCCAGGAGCAATCCACCTTAAGACGGCCCTCATATGCTCACCCCTTACTTATGGCGGTATCCAATGAGCTTGGACATCTCTTCCTCCTTCAACATTCGCATCATCTCCTCAATTGTAAGGTGGCGCGGGGCGATGATATCGTAATACTTTCTGGTTGTATCGTACTGCAAAACACGGGGGAAATCGGTCAGTCAAAACAATATATCTCACGTCAATGTGGTGGGGGGAGAGGGTTAGATCTGCTTACCTCGAACCGCCAAGTATCGCCTCCAAAGGTGCGCTCCATGTACTCATAGAGCTTGACCATGTCCAACAGCGACGTCTTGACGGCAGTGATGACGCCGGTGATACGAGGGGTTGGATTAGTAGCGGTGTCATTGCGCCTGGTCACCAAATCGCAATACAGACGGACCGCCGTGTCGACATCCGTGTCGTAGTCCTTGGCATGCAACGACTTGGTAGACGTCGGCTGCATCATACGGTCAAAGTTAGCGGTTGCACGCGCCACTGCCTGGTCAAAGGTAAGGGTGGGTGTCCTCGCCTTTGTATGGCCGTACTGGGCGAGCGAGGTGGTGTACCCCTGGACACCAGCGGGAAAGATGTTCAGCCCCTGTTCCGGAGCTGCATGTACCATGTTATACCCTTGGAGAAGCGCGGGGTTGATGGTCTCCATGTTGGGTGTGGGCGTCATGCCAGTGTACCCCTGCTGGGTGGGTGCGGTGGCCATGGCAGACGGCTGGCCAACAGGAGCAAACTGGTTATGAGCCTGCTGGGAAGCTACAGCTGCCATGTTATACCCATGAAAAACAGAGGGAGCCATGGTTTGCAGAGCAGGCGCAAGCGTGGGCCCCCAGCGCCCATTCTGGGTAGTTGCATTTGCCATGTTATACTCGTGCAAAACAGGGGGAAACATGTCCAGAATGGGCGCGATGCTGCTGTCACCTTGCTGGGTAGGAGTTGCCGTTCGAATGATCGGCTGCTTGACGGAAGTGGCAGGCATGTTCGGCTGGGTACGCTTAGGCACCATGGTGTTGGTCCCTTTGTTGGCAGATGTCGATGCTGGCATGGTGTACTGCATCCTGAGTGACGGGGGAGGCATGTTCTGCATGGTGAGGGAAGGCACGATGCTGTTGCGTCTCTGCGAGGGACCTGCAGTTGCAATCTTATGGTCTTCGATGACAGAGGGAGCCATTTCCTTCATGGCAGTACTAGGCATCATGCCACCCGGCTCCTTCTTGATAGGTGTGGATGGTGCCATAGTGTATTGCATTCTGTGCGACGGGGCAGTCATCATCTGCTTAGTAGGCGTAGACATCATGTTGCTGGACCTCGTAGGAGTAGATACTCCCGTGATAGAGTCCTGGACTTGAAGGGCACGCATGTTCTTTTGGGTAGGCGTAACTTCCAGGCTGCTGGACCACTGAACGGGAGGCGCCTGCATATTCTTCTGGGTAGGCGTGACATCCATGTCGATGAACTCCTTCTGAGTGGGAGTCGCTGCTCCCATGCTGGACTGCGGCCCACGGGGAGTACGCACGTTCTTATGGGTAGGCGTAACCGTCATATCATCTGGTTTCTTGATGGGTATGGCGGCCATGTTGGGACCCAAAGCAAGAGGCTCGTTCTTTACGTACACAGCGCTCTCGTTAGTGGACGCAGGCTCGTGGAAGTCGACCGCCATGGCCTGGTCCTGCTCATGATGAACGATCTCGTTGGTGCAATAGGCCATGTTCGAGAAGGGAGGACGTTTCTAGAAGGACAACGACGAAATCAGATTAGGCCCACAAGAAGAGATGAGAAAATGGGAAGCAGGAGAAAAGGGAGAGAAAAGGGGGAGAGAGGAGCCAGAGGAGACCTGATGAGGGCTTGTGGGCAGCAAAATTTGGGAAATATGGGACTGGAAGTTTGCTTCTCACCTTGTGGTTACCCACCTGGTCGCCCATGATGTTCTTTCGATCTAGCTCAAGCAAACGTAGCGATGGAGAGAGAGCAATCGGGAATAGGCACTGAAGATGGAGGAGATCCTTAAACCCCCCTGGTATGATGAAGATGGTGATATGGAACCAGTTGGGAAATGGGAAAGCAAGTTGTGGGAGAGGTGGGAGGTCAAAGGTGGTAGAGAGAAGGTTCTGGATGGGTTTGTTTTCTTTCGAGAAAAGAAGCACCTAGTTTTCTCTTCACGACATGGTTGGATTTCCACGAGCTGACTCGCTCTTTACGAGGTGATTCGGCTTTGAAATGCCGAGACAAGTAGTTCACTCCTCGGAAGACATTTTGCTATCCAAGTACAAGTTCACTCTTTACAATGTGGATTCCCTTTTCCAATATGGCTTCCTCTACAGGGATAGTTGTCTTACAGGAGAAGGTTGTTGCTATAGGGGGTTATTTGTTCTTCACAAACTGCGTCTGCTTATCCCAGAAGAAGGCTTGCATTCTAGATGTATGGCTCAATCTCAAAAGGAAAGTTTACCTCGTCAATAAGTAGGTTTGCTCTCACAGTTACTCTCACAGAGTGGTTCGCCTCAAGAGATCGCTTGCTTTGAAACATTTTAGCTGTGCGAATTCGCTCTTCACAAGGCAAGTTCGCTCATGCATAGTCTTCTCTTTACGCATAGCCTTCTCTTCACGCATAGTCTTCTCTTCATACGCATAATAGACTTCTCTCCTCACGAATAATAGTCTTCTCTCCTTACGCATATTGTGCTTTCATATACATAGTTTGCTCTTTGCGCATAGTTATCTCTTTGTACCTACACATAGCATTCTCATCGAGTATCTTGTTTGCCCTCTAAACACCTAGTTTGTGCTTAACAATATAGTGATCTTTAGGCTGGACATATACTAGGTAGTCCACAAAGCCAAGTAATTAAAGAGAGTACTTCAAATAGGTACATAAAGACGACGTCGTGAGATGTGATCCAAGAAGGATGCCATTGTACTGCAGCCATTGTGAATATCAATACCTCATACTTGGGGCATTGACCATGCATGAATCGGCCACGTCCCAGGTCGCAAGACGACAAAGGTCTTTCCATATCAGAAACGCTGGATTGGTTATAGGGATAAGGGATAATTACATTAAGCCGTAAGCCGCACTACCGCAAACTTATGTTCATACCTGCCCAGTATTTCCGCAAACCTATGTTCATACCTGCCCAGTATTTCCTCCGGGCTCCCTCCAAATATGGGTATCACCGAGACTGAACGAGCTGGACGTGCTACTCGCGGTGCCTGTGTTTCTAGAATTATCTGGTCGCTCCGGATCTCCACTCCCACTGCCATTGCTATTCCCCACATCACCTTCTGCATCCTCATATTCGGAATTTACCAGAGGGGGTGGGTCTTCATAGATCCACGGTCGCTCCAGTCTAGCATCTGGTCAGACATGATATCTCGGGGGAACGGTGGACATATGGGGGTATACTCACGGTGTGACGAGGCTTGGATTCACGAACCTCGAGCCCCTCTCGCGGTCCTCATCGATGGTACTAACCCTCACCAGCTGCTCTCGCTCCTGGCCGCCAGCTCCTCCAAAGTCCTCGTCGAGAATGGCATTGGCCCCGGGATCACCACCCCTCTTGATGCTCCGCAGCGAGATGAACCTCGTCAGCGGCTCGAAGCGGTCCCTGAAATAGTACCCGTACCACAGCGTCCCGATCAAGAGCGGAACCACCAGCGACGCCTCGATGAACGCCTTCCTCAGCGCCAGGACCCCCGACATCGTCAGCTGGAAGACGACCAGCCCGAGGACGATCCGGTAGCAGATGATGCGCCACGCGCCGCCCGTTGCGTGTTGCGGCTGTTCCATGGCATACAGGAGCTGATACTTGTAGGTGAAGTGCCCGAGCACGAAATAGACGAAGCCGAGCAGCAACACCAGGAAACCCCCGGGCATGGCACTGTACACTAGACATAGGATGAACACCAGCAATGCTGTGGGGAGATAGAAGGCGTAGTTGAAGACTGGCGGCTCCACCATTTCGGCAAAGTCTCGACGTGTCTTGGCGCCCATCCGGTAGATCGGATACATGGCAACGCTGCCGAACTCGAGCAGGCGGAAGGGGAATAGACCCAAGCCCTGGAGCATGATGAAGTTGAGATAGAAGACACTCAGGTTCTGTATCTTGGTGGCGAGAGTGGAGGCAATGGTGGTCGTGTCCCGAAGACCCTCTCGCAAGAAAGGAAGAATGCCGGTAGCCGTGCCGAAGACGGTGAAGACGAGGAAGATGTTGAAGAAGGTGAAGAAGAAGACCTTGCTGATGACGGAGAGCGAGATGTCGCCACGAGATCGCATCCCCTGCTGGTACGAGAGGTAGTCGTAGAGATAAGGCACCGCAACCCCCAAGAGAGAGACAACCGCAGTCGGAAGACCGGTCTGCACTAGAGCTTTGGTAACTTCATGGCGCTTGAGAGACTCGGCGAAATCCGGGAAGACCTCTTCAATCGTACAGATGCTGAGGATCGAGGCGAGAAAGGCGACGGGGATCAACCAGACCACTGAAAGGACTGCGACGAAGACGGTGATGCCCCATGATTGAACTCGGCGCTTGAATCTCGAGATGTAGGTATTGCCCCAAACAACATCTGAAGGTGCGGGAGCAGGTTTCGTCAAAAGCTGGCCGGGGTGGGGGTCGATGAGGGCCTGAATCGCCATCTGGCAGGCCGCCATCGAATCCATGGTCACGAAAGCGAGGTCGGCGGGGTCGTAGGTACTCTTCCTGGCCGCATGGATTGTCTCGTCAAGCCTCCGGAGCTTCTCGTCGTAGTAGTCGAGGGCGTCTGTCCGCCGATTCTGCAAACCCAGAAAGCCGTACCAGAGGCGCGTCTGCGGACGTTGTCTCTCGCCGAGCCGGCCTGTGGGCGGACCAGCGAGTAAGCGGCGGTTTTCACCGGACTCCTCATCCGCGACACCACCTGGTCCATCCGGACCAGGTGTGTCGATGCCGGCGTCGACGCCATCGACGTCATCGGCGCCCCCCGGAGTGTCGGCCCCACTGGAATGGACCGGCTTTTGCGCGAGGTAGACACTCCATGTCTCCTCAAGCTTGCGCAATATCGCCTCTCGTTGCTGCATGAGTCCGTCGAGCTGACCCCAGTTTTTGCAGAGCGTTATGCTCTCAACCCGGCCGATCTCAAGCCTCTCCACCAGATCCTTGATCTTCTCCTCCGTCCGGAGATCCTTTGGGATGCCCGACAGCTGGAACGTGCGATCGGTGACCGTTGACTGAGTCCCGAGATAGTCCTGCCGCACCCGGACGATCTTTAATGTCTCCTTATTCATGAAGTACATGGTGAGCAGGGTGAAGAAGTACGTGAACACGAGGTACGCCCATAGGTACCCCATGCCCGGGGCGAAGCTGTTGTCGGGATCTCCATCCTCCGGATCATCATCCTCCAAGGTCCACTGCGAGAGACCTGCATCATGAAATAGCCCTGTCTGGGGGCTACGCCATATGGTCGAAAGGTATGATTTGTGCGGGTCGTCGGTGGGGGGATGCAGGAAGCGTTGATTTATGGGCTCGAGGACAACGGTCGCGAAGACGAAGAGGGTGGCGAACAGGCGCATGGACATCTTGAAGAAGGACAGGAAGACGAACGCATCCAAGCCAGCGGATGCGAGGACTTGTTGCTCCGTTATCCTGTACAGCGCCGGGATCCAGCCAAGGAAGCTGTCGGGAAGGACGGGGAGGAGCGAGGCCGACTCGAGACGCCGTTTTCTCGCTGTGTAGAGGCTTTTCCATCGTGGGCGAAGAGTCTGTACAGCAGTTCAAAGGAGTCAGCATCCTAAGCACATCCCAAGTGCCAGTTTCGACTGCAAAGGGAAGCTTACGCAGAAGGCGAGGAAGGCCGAGATTCCCAAGGTCAAGGAGATAACGAGCTGGACGGTAGTGTCGGTAGAGCCGGGCTGGACGTATTCATCGCCGCTGCAGCGCGTCTTATTCTCTGGAGCTCGAAAGGCATCCATGGTCGCGGTGATTCGCTGCAGGCATGAAGCTGCAACTTTCAGGGCCGCTGTGCTTTGCTCTCTTCACCACCTTGAATCCCGCAAGGCCATCTTAAGCGATCATCGAACTGCTGGTGTGGTGACATAACCGGTTCCAGCCACCCTGCTGCGCCACATATGGCTCCCGCAATTTGCCTGGACGGATATGTCCAATCAAAGCCTCAGGTTCTAAGCGCATCATGAAATGACATCAGAGGAAACGAAATCGTCCTTCAAACATATCCAGAAGCTTTTCGAAGGAATATCTATACTAATTAGTACAATCCCGGGCGATAGCTCCCGTTCCTGTAGCCGCCATACCATGCCGACATCAGTCTTTAACCCTGATCTCAGTAGCCTCATCTTGCGTCGGCGTCTTCCACCTTGGAGAAATGCGCTCCACTCAGTTCTTGCCGTGACAAAATGCACGGACCCTTGAGTCTTCCCCGCCACCTCAACGCGTCCCGCGTCGTCATCAGTTCCAACTTCCATTCCAAGTCGCAAGACCTAACACGCGCTACACCATGGCTAATTGTCCACTCGTGTCGCCCCCTGTGCTACCACTGGGCGACTTCCTCGAGTAGGGGCGCAGCTATGGCGCAGGCCGACGCCCAAGAGCCTGGCCCTCCTGCCATGCAAAGTAGACCACATCTCCTCCCAATGATGGGATTGACAGTCGTCCTTGGCCGTAGCCAATGCAATTGCCGGCTGAAACCGTGCCTCGGCGACCGACTGAACTTTTCTAGTTTAAGTTCTGGGCGGCTGCCTCCTGCGCACCACCATATGGATCCGCCTGTGACGCGGCACCCTCTAGGTGGCAACGCAAGCCTGCGAGCCTACCCAATATAAGATGGCTCTGCAGCAAGTGCCCTTTTTCTATTCCATTTGCCAATTTATTGTTCCCTGTCGTTGCATCTGCCCATTTGATCAACAGTACATCGTACACTCCCATCGCCGACGTGCATCTCGGAAGCGAAGTCAGGATGTCGCACTCTCTAGAGTCGGCGCTCGACGCCCAGGAACTTGCCAACGAGCAGGTGGGCTTGCTGGATCTCATCGACAAGCTGCAGTTTGCACAGTTGGACAATGTCAAGCTCCCCCAGATCGTCGTTGCCGGCGACCAGTCCGCGGGAAAGAGCTCCGTCCTCGAAGCGATCACGGGCACGCCGTTTCCCCGTGATGCAGGGGCGTGCACGAGGTTTGCGACCGAAATCCGCCTCCGCCGGTCCCCCGAGACGAGGCTCGATGTCTCCATCATTCCGGACAAGACTCGGAACTTCAGGGACCAGGAGAAACTCAGGCAGTTCGGCGGCACGGTCGATTCTACCATGTCCTTCGAGACATTGATGAGGACAGCCGTGGATCTGATTGCGCCCAAGGAAATCCCCGGCCGTTTTGCCGCCCGCGACATCCTCGTGGTAGAGAAGCGTGGCCCCGACATGCCCCTGCTCACACTCGTGGACCTTCCCGGCCTGGTCAGGAATGCGAATAACGACCAGTCTCTGGAAGACATCAAGACCATCGAGGAGCTCTCTGACCGGTACATGAAGAGCTCCCGGACCATTATCCTCGCCGTGGTGGGCGGCAACTCCGACTACGTCCAGGCTCCGATCTTGACGAAGGCCCGCCATTTCGATCCCGACGGGTCGAGGACCATTGGCGTGCTCACAAAGCCAGACCTGACAGAGTCAATCGGCCTTGAGGACAAATTCATTGAGCTCGTCAGCAACAAAGACAGGAGGAACCTTTTCCGCCTAGGCTGGTATGTTCTGCTCAACCCGGGGCCTCGGGAGCCAGGTCAACCATGGCCAGGTGCCGAAGAGCGCCGGCTGGCTGAGAGGCGTTTCTTCGACCAAGGAAAATGGAGCCAGTTGCCGGATTCCATTTGCGGCGCCGCAGCCTTGAAGCAGAAGCTCAGTACACAACTCCAAAGGCATATCGGGAGACATGTCAAGACGTTGAGGAAGCAGATCCAGACGGCCCTGGACGGTTGCGAGGCCGAGCTCAAGTCGCTTGGTACCGGCAGAGATACGCCAGAGGAGATGAGAATCGACCTTGTCGAGCTCTTCTCGGCTTCTAAGGAACTCGTCATCCCGGCCGTCTACGGCTTCTACAAGAACCCCCCGAGAAAGACCTTCTTCCGGGTCACGGCAGACCCCAGAGGTACGCCATCTCAGAACCTCCGCGCCCGGGCTACAGAAGAGAACGACCGCTTCGCCTCCCGGATTCGAGCCCAAGGCCGCAAGTTCGACTTCTCCACCCCAGACCCGCAGGCACAGGATGGGCGGGTCTCGGGGAAGCATGACTACGCTCGGCAGGAGGTGGAGATGCTCCTGCGACAGATCCGCGGTTCCGAATTCCCCATGGATCCGAAGCCGAGGGCGGTCTACATGCTCTTCCAGAGCTACTCCGAGTACTGGCCGCAGCTTGCCCAGGAGCACAAGGACAACCTCGGCGTCGTCTGCAACGAGTTCCTGAGCGAGCTCATTGACTACGCCTGGCCGAGGCGGATGCACGAGCCGCTGCGACGGCAGTTCCTGGACCCGCAGATGAAGGCACTCATGGACAGGGCACAGCGCGAGCTCGACCTGTTGACCGAGGACATGAACCTGGAGGTGCAGCCTTACGACCCGGAATACGAGGAGCGTCTGAGGAAATGGCAGGTCGACGCGTCAACGGACGGGGCTACCTTTTCCGAGGCGCAAGAGGTGCTGGAGAAGATGCTCATTTATTACGAGGTAAGCCATGACACCCCCTACGTCCCTCCCAATCCTCTTTTTATCAGAAGGCTGACCCATGTTCGATGATCCAGCTCTCGGCCAAGAACTTTATCCGCAACATCATCACTCAGGTCGCCGAGCGCCACCTGCTCCAGGGCATGTACAGCATCTTCAACTCTGTCGAAATCCTCGGCATGAGCAACCAGACCGTCGAAGCGATCGCTGCGGAGAACAAGGAGACGAGAGACCGACGACTGGTCCTAAAGACGCAGAAGAAGGCGATCGAAGAGGCCAAGGATATCTGCGCCAACCTTGCCATGCGCAAGGAACTAAGAATGGTAAGCTATCCCGTCCCGGTGAGAGTCAGAAGTTCGTACTCATACCATTTGTCTTTCCAGTACGCCGACGAAACCCGCGACGATTTCGAAGACACCTCAGACGAGGAAGGCCAACCGAGGCCCCACGAACGGCCCCCGAGCATTTCCAAGCAACCCCCAACACCCTCCATCAGGCGCCGAGCATCCCGACGCTCCCGCGAAGACAACGCCCCGCCCGCCCCCGCACCCCGAGCCGCCGCCGACCCCGTCGTCGCCAACGGCATCCACGGCACGGAATTCATGACCGCCGCCCACCACGCGCCGCCCAGGAACGAGCCGGCACCACCACCCCGCCTGGCAGAACAGCAACAGCAGCAGCAGCAGGCAGTCGCCGCCGCCTCCCTGAACCCGAACCCGAACCCGCCCCAGCAGGCGCCGCCGCCGCCGCCCCCACGGCCCGACAAGGTCCGGCCCGAGAGCCGGCCGCCGTACAGCGCGGAGCAGTACTACGCGGGTGGCGGAGGCGGCGGTAGCCCGTACGAGCCGCGGGCGCCGGCTTCCCCTGGCGTCGATGGCGCTGGGTATGTGCAGTCGGCGGCGAGGAGGCAGCAGAGGAATATCTTGGGACGGGCGTGATTTGTTGGCGAGGGGGTGGTTTAAGAGAGTACGGAAGGGGGTTTGTCCATGGTTTTCCGCAATGTATTCCTTATATTAGAACTCCATTGGCAGCTTACAAGGCAGAGTCATGAAAGGACGGTGGGTTCGATCCCCGGGAGTCCGGCTTCGGGGCGGATTGTTAAGGTCGGCGTTATGGGTCTCAGATCGATTTCTCCATACTTAGTAGACAGCAAAGCAAGAAACATTTCAAAGAGGAGGCTTAGCCTGCCAACAAGTCGAATAGCAACCTAACCTCAAAAGGGTCCAATGACTCCTATCCGTCGCTTCTAATGAGTACTCGCAGCGGTGAACCGTTTTACCTTTGACCACTGCTTGTTGCAGGGCCGTTCCACCATTCAGACGAAACCGACCAACGAAAACGACACCGTCTATACTTTACGATACCGGAGAACCAAAACATGTCTATAGCCCACTCTACTCTTTCCATTTTTCAGACCTCTCGCAGGTTCTATAGCTCACGGGCGGATGAACGGGGGATCCCATCAACGGACCGGATAGGACCCGAACAAGATACGCGTAGCTGGAAACCACAGCAGGTCCCCGGGTCCGCGCGGGGGGCCCAAACGCGCCTCAGATGCGGACAGGGAGGGAGTCCCTACGGATGATCAGATGGCCGTCACGGACGAGCGAGTTCCTGCCCGGCACGCCCGCGACGAAGTCGTCGAGGTTGCGGAGGGTGGACTCTGCGATCTCGGCGAGGGCCTCCTCGGTGAAGAAGGCCTGGTGGCCGCAGACGAGGACGTTGTGGAAGGTGGTCAGGCGCATGAGGTCGTCGTCGTCGATGATGTCGCCCGAGTGGTCGTTGTAGAAGAGCGCGCCCTCGCCCTCGTACACGTCCAGCGCCAGCCCGCCGAGCCGCCCGCCCTTGAGCGCCGCCAGCACCGCCTTGGTCTGGATGAGGCCGCCGCGCGACGTGTTGACCAGCATCGCCCCGGGCTTCATCCTGCCCAGCGAGTCGGCGTTGACGATGTGCCGCGTCGACTCCGTCAGCGGGCAGTGCAGGCTGACGAAGTCGCTGCGCGCGAGGAGGTCGTTGAGGGGCACGTACTCGCCGTAGGCGGCGAAGGCGTCCGTCGGGAAGGGGTCGTGCGCCAGCACGTGGCACCCGAAGCCCTTGAGGATCCGGGCCAGGGCGAGCCCGATCCTACCGGTGCCGACGATGCCCACCGTCTTGCCGTGCAGCGTCCGCCCCAGCAGGCCGACGAGGCTGAAGTTGCCCTCGCGGACGCGGTTGTAGGCGCGGTGGGTGTTGCGGTTGAGCGTCTGGATCAGGGCGATGGCGAACTCGGCGACGGCCTCGGGCGAGTACGAGGGCACGTTGGCGACGAAGAAGCCCAGCCGCTCGGCCACCGCGAGGTTGACGTTGTTGTAGCCCGCGCACCGGAGGAGGACGGCGCGTACGCCCAGGCCATGAAGGGACTCGAGGACGGGGGTGTCGAGCGTGTCGTTGACAAAGACGCACACGGCGTCGGCGCCGCGAGCCAGCGCGACGGTGTCGACGGACAGGGAGAATTCGTGGAAGATAAGCTGGACCGGGACGGAGCTGCTGCGGGACGAATTGACGCCCTCGAGGTAGCGTCTGTCGTAGGGCTTGGCGCTGAAGACGGCGAGCTTCATGGCGGCGGCTTCGAAGATGGTAGGTCGCTACGGACAAGATATATGCTGTTCAGAACCAGAACGACAACCTGCGAGGAGTCTGAGGCGGGGCAATCTGCCTGAAGGGAGAATGTGCCCCGCGATGAGACAATTGCGATGCGGCTGAGCAGCCAATAGATAAGAGTGACATCATGCAATGCAGCCAAGCGGCCCAGACCCAGGTTCAGCCCGGCGCCTAACCTATCCCGTTCGCTGTGGATGCTTGGAATTCACGGCTGAATAGATGGGTACTGCGTAGAAAAGGAAGCTCCGCACTGAAATCTGGCAGGCAGAGGAAGGTGGAGTCAGCCGCGATGCTGGCCCGGCCGTTTGCCCCTTCTTCAATGACACGAACCTTATAGGTATCTAGGCAAAGGGTCTTCAACGGGGGCAAAAGAACAAGAGAACGCAAAGGAATAAGAGAAGATATATTTTCCCCAAGCCTGTACAATAATGTCGAAATTGGGAGACTGGTTGTCCAGGAATAACCACGAGTTACAAGACAATTGTTGATTTTGGCGTCTGGAATGCCCTCAGCTTATGGCAATACGGTATTTATTCCATTTCGTGCGAGTGTCTCCCACAAAAGATCCAAGGTTGGGGTGGCTAGGCCGAGCCATTATGGAGTGGTTGTAAATGGCGCGCACCTTGGCCAGAGGAGGCTGTAGAAGCAGTAATTCGATATCTGATCCCAAAACTAACAAAGCATACAATTAGTTTAGATGGTAAATTAACTTCTATATTTTCGCAAGTTTAAGCGTGCTTTATCTCAATCCGCCTAACGTAACTGATATATAGCTTGCTAACATTATACTCTTATTGCTTGCTCTTTTTGCTAGCTGTTATACGTCGTCGGCGTTGCCGGGCGTCCGGCGCGTGTGGTTGCTCTTGGGCGCTACCACTTGCTTCTGCCTTAGCTGCGATGGTCGTCGCCGTCTGCGCAGCGCCTGATTCCTTTGACGTATCGTTAGCCTTGTCTGCCACAAGGTTGACAAGCTCCCTAAGGGTGGCAGACTCAGTCTCAAGGGCTGCGATAGCGTTGGCATGTTTCTTGCTGTTTGCCGCAGCCATCGTCTCTTGTGTCGTGAGGCGTGCTTCGAGGGCGACCGTGGAAACTCCAGCGTTGGCCCAGTTGACTGGATACCCGTTGCATACACCAATCAAATCGGTCCTTCCGATCGCAGCGAGTCAGATTGGCATACTATTCTGGGATTTTTTGGCCGAGTAGGTTAAAGTCAAGAGATGGGCATATCCTTTACCAAAAGGCTTACCTATGCTGTAAAACCTTGGAACCCTGCCTTGGTTAGATACAATGCAAAGACAGGGGAGTCATGGACATATTGGGTAGGTTTTAGACAGCCCAGGGAGTTGAGCAAGCTAGGACATGCTACAAATATATGACATCCTCCTATCTGTGAATCTGCTCATGAACCTTGAGATTACTTGAATGCCTAGATGCCTTCCCGCAAACGGTGCATTTGTAAGGCTTCTCTACCTGTTTTCCCTAAATGTTGCACCACATCTAGTCTGATCGCAGTTGGGGATTTTGCTCCAATGTTCAGCATTGATGCTATTTTGGTTGGGATTGGGATTGCCATCTTGATGAGACTGTGGAACATGACTGTGACACTCTTGATAATGCCAAACCATGTGCCCGACACTCTGGAACTGTTTGGCACATTCACTGCACTAAAGTTGACCATGGGAGTATTCAGTGATCCACGAGTCGATTGGAACAAGCAGCATGTCAAATTTCGGCATCGGCGCATGAGGGGTGATTCCCCTATCCCACTCGCCGTTCCAGATCCCATTGCCAAAGGATAAGTCGACTCTCCAGAAAGCGTGGTAAAGTGGGACACGGCAAAGAATGGCGCGAATGCTGTCCCAAGAGTCGTGAGTGTATTTCTTCAGCAGCCCAAGTCAATGGAAAAAGAAGACCAATCGAATATGCCATCAGCATTCGCAGAACCAATGCATCGTCGCATAGCCATCGAATCACTGCTCAACGCTACCGAACCTCATCGCGACACCACCCACTACCTAGCCCACTCATTACAGGCTATCGTGCCGACTACATGGGCAGATATCATCCGAAGCATGCCCAGCCCAGGAACCACAGCGCTACAAGCTCACGTCGACACATGGCTGGCTAGCATCGACCCGGGGTCAACCGCCTTCGACTCCCCACACGCCGCCCCAGCCGGCCTCGTCTCCAGTTGCGACCTCCCCCCAACCGCAACTGCCACCCCATCGATCCACACGCCGCCGCGCCAACGTATCACCCTCCCATCCATCAATCCTGTGGTACAAGGCCTTGCTAAAGAACACCCCGGCCTCCCCGACCCCTTCCACGCCCTCCCTATCGCGCAAGTGGTCCTCCCCCCTTGATTGCCGCGATTTCGCCACATGATTATGGTGCCAGCGCCGGTGCCGGCGACCAACCCAACCGGTAGTAATCAGGCGGCGTTCTCAGGGCCACACCGGTGACCTTGCATTGAATCAGTAACGATACTAAGACGATGAGGCAGGACAGACCTTTGATACAAATTTGACCCTGTTTTGTCCATACAGGCTTATATTTGGATCGTCACTCTGTGCCCCAAGCGTTTGCCGATTTGGAATGAGCCGGGCTGTCCTGCTGTAGTTTGGCAGAATGTCAAGTGATGACACTGTAGACACGTGTAACCTCCACCGTTCCAAATGTCAGGTAGCAGTGATAGCATTCGGCTCTAAAGCAGTTCTATATCCTGGATTTTACGTGTCTTGAAACATGAGTGCATTCTTTCATCCGCAAGATTGGGCACCTTTTGTGTCGCGACTGGTTGTTCGCTCGACAGTATCAACAATCCCAATCTCCGGTACCGAAACTCGGCTGAGTCCGCCTGATCCAAATGGAGAAAGCACCAATCCGTCGACTCCGTGTCAGAATGCTCGAGATCATAATCCCTGTACTTCGCCATCAAGAGAAACGCTTGCAGACCGTCGAGATCGGTCAGCCGTGCTGCTGTGTCACCGCTGTATTCAACCTCGACGCCTAAATCTTTGTCGAAATCGTTGGGATTTCCTACTAGAATAGGTCCCCTTACATGAAGCGACGCAGAAACAAGTCTTCCGAGGGGGTTGGCCCCTGCCGTCACCATCTTCGTAGAAATAATGTGCGCGTAAGTCTCTACCAAAGCCTCGGGCCACGACGGGTCGTGCTGTCGATACAGAACCTGGCTAGAGACAGACGCCCACGACCACGATGGAGCTCGCCACGTCTTTTGTCTGTAGTCTACTGGCTGTTCTCCTTCCTTCTTCTTCTCCGAGGGGTCGACGATCCACAACAGGTCTTCGAGGAGAGACGACTTCCAACATCCTGCGACGTAATCCCCGTCCGTTTGGCCTGTGGCCTGTCCGAACTGGGACGCGAGCCCGGACAATGCGGGGAAGATATCCGAGTTTACTGTAAGGTGCAGCTGGGAGTACATGACCACCAGCCGTCTCCACCAGTATCTCAAATTTGCCTCCCGATGTCTTCCTCGGCCTTGTAGCGAAGTTTGATGCGCGATTTTGACGGGTGACGAGATAACGTGGGAGTTGGGGTTGTTCTTCTTGTACATGGCCGGGTTCCTGTATTGCGAGAATACGTCATATTGTGCTTCCTCGGGTTCGTCCGCAGGGCCGCACACGTTGACGGCAGCAGCATCAGGCTCACTGGACGCCTTCTGCCCCTCCGCAAGAACCGTACACTCGCAGTCCACGACCTCAAGACACTCCCAGATCAGCTCTTGCGGTGCGAAGGTAAGCAGCCTCCGCGATAGCAGCCTCTCCTGAAGGACCCAGCCACGGGTGAAGAGTTCCAGCGGCTGTTCGTAATGGGGCAGCTCCTTCCGCAGATACAGCGTTGGGTTAGGTCGTGCAGGGTTCGTCACCTTGAAGCCCTGGTAGACACGTTCGGCCTCCGAGAAGCATCCCTCGCCGCCGGATGCCGAGGCGACTGTCAGTGTCGCGTTTTCGTAGATGGCGCACATCCTGGCACTTTCCCTTTCCCAGTCTTCCTCGCTGTCCTGTATGATACACAGGCTGTCGATCCAAAGGTAGCGCAGCGGCTCGCGATCGGGATGCATCCGGTTGTACCAGGCCGAGACTCGCCGCACGAAGGAGATGGCCTCTTGGAAGTTTTGGGAAAGCGCTTCCTTTTGGATGTGCTCCTTGAGAGCCTCGATGTTCTCCTGCAGGCAGCGGAGGATCTTGGTATGTGTTGGCCAGCGATGGCTCAGACAGACGTACGGCGCTCTCTTGGAGCCGGGCTCGACAAGCCTCACCGGACCGTCCATCCCGACGTCAATGACTCTTGTGGGGAGCTGGGGCGGCGCTATATCGTCTCCGCACTTGGCGTGTGTGCGAAGGCAATTTTCAAGCCACTGCATGGCTGTCTCAAATGCCTTATCGGATCCCGTCTTCCCGGATATCGGCTGGCGGTCAGCGGCCCTTTCCAAGTACAACGGCGTCGGCAAGTCATAAGGCTTCGCCGGGTTGAATAAGCCTTCAAACCAGACTTTAGACTCTTCGGCCGCCTGGTACACCTTGAATATTTCGACACTGTCGAGGCTCCTGTGGCCATTTAAGTGCAAGACACCCATGAAGAACTTGCTCGTCGTCTTGCCCATTCCGTCCGGCACGTCCTTGTCAGACTGCATGCGCAACGACAACTCTTTCACCTGGCGGGCGTCTAGTTTTGTTTCCATCGTCAACTGGATCAGTGAGATGGCGAAACAGGCGATCCAACAGCCATGACAAGCGGCCTGCTGCGCTTCGTCGAGAATTCTGGCATCGATTTTGTCGTATGTCTTGGGTATCGATGTCTCGGGTGTCGATGTCCCTGAGTTTGTAAAGTGTGGTCGGCAGATGTCGCATATTTCAGATTTATGAGGGGCCCGCTGGAACAACCACGAGAATATGTCCATGGTCGATTAGACGAGTGAGCCTCTATCATCTTGTGCAGCGGGATTGCGGACAGATAATTCCCCGGTCATGTGCAACTGCGCGAGTAATTATGTCGCTGATGTTTGCCTTCGAGGTTGTAACTGCCTGATTTAGGACAAAGCAGAGTGGCACTGCCAGTCTAGACTAATCTCGGCTGCTGCTGCGTCCTACCCTAGCCAAGGGAATGGAAGCTCCCGTTGGACGGCCCGCTTCCGGAGGGGTAAATTTCCCGACATCCTTGCTGTGCTGGTGGGAGGGGAAATCCTTCGGTTCGGGGCATGAGGGCCGCCCCGCATAGGCGCAGGAATGCCAAAGATTTTGGCATAAAGCAACTTCGTGGGTATCGTAACTGGTTCGGGCTTCAATATGAAGTCGCGACCAGGGTGTAGAGTGCGGCTTTGTGCCTCCTTGAACTAGGCTAAGGTTCTTAACCCCCTTGCAATGCCGTTGAAGTCGCTCCGCTGATCATTGAACTAGAGGCGGGCGCTAAATAAGAGCAAATCCGGAGAGGATCCCGGCCCTTGAGGGACATGAATTTCGAGGACAAGTTTTACTGCCTCTGAGGCCATTACGGCATAGGAGGGTGGGTCTATCAGCACCCCACACAGCCTCGAGGAAGGACTGGGGTGGGTTGCAATGGGGGCTGTTGCTTCCAGGGTCTGGAGCCCACTGCCAACGCGGCCAAGGTCCAACAACAGCATAGGATCACATCCTCACAGGCATCGGAACATAACCGGCCACTCTCGCGGTCTCCCACTACAATCGAAGGGTATCGGCCATCTGGCGAGAGTTCGTCGGCTTGCGCATTTTTCTCTTGCCCAGTTCATTCAGCCACCCCGGTCTAGAAATCCCCCTTGTTTTTTTAAAAAAAAGAGTTTCTTTTGACAAACCTTGAAATTCTTCAACGATTCTCCGGCTACATGATATCATGGCTGCCGACCTCGCTGACGCTAAAGCCCACCTCAAAGAGCATGGGTGGTGCAAGGTCAAGTCGGTCCTCAGCACGGACCAGGCAGCTACCGTGCTAGACAGGCTCTGGAAGGCGAAGGAGGAGGCGGAGAAGCGCGGGGAGGACACATACCTCCCATTCCTCGACCCCAATGCGAGCAACATCCGGGTCTTCTACCTACTGGAGTTGGACAAGGCGTTCCGCGACCTGATCGCGAATCCAACAGCAATCGAAATGGTCAAGTCGGTGCTGGGCGACAACTTCCTGATCTCCAACTTCACGGCCAACATTGCCCGCCCCGGGTCCAAAAGCATGGCGTTGCACTCGGACCAGAGCATTGTCTTCCCGGACCCGTGGCGGGACGTGTGGGCGCTCAACGTGATATGGTGCCTGACAGATGTGTACAAGGAGAACGGGGCGACCCAGTACATCCCGGGCTCGAACAAGTATATCTACCGCAAGGACGTGCCCGCCAACGCGCCGAAGCTGCTAGTCCCGTTCGAGGCCGAGGCCGGCGACATCCTCGTCATGGACGGCCGCGTTTGGCACACCAGCGGCTCCAACATCACCGAAGACAATGACCGCGCCCTGCTATTCGGTTACTACACCGCCCCCTTCATGCGCCAGCAGGTCAACTGGACCGCTAAAATGCCCAAGGAGATTCAGGACACCCTGGGCCCGGATATGAAGGAGTGGCTAGGCCTCAATCCGGTAGGCAACATCGGCCTGACCGGCGACCTGAGATACCTGTCGCAGCAGTATCCAGAGGAGAAGGACGCCGCTGTCACTGCATAGGCGTATGTACGTGGGGTTTCGTGTACGTAGCTGCTGCAGGAGGACGTGCGGGAGGATTTCTTGACAGAGTAATCCGTACGGATTGCATCTGTATGCATGCCTAGACGTCGGAGGCTCGAACTAACCAATGAGGTGGGTAATCCATATTGTCAACCCCTGTTCAGCGGTCCAAGAGGCCGAGAAATGACAAGTCAGAATGCATGGGCTGATCTGCCACCCTCAAGGTCGTGAAGTGTCACCGAAGAAATCGAGAGGCAGCTTCGGGCACCAATCCCGCTTCGATAGGAAGAATAGAAGCGAAAACAAATCACTTGCCCATAGCAACACTGAATATCAAACTCTGGCCTCATCTTTGTCACCATGACTGGGAACAAGGCTATTGGGAACAGCCCCGCAGCGGGAAAGGATGACACATTCACCTCTCCAACTTCCCCTGTAGCGCCGTCTTCCCCCCCAGCGCCCGCTGCAGCAGCGTCTCCCAAAGCAGCGTCTCCTGGGGCAGCGCCTTCCGCACCAGCCACCGAGCCGGCCGCGACTGAGCCGTCGTCCGGGTTGCTATCCGCCCAACACTGGGCTCACGCTGCGGTATGTCCGTGCCACAGGCCTGGCTATCTGCGCAACGTACCCAAGTTCTCCGCTGATAAGGCACCTTAGGACCTCCCGGTGGATGAGGGAGACACGGGTGAGGATGGGGACTCTGCCCTTGGCGACGACCAAGCCAGCTCTACGGCATCCATCACCTCCAGCATTCTGAAGTACAGGACGATCAATGGGAGAACTTACCATTCGGAGAGCGGGAACTCCCAGCATTGGTATGGCAATTGCCCTGTGCATACCCTGCACTATGGCCGGAACCCTTCGATATTATATGGGCGTTGCTGAGAAAAGTAAATACATAGGACCCCCAACGACGATGTGCACCTCGAGTCCATGGACATCAAGTAAGCAAGGAGAAATCTGCTACAAGCAAGACGTCTTCACTAACAACAAGCAGTCACCACCTTCTTCTTCTTTCGCTCAAAGAAAAGCTGTTCCTTGCACCGCTGGACAAGGACATCGAGGTTAGCCCATCTCCAAATGATAGAGGGCTGTCAGCATGCTAACTCAGCCCAATGGAAGAGAGTCGTCGATATTGGTACCGGTACAGGTAGGAGGGCCCATATTCCATACCCATATTCCATATTCTAGGTGCCATCCCAAAAACGTGAACCTAACAAGCTTCGCGTTTACAGGCATTTGGGCCATGTAAACTTCCCCTCCTGTTACTGTGTGGGGTCCAGACTGACATGCCTCAGCGATTTCGGGGATGAATTTCCCAGCGCCGAGGTCATCGGCACCGACATTTCCCCAATCCAGCCTAGTTGGGTTCCGCCAAACGTGAAGTTGTATGTGTTGCAAGAAATGCCTCCATTCCAGACCCTACCTAGGTAGGAAAAGCTTACAGTCTTGGTTGCCTCAAATAGCGAAATCGAGGACTGCACACAGCCGTGGACGCTCCCCTCAGACCACTTCGACTACGTCCATATGCGTCAACTCTTTGGCAGCATTGACAATTGGGACGCCCTGTTTGCAGAAGCATACCGCGCCTGTAAGCCTGGAGGCTGGATTGAGAGCTACGAGGCCTCGCCTAGGATGGAGAGCGACCACGTGCCGGAGACGGAGAACCTCGCCATACATGAATGGGGCAAGTTTTTTATCGAGGGCGGGAAAAAGCTTGACCGGACATTCTCGATCATCGATGACAACCTACAGGTGAAGGGGATCGAGAAGGCAGGCTTTACCAAGATTAACACTTGGGACTTCAAGGTACGCACCGTGCCACTTCTCTGGTGATACCGCTTTCCAGGGGCAACGGCTTACGCGGAAATATAGGCGCCGATCGGAAGCTGGCCCAAGGACGCAAGGCTAAGGGAGATTGGCCGGTACGCGCAAGCAGCGCTCGAACAAGATTATGAAGGCTACGTGCTCGCCATGGCAAGCCTGCAGGGTTGGACCAAGGAGGAGGTCTATGTGTACTGCGCGCACCTCAGGCGCGAGATCCGTTCTGGGAAGTACTGCCCCTTTTACCGACAGAGGGTCGTCTGGGCCCAGAAACCCGAGTAGTTGTGGAACCGCTGCTGGGGAAATGGCTGCGAGATAGGGGACAGGCATATTCGCAGATTCCAAGCCCTAGAGTGTCTACTGCGCATAACAAAGAACGAAATTGGGACGCTTTCAATGACCCGATGCCTAGGTATTTAATTAAGTATTAGCGAGATCATGACTCTCGTGAACAGGCATCTCTCTTGCCTAGAACTAGGGAGCAGCGAAACAAGGAAACAATAACTCTGCAAAAACGCTATATAGCCCCACCTCCAGGTTCTCAGGTCTGGGCTTCGCGGGGTTTGGTAGCTAACAATCGAAATCTCTTGGAGGTGGTGGATCCCTCTCATCCCTTATCCGGTGCTATTCACCACCCAAACCCCAAATCCCCACCCCAACCGTTGTTCGACGAACTATGGGGTAATGCAGGATAACGTTGACGACGAAGCCAGGGCTGGACGGTTAAAGCTCCACCTCTATTCTCCAGTCCATATCGTCCTTTTCCACGTGTCTGGCGACACCTGCATTTTCGACTTCCCAGCGTCTCTCGGAGACTTTGTAGACGCTAAGCTCGTGGCTTCTCCCTGTCCACTTATCAGCACGCTTGCGTGACCTTCTTGGTTGTGTCGCACCGCAGAGAAGTAACTCATCTAACACAGGCCAATCTCCCATACCCAAGCCCCCAGATACACAATTTCCCACCTCAATCAGATACGTTGAAGTCTAGCATCAACCAGTCCATCCGTATATCACCTCCCGCTCATCCCCAACCTCCCCTTCCCATTAATAACCGAACCAGTCTAAGGAGTATCTACCATTTAATCCCTCAGCACGCATGCGCCACGCAAACCTCACACAAGTCCCCCGGCGCCTCCACCGACCTGCCGCAGGCGTCGTTCTTGCACCCGCACAGATAGTGGCAGTCCTCCGAGGCCCTGCGCCTCGGCGATGGCGTCCGTGTCGGCCGTGGCGGCTGGGACGGAGGGGGATCTTGCTTCTCGACGGGGGTGGCTGGCTGCTGCTGGTTCGATGGTTGTGGTGGTTCCTGGTTAATCTCGGGGGGCTGGTTTCCCTTCTTTTCTGGCTCAGAGGCGGAGGTGGAGGGTTTGGCGAAGAGCTGCTTTAGGGATGGGAAATGCATGTTTGGATGAAGTGCTTTGCGGACAAAGGACGCTGCTCTGGACGAGGAATGAGGAGGGAGTCAGTGTACGACCAGCTGGTTCTAGATAGGCTTTTCTCTGCTTACCGCTTTTAAGAGGTGTTCGGACGGGGAGCAATCAAGGTCAAGTAACGGGCTGAGTAGGCACCTGTATTGTGGCTTGCCAGGTGTGGAAACAATGAGCCCCGAGTCACAGCCTCTCCGGAAATATTATCCTTCGAGTAGGCACAAAGGAGGCGGGTGCTGTGTTATGGTGAACACACAAAGAACCGAAGGGCACCTCGATGGTCCGACTCTCCGCATTCGAGAGTTTGACTCCTCAGAGCCTCGCAGCACGCAATAGAGGTAAAAGACGAGCCTAAAATCGTCTGGCGTAAATGCTGTTAATTGAAGGTAATTGTTGCAGAAGTCCTTAATCCTGCATCCAACACATCCTTACCTGGTTTCCCGCGGCTGCGGGAAATTGAAGAAGAGAAGACAAAAAGGCTGTCAGTGAGCTTGTTTCACACGGCATGAGGTGTCCATATGCACTGGGCCTGACCACAACGGCCAGAAAATGGGTCACCAACGGACATCTATCGCTATTCAGGCGGAAATTGCGACCGGGTGCCATTTTTAAGGCATCTTTGATCTCACAGAAGGCAGCACAGCCACCGCGTCGCTTTGCTTGGCGGTCAGTGAGACAAAGGGGGTGGCATGCATACGCCACACGCCCGCACCGGCGTTCATACTCGGGACTGCCGTAAAAGCCCGACGTGACACCACCCGGCGTCAGTAGTACAGCCCATACACCTACCATCTTGCCAGGCAACTGCCATAACCTTGTTTAGAAGCTGCTACCCCTGGCCTGAGATGTTGATCTAGGATGACATTTAAAGGTCAAGATCACAAGAGCTGTTGATCTCCGGCTATGGTGAGACGGTTTTGTATTAGAGCTGTCTACGCCTGAGGTGAACAACGACGCCATGATGCAGCCATTGATACTGCCTCGATCTAGCTTGAATGTCGCCCATATACACATTTCCTTTTCCTGGTTAGGAATGGGTGCAAGATACCTTGATGGTAGTCTCAACTGTGACCCGAAAAACAAGAAAACTTGCCTCTGGAAGGTAGGCCAAGATAGGCCGACGAAAATCATAAAACCGCACCCAAATAGCAGTGTTTCCTCACCCAAACACTGATGGTGTCAAAGAAACGAATTCCGGCGTCAGTTACACCTACGCCAACGCCTGCCAACAGCACCTCTCCAAACCTTTCCTCCCAAACTATGCCAAAGAGGCACAAACAGGGACGATAGGAGGGGAGAGTACCTAGACCGTGTAGATGAAATCAGGGCGCTGGTCGCCAAGCGCCTCGATCTCCTTCTCCGACTTGCCCTCGATCCAGTGATCGCGCTCGCCGCGGCGGCGCCTGGCGTTCTCGAGTCGCAGCAGCAGCGTCATCAGGACGGAGCCGCCAAACAGGAAAACGGCCATGTATCCCATGACAACGCCGTGGCCCTCGAGGTAGCGCGGGTCGTTGTAGTAGATGTTGCTGGACACGATGCCGTTCAGGTTGCCCCAGCCGATGACGAAACCCAGGACGACGCCTCGCTTGTACACACCCTCGATGTTGTTGGCGACCCAGCTGATGGTGTTGGCGATGCACGGGTAGATTCCCATGGCGCCGAGGAAAGTGCCTGCGTACTGCACCGCTGGGTTTGCGCTTCCGAGGAGCATGGCGAACCCGCCTACTCCAAGCAAGGAGATGAGAATATTGCACATGCCGCGAGACCGAGTCCTGTCGGCGATGAAGCCAATCGCGACCGTGAGGCACGCCGCAACGGCGTAGGGGGGGACGGACATGAGCTGAGAGCGGACGACGGTGGTCGACCAGCCAAGGTTGTTGACGATGCTGGGGAGGAACAGCGAGAAGGCGTACAGGGGCATATCGCAGCCCATGTAGATAGCCATGCCGAGCCACATTTTCCAGTCGGCAAGAGAGTCCCACAAGAACGAGATCTTGAACTCTTCCGAGTTAGCCGACGCCTGTTGATCCAGCTTCAGGCGGCGGATGACACGGTTCCGATCGTCGCCCGAGAGGAAAGTGGCCTCGTCGGGGAAATCGTGGACCATCCAGAAGGAGGCGACGCCAATGACAATAGTGAGCAAACCTTCGAGGACGAAAATCCATGCCCAGCCCCGGAGGCCGCCAATTCCATCCATGAGCTCAATCGCTGCGGCGAGAAGACCACCAAAAGAGCCAGAGACAGCTGCCGCGGAGAAGAAGATGGCCTGAGACATATATGATTAGTTTAGTTGAAAAGCGAACTCCCACGGCGGGAGAGGGCGAGGTCTATCATAGTACTGACCGCTCTAACTCCAAACTCGGAGCGTCTATACCAGCAGGAGAGATAGTAGTTGACGCCGGGGAAGAGACCTGCCTCGGCGAGGCCCAAGAACCACCGGGCAGCCATGAGACCCGACCAACTTTTGACAAAGCCCATGCCAAGCATCGAGGCGCCCCAGAACACCCTGACAGCAGAGATTAGTGGCTAGCTCTCTATTACCTTGAAAACTTTGATGATAGATTCTCACATGATAATCGGGATGAAGATGGATGGCCGAAGCCTCTTCAGTAAGATGTTCGTCAGAGGCTCAAAGACGGCATACGAGACGAAGAATATGGTCAGGGTGGCATTGTACTGAGCAGTGCTCAAGGACAGATCCGTCTTAAGGCCAGCGATCTTAGCGTTGCCAATGTTGGTTCTGTCCAGGAATGCCAGAAGATAGAGGAGACACAGCTGAGCACATGTTGTCAGTGTGTGTGGACTTGTGTGGAGGGCGGATTAGGACTAACCCAGGGGATCAAGATGAGATCAAGACGCCAGAGAAGCTTGCGATCCTATATGAGCAGTCAAGTTAGTCATGCGTAAGATACGCGGTTATGAAAAATGGTGAAACTCACGACGGCAGCCCGCTCAGACTCGCTGAGGTGGGCATCAGGATCGGGGGGGAGGTCGATGAGAGTAGCCTCTCCATCGTGGCTGCCGCTGGCGTTGGGCGACTTTTCGCTGTCGCTCATTTTTCGTGATTGTTTACTGGTCTATGTTTTGGTCAATGTGATGGTGTCTTTTGTTTTATTTTGGTAGAAGCGATGACGCGTTGCTGTGCTATGGGTAAGGTATTTTTTTGGACTTTTCATTACCCTCTGTACTTCTTTCTTTTTGTCCGTTTGGTATGTTTTTGTTGAGTGAGAAAATAAGGTGTAGTGTGCCCCCGGAGTGAAGGTATAATTAGAGCGGGGTGTGGAGGTTGATGAAGTGAATCCGGCTATGGCCACCCAACTTGAAATGGAAAGATGGCAAAGAAAACAAGATGACGGTGGAGGGGGTGAGGTTTTACTTAACCTGAAAGACGGATTTGTGTTGATCTTGAGGGGAAAGCGTCACTCACATCTCGATGTTTGCTGTATTGGATATGTGGGGCAAGCCGTCGTCAATTTGGGGAATGATCTGCTTCGAAGGATGCTCTATGGGGTTGATGCTGAGTAAAAACTGCTGTTGCTTCCCCGCGATTCGAGTCGTGTGTCACTGGATGAGGTGTGCCGCGTGGAGATCGCATGCAATGGATCGGTCGAAGGGAGAGGGATTGTCGGGCACCTTCCTAGTTGGTTTGAACAGAGAGCAGCCCAGATGTGCGGCAAGTTTGGGTTGGGGAAAACCAAAGGGTACCTAGGTACCTTAGCTATTTATTCTATTTGGAATGCACTGGACCTGCGCAGGGCACCTCAGCTTCGCAAATGTGCAGTAATTACAGGTACAGTGCCAAAGTGCCTACCTTCCATACCCTGAGCCTCCCCAGCAGCGACCCGTCCGCTCTTGAGTCGGTAGGGAATTGCATTCGTCAGGTTTATCTGCAAGGAGGAAACCCTGGTTCTGTTACCACCCCAATATCCCATCATACCAGCACCAGAGGTGATGTAGGTGCCAATAGTGCCAATACCCTTAAATTTCCAGTGGATGTGCGCATTCGATACCGCAGGGGGTTCCCAACAGCTGCAGTCAGCCCATGCCCTGGCTTCAGGCTTTACACCATGGACGCGCTACAAGGCGGACATGTCCGGATGCTGACAGCTCGTGCAGAGCAAGGTTCGAGTATGCAGGGTCTAACGGAAAGTTTGGTAACCGGGGACAGACATCCCAAGAGAAGGGTTGGCGTGCTGTCAGGCTACGTTGTGTGGTCACCATCTCGGGTATGTCCATGATCTCGATATTGATGCTACCATGCGAGGTGTGACAGGCGGGTGCCCCCATCAAAGCCTCGAGTTTCTACAACCCCATCCTGCTCCAAATTGACAGAGGAGCAAACACAACATACGCCACGAACCCTTTCCCCAATTCACCAATACACATGCCAGCCCCTTGACTTGGTCCAACGGGAGAAGTCGAGTCGGGGCCTTGTGGAATGTGTGCCATGTCCCAGGGAAGCCTCCCCTTGCAGCCACCGTCATCATCGTGGCACCCCAACCGAGTGTGCCGGGTCAAGACTCGACTATTTCAAGTCCCGCTTTCGATAGCTGAGCAAGGTAATCTCCGACTGGGCGCAATTATTCGCCGAGGTGCATTCCTCTCATTGTTTGCCTCAGACAGCCACATCAGCTGCCCATTGGTCTTGGTTCGAAAGATGACAGCCACCGTGCTGGCAGAGATGCACGTACCCGATGGCCGCCTTCGATTCGAGTTTATATTGGACAGCAGGAATCCCACGTGCGGCACATTTTTGGGGCCATATGTTTGGTTGGAGATTGGGGACGCTGGAAATAAACTCTCACTCTGTCGTTTCACAGAGCTCAATGTGGGCTTCCGTGGTCGCCGCCGTGATCTCTGGGGCGATCATCCTGCGCAGCTTTTCGCCAAGTCTGATCGATCTTGCACTGCCCCGAAACCCCCGACACGCCGACACCTCCAAGAGAAAACCCCCAAAACCCACATCCTTCCCCCGCCTTCCTTTGTCATAGGACGGGCCATGATCCTGCCGGGACGTTCGATGCTCGGTCAGTGGTTTGGGCTCCTTCGCCGTTGGAAGTCGACCAATTGAAGTGTGGACTCGGAGCAAACTTGGGGGCGGCAGGGAATCATTACACTATCCAAGAATGGTCTGGTTCGACGGGGATGATTTCCAGTCAGTGGCGTCGGTGGAGCAGATGCAGTTGGTGGGGGTCAAAAGAAGCATCGCCAAGACGATAAAGGGATAACGCCCCGCCTTGCATCCTCCTATCTAGAGGCGTGCTCCGCATTTCCGTGCGGGGCCCACGGCTACTTACTATGTAGTCCAAACCGCCCATCGGATCTACACAAAGAGTGTAGATAGGGCTCGGCAGCGGAACCGCACGTGGGTATGTGGCAAGGTGCGTCTGTCGTCGATTCCGCAATGGAGGCAGGCCGTGGCCCGGGGATGTTCGGGCAGCACGATACCGGGTGAGTGCCGATTTCGGGACTGGGGTTGGATGCAGTCCTGCTGCCGCATTACGAAGTACGGCCTGCCGGATGATGGGATGGGAGGCAACTACCCGGCCATTCCGCTCCTCAGCTAATACCTATTCCTGAGTCTGCTGCGGTTGGTCGAGGAGAAATTTGGATGGCCACATGGAAATGTTCGATAGCACCTGCAACGAAAAGGCGAAATTGGGGTTGCAGGGGCTGCACGGGCTGCGACTTGTGAGATTACACCGCTCTCTCCAAGATGTGCTCACTCTTAGATGCAAGGAAGCAAACATTGATGAAAACTTAGGAATGCAGCTCATCTCGTATCGAGATTATCCCAGAAATGCGGCGGCAGGAAGGCAATGACTATTTCATTTCGGTTCGAGCCCAAACCAACACTTGAGAACAGGATGAGAGCAATCTACCCATTTTCTCCTTTTGTCTTTCCCAAGTACGAGTCTTTTAGTCCACTTCCGACGGCACCTAACACCCGACGGGAGCCGACTGCACCCGACGGGCCGATCCGGAGACGGCATTTATTTGATGCGGCTGAAGATTGCGGGACTGGCCGGTGGAGCTGAGAATTCGAGAACTACATGCATGATGCGTCATTGCCTGTCCCAGGCAAGGAGGTGTAGACTGTAACGTTTCCGAAGCCGATGAGATAGGTTGGCCTTTCCACAGGCCTTGGAAAGAAATCTTTTGGATGTGCTTCCTAACTCATTGACGCCTGTCATCTTTATAGTCCCACTTGAAGGCAAGGATCCTCAGCCACCCTGTACTGTCAGCGCTCCAGTCGCCTCTTCGGTTCCGGCCTTCATCGGGGGCTCTCCGTCGTTGGTCACTGCAACCGTATGAGGCGTGCCACAATGGCTAAGACAGTCGGCATTGTCGGTATGCACTCATGCGGCTAGCGTACCCAAAGCCAGTCCTACTCCGAAGGGGAAGAACATGCTAATGGCAGCTAGGAGCGGGACCATCTGGCCTCGTGGCTGCCAAGACCTTGCTGCACGATGTCCCTCCCGGTACCTTCAATGTATCCATCTTCGAAGCCCAGCCCCGGATTGGCGGGCTTTGGCCCGTCCGCAAAGATGATGCAGCCGGCTTGGTCCACCCGCTCATGGTCGCGAACCAAAGCAAGCACACGGTGCAGTTCAGCGACCTGGCCTGGGAGCCGGACTCGCCGGAATTCCCTAGGGCCTGGCGAGTCGGCCAATATCTTGAGCGATATCTCGAAAGGTACTGCCAGGACGTCGAACTGAAGCTTGGCACGCGGGTTGAGGCCGCCACCCCTATTTCGGCACTCCCCGGTGACGGAAGTCCGCCTACCGGTTGGAGTTTGCTCGTGAAGTCTGCGAGTGGGGAGGTCGAAGAACGGCTGTTCGATTATCTTCTTGTTGCTACGGGATACTTCGGTCGGCCAGTCCTGCCGTCCATAGGCAAGACAGCCGCCGGGATACCAACCGTCCACAGCAGCGAATACCGGGATCTTCAAGGCCTTCTTGGGAAGGCGGGCGGGAAGGGCGGGAAGATTCTTGTCGTCGGTGGTCAGATGTCAGGAGTGGAAATCGCCGGCACTATCGCGTCCCATCTTTCGTCGGCCGTGAACTCTCCCGGGCCCAGCCCGATTCCCGACCCGGCGAGTTACTCAATACATCATGTCATCCAGCGACCAGTATGGGTATTCCCCCTTCACACATCTCCCAAGGTATGCTCCTGGTGCGTTTGCTGTTTCCGAGGCGACCGACTAAGCAGGATAATAGCCGAACTCTCTCGCGCCGCCATTCGTTCCACTAGATCTATCCTCCTACAACCTTAGCAACCGTCCCTCTCCCTTGATAAACACCCAAGGCCATATTAGTCCGGAAGCTGCCCACATTGCAAACTCGATCTTTCGAACTGTTCTTGGCACCGACCAGTCGGAATTCTCGTCGTTCCTCGCCATGAAGCTCCCGGAGCATAGTACCCAGCCCTACCTCGCCGTCAGCGACAACTACCTGGAGTTCGTGCGCTCCGGTATGATCGAACTCTCTCGAGGGAAGCTGGGGGGGCTGGACAAGCAGACGGCCACCATCCTGCCTTCCATGCAGCGCATCGATGACATAGCGGCGGTAGTCTATGCGACTGGCTTCGACGCGTCCTCATCAATCTCGTTTCTGCCGGAATCAGTTCGTCAGGTGCTATCAGTTCTCCCCGAAGACCTCAACAACACGGTCGCCCTCGGCTTCCACGGCACCCACCACCCTGCCGTACCGCACCTCGGCTTCGTCGGCTTCTACCGCTCGCCGTACTGGGGAGTAATGGAAATGCAAGCCCGATTCCTAGCAGCAACGTGGTCCGCAGCCGACGGCCCTTCATCCCCCTCCCTCCCCGCCACGATCCAAATCGCCCTCCAAGCAGACAAATCCATCGAGCGAACCCTTTCCATCCGCCATGACCCGCGCGCCTCCCAGTTCCCCATGGGCGACTACCCCTTCCTAATGCAAGAGTTCTCCACAGCCCTCTCCCTACCCCGCCACCCGCCCCTCGGCACGATGCCCCCGCTCCCGCCCGCCTCCAAGCCCATGGACATCCTCACCCCGGCGCGCTACCCACCCCGGTCCCCCTCGGCGGCCCAATCCGCCGAGACCAGGGAGTCGCTCAGGCAGACCCACGAGACGGCCCTGTCGGCGCTGCGGGGGGGCCGGTTCGTCGCCCGGGCCGTCTTCCGCTCCCTCCTCGGCCGGTGGGCACTCGAGCGGGACCTGGTCAGCAAGCTGCCCGGCCACCCGAGCGGCCACTTCAGCGGCACGGCGACGTTTTCGCCGCGGGACGCGACGGCGGACGGGAGGGCCGCCGAGGCTGATGGTGTTGACGGGCCCGGGCTCGAGTACCTGTATGTTGAGGAGGGCGATTTCCGGGCGGCGAATGGGTTGACCTTTCGGGCCACGAGGCGCTATGTTTGGCGGTACGACGAGAGGCGCGATAAGTTGAGCGTGTGGTTCGTGAGGACGGATGATCAGAAGAGGGCGGATTATCTGTTTCACGAAATCGATTTCATCGTCCCTGAAGAGCCGCGAGATGACGACGAGAGCGACGGCAGGGGGTGGGAGGCCAAGTCGGGCCATCTCTGTGAGGCGGACATGTATAACGTGAAGTATGAGTTCTGCTTTAGGGCTGTCAACCTCCATGAGTGGAGGATTGGCTATACCGTCAAGGGACCAAAGAAGGATTATACCATTGAGGGGGTCTATCGACGATAGCGCCAGCAGCTGGCAGAAGACTCGAATAGAGTAGCTTAGAAGGCCGACTTGGCACATACACACCTACTTACTGTGGCCGGACTGAGCGCAACATGGCCCACTGCCCTCTCCAGTACCCTCCCCTAAGAGGCATGGACATGTTTGCGAGAGGAGGTTGGCACACGCCTCCACAAGAACCATCTTATTTACCATCACGTACATTACAGCACCTCGAGCAATCAGCTAATTACAGCGAGATGATGTTAGTCAAAGAAGAAGCACGCCAGAAACCCAAATAAACTGGCAGCGAGGGCCACTAGAGGCCATTCTCCTCCTCCATTTCGACGTCGGCCCTCCCATCCTCCTCTTCGTCTTCCAACCCAAGCTTATCAATATCCTCCATACGCCTGATGAACTCAGCCTGCAACCTTTGCAAGTAGGTTGCGAGTGCCCCGTCATTCATGCCTGATGCGTGGGCCTGATTGAGAGTTTCATGGAGGTTCAAGACCAGTCGTCTTCGGAAGGCTAACTTTCTTGCCTGCGAGCCTCTCTTCTTGGCTTCCGCCTGGTCGCGAATCGCGTCCGACACGCGTTCAGCGACTTCGAGAAAGCGCCGGGGAAACCCGATTGCACCTGCCAGTTTGATGCCGTAATTCTCCTCTTGCACTGGACCGGAACTCACTTTGTATAACATCGTCATCTTTGGAATGTCGTCTTCGGTCTTGCTTGTTTCCGTTGCGAGGTGAAGATTGAGGACGCCGGGGCGGTCAGCCAACACCTTGGCTAGGACAATATCAGCATGTGTCAACAGGATGGAAGGCATGAAGGCCGCATTTGACCATACCCAAATCGGTGAAATGGGTTGCAAAGAATACAAGTGAGCCGCTTTGCACCAGAGCTTCCGCCATCGCAATTGCGATAGCAAGGCCATCCCGAGTGCTTGTGCCTCGCCCAAGTTCGTCAATGATAGCCAAGCTGCTGCCACTGACGTTTCTGTGAAATGTCAGCAAACTCTTGTGTCGATGCGTTGGACCGCACATGCCTCAAAATGAATGCCATCTCCCGCATCTCGACGGAGAAGGTCGATATGTTGGCCTCGATGCTGTCGTCTGTTGAGAGTCGAGAGAACAAATTATGCACGACGGAGAACGAAGCATATTGGGCAGGAACAAAACATCCGATTTGTGCCATGACCTGCAGTAGGGCAACAGTTCGAATATACGTGCTTTTTCCGCTCATGTTGCAGCCAGTGATGATCTGGAAGCGGTACTGCTCCGTGGCGTAGTAGTCATTGGGGATGAACGGAGACTTTTGTGTCTAGGACAGCGTCAACAATACCACACGCACTTCAGCAAACAAAGTCCTAGAACCCACCTTCTCGAGGATCGGGTGCCGAGCTGCTTTGATTGCCATGGTCCCCGAAAGAGTTGGCCGCACATAATCCAGGGAGGTGATGGAATGACTAAATGAGGTGAGCATGTCAAGCAACGCAATACCCTCGCACACTCTGAACATCTGCGGCGCCCGCGTCCGAATGGAGTCTAGTAATTCCTGCACCACTTTGTCACTCATCATGACCACCTCCTCCGTTGAGTTCGTGATGCGTTGGTTCAGCTTGACGATCGAGAGAGTTTGGCATTCGAGGTAAGCCTTCCTTCTCACACGATTGATCAGGACGTCTGGAATCGGACGGAATTCAAAGTCGGTGGAGTGGAACCGGAGCCAGTAACGTCGATTGTTATCGAATTTGATGTCACAGGCCAGTTCAAGTCCAGCTGTGCGATAATTAGCCCAATGCTTCGGTGACCAGTGGTATCTGAACTTGCCATTGAGATCTCTAATATGCTGATATAAATCACCAGTAGCTTCCTTGTATGTCTTGCGAGCCACATCGAGCAGGCCATTGACACCCGCCTGGCGTGGTGTTAGCTATGCGGATTTCAAGGGAGGGCATCGACGACCGACTTTCACAGCGTATGTTCTCTGGTTCCGCAGCTCCAAGGGAGTCTTCACGTAGGTCACATCTTCGTTGATCGTGTTGGATATGAGATCCAAAATCGGATTAACTATCTCGGGGAGGCACAGGCCACGGATCCGGACAAGGAGATCGCATCGTGCAGGGCCCAAGGACTCGAAAATTGGGGCCACGGAAAGCAGGAATTTCTTTACCATCAACACGCTGTTGATGGCTTGCTCAGTATGGTAAAGTGATATCTGGGTCGGGAGAATGATCAACTGCCCTGTTGTTAGCAGGATGCCATCGTCTTACAACCAAACCTCGCCTTGCCTGAGTCAGAAGCCGCTCGACATCCTCGAAACCTTGTAACGCTGTGATTTGTTAGCCATGAAACAATGGGGGGAAATCAATGGTTGGCCGTACCTTTGCGGATCTCGTAGAACATGTCTTCCTTCGATGAGAGCTCTTCAAGTGCATCGTATCTCGGGTCTAACACCCCCTGTTGTTGTGTCGAGGGTTGGAGAATGTTGCTACGGAGCATCCTTGCTCCCATGGGCGTTAAAGTCTGGTTCAAGAGTCCGAAGAGACAGTCCTTGGATTTGATATTGTGGAGATTCTGGATCAGTTCCAGAGAGGCGATCGTAGAAAGATCAATCATCATGGTCTCTTCCGATGGCTGGTACTTGATCCTCAAGGAGTGTGGTGCAAACCTGATGGAGAATTCAGACTCCAGATATCGCATTGCCTAGGGCCATGTCAGCCTCAGGGTCTCTGATTCCCTTGTGTATTCAGGTCGCTTACCGCGGACAAGGCACAAGTGGCGTAGAAATTGCCATCGATGGCCACCTTGATAGCTTCGACATCCTCCCTGAATGCAAGGCCCTGGATGTATTCCAGTCCCGCGCTCTCTGACCAATACTTTCTGTCGAGCGGGATCAAGCGAATGCTTGGGCAATTCTCCTCGATAGAGCAATAAAGACTGGACTTGGGATTGGGTGGACAAGAGGTCGAGACGATGAGGATGCAGGTGGGCTCGTATACGGAGATCTTGTGGAGGGCCTTGATATAAAACTGGGTGTCGCAAATTTGGCTGAGGACTGCCTCGCCCGTAGAGATGTTGACAAACGCAACACCCACGGAAGGGGTGACACCTCGGGCCTCGCTGACGGCACAGACAATTTGATGGTTCTCGCTGGCCCCAATCGAGGACGCAGCCCGGGATTTTCTGCCGGAAACCGTGCTTGTGCCAGCCGTTCCCCGACGGCGGACAGGCCAACTTCCACTAGCGGGGTATGGAGTAGAAACAGATCGTGGTCCGTAGCTTGTTAGGCGTGATTGCGATGACGAGGCCCGGCCATATGAAGTGGAAGGTATCGAAGGCAGAGAAGGAAGGGATGGGAGGGGCAGGGTGGTCGGAGAGGTCATCTTCGCGGAGAAGATGCGAGATGAGAGGGTGAGGGAGTCCGTTCCTTCCTTTGGGATTCGTATCTGGTGGCATTCAAAGGAACCCAGATAGGAGGAATGAAATATAGATTGGAATAAATGATGTCGGCTAGAGGCTAGGTTCCAAGATTCATTACAGTAGGTACCTACCCATTCACGGCCCGCGCCGCGGGCCCATCGCAACTTCCTCTGCTGGACTGAGAACGGTGTTGGCATTACAAACCGGCAAGGCGCAACCTAACGGCGTTGCCAACCTCGGACACACCTCACTCAGGCCGCAAGCATTCTTTTGGGAACGGGTTGGGAAAGGGACATTCCAGTTCTAGGCTGACCAAGGCTGCGAGTTTTGATATATTATACGGCAGTGGGCCAGTCCACGATCTAATCCTTTGCTAACAGAAACCCCATTCTATCCGTGTATCCCAGTGCTATTTCCACAAACCAACAAGAGATGCTATCCTCGGGGCTAGCGCCTTCGCGCCGGAGACGACGGCCTCGCCCGATCCATCCTGTCCGCCCCCAAGCGAGTTTGCTGCCTCGGCATTCGGGTAGAAGAAGGCCGCCACAGCGATGATCACGTAGGCGGAGCACAACAGCGCGCCCTCAAGATAATTGCTGCGCCCGTCGAGAACCAGGAAATTGACGATGAAGGCGCTGACAAACATGCTGACCGTCTCGAACAGGGTGAAGTACAGGCTCATCTCCTTGTTCATGATCCAGCCGAGGATGACCACCAGAGGCGTCACAAAGAGGGCGATCTGGATGCTGCTGCCGAGCGCCACGCCGATCGCGAGGTCCATCTTGTTCTTCATCGCCACCGTGACAGCAGTGACGTGCTCGGCTGCATTGCCGACGATGGGGAGAATGATCAGCCCAATGAAGGCCTCGGAGACGCCGGACCCGTCGCCGATCACGTCGCTGATCGAATCTACCATGAACTCGGCGCAGACGGCAATCAGGGCAGTCGATATGAGGAGGAGGAGGATCGCTGTTGTGCGGGAGATCTCTAGATCCTCCTCCTCTCCATCGGCCGGGTTCACCTTCGGGGTGGCGTTGACGATGACGGGAATGATGGGCGGCACGGCGCCCGGAGGCATGCGATATATCTGGCCATGGGCTTGCGGCGGCAGCGAGGTCGCTCGACGAAGTTGGCCTCGCTGCAGAGGCTCGGGAGAGGACGCGCCCGCCACGGGGTTCTGCGGAGGGGCCGTGAAGACATTCTGCATCATCGCCTTCGGTATCGGGGGCCGAAGAGAGCGCAGAGAAAACAACTTTGGCCGCGTCGTGCCAGTTTGTGCTTCTAGATCCTGTGCTGTTTCTATGTCTGGGGCCACCGCGAAATCGACACGGCGTTGGCCCGGCTCCCCTTGTTCCGGTGCGGACCAGGTGTGTGTTACACTTCCGCCATCCCCGGAATTGGTCCGCGGATGTCGATGATGCCTATGCTTGTGCTTCTTGCGGTGTTCCTTGGGATGCGACGGCGTCTCGTCGGCTTCATCCATTTCGTCATCGACGACAGCGGTCGAACCTTCCGGCAACGGCAGTGTTCCTGTGTGGTCCCTTCCGGTACGCTCACTCGTTGTGGACATCTCGAGCTCCAATGCAACCTCGGAAGGCAGGGCTTCAGCCGACCTACTGGAGCTAGCTTGTTGGGAGGCAGTGCTAGGCTTGCGATTCCTTCTCCGCTTCTTGATCATCCTCTTGATCTTCTTCGCGGTGGTGGCGGAGTGGACCGAACCCTCGGTGTCAGAGCTCGATGACGACGATGTATCCGAGCTAGACGACGAGTTGAAGTATTGGGCTGCCGGACCCGGGACAGATTCCCTTTCGATGATGTGCTGTGGTGTTGACTCGTACATGTACGCGTGTGAGTTGAGCTGGAAAAGAAGATAGAGTCCATAAACAAGCAGCAATACCACGCTAGTGCCGCGGCTGACCTGCAGAACCTTATCATCGGCGATGTCGTAGTTGCTGAAGGAGGCGTGGAAGGCGGTCGGCAGGAGCAAACTCGTGACGCTTAGGGAAAGCAGACAGGCGCTCATCTGCGTCACGGTGCTGTTGTATATCTGTTCTCGAAAGCGGAGACCGCCGAGGAGGAAACACATGCCCAGAATCAACAGTAGGTTTGCCAGGATCGAGCCGAGGAGGGAGGCCTGTACGATCCGAATCTCATTTTTGACAAGGGCGATTCTACAGGCGATATCAGCGTCCGGATCACTTCCACATCTGCCGGTGTGTCGGTTGGGGCCAACTTACATGAAGATGATCAGTTCAACAGCGTTTCCAAACGTGACATTCATGAGGGCTCCAATCGTATCCCCAAGTCGGCGCGCGACACTCTCCGTAGCATGACTGAGAAGGCCGGCCAGCGGGATGATGGCAATGGCGTTCATCGCGAAGACGATGCCCGCCGGCGCGCCGGAAAATTCGACGGCAATGCCGACAGGGACGAAGACGAGGAGGACATTGATGATGCTCGAGAAGAGGATATCCTTTATTGTGAGGTAGAAGCGCACCAATACCTTCTTATCTGCCCTAGAAGCCTTGCTTCCTGCCGGGGTCGGCGTCTGTTCGGTCTCGTCCTGCTTTGGCTCGGTCGGGACGGTGGTTGGGGGTGCGTCGGTAGTCGGGTTGGCCGGCGGTGGGTCTGTATTCTGGTGTCTATTCGAAACCCGGCGGCTTACGGCGACCAGCGGGGACGGACCATGGGCCTTTGCCCTTGCCCAGGTGCGGATACGATCTAGGAGCCATGGTCAGTTGCTGCGTTGCGTATGCGCACAAGGTCGATGGCTGGGACTGCCAGGGGAAAGTCAACTGCCATCGCCGATGGAACATGAGGCAGGCATTGCGACCCTAGGGGCTTGGGTGGTGGATAAGACTCACGCATCCAGTCGCTGTTGCCAAGGAAGCTTGGTCGCGTCGCGTCCAATTGTCTTGGTACCAGGGTCTTGGCCACTGCACAGAGCAGTCGATGAGGAAGGAGTATTGAGGTGACGGGGTTGAGTAGCAGTCAGACTGATACCTATTCAATCCCAAATCTCGAGCACAAATGGCTCGTTGCTCAACAACCGAGGATGAGGGAGGTAGGCAGGCAGAGAAGCAAACAATCAATGAAGAACGCCACGCTCGCCCTATTGCGTCACTGGCGCGGACCCTTTGGAAGGGGCCGAAGTACTGTACCTACTATGCCCCGCAAAACGTACAACAAAACCCGTCATTGCAGGGGAAGAATCATGGCATCAGCTCATATATTTTGTCCCACGCCAGGGTTTTGAGCTATATTTAGGCGTGCCTGCCGGTACCCCTGCAACACAACCCAATGCCTGCCGCTGATCTAGTGTACGTGTAGTGCTGCCAACAACTTCCAGCATGTCCAGGCCTGGGTCGTTCCATCGGAGCTTGTGAAGCATGCGTCGTTCCTTTGGGTCCCACACGAGCTTTGGGCAGGCCCACTTGACCAAGTGAGATGTTTCAGTCCCGCCTTCTTTCCATCTCGAGTCCTTCCTGGCCTTGTTTCGAGTTCAGCCTGTCGTACATACCTTGGCCGCATCCTTGACCTCATTTGTTACCCGTGCCTCCAAAGCCCTGGGCCTCGCCGAGGTCAACCATCGGCGGCCCCATCACCAGGGACAGGAAAAGCAGTCGGGGCCCTGGGATGTTGGACTTCCGGTCGCCAGTGCTTCTTAATTGAGTCGTTCTATTCCAGATGGGTGGCCTTTGGTCCCCGGCCGGTTGGCTGTGTTGCTCGTCTCGGTCTATATCATCCCCAGTGGGCGATGTATCGTTTTATCTCCCCGTGGTCCCTTCTCCGTCATCCTTCCTTTCTTCGATATCACCACACTGGTGCTTTCTTATTCTTGCCCTGGTGGTGATTCAGTGATCTTATTCTTCCAATAACCGCAACCACTCGATCTCCCTGAGGCCTACCCTTCTTGACTTGCCTTCTCCATTTTGAACCATGCCTCTCCCCGTTGCACTGGCGACATTCGCCGCCTGTGGAAGCCTGGTCACGTCCGTAAAGTCAGGCTGGGAGCTGTCCCGCATGATACGCAAGAAGATGGAAGCCAAGCAGGCCGAGGAGGATGCCAGGCGCATCTACCGAAGCCTGCGCAAGGCCTTCCACTACGGCCTCATGAGCGAAGCCGAGTATGACCGGTGGTACGAGATGTTCCTCGCTGCGAAGGCGGAGAAGGACCGTGAGCGCCCCCTTACATGCGTATACCGAGCTCCTCGACCACCCACCCGACCACCTTTTACTGACTCGACTGCACAGTGCCCGGCCTCCGCAAAATCCGCGCCCACATCCGGACCCTCTACGAAGGCGCCGTGAGCGAGCGGAGGCGCTCCCGCTCGCGCTCCCGCGGCCCCGGGAGCAGCCCCGGCTCGAGCCATCGTCGCAAAGACGGCAAGCGGAGACAGCCTCCCCACCTCGACACGTACCGGTATGCGATGCCCCGCGTGCCTGAGCCGCCGCAGCGGCACCAGGACATCGAGTGGCCAAGGAGTGCCGGATCCATCGAGTATTTTCCTCTCAGCGAGAAGGACAAGACTGTGGGGGTTGGAGGGGTTCGACTCGCCCGGCTCCAGCGCAGTTCTAGCGTGTCTTATCAGAGTGGGAGCTCCCCGGATGGGTCCTCCAAGACCAGGGTTAAGCGGGGGGTGTCGAGCCCGAGGCAGGAAAGAGGCAGGTGCAGGAGGCGCAAGGGTTCTGATGACGACGACGACGACGACGATAGCTCGTACATGACTAACAATGAGAAGCGGGAGCATCGTGGCGCACGACGGTGAACTCGGCTGGAATTTGTCGCTGTGCGATTAACTGGGCAAGGGCTTGGTGTAGCGCGACCGGCGTTCGGGTTATGCATCGGTCCCATGGCGTCCAATAGCGAATTAAGTACCTTCTCTATTGTTTTTACGCATATTTGCATTCAGATCTAGGTTGTCTCCGCGGGCAGGGGCATTCAGCTATCTAGGTAGGGGCATTTGGCTGGCCGTCGCTGTCGCTATTGCTAAAGCACTCTTGATGTCGCCGTCTCTGTTGCTGTTGCCATTGCCATTGCCGTCGCTTGTTCCATGCCTGGCCGCTGGTCTTTTCCATGCTCCACCTGTCAAAAAAGAATTGGCTGCCCAGCACCCCTGCCCAGCACAGACCCCCTGCCTGAACAGCCAAATGCCCTGCCTGGAGAGACAAGCTCTTTAGATTCTACACGTATAGGTAATTGTGTTTGTCTTGGTGGCCTCACCGAGGTGAGCTCGGCAGGGGGTGCCCCACCTAAGGATTGTGGAAATGTTGACCGATGATTGACGTCCCATTTCCACCGTCAACCTTGATCCACCGAAGGGGTATCCATTGCGACAGGGTCTCCCGTTTTGGCCATGCCTGCAATCACATCTGCGAGCGCTCTATTTCTAATTTCAATGGCGACCGTCGTCCCGCCTCTGTCCAAAAAAACGACGAGCAGTTTGAGCGAACACAGGTCTGACAGCATGTCTCCGCCGCACCACCACGGAGCTCCGATCTTCAGCGGCAAAGCAAGTAGAGAAGAATCGCCTCTTGACTCCCGTCCTCAACATACCTGCTGGTCAGGTACGGCCAACCACCCTCCTCCCTCCGCCGCGCTTCCCACCCGACTCTTCACCCGTGCTTCCATAAGCTCACTCACCGACCACTCCCTTCCCCAGGGCCGTAAACAGCGTCTACGCCCCCAACCCATCCCACACCGTCGACCCACCTCCCCGGTCTCGCTCCCGCGATCGTCGGCGCCTTATTACCCCCGACCCGACGAACCTAGCACCACCACGCACAAGCACCACCGAACGCGCTCCCGAGCCTGGCGGTGTTGCGCTCGGGGCGGACACACGGGCTAGCGCACTCGATGCAAACCCAGGACACAACAGGCACGGTCAGCGCTAGCTCGCGGACACGGTCAGGGGCCGCCGCTGGCGACTTTGCACGGCAAGCTCTGTATAGTTATGCCGTGGTGACGATGCTTGTCGCAAGCGCGGGTCGGGATGACCAGACATACAGTCATACGGCAGCTAGCGGCGGGCTTGCCCGGCCGCTGCCTTGCAAGACGATGGCCCGACGGTTGAATGGCTTGAAGCGGGCGAGGGAGGCCAGGCGACTGTGGAGAAGCTAGTGGTACACGCAAAGGCGGCTCAAGAGGTCGCGGTCTGCACTTTGAGGGCTGGTATCGGCACTGGAGCGACTAGGATACCCTAGAATGGAGGCGGATGCCGAATAGCACAGCGAGTGACCGCGTGCACTAAGGGAGGTGGAGCGTTGGGCCGGGGTAACAGGAAGCATGTTGGCAGGTAGATACGGGGGATACCCTGAGCCTCAGGACGCAAGGGCCAGCAAGTTCGATGAACGGCGTCGCCTGCGATCTAGGCGGCGCCGAAGCGATGCCGCATGCATCCCTTCGTGCATGGTGAAGAATGCGGCAGACAACAAAGTCCCGGTGGTCCGTCTGGCCCAACACTCATTGGAGGCAGGCAAATCTGGCGTCATCGATGGATGCCGCTTCTGGGGATGCCGGCGGAGACTGTAAGTGGTCATCTGGCACATGCATGGTGTACGCAATCCGTGCCCTACAAAGGGTCTGCCTAGTATGATATGTCGTAATTCCCCGTGCAGGAGGTATACTGGGGTACGCGTGTATTGGATTGAACTTACCTGCTCGCCTTGGCAGCAGACGAACGTGCCGGGAGTCAGCGACAGCTCGTCGTGCGGGAAGAGCGGCACCTCCAATCAATGGGGATTGATGTCGAGAGTGGGTTCCCTCGGCTTTGCCACGTAGGCAGGTAGGCTGGCTGATGCAAGGCATCTTTAGAACAGATATGACCATGTTTACAGGGGGCGGGGGCGGGGTGCCCCTCCATATGCGCCCGCAGCTCACCCCAGTCCTTCCGTTCATGCGATTGATCCCTTCTGAGCCATCCTATCCGCTGACATTTGCGTGCTCATCCAACCAAGGGCTCGCTGCGGAGGTATGTGGGAACTGGAGGTACGGCCGTGATTTTGTCAGCGGCGCGGCCGTCTTGAGTGGGGCCGGTTCTCCGCCCGGGACAGACACATCGCCAAGCCGTCGCCGTCCCGGTCTCCGGGTCTCCCTCCCCGGAGCTCGGGCCAGAAGACAGGATGTCGTCCCCTGTGACGGCTCTGCATCATCACATCTAATCGTGCTTTGAAACAGGAAATTGCAGATATGGTGGGGTGATGGTATGGAGGATCTCAAACTTGGATCCTTGTCGCGGCTCCTGGAAAGACCTGGATCCCCTGTAGATCGACCCATAGGGCTGTATTAACGGATCTGCAGCGTTGTGGAACAACAAGCTGGTGGGTTTTATTTTCTATCACTTCCCCGCTGTTTTGAGCGTCACGGGGCCAGAACCGTGGACCGGGTGTCACCAACTTCGGCTTCTTCCTTTCGCCTCACGACTTGGCGTCGTACCGCTCGCACAGATGTTGGCCATGGCGATGCGAGTCCAGGAACATGTGCTATGCCTAGTCGATATGGAAGAGAAGCGGCGCAATCGACGTTGTCTCAATGAAGTGGAGCTTCTGGGACATTTTGCCTGGCCTGGTGGGACCCACTCCGCCGAATTTAGCTACGGGGTACCGGCACCATCACGGGCCCGCGAGATGGTGGGGTTTGGGAAACAGTAGACAATATCAGCCAAGTTCAGTCGTCCCAACAGTATTCTGTATGTGATGTGGAATTATCGAAGCGGCCGCGGCAGGCGATTATTGGTGAGGAAGCTTATGCAGGTTGATTACGCATGGGATAACCAGGATTGCCTTTCCAGACCAAAAATGCGGCCCGTCCCAGCACGATAGTAGGCAGTAGTGGGGTAGCATCTGCAGTGCGGAATACCTACCTAAGGTTGCTATTGATATACCGTAGTCTCCTGCGAACAGGTGGGCGCTTTGCAAGCTTTCTGTGCGCGAAATAAAGGTAATTTCTCTGCGGGTATGCGCCATTTGCCTGTAGACAGGTGGTCTATGCGTTCCAGGTGTCAGAGCTTCTATTGTACGGAAGTACCTAGGTGTTAGAAATTCGCAGCTATTGCTATTGCTATTACTGTTGCTGTTCCTGTTGCTATTGCTGTTGCTGTTGCTGTTGCTGTTGCTGTTGCTGTTGCTGTTGCTGTTGCTGTTGCTGTTGCTGTTGCTGTTGCTGTTGCTGTTGCTATTGCTATTGCTATTGCTATTGCTAGTGCTATTAGTGTCGCTATTGCTATTATTTCGCTATTGCTAGGAATAACAAGAGCAATAGACACCGAAGGCAATAGCGATAATTAGGCATAACAGTGGCCATAGCAGACGGCGGCAGCAATATCGACAGCAACAGCAACGGCAGCTGGGGCCAATTTTCCGCCACCTGGTCGAAATGTTGGCAGGCTGCAGCCACCTGCGATGCACTAACTGCCCGCCTACAGAGCAAATGGCGCATGCCCCTGGAGAAATTCCCGAAATAAAATGCTAGGCGAGTGCATGTATTGTCCCTGGGTCTAGAACCTGATTGCCTTCCATCTCATTGCCGCTTGACGAGTTCCCATGCAATGCTAGTCAGAAGCGGGGCAGCTCGTGGGAGGGGCCGCTCTTCCGTCTTTTAGAAATTCTGTCATTCTTGAGTTCTGACGAGTCCTGGTCCTTGCATGGGGGTGTCGCGATACTGTGGTGTCGTCAATCCGTTTAGCCTGGCGCGATTGGCGTGTCTCGGGGGTTTTCGGAAGTATGTCTGTTGCTGTCCTAATGCAAATGTGCCCCAGAATGCGCCCTAGAAATGGTGGGAATTGCATGTTCCAGACCTTTTAGAGATCGACATTTGGCTTGGAAAATTTAAAATTTCCGTCTTTCCCGTTTGGCCGCGCTTGCGAAAGGGGGCAACACTTGCCACCACTTCCACACCTCCATGCCGTTCAGTCTAACAAAGCGGGCCAAGCCTTTCTCGCCCGGTGGTAATGATGAGACTGATCCGAGCTTAGCCGCTGGTGTGGTGGTTCACTCATCTATCATCATCATCAAAGCCGGCAATTCGGGAGGCAGGCGCTCGGCCGGACTGACGGATCCCAGCGAGCTTACATGGTGGGGATTAAAGTCTGAGCCTGCCAGCCTGCCTAGCTACCACACAGTACCTAGGTGGAAGTAGAAAGCTTACTTACTTGGTTTTCTCTCTGATGAGACTCCATCTCTTTGCGTATTATTGCCGAAGACGGGTGCCAGAATGCGCATGGATGCACCGTGTCCGAGATACGCTGCAATACTGTTGCAATCCTTTTTGACGCGAGTACTATTAATGACGCGAAAGAGGGATTTTTTATCCTGCTGCACGGTTCGAGATTGGTTCCTTTCCAAATAAAATACCGCCGGGGAGCATGTGGCAGTTCTGAGCATCCTCTTTGGTTCCGTGTCTCACTACTCCTATCTCCTACAGCAACCCGGCACTGGTTGGGCATGGAGGTCTGCCTGTACAATAATCGACTGAGTAGTATCGAGCTAAATATGGGGTGGCACAGCATGGTGGAGGAAGCCGGGCGGTTTGGTGACCGGTGTCATGTTCGGAGCTACCAGAAGATTGAATATCACGAAGCAAGCGAGGTAGGTACCTCGGGTGGTAGTGCCAGGGCGAATCAAAGCCGCAGCGGATCGAAGATGGTGGCTTGAGATGTCCCCTGTCTTCCGCCCAGCCTTGGAAGCCCAACTGAGTGAATTCTTGGCTGGAGGCCTTGGTTCTTTTTTTCTCTCTCTTTTTTTGTTGGCTGCTGGGCCATGCGGAGCTACGGTCCCGGCGGCAGCAACATCAGGAATAAAACCATCGGTGGTTGCTCTCGGCACCCTCGTCCTATCTTCTTTGATATTCTAGAATTACCCGGAAACGGAGAAAAGAGGACAAACAGCGGGGTTTCCAGTTCTAGGCCTTTTCTTCCAAGCTCGGCTGACTTCCATCACCAAACCCCGCTCGGACCAAGTCCTCCTGCACATGTCCCGCTAAAAATCGGAAAGAAACGTCATTGAATCTCGCATGCGGCAGCAGCATCAACTTCGTCTAAAGCTCCCAAAGCTCCCAAAAGTCCAACTCAGCATCCGTTACTTCCCATACCTTTGCCAGCACATCCTAGGGCCAGTCTATAGTTTTGTGAGTAATTCCCCTCCTTTACTCCTCACGCTTGCACCTGTACAAGTCCCAGGACCAAGCAGTCATGTCCAGGTGGTTACCTATCCCGGCGCCACGGATATGTGGTGCCTCGCTGTTACGTCAGTGTTAGACAATCCCTGGCATGCTAGTGAAACGCCTGATATCCCAAGCGGGACTAACCTCCCGTGCGATTGGCGCAAAGCCAGCGCATCCTGCCAGGGCTGGCTTGACAATTCGCAAATCACAATCATCATCAATCACCACTCCTAGTTTTCACAAGCTGACCTTCCACTCGCGACAGCGTCTTCCCCGTGCAGACAAAACCAACCGCGATCCAATTGCAGCAGCAACAACAACAACAACAGCAGCAGCAAGATTTTCCCTTAGCAGGCTTCGGCAGCGTTGGGGTGACGACCTATTTCTCTCATCTAACAACACTTCACCTCCGACCCTTGCATGACCTCTGTCCTCATGAATTCGTTTTTTGGAGTCTGCTAGCTGATCCGGCTGCCCAAACTGCACCTCTCTCTTTCTCTCTCTAGCCCGGGACTGAGAACGGTCAAGCTGCGAAGTACACCCTGGAACTAGCACACGCTCCAAGCCTTCGCCTACCATGACGGTCTTTATCGCCTCGCTGTAAGTTGGAGCTATACCCTTAGGCCCTTCGCATTGTTTCCGGCTTTGATAGCGACCTCGTCCACGCGGGACACTAGCACCATCTGGCCCCAAAAAGCTGACGTTCTTGCGCCACTAGATTCCTCCCCAAGACCGTCCACTTCAATCTCCCCGGTACCCCGCCGCGACTCTCTACCTCTGCCGAGAGGAAGCCGGGACGCAAGCCCGCAAAGGATGTCGTCGACAAACAACCGAGCCTGTTTCGGGCCCCAGCCGACATTACCCCTCCTGAGACCCCTATAGAAGAAGAAGAGCCCGAGGACCCGTTCGCGAACGAGGATGCCTTGCGCATTCATTTCCGGACCCCTGGCGGCGCGAAAGACCGGACCGGTGCTCCAGCTGATCGCGGCTCTCCAACCTGGGGAACCCGCCGGGATCAGCCCAAGTCCCGTGCGAGCTCACCTCTCCGGTCTTCCCTCCTCGAGCGCAATGAGGAGCTGAACCTGAAAGCGAGAGAGCTCAGTCGCCAGGGCGTCACCCAACCACGGTCGCTTATGCGGAGCGAGAGCCACGATCGCGTCTTTACACACGCCAATTGGGAGGTCGTGAACGCCGACCAGGGCAATGGTGGTCTCCGCAATGCCGCCGAGGCGGCCGCGAGAGAAGGGAAGCTCAAAGAGTACACCTGGGTCGGCACGCTGGGCATGCCGACCGATGCGCTCGAGGGATCCCAGCAGAAACAAGACATCGAGGACCGCCTCGCGACCGAGCATGACATGCTCACTGTCTTCTGCTCCGACAAGGACTTTGACGGCCACTATTCACACTTCTGCAAGCAGATCATGTGGCCCGTCTTCCACTACCAAATCCCGGACAATCCAAAGAGCAAGGCTTACGCCGACCATTCCTGGAAGTACTACGTCAACGTCAACCAGGCCTTTGCAGACAAGATCGTCAAGTACTGGAAGAGGGGCGATGTTATCTGGGTCCACGACTATCACCTGCTGCTCGTTCCCGGCATGATCCGTAAGAAGCTGCCCGACGCCAAGATTGGCTTCTTCCTCCATGTTCCCTTCCCGTCCTCCGAAGTCTTCCGCTGCCTTGCGGACCGAATCGAGCTCCTCGAAGGCATGCTGGGTGCCAACCTCATCGGGTTCCAGATCCATGAGTACACGCGACACTTTCTGCAAACCTGCAGTCGGCTGCTCAGTGCCGAAGCAACCCCGGACGGCCTCCAGCTCGAGGATCGCTTCGTCGACGTGGTAAACCTCCCAATCGGCATCGACCCCGTGAATCTGGACGAACATCGCCGGGAGGACGAGGCCCAGAGATGGATTGATATCATGCGCGAGCGATACCAGGGCAAGAAGCTCATCGTCGCGAGAGACAAGCTCGACCACGTCCGGGGAGTCCGGCAGAAGCTCCTCTCCTATGAGCTGTTCTTGAACAAGAACCCCCAATGGAGGGGCAACGTTGTCCTGATCCAAGTTGCCCTGTCCACGAGCGAGAAGTCGGAGCTTGACGCCACCGTGTCGGACATTGTTACCCGAGTTAACTCCTCTTGGGCGAACTTGGCGTACCAACCAGTCGTGTACTTGAAGCAGGATATCGACTATGCGCAATACCTGGCCCTCCTTACCATTGCCGATGCGCTAATGGTCACCAGTCAACGTGAGGGCATGAACCTCACTTCGCACGAGTACCTTTCGTGCCAGGATGGCGAGTTCGGGGAGAAAAAGCATGGAGCCCTGATCCTTTCCGAGTTCACCGGGACGTCATCTCTCTTCGGCGGAAACGAGCTATCTGTCAACCCCTGGGATTATCGGGCTTGTGCTGATGCTATCAAGAAGGCACTTGAGATGAGCGACGAAGAGAAGGAGCTGCGGTGGAACAAGCTCTACGAGACCGTAACTCATCACACAGGCTCCCATTGGTTCAGCGAATTCATGTCCCGCCTGGATCGTGTGTACGAGGAGCAGCACCGTCGTGACCAGACATCTGTCCCCCGGCTGTCGATGAGTGTCCTATCCCAGCAGTACAAGCGCAGCGAGAGGCGACTCTTCATCCTGGACTACGAGGGCACACTGGTGAGCTGGGGACCTGTCAACAAGATCATCCCCGTGAGTCCCCAGCGAACGCTCGACGTGCTTAATGACCTTCTCCTCGATGAGCGCAACACCATATATGTCATGTCTGGTCGCCGCCCGGAGGAGCTCGACCGCCTCTTCCGGCGGGTGCCCAACCTCGGTCTTATCGCCGAGAACGGCTGCTTCTTGAAGGACTGCGGGAGCGACACGTGGACCGAGATGGCGGATCCGGACCAGATCCAGAAGTGGAAGGAGTCGGTCAAGAGCATTCTGGACTACTACCTCGAACGTACCCCGGGAGCGGAAATTGAGGAGCGTCGCTGCTCGCTCATATTCCACTACAAGTCTTCCGAAGACTACGAGACGGCTGCGCGACAGGCCTCGGACTGTGCCAGTCACATCAACGACTCGTGCGAGGAGCAGCGGGTACACGCAATCCCGCTCGATGGCTGTGTCATTGTTGAGCCGATCGACTGGACCAAGACCACCGCCGCCCAGAGGGTCTTTGAGAACCTACTCTCGAACATGGTACCCGATGAACGACACGATGGACCAGTCGACTTCATGATGGTAGTTGGTGACGGCAGGGAAGACGAGAAGGTATTCAAGTGGGCAAACTCCCTCGGGGATAGTGGCGTCGTCAAGGAAGTCGTCACCGTCAGCCTGGGAAGTAGGAACACGGAGGCTGGCGCAACCTTGACTCAGGGAGTGAGCGGTAAGTTGGTTCATTTCATAGCCTATGGGCTAACGTGGGCGAAAAGAAAGACTCGGCTGCTTACAACGTCACAGGTGTCCTCATCGCACTTCAGAGGCTGGCAGCCTTTTCGTAAGCAACATCCATGCTGCATTTTTTTGCGATCGATTGCAAGACAAAAGAGACTCGTGGAAACCAACCGAGCACTGCATACAGGTATGAACGAGCAATCAAGGGTCCGCGTCGCCATCGAAGGGCTTCAACAAGGAGCTCTCGGCGCTCCGTCGGTTCATTGTGATTTCCCTTTCCATTTTCAGTCCGCCTTTTGTGCATGCAACCTGAGCACTTGTTATTTCCCTCGAGTACCCCCTTTTCGTTCCCCCCCGCTCCTTTTTGCGCGCATGTTTTCCGTTTCGTTCCGAAGTTCTAGTTGTTACAGACCGTTGATTCTACCCTTGTCGTGGCATGATGTATCTCTTGGTGTATTTCCCCGTATCTGGGACCATTTTTTTATTTATTTATTTTTTATTACGCAGTGCGAAGCGGCGGAAAATGGTGGCGTGGAGCAAACATACGCGTGCATCGAGGATGGGACGATCCTTGTATAGAATTGGCTTGGGAGTAGGCAGGGAAGGAAACGTTCATTGCTTCAGTACACAGAGTAGATGCATCTTCCAAGAACAAGACTGAGCTACTCGAGTCCCAGCAATGGGGAATATGGGTATAGACCTGGGACAATGGAGTCACGTTAATTCAATCTAATTTTCAGCATTGAACATCCTCACAGGAGAAGAAGAAGGCAGTGTCGCATACCTATAAAAGGTCCCTGGGCGTATTGAGAGCGCCTCGGATGCACCATCGGAAGACTCGGAGTCTCGGGTTGTGCTCACCTAATCCCCAGCTTCCTTCTCTCCCCGCTTGCGTATCCAGGGTCTCGGGCCAATGAGGATGAGGGTATTCAACCCCGCGCTTCCGTAAATCGGAGCCCACCTGTTGCCAGGCAGAGGACAGAAGTTTTTGTGCCCTTTTGCTGATCACTTCATCTTGCTTTCGATCCCCAGGGCTCTTATTTGGGTCAATTGAACAGAGCGAAGCAGCGTCGATCTGCACACACATAAACACAAGGGCTTAGTTTCCTCTTGATCTCGTGGGACATCGTTGATAACTACCGCCTGCTCAACTCAAGTCGGACCAAGATGGCGCCTTTCCCTCCACCTCCGGTCAACACCATTGACTGGTCTGACGTCGGCTTCCGTGTCCGAGAAGGTACTTCTTCTTCTCTACCCAGGGGCATCCGTCCCCAGTTCCGGCGCACAACTAACAACCCCCTTCCCCCCCCTTTTAGTCAATGGTCACATCGAGTCGCACTTCTCCAAGCAGACCGGCAAATGGTCCGACCCAGTCTTCGTGGCAGACCCATACATCCGCATCCACGGCATGGCCCCGGCGCTCAACTACGGCCAGCAGGCCTACGAGGGCCTCAAGGCATTCCGCACGCCCAGCGGCGCCATCACCGTGTTCCGCCCGGACCGCAACGCGGCGCGCATGCGCCACAGCGCCGAGTGCATCTCGGTGCCGGGCGTGCCCGACGCGCTCTTCCTCGACGCCGTGCGGGCCGCCGTGGCGCTCAACGCCGAGTTCGTGCCGCCGCACGAGACGGGCGCCGCCATGTACGTGCGCCCGCAGATCTACGGCTCCAGCGCCCAGCTGGGGCTCAGCCCGCCCGACGAGTACACCTTCGCCGTCTTCGTCCTGCCCACGGGCGTCTACCACGGCACGCACCCCGTCAAGGCGCTGATCCTGGACGAGTTCGACCGCGCGGCGCCGAACGGGACGGGGAGCGCAAAGGTCGGCGGCAACTACGCGCCTGTGCTGAGGTGGAGCGAGAAGGCGAGGGGGGAGGGGTTCGGGATCACGCTGCATCTGGATAGCCAGAGGCATGAGGAGGTGGACGAGTTCAGCACGAGCGGATTTATTGGGGCGAGGGTGGACGGCGAGGATGTCACGCTCGTGGTGCCGGATAGCAAGAGTGTTATCAACAGCGTCACGAGCGAGAGTGTCCAGCACATTGGGAGGAGTTTTGGGTGGAAGGTCGAGAAGCGACCGGTGCGTATTTTCTTTTTTTGCGTCTTTCTTTTTTTTCTTTGGAACGCCCCGAACGCGGCTAACTCTCGGCTCCGTAGATCAAATACGCCGAACTCCCCGAATTCCAGGAAGTCATGGCGGCCGGCACCGCGGCGGCGCTCGTGCCGATCCGCTCCATCACGCGGCGCATGGACGCGTCCTCGCCGCAGTCGCTCGCCGCCTCGGTCAAGGCGCACCCGCGCCTAGCCCTCGCGGCCGGCGAGGAGACGGTTACGTACATCCCCGAGCCGGAGGACGACGCCGGCCCGCTATGCAGCAGGCTCCTGGCGCAGCTCAAGGGCATCCAGCTCGGCAAGGTCGCGGACGAGTTTGGGTGGTGCTTCAAGGTCGAGGAGAAGGACGGGCAGAAGGTCGTCGGCCCCTCGAGCGGCGGGGCGAATGCGCAGACGGTGGACCAGCTTGATTGATCTGTGGGCTCGGCTTGGTTCAGATGGGACGGTGCCGAGGCGGGCGTTATGTAGTTAGGGGAGCTTTAGAACTGGGTTGGGTCGTGAGGGGGAAAAGCATTCCTTGATCGGTGGTGTGACTGAGTTTCATGGAAAGTGCGTGCTGCGTTCGTCACTCCCTTGGCCCAGCCCTGCCTCATCCTGCACCATCCTGTGATGGTCTGATTTCTACATCAAACATCACCGTTGGCGCAACAAGACTTCTCCGTCTTCGGCTGTCAAAACTGACTCACTGCAAGACACAGGAGGCGTATAATTAAAGTCCCCTGCTTAGAGCGCCGCGTAAGGAACGTGGCGTGGCGTCCAGATTGCCAACAACCGTCGGTTAAGCACCCGGCCAGCCCTCGCTACCTGATCTCTGATCTAGAACTGCAGGCGCCAAATAGTTCGGTGGAAGCTACAATGCCGATCCTGATTAATGCCTTGGCGCTGAACGAATGAGCTGACCGGATTCCAGATAGCAGCTGATGCCAGAATGCCAACAACACCGGGACGGGCATTTGCATCTGCATCACATCGGCTTAATCCCTGCGCCAACCGCCCCGGTCGGGGTCAGCTCGGAACCGAGCATCACCACAGCCGGAATGGGGCTTGCCCGTGATGTTCGTCCGAGACCACACCACCCCATGCGATTCTCAATCGACCTTCTCCGCGCCCATTATAAGTTGTTGAGGGGTCCAGGTTTATATTGACGGGAGGATGAAAGACCAAGTCTGCTGCGACGGTGAACCACCAACACCGCCCACAGCAACCATCCCCTTAACCCCCAGTATCAAGAAATCCCCACTGCCATGGCCCAGACTGAAGAGACACTCGGCAGCCTCGCCGCAAAGGTCGCCGAGCTAACCAGCACCATCACCAACTACCTCAGCTCAGAGGGCCTACCCCAGCCCTCATTCGCGGCCGATGCTCCAGCCCAGTATCCCGCCGTGCCCGAGGTCACCCAACCACGCCTGAAGCTGATCCAGTCCCTTTCGGACATGCTGCATCTCGCCCTCGGCGGGAGAGACTACATCTTCACCCAGAGCATAAGCGTACAGAACCCCCCCCCCCAAATCCCATCCCATCCCAGCCACACAGGCCTAACCTCCCCCCCATCCTTCCAGGCCCAGCACGACATGGCCATCCTAGACGTCCTCAACCAATTCGACTTCTGGTCCGCCGTGCCCCTCAGCGGGTCAGTCACCCAAGCCGAAGTGGCAGCACGCACGGGTCTACCCGAGGACCTCGTGCGCCGCTTCCTCCGGCACGCCGCGACGATGCGCCTCTTTGCCCTCGTCCCCGCCGGAGACGGCGACGGGAGCGGACGGGTGGCGCACACGGCTGCGTCGGCGTTCGTGGCCCGCAGCCCGGCCCACCGAGGCTGGATCGCGCACCACCTCGAGGAGAGCCGCGTCGCGTGCACGCGCCTCCCCGACGCGCTGCGGCGGTTCAGCGTCGGGAGGGCGGGGGCGGCGCAGGAGCTGGGGGAGACGGCTTTTGCGCTTGCGTTTGGCGGCGGGGAGGGGGATGGCGCGGGGACGGGTGTGACTTTCTGGGACTTCATCCGGGAGGACGGCGAGGGGGAGAGGAAGGGGTTCCGGACGGGGAGGTTTGCGCAGGCTATGCAGGCGGGGCGTGGTTCGTCGGGGGTGGACTTTGGGGGGCTGTTGAGGGGTGGGTTTGACTGGGAGGGCCTTGGGGAGGGCACTGTTGTTGATGTGAGTTGCAACAAGGAGCGATTGCAAACGCTGCCGGTCGATAAGTTGCCACTGTTCCGTGCAAAACCAAGCTGACCATTTCTCTCTTTCATGACAGGTCGGGGGTTCGTCGGGCCACGATGCGGTCGTCCTCGCCCAGACGTACCCAAAGCTCAAATTTGTAATCCAAGATCTACCACCGGTCGAGGAAGCGTTCAACGGCAATGTTCCCGAGGAGTTGAGGCCGCGCATCTCCTTCCACCCGCACGACTTCTTCACGCCCCAGCCCATTGCGGCGGACGTCTACTTCTTCAAGGCCATCCTGCACGACTGGCCCGACAAGTACGCCAGCAAGATCCTCGGAGCGCTGGTCCCGGCAATGAAACCGGGCGCGCGCATCATCCTGTGCGAGGGGGTGTTCCCGCCGACTGACAGTGAGGAGTGGCGCTCCCTGCCCTTGACGTCGCAGCGAACGCTGAGCGCGATGGACTTGCAGATGCTAGTCTTGTTCAACGCGAAGCAGAGGACGGTGGAGGATTGGAGGAAGTTGGTGGCGGATGCGGACAGTAGGCTGGAGCTTGCGAATGTGTACCGGCTGCCTGGATCTGCTTTCGGGTTGCTCGAGATTGCCTTCCGCGGCTAAGGCATGCCAGAACTATCTATCACTCAAGTTAAGAGGCCCGGGGGTTCGACATTGTGCCTGCATTATTCCGCCAGTTCTACTAGATACGTACCTTGGAGTTGAAAAATTGAAATGCTAGCACAGCTAATGGGTGTCTGTCCACATGCCGTTACTTACAATTCTTACTTCGTCTTTGCCATCAGTTCGCATCGAACTCGTCGATCACGCTCTTCGGCTTCACAAACTTGCCCAGCGGCTTGTAGCTCAAGTGGCTGAAGCCGAAAGCCTCGGGACCACCGATCGAAATGCCCCTTTCCGTCCCTGTCCAGCGGTCGCTTGCCGCGATGCCCAGAACGATGACCAGCAAGCCGTACCTGTACTCGGGGGTTCCGATTGCCTCGCCATTCTGAGCATCGATGACGCAAACAAGATCGGGGACAATGGCAAGGACATCCTCCTGCCTCTCTTTGTCCTGGTTGTTGCCTGAGTCACGGATCCTGATGGCGGCGATGTTTTCGTTCTTGAACGGGATCTTGATGGTTCCCCTGAACTGGGCCGCGGGCGGGTCTCCCGACTCCGTGACCACATCATCGGCATCCCTGACGTCGGCGCCTTCGATAATGCACTCGCCGTATACGTGGCCCATTCTCAGCGTCCTCTCGACGCTGACAATCTTCCCCTTCCACAATACCCTGGCCGCGTCCGGGCCTCCGCATTCGTCGACGATCGTCTCGGCCACACTGTCAACGCGGTTCGCCTTCCTCGCTCTGGCAACCGCCCTCCCGATCCTCCACGACTGGGATATCGTGTGCTCGACAACCCACCTCTTCGTCTCGGCCCCGGTGACTGGAGGCTCGGCGCAGCCCGTCTGCGACCCCATCTGGCTGAGCGCCGCGCGCATGATCCGCTCGACCTGCATATCCGACGACGCCTTGGGCATCACGACGACGTTGCCGTTCCCGTCGGACATGGCGATGGGCGACCAGATGGGCGTGCGCTCGTTGAACACCACAGGCGTCGTCTGCCACTTGGTGGGGTATGCCCGCCCCATCCAGTCGCCGTCGACGACGGGCAGGTCCATGCTCGTGCTCGCCCCCAGCAGCATGCTCTGCAGCCCGTTGGCGCCGCCGATCTCCACGGCGATCATGTGGGTCGCCGGCCTGTCGCAGATCTTGTACAGCTCGACCTGCGCCTCGACCATCTCGTCCCCGGCGAGCTTCTCGATGCCGACCGTCGGGGACCCAACGCCCCCGCCACCGCCGACCTGGGCGTCGTCCGGCAGGTCGTGCGGGTTGATCACGCGCACGACAGACCCGGAGCGGAGCATCTCACGGAGGCGCACCATGTGTGAGTAGGGGCTGCCGCCTCCGCCGGTGCCGAGGATGTAGCAGCCCGTGGTGATCCAGTCGAGATCGGTCTCCGATACGTACCAGACCCGGTCCTGGACTCTAGGACGATAGGTATCGATGTTGATTTCGGGTTCTGCATTTGTTCTCTCTTGTTGAGCGAGCGGCTGCTGGATGAGTTGCTCGTCTTGGCTCGGTTCCAGTTCGGGTTCCCCGGAGTCCAAGGGTGGGTCGCTGACGAGGTCTGTCCGAGAGAAGTCAAACTCTCCGGCCGCTCGGACGATGAACCTGGATATGTTTTCGACGTACTAATGGCTTTTAGCGAATTGGTCCTCAGAGGGATATGACACACCTACCTGCAGCGGTAATGTCTCTACCTCCACGACCTTCACCGAGGAGCGAGTTGCCCCAGCGGCAATTGTTTTTTCGATGGCTTCCTGAGAAATTTCTTCCAGGAGTTCCTGCATCGTCTTGGACTCGGTAGAAATAACTCTATCCGCAACGGCACTGACAGCGGCAGTGGCGGCCCCGACGGCGTTGGCTACTTCTGCCCATTTCGGCCTCACAACTTTGCTTGCCCCTTCGAGCTCATCCGGGGCAAAGATTGCGCCACCTCCCACGAGGAGAACCGGAATATTACCTGGAGATGTCTTCATGGTATCAATAGCCTTCTCTAGCTTGCGTTTCACCGCCAGCTTGAACTGCTCGACCTCATCCTCCTTCAGCGCGTTTTCGGCCAGGGCACGATCTCCGATCTGGAGGCTGGGATTGGCCGCGACTGCGCAATCCGTTGCGGTCAGGACACTCCCGCCAAACACCAGCGCTTCCTCGATGAGTTTGTACCCGACGCTGTCCGGGCCGATCGTCATCACGGGCCCTTTCCGAACGATGGACCCGCCCCCAAGGCCAATGCTCTTGATGTCGGGACACGAGAAATTCATCCTCACCCCGGCCAGCTCGCTGTACGCTGCTTGCTGCCTCGGGAATCCATTCGCGAGGAGCAGGCCGACATCCGTCGTGGTGCCGCCGATGTCGACCACCATCATCGCCTCGTCCACCTGCCCCTGGACCAAGAAGGCGGCCCCGCGCATGCTGTTGGTCGGACCGCTGGAGAAGGTCCTTATGGGCAGGCGGGCGGCCACCTCGCCGGACAGGACGGTTCCGTCATTCTGGGTGATGAAGACGGGGCAGTCGAGGCCAAGGCGTCTAAGGGGTGCGCGGAACGACCGGATAGTCCTCCGCGCAAAGGCCAGGATCGACGCGTTCAGCACGGCGGCGTTCTCGCGCTCCAAGAAGCCCAAGCCGGCCACCTCGGCGGAGCACACGACGTCGCACCGGGACCCCAGCTCCTCGCGCACGACGACCGCCGCGCGCTCCTCCTGCCGCAGGACGGCGTCGATGGGGCTGAAGACGCCGTTGACCACGACGCTGCGTATGCCGCGCGCCCGGATGGCGGCGCACTCGCGCCGCACCGCCGCCTCGTCCAGCTCGGCGATCGGCCGCCCGTCGACCTCGAGCCCGCCCGGCACCGAGGCGTGGTACCCCAGCACCAGGCGGCGCAGATCCGGGGGCCAGGCGACGCAGGGAGGAGAGTGGCGGCCGAAGGGCCCGGACAGGCGCAGCACGGCGACGCGCGACAGGCGCGAGGCGTCGCGGCCCACGACGGCGTTGACGAAGTGCGTCGTGCCGATGGAGACGGCGGCGACGCGCGAGGGGGACACCGAGGCGGAGGCGAGAACGCCCGCGACGGCGGCGCGGATCCCGTCGCCTGGGTCGGAGGTCGTGGCGGTCTTGTGCCATGCTAGGACGCGTGGCGAGGGGGCTGTCGCGGAGGGGTCTAGGAGCACGCCGTCCGTGTTGGTGCCGCCCACGTCGACACCGATGCGCAGCGTCTTGGCTTGGGTGGGGGGCGTGGTTGGCTCCATGGTGGGGGGAAGCGGTCGGCCAGGTTTGGGGAGGCGTCGATTGGCAAGCTTGATAGGTGCTGATTTTGCTGTGGTGAGTACGCCCGAGACTGTGTTAGAAAGTTGAGGATCGGGGCAAGAGCAAGAGTGAGTACCCTACCTAAATGGGGTGTCTACAACAACCGTGCGGGCTGCCGTTCTTGGCTGGCGAACAGGCCGCTATCGGGGCAGGAGGTGGGGCCTACCACCCACTTAAGCACTACACTTTCCCGGGTTTCGTACATCTTTCCTTCTTTCTCTCCTTCCAAGCTGGTAATTTCCCTAATTCCCTTCTAGAAAGCAGGGTAATTGCTCCCGTGCGTTTTCCATCCTCATGGATCAAGGTACTGGGTGATGATGAATCTTGTCACTCTTTGCCAATGCTCCTGGGTCGCCTCAACACGTTGTTCGAATGCTTCACCGCAAGCAACCTACGTGGACTGGACCTCCAATCCAAGAATAATAGAGTATAATTTGGAAAGACTAACTAGGTATCGAAGAATGCACCCATTTCCCAACTGTTCAGCTGAGCGGAGCTGTTCAGGTCCGTGCAGCGAAACCTGCTGGCGATGCCTTCAAGACTCGTGGCAGTCTGGGAAATGTCGAAATTTTGATATTAGAGAACAACACACCGGCGTTCTGGGTTCTCCTGAAAGCGCAGCCAGACGAGCGGAAAGATCTGAAATTGCGATCGCTATCCCCCCGCCGTCCTGCTACCCACCCACCTCACTAATATCCGCTATTACCGCTGCCGAGAGAGCCACCGACTTCTCTTGGGGACGTCACCGACGCCCGGTTACTCAGAATAGGGGTTGGGAGACCGCTGGACCCGAGAGCCGACGCAGATATGGATCTGGACGGCCTCCCGGGACCGCTGGGCCTCGCGGCGCATGCGCGTATCGCGGGCCTCGCGGCGAAGACGCATCTGGCGGGCCCGATGGTGGCGCGTGCAGACATAGCACATGAGGGACCCGGACTGGCTGGAACTGGGAAGCATCCTCACGAAGGTCCATCGCTCCAGGGGGCAGTTCGGCATGCGACCCCCTGTCCGTGTGTCCGCGCTGAGGATCCAGGGCTCCTGTGATGCGGGCTCGATTTGGCGACGCATGCAGAGCGCCCACCAGATGTGGCGCACACCGGTGGAGGACCCGTGGAGGCGCTGGAGCCGGGCGGAGGTGGTGTGCTCGCAACGGCGGTCTGTGCAGGGGCAGAGTGTCGCGGAGAAGTAACAGATGCACATGGTGACGCTGCTTGAGGCGTGTTGCTCAAGAAGTGGCTTGCGGGGGTGGCTTGCTGGGGTGGATATGGAGGAGAGCAGATGCCTTTTTTAACTGCAAAGCTTCTCGAACTCCAACGGAAGAGGTAGGACTTGGGGAGGGATTTATACCGATGCAACTGACCATTGAATTTGTCTCTGATAGACATGATGGGCAATTAGCTCGTCACCCACACAGAGCCATAGTGTGGCATGCCAGCCAGCACACATAGTCTGAATGGAAGGCTTATCAGGGGCTCGTGGTGCTAGCAGCAGCTTACAAGAGGGAGTACATCACCTATTTGTGAGCCCATCCGCCTATTAAACTAAGCAGTGAACCCGAGACACTTGCAGGACGACACCAGCAAGATGACGGCAGTTACGCTGCCCGAGTTGCCCTCTCAGGCTCGAGTGGTCATCCGAAGTGATGAACGGTACGAAGTTTCTATATCTGTCACGACCAATCCTTTTATACGCTTTCCAGATTTGTTGAAATTCATTGACCGCAATACGCTGTGGACTTCTTTCGCTGGGCCTGAGCCGTGATATATCGTATTTAATACACTTACTCAAGTCAATTTTCCAGCAGCTTTAGTCTGCGACAAACCTTGCTCAAGCGGCTAGGTAGACATCATCGTGGCGACCCACAGAGTATGACAGGACTTGGTCTTTTCATGGGGGGAATTGTAACACCATGTGTGCTTATGTGCCGATTGATGTATTAAACATTATTATACCTGATGCTTACAACACTTCCTCTGGCTGTCGTCGCGCAGCTCGGACCCAGAAGTCCTCTATGATCCAAATTCCCTGTACCTCGAGGTTAGCCAGAAAGGGGGAGGGAAGAAAGAGGGTGATAGTTCGGCGTACCGCGTTGCTGATCTCGGCTGGCTTCTCAGGATGAGCAATCGCAAAATCAAATCTTCTTAAGAGCTGAAAGACTCCAGGTCAGCATATCGTGCGATGGTGGGCATTCAAAAACACCAATCCTTACCTCGACAAATATCTTGTTGAACTCCATCAGTGCCACGGTTTTGCCGAGACACTGGTATTTGCCATAGTGAAAGACAAGATCAACCGTATTGGTCATCTTCGCCAGCTGCGCCGCATCCGCTTCCAGCCAGCGCTCGGGCCTGTAGAGCTCGGCATCTGCACCGAAGAGCTCCTTGGAGTGGTGGATGCCAAAGGGCGAGGACCCGATCTGGGTGCCGGCGGGGATGAATTTGCCGTCAATCACGTCGCCTCCGGGTGGCACGGTCTTGAAGAATGTCCCGGCCGCGGGCGGCATGATTCGGAGTCCTTCCTTGATCACGGCCTGGAGATAGGGCATCTGGCGTGCTTCGGCGTCGCGGATCGGCGAGGAGATCTTCCCCGCGGCGATGCCGTCATCTATTTCTCTCTGCAGTCTTCTGTACGCTGCCGGGTTGCTCAGGAGGTTCAACATCACGACGCGGATGGTGGATGCCGACGTGTCGCTTCCAGCAACGACCTGGAGCAGGGCCTCTCCGGACGCTTCCTCCTGGGTCAGTCCGTGCCGGATGAAGGAGCCGAGCATGTCGGGCTGCGACGCGACGCTGGGTCCGAAGCGCTCTGCCACAACCTTCTTTGCGACGCTGTGCAAGATAGGTTAGCCCAAGCCCCTTCACCCCAGTTATGACCAAGGTCCCCGGGTGGCTCACCCAATGAAAGCACCGAAACCGAGCTTGTCGCTTTCCTTGGGCATCAGTCCTCGGAAGAAACGAGATTGCAGCAGATTTGCCAGTGATGGTACGTTGGCCAGGACCAGCATGACCGGAATAAACGAGCTTGTGATCTTGATGTAGTCAAACACGTCGTCGTCTTGTTCTAGATACCCAAAGGCCCGGCCGAATGCGAGATTGCTGATGACATCCAGGGTGAAGTATTGGCCCTTCTGGGCGAGATCCATTGGGCGATATTGCCCGGCCGTTGAGAGGTACTTGGTTTCGATCAGCTCAACAAGCTTCGCAATCTGGGCCTCGATCGTGCTCTCCATCGACTCATTCTCCTTGCCCGAGTACTTTTGTTTTCAGCATTAGCTTAGTTGCCCTGGTTCCCAAAGCAGGAGGCTTGGCTTGACCTACCCCTGCCGCCATCTTGCTTCTCAGCTTGGTATGGGCAACCTCATCGCGCATCGAGAACAAGTTATCCCTCGTTGGGTCAAATCGCATCGCGTCGTACCCTACCGTGCGCGCTCTTAGCTGCTGTGGGGATTCGCCTAGGAATCCCAATCACCACCACCTACATGGGCCTCTTTCGTACGCGGAGCGAACTCCCATCATCTTTTTCAGCACCTCCGGATCATCGGTCACGAGCTCATTCGGCCCAATGCGCGCCAGCGAGCCTATTGATGAATCGTCATGAGCCTACGCGACGCCAAACAGTTGCGCGAAAAACGTACCATATTTGTCGGTGACTTCTTTGATGGCGGTGGGCTGTCGTCCCTTCAGCGATTCCCTCACCATCCAGTACTTGGAGAAGGCGGCCCAGAAGGGTCCTTTGATATGCGAGAGCCGGCGCCACTGGTATAGGGTGTGTGTCACAAAGCAGGCGGCTAGCGCCAACAGCACTCCGGGAATGGTGACGGCATTAAGGAGCTTTCCGAAGGTGCCGAGTGGCTCCATCTTTAATAGTTAAAACTCGGAATTGATTGAAGCTGCAGATGGAACGGTTGGATTTTTTGCCCAGACGACAGACGGAGAGCTGCGGATACGAACACAGAATGGACAATCGGGGAGGTCGGGGATGCCCTGGCTCTGCCTTTCCTCCCCTGCTCCCCTCCCCTCTTGCCATTGCCAAGCTAGCCCATGTCAAGACCCGTGGACGGGTTCGCCCGAAATGGCACGCTACCGGCTAGGGCAGAAAATCACGAACAGTAATTGGATCGCCACGTATTACTTGTCCGCCAAGGTACCGCCGGCGCAATCCCCCGACCAATGGACGGATCCGTAATGGAGCACACTCTCGGTTCCTCTAGCGCGATGGGGCACGCTATTGATGGTCCCGGCCCACGGGGCTAAACTTGCCCATCCTTCATCCCAGACGGTAGCATTTTCGTTCGTGTTTTGGAGACATTCTTCCTTTTCAAGAAAATCCACAACGATTTGAGTTCTGACAGGACTATCGAAGTCGCACTGAATCACCCTGCATTGACTTGCATCATCCTGTTCCTACCCGCGTCTCCGATCCAGCATGACCAAAGACAGCCCAAAGAACAAGTCAGGAACCACCAGCCCCGAGCCAGAGGCCAGCCCCGCCCAGAACCCTGTCCCTGCCGTGCTCGAGCCTGACGTAGGGAAATCCCGCCCCGAATGCCACAATGGGGGAGACGAATTACTGATAGCACCGTAGGAGACGGAGAATGACCCTGTCATAGATGACGGCGATTCGGCCGTCGGCAGTGTGAGCCATATTTTCTTATCCCCCCGCTGGACGAGGTGTGCTGACTGTAGACACCTCCACAGTTCCAATCATCAACAGTGTCTCTCAGGGATGAATTGATCCGGCAACTGAGCGAGCACGGCCGGCAGTATCAGGGCTATCTAAACGCCAGTACGCACCTCCCCCGCCGGTTGCTGTGCCGTATCTTTGGGAACCTAGGTCGCTAACCCGGGTTACTAGAATATGTGCTCCCCATGGACGAGGTATTATCTAGCTATATCTGCTAAAAGCATGCATTGACAACCCGTACTGACGAAATTCCACTCGCCAGCAAGAGTTAGAGCGCCTGGGTGAGTGGTTCTCCCGCCCCGAACGTGTGTGTGGGTGTGTGGGTGTGTCGCTAGGGGCTGACCACTTGCAGACTTTCAGAATTATTTGTGTTTTTTGACCCTAGACAAGCAACATTGCTTCGCACCGCACGAGAACCTGGGCCGGGTGCTCGACGTTGGGTGTGGGACGGGCATGTGGGCTATCGAGTTCGGTATGTTGCCCCTTTGACCCCCGGCCTCCTGTTTGTAACCTAACCGGTAGTAGCCGACGCCTATCCTGGGACTGAGGTGCTCGGAGTTGATCTGGCACCTGTCCAGCCACAATGGTAAGCAAATGGAAGAGAGAAGAAAGGGGAGAAAAAACTTGATGATCTGCATACTGAATCTCGACAGCGTCCCCCCAAACCTCCAGTTCGAAATTGATGACCTAGAACAGCCTTGGAACTTCTCACATAAGTTTGACTTTATCCATTGCCAACTGATGATAGGTGGCTTAAGTGACTGGCCAAGGTTCTTCAGGCAAAGCTTTGAGTAGGTCACCCCGAATCTCAGTCCAGTCCAGTCCAGTCCAATCCGGCTGGGCCCGGCCCACACTCTCTAACCCACATCAGATTCCTGGAGACCGATGGCTACCTAGAAGTCCACGACATCGACTTCGTCATCAAGTGCGACGACGGCACACTCTCAGAAGACTCAGCACTAGCCCAGTGGCACAAGAGCATGCACGAGGCAGCAGCAACAGCAGGCTTCCCACTAGATGCTATCGCCCACGTGCCGGACCGGATGAGGGCGGCGGGGTTCGTCGACGTGGTGGCGACGCCCATCAAGTGGCCGATCAACACGTGGCCCCGGGACAGGAAACACAAGGAGCTGGGCCGGTGGGCCATGGAGAACTTCGTCTGGGGCTGCGAGTCCATGAGCCTGGCCCTCTTCACGCGCGTCCTGGGCTGGTCGGCCGACGAGGTCCGCGTCTTCATGGCCCTAGTCAGGCGCGACCTCCGCGACAGGAGGATACACGCCTACTGGAACTTCTGGGTCGTCTACGGCCGGAAGCCGCGGACCGAGCCTGGGGAGGTGCAACCTGCTGGGGGTGGGGGGGCGGTAAATTAGCAAGCGTAACTGATGTATGATGTTCTCATTCCGGAGCCCGTTACCATTGCTGTCGCCGTTATCAGTTGCTATTGCAGGGGCCTTTGCTGTTTCCAGCGGTTGGAGTTGTAAACAAAAGGGGTCAAAGATCGCCAAGAAGCATCGGCTCGGTGTGTTAATCACCAAATCAGCAATCTGACAGAGGTAGACCAAGGCACAAAGACTGTGCAAAACAAAGTGTAATTGATTCTAATCCGTGTGCGCTTGGAGGCCCCAAATCCCCACTTCACTGCCCTGTTCCACTCGCCTCCTAACCCATTTCCTGTCCCAGTCTCCTGAACTCCATCTCTGATATGCATATTTGGAATTAGTTTATTCCCCTCCAAAAAAAATCCCAAAACTCTCTAGCTTTCCACCCATCAGCTTTGCATGCCACCGACTCTGCTGGAATATGTAGGCCCTTGTGTAGAAGTAGCCTGGGTTGGTGTCAGCTACTGCAAGATGTTGTCAAAGCCAAACGAGCTTACCTGTTTAACCCCTAATTATACTGCCTGATTATCATCGTACGGGATAGCAAACAAAGCAGACCCGGTTTTGAAATTCAGGAGGAGCCAACTCCATTTCCAGCAGCTGGGACCAAGTCGCGTGATTGAGCAATAAATCAGGGCAGTTCGGAATATCGGGTCCGAAAATATTTGGCACCTTAGGGCGTATCGACTGGAATTGTTGTTGGGGGGGGTAGTCCTGTACGGTTGGACAGATGAACCATTTGTCAGGGACATTAAATAGTTCGGTACATGCTGTGCCCTGGTGGTGGGGGTGCGTCAGAATCGTGCAGTGGCACGTACACCTGATCCATTGAAAGTAGCACATGTTGATAGAGAGCAAGCCTTGATAGTAAGATGGATTTTGACGGATGGGCAGGGGCTGGGGGTTGAGGAGCTAGTCGTTGTCAGGCAAGCAGACTATCTAGGAGGCTGCAGGCTCTTCTTATACCAGAGGATAGAGAACAGCACGTTTATCAGTCTAGTCCCTAGGACATGCCAAAAGGCAGCTCTGTGAATCATAGAGCTGCAGAATAGCTAGCATTAAATCTTGGGATTGGCTAACTTGCTGTGGTTTGTCGTTCTGCCTTGGACAACAGACAGTTGTCACTCACTCTAGCCTTAATAGTGTAGTGGTTGATTGCCAAAAACAGTCTTCTACTATGATTCACATTGCCTTGGGAAGCAAAGAGTGGGGTTGGCTCTTTCAAGAACACTGAATATAGCCAGCAGTGAAAAGGGGCAAAATGGCTGGCCCGTGCGGTCTTCATAACCTCCATCACGGACTGGCGAATCTTCACTATCACATAGGGCTTCATTTCCCAAGCTGCCGTAGAGGGATGTATGATTGCCTGGTCCTCTTTCTCATCATGCGTATCACTTCGATTACCCTTCTTTGCTTGTATGTGTCATTGTGAATTACTGAGGCCATGACTAGCCATCGGAAACCAAGAGGACAACATATTCGCCTAAGATTTGGTTGGTTGGCGCAAACGGTTTAGGTAGTTTAGGTAGTTGCCCTGGGCATCTTTCCCCTCGACGGTCATAGTAGTCTGAAACGGCTGTTCCTTGTCGCCAGCCATCAGACACGGCACGAGCGTGTTGCCCTGCACTGAGTAGAGGTCAGGGCGCGTCACGTTCGCAGCGTCGTTGACTACAGATGCTGCAAGTAAAAGCAAAAGATGATTAGTTAACTGGTTCTAATAAGCTGCAATCACTTGTAAGCCAGGCAAGAGCGCATCAATTCTTGCCACTCGAAGGAAGCCACTAAAACGCTGACTGCTGGTCAGCGATGCGTAGGACTTTGATCGTCCTCCCGCTTTGATCTTTCGAGTCATAGCCCATTGAATCCTACTCCCCCAAAAATGAAAAGCGGAAGATTGGCGCCAACCAGAAACAAAACGAGACCAAAAAGAGACCAAAAAGGGGAAAAGTGAAAAGCAACCAGGAGCATGACCCCTCAGACCCCAGAACCCAAGTCCCACCCCCCTTCATCCCCTAGCACCTCCCATGCATATGCCCCTCGAAATACCTCCGATGCAAATCACACGTCCCGCACATCCACCCCGAGCTCCTCTCTTCCTTCCCGGGCCTCCCGTCCGGGCACCGCGGCGCCCTCTCGCCGAACTCGGCCACGGCCCCGGCCCCGGCGTCCCAGCACACCTGGGCAACGCTGTCGCGGTCCACGTGCCGCGCCTCGAATTCCATCGACCGCCACGCCACGCAGTGCTCCCACCGCGCGATGCGCGCGTGCGGGCCGCGGTGCTCGGCCGCCGCCGCGCTGCCGGCGGGGAGGGTGTGGTGCGGGCAGTCGGCGGTGGTGCAGGCGCAGGCTGCTGAGGTGAAGATTAGGAGCTTGCACATTGCTGCGATGGGGGGGTTGGGTTGGTCGTTTGGGTGGGGTCGGTGGTTGCTAAATATCTTGGGTTGGAGTGAGAAAGGAGTAGCGAAAATGGTTAGTAAGTCTAGTTATGCCGTGTGATGTCTATCGTGGTGGATCGAAATAGAGCGCTGTTGTCTTGGTCAAAAGCTGAAGGAGGCAGGCGGGCATGGTGGGTTTATACCTGGAGGCACGGGCGGGCTCCTCCAGGGTTGTGACATGGTTGTCAGTCCCTGAATCGAAACTCCAAGCCGTGAGCTGGGAGATATTTGCTCGTTGTCGGGCACTCACTGGCAATAACCCATAGAATTGAGCACTGGACTGATCCAAATGGTGGTCTAGAATGCCAAGGTGCCCCGAGCGGGTGAATGAGCTGCTCTGGATAGGACAAAGTCTTGAATAGCGCAGGCCTGTCATGCAGGATTGGGCAGAGGAAATGATGACGATGTAACAAGCTAGGTGGTGCAGAAACCTTCACGCCTGCTGGTTGTATGATAGTTGAAAGGGGTTGACTAGCAGGAGGCTCATGCCGATAGAGCTCCCAGTCAGTAACGAGATTACTTCGACCATAGTAGATGATAAATTACATTTAGCTGTACGCCTTACAGTCCCTCTTGGTTCTCGGATCCAGAAACCTGGGCGTCCGGATTGTATCCCCTCAGTCCACGCCACTTACATGTCTCCTCAGGACACTCGTCACACCGTTCCACACGCATCCCCACCACCGCCTCCGTGAAGTACGAGCTTGACCGAGGTCTGCCAGAGGATAGCCCTTTCTATTACTGTTGAGCTGATGAGGGAGGTTGCTTAGGTTCATTTTCGCAGAAACGGGCTAGGGGATTCACATTGCGGAATAGCTTGACTGATAGATACCTGTGAGCTCGGGAGACAATTCCAGCTATAGGCTCCCGCATGTATCCTCCCCGCCCTTACTAGATTACTTCTCGACAATCAGAATCCCCAGGTGTGGCCCTTTGACAAAGTAGGGCTGCCAGAACTCCTCGCCCATCATTTCCAATGCCCGCTTTGGCATCTCGATCTTCTTCCACCTTAGCTCCCCTCGCATCCCACCCTGCCTAGCCGCACGCTCATAAACCTCCTTCGGAAGGTGATAGTTCCGGAACCTGACTTCATGCTCCCCGGGAACAACTATTTCAGTCCGCCAGCCCTCGCCCGACTCAAGCCTTCTTAGGTAATTGACCGAGAGGCCCCATTTGCACGGCTGCTCCCGCTCAAACTCATTGGTCATCCGGGCAAACGCATCAACGTCATCGACGGGATGGGGCGTCACCCCGACGAACACGCCGCCGCCGCCGTCCCCGAGGCTCGCCGAGACGGTCCGGAACATGCGAGTCATCTCGTCCAGCCCGCTCGCATAGTTGAGCAGCCAGGCCCCGACAACCACGTCGAAGGGCCCCCCCTCGTCGTCGACGATCGTCTTCGCCAGATCCAGCGCATCCCCGATGCGGAATTGGATCACCCCGCGCTCCCGCTCCTCTGCGGACAGGGTCGCGTTGGCGGCGTCGATCATGCCGCGGGACTGGTCGATGCCGAGGACGTGGCCGGCGCCCCAGCCGATGAGGTGGTGCGAGTAGTACCCCGTGCCGCAGGCGAGGTCGAGGACGCGGGGACGGAGCTGGGGGGCCTTGGAAAGGTAAGGGAGGACTGCATTCTTGAGGTTTTCGCTTTCGATGATCGCGGCCGGGAGTTGCTTGAGAAGGTCGTATTTGGCGCCGATGATGTCGTATTGGGAGGCCATGATGGGTGGTTTGTGTAGATTTTTGTTAATGAGGGGCGGTGACCTGCCTGGTCACACTGACGTGGGAACACGGCCATGGTGGTTCATTAAGGTGTGTCTCACTTCGCGGCGTTGGGCCACGAGGCCAATCACAGGTGCCCCTCTCCACATCGCGGCGGAAGTGGACATCAAGCTTTCAGCCACTTCAATCCTGACCCCGGGCTATAAGTCGAAAGTCACCACTTCCGATTATCTCTTTTGCCAATCCGGATCGACTGTCGGGAAACCTAGGATTTTACGGTTGGACATGGCGGCTTGATTCCAATGGCGGCCCGGCAGGGGAGCGGCGTGCTGGCACGCGTCCAGTTATGCTTATCCGTTATGTTGGGTTATGTTTATACAGCCGAGACCCTGAGCACCGATTATGTTATGGCTCCCTAACACTTCATAACGAAAGTCCGGGCGGGTCCCGTCGAACATTTTGGGGAGGGAAGAGAATATAAAAACCTCTTCTGCAGCCCATTCAGCGGTACAATACATCTCCAGCTTCCACTCCATGCAGCCAATTCTTCGCAGACGTCTACATCTTGACAACCTCAACACATCAATCCACACCCACATCAACTTCACCACCCCAAGCCACAACCACACCAGCTCAATCCCCGTCATCGAAATGGCACCATCCGACACAACCCCCCTCGTCGGCTCCCCAAAGAGTCCCAACCCCACCCCAACCGGCGCGGGCCCCCTCCGCCCCCTAACGGCCGGGATAATAACCACCATCGGCGCCGCGCGCATCGCCACCGGCGTCGCCTGCCTCGCGGCCCCCTCCCTCGCCCTGCGCCTCTTCAGCCTCGACCTCCCCGCCCCGTCCTACTACGTGGTGAGGTTGTTCGGGTCGCGCGAGCTCGCCCTCGGCACCCTGCTGCTGGTCGCCAAGAGCCAGGGGGCGTCGCGCGACGCGGTGAGGCTCGGGGTCCTGGCCGGCGTGCTTACGGACGTGGTCGACGTCGTCTCGAGTGTGGTCGATCTCGCTTCGGGGAACATCGGTATGGGCACCTTTGACTTGGGTGGTGGTGTGGCGTTGTTGTTGGCGGTGTTGGGCGTGGTTGGGCTGCGGGGCTTGTGAGGGAGGCGAGATCGAGATGGAAATTTTATGGATGGGTTTGCTGGGGCTGGGTGGCTGGATTGGGCCGTTGGGGGGAAGCCTGGAAATATAATGAACGACCCCTTGTGGCCCTGTTTTGATATTGACTAGACTTTTGGGACTTATTAAGAAGACATTGAATGTAATTCTGTCATTCCTGGAAAATTGTGCCACCCTCAGTAAGTAGGAAGGGCTTCCCCTGGGCATCCTTGCCCACAAGTCTCGTATCAGTACCTTGCCAAAGGACGGGGGCTCATGCGAAACCTCATGAGAGCTACGAGACCTGCAGAAGCAAGCGCCATCGAGCCGGCGTAGAACATGGCGGGTCGGTATGCTTCAAGGCCTTTGTCTGCACCTCCGTAGGCTTCGAGGAGATATCCTGCAATTGGAGCACCCTATATGAAGTCAGCATTCATGCGTTCTGTACGCCGAGCTACCGGTGGTGTGCGAGTTAACATACCATCAAGTAACCTCCTCCCCACCCTGTCACGACCATGCCCATCGCGACGGACACCCTTGCAGAGCCAAAGACGTTCCCAACGACAGTGGGCATGGTCGAGAAGAATCCGCCGTTTGCCGCGCCATTGATGATGACGAAGACGGCGAGGGGGGCAAGCGTGGTCGAGGCAGGCCAGAGGGCGAGCATGCTGATTGCGCTGAGCATCAGAGACATGAATAGGGTATTGAGCGCCCCGATCCTGTCGCAAAGCAAGCCGCACATGATGCGCCCGACGGCGGAGGAAAAGTTGAATCCTGCCAGGAGCCCGGCTCCGGTGCTCGAAGAGAGCCCAATTGCCCGGCTGTAGAGCGGGAGGAAGAAGGGAGGAACTAGCAGCGGGAAGGTCCCGACTGCGCCAGCCGAAAAGACGAGCAAGAAGCCGACGTCCTTAAAGAGGCTCCTACGAGACGAGTTTAGACCAGATCCAACGGGCTGCAGTGCCGTCATTCCAAGTTATTCAACTCACCATTCCACAAAGCCGCCCGTTCGGATCGGTATCCTTTCTTTGACCAGCCAAGCCGCCGGCAGCCCGGTGACGAGTGTGGCGAGCCCGAGAACCCGAAACGTCCAAGCGGGTCCGAAATTCTCGATCAGGCTGTCGAGGCAGAAGCTGGTCACGGCGCCTCCCAGGCCACCACCGGCGAAGACGATGCCGTTGGCCAGTCCGCGTTTGCGGCTGAAGTACTGGGCGGGAGTGACCGACACGGTCTGTATGGGTCAAGTTTTGTCAGTATTTGCTTCTGTCTCGGGCTCTTCGACAATAGAGCAGTTACCATGAAGCACAAGCTGCGACAAGTCAGTCCAGAAGCTCTCATCCCTCGAGAACACATTTTACTCACCTCATCCCCAGCCCCAGGACAAGCCCGTTGGTGGCGAACAGGCCCGCAACATTGGTGACGGAAAAGCTACTCATCAGCTCAGCAACGCCGAGGAAGGCAACGCCGAGCATGCCGGTCCGCCTCGAACCCAGCACGCGCGTGACACGGCCATTAATAATGGCGAGGGCGGAGATGAGGGCCATGCAGAGCGAGCCGACGAAGGACAGCGTGGCCGGCGACGACAGGCCGTCCTTCACCAGCGCCGCCTGGATGATGCCCCAGCAGTACGAGCTGCCCACGAACCAGTACGTCATCACCGCGCACCCCAGCACCACCACCCACCCGTAGCCGCCGTCCGGCACGGAGCTGTCGGCTAGGCGCGACGCCGCGAGGACGGGGTCGTCTTCTGAGGCGGGGCGGGAGGCGGGCTGGGAAGATGCGGCATCGCGCTGGGTGATGGACGTTGAGCTGGCGGCGTTGATGCCGCTGGCCGGCGATGTGAGCTCAATGCCTGTGGTGATGGTGGAGGTCGCCATTGGTCAATCGGGGGTTGATTAACAGGGTTTTCAAAGGCGAAGAGGTCGGCCGCGGTGCTTGAGCCGAGGTCAGTAAAATTCGGGCAGGCCGTGCCGTAATTAGCGGCGCCGAAACGGGCAGGGACGTGCGGTGGCTTCACGGCGTGGCACGTGCTTCCTTTGGTGGGTGCCTATTTCACACCTCCAACTTTCTATTGCTTCCATGTCAAAGGCAACATATATGGATTCAACAGATCTGAGCTCTCTTCGATACAGACACTCCAATGTCTCTGCCGAAGATCTGGAGAAATATTGCAAGGGTGGATGCTGTCCCATCGATATCGGCGACGAAATCGCGGATGGCCGATTCAAGATAGTGCACAAACTTGGCTTCGGTGGCTTCTCCACTGTTTGGCTCGCGCGAGACCGGACTAAGGAGCGCTATGTTGCCTTCAAGGTCATCGTTGCCGACCACTCGGATTAGTACGAGTCGACTCCCAAGATCTCGAGTCTCATGCGGACGCATCCAGCCTGGTTCGTGCCTGAACTGGAACGATTGAACGTCGACAGTCGAAATGGGCGTCATCTCTGTCAAGTCTTTCCGGTTCTCGGACCATCGCTCTACAAACTTACCGACGCCCGTCATCGACTTTTTCCAGATGCTGCAAGGCGTTTCTCTCAGCAAGCGGCTGAGGCCATGGCAGTCATGCATTCCAATGGATTGTGCCACGGTGGTAAGCCGCTCTGCTATGTCGGCATTCGAAAGAACCATGCTAACAGCATTGTGCAGATTCCACCCTTAACAACATCATCTTGAGGCTCTCCAATCCATCGACCACATGACAGAGGATGAGATATATGATATTCTTGGCGAACCTGTGACAGACCACATTGAGCTGCGATCCCGGACGCAGTACAGGCACATTCGTCTTGATCTTGGCGACGACGTCCCGTTTGCAGAGCTCACCGAGGTGGACCCCCTACCACCCAAGTCTCGGTCCAGACGACGACGGGAGCGGGAATTGAGGCGCAGTGCCCCAAAATACGTGGTTGACCCCGTAGACCTCACACACCTCCCTGTTGAGTACCTGTCAAATTCAATCAGCATCATGGACTTTGATCAGGCCTATCCTGCTCAGAAACCGCCCCGGTCCTTCACCGGTATACGGCCAGCATACACCGCCCCGGAAGTCACCTTCGAGCTCAAGAATGGGCCAGCAGCAGATGTGTGGGCACTTTCCTGTTGCATCTTTCGCATGCGATGTTCGCGCGACCTCTTCACCGGTACCATGGAGACGCCATTAAACTCAACAACTGCCATCTATCGTGCTCTGCGACCATTCCCTGAGCACTGGACAAAGGTTCCCTTCCACAAGGATCATTGGCCCCTCCACGAGGAACGCGAAGATGGCACGAGTGCCCCTCGTGAATATGAACGCGAGTTTCGCGCGAAACCGCTGCCGCTCAGGCAGGTCATTGGGACGAAGATCGTGGACCGTAAGGCAATAAAGTCATCATTTCCATGGCGGGATTATCCGCAGAGGAGATGGGTGGGTGGCAAGTTGACGGAGGACTCGACTCCAAAGGACACAATTCCCATCTCTCCGGAGGAAGCTGACTGCTTTCACGACCTCCTCCAACGAATGTTTGTCTACGAGCCCGATAAACGCATATCTGCAGCTGAGGTATTGAGTCACCCATGGTTTCAGGGCCGCCCACTATCATGACACAATTACCTAGGTAGTCCTTCGTTTGTTAATCATGTTTGCAAATCCGCTGGAGCTGTTGCTTGTGTGCAACTGTGATGTCGCTTAGGGGCTTCATTCTCGATATCCCCGTGATTGCCCTCCCATGCCACGACCGACATCTTGCCAGACCCACGCTTCCGTGCCAAGCCACCCGCATTTCCTCGTCGTCGACCTCGAAGAGACGAGCAGTGGGAAGTCACGCAGCCAGACAGTTTCTCGAAGGGGGAAACCCGACCGGACGGACGGTGGAAGAGTGAGGGCGCGATATTTTAATCTTGGATGGATGCCCATAGATCAACACGGCCTCCTCCCAGCAAGTCGCGATAGTAATGAAATAAAGCCTCGACGTCGACGGGTAAGGGCGCATAATGGAAGATCGTCAACCATTACCTAGGTAATTAAATACTCGCCGCGGTGGATCGCCAAAGTGGCGCAGCATCCGCAGTCAAGGCAGTGTACGCCTTGAACTTTGCCAAGCTGCGAAGGATGTGGTGTTTGGGCTTGTCGCGTAATTAAATAGGTGGGCCTTATTGTGCCGAAATCAAAAAGAACCGCATTCCCCCCCCCCCAGATAGAGACAAGGAAGCACCAACAACCATGTTCGCCTCAAACACGACACTCTGTCTAGTGACAGCACTGCTCTCCCTGCCGCTGCACTCATTAGCATACTCACAAAAAGACCGCGACTGCAACGGCGCCATCTGCCTGACATCATTCGTATGGTGCCTGGACGGAGGCTGCGAGTACGGGGATGACGTCTGGCCGCTCTTCCCCGAAACGGACCGGACGCGCGGGTACGCCTTCATCCGCGCCGACGTGGACTACAACATCACCTGGAAGCACGCCGACAGCGGCTACCCCGTCATGGTGAGCTGGTCGTTCCCAGCCAAGAACTCCTCGACCGACGTCCCGGCGCAGTGGAGCATTAGTAAGTCCAATTCGAACCGGAGCCCCATTCGCCTCGCTAGGTACTTGGTTAATAATTACCTCCTATTACTCACCCCTCCCTCCGAATAGACACGACCGACTCCCGCATCGTCTTCAACCCCCTCAAAATAATGCAGAGCTTCCCCATCCCGCAGTCCCCCGACACGACCCCGCTGGAGGCGCAATCCCTCGCGGCGCGGATGGCCAACGTGATCTCCATCTCGCAGCCGGACAGGCCCGGCGAGTTCTGGGGCGACGCGACGCAGCAGTTCTCGGTCCAGAACGACTGGTTCTACCGCGCCGTCGACACGGAGGGAGAACTCGCGAGGAGGGCCGAGCACGGCCGCTGGGCGAAGGGGGTGGGCGTCGGGGTTGGCGTCGGGGTTCCCTGCTTGTTGGCCGGGACGGCGCTTGTGAGCTGGAGGTTGGGGAGCTTGAGGGGCGGGAGAAGGGCTGTGGCGAAGGTGTGATAAAATGCTGCTGGGCGGCCCATTGATCCCGTTGTCTTTGGTGGTCCTTGTGGGACTTGCAGGCACCGGGGGAGGGGGGACAGGTCGGGTTTCAGGCTGGCCGAAAATGTCGAGCCACACACCAGCGAGGGCAACGGAGACCCCGTCCTAGTCGGGGCTATTCCTGGCTTCCGAGCTGCTGCCCCGACCACTCAGACAAATGCCAAAGCCACCAATGCCGAGCTATTAACTCGGAGCCACGGTGCCGCCATAGATGAAGAAGTTTGGTTGACCGTTGGAAATTGTATGTACAGTACATGACACTAGGTATTTTGTTGAATTACTCGAAGTGCTTCTTTAGTATTTTTCAATAGATCCTATGAGATATCTTGCCACACAGGACGCCCAAGTAGGCGTTGACGAGGGCATTCTGTTCTTGAAAAGTATCCCATATATTTGGGCCCCCCCTTGCGTACGCCTTGATTATCTTCGACAATTTGCGACAGAATCTTTCTAGTTTCCCCCTGCTTAAACAAGTGATGATGTTGACTTATCTTACTTCTAGGCGATAGCTCCTTCCTTCCATCCTTCCTTCCATACTTGCATCTAGCAACTCTCGCAACACAAATAAAGTAACCTCGACCATGCTGCTAGCAAGTATAAATATTCCCATTGCCTACCTTGCTAACATTTTTTCCTTTTCTTAGAACAACCTAAGTCCTTGGCAGTCGACTTCCTTTGCTGCCCTTCTATTTCTTTCTCCCTTCTGAGGCTTTGGTGTGAAACTACTACCCTAAATCTATGCTTGACACTTCTTTAGAATCCTACACCTTACGTCTTACATTTGACTAGATTTAATGTCAGTATCTAAGCATATTTTACATTTTAATACCATATACTAACTGTTTCTAGCTTAGACATAATGCTAAAGCTAAAGGCTAAGATCAAAAAGCATGCTTCTTGCAATAATGGATACACTAGAGCATTTCGCAAAGCTCTAGATGACTAGGACAAGAACGACAGCCCTAGGCCAAGCTTAACTTACTATCTTGGCATGCTCTTTTTACGGGAATTCCTCCAGGGGCATGCGCTATTTGCTCCGCAGGCAGGCGGTTAATGCATCACAGGTGGCAGTTGCTTTTGCTGTTGCCTATTGCTGTCGCTGTCTATTGCTGTCGCTGTCTATTGCTATCGCTGTCTATTGCTATTGTCATTGCTGTCTATTGCTCTTTCTGTCACTGTCTGTTGCTATTGCTGTTACTGTCTATCGCTCTTGCTATTGCTGTCTATCTTGCTATTGCTGTCTATCGCTTTTGCTGTCACTTCTGTCACTCTTGCTGTTGTTGTCTATCGCTATTGCCATTGCTAGGAATGGCAATAGTGACAGCGATGCAACTTACCACCTGCCCGCAGAGCAAATGGCGCATGCCCGCAGAGAAATTCCCCTTTTTACAGTCTGGCTGTGATGAAACGACACTTAGCAACAACAAGACTGGAAAGCTCTGGCATAAGTTTGCTGGCAAGCATGAAGACATTTGTCAATACATGGCGCCAGTTTGCCCATAAGTGTCGCCCTGATGATAGCGACATTCTTCAACCTCGATATGTGCCAGAGAAAAAATCACGTCTTTACATTAGTATCAGGGTTGACAAGCATCTAGTTCCCAGCGACACTCTGAAGAAAGAGAAGAAGGCTAAGCCAGCCAATAATGCAGAAAAGGGTTAGTCATTTCCAATACAAGAACAGTTCACAGTTAATGCTAACACTTGCATTACAGATAATAGCAATGGTTTGGATACCAAGCCACAAGCCAAGAAACTCACCAAGAAATCAACTGACAAACTGCAGAAGAAAGGTATATTGACTTTACATAATGCAACCATTTCACACTTATGCTAAGCTTAAACCTTAGATATGACAACGACTCTCAAACGCAGAGCTGACAAACTTGGAGAAGGAGTCCGGCCGCACCGTGAATGCCGGGGTCAAGTTTGATGGCGCCACGTACATGCCTAACCACACGGCTGATTTCCGGTGGGCTCAGTGTGCGGATATGTTTGATGTCGAGCCGAGGGATTTGGAGGAGATTGTGCCGCAGTGGGAGGCCATATTCGAGGAAATCGGTGGGTACTGGCAGTTGGATGGGGTTGGAGGAGGAACAGCCAACTGCTGAGCAGGGGCTTCACCTCCCCGAGAAGCAAAAGGAGAAGGAAGGAAGCAACAAGGAGAATACTATTGGGGAGTTGAGGGACGAAAAGAGCATGGCGGCCCTGAGAACAATATAGGGGCAGCCTGACGCGGAGCCCGCTTGGCCATTCTGGCTGGCAGGGGAACCGCTCTTTGAGACTACACAAGTATTATGATATCGTCATACACTCAGCATCCCCTCCCTAGATACCTACTTGATCATTCCAGTTTTGCCCCCAACTCTAAGGAGCTTTCCGACCTCTCAACCAACCAACTCCAAAGTAGAATTATCGATATGACCGCATCCATAGTAGGTACCTACCTAACTACGTAACGTCGGCTTCTTCAGGGAGGGATATATCACGTGATAAGGGGTTGTATCTCGCCCAATAACTATGCGATTCAAGGCTGAAAAAAAAAAAAAAAAAAAAAAAAAAACATCTGCACAACCCCACGATAAAAAACAACAACGCGTAATTCTCCACTATCACCGGCTCCCAAATCTTCGCCGAAATTCTGCTCCCCCAGTGCCTCTTCCCCCCTGTGCTACTAGATAGACTTCGTGTCTATCCGTTGTCAATTTATTTTTCTTCGGTTGGACGCTTTGCGTTGTGGGTAAATCTGCGGCTATCTTCACATAGAGGACTAATCTGAGGTTCTGGTAACTACTGTCCCACGGACAGTGGTACTTTGTCGTGCTTGCATGTGCCGTACCTTCGAGGAAATCCGACGTGTTTAGTGGCTGCGGAGGAGCCCACGTCGTCAAGTGGTCGGCTGTTGATTTGTTGTGGAGGAATCACCTCGTCTCAGATGACGGGCAACAAGGCTTCGGCCGGCAAGAAGACCACGGCTAGCAAGAACTTTTCGAAGGACTGTGCAGTCATAGTTGGCGATGGAAGTATCGTTGGTGGCAAGAGTCTTGGTGTGGAAACTTGCGTCAACGCGAAGATCTGGACGTTCAAAAGCGTCGGTGTCGACCCCTGGATGGGCTTCGAGTTGGAATTCCCTCTCGGTCGATCCAACGAGGATGATGGCTTTGGCAAGTGCCACGCGTGTAAATTTTCCATCCAGATGATATCACAACCCGAGGACTATGCTGATACACCCAGTGGACATATCACACCCACCGCATGGAGCAGCCAAGATAACCGAGGCGTACAAGATTGTTGTCAAATTCCCGCGCGGCAAGTTCGAGTACTCTGTTCGCCCCGTCGATGATGACATGCCTGATTGCTTCCCTGCCGTCAAGAAGGACATGGCGCTCCTTGAGGTCTGCCTCAAGGCCCACGCAAAGATTCAAGGATACGGCATGCCGTTCGCCAACCCTGGCCACGAGAGCAAGGGATGGATCAACCGGAACGAACAGATGGCCGGTGGCATGACCTTGTTGGAGATTCTGGAGCTGCAGAACTTCCGTTTTATCGCTCCCTTGCCGGCCAACATCCTGGAGAGGTCGTGGAGCGAGGACACGATGCCGCCGCCGTTCACCTACCCGTATGAATTCCTGTCCGAGTGGGATGCAAAGCGGTACAAGGAAATGCTGCAGGATAACAAAGGCCCGCAGTTTCCGGCGGCTTGGACCTTCGACGACGACAACGCTCACCTCATCGCCATGACACGTACCCAGGTCCAAGACGTCATGTGGCTTGACGACGCTGCTGCAGGAATCCGCGATACGAAGTTCCGGGCCTACTTTGTTGAGAGCGAGCCAGGCAACACGAAAATGTACTTCGTCATCGTGCCTCTGACACCGGGCTTCAAGGGTCAGTACAATTCTGATTGGCGCCGTCTGGCGAATAGTGAGGTGTCCAAGCTAAACCTTCACGAGAGGCCCGAAGACGCCCCTCGGGGTGAATGGGATGCCAAGATAATGGACTACCCCAATAGCATCAAGGCTCTCAATACCCACCATGTTGGTGAGCACGATCTTGTTCTCCTCGTCCGTCGTCCTCTGCCAGTTCAGCAGAACCGCAGTTCCGACTTCGAGGTGATCACGTTCAGCAACCGCCAGGCTGCCAATGCTGCGCTGCAGGAAGACAGCGACCGATAGAATTGTGTCGCTCTGAGTTTCGACGTGCAGCTAAAGGATTATCAGCGCAAGGTCGAGGCTGGAAGGCACTTGTCTCGAGGACAAGGCTGCCGGCAAAGTCGCGGCTCCGACAACCCGCGTCGCGCTGCGACCTCTTCCCATGGTTAACCTCCTAAAGTCCGACGACAAGGAAGCTCTTTTAGAGGAGGCTCTTCCCAACGACTACAATCGGTTCCGCAGGTACCTCAGCGAGATGCCGCTAGGAGTTGGCGTCATCACTGCTGTAAGTCCATGCATTGCGTAGATACGTGGAACTTCACTAACTCGTAACCAGGGACCTGGTTTTGGGAAGACGACAGCGCTCGCCATCGGTACGATTGGCATGGTGGCTAGTGTTAACAAGGTCTACGGTTCTGCACCGACCCACGTCGCAGTGAGCAACTTCGCCGTTCGTGTCGACAGCGTCTCTACGAGGGACACCGATCGTTGCAACAAGGCCAGGCCAATAGACGACTCTAGCCGTGCTCGCTACGTCATGGTCGTCCGCGGCAACAAGATTGAGGACGAGATACACGCGTTTAATCACTTGCTTGAGAATCCTGGCGCCGGTGACAATGCAGCTCCAAGTTCAGGTTGGAAGCCCGAGTCGCAGTGGAAGCTGCCCCTATCGCTTGCGTCCTGGCTACTGATGCTGCTGCAATCCCCAGCTGCTGGTCGAAGTCTTCGTCTGGACGACAATGCTGCTCTGCGTGCTCTCCGTGGCGATATCGACAATAGGGCGGATCTAGTGCATCTCCGTGCCGTGGCTACCGGAGAAATGACCTGGGAAGAGTACAAGAAGGTTAATACCCTTACCTTGGATACCAAGAAGGCTCTATTCGCGAATATCCTCAATGCTGCAGACATAGTCTGCACAACCCCGTCCCTCTCGTGCAAGGGCATTTTCGCCGAGTGGAAGAGCAACGTTGCCCGGGGCATTGCCGTCGACGAGGCTGCAAACATGACGCGCCGCGATCTCTACTCGGTGTGGGGCAACACGCTTCTGCCGTGTTTGATGGCTGGCGACGATAAGCAGTTCTTCCCGACTGTCATGACTGTCGAGGAGAAAGACGCCCAGGGCAATTACCTAAACCGCTTTGCGCCGACCGCCCAGATCTCGCCTCTAGGGTTCTTCAAGGCCGCTGGCTGGCCGATCTACCGCCTGAGGACCCAGCGTCGCATGGCCCGGGATCTATTCGCGATCTGCCATCGCGAGGTATACAGTGACGCCCCCTTCACGTACGGCCCAGAATGCGACATCGTCAGGCAGCATGCTGCTGGCGTGGAGCTGGAGAAGTATCTCCAGGAGAAGTACCCAGGCTTGACCCCTGCGCCAGACGGCACGCTGCAAGAGGTCTTCTTCGACTGCCGAGGCACAACGTGCTATCGAGACAAGGCCACTGGCTCAAAGAGGAACCCTGACCAGGTCGAGGCTGGGCTCAATGTTGCGGCCGACTTTGTTAGGACGAAGGGCATAAATCCTGCTACAATCCTTATCCTCTTGCCGTATAAGGCCATGGTCAAGCTCCTCAACAATATGCTGAAGAAGCCCGAGTACTCGACGCTCTTGGGCATGCGAGCGGCGTCGACCATCGACTCGGTCCAGGGCCAAGAGGGGGACATCGTCTTCGTCATCCTTGGTACCACCGAGCGGGCTGGTCCGGGCGTTACATCGAGCGAGAACCGTCTGAACGTGATGCTCAGTCGGCAGAGGTGCGGGCTGGCCATTTTCGGTGATATCAATGTCACCGGGGCTGTGGACGGGAAGGGCAAGGCCACGACGGACAGGATAAGGGTTACGGGTTCCAACGGGGAGACCTGCTTTGCGAGGGCCAAGATGCTGCGAAGCATCCTCGTGAACCTGTACCAGAGCGGCAGGGTTATTACGGTTCCGGCAAAGCCTGCGAAGAATGGCTAGGTTAGAGCAGATCGTTATTTGAGAAGAGAATTTCTCCGCAGAAATTGGCAACCGTTGCTGTCGTCTCTGTTGGCTGTTGGCCATAGATGACCTTCGTAGGGTAGAAAATTACAACTCGACACCGAACCGCTCCATTATAGGTAGTTCAGCCTCCTAGACACATATCTCCGTGACCATATCAATCACAACAGAGCGGAATATGTTCCGGGACTGTTAGGGATATGTGATATCGATGCATTGGTCTGCGCCATAGCGTGGCGCTCCTTCTTTCTCGCCGCCAGCGAGACTGACCGACTCTTCCCTATCGACGGCGTGCGCTCCATAGTAGCAAGAGTGGATGATGCCTATGCTCACGCGGGGTCTGCCGATCACTCCCGCGCTGTTATCCACCCACAGCGCATAATTTCCCCGAGGCGGTAAAGGAAGAGGCATATGAGATATTCAAGGAAGCGGACCGCCAAGGCGCTATCGACCAGTCGAGAAGGTCGAAAGCGCTTTAATCTCACCCAGGCCGCTGGGCGTGTCACCTACCACAATTGGTTACTTGCACGGCGCAAACGCAATTCCTAGGAATATGATGATGGCCGGATATAACCGATGGCAGGCTAATAAAGGCAGGCCTAATCAGCGCCCTTCTTCTAAGGCCCTGGCTCCTTTGTCACGACACCCCTCCGGCCTCAACTCACCGTCTGCTTCGATAAGTCGTTTTGGCCGCGATGAGGTTTCCCAAGATCCAACCTGCAGCCGTGGTGGCAACCCTGGTCGTCATCGCATCCGCCATTGTCCCTCCACGACAACCACACCAGCCCCAGGGTAAAGGTACGCGCCTCCTGACGTTCAATGACACCGTCCTGTCACCCCAGTTTAGTGCCTCGTCGCGCTCTGTTACATGGTTTTCCGGCGGGGAAGATGGCACCTTCATCTCGCGGACGGACAATGGCTCCTTCGTCCTGGAGAACATTGTCACCGGTGAGAGCAGCACCTTCGTCGCTGCCGACCAGGTGCCTGAAGGTTCCGTCGACTACTGGATCCGCCCGGACTTGAAGAAAGTCATGTTCGCGACGAACCATACCAAGCAGTACCGCCACTCGTACTTCGCCAATTACCAGATCCTGGATGTTGCGTCAGGGGCCCTCTCTCCGCTTGTGGAGGACCAGGCTGGTGACATCCAGTATGCCGAGTTTGCACCACGAGGAGGCGCCGTTGCATTTGTTCGCGGTAATAACGTTTTCCTACGCTCTTGCGGCAATGTCACCCAGATCACGCATGACGGCAGCGCCGACTTGTTCCACGCCGTGCCGGATTGGGTGTATGAAGAAGAAATATTCGGCGACCGAAAGACACTGTGGTTCTCGCCTGACGGGCAGTACATCGCATTCCTCAGCTTCAATGAGACCGGTGTCGAGACGTTCACCGTGCCCTACTTCATGGATGGCCAAGCGGTCGCACCGTCTTACCCCCGTGAGCTAGAGCTCCGTTACCCCAAGGTCGGCACGACGAACCCACGGGTGTCCTTGTCCCTTCTGAATGTCCGCTCTTTGGAGACCAGCACGATCCCTGTTGACGCCTTTGCGGAGGACGATCTCATCATCGGCGAGGTGGCTTGGGTCACTGCCAACCACACCAGTCTCATTTATCGGGCATTTAACCGGGTCCAAGACAAGGAGAAGCTGGTGCGCGTGGACATCGCCGAGGGCTTTACATCGACGCTCGTGCGTCAGCGGGATGGTTCGGACGGGTGGCTGGACAACAACATCGCCATTGCCTACGTCGGGGCGATCAACGGCTCGGAATGGTACCTGGATCTATCGGACGAGTCTGGCTGGAACCATCTATACCTCTATCCAGTGGGTGGCGGTGATGCCGTTGCCCTCACCAGTGGTCAGTGGGAGGTCGCGGGATACGTGAAGATCGACACCAAGAGACAGCTTATTTACTATCTGTCCAGGGAGCATCACAGTACTGAACGTCACTTGTACTCCGTCTCATACACGACAGCTGAGAAGACCGCGTTGGTGGACGATACCGTCGCTGGATACTGGTCGGCCTCTTTCTCGGCTGGCGGAGGCTACTATATTCTCAGCTACTCGGGGCCAGATGTGCCATACCAGGAATTGTATTCGGTAAACTCCACTGAACCCATCCGAACTATTACGAGCAACGAGGCTCTCTGGAACAAACTGCAGGAGTACAAGCTCCCGAAGATCTCCTACTTCGAGCTGGAGCACCCCGATGGATTCAGCCTTAACGTGATGGAGCGTCTTCCCGCCGATTTCGACCCGGCGAAGAAATATCCCGTGCTATTCACACCTTACGGTGGCCCCGGCGCACAAGAGGTGTCCAAGAGTTATCAGAGCTTGACCTGGACTGCGTATATCACGTCCGACCCCGAGCTCGAATATGTAACTTACACCGTCGACAATCGTGGAACCGGAGGCAAGGGCAGAGCCTTTCGAGCAACGGTTGCCAAACACCTCGGTCGACTGGAACCGCTGGACCAAATATGGGCGGCTGAGCAGCTGCTCCAGCGAAACGCGTTCCTGGACTCAGCCCACGTCGGCATGTTCGGCTGGTCGTATGGCGGCTTCCTCACGGCGAAGACCTTGGAGGCGAACTCGGGGGTCTTCACGACGGGTCTGATCGTCGCGCCAGTGAGCGACTGGCGCTTCTACGACAGCATGTACACGGAGAGGTACATGAAAACGGATGCCCTCAACCCGGACGGCTACGCCGAAACGGCGGTGCGAAACGCGACCGGGTTCCGGAATGCCGCTGGCGGATTCACCATCCTGCACGGCACCGGCGACGACAACGTGCACTACCAGAACACGGCGGCGCTGGTGGATCTCCTGGTCGGGGCCGGTGTGCCGCCACAGAAGCTGAACTGGCTGGCCTTCACGGATAGCGACCACGGTATCTCTTATAACGGTGCCAACCGATTCTTGTACAAGTACTTGACAGAAGCGCTATTCATTGAGAAGAACAGGGAACCGGAGCAGCTTACGCACCAGTGGTCTAAGAAGGGAGCTGTGGGGGTCCGGTCGGAGGCATAATTACAACCATCCGCGGAGATATCCTTAGGAAGGAGAGGAAGCCAGTCTTACTACCCCATAGCGTCGTAGAATGCGCAACCTGCTCGTAAGCTTAGGCAGAGCAACATATGAAGACCGTCTTTGGCTGTTCAATATCATCCGTTAAAATCTCTCTGCATATGCACATTTAGTCCCCATCTTCCAGTATTAATTTTGGTTTTAGACAAAGTAGATTCCTTTCAATACCTTGTCACAAACCCTCTACACAGCTTACACAATGTACTTTAACAATGTGTCTGGGGAATCTTGCCCCTGTGCACCTGCCATAGGGTTGCAAGGTTTGTCATAGGTGTCACCTCGGACAAAGTCTGGTTCTGCCGAGTTCTCCCATCCCAGACGTACCAGCGTCTCCTCGGTTTCGACGTACGGCGGCCAGTTGAACTGCTCTGTCAAAGCATGTTCCGGATCTTTGGCAAAGGCAACCCAGACAGACTGAAGATATTTGCTGACGGCGGATCCCTCGGGGGTATCAGGAGCATATGTGTCCGAGGTGCCAAATACCATGGGGATATCACCTGAGAATAAGACGTTAATCAGACAAAACCAGATTAAGCAGAGGGATTGTATAATATGGCACAGCGCACTAGAATGGTAGGTCCGGAGCCACGGGAGAGGGTTTAGGTTTGGAAACTCTCCAAAATACCGGTACCGCCAGATGGGGGTGCCTCTTTCCTGGCGAGCTCTGTCGATTGCATGGTGGTCAGCGTGTACCAGTATAATTAACAGCCACGTGGAAGAGGACAAACCTGGCAGCTTTGGCCGCAGGACAGATAAACATGCCATTCGATAGCATATCGATTAGTTCTTGGTCCGGGGCTGATCCGGTAAACGGCTGAAATAGAGAGGTGAATTCATTGTCACAATTGCCGATTATTTGGGGCTACAGAAATGCAACGTGTCAATGGCATATTTCCTTGACGATTGCGAGGTGGATCTGAGCCTGACATGATTAAGGGGAAGCTTACCAATGGTGCGTACAACCCCCGAACTTGGAGATCGGTGTAATTTGAGAAGCTCGTCTCGTTGTCGGCTTGTGGCTGGAAGTTGAGCATCCGGCCACCGTTTGCCTTGGGATCGTACTGGTTAAGGACGTCCATGATCTTCTCAGCCGCCACTTCTTGCATGCAGGTGAACAACTCGTCCTTGTCATCGCCCTCGCAACCAACCCGGTCGGCCACGTAGGTGAAATTCGAGTGGTCTGTGGGATCCCCCGATATCTCGCCTTGGCCGGACATCATAATGAAACCTCTGACCAAGGGGTCGTGAGCCCAGGCATAAGTGTACTTGTCCACGGATGAACTTCCAGCAGAGTCTCCAAAGAGGACCATCTGGTTGGGGTTTCCCCCAAAATTGTGAATGTTCTGATACACCCATTCGACGCCCTTCCGGATATCCAAAAAGGCAGGGTTGAGATTGTGTCCATCGAGTGCTTCCGCACGAGGGAAGCCGAAGATATTCAGTCGATAACTGTACCTGCGTCAGCCCCCAAGTGGCCACTATTCCATGGTGCATGCTTGCGGAGAGGAAATAATACTTAATCGAGACGACGATGATGTCTTCGTGGCCATCCACAAGGCGCGTACCGCGCTCGTACGGCGTCGAGCTGCCTCCAGTCATCAAGGCCCCCCCGTGGATCCATATCATGACTGCCGAAGCACCAATGTTCTTCGATTCCTCATCACTCTGCCGACTCTGCCGCGGAGCCCATATATCCAGCGTCAAACAGTCCTCTGACTGGGTCGAGCTTTCGGCAGGCACGAATCCCGGAAGGTGCTCGGAGAACAAGCTTCGGGTGGCGCTGGCAGGAGAATGTTGGTGGCAGGACGGACCATGCCTGGTTGCATCGACCACCTCGTTGGTTGCGCTTCGGGACACTGGCGGCCTAAAGCGCAGTTTCCCCACGGGGGACTCGGCATACGGTATCCCTAGGAATTGTCGGACTTTCGGAGTTTCAGGTGATACGGCCCCTTGGACAGTGAAGAGCGAAGTCTTCACAACCAAGTCATCTCGGCTGTCTCGCATGTATGAGTTTGGATTGAGCCCATCGTCGTATATCGGCTGCTGTCCCAAGTCGGGTGGCGGTGCTTCGTCTGTGGCGATTATAAACTGGGGAATCAAGAGGACAATCTGCACGAGTCCGAACAGTGTGGTTCGTCCTGGCATCACAACCATGATGTATTTGGTTGGCGAGATGAGACTCCTTTTCGGGGAGAAGTGCGGGGGGATTAAGAATTGGATCAAAAACAGATTGAGACAGGCCTTTCCGTCTTCTTAAGGAGTGAAGGATGGGATCGCGATTGCCCACCGTACAACATTTCCAATATTGGCGTTGCCATGATCTTACTCTCTCGGCTTTGGTATGCGTCGGATGCCATTGGTCGGCTTCTGTGTCAATGATTCACTAGCAAAGAGTAAAGATGTTGAACAAAGGCTTGATTTGATCGCGTATTGGTGGTTGTCAACATGCACCTAGTCTGCGCTGAGTCATTAGGGGCAGACCGGGAATGTACAGGCAATCCAAGGCCGGGCGCGATGTGTCATGTACGCAATAATCGTTGAACCACATGACTCATCTAAGGTCCAAGTTCCTGTTGTCTGCCCTGATGCAGATCATCCTAGTCCCGGATCCTTCACCACTTGCACCGTTATATCCGTTTTGACATGCCTTCAGCACTAATCTTTGGCTAACTTAGCTTTCCTGCCGAAGATGCACTACTACGCAGTAAGCGTCCAGACCCCGCGGGGAAAGCTAGGGGTGATGGTTCAAAACAATGCGGGGATGGAGCAATGGATGGGCAGTGCCTCGTGTTGGTCTTATGTTCGTATAACTATCAACTCTTCCACGGACTACCGGTGCCAAGTAACTGGTTCTGCTCTACGTGATTCGATTCCTGGTCCAAACGCTCTCCAAGTTCCAGAAACCAACAACATTATCCGTCCCACGCAAGCTTCTACATGACTTCGAAATGAGCATCAAGGCTGGCGCCGAGACAGTGGAGCGCCATGAGAAGACGGACGTCAAGACGCCTAATACCATCGACAGCGACGAGGATATGGAGGCACCAGAGATCAGGGGTGCTGCCCCGGACCAGATCTCTCCGCGATATTGGCTTTCTTTCGGATCCCTTGGTTCTGCGACAAGCATCATCCTGCTTGCCATATGTCTCAGCCCCTCCCCCAAACATATACTTTGACTACGCTATATGCTGAGATATGTATTCCAGTTTACTGCCCTGGCCGGGTTCTTTGCTGGTTGGCTTGAACTTATCATCCCCGTTGCCAATGGTCTGGTCAACCTCCAGCCTGATCTTGGCCTGGCAAATAGATTTCTGCGTTCCGTGCAAAACACCGCTGGAACAGCATCTAGCAGGAATCGGCGTCCCATGCATACTCTAGGCATACGAAGCGTCTTATTTGACGACTAATATTTTTCAGTTAGCATATATGTGGCCATTGTTGAGCGTCGACTTGCCGTCAACCTCTCAAAGGACGTCCGGAAGCCGCAGTGTCAGCCAGTCTACCCTCCGACCATTCGCCCTTCGCCGGCGAGTTTGTGGAGCCTCCCCAGGGGGCGGCTCTGGCCTCGAGGACAGTGGGCCCCGAGACTGTTAATACCCCTGGCGAAATCAACGAGTATGAGGTGCTGAATCCGGCCGGGATGAAGGAGATATGGTGGCCTTAGGGACCTCCCTAGGGTGGGTGCGTGACGGTCACGAATTTAGGTCTGGAACATGGGCATCCGCTACTGCTGCTTGCTTTTCCATGGCTTACGACCTGCCTTTTTCAGGGGGGGGGCGCGCCTTACAGGCTCTGACTACATAGATGGTTGGCTGTGCAATAGTTGCAAACAAAAATTCCATGCTTTCATGAATCGTATGATGTTTTGATGTCAGTGACCAGACTAAAGATGCGTCGCTGTGGTAGTGTCTGCCAGATGGATGGTGCGCTGGGATAGTGTAAATACTAGTCGAGCAATCATACACGGCGAATCGCTCAAAAAAAAAGTTGTTGTTCTCTGCCTATCAATATCGATTTGGCTAACATCATTACCTAATTCTTTAGGGAACAGTACTATTTGTAGGCGCATTCAAAGATTGAGGCCTTAGTCTAGCTGGATGGAATGAACATTCCCATCATTTCCAACAAAGGGAATAATGAAACTAACCCCTGAATGCTTATATGTCAACCAAACTCTGCCTGATTGTTGATATCCTAGGAGATGCATTGTATTATGTCTTCATTTAGTGCAGAGCCTGTTCTTTGCTTTAGAGCCCCACTTTGAGTGACATCAAATTCAGCTGGTGCATCAGCCTGTGTCGGGAAACTTGCCAGGCCGACGTGTAAGTCGTAGACTGCAAAACAAGTTGTGATTGTGACATCTTCTGCCTCAATCAGTCAGCATCGACGTAGGCTGTCCCGCCAAACTAACCCTGAGAATTCATGCATACTAGCCTTATGATCTGTAGTTTTGCGCTCTTTTTGACCTCATTGATCTGGCAGTAGACATCTCACTTCTAGAGACTCCTTAGGTCCTAGAAACCTCTGCGGCAGATCACCTCCCAGCAACGTGGGCATGAATAAATATAACATCGGGCCAACTAGATCCTTGGGTACTTAGTGTGCCCTTGCTCTCGCCACCATCCTCAGTCTGAAGCCCCGCTCACACTCGATTTCCAGTATAAAATTGCTGTTTCCCACTCATTTTGTCCTCTCCTTCTTCTCCATACCTCTTTTCAATTTTCATCTCTCGACCAGCTGCCTCGCCTTCCTCCTACATATTCTCCGAGGTTAAGGACCATGGATTTTCGCGGGATTGGCCCTTCTTGTCTCTCTACTCTGCCACTATTGACATGCCCACAGATACAGTTACTAATTACAACCTCGCAAGCATGATCAACGGCACCGATATTCTTCAGATCAGCACCGTCGCTTGCGGCAAAACATAATATATAAGGGTTTGTATCAAGGTGGGTACAAGGTGGGCTCGCGAACTTTCCCCATCCTTCATTTCCTTGCGGCGCATTCCTCTAACCAATATCATACAATATTTGCTTGGAACTCCCATTCCCATATTCCAAGATCTCTTTCCACGCTGGCAAGGATATTTTCCACCTCTCCTCTTAATGCTGCTGCGTCTTGGATGTCAGGTGACGATATGGACTCCCTTGGAGGCTGGCAGTTTTCCCCAAGCCACTACAGGTACTGATTGCCTGTTCAGTTCATATCCTCACCTCCCCGGCAAATCCACACGTTTCCCTTACACACTACACTTCCCGGACCTCACCCTATTTCTCTTACTGCGATGTTTGAGCTCATAATCGGCGTCAAACTCGCAGGATTGTTCTTCAGGTTGGAGCCGCGTCATTCAGATTCAAGCCTCTTAACACTCTTGAATACAGCTAGATGCCGCCTTCTTCCTTCTGAGTACGCTACTCTCGACGATATCACCTTTCCCACAAGCATATCTATGGACCTCCCCCTCTCCCCACCCCCGCCCCCACGCTTGTCCCTTCAGTTTCCTTGCCCTCTTTGGCGAATGCACCAAACGAGCTCCGATGTTGAACTTGCCTCGTCCCGAGATACCCGTCTGCCTCCTTCGACCTCAATACCCTCTCTTCATGCCCGTCGCTGGTAAGTTGCAACATCCCACTAATTACACCATGTCCCCTGATCTGTTCTTCACCGTCAAAATCACCATGCCTCGGGCTGCCTTACCGAACCACACTATTCCCTGCGCTGGTAATACGTATTTCCTTCGCTTCAAGACACCCATTCCCTCTCAACATCCCGGAATTGGTCTGTTGGAAACACGAGTTGGGGTCAATCCCGCTGCCGGAGCTTAAACCTCTCACGCCCATTGGCTACGGAGAGGCCACCAAAACTAACAGCAAAGGTTTTTCTTTAGGACGTATCGATGAACACATATTATCCACGATGTTGCTTGGATATGTCTGCAACAACCAGCCAAGTCACCACCTGCGCGGAGCGAGCAAGAGTTCCGCATGTAAGTGGCTGTCCCATTTGCTATAAGCCGAGCATATGTTTACTTCCCAGCCTCCTAGATACTGGAAGGGAATTTCTCCAGTGGTATGCGCTATTTGCTCCGCGGGCAGGCGGTTAACGCATCACAGGTGGCAGTTGCTTTTGCTGTTGCTTATTGCTGTCGCTGTCTATTGCTCTCGCTGTCTATTGCTATTGCCATTGCTGTCTATCGCTCTTGCTGTCACTCCTGTCACTCTTGCCGTTGCTGTCCATCGCTATTGCCGTTGCTAGGAATAGCAATAGTGACAGCGATGCAGCTGTTGCCAACTTACCACCTGCCCGCAGAGCAAATGGCGCATGCCCGCAGAGAAATTCCCTACTGGAAATCTCGACAAATATTTACAAGCTCGACAAAGCTCCTGTGCAAACCCCGACAAACCCCCACAAACCTACGGGTCCCGAATGCGAGCATCATATTCAATCCTCTTGACATCCTCCCTCCGCACGATTCAAGAAGTGGCCTCCGGCTACAGTACAATACATGCATAATGTTGGTGGTTGGAATGCAGCGAAATCCTTCTGTCCTGCGGGCTCATCCGAGCTTGAAAATCGGCTTCGACCTTCTCGATCTGCACAAACCCTTGCAGAATGTCACGATGCCAACGTTAGGGGGTAGGAAATGAAGACGTTGTTGTGCAAAGCAAGGAAGAAGCTAGCTAAGGGAGGCGAAATGAGCGTATATATAGGGGTTCGCGGTTGGCTAGGCAACGCGGACTAGTACGTTTGGCCACTTGGTGCCGTGACACAGAATCTGGCGGAAGAGAACAACAAACTAGCCTGTTTCATCCGAACGTCACAGAGCACGCCATACTTAACACCCACCAGAGCGTGCAGTTTGTACAGCAAGCGAACGGGCACCCAACACCACAAAAGCCGCCACCCTCGGACATGCCGCATGTCGAGATGTTTTATCCAACACCGGCATTGCCATGATAAACTTCAATCGGGATTGACTACTGACTCAGTGTGGGATAGCATCTGATATTCGTCATATGCATGATAGCAAACGGTCCACAAGTTTCCTCGCTCACCAAGCCTGAAGCACCAAGGCAAGCGAGGGTTTAATGACCACCTCAAACAGCGGCCCACCTCTCTAGACACTCGTCCAATAACTTTCCCGTTCTGGGGCTCACTTCTGCACTCTCCCGGGCCCCCCACCTTCCCAACCGTCGACACCTTCATCTGTGGCCAGGCCTCCTTCTCTAACTGCCTGGGTGCCTGGGGAGGTAGATTGGGTGCCTCAGATACCTCTCTCTTGAAGGTAGGAATCCGTTGCCAAGGTTGGGTATATAAGTCATCCGTCTTTCCACTTTCCCCTTCTTCCATTTCTCTTCCTGGCATCGTTCATCTTTTCACATTTTCAGTCCGCCCCTCCCCAATCCTTCTACAGTTTCCATTTACTCTCCTCTCGTGGCTCATCATCCCTCCGCCATTTTTCTCTGTTCTCATCATTCTTTTTCCTTATGTCAACTTTACCCGTCTCTAAACCCGTGCCTGATTCATATTCCCCGACAAACGTTTCTGTCATCCGCAGGTTTGCTCGCGTCACCACCATGTGCCCCATCCACCATATTGACGCCTGCATATTTCCCGCTCCACTACCCACACCGCTTCTTTGCACCTTCTACTCGTCGTCTTTCCACTTTGTACCAAGTTCGCTTCCCTGACATCAAATCATTTCGTACTCTCCCTCAACCAACTCTTACCTCCTCCCCCCTGCTGACCTTCCACCAAGCTCTCCCACACCCCTTCGGTCGCCATGCGAACACACGCCTACATCCCAGGGATTACCGACGGATGAAACCGTCAGATCCTGGGCCCATGTTGTCGGTCACCTCCTTCGCTGGCCAGATCCCACCATGGTAAATATCTGCTACTGTATACATCAAACGGATGGTCGACTCATCTAACGGAGCGTCTCTAGATTTCAGCAGCACAGGCACTTTCATGAACCTGCCAGCGTATCCGTGCTAGGCAAGGACATCAAGAGGCCTTCGACTCCTTCATCTCTCAAGGTTTGCCACCTAACCTCTCCCCTCGCTTCCCAACCTCTGGATAGGTGCCCGATCACATTCGGCACCTTGCCTGAGGTATGTTCTCTGCTTACATCCGTACAGGGGGATGGTTCCCACAGTGCCTGGCCGGCTCTTGGGTCAAGGCAGTAAGAGTGTCCCAGACTTCATAGGCTATCTTGCCACTGACTCTCGAGCAAAGCAGGACTCCTCCTCTTCTCAAAAAACCAGAGAAGATCATCCCACCCCCATCCGACCACGTTATATCTCCGCGGCAGATTCGACGTCGAAGGCAGAAGAGGGGGAACCAAATACAATGGCACGACGGCCGCTACAGGTTACGAAGTAATGTACTGGTTTCCCCACCACTGTGCGTTGAGCGCGTGACCTCAGCACCTCGATTTGAGCTATGTCCTTGGCAGGACATTAAAAGGCCTATGACCTCTTGGTCGCTGCCCTCAGGGCGATTGTCCTGGGTAGGACTCTAAAAGCCCCAAACTCTTCCCCCCCCCCCCCCAACGATCCAGCAACATTATACCCAGGGTTGGTAAAGCCCCGTCCCATGGAACATGGATGGCCCAGCGATGCTTACCGCAGACCTACTTGGCGATGGGATTGAACATCCTGACTTTGGTCGATTTCTCCTGTTGACCTAGCTTGGTTGTTTTGCCTCTGACTCTTGTCCCTGTTGACCTGGCTTTGTTCTCTTGACTCTGACTCTTGTCGCTGTTTTCCTCCTAACCTCATGAGGGGGGAATCATCGCATGTAGCAACCATCGAAGAAACCTCGACACGATCAACCTAATGGCCACCAGAGCTGCAGCCAATTCCTGGCAACGAACCAAGTCTCCCAAGTATGACACAGGCTTCGGACCGTTATATTGTCTTGGGAGACTTGGTACTCCCCGCCCACCCCACAAATACCAAGCCTGCGCAGAGCGTTAGGAACGTGACCTGCGAGAGCTTGATACTCGCTACATAGGAGGTAAGATATGCCCTTCTATGCAATATGCATGGAGTTACATACTGATAATACCTTATTAGAGCTTAAGCGTCCTATTACAGACCTTTAAACCTCGATTGAAGAGTTCAAGGATTGCGAGAAGATGGTATGCCAGACTTTAGGCCAGGAGGACAAGTTGCCTGCCTACCTGGTTAGACCATCGGGATTGCTAGACTCGCTGCTAGCACATCGGTTAAATCAGTCACCCGTCTTTCACCACAGCTCAGCCAGAAGACAGGGAAACGGCAGATCCTTCGAATGGATGCATTTCTATGGTGATGGGCAATGCCTATAAACCCTAGGAACGTGACCTGCAAGAGCTTGATACTCGGGATATGAGAGGTGAGAGATGCCCTTCTGCGCAATGTGCATGTAGTTACATACTAATAATTTCTTATTAGAGCTTAAGCGTCCTATCACAAACCTTGAAAACCCATTCAGAGAGTTCAAGGATTGTGAAGACAAGTTGCCTGTCTACCTGGTCAGACCCTCAGGATCGCTCAAGTCACCACTTGCGCATCGGTTGAACCAGCCATCAGTTACCACAAGGCATACACAAGACAGCAAAATGGCGGATATTTCCAATGGCTGCATTGCTATGGTGATAGGCAACGCCTATGTACCTGGCAAAACGCTGCTCTTCGATCACATCCATCGAAGAGATGCCCGATCTGAAGGAATCGAGCAATACGACCCCCAACTCCTCAATTGCCACAAAGAGTACACGGACAAACCAGAGGATCCTGTCGCTTGATGCCCACCATCCTTCATAATACGGCTCTACGCGCCCTTCGCCACACCTGTATTGCCCAAGGATGCGACCTCAGAGCGGGCTTGGATGGGGCCTCTAGAGCTTTGGGCTGCCGTGTCGGGCTCGCCAGCTCATTGTCTCTCACGCACTTGTTTCCGGCCCCTGCAATCCAGCCGATCTGTCACCGCCCGTTGATCTTTGGTCGATTCACCCCTTTCGGGGATCCTGGCAGGCGCCGACATTACGCTGCTCCCACACTTGTCTCACTACACCCCCATGTATCTCCTTAGGCTACTTCCATCAACCACCCCGTACATGCTCCCCAAAGCAACCCGGGAGAGGAATCAGGCGACGAACTCCCGATACTTTCACCTTTGGTCTATTCACCCCGGGAGCCTGCATCTTCGAGGCCGGCATCGTCGATTGAAGGAGATGGGACGTTCAGGGAGATTGCCCACTGCTCGGGCCTAGTGGAGGCCAGTATCGACGCGGCGGGCCGCGTGTCGTTCACCGGATTCAAGGGTGCCTGGAATGGACTCCGGGAGGCCTTCATCAAACAACATCCCAACCATGTCGGAGTTGACTGGCCAGCGTCTCCTCCTCGGTTCAATCCGCGTGGCGATGGTAGTGCCGAAACGCCCTCTCAAGCCGGGGTGACGGCGGAGCCTGCCCTCTTCGCGGGTTTCTGAATCTGGACTTCGTCGGGAAGATTTTCGGTGACTTTCGGCAGAGAAAGGGGTTCTGTGGGACGGTAACATTGCGATATTGGAGGGAGAAGGTGGAGATGGTAATACACACAAAAGAGGGGGAACAGACCATGCCAAACACCGGGAAATCGCGTCTCTACCCAGTATGCTGGGGCTGCTTTACCGACGAGTCCATACGGAGACACATCTCATCTCCACACTTCTTTCCAGCCATTCCAGGCGTCCGCCTGGCGGTCTGGTGGCTTACCATGATGGATGTTTTACACGGCCCACAGTCAGCATTTACTCTGGAGAACCTCGAGCTTGCATATGCACATGTCCTGGATCGGAATATGGGGGCCCTCTCACCAAAATCAGTCTCCCAGCAACTAGACGAAGGCAAGCTCGAGATCTCCCAACAATTAGACTAAGGCAAGCTGGAGATCAAAGAGACAGCCTTTCTCCAGCAAGTAAAACGCTGCGGGTGGCTTTACAAAGCCGTTGGAACTGATGCATGGGACCCGCAGGACTCAGATCCCTCCCACGACTTTCTACACGTACCATATCAACTAGCCTCGCCCTGCCTACGCGCCAGGAATGATCGGGAAAAGGGATCAAGGGGAAAACACACAGAAAATATTGAGAGTTGCCATCAAGTAACACAAATACCAAAATATATATGGGTATCTCCATCTGGATTGCGAAGCACCTTGCTACCGTCGCGATGGTGCGAATACCGCGCTCGGAAATACTGTTCTCGTATTGTTTGTAAGGTGTGGACTTTGTCAATCCGATTGCGCAATCCGCGCAGTACTGGTCCATCACGGATTCGCCGAATTCCCGGCCGCCGTCAATACGGCGACCACCGGGGGTAGTTCCCGAAGAGGGCAAAGAATCGGTTGAGCTGGTGCTTCAGGCTAGCTTGCATGCCGGACATCTCCTTGCTGAAGTTGATGAATCGCATTCGCGTGGCGTCTTCAGTGAGAAGATAAAAGCACTTATAGCCTTCCCGTGAGGGTGGTGATGTGAAGCCAAGGTCGCAGTGGAATCCTCGGCCAGGCTGTGTCTCGCGCTTCTGCGGGTCCTTCGAATCCAACTGGATCCGTATGATTCTGTGATTGGGTTTTGCTGCGCACTCCCAGTAGGGCTCGTGGCTTGAGGTATTTGCAGAGCCACACCTGGGCAGTGAACTGGCGATAACCGGGATCGCCGTTGCCGACGGTGCCGGGGGCGTAGAACAAAAAGGTAGCCCACTGCTTGGGCTTAATGGATCCATCGATGCCATCCACGGCGCCTTTGCGGTCTTCGATCTTCAGATCAAGAAGGCTGCGGGCCCATTCTTCGTCGACCAGCTGGTTGCTACAGCCAGTATCGGCACAAATACTGACGGTATTGCCGGCTCGGGCGGCTTCTTCAGTCGGGGCTACCTGCAGCTGCAAATAGGTGTCGCCGCCGAAGGAGTCAATTGATGGCCTACCCAGGTTGGTGGCCGTGATCACGTCTCCGCGGTATAGCGCACGGGTCAGTCAAAGCCTGCGCGCCCTCTTCTCTAGAACCTCCGAATATCATCACCTTTCTTACTTCGTACAATTTCAACAAATTGCTCAGGGCCGACGATTCCGATAGCAATCCTGAGGACCCCGACGCAGTCTACGAAGTCGAGCAGCTAGTCGGAAAGCGCGAAGTCAAAATCGACCGTAGCCGCGTGACTAGAGTACAATACCTCGCCAAGTGGAAAGGATGGGGTCACGAATACAACGAGTGGAAGAAGCTGGCTGATCTAAGCCACTCGCAAAGCCTCATCGACGAATACGAGGGTCGGGCAGGCAAACTTCCTGCCAAGACCAAAGGCCGGAAGAAGGCCGCAGCCCCGAGGGCACTACACCGGCCGCAGGGCCAGCCGAAGAGCCGACTGTACGGCGATCAGGCCGTCGCACAAGACAGGCTTGAACTTACAGGAAAGATGGCAATCAATCTATGGAGCGTTGGCGAGGGGCTACTTCAATAGAAATTTGTTGATATTGTACGAATTAAGAAAGGTGATGATATTCGGAGGTTCCATAGAAGAGGGCGCGCACTTGCTACTCACGCGTGGGGTCTGTGCATCACAGCTAGCGGCAGAAATAGGCACCCAGCCTGCTCCGGATCCTCAGCCCAAACCCCGAATGGATGCCTTGTCCACGCCAAAACACGTAGAATGTGGGTAAAGATGGTAGTTAAAGACCCGCCAAGACAAAACTCCGAAAGAAAGTCAGCGTTGCATGGCGGCGATAGCAATATTAAATAGAGGTAGGTAATTACATCGCCCCAAGACTTATAGAGTGTTTCTCGACCGGCAGAATACACCTTCTCCCAATTTACAGCAACTTTTCAGCGTCAGTTCCCGGGTACTAGTTCGTATTCTGTGCTAAAAATAGCGGGGTGCAATATGGCGGCTATATTGAAGACACCAAATCTCGAAGGCGTCTCTCCAGGGGTAGGCCGATCACTTCCAGATCCACTACCACCTTCACCTCGCCGTGTTGTGCGTATACATGAGCACTGGTGCCCAGTTGCACGCTTCTTCTTCCAGTCACCCTCAATTAGACCCCCTTGGCTGGTGCCTATTAGTCTACCATGTTGCTTAGAGGTTTGTTGGTCGCTGCCTCGTTCGCCATTCTGAGCCATGGCGTGACCATAATTCCTGGCGGTGAGCCAAAACCGTACACGGGAGCCGTCGGGGTTTCGTCTGTGGATGAGTTCTTCAGGCTGAGCGCGGGTAACGAGTTCCTGAACAACTCGGCAGAGGTGCTCATGTCATCCTTCGACAACGGCCCCCTCTCCAAGGACGATGGGATCCACGCCTCCGGAGACAGTTTCATCCGGGGAGCCATCCAGGCCTGGGGCGAGCACCTGCACCTCGTTATCCGACCAGAGGAGGTCTGGTTCACGATCCTCGTGCAGATGAACTTCTACATGAACGCCCACGCCGAAGATCTCCGAGACATGTTTGTCGACCACGACGGCCAAGAGCTCATCTACATCGAGGATCTCACCTGGCACGACGTCCTGCTCCGCTTCCAGGACGAGATCCAGTCGCGCGTCAAGACCGACTGGCTCCTAGACTGGCTCACCCCCAACTTCACCACGTCGACCGCCGACGACGCCATGACAGCCAACATCCTGATGATGGGCCTAACCAAAGCCTACTTCAGCTTCGAAGGCAGCATCATCTGCGGCCTCCCATCCGTCACCCTCCTCGGCACCCAATCCGACTGGTCCGCCCTGCTCGCCAAGCTCGACCGCCTCCCGGCCTTCGGCCCCGACCCCGCCGCCTACAAGACCCGCCTGACCCCGATCCTCTCCCGCTTCGTCTCCAGCTTCGCCGACCCGGACGCGCCCGCCACCCGCGCCTTCTGGCGCCAGATCGTCTCCGCCACGCCCAGCCACGTGTGCGGCGCCCCGCCGTACCACGTGTCGGGCTGGATCACCGGCTTCTATTTCTGGGACGCCGAGGGCGCCCCGTTCGCCCGCGCCGGGGAGGAGGGGGGGTTGGCTCTCGACGGCGTGACGTACCCGAGCCTGGACCTGACGCGCAACGTACCGGCCGGGTACGCGCGCGCGCCCCTTGTAATGCACGACTATGGAGGGGAGGAGCGGTTCCAGGCGTTTGTGGCGGCGGGTACGCTCGGGAAGCGTATCGTTGCAGGGGCGCCGGAGGGGTACGGCGCTGCGGTGGAGCGGGCTGCTGCTGCTGCTGGGGGCGCGGTGGTGGATGGGGAGGGGGAGGCCTACGAGGAGAGTGAGCATGGGACGCTCATGCCCCTTTCGTCGTGGATGCTGTACGGGCCTGTCGAGCATGATGGGCCGGAGCAGCGATGGGTGGCTGAGCAGGAGTTGTCGGACCTCACAGCGGCGATTAGGAGTAATTTCAATGAGACGCAGTGCGCCGCGAACGTTTGATTGGTAATTAGCGGTGCTCGAGGCGGTGGCCACTCCCCGGGCTTTTTAAATAGCATGGGAAATCATCAATTATTTCGACCTCATTGTCGTGTTGCTCGTGTGCGCGTCCAACATACCAAATGGAGAACAGATGGTCCCAAAGCTGCCAACGATTGACGGCGACGGCGACGGCAATAGAAATAGACAGCAATGGCAACAGCGATAGACAGCGACAGCAATAACGATAGACAGCGACGGTAATGGCAATGGCGACGGCAGGGCAAGAGCGACAGCAGTGGTGATAGCAACGGTGGCGTGGATGTTGATGGAGGGCAACTTTCCGTTTCTTTTTCCAAACTACTTTTTTATTCCATTTCCCCCTCTTCTTTTTTGACCCCTTGTGCTTATTTGTCCTAGAGGTTCTCCTCGTCTAGATGCATCTCGTCCGCTGCCAACAGCCTCTGGTTATGCATCCGCGCCCAAGCCTGCCTAAGCACCCGGTCTTTGCGACCCGTTACCACTAATAATATCGAAATATGGTCAGCAGTCCATCAGAGTAGAGCGGGCGGGATGGCAAGGGGCCACGAGAACACGGACCTTGTCGAGCATAGCGCTGAACCATATCCCTCTCGTTTCTGAAATGCATGCCACACGCGCGGAAATGATCCGCCGCCCTGTTTCTCTTGAGCGGGTGGTGAGTGAATATCGCATTCTGGCAGTTGGGGGACGGACACCTCATTATGAAGAGGTACTGCTGTTGCTTAAATGTGTAGTCGAAGACCCAATAGTTCGCTATCTTGGACCTCTCGATCGGGGGCTGCAGTGTCGGACTGCGTTTCTCGGAATACACCAGGTGAGGAGCTTGATGCCTTTGGCGGAGGCCACCCGTGGGCAAGGCGGGGGCAACGTTCTCGGCTGCGACGTTCTCGGGTGCGGCGTTCTTTGGGGCGTGATCTTCGATATTATTCGACTGGTCTTGGTTGTGGATCGGGAGTCGAGCAGCTGGCGGGTTGAACGCTTCGACGTCAGGCTGTTCACGCTTGACTTCAGGATGGCCCTGGCAAGGTGTGAGGCCAGGAATTATCGCAAGTAGGAACAGCCGGATAACATACCTTATCTCCATCAGCGGGATGTATGGCCGGGCCATTCTGCCCTAGATGATTTGGCTCCTCGGCAGGCATGTATGCAATGAGCACCCCGCCCTGATCGAAGACCACTTGTTCTGGCACTGAAACGAGATAGCGCTTGTCCCCCTCAAGCCTCTGAGCCGCGTTTGGGGTTTCAAGCGACATTTCGAGTATAATCTGAGCGCGGCGGGCAGCCAGACGCTGGCATGTGGCTTTGTAGCCGTTCACCAGAGAAAAGAGCTGCTCTTTGATGTCGGAGTCGGCATCGATCAGGCGCTGACTGAGCTCCTCGAGCTTTGCTTGGCCCATGTCAAAGGCTCGCTCTTCCAGAGCAAGGGCATAGAGACCGCGATTGTTCGCTTGGGACGCCATGGTGATGGCGATGGCGTTGGTGCTGCGCTGGTGCTGATGCCGGCGTTGTTGCACTATGCAAACGAGGGTCCGCCTTGTGAGAGATGAGTTTGGCGTCCTCGCCAGATACTGGCACTGGCACTTGCAGAGGCCAAGAGGCAGAACAATACTTGCAAGAAATACCCTGTGCCCTGAGGGGGAGCAGGCGGGAGACAGAGTCCCTCCTGTGGGCCAAAATGTTGCTATTACCCCCCTACTTGTTGACACATCAAAACCACTCAGAACGCTGCAGAGCCTCAGGACACCAAGGGCCGGGGCCGGGCGATTCTGACGGATTCATCCGTATTACCCTACTAATTACGCCCATGTGGAGATTGAGATGCACCTTTTCGTTCCATAGCTCTTGCATTATCTTGCAACCCTGGACGCGACCCTGCTGCTATCCGGAGCAATTGCTGTAAGTGGATGTCGCCAATTCGTCGGCGTGCATTGCGTGGCAAAGGTGTGGTTGCACAAGGTGGAGTGTTCATTTTGGGAACCCTGGCGACGTGGCTTGCATCGATGGCGGCCCTGCTTGACAACCTCCTTTTAGTGTGGTAGCCTTGTTTTCTCCTCTCGTTTTTTTGGAGGGGCGGGGATGAGTGGCTGGGGAGCCCCTGAAGCCGGTGACAGGGTGCGTGAGTAGGTACCTAGGTTCCCCCTCTTTCCTTCCTCAGAGCCTCACTTACACCAATATAAGATTGGTTAAATATGGTGAGATTCGCTCTGCTCAAGGTCACTTCTGACCGCCAATATTCCCTCTATACGAGTTCAAGGCCCCCTATCCGCCGTTTTCTTGGTTCTGCTTCAGCTGCCCGTGCTGGTTGACATTGGACTTGATCCTGCCATTTTGGTTGGTTCGGGAGCTTTTCCCCTGGGTGTTTGTTTGTTTCAATGCAGTTAACGGAGGCGTGAGTGCATTCAGCCACAAACTCCATCCTTCTCTCTCAGTTATTCCATGCCAACTAACTACCAAATCATCCCAGGACTCTCGGCATTGATCTGGGAAGCACCAGCTCAAGAGCTTTTCTGTGGTGCCCTGGAAACGGCGCCGAGCATCATGTGGAGAACAAATCGAGGAACAACCTAACCTCGACAAGATACGAAAAGGGCGATTTCTCCTCGACAGGATTTCCCTTTGACGACAACGGTCCGGTTTATCTAGGCGAGACACCAAATCCCGACCGCCAGTCCACGTCGTTAAAGCACGGCTTCTATCCATTGGCAGAGGCTTCGACGGATGAGCTCATCCACGACTATTCCCTCGTGCAACCATTATGGGCGAGGAGAAACGATCCGACCTTCCGAGCTCGGCTACTTGAGGGCTTGCGGGGACTTCTCTCAACCATCCAACGACGCGTCAACCAGATATGCAGAGCAAAGCGGCTGTCAGTTACAATAATCGGACTCTCCGTCCCTTCGCAATGGACACTTGAATTCGAGAACGTCTACAGAGACCTCGTCGTTGAGGTCTTCAACCACCCCCCTGCCGATATATACTTCCACACGGAAACTGAAGCACTCGCCCATTATCTTGTCAAGAATCATATTAACGAACTCAATGGCGTTACCGCAGTTGACGTTCTTCTACTTCTCGATTTCGGGGGCCACAATATGGTACGTTCTTCTACCCCAGCTGCCATGTGTCTTGGCTGATCGCAATAGAATGGCTGTCTCTTCTGCGTCGTATCCAACCAGGACGGGGATCCAAGCTTTTACGGCATAGGCAGGCCTTTTGGTAGGGATATGCTCCTTCCCTCCACTCAAACCACTGGCACGCTAACCCGAATTGCAGGTGCTGGCGGAGGGAGCGAGCAATGGGAGTACAACATTGGCACAAAGTGTGCGGAAATTATCAGGCGCGCCTACAATCACAGCCTGTCAGCAAGGAATAGACAGAGACTTCTCGATAACTTCAACCGAGAAAAAACAAACTTGGGTCCGGGAAACAGCAGGTCGGTCACATTTATTTGTGAGGAGAATGGCACACCATGGAAGGTGATGCTGGATTCCCAGAATATTGACCAATGCTTCGCGGACGCCCTTAAGGGGCCACTCCAAGTCGCCGCCGATCGCATCGCAGAGCTCTCCAAGATCAACGGGTCGAAACGGAAGGTCGTGGTTTCCGGAGGGACGTGTCGGAATCGAGCTCTCCAGGCGTATCTGCGAAAGCTCTGCAAGAACGCAGGCCTCCCAGCGCCTCTGTTCACTGACAGCCTCGAGATCAACTACGAGTGAGTCTTCGGTTCAACTTGATCACAGAGCACGCACGAGGCGTACTAACCTATCCAGGACCCTGAAGATTGCCAAAGGCGTCGCCTATGCTGCCGGCGGTAGCGGCAGTATCGAAGACTTCTTCCGTCGCGGGGCAGCCTTCGGCTTGCAGATGAGGCAGCGTCCCACGAGAGGCAACAGCAACCCAGATAGATTGTGGGACGATCGCGCATTTTTCCTTCTCGATAAGGTATACCCACCACGCACCCTTTAACTCCCCCAACGCCACCCCCATCTAACATCGTGAGAAGAACCACCAGACAACACGTCGTGTCTCCGTAAACGGCCGAGAGGAACTCCGAATCGTCTGCGACCCGTTCTGGGCCGAAAAGCATGACGCAGAGGAGGAGGAAGAGCTCCCCTACAACACGTGCTACAACGTCCTCTATCTCGGCAAGCCGACCCGCGGGTACTGGCTCCTGCGCCTCTCGGTGACCGGCAGTGGTGACTCGATGTCTCTGCTGCTCGAGGGGTCGCGGCAGCCATGTGGGTCGCGCAGGCGGCGGGCCATGGTCCCAAAGCGCTTCCCGCTGCAGTTCGACCGCGGGACCAACTGCGTCTACATCGGGGTTCGTGGCCACAGCCTCGAGGAGCTCGGGCTGGGCATGTGCCTGGATCCCGGGGACGGCGCGGACGAGGATGCCTGTACGACGATTTGGGAGGAGGAGGACCCGGAGCAACGTGGTTCGTCTGGGATCAGGACGTGGGACCCCGAAGAGGGTACCGTCCGTCTCGAACCAACCGAGTGGGGTGGGCTGGGGCTCGAGGGGGGGTCATTTGACGAGGAAATGAGCGCTCAGGTCAACCTTACATCGACTGCAGAGCACCGTGCCAAGCGATCCGGGTCGCTCCACCGTGCTTTGGTGATCGACCCGTCTGAGCGACGGCAACATCCATATAAGAGGCCCCCTGGGGCTACAGGAACATGACGGGCCAATTGTAGGTCCAAGTAATTATAATGGGGAAAGACGGCGAGGGTGGGTACAAACGCGTAATACCGCTGTCTGAATTATCTTGGCTTCACGTTTTGGGAAGTAGGGTAAAATATCTGGAGATGATGAAAAATTGTAGCGGCTAATAGGCTAAGCTATCGTCACACTGTGTATTGTCACCATTTTATTTGAACTAACTACCCAGCCTTATATGGAGGGGCAGTAAAGATCCTAGGGAGGAGCCGAAGCTGTGCACAAGCTGGGAAACCCTAAAATTGTATTCATATTTTCCTGCGTACTCATCAGTCGGCAGTGCCGACTCGGCACCGCTAGCCCTGGCCAGGTGGCTGTCTGTTTGATATTCTCTTCCTAATATTCGGGGCATCATTAGGAGTAACGCAAACATGCGGCTAGATTCTCGCTTCACAAGAGATACAGGGTTCAGAGGCGGAGGAGCCAATAAGCCAAACTGGGTCCATTGAGCCGCAGAAGCAAGACAGTTTGCCAGAATGGTTCGCCTAGACAACATCAGGTAACAGTCGCCTTAAGGCTGGAAGGAGCAAGTGGTGGAAAGAGAAACTGGTGCATACGTTACACTACTTACTAACAATTTTCTTGGCAAAGACAACTTAATATTGTTAGTGGGCGGGGTAACACATACACTGGTTATTCTTTTCACCACTTGAGGAGTCATAGATGGTCCCCTGTTTAGATCTGCAGGCAGTTGCCACCATGGACGCTCTGGCATGACATGTCACCTCCACCACTGTGTGCTAAGATGCTACCTCCACCCACCGCGAGGCTACGGGGATTGAGTGACTCTGCGAGACCTGGGAGCCACTTATTTGCATCAAATTCGTACAACACGTTCTCCATTGTCTCTTAAACTAATTACAGTTTCCTGATCCTCAATATGGTGAAAATTGGTCAAGATATTTAATCTCAAGTTTTGAGGCTCGCTGTATCTTGATAACGCAAACAAGATTAACCTCACATACATCCATCGCTGAACCAGGATTTGGGTTACCCATGATCCATGATCCATGATCTTCACATGCGCCTGCTGGCAGCCACATTTTCCCTATTTGGTTCGAGAAGCAGGAGGCCCGCCACTAACGAAGTTGGTGACCCTGCGGTGAGACACGGGATAGATAGCTGACGAAGAGCACATTACGAACTGTTCGAAGGCGGGAACGAGATGCCGAACTGAGTGGCTCCCGCTCACCTAATGAGGTGGCGGCAAGGCGGATATCCTTGACTCACTGGAGTGAGATCTAGACTGGTCCATGCAATGCATGCTCGTCGCGTCGAACTCTGCGTCCTCATCAACCCCGTCCACCCATACGATACGGTTGAGACAATTATGGATCAACAATGTTGCCTATGTGCACACCGCTCTTGCTTGGAGGGGAGCAGGGGCGCGTATGAGTCTGCAGGCCTGCTTCCGGAAGCCGTCCGCTCACCCCACATATCACACATCACGGTGATTAGTTTTCCGCTCGGGGAAGACTGCGTCACAGAATCGTCCAGTCCATGCATTTACCCCTGTCTTGGACCTAGACTAGCAGACAAACGGACGGCTTCTGAACCAAGCGGCCGCGTTGCAACGCACAGTACGCAGTAGCATTACAGGCAGAGGTTTACTTGCCCAACAAAAAAGCATGACACGAATCCAACAGCTAACTACATCCCTCCCAGAACCCACAACCCCTCCTCACGACCCACAAGCCCAACTATCAGCGTCGTCGACGTCCCCCTCCCCATCATACACCGCCTTCCGCGGGTACGGACAGACGGGCCTCTGCCTGAGGACCCCCGACGCCGGGTTCATGGAGCTCCTCCACGTCGTGGCGATGAGCCTATCGACGGCCCTCCCGCGCTCCACCCACGCCTGCAGCGCCAGTAACGCGTCGTGGTCCTCGTCCCGGAACCCGGGCACCGACCACTGCGACGTCCCCATCGCCCCGGCCTGCAGCGCTGTCCCGAAGCTCCACGGCGCGTCCACCGCCGAGCCCCAGCAGTGCTGCATCCCGGGCACGACGAAGTAGCGGAGGAAGTCGTCCTCTGCACCACCACCACCACCACCACCGTTGCTGCTGCTGCTGTTGTCGCCCAGCACCTCAGCCGTCTGCTCATAGTAATACGTCGACCCCCTCGCCGGCAGCAGCCCGTCCGCAGCGCCGTGGTACATTATCAGCTTCCCGCCGCGGTCGCGGAAGTCCGCGACAGCGCCGTAGTCGGCGGCGGTGCAACCTCCCGGGTCTCGGCGGGCGGCGACGTCGACAACGCTGTCGTTGTAGTTGTGCCAGTCCCATCCCGGGTCCCCGAAGAGGAAGAAGCGCTCGTACGCGAGCCCGAACGGGCTGGGCTCGTCACCGCCCAGCAGGATGCGCCACTGGTCCTCGGACCCGAGGCTCATCCCCGCGTACAGCCACGTGCCGTTGCCCGCCCGGTAGTCGCCGTAGATGGTCTTGGCCGTGGCGATTTGCGCCGCCGTCAGGCACTTCGATCGGCTCACCCCGGCCCGGCCGCACTGGATCCTCGAGAAGTCGAACTTGCACAGCTCCGGCGCGCTGACGATGCCGTCCGCCACCCCGTCGGCCGTGTCGCACTGCCGGACCACCTCGTCGCCGATGGCCGGGAAGAGCGTGTAGGGGATGTGCTTGGGGTTGTCAAAGGGCAGGTTGTTCTTGGCCAGCCACGTGACCCACGTGTTGAGGTGGCTGGTGTACCACGCCGGGGCGCCGACCAGGACGCCGTCGAAGCTGTCGGGCGAGATCTGCACCTCCTTCAGGCCCTGCCGCCCGCCGGTGGAGCAGCCGCTGTAGTACGAGTACGCGATCCGCTCCCCGTAGTACGCCTCGGTCAGGCGCTTCCCCAGCTGGACGGTGCCGTGCATGGCCCGCCAGCCCCAGTCGGTCTGGCTCTCGGGGTCCTGCAACGCCCACGTCAGGTCCCCCGGCGTCGAGATGTGGCCCGTGTCCGTCGACACGGTGGCGAAGCCGTAGCGCGGGCCCGAGCCCATGTCGAGCCAGTTGATGCCGCCCGCGAACCCGCCGTTGCCCACGGCGAGGAACTTGGAGTTCCACCCGCCCGACGTGGGCAGGAAGAGCCCGAAGCGGTAGCTGGAGCTCGGCGACGACGCCACGCGGACGGTCACGGCGCACAGCTCTGGCAGGGCCGTCGGGTTGGTCGGGTACGCAATGTTGGCCGCCCCCTCGCCGTAGCTGCCGCCGTTCTTGACGGCCGCGACGGCCTCGACGGAGGCGTTGGCGGGCAAGACCGCCTCGAACGTGGAGGCGACGCATTGGGGTTGGGCGGCTTTGCCGTCGTAGTGGGAGGCGGCGGATTCTCTGACCGCCACGGCAACAATGGCGCCGAGTATGAGAGCTGCAACACGGGTCATTTTATGTGAGTTTGTGTGTCCGATATATAAAATTAACATAAAGGAGTCTTCCCGCGTGGTGGTTGGCTTGGGCCAAGGCTCTCTCGCCCTGCCGATGGTGCGGGATCTGGGGACATGATGAACTGACCGGCTACGAGTATGCCGCCCACAATCCACCTCCTCGCCTTCTTCTTGCGGACGCGTCTCCTGAGCCGCTGACGCAGATGGCGCCATCGCCTGTCGCCGTCCTCTGTGTCTGTGAGATCTTCGACCTTCTCCATCTGGTTGGTAGAGGGCTCAGCCGGGGGGGCAGATCGGTCGCCCGTCAGCCGTGCATCGGCCAGTGCGAGGCGCAGAAGCCCCTTCGAGGGCGCGGGGTTTTGTCGATGGGAACAGAAGCAAGCCACGCTCGCTGGAGCCTTCCTCCTGTAGATGGTTTCGATGTCGGCGATGCTGCGATGTTGCGATTTCGTGGGGCGTGAGAGGTGATGAGGCGTGCGAGGCGCAGGACTGAGTCAATATTACTACACAACTGACATCGGCCAAGGACCAAGAAAATTCCACGTTTCGGGCGGGGTGCGTCCGTGAGCCGTTGCGATTCAGCCGGTATAGGGGGGGCGGGATGTTTGGAGTTTGGTACGCCTGCATGCAGGTGCGTCGTAATTGGCAATTTGTTTGGACCCGGATTAGATGAGCCTCCCGGGCCACCTGCTCTTCATCGGCGTGACGACCTGTTGATAATCATTCAGTTGCAAAGATGCCCCGAACTGGCAGGTGAGAGCAGTCGACTGCGATACAGGCCGGAAGTCGCATAGGTAGGTAGTCAAATGGGCGGACAGTTCTGTTTGGAGCAACATGGACTTCAACTAGAGCTGGTCAGATCAATTCATTGGCGATATTCCTAGACCTTCCGTCTATGGGAGTGACCATCCAGAGCTCTACACTCCCGGTAGGTCCTCATGCACTCATTTCGATCATCTCAATCCCCATCAACTTTCAACCCACTGGGCCACTGCGCCCATCTGCCTACCCTCGAATCAAAGCTTGAACAGGCGGACCTCCTGTCCACCGCTCTCCAAAATCAGCTTCTTATTCTTCCACCCGTAGAAGAACCTCATCAAAAGGCTCCCGGCCGCAACGACGAACAACATGGCCGCATTCGTCCAGTGCCCGGTGGGATAGCCAGTCAGCTTCTCCTCGGCCTTGTATATCCACACGCCGGGGATCTGCCCAATCCCGGCGCCGAAGCTGACGTTCAACGCAATAGCCAGCCCCACGGAAGCCGTGGAGTAGACATTCGAGGTCAACCACCCGAGCATGGGCGGGATACAAGAGAAGGCCCCGGCAGACGCCATGATGAGACATCCGTATCGGCTGGCGTAGTCCGTCGGGGGCAGGGCCGCAGATACCACGAACCCGAGAGCGCCAATGAAGGCGAGCGCGGCGCTGTGATAGCCACGGGCGTTGAAGTGATCCGCAGACCAGGAGACGAGGATCTGGACCACTGAAGCAAGAGAAAGACGAACGTCAGTGCTAGGCCTCAAAATCACATCACTAGAGTCACGACTTACCATACGCCACCGCGTAAGGCGGGACGGTCATCAGCTGCGCCGTCAGGTCCTTATACCCCAGGCCAGAGGTGATGGACGGCGTGAACAGCGACAGCGAGCTGAAGGGCACGGACACGCCAAAGTAGATGAGGTAGTGCCCGTACAGCCTCCAGTCAACGAGCGTGGCCCTAGCATCCCGCCAGGTCATGCTGCTGTGGCCGCTCTTGCTGCCCTCGACGCGCAGGCGGTACAACGCGATCTCCCTGTCCCGCCCCTGGAGCCACTCCTCGGGGTAGTCGGGCAGGACGAACCAGACGAACACGGCCGACAGGCACGACGGCGCGCCCTCGATGATGAACAACCAGCGCCACGCCGACAGGCCGCCCACCTGGTTCATGTGCCCGATGCCGTAGGCGATGGCGCCGCCGAACGCGCCCGCGAGCGTCGCGCTGGCGAGGATCAGGGCCACGCGGATGCTGCGCTCGTCCGACTTATACCAGAAGGTCAGGTAGTAGACCAGCCCCGGGAACAGGCCGGCCTCGCACACGCCCAGGAGGAAGCGCACGCCGGTGATGGCAGCTGGGGAGCTCACGCCTCCAAGCCCAATCGTGGTGGCGCCCCAAGAGAACATGAGGAAGGCCAGCCAGCGGGACGGGCGCAGCTTCTTGAGGAGGATGTTGCTGGGCACCTCGAAGAGGGCGTACGCGATGAGGAAGATCATCAGCGCGACGTTGAACTGGTCCTGGGTTGAGTGCGTCTCCGTCTGCATGTCATTGCCGGTTGCCATGTTCAAAATACGAGCGTTCCCAATATTAGAGCGGTCGAGATAACACAAGAAGTAGATGGCGGCCGACAGCGGGATGATGGTGCGATCCTGCTTCCATTTGAGCCTCTTCTCATCCGCTTCCGTAAAGGAGATGGTCGGCGTCAACTAGCACGGAGAGGCAGGGCCTTGTCAGTGTCTACCTCGACCTCAGTTCTCGACTTGGGACGATTCAATAGCCGACTAACCTCGTTGTTGGTCCCCTCGACCTTTCCGAGCTGCTCCGCCTTCTCCTGGTCTATCTCGTGGATCGAATCAGACGCCATGGTTGCGGATTTGCAACTAGATGGAGATAAAGCCGAGTCTTGGTTCAGAAGGAGATAAAGCCGGGTCTTGGTTCAAATTCAACCAAGAAGAAACAGTGTCAGACAGTTTTGTTGTCTCGCAAGGTTAATAGCAACATCTGCAGGAACGGATCGCCCCAGGAAGGAGCGATGATCCTCCCATTATATGTATACGCATATCTTCTCGGCGCCGCTTCATTTCATCTCAGCCGAATTGCAGTGAACCTCGTCCATCCTTGGCAACATGAGAGCTGTCAGAAATGTCTTGTCAGAAGATGCGGGGAACCCAGCGACTCGCTTGACTCTCTCGCCAGCCTCCCTGTCCGGACCGTTGCTTGATCCCTGTTGAGGTGCAAATATGGAAACGACCTGCCCATTGCGGTGGCGGGGCCCCGGATAGTGGTTGTGGTCATCGCAGAACAAAATGCCAATACCAAGGAGGCGTGCAGTGTGATTGAGGGAAAGGGGGGTAGGGGATTAGTTCTAGAACGTGGAGTTGAAAGGCCGCCCTGACCAATAATCGTTTGCCATCCCAGTGCTGTGCATCCAACGGCCAGACCGTATTCCCCCACCGAGGCTCAACTGTTAGTGCCAGGTACCTAGTGGGCCCACACGGCAGCCGCTTCCTATTTTGTACCAAACTCCCTTATTACTGCACTGTCATGGACTGAGCATCCCGGCGGAGAGTATAGATGGAATAACGTATGTACCTACTCGGTTCGCGTTTGCGTGACGATAGATCCCAATGCAGCTCTTTGCGTAGCGACCGCAATCGACCAACGGGCAATTTCTCAAGCCAACAAAGGAAGGGATCAGCATGGCCAAGCGAACTCTTTGTGGGGAGGCGAGTGACCACCGGAGTCTTGGCACGGAGGTTTTCCGCTCCCAAGCCCGGGACATGGTTAATTAGGGGCTCGGGGCGTGGTATGATCGTGTGTCTTGGCGGGCCTAGCCCCAGATTTGAAGCTGGAGTACCGATGCGCACCTCGGTTCTTCGCCCGGCTGGTCGGGTACGCAGTAGTTTGGCGCGGGGGTCATGGCAAGGGGTAAGCTGTCAGGTTTAATATAGACACAACTGGGTTCCAAGCCCAGTAGGCGGTAGCATGGTTCGATAGTCCTAGACCCGATAGGTGCATAGCACTGATACCATGCTTTGGCCACACCACACTCCAGAAGAAACTCCCTCCCACAAGAGTAATTACTAGATGAGGTAGGACACGATGTCACGAGAATTAATGGGCTTCGGGAAGGCAAGTGGAAATCACAAGATGGGGGGGAGGGGGGAGGGGGAGGGTGCAAGAAAGGGGAGAATATCAGAGCGGAATATCATCATCATTTATCAGTGGTAACCACGTCAAGGCCATGAAAACTGCACCCAAAGGCTGCTCTTGCTGCAGCAGGCTGTCAAGTCCCTGCTTACGACCGCGCAGTTATCATGCATATCACATATCTACGAACTATGTGTTTCTCGGATCTGGATTCGGTGTGCGCTCGTATTTTGCTTAAAGAGAAACCCTATCAGCCCAGAGCAGGGGCTCCAAGAACATCGTTAATCCTAGCATAACGATATGCTGCTGATGCCCTCTAATTTCTTGGCCATGCAGCTCCACCTTAAGACATGCTTGTAAGTCACCGTATCTGGACCAAAACACTGGGAGTAGACACGGAACCAATGCATAACCTGCGAATATGGTAATTCGAAGAACCGTGGTGTACCAAAGGACGATAAAGATGTTACTCCGATACTGTCGTGTCCCCAACATAACCAGCACCAATTCTATCAAGGGTACTGGTCTGAGGTGGTTCGCATTTTGTGTCAGTGGCCTTTGCCGAGGCCGGCATCTCGTTCTGAACGCGTTTGGTGCCCTTCTGGCCGCTGTTTGCATTGCCGGATGCCTGGTTGATAGTGCTGCTAGAGGCTTCACCCAAGGGAGTGATGGTTGGCGATTCGGAGGCAACATCCGCGCCGAAGCTGACCCCGGAAGAATTGCCAGAGCTGCTATCAGAAAAGATGGTGTGAGAAGATGGAGAGCTGATCCCAGACTTGGCGGCGCCCGCCGATATCCGGCCCAGGCTGAACCCTGGCTGTGCGAACTTGCGGATCTGAGGTTGGTCTGCACGCGGGGTCGAAGTTGTCGAAACTTGATTGGAAGCTGCTAGGGTATAATGGTGCCGTTTCTCTTTTCTAGACTTGACCTCTGAGGCAGGGAGAGGAATATTCTGTGGGGCAATGGGCAGAGGGAGAGGTTGGTTAAGAAGCGACTGCGTGAGCGACGTAGCAAGGTCGGCCGACATGTTCAAGATGCCGGTCTGGAACGAAAACGGACTTCCTTAAGGGTTGGTTAGCACACTTCGCCGGCATCCTCGGGGGAAGAAAAAGCTTACCATCGGAGGAACCAATTGTGAGATTCCCAGAGGTTGGAGTATTCGTGGGAACCTTGAGACCAACGTTCGAAGGGACACGGTCGTCCTCTAGGCTGGGTCCAGAAATATGCATCGGTTCCCCAAATGAGCCCTGTTTCGGGGGGGAAGGCACGATATCGGGCATATTCGTGTCGGTGCCGGACTTCTTGTTGCTATCCTGATTGTTGGCAGGCCAAACGGCCCTCCCGCCGCCAATAGTCGATCCGCAGTTAGTCAGCGAAGCGACCCAGTCGGCGTATAAGGGATCGTCGAACGTGTCTGCGAACGACGAGTCGGCGGTTGCGGGGACGTCTTGGGGCACGAAAGACGCACCACATGTGACAGACGGGTTCGGTAGAAGCCCCCCAGGCTGGGATGGGGGAGGAAGGCCCGGGGCAAGGGACCCAGGGAAACCATGGATTGTGCTGGGTTTCGTGGACATACATCTGCGACGAGGCGAATGGGTGTGCAACTCTGCACCGCCCTCGGGATAGGTTGACACTGGGTTGAGTGGAGGGCGGAGCCACATTGAAGGGTTCGGCCAGGCGATGCCGTTTCTCTCAAGGATATCTGGGTTCCAATTGTCAGCACAAGTCGGCCGCACATGGGACCAAAACGCAGTGACACCCACCTAACGGGGCGTGCTGGAACGAAAATGACACGAGATTCTTGACTCGCTCGATTGGTGCCGAAAGAGAGTCCCGCGGAAACCCTTCGCTAATGACGATCTTAATTCGGCCAATGTCGTCTCCCGGATTCCAGTGATCCTGGTACAGGAGCTCACAGCGGAAATGGGGGAACCTGAGAGGTTCATGTTCGCCGGATTTTGTCAGCTCTGTCCAGAAGATGCCTGTTAGCCTGGGAAGGAGTCGGGGTGTAGTTCGCCGAGGGCCTACCGCAAGTACTGCTGATGATATGCGGCCACGGTCCGTTGCGATCGAAGTAAGTGACACTGCGAGGATCAGTCAGTAGCCGGGGGAGCCCTGGGGGGGCTCAATGGAGACTCACGCAACCATGCGGCCATCGATCAAGACTCGGGCCTCGAATCGGGCGGATTCCGAGTGCTTGCTGTATGCCCGCGTAAACTGACTCACGGTTGGATGCTCCCAGCTATGGATTGAGATATGAAACCGGGCAGTGGGAGTGAGACTGGGGATGAAGCACGTCATGATCGGGATTTCGAGTGATCCGTGGGCGTGGGAGAGTTCCGTGTCGGAGATGACATGGCAGGCAACCCGGAATTCCTTGAGGGGAATCTTGGACTCCCAGTCGATGGGGAAGAGGAGCACGTCCCAATCGTCGTACCGCATGGTAGTGCCGCAAGGAAGGCCGTAGATATGATGATGTAGCCGCGAATAAACGATGACTGATGTGTGGTCAAGCAAGACCAAAACCAAGACCGGATGACGACGGGCAGATCACGAACACGCTCTGAAGCAACGAGGAGCGACAAGAGGTCAAAGTCAGGCGGGTGGGATCTCTCAACCTGATCCATTAGGTACGCGCATGCGGGTGGGATAGACTTACCTACCTAGGTAGGCAGGGGCGCGGACACTGCCTGCCTGCCTGGGACCGAGCCGTGGTCTGCGTTCGCGACTTCCCTGATGGACATCGTAAGTATCACTAGGAGGCAGTGAAATCTTGGTGCTTCCTGTTCCTCACAGACTCAATTTCCGGCCAGACTTAACCCACGATTGGCCTCTAAAGCATGATCGCGCCAGAGTTTGCAATCCAGAAATACCCACTTCAGGCAAGCGTATTGGGTGCTGGCGGGAGCGCCACCCGTCTAGGATCGAACCTTAGGTAGGTACCTACCTACCTACTTACCGACCACCTAGGTAGGTACTCGAGGGCTCTCAGTAACAGGTATGGGTGGAGACGTTGAACACAAAAGTGTCTTGAGCCTTTTGCCAGGCGAGAGCAAGGACAGGGACAAGTTGGTCACTTTATGATCTTGCGAAAGAGAGTATAAATGATAACAACCACCAACGTAGTTGACTATTCGGCCGACAAAGGAAACCCAGCATGGGCAATGGAGCGCGGGGAAGCGTGTCAAACAACCTAGAGATATCTGATTGCTATTTCCACGCACCCTCGATTCTCGACAGTACCCAAGGTACTTATGTATATACAGCTTGGGAAGTGTGCGGCCGTCTCTGGTCTCACGGTTCCGGATCGCCCGCTGCTCTTGCCTGTAAAGCGACAAGTGTTAATTTTGGTGTAGTATATCAGAGGGAAGAGGGATGGTTGGTTGGGACTTACCCTGAGAGCTCCTGACCCGCCCAATTCCTTCTCCAATCCACCCTCAAACTCTCGGGGATACGAAGCCCTGTCCGGATATGTGGCCTTTACCACCCAGCAGACGCCGAGGAAGGTGATAACGAAGGCTCCGAATTGCAGAGCTCCCTTCCCTGAAGAAACCCAAGTGTACTCGTGGGGCGTGAACATGCCTAGCATGTCATGATCCTCATGGACTGGCTCTCCGTAGTTCCTCCTCTCCTGCTTGTCCCACCAGTCGGCGTGAGGGTCGCGGAATTGCCTTTTGATGCGAGGAGGGTTGATGTAGCCGCCGGTCTGCGGGGGATTGTGAGCATTGCTATTGCGTCGTCGGACAGCGAAACGTCACCAGCGCACTTACCATTCCCGGATCCTCGGCATCGGAGAGAGTAGGATAAGAAGGATACTTCTCTTCGAGGCGGCCCCTGCCGGTGACTGAGTCGGGGAGGAAGGTTCGCTGTTGAGTGAGCGGCACAAGCCGGGCGGCGATGGTCGCGGTTCTGATGGGCGCAGCCCGCCCAATTCGACGGGACAGCATCTGGACCTGCCGTTAACAGCTGTAGAGCTACCCGTACATGCCAATTGAGACCTACCTTGGCTCCGTTGATGGCCCGCAATGCCGGTCGGATGGTCTGGTGATAGGTTGCGATTCGACTCGGATTTGATGTTGACCGAGCCAAGTGCAGTTTGATGTTGAGGTAACAGGTTTGCGTTGATTGGCGGGGTTTGGCTACCGATGAATAGCCGAGCGGTGTTGGCGCCTCAGGCAGCAACACGTCGGGCGTCCAGCCGCGAATTCTCATTTTAGGTTAGATCACTAGTGATCGTGGATCTCGTCAATTTTCAAAGTTTTGCTGATGACGAGTCGTGCCGACACAAAACACGCTGCAGCCAGCCTCATAGGATGCTGATCAGGCTGAAAATTCGACTAGGAACTTTCTGAATCGCTGCGGTTCTTCTGACCCTATTTTTATCGGGTCCAATGCCAGTTTCACGGAGCTCTCGGTCAATTTCCTGTCTTCCTGGCCGTCGTTACTATGTCAGAGACCGCGTCGCCCGGGCCAACGCAAGCAAGCTCGGGTGCCACCAACGGCGAAAATGGCCACGACGATGAACGACCATCAACCCCGACCCGCGAGGTTACGAGCCCTGTCATCTCTACTAATAATAAGACGGAGACGGCCATCAGCAATGATGGAAAGGACCTCGCAGCGAACCCAGACCCCCTCGAGACCGAACATCATGCCTCCCCACCGCCCGCAAAACGCCGCCGAGTTCGCGATACAACACCCCTCAGCGCGACACGGCGACCAAAGCCTGAATCTCCTCCATGGAAGAAGGTCGTTGCAGAAGGCCCGTCATCCTTCCGCGACGGTGGCAAGAGAAGGTCTGGACGGATCAACACAGTGCCTCTAGAGCTCCAAGCGGGGGATAAAAGAATAACGCGAAGGGCTCTCCATCACAACCTCCAAGACAGTCCCCCGAAGAACCCATACGCTTCGGCCAATGGCCGGACGCCTTCGTCCCGACCCCCCGCAACCTCCTCCAGTGCTTCGAAACGGCCGACTTCATCCGCGTCAAAACAGCCGCCACCCAGCAAGCCTCCGTCGCGAAAGGCAGTGGCCAGCGAGTCCAAGCCTACCCGAAAGGCCCCTCGACGCTCCCCATCACCCAAACCTCCAAGTACCCCGCAGAAGGCAGCCTCCGGAACTCGAAGGAGCGCGCGACACGCCCGTGACAGTAATGGAGCCGGGGATACTCCTCGAACGACGCCCCGGATCAAGCTCAAGGCTCGCCCTCCGCTCACGGAAGCCCCCCTCGTCCACCGCGAGCAGGCAAACATACGGCCGAAACTTGGACCAAGCTTCGAGGAATATTTCCGACGGGCTGCCGACATCCCCGTCGAAGAAGGCGGCATGATGACCGCTGACGATCTCCCGCGATATACCGACGAGATGGCTCAGTCCGAAGCTCGCACGATACTTCGGGTACAGAAGGAGGTAGAGCCGGGCGGTATCTTGTCCGAGGGGAAATGCTCCCTCTTCGAGCCCGAAGCCGAGGAAGAACCACCAAGGCAGTGGGCACATATGGATCATCTTACAAAAGCAATGACGAACTTCCGCAGGTTGCTATTCATCGAACAGCAGCGCCACCGTGCAGCCGCGAAGAAGCTGGCCTTGGCTTGCGAAGCTGAGTGGAAGCGGAGAAACCCACAGCCCAAGACGGCCGAGGATATAGAGAGGGAAGAGAGAGTGAAGGCCGAACTGAGGTGGAGACAAGTCACGAAAGCGATCACAGGTACTTGGGAGAATATCAAGGCCGAGGTCAATCGCCGGCGCCTGGCGGAATGGGAGGTGCAAGAACAGCGACGAGTCAAGGCTGCGCTTAACGAAGCCGTCAACCTCTCCGAGCAGAAGCTCCAAGCTAGACAAACACGCCTCGATACGGATGAGCTGACTGACGACATGGTTGAGGAGGGCGAGGAGGAAGAGGAAGACGCTGGTTCCGATGATGACGAGGACGGCCTGCTCTCTGACATCTCGATGGAATCTGCCGACGCTTCGGGCGAGGATGAGAGCAACATGTCGTCGTCAGATGATGACGAGGATAAGAACTCCGTCATATCTGACGAAGGGTTGACCCAAGAGCAACTGCTGGAAAAGTACGCCAACTTGCCCGAACTCGAACCAAAGGGCGATGGCGCAGACGATGTGCCAGGTGACGATATCGGAGTTGGTGTTGCAGAAACAGAGGCAGATGATACGAGTGACGAGTCGATCGACATGGACGACGACCTCGGATCGTCTGACGACGAGATGGATAGTGACGATGATGAGGATGGCTCGGAAAGTGACGGAGAGGATACGGATCAGGACGAGCCCAGTGGCCTGCTAGGGCTCGTCTTCGGCAAGTCCGAACTCGAAAAAATGAAGGTCGAGGCATCGGCAGAGCCAACAGAACTCGGGGACGTTGCGGATGTGGAGGATGTGGACATGGTCGATGCCGATACTCCTCAAGCCAATGGACAGCCCGCAACGCCGCTTTTGAATGGTGTGTCGGATGCAGCTGCCAGCACCACCGAGAATGTTGGCAAAGTTGGGGAGCCTGCAGCACCCGGTGAAGCAGTCCTACAATCCCCTCTGCCAACCTCTACGCTTAATGAAGCCACCGACCCTGTCTCTGCCTCCACGGCGGCACTCGAGCCGAAAATCGCGGGAACCACGGATAAAACCGCTGCCGACACGTCCATGACTGATGGCCCCGTCAATGATGAAGCTCCCAGTAGTCGGCAGTCGGTACCGGAGGTCGAGATCACAGCCGCTCCCATTAGCCCTGAACAGCCCAGTCCAGGAACTGATGCGATAACCACCATTCCTACGCCTTCGAGAAGTCAAACACCGAGAACCTCGGACACCAAAGCATCGGATGTCGAGACTACGGTTTCCGTTGAACTACTCGGTGCGCAGAAGCCTGACAGTCGCTCCATCTCTCCCCAGCCTGGGATCCCAAAGACCGAGATACCATTTCTTCTCCGGGGAACGCTCCGAGAATACCAGCATTATGGCCTGGACTGGCTTGCCGATCTCTACGCGAACAATACTAACGGCATTCTCGCCGACGAGATGGGACTGGGGAAGACCATCCAGACAATCGCACTGCTTGCACACCTCGCCTGCCACCATCAAGTATGGGGTCCGCATCTCGTGATAGTGCCCACCAGCGTTATACTGAATTGGGAGATGGAGTTCAAGAAATGGTGTCCGGGGTTCAAGATCCTCACATATTATGGCAACCAAGAGGAGCGCAAACGCAAGCGGCACGGTTGGACGAACGACGACGTGTGGAATGTCTGCATCACCTCGTACCAAATAGTCCTGCAAGATCAGCAGGTCTTCAAACGTCGGCGCTGGCACTACATGATCCTCGACGAGGCCCACAACATCAAGAACTTCAAGTCCCAACGATGGCAGACCCTGCTCGGATTCAACACGCATTCCCGGCTCCTGCTCACCGGCACGCCACTCCAAAACAACCTCACTGAGCTCTGGTCCCTGCTCTTCTTCCTAATGCCACCCGAGAACGGCGAGGGAGGCTTTGCAGACCTGAAAGAGTTCCATGACTGGTTCCACAAACCAGAGTCGCAGATTCTGGAGAACGGGAGGGAGCAGATGGATGATGAAGCCCGAGCGATCATTTCGAAACTGCACAAGGTCCTCCGGCCCTACCTCCTCCGGCGGCTGAAGGCCGATGTCGAGAAGCAGATGCCAGCCAAATACGAGCATGTCGAGTTCTGCCGCCTCTCCAAGCGGCAGCGAGAGTTGTACGACGGCTTCCTCTCCCGGGCCGATACAAGGGACACTCTGACCTCTGGCAACTATCTGTCCATCATCAACTGTCTCATGCAGCTCCGAAAAGTGTGCAACCACCCAGACCTCTTTGTCGACCGGCCGATCATGACCTCGTTCCGAATGCAGAGGTCTGTGCCCGCAGAGTACGGCGTCACGGAGCAGGTCGTCCGACGAAAGTTGCTGATGGAGAGACCAATGAGCGTCGCCAGCCTGAGCTTCCTCAACATGATCCCAACCAAATACGAGGGCTTGTCGAACACCAACACCGACAGGATCGCCCAGCTTAGCTCCCATCGAATCCTTCTGGATCTCAGGGACGCCCAGAAAGCGCGAGCTCAGTATGCCTATACATCCTTGGATCCGGCCTCCGTCAAGTCCAACCTCGTGTATCTTGAAAGCGCGGCGAGATGGGGAAGGTTCGAGGAGCTTCAGCATTGCGTTTACCTCAATGCGCTGCGCCGCCAACAACGGCCCATATACGGCAAGCGCCTGGTCGAGCTCCTGACTCTCGATACCGACAAGCGACCGTACAAGCAGCGGCCCAAGATACCGCAGAAGATCATGAGCTGGTTTGAAGAGGACTCCTTCCTGCTGCGCAACGCGATTCCCACGCTTCAGCAACGGGCCGAGTCGATGGAAATGACAGTCACCAAGTTTGCCTGCGTCACGCCGGCAGTTGTCACGCGCGACTTGGACAGCGTCCTCCTCAGTACCAGCGGTGTCCAGGATTTCGAGGATTGGAATCTCAAGCTCGCGGCGCCGGTGAAGTACGCGCCTTACATGCCCAGGGAGCCGCCACCGGATCCGTGGCACGAAGCACGCATGCGGCTCAGCATCCAGTTTCCCGACAAGCGCCTTTTGCAGTACGACTGTGGCAAGCTGCAAGCACTCGCCAAGCTCCTGCGCAAACTCCAAGCCGGCGGCCATCGTGCTCTGATCTTCACCCAGATGACCAAGGTGCTCGACATCCTAGAGCAGTTCCTCAACATCCATGGGCACAAATACCTCCGGCTCGACGGCGCCACAAAGGTGGAGCAGCGGCAGATCCTGACGGACCGCTTCAACCACGACACCCGCATCTTGTGCTTCATCCTCTCCAGCCGCTCGGGTGGTCTTGGCATCAATCTCACGGGTGCCGACACGGTAATCTTCTATGATCAGGACTGGAACCCAGCCATGGACAAGCAGTGCCAGGACCGATGCCACCGTATCGGCCAGACACGCGACGTGCACATCTACAGACTGGTCAGCGAGCACACCATCGAGGCCAATATCCTCCGCAAGGCGAGCCAGAAGCAGATGCTCGACGACGTCGTCATCCAGGAGGGCGAGTTCACGACGGACTACTTCAAGAAGCTGTCCGTCCGCGATGTTATCGGCACCAACGGCGAGGTCGTTGCCAATGAAGGAGACCTTGCCGCGAATGAGGCCTTGGATCGGGTCCTCGGAGGTGCCGACACGGGCGGCGAAAAGAACGTCGGCCGTGTGCTGGAACAGGCCGAGGACCGGGAGGACGTTGCCGCCGCACATGTTGCGGAGCGGGAGATCCAGCAGGACGATGCCGACTTCCAGGAGCAGCGCCAGACGCCCGGCGTAAGCTCTGGTGTGTCTAGTGCGAGGCAAGGGACTCCGAGGGACGGCGTCGAGCCCATCACCGTCGGGAAGACGGGCCAGTCCGCGCTGGGATTGCTATCAGTGACCGCCACAGATACTCCAGCCCAGGTCGAGGCCGAAGAGGTCGAGCTCAACGCCGACGGCGGGCAGATGCATACCATCGACGACTACATGCTCAAGTTCATGGTTGCCGCGCTACAGGGCACGCCGCTTGACCTGCCGAAGGATAAGAAAAGGGGCAAGAAGAGGGGAAGGGACACGAGGAAGCGTTGACGACGTAACAACAACCACACTCTCTGCCATGGCGTTTGATGGGATCAGTTTGTTTTGGGGAGGGGAGTCTCTCTGTACAGTACGGTTTCATCTGGCCGGGGCGATGCATCCATGGACGGGTCGTGAGAAACCTTTTGTTTTTGATCTTGGTTTTAATCAACGCATGAAATGGGGGGAGCATAGACAAGCGCGAGGGGCATGGGATCATGCATTAGAGCGATTGGTGAGGAATGCGCCGCACCCATTGCCGGAAAAAAAAGACGATCAACTGTTGTGGATGGGGACTGTATATTACAATAATGAAAGACAAAATGACCACATTCTAGATATTGAGGACGTCGCCGGGTTTCTTCAGCTTCGCATGAGAACACGGTTGTGCAGTTTGGTAATACCGGGTTTCTGGCCCTAGCTTTCGGTCTAGAGTATTCGGGGCCCATCAAAAACCCAGACCCTTCAAAGCCAGGTCGCGATCGCACGGAGCGATGAAGCCTAGGACTTGGTGTTGATATTGATGGGGGTGTGTCTAAAGAAGATGTGCCCCGCCACCTCACCCCCACTACTCGGTATATAGTTAATCCATCAGAGCCGCAGGAAAACTGAACTAGCCAACCAGGTTGCAGCACCTTTTGCGACCCCACAGTTTTGCCAGGACTTTTTTTCAACATGCAGATTTTCCACCAAGTGCCACTGACAATCTCTAACTCACTCACCGTCGTCGATAGCCAAGATGAGGTAGGTTTTTTATTCTCGCTGATATCTGTGGCTTGCTAACGAAGCGTAGGGTCGATCCCTGTTATTTCTGTGGCCGCCCGTCGTTCCCTTCAAAGGGAATTACGTTTGTACGTAACGATGGTATGCAATCCCCCCGACACCGCTTCCGAGATAGGCACCTCCCGTCTGCTTGAAACAGACACAAACTGATCTCAACTCTTGCACAGCCCGGGCTTTCAGATTCTGCCGGTCGAAGTGCCACCGCAACTTCAAGATGAAGCGCAACCCCCGCAAGCTGAAGTGGACCAAGGCGTACCGCCGCAACAACAACAAGGAGATGACGGTGGACACGACGCTCATGTTCGCGGCGCGGCGCAACGTTCCCGTCCGGTACGACCGCGAGCTCGTGGCCAAGACGCTCAAGGCGATGGAGCGGGTCGGCGAGGTGCGGGCGCGGCGCGAGCGGGCCTTCTACAAGCGCCGCATGGCCGGCAAGCGGGCGCGCGAGCTCGCCACGGCGCGCAAGCTCGTCGCCGAGAACGAGCACCTGCTGCCGCGCCTGCGCGGCAGCGAGAAGCGCCGCATCGCCGAGCTGGCGGCCGAGACGGGCGCCGACGTCGAGGAGCTGGAGGCCGCCGCCGCGGCACAGGCCGCCAAGAAGAAGTCGGGCAAGGCGTTCGGCGGCGAGGTGCGCAGGCAGAGGGTCCGGGTCGACGGCGGTGTCGAGGAGATCACCGAGCGGGTGGTTGGCCAGGCTGGGGACGACGACTTCGACGACGACGACGACGATGACGACGACGACGACATGGACATGGACTAAATTGGGGGTAGTTCTGCATGGCGGTCTTGTTGGTGGCATACACAAAAAGCGTTGGAATTACGATGCCCGTCGGACTTCACACATCCCCGCTAGCTTTCGTCTCTAGGAAGATCTTTTGGGCCGGGCGACGCTGTCCTCAATGAGACACGCCGAGCTGGCCTACGGCGACTCTGCTTTTTTTTTGGAACCCTTAACCCAACGTCGTGGTTTGGGGGCGGGCGTTTCTGGGCGCACATGTTTCCGGTTGTCTCTGCAATAGCTCTGGGCTTTCGCCTCCCTGCAATGCATATATGCGCAGGGATCATAGGGAAGCCTACATAACGCATGCTTCTGTCTCCTCCGGATTTGGGGACACGCCTCCGGGATTTCCCCTGATTTGATCGGAAGGATGAAGCTTTGGGGTTCGTGATCCATAGAGATCACACAATCTATTCGGGTTAGCATGAGGCGCAGGTAGATTTGAAAAGCTACATAGAGAATCAGATCCGACTTCTTGTCTGCTCCAGAATGCGGTCCTGGTTGATGTTGGAGTCAAGCCATGTTGATATCTAGAGTGCTCGATGTTGACTGCAGACAGATGCCCCTTGGCCAGACGTTGGACCGCGAATAGAGACATCCGCCGGTAGGTAATCGTCAAAGGTCCGTTCGAGAAGGGCGATACCCCCATCACACACCAATGAGGTTTGCCATGCGTCCATTTTGCCGCTTGTTAGATGCTGGCCAGATATATATGACCTCGGCGGCATGATAATCACCGTACATGTGGAATCATTCCACAATCGTGGTATATATATGTACAGTACCTGCCTATACCTACCTAGTTCCCACACCCATTCCGTTCAAGTAGACTTCACTTTTACCTCAGAACCAGGGTCTCCGCGACGTGTTACCGTTGAAAACCTTGGTGCTTTCCTCACAGGCCAAGCGACCCTGGCCTAAGGCTTCCACACCTTTACAATGAGCCTCAATCTTTCAATTCTTGTTGGCCGAGACCCAAAACTTCCGCCCAATTCACTCCGGAACCTCCCACGTTTAGCCTCCCTTTCCTTCGATATCGCGATTATTTTCCTCTTCTGCCGTATTCCGACACGCTGCATACTCCTAGGTCTTTACTCTACAATCACCACCGTAATGCCTAGCCCGCGTATCCGTCATCGCCAGTGGCCGCGGCGGCACCGGTGGCAGAACCTGAAGAGGGTCCTACCAAAAAAGGGGTTTACTTACCCACCGGGGTTTTCCGTCTTCGCCAACTCACGCGAGAGCATCGTGGTCATCAAAGCCATGTGGGCCGCCACCCCCGCCGTCAGGGAGTTCCGTCATGTCTACTCAGCCGAGGTAGACACAATGCTGGGAGAAATATTTGACCAAGCCTGGACGTGCCGGCAGGTCGTCCACCACATGGACGCCCGGCGGTTCTGGACCATGATAATGGGCCTGGTCTCCTGGTCGTGCAACAACAAGTTCATGCGGGCTGACCTACTCGAGAAACTCGCCGACTACCTCGTTCTTTCTCGGCTGCGATACCTCCGGGAGCCCAGAGGCTCGGCCGTGTCGCCCCTGGGGCAAACAGCCATCGCCGTCGACCGCTGGCTGGGTTTCCTGCAGGAGAACCACCCGGACCGCGTCCCTCGCCTGGACAAAGATGTGAGATACGACGACAACAGCAACCACAACGGCGGCGACGCCATGGAGTTTGACGACGGCAAAGCCAGCGGCAGCCGCGCCAACCACGAGGTCCCACCGAGTGTCCCGGCCGCTGGTTTCACCTTCACCCTGCCGATCGGCGCCCCGCGGTTCCCCCGGGGCGGCCACGCTGAGAAGAGGCAGAAGGTCGGTCGAGAGGGGCAGTCGGCTTCCGTCACAACCGGGGTGGAGGAGAAGGCTGAGGAGGAGGAGGAGGATCTCGTCCACATGACGAGAGACCTAACCCTTGGACGTTGATGACGAGGAGTGTCACCAGAGAGCATGTAATATCAGGTGTATACTACTAGGAACTAGGTTCTTCTCTTTCACAGTAAGGGTACTGTTTCTCCATCACTCCTGACCCCGTATCAAAGCCAACCCTGATCAACATCTGTTCCAGCATCCCTTCAAAGTTCTGTGCAATTGGCATATAGTGAAACGAGGCTCTAAATGATGGCGCTACTTGGGAAAAGAGAATATCAAATACCACAAGACTAGACTGGGAGTGCCGGCAGATTTGAGCCAAATAAATGAAGAGATGAGAAGACGAGAGAAAGCTACTCTCGACAGTTAGATTCTATACAAATGAACATCAGTCCATCCCACCATTTACAGGGAATGGGATACTATTGGGCAAACTAAGGACGAGGGTTCAGAAGCCTGATATTCCTTTGCTTATTGTTGCTATTGTGTCACTTCGATACATCACGTCGAACAAGGCCACGTTCCAGGGAATGCACGAAAGAGAATGAATCGACATGAATAATCCCAAGTAGAAATAAATGGGGATCCGATCCCATTCTGCTCACTTGCCAGCAACTATGTATTTATAGGTGGCCCACCTCCAATTACCTCTCGGTGGCTGCTTCCCTGCCTAGACACCTCTTCCAATCCCGCGCGCAGTCAGAGTCACCCACACTCTTGGTACCACAACTCCCCCTTGCTAAGAGTCTTTGGAATCTAAAATCCCTTGAATATAACCAGCGCCAGCTTTGGAAATGCACCCTCTCAACGAGTACGGTGGCGCGGAGAAAGTTCCTGATGTGCTGGAGCACGTCCCTCCTGATTTCAGCTGCAAACCGAAATTTCTAACTCTCTTCTTAGCACCTTGGGACCAGGTTTCTTTGCAGATGCTTCTATATCCTGCGGTGACAGGGAATGGAAAGTCCACAAGGTCATAGTTTGCTGCAGGTCATCGTGGTTGGACAAAGCACTGAACGGACACTTCAAGGCAAGCATCCCATCTTCCGTCCATCAAGAGGGTGCCTTCTAACGACAGATCCCTTGCCAAAGGAAGCAGAGACAAATATCATCGAGATTCAAGACATGGACCCTGCCCAAGTTGAGTGGATTGTGAAGTTCATCTATGCAGGGAACCGTGAGTTACGAATAATGGAAGACAGTTCTCTCACACGATACTTATGCGACATCAGTCTCTTTCTTGCGGCCGATCGAACCAGATCCTTTGGTCCCTACCCCCGAAGATTCCGAGAAGGTGTTGCAGTTGGGCTTCGATCTTTACAAGATTGCGGATTTTTTCCAGCTCGGCGCCATAAAGACTCTAGCCTGTGAGATGCTGCGCGAACACATCGAGGGGGTGGCTACTAGGTGGAAGACGGAGCACGACACGTGGCGTAGCGGGAGAAGAGAGGATGAACACCCAAACGAAATGTCCCCGGAGGTTAAGAAGCTTATGGAGCTCGCAAAGGCGGCATACAACCTTCCAGTCGGGGGTTTGGTCCGCTGCGCGAGGTATTCGTGAAATACTTTGTTGAGACACAGTGGGTGCCGCTGATGGATCATAGGGTTCACGGCCTCCTCCAAGACATGCCTCAGATGGGCTTCGATATACTCTACAAGCTCACGGTGTGTCCTTATGACAATGCTGGGTACCACACCCTGGCTTGCTACTGGCGGAATCACCCTGATAAGTCTCTGCCGACGGGAACCTGAACCCCAAGATGGCTGTATCTAGGGATTCCAGGACGACGCGAATGTTGAAACCCCTCGTCAGGATCAAGGGGTTGACTTTGCTGGACTTTGCGACATGTGTGCGAGGAGCAACAAAAGACTTTCCGGGAAAGGTCCTGCGAATGAGCTTGGAATCGGCATTGGAGCCCTAGGTGGAACGGACATAAGGTACGGGAGTCAAGGTGGGACTTGGTCAGATGGTATCAGAGAACTTGCTGTGGCTATACACAGGACAAGCGGCAAATACTGAGGAGGACTGGGGTCGCCCAAGGCCCCGGGCGGGAATGGAGCACCAATACCGATATTGGCCTGGCAGCTGAATATTTCAGGTGTAAAGGGGAACATAGGGAATTAATGACATTGCATTTCGATCTTCTCTTCTGAATATTATCATCGCGATTCGCCGTGTCAGTGCTTCCCTCCTTGTTAATCTGGAAGGCAATGCGTGGTCGTTATTTTTGGATTTGAGGCTCAAGAGCACTATCTGGGTGACGCACGGGCCCCCCGTTGGGCCCGGGACTTCCTTGGTAGAGTGCGGGGCGGAACCACTCAACCCCATCCATTCCCATATAATATCAAGCTTGACGTTCAATCATGGACGGTGGCCGCTACAAATTCCCGTCAGACCCGATCGCCGACCCGAGAGCCATTGTGACTGGGGGCCGGAACAGCAAATACCGCTTCACTGTGCTCACGAGCAGACTGCTTCGGTATGAGTGGTCCGAGGACGGGGGCTTTGAAGATCGTGCCTCCACGCTTGCTACCCGCCGGCGGTTTGAGGTGCCGGAATTCCGAGTCATTGATACAGACGGCCAACTTGAAATCGTGACGGATTTTTTTCATATCGTTTATGAGAAGAAGGAATTCTCGGTCGGAGGGCTCATCGCGACCGTTGGAAAAGAGACGTGGAGATATGACGGAGAGGACTATGGTAATCTTGGAGGCACTGCCCGGACTCTCGACGGAATAGACGGCCGCATCAGCCTAGAGCCAGGAATCCTATCCCGAAAACCATATGCAGTGTTGGATGACAGCAAATCCACCGTGTTCGATGATTCGGGCTGGGTTGCACCGCGGGTGCTGAATCGACAGGACGGCTATCTCTTCGCATACAATGGCGACCACAAAGCGGCGATCAAGGACTTCTATCGTCTCTCGGGAAGTCAACCTCTACTTCCTCGGTGGGCATTAGGAAATTGGTGGTCGAGGTACCACGCGTATTCCTCAGACGAGTATCTAGCCCTGATGGACCACTTCAAGAGCGAGGACATCCCGTTGACTGTCGGTGTCCTTGATATGGACTGGCACAAGGTCGACATCCCTCCAGAGTATGGTTCAGGGTGGACGGGATACACCTGGAACCGCGAGCTGATTCCGGACCCCGAGGGTTTGCTCCGAGATCTACACCAAAGAGGACTCAAGGTCACCGTCAACGACCATCCAGCCGACGGTATCAGGGCGTTCGAGGATCAGTATACAGCTGTCGCCCAGGCGCTCGACTTCGACACATCACACGAAGACCCTATCAGATTTGACTGCACCAGCAAAGCATTCATGGATGCGTACCTTGACGTGCTCAAATACAGCCTCGAGGCACAAGGGATCGACTTCTGGTGGGTTGATTGGCAGCAAGGGAACACGTCTAAGATCCCAGGCATCGACCCGCTCTGGGTCCTCAACCATTACCATTACCTGACCAGCCAGAGGAATCTCAAGTCCTTAGGACAGCCCCTGGCCTTCTCCCGCTTTGCTGGGCCGGGGTCTCACAGATATCCCATCGGCTTCTCCGGGGACACCATCATCTCCTGGGCGAGCCTCGACTTCCAGCCCGAGTTCACTGCCACAGCGTCCAATGTCGGTTACGGTTGGTGGAGTCATGATATCGGTGGCCACTACTGGGGCTCGCGGTCGAACGAGCTAACGGCACGATGGGTGCAGCTGGGATGCTTCTCGCCAATCCTACGCCTGCATTCCGAGAAGAGCCAGTGGAACTCGAAGGAGCCTTGGAAGTATGAACGCGAGGCGTACGAGGTCATGAAGGAGTTCCTCATCTTTCGCCATCGGCTGATCCCATTTATCTACACCTTGAACGTGCGGGCCAGCTATGAGAACGAGCCGCTCGTCCAGCCCATGTACTGGAACCACGACGAAGAAGAGGCGTACTCGGTGCCCAACCAATACTACTTCGGGCCCCAACTAATCGTAGCCCCCATCACATCCCCGCACAGCCCGGCGACTCTCCTGGGCGGGGTACGCACCTGGCTGCCCCCGGGCCGATACGTCGACATATTCCATCCCGGCCTCGTCTACGACGGGGGCCGCAACATCCGGATCCACCGGATCCTCTCGGAGATACCAGTCCTAGCCAAGGAAGGGACGATTCTGCCGCTGGACGCCTCACCCATCGTGGGTCACGGCGCCCACACTCCGACGGACATGGAAGTCCTGCTCGTCGTCGGCGCAGACGCGACCTTCGAGCTCGTGGAGGAAGACGAGTCCGAGGCGCCGCGCGTCCGGCCGTCCCCGGAATCCTTTGTGCGAACGCCCATCAAATGGGAGCAACGAACGGGTAAACTGACCATCGGACCGGCCTCCAAGCCCTCGGCGGGACGTCGGAACTGGACCGTCAGACTGGTCGGGCACACCTGCGGCAATGCCGTCCTGGCTGGCTCGGTGATCCGCAAGGAAAACCACAGCACGGTCGTCGAGCTAGGGGCCGTATGCGCGGCGCGGGGCATCGAGGTCGTGCTGGGAGGAGAAAGGGGGAATCCGCAGCTGGACGTGGTGGACGTACCCAGCAGGCTGCACGAGATGCTGCACCGGTGCGAAACAAACTACCAGATGAAGGAGGTGGTCTGGCGCCTGGTCACGCGCGACGACGCGCCCCTGCATGAGAGGACGGCGAGGCTTTACGGGCTGGATGTAGAGGACGAGCTCAGGGATGCTGTGCTGGAGATCTGGTTTGCGGATCGGAGATCGTTGCGTGGGTCGTGTGGGGGTGGCGGGAATGCTGTGATGGGTCGAGCCTTGGGTTTCGACTGCGAGGAGGATGGTTATGTCTGGGTCTGAAGAAGCTTTGTGCCGTTGTTGAGATAGAGAGGCTTTGTTCCGTAGGGACCAGGCTCGGAGATTCTGGTGCGAGGTAGAAAATGGTCGAATTTGGCTCCCTTTTCCTCTCCTGGTGCCTGGGTTGGGTGAGATGTTCTCGCATCCTCTGATGCCCTTCTGTTTCCGCCTATAGATTCCCAAGTTTTGCCAGTTTGTAGTCTTTGGCGATGGCAACGTTGTATTTGGAAGAAGAAAGAAGGGGGTAGAGGAAAGCAGATTCTATCTTCCGTATGTTCTGAATGTTTCGAAACTGACTGTTGGGAACCTAGAACCGACGATTCCCATAATTCTCTTTGTAGCACGAATATTACCTTGAAATGTGCATTGTACTGTCTATTCTTTAGTCCACCATTATGTTCTGACAGGATGCATCTCAAGGGAATGTTGATAATTCAATTCAGATGTACAGCTTGAAGCCTTCTAACAGTACCTCGGCCACGACATATATATAGGTAGATGATTCCATCATGAATAGACAATCTCCAACACTCCCAAGCCGAAATCAGCACGCACTCTGGAAACCATGTCAATCATCACTGCTTCGAGGCGGGGCGGAGTTTTGGGGCGGAAAAAAAACGGCGCACCCAAAGCCCCTGCCGTTAAGGAGTTCCTTCAATCGATTACCGTTAGATCCCGAATAGAGGAGCTAACTCTCACTTTTCCCCTCGACAAGTTATCGACTTTGCAACGCCAAGCATGGGGAATCCGACCATCGGCGACCTCGGTCGTCATCCACCTGATGAAAGACATCCTCTTCCACAAGAAATTCGTGGGTTTCTGCATACACATGCCCCCGGACGACGGAGAAAATGACAACAATCACCGATACCGGCCCGCCCACACCTCATGGACCAACGCCAAGATCTGCTCGGGGAAGTCCAACATCCTCACCTACATCCTCGACAGGGAAATCCACGACCTGCTGAAGAAGACAGACGAACCGGAAGACGTCTATCGCAAGGCCAGTTCCATCATCTACTCTGCCAGGCCGGGGGCGAAATGTGTTGTCTGCCACCAGCCATTTGGCGAAAGGGTAAGGCTGTGGCGGCCTCTACCTTGCAGCGACGACTGCCGGGAGATATTCAACGGCAGCTCCATCGACACGCGAATCTCTCCCTTGATCGGCGATCCGGTGGCCCTCGACTTTCTTTTGAGCTGCGTCTACCAGGTGGCGCTGAATTGTGGCCCCTTGCCATCGGATAAACGTCTCCCAGGTTGCCCGATTCCCCTGAATATTTTGAAGACGGTCATTGAGAGTTTTCCCGCCCTGTCATCGGAGACTAAATGGGACGAGGTGCTCGACGACGACATCGACGAGGGCCGCAACCGACGCAAACTCTTGTCCTGGCTCTCGGGGCGCTTCGAGGGCTTTCTCTCGTCGTCTCCGAGAGTGACCGGAGTGAAGGGGTGTGGCAACGCGAAACAGTTTCTGCTCTTGAACTCCTCCGTCTCACGGGAGGTCACGTTTTCGAAGCAGAAAGGGACGCCCAAGGTCGCTTTCCATGGAACCAGGGCGTCACACGCGTTCGGCATTATTTCCGACGGCTTGAAGAATTTGAGCGCGGACCAAAATCCCGCGTACGCCTTCAGAGCTGCGGGCATATACGTCTCAAACCAGGCCAGGGTTTCCCTCCATGAATACACGAGCACCTTTACGGGCTGGGAAAACAGCCAGTTCCAGTCTGATCGCATCGTATTTGGCTGCGAATTGGTTGAAGAGGGATACTCCAACAAGACGCCGCAGTACCAATACAGCTTCGCCAATCAAGCTCACATCATGATACGATACGTGTTTTTGGTCCCGGAATCTGACCTGCCCAGCGTCCCTGTTTATGGAGCATCGTCGGACCCTCCCTTGAATAGGAAGCGTCGGTTCCCCCTTGGCTGGGCGCAGGAACTCGAGAAAAATCTTCGGGTCCTTCACGACGACGATATTCTCTGATGGCTTGCGCGGCCCCGTCAACACAAGCGTCCTCACTCATCCCCGGGTCAACGTGGCAATTCTTTGTGTGGATACTGTGACTTGGGAAATTACGAGGAGGAGAGTTTCCATTCCATTCACCCCTCGATTTCACCTTTGAAGCTGCGATCGAGATTATGAGATGTTGATACACGCCAAGCCCCAGGATTCTTCGACAGTGGAATCATGTACCATAGTCACGGAGGGACGAGATAGGAACCAGAATGACGGAACAGATATCAAAACAAGAGACAGGATCTCCAACCAACCAAACCCCCCCTTCTTTCCCCTACCTCCAACAGAAACAAAGAAAGATAGAAAACCCACACATAACCGCTCACTTCATATTCGCCAGCAGATACCCAACCCCCGCAAACGCCTCCTCCCCGCTCGGCAGGATCTGCGCGGCGGGCAGGACGAAGCCGTAGGCGCCCGTGTCGCGCAGCTCCGAGGTGAAGGTGTAGTCGGCGCCGACGACGTCGGCCGCGTAGTCGACGCTGCTGCCCGTCGCCTGGTAGATGGTCGAGCAGATGGGCCCGTAGTCGAACCGCACGCCGTGCACGGCCCGGATCGCCGCCACGGCCCCCGCGGCTAGGGATTGCAGCTCGTCGTTGTTGGTTGCGAGGGCGGTGCAGGAGTAACCGTATGCTGGGCGGGGGGAGGGGGAGTTAGTCGGGGGGGTTGGGACTGGGACGGGGAGGTATGGTATGGTATGTACACGCTGGGAATACGTACGGGTCATGAATAGCTGGGAATAGGAGTGGTAGTCGATGTAGAGCTTGAGGCCCTGCGCGTCCTTTGTCTTCTGCAACCATGATGAGAGCGCGGTGGTTTCCGGGGCGTCCGATTGATCCTTGCCCTTGTAATCTTCGGCACAAGGGTTGGTCGAGGCGCCCCCTGGAACGGACCACTGGTACGGCCAGTTGCGGTTGATATCGCGACCGGTGCACGAGCTGCCCGTGTTGGCCTGGCGGTTTTTGCGCCACAGTCGGTCCGTCGTCTGGGTGTAAATGAAGCCTGGTCAGAGGTTAGCCGCAGCTCGAGACAGTGTTGCCAAATAATGGTCTTACCATCCGGGTTGACGACGGGAAAGGCGTAGAAGTCGTATTTGTCCATGAAGCCCTGGATCTCGTCGGATGAATTATAATTTGTGAGGAGATTGAATCCGAGATATTCCACCACCTGTCGTCGTTCGTAAGCGTTCTTAGGAGGTGAGAGCCAGTTCACGAACCATGGTTGCGATCCACTCCCGGGCATGGACGGTCCCGTGGAACACAACTGCTGGCTTGACACCCTTGCCAGAGCTGCCGAAGAGATGGATACCGGTAATCGCATTTCCATTCAGCGAATTTCCGGCTGTGACAATCTCCGAGTTGGAAGGGTATTGCTGTTGTAGGTCGTTCAGAAATTGCAGATGGTCACTGTAAGAGTGGTATGAGTTGAACCATGTCTGGTTGGCAGAGCCGGCTGTTCCATCCTCGTTAGCTCCAATCTGTCTCGTAGGGGGTATGGACTGACGCACCGGCATAGAAATTGAACGCCGATTCCGCTGCGATAGAAGCGCCGAGATCCTCGTGCATTACAATAGCATCCATGCCGACAACTACCTTCGAGAATTCTTCGAACTGCGCCGGTGGAACGACAATATCAGCAAACGCGCCGGCTCTGGGCGCCCCCTTCCAAGTCGGCAGATTCAACCTGGAGACAATGCCATTGAGTTTTTCGGCCTCCTCACCAACAGCGAGACGCAACACCTTGTATCCATCATAAGACACCCTCCGAGGTTGGACAACAGCGGCAGAGGAGAAGGCGAGAAACAGAGAAATGGCTGGAACTGGCTTCATGTTGACGGCTACCGAACCCACGAAAACAATGATATTACAGAACGGAATCGAATTTATACTTGGTCATGACCCTTTTTATCAGCATCTAACACGGGATTCAACACAGCGCGGTGCAGCGTCGTATAAGTGCACTGGCCTCGCAATCAAACAACCTTCCCGTTTGGGCGGGCTCGTGACAACGAGAGGATGCAACCCTGGTTAACGGGCAGCAACCAGAACTATTAGCTCGAGGCCCGACGAATGAGACAATGGAAATTATTGTCTTTCCTGCAGTTGTCATCGGACCGCTGCAACACAAGATCTTCCTGCGCGATAGCCCGATGCCGGACAGGGGCACATCGCCGGCATACGCCATCACCTGCCGGATTAAGTTCTAGAACACCCACTGCCTCTGACACAGTCCTACAAGAGAAGGTGCGCGATTTCCAGCGGCATGTGAGGGTAGCGGAATAAGTGGACGCATTCGAGGGTCACTACCCTTACCTGGTTACGTTCATCAATTATGACAATGTTAAATCCTGACTTGGATGATCGTGAGTGGGGAGTTCTCGTTGCTTTTGACGGACGGACTAGATCCAAAATCAAGCCGGCTCCTGGGATTTCTCAAAGAATTTCCTCCCGAAAGGATTTTTATATTCCATTCCGAAGAGGCTTTCATCTGAAGGTGTCATGCATGATAATTGCTTATGTTTGGCCTTGCAATAGAACGCAACTCTGCTCAAATGTAATTGCAAGCTAAAGCACTCTTCGAAAGCCGTTCTGATCGGATTCGGCAGACTGGTCTGAGCATTTCCCTTTCCAACCTAGATAGCTGCTTCCAACTTTGGCTTCACTTTCAACGTGTTTAACGATAGAGATCGTCCGCAAAACGGCCGGGAGAGCCATGGCCCTTGTCACACCCCATGCAGATTGCCACGATTTATGTAGGGGATTACTGATATCATGCAGATTGAGGTAATAAAGGCGGGGATGACAGAACGTATGGAAGATCGCCATGATTACTTGCTGAAAGCACTCCGGATCTGACTAAGCCGTTTTGGCTGTATTTTTTGGGTATCTTTGATGGTCCCAGCACTTTTGAGAACACACCGAAGATCACACAATCAATTCACTGCATTCTGGGCCTGATTACGCCTAATTCCACAGAGCTTCTGACAGAACCTTCCTCTCTAATCATTTTCCTAGCTGATTGTCTTGTAACCTCCCGTTGGTGTGCTGAGCGTATCTTATAGGTGTGTTTTCCGTGCCCGATTGGCACCGTAACTGTAGCTGGTTGGTGCTACAGGGCAGCCCGTCCGTCCTCGACCCTTTTCCTGTTCCTGAGTCTAGTCACGTCACAATATGTTGGCTCTTTGTCTCCCCATTACCCTCGAGCCGAATGTGCTGACCTGTTTTGACAGGCTATCGACGAGCATGGCAATTGTATCCTTGACGCTATCGGGCATCATTGCTCTAGTCGGCTATCTCATATACCAACAGTCGAACCAAAGGGGTCAGCGTAAATTGCCTCCCGGCCCTAGACCTCTTCCAATACTAGGAAACATCAAGGACTTCCCCCCCGATGGTACGCCCGAATACCGACATTGGATAAAGCACAAGGACCTTTATGGTGGCGTTAGCTCCGTGACGGTTATGGGAATGACGCTCGTGCTAGTCCATGACAAGAGGGCGGCGCATGAATTGCTAGAGCAGGCTGCGAGCAAGACTTCGGGACGGCCCACAATGGTCATGGCGAACAAGCTGTGCGGCTATGAATCCATCGTCCTTTGCCAGGGTTACAATTCCACCTTTCGCCGCTATCGCAAGTACCTCCATCAAGAGCTTGGCACCAAGGTCTCTGCAGCGCAATTCCGCGATGTCCAGGAGTTTGAAGTGAAACGCCAGCTTGTGCGGACGCTGAACGAGCCTGAAAAATGGCTGGACCACTGCAAGAAGTAAGCTTAATCGTATTTCGAGTTTGGGGGTATACCAGAAACCAGAACTGAGGAGATCACAGGACCACCGCCGCTACCGTCTTGAAAATGGCCTACGGCTACACCATCGAGCCCCATAAACCTGACATCTTGGTTGACTTGATCGAGAAGATGATGACCGAGTTCTCACTCGCTGCTGTTCCCATGGCTTGGGCCGTCGACGTTATCCCCGCCCTCCAATATCTCCCTGAAAACTTCCCCGGTGCGACATTCAAGAAGACGGCTCGGAAGTGGCGCAAGTCCATTCAGGGGTCAGCATATATTCCATACCGGTTTGTCCAGCGCCAGATGGCTGCCCTCACCCACCGGCAGTCGTACGTATCGGAGCTCGTCCGACAACTCAAAGAAGAGGAGAACGCCGAGCTAAGCAGCGAAGATGAGGACGCTGTTGTTTGGACAGCGGCAAGCCTTTACGGTGCTGCCGCGGACACTACAGCGATCACTCTCACCACCTTCACCTTAGCCATGGTCAAGTTCGAACATGTGCAGCGTAAGGCTCAAGAGGAGATTGATCGAGTTGTTGGCACAGACCGTCTGCCCACCTTTGAGGACCGCGAGAAGCTGCCATACGTCAATGCCTTGGTCAAGGAAGCCACGAGATGGTGGCCCATCGCACCAATGGGCTTCCCTCACACGGCTACCGAGGACATTGTATTCAACGGCCTACGCATTCCCAAGGGCGCATACCTCCTACCTGCCGTCTGGTGGTTTCTGCACGATCCTGAGGTATATGCCAATCCAGAGTCGTTCGATCCCGATCGCTTCCTTCCGCCGCGCAACGAGCCCGATCCCACGACGGAGGCTTTCGGCTACGGGCGCAGAAAATGCCCTGGACGGTTCTTTGCGGACTCGAGCCTCTACCTCAACATCGTACAATCGCTGGCCGCTTTCGATATCAGCAAGGCCGTGGGCAAGGATGGAAAGGAAATCGAGGTGGATGTCAAGCCGAAACCAGGCCTCCTGACCTACCCGACTGAGTTCGAGTTCCAAATCAAACCGCGAAGTGGGAAGCACACGGAGTTGATCAGAGAGCTTGAGCGGCAGCATCCCTGGGAGGCAAGCGACGCTGAGCATCTTGAAAGCATAGAAGATTTCGAGGTCATGTACTAGCAACGCGCAAAGCCGTGTGAAGATGCTTGCAATAACGACGACCTTGTCGGGCGTCGGACCCTACGTTTTCACACCATCGGCCGTTCCGGAACCCGGAATCCAAAATGGGTTAACACTTAAAATGCCGCTCAGGTTGGGGTGCCGTTTACTTACAAATGCCATACTTCAAGGTCTCAGGCGTATTCCGCCTCGATCTTCGGCCCGAGGATGGCACGCTTAAGTCTGTGTCCACCGAGGGGAACAAGGAAGAGAACGTGATGGGTGCGCAGATGAGGTGGTGCTGTATGCCTTTTCTGACTCTGGACGAGGACTCGTTTTGGAGAGACCTATTTTGGTCCCCTCGGCCAGAGTTGAAGCAATTTTCAGTCTGGAAGTTAGGGTGAGCAGGGCCTGAGCAAGCCCGCGTAAGAACGGCGACCCACCACGTAGGCAATCCCAGGGTGTAGGCGACTAGATTCGTCTCATCTAACATAGGTAGGAAAATATCAAGGTCAGGCAAATGCAGGCATGGAACTAGCATGGATACATTTTATGTATTTGATCAGGGAATTCAATGATTGCCTAGATGTGCAATGGTCAATAAAAAGGGAAGAAGAGAAAAAAATAGGAAAAAAATGAGTGGTGTAAGGATCGAATGCCTGCCTTCAGGCGAGACCCAGAGGTGGCTGTCGTAGGTGCGTCGGTCAGCATCAAATTTGACCATTACACCACTCTGTGACCTGTGTTGGTTGCTATACCATGCCACTTAACTTGTTTATCAACCCTTATTCTGGTGCGACTGGGATGGGGCTACCCAAGGTGCTGAGAAGTGAATCACATACACCCCGTGATCCCTATGATCTCGGGTTTGTTTTGATGATTAGTCATGCGTTTATCTGTTCCCAAACCAGGATGCCCTTCAATATTTGGGACTGTTTTCTTATGCCACTCTTCAAACCCCACTCTTCGTGTCTGCTGTCCTCGGCGTATCCGTCTCCCGCTCCTCCGTCTTCGGCTCCCCTTCAACATACGGCGGGTCTTCCTTATACACCGCATACTTGTACGCACTTCCGGGATGATCATCCCTCAACCCCTTCTGCCCCTTCCCATATATCTTTTCCCGCGCCGTCAACTTTTCCTCCAACGGCTCTGGATACAGTCCCCGTCTCCGCAACTCGGGAATCAGTAGATCTACAACCTCCTCAAACGTCCCCGGTGTCGTGACATAGGCAATGTTGAACCCGTCCAAATCCCCCTCCCTAATCCACTCCTCCATCTCATCAGCCACCGTCTGCGGACTCCCAACCGACACGGGACCCAGCCCACCAATAGCTGCCCTCTCAGCGACGACCCGCGGCGTCCACTCAGGCACGTCCTTACTCGTGGTCGTGAACGCGTCCAGTATACTCCGCACCTTGTGCGCCTCCAGCGAGTCCTCCGCCGAGATCTTCCGATCGATCGGGATCCGCGACACGTCGACCCCCGTCCACCCGCTGAACAGCACCAGCCCGCCCACCGTCGACGCGTACCGCCGCAGCTCGGCGTGCCTCTCGCGCGCCTCCTCGTCCGTCCGCCCCACGACCGGCGTGAACGTCGCGAAGAACTTGACCGAGCGCGGGTCGCGCCCCAGCTGGGCGGCGAGCGCGCGGATGTGCGCCACCTTGGGCCGCAGCAGGGCGGCCGAGTGGGACGACACGAAGACGGCCTCGGCGTGCGCGGCGGCGAAGGCGGAGCCCGCGGACGAGGTGCCGGCCTGGAAGAGGAAGGGGGTCCGCTGCGGCGTCGGGTCGACGATGTGCCGCGTGCTGAGCTCGAAGTACTTGCCCTTGTGGTTGATGGTGCGGATCTTGGAGGGGTCGGCGTAGCTGTCGTTCTCTGGATCCGGCGCGATGGCGTCGTCGGCCCAGGAACCTTCCCATAGCCTTTTGAGTGGACATGGTGAGCACTTTGCTTCTTCTTTCGGGCGCGGGGGCCGGGGGCTTGGCTACTTACTTGTACAGGACTCGGAGATACTCATCTGCTTGGCGGTAGCGTTCGTCGTGCTCGATTGGGTTGTCCAGGCCAATGGCCTTGAAGGCTGCCTTCTTCCAGGATGTCACAATGTTCCACCCGATTCTTCCTTTGGTGAAGTGATCCAAGGTAGAGAACCGTTTGGCCAGAAGAAAAGGGGGCTCGAATGAGGTGGAAGCAGTTATCCCAAAGGCGAGATTCTTCGTCACAGCTGCCATAGCGGAGATGGGCTTGCTTCTTTGTCAGTTCAAGGCTTCCTTGCTTTGACGCTGGATGAGTGGGACACGTACAATGGTCGGATCCGTAACTGGCCATTGGGCTGCTCTCCGGATGCAATTGTCTAGGCTTCCTTCGTATGTGTCGTAGCCCCCGTAGGTGTCCGCCAGAAACAAGGCATTAATACCACCGCGCTCAAGTAGCTTGGCGAGTTCGATCCAGTATTCCAAGTCTCGCTTTGTGGCCGACTTGTCCACTGGGTTCTAGGTTTTGTTAGTCGGGATTTCTTGAGTCAATCACTAGTCCCACATTTCCGGATTGGTCTTGCCTTCCATTGACCGGGAGATAGGTGGCCTATAGTTGACATGTCGAAAGCGTTGAGAAGAATATGTTTCTTCCCATTGCCCAGATCATGGGCGCGGTTTGCTTCCGGGACAGGAACATCATTCTCCGCCATTCTCAGAGATATTGTATCAAGGTTATTGTCCTGGCAACCTCGTGGCGATTCTGAGACGTGAGAACTTGAACTCGCTTGTTCTTAGTCTTCGGCGTAGGGCGAGATTTGAAGATATACTAGAGGCCAAGATACCCGACTAGCAAGCCAGACAAACCAAGATGAAGCAGGCATAATATGTCTCTGTATTGCAGTCTTCTACCATCGCTAGGCCGTATTCAAATGCAGCGTTCCGACAGTCGGCTCTAGATGTGGGTCAGCATCCATCGTTTCGCGATGCACACCACCAAAGCGGGGATGGTGCAAGCAGGGAGATGCCACCATATAGAGGGGCATGACGTGATGCATGGCATTCATCCAAGCCATTGAGACCCTTATCACGCAATTACAGCAAGTTGCACACTTGTTTGTTAAATTGATAATCCGGTGAGGCTTTTTGTCCACGAGAAAGCCCTTGAGATGCAGTCTCTTGAGACTGAATCCCCATAATTAGGATACAGTTTTAGAAAGTCATATTCATCTCCATTGCGTCCATCAATCTCGGCGCTTTACCCGACAGGCTCCTGCACTCGTCACTGGACTTCTCATCAGCTGCGACGGCCTTGAAGCCATCGGCCCAGAACCGCCACCTCTCCAATGAAAGGAGCCCCATGCTGCGTTTCTCATCCTTGAGAAGGCTACCGAGACGCCAACTCTTCTCGTCGGATTCTGCAACCCGGCTAGCACTGGCGTACAAGAAGTGCTCGAGGAGCATCTGGCCATTCCAGAAGATCCACTATGCTGCTGCCATGATGTAGTAGTCCCTGAATTCTTCTTTGGTGTAGTCCACGCCCTCAAACGCTTCGCGCATGGTCCAGATGGCGTAGGTCGGGCTGGACGTGGTCCTGCCTACGATTGATTCGAAGTGGGCAAAGAAGGCATGGTAGTTGACCCATGCCATCGGCGTCTCCTCGGCTTGCGGTCCTATAGGGATCATCAGTTCTATCAAAAAGAAAGCGAACCTGTAGGTTTGTTCAGATCCTGATGTACATACCTTGGAGGTTATCTCTGATTACCTCACCGAGCGCCTGATAACTGTGCGTGAGGACTTCGACGCCCTGGTCGATATTCAATCAGCATATAATTACACGGCAGCATCGCAAAGAAAAGACTGTACCGGTAACGTCGATGTCGAGACAAACTTCGGGGACCTCGCAAGATATTGCAGTAGGTAGGCGAGCTTCATTTGCGATGGGTGGTGATACGGGATCTGCACGGCAATCTCGACACATAGTTGAGAAAACGCGGACATTTCTGTCGAGTACTGGCCGTTAGCCGGCAAGATGGCAAGTATTTCTTTCGCAATGTCTTCGACAGATCTCTTGTCGCCCAGCTGGACATAGTCCCGGAGGAGATTGGCAAACTTTATCTCAGCATTGGTGCCTTTGGGGGCTCCTTTGACCGATTTGAAGGGTTTCAAAAGCCCAGCCGCAGTTGTCGCAATCGACCCCTGGGGGGCGGAATGTTTCATCTCGGCATCGTCGAGGATATCAAGCTGAAGATTGAGCGCGGACATGATGAAAGCGTGCTTGTCTGGGGGATAAGTGAGCAAGCGCGCATGAGAAGTCAATAGCTACAAGATCTAAAGGCGGTTAAATTCGCGAGAAACTCGTCATGCAATGGGCTGCAGTGGAAATCGAGTGTCTGAGAATTTCGTTGGTCCTGCACCTTAGTTGCATGTTAGCAATCCTCCCTAATTCTAAGCGCCCATTACACCTGGGGAACGAGGCAAGCGGTATCTCACCGGTACAACGACACTTAAAAAGAGTTTCCCAGTGGGAGGCTCATACTACGAGTACCCATCCATTGACTATCCCTATCACAAATCAGAACGTCAAGGGGAAGGTCCTGGAGCAGCCACAAATCGAGGGGTTGCGAGGACGGTCACAGACCAGCATAAGAATATCCGGGGCGTCATGTATCACCCTGTAGAGAGCAAGACGAAGTTTGTGAGGGAAAGTATCCAGTATTTGCTAAAGCAGATGACATTGGCTGAATGACTCAGGACCTTTAACACCCGCGGCGAGAGATTTATACAGCAAGATCGGCATAGAATCTCTCCTTAAACGGACAGTATCTAATCAATGGTCTAGACAATAATGGCTGCTGCATGTCTCTAATTACTCACTGGATTCCCCAATCTCCTGTGTGGCAGACTCGGTGTCATGCTCTTTAGACCTAGAACAAGATTAGAACTTGGCCGAGTCTCAGCTCTAAAGGGCAGCAACTTACTCATGCTTTTTCAGATAAACCCGTATTACATGGGCCATCGCGATCAGACACACGGCGTTCGCAAGCACGAAAGAGTACCCCTTCGTAAACCTCGGGGCCTCGACCGTCTTGAAGACCAGCAACGGCGTCCAGGCCGTGGTCGACTGCGAAAGGGCGTTGATCAGGACCAGCGTGAACGCGCGCTCCGCCGGCGACGCCCGCAGCTGGCTGTTGACCCACCCGTACAGGACGCTCGACATGGCCACGGCCGAGTACGTGGTCATGAAGGCGAACCACAGCGCCGGCTCGGGCACGTCCCAGATGATCAGGATGATCAGCCCCAGAATGTTCCAGACGTGCGCGACGGTGATGGCCCAGGCCGGTCCCAGGACTAGGTCCGAGGCGAAGCAGATCAGGAGGGTGTAGAAGATGCCCAGCGCCGGGGAGATGGCGCCCAGCTCGTTGACGCGGGCGTGGGAGTACCGGTTGAGGCTCTTCAGCCAGAGGAGATACCCGCCGGTCGAGGTGTTGACGCTCCCGTTCCAGAAGAAGATGTCGAGGAGGGTCAGCGCCCAGAACTGCCACCGCGTCGCCAGCCGCCTAAGCGTGCCCCAAGTGAACTTCCCGTGGGCGACATGGCCAGCCCGCTCGAGGCGCTTCCTGCCCACCGCAATGTCGGATTCCTTCAGCACGAGCCTGTTGGGCTTGTCCGGCGTGCCGGGGAGCACCAGGTATCCCAGGATGCCGATCGGGATCGTGATGATGGAGCAGATGATGTACATCCACCGCCAGCCGGCGAGCCCCCTGACGCCCTCCAGGCGCGCCGATGCGCCGGCCTGGATCAGCCCCGCGGTGAGCGTGCCCAGCGTGAGACCGACGTAGAAGACGCCGCCGCGGCGGGCGATCTCGTCGCCGCGGTACCAGGCGCCGAAGATGTAGTGCATCGCCGGGAAGAAGGCAGCCTAATATCTAGCATGAGGAGAACGTCTCTCAAGCGAACATCGCCATATCTAAGGGGTTTACCCCTATGTACAGTACGTACCTCAAACCATCCGACCAGAAATCGGTATGCGGCGAGCTCGGCGAAGGTGTTGACGCGGTATTGCAGCAGGGTGAAGATCCCCCAGGCCACGTCCAGGAAGGGCACGACCCAGTACATGGGCACGTAGGTAAAGAGGAACATGAAGGGGATCTGTCCCACCACCGCGCCGACGATGTATAGCGTCTGCAGCTGGACGAGCTCGTTTCCATGGAAGCCGAGGTCTTCCTTGAGTCCCGCGACATAGGCGTTGTCTGCTGCGTGTCAGTGAGGTTTCCCAAGGGGAAATATTGCGAGGCCAGGGTATGCGTACTGAGGTTGGCTTGGTCGAGGTACTTTGTCCAGTACGAAAGCAGGGCATAGGGGACGATGAGGAGGTCCAACTTGTAAATGAGTTTTCTGTCCTCGGGGGTGTCCTGGTCCGCGAACCACTGGATTTGATACCACTTCTTCGTGCGTTTGGCCATGGTTTGGTTCTGCAAGCAGACTTGATGGTCTGGCAATTGAATGGTCTATTTTAATCACACGATATTAGACAGCGCAAGTCCACGCATGCCTTCCTGGCGCAGGCACTGAGTTTACATAGGTTATTTACGAATGCATACACAGGCCTTATCTATCAAGATCTCAGCAGATCTCACTGCGCATCTCCCGTTACCGCCATGGTGGTTGGGTCTCGGCCCCTTGGCATCTTGTTGGCATATCATTCACGCCATTCCCCCACTGAACTTGCGTGATGCACTACTGCGCAGCTAGGTGATAATTATGCAGATGCTGCCCGATAAATCTTCAGCGAACTCCCGAGTCCCGACTGCACAGGTTTTCTCCGTTGCCGGCGTTCTGGGATTTCGGGGGTGCAAGGGTGGAATGGTGTCACGGCGTGGGGTCGTTACGTGCTCGCTCACGAATTGTCAACCGAGCAATCCAAGCTCCGTACCGCGGCCCCGACAATGATAACATCTTCCCCGGTGGGGTCTGGGCAAAAGGGTTGATGGAATGTTCATATTTTAACTTCTACCCTGGTTATAACATGCCCCTGCCAGTTGCGCACGTTCTTCACGGGCATACACGACTCTGATATGGCTACCACACTCGCAAATGGGCACACCCAAGGTGCTGCAGAGCGAGCAGGGGCGTCCGACTTCCCCGAGGCATTGCCAAGTGCTAAGGAAGCAGCCAACAAAGCCGCTAACGCCGAGCCTGTTCCGGGCGTCACTCGCAATGGCGGTACTGCAGTTCCTGCGTCGTACCCGAAGCCGAAGTTCAGTCTCGTCGATCGGTTCATCGATGAACCTCGCCCGTTGAGAGTCGGAGTCATTGGTGGGGGCCTTGCTGGGGTCCTGGCTGGAATTCTCCTCCCTGCTAAGGTCCCCGGTATCAAGCTGACCATCTACGAGAAGAACCATGACTTTGTGAGTCCCTTCCTCCAGGGCGACTTCCAACAACTGGCATAGTTCTTAACAGATTTGAAAAAGGGAGGCACCTGGTTGGAGAACGTCTACCCCGGAGTCCGATGTGATATCCCGTCTCATGTGTACCAGTCCACATTCGCACCAAAGCTCGACTGGTCCGACCAGTTTGCTCATGGTGCCGAGATTAGGGATTACTGGCAATCACTGGCCCGGGAGCACGACGTGTACCGGTACGCAAAGTTCAACCACAAAGTCGAAGATGCAGCTTGGGACGGCGCAGAGGGTGTGTGGCTCCTGAGCGTGCAGAACCTCGAAACTGGCGACATCCTCGTCGAGAAGGTGGAGGTCCTGCTCACGTCGATAGGGAGGTTCAACGCCTGGAGATTGCCAGACTACCCGGGGATTTCAGACTACAAGGGCGTCCTCAGGCATGCCTCGAACTGGGACCCCTCGTTTGACCCCAAAGGCAAGGCAGTCGCTGTCATCGGAAACGGAGCCAGTGGCATCCAGGTCGTGGCCAACCTGCAAAAGGTGGTCTCCCGGTTGGATCACTACGTGAGAAACAGGACCTGGATTGCAGCTTCCTGGGCAGGCGATGAACGGACTCTAGAGTCCCAGGCCATATCGGAAGAGCAGAAGAAGTCCTTCGAGGACCCCCAAGTCTACCTTGCATTCCGGAAGGAGCTCGAGGACAAATACTGGCGACGGTTCAGCAGCTTCTTCAAGGACTCGGAGCAGAACAACGAGTTACGGAAGACTTTCACCGAAATCATGAGGAAGCGGCTGGAAAAGAAACCCGAGCTGCTCCAAGACATCGTCCCGGACTTCTCACCAAACTGCCGACGCCTCACGCCCGGGCCGGGATACCTAGAAGCCTTGACCGAGGACAACGTGGACTACATCCGCACGCCCATCAGGCGGTTCACCGAGACGGGCATCGAGACCGCCGACGGCACCCACCGCGCCGTCGACGCCGTCTTCTGCGCCACGGGCGCCAACGTCGACATGGTCCCGGCGTTCCCCATCCGGGCGCACGGCCGCGACCTCCGCGACGTTTGGCGGGCCTCCTCCGACAGCGACGGTGACGCGGACGACAACCAACGGCGGGGCTTCCCGTACACGTACCTCGGGCTCGCGACGCCCGGTTTCCCGAACCTGTTCTTCGTCCACGGGCCGCACGGCACGGGGCCGTCGGGCACGGTCCCGCACAGCGTGGAGAACCAGCTCGGGTACTTCGCCAAGGTGCTGCGGAAGCTGGCGCGCGAGGGCGTCAAGAGCGTGGTCCCGTCGGCGGCGGCGGCGGACGAGTTCGTCGAGTACGTGGACGCGTTCTTCGCGACTACCGTGCTGGCGGATGGGTGCAGCTCGTGGTATAACGGGGGGAGACCGGGGGGGCGTATCCACGGTGTGTGGCCGGGGAGTGCGGGGCATGTCACGGCTGTGCGGAGAGAGCCGAGGTGGGAGGATTGGGAGTATGAGTATCTCGGTGAGAGTCGGAATAGGTTTGCTTGGTACTTTGGCAATGGCTGGACTGCCAAGGAGCAGGATCCGAACTCGGATATGACTTCATATCTTAGGGTGCCTGGGGAGATTGACCTGAGGGACTTGCATGAGTCTTGGTGGGACCTGCCATAGTTAGTTGATAGCCTGATAGCGCGGCAGAGGCACGTTTGGTCTAATTGGAATGCCGTGTTTGAACTCGTGACCGTCGCCATACGTGGGCAACGAGCGCTCCCGCAAGCCATGCTTGGCATCTGCAGATGCTTTGACATTCTGGCAGAGACCCGCAGCAAGCCATTCGAGATCCGCCAAGGACCACTCTATAATCCCCCCCTGTTCCCGAGAACCGGCCCAGCCCCCACGCAACATTTGTCTTCCTTCTGACAGGTGACATACGTACTCCGAAGGGCATGTTGGGAGCCTCCACTCGGGTCAGCAACAGTCGGCCGTTGATCGGATGGCGTGCTCATCCCGGTCATTGGCGCAAAGGGCTACAAGTTCAATGTCAAGATAGCCAAGAATTGCAACAAGATGTGGGAGGTTAATAAAAGGAGTGTAGCTTTAAAACTAACATATGTGGAAGCGGCTGTGGCTTGAAAACCACCGCCTTGGGATTGAGTGTGTTCTTTGGGATCCAGCCCTGGCTTGCGAAACCCCTGAGCTAACAACCTCAAGCCAACAACCTCATCCAACAACCTCGACGAGCCAATATGGCAACAATCGCCCCTCACAGCGACACCGACATTGCTCCCCCAAAGGACCAGCAACATCCAGGTAGGCTCCAAGCAGGGAGGGATCGGTTTTTGCAAACAGACATGTTTCTGACAAGGCCCAGTGAGATGGTACCGGTCGACCTTCTACAACATGACCATCCTCGGCCTGTGCAACCTCGCAGCACCGGGGATATGGGGAGCCATGAACTCCCTCGGCGCCGGCGGGGCCGCGAAGCCGCACCTGGTGAACTCGGCCAACGCACTCACCTTCTGCCTCATGGTCGTGTCGTGCTACTTCTCGAGCGTGCTGGTGCACTACATCGGCATCAAGGGGGCGCTCATCTTCGGCACGTAGGTACTTGGTATCCACCACAGTTCACACCTCTCACACACCCTATCCGTCATTTCGCGAACTAAGTCACTCTCCCCATCGAGCAGCGTCGGATACGCCCCCTTCGCGGCGGGCCTGTACACCAACAACCGCTTCGGCACCGAGTGGCTGACGCTGTTCGGGGCGGCGCTATGCGGCGTCTCGGCGGGGGTCTTCTGGATGGCCGAGGCGGCCATCGCCATCGCCTACCCGGAGCCGTGGAACCGCGGGAAGGCCCTCGGCTACTGGTTGACGTACCGGCTGAGCGGGCAGATCCTGGGCGGGGCCATCAACCTCGGGCTCAACGCCGATCGCGACGAGGCCGGGAAGGTGTCGTACACGGTTTTCCTCGTGTTCATTGCCATCCAGGCCGCGGGGCCGCTTGTTGGGTTCTTGCTTAACAGTCCCGGGAAGGTGGAGAGGAGGGATGGGAAGAAGGTCAGCCTTGCGATTGTGGAGAATCCGTGGGCGGAGATAAAGGCGACGACGAGGCTGTTCTTTAGCAAGAAGTTCCTTCTCATTGTCCTCTTTATTGGGCAGGCCGTGTTTGCTGAGGCCGTGTTCTTCACGTACCTTGCCCGTAAGTCTAGCCCAGCCAACTACGGGGTGACATTCTTTGGGAGGCCGACTTACTAATATCTCTCTCGCAGTGTGGTTCACCGTTCGAGCCCGGGCTCTGGGCTCCTTCCTATCCGGTATCGTTGCTGTATTATCAGGCAACCTCTTGGGGGTAACTACTTGAACCACCTTTCCAACTCTAAGAAACGGTCCAGCTGACATAGTGTCCTCACAGCATTGGCTGGACCGGACAAGCTTCCCCCTGAAAACCAGAGCACGGTCGTCTTTCTGGACAATCGTTACTCTGCAGGGTGGCTGGTGGATCTGGGCAACGGTGTTGGTTACGAAATTCCATCGTACGAGGCCAATATTCGATTGGTCCAGCTCAGGATTCGGCAGTGCGTTCGGAGTCTTCATCTTCCTGACCATTGGCTTTCAGATTAACTATCTGTTCCTGTAAGCCCTTCCCCCTCTCTGAGTGTGAGAATAATGTCTAGTTGTTAACCTGAACAACACCCAAGGTACTTCATAATTCACAATCTCGCAAAGGACGAATCCGAAATCATCCGGTACGCGGCACTGCTTCGGGGAACAGAGTCGGCCTGGCAGGCATTGAGTTACGGCTTGGAGGCTGTGACGATCTTTGGCGAAGTCGGAGGGGTATATTTGAACTTTGGGCTGTGGGCAGCTTCCATCTACCCGGCATGGTTAGTTCTAAGGCATTTCGGTGCCAGCAAGGACGAATTCGAAGCCAGCCCCAACCCCGAGCCCAAGGACGGGATCCGGGGAAACTCCAACTCCAACTCTGGAGAAGAGACCGAACAGGTTAAACTTGCGTGATCGACGGGGATATGGTAATGGCCATAGCAGTTGATTCGGCGGTAAGGTTTATTCCGGTGGGACTTCAGAGGGTTATGATTTGTAATTCTAATCACCTCAACAGGCTAGCGTGACCTCTTCATCGAAGGCGACAAGGCAGAAGGTCATGTACTTGGGCTTGCTCGCGTCCATGTTGGACGAAGCAGATGGGCATTCCGATGCTGAGTCGTTGTACCATGGGTCATATTAGTGTCGATATGTTTGTTATAATTATCCGATTGATATATTGATCCGACAGCATCGCTGCTTCAAAGATCTCGAGTAGCATGCCATCTAACTTGGCCGCAGGAGAGTTATTAAGGACTATGCCTCGTACTATACCACTTGGAAAGAGAGTCCATGCTTACTGAACGGCGGACCCCTCTGCCGAGTGATGGTGGCACTGCCAATCACCGGTATGGCGCCATTCCCCATTCGCATGGGCAGCTCTCACTGGCCGTTCGGCTTTCCCTCGACCGAGGACCCGATCCACGCAACCGGCGCCGTCACCACCAATAGCCCCGCGATGCCCAGCCGATACTCAATCCTTCCCTGGTGTTGTCTACCCCTGGAACAAGTTTTCCCGCCGCCCCAGCTGTGGTAACTCGGGCAGCTCGCTCTTCACGTGCATCCTACCACACGGGCTCTCTTCATACGTGGCGTAGTGCACCCTCCTCCAAGTCCTTGCGCCTCTTCCAAGACTTCATGCCAATGGTGATGAAGACAAGCCCGTTCCAGAAACCCCGCAGAGAGCCCGTCGTGCCGACGGCAAGTAACAGTGGAAATGACGAAAAGTGAGGATCAACGAAAGAGGCAACGCGATTGGTTGTTGGCGCTACCCAGACTGACAGCATCGCAAGAAAAAAGAAGAGCGGCATGAGAATGTACTGTCTGAACGACAGAGACGACCGTCTGGGGGTGTTGGGGTGGCGTGGAGTCGAAACAGAGCATTTGGAGGTGGTAAGTAACGATTCGTTTCCAGAATGTGATGTAGACATCTGCCCGCGTTGTGAATAAACATCAAACTCGACAGTCATGGCCACGGTGTTGCTGGAACTGGCATAAGAGGCATCGGTCGCGGGCAGGACGGTGTCATCCATGGCAACAGAGTTGCTGGTGAGGGACTGGAGGGCTCGTCTCCGCCTGACGATCTCTATGCCGACGAGACAATACAGCACCATGGTGATGAGAACCATCGACCTAGAGACGAGGGAGGAAGTGGCGTTAGCGTGGCGGACGGGCAGTTCCGGGCGAGGCGGGACGTACCATATGGGAACATAGTAGCAAATGATTCGGAAGAGCACCCATTTGGGAGCGATTGCACACCACAGCTGTTAAAGAGCCGTTTGTTAGCCTATTATGGCGTGCCAGTGGCAAATTGGAATCAGGCCACCCACCGTCACACTGCCATACATCGGACCCTTATCGACGGTGTGGATGAAGAGGAACGTGAAGGCAGGGATGAATGTAACTGTCGTGATTACAGCCATGTATTTCCACTCGAGCCTCTTCAACGCTTCGGTATCGTAGCAACGGAAGACAATGAGGAAGACGTCGATAGCCATGAAGAGGGTCCAGAGTACGTCTGCGACCGGAAACCTGCAAGGCTCCTCTGTTAGTGGCGGCTAGTCTTGGGCTGGAGTGGGCTGGGGGGTGAAGTTTGCCAGCTCTGGACGTTTGTGCAGCATATACATTTGATTGAGGAAAGCCTGGAATTGGCACAAGGCTGAAGAATTACCCGCCTTCGGCCCGCTGGTAGATATCATGGTGCAGGTCACGTCGAGAGCGTTGTAGAAGGCATTGATGAAGATGAGGCGATGCATGGGGTTGCGAAAGTGCCGCGACAAGCAAAAGGTGGTGATGATGGTGATGACGCCCAGGGCCGAGAGCGAGGAAGAAGTGCGCGTGACAACTTGCAGCACCTTTAGCTGCTCGGCCGTGAGCGATGCCTCTCCCCGGAGGTGCAACATGATTGTTGTTGCGTGGTGACAGTCGTTCTCGTCGTCGTTGTCGTCGTCGGCGCGTGGCGGCTGGCCTTCCGCTCCGCGGCCGAAGTGCCATTGCTGACAAGGCTTGGAAACGTCGCAGCAGTATATATCAGGTTGACAAGAATTCCTGCCACAATGCGATCGCACAAATTTGGTGGTGGATTGCGTGCTCTCACCTATTTGGGGGTGGTTGTCCCGTGGGCATGGGTGGTCTGCAAGCCCCAAGGAGAAACCCGCGTGGGGGGCGTGGGGAAGCACAATGACGCGCAGAGAAGGGACGTGAGTGGCCCTTCTGCAAGGGACGTTATATAACAGGATTGGGACTACCCCTGAAGCTGAACTTCAGCTTACCATGGCAGTGTGGGGAGCAGAGGCGCTATAACGCCCACTGTAATTTTTTGACTCTCAGCGGCTTCAACACGGCCTTGAGAGCTTGCTAGCATTGCGGTCGACTCCATGGATCTTCGTTACCCTGGGGCTTGAAAACCCTTGAAAGAAAGGACTAGAAAAAGAAGGGGAAAAAGAACCAAGAAAAAACAAACATAGGGAACGTCTCTGAATATTTTCGGGCTCTCGACGTTTCTCCGCGGGCCCTCGCCCTTGATTTGGTGGATTGCGATTTCCCCCCTTATTATTTCGTGATCCTCCTTCATGCTCTCCATGATGGATTCAAAATTGCGGTGGCGTGACCCAAGACCTGAACCACCATCCCGTAACGTTAGCCACGCTTGAGTCGCGTGACTAATTAACTGCCTATCCTAGGATAATGGATAATGATGGCTTCGTTCTTCATCAATGAGCACAGGTTGCCAGGAGCTCACGCGTCCGCCCCAAGCTCCTCCCTGTCGAGCTAATAATTCACAGTGACTCGACCACTTTGTGGCCCCGTCCTCATCGAATGGCACAACTAACCGCTTGGCAAGATACTCGTGTCTCGGATGATCAGGGGCCTGGAGCTTCTACACAGGTCTCTCTGGAATAGATGCAGAACTTTGGCCCTCCCCCGCGACGGTAGATGGCGCGGCCACTTGCTACACAGAGTTGAGATTTCGGCAATGCTACCACTACCAAGTCGCGCAATATTACCAAGTTCCCGTGCAATCACGTCCTCTTGACTCCACGCAGCCCTTGGTCGCCGCCGTAACGGGAACGCTGGGGACATCAGTCCTATCAGGGTCCTGAAGACAATCAACGACGGACTCTCAGACTGGGATCCCATGTGAATCCCCCCGCGCAACTACGATATGGAACCCGACCATTTGGTTTTCCTAATATAGGTAGCATATAATTTACTGGGATTGTGCATTCCAGAACCCAAGCTATTGGTTCAAGACTGCCGCACGAAGACACAACCACTCTCGCCCCAACAACAGCCATATGCATCTTCCATATAATTGATTTCCTCAGGCATGCGATACCCCGAGCTGCACCCGCTTCAGAGGCAACAGGGGCGAAAGATACATGTACGGAGCCAGGAAACTGGGTTGGGTTGGCACAGGACGCACAAGCCATGATCCTGTACTGGCCCCCGTAAAAATGATGGGGATACACAGTCCTCTCGAGGAGGTGTGTCTTCCTGTTCTTGATTATCCTTTGAATGCAGACACAAACGGAGCTATTATTGACGTTGTGCAAGCTCACGACTTGGGCCAGTCGCAAGAACTGGGAGAACGAGACTGATTATGGGCCGTAATCTGGGTTTCGCGAGAGGACCCTGAGAATCTGGTGCGCGCGTTCCCGTTGAGCCCTTGGGGGGATGGGAAAGAGAAGGGCGCGGGGTATGCACAATCCACACCACAATCACGCAATTGCACAATCCGGGCATCCTCGCCGACCATCATCTCCGGAGGTCCCCGTGCCGCAACGCATACGCCTTCTTGACCTCATGGGGGTACGATAAGGATTGGTGACCGCGTCGACCTTCGTCCTCATTCGCTCAGCGAACAGTCCTCGGGTCGTTTCAGCGGATTAACCAAGCAGTTACAGCTATGGCGCCACATATCGAGGCAACCGTGCCCAAAGGAGAAGCTGATTCTAAATGCGTTCGTCGAGATGTGTAAGCGGCTGTGTATTCGACGACAGAGATTCAGGGGGAGGATATCTGAGTAGGCTAACCAACCGGGATCTACTAACAGGCAGTGGCCACCAATCGCCGGGTTTGTGGCGGCATCCAGACGACCAGTCCTAGAAGTTCGACGACATAAACCACTGAGTTGAACTCGCCAAGCTGCTCGAAGATGCAAAGTTTCACGGGATATTCATTGCCGATGTGCTGGGTGAGCCCATCTCCGTCCAAAAGGGGGGGGAAATGGTGCAGATACTCATCAGGAAAACATAGGTGGATACGATGTCTACAAGTCTCTCGATCCGGCAGTCGCTTCAGGCGCTCAGTGGCCCGTGTTGGAGCCACTCGTTACGGTACCAGCCATGGCTGCAGCAACAAAAAGCATTGGGATCGGAGCCACCATCTCAACCACGTACGAGTAGCCATACCATCTTGCCCGACGATTGTCTACCGTGGATCACCTTACCAATGGACGGTAAGAACCTCAGTCCATTGGCATCAATATCTGAGCCAGTCATGAGCTGACTTGCTGGGGGAAAGAATAGCGTGGGATGTAGGACGGCTTTACCCCTTTCCGCCAATGCAAACACTCACCAGAGGACTACCTAGATCGTTACAAGTTATCTGGACTCAGCAGCACGCAACCTAGGGCACACGGAACAACCTGCCGTAAGTCAGCCCCGGAGCTTACCGACCATGAAGGAGAGCCCCAGCTGACCGCACCAGCACGACGACCGCTACGCCCAAGCAGAAGAGTACATCAAGGTAATGTACAAGCCCCTCAACTCCCCCTGGCGCGACGACGCCGTCCAGCTCGACCGTGCCCGCGGCATCTACACGTTCCCCAGACCTGGTCCGCCCGATCGACGACGGGGGCAGGTTCTTCGCCGTCCCGGGCCCGCACACCGTGCACCCGCGCAGCTCACGCCGCTCCTCCTCCTGCAGGCCTGCACGTCGCGGCCGGGCCGCCATCTTCGCCGCCCAGCACGCCGAGGCCGTCTTCGTGTCCGCGGCACGCCCCTGGCCAGCCCTCTGCGCTGCGGGTGTCGCGGAGATGCAGGCGGGCCGTCCGGAAGGACTTTGGGAGGGGGGCGCCAGCGCGCACTGTCGGCGTGCTTGCGCTGGTTACGCCTGTGCTCGGCAACACGGAGGAGGGGGCGCCGGCAAAGCTGGAGGAGCTTAGGAGGTATGCGTCGCTTGAGGGGGCGCTGGCGCACTTTGGTAGGTGGAGGGGCATCGACTTGGATCAGTACGGGGACGATGAGGAGCTGAGGGAGGTGGAGAGCAGCGCGGTCAGGTAGCGGACGGCCTGGAGGCTTGGGTTCGGGAGGCAGATATTGTCGGCTTCAATTTCGTTTGTTTACCGTCGCATGCTGACCGTGGCAACGAGGAGCTGAGTTAGTTAACTTTCCTAGGCCTATGCCCTCTTCCCGCAGTCCTTCAAGGATATTATTGACTTGCTGATTCCCGAACTTCAGCGGAGAGGTCTGTTCTGGACGGATTATGCGGTTCTGGGAGGGACTTACAGGGAGAATTTCTATGGCGTGGCAGGACAGAAATATCCGCCCGACGAGCATGTCGCGGCCAAATACAGATGGGCCGCAGGTGTGCCTGCAAGCGAGCATCATATCCCAGAGTAATTAGGGGATGGGAAAAACCACGCAGAGACTGGCAAACAGACTTCCCCAATTAAGCTTGTCCGTTAACAGCATGAGGGAGATTCCGCGGCTCCCATGGTAATGTACTGGACTAGAAGCCGAGAATCACATTATCATATCAACACAGATAGGGCAAAAAAAAGTTGCAAAGGACAAAAAAGGATGCCCCCAGACAGTGAAACCGCCACAATAGGTATGTACAAGTAACATGGCCAAGTCAAATACCTAGGTAGTCAATTCCTGCCAAAGATAATGCGAACATGTTTATCTAACCTAGGTAGCGGTTATGGCAAAGTAAGAAAACTTACCCCTATCTACGGATCCGTGCCTTGAAATGCTTATCAGATCCTCCCCAAGCCGCCCCTGTCAAGGCAGAATCCTGCACGTGCACGGATAGATCCGAACTCCGGACCCACCGGGAGCTTCCCTCTGTCACAGAGCGCGTTTCCGATAACGCAGCTCTTATCCAAAAGTCAACTGAGAATCCAAATCAGAAACATCAAAAATAATCACGCCATCAATCCACAATGGCCGGCGAAGAAGTCCAAAAACCCGAAGCTGTGGCGGCCAGCGCGCCAGAAGCTGAGAAGCCCACTGAAATAGCTACCGAGCCAGCTGCCGCCACCGAGCCAGAGGAAGCTCCGAAGGAGGCCCCCAAGGAGGCCGCTGAGAACGCTCCCCAGGAAGCTACTGAAACTCAGGAAGCTGCCGAGATTGCTCCCGTGGAAGCTGCCCAGGTCGCTCCCGTGGAAGCCGTCAAGGAGGCCCCCGAGGAGGCCCCCAAGCAAGATTCCAAGGAAGACGCGAGCACCCCCAAACAAACCCCGATCGCCGAGCTGTGGGATGCGGCCAAGTCGAACGGCCATCCAGAGATCTGGGGCGTGACGCTTGCCGATCCCAGCACCCACATCCCGACCCAGATCATCCTCCAGAAGTATCTCAATGCCAATGATGGAGACCTTGTCAAGGCCAAGGATCAGCTGATCAAGACGCTGGAATGGCGCGCCAAGACGAAACCGTTGGACCTGGTGAAGAAGACCTTCAGCAAGGCCAAGTTTGAAGGGCTGGGATACGTGACCAGCTATGTCGGCGATGCCAGCGACGCTACTGATCCCGAGAACAAGGAGGTCTTCACCTGGAACATCTACGGTGGTGTCAAGTCGATCGACGAGACATTTGGCAATCTCGAAGAGTAAGCCTATTTGCTTCCCTCCATTCCCCCATCCCCCCGTCCCCCCAGTCCCCCCTTCTTCGTTCTCCCATACTCCCTTCGACCATCTTGTGCAGACCTATCACAGCAACTAACTCGCCGTCTCCCAATTCCAGATTCATCGAATGGCGCGTCGCCCTCATGGAGCTCGCCCTGGCCGAGCTCCCGCTCTCGACCGCGACCAAGCCAATCACGGCCGAGCACGACCCGTACAAGATCTTCCAGGTGCACGACTACAAGTCCATCAGCTTCCTGCGGCAGTCGCCGGTCGTCAAGGCGGCCAGCACGGAGACGATCCGCGTGTTCGCGCAGGGCTACCCGGAGCTGCTCAAGGAGAAGTTCTTCGTCAACGTGCCCGCCATCATGGGCTTCATGTACGCCCTCATCAAGCTCTTCGTCGCCGCCAAGACGGCCCGCAAGTTCCACCCAATGTCCAGCGGCGCCGGTCTCGCCAAGGAGTTTGGCGGCGGCAAGACCAAGGTCGCCGGGCTCGGCGAGAAGCTGCCCGGGGCGTACGGCGGGAAGGGCGATGCGCTGGACGTGCTGGGGAAGCAGCCTGAGCTGGAGTGATTGCCTCTACAACCACGGCGGCTGGGCTCTGGAGGGAGAGGAGAGGGGGATACGCGCGTGGATGGCTTCCTTTTCGTTGATAATTCGGCTTTCCTTTTCGTGCGCTAAGATACACCACTCGCCTCATTTGCTTTCCAATTGATACTCCGACACAGTGTGTTCTGCAACTCTACTTCAATAATGGGTGCGCTCTGCGTTTGCAGCCAGGCGTGCATTCGTATACAATACAATAAATACACTACTGAATCTCCCAATGTCAATGTTGGCGTCGTCTTGACTGTGACGCCGAGGGGCTCCCAACATCTTGCCCCAATGTTGGGTGACCGCAAGGGGCTGGCTTCTCATGGTCCGCAATTGGGGTCTCAGCCCCGGGTCTGTTGTGTTTCCAGCCCGCGGCTGTTTACTTGAACTATCTACACCCCCCGACGGTGGCTGGACTTCCCGCGGACCGGCAACGGGAGAGCCCCTCGTTGCGGCCGCTAGCCGAGGGCCGCCCGTGCATCTCCGCGGGGAACAGACACGTTGCAGGAAGCCGACCCGGGCGCTCTCATCGGCACTGGTCTGGATTCGCACTGCCGTGTTCGGGCCGGAGCTCTCCTGGAAGACAGCCGAGACTTGTATCTGCATGTTGCGAGTGGGCAACTGCATGCCGATGTTTGAGTCGACATCCAATGTGCGTCAAATGTCTGTCTACCAGATGCTTCCCCCTCCTCACGGCAATGCTATCACGATCCAGGTGTCGGTACGCTACGCAGATACGGTATGGTTATGCATGTACTGGTTGGTGCATGCCCTGACTACGTGGACAAAGAGGAACGCTCTTATGTCTGGGTACCTGCCTTGGTTCCCACTCGAACGCGCGCGGGCGGGGGAATTCGTAATCCACGATGTACCTGAGGCTGCAGAGGATCAGCAATATATGTTCGCATTTACGCGTAGGTACGTATCCGTAGTTGCTTGTCAAAATGCTTGGTTTGGGTGACGGCCGGTTTTCCTCGCCGCGCGCTGATGATGGTCGGTGACGCGAGATTGTTGAATGTGGGTCGGACAGGGATCCGATAACCGACTGGGTGGGAGGACTACGCCTAACGGGGGAAAAATTGTTTGCTTCGTCATTTTTCTGCTTTGAGAGTGGTTACCAAGATTCGAAAGCCACTCAAAGCCATCGGGACGGTGCCTATTGGTAGACGGGTCTAGTGTACGGGCGTACGCATTTCAATTTAAGCAAGACCCTTGAGATCATGTGGGCGATATGTCTCTTTTTTTGGGCGCCGCTGTTTCGGTACAGAACACCCCATTGTTCTAAATACTTTTCCAAATACAATCCACCACCAGACTGAAGGGGTATGTGTGTGTGTGTCGGCGCGTCTTACACGCGAGGCATTTACCAGCCGTTGTTAAGTGCAGATCTCTGACGTTAGAGAACCAGGGGCACGTACAAGATGTAAACCTTTTCCTTGCCAGAGAAGCCATTGATCGACATTCTACCCTGCAAAGTGCCGCGGAGATCGTGGGTCGTCAATGTGGGCAATTTGCCAGGTGACGGCACTGTGTGAGGGGTCGCGACATTTGGTCGGATAAGTCGGCGCTTGAAGGGTGATCTGCACAGTGCATTTCAGGCTACCCACCCTCCCTCCCATTGCAAACTTTCAACTTCAGTAGCACACGCAAATTGCTGCCCAAGACTAAAATGTCTAGCGTTGGCTCGACTTTCAAGATTAAGATGGGGATATCCTAGTGTAGGGTGGAGACCCCGAAAGAAGAGACTTGAAACTCTTATTTTCCTTTGGTTTTACTAATGAAAAAAAAGGGAACCAACAAAGTGGAAAACTTGAGGCTCTCGGCTCTCGACACAACCAACTTGCTTCCCACTTCTGGGTCCGAGTCCAGGTAAACGCTGATCACACTTAGATGCTTAGGTTTGCTCGGTTGTGACTGGCACATTTTGGGCCTCTGATCCGCGCCGCGCTAATTGCGGCCGCTAGCACGAAAGAAAACAAGGCAAATGGGCTCAGGGGGGCAGTTTGCTACCTCAGTTTTGATAACGCCCCGTCGTCAGTAAATCTCGGTGAACCAATATCCAATGGAGAGATATTCTTGGGTCCAACCCGAGATCCGCTACCAACGGGCGAGAGCCGAATGATCGATACAGAAAACGACAGGGCTTGGGGTTTGTGGCAGCAGGGAGATGTTTCGTGATCGGAGTTGTTCAACAAACAGTAGAAGATCTTCCTTCACGGCATGGGAGTTGACATGGAACGCATTGACCAAGTTATACATACGGAATACACAGTACCTTGCCGACTCCTTTGAGGACGATCATGACATAAGGGGGGGTGCTTGGCAGGCCTGGGATGCGCCAGCGCAAGAAAGGTCTGACTGCCGACCGGCATTAATCCAGAATGTCTATGAAGACCTGTTTTGCGACGGGCGATATTCGATATTTCGAACATACCCCTAATAACATCCATATCTGAAAATGCAGTTCAGAAGCGGCAACCTTAAATGGACTAGGGTTGGTTGTCACTGTCAGGGTCCTCAGTTTCCTCAGGTCGGGTAGCGTGGCACCGCACCGTTTCTTGGGTGGGACGGGGAAACCTAAGTTCTGCACTAAATTGGCGTGGGGCACTCGTCCTCGCTCCTGTTTCCCTTAATTGAGGATGGCCCTATTACTAGGTACCCAAGGAGGACCATTGTTTTGCCGCTGTTTCTTTAGAGAGCCGGGACTCCAAACGCTGGAGAGCGGGACGGGACTGGACGTTAGGATTTTCGGTGGTTGCATCATGATGAACATACAGGAACCCTGAAAAAAAACAAGCAGGGTGTGGCAGTGGCGTCACTGTCAGAATTCGGGACATGGTGCACTAGACTTTATGGGGCAGGACCGGAAATGAATTATGCCCTGAGGCTCCGACAGCTGGCACGTGATATCTTCCGGACTTGGCAGGGACAGGATCCTGGAACGGCATGCTGCTCACCGAAAAACGTTCACCGATCAGCATCGCCGCTTCTCATTTGAGGCCGTCTTCAAACAAGGCCTTACACTTATAAGAGTACAACGCCAGCAATTCCTGTGCAACACCCTCTCCCACATGAGGGAAGTCTTGTTTTTTTTTCTTTTTTAATTTCTTATTTGACTCCACGAAGAACACTGTGCTTGAACTACCTAGTACGGATAAGCCTGGTTCTTTGCCTCAAACGGACCCAAACCTGCCAGCGACCTTACTTTGTGGAGTCGTCACGTGGAACTAGGCAATTCAGGCAATATTTGGAATTTGGTGTGGATCCTCTAGTACTAGCTGAACAGCAGCAACACAGAACGCCCCCTTCCATGCCCATTGTGGATGGTTCACACGCTAGCGACCAGCTGCAAACCCACGACCCACAACTCGAGTCCACTGCCCTCCTATCACTTCCAGTCCCTTCGCACCTCGTGGCACTTTTGTTGTTTCTTCAACCCTTTCTCTCCCTCGCACCTCCCCAACCCGCACCTCCTTTCGCCCCTCCCGAGAATTGCTCGTCATCGTCCCCTCCAAGCGCTTTTCAGCCCTCTCCAGCCCTCCGCCTAGACATCGAGGAATGGTGACGACAATAAGGCGGGAGAGCTGGAGGAGTCGGATTACACGCAGTTTATTTCCTGCCCAGCCTTGGGGTTCTTAATAATAGTGCAGCTCCGCTTCTTCCCTTGACGCTCCTTGACCCGAATGATCGCATCGTCAACCAACCCACGCCTCCACCTCCACCTCGACATTCTTAATACATCTTTGCGATAATAATATGGGAGACACACACCCTCCAGAGGAACCGTCTATTGAGCGGCTGCACTCATCATCGACCTCTTCTGACGACCAACAATCCTCCATCCACGCACCTGTTCCCATCCGACCGCCCTTGCCGACGCGGAAAAGCAGCGGCACCATTATCGTCCCTAGAGACTCCTCGGCGGTCGGACCCGTCGAGACCGAGCTCGACCCCGACGACGTCCGCTCCATGAGCCCCCGAAGGACGACCGAAGACATCGAGGCCTTGGGGAAGGAGGCTAGAAATGAGCTGAAGAGGTGCGCTTGCAATTCTCCTTTGCCACACCTTGGCTAGACACGCCGTGGTCTACCTCTGTTCAGGGGGCTGACAATCATCACAGACATGCAAAAGCGCTCCAAGAGTCTCTCTTAACAATATTCCACAGGATAGAGGCCGTCAAGGAGGAACATGATAAGCTGGACAACAACAACAAGTTCCTTCAGAAGTACATTGGCGACCTCATGGCCACCAGCAAGATCACAGCGTCTAGCAGCAGCAAGAGCAAGAAGTGAGGCCCCTTTCCCGTGCGATGGCATGAGGGGATGCGCCTAAGGTGTGGGTGTTGGCGAGACGACGCCCAGATGACATTGCGCCTCCCAAAGAATACAGGCTGTACCACCACCCGTTGGCTCGGCTGTACGTACCGGAAGCGAACGACGTCATCAAGCAGCGAGACGGCCACCAACCGAACGGATCCTTACCACCGATCTGCCAATCTCGTGCCGTGCTGGATGCTCCAGACAATCGAGCTATGTCGAGATCCCGGATGGTCCTACGTCGGCATTAACATGTGCCCTCGCCGTGCATTCCACATGGAATGATATATACAGAGTCGACTTAATAGGGTTGTTGACTGGGAGGAGGATGGAAGGAGAAGGCTGGGAAAAGTGAAGGGTGCCATTTGTCGAGATGGCCTACCACAGTGGCGAATCGGATCCAGGGAAGCCCGTTATTTTGCCAAATAGGTTGGCAGAAACCCTCGATAACAGGCCCCCAATACAGTTGTTTCCGAACGACACAACTCTTTTACGACGATGATTTGCCACTCTGATTGGCGTACCTGGCGGCTACGAAGAACAGCCCTCTGTGCTGAACGACTGCATGGACTGGCGTTTTGCGGGAGGCTGACATGGCATTACCATTTTACAGTTTACCTTGTGTAAATAGGCAACTATTATTATTCCCCACGGCAATTGGGCATCTGTTACAACTTTCAAGTCACCAGGCTGCCTCTTGTTTGTGCGCCCAATCGCTCTTCACTGTTCTCTTCATACCGGCCACTCGAAGCACATTTGCCAGCAGCAGCAGTGAGACTGAGGGGCCGCCACTGCCCCATAGCTCCCCCTGACCTCGTGAAGACGGTTGAGCCGCCGAGTGCTGCTTGCAGATGGCCGAGACCCAGAGCCGACAAATAAGGCGGTTCCTCCACTGCCCCCCTTTTCTGCGATCCCACCGTGTAGCGATCAGCCGTGATGTTTCCTGGAGATGCTCGGGATTCCAAGTTGCCATGAGCCACCCGACACCCGAGACTAGTAATCCGCGGGGATATTGTCATGCTGAGAGTTGCGGATACGGCTCTCGCTTGGTAATTTGGTCACAATCGGGAGGTTCCTCGGGCCTCTGGGGCTGCTCGCTGATCTCGAAAGCTCAGCCGCATTCGAGCATGGAGTTAATTGCTTGCAATACTCCGACCTTCGTGACCCCCTTTCCAGCCTTACAGGGGCTCGCGAGAAGGGATGGTCGAACACGACGCTTGTCTGATGAGAGACGCCTCCAATCGACCGAACACGAACGCGCTTATAACCCTGATCACTTAAAACCTCTGGGCAGGTCAAGAGTCGAAGCATCTGGCACCTCCCCTCGTGTTCAAGAACTCACCGATAAGGGGCGACTACGTTAGGTTGATTACGCTGGTGGAGTTGGCTTCTCGCGCCAAGAGGACGAGCCTGGACATGGCCATGTTAACAACCTCGCGGCCAGGGTAGTGGGCGACGGCAACTGCGCGTTGCGCTTGGTGGCCGGGGTGGGATTTCTGGGCTGGCTGCTGCCACGTCGTCCCGGAAGCTCAAATTTGTCTTTGTCTCCTGACCGATCGGCGCTTCGAGGTCAGCTGGCTTTCCCTCCCCAGCACGGCAATTCGCCGGGGCTAACGGATGGGGCCCTATTTGCGTGGATGGCTCGTCGGGACCGGTTGTGAGACGGCGGCTTGGCGCGGGAGATGCAGGCTGGTGGGGTTCAGGGTTGGGATAGGACCTGACAATTCAAAGGTTGGGGGTGGGACGCAGACCCTTGATCGCTTGATCGGAACGGGGTCGTCTTTGCTTTTTTTCACGGATATGGCACATTCCGTTGAATCATACAACGTCGCCTTTGAGGTGATTGATCGCAATCATGTTTTGTTGCGGCGACATGCAACCGGAAACCGAATTGGTCGGGGGCACACCGTCATCGGTCCGCCCCCCATCCCCGAAACGCTGTCTCGCATCTACCTAGGTATTTGGTGCCCTAGGTTTGCTCCAAACAACCTAACCTGAAACTTTGAGCCTACCAAACACACGCCTGCCAGAATCCCACATGCGGGAGAGCCCCTTCCTGCATTTGTCTCAAATATACGCTAGCCCCAAATTTCTATCGCGTACTCATGCGTAAAAAGCGCGAAATTCGTCACCAGCGCACCTGACCAAAGCGGGAGTCTAGTGGGATGACGCACTCATTTTTGTCTCGGTGGAGCCTACCACCAACATGGGACAGTCCAACCTTCTTCCATCGGGAGCACCCACGCACCCATATGAAATACAAAAACACTAGCCGGGAATCGCCCCTTCCCGTTTGGCCACCGAGCTCCGTCATTCTCGGCAGTGTCGCTGCTTCATGGCCGGTCGGCGGCACCCACCAACACGGTTTTGCCTCAAAGTCAGCGCCACTGACGTCACTATACCTTCCGCGTTGCAAGCGATGGAGAATGATCAATGGTTACAACATCAATGGCGGCTTGGCTTACAAGTCGGTAGCTGGGACCCCGACGAGGTTAGAGCACCAGAGGGCGTGCCTCGGATCTTCCCGGACATTAAGCCAGGCACGCCCATTGCATCATCCGCCCGAGTACGTTTACGCCGGTTCTAACATAAGAATCCAGGGCCTGCTGGGATGACGCCTGTTCAACTGCCCTCCTCCGTGGGGGAAAGTGAGGGGATCCCACCAAATGGGGACAAAGACACCAGTTTGGAACAGTGCCGTACCGTCCACCCCACGTTGTACAACGCGGAACCAGCCAAGGCGAATCGTGGTCGTGGAACTTGCCGCTTCAGAATATCTTGCCTTGATTACACCGCTCATCAGCGGTGGTGCAACGAGCCCATTCTGCCATGCTCGGCAACCCGGTTAAGCACCCCCTTGTCGACGGCTCTCGGCAATCTGAACCTTCGGCTCGCCGGCGAACCTGGCTACCCGGTTTCCTGCCCGGTTTCCTGCCCCGCATGAGCAGGACTGTGGTGATAGATGATCACCACCCAAATGGTGGGATAACCCTCGCTGTGGCATTCATAGCTTGCCAGATATACCACTTCTCAATTACATACCATTCATTAGGTACGTCCATTCTTGACACGGCCTCCCAACCTGTGTGCTCTTGTCTCGCCTAGCCCATGTGCTCTTCTCAAGTCCTCATTGCCATTCAAACCCGCCGAATATCGAACACAGGAAGACACAACCACTTGTAGAGGCTCTGTCGATCGCCTCCAGACGTTCCAGGATGCTCTTTGTACCGCTCCTCCTACTCTCGTTGGTCTGGCGCGAGGCCATTTGGCCCTAGGTGCTTCTAGCATAAGCATCTTATTAGCTTGAAGAACAAGGCGCACGCCGAATGCTGATCTAAACGGGAATGATCGACAGCTAGGGCGATAAAAAAAGCAACCGAGGAATGAGGATTTCCGTTTGTCGTTCCTACTCGGATGTATACATAATAAAATGATTTCCTGCTTCTTGTATTGTACCTACATCTATTCATAGATGAATTATCGCATGGCCATGGAGTTGTCATAGACTAGCCATTCATTCGGTCTGATCGATTGGATAATGATCCAATGAGACATCCCAGAGCCGTCACCCGGCTCACCTGACGCCCAGACAAGATCCGCGCGCCTAACCGAACTGTGAGTCTGATGAGTCTGACAGTTGAACGGGGCAGCGGGCATGGGTGGAACGTGGCGATGGCTTCGCCCGGATTGATGTTTCGGTGCGCGGGGGAAATGACGTAGAAGACTGCCACCGATAGCCGATCCTCGGCAGGAATTCCTATGATTAGATGTCGGACATTCAGCCCTCTGGCGATCATCGAGTTTGCTTAACCGATCCGGAAGCGAATCTTGGGGCCTGCCCAGATCTACAACCAACTAGTCTCGGGGTAATTCCGCACTACACACACTAGAATGCTTATTCTTCCCGTCTCGAAGTTCAAGGCTACAGATTGCTCTGCTTTGTGGTCCTGACTGGCAGATGTGGGTTGCCAGCTCGCAGCCTTGAGTGGCTATACTTGAGATGTGGGCAACCTTCCTCGTTGACTTCTCTCGGGTTGATGCGAATGGACGTTGAACATGCCCTTGAAACTAAAAAAGTGTTGGTGAGAGGCAGTGCATCCCTTTTCTCAGTCGATCATATCCAAGGTGGTACGCCTAGCTGGCCGGCCATTACTTTGGCTAAGATATTGGTGGCTATTTTCGCTACGCGGTTCTATTTCTGTAATCATGAGCGAGAGACTTCATGATGGCTTCAATGGCACTGGGCAGCAAACGTTGTAAGACCGGATCCCAATTCCACCGTCTCCACGGAGAAATCCTCGTGACGAAGCATCATAGGCATGTCATGATCATTCCCTCTCCTCTAGGCTAGAGGCTCGCTAGCATCAAGCGATGCGGCGAGAGGATGGCGATGCTACCCACTGCCTGTTTGTTTGACTCCTCAAAATAGACATCTCTGGGAGAGTATGTTGGAGCAGCATGTGGTCTCAGAAAGTATAAAGGGGTACTGGTTCTCCCTCATGAGGACATCTCTTCTCGACACCATCGACATCGAAAACGACAAGAATCACTTTCATACAACCACAGACCAAACCAGATCAAACAACATCCAACATCAAGTCACACCGTTTGCACCCCCTATTATCCATGATGCTCTTCTCCTTCGCAGTCCTTTCCACCCTCCTCCTCGCTGCCCAGGCTCAAGTGTCCTGGTACGTCCCATCGCGCAACATCACCTGCAACGGTGGCGGCAGCGGCCAGATCACCTGCCATGAGGGCCACATCGACGATGCCCCCGAGGTATGTCCCTGTCCCCACCCCTGCCCCCCTTTCTTTCCCCCCCCCCCCCCCCCCCCCCCCTTGTGCTAATTAACGGCGCTTCCCCCCCTACCAGGTCCAGCTGAGCCACCCGGAGGAGAAGCGGGACAGCACGCCTGCGGCCGTCCGCGGGCGGACCCCCGAGCCGCTGGAGAAGCGGGTGACGTGCAACATCGACGGCGTGACGCAGGGCCTGGCGTGCTTCACGCACTGCTTCGGCATCGGGTACTGCAACTCGCACTGCGACGGCAATAACATCTGCCACTGCACCTGCAAGGACGAGACGCCGTGGTATAACCCTATTGTGTGCAGCAAGACGTCTTGCGCTTGAGAAGAGGGGAGGGGGGATCTTCGGGGTTTTAAGGGGTTGTTAGGACGGGGGGAGGAGACGGGAAGTTGTCTGTTATGGGAGGGTACGGTTGTGTTGATGGGTGCGATGGGTTTCGCTTCTATGTATCCTCCATGGGCTATTACACAAATAGCTACAGGTGTGCTTCATGGTAATGTGATACAATGCGCTTGGCAGACAGACCCATTCTATAGGGAGCGTACAAAGCAAGAGTCTTCACCGTCCAGTTTTCCGCTTCCCGTCATCTTGCGTAGTCAGTTTACAGTACGCTCTGTAGAGACGTGCCAGCTCCCGCATGTGGTCGGAAGAACCCTCTCCTGCTGCCGAGTTCCTCACCCCTTCTCTAGTCGGATAGTAAAGTGCACGGTTTGCGGCATCTGCAACCCCCCCAACGCTCTGCTTCATCGCAGCCCGCCAACCCGGTTTTCGACCATCTATCTCAGCTCCAGGCCGCCTTTCTGGGGTTTGCTGGGGTAGACCCTGGCTGACCTGCGTTGCAGAGTGTCCAAGCGACCCCGAGCTCCCAGATGCTGCAGAGCTCCCAGATGTTCCAGCGCTTGCGTCCGCACCAAGTCGAGGCCGAGTGAACGGTACGTCGCTCGGGTTAGTCCTTTGATGATGCGCGATGGAACTGATGCCAACCTGGATCTGGCCCTTGCTATACCCCTCAAATTCGAAGTCGCGGTTGGGCAGGGCAGGCAGTGGCGGTCGGTTGTGTCGATATTGGCCAATTACAGGCTTATGCTAGCGCCTGTTAGGCAACATAGGTACGGATTAGCTACCACACTGTCCCTGGAAACCAAGGTGCTAGCCTCAGGTGGCTTCCCAATGAACAACGATCCGAACTCCGTCCAAATCCGCAGTAAGCATATCGGGGTACTTCGTCGGTCTGCATCCTGCATGGACGTTTAGCAGCTTTGGGACATGTCTATGTTTTCCTTTCCCCCCACAGCTCGATTCATGAGCTGCAGCTGCAGCTAGGTAGTTAAAAGACGGAGGCCAAAAGTATGTACTACAAGTACACTACCCTCGAGTTTTCTGAATCAATTTCACATCAGTCGTCTCAATTACAAAATCAGCTCCCGTTGGTACTGGTAATCATTTCAGACATGCCTGGTCTAGGCTCTTGTCGGCCGCCCTCGTCGTCGTTCTTCTCTGTAGCCAGCCGTTGGCGGCTGCTGACGACAAACACGGCGTGACCTTCTTGTTTCCAACGGAGGGTCAAACATTCTATTACCTCGATACCATTAACGTGACATACCTGAGAGACTTCCCTCATCCACATCTCTACACCTTCTGCGACGGCGGCAACCGCTTCAGTAAGTCCCGACTCATGCCCCTGCCATGCCAACCTTCGGTCCACGTCTAAACAGTCCCGCCCCGCCCCCAGTCAGAACCACCCCGTCGGCGCCCTACAACGGCTCCACGCTCGTCCTCCTCAGCTTCACTTCCTCGACACCCTGCTACTTCAACCCCCGGCCCGGAACGGTCGCGGGCCAGGGCGCCAACGGCACTCCCTTCGTCCTCGTCGACGGCCAGCACAGCCAGACCATCATCGGCTTGACCGAGCCATTCACAACATCAACAGCAACGAACACCTCGTCGGCGTCGCCGAGCAGCAGCAGCAGCAGCGGCGGCCTGAGCGGCGGTGCAGCGGCGGGGATCGGGGTTGGCGTCGCCCTCGGTGTCATTGCGCTTGCTGGCGGGATTGGGTTCTGGGTCTGGCGGAGGAGGAAGGCCCGGAAGGCGGCCGCGGGAGGTTCATACGCGGGGGTTGATATGTCGGGGCCGCATTTCGGAACAGGGTCCCGCGGAGCTGGATCAGCAGGGGGTGAAGCCCCCCGGCTCTCATAGGTTAGGACGACGCCACGAGCTCGGGGAGGCGAACATGCCACCGGAAATGCCTGGATAACTAGTGGGTAGGTTAATACGGGGTAGCAATTGGACAGTGCTAATAAGACCACTAGCGTAGCAGATTGGGGGATTTCGAGGACGAAGAGTATCTCGCTCCTGCGAGAATATTAGCATGGAATCAACATCAAATCTACCTTGCTGGATAAATTCCACCTGGAGGTATATTGTACGTAATATTTACGGCCAATAGGTGGAGCTGGGCATCAACGTCTCCAACTCCCAAGACACTAATTTCACGGGTGCTCCCCACTGGAACAGGAAATTTTCAGGTCACGGTCCGGATGGCAAGCCGTTGTGTCTCCAACCCCGCCTCATCAAGGCTCTTGACAAACCTCCCACCATTCCCCGTTCAACGCCATAAACCGCCTCACCACATCCGCCTGCCGCAGTCATGACAGCGCCCGCAATTCCGCCTCAGGGGACGCCGAAGAGGGATGATTCCGACCTGCGCATCGAGGTCATCGACAGCGCCGAGGACGTCGTGGCGGGGTTCGACTGCGTGTGCGAGGCCTTCGGCCGGCAGACGCGCGACGGTATCTGGATAGCCATGAACCCCGGGTGGGACACGGCCGAGGGCAAGGCCGCCTGCGCGGCGCGCATGGCGGACCGGTGGCGCGCCGTGACTCGGGACCGCAACGGCGACGCCAACACCGTCTTCCTCAAGGCCACAGTGCCGGCCGCCGGGGGCCGCCGCGCCATCGTCGGCCTCGCCATCTGGGTGCAGGCCTCGGCGGTTGCCGGCCACGGCGACAGGCCGGCCGAGGACCTGCGCGAGTCCCTCGACCTCGAGGCCCTCTACCCGGGCGACGCGGCCGAGCAGCGATACCTCTGCCAGCTCGACGGGGCCCTGCACGCGCGCCGCATCGAGGTCGTCAAGGAGAAGGCCTCGGCGTCGCCGGCGGCGGCCATGGTGCTGGACCTGGCCGCCGTCGACCCGGCCTTCCAGGGGAGGGGCATCGCGAGGCGGCTGGTGCAGTGGGGGCTCGACGAGGCGCGGCGGCGCGGCGGGCTCGAGGCCATCACCGAGGCGTCGACCATGGGGAGGCGCGTCTACGAGAAGATGGGCTTCCGGCAGGAGGGGCCCGAGATCGAGTATGTTGTCGACGCAGAGTTTGCGAACCGCGATAGGCCGTCCAACATCTTTATGCGAACGCAGGGAAGCACTGTAGGCCCGGCTGCTCCATAGTGTCGAGTATTTCGATCCATGTTCACTCGATAGCCAAATTCAATCCCAATACCCAGCGGATATGCCCTCCAAGGCTGCTGGAGGCTCCATCCATCGTTACCCGCCTCCCACACTGATGAGACAGTCATCCCTGATCACGAGCTTGTCCTCCGGCTTTGCCCCGGCCCTAGCTACAAGATTCCAGCCGCGAAGCCCAGCAACAACCACCTTTGCCCCTTTGTGCGGGTCCTTTCCAGTTACGCAGCCCTGCTCCCTTGAATCGTATGTGCCGGCGAAGGATGTCGAATTCACGCTGAACCTCCTCTTCTTCTCTAAGATCGCACGCTGCACCTTAGATTATGGCTGCTTCTAAACCAGTTTTCTTCGCCTGATGATTGAGGTGACTCTTGTGTTGCTCAGTGATGGGAAAGAAGGCTAGGTGACACTGCTGCCAGACTTCTGAAACTGGGTTGCAGGTCACGTGGTCTCCCAAGCCATTCCCTAGGACCTTTGAATATGCCGAAACCCCCTCCCGCACCTTATGTATCTTGTAACGCAGGTTTGCCACGCTGTCCCGGTATTCATGGCCAGATACGACGAGGGGAAGCAGTCCCTCTCTGGACAGCGCTCGCACGAATGTGCCGAAGAGATACGTCTCGCAGAGTCTGCTGTTACGCGCCTCTATGTATGTGTCGTGGATTTCCATTTGTATTAGCATTATTGTCACTTGCTCTGACTTGACCCAGTCTTTTGGCGTGCTTGCAAATTCCTGAAGCTCCAGGGTTGCCGTCGATAAATCTCTGATAGAGTACTCGTAGGCATTCCACCATGTCCGCGGTGCGTGTTGCTCGAGTCTTTTCGATGCCGTCTGGCATTGTTTGTTAGTGCATAACCAGAAGGCAACACTTATGGCCGTCAGGAGGGTTTCCTCTCACCAAGAATCCCGAGGGCATTGATATAATCATACGACTTCAGGGGCCCTGCAGTCTGGTAACACAGCGAGCCCGTTTGATCAAGAAACGCGGAAGACAGCACACGTTCTGCGATGTCCCGGAAGAGCCGCATATGCCCCAACTCCCATGCAATCCATAGGAGTCGTAAATCATGGTCTTGTGAGAGCAGAGACCCAGACAAAGGTCGGACCCAAGGCCGCAATAGATGAGCGAGATCGTATTTATCCGTCAGTATTGTAAGGTTGAAAAGCTCGTCAACCGTAAGCGTAGTGGGATCGGGAATTCTATCGAAACGAAAGTGGAGGATGTTGAGCACCAGAGTAAGTGCCTTGTAGTCATCTTCGGGTAATTCAACAATCCATTCCCCATCTCTCGGCCTCGATTCCAGGAACGGCCCGTTGAGCATTTTCTTCCAGACGGCGGACGCCCGAGACAGGGTTCGTGAGCAGACCACACAGTTAGCCTTGTCCGGGCCGACTTCAAGACGAAGATCCCCATCGGGGTCGAAATACGTTTCCGACATATCAGTCATCGTTGCAGAGAATTTCGCATGTTCAATGCTCCGGCGTTTGACGTTGCGAATCGTTGCAAATGCAGGATGAGGAGGCAAGCGGGGCAGGTATCGGTGTTTTTTGCTTGAATGGAATCACCAACATGTGTGCACAGACCACTCAGACTCAGGCCAGCAGATTGTTATCCCTCTCAGTTCTCAAAATAATCCTAGTATCTTCTTCTTCGACTTGGCACCTTGCTGCCGCTGGTACTCCTTGTCCTTCTCTACCATTCGGGCTTGCAGCCGCATAAATTGTCCATCCATCTGATCTTTCGTCAGAAACCCTCTGCCGCCATCTGGGTGCGTGTCTCGATCCTCAGCACCGCTGTAAGCCCCCTCCTTGACCCGCAGAACCTTGCTCAGCGCCTCTGCTTTCCCAATCAGCCATTTTCCGTGCCGTAGTCCGTCCCTCCAGTGAGGAGGCAGGGCTTTGTAGCCAAGGAATGCCCCGAGCAATGCGCCGGCAAAACAGGCATTGGTGTCAGCATCGCCACCTTCCATGATCAGATCGGTGATGAGCCGCTCAAAGATCTCCAGCGGCGTGCCCACGTCTGCACCGTCTCTGGCCATCTCTCTCATGGCCAACCGGAGCAGCAAGGTGCCCGAACCGAAGGTCTTGTACACGTAGCCGATCTTCGCAGCCTCGTCCAGTTGTAGGTCTGCGAGGCACTCCGCCTGGGCATGCCGGTCGAGTTCTGCGCGATCCAAGGCGGGGTCCTCTTTCCAGCTTTCGTCCCCCTCCTCCTTCACGCTCCTCCACTTTTGGTACCATTGGAACCCGTCGTCGACCATCCCATCGATGTGCTTCTCCTCAGACACCTCACCGCGGACAAGGCCCCGGACCAGCGCCGTCCCCACCGCGCACGCCACGACGCACCGCGGGTCCACGTGCGTAACCACGGAATAGCTCGCGGCGACCTCGAATGTCTCCTCCAGGGACTTGGCCAGACACATGAGGCCCAGCGGGTGCGTGCGCATCAGGCTCCCGTTTGGCGCGAGGTCGCGACGGTTCCGCACCCACACGTCCCGCGCAACCGCCTCCGGGCCATCGAGGTAGACGGCCTTCCTGACGATGGTGCCCACGGTCCGCCCGAGCCCGAGCGGCACCGTGTCCAGCGCCCGCAGACCCATGTCCACCCATGTCCGCAGGCGGCGCGCAAAGTCCAGCGGGTCCAACTCCTGCCCGTCGGCGTGCAGATACGACAGCAGGATCAGCAGCGCGTGGTCCGTGTCGTCGGTCCAATCGCCCGTCTCGTGCGGGCTGCGGTGGAAGTCGCGCACAAAGGCCGTGGCCTCGGCTGAGGGCCAGAGCGTGAATTTCCGGGTTGGGTAGCCCGCCTCGGATGCCTTCTTGGACAGGAATTCTGTGTATAGGCCAATCGCGTCCCCTAGGGCGGAACCGACCAGAGTGCCGCAGATGCGGTCGTGGATTGTGGCGCGGGCGAGGTCCCACTGTGAAGCCGTGGGGATGCTCGCGAAGAGCGCGGGTTGTGTAGATGCCATGTTTTTTTTTGGTTTTTGGAGTTTCCCGTATCTTTGCGTGTTTGTCTCAAAGTGATAGTGAGCAGGGGAATTATCTGGACCTTGTACTACATGGAGTTGTCTTGACATGATGGCTGAACTATCAGCCGTTCGTACATACATATCCCTGTCGCGAATCCCGAAGGCCTACTGAGCCAAGCAGCTGAGAATAATAGGCTGAACTTGTCACTGCCTAGCACTGCCCCTGCGCTAGGTCTTACCTAGTTAGCGCAGTAACGTTTTCTTTCAGCTGTCCCAATTTAGGCACTTGGCAGCCACCCACCACCGACCAACATCGTATAAGTCTTGGAAGCATTCACAACCGTGCTGGAGAGCACGAGATTTCCCAGACTGACCAGGTCGATCTAGTGAGGTCGTCCAGGATGATATACCGAAATGGATCAAGAATTCTCAGGAGTCAACCGATTTGCGATTATTGGATTTCTCTTCATAACATTATGACGGAGAGGAATCCAGTAATCGTACACCTGAAATTCAGAAGCCCTAGGTAGGCATCCATTTGCCAGTCACCTGTCCCCTCAAGTGACTCCCTCACCACCACCACCGGCTCCCGCCCCGAAGCAAACTGCGTCCCCATTCCCTCGCTGTCTCGCTTGGGAGGCGCAGTTATTTCCCGTTTCTTGTCCATGGATAAAGCGCATATCCGAAGCTGCTCCGGGCACACGTTGGAAGTGCCGACGAGAACCATCTTTGAGCCTTCTTGAACGCCGGTTCGGTTTTAGGGATCACGGAGAGGTCGCGCACAAACAGTCTCACCAGGATCTGCTGTCCCAGGCATGTCCCACGCGCAAGAAACGGAACCGGTCATGACAGGTGCGCCAGATCTCGAATTGGAGATAGCCATTTATCACGACTTGGTCCGATATGCGCGCGGTTATTGCGGGTGGTCTCAGCATGAGCTCCTAGGCTCACTAGTAGGATTCAGTGTGCTGCGGAAGCGACAGCATTTGCATGGCCAGCATTATGAAGCTCTTTCAGGCGGGCCCCGACTGCAATATTCCATTCCCAAACTTTATGAGTGTTGATTTGCCAGGCTTTTCAGAGACCCAGAAGAGTCCGTCATCCCCTGAAAGAAATCGACGAAGCGAGCCGGTACGCTTCATTGACCCCGTTAGGTCTTTCAAGCTCCACTCAAAGGTCTTTCTGTGGGCTGCCTGAATCTTATAATGTCTCAACGGACGTTTACTGTAATTGAGACTCGCCAAGATCGCTGAAGTCTGGCCTTCCCTCGTGTACTGGTGAGTATCGAGGGATAACGTAGATAGCTCTTTACGGGGCTGAGAGGGAAAGCGGATACCTCCGCCCTGGCCCCAAGCGTCGACTGAAAACCTAACTCGGTGATTACCGACGTGTTTACCGGCCTGCGAAAACCAATTACGTCACAACGGCGTACAAAAAAAGACAAGAGAAAAAAGTTCATTATTTAACGAATCTCTATGCCAATCTCATCAAAATGCATGAAACATCAAGATTGAAGAAGTGCGTATTTCGCTGGACCAATTAGACGAGATCGGATCCTGTTGCTAATGCCTCACTCTCAGGTGGATTAACCCAATAACGTGGTGGTCCATGCTGGACATGGATCGGGAGTCCCTCCTCCAGATGATGAAGTGTTCACTTCCGCCGGTAGTGGTCATTGCAATGTTAGATCTAGGGAACCCACTCAGTCATGCCCGAAATTAAGACTTTTCTGACCGTTCGCAGATCTCAAACCAGTGCCGTGGCCAACATGACTTCGACAGTGGGCTATCTCGCCACCATCACGGCTGTTTCGTCACAGTGTCTTCTACCACGTGCCAAGTTCTTAAGAATCATGTTCTTTAATCTCTTGGCCACTTGCATTGCCGCTTCGCTATGCTGTCTCGCCAGCTACACAGCGGTCAAGGCACGCAAACAGAGTCGCGGATCCGACAGTTCTGGACACGGCGGACTCAGCGATTACAACAGTGACGCTTGCGTTGTGTCTGCGATTTGGCTCATTGTCATGATCTGGTGTGTTGCTTCACCATCTGTTTATGTGGTTCGCTACTGATGACTGGTGAAAAAAGGGTTGCGAATGGATTTCGAGCATGGCGGCCCACGGAACTACAGGACCCCATGGTCGCGTTTTCCATCTTCTCTGTCGTTACCCTTACTCGGTCCGGCACTTTTGAGGACGTTTCTGAGGGCCTCAACTTCATCTCACGGCTCCTGAAGACCCTACTTCTAGGCTTCGCCATTGCCACTGGAATATCATTGCTCATCCTCCCCAGGACCTGCCGGGGGCATGTCTTTGAGGATATTCGAAGCTATACCGAGCAGACACAGGCTGTCCTCGCTTCGCTGCCAGAATTCTTGCGAAGCTTCCCGAACGGGACTTCACCGGCAGCCCCTTCTAGCCCGGACTCGGACGCCGAGGTTGCAGATACGCAGCAGACGACACGTCTTCGTCAGTAGCTGCCCTGGCTCGTGATAAACTGAGCGCGGCGATCAACGCCTTAAACACCTTGGATGCCAAGATCCAGGGCGGTCTGCACTACTCTAAAATGGAGGTGGCTTGCGGCAAACTAGCTGCCTCGGACCTGGAGGAAATCTCGGACCTTCTACGAAACCTCCTTCGACCGCTCTCCGGGATGGTGCTTCTTCCGGATATGCTCGACAACCTCGTCCAGACCGACTCCTTCCGGACACACGAGCCCGGGAACTTTCAGGCTAGTATGAAACAAGGCGGAATCGACTATGTTGCGGGTAGCTTGCCTACGTGGCTCTCCGAGATAAGCAATCTCATAACCATCGGCCTACAATACTTCTTGGTACGGCTTGAGCTTGTGAGCCGGAGCCAGGTTTGCAAACAGGAACACCAATTGGATATTCTTGACCAAGATGGGAAGCTAATAAGTCTAGATCCCGAGAGCATCAATTTTGTTGACGAGTTTGAGCGGAGCTTGAAACATGTGTCTTCGTCTTCTCGAAAGCAATTCCTCGATGAGATTTCCCTCCCACACAACGCAATCTTGCATGCCGAGGGGTCTGAAGGCGACTCTTGCGTGCACGAAAGCAACTTGGGGATTCAGCAACAGTATTTTATTGCTCTGTACTTGTTTTACTTACAGGACATGGTTGCCGATGCAACCGTTGCGTTGGCATTGTTTGCCCGCCGAAAGGTTACCGATGGGACAATGGCACGCTATCGACTTATCCGTCCCGACAAACTCAGCCCCTGGGGATGGTTCTCTCCCTCGTCAGACTCAAGGGAAACTGCCACGGTCATCCATGATTTCCCACCGCCTCGCGAGGAGGCCCAGGGAATCAAAGTGGCCGATCCGGAGCACCTGGTGCCGTCCAATGTCTGGGAACGGGAGAGCGGCCGTTTTCGCAGTATTTCGGCCTTGATTGGTTCGGACTTGAGCATGTTTGGTCTGCGTGTCTCTGTGGCATCATTCTGCGTCGGTATTTTGGCTTATCTGCATCAGACGCAGGAGTTCTTTATACGTCAGAGATGTATATGGGCCATGATTGTCATTGTCATCGGAATGAGCCCGACGAGCGGCCAAACCATGTTTGGTTTTGTGGCCCGCATCGTGGCAACCGTCTTTTCCGTTGCGTTGAGCCTTATTGCCTGGTACATCGTGGATGGAAGAACCGCTGGGGTTATCATCTTCCTGTTCCTGGCGAATATGGTCGGGGTGAGTCGATCAGTGCAAGGCAACGTTGGGTGGGAAAGAAACTCACCGCTTGGCAGTCTTACGTCTACGTCAAAAAGCCCCAGTACTTTGGACCTTCGATCATTGCTGTCATCACACTGAACGTCATCATCGGCTACGAACTACAGGTATATATCTCTAGTCAAGCCAGGCCAGCCCTCCATACAGAGGATAGAAAGAGAGACTGATACTTGTGGGCAGGTGCGCAAGCTTGGGAGAGACAGGGCCGAATCCAACGGACAACCATACTACCCCATCTACATCTTCGGCCCCTACAAACTTCTCGCCGTGATCGCCGGCTGCGTCATCTCTTTCTTCTGGGTCATTTTCCCTTATCCCATCACCGCCAAGTCCAAGGTCCCGCGACTCGTCGGAGAGAACCTCTTCAACCTAGCAAGGGTTTACAGCGTTATGCACGCGACGATTGAGCTGTGGATCGACCGACAGCATAGCAGGCCCGAAGACCCCGAAGACCCTGCTCACCTCTACGCTCATATGGGCGCGATGATGAAGAAGCTGACCAAGGAGGGGTTGCTTTCGCTCCATTCTCTGAGAATGCACGGTCGTTTTGCAACATACGAGCCGCCGCTTGGTGGCAAGTTCCCGGTCCGCATCTACAGCAACATGATGTCGGCTATTCAGCAGTCGTTGAGCTTGATGTCTCTGATGGCATACATCGGACGCACCATGCCATCCGCAACTCGACAAACCGAGAATGCTTCGGGGGAGGCAAAAGACTGGACCTCGGGCTTAGCCGTCGCGGCACTCGAGTCGACTGACTTCCAATCGCACTCCACGACATCACTGTTTTGTCACCTTGGCTCCGCCATGGTAAACGCTCAGCCTCTGCCGCCATTTCTATCTGTATCAGAACCATTTCCGCTGGCGCGGCAGTTGCAGCGACTCGAGTTCAAGCTGTTAAACATAAATAATGCTCAGGATCCAGCGTTTATTGCCTTTATCTCATTAGAAGTCCTAAGAACGACCCTCAACTTTGAGTTGAAGAAAATGCTGAGGTAAATATACCCCGAGCGACTCGGTTGCTTAAAAATAAAAAGAAGAGAAAAAAAACTAACCACAGCTTGAAGGAATGTGCGGATGCTAGTAGGAGAAGTAAAACTCGACGTTTAATTATATAGCGCAGTACATACCCCCCCTATTCTTCTTCTGAACGCCGAATAAACTAGGTAGACACATAGAAATAATAAGTGAAGCTATGATCTTCATGTCTGTGTTCAGATTCCAGGCTACCGCTTCCCACTATTTCCACAATGTATGCTTAGAAGCCGCCCCCAAGTGATGTCCTCAGACAAGACCCGCAGCAGGGCTCTAAGAATTTGTGTCCGTAATTATTTGATCAATCAATTCCATTATCTGTTTGGTTTTCCACTTACAGATACGTTGAGTAGGACGCTTTCCTTGACTTCCTGGTGGTTTCAATTTACCAAGCGAGTTCCTACAATTATTTACATTATTACTACAACTAACCCATCAGGTCTCGTCCTAATCAGTCTCCACCCTCGGCCTCTTGTTGGCCCTGCTATTCCCACCACCGTCTCCGAGTTCCACCTTCCGCGAGAGCATGACGACCCCGAGGATGGTCTTGGCAATCGCCTTCGCCACGGCCGGCGGCTGCGCCGCGAGCACGTCCTTGCGCTGCGACTCGGGGGAACCGTAGAAGACGAAGTCGTCCTTGAAGCCCTGGAGCCGAGCAAGCTCGCGCACTGTGAGCAGGTCTCGTCGGACTGGGAGATTCCTAGGTCAGCATAGCTCGGTGTATTTACTTGCGCTTGATACGTGGCTTCAGGGGTATCTCTGCTCTTCTCAGGGTTCCGGGGATTGGAAAGGGGAAAATGTAAGAACTGGGGTCCCATTCTCTCGACTTACCTGGGTGGATCAGAGACTGGGAGCTGTTGTATGATAGGACGACGGTGTCTGCATCCATGTCGACAGCTTTGGCATCCTCCCCGGGGACATGTTGGCCGGTGCCGTGGTTGTAGATGTATCTTGGCGGCATTCCGGCTCCATCTGCCTGGGAGCACACAAACGTTCCGCCTGCGCCCTCCGTCGCGCGAGGATTCTCAAATGCCAAGTCTCCAATGAAGGCCTCTATTTTTCCGGGCGATTGGGATCTGGTAGCACCTGTAGCAATGGCAGGAGGATCATGTCGTTTGGTTGACACATGTGCCGACCCCGGGAACGGCGATCCGACGACGACGAGGATGCTCCGATCCTGGGGGATTCCATGGGCTTGGAGCGACTGCAGGCTGATGCGCACTGTCTGACCCTGCTCAAGTAATCTCAAGATGCTTTCGGAGAACCGACGTATTGTCGAGCTGTGAAGCACGGCTGGAGATATTTGCAGGGCCGTGAAATCTGGCTTGAAATGCGAACTCGTAGCCGAGTCCATGATACCAAGCGGCGAGAGAAATAGGTCAACCGAGGGCATGTCTTTGTTTCCCTGGCTCAGCCTAAAGTTTGTGTTTTCTCCGGCCACCAGGGCAATCATCGGGTTACCAGGGGGTGGAAGGCCGGGAGGCACGAGTTTGCCCGATGCAAAGTCGCCAAATATGCCTTGGGGGGATTCATCAAAGATCTTGCACTCGGGATACCGCACCTGGTTCCATTGGTTAGTAAAAAAGTAAAAGGTTGGTCGAGATTTCTCAAACTGACCCTCCATGTGCTGTGGCGATCCTCCTTGAACCCCACGCCGGCAAGGACTCTATAACCCATATCAGCGATATCAGTGAAGCCTTCCAACGGACCGAGGACATTAGGGGTCAGATCAACCACAGAGAGCACTGACACCTCAGCGAAGCTGTCTTGTCTTATGCGGTCGCGACGTGGAAGGAGCTCGGATGCCAAGGGCATGACGGTTATCGCCTCATCAATGACCGAATGAGCGAAGCGGCAAAAGGGCGTGCGGCTCTCGACTGCGTCTGTCAAGTATGGTCAGATGGGAGAAGCAAAGTTTGTCGGCTGAGGTACACTCTTACCTGGAGGAGGTTGAACACAATGAACCACCTCAAAATTTCGAGGAAAACGACACACTTCGATAATATCGTCAATTTTGATGACCTCGGAGTCATGCCGTGTCCCCAAGGACTCGGGCAAGGTGAAGTGCAAGAGGAGCTCTATGCGGTCGCCCGCTGCCATATCCTCACCCACCGGGGAGGTTAGATCCCGGAAGAGTGGTTCTGATTTGAGCAAGGAATACTTGGTGGCGGTTAAATGAGCCGATTCAACGACGCGTAAAATGACTGGCGCTGATACGGACGGCATGGTTGTTGCGGTGCATCACCAAAGTCGCAAGCTTGAGGCCCTCCCCATGGACGCCGGCGAACTTGTTGTGCCCCCGCTTGGTCGTCCCGCCAAGACCCAGATAACTCATCTCGAACCTATTTTTGAAGTTTGCCAGCTCAAGACTTCCAGCCTTCTTATCGAAGCGGATGTAACCGAGGAGCTCCTTTGAGTATTGGCCGTCACCCGAGGCGGTCTTCCGATGGACCGTAATCTGTATCTCATTCGGGGTTTCATTCCAGCTCGGCGCGAATGACTGGGGGTCGCGAGGGTCGAGGTCAAACGAGTCGACAATAGCATCCTTCCTGTTCAATCCAGCGTTAGGAGCGGTCAGAGGCGGGAATGCGATCCCAAGGAATGGCGTAATTACCATTTTGATACAACTCGCGAAACGCCTCGGCAGGCTTCCAGTTCCCGACATAGTCTCTGTTCGACCCGAGAGAACGTGTTGTCGGACGAATCTCATCATTGGCTTCATCAGAGTTGGCGAGATAATCGCTCTCATCAGACGAGATAGCTGAGTCGCTGCTCGAGTCCATCGCTAACAGCCCATCCATTTCGAGGCTTGATAGGGCTGGACCTGGTTGAACCTCAAATAACGGTAGTGGCGGCTCCTAGGAGGGAGAAAGGGGCCGGGGACGAGCACCAAAAGTGCGTCTAATTATCCAGTGTTCTCCTTTGGTGTGGAGATCGTAGGTAAATTCCGACGGACACTTGGGAAAGACGGGGAAAACGAGGAAGGGTTTGAGAGGTAATAAATTCCGGAGGTGGAAACCAACCTACCTAGGTACCTAGGTACCTAAGGTATCTACTAAAATGGATAGGTACGTACCTAAGTGCCTTGCCGTTGGTGAATGACGGGAGGGTACTGCGGACGTGTTTGTTGTGTGGGTTGAGGCAGAAAGGTGAGGCTTGGATGCCGGTCGGCGGCCCTCTTGGAAGTTTCTTCGATGCAATCCTCGGTCAAAGTTAACAAAGGCAAGGCTCGGTCGACAAATAGGTATTCTGGAGCTAATAGGGTAAGATATACAGCTTCAACCGCAACATTTGGCGCAGGAGATGCGGCTTTTGGGAAGAATTAGTAGAGGGGGTTTGCTCCTGCTTCCACCGCCATTTTCACTTCACCGCGTCATTAGCTAGGTCCTCTGTGCCTCTGTGCTTCCCATTGCCATTGCCATTGCCATTTCCTCAGGGTCGGGGTCTAGTGGAAGTGGGGATACCAGAGGATGCATCTTACACAACGACAAAATCCCCATACCGATTCGGCTCCTCCTCTTTCCGAGAATCAGGCTGGTGCCGTCCCCCGGCCCTACCTGATGCAGCCATGCTTTGCCGTCTCCACTCATTCCCCCAAAGTGCCCGAACTTCAGCCACAGTCAAGCAGTCGTTTGTATCACGCCTCATGCAAGCAGTGGCACCCAGCCGAAGAGCACAAAAGCATGTGATACTGAATACCGTTCTTTCTCGAGATTGCCAGCTGGTAGGCAAGGACATGAGAAGACATAAGATCAGAGGAATCCCCATTATGACGATGAGGGGAAACTGAGAGCAAGCCAAGCGACTCCGTGTTGTTGTTCTCTGTCCAAGCCAACGTATGCCTAAGACACTGTAAAATCTGTATTAATTGTTCACTACCTGCCATGCTCAGATCCACTCCCCTCTGCCCAAGCTTTCATAGCGTCCATCAAATAAGGATCATTCTCTGCACGACGCACGCATGACGGTCGATCCAACACGGGAACCTCTCTTGGGAAATCTTGGTCCCGCGAGACGTGTGACATGCTGGGCTCGTACGGATCGATGCGAACCGTGTATTTCTCCGCCCGAAATCGAAAGGCCTTTGAAGTGTCCTGGTCTAGGGTCGACTCTGACAAAAGGATTGAGACGCAGTTCTGGATCTGCGTCTCTGACAATTTGAAGATGTGGTGCCTGCCAATGGGTTGAATGTAGACATCCTTGAACTAGGTAAGGGTGTTAGCAGATCCAAGCCAGTGCACAGTAGGAGCACTAGCAGCAACATACCTCAGTCTTGGACATGCCTCGATCAAACAGGACGACACCCCCAAACAATCGGTACTCAGCCCAGTACCCTACAACGTCAGCGGCACCGCAGGGGTAGTGCTCCCAGTCCATGTAGAACATATGGAAAAACTCGGCTGGCCGCCGTGGCATTTTGGGCAACGGGGGTAAGGTGATCCCCGGAGGAGGTTTGGGAACTGGAACCTGCGGATCGAAATCAGGAGGTGATTTGCGAATACCCCCATCGTATTCGGTGTACAGATAACCCGCAATATCGTGGCATACAATTGCGGCCATTTGCAGTAATCGTAAGAGGAATTCCCTCGAGTCTGTCGATGCATTCTGGTATAACTGTGCAATCTAACTACAATGAGCATGACTTCTAACGTGTCAAGTGAAGGGAAGAGATAAATGGCAGGGGCACCTTTCCATCGACGTGGATAGCGCCAAGATTGAAAATCTTGGCGGTAGGCAGCAACAATCTCAACAGCCTCTTTACTTGGCGCAAGGTTCGTCTCGTAATCGACTCGATACCAGCCGTAATAGTCTTTGTATACGTCACAAGTTGGAAGACCATCCACTATCTGGGCGTATGTCTCGGAGGCAAGAGTGCTGGAGAGGATAGTGCACATCGCCCGGTTCAACGCCGAGAAATGATCTGGCGTTAGATTGATAAGAGCGACCTTGGTGTTCGTTGACATTGTGAAGAAGAAGATCTGGTCATGGAGAGCGGGAAAATTGAAAATGGAAGTGGGAGGATCCGGGTCTTACCCAATGGCAAATCCTCGTCCCGATCCGGCTCCTTCTCTTCCCTAGATTTAGGCGGGTCCCCCGGCCCGATTTGACACTGCCATACTTTGCCGTCTCCACTCGTTCCCCCAAAAAGCCCGAACTTCAGTCAGAGTCAAGCGGTCGTTTGCATCCTGCCTCGTGCAAGCAGTGACATTGTCCTTCCATTTCTGAGGTATATCAGCCGACTTGTCAGTCCAGAGTCTCCGAGTCCTGCTATAGTCCCCCAGCCCAGGCTGACGTTCGAGTCCAATCTCTTCCAAGAGCAGGAACATGGTCGACCCCAGACTGAAGACGTCTGCCGCTTCCACGGCCCGAGGGCTGAGCTCGTGCCACTGTGGGAAGACATCCCACTGTGGTATGCCAATGATGTTATTAATTCTGGGCGGCCCTTGGTACGGAATGTATACCAGTTCGGGCAAAGAATCAGTTGCACTGCTTCCGCTAGATTTTACTTCAAGGTCGAAGGACCCGTCAACTTCAGGCGCCGAAATAAATGTGTTCGCCCCTCCGATCCCTTGTTCCCAGTCAATAATGACAACATTGCACTGGTCGTCCAAGAGAATATTGGGCGGTTTCAAGTCCTGGTGCCACGAGCGGCCCTTGTGGTGGACGTGGTAGAGAGCGTCAGCCAACTGGAAACACCACTTCGCCTTCCAGCTCGGGGGTATCCTCGACCCGTTCTCCAGGCTGCGCTCGATCAGGGCTGCGACGCTGCCGTTCTTGTACCACTCGTAAAGAACGCCGACCACCTTGCCAGAGCCGAGGCCCTCGGGGGATGCGTGGATGACGAGCCGCAGCGGGGGAGGCATGATGTTCGGATGCCGGGGTATGGTATTGCACAAGAGAGAGATTTCTCGGTGGAGAGAATCCATCCGGCAGCGGAACACGTCGTCTGGAAAGGCCAGGTAGTCGGCAAAGGTGACTCCCTTAAAAACCACGTCGGTTTTTTGCAGGCAAGGGACTGCTGATTTGTGGCAGGCCCCGCGGAGGCTGTCGAGAGGGTCTTGTAGCACCACATCTGTGCATTTGACCGCGAGATTTCCCCTGCCCTCGTGGCCCAGTATGCCGTCGTCGTTGATGATCTCGCGAATGGTCTGGAAATGTGAGATATACGAGTCATAACTCTCCGGTTCGCGTTTGAGGAGACCCCGAATATTGCCTGATTTGCCGCTGAAGTACAGAACCGTGTCGGGAAAAACACCCTTCGGGAAAGTGCTCGATTTTTGCCAGTACTCCGCAACGGCTGTCGATATCTTGCTGCTCAGAGACACGGAGACTGGAAATGCTCGCCCTGTCAAGTCTGCCCCCGGTAATGACTCGAGAGCATCAACATGAGCGGCGAGTAGTCTGTTCAATGACGCTTCTCTGCCGTTTCCGTCTTCTCCGTCGAGGCCGAAGGATACTACCAGTTGATACGCCTCTTGAAGGTGCTGCAGTAGAGCAACAACGCTGTTTTCGTCCTTCCAGACCCTGACGTTGATGCATCTCCAAGGTATATTTTGGGCCATTTTGCGTCAGGAGGTGCTACTGGCCGCTAATTGACACGCTGATTGTATCATCAAGTTAATGTTGATCCTGGAGGCTGAGATTAAAGCATCGAGTTGTATGCAGCATGCCTTGTAGGCTGTAGGCTGTAGCTAGGAGCCTGTTTTGGCCTGGTGTTCATCCCCTGGCTCACCCATTCATTATTCATTTGTCTTAGCCTCCCTGGTCGAGCAGGGGTAGCAAGTTACGACATTGTGCTGAAGCAAGGCTTCAAGTCTCGCATCCAGCATTCTTTGTAATTCCATGTGAGGGTATTGTACTGTACATAGTACATGAAAATACATAGATACTGATGCCAATATGTCACCGAGCCTTATCTTGCCCGTGTTGATCATCTGCATGACCCCCCCATGCTCTCGGAATTATCGGCATTCGCCAACCAACAGATTATTGTCGTCCATAGTAATCGGGCGAGAGCGGGGTAATGGTCTTCAAACACGAGGTGGACTGGCTGCATGTCTTGAAGCAGGCTGCGCAGGTCGCTGTCGAGATGCCCTAGGGTAGTATTCTGTGGTACATGCTTGTCCAAAGGGTACTTTGGAGCACTGTATGCCCTTCAGAAACACTGTAGTAGCCTCCTGGGAACATGATTCAACTATTTCAACCTCTGCTAAAGAGAGTTACATGTACCGCAGTTCAAAGCTGTTACCCAACCATGTAAGATATTGAAATTCAGACTGCGATCTATCAGGGATGCCCCCTTTTTCCTTCTCAAAAAAAAGACCCTTTTCTATATCGTTGATGCTAATCCTTTCCTGTAGAACTCTATGTAGATGCTATTGCCAACCTATTCATATCTTGAATAGCTACGAATTGATAAGATCAAGAAGGAGTTGCAACTAATTGAGCAACCGACACGCCAAGTTGCGCAAGAGACAAAACTATCGCAATAGCTCCAGCGATGAGAACCAGCCAAAACGTGTACCATTTCGGCTTGTCTCTAGTGTCCCTCCAAAATGTCCACAGGGTCCGCGGCCTCTGCCGCTGATTGAGTTCCTGAAGAACCAGGAGTCGGGGTCCGAGCATGGGAAGGTCGTCCGAGATGCTGTATTCACCTTGCTTTCTCAACTTATCCTCGCGGTTCCTGCAGGCTCGTGGCCACAGCTCGCCCGGGAGGTTTTGGATCTGAGCGCTGCCTGTTGTTTTGGTGGATAAAATGTCCATGAGCGGGTCCGAGTTGTCCCCGAGGGTGGGTTTCACATCCTTGAGATAGAGCTTCCGGGACGCCTTGTCCTGCCCGAAGAGGATCCTGTAAGAGAGGATGATCTCTTGCTTGAAGCGTGGCCAGATATTAGTCGCCGTCTCCAGTGGCTCAAAATAATCGCGCATGACCCTGTGACGGGGTTTAGTTAGCCGCACTTGAGGCACATGGTTTTGAGGGGAAGTCTCACTGATCGAGAATGGGACTCTTGCCTTCATCCGAAAGACAGCCCACCGCACAGATTGTTGGCAGACGAAATAGATAGAGCTTCCTCGTCGTTGGGACAAAGAGAAGATGGTGCGTGATTGTGTTCGTCCACTCAATTGTGACATTGCCAAAGCCACGAAGCATTGCATAATTAACGCAAGAGACGGAGATGAGATCTGACGAAATCGAGTCTTCCACCGGATCCTGGCGAGAATACGGATGTCGAGCATGTAGCGTTGGGGAGAGATGAGACTGACAGAACCCGCGAAGAAGGGAGCAGATGGGTCGTCTTGCCGTGGCTTCTATGCCTTGTGAGGCGGGTGAGTTCATGAGACCGCCAGGGTATACGACTTCGAAGGCGTCGGTCTTGGGACTTGGAGACGCATCCACTAAGAGGAATATCCAGGTGAGCACACAGAAGACCGCTCGTCTGCAGTTGTCTTGGCCCTTCTTGTCGAACTGGCTCATCTCCTTGCCGTAGCCTTGACGAAGCCATGTCTCCGATATCTGGTGGATGCTTGGCGAGTCACTCGCCTGTTGCTGGATAATTTCGGCAATGACTACGACGAATTCAAGATAGTCTCGCAACACCAAGGGTCTCTCAAGCTTCGCCACATATGTGATGGCCGGCTCGATCCAAACAGGCCCAATCGCTGCTGCCGAGGCCTCTAGGTACTTCTCATAAGTGAGAAGTCCCGGCCATTGGCTTAATTGACAGGTATCGGATCCAAAAATGGCGTTGCAGAGGCGCTGTGTTGGATGATCCTCGACATCGGCTAGTGGTTCTTGCATCTCGAGGTCAACATTAGTCTTGGCCGATGACCCTGCTCTCGGCCAGAATGCAGCTAATGGCCCGAAAAGGACCTGTTGAGATAGACGAATTCAGATACTTTAGCTGACTGTGCTATCCAATCCAGGAGAGGACGTATTATCAGAACAAGGGTGGGGGGAGGGGGGCAAACCAAAGACGAAGACTCACCCTCATGGTTTGATAGCTCAAATAGAACTCTAGAGACCAGCAGGAACGGAGCTCGAGTGTGACGATAATATTGGTGGCCTTGTGCCTCTATCTGCAAGTGAGTTGTTAAGTGACGCAAGAGCCGCTTGAGATCAATATCAGGAGGGAGGTATGGGGGCCCAACTCGCTACGTTAGATATTTATAGGTACTGTACCTAAAATACAGCGGCAGGGGTTGGACCGCTAGTAGCCTAGGTTTCCACTACTCCTGAGGCGCACGGGTGTACATACAAAGGGCGAAGGTGTGCCTGGCTCAGTATAAAATGATCCATCACCCCCTCGCCTCGTCGAGCTGCTTCAAACGTTCACCCGTAAGTCTGGATAAACCTGACACCGACTAGAATCCTAGCAAAAATAATTCAACAACAACGAAGTCCACTGCACCCCGAGCCAAGCCGTATTTTGCGATACGTCCAGCATCTAGTGTAAGTCTCAAGAATCTGGCGAACTGTTGGGCATTCTGACGCCTCCTGGCACAAGGCAACCGTGTTGCTGCCACCGCAATGGACTCCCCCAAAGAGACGCGCGAACAGCCATGGAAGAAGTGGTATAAGCCCATCGACAAGGCAGCGACCGACTTCGCCATGGCAGTGCTGCCTGTTTTCCTCGCTGGAAACGGAAACAATGGGACCGACCACCTCGACTTTGCCGTCTACACGGCTGGCTCAACCGCGGCCGCAGCGACAGCTGAGGTTGTCAACAAGCGGTCCACGTAGGGACGTGCTTGTGGACTGGGTAGACCGCGACTATGCGGCGGTGGGAGAAGATTGGGTGGATAGGTTTGCGACCTGATTGGCTCCCCTGCAGCACCACCTCGCCCGACTTCTTACGTTGCGAGAAGGGATGGGGTGGGGGGCATGGCTGAGGCAGGTTATTAGTACGAGTCACAGTTGCGGAAATTAGCTCAAGTCTATCAGTCAAACTTGTCTGGCCGGTTGTGCATGAGTATGTGTACCAGGTACATGCAAACAATTCAAGGCACCCCAGAAGGAATCAGGCCACGGAGACACTCGTTAAACAGGTTGCGGCTCCCGCAGTTGAAAGTAAACGGGCATCCAAAGCTCGGACTTCTGCATATCAGAATACACCATACACACCTTATTAGCTTTCAGAGCCGATATTGACACAGCGGCCTGCGACCAATGCTCTCACACCCCGACTGCTATCGTGGTTGAGATAGTGCAGACAAATACGACCATGGCAGACACCACGGTTCTAGGACCAGAGCCGCAAGATATTGAGACATTCATTCCCTTTTTGTCAAAAGAAGACCTCTACAAAGTCGAGAAGCCATACGGAGCAGACTTTCCGGTCGACAATATCGAAGGTGCCAAAATCACGAACCACATCTTTGACATCCACCCGGTCCGGGTCCATGATGTGCGTGGATCACCGCACGAGTTGGACTTGGAGCGCAATGGCGCGTGTTTCATCAAGGCCGGGGTCTCCCTGAAGGCCGAGGAGGCGTCCATCACCATGACTCCTGCCATGGAAAAGTACATTGCGGACGTTTTGACGACCCTTCAGAAGAAATTCCCCGGCTACGTCGAGATAAGGCTCATGGACTTTCAGGTACGGACGGGTTCGCATGTCGCCAGTTCACCGAACAAGCGTTGCAGACTGACACCAGCCACTCGTTCCATGCAGATCCGCAAGAGGTCCGTTGAGTTCCCTCACGGCCACGGCAAGAAGGTCGAATTTGCCCAGCCCGCAACCATGCCTCACACCGACTTCTCCGTAAATGGGGCTTTGATGCGCATGGACGACGTGTTTCCCAACAGAAAGGAGCTCTATACTGGCCGGGACTTTGATCTTCTCAAGTTGAGTGGTTTGGGACCGTGGCCCTCCTGAACTTCCTGCTGAACCATCACAGCATTTGGAAAGTTCTTAGCGGGCCCAACAATGACTGGCCGCTCGCTGTCTGCGATTACAGCTCCGTGGATTGGGACAATGATACGACGACCAACGATGCCGTACACCTGCTGCGCACGGGCGAGAACTGGCTGCTGCATTATAATGAAGAGCAGCAGTGGTACTACCTTAGCGGGATGGAAGAGGACGATCTCATCGTCTTTCGGAATACAGACTCAGAAGGGCAGCGCTCCCGTGAGTCATCCCCACACACTTCCATGTTTGGGCCTCTACAGATTGGTTGGGCCGAGATGGAGCTGACCAAAGGCTGCAGGCTGCTTCCATGTCGCCTTCAACAACCCATCCGCAACTGGGCCGCCTCGAGAGAGTGTCGAAGTGAGGGTGGCTGCATTCAGGAACTAGCCTGAGCAGCCTGAGCAGCCTGAGCAGCCTGAGCAGCCTGAGCAGAGCAGCCTGAGCAGAGTAGCCTGAACAGAGCAACGACGACTTGGAATCTCAATCCTGAGATTGAAACTGAATGGGATGATGACACGGGAGCCTAGCTTGGTCAAGCCGAGGTGGGTATCTGCTAAGCACATAATACGTATTCGGGAATGTTTGTAGCCAGGTTAGTTAACGGGGTGTTCAAACATGTAATTAACGTGGATTTGGGCATTAAGACTTCAACACTTGTGACACACCGGTTAGTTTTCACCGCAGGCCAGCCATCGATTATTATTAATGCTGACCGATCGTAAGTCTCGTCAAATGGGAGATGGTTGGAAGGAATCCCCGGCCCAAACCGCACTTTTGACATGTCACATTTGTCCATCACTTGCATTGGTTGTCCATCACTACAAACAACCGGAAATCCGGAAATCCGCTGCGCATGACCATGTTCAAGGTCAGCTAGCCCGCCATTCGGTCAACGGAAGAGGCAGGAGTATCCATACCGCTATTAGCATATGGAAGGAACGGCTCGCAAAGCCGCACCGTCGAGGCCGAGGTATCCATCCAAGTTCACCTGCAACAGTAGGCGTGCCGAGAGTTAGGAGCAAGGCTCGGCGCGCTAATAAGAGTCGAAGAATAAGTCACGCCCTGCGGTTTTCCCCAGCCCTGAAGACACATTAGCTCGCAGCCTTACTTTTCAGGACTCAGGTCGGATGGGATGGAGTCCGTCGAAGCGTATGTGTCTTGCCCGCAATCCAGACGCTGAGTGTCAGCCAGCCTCAGGGGGCAAGGGTGGCCATACTGATGGGCCGTTTCTAGATCCGAGAACCACCTGCCTCAATGGCAGAGCACTCTAGCAAGATGCCTTGAGGGTCATGAACCATATGACATCAAGGAAATATCCGAGACTGAAACACACGCACAGGACGTGCGCAAGTTTCTGAACTCGCTCGCTCGCGACGACAAAAGTTCGCCTCATGTGAGGGAAGCATCGTTTATCATCCTGCCGTATCTCGTCCACTTTGAAGCTGTCAGTGACTTTTTTGCCGAAAACTTGGGCCCGCGTTTCGACACATCGCCAGTGTGGGCTATGTTCCTCCTCGTCACAAAGGTTCGTGCCGGGGACCCATGAGCGGGCGATCTTGACAACGTAACTTAACTCTAATCACTGACCGTCATGCCTAGCTCGCCTCCGAAATGCCTTATCCTGAGGCATTCAGGCAGATAGCCGTCATGATAAAGCGGATCGGCCAGAAGATTGACCTGTTCAACGAGTACAGCAAGGGTGAGGATGTAAAGCCTAAGCAGATGAATGAAGCTGCGCTGGACATCCAGATTGAACTGGCTGGTTTCTTCAGCACGGTTATCCGCTTTTTCCGGCATGAGGGAACGTCGGGTGCGTCAAGTCTTCGAGATGTAATAAACGATCTACGTGCTGAAGACTGATGTAATGCTGATCCAGATCCGTCCGCAACCACCTGGGATAAGGCTCACGGTAACAGCTGGAATGGGACCATCACAAAAGCCTATAATCTGTCACAAGCCAGCATGACCGAGATATTTCAGAGAATCGAAAAACTGGCTCTCTTCGCCACCAAGAGAACCAGGGCCGAGGATCTCCGGAGCCAAGAGGCACTCCTGGCGCCGCCGTCGGAAGCGGTCAGCGAAGAGCCCAAGAAACGTTGCATCATGATTCCCAGGGCCGGAAATGACTTCTTTTTTGACCGAGACGGAATCATTGACAAGATTGACGAGGCGTTTTATCCGACGTCGGGGCAGCCAAAGGTAACTTCCCTTCTGCTACACGGCATAGGCGGTGTGGGGAAGAGCTATGTGGCCATGAAATACGCCCGACACAAGACAGATCATCACATCTTGTTTCTCATAGCCGAAAGCAAGGGATCACTGGCACAGAGTATCACAGATGCTGCTGTCATGCTTGATCTGCCACGGGCCGCCATAGACAAGGACGAGATGAACCGCATCATCCTGTTCAGATGGTTTCAGGAGACTAGTAAGTATATCCCCCTTGGCCCTTTCTCTCTCTCTCTCTCTCTCTCTCTCTCTCTCTCTCTCTCGCGTCTCACCCCGATTTTCCCCATTGGATAGCCTCTGATACCTTACCAGAAGATCCATGGCTCCTGATATTCGACAATGCGGAAAGTAAAGACCTACTCCTCAAGTACTGGCCGCCTAGCTTTACAACAGGCAGGATCCTGATTACCTCGCGGAACAGAAATCTGCAGTTCGCTCCGGCAGATAAGGGAATTGAAGTTCCACCATTCGACCCTACTTCTGGCCAGCAGTTGTTGCTGGAGCTTGTACGAGCCGATGTTATCCAAGACGCCAATGAGGCTCGGTATGCACTGGAGCTCTCCCAGCAGTTGGACGGCCATGCTTTGGCCCTTTCGTTCGTCGGCGGCTTGGTCAACACCAATAGCTGGTCCATACACGAGTTTCTTGTCGAGTACGAGAGAAATAAGCGTGCAGTCCATAAGCTGGATCGTCTCGGTTCACTTTGGGCCATCTGGAAAGTGGCGTTCGCCTCTCTCCGCGAGCCCAGTTCGACTATTCTTGGAATTTTGGCCTACATTAACCCAGACTCCATCCCAGAGGTCATATTTACGCAAGCCAAGGAGAAGTCCCTACCAGCGTGCCTGAAATGCTGCTCTGGCAGCGCGTTTGCCTTGTCCGGCATTGTCGAGGACCTAATCACCCTGGCGCTAGTCAAGAAGGACGGGACAAGCAGGGCCTTCTCGCTCCATCGCCTTGTGCAGACGCAGTTTCGATACTACTTGGACAGTACCCGACGCCAGGAAGCCTTCGACAACACCGTCAAGCTCCTGTTCGACGGGTTTGGCACCTTCCAGGGTCAGTTTTACGACAAATGGAAGAACTGCCAGATGTACATCCAGCAAATCATTTCGCTGAAGAACCATTTCAATGCGGAGCGAGAGGAAAAAGAGCGAGAGGGAGGTAATGAAGAGGAGTATGTCAAACCGACTGTGCGCTTCTGTTGGCTGTTCACAAATGCAGCACGGTAGGTTTAGCCACCAGTTCCTTTCGTCCAAGAATTAGAAACCCTCCTCCTGAAACCGACACCGAAAAATTGTTTATCTAATCGCTGACCTGGTTTTCTGTCTGTGCAGTTTTCTCCTCGAAACGGCCAACTACGCCGAGCTCGAAGACGTTTTATCCGTCGCAGGGCGGGCATTCAATCTACTCACCGAGGCGGAGAAGCAACAGGGCGTGCCAGTCCGGTGTTCCATCCTTAGCAACACCGGCCTGCTCCATGCGCACAGGGGCTTTTTCGACCTGAGTCTTCCCAAGATTGAAGAGTGCTACAAGTTCCGGTGCGAGATGAAGGAACAAGACTGGGCAAAACTCAGCTGGATCGAAGTGGCCATGGGCAACGTCCTGTCGTCTGCCGGAAAGTTCGAGGATGGGCTCAAATGGCAGCTCAAGGCCGAGGAAACGAGGAGGAAGGTCGCCAATGACGTAGACGACGTCAAGTCGACCGCAGTAATCCACCAAAATATTGGACGGTGTCATGCTCTCCTTGGCCAGTTCGACGAGGCGGACCAGCGCCTCCAGCTGGCCAAGAAGGAATTCGAGGGATCAAAGAACTGGGGCATGTTGGCATAGTAGGTGGTGTCCATTTCTCCATACTAAAACACGGGCTCGATCACTGACGGCTGGTCACTTCACACCCAGCACGCTGTTCGCCCTAGCCAACATCGAGAGACGCAGGAACAAGCACACAGCCGCGAAGGAAGGCTACGAGAAGGCACGGAGCATATGGGTATCCGGCGGCCAGCTAGAGACCCACCAGTTCAACGGTGCGTGCATGTACAAGCTAGGCTGCGTGTGTGACGATGTTGGAGACATCGAAAATGCCGTGTGAGTTGAACTGTCGCCAAGAAAATCCTCCTCGCAATTGGAAAAAAAAAAAAAAAAAAAAAAAAAAAGGACTGACTAACGTCAAATCCTGCCTCAGAAAACACTTACGCGATGCCCTAATTGTGGCCAAATTAAACGAGGAGGCTATGCCGGGAGATTACGCGCGCGTCCTGCACAAGCTGTCTCAGGTCCTGGCCAAGAATCCCGGCACGGAGGTGGAGGCGACGGAGAAGGCCGTGGAAGCCCTGCGAGTCAGGATGGGCAGAAAACTGAGCATCCAGAGCAGCAAATCGAACGAGTCGGAGTGGTCGATTGTAACCCCTAAGACAGTGGCCACCGAGAGCTGGACGGAGGTTCCAACCGCTCCGGAGTGGTCGGGAGAGGACTCTGAAGAGACGTACGATGGGCTCGTTTATGTCCTCTGGCGATGATGGTATTGTACCTATCTTTTCGCCACTAGCTGCGAGGATTTGTGAATGATTCGGCAAGCTACATCTTGACGCCGTAGTTCTTCTTGACTAATACATGATGTCAATTTCTCTCGGCCCTTACAACGACGCAGTCTGTCTCGTAGCCTTGACACCATCAGCCAGCTCCTTGCACGACGACACGAACCCCCACGACTTCCGGGCGTTGAACTCGACCATCTGCCTCGTGTAGTCCGGACTACCGGTCCCGCACCCGTCCTTGAGCAGGATGGTATCGAAGCCCAAGTTGCACGCATCTTGTATCGAGGCCAGGACGCACTGGTCCGTGTTCACCCCGGCGAAGAGCAACGTCGTGATCTTTTGCTCCTTGAGGTATTCGATCAGGTCATTCGAGCCGCCCCAGAAGCCGGATAGCCTGTTTTTATGAAACCGAACCTGGGGCATGGCCGTGCCCTGGGAATCGTCGAAACTTTTCTGAAGCCCGCCGTACAGGGCCGTGTTCCACTGGTCGCGCATCAGCGTGCGGCCCGCCGCAACGGCCGTCCCGTCGGGGAACTTGACGGTCCCGAGGTCGCGCCCCACATCCTTGGCGCCCTTCTTCTCCGTGAAACGGTCGTCCTCGCCCTCCGCCGGCGTCTCCTTGTACCCGAAGATGCGGAAGATGACGGGCGGCAGCACGGCCAGCTCCTCGTCGGTGATGCCCCACGTGACGTGGACGACGCGGATGCCGGCCTCGCGCGCGGCGGGCAGGCCGGTGGAGAGGAGGGTCTCCTCGGCGGCGTGGCCGGGCCCGCGCGCGCGGCCCATGGCGGGCGACAGGAAGAAGTTCTGCATGTCGATGACGATCAGCGCCGTCTTGTCCGGGTCGACGGTGACGGGCGCCGTCGTCGTCGTCAGCGTGAGGCGCCGGGCCGGCGGCTGTGGGGTTGCCGGCGGCCACTCGGGCGGAGGCTGGTGCGTGAGGTCCCAGCCCGCCGAGGGGTTGAAGAGCCAGAAGTTGGAGCCGGCGTTGCCAACCACTGCGGTTGTCGCGGTGGCGTTGCTGACGATGGATGGCAGCGCGACAGACATGACGGATGGCCGGTGGAGGATGTCGGTGACTTTTGAGAGCTGGGACGTGAGGATGGGTTAGAACGAGGGTTCTCTCGATCAAGATGGGAGGTGGGAAGGGAAGCCGTTGCTTACCCTTCGAGTTTTGAGGAAGGATCGAAGCATGAGCTTTGAGTTTTTGGGCCGCCGTCGTAAATACTTCTGCGGCTCCCCGAACAATTGGGAAGAAAGATGGATGAGACGGCATCACTACCAGCAAGCGGCTGGCGCAGCCTTCTTACATATCGGCCACTCGATAGATGCATATTTCATGTAGTGCGTTATGCGTGAAAGAAGAAGAGAGCAGCGTCATTATGGATGGGACGATACATGCCTGTGTTGGGCTGACATGCAGAGTCCCCCGCGCCACCGTGCTGACCCTTGCTACTCCTGTACGCAGCAGTACCAATCCAAGACAAGTTGACACAGTGTAGCCTCACGGTGGCTTCAACGATGGCCATTAAATTTCCTCACGCTTGGTTGGAGCTTGTGGAAGGTAATGAGGCTGGGCTCTTTTTTGGATCCCACTCCCTGTATTGCACCATGAAGAAAGATCATCCTCGTTGGTTCTAATGTGGAGATTGGCAGACAGCTCTAGCAACGGCATGGGACTGGATTTATAGATAAAAATGGACACGAACCGCGCTTATATCATCTGACCACGACAGCGTGAACAATAGCTGCCGGAGATGATGAGGAAGTTCCCGCACATGGGACGCAGGCAAGGGAACACACAGTTCCAGGGAAGATGAGCAAGGAGAGGCAGTAACGGCCAGAAGGCATCACATGCCGAGCTTCTCTCGCCATGGGTCGCGGTTGCGGGATCCAATCCTAGCTCTATAAAAGTTTAATGTCCATAACGTCCCACGTTGGCACCTCGTTTCTCCCAAAACGACTCAAGAAGAATGCCCCGATCCGCTTGAACTCCTGTGCAGGGGCACCAGCATGGGGCTCTAGCAGAAGACCAGTTGCCCCCGTCACTAACAGTAACCACAAAGGACCTTCTACCTCTTCGAATTCCGGCCATTGTCGCTTTTCGTCCGCATATGCTCTCCCGAGCATCTTCTTCCCATCGTAGACATCTCCAGCACTGTGATATTGGTCGAGTACTAGCGAAGTAGCCGATCGCAGCCTCCCTCGCAGGGAGAGCCAGCCACTGGTGACCCGACCGTATGAATCATGGCTGTTCAAGTACTCCAGGTGAATCTGGTTAACCTGCATGTCGCCGTCGCCACCACCCTGAGTGCCGGCATGCATGTCGGACATGTCATAGTCGATTGGGCCGTCGATCGAAGCCCAGCTCCAGGACGGCGCCCGCCAGACGGACGGCCGCTTCGGCGACAGCTTCTCCGAGTGTTCGGTTCTCCATAGCAGTTCCGTCTTGATGTTCTCGCGACAGAGGCCGGCAGCATATGCGAGCCCGTTTGCGTCGCAGTGAAGGCGTGCCAACCCCGACAGGGCCGGCAGCTTGTCGGCAGGATTGGTCATGAACCGTCGCGAGTACTCTATGACGACGCGAGTCCAGTCGTTCCTGAGGTGGGCTTCCTGCAGGGCGTCTATCCGGGGCAGCACAGACAAGTGTCCGTCTGAGCTGACGAGCCCGTGAGCGCCGCATTTCCAGTAGACCTGCTCGTTTGTGTATATGAGCGCCCGGTGGGATAGAGCGACTTCCTGCAGAGTCCAGGCGCGAGTGGACCAGGTGTTGGCTTTTCGATTCACGTAGCCGGGAACCATTCCCGCTCGGTACGCCGAGAGAACGTTACGGCCGGGGATGCCGTCACGGCTTTGTCGCGCCTCGGATACTACCAGTTGGCGTGACAGTAGGAACTCGTCTTGACAGTCTTGGGAATCAGCAGCAATTATGGCCAGTGTTGCATCACCGTATATCTGGCTCATCTTGGACGACTCAGTGAGCCAATCCCGAACCGCGTCCGGCACCGAGCCTTGGAGAATGCAAAGGGCATCGACCCACAGATAGCGAATGGAGAGGTTCCTCGTAACGGTAATAGCGTCTTGTATTGCGCGGGGAAGCGATTGGTAGTCCATTCCAACATGAGTATGGCGATGCAGGTTGTCCGGCGTCGTGATAGTGGCCTTCGACTTCCCCCAACAGTAGCTTAGGGCAGTATACGGAGCTCTCTCGTGTAGGCGCTGGCCCTTGACAGCCAATTTGATCATGGGCGAGGTCGGGTCGACATCTATAACTCGGGTTGGGAGGTCTGGAAAACCCGGCTTGATATCGGGATGCATGTGGTGGTTGGTGCAAGACTCCAGCCATCGCGTGGCAATTCCGAAGCCAGTGGGCGACTTATCGTCCAGACACACAGTTGTGTACAGGAGTGGACAGACCCAGTCTCCCTTGTGCAGGTATAGGCGACTCACGACCGGGTACTCGGTTCTTGCCTTTGTCTTCGCGGTTACCCAAGTACGGTCTTCGCACTTGGCTCTATCTCCAGAGCGAAGTTCGAGAGCATCGTAACCACGCCATGCTCCTTCCCCAGCAGGATTTGGCAGGCCGTAGAGCCTGACGGGCCAAGTCTCGGACAGGATAGGGTGAGTTCCCAGATGGAACCGCTGCTTCTGGTGGACCTGGACGATCGACTCCCACATCATCTGACACAAACGGCAATATTTGTCGCCGGAAGCTGATTTCTGCAGCTCTGCGAGGCTCTCATAGTGGTCATATCCGTTGTCGAGATCAAGGCCGGTGGGAACTGCGTCACAGAGCCGACATAGGAGCAGATCCGGTTGGAACGATTCCAGACTCGATTGAGGCATGGCTTTGATTAGAAACACACGATGCCACACCCACCTACGAAGGCGAAGGCGAATGCGAATGCGGATATGAACATTCAAGAGAGAAATAATTTGGCACGCCAATGAGGCATGTCCGCCTTGGGTATCAACAATATAAGTGTGTAATTGGCCAAGGAAATGGAGAATTCTCTTCTGCATAATTATCCAATTACCCCGCAGAGGAACCCCCAGAAGTCGTTGACACTTCCCACGCTTTGACAATGGCAGTAACCGAGACTTGTTGTTACTGTAGCCCAGGCATCAACTCGTCCTTGTCCCCCTTCCATCGTCAGTCGCTCAGCAGTGCAAAGTCAAGATGCTGTCAACTCTGCAGCCTGGTCTGTTCTGCAGTGGAGGTCTTTTGCTCGAAGCGAGCATTCTCGATCCCCGCGAGGGTCGACTGCTGGTATCCCACTACGGGAGAAATCGTTGTGTTCGCGGATAACCGCCAAATTGAGTTGCAGATTTGCTCCATGGGCAGCAACAAGAGTCTCCCTGAAGGATTCGACTGGTGTCCAGGCTCCCGGCCTTCGAGGTACACAGGCTCTGAAGACGCAGCAACGTGGGCTCGCGAACGTATAGCAGAGTGCTCAAGTCGACATGAACTCTGCAAGGGACCCAAGTCGAACATGCCAACGCGCGTCCTCCAAATTGACGACACAAATGCTCAAATGTCGGCAGGAGGTGGTAGTTCTCTTTCCCTCAAGCTTGTCGAACCGCCGCATTCCACCCAGACCGAGTACGCCTGCCTCAGTCATTGTTGGGGGAAACTAGGCCCAGTGAAGACAACCAAGGCGTCGAAACTACAATTTCTGCAATGTGTTCCGTGGGACGTGCTCCCGAGGAGCTTTCAGGAAGCCATCTCTTTTGCCCACATGCTGAATATCCGCTACCTGTGGATTGATTCGTTGTGCATTATCCAGGACGACCCGGACGATGTGGAGAGGGAGATTCGACAAATGTGTCGTATATATGAAGGAGCCGTAGTGACTCTGGCCATCACCAAGTCTCACATACCGTCGGAAGGCTGTTTCTCAACGCTGTCTCCTGAGTCTGCTGGGTACGAAATGCCAGTACCAGCAACCTTCGACTGGTCAGCCGCAGTGGTACGCGAAGTATTCGATCATGCGCATGCCGTGAGCAGTTATGAAAACCCACCTCCTGGTAAAGCTCCACTTCTATCGCGGGGCTGGGTACTCCAGGAGCGCATTCTCTCGAGGCGAGTCTTACACTTCACTGCTGAGGAGCTGGCCTTCGAGTGTGTCACAGCCAGATGCTGCGAGTGCGAGCGGGATCCTCACGAGATGCCGGGGTTCAAATCTACCATGTCCCAAGCGGTGGAAACCGACGATCGAGATGGCCTGTACTTGAAATGGCGGGCGCTGGTTGAGCGATATACCAACCTGGATCTAACATTCGAGACTGACAGACTCCCGGCCATTGCCGGATTGGCCGAAAAGTTCGAGCGTCGTCTCAACGACCGATATTTTTACGGGACATGGGCCGGCAACCTTCTCGAGAGCCTGAACTGGCTATCCTTCATCCCCATCCGAAGGGATCGGCGCCCTGCCGCGCCGTCTTGGTCTTGGGCAGCGGCCTCGTCGACCGTCCGCCATCCTTATCCTGAAAAATGGGCGGAACCAAACCAACAGGACCGATGTGAAGTGTCCGTTGAACATGTTGCAAAATGCGCAGAACTGCATTCGTTCACGACGACCTCGCACTTCTTACGCCTGGTTGCGCCAGCCATAGCCATGAAAATTGAGCCCTTCAAGCCACAGGTTTATAAGAACCCTTACAGAGGACAACAGTACAGGCTTGTTGGGTGCGCAGACTCATTTGGGGATGCCATCTTTCCTGATTTCCATCTATTCGAGGGACCACACGGCCTACAGGCAGATGAGTGGTTCTATTGTGCGCAAATGGTTGCATTCTCTCAGGAAATCCGTGGGAAGGATGAGGTTGACCGCTGGTTTATGCTTCTGCGTTGCCTTGATAAACAACTCGGCATCTATGAACGAGTGGGTTGGTTCGAGATGACGTGGCCGTACTCGACGTGGGATCCAGAGCTCACCAGAATGCGCTTTCGGGTCATTTAATTAACTGTGAGTTGCCACTCTACACGAGAGTTCAGGGATGATTGAATCTAATATAATCTTCCAGCCATCGAGCGACAATGTCGATAGCTCTCAATCTATCATACCAGCCCTCTTGGACATCTCAAACACGTTACACCAGCTCTCTCTTGTCCCCTCTCTCCAGTGAACCCTGCTTCTCTCAGCCCGTTCAGTCTCCAATGCCTGTCAAAGTCCAAGTGATAGCCATAGTTGTCTAACTGGTGCGCATGCCAGATATCAACCCCCCTTAACTCTAGCCTCTTGCAAAAGCCCTTTGGGCCTGCGTATGAAATCCCCCGGCTTTCAAAGCCGTGGCTCTCGTCAACTTTAGCGACGCCCAGATGGACACACGCGCCGGCACTCGCTTTGGCTGCCGCCCTGAAAATGGTCTTTCCATCTTGGTATTACCCGCCCAAACTACCAGAGCTTGTCTCTGCGGGCAGGGGCAGTTGGCTATTCGGGCAGGAGGTATGTGCTGAGCAGGGTTTTCGGGCTGCCAAGAATCTTTAGACAGTTGGAGCACGACGGCAATGGCGATGGCAACAGCAATAGAGACGGCGACAGCAAGAGCGCTTTAGCAATAACGACAGTGACGGCTAGCCAAATGCCCCTGCCCTAACAGTTAAATGCCCCTACCTGAATAGCTGAATGCCCCTGCCCGAGTACCAAAATGCCCCTGCCCAAATACCTAATTGCCCTTGCCCGAATAGCTAAATGCCCCTGCACGAATAGCTAGATGCCCCTGCCCGCGGAGACAACCTCAACTACCAAGTACAGAGCTTTCGTTCCTTCCAAACTCAGGAGTTCCTACCAGCTAAAGCAGAGAAGCTTGATCCTGACAAGGAAGCTACAACTCTCCTCAAGGAGAGTTACCTAGAATAAGAACTCGCGGTGCCCAGCAGCACGGCGTTTGAAAGGTCAGGACACACAAAAACACATACCACACTGACTGCTAATAGGCAAAAAAATGGCCACATTCACTCCCGCCTCGCGCCCTCTCGCCCTTTTGGGCATTAAGAGGACGACAACGACGATGATGACGACGATGATGTCGTCGGCGACGATGATGATGATGATGATGATGATGACAACGTCTGCGGCGACGCCGACGCAAACGCTAACGACGCCGATGACAACGTCGGCGGCGACGCCGACGCCAACGCTAACGATGGTGACGACGACGATGACAAGGACGATGACGACGACGGCGACGACTGGGGCGGCTGCCCTCGATCACTGGACTATGATGGGTACAGTGGGAACCTGGGTCGGCGCGGGGTTGGCGGCCGTGGTCATCGCAATATTACAATGCGAGGTTCAGGCAGGTCGCGATTGAACTTCACGATGATGACGATCTGGACGCACGCAATCTGCCTCTGGCAGAACAAGCGCGGCTGGCTGGTCCAGGCCGCCGTCGTTATCGAGGCTTCGGCGAGAACTACCTGCGCCCTGGCGGAAGACCCCAGGGCCGCTCCTGTGAAACCCACGGTGCCGCAGCCGACCATGCCTACTCTGGACGAGGACGCTTGTCAACCGAGACGACGGCACCCGGAGAGTGTATCCCGCATGGAGACCATTGGTACCGCTCTCCAGGCATACCTGAGCTGATAACCCCTGCCACTAGTATTGCGGCAATCGGCGCCTCCCTTGTTGCTGTAGCGAGGCTGCCTACGGGTGGTGTCTGCTTCCTTGTCAGCATCTTGCTCCGCCAACGCCACGAAGTTGACACCTGGTGACAGGACCGCATGGGCTTTGGCGTCTGTGAGATGTGGGCTTCTCCAGGGGACTACCTCCGCACTTCCCTGATGAACAACCTCGCCCGCACTATCGGCCAAGTCATGAGAGCGGGGGCCAGGGGCGGCGGAGGAAAAAAAGAGGACAAGCTTGAGTAACTACTTTTATCACAATGCATTACATGCAATGCGCTTCTGTTTTTCAGTGATGTTACTCTGTTCCTATAATTAATACTGTGATGCCTTCTACTTTGCAGGTTGTTCCAACATAGCATGAATCATGGGAAACAAGATATCATTGGCATAATCACTACTCTTCTGCACTTCACGACGATGAAACGGGGAGAGCAAGGTCGACCACTTCAGAACCTGCACCGCAAGGAGAGCGAAACAATAGAGATGGTTGGAAGCTGTCAGCATGGCTTCTCCAGTCTTTGTCGGTGAACGTAGCACGATAAACCAAGCATTTGGATAATCCGATGAAGATAATCAACCAAGTCTCACCAGAAAGTACATATTAGGAGACATTGATTCCTTCCTCTATTCTAGTTTGGAAGTACAGATACCGGGACCTGAGTCCCCCAAGTCCATCCTAACGCAGCTTCATTGGGCTTATTCTTCTCCGAACACAATTATCCCAGGGTTATACAGATTTCAAGCTCATAAACATCTCGACTCACACCATGTCTTTGGCAAGGTTGACAATTAAAGTAGGCCCCTATTGCTGGAAACGATCCATGCGATTGATACTCGGCACCTTGGGCGCGCACCACCGACATTCCCAGCTTCTTGAGATTAGGTAAACGAGGAGTGCCGAGTCCGGCACGGAAAACCCAGCCAACGTCGAGTTGGAAGGTGGACGAGACTTTCTCAAGAACGTGTCGCAGTTGTTGAGGAGGCTACTGTAGCCTTCAGTTTGCCGGCGAGGCAAAAAAGCCTGGCCCCTCGAACAAGGAATTCCAAGTAGCCGGCTTTGGCTGAATAATTCAATGTGCTGTCTGCGACACACACAAACACATACCACGCTGACTCTAGATAGGACAAAAATGGCCACATTTTGGCAAGGGGCAGACGGAGCAGTGGTGAGACCTAGGAGGCTGGCAGTGATGACCAGGAAAGCTGGCAATGATAGAGTAAGATTACTGAAAACAGAAGCGCACTGCGCGTGATGTATTGTGATACAAATAGTTACTCAAGCTTGTCCTTCTCCATTCCTCCGCCGCCCCTGGCCCCGCTCTCCTGACACCACCCATGGGCGAGGCACAGGTCCTGCTACAGCAAAAAATGCAGCGCCGATTGCCTCGGCAGTCATTGCCACAATATTTGGGACAGGAGCAGCCCTCTGGTCTTCCGCCAGGGCACGGGCGGTCCTTGCCGAAGCCTCGATGGCAGCGACAGCCACAGCACCTGTCTCCAGATCAGGCTGGGCCCTCCGGCTGCGTTTGTTCTGCCGGAGGCAGATTTCGATGGCCACGACCGCCAACCCCACGCTGACTCAGGTTCCCAATGAACTCATTATAGTCCAGCGATCAGGGGCAGCGATCAGGGGCAGCGGCCCCAGTCGTCATCGTCATCGTCACCATCGTCAGCGTTGGCGTCGGCGTCGCCGCCGATGTTGTCATCATCATCGTAGTCGTTGTTGTCGTCTTAATGCCCAAAAGGGCGAGAGGGCGCGGGGCGGGAGTGAGAGTCATTCTCTCCCCATCATCATCATCATACTTGAGCATCGGGCAAGAAATAATTTTTGGTGCAACACTTCCTCTCCACTCCGGTCATCACTGCCGGCCTCGCTGGTCATCACTGCCGGCATCGCTGGTCGTCACTGCCGGCCTCCTGGTTCCTATAATTGATGCCGTGGTGCCTCCTGCTTTGCAGCTTGTTCAACATGGGGTGTACAACATGTTGTGTCCAGCATAGCATGACGACGAGGGTAGAAATCGGAAGAGATTTTTGTGCCGTGTTTGATATAGAGCAGTGTCCGGATGATTGTGCCGGAGCAAGCTCAAGCCTGGCGAAAGGACCGAATGCCTCAAATACCAGGCCGGCAGTTCCGAGGAGGTCGATGGGAGATATGCATGGATGTCTCAGGACTTCTCGGCTGAAGAGAAACCAATGATCATGAAGCTGGCAGGAATGGCATGGGTCGTTGGCTGGTGAAAGTGATTTTGGATACTAACGCACCAAGTATCTGGTCATGGTCGATTCATATGTCAACGCGGACTCTTAGAATTAAATAATGGAGTGGAAACACATACCTGGATATCGCTGATGCCCCTGGGCTGAAGACTGCGTATGCAATCGTGACACTTCACCATGTAGAGCGCTGAGACCCTTGCGAAGATAAGGAAGAAGACTCGAAGAAGCAATCCTTATTGGCCGCGTATCCTCCCAGCCGAGGGCGCCGACCTTCGGGTGTGACCAGCAGGCACTGTGGTGAAGGGTTTGGAATCCTTGAATCTTGAGTCCAGCGTCGATATAGTCATCGATGGGCGGATGCAAGGAGACTGCAGCATGTCCAGCTCGACAACTCGAACCCGCGTGTGCCCTCCGTCGCCTGATAGGAATCGGAAATATAATATTTGCATATTGAGGAGCTCCCGTGAACCCTGGGAGGTCAGCGACGTGCCAAATAGATCAGGAGCCGGAGAACAGAGCGGGACGTTGTAATTACAAGGTGTCAGGAGTCGATTCGATGTGTTTCGATCAGTTGCCTCGTCAGTTGGAGGTCATGGACGGCCGGTGGCGAATCATAAGCCTACTGAAAGGCAGAATGTGAGAAGAGCATGTCAAAGAGACGAAAAACATTTCTAATATCAGCATAGGTAGGTTGGTTCGCAGAACAGAAAAAGCAATCGATCGTCGTTGCAATAGATGGAAACGAAAAGGACACGTTCCATGGCGTGGACTGGGTGCAGATCGACCATTTGGAAAGTTCTAGCTATGATTTTCTAGGAAGGTGCATCTTGAACAGTAATGCCGGATAGAAGGGGTGATTACCCTAATGGGCACAGTGGACCACGCAAGGCATTGTTTCGGAGGAAGGAACGGGGGTTGGCCAAATTCGGAACCAACCCCATGGTCTAGTGCCTGCGGTGGTGTAGGCGAGTGCCGGTAGCCGCAGTAGGTCGGGAGGCGACGGCAGCGGCGGCAGTGTAGCCGGCATCAGCAATGGTGGTAGCGGCATTAAACGCGGCGGCGGCGAGCCTGTTGGCGACAGCGAAGGCGTCCTGGGCGAAGTAGTTAGCCCAGGCAGCAGCAACGGCCGGTGCGTCCGCAGCCGGTGCGGCGGTGGCAGCAGTGGTGACAGCGCAGGCGGTGTTGGCGGCAGCAGCAGCGACGGATGATAAGACAGTGCCGTTATCAGCACCAGCTGGGTTGTAGTACGCTGGCGCAACTAAACTATTCGGATGTAGGGTCATGATCTCTTGCAACCTAGACATATTCAACTGGGGAGACCATAGACTCTCATATGGCGGGGGACGGGCGGTCAAGTTTTGTTGAATTGGATTGCAGCCGGAGGCGCTATCTCCACGCCGTGTTTTGCGTCTTAGCCAGGCTCGGAACCGCTTCGTCATTTTGTCGATTTAGATATCCCAGATTCTTTGCCAAAAGAGAGGGGAAAACAGTCGTTATTAAAGTAGAACGCACCTGCTATGACTTATATATGAATTATGCCTGGTAGTGAGAACCTTTTTTCGGTTTTGTCTTTTTGTTTTTGTCTTTGTTTGAGTGTTTAATCGGACCATGCCCGTTTTCCGCCGTAATTACCCCGGTGCCGGCTCCACAAAAGCGGCAAGGGATCACGGAGGATGCCAGCTTCAGCAGCATGAAAATAAACGTCTCGCGATACAGGCCAATTCAGTGAGTATTCGCCAAAGGCTTTTTACCATGGTCACCATTGATCTCTCACTATTTTATATACTCCCTCGTCGTGTATCAAATGCAATCTAAGACCGTCATCACCAATATCCTGGCTCGGTATTTTCAAGAGTAATGTAACTGGCGTTTCCTTCTTTTAACCCTTTTTTTTCTTGCTCAGGTTCTATGCCCCATCGAGCTTACAACCCTCTTTTGCTTCGTTCAAGACGAAGCTTCTTTTTCTCTATGTCCGATTTAACCTTTGCCATGTTCTTAAGTTTGGTGCCGCCGAAGCAGCCCCTGAATATGCGCAACATAATTAGGTGAGCTACACACCAGAGGAAAAAGAGTAGTCTAATCAGTCGAGGCGATCGATCTGTAATTGGACTGGAGGTGAAATCATGGTGCTATTCTCGTAACCTCCCAGCCCTCCCGTTACCCCTTTTCAATATCTAGATGACAGCCGTGTCGCACGAGCGAACTCGCCAATCCTCTGCTGACCTCTGAGTGTCATAAAAACTCCCACTCCATCTCATGGCCAACCATGTCTCCACCTTTGAGCTATCTCATACTATGCTCCTGCCTGGCACTTTCTTGGCATCGATGATTTAGCAACCAGAAACGTAGTTGATCGTCGTCATGCACATCCATCAGCCCCCCAGTGCTTGGTGCCACAGGCCTTGCAACCGCTCTTGCGAATGTCTTGGTAATCCCACCATATCTGATTACCCGTCCGAGCGCAGTTCTTCAGCCCTTGTCGAAGGGCACAGATTGGAAGCCCCTGAAGTTACCGAGGCATATCACGAGCCAGCCAAGGACGCGGACGAGGACGAAAAAGAGATCTATCCGCTACCCTAAAATGGCGGAACGAAACAGCGCGGCAAGAGACCGACGATGCCACGAGAATGCAATGATACCCAAGCTCTGTACCGGGAATACCAACAAGGGGCATGCATACAAGTCAAGGTCGTCGAATGTGAGCAGTCAACAAAGGCATTGTCCCAAATGAGATGTCAACAAGGAAAGAATCCACCAATTTCCATTACCCCCCAAGAAAAACCAGAAAACCATGGATCGCCCGCCACCATCTGGACGCCCAGCGTTGCTTGGGCGGAGATCTTCCCTCTTCCGTATAAGCCCCCAGACAAAACTCATCCCTCCTCCTTCCGGGGGGGGGGGGGGGGGGGGGGGGGGCGGGCGGGCGGGGGGGCGCGGGCGGCCCGGCCCCGGCCGCCGCC